CACCCGCCACCCGCCACCCGCCACCCGCCACCCGCCACCCGCCACCCGCCACCCAACGGCAATCGTTACCCGGTCTCCCACACGCTTCTCTTTCCTTCTCCACCCCCCACCCAGTCCTGCTCCTCACCACTGCTTCTCACTCCCACTTCACTCCCCATAACACTCTCACCAGTTCCTTCCTCCCTCCTTCCCTTCTTCTCCCCTCCTCTCCCACTTCCCTCCCCCTCCTACCCTCTCCTACTCCCCCCATCTTTTATTTTCCCATCTTTTTAATTTCACTGCTCTACTTTTTTCCTCTCCCTCCCTTCTCCGTTTACGCGTCCTTTCCCCTTTCGGAGGGGCGTGCGCACACCACTTCGGGTTCGCTCCAGTACATCCCTGCACCAAGAAAGCCAGCCAAAAACCGCCCACGAGAAGCTCTTCATAAATACCGAAGTCTCTTGATCACACTTTCAATCTTGCACGCCTAGTCCACTATCACATCTTGCCACCACCCAGTTTGCGTTCTGAGACCCGCTGGCTGTCGGGCTGCCACGAGGCGTGACCTCGCAGCTTCTTCCCACCAATTCCTTCGTTTCTTGTTCGGCCACACCTTCGTGCCCCAGATTTTGTTCTTAGGCACATCGTCGGATCTTGCCGTCATCTGAGCAGTTTTGGCTGCGATCACAAACAAAACACAAAAACTGTCTAAACAATGGCCTTACGTATGTTGATGCGCTAACAATTTACTAGTGCGGTTTCAATCGCGAAAGAGACGAGGCCTATTGTTCGAATGCAAGGTAAAAAAAAAGCAGCCGAAACTGGGGATATTGCTCCGCCACAAAAAAATCTGACTAAATTTTTCGTCTGTTCAAAAGCTCAGCCTGCCCCAATGCATTGTTCTATATAGACTGGTGTTTCGGCACCTTATAAACCCATAACTGCGACTTTTCTCACATAAGAGGAGTTGTCTATAGATTTGAATCAAGAAACATCCTGACGATGGACGCTGGGAAAGACAGCACTCTGCTGCTGGCACACAAGATTGCCGGCAAGCAGATCGTAGCGAGTGAGCTAATCTGTGATGGTATCGATTACTTCAAACGCATCTCTGCGGAAGTTCCAGAGCTGGTCAAGCGCGAGGGGCATGAATATCTGAAAGGCAAGAAACCGTCTGTTGCGGGGAACGCCGTGTTTCTTGGTCTGATGTCTTTTTTCCTCCTCTTCCACCTGATCTATGGTTTCTACAACAAACACAGGTGGTTTGCAGTCTCGTGGACCATCGGGCTAGCTCTCGAGTTTGTCGGATACTTGGGACGTATTCTGCTGCACGGACAGATGTCATCGTTCAATTACTATGTGATGCAGATGGTCGGTTTGACAATTGCACCCTGTTTCCTGATGGCTGGTATATACTACCTGCTTGCTCAGGTGACCACAGTAGTCTCTCCTCGTCTGTCTCTGCTCCGTCCCAATCAGTACACCTTTGTGTTCATCGGGTGCGATGTGCTGGCCATCTTGCTGCAGTCTGCAGGAGGTGGACTCTCGTCGTCCAATGCCGGCAACAGCTACCAGACCGGAAAGTCCATTTTAATTGCTGGCTTGATTGTCCAGGTCGTTTCCATGTTCTTCTTTCAGCTGTGCTGGTATTCGTTCATTTTCAGGTGGCGCAGGGAACACAACCGCCATGGGGACGCCCACTTTGTCCCAGAATACGCGGCCGTGAGACAGAGAAACATATTCACAATTTTCCCTTACCTGGTCAGTATTGCGGTCCTCCTCATCTTCATTCGCTCGATATACAGGATCGCAGAGCTGTTTGACGGGTTCGACAGCAACCTTGCAACCAACGAAACCATTTTTTTCATCTTCGAATCCGCCATGATGACAGGCGCATGTTTAATCCTCACCATCGACCATCCGGCAACCGCGTACGGAGGGCTGGTCAAGATCGACCACAGCATGAAGGCTGTGTTCAGCATGGCCAACCAAGAGGCAGATTTGCTCCGCAAAGAGGAAAGTGAAATCCGCATTCTGTGAGCAAGTAAGCACAACCAGCATTAGCGATCGCCTGCCAGTTACTGTGAGAACCTCCGGGCCGACGAAATATATCACTACCAGTCGCCTGCAAATAAGCATATCTTCTAGAGCGTTGCTCAAGGGAGGACTACCTGAATTCCCTCCCGTGAATTGCGTCGCGTTTTCGATAATCAAGGCCTCTTCGGTTTTTTTTATATAGTTTTTACTTGAGAGAACTGCCGGACAAAGGTTGACCATCAAGCTGCATCTCGTGATCTTGGTTCCGCTCACCCTTGGATAGCATTAAGTGCGTCCCATACATGGTGATCACCATCGCGTAGCATGCAAATATTAGATAGAAGCACTTTTTGACACTTTCGTCCAGTTCCGTCTGCTCTCCGCCAACGATAGACGCGGTCGCTGCGCTACCGAGCGCAATGCCCACCTGGCCAAAGGTTTGGAATATTCCACTTCCGTTCGCCTGCAGGTGCAGCGGGACCTTCACCAGAATGGTCGTGTACACAATCTGGTAGAAGACGTTCGTCGACGCGCCGAGAAGAAGCAGACTCACCAGCTCGTACCGCCAGTACTGCCCCGGGCTGCACCGGGACGCCCACACGGACATGCATATACACGACACTGTCGCGCCAATGATCAGTATCCTCTCGTCTACCTTGCGCGTGTACGACACTCGCCAGAAAAAGTTCCCGCAGATTATCCCGACTGAAATAGGCAACACTCTGAGCGCGGCAACCAGCGGTGAATCACGATCGTACCGCTCGTGGAACTGGATAAGCGATAGTAGGATCACGCTGTATGCACAGAAGTAGAACAGGCTCGCGCAGCACGAGATCACGTACAGCCGGACAGTGCCCAGCTCGCGCGGGAACAGCACTACCACCCGGCTGCGCCAGTCGTGTACGTCCGTAACCCTCCGCTGAAACCGGCCAATGTAAGCGATCTCAAATACCGCCACGAGCGCAACAACAGCCACCCCGACCGGGATCGGCACATACGCCTTTGCGGAGCTCCACCCTGACCCGGCCTCAGTCAGCCCAAGGATGACCAGAAGCAGCCCACCCACAAGGCACAGCGCTCCCACGTAGTCGAGATCTGCAAGCTTGATCGTCTTATGCGGCGCAACCGGAACCATGAAGTAGGACAAGCTCCCAAGACACAACACGCTCGCCCCAAACACGTAGAAGAAGAATGCCCGGTACCCAATGGCGGTGAGCGAGAACGCTCCCCCGAAAACGGTGCCGATCCCCGCCGATGTCGTGAGCGTCAGCATCAGAAGCCTCATCGCGAGCGCGCGCTCTTTGCCCTGGAAGTATGACGCCGTTAGCCCCATGCCGGTCGGAATCAGTGCAGCCCCGGCCACCCCCTGGATCGCCCGGAACACAATCAGGGGAACCACCTTAGGAACCAGCGCAATCACCAGTGTCGACACACACAGCACCACCAGCCCGGCAAAGAACACCCGGTGCAGCCCCACAACGTCGCCCAGCTTGCCCACCAGAATGATGCACGAGCCAAGCGTCAGAGAGTAGACAGAGACCACCCACGAGACAGTAGTATAATCTTCCCGAAGCTGGCGTTCCAGACTCTGCGTCAGCGTGAACCCCGCACTCACGCTGAGATTGTCCAGCGAGATCCCCAGCAGGATGAAGAAGAATGCCACATGCTTCTTGTTCATAGGTTGTGGACTATTTTTTTTTTTTTTTTTTTTTTTTTTTCATTTGGCTATTTGCAGCTCCGGCCAAGAGGCGGAAACCGTTGGGCGATACTAATTTCACTATCAGTCAATCAAAATTGCCAAGCTGCAGCACCGGTGCCCATTCGAGGAACACCAATCAAGTGTATCTGAGCAAATGTTGTACCTTGCCTACCACATAATAGGCCACCCTCTTCCACCCTCTTACGTTCCGGTGCGTCGCTATTTTTCCGCTCCGTACCCTTATCTATTGCCTCTTCCGGCAACGCCCACCGCCTGCACAGCCCGGTCCTTGCAAACGAGATCCACGAGCTTTGCAAAAACCGTCCGTGCGCCTTCTCCTTACGTAATATTTCTGTCATTCTTTTGGGCGGTTTCTAGGGTTTACGTAAGTGAAAAGCTTTCGCCATTGCAGATAACACTCTTATGCTCGGGGAACCTCACAGAAACAGAAACAGCCATTTGTGCTTCTGGAGGTCCGCTCGCAATTACCTCGATACAGCAATCGTCTGGATGTTTACCTCGTACCGGCTCAGGTTGCTTCAGTGTCCCGACCCGTGCTCGCTGGAGTCGAGATCTGTCCTAACCGTGCGCAGCCGCAAGCACACCTGTTTCTCGAGTTTGAGATACATGTCATATTTGGCGACCTGAACCCGCCCGCAGAGCCCTCAATGGCATCCCCCCTTGCTCGCAGAGACATCCCAAACTGTTTGACATACAAGACCGACCGAGAAAACGTCATTTACCCCGAAGACATATTTGTCTCTTACAGCTACTACGAATCCATTCAGAAGCCAGTGCTCTTCCCGTTTGGCGTCACCGCCTCCCCTACAGCACGTTTGCTCTCCAGTCGGAGCTACACGCGGCGGACTCAAATGTTCTGCTCACGGTTGCTGTCGCAATTACCAGCGATAAGGCGGGCGTAGAAGTGCAGGGGTACAGCTCCTATAGGTTCAAGCCCAAGTTCTCGCAGCCTAACAAAAGCAGCTGGGAGCATTCAAGAGGATGTTTGTTCCGCCAAAGGAGCAAGTTACGCACACTTTTGAGCTGAACAGCGCTGCAATCGCCGCGCTCGGGGAATGAGGAAACGCACATTTCTGCACGAGCACGGCACGTACCAGCTCAGGCGGCACCTCAAGCCAGAACATCGCACACGTTTTATGGTTGAGCTATGAACTACTGAACCAGAAACAAGTCCCAGCAGTTTACTGCAGAGACATCTAGATATTCATATTGCTGACTTTTTAACTTGATAACCTTGGACAGGCCCTCGAACTCAAAAATGAACCGTAGCACAGCAAATCCCTATGAACGGTGAACAAAAACTTCACTTTCGCATGCGGAGGTCTTATTATTGTAATCCATATAGAACGCCAGGGAAGACATAATACAAGAGGCTGAAATTGCGAAAGTGTTTGTCTGTGCTAATTTATATTGTGCGGTGCAGCGAGGCAGTAGGCCAGACTTCAAAACTGGGTCACCGACGGAGTCCTTGCGAGTGCCAGTGCCGACCGTGAACAACGAGAACTGTTAGTTATTTATGCAATGTACGCTAGGGACACGGTAGTCTCAAGTTCAAGGGCCTGCATGCTCTTTTCGTCCACTGCTCTTTCGCAACATAGTCTTGCAACGTATACGTAATCGCTTCTCTAGTGCATGGATGTGGACCCTTTTTCGGTAAAATCTAGTCTTTCTTGTCAGATTACAAATTTCATGTATATCTCGGATGCTGAATTCTCGGAAGAAAGACCACAAGATCCTATAAATAAGACCTTCAATAGCTTGTATTCGTAATGCCCACTTACTTTATTGCCGGAGCCTCGAGGGGTATCGGCCTCGAACTCACCAAGCAACTTAGTAACGACAAGAACAACACCGTCATCGCGTCCTATCGTACTTCTGCTCCTGAACTTTTTGAGCTGGCAGAGACGGATAATGTGAAGACCGTGGTTCTGGATATCAACGACCAAAACTCCATTGAATCGCTGCCACAACAGCTTTCCGGGGTGTCTATCGACGTTATCGTCCTCAACGCAGGTATTGCTCGCAGCTTCTTACCTGTTGCTCAAACCCCGAGACAGCTCTGGATCGACCATTTCACCACCAATACCATTGGCCCGGTAATGGTGTTTCAACAGCTACAACACTTGCTTGCTCCCTCTGCAAAAGCGATTTTCATTTCATCCGTCGCTGGCTCCATTCAAAGCTTTCTTCCTTTGCGGAGCAGTGCGTACGGCGCATCCAAGGCCGCCCTCAACTTTGCCATCAAAAAACTCAGTGAAGAACATCCCACAATCATCTTCCTAGCGATCCATCCCGGTATGGTCGCTACAGAAACAGGCGAAGACTCGATTGATTCCATTGCAAACGGCAACCAAGAACTCAAAGCCATGCTCATGCAATCCTCCATCAGCCCAGAAGCCAGTGCAGCAAACGTTATAAGATCCATTCATTCTCCGTCCATCTCTGGACGCTTTATTAGAGCGGACGACCAAATGGATATTCCTTTCTAGCACTATTGTATAAGGCTCTAACACTGATCAAAGTTATGCAAATTTATTTGGGGAATATATGTCAGTAGTATAGGTCAGCGAGGTAAATTGTTTGTTGGGAACCAAATATCGAAGAAATTCACCAGATATGCGTATCAATCAGTGAGCTAGTTTATAGAAATTTTCATCTGGTCTACTGTTTCGGTGCTGTGTGTGGATCACATCGAAAATACCAACATCTTTATTTTCAACAAAAACGGAGCCCTGACAAATTTCTGGATTTACAAAATAGGTAATTCCATGGAACGCTTACAAATGACAACCGTATTCCGGCACAGTTGATAGCCGAAAAGATTTTTTCAACAAATGCTCACTAATTCATCGGAACGTGTTTGCCTTTCCAACATGACCGGACTCTCATATATAAATATGGTGTGGTGTTGACCAGGTCTCTCATCATCACAAATCATCGATGCCTACCTATTTTATTGCCGGGGCCTCCAGAGGAATTGGCCTTGAGCTTGCGAAGCAGCTCAGTGACGACCAGAATAACACTGTGATTGCTTCCTACCGTTCATCTGCTCCTGAATTGCTTGAACTGGCCAAGAAGTCAAACGTCAGTACCGTTGTGTTGGACGTTGATGATCAGTCTTCGATCGAAAAGCTTCCAGAACAGCTGGGTGATATTGCTATTGACGTTGCTATCATGAATGCAGGTATTGCCAGGTCTTTTTCACCTGTGGCCAACACTCCAAGGCACCAGTGGATCGATCACTTTGTCACCAATGCAGTTGGACCAGCAATGGTATTTCAGCAAATCCAGTCTCTTGTTGAGAAAGCACCTAGCCCAAAAGCTTACTTTGTGTCGACTGCTGCAGGCTCAATTCAAACTTCTCTTCCGGTCTCTACTAGTGCTTATGGGGCTTCGAAGGCAGCATTGAATTTCATCGTTCGCAAACTCAGTGAGGAGGTTCCAAAGATTACTTTTGTTGCTCTTCACCCCGGTATGGTTGCAACAGACATGGGTATGTTTGCAGTGGATATACTGTCAGCAGGAAATGATGAGATTAAATCGATGCTCGAAGGTGTTAGCATTACACCCGAGCTCAGTGCTTCCCAGATCATTGCTGCTATCAATGCGCCTATTAAGTCGGGTCGCTTCATTAGAGTTGATGATCGATTGGACATTCCGTTCTGAGCTCTTACAGGCTACATCTCGTAGAAGATCTGGTTTTGGTTTCAGTGATTATAAGTATTATTTGGAATTTTGACAGGATGTTCGACTTGATATTATTTCAGAAACTCAAATCCACGGGCAGCAAGTAGTAAGCTATATGGTGTCGTCAGTTGTTTCCATTAGTATGGGTGGGCCATACCATATCAATGTACTACCCAGCTCCCTGTCAAACATTTCAAAATTCAAAATTTTTAGGTAGCTTTTTCAAGCCACATCAAAAATGCTGTACTTTTTCTTATCTCTTATCATCTTCATTTTGAATTTTGGTGTTCTTTAAGCGCCTACATTTTGGATTCAAAAATCACACTTACCTGCCTATCATGTAAACGGAATGCATCAGGGGACGTCAACAACGCCGTACATGTTTGGCAGGAGGAGTCTGACAGAACGTTTCTCTTTAAGCAGATGAGAATCCCGCGGCTAACTCAACAATAGAAATCCACGAACTATAAACTCGAGTAAGCATGAACATCGCTATCACGCTATCTTTGGCAAAGTTTTCCGATTTGCATTTAAAAAAGTGATGATAAGGATTGTCGTTCATATCTTTTTTCGCCATCAGGTCGTGTAATAGGTTCGCTCTTATCAGGTCAAAAAGGGAAGTTTCACTGCTATACGCCGTGTGTGGTCCCTTAAATACTAAGATCTGTCCACATATAGCCTTGGCTTCAAAAAAAATTGAATGGAGAAGGAAGAAAAATTTGGGACAACCGTCGTTGTTGACGACGTTGAGGTTGATGATATTGAATCAGTCACTTCTTTCGATCCTAATTCGGGTCTGAGAAGAGGTCTGAAAACAAGGCATATCACATTGATGTCTTTGGGTGGAATCATTGGTCCGGGTGCAATTGTTGGTTTGGGGGTCTATCTACACAATGACGGACCTGCAGCTTTGGTTGTTGATTACTCTATCATCGGGTTGCTAGCTTTTAGTTTGATGCAATCGGTTGGTGAGCTCAGTTCATTATTTCCAGCTACAAATGGTTTCACCAACCATATGACAAGATTTGTCGACGAAGCATTCGCTGCAATGACCTCTTATAACTATCTGATTCTTTGGGTCTGCTGTTTAATGGCTGAAATGATTGGTCTGTGCTCAACGATGAATTTTTGGGGACCAGCGGTTCCTGAATGGGGCTATTTTTTGCTTTTCTGGGCTTTCTTCATGGGTATCCAATTTATTGGCGTTGGTGGATACGGCGAAGCTGAGTACTGGCTTGCTATAATCAAATTAGTGGGACTGACCTTGTTCTATATTTTCACGATTGTTTACATGTGTGGTGGAGTTAAGGGGACTCCAGCATTTGGCTTTAAAAACTTTGAAACACCATGGGCAGATAAGACACCAATGAAATCACTTGCTAATGCAATTATCTACTGTTCAACTGGTTATGTTGGTGTGGAATTAACTGCGTTGAATTCTGCAGAAGCCAAAAATCCAATTCGTGCTATTCCGATTGCAGTCAGACAAACAATCATCAGAATTCTTTACATCTTTCTTGGAATCTCACTCAGTTATGGAATCACAGTTCCTTATAACGATCCTCACTTCCAAGGAACTGTAAAGAATTTGCAGGCGCCAATCTATGTTGCCCTGTACAACGCAGGGTGGCACTCATCATACCATCTTGTGAACGCATTTGTGGTCATTGTTTCCCTAAGTGCTATAAACTCTGCGATCTACATTGGAACAAGAACCATTGTCAACATGGCTAATGAGAAGATGGTTCCATTTCCTCAGTTCTTCAAAAGAGTCAACAAGAGGGGAGTTCCGTATGTTGCAGCTGTCACATTCAATTTACTTGGATTCTTGGGTCTTCTTGCGGTTGGTAGTGGTACCAAAGATGCTTATTCGTACTTCGTCAGTATCTCCGGAGTCTCAACATTTTTTGTCTGGGGTGCAATTTCGTTTTGTCAAATTCGGTTCAGAATAGGATGGGTACGCTCGGGAAGAAAGGTGTCAGACCTGCCTTTCAAATGTCTGTGGTATCCTATTATTCCATGCTTTTCGGTTTTTATGAATCTTTTCCTTGCTTTAATTCAAGGCTGGATGTATCTGAAACCTTTTGATCATAGCTGGTTCATTGACTCATACATCATGTTCCCTCTTTCTGCCATCATCTACCTTGGCTACAAGTTTTGGAAGAAAACCAAGATTGTCAAATACGAAGATATGGATTTTGATACCGGACGGAGATTGGACTTGGAGGCAAAATTCAGAGAATATCAAGAGGACCTCAGGCATAATCCTTTAACAACGAAACAAAAATTCGCTGCATTCTGGAAGGAATGGATCTAGGGAGATATATTGGCTTTCTGAGCCCATGATCAAACGAGATTTTGAACCTTGTCGTTATATCAAGATCGATGATAGGCTATTAGGGGGGCCTATGGTTCAGGTTTTTTAGTAGTTTTTCTAGATTGTCCTGACGGACTTTAATGTCCGGCTATTAGTTTTTTCCGCCCTATCTTGGAAACCCAACTAGAAATTTCTTATCGGGCAGATGTCCGATTTAGGAAATATTGCAAGATATAAACAGCACTTAGATGAGAAGAAATCCTCTGTGCGAATCGATACAAGTTTTGTCGATATGGTAGAAGACCTGCAGATAAAATTCAAAGATTTGCTCAAAGCTGTGCCAGTCGTTGATACTCACAATGACCTTCCCTATCTAGTCCGGTTGCAGTTGCATCTGGATCTTGATGACGAAAAATTCGATCTAGATTCGCCTCTGATAGGGCAAACAGATCTCCTTCGTTTGAAGGAGGGTGGTGTTGGTTTGCAATTCTTCAGCTGCTGGATCGAGCCTCCCAACCCTGACGAGTTATATCAGGATTTTGATACGGCTAACAGTGTGGTTCGCGATACTCTCGAGCAAGTAGACATCGTCAAACGTATAATTCGGAAATATCCAAACAAAATGACGTTTGTGACCAAAGCTGACGACGCACTCAAAGAATATTTGAGTACAGGAAAGATTTCAATTGCGCTTGGTGTGGAAGGTTTGCACCAGGTGGATACTTCCTTGGCTGTTTTAAGACAGTATCATGAATTAGGTGTGCGTTATGTGACCCTTACTCACAACTGCGATAACCCTTTTGCTACAGGCTGCACAACTGTGATTGCAGGAAAAGAAGATAAAGGCTTGACAGACTACGGTCGTCGGGCAATTAAAGAGTTTAATAGGTTGGGAATGATGGTTGATTTGAGTCATGTTTCCCATCAGACGATGATTGATACATTGGACATAACTAAAGCACCGGTTATATTTTCACACAGTTCGGCTTATTCTGTTACTGGACATCTGAGGAATGTGAAAGACGATGTTCTTCAGATGGTCAAGGAGAACGGAGGTGTGGTTTGTGTGACTTTTGTGCCTGGTTTTGTTCAGAAGCCTGGTGCGAAAGAAGCTACAATTGACGATTGTGTGGACCATATCCTGCATATTGTGAACCTGATCGGATGGGATCATGTCGGGCTAGGTTCTGATTTTGATGGTATGGCTTCAACAGGACCTAAAGGATTGACAGATGTCTCGAAGTATCCTGACTTGATCGTCAAAGTTTGGCAGAAAACAAATGCCACCGAAAACGATATCAAGAAAATCATGGGACTAAATGTTCTGCGTGTCTGGGAGCAGTGCGAGCTCGTTGCAGAATCCATGGAAAATGAAGATCCCGTGGGCGATACTTGGGAAGGAAGAAATTGGTCATTCCCCGAATGGTGTACAAGGTGCTCAGTTTTGTATCCTGGGTCGGATAAAAAGAATGCACACAAACACACTATTTATTCAACTCAGAGGTTTAACTTTCCGAACGAAACGTTGCCTTGATGTCAACTTCAAATCAGAAGTTGATGACGTATAGTACTTTGGCACATGAACTCTATCAATTTCCCAATTAACACTACCCAAAAGCACGTAACTGATTGAAGTTTTATTAGCCTTTCTTCTAGTCATTAAAAGATAAACGGGGATTTACTCCACTGGGTTTTCCGTCAACACTACTTTCTCTGCCTTCATGTCCTCCACGCTGACTTCTTCCTCGTCTTTCGAGGTGTAGCTCATGACTGATGGGTGGCCAACCCCGTTGATTGGTTCATCATCTTCAAAGAATCCGTTTGTAGGGACCATATACTCGAAAGTGGTTGGGGCATCAGCATGCTCATCTGGATAGATTTTTGGTCTGAAGAAATATCCAAGAAGCAAGTAGGCTCCAGATGCAATCAAAAATGTATAAAGCCAGCCGCAATTGAAAATGTCAGACCACCTTTGGTTGAGGATGTTCATGTGGTACGATCTGACAAAGCCAGGAATGGCAATCACAGGAGAGATAATCCATGCACAAAAACCCCATACATTGCAACCATGCCAGTTCCAGTAAAGGGATCCTGGTTTTTTAGTGTAAAGTGACGGTACATGAAGATTTCCTCTTCTGAAAATGTAGAAGTCGACGAGTATGCATGCTAAAACAGGTCCAAGGAAAATAGAATAAGATCCTAAGAAGTTGATCAATGTTTCAGCGGAGTTGACTGTTTTCCATGGAACGAGTGCCCATGTCAGCAGTCCCAAGAAGATCTGGCCTCTCACAATTGTGAAGTACTTCGGTAAAAGGAATGAGATGTCTGCAGCAAATGGGATAGAGTTTCCAAACACATTGGTACCAGCAGCCGACAAGGTGAATGCAAAGGCGCACAAGAAAATGGCAAAACGAGTTTTGGCCGACCAACCGCGATCCAAAATGGCATCAAACATTTCCCACAAACTCCAGTAAGACTCACCATAAGCCTTTTTGAGAGCCGAGTTGCAGGCCATTCCTAAAATAAGAATCAACATCTGAGCGATAATAAGTCCCAATGCTTGGGGTATAAGAACATGGGACTTCTTCTTAGCATAACGAGCGATATCAGGTTGGTTCACAATCATAGGTGACAGCGCTCCTGCAACAGAATTGAAAACATACATCCATTTATTACCTCTTGAAGTGTTGTATGAGGTAACATCGATGTCAAATCCACTAGCACCATGTCCTTTGATCATACAGAATATAAAAATCCCGAAGCAAGCAAATGGCATTATTAATCCTTTCACCAAGAAAAACCACCGAATCTTTCTAGGATGCAAGAACATGAGGGAGAACTGACCAATCCAATAAACCAGGAACGAAATCATCTGTGCCGTAGTGATATCAGCACTGGCAGGCAAATGATTTGGAAGGTTGACCCATCTGTGGCCGAAAACACAACGGAAGCAAACAACCAAACACATGGCTCCGTTATAACTGTTAACACTGAACCACATTGCAGCGACGAATAAACGAACAAGGACAAAAAATTTAGCGAGTCTTGGCCCAAAAACGCTTCTCGCCAGGACAGGGTACCCAATATGGTAAGTAGCACCGGGCCAGGCAGCGAGAGACACCATAAGTGCTGCCCAGAAACTAGCTATGAGTCCTGCATATATAACTTGCCGATAATCGAGACCTGTAGTTTGAACAAGAGATGGGCCAGTATTCCATGCCGTGACCGTTAAAACACTCTGGAACCAGACAATAAAATAGTTGTACATCTCCCAGGTTCTCTCCTTTGGTGGGGTAGGCTTCAAATCATGGTTTGCGCGAAGCTTAGTTGGATCATTCTCAGATTCATCTCTGATCGAGATGAACTGGTCCACTCTTCTGATGAAATTCATAAACTTTGCCAGTCAAACTGTTATCTCTGATTAAAATTTTTTGTGAGCTTCAAATCGTGCCGTGTGCCTCAAAAAAGGTTCTTTGACATCCCGCATGAACGACAATAAAGCTATTGTATGCGCTCAAAATTATTTTTTTCTTTGCCGTAGAAAAAACTATTCTGTTATCGAGCGAGAAGACTATCAAGTGGGACGGGATCATGCTGGAAAAATAGAGGGGACAAGAACTTCGTTTCCTGTTGTTTGGCTATGATTGCGAAGAACGCATTTGGGACAATGTTTCAGTCTTGCAAACACGTATTTCAGTCCTTCAGGCTAGATGTCTTTCGAAGTCAATTGCCTGGACTATGTCAAATGGACCTAAAAGGTGAAAAAATCCATCCGCAAGAGCCGCTTTTCGATAACCAGCTGCTGCCCGCTCCTGTGATGCATAAATTGATAGGAGATAAGGTAACTTCCTATCCGGATTTTTGATTTCAATTTTCGCCGTTTGACCTCCGCTTTACGTCGGGCATTTTGATTCCCAGAGTAGAAATTTATCTGTCTGTTATCGTTCAACGTAAATGGATATGGGTAGCCAAGGCTTTGAAAGATTAGAGACGTAGCACACTTACTTCAAAGTATTGCTCAGGGTACTCAGAAGTCAACCTCATTCTATTCGAATAACGCCAACTGGATATTACTGTCATTGCGTTTCCAGCAGTGGTAAATTAATGAGCCAACCAGTAGTAGATGCATCTTGCTGATCAGTAAACCTTCCAAGAAATATGTTATTCCATGGCATAGCAATAATTGAAACCGAGGTTTAGTATGTTAAACGTTGTTGCAAAGTAATCAATCCATCGTAGACGAATCTCCGGTGATCGTTGAATTAATTAAGGTTCAATTTTCTTTTCGAGCTGATGACGACAATAAAAATAAAGTGAGCCACAACTTTGAAGCCGGAAACTCAGAAAATTAACAGTTAGACCCTCTCCTCATGAGGCAGCACTGCTTGTTCCACTTTTCATTCTGTTGCCGGTAATTGTCCTGCAGATTTGCAGCCTCTGGCTTGTCGCCAAATTTCTCTGCATTTCTTTCCAATGAGAGGCCATTGGTTTCAACAAAGTAGTAGCCAATAGTTGGGATAAATAAAACGGCCCATGCTCCATTTAGCAAATAGAAATTTCCTTTCATATTGTCCATTCCGATGGGCAAAAGAAAAGTCATCGCTATACCAGTAGCGCTGTCGAAGAATTGACGGATTGCAATACCTGCGGCTCTTGCTCTGAGGAAAAATTTTTGATATGAAGATTAAAGTAAAGGAGTGAAGTAGAATGGGGGGAAGCCTGATCGATGTGGAATCTTTTAAGTTTCCTGGAGCTACCCCAGGCTCGGGTCGGATTATGGCTTAAGATCTTGAACTGCTCCAACATTTAATTTATGACAGATCAGTGATTGGCATCCTTATGTGAAGCACGGCGATTTTGTCCTTTGGCATGCAGATTTACTCCATAAGATAGATAAAGAACGCATTGAAACCAAAGATTCGAGTGTGATGTTCATTTCCCATACACCTCTATGTGGGTACAATATTGAAACACTTCTGTATACGAAAGATTCGTTTCTAAAGAAAACGAAGCCGAGAGACTTCGTGTATGAGTTGGGCGATGGCCCTGACGAAAACAGCTACCCGGATCATGGTATCGAAAAATATATTTTTTCCGAGGACGGTTTTAGAGTTCTGGGTCTAAATGAGTTTGGTGTTCTGGGAGAGGGGAGTACACCCGGGCAACAAAAAATCAGACATCTGGCTAATCAAGAACTGTCTGCAACCAAATAAAGTGGTTTGAATTTTTAAACAAATTATGTCAAATCCTTCTCGTCAATCACGTTCACATATGTCCAAAGTCTGCGATACCAAGGCATTGAGGTGTATGATTCCATTATAGTGACTTCCTCGTCACTCAAAGGCCTGTAGCCTTCCAACAAATCAATTGTACTCGATCTGGCAAATTTTGTGCGACGGATAAGCTTATAGGAGACATATGCAACCAAAACCAATGGAACTCCCAGGTATGTTTCAAAGAAATCATATGCGTTTGGACTTCCACCCACTGGAAATAAGGATGCATAGAATAAACCCACGAGAATCAAGAAAGAACCTAGGGAAACAAAAATGGGTCCAATTGGGTAGAGCTTTGACTTGTAGGCAAACGGAGTATCAAGAATACCAGACTTTTGCTTACTGACTGCCATTCTGAATCTGAGAGAAACCAATCCAAGGACAACCCACACAACCATGAAAATCGTGGTAGTCACAGATGAGAACCATGAGAACACGGTAGCACCGGTACTGGCACAGTTCATGTACGTGAAAGCCACGGTGAACACAAATGTAATCGCCAGGGAGCATAAGGGCCTACCTTTCTTATCAACGTTAGCAATGAACTTGGGTAACATTCCACGAATGGCCAAGTGTCTCAGACATCTTGAAGCAATATAGATTGGTTCAAGTCCTCCGAGAATCAGACAGATTGCCATCAAAGCATTAATAATATCTGGCACAACTTTTATTCCAGCATCATTCATTGCAATGATAAAGGGTGAGCTTGCAATTGACCCTGCAGTTCCGTAGAGCCTTTCATCGGTTTCTGGGACGAGAAGTGTGATGAACATCACCAGAATCATAAAGAATCCGAAAATTCTCAATCCCGCGCTCTTGACTGTTCTTGGCATACTGAATCTAGGACATTTGGCTTCTCCTGCAAGCATCCCCACAAACACCTGATCTCCAACTCCCCACAGGCAGTACAAACAGCAATATGAAATACCTCTGACTCCATTTTTGAATAGTTCATATTTGGTTGTATCCCAATACTGTCCTCCATGAACTGATCCAGTTGGACCTCCGCCAGCACACATGACAATACACGTGATAGTGATCATGACCAACATGACCATCTTCATAATGGCAGTAACATATTGGAACTCAGCAAACCAAATGTTTGGTAAACCATGGATTGCAAATGTCACGACGACGATAATTGACATCCATGCTGCCACAGGAACGGCATCTGTCCAATAACTAATCAAACTTGTCGTTGCTGATCCCTCAGAGGCCATCACTGTAGTCCAGGCTAGCCATTCACCTAATCCAATCGCAAAAGCCGCTGCTGGGTCAAGGAATCGTTCCGTAAAATCAATGAAATTTCCACTGGAGGGATAAACAATAGACATTTCTGTGATCAGATCAAGCACACATATGACCATGGCACAGACAATCGTATATCCGACAATCATGTTTCCGGGACCCGCGAACCGAAGGGATTTACCCGTGGAAATGAAAATACCTGAGCCAATGTTCGAACCAAGGGTAACAATTTGGATATGTCTGGTGCTGAAAGATCTACGAAATTTACCTTTTCCTTCAATCTCGCCAATCACTGCTCCCTCCTCATAGTGGGAGTTCTTTGATTCCACAGATAAATGATCATTGACCTCGACCACGTCAGAAATTCCCTGTTCCTTCATACTGGCCAAACAAGAGAGTTTGCTTAGGGTTATATATTTTCCAGAAGTAGCTACCGCATGAGTAAGCTCTATCTTATCGGAAAAGCTCACATGCATATCTGATAAGAAATTCTTTACATCTTCGCATTCGCGAAATCTATCGCGTGTGGGAGAGAGTTTTCAATAGAGACCCATTGTTTGATATCTTTTAGATCCTTCACAACTCCATCTCCACCATGTCTGTTTTGCTTATCGTCTCGATTTAGAGACGTTTCCGGTCTCCATTTCCACTCTTTGATACCAGGTTCGCCTTTAACCAAATTTGTAACATATTTTCCTATAGCCGGCATCAGCATGAAGGACAGTCCTGAATCCCCAGAAGCTAAGATCAAGTTCCCAAAATCAGGATGGTGGCTCAATATTAGCTGCCTATCTGGAGAGTCGGTGCACCAGCATGTTCTCGTTTTCACAAAAGGTCTCTCGCTAAACTCTGGCATGGTTTCTCTCAAAAACTCTCGAATTGCATCTGCAGACTCGGTAGGAATAGCATTGACAAATAAAGGAATGGATTCTCCCTCGGAATTCAAGTTAATGTATCCGGGAAACTCGTTGCAGATTTTTAATTCATCATTTTCGTCCGGCTCAAAGAAGAATCCCCGCTCGGCATTCATAATCACCGGTAATCCTTTGAATTTCTTGGCTTCCTCGGTGGTCACCTTGATATGCGCAAGTGTAAATCCTTTGGCCTGTAGCTGAGACTCAAAATCAAACAGAGACACCACATTCGGGCCGGCACAAAGAATAATTGTGTCACCCAAGTAAGTTTTTCCTGACTTCGAGACGACTCCCTCGACTCTTCCATCCTGCTGGAGAAGAGAGGTAATTTCCCCCTCAGTACCAAACTTGAATTTCACGCCAAGTTTTTGGCATTCTTCAAAAGCGGATATCAAAGCATTTCGAGCATGTAGCCAACCATCCATATCATTAAGTTTCACTCCTTGCCAGTTTGTCAGTGGTCCGGTCAGTACTGGAAGATACCGTTTGATTTTTTCAGTAGACTCCAGATACTCGGCTCCAGGAGAAATACGAGGAGAGATCACATCATACGAGCAACCGGCGTAGATGAAGCCAACTGGGTGATAGTGTGGCTTGTACACAGGGTCACTTGCCCACAATTTGAAAGCGTCGACTTTAATCTGTTTGGAGGGTGGCTGAGTTTCGGATGGGTTGTAAATTCCTCCATAGTTAATGATCTTATTGCTATCATTTCCCGCTGCAATCGGCGAAGGGACAGGATACTTGTCGAAACAAGTGATGTTTCTGTATCCAGAGCGACTGAGCTCTAGAGCGGTGGATAATCCGAACGTTCCTGCTCCAATAACAAGAATTGGCTTCTCCATCTTATGTCGGATGAAATTGAAATTTTCAGCTAATTGATATCTATCCAGGGCTTTTGCGTATTCCTTATCATCACGAAAACGCGACCGGAAACAAAATATTCTTCGTAACGGAAATTCCTTCGGGACATAAAAAAAATTGATAACAGAAGTAGCGGCCAAAAAAATACATTTATGGAGACAATTTTGCACAAGTGAGGCTAGTTGGTGTGATTTTTTTTCTTTTGTGCTGATTTTGGCTGTCATTCAAGATTGTGTTGAGAGCCCATGCGTTAGGGAATCTATTTGCAATAATTACTAGCATCAAATAGACCCACCAACTGGGACACCAATAATGTTGTGGCGGAATAGCTCGATTTTTTTTCGGGGTAAAAGTGATTATAAATTCAAAACTCGAACTAGGGCAAATCGAGTTAAACTACTATACAGTTGAGAAAATGTATTACAAATCAGGTACAAAATCTAAAGCAAGAAAAACAATAGGATCAGCGATGTGGCGATTGACCGTGGGGGTTTTTCTAGAGATGGCGGAATTATTCGTCATGCACTCTTTTGTTTGCCCAAGGGTTTGAAATTACCGAAAATAATTGATGCCAAATAAATTGATCACCGTTTAGTGGGCCCCTACAACAAAATTGGTACCTAAATGATAGTTGTGGTCTCTATATGCTCCTAAAGAGGCTTGGGATGTTGCTGGTGCAAAAATGTGTAAATAATGCGAATGTTTTGATTGGTAATCATTCGGACTCGGCGACCTAAACGCACGGCTGTAACCGTGCATAAACAATTAAGTTTGATTGTTTTTTTGAACTTTAATTTTTTTGGAAAACAGCCTTAAGATGGTCTTTTCATCATGTAAAGGGCAGCTATGTTTTCTATGCTCGCCTCTAATACACATCTGATGATGTTTTCGCTTGTTACTTTTGGGTATTTGAGAAAAATCTTTTGGATTCACGACTAATTTAATATTTCACAACCAAGTTTTACTATTCGGATCTGGAGACAAGGGCGAAAAATAAAATGCAATTCCGGTTTCTATTATATTCCGCGCGTGTCAGCCTCCCAAATAACGGTCCAGCGGTTTCTTATTAATATAGCGAGCAATTACAAAGCAACTGATTATAAACTTAACCCTATAAATTCACTCTTGTTTCCCATGAATATCGCATCTTGGAGAACAGAAACGATGAACAGAAAGTATATTGCATACTTTTTCATTCTTATTGGGGTGGCAATGGACAACCTCTGTATGAGTGCTGGTTTCACTATGGTGGAAAGTTTGGAAGAGAAGTTACACGAAGATTACGCGACTGTTTCCTGGGTGATTTCTGGCTATTCGCTCACTCTTGGATCCTTCATTATTTTGCTGGGCAAATTTGGCGACGTGCTTGGCCTTCATAAAATTTATCTCGCTGGACTCCTGTTGATGTCTATTTCTACCTTGATCTGCGCTGTGGTTCCCAATGCAATTGCACTAATTGTCTTTAGAGCTATTCAAGGTATTGCGGCTGCTGCTTTAATTCCGACAGGAATGGGTCTCACGGCATCATATTTTCAGGGCAAACAATTACTCATTGCAATCAGAATCCTTCTTGTGGTCCTTACTTCGACTGCTGGAGTGGGTACCGTCATTGGTGGAGCATTTTCGCTTACTTCAATTGGATACAAAGCATTTTTTTATTTCACATTTGGTGTGTGCACGGTTTGCTTCATCACTCTGTGGTTCATCATCATTCCCGTAGAACCACATAGCGATATGAGTTTAAAGAACTTGGACTACTACGGGGCATTTTTTTTGGTGGTTGGATTACTTCTGGTGATCTTGGGATTGACTGAGGCCGGCACAGGCTGGAATTCTCCGAAAGCGTATGTGCCGATTCCTATTGGAGTCGTCATTGTGGTCGCTGTTGCCGCATATGAGCTCCTCTACATTGGACCATACAAAAAGAAACACCCTGGTTCCACTAACTGGAAAAGTCAGCTTTTGGTCATGTTCCCAACAGAGCTTGGAAAAGTCCGTTTGTTTGTCATCTCCTCTTTTGGATCCTTATTTTACTATTGTGCGTACGCAGTGATGCAGTTGGGACTTATAGAGTATCATCAGGCTTATGATCATGATTCGGCTCTCATTTCAGGATTGAGAGTTTTTCCAATTGTTGTCGGTATCATTTTTGGAAGCATAGTTTGGAGGCCATCTATTCCTCAGAAATTGGGAGACAAGCATTTGATTATGTTCTCAAGTGCGGTGTGTCTTGGAATGTCCATTTGGACTTCCAAATTTGGCCCTGGTGGTTACTGGAAGTATGAGTTAGTTAGTCTCTTTCTGATGGGCTGGGCTATCAACGCTTACTACCAAATAGTTTACACCACCATCATAACACAAGTCCCTCTACATTTGCAAGCAACTGGAAGTGGAATATTCCAAACGTTTGGCCAAGTTGGAATTTGTCTTGGAAGCGCAGCGTCGGCATCGATTATTGGAACTAATCCGCCGGATCTCAAAAAGAACGTTGACAAGTGTTTCTACTTGGTGTTTGCATGTTTTGGTATGGTCTTCTTCACCTTCATCGTCAACTACATCTTGACTTGGAACAAGGACGGGGATGAGAAGACACCAGAAATTTCAGACGAGGAAAAAGATTCTGAGTTCAAGAAAGATCCAGATTATAAGGAGGAACAAGCTGATGAGACCGGATTTTCTTAAAATGTTGTGGACCATTTTTAAGGAAAGCAATTGCATTTCGACACCTTAAAATAAATCGAATCTAACTAGACCATAGACTTTCAAAATGAATCTGTACGTCGTCTCAAGACAAAGAAACAAAGTTTATTGTAGCTATTATAGACCAGCCCATAAGAAAGGTTGCGCAACAGAAATCTTGGAGACAAGGAGCTTGGAGGAATTGGAGGAATTCCCAACGTAAACAGAGTAATCCCCTTTCTCCACAGACCACTTCTCATGCTCCACATCAAAATATGAACAAGCGTATTTGATAGGAACGGAGATTGAGACCTCAGCTGACTTCTGAGGCTTTAAAAACACCTTTTTGCATCCTTTAAACTCCTTGACTGGACGAGAAACTCCAACAGTATTCGACGAAGATCCAATGTAGAGCTGGACAACTTCTGCTCCTTCTACTAAGCCAACGTTCTGGACATCAACCGTGCACTTCAAGGTTTCAATGTCGGTATCAACCCTGAGATTTGAAATCTTGAAGTCTGTGTAGGACAAACCGAAGCCAAAATCGAATAGTGGTAGATTCTTCGTTTTCTCATAGTAACGGTAACCGACAAACACATCTTCACCATAAACCACTTTTCCCTTATCGGAGTGGAAATTCAAGAAAGCAGGGTTATCCTCACACCTTTTCGGCCATGTTAAAGGTAGTTTACCTGACGGATTCGTATCTCCATAGAGAATATCGGCAATAGCGTTTCCGGATTCCATTCCGTTGAACCATCCTTGAACTATGGCAGGAATCTGATCGGTAAAAGGAAGCGTCACTGGAGTTCCAGATAAATTCACCAGCACCACATTCTTGTTCATACTCACAATTTCTTCGATCAACTGGATTTGAGACCCAGGTAGGTCCATGTCTGGCCTATCAAATCCCTCGCTCTCCCATTCGTTAGATGTTCCGACACACAAAATTACCTTATCTGCTGAGTTGGCAACTTCTTTTGCTTCCTGGATTCTAGTTTCGTCTGAGATGTCCTCGCCAATTGTCAAAGAGAGAGACCCACCTCCGTTTGATCCAACTAAGTCTAAAGTTTCAAGAGTGAATGTCTGTGCAGAGCCAAATTCCACTTTGTACTTGATTGTCTGACCCTTTTCGAGCTTGATGCTTTTAGTTTCACCTCTAGACTTCGCGCCGATAGCTCCAAATCCCATCCTTTGATGAGTCTTGTCATCTATAAAAAGCTTACCATCGATATACAGTAATGCTGTGCCAAGACAAGATAAGTGAATTTTGTAGTTATTTGTCTTTGGTGAAGTGAACTCTCCTTCAATATCTAAGAAGAACAGTGATGAATCGTTGTCTTTGTGAACGTAGTCGAATAGCAGTAAGTTTGAAAACTCGTGTCTAAACTCCTCAAGAAGTGTTCTATGTGGATAATCTGCAGGCTCTTTGTATGATTTGATCCACACTCCGGGTTCCCCGTCGTAGGACGATAGTTTTCCCAAGTCATTCATGTTTCTTGAAATATCACATCCTAAAGAATAAGGCGGAGCGTCTTCCAATTTGCTCTTAATTCCTTCCAAGATCGACACTCCATAATAACTATTGACTGATGCGGATCCTCCACCAAAAATCCTTGGTGTAGCTGCATTTGGGCCAATGACTGCAATCTTGTCCGATCTTTGTAAAGGTAATATTGATTCTTCGTTTTTGAGCAGAATCACTGCTTCAGCAGCGGCTTTTCTTATAACTGAGGAAGTTTCCTGTGTGTTGTTCTTTGAGTCTTCAGGGGCATTAAATTGGATTTTGGATTCAATCGATTGTTTAACAAGCTTTAGAACGTTTCGAACTCTATCATCGATTACATCCATGCTAATCTCTCTGGATGCGATAGCATGCATCACGGCGTCATGCTTTCTCATAAGTGGATATCCCGGACACTCAAGGTCGAGTCCTGCATCCAAGGAAGCTTTGATCGAGTAAACACCAAACCAATCTGACATAATCAATCCGTCCCAACCCCACTCCTTTCTCAGGATATCGGTCAGCAGTCGCTTGGACTGAGAGACGTGCTCCCCAGAGACCTTGTTGTAGGAGCTCATCACGCATTTTGGTTTCGATTTGGCGATGGCGATCTGGAAGGGTAGCAAGTAGACTTCTCTCAATGCTCTCTCCGATAGAATAACGTCAATTGAGTTTCTCTCATTTTCAATGTCATTACAGACGAAGTGCTTGATAGTCGCCCCCACACCCTGAGATTGTATTCCATTAATGATAGCAGCAGCGGCAATTCCTGAAAGATATGGATCTTCACTGAAAGATTCAAATCCCCGGCCACCTAAGGGACCCCTGGCAATGTTGCACGTGGGGCCAAGAATCACATGGGCACCTTTATGATGAGCTTCCTTGGCCATGAGTTTTCCCAGATCCTCGAGCAATTCCTCATTGAAGGTTGCAGCCAATGCTGTCCCCGAACTGAAGCAAGCAGAAGGAACAGATCTAAAAAATTTAGTTCCCCGAACGCCATTTGGGCCATCGCTCAATCTCACCGAAGGTATTTCAAGTCTATCAACATTGTATGTGTGCCAGAAATCCTTTAATGATAGCAATTGTACTTTCTCTTTGACACGAAGTTTGTCGATAATTTGTTCGACGTCGAAAGATTCCATTATTGCGGAGAAAACTTAAAATCTTGGAATGTTATCTAAATAGCAGCTCCAATTTTTAAGTTTCCCAAATTCTAAATTTGGCGCCTAACACGAATGCACACTGTGCAATTTACGGAGATTCGCAACACATAAAGTCTTCTTGAGACAGTACTTAGAAAATAACATGGGGGTCAGAATACTTGACATAGTAGTTTTTCGTCCAGATTCTGAATTTCTTTCCCCAAATGATAAACAGCAGGCAGCTGAAGTTGAAAACCATCGATAACATGAACATCAGCCAAGTAGTGGTAACAATTCCGCATGCATCCAACCACGGCTGAATAGCAAATGTAAAGCTCATTCCAATCATGTTTCTGATGAACAGCATGAACACCATGGCTTCACTCTGTAGCTCGGGGTAACAATCTAAAGCATATGTGAGGATGAGAGCACCGCCTGAACCAATTCCAAAGCCAATGAACGCCATACCAAATCCTCCAGGAAGAATCCAGTGGATTCCATTGTTTAATCCCAATCCGTACATCAGTAAACCAGTCGAATTAATGACTGCAGGAAGCAACAGGAACCATAACCGGTATTCTGGCTCAAGAACACCATCACGTTTTCTAGCCATCCAGAGAACAAATTTGTCGGAAAGTATGCCTCCCCAGAATGCTCCAAAGAAACATCCAATAAGTGCACTGAAGTTTGTATCTCCAAGTGCAGCAGTACCAAAATTGTATGGCGGAACAACAAAGAACTCGGCCTCGGTGGTCGATAGCAACGAAAGCCACATAACTTGGACACCATAAACAAACCCACCCCAGAAAACAGCAGGCAGTCCACCAATCATAAGAGGACGGATCATGATAACCCAGTATGGGCGTTTATCGTTGTACTCAGTTTCCACAATACCCAACTTTTGGCGATATGTTCTTTTTGCTGGAACGGAAGCCATGTCCTCTTCGTCAACCTTGACTTCTGGCTGGGGTTTAACCTCTGACTCGCGACTGAGGACCTGTTCAATCACAGCTTCCTCTTGTTTCTTCAGATCATGTCTCACAAAAGTACTGTCTTCCATAAAAAACACCTGAGCGAAGAATAGGACACCAAAAAATATCACCAAATACCAATAGCACCATTGCCAGTCTTGGGACTCGATGATGTATCCAGCAGCAATAGGGCCTAGGAATGACCCAGAGTACAAACTGAAAGTGAGAAGCGAAATACGGTTGGCTCTTTCGTGCTGGAAGAAAACATCGGTGACTGAGATCTGGACAAGCGAATCGCACGGCGCTCCCGCGAAGCAAGTCATGATATTGCAACCATAAAGAAAGCCTGTGTTAGTGGCTAGTCCGCCAACCACGTTACCAAAAAGTTGGCACAAGGTAGCGAAGAGATAGACCACCCTTCTTCCGAATTTCATAGCAAGTGGTTGCAATAGCACACAACCAATCCCGAGGAAACACCATCCCACGGCTGAGGTGTCGTTCAGAATTGTGTATGTAGTGTTGAAGTACTCCACCCAGGCGTCCCAAGCTGGACCAGTCCAGTTTGTTGCCACTGCGGTCAAGAACGACCACATCATCAAGATTGCAAACTGTAACTCTTTCTTCATCTTGGACCATCTCAGTGGATCGTTAGGGTCCTCGGACGGCTGAGGGATCAAAACAACATCAGAACTTCCATTGTGCTGGACGTCCAGGTCGTGATGAACATCAACGAGATGGACCGTTCCCGGAATCCATTCAGCTTCGACTCGTTCTTCTGACATATCAATAGGACCAGGAAAATCACAGGTAAGACGGCTAGTTATCGAACGAGACTAGAAGTCTTCGGTGGGGTTGCTTAGGCTAAATATTAGCTTCTTCACATCTCTTATCATGATAGATAGATAGATTAGAAAAATTTATCGCTGATAAGAACCGAGGAAGATTACGAATTAGGAAACCCCATACGAAGCGAGATTATATAGTTAGCAAAGTTCCGGCCGCTAGGTGCTAAGCTATCTACGAGTCGTGCCATTATCAAATTATTATTTTTCACGAATAACTTGTAAAGTCTCCTAAAAATCGCCGAAGCAAATTGACCCTCATAAAGATATTACAAATTCCAAGATTCCAGATTGTACTGCAAAATAGGTGTCCTAAAGCTTGTCTTAGCTTTAATGTTGGTATTCAACATTAATAACATCAACTAGAGTCAATATAGAAGCCTTCGTGACGAAAAAACTTTACAGATTTTAACCTGCTTCTTCTTTACACTCGAACCTTTTCAAAATTTGGGAGCATTTTTTTTTTTTGCCGTGAAATTCTCCGAATAGCTTTTGATGATTACAAATTCATAGTTATATAACTGGAGGGGCACGTCGCTCCATGTAGCATTTCTCTCAACGCGATCATGACCGTTGTGTACTTAATTGTAAAAACCCGTGAGAACACGCCAACAGCGCTGAAAAATAAGACAGCCGTCTTCTTCTTCATACTTTTGGGAGCCAACCTGAATTTCCTGAATTTCGGAGCAGGTTTTTCTATCACATCCGATTTGGAGAAACAGTTTAGCACGGACTCCACCACTGCTTCTTGGGTTATCTCTGGTTATGCACTGACAGTCGGATCCTTTGTGATTCTGTTTGGAAAACTTGGAGACATTATTGGACTTCATATCATTTTTGTTGCCGGTCTGGCTATAATTACAGTTTTAAGTCTGATAAATGCTCTCATTAGAAAGGAGATCATCGCTCTGATTACATTCCGTGCACTTCAAGGGATTGGTGGAGCCGCAATTCTTCCGTCCGCAATTGCACTTACAGGAAATTACTTTACTGGGAAAGCACTCAACTTAGCCATCAATGGTTTGCTTCTTGCATTTACTGCCAGCATGGGTATCGGAATCTTACTCGGAGGAGCATTTTCCTTAACCAGCATTGGTTACCGTTCATTCTTCTATTTCACGTTTGCTCTTGGTCTCATTTGTGTGATCTATCTCACTCTGACAATAATTCCTGTCGAACGGTCCGAGCCTCGCAAGAACATGAAGGTGAAAAATCTCAATTTTGGCGGAGCAGCTTTTTTGGTTGCGGGATTGATTTTAATAATTTACGGCTTCACTACTGCCGGTCTTCAATGGTCTACACCGAAGGTCTATGTAACCATTCCCATTGGAGTGGTTGTGGTACTTGCGGTGGTTCTTTTTGAAGGCCTCTACATTGGACCTTACAAACACAAACATTCTGCTACCAAAAATTGGAAAACGGACATTGAGCTCCTTTTCCCACCACAGATCCTCACCATCCCTAATTTCATCCCATTTGCGTGCGGTCTTTTTTGCACATACGCAGCCTTTACTGGTCTTCAAAACATCCTTGTCCAGTATTTTGAATTTGTCCAAGGTAACAGTTCACTCATGGCAGCCGTTAAGCTGCTCCCACTTACTGTCGGTCTTATTTTCGGAAGTGTGGTCTATAGACCGATCATGGCCGAGAAGATCGGAACCAGAAACATTCTCGTGATCTCCGCATTCTTTTCGCTTGCCACTACCGTCTGGTGCTCGAGATTGGACCAGTCCAGCAACTCCTTCTGGAAATACGAATTTGCTCCACTGTTCCTGTATGGATACGGAACAAACCTATTCTATCAGGTTTACTATAATGCAATCCTTTCCCAGACTCCAAAGCACCTTCAAGGAAGTGTGAGTGGTGTGTTCCAAACCATGTGCCAGATCGGTGTCAGTATCGGAAGCGCGATCACAACCACCATCATTGGCTCGGTGAGCGAAGCAAATGCCTCGCAAGCAGCCGAACTAAGTCCGAAAATGCGGAATGCTTTCTACTTCTGCGTCGGCTGTCATGCATTGGAAGTGGTTCTGATGCTGTTTAGCACAAACCCTAAACCGAAAACCGAAGACCACGAGGAGAAAAAACTGGAAACAGAGCCATGATGTGTCTTATTAAGGTTAAATAGTCCTATTCAGCTGCTGCTGGTAATTTGATCTCTCCACGAATAACTTTGTAAAAGAACGACTTTTGCAGCTGCTTGATGGCCAGAAAGTCCACATTGCTGTGGTGGTCAAAGAAGTTATATCGATCCTTCGGACCCAAGCTGTGGATAGTATTGTAAAGCTCTAAAGATTGATCTCCCAGGATGACGGGAGCTCCAGCAATCTTAGCCGTTTCAAAGTCCTTAACCCATTGTCTTTGTTGTTCCTGACTTGGTAAAGACTTGGCCTTTGACCAAACACCAGCGATCGCGATCGCGCTCACCTCAGAAAGGAGGAAGAAAAGTGGTGTCCGTGGAAGTCCAATGTGACAAACAGTTGGATCTCCAATAGCAAAGGTATATAAATAAAGATTGTTGACAATCGACTGTTGGGTGTGGGGGTCTTTGTCAGACACAGGAGAGATCTTGACGTACTCTTTACCTTCGTTCTGAGGAACGTTCAAAAATGGATAGTAGGTGTGGTATCCGGTAGCAAGAATGACTTCATCGAAATTGTCCTTCTCGCCGTCGAAGAACTCGATGTGATCATCTGCAAAATGATGGATCTTTGGGTGAACGTGAACTCCAAATGCAGGATCGGTCAAAACACTCCAGATCCAAGCCTTGGCAGGGTCGTTCGTTGGATTGAACTCCTCAATCGACGGACTGTTCAAACTGACATGAATTTCTTTACACTGAGAGACCAGGTACTGAAGCATATCAATTGCACTCACATGGGCTCCAACAATCAAGATCCTCTTGTCCTTGTAGTCTTTGGACTTTCTGTAGCTCTTTGCGTGTTTGACATTCTTGTGCTTAATTGCATAATTTGGAAGTCCATCTATTTCTGCAAAAAATGGAATGTTGAACTTTCCAACAGCAACAACAACAGCGTCAAACTTTTCTTGATACCATCTCTCAACACCGTCAACGGTTTGAACAACAGTCAGCACCCATTTTCCGGTCTTTTCTTCTTTGTACATTTGCTCAATCGAAGATCTGAACCGGATATACTTCTTCAAGTCGTTAGTCTCGGCGAACTCCTTGAGATAGTCAAGAACATGGTGGTGCATCACAAATGGATTCACGTTACACCCGATTCCGCTCTTGACATGTGCTCCTGATGAGAAACGCATGGTCTCAATTGGAACGTTAGTGTAAAGATTCTCATAAACCCCACTTGTGTTCCATTGATATGTTTTCTTGGCCTTCACTTCAACAGGCTTGGCGTTACTGGTGTTCTCGAGATCGGTTGGTGGGCTTCTAGGAGGTCTTATTCCCAATGGGGAGTAATACTCCTTCACTGTTTCGGGGAACCCTTCGTCTGCAGTTTCGGTGTAGTTCCAGACTCCACCAATGGTATCATTCTGCTCAAAAACCACCACCTCCTCAAAGGCTGGCTCTTCCGGAAGCTCATGACGTTCTTGATCCTTTGTGATAGTAGATCTTCCAGACTTGGAGGTGTGAAGAAACTCGTTCAAAGTGACAAGCCCTCCGGCACCGGCGCCGATGATAGCCACTTTACTAATAGAGATGGTCATTATTCATTAATGTCCTCTTGATCCATATATATAAACAATAAGATCGGTCCACAAATGTCTCCACAGATGTGGCTACCAATTTTTTTGACATTTCTCATATGTGTAGTCACGTGATCTGATCGAATTGGTAGCACTTTTCACTCGCAGATCAATTCAGTAGTCTGACCTCTGACTGCTTTGAAAAATTGGTTTAAGCCTCAACGTGTGAAAACATATTTCAGTAATTCACGTGACTTTCAGTACATATTCATTTATCCAGCAAGCAGATGAGCAATAGAAGCTTGCAATAGTTTCCGGCCCTCTATTACTAATACATCCAAAATTACTCACCAGGCATTTGCTCTGACGTCCGCGACAATCAGTAGCGGACTTGGCCAGTATCTGATCGTTATCATATCGTACGAGTCCGATTGTACCGCACATTTTCCAAAATTGGGATTATGTATAATTTTATTTCGGCTTACACTATGGACAATTCTACTCGCTCTGTGAATTCGTCTGAAAGTCAAATTAACTTTTTAATCGTCTAGTCGCTTACTTCAATAAGAATCTAGAGTTCCAGCTGCTTTGATTGGGACTCAATTGAATCTTCGCTTGAAATGCTAGCTCTTCTAGCCTTATCCTCGTCTCTCTTAGTCAGGTACCAAGCAACAACGGTGGTCGTCAGACCAAGAGCACTCAGACACGCATTGTAAGTGAATCCAATGTGGTACACAGGAGCGTCTTGTGCATTCCAAACAAAGATTGGAACCCAGGCGTTGGTCACATAGGCGAGAGTATTGGTAACCACAACAGTGAAGTTTCTTTTCATGTCGTTAGCCACCAGCAATCTGTTGACCCAGGAGAAGATCTGTGGTTGTCCCCAACTTGTTGGAACTCCAACCAAAAAGTAAGCTGCCCAATGTGCTGCGCGAGGAATGTGCCATGCCGAAAGCAAAGCAGATCCCAGCATCTGGACCACAAAGTAGGCTCCAACGAAGAAGTAGTTGTACACTCCTCCCAAGTAATCGTGGGTGTGAGACAGCACAAGCGTCACTGCAATAGACACACCGTAAAGGATCGATGGGTAAGTATTATATTTTGCTGCTGGCAATCCCAGGTCTTGCTTCATCCAGGTGGTGAATGTAGGCTGACTGATGGCAGCACAGGTGTTGTTGTAACAGAGGAAAAGAATTGGGAACACAAAGATGTGCCAAGTCTTGAAAAATCCTCTGATACGTTCCCAGGAGTATCTGTGTCTTGTCTTGAGCTCAGCTCCAACAACACGACGTCTTTCAAGGGCCACCTTCTTATCAGTTTCGGTGAAGTACCAAGCCTTAGTAGTCGATGGGGTGTTAGGGTCCACAAACATGGTATAAATTCCAACAGGAACAGAAATAACAGCGTCAAACACAAACATCCATTTGAATGGAGGCAAGCTCGAGTGAGAGAAGTTCTGCAAGATTCTCTGTTGGAGAGGACCAGACACTAAACTGGCTGCAACTCCGGAAACCGCAAAATAAGAGGATCTCTTAGATAACTCCTTAGCACTGTACCAAGAACCAACCAAGTACTCCAAACCTGGAAAGTATCCGCCCTCAAGGAATCCAACCAAGAAACGAATTCCATACATGGCATGGATGTTATCTTTTCCACATGTGATCATGAGGACAGTCAACAGTGCCCACAAGAGCTCTAATCCACCCAGGTAGTATCTAGCGGAGATGCGTTGCAAGATCAAATTAGATGGAATAGCTCCCACGATATAACCAACGGTCCACAGGGTAACCATATAGTTGTACTGGTTCTTGTTCATTTCGTAGTACTCCTTCATACCGTTAACGTAGGCAGTGTTAACATTCGACTGGTTCAAGTTCTTGATGAAATACCCCAACATTGAACTCGACATCAAGAAGAAGTCCAACTTGAGGAGGAACTTCTGTTCCCGTGGTTCCTTGTTGTAACCATCCCAGAAGAACCCGATAAATCTCGATTTCCTGGTGGCAGGCTTCTCAGGAGCCAGATCAATGATCTGAGAGTCATCGCTCGAGGCCACGTCTTCGCTAATCACTAGCGGATCTTCTTTCAAAAACGACATGTTGAATCAAAGGGTGAATTGAAAGCCTTTTTATCCTTCCGGCTGAAACCATGGCGCTCGTTACATGAGCCGCAAAGCCTCCGCGCCACAACGGTAGCCACAACTTCTTGGAAAAATTTTTAGCGAAAATTTATCAGATACATGATGTGTAAGTGTTATGTGTGAAACTCAAAACTTTTTTTTTTCAGTCAAGCTATACAAGTCATTTTTAGTAGAAGTCCTTCTCGTCGAGTGGCAGACCAAGTGCCTCTCTTTGGGACTTGGACTTAGGGTCAAACTCTGGCAATTCAGCCAAAGAGGTGACTCTGGTTCCGTGACGAGGATCTTTGCCCTCATGGTCGAAGGTAGATCTGTGCTGAGACACTCTGTTATCCCAAATAGCAGAGGTACCCAAACCAGGTTGAGAAGGAGTCCACTTGAACCGGACTTGAATGTCAGCGTTCTTCTCGTAAACATCAAACAAGTAGTTGAGGATAAGGTCAGACTCCACAGACGACAGACCAATAATTCTCTTGGTCATTCCTCTGTTAACGTACAGAGATTTCCATCCGGTAGCAGGGTGAGTTCTCACCAAAGGATGAACTCTCTCGACCTTCTTTGGACCAGCAAATGGGTTCTTTCTGTCGAGGTATCCGTGAGCAGAAACAAAGACTGCCTGCTTACCGTCGAGGAACTTCTTGAACTCCTCGGAAAGCTTGTCGTAAGCAGCGTATCCAGAAGACCACAAGGTGTCACCACCAGTCTCTGGAATAGCATCCAGGTGCAAGTGAGTAATACCAGCTGGACGCTTCTCGTGGACCAGGTCGGAGTGCCAGACTTGGGTACCTCTGATAGAGTTCTTGACTGCGTCCCAGTTTCCGAGGTTGTTGTTCTTGAAAGTAAGACCAGTTCCAAGAGACTTCTGGAAGTAGTCTTGCCAGATGACAGAGACACCAGGCAAACCGTTAACCTGGGAAGCCTGTGGGTGCTCCTCAACACGTCCCCAGTAGTCACCAAGCTCACGTTGCTTCTGTGGAGACAGCTTTTGGTCTCTGAAGAAGACAACGACTCTCTCTGCAACCAGCAAAGCCAACTCGTCCTTTTGCTTATCGGTCAAGTCCTCAAGTTGTAAACCAACAATCTCAGTGCCAATATGCTTGGTAAGGTGGATGACTTCCTTTGCAGCGCCAAGAAGAGCCTTCTTTTCAGGGTCAGCATTCTTGGCACGCTCAATGTACTCGTAATCGTCGTCACGGATTGCAGTTGCCTCGTCAACGTAGATTGGAATCAGAGACTTGTCTGGTCTCGAAGGGTATCCCTCGGAGATATCAATGCCAGCATCGGTTAATCTCTTTCTTGTAGTTTCAGGAAGAATTTCCAATCCATCTGGGTCAGGACCAAAGTGTCTGGTGTCATTGGAGCTGAGACCAACAGCCAGATCCTTGGATGATCTAATCAGATTCTCGATTTCCTTATCAACAGGAATCGCCTGGAGCTTGAGTGTAGTAGTTGTGGACGACATTGCAATTTTGCCTAAGTTGCGTGCAATTTCGCACCCTTTATATCTGTTTAATACTGTGGCTACAAGTCAGTGTACTTGGTTAGATAGCTATTATTTGTTGTGGCGTTCAGCCGCAAAGCCGCTGACTTTAAAAGATTCCACCACAGTTATTAGTAATCCGGATCAACTGTGAGTCAAAGTAGGCTTTATTGAATTCGATCGGATTCTTTGCAAATCCGCTGCAATCAGTCGACTTTAACCGGCAACCCCCGATTTTGTTAGCAAGGACGTCACCCCACAATTCCTCGAATAATTTTTTCAGTGGAGACTGTTGGGTGCATTGCAGTGCCCGTTGCAAAAGAAGAACCGTATCGATCGGCACCACCCCGTGTCTGATTTGACTTAGAACAGACCTGAATAGTGAAACAGAGATTTGAAATGGCTGGAAGAATGTGTACCAACTGAACATGGGTGAAATCGGTGTTAGTAAGGATTGGATCAAATTATTGTCAGGTGGTAAAAATGCGATCGATCTGGTCTTTTCGCGGAGAAGAAGCAAAATCAATTTGAGACGATCTGAAAGCGACATAAGCACTGAAGTCATCATCTGCAGCTGAATAGTTTGCAATTGCGAGTCATTAGTGAGACTCTGTATTGTTGATGAGCAGTACAGGGCAAAATCCTGTATTTCGTTTTCGGAAGATTTGATGTCCTGATCTGAGATGGGGTGTAACGCATACTTTTTGTTCCAGAGCGAACTTGAGCACGCGCACCACTGTGAAATTGTGTTTGCAAAAGCAATGTACGGGTCTAATGTTGCTTTTTGTGTTTCTCTGATGTATTCGTCCGGACGCAGCGTGTCGTACTGGCCGTGCAAAACAGTCGAGGGAAGATCGTTCGAAAGCGAAAAGATACAGTCCAGCTGTAACACCGACCACCAGAGAGCGCGGTAGTACTGAATCGATTGTTTGTTGGTGATGTTGTGGAACAGTATCGGGTCTCTGTGCAAGTTGAGGGAATAGGCAAGGCGCACAAGTGAACAAACAGAGCCAAACGGGTTTTTGGGTTGGACAAACAAAAGCACAACAAGAGACTCGCATTTTTGAATTGGAGTAGCGTGTTCCAGCTGCTTCTCCAGTAGACGTATTAGCTGTTCGGATGGCATTTTGGTGATTGCAATGGAGGAATAAATTACAGTGATAAATTGGAGCACGAAAATGGGATCATTTCTGGTGGGATTGGAGTAGCACTCGAAAAACCTCTCAAGGTTGACAATTGGGATCAAGGGATGGATGGTTGTGGAGTACTGTTTGACCAACTCGTTGCATTCGGCTTTTGGGGGCAAACCTGGGAGATCGAACGCGTTTGTTTCGCTTCTTGTTTGATCATCCGAAAGGTTGTCAATTGACGTTTCAGGGCTCGGATATGATTTTGCCACCCGTGGTAAGGTCTTTTTAGGCACCATTGGTATTGCTGGAGATACCTTTCGCTTATCAGAGAAGCTGACCACTTTGAACTTGCGGATCCCGGGGATATTCTGCTTCTTCATAAATAGGTAAATAAATAAAAAGGGAGACAAATACTGGGAGATCCTTGTTTGATCGTAAATTAAATATGCATCGAAACGGGTCTAATGATTAGAAATGACAGATTACGCCGTCCTCACCTGAAAACAGTTTTGAGTATTGTTACCAGACACAATATATGCGGCATATTCGGGACCCTGCGATAAACAGCTTTCTTCACAGCCATAATTTGGTTTTGTCGGCCGAGATTTTTTTAAAGATCTTTATATACATGATTCCTCTCTGGATCGACTGCGATCCTGGCCAGGACGACATTGTTGCCATCACATTTGGTGCTCATGACCCCCATTTCGACCTTGTTGGTGTTTCGACCACCCATGGTAACGCGTCGATGGAGAACGTGACTCAGAACGCTTTGAAATTCCTAACCGTCATCAAAAAGCCAAACGTGCCTGTGTTTCCTGGAGCAGCTAGACCGTTGAACCGCGAGCCTGAATACTGTCCAGAGGTCCATGGTCCTACTGGTTTGAACGGTAGCGACAGACTTCCGCAGCCGGCCCACCCTGCTAGAAAGCCCGAGGAATTCTTCCCGTACCTCAAGGAACAGATTGAATCACACAAAGGAGAACTGGCAATTGCTGCCATTGGCCCACTGACCAACATCGCGGTGTTCTTCACGAAATATCCCGAGCTAAGATCGCAGATCAAGTGTCTGAGTATCATGGGAGGCGGTCTGGCCAAGTTCAACAAGAACGGCTGTTCCGAGTTCAACGTTTTCTGCGACCCAGATGCTGCCAAGATCGTGTTTGAGGACCCTGTTTTGAGCGAGCGCATATTGCTGGCTCCTTTAGACCTGACGTCGACCATCCGTGCCTCTGCTGAGATCAGACAGCGGATTCTGGGCGACCCAGCTTCGGCCTCGGAGTTTCGCAAGCTGATGTCCGACCTTGTGCAATACTTTTACAACCTGGTGAAGGTGCGCCAGGGTCCTGGCTACGTTGGACCCAGTGTGCACGATCCTGTTGCAATTGCGACGATTCTACAGTACACAGGTGCTACCGATTTGGGAATCAAGTGGAAAACAGGCCATTTGACAGTGCAAGTTGGAGGAGAGAACGACGGTAAGATGGAGTACGTGCCTTCCGAGACCGGCTCCAGGATCGCTGAGGACATTGATAGAGACCAGTTCTGGAACGTTCTGCTGGATTCCTATGCCAGAGTGGACCAGGATAAATAGATTCGGGGCGGCCTAAAAAACGCTGCTATTTTAGAAACTTTAATTAATTCTACCTATTTTTAAACTGCACTATTTTTTACTGAAATCAACGTATCCAGTAAATGTCCAGAATCCAGCGAGCTCGGCCGTCGTCGATCGTCCTTGCACACTCGAACCGTGACATCGCGTCCAATGACATCGTTTCGTGGAACAACGACCAGGTTTTGCTCTGGCTGAAGAACAAGCAATACACTATCGAATTGATCGATCTGTTCAAAACTCACAACATCACCGGTATGACTTTGCCTTTTTTGAACACGGAGGAACTCCGAGAAATGGGGATCAACCAGCTGAACGTCCGTCTCAAGCTGATGGCGGATATCAGCGACCTGTTGATGGAGAAGAACATGAACCTGCTCAGATTCAACACTGATCCACTTGCTGCGGAACTGCAGACCCTGGTGATCTCCACCAATATCGTTTCGACGATCGCTAATTCAGTCACGGAAGGGCTGCTGTCCTCTAATGGAGGGTCCACCAGAAAGCTCACTGATCAGTTTAATAAACTGAAAGAGGACCTCCTTCCGGTGTTAAAGGAGATCAAGGACAAAAAACCCCTTCCAACCCCAGATAGGGTGTCCCCAAGCCAGATTTCTCACCACCAGAACCAGCTTCAATCCACTATCGTTTCCCAGTCGATCCCCGCGCAGGGCATGCTGCGGAAACAGCACTCTGCTCCAAGCTCCTCAGGCTTGCGCAAGTCGTTATCCTCTCCACCAATAATCTCGCCAATTCTCCCGGAGCAGGCTCAGTTTGGCGGGTCCCAGACCAACGTCTCGACGCACTCTCCACGCTCGCCGTCGAAACAGTCGTCCACCCCAACAATCCAGAGAATGCACAAGCCAAACAGACTCTCTAGCTCCACCTCCATGGGCACGATCCCAACCATGACCAGTGCCAACGCATCCTCAGACCCGTTGAAGCAGTTGCGAGTAAAAACAGAAGATTCATGCTACAAGATCCTGCAGGCTGCCATGAAACGGCATAACCTCCACTCGTCAGACTGGAAGAAATACGCTCTGGTCATCGTTTACGGTGGAGACCAAGAAAGAGTTCTTGGATACGATGAGAAGCCAGTCGTCGCATACAGAGAATTGCAGGAGCTAGGGCTGAACCCGTCGATTATGCTCCGTCAGGTTGAGGAGTCTGATGATCTGGACTCAATGAACTACGAAACCCCGGGGGGAAGACTCTAGGTATATCTGAATAATCTATTAAAGAGGTTTGAACTGTCTCTTTTCTTTCATTTGTCGCACACGTTCCTGATCCTCTTTGAATTTGTTGAGCAGATCGTTCATCTCCAACTTCTTCTTTTCTCTGATCTGGAATCTGTAAAAGTCTTGTTTCTCCTTCTTTTTCATCTTCTTTGTCAACTTCTCGTCCTGCTCCAAATCGGCTGCTCTCTTGAGCGACCCAAGGATACCGTTCTTAGTCTTTCTGTGAGATCCAACAACCAAAGTGAACCCGTCTTCGTCCACCAAAGATTGCATATTATTAAGTTCTTCTTTCAGCTCCTGCTCGCGTTGCTGGAACTCGACCATCGCCTGTTCCACCTGCTGGGCCAGCTGTATTGGGTCCAATTTCTTGGATGCAGCGTATCGTTTCGATCCGGTTGTGTATTCTGGCTTCCAAACGGGATATTTTGGGTTGCTAGCAGCCATGAGCTTTCTTATTGCGCTCAAAGCGAGGTTCATCGCTGGCTTGTCCACAAATGTCACCACGGCACACCCCACAGGCACTCTTGACTTTTCCTCTGTATTTGTCATTTCTTCGTTTGTGAGTTTTGTAAGGTCTATGTCCAGTTCGTAGTTGATTAAGTTTCGCTCGTCAAAGTAGTCGTTCGTCTCCAAGGACTCCACAATGGCTCCCGTGGCCACCGCTCCAAAGACTTTCCGCACGTCCTTCACAGTAGAGCCAACAGGAATATTAACCACGAACAACGACCGACTTTGTGCCTCCGGAACGGACTTCGTCACATGTTTCTTGATAAACATGTAGTGCAAGGCCTTCTTTGTGTGCTTGGAGGCTTCAAACACAACGGGAAACACCGTGTACCCCTTAATCTGTGATTGAGAGCTCATAGTCAAAATTTTCAACAAGGAGAAAAAATTAATCTTTTTTTTAATATTTTAATGACTCCCGTCCTTCAAGAGACCAGACACTGTGCAGCGCCAGATTGCGGCAAGGAGACAGCGTCTAATTTGAAATGTCCGATCTGTCTGAAAAATGGCCTGACCATGAATTTCTGTAATTCGGGCTGTTACAGAAGAAGCTTCCATATCCATAAAGCTATTCATCCCAAAGAGGGCGCCGAGACGTATGATCCGTTCCCAAAATTCGAATACACTGGCCCTTTGAGACCAGCGTATCCGCTTTCGCCTCCTAGACCTATTCCAGAGAAAATCCAGGTGCCAGACTATGCCAAGAACGGACAGCCAATCAGCGAGATCAAGAACGATAAGTTATCCAACATCAGGGTTCTTGACGAGCACGAGATCAAGCAAATGAGAATCGTCAACCAGCTGGGAAGAGAGGTTCTGGATGCTGCCGCTGCTGCCATCAGACCAGGGATTACTACTGATGAGATCGATCAGATCGTCCATGAGGAAACCATCAAAAGAAGAGCTTATCCATCTCCTTATAACTACTACAACTATCCAAAATCGCTGTGTACTTCTGTGAATGAGGTGATTTGTCACGGAATACCCGACAAGAGACCTTTGCAAGACGGCGACATTGTGAATTTGGACATCTCGATCTACAAAAACGGATTCCACGCCGACTTGAACGAGACCTACTACGTCGGCGAGAAAGCCAGAACAAACCCAGAGCTCGTGAACCTAGTCGAGACCGCCAGAGAGTCTCTTGACAAGGCCATCGCCTTGGTGAAGCCAGGACTGCCGATCAGACAGATCGGAAACGTGATCGAAGAGCATGCTACCAAACACGGGGTTTCTGTGGTGAGAACGTACTGCGGCCACGGAATCAACAATCTTTTCCACTGCCAGCCCGATGTCCTGCATTACTCCAAAAACAAAGGTGTTGGAATCTGTAAGAAGGGTATCACCTTCACTATCGAGCCAATGATCAACATGGGCACTTATAGAGACGTTATGTGGCCCGATGACTGGACAGCAGTTACCGCCGACGGAAAGCCGAGCGCGCAGTTCGAGCACACGCTGCTGGTTACTGAGGACGGTGTCGAGGTTCTTACAGCACGCACAAAGAAATCACCAGGAGGCCCGGTTCCAAGAATATAGATAGACTCGAGACACTAATTTGCTCCGAACTGTAAAGAAGAATTAACCCTTGCACCTGGCTTACAATTTGGCCTTTTTTTATTTTAACAACAAACCATGTCTTTGGAAACGGTCCCCAACAGTCTACGGGACAGACAGATCGCCAATCTGAAGCGCATGCTTCACTTGAATGTCGGTTCTGACATTGATCTTGTTTCGTCCACTAACGAGGAGGAGCTTATTTGGAAAGTTCTGGTGCTTGACCAACGTTCAACAGGTATTGTTTCGTCGGTGTTGCGCGTCAACGATTTGCTCGAGTACGGCATCACCATGCACTCGCTGATCACCCAGAAGCGTACCTCTTTGCCAGAGGTGCCGGCCATCTATTTCGTGGAGCCTACCGCCGAGAATATCGCCAAGATCATTGTTGACCTTGAGAACGACTACTACTCGGACTACTACATCAACTTCACCTCGAGCTTGAACCGGTCGTTGTTGGAGGAGTTTGCCAAGAAGGTGGCTTTGAGTGGCAAGGCAGGTAAGGTCAAGCAGGTGTTTGACCAATATTTAGACTTCATTGTGACAGAACCAAACCTGTTCTCTTTGGACCTGCCTAATGTTTATTCGCAATTCAACAACCCAAAAACAACAGAGACACAAATCACCACAATTGCAGACAAAATTGCAAACGGTTTGTTTGCTTCGGTGCTGACAATGGGGTCTGTGCCGATCATCAGGTCCAACAGGGGCGGCCCAGCCGAGCTTATATCCCAGAGACTCGACCAGAAGCTCAGAGACCACGTGATAAATACTAGACAGAGTGTTTCTTCTGCATCCCAGCATTCCAACTCCGATAGATTGGTCCTGATTCTTTTGGACAGAAACATCGACTTGGCGTCCATGTTTGCTCATTCTTGGATTTATCAGTGTATGGTGAGCGATGTTTTCAAGCTGGATCGTAACACCATTGAAATTAGAAAAACCTTGCCTGGTGACAAAACAGAGGTCAAGAGACTGGATATTGACCCAAAGGATTTCTTCTGGAATAAGAATGCTTCGTTGCCATTCCCAGATGCAGTCGAGAATGTTGAGAAAGAGCTCTCCAAGTATACAGAAGAGGCCAAGGAGATCACCACGAAAACGGGTTACTCCTCGATCAAGGAGATCGATCCTACCGATCAGGGAGACACTCTGCACATCCAAGAGGCCATCAAGGCTCTTCCGGAGCTTACTCAGCGGAAAAACATCATCGATATGCACATGACTGTTTTGTCCGAGCTGATCAAAGAGCTGGACTCCAAGAATCTGGACGCGTTCTTTGAAGTGGAGCAAAACGTTGGAAACCCAGCCACCCAGAAACGGTTTTTGGAGCTCTTGAACACCAAAACCAAGACCGACAACCACGAAGACAAGCTGCGAACATACATCATGTTAACATTGACTTCTGATCTTCCAAAGTCGTTTGCAGACGAGTGTGAGAAAATCCTTGCAGACCTCAACTGCGACCTGACCTCTCTTAAACATATCAAGCAGATCAAGGAGATCACTAAGCTCTCGTCGATGAACTTGAGCGATGCATATTTCAATAACGACACATCCGCCAGCAACAACAACAAAGGTGCTCTTTTCAGTAACCTGTCGTCCAAGCTGATGGGTCTGACCGAAGGCTCGTCCAAGTTGACCGAAGGTTTTGGCTCGTTGATCTCTGGTTTGAAAAATCTCTTGCCGGAGAAGAAGAGTCTTCCAATCACTAACATTGTCGAGTCGATCATGAACCCAACAAGTGCCAACCAGGAGTCGCTCAAAATGACCGACGACTACCTGTACTTCGATCCAAACATGACGCGAGGATCTCACTCCAAGCCTCCAAAGAGATCGAGCTACAACGAGGCCATGGTGTTTGTGGTGGGTGGTTGCAACTACTTGGAGTACTCCAACCTGCAAGACTGGTGTATTCGCATCAACGAAACAGCTGGCGTGTCAGGAACGTCGCAAAAGATGGTTTGTTACGGGTCTACAGAAATCGTCACTGCCGAAAAGTTCTTAAAAGAATGTTCTCAACTTGGAAATTAGCTCAAGCCTTGAAGAATCCTATAGATATCCTTTGGAGTCCTCGAGGACCTTGGTGCTACGTCTAGCATCCAAGAAGAGCACCTGGCACTCTTCGATCTCGTCCACAGTCACTTCCGTGCGGCCGTTGACCTTGGCAATGATGCCTGCAGGAGACAGCAGTTGCAGAACGTATCTCAGCGAGGTGGACAAGGCGATCTGCGCAAGCTTGTCCAAGGCCTGCGGCGTCAGTGACAACGACTCCACTTTAGCCCGCTTCATCACAATGGTTCTGATCTCGTCGTGGTTGTATGGCAACGTCTTCACAATCAAAAGTCTGTCAATCAGATCCGCAGGCAGTCCGTGTGGCGATTTATAATCATCTGTACCTCTAACTGTGGTCATTCCTTTATTGGAAGCCAGAATCACAATTGGGGCGATGGAGGACTCCAACGCTCTGTTTAAGAATGTAAAACACTCAATGTCTAGCATGTTCACCTCGTCGATGAACAGAACACCCGGCACGAGCTCGGCGACTCCCTGGTCGATGTACTTGGAAACAACCTTGTTCACCTCGGTTCTGAGCTTCTCTGTGATTTCTGTCTTGCGGGGCTTGAGCAACTGGCCCATCATGGACAGAATGTCCTGTCCTCCCTGTGGTCTAGCGTTGGCGATGTCGAGATCGTGCAACGTCACGTCCTGGACAATCTCTTTTTTCTTGTGCACGTCTCCCTTAGGAAGCGGAACGTACTCTTCGGCCTCCAAGTCGAATTCGGTGGCGTATGCGTCCGATCTTCCCACTCTCTTAACAGATCCCGTGTTGGCCTCGACGTAAATCACGTCTCCGATGCTCACGCGTTCTTTTTGGATCGACTCGTATATGGACGGATCCAGCTTCAGCGATTTCGTACCCTTGGATGTTTTGAGTCCCACAATCACGTGGTTGATTGTCTTTCCGTATCCTCCCAATGGGTTCTCTGCTTCTTCGGGAGTAAGATCTATGACTTCTCCCTCGTAAACCTCTTTGGTCTCCTTGATTCTGAGTCCAATGGCCTTTCTGAAGTTCTCCATCAGGGCCTCGGTTTTCTTCACTTCGGCAGAGTACAGCTCAGAGCCCACAATTGGACAGAACGGCACCTTGGGCCCCAGCTCCTGTGAAATGGCCAGAGCCAACGCGGTCTTTCCCGTGCCCGGGCCACCAGCCAGCAGGATCGCTTTGCCGCTCATCTTCTTCGACTTGATCAGATCAACAATGATCCCGCACGCCTCTCTGGCCTCGCTCTGGCCGACAAACCCTCCGTCGATTTTTTTCGCCGTTCCATACTCGTCGAGCCCCAGCCCCTTGATATGTGTGTGGGTGGCGGTTCTGTGCTCTCTAGAACTGTTTGCTTCCTTCACCTCGTTGATTTCCACCATTTTACGGCAATTGAATAACTTTAAAGGCGAACACTGCTTTTTGTTGTCAAGAAAATTTTACCTACACCTTTAAACTGCTGTAGTTAGGTTTCCGTCGCTTCTCTGCACAGCCGTGAAAAGATGAAAAAGATCTCCAGCGACGCGCGATAGTTTACCCTACTGAGAGATAACAAGCTCGGAACTTCCCAAATGGGGCGGGCTGGATGCCAGATAAGATGAAATTGTTAGCGTAGGTCCCCGCTATATAAACCGGGGATCATACTCAATTGGTTATCTCAATGTCTTTCAAGATCACAAGCACCCCTAAATCGTTGGAGCTTCTTCAAAGGGAGAGAAAATACTCTGCCCATAACTACACCCCAATGCCGATCGTGTTCGACATCGCGCAGGGGATCCATGTCACCGACGTGGACGGCAACGAGTTCCTGGACTTTGGTGCCGCCTACTCGGCCGTCAACACGGGACACAATCATCCAAAGATCGTGGAGGCCATCAAGGCTCAGTACGATAAGTGTGCTTTGCCGGCCAGAGCATTTACGCACTCGCTATTTGCGGATTTTTGCGAGACGTTGTGCACCACATTTGGATTCGAGCGTGTGCTCCCAATGAATGGAGGAGGCGAGGCTGTTGAGTTTGCGATCAAACTATGTCGTTCTTGGGGTTATGTGAAGAAGAAGATTCCGCCTAACGAAGCCAAAGTTATGATGGTTGCAAACAACTTCCACGGCAGACTTATTGGGGTCACATCCGGCTCGACCAACCCCTCCGCGCGCAAGAACTACGGTCCGTTTGTTCCTGGCGTGGGGGCCTCCTATGGTGACGGCAAGACCCTGATGTTCAACGACGTTGCTGGGCTCGAGGAGTGCTTCAAGCTTGAGGGTGATAAGATTGCCGGTGTTATCATTGAGACCGTGCAGGGCGAGGCAGGAGTCTATCCGCCAAACGCGGGCTACTTGGACTCAGTGCGTGAGCTCTGCACCAAGTACAATGTGTTGTGGTGTGCAGACGAGATCCAAATGGGGTCTTATAGGTGCGGTCCAAAACGCTGGGCATATGAAAACACCAGCTCGTCTAAGCCAGACGTCCTGATCACGGCCAAATCCATCACCGGCGGCCTGTACCCGGTGTCTGTGGTGTGTAGCTCGTCTGAAATTATGGACTCTATCGAGCCCAACACCCACGGTTCCACCTACAGTGGTTCTCCTATTGGTTGTGCTGCAACTCTGGCAGCTCTAAAGGTGTACGAGGATGAAAAACTCGGCGAGTGCGTCGCGGCACTGGGACCATATATGCTGGAGGAACTCCACAAGCTCGTCGATACCACAGACCTAGTGGAAGAGGTTCGCGGTGTTGGTCTCATTGCCGGAGTCGACCTCAACACCGACCTGTTGGCCAAGAACAACATGACGGTCTGGCATGCTTGTATGTTTATGCGCGCCATGGGAATTGCTTGCAAGGAGGTCCACAGCAAAACGATCCGGTTCTGTCCACCATTGGTGGTCACCAAGGCCCAGATCGACGAGATGCTGGCTGCTTTCCGTCTGTGCTGCGAACAGCTGCCAAAACTTAAGCCGGAAGAGATCCCTGGTGTTCAGGACTTCCACTTCTTAGCTCACTGATAAAATACAATTATAACCCTACTTAGATTGGTATATATATGGACCAGGTTTCTCGGCCACGTCCAGCTCTAAAATACTCTCTGGAATGATCTTACCATCCACGCTGGCCCACGCCTCGATCTTGTCTCCGGCAACAATTGGGCCCACGCCCTTAGGGGTTCCTGTCAGAACAACGTCTCCTTCCTCAATGGTCATGATCGACGACATGGTGGTGAGAATCCGATGCAGAGAAAAAATCATCAAATTAGTCAGATCCTTCTGACGAGTCTCGCCGTTCACAGTCAAATTCAATTCGACATTGTACGGATCCGTAATCTGCTCCTTGGTAATAAACGCAGATAACGGCATGAATGTATCAAATCCTTTAGGAATGGTCCATGGTAAGCCTTTCTTCTTCATCTCGTCCTGAACGTTACGGGCAGACATGTCGATAGCCAACGCATAGCCGCTGAGTGCTTCCAGAGCATCTTTCGGAGTAAAACTTGTTGGGTCAAGGTTCTTGAGTGTCTTGCCGATCACACAAGCAAGCTCCACCTCGTGGTGGACAATTGTCCCTTGCGGAACCAACACCGGGCCCTGCTTGGGAAGAAGAACAGACGACCGTGGCTTCAGGAAAAAGAACGGCTCTGATGGCTTCGCATTGTTAAGCTCCTTGATATGGGCCAGGTAGTTGCGCCCGATACATAAAAACTTGCCCGCCTGTTTAACGTAGTTAAAAGACATCTTGACTAAGTCTGCCCGACTTTTTTCCGAGCTTTCTGGGAGCTCTATTAGTGGTGCACGGGTGTGCTGCCTATTTTGCTCTACTGGAAGCTGCGTTTCCGTTCACGGCGGCCTGGCGCGCGGAGCCACCGAGTAAATGGACGCCGTTAAACGACCCAAGCACGTTGTTCATCGTCTCGGGCCCGCCCATCTGCTCAACGAACGACGGACAGTCTTTATGTGTGAGAACGATGGAATGTAGCGTTTTGACCTGGTCTTGCAGCGAGGAGACCTGCTGCGTGAGTGCTTCGTATTGCGACGAGTAGAAGTTGAGCTCCTCCGTCATTTTCTGGACCATCTGTTTCTTGCGCTGTCTACACTTGGATGCAGCTATTCTGTTTCTTTCCAAAAAGCTCTTCCGTTTCTGGTCGTCGCCAGATCCCTGTTTCGAGTCTGTATCGGGAGACTTGTCCGCTTCGTCGTTTGAAACCGACTTGGTCTTTTGTCTCTTTGGTTTTGGCTCTGGGTTTGGGACCTGCGACGCATGCTCCTGTTTCACTGGAGGTTTGGCCGGAGGTATGTTCAAGAACGACAGACCCCCAGGAGTAAGGGGCGCGTTGGGCATCAGCATCGAGTAACTGTTGTTGGCAGCCAAATGAGGAGCGACGATGTTGTTGCTTCCGGGCGTGAGTCCTGTGCGTAAAGAACTTTCGTTTGGGGTGAGCCCAGTTTTCTTGGCGTTGGAAATTAATTGGCTGTACATTTGCTGCTGCGTGGGGGTTGGAACAGCCACGCCCGGTTGCTGACCATGAGCCCCCATGGGGTATGCAAACGGTAGCAGCTGTTGTGACTGCTGCGCGGTAAAACTTTGCGAGGGCCCTTGGAACATGCTGGACCATATCCCCGGTGTTCCGGGAACTGACGACGCGCCGGGAGACAAGATCCCAAGCAACGGCGGCAGCACGTTAGACGTAAACGTACGACGGGTGCCTCCAGGAGTAAACTGCTGCGTGGGCGATGCGTTGGTTGGTCTTGCATCCTTCTTGTCAATATGTTTCAGCTTCGGAACCGGGCCGGACCCTGCTGAGTCTGTGGGTCCAGCAAACGACTGCTCGAACGGATTCGGTTCTAGATCGAGCGTCTTCCTTGCTGACCCGGATCCGTTGGAGGTTGGTGACCCCACAACAGAGTTATTGACGTCTGTCTGGAGTGATGTCATAATGACGTAATGACGTACTTGGTCAAAGAGATCTGGTTAGCAATCAGTGAGTCCTTGTTTGTGTAGGGGTTTGGTAGCGGTGCTTCCGGAGTCGACCAGCAGTGGTAATAAATACCAAATACTAACACAAACGATGAATATTGGTCAAGACGGCAAAAGCTGACAAATTTTTAAACCTAACAAAGGGACGGAAGCGGCGTTTTCCAAACAGGGAAATTTTTGTAAACTATTTGCCAGCTGGGCACGCGTTGTTTGTGTTGTTTCAGCCAGGGCGGCCATTCAGCCTGTGCGCGAGCATGCGTTAGGGTCTGTTTTGGTGGACGACCGTCTGTTTGGCGCGAGCTTTTGCGGTGCAGGGTTGTAGATTGCTCCGTTTGTGAGCACGGGCAGTTCGGGTGTCGTCACACGTGAGGGATATACCGACCAGGCTCTGTGTAGTCCGCCTGGCTACATTTCACGCGTCCGGACGCGCCAGCAAGCCTTTTCTAGCCAACGCCATATCTGCCTCCACCACGGCTGTGCAAAACTAATCTTTTTCGTGTATTCTTCAGTATGGAGCTTCCTCGAATACGGCCGCTAGACGAGGCTGTTGTGAATCGCATTGCTGCGGGCGAGATCGTTCTCGCGCCATCAAGTGCGCTCAAGGAGATGCTGGAGAACTCGATCGACGCCGGGGCGTCCTCGATCGACGTCGCGTGCAAGGACGGCGGACTCAAGCTGTTGCAAATCACCGATAACGGCTCGGGGATCGCGAAAGAGGACCTCGCGATCGTGTGTGAGCGCTTTACCACGTCGAAACTGCGCAAATTTGAAGACCTACAGCATATCTCCACGTATGGGTTCCGGGGAGAGGCTTTGGCGAGCATTTCTCACATTGCGCATCTCTCTGTGATCACCAAGACCGCAGACGACTCATGCGCATGGAAGTGTCTTTATAAAGCCGGCAAGGTTGACCCGCCGCTGTCCCAGCCGCAGGCGGTGGCTGGAAAAGACGGAACCACCATCACTGTCGAGGACTTATTTTTCAATTTCCCCTCGCGGCTCAACTCGCTGCGCAGTCCGTCCGAAGAGTACGCCAAAATCCTCGACGTGGTGAGCCGGTACGCGGTGCACACAACCGGCGTTGGGTTCACGTGCAAAAAGTACGGCACCACGGCCAACGACATTACTATTCGTGCAAACGTGACACAGAAGGAGCGCATTCGCGCGATCTACGGTTCCTCTGTGGCAAGCGATCTGCTGGAGTTTTCCGTGGAGCCTGAGCCGAGCTTTGGTCTGTCAAAGTGCTCGGGTTACGTGACAAATGTCAATTTTGACAATAAAAAGAGCATTGCTCCAATTTTCTTCATCAACGGACGGCTAGTTACTTGCGACCCGCTGCGTCGCGCATTGCAACAAACATACAACAGCTACTTGCCCAAGGGCCATAAGCCGTTTGTGTATCTGTCGCTGGAACTGGATTCGACCAATGTCGACGTAAACGTGCACCCTACCAAACGAGAGGTGCGGTTTCTGTTTGAAGACGAGATCGTGGACCACATTTCTGCGAAACTGGCCGAGGTACTGTCGAACGTGGACGTTTCGCGAACGTTCCTTACCCAGCAGTTGTTGCCGAGCCCCAAAAGAGTGGCCACCAACCAGGAAATCGTCAGCTCTGCACCCAAAAAAGCCCGTCCATTGCCGACTTTGAGCCAGTACAAGCGGCCTAGCGAACACAAGCTGGTCAGAACAGACTTCTCGCAGTCAACAATCTCCACATACCTCCCGCAACAGTCCAAGATCGAAACAAGCTTCACCGAAGGAACACAGCGCACAAAAGTCAAGCTCAAGAGTATATTCGAGCTGAAACACGAAACCGAGCAAAAAGTGGACAAACGTCTGCTAGAGATCTTTAGCCGCCTGACTTTCATTGGGGTTGTGGACTCGCTCAAACGGCTCATGTGTTTCCAGTACGACGTGAACCTGTTCATGGCCGATTATGGGTGTTTGTGCTACGAGCTGTTCTACCAGATCGGTCTGTCTGACTTCAGCAACTTTGGCACGTTAAGGCTGTCGCAGCCGGTCAGTATTGATCAGCTTCTTGTGGAAAACGGACTCGATCACGGAAAAGATACAGTTGTGTCTGTATTTGTCGAAATGAAAGACATGTTGTTGGAGTACTTTTCTATTGAAATTGACACTGAGCAGCCAGAAGACCCGCGAATCGTGACTCTACCGCTGCTGGCAAAGGGCTACGTGCCAGATCTCGGAAAACTGGCCCTGTTTGTCTTTAGATGCGGCACCAAGGTCAACTGGGACGACGAAAAAGAGTGTCTGGGCGGAATAATCCAACAACTTGCCCTGCTATACGTTCCTGGAGCCAAGGAAGACGACGCCGAGATCGCCAGCACGCTGGAAACCGTCATCTGTCCACTGCTAAAGTCTCGGTTCTTACCGAGCTCGGATCTCAAGCCAGACGTGGTGGAGATCGCCAACCTGCCGGGCCTCTACAAAGTGTTTGAGCGCTGTTGAGACATTTGCGTGCAATTCTTGAATCTATTTGCTGTATATACATAGTTATGCAAAAGTAAACTCACCAGTGGATAATGCGCGGAGACAAAATTGGTAAAGCAACAACATAACACTGCTTTGGACACTGGTCCAGATGAACCGTGGACCAACACCACTGAACAGCCCAACAAAGCCCTGGTTTCTATAGACGGTAGATAGTCCGTGCAAAATGGAGTTGGAGGTGAGCAGTTCGTGCGGTTTGTGGTTCTTGTTTTGTGTCTGCATCCGTGTCTTGATGACGTCCAGGGGAGTGGTCAGGGTTCCGGCCAAACCTCCTGCGGCCGCGCCGGTGAGGAGCTCCATCGGCAGCGACAGCGGGTCGTGTTCGGGGGAACGGTTTGAGAACTTGAAAGCGTACTGTCTAAACTTCTCGTAGAACACAAACTGGAGCGAGGAGAAAGGCAGATCTCGAACGAGCGTGGCCTTGTACCCGTAAAATAAAGTTCTCCAGCCCTCTGTGCGGATGATTGTGTTGATAGCGTTGAGCGTTCCTGTGTAATTATAACCCGACTGGAAAACCGTGTTGTTGAACCGTCCCTGGAGCTGAAGTCTGGTTTTCAGCACCTCAGACGGCACATAGAAAATGGAAGAAACAAAATCTCCAAGAAATCCGGCACCCAGATAAGTGGCAGTCTCGTTCATTCCGTATTCATCGATCGCGATTCTCTTGACAGACTCATATGTGATGAAAAATATGGCAGCACTTGGGAAACTGCCCAACATGGCGGCTCCATAACCTCCGTAGAGGCCTCTGGCAATCCCTTCTTCGCGCAAAAGGGTCAAATATGCAGGAACGGTGTTTCTATAGCGAGTGACGTGGGGGGCTCCCTGTTGTCTGGTTTTCACTGTATCCAGCGAGTGCATCAGCGAATCTCCCACCATCCCTCCGATTCCTCCTGCAAGGAAACAATGAATGATCTTGGGATGGTACGAGTCCGACTCCTTGTTCGGCGGATCATGGGGGGCCCGATCCTCGCACGGCGGCCGTGTATGGGTCTCCAGGTCCGGCACAGCGATGTTCGATGTCGACAGCACGTTGGACATGGATTCGCAAATAACTGTATCTGGTGTCGGCTATATTTCCATACACGTATCAGGTCCGAAAACTGGTTTCTAGTGGCAGCCCGATAAAATGCTTTGTGGTTGAGTTATATCCACCAAAAAAAATAAAACACCAAAAAATACAAACCCTCTTGGTGTTTTACCCGACTTGAAAAAATTTATTCTTATTCGTTCTTCTCTGCACAGCCTTGATGAGACCGTTGAGCTGGGGTTTGTATTTGCGGCAAGTGCGTGGGTACCGGGTCCTTGCGATCGAGACGTCGTGTGACGATGCGTGTGTGACGCTGATGGACCGGTTTTCGCGCAGTCAACGGCCCAAAATCGTGGCAGAGCGTAAACATACGCTGGACTCGGCGAACGCAGGCGGTGTTATTCCTACGGACGCTGCGATCCACAACAGAACCTACGTTGCGCTGCTGACGCAGGAGTTGCTCAAGGAGTACGGCTGGATAGGTGCTAATCGGCCAGACCTGGTCTGTGCCACGCGCGGACCGGGCATGGTTGGGTCCCTGGTAGGCGGCTACCAGCTGGCACAGGGACTCAGTGTTGCGTGGGACGTGCCTTTGGTGGGGGTCAACCACATGCTTGGTCATCTCCTGACTCCAAGATTGCAGTCTAATGGCAAAGCTCCCGAGTTCCCGTTCCTGAGTTTGATGGCCAGCGGAGGCCACACTATGTGCGTGCTCAGTCACAGTTTGGTGGATCACGAGATCCTCGTGGACACTCTAGACATTGCGGCGGGCGACGCCTTGGACAAGTGCGGCCGCGAGCTGGGATTTAGCGGTAACATGATTGGAAAAGAACTGGCTACGTTTGTGGAGAAAAATGCTGGATTGATAGACGAAGAGCCGCTATTCACCTTCAAAGAACCACTTCTCAACGCGCCAGGACGCAAAAACGTGATTGCGTATTCGTTTGGATCGTTTATCTCCCAATTGAGAAGCCATCTCGATAGACATTTCCCTTCAAATGAGCTGAACGACCATGCGCGAGCCAACGTTGGCCACCAGCTGATGAAGACCGTTTTCCAGCACATGTTGACCAAGATCAGGCTGGCACTCAAAATGAGACGGGTCTACGTGAAGAGCTTTGTGTGTTCCGGAGGAGTGGCCTCGAACCAACTGCTGCGCAACATGATCAAACAACAGCTTCCGTTTATCAGAAAGAAGTATTTCCCAGAGCCACGATTGTGCATAGATAACGCCACAATGATTGGCTGGGCGGGAATCGAGCTGTACGAGTCCGGCGTGGTCACTCCGATCGGCAAAACCGTCGTTAGAAAATGGCCATTATCAGAACTGGACGAGTATAAAACGAAAAGCAGATCATAAAAGCGCGCAATTTTCATGTCTATAGAAACGCTTTATGTATATCAAACGTCTCTACAACGTGTTTCCAAGTCTCGTGGTCCAGATTGAAGATGATGTGCGACTTGGAGTCGTCCTTTTTAATGAACCGTGGCAACTCTTTGAAATTAGTAGCATTGGCCTCCTGGACAAACGGGATCCCGGCTGAGTCTTTTCCCAGAATCACCTTGCCGTGGTTGATCAGGAAACTCGTATAGAATAGGTTCTCAACAGATTTGGCAAAAGAGTTTGGATCCACAAAGAACTTGAACAGATTGATCTTTTCCCCTTCCAGAGTACGCAGCCGGCGGAAACACCGCTCAGAGTTCGCCGTCGTGTCGTCGCGCTGGTCCTGCTCCATCAGCTCAGACGCAGTACGTTTGTTGGCTGTCTTTGAAACGCCCGTTCGCGAGTCGTCTGCGAGTCGCTGCTTCGTCACACGTGACCTGCGCGTGTTTTCCAGCGGTCCCAGCAGAAAATCCGTGGTTGGGGCTCTTCGAGAGCAGTTCATGAACAACAGCCCAACACCAATCCAATTGAATCGCGACATGCTGCGGTCGATCGCAGACTCCTCTTCAAAAATATCTTCCTGGCCTGAAAACTGCTTCATGAAGTTGTTTGTAAACTCGTTGAAATCCAAAACGCGCTGCGATCGTCCCAATTTCAGGTTCTTTGTCGCCAGCTTGGCCTGTAAACCGATTTCCTTCAATGTGGCCGAGTCTTTGGCAACGATGTTCGATTGGATCGATGTTTTTGTCTCGGAGAAAAGATGGTCGGCTAAGTCCAGCGACTTCGCCACCGCCTTGATGCCGTTCTCGCGCGCAATTTCTGTTCGCTGGTTGACCAGATCGCGGTCAAGTCGACGATACTTCGCGTGTAACTCGAACTGTTCGCGTTCTGACATCTCACGCTTGGAAACCTCTGATTCCGACTCGGGCGACGAATCGGACGACGAAAACTCGTCTTCAGAAGACCCTGACTCCTCGGACTCTTCCTCGGACTCCTCATCGTGTTTTTCCGGGGGTAACTGCCGCGTCGCAGTCTCTTGTTTTATACTCGCACTCATTAATTTCTATTTATTTTTCTCACCTGGCCCCATATAATAAGGACGATGACATAAGCAGAAAATTGATCTACAAACCATCTGTCCATTCCTCAGGCTGGTTCAAGTAGACGAAATCCTCCTTGTCGTCGTCGCCCTTGGACTTTGTGATGAGCAGGTCGTTGTGGGGCGTGCCGGCGTCGTCGTACTGCCCGTCAAATAGCTCCAGGTTCGGGGTTTCTATTCGCAGCACGGATGGATCGTCATGGTGCAAGGATGCAAAGTTGGGCTCGTCGGCGAAAGGAGACGGTGATATGAGAATCGGGTGTTCGGTAGACGGGGCAGGGAACGAGGACGGGCGGCCGACTTTGGTTGCCGTGCCTATGAACGTGTTCAAGTATTGCAAGAACTCCAGAGACCCGGTCAGAATGTGCGGAATCTCTGTGCCACCTTCTCCCACAAACGCTGCTACCACCTGCTGGCCCTCAGAAAAGTCTTCGCACATAGACCACTGGTTGTGGTGTTCTTTCCCCGTTGTGAGGTCTTTCAGGAAATGGACAGCGAACTTTGGCGGAGCAGCGAGTTGCAGCTGGACTTGTTCCGTTGAATCTGCCGTTGCCTCCCGCTGCTCTGAGTTTTGGGTTCTATAATTGAGCAAAGAGCATGTGAGCACGGTGGCTAGTGGGAAGAAGATGCGGAAGAGCACTTTTTCGTTCTGGAACACTCCTGAAAAGAAGTAGTTCAGCTCGTGGTCCTTTTTCGAAAGCATTATCAACAAGTCTGTGGTGTTCATCAGATCGTACACCACTCGCGGGCTCAGATTCGGTACCTCTCGAAGACTGTCCGGGTCCAGGTACCCCGACCTGATTCTCTGCCACGGACCCACAGACACCGAGACACAGTCGATGAGGCTGTACCGTTCATTTATCTCGATCTCAATCTTGCGTTTGGGCATCGAGGCGTCATGACTATGATTTTGGATCTGTGTGTCTTTCACGAGAGGCTCCGATTGCGGATCGCGGGCGTTGGAATCTGTCAAATGCAATGAACCGTTATTTTGGTACAATTTCTCCATTTTACGAGCTTTAGCCCGACGGTTTTGAAACCATATCCTGACAGACCGCTCGGTCATGCCTGTTCTGGAAGCAATGTCTTTTCTCACGTTTGTGTTTGGATTGGAGTTCCTGTTGAACTCGGCCACAAGTAAGCTGAGTATTTCTCCCGACGCTCTTGAACGTCGGGTCTGGGTCGACTGGTCTGATTGGTCTGTCTGGTCCATATTGCGGCCCGTCTTCTTCTCTGAGTCGGCGTCTGCGGATGTGTCTGCTGTTTGGGGAGGGAGATGGAAAGTGTCCTGGTCGTCCAAGTTGAAGTCGGTGTGGTCTGAAAACTGCTCAAACGGAGCCATTCCAAACTGCGAGGGGCTCGAATAATCGTGATCGCTCATGTGCCAAAGACCAGTGCTGTTTGGCCGGATGGATACAAAGTTCGAGCGCAATTCAACACTTGGCAAAGGTAAACACTTGGTTAAACTCTTTAATGTGTGTCACACGTCCGGGAGAGTGCCCGTATTGGAAAAATGGCAGACACAGAACAGGATTGGCATTGGAGCTTGTTGAACACTACTTACTCGTCGAACGTATACACATAGTACTGGACCTTGAGGCCGCCCTTGTCGGTTCTGATGAACCGGCCCTTGCCGATGAAATTGTGACGGTTGACCCAGGACTCTTTGGACGATTTTGAGTCCAGGTCAAATTTGGGGCGGCACGTGACGTACCCGTCAGAGAAACCCATGTGTGATTTCTCCTTGCTAACCACCTGGAGGGTAGTTCCCTCCAAACGCACGACTCCGCCGTAGCTGACCAATCCTTTGACTCCCGATCCGAGGTCGAGGTACAACACGCAATCGAGACTGCCGATTCCCGGCTGTGCCTGGGAGAAGCTGATATTGTCGTAGCCGTCGATAACCTTGGACTCAAACGGGAACGACGCGTCGACGGAACGGATACTGCCTCCCGTGACGGCAACTTTTGTGAACGACTTGGACTCGTTCTCGAATATAGGCTCTGGCTCTGCCGCGTCCAAGTCGAAGAACAGAACAGGCTTCAATTTAGGCAATTCGGCGTCTGGGAAACTCATTGATGGAAAATTAATTTAATCTTAGGAGGACAGGTCGGCCTTATATAGCGGACTCCACTTTTTCGCGGGGGTGCGTCTGTTGGGATTTTTTTTGCCATTTATTGAATATGGATCCGTCTTCGCCTGAGTTCCAGGAGGCCCAGCATCGGGCCATTGAGTTCTACGACGCCGAGCACGGTCTGTCGAACGAGGAGCGTCAGGAACTGGAGAGCTTTTTCCGCAGGTCCATGGCCGCAGTCACCACTTGTTCCACCTTGGGCCTGTTGATCGGCGGGGGGCTACCGATTCTGTTCCGGAGAGGGAAAAAAATCAACGCAGTGTCTGTTGGTTGGGGAGGAGTGCTGGGCAGCATGGTGTCTACCTGGGGAGTCGCTCCGTCGCTGTATCAGCGCGAGGTTGGGCTCGCCAAAGACAAGTACGGCTCCGAGTCCAGAATCTACAACGTGATCCAACACACACCCCATGGAGTGTTCCGCAGCCTATTTTGGGCTTCCTACTTCCGCGAGACTATCAAACATCCCGAACACAAAATCAAGGACCCCCGCACGGTTGACCCGCGGTTCCAGCCCGTTGTAGACGACAACACGGCCTGGGCTAAAGTGAGAAAGGAGGAACACGACGAAAACCCACCATCTTCCGCCAATTCCGCCCAGACACCTTCGTCGCTCTTCGACATCGACCCGTCGCTGCCTGACAAACAGACGCCTGCACCAGCACCAACCTCGGCGTGGGAAAGAGTCCGCGAGTCCAACAGCAAGTGATGCTGACCCAGTCTCGGGCTGTGCATCTCGGTATATGAAATTCGACACTGGCTGTGCAACAATTTTCTCATGCTTGGTCGAACCGGTGTTGTTTCCTTGAGCTTGAAAAGGGGTGTTCTGAGCCCCGTGAGACGTTCGCGCGCAGCCGTTGTGTCGCGGATGGCAAGCACGTCGTCCTCAGGCGGCCAATTGCGCAGAGCGGGGTTTTTGCCCAAGACAGCAATCGCACTCCTCGTGGCACTGGGACTGTACTCCTTGGACGCCAGGTCCGCCGCGAACGAGTACATCTGGTGTCCCCTGATCCGGCTGACCACCGACGCTGAGACAGGACACAAGCTCGGGATTGCGCTGCTCAAATACGGTCTCACTCCCAAACTGTTTGTCGACATGGACGATCCGGCACTGCAGGTGAAGGTGTTTGGCAAGACATTGTCGAATCCACTCGGAATGGCGGCCGGGTTCGACAAGGAGGGCCAGGTCATCGACCCTGTTTACGACCTCGGGTTCGCGTACATCGAGATCGGGTCGGTGACCCCGGAACCGCAGCCAGGAAACCCTACTCCTCGGTTCTTCCGTCTTTCGCAGGACGAGGCCGTTATCAACAGATACGGGTTCAATTCTTCGGGCCATTGGAACGTGCTTGCAACCCTGAGACAGAGATTCCAAAAACTGATTGTTAAAAACCCAAGCAGCACAGACAACTCATTCAGAGACGGCAAGTTGCTGGGAATCAATTTGGGCAAGAATAAGACCGGAGACGAGGTCGAGGACTACCTGTTGGGCGTTCAGCGGTTTGGTGAGTACGCCGACGTGCTGGTGATCAACGTCTCGTCGCCAAACACGCCGGGACTGCGTGATTTGCAGAACGAGTCGAAACTGACCAATCTGCTCACCAAGGTTGTTGCCGAAAGAAACAAGCTGCCGGGCAAGTTGCTCGACCCGCAGTCCAAGCCGCCGGTGCTGGTGAAGGTTGCTCCGGACCTGACGGAGCCGGAGATCGAGTCGATTGCCAAGTCGGCCAAAGAGGCCAAGATCGACGGCATTGTTCTGTCCAACACCACGATCCAGAGACCACGTGACCGGCTGATTACAGCGGACCAGGCGTTGGTCAACCAGACCGGCGGTCTTTCGGGCAAACCGTTGAAGGAGATTTCGTTGAAGGCGTTCAGACTGCTCAGAAAGCACACCAAGGACTCGAACCTGGTTCTTATTGGCTGTGGTGGTATCAGTTCAGGAAAGGACGCTATAGAGTTTGCCAAAGCCGGAGCCACTTTTGTGGAGCTGTACACGGCGTTCGCATACAAGGGTCCAGGACTCGCCCGGAGAATCAAGGACGAGATTACCTTGGAGCTCAAGAAAGAAAATAAGACATGGATGGAGATTGTTGGCCAGGATGATAAATAGACATTCGATCACCAAATATATTTATATTAATTATTAGCCCATGCCAAGACGCCCAGAGCGACGACCAGAACGGCCATGTCGTTGAGCCAGAACCCAACAAGGTCGCGGTACTTGATGGCCAGGTCGAAGTGGCTGCGAAACTGTGCGGGCACGATGCGTTCGATCACGTTGAGCAGCGTGTTTTCGCGGGGACGCGGTAGCAAGTGGAACACCAACACATACAGTGCGGAAAATGCTAACTCAAGAATGGTGAACCAGTTCCACAGACTGTGTGTGCCGTATCCGCCTTCGAGCCGCTCAAACGACGGGTAGAACAGCTCGGACCCAACAAGTTTGAGGCGCACAAGCAAAAGAACGCTCACTAGTCTTATAGCAGTGAACACGGCCCTGAACCGTCTCAATTTGAACTTTTCCACCTCGTTATGGTAGATTTCCTGCTCTGAGGGCTGTTTTGGCTGCTCGTGCGCAGTTTGGCTGGGTTTCCCGTCCGGGTCTGCTGGTAACATGGAGGACATGGTTTTCATGAAATCGTCCGGCAAAATTGACGGCTCGTGGTGGTTGTGGCCTTGTTTCAACAAGTTCTCTAGTAAATTGTCCATTGAGGCCTCGGGGGTCTCGTTTGTGGACGATGGCACGATCTGTGAGATGTCAGACACGGCGGGGTCTTCTGCTGCCAGCGACGATTCGGTGGACAAATGGGACCCCACGGTGCCGGTGATCTTCCCCAGACGGTCAGACGACGTCGATGCCATCTTCGCTTGCCGTCTTTCTCTAAGAAGCCGTCTTTTCTCAGCCGCCGTTAATTCAGACATTGGATACTTTTTTTTTCATCTAATTTCTTTCAGATCAATTGCATGATAAGTGTGATTAGCGTTGACGTAGTATTTTGAGTAGGTGAACAGCGGTTTCAACTCATCCGTCACCAGAAGCATCACCTCGTTCATCAGCGACGAGACGCTTTCGTAGTCAAACCCTTCTTTCGTCAGCCATAAGATCAGATTGTACTCCTCCTTGGTGGCCACTTTCTTCCACGAGATTCCAACAATGTTGTTGTCGAGATTGCTCCAGAGCAGCTTCTCTTTTAGAACAACGTCCAGCACTGAACGCCACACCTTCTCGATCTCTTCGCTTGGAATGCGGATCACCACTCGACCACTGTTGTACAGAAGCGGCTCTTTCCTGTATCGTGGAGAAAGCCCAAACTTGAAGAAATGGACCCTTGACTCCCCGGTAGTTTCTGGTGGTTCTGTCGACAGCAACAGCTCGTCGCAGCTGTCAAGAATCTTTAATAGCTGTTTGGTCTTCCACACCTTATCAATGACCCGGTTCCGCAACTTGCCCCCATCCTCGTCTTTTTTGGAAGCAAACTCGCCCCAAACGTTCCAGACCGAGTTCAGGTGCAGCTTGTTGGGTTTCTGCACCTCGAACGCCTCGAACTGCGTGCTGGACTCGGACTCGACGCCGAAATTGGTCATGATCTTTGAACTGGCCGGGAAAACGGTCACGTTCGCCAGGTTGGGCGAGTCCGGTCTTCTATTGATGTTGTTTATAGTGTCGTTCAGTCTCAACGACCGGAAATTGAAGTTGGGCAACGGGTCCACCTGGTCACGGTATAACGACCCTGTTTCGAGCTTATCGTGGGCTTTGGCTTTGTCCTTTTTGCTAAATAGTCGCGACAACGACCGACGAAGTCCCTTTTTCTCCTGTTTTGTCTCCTGCACCACGAGATTCTCCTCGTTACCCTCGTTTGCAAACTCCTGCTCAAACATCTGCTGGATCGGCAGCGGCTTGTCCGAAACCTTCTGCTCCTGCTTGTTGTCTGGCCGCTTGATCGTCAGATAGTTCGATGTGGTGTCCTTTTTGCGGTTCCGCCGTAGATGCGGATACTCGTTGTCCTCTGGCCCTTGTTCCTGATCAAGTGTATCTGAGAACGCGCTGGCCTGGTTAGTTCGCGACTCATCAAACGACATATACGATCCGTTGAACAATTCGGGCGAGCTCACCATGCTGTTTGCCGCTGTGTCGCTGGTTTCGGACGCATCAAGCTCCTGCTTCTTGCGCTTCACGCTGAAAAACCGTCTCAGAGTGCCCCTTCGTCTGAGCGTCTTGGACGACTTGACCGAGTTCACGGTACTGTAGTCGGCTATCTCCGGCTCATTGGCCGGCGTGTCAGGCAAAATCTCCGCCAGATCGTCTGCTTTGGTCTTTGTCCAGAAAAAAATACCCATAACTATAATTTAATGCTCCCTGCCCTTTTTGTAAACGCTCAAGGCTGTGGAGAAAAAAAATTTAATCAAGAAATATTTTTTTCACAAGAACCATGGCTGTCTACTCCAAGGACAGAAAGCTCAACGCCAACCTCAAGAGGCTGGACGAGCAGCACAAGGATGCCAGACGGTCGGCCAAGGACACAGAGATCCTGCTCCAGGAGGATGCCGGGTTTCTGGAGGCCGAGGGAATGGAGAAAACGTACAAGTTCAAACAAGACGATATAGTGAAGGAGGTTGATGCGGGCACAGCCAACAAACGGTTCGAGCTGCGGCTCGAGCAATTTGGTCCGTACACGCTAGACTACTCCAGAAACGGGCGCGACTTGCTGATCGGCGGAAAGAAGGGCCATGTGGCTTCGTTCGACTGGAGACAAGGCAAGCTCGACTGCGAGCTCCATCTCAACGAAACCGTCCATGCGGTCAAGTATTTGCACAATAACCAGTACTTTGCCGTCGCGCAGAAGAAGTACGTGTTTATCTACGACAAGACGGGAATGGAATTGCACAGACTCAAACAACACATCGACTCCACGCTGTTGGACTTTCTGCCGTACCATCTCCTGCTCACCACGGCAGGAAACACCGGGTTTTTGAAGTACCACGACGTTTCCACGGGTGATCTCGTGGCCGAACACCGCACTAAGCTCGGACCCACTCAATGTATGCGTCAGAATCCATGGAACGCCGTGATGCATCTGGGCCATGCCAACGGACAGGTGACTCTGTGGTCGCCCAGCATGCCCACTCCTCTGGCCAAAATCATGGCGTGCCGTGGTCCCGTCAGAGACATCGCCATCAACAGAGACGGCCGCCACATGGTTGTTGCCGGCGCAGACAAGACGCTCAAGCTCTGGGACATCCGCAACTTCAAGGAGATCGACTCGTACTACACCCCGACCCAGGCCAACACGGTGGACATCTCGGACAAGGGACTTGTTTCTGTGGGGTGGGGGCCCCACATCACCATCTGGAACTTCCTCAAACAACGTCAGAACTCGCCATATATGAATCACATGATTCCTTCGTCTCAGATCCAAACCACCAGGTTTGTGCCGTTTGAGGATATTCTCGGATGCGGCCACAACAAGGGTATCTCATCGGTGATTGTTCCAGGCTCCGGAGAAGCCAACTTCGATGCCCTGGAAATCAACCCGTACGAGACCGCCAAACAGAGACAACAGTCCGAGATCCGGTCGCTGCTCAATAAATTGCAACCGGACATGATCACATTGGACCCGAACGTGATTGGAAGCGTTGATAAAAGAGCCTCGGCAAAAAGACTCACTCCAAAAGACCTGTCTGACTTGCAACCAGCCAAACCAGTCAACGAGGTGGACTCAAAGATTAAGCCAGAAGTCAAGGGAAAGAACTCCACCATCCGTAAGGCGAAGAGAAAATTGCGCCAGAACGTGATTAACGAGCGTGCTAAACGTATAGAGCGTGCTCTGGATAAAGAAAAGAACCTCAGAAAGCAAAAACACGATTTTGCTAAAGGCATTGAGCCCAAGAAAGATACGCTACATGGTGCTCTCGGTAGATTTAATTGAATAGACATTTCTAACTAGTCGCTTACTCGCTCTCTTCAAATAGCTCCTTGTCCACCTCCGGGTCAATCGTAAATGGCTCTGGAACAGGAGCGTCTGTGTTGTTCTTCTCTCTCACAGTTTTGATCCGGTCAACAGGCTCGTCGGGAGTGGTGTCCTGCAAAACAACAATTCCTCCCATGCCCTTGAACTTTCTAACAGGCACAAATCTCTCTGTCTTGGAGAACGTCACGTATTTCAGCTGTGCAGGAAGAACTCTGGTCATGTTCTCGAATTGGTATGGCTCCTTCACGTAGAACGACTCTGGCTGGCTCTTTCCGGAATCGTCGCTCGCTGGCGAGCTCTCCTTCTTGGCCTTCTCGTCCTCCGAATCCTTTTTCTCGTCCACGTCCATCACGTCCTCGTCCTTGACGTCCTTCTTGGCCTTGTCCTTCTTAGCGGCTCTGGCCTTAGCTCTCGCAGTCGTGGAAAGCACAGCAGTAGCAATCTTATCCGGCTGTTTCTCGACTTGTGTCTCGGATTTCGGAGGATATCCGAAGATCTCTGGCTTGGTGTGGCAATTAATTTTGAACTTTGGAACCTTAAGGTCCTCTCTCACACCAATGATTGCCGTCGGGCTGAATGAGAGCGACAAAAAGTGTGTCAATGGGAACCAGTACCAGAACTGAGAGAACAACGTCAAACCAACGATGGCCTTCATGTTCAAAGTGTTGGTCTGCGCGTGCTCCAATTGAATAGTCACGTTTCTTCCACCAGCATCCAGAATACCTTGAGCCAATGCAGCACCAAACTTGGCAAGCGAGTCCTCATGCTTGTTGGAAACGGTCTTCGAAAGCTGTTCTCTGAACTCCTTCACCTCAGGGAAAGTGTTTTCGTTTTGTTGGATCAAAATCATGGACTTGGCAATGGTTGCTCCCTGTCTAACGAAGTCAACGGAATCCTTGGTCAATGGCTCAAGAACGTCAATTGCAGCTTGCAATCCGCGACCAGCGCAAGCAATTCCCAAGGCCACTGCAGTACCATATCTAACGTGAGGATTATACGACTCGGAAAGAAGTTCCACAATCGTTGGGACTGTAGTGTAGTCTCTAATCAGAATAAATCCAAGAGCCATCACAGCAGCCCTTCTGACGTTGTCAGAGGAGTCAGACACTGCAATATGCAAAAGTCTTCTAATGGCACTGTTGTTGGCAGTTCCACAATAAGCCAATGCCAGTGTGAAACATCCACCATATCTAAGATTCGAATCCTGGTGCTGAATTAATTTCTCAATCACATCTTCGGCAGCTGTTTCCTTACCGTAGCATAGCAAGGCAATTCCAATCGACAACCCACGCACGATTGTTTCGTGCTGTGTCTCTTGGGCATAGGCCAGCATGTCGTGCAACGCAGTCTCATGACCAGAACCCAGCATCACAAGTCCCATACTGAGAGCTGCAGCCTCGCCGGAAATTGCAGAGTCGGCGTACAAGATGGTCTTGAGCTCTTCGTAGATAGTCTCGTCTCCAAGAGCCATGGCAGCGACTCCGAGACCAAGACAGGCACCGTGCAAAATGATGTCTGTGTTCTTGTTGTCTGCAGAGTTGCTATTGTCAACCACAATCTTGCGCAAATAATCTGTCACCTCACCACCATGACCGGCATAGATGAAACCCAATCCAAACAGAGATCCACCGTTGGTGTATGCGGAAGGAGTGCTTCCTGGCAGGTATGGTTGCAACACAGAACGACCTTGCGACAGATTTCCCTTGTGGATCACACCCAAAGCTGCAGTGGCGGAGAACTTGGACCAGTTATTGGCCTTCCCGAGCCACTCAAGGTTGGATCTAAAGAACGAGTCGTCAGTGGTTCCCACGTGCATGAAGGCATTTTGGAAAGTCACTGCAGAGTGGAAAATGGAGTTTCTTCCATCCAGCACTTTTTTCGACGTGTTGAGAATCGAAAGATCGGTGTTGTTATTGTTGGACAGGAACGTGATGTCAAAGTCGCAGGTTGGCACGCCCGAAAGGATTCTTCTAAGCTTGATGATGTTTTTGTCCTCCTTGTCCAAGGATGGGTCAGCGTCGAGAATCTCGGTTGTCTTTGTGAGCAACTCCTGGGAGGCCACGCTGACGAGGTCGAATGCTATTTGGAAAGCAATGAGCACTTTCTCGCTCGATTTGAGCAAATCCTTGAAAATCCTGTGCACCAGCTTGAAGTCGTTCAGTTGGACAATGATTTTGGTGATGATTGTGTAGTCTGGGTTGGCCAACGAAACAAGACTCAAGACCAACGAGTTCAGGATCTGGGTCCGGAAATCGATGTCGTAGGACACTGTGGTGCAGCAGGTGAGAACGTAGCTTATGAGATTCATGATGAGCTCGTCGTTCTTGCCTTGGCTGACCAAGTCATTGAGGATGGACTTGACGATGTCCAATCTATAACTCTCGAGGGCAATTCCAAACGCGAGCTTGTACTCGCCTTCTAAGACACATTTCTGCACCATTGCCTCGAATATGTTTGTTAATTGAGGGTCGATGCCCACTTTTTCGTTGGTGAACTTGCGTTGAGACAGCTCGATGTACTGGTCGATACACTTGGAAACGATGGTTTCTGAGAACTCCGACTTGTCGTTCACATTGAACTCTTTGCCCGAGAGCAAGGAGTATTTAACGGAGGAGTCGTAGTCGCCAAGATTGTAGTAAACTTTCGAAGCCACGAGTGCAGCAAGGTGTCTGTTGACGAAGTGCTCGTCCTCGTACAACTGTTCGATTTCCGCGATATTGTTGGCAATCTCCGCCCACAGCTGGTCGACCACTGTGTTCAGAGACCGCAGAGCGTAGATCTTGAGGTCGGGGTCATGTTCCTCCAGCAACGAGAGATATGGGGCGGCGGAAGTGATAGCCGTCATTTTGCCACTGAAAAAAAATAAATCAACAAAAAAACCGGTGCACACTATTATTTTAATTTATTCTCTATAAACATCAGTACAAAAGTCTGGTGATGATTTTGTATTGGGTGGCCTCGAGCTTCTCGTAGAGAGACTTGATATCTTGCTGGTTGACGCCGGAGATGTCTGCCATCAGGTAAGCGACGTTTCCTCTGGAGTCGGAGAACTGTTTCTCGATGTTGTACGAGGACAAGATCTCGTTCACGGTTCTCAACACACCAGGAACGTTCTGATGGATGTACAAGACTCTGACGACGTTCTCCTGGTCGAGGTCGAGGCCACGGAGAGAGACTTCTGGGAAGTTGACGGCTCCAATGGACGAACCTTCGTTGATGTAGCTGGTCAGGGCAGTTCCGACTTCGACACCAATGGCACTCTGGGCCTCCTCGGTGGAGCCTCCGATGTGCGGAGTGAGGATCACGTTCTTCAGAGACTGCAGCTCGGAGATCCAAGGGTTCAGGTCGTTGGTGAACAGTGGACCGTTCTTGGCTGGCTCGTGAGGATACACGTCCAGAGCAGCACCCGCGAGTTTTCCGAGCTTGAGGGCGTCGATCAGCGCTGGGATGTCGACAACGGTTCCTCTGGCATTGTTCAGCAAGTAGGCACCGTCCTTCATGGCGGCCAGCTGTGGCGTGGAGATCATGTTCTTGGTCTCTGCGGTTTCAGGAACGTGCAGAGTGACAAAGTCGGAGCTTGCCAACAGCTCGTTCAAAGTAGGCACCTGTTTGGCAGTACCAAGAGCCATGATCATCAAGACGTCGTAGTAGATCACGTTCATACCAAAGGCCTCGGCAAGCACCGACAACTGCGAGCCAATGTGGCCGTAACCAACAATACCAAGGGTCTTGCCTCTGATCTCCCAGCACTTGGCGCTGACCTTGTTCCAGACGCCGTTGTGGAGCTCGGAGGAACGGTCACCCAGCTGTCTGGACAGGGCGATGATCTCACAAATGACAAGCTCTGCAACCGACCGCGAGTTGGAGAACGGCGAGTTGAACACGGCGATACCGGCATTGGCCGCAAACTCAAGGTCGACCTGGTTGGTTCCAATACAGAAACAGCCAATGACACTAAGGTTCTTGGCGTGTTTCAAAACGTTGGCTGTCAGCTTGGTCTTGGAACGGATACCAATAGCATGCACGTCCTTGATCTTCTCGATCAGGTCCTCTTCTCCAAGCGAGGTCTTGTGGAACTCGACCTGGTAGCCCTGGGCGTTGAAGATGTCGATGGCTGTCTGGTTGACGTTTTCCAAAAGCAAGATTTTGATGTCACCGGTGGAAAATGGCTTCAAGGTCTTGGTGGACTTGGAGATCGAAAGCGATCTGGTGCGCATCTTGTCCATGTACGACATGGTCGGCGAGGTGGAGACCGCGTTGGACGAGGAGATGCTCGAACGTTTCAGCGAGTTGCTCAGGGTGGAGATCGGGACGGGAGAGGTCATTGAATAATTAGCAGGTTTAATTATTCATTAAAGTTCCTGTTAAATTAGTCACGGACGATAGTCCCCGGGTCGATTAGCCGTTGTCATGTGATTTTGCAGGGCTTGCAAACCTTGTGTTGCTGTCACGTGACCGTCTGGAAAATAGGCCGTCGCCTGTTGAAAAAAAAAATTTCAACATCATCTCTCTACATTATCGTCGATTGAAAACCACCACCCCCGGCTTTCCACGTAACATTCCGACGTCTATATCAACAAATTAAACATGTCCGGTGCTCCAAGACAAGGCGGTCCAAGAAGAGGCCCAAGAAGAGGCAGAAGAGGTCAAGATGAGGAGAAGAGCTGGGTTCCAGTCACCAAGCTCGGAAGACTCGTGAAGGCCAAGAAGATTTCTTCTATTGAGGAGATTTACCTCCACTCTTTGCCAGTGAAAGAGTACCAAATCATCGACGAGCTTGTTCCAGGTCTCCAGGACAAGGTGATGAAGGTTCTTTCTGTGCAAAAGCAGACCAGAGCTGGTCAAAGAACCAGAATGAAGGTTGTTGTTGTTGTTGGTGACTCCAACGGTCACGTTGGTCTTGGTATCAAGGTTGCCAAGGAGTTGGCCACTGCCATCAGAGGTGCCATCATCATCGCCAAGTTGGCCTTGATTCCAGTCAGAAGAGGTTACTGGGGATCCAACCTTGGTGCTCCTCACTCCATCGCTAACAAGTGTTCTGGTAAGTGTGGTTCCGTCAACGTTAGATTGATTCCTGCTCCAAGAGGTTCCGGTATCGTTGCCTCCCCAGCTGTCAAGACCATCTTGCAATTTGCTGGTATCGAGGACATCTACACCACCTCCTCCGGTTCCACCAGAACTACCGAGAACACCTTGAAGGCTTGTTTCGCTGCCATCGGTTCTACTTACGGTTTCTTGACTCCTAACTTGTGGAAGGAGTTTGCTCTTTCCGACTCTCCTTTGGATGTCTACGCTGACGAGGCTTTGGCTACCAAGAAGAGATATTAGATAGTTGTTTAATATTACTAGTCTGATGTAAATCTGGGTGGCATACAGTCTGCCACAAAGCACTGTAAAAAGCTATATACCCTAATAATACATTATGTCTGTGCGTGCTCCATGACCTGATCCTCAGGAACGGCAAACGGCCGCTCGCTCGTGTGTGCTTGCTCGCTCACCCAAACGTGGTTCTTGGTGCCCGTGTTGAGCTCGCGTCCCTCGGGATGTCTGTATGGACACTTGGCGTTCTTGCAGTTGACTCCAAACTTGCAGTCCTCGTCGATCGGGTGGGTGAAGTAACAGTCAATCCGCGTGCAGTTCGAGCCGTCGCGGCAGATCACCGGACTGGTGGCATGCCGTTTCGGACACCGGAAGTTTTTGCAGTACGCTCCAAACTTGCACTGCTCCAACGTCTTCTCCGGACCCGCAGAGGCCTGCTGAGTCTCGTTCGGCTTGTAATTTGGCGAAGAGTGCGCTTTTTGACACTCCGGGTTGGCACAATTTTTGTTATCAATACACCATTGTAAAATGATCACTTTAGCGTCTTTATTGGCCGGCGTAGGATGTCCAAACGGACAGTCCTCTTTCTGACACACAGCACCGAACTTGCACAGCGTGATTCCAGCAACCTTCGGACCGTGGTTCATTCTGTGTGGGTTTCCGTTGCTCTGTAGCTTGGAAAGTCTTTCTTGTCTCGTTTTCTCGATCTCTGCAATCAGCTCGTCATCCTCGCCAGGATGCAAGTAACTGCAAGTTCCCGGCGCATTTGGACAGTTTGGGAACGCAAAACATGGCTTTGTAGGATGCATGAACGGACAGTTCTTCAAAGGACAATGAGGAAAATCTTTACACCTTCCGTTCGCCTTACGTGTAGCAAAATTGCTCACCTGTCCGTTGCCTGTCATGGCCATGTTCATTGCCTGAAGGAAATTCTGTTGATTTTTCAAGGCAAAGTTCTTCTTTCCATTACTGTGAGATGACTTCGAGATACCTTCTCCACCTTTGCGGTTTGCAAACGAACGAGGTCCCGAAGGAGGGGCACTGCGGTTCACACCCTCCATTCCATCAGACTCAGACCCATCGTCAAATCTGACTTGTTGTTTCTCGGTAGGTTCTGGCGCAACAGGTTGCTGTGCTGGTTCCGCTGGTTGTGCGCTGAAATTTGGGTTCCTGAGCCTCTGGATCTCGCCAAAAACACTCTGGATAAACTCAAGCGTGATTATATCGCCAAAAAGCGCGCTCAACTCCTCCATAATGTTCATGGGGCTCTTGTCGTTGGAGATCAACACTAGAATAAACTCCGCAACATACTCGGAATCCTCCGTCACGTTCATCTCCGCCAATTTGGCGCTTAATTCCTGCTTCAGATGCTGGAACGTCTCTTCAGGAAGTTGAAGTTGTGCAGCCGTCGACATCTCGTTGGTTTAAGGGCAAATTTTTACAAAACATTTCTCTGAAAATTATTTATTAAATAGAAGGTCGTGCGAAACACAGCTTGCGCACTATATAAACCCCCATCACCAAACAGCCGGCACAGAGAGCCCAACTGACAAGGTCTGGTCCGTGATCTGCGTAGCGTTCCTTGACCTCCAGTACGAGATACGCGTGTTTGGACTCCATCACGTTCTCAAAGTCTTCGTCTCTTTCAACAGAGATAAGATCGCCGTCTTCGTCAATGTAGCTAAGCTCTAATCGGTACACGGACCGATCTATGTCGACCTTCTGGTAGATTTTGTACTTCACACCGTGGAACAGCTCCGTTGCGGACTTCTCCTCGCTGTGAGGGACTCTGATCTTGTATATTTTGTTGTTCAACCCAAGTCCCAGCTTCTCCTTGATCTTCAGCTTGAAGCTGGGCTCTATTGTGTTCGACATTTCTGGAGACACTGCAACGTTGTTGACTGCAGTTTCTGAAGATGCGGCACTAAAGCTGTTCACGACAGCTCCTGCACGGTCATACGAGATGTTTCTCACCGGCCCAATGTACGGAACGCTGGGCGGAGGAGTGTCGTTTGTGCTGGAATTACTCAGCGCAGCTTTTCTTGGGATGTGGTACGAGCTTCGTCTGGACGACTTCTCTGTGCTTTCTATAGTGCTCAATGGCTGGTCCAGAGACCCCCAGAACCGGTTCCAGGCGGGTCCATCTTCAAACGAGTTCATTGAGTTGTTATCAGTTTCGAGCAAATTTTGAGACGACTCTGTGGAAACGTCCAGTGTTTTGAGCAAAATATACGTCAACTGCAACACGCTGACAATTCCGGTCACGTATCCGCTCGAGTCTTTGATTGGCAGATTCAGGAACTTGCCCTCGAACATCAGACGCAGAGCAGTGTGGATCTGGAGCGTTTCCTCGGCAAAATTAGGTTTGGGAGTCATCACCCGCGCAACACTGATGGTTTTTGGGTCGCTGTTGCTTGCCAACACACGGAATGCAACGTCTTTACTTGTCAGAATGCCAATCACGTGGTCGCAGTGGGCGGAGCCTGTTTTTGACTCGCAAACAAGAACTGCAGTGACATTGTGTTCTTTCAAAAGTCTGACAGCGTCCAGAACGCTGCTTTTGGTGTCGATCATGAGGGGTGCAGAAATGTCCAGGTCGCGGTCGTGAATCACAGTCTTCAGGTTCGGCTGGGTCATCGCTTCGATCAGCGTCTTAAGTTCCTTCACAATCTTCTGCTTCCTGCGTATGATACCCAGATCCATCAGGTTTTCGTTGCTCGTAAACGCATCGGACGGTTCCTGTGGGTCTGCTTCGGCCTCTGTGCGCTGGATAAATGAGTACTTGCTAAACTCGCTGGCATTCGAGTCCAGCTCGAGTGATGCCTCTCTTAGCTCGTTAAATGTAGTCTCCAGCTTCTTGGCCTCGCTGGCCATCTTCTCAAGCCGTATCATGGCATGATAGAAACACTTTGTGATGTTCAGAACGCCCACAACGCTCCCGGTTTGGTCAACAAGAGGCAAATGCCGTATCTTGTTGGTAACCATAAGCCGAAGTGCCTCATTCGCACTTGCCCGGAACGACATTATGAACGGATTCGGCGTCATTATCTCGCGCACCAGAGTGCTGGACGCGGCATGCTCAGCGACCACGCGAAACGCCAGGTCTTTGGCGGTGACCAGCCCACATAACTTGCCTGTGGTGGGATCATTGACGATAATACAGTGGTTGCGGCCTTCGTTCATCAGACGCGCGGCCTCCAGTACCGAACACGAGGAAAGGCACTGGATAGGCACGTCTGCTATGCGCGTTATGGCAGAGACGCTGGCGCGAGCGGACGACGTGCCCTTCTTTGACATGGGGAACAAGAAAGGGGACAGGCGTGTGGGTTTTTTGGGGGGAGGGAGAGAGAAAAATTGCAAGGCTGTGTAAAGTAAACCGATAACTGCAAGAGGTTATGACGGAGAAATTGGAGAGGGGAAAGGCGATGCGGTGTACGGATGTGTGTATGACCGGGAATTAATTAGTGCCGCCACAATTGACAGGAATTGCGTGCGGAATTGTTTACGGATACTGAATTGGTAACTTTTTAGCTCGCGCAGCATTAAGTTATGCAATCAATCGACAACAAGGTGTTTGATTGATAACAGCTTGATAAGAAAGACAAGCCGAGAGTAGTTGATCGACGCATGCAAGGGAAAGAAATTAAAATTCTTTGACTCGCGCATGAAAGCTTGCCACGGGCTTCGTAACTGCGCATGAACGTTTTTACATTTTTGGTGGTCAAAAGCTGGCCTGCATTGACTGGGGCTTCTACTGCATGGATTTGCAAACACCGGTGTTCTTGTCGTTACCTAATTTGGAACTCTGGCACATGTGGCCAACAAATAAAAAGAAATTCACACACGCGGGCTCAAGGTACTATTACTGCAGAACAACTATACTCGGCCTACTAGCACTGCTATCAATCTACAAACAACAGCTGATCCTCCACCTGAGGTAAGTTTAGGAGGTATTGCAGTTTTGTTTAAAGTTGACTTAAAACGTTGGCATCTGTAATTACATAGCCACACACGGAATTTCATACTCACATGCGAGTGAATTCCGCGGTTTTCTTGACAGCGAAGGATCATCTGGAGAAGAGCACACAAGGGGCGTGACTTTGTGTAAATGACATCAATTCGGTGAACCTTCGTTTGCATCCACTCCTCACGCCTCACAAAAGAAGATCTGCAGGACCAAAAACGCGCAGTAGTCAAAATACTCGATTTGAAAGTTTGTACTTATTGTTAAATTGGGATCGTCAGTAACTTGATGTTCACGCTGAAAATTATGGACCAGTAGCCTAAGGACTTGTTGCAATACAAATCATACACTCGGATAAACTCATGCTACATTGGAAACGGTTCAGGGGGCTGAGTTACCCATGACGCGGCATTCCCTTCTGAGAAATGTTCTGCGATGTTTTGGGACAATTAGATATTATGCAAGTGAATTATGCATGGAAGATTTTTGTTGCATAACCGCAGCAAAGATAGGCACTCTAACCCTGTAGGGAATTATACTAAAAGCAAGGGCTGTTGTCCTAATATTTCTGTACCCATATATATATCCACGTCAACCCCCCAAACTTCGCTTGTGTCCACAATGTCATCGAGCTTGACATATAACACTTTCGAAGACTTTCCAGGTCTTTTCCAATACGAGAACCCGAATGAGTTGTTTACATTTGAAGATGACTTTATGATGCCACAACTCCCTGTCCAACTCTCCACAACCACGCTTCTCCCGGAGGGTGAACCACAGCAATATACCACCGGTGCTTTTGAGATGAGCAGCGACTACTCTTCTCAAGAAGAGAGCGTGTCTACTGTGGAATCCGTGTTACCGCAAACTGCGTTATTCCCGCCTGCTAGTGCCTGCACCCCACCGCCAGAAAAAGTGGGTGACTTTATTTCCCGGAGAGAAAGTCTGGACAGCGAGTTTGACTTTAGCTCTCTGGCCCGCGACGGGCTTGTTGTGATGGACGAGCTGGACTCCTACGAGCCTTCCGAGGCTGTCGACCTTGACGCGATTGAGTCCAAAACTTACCCACTTGTTCGTGGAATGAACAGTGGTGGTTCCACGACCAAACCTCCTCCACCCGATAAGACGGGGCGGTCCCAATATCTCAAGTGCAAGCTGTCCATAGTGGACGGCGATGAGAAGAGCGTTTGCATGCCAGCATGGGACGACATGGAAAAGCAGGAACAACGCCGAATTATCCGAATCGAGCGCCGCCAGAACCTGAACCAAGTCATAGTAAGCTTCCATATCCTTCCATCGTCGGAAAGCAATGAGACCCGTCCGGCCCCTCCTGGAGTGGACGTTGTTGAGGTCTCGTGTCTCGAGTGCCACCAGAACATGGACTTGTCTGAGGACGACAGCACTACTGTTGTGACTGGAGACGGTTATGACAACCTGAATCGTCAGTTCTACATAACCAGTGTCGAGGTTATCAAGATTGTGGAGCTGCTTATAGGCTGTCAAACCAACAATCAAAAAGAGCGCCGCGCAGAGAGAGGACGTATCAGGTCCAATTTGGTTCCTTTCTGGTCAAAGAAGCCAATCAGCTCCAAGAAAGTGTCGTCTTCCGATAACCTAAGCGATGTTATTGGAAAGACCAACGCCGACTTGAGAAACGAGCTTGCACAGAGAATTATGAGCTATGAGACCAGAAAACCACGCCGTTTCGACAAAGAGGTTCGTATCCTCGAATGGCGTAAACTGGCCCCTGCTCTCCGCCGCGCATTACAAAGTTATTACGTCAAGATACCGTCCGATGTACTATAGAATAAATATGAATCGATTATAACGCGACAAAAAAAATTGTAATAACCGTTGTGGGCATTATTTTTATCATGGCCACGCTTTTATCGTTGCTGGGTCCAAGACAGCCACGGAAATGCAACATTGCCTCGGTTGACCAGTCGGTGGAGTTTGTATCTGGCAAACTTTACGATATTGCGAGTGTTCCGGGCACTACGTTCCAATGGGACATCTTATTTGGACTTTTACAACATGAGTCGCGTTCTGCGGTTATTAATGTTCATTCCCATATCCCATGGGATAACTTCCAGGGCAACAAAGCCAACGTCGACATCTACACCGTCGGTTCATTGACGCAATTAATAGCCCTCGTGCAAAGTTTGGATTTTTCCCAGTATAAACTGGTAGTCTTGAACGACTTCCACGTGCTGTACCAATCAGCAGTGAGACATTTAGAAGACAAACGCAGGGGCGAGACCCCCCACCGATACAAGCGAGACGCAAACGGAGCAAGAAAGGATCAGCCAGGCCCAACCCGGAAACTGCAATTAGTGGTTCAGGACTTGTTATTGTTGATAAGCAGCAAGTGTCAGACGCATGAAACGATTGGCATAACTACGGGGAAAATGACCACTATGAGTCAGCGATTTTTCACCCGGTCCCAGAATTCCGATATCGACGACGAGACAGAGGATACTTCCATGTTCCAGCAGATAATGGTTCCTGTGTTACCCCTTAATGGGCCTTGGGCTGGCCAATATGCAAAAAGACTGGTTCTTTACCGGGATTGGGTCCGAGAAAGTGGGGGGACCGGTTTGGATAAAAACCTCACGATTGTGGATTACATCCGGCTGATGGAGACCAAACAACTACGAGTATGTCCTCAGTTCCTTGGCGTGACCAGCAAGGATAGCAACAGAAAGTTCGATACAGGGTGGTGGTGTAGTGATGCACAACTCACCCCTGTGTCATAAGGAATCTCGGGAAACCCCAAATTCCTGTATAAGGGAGGGGTAAATTTCCTGTTCTTTTTACTAGTTTCAAGTAACTGTACATAAAGCGAACCGTCCCATTTTTAAAAAGGAGATAATTAATTTTAAAGATAAAGCCGAGCCAGCAAGAGGCGCAATGCCTTAGCGAGCTGCTATTAATAATTACAGGGGTTGTGCTTAGAAAACAAGCTTTTTCACACCTTGAAAGCTATTGTAGCAAAGAAGACGCAAAGAAGTCTTGGAACTTCTAAGTGTACCTCGTACTCTAGTTGTCGTATCATGTCATTTATTTTTTAGTTAGCGAGGAAAATTCCCAATGTATCTAGGTTTAAACCCAAAAGGGCTAAGATTGGGTAGAAGCAACCATAGATTTGTTCCTAATTTGGACGAAAAGTGCTGTTACCAAAGATATCTTTATCCTAAAAAGGTTAAGCAATATGCACGATTCGGACCATATGACGAAAAATCCTCGAGAAAATTTTGTCAACGCTGCTAAAATTAGGAGTCCGTAGTGCGGGACACAAGATTCTTGTAAAGAAGTATTTTTAAACACAATAGAATTTTTCGAGATTTTGCGGCGAAACAATAGCTATAGCCTTATTTTTGGGAAGATTGCAGGCCCGGCTACGGATGTTTGTTTATGTTTGAGGTGTGACAAAAATTTTGCATTTCCCAGAATGGACTGGAACCCTTGTTTGAGATGATATAAAATGGGCAGTTCCGCTGGTTGTGAATCTCAGCAAACTTTATCACATTTTGTCTCTCGCTTAATAAAAATGCAATTCAGAACTCTTGCCCCACTTGCTTTGGCTTCCGCTGCTTTCGCTGCTTACTCTAACGGTACCGTCTCCACTGTCACCTACGAGACCACCGTCGAGGAGGTTGTCACTGCTTTGACCACCTACTGCCCAGAGCCAACCAGCATCGTTACCAACGGTAAGACCTACACTATTACCGGTGCTACCACCTTGACCATCACTGACTGCCCATGCACCAAGTCCGAGGTCATCACCACCACCACTGTTACCACCTGCCCAGAGTCTTCTGCTGCCAGCTCTTCCAAGGTTGCTCCAACCTCTTCCGCTGTCACCATCTCTACTGCTGAGAACGCTGGTGCCAAGGCTGGTGCTGCTGGTTTGGCTGCTGTTGCCGGTGTTGCTGCTTTCTTGTTGTAAGCAATTACCTCTTATAGTACCTATAATAACATTTTTTAACTAATACCAAAAATACCAACATTCAGTAGCACTAGGCCGTGATTTTTCAGCTTCGGCCCGCACCTCCTGACTTTTCCCGAGATATCGGAATGCCGTGCTTACCTAAGCGGTCCAGAATTCCGTCTCTTCTGTTTACCCAATGGAAACACCGAGTCTGGCCTCCAAGTCGGCCCTCGTCCGCTCGCAGCTGGCCCGCTTGTTCGAAGCCCACGACTCAAAGCTTGTGGTGAACCAGGAGGCCGTGTTAACGTTATCTTTGGTGGTATCTCCGCAATCTGTGCTTGCGGCTCTTTCCTACTTGCAAGACGGCCAGTGTGAGATCTGCACCTACAACTGCGACAAAGTTGTAGTTGTGCGGTCCGAATGCGCAGCGCTGGTGGACACAGACCGCTGGTTTTGCTGTTGCACGGAAAAAGCGAGGCTGGACCTTGCTGGAGAACCAGATGGCTGGTGCAGCCATTTGATAGGAGGAGAGCTGGTGAAACTACATAAAGATATGTTTATTCGGCAGGGAATGGTGGCTGAACGACCACTCACCAACCTGGAAGACTGGCTGGACCTACATAACGACGTATTTACAAAAATCCGAGACTTTGCACCGTGATGGTGGGGTGTTGTTTGACGAGTCTTCCCTTCGTGGGCGGTGTACGGATGTAAACCCGAGTGCAAGAATCTGAAAATTTTTCGACCAGCACAGGCTAGAAAAACTGAAAAATATCTTGTTGAACAAGACCAAAACATGCAAAGTGTCGCCAATTCTCAATAATCGGTATTGGAATTTGATTGCATCTATAGACAAACACAAACTTTCATTGTAGCATAGCCATTTGCATGACCATAGGTCGACATGTCTGCCCAACAAGAACATCCGATTGCACAACTATCAACATCGGACCGGGAGAAATTTGAGGAGCATCTAGCAAGAACGGGGTTATTTAAGCTCAAATGCAGCACACGCGCAGGAACGCAATTTCCCGTTGTGTTTCCACGGTATTTTGGAACAGATGAGGAAGAATTCACAGCGTATCGATGGAAGGCGTTCGCCAACAGACGAGCGGGTACCAACGTGGCGACTCCACGCGCAAAACCCAAATGGACTACCAGTACGAAAAAATCAACTTCCATGAAGTGGAGCGCCGTTGTCAAGGAAGGCTTACAGGAAGTTGAGAAACCAAACGGGACTGCTAAGACGTCGATCGCCATACAGACCACTTTACAACCTTTGGGCGCTGTTTTGTTGAGATCCATGTATGATCCGAAACATTTGCCTCAATACCCGGGGTTGGCACCTCATGGACTCGTCAACAACGGTAACATCTGCTACATGAACTCGGTTCTGCAGGCCCTGTTTGCTTGTCCTCCGTTCAGCCAGATGCTGAGCGTTATCCAAAACCTCACAATGGGCCAGATACAGTCGCGCACACCCATAATGGACGCATTGGTCGCATTACACGAATCTTTCAGTCACTCCTCGCCGGAAGTGCTCACCACAACCGCCTTCTATGGCAACATTGCCAGATTGCCTCGATTCAGTCACTTGAAATGGGGAAGACAGGAGGACGCTGAAGAGTTCTTAGGCTATTTATTAGACGGTCTACACGAAGAATTCCTCGAGAGCATTTCTCGTTTGACGGACAAGGAAGTGACCGATCTGCAAACCTCAATCACAGACCCTTCGATTTTGAAATCAATTAATTCAGCTCTAGAGATGATCAAAATTGGCCAAGTGAACGGTACATCGCAGAGTGAGGACAACGGATGGATGGAAGTTGGCGCAAACCAGAAGCTGGCCGTGAAGAGACAAGTGGACATCAAACCGTCGCCTGTGGTGGAACTGTTTGGTGGAAACTTCCGCTCGATTCTGCAGCTTCCAAATAGCAAAAAATCGTCCATCACGTTGGACCCATTCATGCACGTCCAATTAGAGATCAGCAACAATGACACCCACGACCTATACACTGCCTTTGAGAAGTTTTCGATGGTGGAAGAGATCTCGTATGGCGACCACACTGCCAAGAAACAGAACTTGATCGACAAGTTACCAAAAGTCCTCATCATCCATCTCAAGCGGTTCTCGTTTGTCTCTAACGATGACAGAAACGACAACTTCGATGACTACGAAGTTGTCTCCTCGAAACAGCGCAGAAATAAGACATCTGCATCGCACACTTTGCCGCCCGAGCCTACTCACGCAAAGACCTATGAGGCAGGCGGCCGCATTGAAAAACTGCACAAAAAAATCCAATACCCGCACAATCTTTCGCTTCCGGTGTCCTGCATCTCGTCCAATGTGATGGACCAGCCAAACTACAAATTAATCGGCGTGGTGTACCATCATGGCCGTTCCACAGAGGAGGGCCATTATACAGCAGACGTTTTGGGAGCAGAGAATCATTGGTCTCGTGTTGATGACACCTTGGTAACCCAGATCAGCTCTGACGACGCAATTGAAAACGGCATGGGCGGAGGAGTCTCGAACGGTAAGAGCGCGTACATTTTGTTGTACGAGAAAGTAGCTGCAGAAACTGTATAAGATTCTAATATCCAAAAGCCGTAAATTTGATAATCTTCATGTCAGGTTAGTTCGACTCATTTTAGTAGATTCGCATATTTAAACATGTTGTCTGGCGAAATAGAGAGCTACCGCTAGATTATAGCACGATTTTGTATATAGAACGGTCTGATAAGATCGTTTTTGCTGTGTACACATATATCACGCTTTGTCTGGACAAGATAATTACACGCAAAACATATTTGGGAGTTATCGAGTTCCATCTGAGCTGTGATTTGTTTCACATCCAACGAGCATTGGATGTTCTTACAGAGGGAGATTATGACTTATACAAGTTCGATAGTCGCGAATTTAGTGTTTATTCTTACGGCTACTATTTCACGCTGCTCAACGAAGGCAGAGAATACGAACAGTTGTCTGTAAGTGATTGAGTCAATCAGGTCGCTCAAGCTTTACCTGGACTGATCCGGAGTTGATCAGATGTCAGAATGTTGCAGGTTAAGACACACCCACATAGCCTAGTTCATATCTTCAAAACAATGTCCATCCAAATGACTGTATTCCCACCCTCAGTTCTCCTGCAACCAAGCCAGTCCATCGTCTCGTAGCTGCTGACATAATCACACCATTTCATGCAACTTCAAAAAAAATTGAAAAAAAATTCCCTTAAAAAGTTTAACATCTTTACAAGCATGGATCTCTTTGGAGCTTTCGATAATCCGGACGTTGAGAACGTCGTTCCGGAGGAACCAGTCATAAAAGAAGAACCAAAACAGGTCAAACGGTCAAATTCGGAGGTTTCCAACGGATCTGAAAAGAAATCGAAACACAGAAAGAAAGAACAAAAGAAAGATGATCAAAAAGTCACACCTATTGTTGCCGATACGCTTGAAATCGAGGCCTCGCGTGAAGTTGATGCTTCAAGCGGGCTGATGGCCTCCGCAGACACAGAACAATCGAAGGTGCAGCTTCGACACCAGGTGCGACATCAAGTGGCCGTTCCGCCTGGCTACGATTACGTGCCAATTGGTCAACACAAACGTACGTCCGAAGCTCGTACGTATCCGTTCACGCTTGATCCGTTTCAGGATACTTCTATTTCCTGTATTGATCGTCAGGAGTCTGTGTTGGTCAGTGCCCATACTTCTGCTGGTAAGACGGTGGTTGCAGAGTATGCAATTGCCCAATCTCTTAGAGACAAACAACGAGTCATCTACACTTCTCCTATCAAAGCATTGAGTAATCAGAAATACCGTGAGTTGCAAGCAGATTTCGGCGATGTTGGATTGATGACCGGTGATGTGACAATCAACCCAGATGCTGGATGTTTGGTCATGACGACAGAGATTTTGCGGTCCATGCTGTACAGAGGTTCTGAGGTGATGAGAGAGGTTGCCTGGGTCATTTTTGATGAAGTCCACTACATGAGAGATAAGAGCAGAGGTGTTGTTTGGGAAGAGACCATCATTTTGCTTCCAGACAATGTCCATCATGTGTTTTTGTCGGCCACTATTCCTAATGCTATGGAGTTTGCTGAATGGATTTGCAAAGTCCACAACCAGCCGTGTCACGTTGTCTACACAGACTTCCGTCCTACTCCATTGCAGCACTACCTATTCCCAGCAGAAGGCGAAGGAATCCATTTAGTCGTTGACGAGAAAGGAACATTTAGAGAGGAAAACTTCCAAAAGGCCATGGCGTCTATTTCTAACAAAATGGGAGACGATCCAGGATCTGTCGAGACCAAGGGAGGAAAGTCTTGGAAAGGAGGAGTCAAGGAAGGAAAGAGCGATATTTACAAGATCGTCAAGATGATTTGGATCAAAAAGTACAACCCTGTGATTGTTTTCTCGTTCAGTAAGCGTGATTGTGAAAACTTGGCTATGAAGATGTCCAAGCTGGATTTCAATACTGACGAAGAGCGCGAGATGCTTACCAAGATTTTCAATAACGCTATCAGCATTCTGTCCGACGACGATAAAGAGCTTCCGCAGATCAAACACATTTTGCCGCTTCTGCGTCGTGGTATTGGAATCCACCACTCTGGATTGCTTCCAATTTTGAAAGAGATTATCGAGATTCTCTTCCAAGAAGGCTTCTTGAAGGTGTTGTTTGCTACAGAGACTTTCTCCATTGGACTTAACATGCCTGCTAAGACGGTTGTTTTCACTTCTGTGCGTAAATGGGATGGAAATGGATTTAGATGGGTTTCTGGTGGTGAATATATTCAAATGTCTGGTCGTGCTGGTCGTCGTGGACTTGATGACCGAGGAATCGTGATTATGATGATTGACGAGAAGATGGAGCCCCAAGTTGCCAAGGGAATGGTGAAAGGTGTTGCCGATAGACTGGATTCCGCTTTCCACTTGGGATACAACATGATTTTGAACTTGATGCGTGTGGAGGGAATTTCACCAGAGTTTATGCTGGGAAGCTCGTTTTTCCAATTTCAGAACTCCATTTCCGAGCCTCAATTGAAGAGCCAACTGGCCAAACTCGAACACGACTTGGACACTTTTGTCATCGAAGACATGGAGAATATCAAAGAGTACTACGAGCTCCAGAAACAGCTGGATCAGTACAATGAAGATGTTCGTAAGATTATCACACATCCAGGACATATTTTGCCTCATTTGAAGGGAGGCCGATTGATCGAGGTCAGCGTGAATGGATTGGATTACGGCTGGGGTATTGTGGTTGATTTCTCAAAGCGCAATAACAAGCGTAACCAGGCCCAATTTAGTGATCACGAGTCTTACATTGTGAACGTTTTCGTCAACACCATGTTTGTTGATTCTCCAGTGAATCTCATCAAGCCTTTCCAACCTCAGCTTGTTGAAGGTATCCGTCCTGCCAAAGAGGGCGAGGAAACCAGAAGCGAGGTTATCCCAATCACTTTAGACTCCATCAAAAAGATCAGCAGCTGTCGCTCGATTTTACCACAGGACATCAAGAACTCGCAAGCACGCAAGACATTAAGAAAGGCATTGAAGGAAATCATCAAAAGACACCCTGACGGGCTGCCAATCTTGGACCCTGTTTCTAAAATGCACATCCAGGACGACGAGTTCAAGGTTTTGCTACGGAAGATCGATATTCTGGAGTCGAAACTGCACTCTAATCCATTGGCACAGTCTTCAAGACTTAAGGAGTTATATGACCAATATTCCAGTCGTATGGATTTGGTGCAACAGATCGAGAAGACAAAGACCAGTATTAGCGAGGTTCAATCGTTGATCCAGATGGACGATCTCAAACACCGTAAGAGAGTTCTGCGTCGACTTGGGTTCACTACTCAGGATGACATTGTCGAGATGAAAGGACGTGTTGCTTGCGAAATTAGTACCGGAGACGAATTATTGCTCACAGAGTTGATCTTCAACGGTACTTTTAACGATCTTGAGCCCGCACAATGTGCAGCTTTGCTTTCGTGTTTTGTTTTCCAGGAGCGGACCAAGGTCACTCCTCGGTTGAAGCCCGAGCTTTCTGAGCCATTAAAAGCGCTTAAAGAGATGGCTTCTAAGATTGCCAAGGTTTGCAGAGAGTGCAAGATCGAAATCGTGGAGAAGGACTACGTTGAGTCGTTCAAGTCCGACCTGATGGAAGTTGTCTACGCTTGGTGTAAAGGAGCTTCCTTCACACAGGTTTGTATCATGACGGATGTTTATGAGGGATCGTTAATTCGGAGTTTCAGACGGCTTGAGGAATTGATCAAGCAGCTCGAGGATGCCGCCAAAACCATCGGAAACGTTGCGCTCGAGCAAAAGTTCAACAGCACTGTTGAATTGATCCACAGAGACATTGTTTCTGCTGCGTCATTGTATTTATAAATAATTTAAGATTATGCGGTAGTATCCATCACGTCTACCTGAGCTTCTGTGTGGCCCTTCATTCTTTTTATCTCTTGCTGGACCTTTTCTCTCCAGATATCAATATCATCGTTGAAAAGGTTTTGGAGAATGGTCATTTTCAGCTTCCATATCTCTGGGTTGGTGATATTTGTGTATTCGTTGAGTAATCTATTCATCACGGTTGGCCAGTGGATTAATTGCTGAACAGCGTGTTGATGGGATGAAAGTTCTTTCAAAAGCTCCAGGAACGACGTGGTTGACAGGTTAAGTACCTTGGAGGGAGAAACGCCCAGTTTCTCAAACACATGCGCGTTGCTTGACAGATTGCCAAAAATTGGAACAGTGGTAGCCGTCAATGGAAGCGACTGGAGGAACTCTGTCTGAGTAGACAATAAAGCAGGATCGATATTGGCAAGAAGAAAGATCGAAGGCTCGTCGAAATGAGTGATTGCATGCTTCACAATATGATATTTCTGGTCCAGACAGAGAAATTTGCGTTTACTGGAATGACTTAGATGAGCCAGAATCACCACCGGCTCCAAAGTGAAGAAGATCTTGAGATTGGCCATGAAATTGTCGTCAACGTAGAGTTTGCAGATGTATCCAAACTGCTCATCCAATTTATCCCACAATGGAAGATTTGAGACCTCGACCACGTCCAAAAGCTTGTTGTAAAACGAGATAATGTACGCATTGAGAAGCACGTCGTTGCTATTCACAAATTCCTGTTCGGACATCAAATACAGATGGGATGGAAGATCGTGGATGATGGGCAAAAGCTGCAGTGACAAGTCAAAGCACCGGGACAGAACTTTTGGGTCATTTCTTATTCGATCCAGAAGTTCTTGACATTCTTTGGAGAGCAGTCTTCTCTGCACGAGTTCTCCATGCGCCAGCTGGACAAGTGCTTTTTCGATAGCATTGACGGTTTTCACCGACGTGTCCACCTTTGTGAGTGACGTAAGCATGGTTGTCACGAACGGGGTGTTTGCCACCAAATCTGGTGGCGATGCCCTGGAAACAATTTCGATAATGAGCACTTTGAGGTCTTCATTTTGGCCTTGAAGTCCGGCAATCAACATCTCAAGCGAAAAAGTTTGCACCACAATGTCGAAACTGTAGTGGTTGAGAATCTCATCGAGCAATTCAATCGATCTTGACTTCCAATTGGCACTAGTGTTATTAGAGCTTACAATCTTGATGACCTTTGACCCAAACTCATTCAACACATCAGTCGACTCATACAGACTGGGATCTTTCAATTGCACCCTAGTCTGATCAAATAGCTTGGAGTTCAAGCTTTCAGACTCGGCATTTTCCAAATGATGGAGAATTTGTTCAAACGCAGACATGACACTTAACGAAGATTAAATAAATTTATTTTAGATGATTTTAGATTATTTACTATTTATCAATGGTTTCTGAAAAGGTTATCCTTGACGACCCACATTTCACAGACTCGCGCCTTCAGTCTTTGTATTCTAATTTCAATCATTTGAAGGAGAATCCGGACGGATTGGAGGCAAATATCAGCGCTTGGAAGAGTCTTTTATTAGAGACAAAGAGCAAATGCGCATCTGAATTCCCAGATCAAGTGGCCTTTGATGCCGACTCGCTCGTGAAACAATACTCTTTACCTTCCAGAGGACTCACGCCTCAAGGACTGAACAAGGTTATCGACCAGATGGTTCATGAACAAGCTCTTATTCCGTACTCTAAATTTCAACAAGACCCAGGATTATTAGGCCGTGTGGTGGGGTGGGTGTTTGGGCCCAGATATCGAAGCGGGAACGATCAGAATGGAGTTTTGAATCAGGGCGAGAAGTTCGTGGTTGCATCGGAGCTTGCAAAATGGAGCAAAAACTTGGGATACTATCTCAGCAACAACTCACCTTTAGTCAAAGACCATCTAATCTCGCTGGCCAGTGAAGAGCTGGAAATGTCCAAATTTGATATTGAATGCTGCTTGTTGAATCTGGAGCGCGAGAAGAAGATCGTTGTTTCAGAAGATGTCGTGCAGTTTGTTGACAAGTCGCAGCAAGAAGTGAACTTGACGGAGGAGCAAGTTGAGTCGATTGCAAACTTGAAATACGCCATTTACAAGATGACGAAGTACAACGAAGAAACAGAGTTGAGAATCCAGAAGCTGGATATCCGCATCAGAGAATTGGTGAAGAACAAACATATGGTTCGCGCAAAGTCTGAACTCAAAATACAAAGAGCTCTAACTCAAAAGCTGCAGAAATCTTCACAGGGTCTCGAGAACCTGGTGATGCTTCTCTACAAGATCGAAGAGGACAGTAACAACATTCTGGTGGTGAAAACCTTGGAGGCCAATTCGAAGATCCTCAAGGAAATGAATGCTCAGGTTGGAGATATCCAACATGTGGTGGAAGAAGTGCGCGAAGAATGGGATAAGGTTGACGAACTCAGTGAGCATCTGGGAGCTCTCAACGTGGATGACGGGGATATCGAAGAAGAGTTGCTGCAGATGGAGAAGGAGCAAGAGAGCAAAGAAGATGCTACTCAGGAGGAACCGGTGCCCGAAGTTCCAACAGAAGAGCCTGTACAAGAACCAGAGCCAGAGCATGTTGAGACCTCCGAAGACCCTGATTCTGCGCTTCTGGAACGGTTCCAGAAGCTCAAGTTGCCCGCAAAGGAGCCTGCTGCCGAGAAAAACCTCGAATCTCCATTACCTATCTAATTTATGCTATCACGACTCCGTTGAGAGGCAAGACATACTGTCTTAATTTTATACCCGCTTCTTTGAAAACGTTCGAGCTCAACACGTCCATGGAGTAACTTTGCGAGTAAACAACCTCTTTTATGCCACTCTGAACTATCTTTATCGAACACGTTAAGCACGGGCACGTATTGCAATAGAGCACGGCATTATTTCCGATTCTATCCCTGCCTGCCTCCAAGATAGCGTTCTCTTCCGCATGGAGGCACAGACAAGTCGATAGACCAACTCCGCTAGAGTTTCCAGAATTGCAGCGAGGACATCCTCCATGGTTGCAATTTTTAAAATTTCGAGGAGTACCGTTGTATCCGGTTGCAATGATTCTGTTTTCTCTCACAACCACGCAACCGACTCTACGTTTCATGCAATTTGATCTGAATGCTGCCAGATCTGCCAGTTTCATGAAATACGCGTCCCATGACGGCCGGAGTCGTTCTCCATTGAGAAGATCTAAACTGCGAAGCTTATCGTGAAAACCCTTAATGGTATCTGTGTCGTTGATGATTCTGATTTCGGATTTGTCCATGATTTTGAGTAGTTCTCCCTCTTGACGGAAGTTGTACTCGTCTGATTTCAACACAAACTCTTCGAATGTCAGTTCTTTAGAGTATTCAGTGTGTCTCTTGTCGGCTTTCAATCTGTTGAAGCGCGTCATAAGCGACGCGTCTGTAGCCAAAAGTAAGAAGAACGGTCTTTTCAGTAGCCCTTGAAGGAACTCATAGTTATCGACGCATGTCATGACAAAGTTGTCAATCCAATTCTTCGTGACGAAATCAATCAGTTCCTGCTCCGTGACGAAGCATTTGAACGTGTCTGGATCTGCTTCCCGTTTGCAGGCTGCTAAAGTAATGTATTTGAACTGGTGTTCCTGCACAAGGAACGAAGCCAGCTCAGATTTACCGGAGAATATTGTCCCCGTAATTCCTATCAGCATTGAAAAATGATTTAACGGTTTTTTTTCTGATTATTTATTTATTTATGTTAGACGACTTACTATTGACTAGATGTCAGGGCGCGTCGGGCGATCTGATCGATTGGTCGTCCGACGGGCTTATTTCTCTCGGGTTTCGCAAAGAGCTGTTTATCCTTTTGCCCAAACAGTCGCGTGAACAGTCTGAGTTGTCCGATGTGTTCACTCTCACAAGGTTGGGCGGAACCATCTCCGAACTCCCCAATGCGCTTTCCGAACTGGTTTGCATGGACGAGCAGGTTCTTGTGGGCCAGGTTCAAGACTCGTCGGTTGCCAGCGTGGTGGAGGCGCGTTGGTCGTCGTCTGGAGTATGCGAAGCTAAACATTGCGTGTTGAGTCTCGTAACTGACACGGGAAACGCGTTTATTTTCTCTCAGGACGGGCGAAACAACTGGAAATGCAAGTTCAACATCATAGACGCGCAATTGAGCTATGAACATATCGATTTACAACGAGTCATCAAGTACTCCCAACTAAAACATCTCCGAATAAAATCAGTTGGTTGGTTTAAACCTCTAAAGATAGACCTTCTTAAAGCCCCAATATGGCCGCTGACAACAAACTCAACGTTTGTTCTTTGTACAGAAAGTGAAGATGTGTGGCTGTATTACTTGGGAGAAACTCTCACCAGATTGATAAAAATTGAGCTTCCAAACGGGTCTAAAGTCAGAAAATGTAAAGTCTCAGACTGGGTTGAAACCAATGGAGTTTCTGAATCATATGTGGTGTTCGAACTAACAACTAACGAGCTTATTTCACAAAAAATACAATTCAAAGACCAGTTTGTCCTGTCTGATCAATTTGTCGTTGCACCCGCTTCAAGAAATCTGATTTCGCAGTTCACCCTTGCAACCGTTGATAATTATACGTACTGCACGTACTCATCAGCGCAATTGACAACAGTTCAGCTCCAGACGCAAAAGGTGCTACAATCGCCCCTACACTCGGTTGTTTCGTTCACCTCCATCGTTCATTACGGAGACACCTTATTGTTGTCTAATTCACACGATAGCGTTGTGATTGCCGAGCTTGATTGGAACAGTTCAACGATTCAAGTCCACCAGTTTGATTATAGGCAGCAAGTCGAGTATAATCACCCGTTGGTTTACAAGCTCAACGCTATTAGAAAACAAGGCCCGTTCCGACTAATGGCAATGTCTCTTAACCCAACTTCCAACAACCTTGCCCTGGTGCACTCGGAAAGACTACAAAACACCATCGATTCTAGAAACCTATCATCCAAGGAAGATTACTCTCTGAGCATTGTTCCTCTAGAGCCACCAAGAACCCTCCAGCTGTCAAGTATTCAATACAGCCCGTCTTACGTGCAGCAGCTTGTCAGTCTTGGTGACAACCTTGCAATTCCCGATCCACTTGATCAGGAACTCGACAGAGTGACCAATGCATACACAGACCTGTCTGCTGGTCTTACAGATTTGTTCCTGCTACCACATGTCCAAGAACTAAGACTGGCCAATCTATCGAGTCCCCACAAACACGATCAGAAGCTATTACGCCAATTGGCCGAGATCGTCCTTGGTTCCATCAAAATCGAACAATTAGAGGCAAACACGAGCGACGCTCTGCTCTACACAAGCTACTTGCAGCTTCTCGATAGAAAAGTTCCAGAGACAAATATAGTGCGATTGCGCATACCAGGACTGAATGCAGAGGAATCGTTTGCCTTGGGAAGCAAGTTCGATCAATCCGCCATCATCTCCGAGGAAGGCCACACATGGGCCCGTTGCTCTGTTACACTTCTTCCGCTTTTTACCACCAAGCTTTGCATCTGCGAAAACTGCGGCGCTAAAATGGCTTCCATGGAAACAAAATATTTGGGCGCGCTCACTGCCCGGATACTGAAATTTCTCGAATTATGTCCTTTTTGCGGAGGCAGATGGATAAGAAAATAAATAGAAAAAATTAGGCTTAGGAATTTCAGCTATGCCGTCGCCAGTATTCATTTCTCACCCTCCTCCTGGGTTCTCCGTTCTGTCTATACTACGGGGAATTCAGTTGTCGGTAATTGGATCTTATAGGGCTTTCATCAATCCAGACTTGTTCAATGCAAGGTTTTATTCCAGAGCAATAAGCATTCTTAAATGGTCTTTGATTATACATGTGATAATGAATATTCCATTGATTGTCATCACGTTGTTCTTGCGTTTCCTCGGACTATTCTTACTTTCACATGAAACCGTTGCCTCAGTTCTTTCTAAGTTGAGGTTTTTCCAGGTCCATCTCCTCAATATCAATCCGTTCCTTATCATGTCATTCAAATTTTTCACCAACGACCTTGATTACATCTATTTCGATTCCTTGAAGTTTGCAGACAAGGTCTACGCCAAGAACCACCCGAAGGACCCCAAAAACTACACTCAGAATCTCGAGCAACTTGAGAAATATACAAAGACAGTTGCTCCCGACTCCAGACCGCAAACACCAGGATTCGTGGCACAGCAAATCAACTCTTTCAAGTCCAAAGCTTCGTCATTCTCTTGGGCTCCAAGAATGACCAACCTCTCAGGATTCACCGACTTCACCACAGCCTACGTCTACAACACAGCGTTCTCGATCCTGTTCTTCGTTCTTGCCAAGACTCCATACGTTGGAGGTCTTGTGTTCCCAATAGTCACGTTCAGAAACCTCAACAGATCGATAGGTACAGTCTATTCTTTATTGATTGTTTTTATAACCCTGTTGTTGCCTCAGAATTATTCTCTTTTCCTTTTGAACACAATCTTTGGTTCAAAACAACTCATGATGATTCTGCTCAAACCATACTTCAAATGCTTGCCCCTTAACTCCCGTCAAAGAGAGGAGTGGTACTTATCCAGAATCGGGTGTCTTTATGGATTTAGTCTGGTGTTTTATTTGGTTCTCAGATTGCCTATTGTGGGTCTGATCGCATTTGGTATTGCGGAAGCAGCAACAGGACACCTAACCACCAAAATCACCGAGCCTCCACCAGCATCAACAGATAAGATTGTTGAATGGGTTCAAGAACAATGCTTGTGGAACAAGGAATATTATGAGGAAATCAACGATATCATGGGCGATATAGAACCAACCATCCCTGGGACATTCAAGAGCGAATAGACTAATAAACTCAATGTATATTTTCATCCTCCCGTAACCTCCTCATGACCTCCAGACTATTGGAGTTTGCGAACTGCGAAACCTGATATCCCTTTCCACCAAACTTACTCAGTAACAGAGGGAGAAGGACTAGCGAGTGAAGAGATGCGAGTATGATCAGAGCAAACCACATTCTGAAATAGTAGATTTGGAAGATCTTGGATCTAGTGAAGCCAAGAACAACAATTCCAATCAGTTTTGTTAAGGTGATTCCACTCAACGTAGGCCCTCCAATAAAGTTCAATGCGCTGTGCGCTCTCGAGAAAGAATCTGTTTTCGCATCATCCTCATTGTAGTTGAATGCCTTGATCAAATGAATGGAGAATTCAACAGAAAGTCCAAGACAAATCAACACATTGACAAGAGATACAGCATTCAGCGAAATACCTCCCAAAGCCATAGCTCCACCAATATTAACCAAAATCGAAACCACATTCACAACTAACAGGAATGAGTTTTTCAAAGACCCAAGCATCAAAGAACTGATAACATAAATCAGTATCAATGCAGAGATGAGCAATCGGAAAGTCAGCGAAACGATGGTCTCGTATTGAGTGAAGAAGATGTAAAATGGCGAGTATGCAAACACATCCAAATCCAAATACTTTTTGATCTCTTTGACGACACGCAAAGACTGATGATATGCCTCAATGAAATCCTTCTGGGATCTCAGAGGATTGTGCGACGTTCTGAAAGCTGACCGCACAATCTCTCCTTCCTCATTTTGTAAGATAGAGGAAGAATAAGGAGCCTTGCCTCCCAGTGGACAAGGATCAGAGGGACTCTCGATCCAATGATCGAAATACTTGGTAAATGTCTCGTTCTCCGGGAAACCCTCCATTTTGAAAGTCCATAACTTATCCTCATAACAGCCTTTACATTGTCTTGAAGGCTGGTTAGGAGTGCAGAATTCTGACTCGTTTGTTCTCTTTAACCGACAACAGTCGGTCGAGTCTGGATTGAGATATAACAGGAAATCATCTATCCAACTGGAAACAGGTTCGTTGATGGTGCTGTATTCCTCACGTTTGTATTCCTGTTCCATGATATTCACCAGTGAAAACTCGTCGCACGTAGTGAATCTTCCACATAGCTTCTGTTGGTTCTCCAGCTTTGTGACATCCAATGATGAAACAACCATATATATCGGCGGACCAACTTCAAGATAGTCATAGACAGAATTGAAGTAGTCAATCAGATACGAGTCTGATGGGATAGCAATTCTTTGATCAAAACCGAGCTCAATTGTTGGCAATAACGACAAAGAAACCCCAAATAAGATCACAAAGAATCCAAAGGCCCACTTAGAAACGTTTGGACGGAACAGAAAAGGCGAATAGTAATTGTGCACTATTTTGTTGAAGATATTCTCGTTTGAATACTCTAGCAACTGAGACAATCCTTCCTCATTCTCTTGGTTATCCTCAGGTAATGAAACCTCTTGGTAGCTTCCATCCAATTTGATAAATGGCAAACAATCCAATCTCAAGTCTTCGATACGTTTCTGATCAAGAGAAATGGCAGAAACAAATGCCGTCATTTGGAGAGCAGAGTTGAGTAGAACAGCCAGCGCACAGTAAAGAGCAAAGTTCTTCACTGCTGGCATTCCGACAGAACTTGCAAGCAAAAAGCAGATAAACTGACACGATGTACTAAGCAGAATGCTTGGTCCTATTTTAGCCAGGGTTCTGGAAATTCTCACTTCTATTCCATCATTGTTGTAATTCAAATGGTTGCAATTGTCAAGTTCGTTGGAAATCAAAAAGATGTTATCAACTCCAATCGCTAAGACAAGGAATGGGATAACTTCCGCAATGATCAAAGTAGACTTCAAACCGAAAATACTCCAAAACCCAGCCGACGCTGCAACAGAAAGAAGGACGATCAAAATTCCCACAAGTCCCAGTCCAAATCTGGTATGGATAAGGAAAGAAAGTGGAGAATTTGACTTGACATTATTCTGATTGCTTAGACTGCCGCTTCCTAGAGCGATGGAAGCGTAAGCAAACATAACCAAGTAGGATATGATCACTATGCGGACATCACTGTTTGTTGACTTGCTCAATTCCTTTTCCAAAGAAATTTCAGTACTGAAACTAACTTCCAGTCCCAATTCTGAAGCTTCCTGTGTCAAGTTTAGAAGCCGTTGTTCAAGAAGAGACTCCCAAGCAATTGATTTCTGAACCTGAATGTCGTCTAAATCGTTGTTATTGTTCAACAGCCATGTGACAACTATTGCTTCTGCGGAAGTGACAGAGTCATTAAAGCCACCGAAAATCAGCTGGGGCTTCAGTGGTTGACCAAAAGTTGGAAGACAATTCACAGGTGAGTTCGCACAGTTTTCAAGTTGCGACTTCCAAGCCTCTCGGTTTATTTGATTTATATCTCCAAAGAAGTATTGAGTAAACGATTCCAAGATGCATTCGTCTCCAGTTGGCTTGAAACAGATGTCATAATAAGAAACCGATGAGTTTTCATAGGTGGCTTGCATGGATGTGATTTCGCTCTCTTTCTGGAACCACCATTCTATGAAGTCAAAGTCTTGTAGTATTGAATCTCCTGTTGCGTTGGAAATAAAGAGCTGTTGTGTTCTGTAGAATGGACCGAAACTTTCGTCGAACGTTTTTCTTTCCAGATATGTATCTGATGTGGGGCTGACCCAAAGATTGACAGGATTTGTCTCGAGCTCGAGTAAAAAGGTGAATGATGCTAGTAAAATAGAGAGTCCAACGGCCAAACCTATAACTATCCATGGATGCTTTGCACATTTGAGACCAAGCTTAGCGAATCTCTCTTCCAGGAAGTTGTTGACAACGTATGAGTCCTTTGCAACATACTGTTCGAAGTTCTCAAACTGATCATCCGACTCATTCAGTAATTCGTTTTCTGACCCTGAAAATGCAGGAGACTCCAAAGAATCAAGGAATAGCAGTCTCGACCGAGTTTTTGACACAGCCAGTAAATACAATCCAATGTAAGTGGCCAATGCCAAAGAATAGATAAGGATGACGGTGAATGAGAAGCATGGTAATACTCCCACTTTGCAGTTGTCTGAGCGTTTCATTTCGGGCAAAGAAGGGCACGATCCGGGGCAATCGGCGCAAGCACACCGGAAATTCTCATCTTGGTCATCGCAAGCGTGAAACGGAAGGGATAAAGGAGACAAGTCTTTTGATTGCTCGGTGATAAAATCAATCTGGAATGGCGAGCCTCCAAGCATCGGCTTCTCGTCGCCCAAAAACTTGAGGAACTGTTTGTAATTCTGTGCACCACCTCCTATGAGATCCATTGCGTATCCGTTAGTTGCTCCGAACTTGATATTTTTGCAGGAATCGTAGAACTGAGTAGCCATCACTTCGTCCACAAGAACCTCGACCTCAGCCACTATTGGCGATCCACTCATCGAGGTTCCCGTTTTTGTGACATCGACAAAGCTCGATTGGTTAGCAGAACAAGTGAAGTGGCAAAACAGCTGGAAGAAGTTATCCTTGCAGGCTGGACAGGAGCTTATCAAAGGTTCTGCTTTATGGAGCTGTGTCTTCATATCGTTCAACTGAGTTGTGTCACAGCATGCGAATGTCTCATTGCGCCAAGTTTCCCCACATATAGAGACTAACAGCGAGTGGTCCTCAGCACTAAGCTCGGACGCTGGTTTGTTGTTTGGTGCTGGAATGTTACCTCCGAACAGCGTTTTCTTGCCTCCCGAGCCATACATTGCACAGACGCCTGGCGAATGTATGGCTTGGGCAACAGCTAAAAGAAGGAATATAACAAGCATAAAAAAATAGATTATGTAAAACACGGATCAATAGATGAAACGTCCATAGACCGGATTGGTCCAGTTTGGATCGAGCAACTAATTATTAATAGCAAAAATCAGTCAACCATGAGTGTCTACGTAGATTCGGCATTTCGAGGCCATATATTGATCCATATATGTCAATTATTATAAAAAGACCAATTTCCATGACGTCCTCGGATGTGTGGAACCTACCCCACAATAGATGGTTTTTAGCCAGAACAAATGACACCCCATGTTTGTCAAACAACATGACCCTCGGGTAGACATTTAAAAGGGTCTTTGTTTCCCAGACGCAAACCTCAGATTCTCCTCGTTTCCATTTTCACATGCTCCCGGCCTTATATAATAAGTACCCCACGTTACGTTTTTGCACCAAAATGCCTGTCAGATACTCATCTGCTAGAGCAAAAGGCGCATTGTTCAATCATCAAGACGACCTTCCCTCGCTACCGGTGCCTGAACTGGCGGAGACCCTGACCAAGTACAAAAAGTCCATTCAACCATACTATAAAAACGGAGCAAGCGATCCAGAATATTTACGCTATTGCTCTGTGATTGACGACTTCGCTAAAACCCAGGGCCCATATTTGCAGCAAAAATTACAACAGTTTGCCAAAGACAAAAGGAATTGGCTATCTTATTGGTGGGATAACTATGCCTATCTTGGCTACAGAGACCCTGTTTCTCCGTTCTCTTCATATTTCTTTCATCATAGGGAGCTCAACTCCTTGATTGGAAAAAATCAGATTTTGAAGGCGGCATGTTTGTCTAAAAAGGCTCTTGAGTTCATGGAAGCAGTTGAGTCTGAGACTTTGGAGCCAGAAACAATCAAGGGCCAGCCAATTTGCATGGAAAGTATCAAATGGATGTTTAACAATAGCAGAATTCCTGAACCAAAGCAAGATACAAATTTACGGTATGATCCAAAAGAAAACCGGTTCATGGTTGTCATTTCACGCAACAGATTCTATAAACTGGAACATCATCGCAATAACAAGCAGGTCAGCGTCGAAGAACTGATTTCAAAGTTGGATGCTATCAAAACTCATTCTGATAGCCTCCCTGAGGTGAAAAGCCCAATTGGTATTTTAACATCCTCAAACAGAGACATCTGGGCCGAGAATTACCAGGAATTGATGAAAAACCCTATCAACAGACAATCGTTGCGGGACATCCAGTCCGCCTCGTTTGTTCTTTGTCTCGACGATGATCTTCCTGTCACTATCGAAGAAAAATCAAGAAACGCATGGCATGGAAACGGATCAAATAGATGGTTCGACAAGCCAGTCCAGTTCTTTGTGTCCAAAAACGGCAGCTCCGGATTCTTGGGCGAACATTCGAAAATGGATGGCACTCCAACTCTTCGCATGAACGACTGGATTGTGAGTGAGCTTGCAAAAATGAGCGCACCAAAGCACATCAGTACAACGGCTGAAGTTGACGAGCTGAGATTCGAAGTCTCTCCAAAAATCCAAGCAGCGACTGACAAAGCTATCAAGATTTTCAATGAGACAGTCAACTCCTTGGATATCAAGGTCTGGCAGTACCATGGTCTTGGAAAATCGCAGATCAAATTGCTTAAGGCATCTCCTGATGCTTTTATTCAAATGTTGATCCAATTAGCATACTATAAATACACAGGCCAAGTCAGACCCACTTACGAGTCTGCGTCTACCAGAAAGTATTTTGGTGGTAGAACTGAAGCCTGGCGTTCGGTAACCAACGAGTCCTTGGAATTTGTTTCGACTTGGGAAGATGCTTTTGCCAGTAAAGAGGAAAAGATCGCGGCATTCAGAAACGCCATTTCATCGCACGTGCACGGAATCTCAGCAGCATCAAACGGTCATGGTGTCGATAGACATCTTTTCGGTCTTTCCCAACTATGCGATGGAGAAAAGCATGCTATTTTCACCGATCCGATCTTTTCATACTCTTCCTATTGGTATCTTTCGACTTCCCAATTGAGCTCTGAACAATTCAACGGATATGGATGGTCTCCAGTTGTTCCAGAAGGTCTTGGATTGGCATACATGGTCAACAAGGAATGGCTTCATGTCAATGTTACAGTTTTCAAAAACAACCAGATGGGTCTGGAGGCAGATAAGATTGCGTATTATCTCGGCGTTGCAGCGAACGAACTGAAAGAAGTTTTGACTAGTGAGACAATCAAGTCAAAGCTGTGAGTCTCACGTCCCCAAAATCTCATATATGAACACATAGTCGTTGGCTTTTCCCTGCCATCCTCTATTTCCACTTGAGCTGACCATGAATCGACAAGTTGGGTCCACATAAAGATCGCTTAATATACCGCCGTTATGACCAGGAATAATCATGAATGGGACTTTTCTTCTCTTCTTTGGCGAGTCCTCTGTAGTTTGTGCGTTTGCCGAAAGTCTTAGGTCGTATAATCTGATATTGTCTTGACATCCGCAAAGCAGGTAATTTGGATTAGGAAGCTGTCTAACAACACTGATTGGTCCCGAAGCGATTGGGAACTTTAACTGTTGTTTAGCTTCATTTGGTCGACGAATATCATACTCTTCCACAACAGCATTACGACGTCCAACATAGATCGAGTTTCCGTCGTTCGACCAATCCGCGGACGTGCACCAAGGAGTAGTACCGGCGTTCACTGGGATGGAAACAACATTGTTGGAAGCAGTTGGGAGTCTAGAGTCCCAAATTTTGATAGTTCCGTTAACAGAGGAAGACAGGAACACGTGATCTGACCGTTGCAACGAGCTAGCGGTTCCTGAACTTTTAGCGTCATCTTGGACCTTTTTGATGTCTTCCTTGAATGGGTTCTGTTCCTCTGTCTGCTGTTTTCTTGCCTCTTCTTCCTCGTCTCCAAAAAGAGAATCCAAATCATCATCCGCCTGGACTGGCAAATCAATTCCTCCAACAGGACGATATTCTATGCTTGAGATCTGGCCGGTGGACTTGTCAAACAGGTTTGTGGTCTTCCCCGTGTCCAAGTCCCATTCGATGATCTTCATGTCCCACGATCCGCTCAAAAATCTTCTTTCTTCGTTGTTGAGCTTTAAACACGAAACACTGTCGCTATGCGAATGGTCAGTCTTTCCATCTTTGAAATAGTACTGGATTGATCCTTCGCTGGCTCGAACAGTTTGCAATGTGATGCCTCCTGAGCCAAGGCCACTAAGCAAAAATCTTGATTCGGAGTCTGCAGCCATGGAGTACACTGGAGACGTGCGTGGTTCAAATGTAGTGATCGGTCCGTTGGCCGCTTTTTTGGCCTTTGATTTCGATGCCTTTTGCTGCTCCTCGGCCAACTCGGCCATTAGAGCTTCTCTATAATAAGGTTGTTCGTTTTCCCAGTAAGAGCACAACATTCCTCCGTACGAAATGGAATCCACTAACTGGTGTTTCTGCGCAGATGTCAATGGCATTTTACCTTCCACGGATGCAAAAAGATCGTATTTTCTAATAAACCCGTCTTCTCCTCCGGTGAAAAGCCATCGAGGACCTTTGGTAAGAGCAATTGAGTAGACTGGAGTCGCATGTGGGATGGCCACAATCGGAAGGACCTCCACCACAGAGACGTTCTTAGCGCGTTCGAGTAACGATTGTCGCATACTCACAGAAGATTTCTGTTTCTCCGAGTCTTGTTCGGGTTTCTGTGTGGGTTCTGGCTGGTCAACGTCCATTTCACCGTCTCCGTCGCCGTCTGCTTCTCCATCTTCAGCATCTTCTTCCTCTTCGTCGTCGTCGTCTTCTTCGTCGCCGCGCTCCTCGTCATCCTCGTCGTCATCATCTTGATCATCGGCCACAGAAGCCTCTTCTTGCTCTTCGACCTCCTCTTCTTCTTCTTCGTCTTCCTCGTTCAAGTCAATGTCCTCATCGAAAATGTTATTAGAATCCATGATGGAAAAAAAGATTAACTTTTCTAATATTTTTACCCTTATGTCTATTTACGCTCAAAATCTATGCTACACCTTTCCAACCAACAAAATTGGACTATTTGATGTCAATCTGGACATCAAGCCAAGGTCCAGAGTTCTGCTTGTTGGTCCGAACGGAGCCGGAAAGTCCACCTTGTTGAGGGTCTTGGCTGGCCAAAAGCTCATCAAACAAGGAAAACTGTTACTCAACGGAACAGATCCGTTTGAATTGGCATCTGCTTCCAGCTGCGGAGTTATCACGTATCTTGGAACAGAATGGGCCTCCAACCAGATCACCAAACGAGACATTCCTGTCACTGTTCTGATCGACTCCGTTGGAGGAACGCTCTTCAAGGAACGCCGAGATCAACTTATCAACATGTTGGATATTGATATCACCTGGAGAATGAATCAATGTTCTGACGGAGAACGTCGCAGAGTGCAATTGTGTATGGGTCTACTCAAGCCATGGGACTTGCTACTGTTGGACGAGGTCACTGTTGACCTGGACGTTCTTGTTCGGGCCCGTCTGTTAGCTTTTCTGCAACAAGAAACAGAGTCTAGAAATGCCACCATAGTTTACGCCACACATATTTTTGACGGGCTTGGCGAGTGGCCGACCGAAATTGTTCATTTCCGCGGGGGCTGTATCGTCGCACAACATTCGATGGATTTTGTCTCGTATGGAGACCAGGAAGAAAACGTAAAGGAGACCAAATCTACAGTTGAGATTGCGAAATCTAAATCTTTCTATCCATTGGCACTACACTGGCTTTCTCAAGACTTGGATCTTCGGGGAGAAAGAACCGAGGATAAGACTCGTCCAAAATATGAAGATTTGAGTCGGTTGAAGAACGACCAATTTTACGATGACAAGAATAGAGTCACCAGCTACTTTCAAACCACTCGGCACGTTTAGCTTTTTCACACGACAAAAAGATAAAAAAAAATTAAAGGTTTGAAATATTTGGTATGGTGCAGTTTGTTTCTGACAAGACGCGGGCACGTGCCAAGCAAGGGCTCGATGCTTTGCTTAGTAAACATCTTCCAGGTTCAGAGAGTGGTGATGTGAAAAAGGAAGGAGCTGCGGCTATTGCTCATGCCAAAAGAGAAATGAACGTTCTGGGAGCTCATAGACAGGCTGTTGGCCGAGAACGGGCCAAGGTTGGAAAGAGAAATAACAAGGCGATTCGCAAATCTAAGGCCCTTGAGGATCGTGTAAACAAAGTTGCGAGACTGCAGGCTGGCGATTCAAAAGAGGTTGAGGCAGCAGTGGCAGAAAATGTGCGAAGAATCAAGTCATGGGAAAACACAAACTCAAAAGAGATCAGTGAATTAGAGTCCAAGATAATGCGGATGCGCAATACGGAGGCGGCCAGACGGAAGAAGGTCAGACTCAGCAAAGTTAAGAAAGATCAGTTCCAAAAGAAAATCAAAAAGGGACTTATTTCCGTTCCTGGGCTCACGCCCGGTCTGGCGCCTGTTGGAGAGAGCGATTCGAGTGATGAGGAAGATGTCGATCTGGATCAATTACGAGAAATGGACGATTACGACGAATACAATTAGTAAATATCTTTCATCTCCTATATACACTAATGAACACTTGGGGTTATTTGTCGTTTGGTTTTTCCACGGGTATTCCGCCGTTTTCGAACGGCGCTTCTTTGCGGGCTTCGTCTAACATCGGCTTGATCCCCTGTTTTTCTAAATGCAAGTCAAGACATTCTTTATAGTCTGCCCAAAGGTCTTCGCACTCATTGTAGACACTACTTCCTTTGAGGAATTTCTCAGTATACCAGTAGTTAAAGCAAGCGTCGTACTTCTGCTTCAGTTCCGTACACTCTGGGGCAAAAGAAGTCGACATCAGATTGCCCATGGTATATAAAATTGAAAAAATCAGTCTCCAGCAAAAAATTAGACCAAATCCATACACCAGATCGCATTCGCGCAAAAAAAAAGTTGTAGTTATTTACAACGCGTTCGTGTATCATGTCACGGAGATCGTTCTATTTCTCCTCGTCGTCTTCGTCGACGCGTTCGCAAGAGCTGGAGCAGTTGAGTAAGATCGAGCAAGAGATCACGTTGACATTGCAAGAGATCGATAAGAATTTGAGCAATGCTAATAGTATTATCAACGAGAGTGTTATACCGCGATTGGGTAAATTCCGGAGCAGCAGCAGCAAAATATGGTCCAACGTTGAGTTTTGGAAGAGTTTCTTTGAAAACAGCGCTAATGTCGAGATCACCACCGAGGAATCCGAAAAACTAGCTGATCAAGATAAGGAAGATGCGGAAATCGAAAATACGGTCACTGCCACCAATAATTCACAGTATAATGAGATCAATCAACGGTACAAGGAGAACGTTGAGACGGAAGCGAACGAAACATCCACCACAGCAACAGATACGGTTTCCTTGTGGAAAGAAGGGGCCCGAAAAAGGCTGGCAAGTTCGACACCAAATAGAAAGCCGATCCCAGATAATGATACCAGCAGTCTTCTTCCGGCCGTGCAATTGCGTTCCGATGATATTGAGCGGGAACAAGGACAACAACATCCAAATGGCCCTGACGAACTCACAACAAGTAACATTTTTGACGTGTCGACTGTGCAACTGCCCCAAACTAAATGGAAAATCACAGAGAGCCCGCAAAAGAAAAATACCAGTCCTGTGCGAAAGAAGCAGAAATCGATTGCGACTCAATACGACTCTTCGCCTATTGAAGAGCCACCAATTCTCAAATCGGCCATCTACCTGTCTCCTGTGCGAAGAAAGTCCAAGAGCCCGTCGAAGCACCCTGACACCGATCAACGGTTCCCCAAATCTCCGAAATACGGGGCGGGGGGTAAACTGCTCAGAAATAGCAAGGGAACCGAGCTGGCCCTCAACTTTGCGCGTTCTGAACTCGCTTCCACCACGGCCGACTTTTCGTTCCAGACTGCCCCTTTGCCGGGAGCCGCAGGGGGTGCGGAAGACGGAGCAGAGTACGGACTCAGTTCGTCTGTTTTGAACCAAGACTCCACCACGATGGACGAAGCCCCGCAATTGCAATCTCAGTTGCCCGAGAAGACGCCCGAGCTCGCCTCATCGCCCGTCAAGAACGCCGATAACCCGTTTATTGAGTAGTGTATACTAGCCAGAAACATGCACAGCCGTGGTTCCGAAAAAACTCATGGCCATTCGTTTCGGTCCCCAAATTTTCAGATCAGTAAATAATCATGCCCTGGATTCTACAGGAGGAACTTGGACACTAAAAACCGCGAATATTACCAATCATCGAATCGCTATTCATTATCAACTTGTTGTCGACACCCAGTGTTAGATTACCGTCTGACACGCCTTATCTTGCATTATAGCCTGTGAATTATGGCCAAGTCAAAATCGCTTCCCCGTCGGCGAAGCATTTTGAATTTGTTTTCCAAAACGGGAATCACCCTTCAGGTATTGCTGATGGTGGCTTTGAGCTTGATTCTGGTGGAGATGGCCCAGACAGAGCAGATCAGACTGGACTCTTCTAAGCTCACATCCAAGTTCTTCACCTTGGAATCGGACCCGGAGTGCAGGTTCCGTCCATTCAATATCGAGTCCATGGTCGCAGTGGTAGCGCTGAACGTGGCATTCACCATTATACTATGTTAATACGCGTCAATGACATGATTTCAAATAATAGACTCTAGAGTTGTAAGCATTGTCTTATAGTAAGTGGTGTAAGGGTGGGATGAGATATTAAATCTGCAGCTTGACGTATATATATATGTAATTCAGTATTCCGTGAATCTTATTATATGACTGTTGTGGATTATAAGACCGTAATTGAGAACAAGCAAGCTTCTAACTTCCAAAAGATCCCTGTGGAGTGGCGTTTGGAAAAGATCCCTTCCCCTGAGGAACAAAAAGAGGTGGCTCCATTTATTGAGCCACTTCTTTCAGACAAAGAGCTGTGGATCACCAATGTTTCCGCTATTGAACTGCTTGAAAATTTGAAAGCTGGTAAGATTTCCGCTTTGGAGGTTACTCAGGCATTTTGTCACCGTTCTGCCCTGGTTCATCAATTGACTGATTGTTTGATTGAGATCTTTTATGATCAAGCTCTTGAAAGAGCTAAGGAACTTGACTCTTATTTTGCCAAAACAGCCAAGCTAGTCGGCCCCTTACATGGTATTCCAATTTCTTTGAAAGACCAGTTCAACTTGAAAGGTATCACCACTTCTATTGGGTTCACTGCTCCTCATATTTCCAAAGAGCTTGAAAATATCGTGGGCCAGAAAGAAACGGACCAGGAGTCTTATTTGGTCCAGATCCTTCACGACGCTGGAGCTGTGTTCTATGTGAAGACCACTGTTCCGATGGCAATGTTTGGAAATGAGACAAGCTCCAATCTTTCAACCACTACCCATCCTTTCGACAGACGGAAAACTCCAGGAGGATCGAGTGGTGGTGAAGCGGCTTTGCTTTCGGGCAAAGGATCTGTGATCGGACTTGGAACCGATATTGGAGGATCAATCCGTGGTCCTTGCGTCCAATGCGGTCTTTACGGAATGAGAGGCTCTTCCAATCGTTACCCATATTTGGGAATCTCTAATTCTTATCCTCATCAAACATGTGTTCCTTCTGTGACTGGACCGATGTGTCGGTACTTGGAAGACTTGGAGCTAGTCTCCAAAGTCATCATAGATGCCGAACCATGGCTGGTAGATGCGAAGGTCCCACCAATTCCTTGGAAAGAGTCTGTGGAGCTTGATACCGTTAATGTTGGTATCATGGTCTGGGACAAACAGATCAAGCCACACCCTCCAATCCTGAGAGCCCTGAAGGAAACCGAGACCAATTTGAAGAAAGCAGGCATTGACACTTTGGAGGTTGAACCACCTGTCAGTCACTTGGAGATCTGCGATTTCCTTACTGACTTGTACACCTGTGACGATTTTGCAGAAGTCAAGAAATACGCTGCGTTGAGCGGAGAGCCCCTTTCTGATCTTATCCAGCGTACTTTCAAGCTAAACGGACACATTGCTACTCTGGAAGATACATTTAATGCTTCTGCGCAAAAGTACAACTACCAGCAGATCTACGACAAGTTTTGGAACTCGACAGCCAAGCTCACCAAAAACGGAAAGCCTCTGGACTGTATTATTATGCCAGGTTGGGCTTCCACTTCCTGGAAAAGTGGCGAGAACATGAAGATCGCCAACGTTTACACAAGATTCTTGAATGTTCTAGATTACTCTGTTTTGACGATTCCTATCACTACTGTCAACGAATCCGATGATCCATTTGAGCGCACAGACTTCTCTGGCGAAGCAGACAAAGTGTGCTGGGAATACTATAACAAAGACTTCTACCTTGGAATGCCTGTTGTGTTGCAACTTGTCTGCCGCAGATACGAAGAAGAGAAGTGTATTGCTTTGGCCAAGAAATTGCTCCCAATCATCAGAAACACATAGCGGTTTTATTTCCATATATAGCTAATCAGGATACAGTTACCGTCTATCTCAGCTTTTTAATCGTCGTCTCGTAATTCACTTTCTTCTTTTCAGCAAAACTTCCTCGGTTCCGTACTCTCTGAAGTCCTTGTCTCCTTCAAGCTCGTTACGGATCACGTCCATACTCTTGGTCTGCTTAGCCCAGTACTTTTTGTCTTTCTTCAATTGTTTATTGAACAACTCTTTGTCTGGTTGTCTATAAGAGCCTCCCAATCTATCCCAAAGAGTGGTGAATTGGCCGTAGTTGTAGTTGAAGTACATGTGGTGGACCGTGTGACAAGCAGCGCCGTTCACAACTGGGTCATCGGACATGTACTCACCATCGTGGATCATCACGGTCCAGAAGTTGACAAAAGTGAAAAGAAGCAGGTAAGACACCTTGTGAAGCGGGAACAAAAATGGATACCAGTGATACGGAAGAGACTGCGCATATCCATCGACCGGGTGGAATGCGTGCGATGCAAATGGAGTGCACACAATCCACTTGTGGTGAGGCTTGTGCAAAACCTTGTAAACAGAGGGCCAGTGAAGCCATCTGTGGATAAAGTAAATTCCGCAGTCGGTAAACATAATGAAGGAAGGAATCTGATACAACAGAGCCCACCAGCCTCCTGTTTGCTCGTTCACGTGATAGTAAAGTTTAGAGTGGCCGTGGAGTTCCAACAAGAACCAAGGCACGGTCAACAAGACCATGACCGGGATAGACGAAAGCGCTTGCTTGATTTCCAAAGACATTTGGTTCTTGAGGTATCTTGGGTGGTTGAAATTGGTTTTGTCGTAAACAAAGTGGTACGATGCAGCGGCAACTCCAAAGTACAAGATCCATCCAAAAATGGTCATAATGATAAACAAAGAGATGGACTGTCTGATTAGGTTGGATCTTCCGAGCAACGAGAGATGGGCGTAAGCACTTTCGTCAAAGAAGTGGTATTCGTTGTTGATACCATAGATCTCTTTGTTTGAGCTGAAGATGTTTGGCAACTTGGCAGCGTCGGAGTAAGAAATAGCGGCCTGGGTTCCGTTGTTGATAACGTCGGCCAGTTTCTCAATGACTTGAGGTGTCTCTGGCACGTACTTGGCCAATGAGCTAGGCAAAAGAGTGGCAAACACTCTGTCAAACACGAAAGTGTCACAGATCTCTAGCACGATATCCATCTGGAGCTAGCGGACAAGCGAATGGTGCAAAAATATCAGGGGATTAGAGTCAAAATCCTTTCGATTAGCACAGTAGAAACAAAAGCGATGTCAAATGAAGGCTCGCTTTTAACGTTGTGATCTATTCTAATGGGAAAATCAAGATAAATAGTACCACTTTATTTTTTTCTTTATTTTTTATATACTGTCCTTCGTATATTTCGTTTACCTCGCTTATTCTATTTACAACAAAAAATTAGGCAGATTTTTGTACTGCGTAATTATTGGGCTTAACACGAGAATAAAAGTTTGGAAATACGCAAACACAACCGATGTGGTGGCAGGAGTGAATCGGACGATGAGGTAATTGAATAGCAAAGCGTACAGATACTTTGCGGCAGTAAACACCACCAAGTTAGATTGTAACTCCGGGCTTGCCAAGAGTTCGGACAAAACCGCCGGGAACTTTGAGAAATCTCTGAAGCAGTATAGTAGTGATAGAACCTGTTTAAACATCACCAGCTCCAGCCACACTGGTAGGCCGTAGAAGGAGAAGATTTCACTAGAAGAAAGCTCAAATGCTTTCAAGCCCATAGACAAAAATGACCAGGCATCGACACTCTTAACAGGACTCCAAGCGAACCAAGCTGTGAGCAGGACCGCTGTGTGAAAAATCAGCCATTTTGACGGATATTTTTCACCTCGGAGAAAGTGAGAAATGAGGGGAAGTGAAAATGGTACTTTTCCCCTGCTGGAATAAGTGGAAGCCAGCGATGCGAAAGTATATTGGGACATAACGTTTAGTAGCGAGAGATTGTACTTGTGCCCAATCAAAGACACGTACGTTGTCCCGGCGATCGTAAAGCTAGAGGCTATGTTGTAGACAAAGGTTGGATTTAGCATGAGATCCCAACAGTATTCCCCATCTAATGTTTTTATGCCGGGAACTTTCGAAAATGCCGCACTGTTAGTTGGCAGATTTCATATAAATTGAATATATTTTCCCCTAACAATCAATAGATATGTTGAAGTTGCCCATAAAATCACAAGTGTTGCGGGGCGGCGCTTATTTACGCGCCGCTTCGTTTCAGATCCGTTGCAAGAGCTCGCAAGAATCGAATTCCACTTACAGAGTCAACGACAACTCGCATTTCCCAGAGGATTCTGCGGATGCTACTGCTACTATCCTTTCCGAAGCAAGCGATTTCCAGAAGCGGATCCGCGATAGCAAGAATCGTGCCACCTGGTGGGAACTGATCAACAAGCAGAAAGAACGTGCCCATGAGGGTAAGAACATCGATTCGTTCACTCTGGACGATGTTGTCACTACAGAAGTGTTTGAAAGAACCAGGGCAGACGGTTTCTCCTACTTGGTTCTGCCATTCAAACAAGACCGGTTCTTGATGGACAACTACTTGAACGTGGCAGGAAGATTGCGGTTTGGAAACCTTTTCCAGGATTGCGACTCATTGGCAGGAAGAGTGGCCGCAAAACATTGCAAGCCGGCTGAACCTATGAATGTTACTGCATCTATTGACAGAATCTATGTGACTCGTAAGGTTGACGAAATTCACAAGTATAACTTTGTCATTGTTGGTTATGTCACCTACACTGGTAGATCGTCCATGGAGATCTGCATCAAGGGTTTCTCTTTCGAACATGATCTACCAGCTGAGATCAACCCAGACTTTGTTGAGCAGTACAAGAAAGATTGCTTCCTTTCTGCAAACTTCACATTCGTTGCAAGAAACCCAGCTACCCACAAATCACATGCTGTCAACAAGTTGCTTCCATCTACAGAGAAAGAATGGGTCGATTATAAACGGGCCGAGAGTCGGATTGCAGCCAAAAAATTGCGTGCCAAACTTGAGTCGCTTGAGAATGTTCCTCCTGCGGAACACGAGTCCCAGATGATTCACAATCTTTACACTTCGTCCAAGAAGATCCTTGAGAGTGATATCAGCGTTCCAAACATCGTTTTCATGAAAGACACCAGACTTGCTGCCACCCAAATCCAGCAGCCTCAATATAGAAACCGTCACGGTGTCATTTTCGGAGGATATTTGCTAAGACAGACTTTTGAGCTCGCCTACTGTGCTGCAGGTGCATTCTCCAAGTCCAACCCTAGATTCATTTCTCTTGACAATACCACCTTCAAGGCTCCTGTTCCCGTTGGATCTGTTTTGTATATGGATGCCGAGGTTTGCTACACGGAGCACATCCATGAAAAGGACGAGGTTTCAGAGTCTTCAGAAGAGTTGAAGCGTGTTTTGAAAGATTACGACACGAGTGCAAACCTTTTGAGTGCTGACGAGCAGGAATATTTCTCTGTTCCAGGAACATTAATTCAGGTGAAAGTGGAAACCAAGATCCGGACTTTGAGTGACACCAAGATGACTCAAAGTGGAACTTTTGTCTACTCTTTCTTCGTTCCTCGGGACGCCAACGGAGATCATGACGATCCTGGCTACTCGTCTGTTATTCCAGAAACTTATGGAGAAATGATGGATTACGTTGAGGGACGTCGTCGTGCATACGACACAGCTGCTTATGCCCAGCAGTTGAAGTTGTCTAGCGGAAATTAGCAGTATTAACTATTTATTATAAGATATTATTCTGTCAAGACTAGGAGAAGTAACAATAATACAAATACGCGAGAAATAAATCACCATCGACCATCACAACATCGAGCTGTTATTTGAGGAGTTCTCGATGACGCCCTCGAACGATCTCTCGTTTCTTGGAACGTTCACAGCTTGCGAACCCTTGCGCTGGACGTCCACAAACTTGGCGCTGCTCTTACTCAGGTTAGAATCCGAGTAATCGCGAGGCAACTCTTCATCTAGAGTTGTGAGGTCACGAGGACGGTCAAGTGCGTCCACGTAGTCGCTGGAAGAAGACTGGTCGTAATTGACGTAGTTTCCAGAGCTCGACGAAACATACGACGAGTTTCTGTTGTTGAAGAACATGCCTTGCGACTTGCGCTGCAGGTTCGGGTCATCCGTCACTCTCACTGTCATAAGATCAGTGGTAGCAACGGTAGCCAACGACGTGAGAGAGTCTCTTGGTTTCCATTTAGAAGCGCTATTACGCCACGACTTGGTGATTTTCTGCGAAGGGCCAGGGATCAGCTCATCAGTACTTTGGTGAGCCATGGCCTCATTGTATAACGATTGCGACCTCGAATGCGTGCTGTCCACGTTGGTGAGCGACGAAGCATCGTCACCGCGCACAGCAGCTTCGTCCAGTTTGAGCACGTTCAGAGCAGACAGACGTTTGGCATGGTCTCCGTCAGGGTCGTTCTTGAGAGTCTCTGCAGTGCCTTGAGGGTTGATGTAGAAAGCGTCCTTCTTCTTTTCCGTGTCTTCGTCGTCATCGGCCTGAGACTTGCGTCTTCTCCAGCAGCAGCAGAAAATGAGCAGAGCAGCGAGAAGAGCAGCTAGAGGAAGAGCAACACCCAAACCAATTGCAAGTTTCTTTTTGGAGTCAGAGGAAGACTTGGATTTCGAAGTTGAAGTGGCAGATGGAGAGGAAACAGCAGTAGACGAGCTGGTGGAATGTGCCGTTCCAGAAGAAGCAGAGCTCGAAGAAGTCTTTGAGGACGAGCTACTCGAACTCGAGTGCACCGTGCCGACTCCTCTGATGGTAAACTCTCTGGAGTCGGAAAGACTGTTCATCGAGGCTTCGATGTTCACTTCTGTTTCGTCGAAATCGTCAGGAACGTTACCTGCGAAAGAATGGTTGGTGTAGTAGTATGTAAGCCAATTTGCATCGGAGAAGTTAGCTTTGATCGAAGTGGAGTTCAAATTGGAGAAATCGTCCGATGGTAGCGAGTACACAAAGAACTCGCCACGAGTGGCGTTGACATCTGGGAAATCGTCGGTCGTGAAGATATCGGAGTAGATATCAATCTCAAAGTTTAGAAACACGGAGTTTCCATAAACATCGTTCACAGTGACGTTCACCAGCACGTTTGAGTCCTGATCACGTGGGACAGTACCGGTCAATCTACTAGAGTTGAGACTGACCCAAGAAGGAGCCTCATATAGCGACACCTTGGAAATGTTGGCCGAATCAATGGTGACTCCGTCCAACAACACGTCTTCCAAAGGAAGTTCCACGTTGAACGCGTTTCCTGCAGACGTTCTGATCTGGAGATCCGAAGAAACGTTCGTGGTGAGCTCGTGGGCACCGACAACAAGGTAGAACGAGCCATAAGCACCGGTGTATCCTTCATAATCTGTAGCGATCAAGATGAAACCGAAATCTTGGGAAGGAGCGATCTGGGAATTAATTGCAGGTGCGGTACCAGAGAAAGTGAGGGTGTCTTCGTCGAAGTAGCACCAACTTGGGAGAGAAGTTCTGTTGAGAGATTTTCCGTAATACGCGATGATCTTGTTGGTCGAGCCCGAACTCATTTCAAAGGTATCATTGGAGAATTGGATCTTGAAAGACTTCTCAGGTTCCACAACAAGTCCATCGTAGCCATTTGTGTTCCCAATGGATTCCAGCTGGGAAAAAATAGAGTCTTTGAGTTCGGGGCCCGCTTCGTCAGAAACAACAATCGACACGGTCTGATTATAGGTGCCCGAATTATCTTTTCCAACAAGGTTAAACGAAAGCGAGTTAGTGGCATCTGAAGAGGATGGAATACCCGAAAATGTGAGCGACGATTCATCGAACGAAAGCCAGTCTGGCAAGTCTTCCACAGAATAGGCGACACTTCCATCATCTGTTTGATAGGTCTCTTTGCTGATAGAGAAGGAGTACTGTTCACCAACTCTGGCCACATCAGGCAGCTGCTGAGAGAACGGGAACCCCGAGTAGGGAGTGGCCGATGTCAGCACTGCTAAACATAAAAAGCCTAGTAGTAACATTGCTGAGAGAAATTGGCAGGGATGGATTTGTTTTTAAGGATACACGGTCAACAATAATAAACTTCAACGCGTCTGCATTTGAAAAAAAAAACCCAATTAGGAAACTAGGGATGAGGAGGGGCATCTGGCGTTTGAAAATCGCCGCGTGCTTGCACCGCCACGTAATTAAGGCCAATTTTTGCAATAATTTTTTTTTTGTTCTCTGTTGCGCTTGGTGACTTGACTGTGTACGGGTGTGTAAACTTCTTGCTAATATTATAATCTGTGCTGTTCCAACCGCCAGTGGGGCTGTTCTATCATTGCCCATTGCTAGCGCCCTTGCTATCGTCATCGTTCAATATCTTTGACCATGCCCCCCACACTTGTATCGCCAAGATATGTGTTACTTTCTCTGACCATTTGCGGTCTGTCTCTTTTGTCTCTTATAGCTTTTAGCTTTTTGGAGAAACTAGACGGCCCAGACTGCGCTCAGTGCCGCAGCGTGTACATGTCTCCGGCATATGCTCGAGTCCATGGTTTTGATGAGACTCACACACGGTTTGCATCTAAGTACTCTCTCTATTTATACAGAGAGCAAGGTAAAGATCCCTTGCCAGATGCGGACGGGCACAGCCTCCAACTCAGCGGAACACCAGTACTTTTCATTCCCGGAAATGCTGGCAGTTACAAGCAAGTTCGTTCATTGGCATCGCAATCTGCCAACTTCTATTACACCGAGTTTGCCAAATGCCAAGACCTAAACCCGAACGTCAATAATCTAGATTTCTTCTCCGCGGACTTCAATGAAGACTTCACTGCCTTCCACGGAAGAACGATGCTCGACCAGGCCGAATACCTCAACGACGCCATTGGTTTCATCCTGAGTCTTTACCGACATAACCCGACCCCAGCTCGGTCGGTCATTCTGGTCGGTCATTCCATGGGAGGCATAGTTGCTCGAGTCATGTTGAGTCTCCCCAATTATGTGGAAGATTCGGTCAACACTATTCTGACTCTTGCCGCTCCTCATGCTGCTGCACCAGCCACCTTTGATGCTGATTTGTTGCATGTTTTCGCATCTACAGACGATTTTTGGCGTCATGGCTTTGTCAACAGTGGCTCGGCTCAAAGCGCACTAAATACTGTTGCCAAAAGAAGACTCAAGGATGTTGCTTTAATATCCGTGACAGGTGGGCTTTTGGATAATATGCTTCCTGCAGACTATACTGCTTTGACAGGGCTGGTGCCTGAGTCCAATGGGTTCACCATTGCTACCACCGGAATTCCTGGTGTTTGGACACCTATAGACCATCTTGCTATTGTTTGGTGTGATCAGTTGCGGAAAGTTCTTGCTAGCTCGTTACTTCAACTTGTCGACAAGACTTCGGAAACCAAAACCTATCCACTTGAAAAACGGATGGAGATTTTGCGCAAGAATTTGTTGACTGGTTTCGAAGAAGAGGCAGTACAGGATTTTGACTCCTATAAAGCTGGAACTGGTAAACTAGACCTCCCATACAAGCTCAAAATTGATACTAAGCAACTCAAAGACACTTCGAGACAGCGCAATTTGCAATTACCAAAGTCCAATCCAAAAGATGAATTGTCTGCATCTCCGGATATGCATCTATTCTACATCCCTAAGGATGGACTCAAATTCAAGTTCAACTTCTTGAGTTCTTTACCACCGGTAGATATTTCCAGCTTGGGAAAACGTTCTTCGGCTCCGTCCATCCTGCTTTGCAGAACTTTGACACCTGATGGAAGATCTTTCAAGAAAGAATTTGATTATACATCTGACACTACCAGTAAGGCGGTTCAGCTTGAATGTATTGATTTCCACAAAGACGTCCACAAAATACCAAGATCATATAATGATTCCGAGTCGGCTACGGAATCCTCTTTGGGAGCAGATAAAAATCCATTCTACTCTGTCCAGTTGGACTCCAGAGTGCTGTCAATGTTTGATGCGGTCGTTATCGCAGAATCGCCATCTCCAGTGATACGCCCTGATTTCGTTCTTGCCGACTTGGAACTCACGCAATCGACTGATCTTGTTCTTGGTGATTTTGGGCTGTGGAAGCTCTTCTCAAGAGGTTACGATGTCACCTTACCGGCACATCGTCCGATCTCCGTCAATGTGAAGGTTCCTTCGGCATGGTCCAGTCTGTTGGCTTACAACTTTGATATTCGGTACCAGCAATCTCAAATGGAACGGTTTTCTCCTATTCTGAGCCAGCGAGTGCGAGATGAAACCAAATGGCATATCAACTTGCATGATGATAAGGCCCTCACAGCTCTGATTCAGGGTGTTTCTCCTTTCTGTCCATTTACGAGAGACGAAGACTCTTCACTTGAACTGCAACTTTTCAGTGACTCTCTTGCGTCTGATCAAATCATGGACATTTATTTAACTGTGAACTGGTTCAAGTCGTTGAAGCTGCTTGTGCTCAAATACAGACTTTCGGTCTTCAGTTTCCCAGTCTTTGTCACCACACTTGTTCTGTTTTTACAATTCAAAAAGTATATTCAAGACGACATCTTCCCGTCATTTGGGGAAGGATTGTTGATGCTCTGTGATTTGAGGGTATTGACGCCGTTGATGTTGCTTTTAAGCTTTCTTTCGTCATTTGCATCACAAGCGGCTTTCCAAAAACTGTTGAGCTATATCGATCCTGTTGATTTTGGAAACGTGAGTTTGATGCAAGAGATTGAAAAGTCTGACGTTTACGTCAATCTTTACTTTCTCGGTTTAGAAGAAAAAGCATTGTGGTTTTTCGGGCCTGTGGCTCTTGTCATTTCGTTGGCTCTTGTGTGCGCATTCTACAATATTCTTTCAGTTCTACTATGGATCATAACATCTACGTTGCGCAAGTTACATGTCTCTAACATGTTTAAGTCTTCAAAGGTTGGGGTATACAATAGAAGACGGGCCACTGGAACTGCAATAATTTTAGCTCTTGTTCCATTGTATATCCCTTACCAGTTTCCATACGTGGTAAGTTGTTTGGTGCAGTCCACCGTTGTGATACGTGCTTATCTTTCGTCCTCTGTTCAACGAAACAATTCTGTGGAGAATTTTAGAAACTTCAACTTTTCGCTGCTCATGTTGATGCTCTGGATCCTGCCCGTGAACGTTCCTGTTTTGATTGTTTGGATCCACAACTTTTCGCTTCGTTGGGCCACGCCGTTTTCGTCACACCACAACTTCCTGGCCATTATTTCCATCGTGTTCCTTGTGCAGAACAACGTTGCTGGAAATATTGTTCCACGGCCTACCTCGCCGGTTACTATCTTTGTGACGAAATTCTTGATCGCTTATTTCTCGCTGTGTTCACTTATCTACGGCACGCGACACCTGTTTTGGTTACACTACCTACTCAACTTTCTGTGTGCTTGGTTGCTGTTACTTCTGATGGAAGCCAATTTGAGCGGGCACGTTAAAAACATTGCCACTTTCAAGAGAGAAGATTCATCATCTAAATTACATTAGCATACGTTGTATTTATAAATTGTAATGCTAGCACGGTAAATGTTCTGCGTAAAAGCCTTTGATGTTCAAGTATGGCAACGAAAGCTGTCTGAACTCGTGGATGCGTGTTGGAGGAGCGGTCGAAGGTGTGCTGGTAGCCACCTGAGTTTTGTGTAATGTCCAATCTTGAGCGAGCAATTGGTTGAATACGGAGTTGTCTGCCGATATCAGCACCTTGAAAGTGGACGGAGTGTCGAATTTTTCGGCCGTTTGCAGTTCGTTGATCACGGAGTACAAAAACGCTTGGAACTCCGCATATAATACATTCATTTTAAATTCGTCTGACAATTCGAGTCCCGAAGATAGAGCTTCTAACAACGGCGAATTGGTCAAACTCACCGCATACGTTTCTGAAACCACAGATGAATCTCCTCGGTAAATTTCCACGAAAACCCTGTTCAATCTGCCCCGTTCCAGTAGATCTCTCCATTTCACAGCCAGCGTTTTGACGTATTGTTTAACGTCTGGGTGTCTGGAGGTATAAACTGGTAGTTGAAACGACCTGGCTCGGTCAAATGATTCTGGTGGATAGACGTACCGATGGTACCATACTTGTTCGACAAAACATTGTATCAACTCCACTGTGAGAGATACCACTTTGCTCTTATCGATCATAAAAAATTACAATTATTTCTTACGCGTAATGACTTTAACTCGTATTACCCGCGGAGACGCGCACAATATCACGTCGGGCCAGGTGATCATTGATTTGGCCACGGCGTCTAAGGAGCTGTTGGAGAACTCGCTGGACGCTGGCGCAACGCAAGTCACGGTAACATTCAAGAATTACGGGGTCAACTCTATAGAGGTGAGTGATAACGGGAACGGAATTGGCCAGGATGATTTTGACGGTCTGTGCATGAAACACTATACGTCCAAGCTAGAAACGTTTGAAGATGTTGCTTCGGTTCGCACTTTGGGGTTTAGAGGCGAGGCCTTGAGTTCTCTCTGTGCAATGGCTTCCGTCACGATAACCACCTCAACCAAGGAAACCCAGCCAAAGGCACACAAGTTGGAATACAACCAGCGGGGAAAACTCGAGAAACAGCAGATTGCCAGTCGAACGGCGGGCACTACGGTACTGATCAGCGATATATTCAAGAATCTACCTGTTAGAAAGACTGATCTGGCCAAAAATGCCAGACGAGAGTTCCAGAAAGCCATCACTCTACTGCAGTCGTACGCCCTAATCAACACAGGTGTTCGGCTGGTGTTGCAGCATGTGGATGCCCGGGGGAAAAAAAGTATGGTGCTTGCTACCACCGGTTCCAAAGAACTGAAAAATAATGTTCTGAGCGTGTTTGGAGCCAACGGCATGGTCGGTTTGGAACCCGTGAACATGGAACTGAATGTATCTGCGAAGTTCAGGTTGAAAAACTCGTCGATAGAGCTGCGCGTTCACGGTTTTGTATCGAACTGTTCGTTTGGAAAGGGCAGATCCTCGACTGACCGGCAGTTTTGGTTCATTAATAAACGGCCTGTGAAACTGCCGCATTTCTCCAAGGCTATCACAGAAGTTTACAAGAGTTTCAATCATCTGCAGTGTCCTGTGATACTGCTGGACATCGAGCTGGACCCGCAATTCGTGGATGTCAATGTGACTCCAGATAAACGGACTATCTTTCTGCATAGTGAGACGGTGATTGTCGAAGCAGTGAAGGAGAAGATGACCGAGATCTTTTCGGAGCAGGACACCAGCATTCCAAAGAGCCGACTGGCGACCGAACGCAAGGAGAGCAAGTGGCTGCAGCGGGATGAGCAGGAGCAGCAAGGGGAGGAGGAGCAGGAACCGGAACAGGAACATGATGATGATCCAGATGAAGAACAGGCTGACGATTCTGCAGTGGATGAGACTGTTCAGGCTGGCGCCTCAAAGTCCCCGCAAGATTTATCTGCGGATGAGCCTCAGTCCGAACTGCCTGAAGAGCTATCTGAAGAGATGGATGGTGTCGCAGCGGACTCTCCACCGCCTCCCGAGTATGACCAGCCCGAAGATGTGATCTTTGAGAAAGTGACTGAGCTCGTTTCGCAAGACCGCAGAGCTAAACGAACTATCGCAGATCTGGTCACCATCCACAAAGCTTCACCTGAACCTCAAGAGCCTGTTGAAGATGCTGACACCACTCAGTTGGCTACCTCTGCACATGTTGTCACCGAGACCGACGCATCGGATGTCTCGCTGTCTGACGAGTCGACATCCAATATCAGTATGCTGCGCACCGTTTTGGACGAAGCAACGTCTCCACTAAGCACAAATACCTGCAATCACGAACATTCGCCGCTTTTCGTGTCGCCAGTGCGTGAAAAGTCTACTAAAGTTAACCAGCGCGTGACAGAGTCGCTGCACCATACGGAGTCGTCTGTTTTGGTGAACGCTGACAGTTTCAGGGTGAAACGTCCCAAATTGGGCCAAGATCCAACCAAGAACAGGAATATTGACGATATCAGCGATGAGATCGACGCCGAGCGGAAACTGACGCTGTCTGTTTCAAAGAAGGACTTCTTGGCAATGAAGGTGATTGGCCAGTTCAATCTGGGATTCATTTTGGTGACCAAAACAGACAAATCTGGAACACATTTGTTCATCATTGATCAGCATGCGTCTGACGAAAAATACAATTTTGAGCGGTTTCAAACCGAAACCGTGTTCAATAACCAGCCACTGGTGGTTCACCAGCCGCTCGAGCTGAACGTTCTTGACGAGCTTGCTGTTATGAACCATCTGCAAGTGTTTGAGAAAAACGGGTTTGGACTCGTTGTAGACGAAGATCTAGACCCAGGACACAGAATCAAGCTTGTATCCTTACCATATTCCAAAGATACCACATTTGATCTGTCTGATTTGGACGAATTGATCCATCTGGTGAAGGAGCACCAGGGCAAGGGTGTTCTTCGTCCCTCCAAGGTTCGTGCTATGTTTGCCATGAGAGCGTGCAGATCAAGCATCATGATTGGCAAGCCACTAAACCACAAAACAATGGCCAAAGTGGTGACTAACCTGTCCACTCTCGATAAACCGTGGAATTGCCCGCATGGCCGGCCCACAATGCGCCATCTGATAGAGCTCAAGAATTGGGCAACTTTCAACAAGGATTATGAAACATGAAGCACAGAATAAATGGACCCCTGATTTTCTATCCATTGATCTTCCGTATTAGGAAATTTTTTTAATTCACACCAAATCAAGTCAAACAGGATGTCAAAGTAGGGCCCCGGCAACATATAAAGTGCGCTAATTCCTGGGATATTGTTTCTCATCAACTAATTGCGATGTCCGACTTCACTTCTGACGATATTAATCCGTACAACGTTGTGTTGAACTACACTTCTCCTTATGGCTTCACTCAAGTCACTTTCCATGATCTCGACACCAGAGCAAAGACCGTGATGCAATACGCTGTTATCTTTGGTCTGAGATTGGGCTTTGCTACGGTTCTCTTCCCAATCATATACATCGTGACCAAGAACAAGAAAACCGTGCTGTTTGTGATCAACCAGTTGTACATTGGAACGTTGTTCGTCCACTCCATAATGTACATCTGCACATTGTTCAAGACTTACTGGTCGTTGACATACCACTTTTCCGGCTACGAGATCAACGACAAGTCTGCTCTTGACCTGACCGCCGCAACCAGTATTGTCTATGTTATCTTGATTGGATTATCCACCCTTTCGATGAGCTACCAGGTCCACATTGTTTTCCGCGGTCCTTCAATCTACTACAGAAACATCGGCTGGTCGGTCGTTGCACTCTCTGGTCTTTTGGGTCTTGCTTCCACTGTTCTGTATCTTACCTACGCTATCATGGCCAACATCAATCTTTACAATTCAAACTATGTCGTGCCAATCTGGGTGGTCAATGCCTCGCAAATCTGCTACGCCTGCTCATCGTTCGTCGTGTCCACCATCTTGGCATCCAAACTTTTCATCGCTATCCGCACCAGAAAGTTCTTGGGACTGAAACAGTTCAGTATCTTCCACATACTTTTCATCATGTCGTTCCAGACCATGATCATTCCATCTGTGATCATTGTGGCGTCGTTCAAGTCCATGAGCAGTACCCAGAGCTCCAACCAGTCTCTGATGGCCATTGTGACCGCTCTCATTGGAGTCTCTCTGCCAATCACAACGATGTGGGCCAACTCGGCTATCAATGAGACCTCTGCCACCTCGATCTCAAATACTCACCTGCAGAAGTACAACACCAACACCTCGTACGACGCCAGCACCCAGTCGTCTCCGACCTCGTACAAGTCGTCAGGAGGCATTTCTGCCGACTGCAAAGACGCTGAGTCAGGATACTCTCGTTCCATCACCGATCCTAGTACCGCAGTCACCGATAAGAACTTCTGGTCAGAGGTTCAGTACTTGGCCCATGGCCTGGAGCCTTCGGACTTGGACGCCGAGGACTACGTGCGCGCAACTGTTGAAACTTCAATTAATAGCAAACATAACCAAATATAATACTAATTGTCTTTTACATATCGACCGGGTATCTACCCAAAAGTCTGAAGTCTAAATCAAGCGAGTGATCCAAAGTGTCCATTTGTTCCATGGCCAGGTCCTCAGAAGCGTATTCGCGCAGGTTGGCGGCCTCTTCCTCGTAAAAAGAGATCAAGTCCTCAAGAGACATGGCATCTGGAAGACCAGTGTCGTACACCACCACGCCGTGGTCGGCAAGAGCGTGTCTTGCGTACTCAAAGCTTGGTAATGGAGCAGACATGGTCAGGTTCAATTGGTGCTCCACCACGGCTTCTCCGTGGTTACCTGTTGGAGAGATGGTGAAGTTGGAGGTTCCGTTTTCGTGGCTGGTTCCCTTGAGCACAGTCAACCCGTCGATCTTGGTCTTGTGGCTGAAACTCTTGGTGATGTTGACTTCGAGATCAATGTCGCCTGCAATTCCCGCGGTGGTTCCGATCTTGGAGATCAATGGCTGTGCGAAAGTCGAATTCACGCTTCTGAGTGTCTTGTTGGTGACAGGATCAATCTTAGCAGTGGACAGAGAGAAGGATGGAACAGCCACCAAGGACTCGGTCTGGCCAGCTTTGGTGAACAGCAGAATGTTGCTGTGCTTGGCCTTGTTATAGAGCTCAACAACGTGAGAATCAACAGTTCCATTGGACAAGGTATAGTTAAGAGTAGAGTTGATCTTGTTTGAGTATTTTGCGTTCACGATCTGGGTGTAGAATCCGCTGAAAGGTGGAGCAATCGCAATTGCCGAGACAGACGTTTTATTTTCAAACGAAAGAATCTCTCCCGTGGAATCCACCACCAGAGGGTCTTCCCAGGTGACAACGTTACCGGAAGCGATCCAGTTGGATCCAACACCATTTGGCACTTGGCCAATCTTCAAGTCGTCGTCCACACAGTTCGAGACTTCGATAGAAAGTTGGGTCGATTTGTCCCAGAAAAGTGGCAGCAATGGAGTGACATCCAGCTCCAAAGCCTTGACATCAAAAGCACCAGTCGAGACAATTGGGTTCCACAGAGATGGCGAGATGCCGCCGGTGTAGACAACCACGAATGGGTTGACACTCAAAATACGGATACCATCTGCGAAAACGTTGATGGTACGGCAAGGACCGTGGCCCGGATAGGACTTTCCAAACAGAGTCTTGTGCTCCTCCAAAACGTTGGAGTACCAGAACTCCTCCTCAGCATTACCCGAAACGTATAATTGCAGCGCAACACGAGTGGTGTTGGCACTCAATTGAGGAACAACGGTATCAAAGTCGGAGTCGGGTAAATAGAGCAAAGGCGGTCTATCGGCAGGGGCCTTCACCAAAGGATACACCTGGTCTGGAATAGGAGCCTTTGGACCAGCTGGTTTGTAGTCGTAATACTTGATGCTCAAGCTGACGTTGAATTCACCAGTGAGTCTTGGAGTCACGATATTGTCCAGCTGGAAAAGGATGGTTGCATCACCCTTGAACAGGTTGGAGTACCAGGACACATCTTTCTCTGTGTGAGAATGGGACAGGTTTCCGTGCGGCTCGATGGTGCTTGTTCTCCAAACCTCAATGCCGTCAACATACAAATGGGCAAGGCGGTCGTATTGAACTCCGTCAACCCAGGTATCCAAGGAGACAACGACTCTATTGAAGGTGAAGTTAGGCTTGATGTAGGATGCCTCGAAAGGGTGGCCCCAACTGTTGCCAAAAGTATGGTTCAAAATGTGCTGCTCGAAAACCGGCACTCCGAATCCGTAAATTGGGAAGCCAACCTCGTAGACCTCGGTAACGGGTGCTGGCTCTGGTGCTGGCTCAGACAGCTCGTACGGAGCAACAGACGAGGATTTCCATGGCAGGTTACCGCTGTAGCAAGAAAAGAGGGTGTTGACCAAAAGGTAAAGACCAACTCCGTACAAAGCACCTTTCCATTTGCTTGTCTTTTGACGTTTCTCAGAATGATAGTATTGAGGCTCTTGCTGTAGCTCTTGTTTCTCAGAAAGAGGAAGCGTGGACTCTTCGTCCCGAGACTCTTGGTTCATTTGCTTACGAACCATCAATTGGTCCCAGATGGACCATTCTCTGGCCAAACTTGCTTTAACCATCGCCTCGTAATAAATTTGAAGGTTAAAAGAAAATAATGCGGCTGCAAATTAATTTGGGTTCCGTGATTGCCTAAACGAGAAACTGGATAAATTTAATTGATAATATTTATTTATGATTCAGAGGATTAGAAAGATCTTCAGTTCGTTCCGCACGGAGGAGGAAGAACGCAAGTTTTCGCGGCTGGCGGTAAGTGATCAAGTGTTAATGACACTAACACCCAAAGTTTTACAATTTCATGGGCTTTTTAACCTCATGTTTGGTGTTTTCGTTTGTGGCACAAAAATTAAGCTCCTCCAATCTACAGTATTTAAGAAAGGAACTACTTCAACAGTCATAACGTCATGCTTTTTTGCTTAATGCAACTATACACAGAAAATTCGCTCTATGGTGAAGGCTTGTCCCTCAAAAGATAGGCCTTAGCCATCTCATATGCTGTCCAGCTGATGGCTGTTGACGGCACGTTAAACACAACACGGGGTCTGAGTCCTCTCCAGAACGCACTTGACCCACCAACCTGGTAAAGTCCCACTGCGGCTGTTCTGAAGCCAGTGACGTTGGGGACGGACCGTGTTTGTAATGCAGTCTTGATGCAGTCTAACGGGGTGGTGAGAGCAGCAGCAGCAGCTCCACTAATTCCTCCCGAAATACAGTGCAACATTGGATTATAAAGTTGATCGGGATTCAACTTGGAGCTGGCATATTCATAAACTCCAAAATTAATGGCAGCAAATGGAATGTTGAGAATTAACGTAGTTGGATACGAGATGAAAAACGGTCTCAGGCCCTCTTGTTTGTAGATGTTCCATGCCACATTGCCAATGGAGATCTTGGAGTAATGTTTCTTATTAATGATTTGCATTCGTTGCTTCAAAACGTCAAATGGAGTCATCAGGGCGTCGGAGGTGGTGGTGGCCGCTATTCCCGACATCGATGCAATGATTGGATGTCTTTCATCGGTGATAAAGCTGGCGTTGGAATGGCTGTGCGAACTTGCAGACATTTTGCAAAGAGCGGTTTTGGTGGACTCGAACACAAGATAATACACTGCGTGTGCAGGTCCCGCGCCCAGAACAACCGAAGAAACTCCTCGCCAAAGTGCAACGGCTCCTTCCGTGGATGAGATCTTAGAGAAGGACTGTATGATTCCTTCGTTCAACGGCACCTTCATTATTTGCATTCGGGTTTTGATAGCATCTATCGGATACATCACTGTGTGTTCCATTATTCCAGCAAAGGCGCCAGCAGTAAGTTGCGCAATAACAGGCGAGTTTTCCGGAAGCGATTCATAGTCAATCTCAACTCCATCGTGGGACGGCCTTGGAATCATATGGCTGACTCTTTCCTTGTTGGAGAATCCCTGGTCGTCCAGGTCTCTATCTTTCAAAATCGGGCGCGGCGTCGTCATCGTGGTGGATTGGTCGGATGTCAATTTGAGAATATGGTATGGTGAGCCTGTAGAGTCACCAATTTGAGACAAAACGTTTAGGCTCCGCTAAATTGCTCTGCTTTCTCAACAAGCTGTGTAAAAGATTCCTTGAAAACTTTTATCTCTGGTGAAATTTTCTGAATCCAGTAAATCACCTTCAGCTATATACACTACCTCTATTCTCTTGGATATTCTCCGTTTTGTTAAAGTAGGTCCGAACCTCGTATTTGTACAAGTTTTTCTCTGCTCGCTTTTTTTTTTTCACCGAGCTTTTTCAAAGTAAAATCCGTCACGGCTACCGCAGCATGGCCATGTTTGAGTGCGGGAAAGCCGCTTACGTAAATTGCAATGGGTCTCCAGCGGCCGAATCAGCGCATGATGAAGCTGTATTCCACACCTATCAGGCGTCCGACCGCTGTTCGGCCCAAAGTAAGTATGACCTGTAACCTTCGGCCATATCGTCTTTCCTATAGCCAATAGCGATAACGTAGACAGCTGCTGACCAACGGAAAAAAATTAGCCAGACCTCCTCTCCAAATTTTGCTTAGCTAATTTTTGGGTCGCTTCCCGCCCCAAGTGCTGCTTTGCGGTGCACGGGTGTTCGGTGAAGAGAAACCGTTACCCCCTTCTGGGCTGCAGATAAGAAATTAATTACGTGCAGTTTGGCTAGTTTCAGCGTTCAAGAGGATTTGTGTTGCCAGGATGGGTCTGAGATATTCGCAATGTCTGGACCCGGACAATGTTGACAGTGAATATAATGACCAGGTGCTTCTGAGTAGACAATCGTATTGTCCCCATCCATGCTATGATCACCACGGCTCTTCAGAAGAGGAGGAGGATTGTGAAACCGAGCCCCGGTATCCTCTTTTTTATACTCGTGGAGCCACAACAAGAGTCCTGTACTTGCAACAAACACGGTTTCCGAGTTCTTCTGGCCGTTCGTCACGGTCAAGACCGCTTTATCGCAAACATTCGAAATATAACAAGAATGGACAGGCTATCACTTATGGGTGCAGTCAATGTCTGACGCATTTGTCTTCATCCAACATGATTATCAGCGATGAATACACCGGGAAAACCGGGGACGCTTTGCTTATTTACAACGTTGTGAACGTCCTTTTCGGAGAGCCGGAGGTCCGGGAAATGACATCTGGTATGTACACGGTTTGTGACATTAAATGTCACCAATGTCACAAATTGTTGGGTTGGAAGTATCTTAAAAGTCATCAAACCTCGCAGAAGTTCAAAGAACAAAGATACATTTTGGAAATCAATAATATGAAGGTTGTCGCATAGGTATAGGAATATGGAATAAATGGTTGGTTCGTTTTCTTAATCCACAGTTAGTAGCTGAGACCCCTGCTTGGATTTTTTCAGTTCTGTACGAAGTCTCAGTTTCTCCTGCTTTTCCAGCTTCTTTTGTTGTTTCAACTGTTTCTTCTCGTCCTGGCTGAGTTTCTTCTTTTCCGATGGTTTCACCTCGTACGATATTTTATCATAAAGTTTACCTTCCTTTTGGAAAGTTGCGCCAACTGTCTGGAGAAGCTCGTCTATGCTGGTTTCGATTTTGCTCCGTTTTGTATGCTCCAAGTCGCTCAAGGAACTGGCGTGTCCTTTCGTTCTCACATCCTTGTCGAAATTGTCTTTGTCGTCTATTTCTATGCGGACCCTGTCACCTTTCTTGATCTGGGTCTCTATCTCGTGTCTTTTTTGGCCATTCAAATCGTGCAAGGTAATCTGCCACGAAACTCGAATAAACTTCACGTCCGGCTCTCTTTGTTTGCTCTCTTGTTTCTGCTGTTTGGCAGCCATCCGGGGATTCTTTTTCTGAAACTCCAAGGCAACCTCTTGTTGGAGATGATCAGAAAGCTGTTTTCTTGCAAGTTGTTGAGAAGTGGCTTTCAGAATCCCAATAGTCTCACCTTTTTCGTCCTTGCTGGTCCCCATAAACAAATATCCCTCTTGAGAAAGATCCACACGCTGAACGGCGTCTTTCAAACGCAAAACCCCGAGGTTTTGTCCGTCTCTGATCACCTTCACTAACCCTTGAGGACTAACTTCTCGAACCTTGTTGATTACCAGTCTCAAAGTGTCCTGGTCTCGTTTCGTCCCGCCAAGATCCTGGATCCGTGGCGGTCCACGAGACCGGTTCTTCGCCAAAGCCGGTCTCGCCAAACTAAATTGCCTAACCAAACCTCCTCGAAACATTAAATTTCCAAATAAATATTTTTTCACTAACTCTCTTTAGAATATATAACGTACTTTTTCGTCTCTTCAAATGTCTCTTCATCCACGAATCACCAAATCGTCCGGAATACCTGCGTACTCATCGTACTTCATGGCGAGGTTGATGTTTTGCAAACACTGCGTAGAAGCTCCCTTTAAAAGGTTGTCGATGGTTGCAACCACAACCACACGGTCCTGTTTGGCGTTCACAGCAAATGCTCCGACAACAACTCCGTGCTTCCCACTGATGTCCTTCACAAATGGAGCTTCACCACTCACAGTAATCAGCTGCTCGCCCTGGTATTGGTCCTGGTAAATGTTCCTGATGTCTCTGGCGGTCATTGGCTTCTTCAAAGGAATAGAAATGGTCTCGGTAATACCTTGGAACCATTGGGCAACATGAGGCATGAAGGCAACAGGCAAGCCCAATTGCGACGAAATTTCACGCTCGTGAACGTGGTCGGTCAAAGAGTATGGAATCAAGTTGTCTCTCAGCACATTGATGTCGTTCTTTGGAGATGGCTTGGTTCCTGCTCCAGAGTAGCCAGAAACACCAAAAATCGATGGTAATCCGGAACAGTACTCCACAAGTGGCTTGATAGCAACTTGAGCAGCAGTAGCGTAGCATCCTGGGTTCGAAATCTTACGGGCGTTGGCAATAGCCTGTCTATCGTTCAGCTCGGGTAATCCGTAAACCCAGTCTCCAGTTGTGTCGAATCTGTAATCAGCCGACAAGTCAATGATCTTGGACGTTCCAGCACCAGAAGTGTTCTCAATGGCATCAACGAAAGGCTTGCAGACACCGTTTGGAAGAGCCATGATCCAAACGTCAACCTCGTTGTTAGCCTCCATTTTTTTTATATCTTCGATCTGTAAGTTCTCGTAAACGATCTCTTTCTTGTTGTATCCCTTGAGCTTTTGGCCCTTCAATTCTCTAGAAGAAACGTGGGTCAACTCCAAGTATGGGTGCTGGTCGATCATGGAGATCAGGTTTTGTCCAGTGAATCCTCTGGCACCAATCAGGGCGACCCGCGACTTGGAAGTGTTCGATCCATCTCTGAGTGGTGGATTGGCTTTAGCAGAAGTTGCCAGACCTCTCTTGAACTGTCTGCTGAAAACACCACCTTGGATATTTCTATGAGTGCTGAAGCTTCTGGTCTGGGAGCCAGACTTGAAAATTCCGCTTTGCTTTCCTGCAACCTGCTTGGAGAAGTTTTCGATCAAGGAGCTCACTTGCTCAATGCTCTCTGCTCCGTACCAGAACAAAATGTGTCCGTTCTTAGCAAAAGACCCATCGGCCTTGGCAAAGAACCAAGCAGTGTTTGGATCGTCTTCCTTGACTGTCCATTGCAAAGCACTGTAGTCTTTTCTGATAGCTGTAAAGATGTTATCAGTCACGTTGTTGAGCCATCCGGCTTTGGAAGCAAGGAACTTGTCGAGCTTGGCAACTCCGGTTGTATCATCTCTGACAATGGCGAGCACCTCAAGAGGCTCGTCGCCATAAGCCTTGAACTTGACCGATTCGAGTGCCTTCAGGTAAGAAGCCACAGAGGTGGAACCGGAAGAGATTTCGACGTCTCTGTTGAGTGCAGCTCTAAGAAGATCTGGCTGTTGAAATTCCTCGAGAGAGTTTCTGACCAAAAGCTTGTAACCTCTTCTGATCAAAGTTCCGGCACCAGAGTCGGTGAACAGTTCCTTTTGCAAATCGTTCACGTCAATGATGGCGACCGAGGAAGAGCGAGGCAGATGCATCAACAAGTCTCTGATTTCCTTGATCTTCAACTTGGTTCCGTATTTGACCCAGCTTTCCTTGAGTAAGTCTTCGTACTCCTCGTCTAAATTGATGGCGGAGACCTTTTCTCCGGTGTTACCGTTGATGATTCCACCCTTTTCGTTCAAGTAGACGATCTTCAATGGCTCGAACACTCTGGCAATTTCACCAGCAGCAACATCAGCGTTGACATTCAAAATCTGGCCAGAAGAAGTTTCTGCCAATGAAGTGAGAATAGGCAAGGCACCAGCCTGGATAGAAGCTTCCACAGGGGCCTTGTTGACACCTGTGATGCTTCCAACAAGCTGGTACTTGTCCTTATCTAAATAGTCGGCCTGGAAAACACCAGCTGTGATTGGTCTAGCACGAACGCCCATTTTTTCCAATGCAGTCACCAACTTGAGGTTCTGTTCCAAGAAACACTTTCTGACAACGGCCATTGTTCTCTCGTCGGTGATACGGATACCGTCGATGTAATCAGGCTCGACTCCCTCGTTCTCGAGGATCTCATTGATCTGAGGTCCGGTACCGTGCAAAACAATTGGATACAACCCCACATGGTACAAGAAAGCAAGACAAGAAGCAAGCTCTGGCAATTGTTGGGTGATGATGGCTCCACCGACCTTGATGACGGCGAATTGTTGTTGTGAAACGGAAGTGAAGTATTTCAGATATTGTTCGACCTCTCTTTTGGATCCAATGTTGTTCAAAAGTTGAATCACAGTGGATCTAGTGGAGTAAAATCTAACAGATACAGGGGTTTTGGAGGAAACTCTAGCAGAGCTGACGATGGCAGGACATGCTGCTTTGCAATTCACCGTACTTCTGACGAGCTGATTCCTCAGAACAGTACTGGTTCTAATCATTGGGACCTTACAAAGTTAAAAATTTTCAGTCATTTACTTGCCAGTTCATGCTTCTGTCATGAGGGAAAATTTTTAAGCGCGCTTTGTGGCTGGGGAAATTACCTGTTTTGTATCTGTGGCACAGCAGGGATTTTTGTATTGTACGTAAATGATTTCGAATCAAAAGGTGAAAGTTATTTTTGTGTTTCAACCATGTCTTCCGGGGCCAGTCCACAAGAGCAAATTATAGAAGCTGCCAGAAGAAACAATGTCGAACTGTTAGCTTCGGTGGCGGAGTCACAGTCCGACAAGTTGGCCGAAGTGGTGAACGGTGCCAAGGATGCCACGGGTAATACAGCTTTACATCTCTGTTGTAAGTACGGATGTTACGAAGTTCTTGATAAATTACTCGACATTGACGGTGTTGAAGTCGATCCCGTGCATCCTCTTACTGGAGACACTCCGCTTCACTATGCTGTCAACTACAGCTTTGAAGAACCCGAATATGCAAAGTTTCTGGTCGAGACTTTGTTGGATGTTGGCGCAGACCCTACGATTCGCAATAAAGACGGTCTCAAGCCCGCACAACTGCTCGGAGATTCGAACGAAGAACTCAAACTGGTGCTGGAGGGCGCCGAATACGCCTCTACGGCTCAATTGCAGCAGGACGAGGAAGAAGACGTTGACGATGGACCGTCCGATGAAGAGTAAGATTTACCTATTTAACGTCGATATGGTCTGTTCCCTTGATTTTCCCCGCTCCGGGATCCATCTTGGCGCTTCTTGATCCGAACTGAATGGCTCTCTTTGGTTCGTTCTCCACAAAATCCAGCTCAAGGTGCTGGGCCAGCTTTCTAAGCGCAAACTTCCGAATGATCTCTCCTGTGAATCTATCCATCTGCAACTTGTCCTCAAGTTTCACCTCTGTCGTCGCATATCCAACAAACTCATCATCCAGGAACGGGTACCTGACCTCTTTGGACCAACAGGAAATGACTTTGTCGTCTCTTGACAGGTTCCGAGTGTGCAAGTTTGAAAGATCCAACTGCAATTCTTCTTTAAGTGAACTCATAAGTTCGTCCCAGTCATACTCCGTGGTATCCTTTTGAGGCTTTCCTGAGATCTTGCGCTTCAACTGGTTCGAAATGCCAGTGAAGATTCTCTCATGTCGGGTATATCCACCAAACAACTCATCAGCCCCCAATCCGCTTAAAAGAACCTTACATGTGCTTTCATAAGGAATTCTGACCCCATCATGGCCTACCTTTTGGCCACTTCCACGGGCAGCAAAATAGAAGGCGATGGCTATCGAGAGATCCATCTCGGTGTCGTTTGGATAGATCAATTGGATGACTTTCGAGCGATGTTCCAAGTACTCCTCGTAAGGCACGTCCACTTCGACAAGTTCGAAATTCACCTCGGGGTATTTTTCTTTCAAGCCGATCCAACTTTTATGTGCCAGAAGACGATCTGGAGTGTTTGCAGGAAGCGTGTTGGATCGAGGATTGTTGAACGAGACATTGAGCAGATCTATGGATGCTCCAGGACCAAGCTCTTTAGCTGCCAATGCTGCCAAAAGAGTACAATCAAGTCCGCCACTAAATAGAAGGGCTAGATTAGAATGTGCTGGATGTGGTGGTGATATGGTGGTGACTCTTTTACGTACTGCGTGTGCGAGTTTCGAATGCAATGCAATAATGTCTAAGTCTTGATCTGTTTCCTGGACCATGAACTGGATTGGCAGAACAGAGCTGGTGTTGAAGTCCACCGTTTCCAATACCCCGGTCTTCACATCGTACACATAGATGGTTGCACACAGACACTCTGTCCACGAGTCCCTATCTGTTGGAGGAGGACAGCTGCTTATGTAAATTTGATCATTTTCCAGCATATATCCCAGGCTTTTTCTACCCAATAGATCTTTACCGAAATACACTTTGCCGGAATCTGTGTTTGTGATGCAGTAAGCAAACTCGCCGTCGAGTTGTGCTATGGTGGTTTCAATGTCAAAATTAGATTGTACGAGGATTTCTTGGATATATTGCAGATCATTATGTTTAATTTGTTGGTTGTAGAGCTCTCCGTTGTACTGAAGAACAAAGTTGTCTTTTACCATTGGCTGGACGGTGAGAGGTGCTCTAATAGATAGAACTGACGAGAAACCTTTAATTATGCCGTTTTTTATGGTTTTGGTAAAGCGGTTTGAGCTGTCGCCGCCTCTTTCCAGCACAAAAGAAGCCATTTCATCAAAGATAGGATCCTCCAAGCCACTGGAAGTTGCGTCTTGATTCGCTCGGTCCTCGAAAGCCTTTTTATAATGCCATAATATGCCACACATGGTAGATGAAAAGTCTTGAACAATTATTTATTTTTTAATCCAAAAAAAAACCTCTTGTTCATTATGTCGTCTGGCAAGAAACTGCTTTTGATGGGCCGTTCAGGTTCCGGAAAGTCGTCAATGAGGTCAATTATTTTTTCCAATTACTCCGCCTTTGATACCAGACGATTAGGAGCAACGATCGACGTTGAGCACTCGAACTTGAGATTCCTGAACAACATGACCCTCAATCTATGGGATTGCGGTGGACAGGACGCCTTCATGGAGAATTTTCTTAACAACGACTCGGACTCGCAGAACGTCAACTCTTCAAGCAATATATTCAAAAAGTGCGAGGTTCTTATTCATGTCTTTGACGTGGAGAGTAAAGAGGTCCAAAAGGATATCGAAATCTTTAAACGAGTGTTGGATAATCTTCACAAGTTTTCGCCAAATGTCAAGATATTCATCCTTGTTCACAAAATGGATCTGATACAAATCAACAAACGACAAGAATTGTTTGATATCATGTTCAACAAGCTGGACAACGTTGCCTACGAGAATTACAGGTTCAAGATTAAAGGATTTGCAACTTCCATCTGGGACGAGAGTTTATATAAAGCATGGTCTCAGATCGTGTGCTCACTGATTCCCAATATTTCTCTTTATGAACAACAGCTTTCGAAGTTCAACTCGATTGTGAACGCTAGAGAGATGATTTTATTCGAGAAAACAACGTTTCTCGTGATATCGTCAACTAACAAGTTTACCGTTGGCGGAGACGAGCTGGACCCAAAACGATTCGAGAAGATCTCTAATATCATCAAGACTTACAAGCAGAGTGTCAACAAAATCAGAACAAACTTTAACAATCTTGTTTTACACGGCCGCGGTTCATCCATTTATCTCGATGTACTTACTTCCAACATTTACATAATGATCATCGTGGGACCTCCAAAAACCTCTCCGGGATACCAGGTCGACGACGAGTCTCTTGTTCTGGAAAACATCAAGATTGCACGGACTCTGTTTGAAAAGATCGAGAAAGGAAAATGATCATAGATAGAACTTCTTCTTGTCCTTGTCCATGTCTGGTCTGTGTTCCCAGTCGATTTCTTCTCTGATTCCACGTTGAATTCTGCGCAACTTCAAAGTGAATTGGGGACCCAGCTCTTGCAGGCCCACTTTTTCTTCGTTTCTAAACACATATCTGTGCATTCTGAAAAAGATATAATCTCTTTGGTTGTGAAGGGTGATCACTTGACGACCTTGGATTTCTGGTCTGTGTGGGAGAAGCGATTGGAATAGACGGCCCACTGTTTGACCGAGTCTTGTTGTGAAATTGTTCAGAATCAACTCAGGGATGTGTTCAGTGGCATTTCCATGTCCAGAGATCTGTTTCTTGTCTCTGAGAGACGAAATGGAGAAATAAAATGTCGGACCGTGAGGAAGATGGATAAAAGTGATACCGTTGACCACCTTTTTATCCTCGTTGATGACTATCAGGTCTGTGAATTCTCTGTTAGAACAGTATTCGCTCATGTCTTTCATTGTATATTCTCTCTTTCTCTTGACGAATGTGGTGTTTGGAATTATGTCCATCAGTGTAGATGCAAATTTGTAGGCAGTTTTTTTAGCGTGCGGGCTTGTGGTGATGAGGATTTTTGGCTCTTTGTTGGTGTTAACAAAGTACTCGGCAAAGTCGTCTTCTCCTTCCAGCTCGAAACCAACAGATTCATCATACACTCTCATCGACTCAATGGTCTTTGGCACGTTTTGCTCCAGTCTTTTAGCCTTCAGCTCTGGGTTATCCAGCTCTTCCTTAGCTCTGGAGGCCCGAAGCTTGTGTCTTTTCTTGTTCTGTTCATCCTTCAGCTTCGCAAACAGCTGTTGTCGCTTTTGCTTGTTTTTGATCGACTTGAGCGTCTCGGTTGACATGATCGATAATTTCTTGAATTTACAAAATATTTTTTCAATTTTTTTTTTATCGTTTTTTCCATATTTGGTGAGGTTTCTTCAAAAAATCTATCTCACCAAACATCCTCCTGATATCTATTTAAAACCCTAAGGTTCTTCACCATGTCGGTTGCAACTTCTTCGGTCACCTTTCTCTCGGCAACGAAGATCTTGATAAGAACAGATTGGACGTCTCTGGCCATTCTCGCAGCGTCTCCACAAACGTAGAAGAACGCTCCGTCATTCAGAGCCTGGTTGATCTCGCTGGCTTTTTCAAGCATCTTGTCTTGAACATAGACCTTCTTGGCGGTTTCCCGAGAAAATGCAGTCACCAGCTCGAACTTGTCGCCCAGCTTCTTGGAATAGTCAACCCATTCGTCTTTGTAGAGGAAGTCCTCGTTGGAGTTTCTGCAACCAAAGAAAAGCACAGCCTTGCCAACGTTGGATCCGTTCTCCACCTGCTTCACCTTTTCTCTGATGAACCCTCTGAAAGGAGCAACACCAGTACCCGGACCAATACAAATGATCGGGGTGGCAGGGTTAGACGGCAACTTGAACGTGGATCTTCTCACGTGAACAGGTAGCTTGAATTTTTCAAACTTGTTTCTTGGACCTGCCAAGTCGTATGTCACCGGCAACTTGGAATCAGACACTTTGTTCTGGGCCTGCTGGATGTTTAAAAGTAAGTTCGTAGCCACACCAGTGACCACTTTGTCAACATTAGGATACCGTTCCTGCTCAACCACAGCAGTGACGTGAACAGTCTGCTTCTCGCTCATGGACGACGAAGAAATCGAATAGTATCTTGGTTGCAGGTGAGCAATGGACTCTATCACAAACTCAAATGGAACAGTGGTCCATTTGGCACCATTGCTCAACACGTGCAACAAGTCGGAGATGTTCAGGTACTTGGCCGTAACCTCCTTGTGGAACAACTCTTTGTCCTTTCCAAGCTTGCTGGCCAAAGCTTTTGCCTCCTCAGTCGGAGCAAACTGTGCAACCGAACCAACAAACTGACGGGAAACAGGGCCCGAGATCTCAAGATAGTGTCTGATCACGGACTCGTAGGTGCTGGGAGACGACACGTGAGGATGCACGGTAGGGTCCAAGGACGAGATCTTGATCACAATGTCTTTTTTGTCGGACAATCCAAGAATGTCCAAAAGCTTGGCAACTTCCTCGTTAGAGTTCGAAGGCCAGATGGCAAGATGGTCTCCCGTAGAGTACTTGAGATTCGAGTCTGACAAGTCGAACTCAGCATGGACACAGTGTCTTGTTTCCGAGTTGAACAACTCCTTGCTGGCGGTGATCGGAGCAAGGTAAGGATGAGTGTGGTCGAACGGGCCGAGCTTGTGAGACTTGAGGTCGTCTTCAGATGGGTTCACATACTTAGAGTCTGGCTCTCCCAAAGACACCTCTGGTGACAACACGGTCAACGAGCTTTCCTCGACCTTGATACCAGGCTCGTACACGAGATCGTGCTCTTTTAAACTCAATTTGTCCTTGAGCACATCAAACAATCCATCTTTCCAGGCCATGTAATCCTCGTCCATGGTTCCTCTGCCGTCGTCTCCAAGACCTAGTTCACCAATCAGAGTGGCGCCCTTCTCGGTGAGAGTGGAAACGGTTCTTTTACCCATGGCGTTGTAGAATTCGTAGGTCGAGTTACCCAGACCGAAACACGAAAACTTGACCGTGGACAAATCTTCGCACTCGTTCTCCAAATAGTCAAAGAACTCCACAGCATTGTCAGGAGGTTCGCCCTCGCCGTAAGTGGCCATCAAAAACACGATCAGCTGGAATCCATCCACGCTCGTAAAGATCTCGTTTAGATTCTCATAGTCGTAATCAGCAAGGTCTCCGCACATGGTTGGAATAGAGAACCGAGACTGGAACTCCTTGGCAAATTTGTGGCTGTAGTCCTCGGAAGTACCTGTCTGAGAACCGAAGAGAACAAGGGCCTTCTTCTCGTTGGCCGAGATCACCTCAATGAGATCTCTGGAAGACCCACGCGCAACTGTAACGCCATCGTCGGAATTGCCCCACAGAGTGCCTCTGGTGAAATAAGCAGCCAATAGAATGGCAACGACCGCCAAAACGCTTAGATCCAAAGTATCAAGAGCCATTTGAGATCGAGTCAAGAAGAATCGGGTTTTTTTTTTATTCAACAAGCTGTAGCACCAGAAAATTAAAAATACTGGATCAAATTACCGGTTTTGGGAATTAGACCGAATTACCAGATTTCCGCCGCGTACGTGTTTGTTCAAATGTGATTCGCAAAGGTTTGTTCTACCAGCACGAATCGTGAAAGAAAAGAATTATAAAATGGTGCTCAAAGTCGCGTGATTTAAAACCGATAAACTTCCTGCCAAAACTATGCTTTTGCCGTGTTTTTTTGTCAATGATTACTTAATCAGATCGAGAACCCAGTAGAGGCTCGAAAGAACCTTGGAAACCAGCCCTAAGCGTCGAAATTGGAGTAGACGCTCGCACTCAGATCGTCTAGCTCCTGTAAGTTGTTGAGAGTGTACAAGATCTCATTGTCAAGAGAATTGTTTGTGAGCTGGTTCGACTGTTTGGTGATGGATGCAAGTAACGAAGCCAGCTTCACCTTGGGTATCTGTGTGAGAACCTGTTCCTCTCTGTCTGGGTTTTTTTGTTTGTTCATGAGGTTGACCACAATGTTGTCGAGAACCTTGGAAATTCCCACCGTCACCAGCAGACTTATAATGGCACTCACCTGTTCGTTGTTGAGGTATCCTTTTAGCTCGTCCAACAGCTTGCTCAGGTTCTCCGAGTTCTGTAGATTGTTGTTAAAGTTGGCCAAGAAGTCCATGTCGTTTGTCTGTTGCAACAAGAAGAACTCCAAGTTGGCAGGTGGAATCAGCGACGTGATCACCGCGGACGGCTCCAAATCGGCAGATGAATTGATATCCTTGTCAATAATCTGTTGTGTCTTGTTGATCAGAGTGGCGAATTCCTCAATCGACAACTCCTGGCGGGGATTGATTTCTCCGAAAATGTCCTCCACGCTTGCTCCAATCTTCTTCTCCAATTCTGTCCATCCCTTGTTGAGAAGCCACCAGCTAAAAGACAAAAATGCTTGTTCAGCAAGGTTCTCGTCCTGTGCGCTGTGGTCGCTCTCGTCTTCGAAAGAACCGTATCCTCCGTCCAACGAGATACCGGAATCATTCTCCAGCTTAATACCTTTAGTCTTGGATGCCAACTTGATAGCTGTATCCAAATACGACCGCCTGGACAGTATGTTCAGTTGCAGGTGCAAAAACACGATCAGAAGCGACTCGCAGTATAGCAATGTCAAAAAACGCGTGATACTCTGGTTTCTCAGCTCGTTCCACAGTTCGGTCTTGGTCTTGATCTGTGTTGGACCAGATGCCTGAACAGTAGTCTCTTTCTCATTATGAACAGAAAAGTCGTCACTCAACACCGTCGAAAGTGCCGGATCGGTCACGTTGCCAACAGGAAGGTTTTTACTCTTTTGTCTCTCAAGCCGCTTGTTCTGAAGCTCTTTGGTAATTTCCTCAACGTTCAACGTCTCATAAATAGGTTCTGTCAACACAGGCAACAGCGACAGAAACGTCATGTAACAGTCGTTCTGTGTCTGCTTAAAACGCCTCTTGATCTGCTCTTTGGCAAAATTCTCCTCTTTTAATCTCTCTTGTAGTTCGGCCAGTTTATTGCTCACATAGGTGCTTACCACGTACGAAAACGCCACCAGCCCCGTGCTGAAGAGAATCTTCTTCTTGTGTCGCGACACAAGATCTCTGCAATATTGAAACATGACTCCAAAATCGATACAATGGGGTTTCTAAAAGTATTTCCAATATAAATGTTTATCTCTTGCTCAATAAAAGAGCCTACATCTTGCCCCAACAGGAAGTTGGAACTGGACTCTTCATTCATGATTACGTAATCTCTGTGATAATTTATTTCAGCCAGCGCAGGGTAGCAGTTACCCGGGTAATGCTATTGAGCCGTTCAGGACAACTAAACAAGCTCATTTTGCTAAGGAGTGGTCCTTGGATTTCTTTGTCTTGGACCTGCTCTTTTTCGAGTCTGGTTTGTGTCTTTTGGCGGGTCTTTCACTGTCCTTGTCGTTTTCTTCAGATGTATCGAATTTGGTATGTCTTCCTTCAAAATGAACCTTACTCACAGCAGGCTCCACCTTCTCTCCCAGCTGGTTCTTGACGTAGCGCTCTGCAGCCTTTGAGGCCTCATCTGGATCTATATTACCATTCTTCTTGATTTGCTCTGCTTTTTTCGCTCGATCGATGTAGAGTTTGACGCGATTCAGCTCTTGCATGATCGGATGTTCGTTCTTTTTGTTCTCGCCGCTCGTCTTGAGCAGCACAAAGTATAGGGACGCTATCACATATGCGTAATTATTGTACAGGTCGACTTTTTCAAGAGGAGATTTCGCCTCCTGAACGTGTTCCAAAAGACTTCTTATGAAAACTTCAGACTTCACGTTCTTCTCCAAGTCGTCTATCCCTCTTGAAAGCGAAGCCAGCAATTTCTTCACGGATTCTGTTTCATCCATGATCAACTATCAAACGGATATTTTCACTAAATTATTTTCAGTGCATCTCTACACCTTGTATGACAAGAAATTTTGTTGTACGTAAGGAGCCGATTTCCAGGAAGCTCAACACAGTAGCTTCAGTTCTAGCCAAAAATCGCAACCGCTATGATTGGTTTATTCACAAGAAATTTCCAGTATATGTAGAATCTCTAAAATGGTGCAGAGTTTCCATTTCTAGCAACTATATTAATTTTTCACATGTAACTATTATTTTAGTAATCAAGGTTTATTAATTTCTTACTAAAATATCATCATGAGCTCTTCAACACTTTACTTGCTAGTCAGATCACCAAGAAGCAGTTTGTTCCCAGACCTTGTTAAGTACCTAGGACTGGACATTGAGATTAAGGATAACACTTCTCCTGAGTTGGGTGAAGAATTTCCGTTGAAAAAATGTCCTGCTCTTATTGAAGCAGATGGATTCAAAGTTACGGAAGCCCTGGCTGTTTTCAGATATCTTGCTCACTTGGCGCCCGAGAAACTCAATTGGTACGGTAAGACTCCAAGACAGGATGTAGAGACCGAGAAATGGCTGTCTTTCTTCAACTCGGAGGTCATGAACGCATATATTGGCTGGTTGCTTCCAAAGTTGGGAGTGACTCCATACGACGAGGAAAAGGTCAACGGTGCCTTGCAAACTTTCGACAAGTATGCAGATATCGTTGAAAAACAGCTGCAAAAAACAAAGTACCTTGTTGGAGACGAACCGACCATCGCCGATTTGTATGCTCTTCAGTATCTCAAGGGAGCATACTCTCTGATTTGGGACGAGACATGGATCAAAAAGCACCCAGAGATTTCTAGATGGATTGAGCTTCTCAAGAAGAACCCGGTTGTCGGTGAGAGTATCAAGGATCTGAAGCTAGCAGCTGCAACCCCAGATAAATCTTAGATTATTTCATAGAATACTACATTTTTTGGCAACGAATATTGTATGGCAAACATATACGTACTTCTCAAAACACTCACTATTTAAGGACACAGACAGACAGACAAAGAACATTTGGTTGAGGCAGAAGCCAGATCAACGATCGACACCGAAATTAATCAGTATGATTCCAGATCTTGCTTCTTTCTCAGATCGTAAACATTCAATGCCTCCTCTGCTGCTTTCACACCAGAAAGAACCATAGCACCGAAGGTAGGACCCATTCTGTTGTGGGAATCGCACTCACTGAGTTCCATTCCGGCACAGATCAAACCTGGGAACACTTCTCTGGTGTTCTTGACAATGGAATCTTCGGCACGGTTCATGTCCAAGCATCCCATGTGGTTTCTCTTCAACAAACCAAGCTCAGCTAGTCTCTTGACACAGAAAGCACCCATAGGACCGTCATGACCGGTACACGAGATGATAACCTTGGAATTAATGGTGTTTGGATCCATACAAGATTGATCGTCATGGTGCATAGAAACCAATGTCCAGTTGGTGACCACACCGGCAATTCTCGAGTCACCGGACTCGTCAGTTCTGGTGATCAAGTCCTCCACACATGTAGCGTTGAAGAGCTTGACATTAGGAAGAGCTAAGGTCTTGGAGCACAAGGTGGTGATGAACAATGCTGCGTGCTTGACAACAATGTAGTCACCCTCATCCTCGTATTCCAGGCCCAACTCTCTGATGAAAGTATCTGCAGGCTTTCTCAAGACCATAGCAGAGAACAATTGACCTCCAAGGAAACAGCCACCACCAACAGCAACGTTGGCTTCAATGATGGCTATTTTCAAGTCAGGTCTGGCTTTACCCAAAACATAAGCAGCGCTCAGACCAGCAGAGCCAGCACCGACGATGACCACGTCACTTTCGGCATAGTTGTCGAGATCGGCAAAGTACCGTTTAGTCATAGCCCTCGAGACAGTGGACTCTCTGATTGGAGCAAACTTGAAAGTATCCCAGTCATACACAGACGAAATAGCCTTTGCAACCGGGGACTTCGAGTTGAAGTGGTTTCCGTGTTTCAGAGACAGTTTGGCCTGGTCATTCAAAACCGTAGTTGGGGAAATAATCGAAGAAGGAGCCCTAGAAAGTTAGTATGTGTTCTCATACCAAAAGCATTTTCTTTTCGCTAGTATTAACTAGATCAAGTTCCGACCGTATAATCTCAGCCCATGCGGGCACCGGCAATGCTAGAGTGTGAATCAATTGACTAACCATTAGTCGAAAACTTGTAATATCTAATCAAACCAGTAGTCACCTACATGATTGGATTGGTGAAAAATAATTATGGGGATGTGGACCACTTTATATAGTAATTGCGGCGCAATTCAATAGCCTACTTCTACAGGGTTTTTCACGGATTCAAGTGATCCGCGAGTAAACCTTATTTTTCCCCGGATAATCGGTTACTTGTTTGGGAAGTGTTTACTCTGACTAATTATTTAGCCTCTTCACTGCCCAGCGTAGTCTTACCAAATCGAGCCGTGTAAAGGTGTTTATTTAATTTTCGAGGGCAAAGAGTCACAAGATCTTGAGAAACTTAGACTATCTTCGTTTATGGCGATAGACAAGCCCCCGTCGTACGTGAAACCCAATTTGAAGAGTTTGGAAAAATGCATTCCAAAGAACTCCAAGTTGAAGGTTTCCAACGGGGCGTTGGTATTAAAAAATGACATGACGATTCTAGACACCATCTATCTTGAGGCACCCTTCATGGTGGTTCCCCCGTTTGATCTGATCAAGCTGATCGAAGTGGGAAAGTGCTGTTGCTACTGTGGAGACACATTGAAGGTTTACGACAAGGGCCGTTTGAAAGACAAGGACGTCCATGACATATCGGACGAAAAACATGCCCGGTTTATGAGTGGCTTGGACTGCGCCGACTGCTCTTGCAAGTGGTGCTCGCAATCTTGTCGTAAACAGGATTTCTCCCACTCCATGTTGCACCACCAACCCACTAACAAGGCTATGACCAACCAACTTACAAATTCTCGCGGAGAAAAGCTGATCCTGCTTTACGATCGATGGGTCAGCTTCAGAAAGCGCATTCTGGAGCAGAATTTGGAGTGGGTTTACTGTGGACTATACGTTGCTTTGCAACTGTTCCACAATCCCGAGTTGAAAGACGGTTTTATGGGTCTGCGCCAGGTGTCTCGAGAAGACCAGATGGACTTTCTTGGTCCTGACACGGACTATTTTACGCTTTATGAGGATTTGGCAGGATGTTTCAAGAACTTTAAGATGCCCAAAGAGGAATTTGTGCAGTGCGTATCAATTTTCAAGCTCAACAACTACAATAGTGGAATTTACTTGATTACGAGCTTCCTAAGCGACCCTGCAGTGGAGGCTAATTGCACGATTTCTCCATTTGAGATGGAGACTGCACATTCGTACGAGGATTTCAAAATCGATGTTGTTGACGACCACAATGTCAAGCTCACAAAGCAGAAGCACATGGAGTCATATCGAAAGCCAATTTTCACCAACAGTTTGAAAATTGACAGGAAAATAGTGCGTGTTGCTAGCGGACGTAACATTCCACAGAACGAACCTTTGAATGCGTGTGAAATGCACGAACCAGGGTCAGTTTGCTCCAGCTCGGATGACTCGTTGATGGACAAGAGCGCACATGTTTCGCAGTCGACTTTAGAGAAACCAAATAAGCGCACCGCGTCGTTCACATCATCGGGAAATTCGTTCGGGGAAGGAATTATCAAGTACAATAGAGACCAGATTAGGGAGATGCTTGCAGAGATGACTATTGAATCGGACGACAGTGACTCAGAGACACCCATTCAGCTCGAGGTCCCGGAGCAATTCGGAAAGCTCCGCCGCAAGAGTGTGCGGTTCGAAAGTTGAATAAGGCTAGGCGTATTGAGATGTTTGTGGAATACAAATTAGATTCGCTACTGCCGGGCGACAATCGTGTGATCTGCCGGTTTCGGAGACTGAGATGTGCACAGCACAAATTTAAATAAAGATTCTTAAAATTAACAATAGATTACGCATTGAAATAATAGCCTCGGCGGTAGATAAGTAATTTGATAACGTATAATTATCAGCCAATCAGGCAGCTGGATGCAGATGGAAGAGCCTTGAATTATCCCTATTTCTGAGTGCACCCTGAACCAAGCAGGGTACAGAAGGTGAATAACAAAGGGCCAAGAGTAGTAAAGTATAAATACCCGGCAGTTCGCAGAATTTTTTCCAAAGTGATTATTATCGATTATTGGAAATGAAAGACTCCTTAACTGAGGACATCACTGCTGACTATGACAAGAGCGATATGGTCTGGGTCATGGTCAGTGGTATTCTTGTCTGGATTATGATTCCCGGCGTTGGTTTGTTGTATTCTGGTTTGTCCAGAAAGAAGCATGCTCTTTCTCTTTTGTGGGCTTCCTTGATGGCCATCTGTTTAGTGAGTTTCCAGTGGTTCTTCTGGGGTTACTCTTTAACCTTCGGTACTGGTTCTTCTGTCTTCTTGGGTTCTCTCGATAACTTCTGTTTGATGGAGGTCTTGGGAGACAACAACGCTGCTGCTGCTCTTCCTGATATTGTCTTCTGCTTTTTCCAAGGTATGTTCGCCATGATTACCGGATGCATCATGCTCGGTGGTGCTTGCGAGAGAGCTAGACTGGGACCTATGATGGTGTTCTTGTTCTGCTGGATGACCGTTGTCTACTGCCCAGTTGCTATGTGGACATGGAACGCCAACGGATGGCTTGCTACCCTGGGTGCTTACGACTTTGCTGGCGGAGGACCAGTCCACCAAGCTTCGGGTTTCGGTGCCCTTGCTTACGCCCTGATTTGCGGTAAGAGACACGACCCTGTTGCTGGCTCCGGCTTGCCAAAGTACAGACCTCACTCTGTCACCAGTGTTGTTTTGGGAACTGTGTTCCTGTGGTTCGGATGGTTTGGATTCAACGGTGGATCCTCGGGAGATGCCACCGTCAGAGGTTTCTACGCCTGTGTGAACACCAACTTGGCTGCTGCTTGTGGTGGTCTTGCTTGGATGTTCCTTGACTACTTCAGATGTGGCCGCAAATGGACCACTGTCGGAATGTGCTCAGGTGCTGTTGCCGGTCTGGTTGGTATTACCCCAGCTGCCGGTTTCGTCCCAGTCTACTTCGCCGTTCCAATCGGTGTCTTGACCGCCTTTGCCTGTAACTTCTCCGTCGACATCAAGAACCTCATTGGTATTGACGATGGTTTGGACGTCTGGTGTCTCCACGGTGTGGGAGGATTCACTGGTTCTGTTTTGACTGGTCTTTTCGCTGCCGACTACATCATTGCTACTGACTTCAGTGCCAGCGGTGCTGGTGGATGGCTCAACCACCACTACAAGCAGCTCGGATACCAATTGGCTGCTTGCTGTGCTATCGACCTGTGGTCTTTCGTTGTCACCTCCATCTTGTTGCTTGTCTTGAACAGAATTCCATTCTTCAAGATCAGATTGAGTGAGGAAGAGGAGGAACTTGGAACCGATGCTGCGCAGATCGGTGAGTTCACTTACCAAGATTCCAGAGTGTACATTCCAGAACCAGTCAGATCTATCAAGAGCATTTCTGGTGCTAAAACTTCCAAGTCCAACGAACTTGACGCCGACGCCGTCCCATACCCAAAGGACGAGGAGAAAGTTGACGTTTAATACTTGACGACCTAAAAATGTCGCGATAAGTAAAAAATTAATTTTAATTTAGTCCAAGAGTTTCTTGTTTATAATAATATTTATGAATTACGACTCTAAAAGCCAGAACTCTATCAGTTTCTGTCTTTCAAAGGACTTGAAGCTGCCGTTGAGGTTTAAGTTGGTTGGGATAACGGGTTTTACCCAGCGAATAGCTCAATTCCTGTCAACAGACTCAAACAGTGCCACATCCCAAATCATACAAGCCAAGCTGAAAGAACAGAAGGTGAACCAGATTTTCGTGTATATTCACGTTGAGTCGTCCGGAAAACAGCTCACCGTGCCAATTCTAACAAGCATCGCTTACTCGAATGGCAATATAAAGAATATCGACCGTGGAACATGGATCCATCTCCCCATAGATTATTGTCAATTGCCTCTAGATTCGGTGCTGGTTTTGTCGCTTTTTAATTACAGGTTGAAAACTGGCTCTGAGAACCGGTTTGGACATTGTCGACTCAGTCTTTTTAACAAAGACAACTGTACGCTCACCAAAGGTCACCAAAAATTAAAAGTGGTATTTGCCGATGGCCAAACCGAATTAGAAGAACCAGAAGAAACTCAGATGCAGATTCTCGAAACAAAACTGAAGCAGAAGGAAAATGGAGACATCAACAGTGTTGGCTGGCTAGACCAGTTAACGTTCCGCAAGATCGAGCAAATCAACGTTAAGGAGACGTTCAAACACAAACAGCAGCTCTTGATAGCCAAAAAGACGGGAGAGGTATACTTGAATTTGGAGCTGGCTCAATTCGAGATCCCGATCGTCTATTCCGATGTGAAATATGCAACGTTGAGCATAACGACGTCCGAGTCGCACGCCATGAATGCAGTCGCTGCAAATAATGTCAAGAATGGCGATCAGTTGATGTTCAACGATGTCCGCTCAAGTAATCTCAACCAACTAGAGGCAAAGCAAAGACCACCCATTTTTGATCCTGACCAGTATCGCTCGGAGATCATTGAGGATCCTATTGAGAGCAAGTTCAGAAGATTAGAAAGAACGCATCAATCTTCTTCATTAGATAAGGATATGAAGCCGGCGTTGAAATTGAGAATGGAGTTGAGCAAGATCTTGCACAAACAGTTCTTTGAGAAACTCAGTCAAAAGGAAAAGAACATGATTTGGAAGTATAGATTCTTCCTTCTCAATAACCTCATACTGAACAAGAACAACACTCAGTTCAACAATTTCATTATCAACTTCATCAAGTGTATCAACTGGGACGACGATTTCGAGGTAAACGAGTTCCTGGTGATTATTGAGGAGCTAAACTCGCCGCCATATTCCAACGTGTTTATTCAAAAGATGGAGATTGTCGACTGTTTGGAGCTTCTCAGTGCCAACTACAAAAACCAGATTGTCCGCAACATGGCCTTGGAGCGCCTCAGGCTAGCTTCTGACGACGATTTGGAAATGTACATGGTTCAGCTCGTGCAGTGCATTAAAAATGAGACGAATAGCTCATCAACGAGCGCAGATGATGACGATGTCACTGCGAACGAGAGTCGTGAGGACGACTCCGAATTTTTGGATTTCGAGGACTCGACATACACAACGAACTCCAGCGAGTACCAGATGATTGATACGGAGGAGGAAGATCCTGTTCTGAAGCTGTTGAACAATGCCAACTTGAGCAATCCGCAGAGCAAGATCGGGGACAAGCTACCGAAGCTCAATTCTCCATTGGCAGAGTTCCTTATCGAACGTGCCTCCAACAATTTGACGTTAACCAACTATTTTTACTGGCACTTGAAAGTTGAAGTCGATGACGAGAAAGAGAGACACAGGAATATAATTTTGGATAATCGACCACAGAACCTGATCGAGCAAGCCGATTTTGCTCCCGACCAGGTCGCTCGCAAGATCCCGAAAAACCCCAAGGCGTCCAAGCATATATATTTGCGCACGATGCTGCATTTTATTGTGAAGTTGGCTTTGAGCGACGATGGGGCACGAAAGATATCCATTTTGCGCAGCCAGGTAGAGCTGATCGGTCGTCTCCATTCGATATCCATGCAGATAAAGGTCGACTACAAGAAGGAGCCAACGCAACGGAAGGTGGAAATACTGAAAGGACTGTTGGCCGAGAAATTCAAACCAACAAAGCTGAAGTCCTCGAGACGTTCAATTTCTGAGCACGAGACTCTTGTTGATTTCTCTCCGGTATACCTTCCTCTAAACCCTGCCATTCAGGTCAATGGTACTATCCCAGAAGAGTCCAGCGTGTTCAAGAGTAGTTTAAACCCGCTCAAGATTGTGTTCAAAACTGCAGACGATCAAGTCTATCCTGTGATGTACAAGATTGGAGACGACCTGCGACAGGACCAGTTTGTGATCCAAATTATGACACTTGTGGAGAAGATCCTGTTGAACGAGAACCTGGACATGAAACTAAAACCATATAGAATTATGGCATTGGGGTGCGTTGAAGGACTAATCCAGTTCATCCCAAACTCGTCGTTATCCTCGATTCTCCAAAAACACACATCAATTCTTGCATATCTCCAGATACACAACCCTGAGCCCAATGCTCCGCTTGGAGTGAGGCCCGAGGTGATGGATAACTACGTCCGTTCGTGTGCGGGATATTGTGTATTAACATATTTATTAGGGGTTGGTGATCGACACTTGGAAAACCTGTTACTCACCACCGATGGATACTTTTTCCACGCCGATTTTGGATACATTTTAGGACAGGATCCTAAACCGTTTCCACCGTTGATGAAGTTGCCTATTCAGATCATTGAAGGCATGGGAGGTCTAAGCAACGAAAACTATCAAAAGTTCTGCAATTACTGTTTCATCACGTACATCACCTTGCGGAAGAATGCCTCGCTGATCTTGAACATCTTCCAGCTGATGATTGATTCGTCGATCCCAGTGCTCCAGACTTCCGGGATCAACGGCGTGTCCAACGAAACAGAGAAGTTTGAGCTTATCTGGAAGATCGAGGAGAAGTTCATGCTGGAGTTGAACGACGAACAGGCTGTGCTCCACTTCCAAAATTTGATCAACGACAGTGTCAATGCGTTCCTGCCTGTTGTCATCGACAGACTGCACAGTTTGGCACAATACTGGAGAGCATGATCAGAAAAATACAGACTTTCTGGACTCTCTTGTTGGCAGTATGCGTTGCGATATGTACGCTTTAAGAGCATAAGACCTGGAAACTGTGTAAGCAAAGATCAAATTGGCTGCCTCCTTTTTAGACATGGCCTGAAGATGTTCATTGAGTAACGGCTCGAACTTTTTAGGGTCTATCCTTTCATTCTTTAGAACCAGCTCCGTGATGGACTTCATGAGGAACTCGTATTGTTTGACCGAAATAGGCCCTTTGTAAAACGTGCTGCGGTATTTTGTTGCTACTCTTGGATGATCTGTCATGTATTGGTCCAGCTTGTCTAGTAAGTCAGATATCTCGTTGGCACTAGCAATACGTGACGACTGCGGGAATCTGATTTTGCCAGCACGTACGGTCCTCGTTAGGTCGAGAGTTTTAGTTTCGCTTGGGTAGATTCTGAGTTGAAAGTACTCATTATTGCCCAAATCAATTCCCCAAGCGTCCGCCCGCAACTGGACCCACTGGTACTTTGAATTGAGAAGCGTAGTGAACACGTTCTCCTTCTCCTCTTCGGGTCCCTTGAACTTCTCGAAAAACCGTTGGAACCCATCAACGGTATCATATTCCATGTAGCTGATCTCCTCCACCTGGACGGGTGTCTCCTCTTCTTGTGTCTTACCTCTCCCGCCAAATAGCGGGACAGTATCGCGTTTGGCGATCTTGCCAGATAGCGTTGGCTTCCCGCCGACTCCAGACAAATGTGCGTCGACAAAGTCCACCACGTAACACCGCGACTTGAGGCCGTGCAACCGCAGTCCTCTGCCGACCATCTGAGTCAAAAGCATTGTCGACTTGGTGGGCCTGACCATGAAGACAGAGTCGATGTTGGGGATATCTGTTCCTTCTGTAAACACACCGCAGTTCATCAGGATAGGAAGCTCGCCCGTGGAGAACTCCTTGAGCAGTTTTTGTCTATCAAATTTTGACGAGTTGCCTGTCACATACTGCGCGTTCAGGCCGTTCGCACGGAACAGCTCAGACAAACTTTTAAGATGGTTCACGTCGACACAGAAAAAGAGCGTAGATTTGAGGTTGTGCGTGCGAACAAAGTGCTGGTATGTTTGGAGAACCAGCGAGTTGACCTCTTCGGTGTTGACGAATTTGGCTAGATCATCTGTTTTATAGTCCCCGTCTGCGCCAACAGCCACCTTGGATAGCTCAAAGCCCGCAGAAACCAGGATCCATGTAAAGTCGGACAGATAGCCCTCGCCAATGAGGTCTGCAAGACCCTTTGAGTATGCGATTTTGTCGAAAATGAGGCCGAGCGATTTCTCGTCCGAGCGAAGCAGAGTGGCACTGAACCCAAGAAGTGCAACGTCGCAGTGCGGTCGATCGCACCCAAAATACTTCAAGATCTTGATGTACGAGTCGGCCACCCCGTGGTGGCATTCGTCGACAACCACCGCCTTGTACTCGCCCGGGTTGTACTTCTCGAGTCGCGAGTCCCGTTGTAACGTGGGAACAGAAGCAATAGTCACGTCCACGTCTGGCTCGTGGGTAGCTTTTGTATTGGCCATATCAACTTCTATCTTGTAATCGGGGTGTGTTCTCGTTAAAACCGCAACGGCCTGTTCAGCGAGCTCTTTGCGATGAACCAGAATCAAAGTCTTGGAGCCTCCCGTGGCCGGGTTGTCAGGGATCTGGCTGATCAGATGGCTAAATATCACTGTCTTCCCACCACCGGTTGCCAAGCTAACGGCTATTCTTCGGTCTTCCTTGAGCGATTTCAAACAAGATTCTATACATTCCTGCTGATATGGACGCAGAGCAAGCTTTTCGGCAAAAGATGCCACCCTCAACGAAACGCTGAACCGTCGTAGAAACACCCGCATACAATTTGAACCAGTGTTTTGTTTTTACACAGCCCTGATTTTATCACTTTATTCAAGCCTGGAGAGCCAGAAATAAATATTCGGTCTTTACTAATCATCTTTTTTCTCCAATGAGACTAGTCCGAATCCTATCGTTAGCCATATTTGCGTGGGCGTGTGTGGCCATGAACAGCACCGAGTCGAGACACACCAACAACTGGGCGGTGCTAGTGTCGACGTCGCGATTCTGGTTCAACTATCGCCACATGGCTAACGTTTTGAGCATGTATAGAACAGTCAAGAGATTGGGCATTCCGGACTCGCAAATCATTTTGATGTTGTCGGACGATGTGGCGTGCAACCCAAGAAATGCGTTCCCCGGGTTCGTTTACAATAATGCCGACCGCCAGCTGGAACTTTACGGAGACAACATCGAGGTGGATTACCGTGGATACGAAGTTACCGTGGAGAATTTCATCAGACTGCTCACCGACAGATGGCCCGACGAGCAGCCAAAGTCCAAGCGGTTGCTCACGGACGAGAATTCCAACATCTTTATCTATATGACGGGCCATGGAGGCGACGAGTTCTTGAAGTTCCAGGACTCTGAGGAGATTTCTTCGTACGACATTGCGGACGCTTTTGAACAAATGCACGAGAAAAAACGGTACAACGAGATTTTCTTCATGATCGACACCTGCCAGGCCAACACCATGTACTCCAAGTTCTACTCGCCAAACATCCTTGCTGTCGGATCATCGGACTTGCACGAGAGCTCCTATTCGCACCATTCCGACACAGAGATCGGAGTTGCCGTCATCGACAGATTCACCTACTTCAGTTTGGAGTTCTTGGAAAACCTCGAGAAGGACAGCAAGCTCACGTTGCAGGATTTGGTCGACTCGTACACGTTCGAGAAGATCCATTCGAACGCGGGCGTCCGCAAAGACCTGTTCCAAAGAGACCTGTCGCAGGTTCTAATCACCGACTTTTTTGGAAACGTGCAACAAACGGTCGTGGACAACGTCGAAGATGACCTTTTGTATCTCACGAACTACGACGAGAGGGGAAACCTCAGAAACTTTACGTCTGAGGAAACGCCAAGGGTTGCACCAAAGAGAGATGCCAAACTTGTGAACCAGAAGAACCACATGATCAGCTTTGCGTCGCAGAAATCGTCCGGCATCTCTTCGTCGACCCTTGGGTCTGTGGCCGTGGCCATTGGAAGTTTACTAGCTCTGGCCAAGTTCTTCAAAATATGACAGTCTTTTATTCTACAAAACTGTTAATGACAGTCTCGAAAAATCCATGCGCCGATGAAAAATACCTGTTCGCAGTGCTCACCACCCCGAGAACACGAGGCCGGAGACCGCCCGAAGACAACGAGTACTTGAGCAGCAGTCCTGCGATTCCAATACCGATCGAATAATTGACCACCAAAGACAGCGTTTTTGGGCGAACAGCGAGGCGCCTGGAAGACTCAAGCCGTTTGAGGTCGCGCTTTTGCTCGCTCGCGTGCAGCAACGTGAGCTCAGAGCTCAATGAGTTGGTTCTTAGCATGCTGTATCTGCTCAGTTTTTTGAAAGAGGACACTTTCTCGCAAGGATACTCGCTCATGTATCGTATTGCCGTTTGCATGATTGGAAACAGGTCGTTACTTTTTACGTGGTGGCTGATCCAGTTGCTCAATGTGACGTGGACCATGTCTCTGCTGCCGAGATCTGGCTCTGTATCTTCTATCATTGTTTCGTCGCTGGTAAAGGATTTCCCCAGCAGGTCGTCCAGGTCTCTTAGTATATCGTCTCTGTAAAAGACAAGCACTGCCACATAAATGTAGATGACAAACAGCGGCGACTCTTCTGCCAAAAGGAAGTCCCACACCAGCGAGAGGTCCATGAAGCTGGACATGTCGTGCGCAAACAGCGAGATCACCGAACTCAGGGCGTACACTGGCTCGACAAACCCGATCAGCGTGAACAGTTTGGGGTCCACCTGGGACAGCAGGTCAGGGATCAACTGGAGTTCTCTGACCGTGGACTCGATGTCTGGGAGCATGTGATCTCTGAGATGGGTCAGAGTGAGTTTTGTCATGAATTTATAGGCTGTTTTGTCGTCAAACACCAGAACGGCAACCTGTGCAACGTCATGATAGCCCTGGTAGTAATTGAGTCCCGGGAAGGCATTCAGCGTGGAGTTGATCAAACCATCCAGCTGACGGCGAAGGGTATCCAATTTCGCTGGGTCGTCGATCTTGGGGTAGAAGACGAACGAGCGCTCGACGTCCTTGGTGATTTGGTCGTGATCCTTGTGTTTCAAATTGGAGACACAAGGCGGAGGGTTCCAAGAGTCTAGGTCTAACAGGATCGGCCACACAACCGCGCGCTGCTGGGTGTTGATGCATCCGGACCGTGTGGCAACGAGAAACCGCAAAAGAGATCGATCTCGGGAGTCTATGGCGTTCTTGATGGACTTGAGCTTCAGCGACTCGTTTTCCTCAGAAACAGGGTATTCGTTAAAGATCGATCGATCGCACTCCATCTGGACCCATTCGGGAAGACCCAATGCGGGGGCATTAGATTTTTCTGATACTTGTTCCATGGAGAAGATATATTATGTTTTTGTTATCAACTGACAAAGAGACTAAATTTTTATTTAGATAAATATTTGATGCAACAAGGTAAGCGATCGGATTTCGAGTTTGGGAAAAGAATCGGAGGCGGTCGATTCAGCGACGTGTACAGATGTATCGCGAAAAATATCAGTGGACTCGAAGGCTTGGAAGTGGCCATCAAAGTGGTCGAACCGGAAGACGATGTTCCTCCCCATAATGTTCGAAACGAATTAAAACTACTCCAAAAGCTGGCGGAGAGTCGCATCACAGACGGGACAGCGCAAAATGTTGTTCCCTTACTTGCTTTTTTCCAAAGCTCGATCGAAATCGGACTGGTCTTCCCTTTGTACACCGTTGATCTACACGGCGTGATGGCCCATTATACAAAATATAGATCGAATTTTAACCTTGAGGACGGATCCATCACGAAAAAGGCTCAAAATAACCTTTCAATTGCACAAATTAAACGAATATTCACAGGACTCCTACGAGGACTTGCATTCATCCATCGTAACGGTATTATTCACAGAGATATCAACCCGAACAATATCATGTTCGAGTCAACAGAAAACTTGCAACCGGTCATCATCGACTTTGGAATCAGTTACCAGGAACCAAACAACAACGGACTCGAAAAACCAGACTCCAAAATCACAGATATCGCAACAGGATACTATAAGGCACCAGAGCTGCTGTTGTCGGTCAGAAACTACACCAACAAGGTGGATATCTGGTCTGCCGGAGTGATTCTGATGCTCATTGCTAGTCAGGGTTTCACCACACCGTACTCCACAGACTCTGCACACAGCGACCTGGCCCTTCTGGCATCCATCTTCAACACCTTTGGAACTCCTCCAGAGGACTGGGAAGAAGTCAAGTCTTCCCGTTCGTACACAGCGATGAACGCTGCATTTTTCAAAAAAGAGCGTACACCAGCCGATAACCTGTTATCCAAACTCAAGGACAACAAACATTTCATCCAGGTCTTCAACGACATGATGGTGTACGAAAGCTCCAAAAGAATCGCCGCGACCGAGGCACTAGCTCAACTAGAAAATAGCATCGATTAATAGCATCATCATTTTTGCAGCTGTGCCAGCTTCTTCTCACAATCGCTGATGCTTCTGGTACTAGAATCAATCTTGCTTGCCAGATACGTCAGACGTTCTCTGAAAAGCTTGTAGTCCTCGATTCCGCTGTACTTTTCGAGCTCCACTTCGAACTGGTTGATTCTACTACGGTGGAACTTGATCAGATCAAGCAAGTAGTCGGACTCGAGTGAGTTGTAGATCCGAGGCTCTTGAACCATCGTCTGGAAAGCAAGATGGTACAATGGCTTTGACGGTTTGATCTCTTTCACCAAACCTCTCTCACGAATAATGGTGATCAGTTCAGAATTCTCCATGGCTTGCAGGGTTGCAAACGTGTTTGTTTTCAACATTGGCAGCGACGCAACGTCGTTGTAGGTGACCATATCGTTCTGAGCCAGCAATTTGATTATACACCAAGCTTGAGCAGCAGTGTAACCACTCGATCCGCTTCCGGTGAACAGCTGACTCAACTTCTCAATAGACTGGGTCAAAATGCCGTTCAGAGCGTCTTCTGGCGATTCTCCCGAACGCATACGTCTGATGAACATCTGGAGATCCAAAATACGACCGCCAAATGGCTCCAGACATTTCTCCAAAGTATCCTTCTCGCTTTGAAGGTACTTGACCAATCTATCATCTTGCGAGAACTGTTCCTCGATCAAACGGTGAACTGAGGCATTAGAAGCATCTGTCAACAGACAACGCTTGAACAGCGTGTTTGGAAGAGCTTTCGACAATGTTTCCAGACTTCCAACGTCGTCAGTGATAAAGATCACATGGGCAATGTTCATGCTCACCATGTTTGCTGCCCATTCTGCCAGCTCACGATACACAAATGCATTAGCATCGTTGGCTTTACGAGACGCCTGAAACCGGTCGATCACCACCACAGGCTTCTCCTGAGGGTTCTGTTGCAAGTAGTCCTCTTCTTTCAAATGAACTTCTTCCTGTTCGTGTGCAGTGTGACGGTAGTTCGAAAGCGAGATATCTCTGATCACAGTAGTGGCCAAGGCAAGAATATTCTTCACTTGTGTTTCCTTGGACTCACTCAACCCAGATTTCTGTCCAGTCAGACCTTGCACAACCAAATCAACAAACGATGAGACCGAGTTCAACCATGAGAAGATCGGGAAGTAACCAAGCTCTCCTGCAAAGCTGCTAAGGAACTGCTGGTCCTTTCTGGACTTGATAACATTTTCACAGTCAATGTAAAGACAGTTTGGTCTGTCTTTCAAAACAAACTCCTCGACAAGATGCCGTTTTCCAGAACCACGAGGACCCTGAATGATAATGAACGAGTTCACGTTCTCGTCTATCCAGCGTTTGATCTCAGTGCTCAATCTGTCGAGTTCCTTGGACATTCCTTCGAAGCTGTGTGTGGTTCCGCTGCGAGCCTTTGCAGGCCACGAGAGAACACTCGAGACTCTGCTACGAGTGCTGTAGAAGAGCTTGGACAACTGCTGGAAAGCCTGGTTCTTCTCCAGAGAGTACTTCTCAGTGATCTTTTCGCTCACAAAGAAATATCTGATTGGATCAAAGACCAGAACCGCAAATGTTGCAAACAGTGCGAAAATCAGCGGGAACGCAATACGAGAGTGGTTGGTGATGAAGTTTCCAATCAGGGTAGCCTTGACAATCGGCGAGTACTGGATATGAACCACTGTGTCGCCAATACGCAAACCGGTGACGCAATGGCGAGCCGTGATTGCTGCCCTGATGGATCTGTAGATCACCAAAGTGAACGGATCTTTAGAGTCTGTAGGAGGAGGAATGATGTCGTTGATCACTCCGTAACGTCTCAGCAGCAGATACAGGTTTTCCTGGGTCAATGGTGGACCTTCAAACCAAAGCTTGATTCTCGGACTAGGATATCTTCTCAGATCTTCGATCCAAGGAGTTCCCTTAACAGGAAAGCAACGGGTGTGGATGAAATAGTGCAAAATACTGTCATTGTACTTGTCGCTGACGTTCTCCATGATCTGTTTGTTGAATTCAATGGTGTCCATTTCAGGAGGAACGGCAAACTTGACAAAGGCTCCACCGTCTCTGCCGATATACTTGAAACTCTTGATTTCCAAAGGCAATGGAGCATCTTTATTCTGAGCAAGGTTCAACACTTTCTGTTTGAGAGCTTTGTCGGAGTGGTCAACAAACAAAGAAGCAAACCGCTTTCTGATGTCGTACTTTCCTGTTTTGAACGGAGTGATGCGATCAAAATACATCATCGACTCCTTGTTCTCCTTGAGCATCACCCCGGTATTGGTGACATCGTCATCCTCTCCCGCGTTGCTTTGATGCAAAATTGCCTCTTCAGAAATGAATCTGAATTGACTCAGCGACGTCTTCCAAGGACTATTGACCTTTGAAAGCCTGAACGGCCGGCCAATTAACTGACGTAGCAACATGCAGGCAAATTAATTATCAATTATTATAATTGCGACACGAAAAAATTACTTGATATTTATTATTATAATGAGTTCATCAGAAGACACGACATTACCGCTCTTTGAGCGTTTCAGAGACGCCCATATCAACAACCTGATTGGACTGATGGACGACGTGATGGCCAGCATGGGAGATCTGGACAGATCACTCGAAACAGCAGTTGCTATCAGCAAAGAATTCACGTACCTGCAAAATATCTGGGGAGCGTTCTACGACCCTACGCGAATGGAACAAGAGACGGAAAACAAAGAAAACGACCAAGAACAACCAGATACAAGTGTTACAAGCTTCCAATTCGAAGGAAGAATGAGTGATATCAAAAGCTAAGTTTTATTAACTAGTACTGATCCTTTCCACTAATGATCACATCGTTGATCTTAAGAATCATTCTGGTGAGCTGTGTTGCTAGCAACAATTGTTGTCTCTTTCCAATCAATGTTTCAATGACGAACAGCTCCTTCATGTCGTTGCTGTTGCTGCCCAAACAGTCCACACCCAATCTGGAGTTATTCTTCAACACATGATCGGCCTTGAGCTGTGTAAGGGTTTCAATAGGGTCCATACCAGAGTTCTCGGCCAAAGACATTGGAATCACGTCCAAAGCCTCTGCAAACGAACGGAACGCATACTGATCGATACCCTTCTGCTTGTCAGCCTCCTCCTTCACACGCAAGGAACAGGATATCTCAGCAGATCCTCCTCCGTACACGATACGGCTGTCTTTAATCAAGTTACGCACCACGCATAACGAATCGTGCAGAGCACGGATACTCTCGTCGACAATCATCTTGTTGGAACCTCTCACAAGGGCGGTGACCGCACGAGGGTTTGCACAATCTTCGATCACGAGCATATGGTCTCTGGTTGTTCCGAACTCAACCTCGGTCACTTTACCAGCATGTCCGAGTTTCTCTTTGGTAAGGTCTTCGAATCTAGGCACGATACGGCCGTTGGTGGCCATGGCCACGGTCTCTATTTCTGTTCCACCGACCCATCTAACGGCAGGCAGTTCATTCGACAGCAAAAGATGGTTGGCCTCGTCATCGAATCCCCATTGACAGATCACCATATTGGCTCCGGCCTCTTTAACTAATTGAATCATTTCTTTGAACTTATCTTGCTCGTAGTTTTGCAGCTTCTTGAATTCCTCCACGGTGCTGACCTCGAGCTTGTGCTTAGTCTTTGGTTTAGGTGGCTCGAATGGACACGTGAGAATGGCGATTTTGGCATCGTCCACATGCTTTGGCATTTGAGGGTGCGAGAAGTCCTTGTCGATAATGACACCTCTGATGACTTTGGAGTCTTCCAGAGAGCCTCCGAGCTTGCCCTCCACACGAATCAACTCGAAATCCACGTCTTTACGTTCCAGATCGGCAACGTTCAAAACGGTCTCGACTGCCATCCGGGCAAATTGGTCGTGGCATTTGGACACGATCTTCGAGCCCAACGACGTCTTGGCGGCCTTGAATAGTTCACTGTTAACGTTGGTGTTGTTATCCAAATTCTCTGTGTCGATAGCCACCTCGTCTGCAATCTTGTCGAGTTGTTCGATGGCGATTTTACAGGCCTTGTCGAAACCGTGTGCGATCTTAATAGGATGGATTCCCTTCTCGATGAGCTCGAGCGCCTGGTCCAACAGGGCACCTGTGAGCACCACAACACCGGTGGTTCCATCTCCAATCTCGTCGTCCTGCGATTTGGAGAGTTCCACCAACAGCTTGGCAATCTCGTTATTCAGTTCCATTTGTGACATGATGGTGGCACCGTCGTTGGTGATGTTGATTTCTCCGTCCGGCGAGATGAGAATCTTATCCAGTCCACGAGGACCAAGAGATGTCTTCAGAATCGAAGCTACTTGTCTTGCGGCCAAGATATGTGATTTGACCGCCTCCGTGCCGTGTGTTCTTTTCTTAGACCCCTGGTCCTTGACAATAATAAATGGCCGACCCATCTCGTCCTGCGCCACAATGGCGTTGGACATGTCGGGCAATTCCATCGATTGGGGCATTTGAGACATGACGCGACGAAATAAAAGTTTGCAAGAAAAAAGTGAACAAAATTCAACACCAGTTCGCGAGGCCCATACAATAAAGGAAAAATTGGAAAAAAAAAATTATCTAAATATTTTTCATGTCTACCGTTGGATCGCTTATATTTTGCCAGGACTGCGGAACATTGTTGGACTCATTCGCCAACAAATCGTCCATCGAATGCAAACTTTGCCAAAAAAGCTACGAAACAAAACATTTTGCCAACTTGAAGGTGGTAACTCACACCGCTTCAAACGCTTTTCCATCATCTTTAAAAGCCAAGAAATCGCTCGTTAAAACCTCGTTGAAAACCAGCGAAGTCGAGGAAGGAGCAACAATTAAAGAGAAATGCCCAAAGTGTGGCCACGACGAAATGCAATACCAAACTTTGCAACTGCGGTCGGCAGACGAAGGTGCTACCGTCTTCTACACATGCACGTCTTGTGGCTACAAATTCAGAACTAACAATTAGAAATCTCATTTACTCGGCATCGTACATATCCAGGGCAACAACTGCACTCTCACGCACAACGTCGTCTTTGTCGTTGAGAAAGCCTTGGAGAATTGGTAACACATCGCCAGTTCCAATAGACCCTAAAGCTTCGGCTGCCTCATGTCGCACCATTCCGGCCTCAGACTTGTTTCCAACAATTTTAATAAGCGCAGGAACACTCACTGGGTTGCACAGTTGTCCGAAAACATATGCAATTTCGTGCTTGAACAACGCGGATTCGTCGTCGAATCCGGAAGCCAAAGCAAGACATGCCTCGTCTGTTCCAATATCCCGAAGTCTAAACATCGCTCTATATCTTTCAAACAAAGACCGATTTTGATCGTTCAGTATCTGTTGTAGTTTCTCCACCTTGTCGTTCTCTTCGTCCGAAGGTAATGGCGGAGCAGGGTCGATCGATTCGTACAGAGATGTTTGCAAGTTCTCTGTCTTGGACTTTTCGCTCTTTTCCCATTTGATACGGTCGATGGCCAGCTCGCATGTCTGACGGATCTCCACCATCTCTTCTGGATCTTCATAATACTTGACCAACAAGTCCAAGGAGTTCACGTCTCCCAAAGCTCCCAGGGCCTCGGCTGCTTCGTGTCTCACCATACATTGCTGGGAAGTGTTAGCCAGCACGTCTCTCAGGATAGGAGCAGCTTGCATATTTTTCGTCTGGCCCAGAACATATGCCACCTCGTGCTTTAAAAGCTCGGAATCGTCCTTGAACGACTCGCTGATGTATTGCAAAGCCTTTTGTGCTTCTTCTGGCCTCTGTTCGAACTCTGATCCCACAGATTTCAGGTAGAACAAAGCGCGGAATCGAAGCGCCAATTTCACGTCACCCGACTTGTTCACCAACACGTCTCTCAGTGTCTCAAGACTGGCTGTTTCGTCCTCTCCGTCCCAAATTTCTGGCATGATGAAAAATCTACCTTGACATAAATTTTTTTTCCTATATTTTTTTCATATCCCCGAAAAAAGCCCATCGTCGCGGCGATATCAATTTTAATCCAACTTTATTATGTCTCTGCATCCTGTCCATGGCCAGGACCCATTGACGGCCCTTCAAAAGCTCGAAGGATCTCAGCTCATTGTTCCTGTTGTTTCTATCGGAAACACTCCGCAATTGGCTACAGACCTGTTGATCCACACGTTCGCTGCCAAGCTGGTGGCGAGACTTGACGATATTTATTTATATCCATTTGCGTCGCCCGTCGACTACGTGGACAAGCCAGCTACGGGGATCACGTCTGGTTTGGAGATATACTACTGCGAGGACCAGAATCTGACGATCTTGCAGCAAAGAACGCCTATCTTACCGGGACTCACCAAACGGTTCTTGAGCGAGCTAATCGTGCCATTCATCAACATGGCCAAGTTCAGCCGCGTGCTGGTGCTCCAGAGCAACGATATGGGTCTCAGAGAGGACAAACACGCAAACCACAAGTACCTGTTGTGGTCGAACCAGATAACAAAGATCATCGAGACGTTGCAGGTTTCGGAGAGCGGGGTGGCTGTTGTGCGAGAATCTACCGAGCTTGACGGCGTGGGAAAACTGGTGATTGAGGCTCTCGAACAGCAACCTTCCCCCACCGCCAAACTGGCCCCTGCAGTGTCAGGATCGCTCTCGCTCAACGCACAGGCACACGCGTCGATCGACGCGGCGTTCCTCTCGATGTTCGTTTACGAAGGAGACAACTCGGACGACTCGAAGCTGCTGGCGGCAGAGGCGCTGAAAGTGCTAAACATCCAGGGCCCATCCAAATGGACGCAGCCTGTGTCGTGGCGAGGCGTCTACGGAAACAAACAGGTTCCGTCTGGATTGGAGTTTGGTGTATACGCTTAAAAAATTTTTCAAACCACAGATAAGTAGAGAGGAATACTGGAGATTAGTGTGACACAAGTGTGATCATCAAGAAGCACTATCACCAGACATTTGGTACCACTGCAAGTCTTGCACTAGACATACCCGTGTTGATAATTATTCTTGGGTGGACGTTTTAGAATTGTGTCATGTCGGATGGCAATTTAATCACCAAGATGCTTGCCGATGCGGCGGCGGAGGCTGAGAAGGAAAAATACCAGTCCAGTCCTGTGGAGGAGCCGCAAAGTGCTGACGACTCGGCCAGCGCAGAGCCAGAGCTCCCACGGGCCAGTCCGAAGCAGCACGTTTACTCTCCCCAGTTTCTGCTCTCGTTGAAAGAGTCACCATTGTGTTTGGAGATCTCTCATTTGAATCTGCCAGAGAACAAGCAGGACTTCTTTTTGCTGAACCTGCCTAAACGCTCGGCCTTTATAAACAACAACCCAACCCCAAACAATAAGTTCAACAACCAGCGTGGCAAGCGTGATAGAAGAAAGGACCCTAAGGACCAGAAGGACTCAAAAGAGCAGAGAGACCACCACAAGGACAAGGATTCTAGAAAGGCCGCCAGAGACCATCGCCAGCAGCAGGAAGAGACGCCCGAGTGGGTGCTCAAGTCCGACGTTGGCACAGGCAACTCGATCCAGGACTTTGAGCGGTGGAGACTCAAGATGCGCATTGAAACGTTCAAGCGCAACGGCGAGCCTGTTCCCGCCGAAGATCTCCAGCAATACGAATATTTGACAGCACAGCAACAAGATACTCCCCAGAAGCCGCCAGTAGCTCAGGCAGCCGTTCAGGCAGCCGTCCAGCCGGCACTGAGCGAAGAGGCCATGGCCATGGCCGGTTCGTCTGGATCCTCGAGATTCTCAAGCTTCTTTGGACCGGGCCAAGTTGCCCAGACCAAAGATGACACCAAGCTACTTTCTTTGCTACAACGGCCAACACAGCCAACCCAGCCCGCACAGCCAGCGCAACCAGCGCAGCAAGCACAACCAGGTCCGGTTCCTGTGGCTTTCCCGCCAGGACTGGCGCCATTTGGTCCTCTCACCGGGACCGCTGGCCCACCAATCCCTTCCAGAGACGACATGTTTTTCAATTCGCTGCTATCTAAAGCCCCGGCTCCGGGTCCTGCACCGTTCCTGCCTCCAGGCTTGTTTTTACCATTCTCTGAAAAAAAGTAATGGTTTCGGCATCAGTCACAACACCGTAGAGATCTGTAGTATGCAGTTCAGTAGCTGGATAGTCTCGTCGCACCCGTGGCTCAATCTTGCGTCTGTTTCGAACAGGATCTTGGATATGCTATTTTTCTGCTTGCTGTCCAAAGAGAGCGACAGCCCGCTCTCGTCTCCGAGCAAAAGCACGTCGTGCAACGAACCGAGCACCAGACTGGCGTTGTACCCTTCTTTTGCGATCTGCTCGTCGATAAAGTTGAAGATCAGCTCGGTGTCTTTCTTTTCTGCTAGAGCCAGCAGTTCAGACAGTGTCTCTTTGGGCAAGAATCCAAACACGTCTCGGATTTGGTCGCCTGTGACATCGTCAGCCATCTCATCTGCGCCCGGAGCCAGCATCTTGTGCACGCTCTGCAAGAAATTGATGGCCTTTCTCAGGTCTCCGTCACTAATATTGAGAATCTCCTTGAGAACAGCAGTGGTTGTAGAAACGTTCTCCTTTTCGCAGATATATTGCAGTCTTTTCAGCGAGTTTTCTTCGTCTAGCATCTTGAACCGGAATTTGGAGCAACGCGACGCCAACGGGTCGATGATTCGCGTGATGTAGTTGCAGATCAGACAGAACCGCGTGATGCTGGAGTACGTCTCCATGATTCTTCTCAGCGCGCTCTGGGCGTCCGAGGTCATCGAGTCGGCCTCGTCAAGAATGATCAGCTTGTACGGCGGACACGGGTACTTTTCCAGGTCTTCTGCGGATGGCTGCGACACGGACAGTCTGGCGAACGTCTTGATCTTGTCTCTAACGATAGAGATGCCCCTTTCGTCGGACGCGTTGAGTTCCAAAACACGGGACTTGAAAAGTTGCGGCCCGTACAGTTCCTTGGCCATTGCGAGGATCGTGGACGTCTTACCTGTTCCTGGCGGGCCATAGAACAGCATATGAGGCAGGTTGGCCGTCTGGAGATTCTTCTTCAGAACCTGCACCGCGTGCGATTGGGACGTGATTTCGTCCAGGTTCTTGGGCCGGCTGGCGGTTAGCAACGTAATTCGGCGCGATACTCACTATTTTTCGACCCACGGCATTCTTTCTGTCGCTTCAGTCATTATGAACAAGGTGAAGCTAAAGGAATTTTTTCTCTGTCTTATTTCGCGTCGCAATGGAAGAAGAGCACTCAGAAAGCACCTTGAGCCTGCCTATTTCGAGGATCAAGAAACTCATCAAGCTGGACCCGGACCACGTCTCGTCGACCGAGTCGGCAAACTATCTTCTGGGCGCGGCCGCAGAGCTGTTCATCATGAATCTGACGGAACAGGCATCGTTCCACGCAAAGACCCAGAAACGCAAAAAGATCTCGTACTCGGACTTCTACGAGGTCGTGCACAACAACGACAACCTGCTGTTCATGAAGGACCTGGTCCCAAAGACGGTGCCGCTGCAACAACTGGTGAACGAAAATAAAGTCATACTCAACAACAAAAAACCAAGCGAAGACGACACCATCGACGAAGACTCGACACTGTCGACTCCACAGCCGGCCCAGCCGAAACAGCAGATGCTGCCTTTTATGATGAAAAACAACTCGGACACCCAGGAAGATGCCGTGATGATCGAATAATCGTTTCCATTATCTATTTACATTAAGCTCTCTCAATATACTCCTCCGTGCGCGGATGCTCCACCTCGCCGGTCTCGATGTACTCCTTCACCTTGTCGAATAGGAATCTGCCGTCGGTGACGTTCGAGTAGCCGTCAAAAGTGTTCTTTGGAATCACTGCGTTGGAAGACACCAGTGGCTTTAACGAGGTCTCGGCAAGGTTCGGTGGCGCCACAAACGTACGCACCCGCTGGTAATCGATCTTGTAGGTTCCCCACTTGTCCATGTGTCCAATACCCGACGATCTGGTACCTTTGTAAAAATTCTTGTTACCTTGCTTTGTCGTCAACGGAACACGCTTGTTACCCGTCTTGGCGATACCGTAGTAAAGCGTGCCGTCTCTGAACTTCTGCCAAGGACGACGGAGAAGCGCCGTTTGCGATTCTTGGAAACTCAGAACGCTCGTAAATCTCATCGTTACACTCGCTAACTACACACTTTTTTTTCTTGCCGTGAAATATTTTACTGCCGACGATCGACCGCACCTCGAGTCGCCTATTTAACAGGCTTGATGTAAGCCCTGTTGAGGTTCGAAATCTCCCTGCAAAGAATGTACCAGTCGACCTCGCGGATGAACCCTGGACTGTTGCTCACGATCGCGTCACTTTCCAAGTCAAGACGCCGGGCGTCAAACTCGTCGTCCTCCTCGGAAATGGCTCTTTCGTAGCCAACCAGGGAAAACCGGGGTCTGTCTCGAATCGACGACGGCACCAACCCGGAACTGACGGAACCGTAGCTGGTAGAGAACGACGAGTGTGCACTGTGGTTCACCGAAAACGTAGAGTTGTTTGACGGTCCCACAGATGACTGCGAGGATATGCTGTTGGTACGTTTGTTCATCTTGGACCGCATAAACTGCTCTTCCCATTTGAACAACTCGTACATCAGCTTCAGGTTCGGCTGGATAATCACATTCAGCCTTCGCACACGCACATACAAGTAGGCACGCGGAAGACTAATATTGAGTCGTTTCATCACCTCCGAAATGCAAACCGTGGCCGATCTGGAAACTCCAACTTGACAGTGAACCAACACTTTTCCATCAGCTGCGTGACATCTCTCGATGAAGTCCAGCGCATCATTCAAGGTGGGAGTCAATGTTCCAATACCATCGTCGTTAATGTTGCTGATCTGCATCACCTCCTCCACAGTACAGGAAACCCTACCGATCTTCTGGCCAGAAGCGATCTTGAAAATTTCACACCCGCTATCGGTAGTGCCTGTCGTGTATTCAAGGTCAGTCAGCCATGGGATCTGTTCTCCAACACTCACCACGTAGTTGATACCTAACTCTTTAAGTAACGCAAGGCTCGAAGCGTGATTTAAAGAGCCGAGATACAAATGGGGCAGGATCCGCGAAGGAAGTGATCCCAGAACGCTTTCGCAGATACCTTCAGCCTCCACAGGAGACTCAAGCGAGGTTGTGGAGGTTGAACTTGACTCGGAATCTGACCCAAGCTCTTTTTCTTCGTACCCTTTTTGCTGTTCACGAAGCTGAATAATGTGCTGCCCAGTTGAAGTGTTGAGAACCGAATTGAATGACATTCCGAGAGACTCTCTGTGTCTTAGACGTAATGGCGACAAAAGGAAGGCTTTCACAAGGTTCTTGTCGTCTTCGAAAGTCAACTTGTCAGTTCGCAAAGAAGCAAATTTTAGTAAGATCGGCTCAAGTCGTTGAAGCAGCAAATAGTCAGATTTGAAAATAAAGAATGGGCGCCCATACTTGCAATGCAAACGAATTATAGCCTCATCAATGCTGATCTGTTCGGAGTACATGAGGAAAGCCAACCCCAAGAGCGAGGTTTCTGTGTATCCGTCAGAGCAGTACAACAATGCTGGGAATTTCTTGGTTCCTTTGTAACAAAGCAGCTTGCAGACGTTTATTATGCACAGAATATCATTTTCAGACAAGTCTGCCAGCTCGACTGAGCCAGATGGCGGAAACTCAAGATAGATTTGTTGCAAGTAGTCGATGCTAGAAAAAATGGTGCGTAGTTCCATGGCAGATGGGAATTCTGCCCCATCAACGCAGTGAACAAAAAATCTCCAGTGTGCTTTTGGGAATGTAATCAACTTGGAATCAATCTCCTTGATAGGTCTCTGTGACAACATATCTTTTTTCAAGGTCACAATTGTATTTGTTGGGTCGCAATGTAGAGGTGGGGAATAGGTTTGTGAAACTGCTGTTTGAACATCTGTTCCTGAATTTAATTGAATATGCAGACATTCAAAATCAGTGGTGTTTCCAAACCACACGTTATCGATAACCTCTGTTGCAGAAGACATCTTAGATATCTCTAGTTTTTCACGATACAGGTAGTTCGAGTCCCAATTGTTGAATACCTTGATATCATAGTCTGAACACAGATCTCCGGCAATTTTGGAAGAGGCGTTTTGGCTCAACAACGGAATGGTTATGAGATTCGAGGACTCAAGCGCACTGATCTTGATATCCTCAAGAACGAAGGTGTTATAGAGTTTTTTGCAGTCCGGCTGCTCCAACTCTGGATGTTCGATCGCATATAAAAGTTGAGCGATATGCAACAGTCTTGCCAAAGGAACACATTTGCACTTGTTATTCCGGCAGTCGTCTTCGTCCGCGTTATGGACGCTCATCTCGTGGTCATCGTTAAAACAGTAGACCACTAAATCCGATATATTGCTGATCTTCGAAACTTGGATATGGAAGTTTCGGAGAGAAACACCGACCTGCGGGTCCATATCCCTGAAAATAGGGATCAGCTTGAGACTCAAACAGTCTTTCACCAGCACATCAATCGGGTATATCTCCAAGATGTCTTTGGGTAGCGTCGAGGCAAGGTACACCTCTACATTGCGAACGTTGAAAACTGAAACCAGAATATCATGAGGAGAAACAGTGCCTTTGATGAGGCCCGTTGTTTCTGCGATAATATCGTCTGCGCCTTGAAATTCGTCGGAGGTATTTGCGGAGCGCACGGGCATAAAGCTGCGGACGTTTGTTGGGATTCCCACTTGTAGATTTGTATCGTATTGGTTGGTCAAACTGGACAGGAATCTCAACTGAACGGTATTATTTTTGTGGACTCCATGGAGCCAGGGGAACATTTTTTCTGTATCAGGGAGATCTGTTGTATAATGTTTGAGCATGAATTGACAAAACTCATCAGTTGTGACAAAATTACAAGCTTTGAGGGATTTGGGCGAACGGTGGTGTAAGAAATATAGCGAACCTGGCTCAAACACCGATTCAAAATCTAACGGTTTCATCGGTCTATACAGCGAGTTTGAACGGCTCTTCTTGTAATATTCGTCACCTTCTTGATAATTTCCTTTGAACAGACTGTTGATCCGAGACCTAAATTTATCTTTGTCCTCCAAAGAGACACTATTTGCTCTTTTCGCCCCGGTCCGGATCTGTGTCACCGGAGGCGTAGGCAGCACAGTACGCGTGGACGGGCTAGGGACCGCCTGTTCTACCGGTTGATACTGGCTCATGTCACCGGATTTTTGTTCTTGTTTGTTTGCGGGCTGCTTTTGGGCAACTTTTTTTTACACGGTTAATTAGCCCCCACAGCTATCTTATCTTTTTTTTCCCAATGCATAAGCCACAGAGTTTAAATTTTCCAAATCAGCCACGGCGATGATGTTGAGATATATACATTTTACATCTTATCGATCAACTGGATCAGGTATTTGAGGAATTGTCTATCGCTCAATTCGACAAGCTTCTCAACAAAATCCTGAGCCAGGTTAGCTGGGAAATCCATGCTAGACACCAGAAGTGCGCGCAGTTGCTCCACCATCATCTCGTTGAATCTGATGGTTTTATTCTTACGATTCACCTGGCCGTCCGGTAGCTCGTATCCCATGAAACAGGCAGCCTTCATGGTACGGATCACCTCCAGCAAAATGCTGTTGCGGTATTGTGCATCGTTGAGCAACTCACGTTTCATTTTGAAACTCATCTCGCATGAGAGTAAGAGAGCGTTGGTGACAAGCAGCTGATTGGCCTCCTCGAACATGTTGGAATCGGTCTTGAACACATCTTCTGGGTCCGTGACTCTTCCTAATCCGACACCCGTGAGTAGCGAGTTGATACATGTGATCGCAACCTTGACCAAAGAAAGATCGTTACTTTGGTAGTTGTAGATGTAGTTGAACATCAGATTGATCACATTGACCAGTGCAGGCTTGTTCTCATTGGTGAGCCACAAGGAGCTCACATGGTCACTGTACATCGAGATGAGCAACGAGATGAAGCTCTTTTGCGTGTCCAAGATGTCTCTTTTGATGAAATCGTCCTGCGCGGCAGCAGATTCAGTTTCAATACGCGAAATCACCTTGGAAATCAGCGGGGTCAGCAACGAGTTCAGCAGCAGGTAGACCGGCTGTGACTTGCAACAATGGTGCATCACCTGGCCCAGGAAGTTGAGGAAATTGTTGATCTCTTGCAGCTTCAACTTGTCAAAGTTCATCATCACAATCGAGATGAACTTGGACAACACCTCCTCAAGAGCGGCGGATGGAGTTTTCACGAGCAAAATGAACAGTCTCACCACACAGAACTCAGACGCCTCTCTGACAATGTTGAAGTTCAGGAAGTTTTCCAGAGTGATCAACACGACTTGAGAGATCTGTTGTAACAGAGCAACAAACTTTTCATCAAACTCCTGTACATGGAGACTCTCAAATCCTTTGAGAATTGTTCCAATGGAAACCAGAGAGTGGTGGACTTGCACCACGACGCTCAGTGTAAGCTGGGAAAGGTTGTTGATACATTTTTCCAGGTTGGAAAATAGTGGCTGCAAAACTGATTCGAAAGTAGCCACCCGTTGCTCAGGTTTTTTGATCAAGGTGATCAACAATCCAAGAGACTCGAACAAGTACAGCTGGTGTTCAAAGCTGCCGTTTGTCTCAACAACACCAAGATCGATATCATTGGAGATTTTGGCATTGTTGGTGACCTCGAAATCAAAGCTGAGAAGAGGAAGCAAACTTCTAATTAGTTCCTCATAAATGTAATCGTCCACGGAAGGCTTGGTCAACTTGATGAATCTGTAGAACAGGTACCAGGAACGGTACTTGACCTTTTCGTTATCGCTGAACACGCCAAAGTTGGAAACAAAGATCTTGAGGACTTTGAGCAGAATTTCTTCCTTATTGACACCTTCCACTTGGATATTGCTGTTTGTGAAGAATGTATAGTGCTTCAAAACGAGTTCGAAGAAAAGCAATTGAATCAGAGAATGGCTCACGAGGAAAGTGGTGGATCCATCGATAACCTTGCAGAGCATCTCATTGAAGACAAAGTATGGTCTGGAGTTGTTGATCATAGTTTTTGGGAGATTCATGACGTTGTTACGCAGGATCTCGCTGTAGTGACTAAGTTCATGCATTCCAAGTTCGATTGTATGCCAATTAGAGTTTGAGTTAAATAGCGACTCGTTAATGCAGGTAATCATGACTTCTAATGCTAAAGTTTCGTTTAATATCACAATGGAATCATGGAAAGAATTCAACTTATTTCTGACTTCCTGGAACTGTTCAATGGATTCGTCTTCTGTTCCATCGTCGTCTTCGTCAAACCTCTTTCTCATGATGATTTTCTTCAAAAGTGTAGTGAGTAGCTCATCGCTGGTGAGGTACGAAAAGTCAATTTGTTCATTGGTGATGTTTTTCTTCAGGAACAACAAGAAGTTACCGATGAATGGAAAAATCTCGAGCGCAACGTCGTCGTACTCGTTCTCCAGATAATCGAAAACAAGAGGGAAAATGTCCAAGATCTTTCTGATGGTGAGGTTTTTGAAGTCTGCGTTTGCGAGTTCTTCGTTAGAACTGGAGTCTAGAACGTTGACAAGTTCAGACCCGATGTTCTCCACCAGCTTGGCAAACGCGATGTTGACGTCAAAGTCTGCGTCTTTGGCTTTAGAATCCATCTGACTCAGAACACTGGATAAGTCAAGGAAATTGATAAGTTCCAGTTTCTTAATTGGGGCCATTTTCTTGTGCAAGATCTCGTTCAAACACCCGGCCGTAGTGATCTTGTGTTGGGTGTTTGGACTTGCCAGGAACTGGTACAACAATCCCAGGTATTCCTGTTCGAGAATCAGATTGATCTCAATCCACGAAATGTACTCACCAATGCAGTGAATGGTGTTGTTTATAATATCTGACTTCAGCTGTGTGTCTGGGTTGGAGTAGGTTTTCAGTATGTTTTTCCAGGACTCAGTCATGAGCACCATGTCGTTGGCTCTGATGGAATCTTTGAGGAGGTTACTTCTTTCATGGTGTTCACGTTCTCGAGCGATGGTTTGATCTCCTATCTCTTGATGGATGACCAGCAAAACACGCAGATAGTAGTCGGTCGCCAGCTCGTTGAAAGTTCCTCCCGGCTGTGCTAGCGAAATTAGGTCCTTAATTAACGATGGGTAACATGTGAGTGTGGCATAGCTGAAGAGGATTCCGAATGTTTTGGAAAGGGCGTTTCTCAGAAAAGCGGGTTCCACGGTGTTGGAATCGACCAGACTCTTGAGATAGACAAACAGATAGTCCTTGACGGTGATCTTGTCGGAATCGGTCATAAATGGGAGCCTGGCATCCAGAACCTGGAAAACGAAAAACTTGACGTTCGGAGAAAGCTGGGCGTTCGGAGTGAGCAGATTCAAACACTGCTGCCAGCCGTCTGGAGAATCCTTGATCTGGGAAATGAAGTCAAGCGCCTGCTGCTTGAGCTGGGCGTCTGCCGAGGCGCTCGACGCGATGTCCACAGCCTGCAAAATCTGTTGGTCCATTGTGTAGAGATATTTTTTTGTTAGTTTTTCAGTTTTCTAGTTTGGTCGTGTGCGGGAAAATCCAAGAGACCCTATGGTGGCTGTTGGAACGGTGGTGCAGAGCTGGTCGTTGACCAGCTGGGCCAAGATCCGGGTGATCCATACTACTGCAACAGTATCAAAGTTGCTGGAACAACTACTTCCAAACTTGGATCTTCCTCCTCAGCTATCTGCGCACTAAATATTTTTCGCACAGCCGAGACTCTCGTTTAAATTAAATGCGCTTGTTTCTCCCAACCACTCGCTTTTTGAAGCCCGTTCCCCGGTTCGGGGGCCTCATTTCGTGCGTCCGGTTCCAGTCGACGTTCAGTCCGCAGGAACTGAAACAAGCCCGCGAAGAAAGACTTGCTGGCCTGGGAATTCTCACCAAGTTTCCACCAAAACTCATACCGTACATGGAGCTCATGAGAATCGAGAAGCCAATCGGAACAAAACTGCTGCTGAGTCCCTGCATGTGGGCCATAACGATGGCCGCTTACATGACATCGGCGCCATTGGCATCAACAGCGTATATGATGTCAGTGTTTGCCGTTGGAGCGTTCGTCATGAGAGGAGCCGGATGCACCATCAATGATCTTCTGGACAGAGATCTCGACAACAAGGTCGCTCGCACGATGGAAAGACCGATCACGTCCGGTCGGGTGAGCACAAAACAGGCGATCGTGTTTCTCGGGGGCCAATTGGCGGTGGGATTAGCCGTGTTACTGCAGCTTCCAGCGGATTGTTTCCTATTGGGGGCCTCGTCATTGGCGATTGTGGGCACGTACCCTCTGTTCAAACGGTTTACGTACTACCCGCAGGTTGCATTGAGTCTTTGCTTCAACTGGGGAGCGTTGTTAGGGTTCCCAGCAATGGGCGTCTGGAACTGGCCAGTCATGATCCCGCTCTACCTGAGTGGATTTTTCTGGTGCATGCACTACGACACCATCTACGCTCACCAGGACAAGAAGTTCGACATCGACGCCGGAATCAAGTCCACAGCATTGGCCTGGGGAGACAAGTCCAAGACCATCTTCAAGGGACTTACTGCAGCCCAAATGGGGTGCTACACATTGAGCGGAGTGCTCGCCGGCATGGGCCCGGGATTCTACTTCGGAGCAGCATACGGAGCATATCGTCTGGTTAGAATGATTCAGCTGGTGGATCTCAACAATCCAAAGGATTGCGGATACTGGTTCCGTGAAAATATTAACACCGGACACGTTTTCTGGCTGGGAATCTTTGTCGACTACTGTCTCCGCCTGCTTGGATATTTGTAATAATGTATCAAATTCATTAATACCACTAACTAAGGACCATTATTGGCTTATCTGGAGGATGGACCTGGGTTCATTCTTCTCTTTCCACCGATAGTGTTGGCAACGTTGACAAATCTCTTGGTGTATTGAAGTCTCTTGTATGCTCTTCCCTTTGGTTGTTTTGGCTTCTCGGTCTTGTCGACCTTTGGAGTTTGAGACTTAACCTTACCGGCACGTGCAAGCGATCCGTGGACTTTTCCCTGCGAATGTTAGTTACTTTAGCTGTTTGCCACTTACCATTTTGTAGTTATTCAATTAACAAAATTGTTACGCCTTTAAAAAAATGAAGAAAAAATTATACCCAGACTCAGCCCTGCAATTTAGTCACGTGAAAGTCATTCTTTATTTTTCTATGTAGTACATTACCTCATCATAATTACAAACAGAGCAACAGATAGCACAAATGTCACCCCGTATACGACAACAGCCTCCCACTTGATTGCCGGGAACCTGCTATGTCTTAACATTGCCTGTGCTATGAAAAAGCGCGCGCATCCCATAACCAGCGAAAAAATGGCCATCACCATGAAACACAAACCCAAAGCTTTCCCGATTCGTGTGTCTGATTGGGCCGAGCTTGGTGTCTCGCCCATTGCCAGCATCTGGGAGACGTAAACCCCGACAGATGCGAACGTGAGCGACGTTCGGAGCCATGCCAGGAACGTTCTTTCCGAAGCCAAATGGTCCCGTGCCACTTGGCCTTTATTTTCCACCAGGACAGCTCCCAACTGGCCCAGGTTTTTGAAATGCATAGGAGTAATAGAAATCCGCCATCGCATGGCTACAATTCGGCTGCAAATATAAGGATTATCGAGAATATCTGTGGTGTCAGTAAAAAACAATAAAGAAACTCGCACAGCCACAGCCACACTTTTCAAAACTTACCGGAAGGATGGACAGAGATATCAACAGGGCTGGGATTGTGCCACTGCTGAACGGCCGCGACTTGATCAGACGTTTGTGCATGGTCCAGAACCTCACGATGCCGCACCCGAGCGCCACGAGACACGCAACCAGACTCAGGATACCCAATGGCTTGGAGTACTTTGAGGCAATGTAGAGGTCGTGGCGCAGTATTTTTGGATACTCGTCCAAATTTAAATCTTGAAGAGGATTGATGATGGCATATTTTGCAAGCTTGATGACGGCGATTCCGAGCGACAGAAACGCCATCGATGTTCGTAAATATGCCAGCATCGTTCTCTCATTGGACAAATGGTCTCTTGCAACAGCACCGGCAGGTGTCACGATCGTGAGCCCCATTTCGTGGTAAATTAATTAAATTAAACATTTTTTTTAGATAGCAGAAATATGTAGTGTAGCAATCTTCACCAGAAGATAGATATCGAGCACGATCATCAGCACGATCACAGACGGGATCACTTTGCCATCGATATCGAATCTGTTGAGATCGGTGAGGTGATTGGAGTTGATTAGAAACCGTGTCACAGAGTCGATGATAAAAATGAGCCCCAAAACGCACATTATAATACTCCAAGGACGCACTAGAGTATCGTAGAACTGCTCCTCAACTTTCAAACGCGCAGTGTCTGGATTGGGAGATATGAGATGAGTTATGATGTTTTTCTTGAACAATTGAAGCGCACTTATAGACACTGTAAAGTATGTGACGGTTGCGCGGAAATAGGCCAAAAGACTTCGCTCGTTGGCAAGATGGTCCCTGACCAGCGAGCCCGAGTTGTCGGTGTTCACTATGAAGTGGAAATGGGACTGGTTGTCATGACTCGGGGCCACAGAAGGAGCCCGAGATGTCATTATTTTAAAAAATACAAGATTATTTTTATTAGTTTATATTGAGCGTATGCGCCACTTTAAGGGGTGAAAAGTGGCTATGCAAAATTAGGACGACGACGAAACCGTTGCAGTACGGTACGAACGCAGTGTTCCCACGGTTCCCCGCGAGCTCAAGGACCCGAGTCCAACGGAGCCAGATGACGGGGTTGCAATGGTTGAGTACATAGAGGTGAATTTTTGCTGCCAAGTGGTCGAGACTGTGGTTGGTGTATTATTCTCGGTGAGAGTGACCCAAACGATGGTTGGGGATGCGGTGGTGGACGACGAGTCAGTTTCCGTGTCCGATGACTGAGCTGTCAACGCCGTTGTAGTTGCTGCGGTGGCAACTGCGGCAGTTGTAGTGCCGGTGGTGCCCGTTGTGCCTGTTGTGCCAGTGGTGTCAGTGGAGTCAGTGGTAGCATCGGCCACAGCAGCAGCAACGGCGGCGGTGGTGGTGGCCGACGTCGAGGACGAGCTCGAAGATGACGAGGAGGTCAAGGACGAGGACGAAGAGGTGGTGGCCGCAGCAGGATCTGTTGAAGAAGAATCTGTGCTTGTTTCAGATGATGTGGCAGCGGCCGCATCTGCAACAGCAGTGCCGGTACTAGAAGATGAAGACGTGGTGGTTACGTCCGCCAGTACGACCAGACCCATGGTTAATGCCAAAACGATCCTGCTAGGTCTCATCAACAAAACTGATTAGAGTTTCAAATCAAAAATTCTCCTTTGGTTTCTTTCTGCAATGCTTTTCGGATGTGCTGCGCTGGACCTATTTTAGCATGCATGAAAAAACGGCCTAAATTTTTTTTTGTATCCGACGCAAAGTGGGCACCGTACAGATTAACGAAAGTGTGAGAAGATTTATATGTGCACCAATTGAGAGCGCGCCCAAGGTTTATATATCGGTTTGAACGATAAGCCTCTTTTTGGAGCCAAGCATACGATGTAAACAACAGGTCTCTAAGCCATTTTTAGCACGCCAAGCCATGTCAGAGCAGAACAATCGGACCTCATGCAGCTGGTTCAAAGTTCTGGAAAAAATGCGAAAATGTTCAAAGCATCAATTGAGGTGGCCCTTGTAATTGCGGACGCGGTAATCTATATGCACAAATGCACGCTCGACCGCCGGTAGCGTTTCGATGGTGTACTGAAGCGATTCAGCAAGATCGTGGCAATCGCGCATTGTCAAGGTCGCGTTCTGAATAATAATGTCCACTTCCACGTTGAGGAGGTCACCGACGTGATACGTTCTGAAATTCTTGACTCCTGAAATATTTTCACTGAACCGCACAATCAGATACAGAATCTCCTGGTAATCTTGTTGCGACGCGTTCGCGCCGGTGAGATTATTAATGTGTTCCAACGCAATCAAACACCACTGCACAACCACGTAAAAACACAGGACAACTGCCCCGACCGAATCGAACCACCACCACCGAAGCAAAACACCAACAAACGGGAATAAGATGGAAAACACATTAAACACAACGTCGGTTCGCGCGTCTTCTGCCAAGGCTTGAACAGACGAATTTGGGATCTGGATGCACCATATGAAACATATGACTTTTGCAGCAATGGTGAAGCCCATTATCTCCGTCGAAAGAGCACTAAGCTCAACAACCTCGGTGTCCTCGCTAAATAGCCTATTAACGGCCTCCTCGAGCACCTGCAAGAACGATAAAATGATAATCACCGAGAGCACCAAAACTCCGAGCGGCTCGAGTCTCTTTCTGCCAATCGGAAACCGGGTAGATTGCGAAGAAGCATACTTGTTCGAGAAGAATATCACCATCGTGGACAGGAAATCGAGCGCCGAGTCCACGAGCGACGCTATTATCGACATGGACCTCGTGTAGTACACCACAACAACTTTGGCGAGCAACAGAACAACGTTGATCGCGAAATTCACCTTGATAGCAAAATCCACAATGGCTCCGTCATTTTCAATGTTGTAGCCGAGGATTTTGCCTCCTTCCAAGTCGATATCCGCTGGTGCACGCGCGTACTCGTCTTCCTCATCTAAATTGGACGTGTTATAGTGCTCAAGCATCGAAATGTGGATGCCCGAGTCCAGTAGATTGTCCACCGCGGTGTATCTCTCGATGTATTCGTTCTGAGCTCGGTAAAAAGATACGAGTTTGCGGTTTTTGATGCTCTTGAGCTGTCTGTCCGTGTAGTAGCACGTGGACCACGCAAACAGCTGTGGACTTTTGCCGATCAGGTTGACAGACCTCATATTCCGGACCGTCTCCATTCTCTTGTACAACTGGTCTAGATTCAGCAGTGCACTAACGCGCCGGTCGTGACTTGCCGGATTAGTGACACTTGAGGCCACGAGCGGCTGACCCATGCCGTCCTGGAATCCCGAGAAAGACTTTGCTCTCTTGCCGTAGGGAGTCAATGGAGTCCGGAACCCACCACCCGGTGACGGCAGCGACACCGCACTGTCTCTTGTAGATGGAAAAGGAATCTCATCCGGCTCCTGCAACGACGTGTAGTCTGGCTGGTACGACAGAATAGGATCTTGTTCACTCATGGGGCACAGTTTTACTAGTTGGGAAATATTTACTCTACACCTTTGCACCGCGGTGGTGGATCATCTCGTCCAGCAAAACAGGACCATGGAATTCGGGGTCCAGGAGCCGGTCGACACACCAATTGGCAACCACCTGTGTAGAAATCGGGGGTCTGATCAGTCCGTCTAAAAGATGGAGCAAAATCGTCTCATTTGCGTAGCCTGCAACGTTAAGCAGGTTCTTCAGCTTGGTGCGGGTATCGGTGGTATTTGTTTCGTCAAACATGAACCCTGGTCTCATCAAGATGGGCCTGATGTTCGGCTGCATCTGGTACAGCTCGAACTCGGCCTTGCGCTTCGACTCGATGTATCCAGACGGAATGCCGGGAAATCCTCTGTCTGCAGAGATGTATGCGAATGCAGGTTTATTCTTGTTGACCTCGATCAGCGTCTCGGCCAGAACAATTGCGCTCTCGTGATTCATCTTTTCGTACGTGTTGAAGACGTTTTTCTTCATCGGATTGGGCGTTTTGAAGAACGACTGGATTTCTCCAAGTAGATCGTCGTTGGATTGGACCACTTTCTTGTAGTTTTGGTTTTCGAGCAAAATACCCATCGAATGGACCACGCCGCTGGCATCAGGAAGTAGATGTTTGTAGGTGTGTGGCTTGAACACATCGCCTTTGGTCCACTCCACCTTGTCGGCCCACTTCTCGTGGGGCCCCAATTGACGTGGTTTGGATCCAGAACTGGTCACAGAAACAACATCCAGCCCACGGCCAACTGCATTCTGACAAATACGTTTCCCCAGAAACCCGCTGCCTCCAAAAACTATCAGCTTTGACATGTCTTACGTTTTGCTATTCTCTTTCTAAAGATTGCCAGACCTAAGAAAATTTACCCTACCCACACACAGCACGACCTTTTCAAACTTCAAAAAATTTTCACCTGAATTTTTCATCTTCATATTATCACACAGAAATGGTATGTATTGCAGTTACTTTGGACGCTTCGAGGGCGTCTGTCGCGCAACAGAGCATCTGTTGGGACATATAGCACAGACACAGACCCCAGATCCAGCAAAGATCGCAAACAAATGAGGTATTGTCGAGATGGAGAATTTGGTCCTTCAACTGGATACGCTTGTCAGACCAACAACAACGCCCGTTCAGGGAACACAAGGATGAGAGTACACTGTTGGTGGCATTTGGAATGGAAGTACGATCTTTGTTTGTCGAAAAACGTCGACTTCTAGCCCAAATACCGTGTCCCAAGATCACACTGAAAAATCTTCAGACCATCGCCAACTTGTAGCAGTTTGCACCAGATCTACGCTCATCGTGATTACAGAGTACTCATTTGGCTGTTCGCTTGCCTCCCCTTTGCCTCTTCGTTGGTCACTGGCCCTGTTTGTGTTTGTGTTTCCATCGTCTGCTTTGTGCGCTCTTGCCTTGTCGCTCCAATCCACCCAGACTAACCCTTTAGGACTCGAAAACTCCAGTCACTCTTGCTAAAGTCATCAAGGTTCTTGGTAGAACCGGATCCAGAGGTGGTGTCACCCAGGTCAGAGTTGAGTTCTTGGACGACACTTCCAGAACCATCGTCAGAAACGTCAAAGGTCCAGTCAGAGAGGACGACATCTTGTGCTTGATGGAGTCTGAGAGAGAGGCTCGTCGTCTGAGATAGAGATATACTAGCTAATTCAACCGTACACTTCTGATATCTGTAGCAGTCACCCGGTCACGTGACCGGACTCACCCCCCACCGTTGGGCTGTGGTCATTTAAATTAATTAGGCCCTTGGCACTAGTTATCTAAATATTATCTGAGCTAATGTCTCTGATGCCGAACGAATCGAGCATCTACGTCGACGTGGCGCAATGCAATTCCAACGACAATGTCCGGTCGTTCCAGAAGACCGACGCCGCCCGCGAGGGCCGCAAGGACCAGATCTTCAACAAAGCAACGGGGGCCCGGCTGGTTGCTGGGTGCGTTGTATTGAACTCGGACCACTCCAAAGTGCTACTGATCTCGTCCTCAAAGCACAAGGACCGCTGGATTCTGCCGAAGGGCGGCATTGAGTCCGACGAGATCGACAGTTTCAGCATGACCGCGGCTCGCGAGACCTGGGAAGAGGCCGGGGCCGTGGGCAAGATCATTGGCAAGCTGCCTGTTGTCGAAGACCTGAGGTATCGTAAGGACGCACGCAAGATGCCCACGCCGCCCGAGAACGATAAAATCCCGCGCAGCGAGTTCCACTTCTATGAGATGGAGATCGAGCAACTGTGCGACAAATGGCCCGAGATCGACAAGCGGATGAGAAAGTGGTGCACGTACGAGGAGGCCAAGCACGAGGTGCTCAAGGCAAAACGGTATGAACTAGCAGAGGTGCTAGGAGAGTCTCGCATTCACAAAAACTACACACCGGTTGTTTTTGACGAACACTCGAACGTGATGCTGGATGCCGAGCCAGAAAAGGACACTTACTGAATGCTGCGGTTGCCGCCGCCTCCCAGCAGACCCGACATCATCTCCTGCAACATGTTAGAGCTCTTTTGCACCACAGAGACCCCGAAATACGACTCGCCGATCGTGTTCACCTTGGCTGCCAGACCGTGTCTTTCCAGCATTTGCATGTATCTATTGACCAGTAGTTTGAAATTGGAGGCATTTTCCGCGCTGGAGCGTTCGCACACCTCCACCAGGAGTTGCAAAAAGTTCACCAGTCCGTAGCAGTCCTGTAGATCGTTGGACGGCTTAAGTTCGAGCACTTTCACGTTCTTGACGGTCTCGAACGCGAAGCTGGCCGATCTCGGCGACGTCTCGAGTTTGGCAATCAGCTTCGACGCAGATTGGCTTGCAAAGTCAAGGTTTCCACTGATCAGATAAGGAATCACCAGTCTAGCCAAGTACAATCCAAAAGTGTCCACCTCGTCCAGCAAATAGGCCCCGAATTCCAAATCAACCAGCAATTCCAAGCTCTCTGCGTTCCCGCTGGCCAGCAGATAGTGTTCACTGGCGTTGATCAGGTCCACAGAACCGCTATAGTAGAGCTTTGATCCAATGACAAAACTCAATGCAGGGAACCCAGCCTCAGAACCGCTTTTTTTCGTCGAAAACTTGGAAATCTCTTTGGCCAGGTTCGACAGGTTTGCATCTTGGTCTGGAATCACGTTCACAAGCTCAACCAGCTTGCTAAGATCGGTTTTCTTGAACTCGTCCAACGGCTTGTCCTCCTGCTCGAAGATTTCTATCATATACAGCACCAAATCGCACGCCTCGTCGAACTTGCCAAACTCCATCAAGATCTTGGAACTTTGATAAAGAAGCTCAACGGCAGAGTCGTACTTCTTCGAGTTCACGTGTCTGTTGATGATTGCCCTCATCGTCTGGAGGGCCTCATAATACGACCCGTTGGAGATCCTAATTGGTCAGTCCGAACCATCTTGCTGTATTACACTTACCTCTCCTTGAAACGTGCTAAAGATTTTTGGAGTTTCCCGGTTGCAGCGTCCATTGGGCTCGAATCTTTGGAAAATAGGTTGGAACTTTATTTTCTATAAAAGTGTACATTAAACTAAAAATCATGGCGGTGTAAAACTCAATGATAATAGATCTCCTCCCAAAACCGCTTTGCCTCTCCGCCCATGCTGAACCACTGGTGCTCGGGGTCTCCAAAGAACCTGGCACGACAGTATGAGTTGTTGGATGAGCCCATTGGGTTGAAAAGCCTCGAGAAAATCACAACAATCGGGGGCAGAACAAGACTCGTGTTGCCCGACAAGAAAAGACGTTTGTTCGAGTTTAGATGCTCCAAACTTGGTAGCCACCAGTTTAGTCGAGGAATCGACAAGTTGCACAGCTTGATCACTCGCAGATTCGGCATCGGCTTGTCCATGTTTCCAGATAAGAAAACCAGCATGGCGTCCATCCCACGAATGTCTATCGAGTATAGCGTAGCAGAGTTGGTTTCCACCAGTTGGGCCATCATTTCGCCGAAAAACTTGAGATACGGCTGTTTCTTGATACTCTTGTCGTCGTTCTCGAACTTTTGCTTGATCAGGTTCGAAAAGGTTGTTTCCTCGATCAGGTATCTGCTGGGGACTTTCATCACATGTCTGCTTTTCAGCTTTCCATAGATCATGGGAGCTTTCCCGCTCGAACAGATCGTCAGACTTTTCAGACCCTTGCACCTTAATTTTGGGGTCTGTGCTTTCTTTGGGCTAAAGTCCGGATGCGACACGTTGATGTTGATTTGAAGACCCTTTAGTTTGGCCGGAAGAGCTTCTAGTAGGTTCCTCAAAAAGATAAAGTCTCCAACGTCCACTTTTAAATATCTGAGATTAACAAATTTGGGTAGCACCAGGATCAGGTTTTTTGGGATCTCGTGGTAGTTGACCACAGGGTCCCGAACTTTATCTCGTCTTGAGTGGTGTTTCAGGTCTTTGTGTGTTTTCTGGAATTCCCTGATGGAGATGTCGTTTTTGAGTTGAAAAATCTTGATCTGGGCATATATCTCTGGGTTCTCCGCCATATGGACCAGTAGATTCCATGTTGTTTGTAGATTCCAGTTGTAACGGAAGTCGCCCTTTCTTCCCACATACTGTAACCTCAAAGGTTTCAGCCCAAAGACCGTCAAATGACATTTCTGATAGATGGTCTTGCAACTGAGTAACACAGAAATATAGTCGCGTGCCTCTGTATAAGCCAATATTTTGTCTAACAACTCCTTTGGAAGACCCGCCAGCGAGTTTGGCGCAATATTGTCCAACGCATCGGGCTTCTGCCGCTTGATCCCCAAACCCATCAAAGCGTTAAAACAAAGGAACAATTTATTTTTTGATCCTTCACGCTAAACCCTTTTTCTTCGACACTGGCTGTGCAATATTTATGATGGGCTATTTTCTACGCTGAATAAAAACATCGCTCAACATGTCTTCTTTACAACTCATTGACGAGAATAAGAACTTCAATGAGCATTTGTTGCCGTATATCCAAAAATACTATGATGGAAAGGACGACAAGGGTCTTAACTACCACATCGTGTCGGTGTTTGGGTCCCAATCAACAGGTAAATCAACGCTCTTGAATCGTTTGTTTGGCACCCAATTTGACGTTATGGACGAAACAAAAAGACAACAAACAACAAAGGGTATTTGGATATCCCATGCAAACTACATTGCCTCAACGTTGGTCGAATCTGGTCGTCTGGACAACGAGAATCATCTGTTTGTTCTTGACGTTGAAGGTGTTGATGGCAGAGAGAAGGCAGACGACAAAGACTTTGAGCGTAAGTCTGCGCTATTTGCCCTGTCAACGTCCGAAGTGCTGATCGTCAATATCTGGGAACACCAGGTCGGACTGTACCAAGGAGCGAACATGGAATTGCTCAAGACTGTGTTTGAGGTCAATCTGAGTCTGTTTTCCTCCAGCAAACAAAAATGTCTACTTTTGTTTGTGATCCGTGACTTCACCGACATGACACCCATCGAGAACTTGTCCAATAGTTTGATGGCCGACCTTAACAAGATCTGGTCCTCGTTGAGTAAACCAGAGTCCTGTCAAGACCTGACAATCACAGACTTCTTTGATCTCAAGTTCACCAGCATTGCACATAAACATTTCCAGCCAGACAAGTTTGAGCACGATATCCAGCTTCTTGGCGACCGGTTTGCATCCACAGAGCTCTTCAAAAACGAGTACCACCGGAACATCCCTATCGACGCCTGGACTATTTATATGGATCAGATCTGGCAGCAAATCGAGGAGAACAAGGACCTCGACCTGCCTACCCAACAAATTCTGGTTGCACGGTTCCGTTGTGACGAGATCATGCTGCTTGCATACCAGAATTTCGAGGAACAGTACGAAAAGGTTGATTTTGAAAAACTGGACGATCCGCAAGAGTTTGCCGACTCCATCAAACAGCTGCGCACAGAGGCGCTTGTTCCGTACGACACGAGTGCCTCCAGATATACACAGACAGTGTATCTTGAGCGTCGGGAACAGCTGGCCAAGAAGATCGACTCGAAGTTGACAGAGACTAACTCGCGCCGACTGGCTAGTGTGATCAAGAAACTCGTCAAGGAGTTTAGCGACCGTGTCCAGGCGGCCAAGAAAAACCACGAGGGGTCTCTAAAGGAGATTCTTGCTGCACAGACAGCACTTGTTACCGCATCGTTCCGCGAAGATGCCGGAAAATGCATGTTTGACCATTCACAGGAACTTGAGCAACTGGAGACAGAGATCCAAGCTGCCACCGAGCAGATTCGGCGCAAGGAGAAGAGTCTACTTGTTTCGAGATTGACCAAGCGGTTCCAGAGCCAGTTTAAAGAAAAATTGACTGAGCTGTGTGGAGACCCGACCGACGATCTGTGGGACAAGGTGATGGTTGAGTTTAGCAAGATTGAGGACGGGTTGGAGTCCAAGTTTTTGGTGGACGGTGTTTACGACTACCATTTGGGATTGGATGCCAAGGAGAACGCCGAGTTACACATCGACCTGCAGAAGGCCCATTGGAGCAAGTTTAGAGACATTGTCCACGATTACGTTACCGAGGACACAGTGTCGCGGATCTTGAGAAACAAGTTCGAGGATCTGTTTAGGTACGACGAGCAGGGTGTACCAAAGATGTGGACCAACACTCTGGAGATTGACCAGCAGTACAACAAGGCTAGAGAGGCTGTGTTGAAGCTGCTACCGACGTTCAGCAGGATCGTGCTTGCCAAGACCAACGAAGAGGTTGTTCCGCCGGTGAACATTTCTTCGGGCGAGTTTGAGGACCTCGACGAGGAGGACGAGGAAGTTCCGTTTGCAGAGCTGTTGTCCACGAGACAACAAACGGGTGTTCTGGGCCGCGTCCGGAAAGAGATGGACGCAATCTACATTGAGGCCAAACGGTCGGTAATGTCGAGCATGACGTCGATTCCATTCTGGATGTACTGTCTTGTTGTTGCTTTAGGCTGGAACGAGTTCATGGCTGTTCTGCGTAACCCGCTGTTCTTTATGCTGCTGATTCTGATTGCAACCGGAACGTACTTTGCACACCAGACGGGACTGTTGAAGCCGATGCTGACGGTGGCGCGGTCGACGATTTCACAGAGCAAGACGGTTGCGAAACAGAAGCTGCGGGAGCTAATTGAGGAGAACGAGCCGGAAAAGGTGGAGACGAAGGAAGTTAATAGTAAAGCTGAATAAAAAAAAATTACTTGGCGATGCAAAAAAAAGGTTTCTCCCTCACCAGGACTTGAACCTGGAGCCTTCCGGTTCGTAGCCGAACGCGATAACCATTACGCTATAAGGGAAGAAACTGTCAGAATTAATATAGGTCCGCATATGACGAACACGCGATAGATCTCCCATTAACGCGACTTGCAAAATATACAAATAGTGGCTTCAGAGTGCGTGTTTTCCATGTCAGACCTGGTGCGCGAACAATTAGTCACACGAGCGGATACCCCGTTCCACTACACCAAGTACAGGGACGTGTCGTGTGTCCTGCCGACGTCGCGGATCGTCCTTCTGCCCCCGTTGAGCAGGCACTACATCGAAACAAACGGTTTGTTCACCACGGACCTTTTGAGTTTCTTTGGGCTGTATTTGCATATCGGCAGCGGAGTTCTCGTTTGCGCATGCCAGAAGAAACAGTCGTTCGCCATACGATTCGATAGATACGAGATCCAAGACGTGATCAACAGATCAGAGAGAAATCTGTTGTTGGTGACCAATTCGCATAAAGAGAACGTCCACTACATCAATTTCACCAATAGACCCGAGTTCAAGTACCAGGACCCCCACCCGGTGATCTGGAAAGACCTGGCAGACGAGATCGAGCTCGCTGGTACCGAACATAATATTCCCATCAATTACGAGCTGGAGAGGCTGGCGACCAGTTCGTTGCCCGCAGTGTTCCCCTTGCTGCCCGTGTACGTTGGGCTGAGACGGGGCGAGTCGATAGACGTCGTGAATCTCGCAGACGAAGCGTCGACGACGCAGCTGGCACAGAACGCCGACAAAATCGTCCTGTTCCAGCGTTTGTACAGCATTCTGGGCAGTTTTGTGGTGTCGCTGCACAAGACGGTGCCTATTCCAGCCAGCCTCGTGGCCCAGATCAGAGACTCGCCGCTCGTGGACCCGGTTTCGCGGCTGGAGGCCCATTTCAGGTTCCCCGTCGCAAAATCGGGTCTGGACGACTTCTACGACCTGTTCCCATCGGTTCTCGGGTCTGCGACCAGCAACACAACCGAGTCGGACCAGGAAACAGACGACTCTGTCGAGATCGTGGAGGAGAAGCTGACTGGGTCTGAGGCCGGGTAACACCTGGTTTGATAATAATTCCCCAAGCGGGTGGAAAATAGTGTGCAAAATGGACTCGATAGCGGTTCCGGAACCCCATGGGTCGTTAATGCTTGCGTGGCAGGTCAAAAGTGAGTATTGATGAAGCTGGAATACTAACAGTAGACCGTCATGTGCTTGTTGTTGGCGGAGGAGAGGTTGGACTGTCCAGAGTCAACCATTTGCTCCAGGCAGATGCACAGATCACAGTCGTTTCGCCAGAATTTGAGCCAACCATCGAAAAATACGCGGAATTGGGACTGTTGACGCTGATCAGACGCAAATTCGAAATGAAAGATCTCCAAATGTACGAACTGGACACAGATATAAGCACATTGGATATCGAGAAAGACCAGGAACAGATTGAGCAGGTGGCTCATAGCCGGTTTGCCATGGTGCTCACCTGTTTAAACGACTACAAACTAAGTCTGCAGATCTACTATCGGTGCCGCCAACTGGGATTGAACGTCAACCTGGCAGATAAGCCGAAGAACTGTGACTTTTATTTTGGTTCCACTTATAGACAGGGTCCTCTACAGATTATGATCAGCTCGAACGGCAAGGCGCCGCGATTCACAAACCGTCTTAAAGAACACAAGCTTCGGCCAGTGTTTGACGGGCTGGATATCCGCAAAGCTGTGGAAAATTTGGACTATCTTCGAACAACGCTGCGTACAAAGATCCACCCTGGAGAGTCTCCTGCTGTGATCAAGGCGCGCATGGAGTGGAACAGAAACATCACCGATTCGAAATCGATCGAGGAATGGACGTCTATGGACAAGTCCGAGATCGACGCCCTTTTAGCCACATACGCAGCACAGTAATAGTATTGGTCACTTAGTTAGACCTCGTCTGTTTTCTCCGGAGGGAGCATCGAAGCGTAGTGCGGAACGTACATGTACTGGCCGTTCTGGTCAACAAACTGTGACTCCGCAGCGTACGGGTCGTAAAACATCGGTGGAGCAAGCCCAGGAAGCACCATTCCCGGGGTCTGGGGGGTGCCCGGCTGGTTTGGAGGCTGGCCCTGCGCAAGCGTGGCCGCAAGCATGTGGTTTCTGTTGGAACGGCCCCAGCTCAATCTGAAACGCGAGCCTTCCACGACAAACCCTTGGAGCTGTTCAATTGCTCTTTCGGCATCGACACGCTGTGTAAATTTGACAAAACCACACCCTTTCCCTGGCGGCACCTTGACATGTACCACCTCGCCATAAGGCTCGAAGAGCGAGAAGAGCGTGCCTTCGGAGATGTTACTGGCCAAGCCACCGACAAACACGGTGGTGTTGTTTGGGTCTGCGAAGGCGGTAGCTGGTTGCGGCGCGGCGTAATAGCCCATTGGCGGAAGGCCGGGGTTCTGGTATGGGTCGAGTTCGAGCGGGTGTTGGTGGTGTTTGCGGAACGGCTGGTTCTGGTGCTTCGGAGTAGCCAAAGCCACACGAATTAATCTTCCGTCAAGCCACTTGCCGTTCATCTCTGCAAGGGCTTTCTGGCGATCCTCATCGCTGGAAAACCTCACGAAGCCAAAGCACCGCGAGAGACCGGTGGCCGGGTCGGTCATGACTCGCACAGTCTTGACCGTACTGAAATGGGTTTGGAACAGCGCGAGCAAGTGGGCCTCTGTGGTTGCGGGGGAAAGGTCCCCCACAAAGAGCGAATACTCCGGGGTTTGTGCGATTTGCGAGTTCAAAGTGGCCGCCGACGCCCAATTGAGACGGAACAATTTGTCTGTTGTGTTCGGAATGACTGTTCCATTCAGTTTCAGTGCGTCTTTGGCATCTTCCGGGGTTTCGAACTCCACAAAACAGTAGCCCGAATGGGCCAGCTGCTGAACCATCGAGTTCTGGCGCGGTTTGATCACCTTTACCTGGACGCGTTTATTTGTGGCGCCCCAGACCTGTGTGATGAACTCCTCGTCCCACCATGGCTCGATATCTCCCATCCACAACGTGCGCGATGGAACGGTGTTGGCGGGGTTTTCTGGCGGCTCGGGCAGTGCGACGGGGGAGGCGGATTGCGCAGTAGGTGAGGACATATATTTGAAGCAAAATTCAAGCAAAGACAAGCAATTGGGAAGTAAATATTATTAAAGTTTGTTTAAAGTGTTTTTTTGGAAAAAAGTGTATCTGTTTGCTATGGACGTGGCGTAAATCGACGCGACGATCAAAAAATCGCTTTGCACGCGTGTTTTATTTATGCTTTCAAGAGAGGCGCGCAAGGAGGCCAGAAAGCGCGGATCGGCGCGCAGAAAGATCGATCTGGACGGTCTGGTGTTGAGGCCGTCGCAGCCCAAGAGTCCTCGAAGTCCAGCCAAACCACGAAGTCCTAAAACACCAAAGATACGCAAGTCTCCCCGGACACCGGGTTCTAGGACCACGCCGAAAAGACTGGCCAGTGCCGAGCTTTCGTCGCCCGGCACGCCTGAAATCAGCTCCTTTATATCTCCCGAGCGCGAACGGACACCGCGGGAGCTGTTTGAGACGCCCAAGACAAGAACTTCTCGCAGATCAACAAAAACCCCACAACGGACTCCCAAGAGCGCTACTCCCAAGAGAACTCCGCAATTGGCTGCGAAACAGCGCACCCCGAAAAGCGTGGGACGTGCTGCTAAGACGGCGAAGAAGGCGGGTCGGCCACGTAAACAGGCCAAACAGACGGCTGTTGCTGCTGAGGAGCCCCCGGCCCCGAGCTACTACGATTACGTGGACGAGCAGGTGATCGAGGCGACACGCAAACGGGTCACGCAGAAACACCGCGAGAAGACGGCAGAGCGTCGCGAGCACACGGCCCAGGTACAGGAGTCTGTTCAGGACAAGAGACGTCGGTCTGGGAACTACATCGAGATCAAGTACGGACGACTGCCGCGGAACAAGACGAAGCTGGTGACGTTGGACGTGATCAAACAGGTTCTGGTGGACCATTTGGGGAGCAGCGACGCGCCGGAACAGGCGGTGGGGGTGCAACGCAAGAAACTGGAGCAGTTTTTGCGGAGTTACGCTGATCAGATCGACGCCCATTTTAGCCGGCTGATCGACACGTATTTGACAAACAACCTGATTCTGACAGAGCTGGGCGAGCTGAACAAGTTGAAGAACGAGAAACGCAGCCGAATCTACGAGATCCGGCAGCAACGGCGGGAAGTTGCGGTCAAGTTGAATAGTTTGCGGCGCAAGTACCTGGAGAAGACAGAGAACCACCGGCGGAAAATGAAGATTTACAAGCAACTGAGCAGTTTGGAGGAAGGCGGGGACAACGCGTCGTTTGCCATGACGAGACTGGGCCGGTTGCAGCCAATCATCGACCCGCAATTCGGAGTCGTTGACAAACTGCAACTCCTGAACGAACTTCTACGGGAAATACAATAATAAAAGATGATAAATTTGTACCGATTATATTACATATCGTCAGCAATCAGCGCGGCAATCATCCGGTAAAGGTAGTAGAAGAACATTAGGAGGTGGAAACCCAATTTGATAAAAGACTCCTTCTTATGTTTGGACAAAGTACGGAAGATCTCTGTGGCGTCCAACAAATGGTTCTTGTTGTAGATTTTGTTGGCATTGAACGCCAAGATCGGAAGGTTAAGCAGGAAAGTGAACCAGTAGCCATTGATTAGAAACAAAGCAGTCAGACCGGCGTGCACAGCAGCCTCTGGAACAATATAGTTGTTTAATTTGTTGCACAACTCGATAGGGTTGATGTAGTCGCACTCCAAGTCGCTGTACATGATGGTGAAGAACACCTGGAGGAACAAGTTGATGGCGTTAACCACCACTGCCAGTATGAATAACCATGCTTCGCCCGTCATGTTGATAAAGAACAAATTTCAGTATCTAGAAAATTTTTTCTCCTTTGCACGCACGCCTGCCAGGATCCAGTTGCGGCACAACCATTGCGAATGTTTAGTAGGACCGATTTGGTTCAGGTCCCCGAGGTGAGTGGACGGCTGAGTTTGGGAATGCCGCCGGCCAAGGCGGCCGTCGCGGTGCCCTTTGCTTACAAAGTTGCCGGCCTGGGAGTCCCCAACGTGCTGGATCTGGGTTCCGGAAAGGGCTACATGGCTCGAATCCTGGCAAACGAGTTTGCACTTAAAGTGTGCTGCGTCGATCGCGAGCCCGATCGACTCCGGTCCAGTCTGCGTGTGCACCGTCTTATCCAAACGGAAATCGTCACCGACACCACGCTTGTTCCTTCTGGTAAGATGGTCACTGTGGCGGGGGACATCGCGGACGATCGTCCCATCTGGTCCCGGGCGGCGCGTTTCTATCGACTCGACACACCCGTGCACCAGGAAATACAGGAAGTTGTAGTAGCTGGTCTGCAACTGTGCGGCGAATTGGTGTACCATGCTGCGGACCTGGCCATGAATTGTCCCAAAGATCAAGTTCGCGTTTCGCGACTGGTTGTGGTTCCCTGCTGTTTGCACCGGATCGAGCGTTTACGATGCTCAAAAGTGACAGGTCCAAACATTCTCGCAGATACGATATTCGCCGACATTCGACAGTACTTACTGGATAAAGGATTTGGGGAAGTGCAAATTGAGTACTTGAATGATGGTTACTATTGTGTGGAGGCTTCAGTGCCTGGATGAGTGGCTATTTCGGGAACGTTGGTTTCTAATTTGGGATATTTTTCAGGCGGGCTGTGCAAGTTATTTCAGGGCCCTTCTTCGGCTCGAACGCGGGTCTCAAGGTGGTATAAGAAGGCACAAATCTCATCAGGTTATCACAATACATAACAAACCATGAAGCTTGCTTGGTTGAGTTTATTGTTGACGGGTGTTTCTGCGACCTATGCTCCTATCTACGAAAGCTGCTACACCCCAGAGGGTGGATTTGTGAGAAACGTTGACGGCTATATCCCGGAAGAGTTGGACTACACCGGGCCTCGGTATAAGAAAGCCAACCAGAATCTGGTCACTTTCCTTGAGGCGTTGAACCTGGAAGATTTCGAAAACTTCCCCTGGAGCAGCAGCCTGCTCGAAGATCCAATTGATATCCATATTGCTCTTTCTGGAGGAGGTATTCGTGCTTTGATGGTGGGACTTGGCGAACTGTCCGCGTTGGATTCTCGTTCTTCAGGATCCAACCTCGGAGGATTACTTGACTCGGCTCTGTACATCAGTGCTCTTTCTGGAGGTGGTCTCACACTGGAATCTATGCTTTTCCAGAATTGGACCTCGATTGATGAGATTATGTCTGACCTCAAAATTTTACAGGGCCCAAGCTCATTCTTCCCTTCCAGCGATAATGAATGGTTGGATCTCATAAGCGAAGTTTATCCGAAAAGAGAAGCCGGATTCAACGTCACCATCGCTGATATCTACGGCCGGATCATCTCCAGATTGATCTATACAGACTACCCAGAGTACGGCGCCAACGTTCGCTGGTCCGATATCCCTTCGCAGGAGGCCTTTATCAACCACGATATGCCATACCCGCTGCTCATTGCCACAGGAAGCGCATCTGCCAGTCTTGCTCCCCAAGATCACGTGACCTTGGAGTTCACTCCGTACGATATGCGTCCAACCAACTACGAACAAACTCTCAGTGTTGTGCTCAAATACCTCGGTACGCCGATGAAGAGCGGAGTCCCTGAAAATGGATGTGTTGTCGGATACGACAACATCGGATTCATTTCTGCTGCCTCTGCGGACTATTTGGTTGAATACCAGCAGGAGCTTAGCGACCCGGCTTTCCTTTCGTCGGTGGGCATGCCTATCTCGCCAGACCAGCTGGAGCAGGTGCTGACCCAGTTCGGCACGAACTTACACGATGCTCTGTTTGCCGAGGTTCCTAATCCGTACTACGGATTGGATTTCGACCTTGCTGGTTTGGGCGAGTCAGAAACACTGTACCTTTCTGACGGTGGAGTTGATCTCGAGACGATCCCGCTGCAGCCGGCAATTGAAAGAGGCGGCGACTTTGTCATTGCCTTTGACAACTCGGGAAATACCGAAGATAACTGGCCAAATGGCACGTCGCTGTATGTCACCAAAGCCAGGTACGGAGATTATTTCTACAACCTACCCGAGACCATTCAAGACTTTGTTGACCTTGGACTGAACAAGAGAACGGTCTTCTTTGGATGCAATGCTTCGACTGTGGGCGCCGACGGCTACGTTCCTCCATTGCTTGCCTACATTCCAAACCGCGACCTGATCTACTCCAGCAACACCACAGGCATTCACTACACTGACGATGAGTTCAATGGAGACCTGTTCAATGGTATTGTGCTGTCCTCCGAGGGCGGCATTGATTTTGACCCGGAGTTTGCGCAGTGCATTGGCTGTGCCGTCGTGGAGAGACACATCGAGCGGCAGAACCTCGCTTTTGGCGAGCAGTGCAAGAGATGTTTCGAGCGCTACTGCTACGAGCCATCGAGCAGCTCCAGCAGCTCCAGTTCTAGCAGTTCCAGCACGAAAACTGCCAGCTCCAGCTTCTCCAGCTTCTCCAGCTCCAAGAGCACCCCCGTGGCTACCTCCACAAGAAGCTCTGCTCCTGGCTCCAAGAGCACACCTGCTTCCTCGAAGAGCACACCTGTCTCCAAGAGCTCGCTGTCCACCGGTAAGCCTAAACCGTCCAGCGCAGCCCCTAAAACCAGCTCCACCTTCAGCTCTGCTCGCTACTCCAACTCCTCCACCTCCACCGGCCCTGCTACCACCGCTGCTACCACCCGCTCCCCTGGCGCCACCACCCTCACAGATACCCTGCACACCACCGCAACAGACACACTCGTCTCCTGCTCCACTAGCAGCGTCAATCTGTCGACCTTCACAGTGACTGTTTCCGACAAGAGCACCGTGGTTGTCACTCTTCCGTGCCCAGAGCAGCCATGGACCGCCGGCTCCGGCACAACGGCCAGCGGCCCATCCGGTCCTGGCACAGGCCTAGCTGCGGCCTTGGCCCATTTCAGCGCCACCGGTGCTCCTTCAACAAAGCCCGCTGGCTCGGCTACCGCTTACTCAGCCACGGCCACTGCCACCTCGGCCACAATCACTTCTGCAACCAGCTACGGCTTTGGCTCAGAGTCCAGCGCCAGCGCCTCCGCAAGCGCCTCCACCTTCACTTCATCCACCGTCAACATTGTCTCGCTGGCAACAGCCGGTGCAGTGACAAACGGAATCTTCTGGCTTGGCTCTTTGATTCCTCTCCTTTCTCTCTTCGTGTAGTATTATTTACGGCTGTGCAACAAATATTAAGCTTTAGATTTTTCACAAATACTTCTTAATGCCTAGCGTTTCCAAAAGCAAGCAGGATCTGCAGCAGCTGCTGCACTCGCTCGACGAGAACATCGTCACATGGACCCCGCTGCTGTCCACACACACGGATTCAAATACCCCGACCCTGCGGTCGTCGCAGGTGGCGGACCCGCTCGCTGAGCTGGGCAAGCTTGCCAAGCTGGTCCACGCCCACACAACAAAGGTTGGCATTGTGTTCAAGCCGCCGATCTCGCCCGACAACTACCACGCCTGTTTTGTCGAGGTCGAGGCGCTCATACGCACGCTCGTGCTGCTGGTGAGTCTGTGCTCCCAGCTGGTGGCAGAGAAGAAGAAGTACTCGAATCTGTACGTGCAGGCGATCGTGGAGGCCACGCAGAGCCTGCTGGGCTTCTTTAGTGGCCTGAGTAAGGAGCTGGTGGAGATGCTGGACGCAGAGGACGGCGAGGGCGGCGCAAGACTGGTCTCGGTGGGGAAGATCTGGGACGTTTGTGACACGTTTGGCGGACTGGTGCAGAACGGGGCCAGCGGCGTGATCAGAGCCAAGTTCAAGGACTCGGCCGCGCTGATCGGCGACGGTCTGGAGGAGTACGAGGAGTGGCTCGAGGACCCCAGTGCCGGCAACGGCGACTTTTTCGACCAGAGCGACGAAGAGGAAGACCTTTCAAACCAGGACGACGAGGTGGACCCGCAGCTGGTGGAGTTTGGGAAAAAGTGGGTGCCGAAGCTCAAACTCATCAAGCTCCTGTTTGCCACCATGGACAAGAATATTGGCAAGACTCGCTACACAGAGAAGGAGTCGTCTCTTCTGGACACGCTCAACAGCAAACGGCTCGAAATCGGCCAGCTCGTGGACGAATTCGTGTCTACTATAATTTACGATCTGGACCTGCCAGCAGCGAAGAAGAACGCCAAGGAACTCATCAGAGTCAGCACAGAGACAGTGCGTTTAGTCTCCGGGCTGGACGCCAAGAAGGCCAAGTGGTTCGATACTTGGAAACTGAAATTCCAGGAGAGTATATAGTAATACAATAATCACCAATCGCCGTCATCTTCGTCGTCGCTATTTGCAACCTTGGCCTTTCTATTGCTGAGAGCTGCTGCCAATGCATCGGCAAGCGATGCTGGCTGACCAGGAGTGGCAGAGGACTGTGGAGCCGGAGGAGGGTCTTCACCACGGGCCTCTTGGAGCAGGACGCTTGGCTTTTCGAGCTGCGATTTGTCAGTCTTCTTGAGCGAGCCAATGCCAGCGTTACGGATCGATGAAAGCAACGCATCTCTCGGGTCCCCAGCAGCAGGAGGCGACGGCATTGTAGCTGGAGGCGGCGGAGGTGCTGCAGGTGCTGCTTGACCTGCTGGGGGAGGCGGTGGAGCTGGAGGTGCTGCCTGAGCTGCTGGAGGGGGAGGAGGGGCCACAGGGATCGATTGAGGCTGTTGTTGAGGAGGAGCAGCAGGAATCGGGGAAGCCATCTGTGGAGGAGGAGGTGGAGCAGCAGGGACAGGCGACGACTGGTAGCCTGGCTGTGGATGGTGAGGAGGCAGCTGTGGGGGTTGGGGAGAAAACGTTGGTGGCACTGCTCTTGGAGGTGTTTGCGGAGCTGCTGGCACCGGTCTGGCCCGCGACGGTGGAGGTGGAGGAGCAGCGCCTCTGCGAGGAGGTGGCGGCACAGGGGCCGGTCTTGATTCTCTTGGAGGCAGCTGCGGCATATTTCTCGATGGTGGGGGTGGGGGAGCCGGGTTCCTGGATGGGGGTGGAGGTGGAACAGCGCTGCCGCGAGCAGGAGGCGCAGGTACCGTTCTCTGGGCCGGTTGCTGGGTCTGGCGTTGCTGGTACGAGTGGGGCATGTAGTTCAATGCTGGCACGCTGTGGACGGCGGACGAGGTGGTGGCAGCAGCGGCCACTGGTTGCGGCGACGGAGACGCTGAAGGCGGTGTTGGTGCTGAAGGGAGAGATGGAGCAGCCACAGGAGCAGGAGGTGGCGGTGGAGCCCTTGCTTCTGGAGTTTCGGCTCTGGAAGGCCCCGAGGAGCTCTCGCTGCCGTATGGAGTGTCAGGAGAGGAGTTGCGGTTTGCCGGTGGAGGGGGAGGCGGGGCTTTCTTTGTGGTTGCCGAGGAGCTGCTGGTAGCACTTGCACTGCTGGCGACTCTGGCGGACTTGTACTGGTATTTGCGAGGAATAGGAGGCTCGAGCCCCACCAAGGGCCCGCCTGTTTGGGCTATGTAGTTCTTGATGAACTCGCGGTTTTCTGCAATCATGTCTTCGCCAATACCCACGCTCTCCAGCTCTCTATAGAGCGACCTCCATTCTGGCGGTGGTTCGTCCTCGTAGTAGATGAGTCCCTTTGACCGTCTAGTACGCTGTTCACTTTCGAGCCCGGACATGTCGCCGCGGAACCCGACTTTTGCGGCTGGAGCCGGCTGTTTCTTGACCTCCACGCCGTGCTTGTTCTGAACGGTTTGTTTTGAGCCGTGTTTATCTCTGGAATTGACCTTTTTGTAGAAACTAGTTGCTTCGCTCTTGTCTTCGAACAACAGGCCATAATAGCACTCCTCGCACTCGAACGAGTGGAAAAACGATCTATCCTGGTTGTAATCGAAATCGATGTACAATTCCTGGTCCCAAAGAACACCTCTGTGGCCGACAATGTCCACGAGCTTGAGAAAGAAGGTGTGACCAACCAAATCGTCTGCCAACACAATTGCGCCAGAAAGACCGGTGGGAGTCCAGTGGTCGGGCTCTGGATACGCAATGTACAGTCTGGCGACCGCGGCCGCCATAATTTTGTTGGAGGCCTTGGGAATGGCCCGCTTGATCTTCTCCTTGTCCTGAGAGTTGATCATTTTGCCAGCTTGGTTTTTGGTGTGGTGCACACCAGTAGAAAAGCCAAAAATTGTGCTTGAAAATTTTTGCTCTCTTTATAAATAACATGTCTGGAAGACAAGGAGGAAAAGCCAAGCGTAAGTACACAATGATGATTAAAAATGGATAGTGAACAATCTCCTAGTTTCGACGTTGAGGAGAAACCGTTGCCTTCCTACTGAAGTACTAACAATGATAGCACTGAAGGCTCCAAAGAAGAAGGTTCAGGATTTCGACGAGGAAGATCTGGCGTTCAAGCAGAAGCAGAAGGAGGCCGAGAAGGCCCGCAAGGAGATGGCTGCCAAGGCCTCGGGCAAGGGTCCGTTGGTTGGCGGGGGAATCAAGAAGAGCGGCAAGAAATGAACCCCCCATTAGTGTTTCTTGTTGATGGTTCCCACAACGTAGATATACAAATAGAGCGAACGATATAGAAGTGTAGTGGTAGACAAGGCGTATTAGTAGTTGATCGAGTGCTCGCACGTCTTGTTTCAAGTCTGGTATTTCCAACATCTACCGTTCCCTCCGCCAGCCCCGTCCATAAGACGTCCTATTACCTAATTTTGCCTCTTTGCAATAAGTATTTATTTTTTCTTAACAGCGGAGATGCTGACCAAATATAAAATCGTGTTTCTGGGCGACCAGGGAGTGGGGAAGACCTCGCTCATCACCCGTTTCATGTACGACACGTTCGACGCGCACTACGCAGCCACAATTGGAATCGATTTCCTCTCGAAAACCATGTATTTGGACGACAAGACCATCCGTCTCCAGTTGTGGGACACTGCTGGACAAGAGCGATTCCGGTCGCTGATTCCAAGCTACATCCGAGACTCGAACGTGGCGATCATCGTGTACGATATCACAAACAAGGAGTCGTTTCAAAACGTGAACAAATGGTTCGACTACGTCAAGCAGGAGCGCGGGTCTAATGTGTTGATTATTCTTGTTGGTAACAAATCGGACCTGGATAACAAAATAATCGCCAACGAGGAAGGAGAAAGTCTGTGCAAGAAGCTGGGATGCAACTTCTTCATCGAAACCAGTTCGAAAAACGGATACAACGTCAAGAACCTGTTCAAAAAAGTGGCCAAGCTACTTCCCGAACTACAGGACGAAAACACAGATCAAGCTTTGGAAAACGATAAAGTCCAGATGATCGACGTGGCCATGAATAATCAAGAGTCCGCTGACGGATGTCAATGTTAAACTACTCATCTATTTGATATAAGCCTTGAGCAACCGCAGTCTCTCGACTGCCTCCTCCAGCACCGAATCGTCCTTACAAACAGCAAAACGAAGACAGTCCTCGATCACGTGTGCGTTCCCAGGCAGATAGAACTCGGAAGGTGGGATACTAACCACACCAAACTGCTTGATGAGCCAGAACGCAAGTTTGAAGTCGCGAGGCTTGTGCTCGATCTCCTTAGGAAGTTCAGCGTCCTTGGGGATCTCCACCTTTTTGAGATTCACCAATAGGAAGTATCCTCCGTCTGCCACCGTGTATGGCAATCCCAGCTCGTCAAACACAGCCGTAAAGATTTTATACTTGTTGATATACTCTTTTCTGGTTTTTTCGTAGTAATCGTTGGTTCTTGCCAATTGAAGCGCCTGGGCAGTGGCCTCTTGCATCACGTTTGGTGTACTGAAACAGATCCGTGTGTGGGCCAAAGCGCAGTACTGGATCACCTCCTTGTCTCCGATCAGCCAGCCAACACGCCAGCCCGTGGCAGCAAACGTTTTACCGGCAGAGCCAACGGTGACTGTTCTTTTCCCGATCTCCGGGCTCAACAGAGCGACTCTTGTGAAGTCATTGTAGTACAGGTTCTCGTAAACCTCGTCCGACAGGATCAGGAAGTTGTGTTTCACGGCCAGGTCGCCGATCCGTTGCAGCTCCTGTTTGTTGAACACCTTGCCGATCGGGTTGTGCGGGGTGTTGAGCACGATCATCTTTGTTTTTGGCGAGATGGCAGCCTCCAGCTCGTTCCAGTCGATCGTCCACTCGTCGCCGCTCACGGTGCGCTTGTCAAAGTCCGCTGGCGGGTGCAATTGCACATACTTGACTTTTCCACCAGGCATCTCGATGTTGGAGATGTACTGGTCGAAAAACGGCTCGAACACAATCACCTCGTCTCCCGGCGCAATGAACCCAAAGAAACACGACAGCATGCCCTCATTGGCCCCCGTGGTGACCAAAACCTCGTCCTTGGTCAGCTGTCTGCCGTACGCTGGAGAGTAGGTGTCGATGATCGCTTGCACCAGGCTGGGCCGTCCTTTGGCCGGAGCGTACTGGTTGTTGCCAGCAACGTCCAGAGCGTTCTTGGCGGCCTCGATCGCAAAGTCGGGAGGAGAGTACGAAAAGAACCCTTGGCCAAGGTTAGCGTTCTTGCGGCCAGATTCCTGCTCGGCAGCAGCTGCCGTTTCGTTGATCAAAGACCAAATGTCCTTGCCGCCAACTTGGAAATATGGATTGTGGGATGGAAGAGACATGGACCGTGAAATACACAAGGATGAGTAATTGGAAGGAATGCACAGTCTTCTAGATAACATGTTCGTGCGTGTACAAAAGCGGAAATCGCGAGAAAAATATAGCTATGGCTTTTTCCAACTACTCTTGCGGACTTGACTCTGATTTCGCCAATAGGCAGCGGATCTTGCTCGCACGAAAGGCTGCGCGGTACGCTGCCGAGCAGGTCGCGGCCGATGCGCGCGCGCGGGTGTTTAATCCGGCAAACAGACCGAAAAACGCAAACAAACGCAACGGGATCCTGGAATCCTCGTTCGAACGCTGGGTCCAAACCCCAAGCCCCTCATTGGTCAACCACTCGCCCGTTGCCAAACCACGGGCCTCGCAACCCCCAGATCCAGATCTACAGACGCTTATCTGTGGCGACGAGATGATTTCACCCCGGACCGGAATCACGCGCAGTCACGTGCACGCCAAGGGCTCGCTCCAGAGCCATGTAAGGATGTTGAACACCCTGTTGCACATCAACCTGCTGCAAGGCCGGTGGGAGACCAGCTACCGCACGTTTGCCTTGCTGATCAGGGTGTATGGCACCGACACCCGAGAGATGTGGCCTGTGGGGGTCGAGATTTTGCACCGCCTGAACGAAAAAGAGACCGGGTGCGAGAACGACCCGGTTGCGGCTCGCAGCAGGTCCACACAACAGGTTGCTAGGCGCTACCAGCCAAAGATATACCGGTTCCTGCGCTTTTTGGACGCGACGCACGATAATAAATTGTCCGAGATCACTGGCCGGTATCCGTATCAGGTGATCGATAACGAGGTCGATGAGCGGCTCGAGGACGATCTCGACAAGAGGGACTACCAAACACAGCATTTTCTCAAGCTCAACACGGCGCCGTTGTTCAAGTCCGGGTCGAAAACACATCTGGCCATGTATGTGATGGCGTTGCTATGGGAACTAACCGTTGCCGGGCAACACACCCAATTTTACGAGCTCGAGCACACATTGAAGGTGAACTACGCTGGCGATCTAACCATGTTGCAATACCTCAAGGCGATCAACAAAGTCCGCGAAGGCCTGCACGGGTCCGGATCATCCAGCGCCCTGGAAGAAGGAGACTCGCTCCTGCGCGATCTGGGGTTTCTAGAATGACCAGTTATCCGTCCTCTATGTACATGCATGTCTATTTATCCGCGCTATCGGAGTCTTTAAGCTCCTGTTCTCGTAAAACCTGTTTTTCCCGCTTGATTTCCCCCACCAGGTTTGGAGGTTGGCCCTTGGAAACGGGCATCACCAGCTCCGGGTTGTCATTTTTCGTTTCCACCGCCTTGACCAGCTTGTCGCCGCCAATGAGCTTGACCACCTCGCGCAGCTCCGCGATCTCCTCCTCCATCCTGCGCACGTCGCTCTCCATGCCCTCCTTGCGGTTCTTCTCCTTGACCCGTTGTCTATTGGACTCGTACAAAAGGGCCCCCGCGGCCACGCTGAAGATGAACGTCTCAGACAGAATCTCTGCGCCGTTCTGGATTGCCTTGGCCTCGTTCAACGGCCGGATCTGCCGCGCCTTGCTGCCCATCAACGATGTCTTGAGCCGTTCGTCCAGAAAATGGAAGTACTGCGCAACCCGCACACACGTCACCTTGAACCCCTGGTGGTTCTTGGCCTCCGACTTGATGGTGTTGGCGATCGGCTTCGCGATCTGCCGAACAAACAGCGTCGTGAGCTTTAATGCTATCGAACTCATATTGCCCTGTCCACAAACAACACAGCCTAATTTTTTTTGTCTCTTGTCCGCCACCTAATTTTCTGTGTCGTTGGGACAAGCCATGATCCTCCATGTGAAATTCGCCCTGTACGCGCTGCTCAGCTCGGCAATGGCCGCGTACATGGTGTACGACGCGCTGTTGGAGCGGCCGAACTACTACTCGGCCGGAATGAAGATGTGTCGCGGGCCTCATTTGATGGCCATAGGCAACTGGCTTCTTGTCATGGCAATCACCGTGGGGAAACTGCTTCAGGTGCTTCTGTTTGGCGAGCTGCGAATCATCGAGATGGAACATATCTACGAACGGTCCTGGTTCATGATCACAAACATGCTCATGACTGTGGCCGTGCACCGCAAGGAGAACACTTTGCTGTTGGGAGTGCTGGCCAGCGGCCTGTTGTTTATGAAATGTTTCCATTGGATCCTCGAAGACCGTCTAGAGATGCTCATCCAGCAAAAAAGAACCCTCCGCAGCACCGTCTTCAATAGAAACATCGCCGTGCTGGTCCTGTTCATATACCTCGACAACAAGATCGTCAGGTCCTGCATCAACCGGTCGTTTATCCACTCGGCCGACGTGTTTCTGATCTTCGGGCTCGACTTCTTCGTGGTGTACCTCAACATCCTGGATTCAACATGGAATTTTGCATTAAACCTGATAGAACTGATCTATCTGAACCGGAACCCAGAAGAAGACGCGTGGGAGTCCAAAATCTGGCTGTCCAAGATCGGGTCCTTCATTCTGAATCTCATCAAGGGAGTCTCTGTGCTGTTCCTCTTTGTCGGACTCATCTACGCACACCGGTTGCCTGTCAACTTTGCAAGAGACATGTACACCTCAATTGCCCGGCTCGTGAAACAGTTCAAGGACATCCTGTACCTGGTGAAGGCTGCCAGAAACCTCAAGAACAACGTCCTCAATGCCTCCGAGTCCGATCTCGAACGGGACGATATCTGCATTATCTGCAGAGACGATATGGAAATTATAGCTGATAAGAACCATCGAATGGCGCCGAAAAAACTCCACTGTGGCCACGTTCTACATTACGGATGCCTGAAAAGCTGGCTTGGACGGTCTCATGTTTGTCCTACCTGTCGCCGGAACGTGTTTGAAGACCGTCCGAAACAGAAGGAGAAAACAACCATCAATATACCACGAAACGCGTTCATTCCGCCGGACTGGACCGTGTTACCGGCCACCCGCGCAGGAAGCAACTCCTACACCATCCAGGTCAACAGCCAGACGGTCGCTCAGCTACGGACACGTACTCAAATAGAATAATCACGCTTAACATACACACACTATAGTATACAAAGAAGTGGCCTACTCGCCACGACCCTTACTTTTCTCAACCTTGAGAAGAAGAGCCTTGTTGATGTGAGGAAGCACACCACCGTATGCAATGGTGGCCTTGATCAAGGTGTCAAGTTCCTCGTCTCCTCTGATAGCCAATTGCAAATGTCTTGGGGTAATTCTCTTCACTTTCAAGTCTTTAGCGGCATTTCCGGCCAGCTCGAGCACCTCTGCGGTCAAGTACTCTAACACTGCGGCAAGGTAGATGGCGGATTTCGATCCAACTCTGATTTTAGATTGGGCTTGTTTTTTCAAGTATCTCTTAATTCTTCCGACCGGGAACTGGAGACCGGCTCTGGCAGAGTGGCTCTGCGATTTGAGGGAGCTCTCTTTGGCCCCGGACTTTCCTTTTCCTCCGTGAACTTTACCAGACATATTAAGATGGAAGAAGCTTTAAAACAAATAGGTAAACAAATGTTTATTATTTGAATGTTTATATTTTTGGTGGCAAGTACCAGGGCCGGGTAAATGAGATTTACGAGAGTTGTGAAAAAAAAACAAAACACACAGCACACACCAAGGATAAAAAATTGGGGTGTGTGCTGGAGATAATTATGGTGAAATGCAGCGTAAATATTAATTACTATCGTGTATCGTATGTATTATTAGATGCCCAATTCGTTGAGGGCAGGTAGTCTGTAAGACGAGGAAGGGGTGTGGGGCATTCCCATAGTGGCAAGGGTGTGCGCAGCAGCCGAGTCCGGAGTGGCCATCTGGGTATTAAGCACGTTGCTCAGCCAGTTCTTGGTATTGGTTGGGGTACCTGCGGACACAGGTGTATTGTAGTTGTTCATAATGAAGGAGACCGAGTGAGGAGAGTTGACTCTGCTTGTAGGAGCAGAGGTAGGTTGGACAGCGCTCGACTTTGGAGTAGGGAGTTGAGAACCATGAGGGGAGAAGTTGGAGTTTTGCACAAGAATAGGGCCCGGTTTGTTGGACAGGTGGGGGCGGAATTCGTTGTTATTAGCAAGGAGAATGCTTCTGCGGGGTGGCGGGAGCATTGCCCCCTGTTGCACCACGGCAGGCACTTTTGAAACGGGGCCAGGAACAGGCACGGAATGCTGTTCAGTTTCCTCAGATTTCATTCTAACGTTGACCTTCTCACCAGGATAGGTGAGAATGAAGTTCTCGTAAATGTGGACTGTTTGTTTGTGTTGTCTCAAGTTGTCCAGTCTGGAGAATCTACGAGCACAGTGTTCGCACTTGAACGGACGCTCACCGGTGTGCTTTCTAATGTGGCGAGCCAAGTGCTCGGACCTGGTGAAGGACATGGAGCAGTTGTCGTAGCCCACGCACTGGAAAATACGGCCCTTGTGCTTTTTGGTGGAGGAGTTTTTAGGCATGTGTTGTCTACTGAAAAAAACGGAACAGGGGGGAGGGGAAATGATGATGTTTTTATAGGGACCAAAAATAGTAAGCGAAATAGATTTCGACTGCAGAATGCGTTGGGAGAGAAAAATTCTCCGCTGTGCTGTGCCTGAATTCCTGTGAATTTCCCCTGGCCTGGGGGCGAAGGCCCTGCTGGATTCGTGACGCTTCGCCCGGGCCGTGAAATTTGAGCAAATTAATCCGTCCGAATTGTGCGTGTGACCTGCACGCTGCCTGCGAAATTACCCAAAACGAACGATTTTTTCGAAAAGATATATTGTTTGGTCGCTTGCGTGTGGGTCGTCAGTAAATGTACAACGCCATTCGTCATGCAATAATGCTTATATAGATCACGTATAATGTGCAGAAGATGGGTTTTTCATATCGCCTCATACTTTTAGGGCCAGGCACGTTGATTAGACCTGGGTACCAGGAACATCCGTACCTTTTGGAATTTAGGCAACATTTTTAAATGTCCCAACCGTTCCAGAACCTTTACCAGCTGCGTAAAGTGGGTTCCAAGGACTCCAGGCCCTGCGTGGTGTGCTTCAAGGCAACCTCGGCTGTGCTGGTGTCGGGTCCGGATTTTTTCTACGTGTGCGAATCGCATCTCGGTGACAAACAATTCTGTACCGTTCAATATGCCGACCAATCCGGCTCAAAAGAAACAGAGCACCAGGAGTTGGTTCAGAAACAACTCGCCTCAAACCAGAAACTCGCCGCTTGCCAGCACAAACTGGACCAGCAAACCTCTCAATTCGCCATAGTTAAAGATTACCTCTGGAAACAGAAAGAAGAGGCCTCGCAGGACGACCTCAAACAACAATTGTCCGATCTAAAGAAAGAATCCGCTACAAACACGGCCAATTTGCAAACGTTTATCAAGTCGTTTAAAAAATACGAGCTAGACTCGGTTTTTTATAAAGCAAGACTTCAACAGCACTATAAAAAGATAAAGCACCAGCAAACAATGAAGAAACTGTCCGAAGGAACCTTGTTCCCCAAAGTGCCAGACCTGCCTGAATTGCCTAACCTATCCAAGCCTTAAGTTAGGAGTCTTGGGGCTGCCATTTGGCTCCCTTAACTCCTCGCACCATCAAGTCTAAGGTCAAGGTTCTCTTGTTACCCTCGAAGTCCAGCACGTCGGCAACCTTGACTGTCTTCACATAAGTGAAACCCAGTTTTTGGTAAATCTTGCGGTTTCGAGGGTGCGAGCTTTCCAAATACAGCGGAGCACCGATCTGGCGTCCGCCGCTCTTGCGCTGGTCGTATTCGGCCAAGATGTCGCGGTCCTCGTCGTAGTACCACGACGAATGGGCCGAAGAAGCGTCGGAACTGGCTGATGAATAGCCAGAATAATCCGTGAATGTGTCCGATTGTAAGTCAAAGTCAAAGTTGTACGACTGGATCTCCGAATCCAACAAAGACTCCTCGTTTGCGTCGAATCCAGACTGCACCGGGCCGTTCTCGTCGTCCGAGTCCGAATCGCTACCGTCTCCACCGCTCTGTTTGTACGGATCAATGTAATAATGCGTCACGTAATCGATCAAACGTCGAGCAAGTCCTTTACCTCTTCCTCTAGGAATGGCTCCGATATCCGACAGGTACCACGATTTCTCAAGCTCGGGGCCCAAAACATCGGCCCTGAACGAATGCAAAAGCTCGTTCTGTTCCTCTAAAACTCGCTGTCTAGTCTCTTTGTTGGCCAACCACATAAACTTGAGGTAGCCACCTTGGTACATCGACCACAAATAGTTCATGATCGACTGATCGCGGGGCGCACTGGCCTTCTCAGGCTTCTCGAAACAGGCCACGGCCAAGAACGGAGCGTCTGGGATCTTCTGCTCCAGTTCCGAATCTCGCACTGCAACAACAAGACCTTGCAAAATCGTCGAATACACCGTTGCTTCGAAAAGTGCCAGATTCATCTGTTTCCTCAAACGGTCGTCGCTGATACCGCTCGTTAGGAAGTTCACGTAAAGGTCGTCTTTGAACGCGATTTGAAGCGTCTTTGCCGCTTTTTTATAGTCCTTCAAAGTGACCACCTCGACATGCAAATTATGGAGAGACGCGGGCTGCGACAGCTGATCTGCCACGTTCGACACCTCATCCGCATCCTGGGCTTTGAACCCAGACTGTAATCGTGAGAAGAAAGACATAGAATGACAATACTTCTTATCTCTGGAGGGAGGAAAAAGCTTCAAGGCTAAATAACACAGCCAAAATTTGAGACAAAAAAAAGGTGCTGCTACAAACGGGGTAGCTCTATGCGGACCGGGTAACCGGGATTGGGTTACCGACAAGTATATATTGCAAATTACTTGGCTCGTTTAAGCGCGCCTGGCCTACCAGCTGCCAATTGGGACTCTATGCTTTCTCTTATCATGAGTCCTATGCATTCTTCCACATTTTTCCAATTTTCAAAAGGACATTCCACCTGCACGAACGCAAATCCCCATTGAGCAGCCAATTTGCGGCCTTCTTCGATTAGAACCGGCGACGCAAGCTCGTGATCGCAATGTGTAACTGCTATCGTAATTGGCGGTAAATATGTTGCTTCTGGGTCGGTTTGGGCGATTTTCGATTTGCTCCATAATGTCTTTAGCGATCTGTTCAAAGAGAACACATCGTACTCCTTTCCAACCTCCCAATTGTGGTGGTACCTGAGGTACTCTTTCCAAGCGTCTTCCAATGTTGTTTTGATGGCCTTGACGATCTCCAACGGTTGCAACGGCGCCGATGGCTGCGGGATGTCTTCCTCGTAGTAGCTCGGCGGAGGAGAATCCATCTGCGTTTCGGGAACACAGCTATAACAGATCAGATATCCGTCCATGGTTCCGTTGAGATCGCTAATTCCAGACCCGATCAACAAGGGTTTGACACGAGCACGGCCCAATTCACCGTCGTTGTCCTCTGCAAGGTTGCGCAGCACGTCTCTGGCCAGTCGACTGTCCAACGACCGCTCCAGAAACGGAATCAGGTCGTCTGGCTGCACACCGGGCGTGTCGATCAGCTCCAACAAGATCGGCGTGGTATATGGCTGGGGACCTCCTTCCAGGTCGGTCTCAGGAGTGCCCAAGATCGAATGCATCCCGGCTCTTTCGTACGGGGAATTAAACGGACTATGCATGCTGCCAAATTGCAACGGAGACATCCGAGACGAGAGCGGAGACGCCGAACCATCGATGCCGGAATAGTCCAGGTCGTAGTAGTTGAGTGTCCGAGCCAAAACGCTTTCGGAGGAGGTATTCTTGGACTGTGTCTTTTTCACGGCCGAGATCACCACATCGGTGAGCTGAATATCGGGCGAATCCACCAGATGAAGCTCCTCAAGCTCCTTGTATGTGATGTTCACATCCAGAAGCGCTCTTGTTCGCTGGTTGGACGGCTGAAATTGTAGCAAGGTTGGAGAATTCTGGATCGTGGGATAGTAGTTGCCCAGAGACTTGTGGCTGCTCACTATGGAAACGATCGAAGACTTGGAAGAGTTATGAGGCCCCAACAACGCAAACCGCAATGGCCGGTCCGTGGTGGACTTCATAAGATTCTTCTTGTCATGGGTTATCATGAGGGTGAAACTAGGTAGTTTTTTTTCGCGAACTTTAATTAAAATAAATATTTGGGCTCGCAGCCATAGTTGGCCGGTTCACCGGGTAAGTTTGTGCGCTTATCGCGAATAGTTGAACGCCTCGAGCCAACTGTAGATCGCGTCACCAAACTGGAAGTCCAGACTTCTTCGCAGAGCCGGTTGCAAGTACAAATTTTTGTCTGCCGCGTAAAAAACAACCAACAGCCCCCACACTGCTCCTGTTGTGGCTCGCCAGCCAAACTTTTGAACCTGCGACCGACGCAGACCACCGCGTTTCTCCAGAATCCGTCCAAACCATTTCCCAATAGCCAATATGACCCGCGACATGCAGTACAACGTGATCTGTGTCGCTACCCCTTCATTCACTAATCCTTTAAACTTGCTATTCAAAACACCTCCGTACACCAGCACGCCGCCAACAAGTCCTCCGAGGAAATGCGTTGCGAGCGCGTCTGGGTCCTTTGTGCTGGTCTTGGATAAACTCAGCTGGATCGATTTGTATATGATGGCGAAAAGAGCGAGCACTTTGCCGTGGTCGAGCCCGAGTCTGACAGATTTTAGGATTTTGCGCACTAGTTGGTCTGTCAGCTGCTGATTTCGGTCGAGCGAGCTCGCCTGTACCGCGATCGTGTGAATAAACCGCACTCTGTAGCCGTAGATCACCGCATTCTTCGACGCGTTCACTATACTGTTGATACAATCCATGGCTAAGTAAGTTACTCCGCAATGTTTGCATGTGACTATATTGATCGACGCGTCTATCGACGCTAATTATTTGCTTCTGCTGGAAGTAGAGAAAAAGTCCGCTGGAGATTTAGTAAAACACCCAATGTCATTTGAAGCTGTGGACACCTACGTGGTGGACGGCATTAAGGTGTCAATTTTGAAATTCCAATTGCCCCTCGATTATAGCAATCCGGAAACCTCCATAGACATATGCGTCAAGCTGGTGAATAACCGGCATTCCGATCAGATCTCGTTCTGTTATCAAACGGATCTTCTCGACAATATTGATAAGGTATTCCTGTATCTGGAAGGGGGTCCTGGATATGAGTCAGCATTCCCCGTGGTCGGAACTGTTCCCACGTATCTATCAGCGCTGCTAGATAAGGGGTATACGGTTATTCTATTGGACCAGAGAGGAACAGGACTTTCGAGCCCGTTGCAATTATCAAAGCTGACGAGTTTTGATTCGCCGGAAGAACAATTAGAGTTTTTGAATCTGTTTCGTGCCGACTCTATCGTTAATGATTGCGAGCAGATAAGGCGAATTCTGCTCGGTGAGCAGAAATGGTCGCTGTTGGGCCAATCGTACGGAGGGTTTTGCTCAACGTGCTATTGTTCTCGGTTTCCGGACTCGATAAAAAAAGTTTTCATCACCGGAGGACTCCCACCTTTGACGGGCACTGTGGAACAGGTTGCTACCAACAATCTGACCGCAACAAAGAGAAAGACCCTGGAGTATTATGCCGAGTTTCCGAACGATGAACATCGCATAGCCAGAATCCTCGACTATCTTGCAACCAGTTGTCCGACGCTGCCAAATGGCGGTACACTTAGCCGTAACCGGTTCCAGCATCTGGGCACGTATTTTGGTGCTAGTGGTGGGTTCACGTTTGTGCACAAGCTGGTCACCACCATGACTCTTGAGCTGGACTCGACGGGCCAATTATCGTACAAAACGCTCGAGCTTCTGCAGAACTGCTCGGGTTTTGAGACCAACCTGCTCCATTTCCTGTACCAGGAGAATATTTACATGAACGGGCCGGGGAAGAGCACCAACTGGACCGTTGAGCGGGTGAAAAAGCAGTTGTATGGCGACAAATTTTTCTTCACGAGTGAACACCACTATTCAGAGCTGTGCAACGACTACCACCGGTTGCAGTCTTTGAAGCCATTGCTGGATCTCTTGCACAGCACCACAGACTGGCGCCAAATTTGGAACATCGAAACACTAAAAACATTCACCCCAGCCAAGTTGCCTATCTATTGCATGGTGTTCTACGACGATCAGTATGTGAGCACAGAGCTGAGTCTGGCCAACGAGACGATTTTCCCATTCAAACGGGTAATCACTAGCGAGTTCTTGCACGACGGGGTGAAATCAAACGGACATGAAGTTCTAGACAAATTGTTCCAGCTTTCTCTTGGAAATTATATTAGATAATATCCACCCAAAGTTAGGTAAAGCTGCTGCTTCCTAATGTTTCTTATCTGCACTGCCCAGAAAGCCCCAGTAATTACAATGCCAGTAAATTTTTTCTAATCACATGGAGAAATACACCGATATCCATCACCCGCAATATGTGCCCGGGACGTACTCTATCTACACGTCGGCCATGGTGAGTCGACAGCGAGTACAGAAGTTCGGCCCTTCGCACTATCGCTATGACAAAAATACGCCGCTCGAAGACATTCCTGACCTCAAGTCCAAGTACGGTGTAATTCTTCTACCACAACCGTCTAACTCAGTTAACGACCCGTTCAATTGGCCTCAGTGGAGGAAAGGCATCCATTTCTTTTTGTTGATCCTTATCACTGCATTCACATCGGCCATAGCCAACGATGCCTCGGCACCGCAAGGATCCATCAACACTCTCACCGGTATAAGTTACGATGCGCTTAACAACTCTGCCGGGCTATTGTTTGTGTCGATCGCGCTGTCAACATGGTTGTATGCACCTCTGGCATCCCTGTGTGGCCGCAAAGTGACATATTTGTTGGGACTGCTATTTGCGCTTGCCGGCTCAATCTGGTATGCCAAAATACAGCACACAGGCGACGCATTTGGATCGCAGATCCTTGTTGGGTTTGCCGAGGGAGCAACCGAGGCCCAGGTCCAGCTCAGTTTGAGCAGCATTTTCTTTAGACACCAATTGGGTGCCGTGGTGACAATCTACATCCTGGCCACTGCTTTTGGAACATACTTGGGTCCACTTGCTGCCAACTTGATTGCCAGAGACTCCGACTTCCGCTGGGTCGGATGGTCGGGAGCCATCACAAGTGGCATCCTGCTGTTGATTATCACGTTTGTGCTCGAGGAAGACTACTTCGATTACACTAGATTCGCATACCACTCTCAAAACCTCACTCTTAACCAAAGTTTGCAAACTTTGGGAATCACCAGCAACGACATGGACGACGATTTCGGCTACCACGACACACAGCTTTCAATCCCACAACGCAGGATGTTTTTTCCAGCGCTTAAGAACTACTCCGTTCTGGGGTTTCTCAAAAAATACGTCCAGTTGCTTATCTCCAACATCAACTGTCTGTGGTTTCCACCGGTTTTATTTGCTGGACTCATTTGGGGCTTCCAAGATGCCATTTTGACGTTCTACCTTACAACCCAGGACACAGCATTATACTCAGACCCGTTCAATTACTCAGACACCAGAGTTGCACTGATGAACGTGCCGTGTCTGATCGGCTCGTTTATCGGTTGCATCTACGCCGGATCCTTGACCGATTACTTCGTTCTCTGGGTGGCCAGAAAAAACAACGGTATCGTGGAGTCTGAGTTCCGGCTCTTTTTCGCGTTCTTGTCGGGGATCATCGGCTCTGTCGGACTGCTGATGTTTGGTTTCGGCGTGGCAAGAGATCTGGACTGGCGCATCATCTACGTTGGACTTGGAATGATCTCGTATCTGTACTCGTCTGCCGGCAACCTGGCCATGCTGTACGTGATAGGAACTTACGACCAACTAATTCTTGAGACTCTGGTGGCCGTCGAGGTCATCAACAACCTCATTGGATGCATCTTCACCTTTGCCTGCTCGCCGTGGCTTGATCGGTCAGGAACAGAAAACACATACATTGCTCTGGCGGTGCTGAACATATTTTTCATGTTCCTGAGTCTGCCGCTGCTCAAATGGGGCAAGTCCTGGCGTCTAGCTACCAAAAAATCGTACGTCAAAATGGTGGACGCCAGATCAAAACACTAGACTCTTTTATATCTATCTGCTCTTGCTACCGTTTAATTTTAGTTTTATCTTACGTAATTTAGTTTATCTTTATTTTCCAAAATGCATGGTCCCGGAACACCAACAGAACGGTCGCAGCTGCTGCCTCCGGCGCCTGTATCGTCGACAGAGGTTGCGTTACCGGCCAATTTGGCGATCATAATCATTTCGCTCTGGACAGGCTCGTTTTTGTCCGCTGCAGACACCACAATCGTGTCCACCACCGCAAACACCATTGCTTCGCTTCTGCACGACTCGAACGGGATCGCGTGGATCGGAACGAGTTATCTGCTCACCAACGCGGTGTTCCAGCCGTTGACGGGGAAAATGAGCGAGCTGTTTGGCCGTCGAAGCACGCTGCTCTTTGCCCAGTTCTGGTTCGGTCTCGGGTGTCTTCTGTGTGCCTGTTCGAAATCTGTGACTCAATTCACCATGGCCCGAGCTTTGGCGGGAATTGGCGGCGGCGGGATCTCGGCGTTGAGCTCCATCATCGTCACCGACGTGGTGCCTCTTAGAATGCGCGGAATCTTTCAAGGATACGCCAATTTGATGTACGGACTGGGCCAGTTTGTTGGCCCCGTTCTTGGTGGACTGTGTTTGGGGGTGGACGGGAAAAACGGATGGCGATGGATGTTTGGTTTGCAGGTTCCGTTGGTGGTCATTGCCGCTTTGCTGGTCTCGCGAAATATTCATGAGTACACCACCGACGCCGAGGAACGGCTCAAGAACCGGTTCTCCAAAAAGAACTTTTTGAAGATCGACATTGGCGGATCCATCACGCTTTCGTTGCTGATTACGAGCGTTTTGCTGCTCTTCACGGCTTCCTCGTCCACCCAGGCGGTTGTCTACATTGTTGCTGCGCTCAGTTTCGGTTTGCTGTTCTACGTGGTGGAAACCAGACTTGCAACCGACCATATCATCCCGCCGTTTGCTTTCAAAGGGGTGCTTCGACTGGGCGCGTTCACCGCCATGTTTGGTTCCATGACAATGTACGGAACAAACTTCATCCTCCCGATCTACCTGCAAACCGTGCACGGGCTGGACTCTGTGCAGCTGGGACTTTTCAACGGGTTTGGAGTGTTTTTTGTTTCTTTCGGCTCGCTATTTGCAGGCTGGCTGCTCAAACACAACGCCGACGTCAAGGACGAAGATATCGTTGCCAAGGCCGTGCGAACCTCGATTCTCGGTTTCCTGGCTGTGTTTTCAGGTAGCTTTATCTGTCTGAGCATCTGTTTGACCGCAAAGCCGGCATTTGCTCCCGAGGACAGAGTGCTCTGGAAGATCGCATTGCTCGCGGGCAGCTACTCGCTTAGCGGACTCGGCTACGGAATGTTCCTTGTGAGTCTGCTCATCATGGTGGTTGGAATAGTCGGGGCAAAACACCAGGCTCCCGTCACCGGAATGAACTATCTGTTCCGATCAATTGGGTCTGTTTCCGGCGCAGGAATCACCTTGAACATCTACAAAACCGTTCTCAGCACAGAGCTTTGGCACTACTTCATTAAAAAGAAGAGACCAGACGGAGAGAAAATCTACCAGTCGTTGATGGACAACTTCTTCTATGTCCGTAACGGGTTGGACCCAAAATACACCACCAAGGTGCTCAAGATCTACAGAGAGGCGGTGAGCGACTCGGTGACAATGGTGTTTATTTTTGCCGCCATGGCGCTCACGGCAAGCATCTCGCTCAGATTATATAGAAGATAGACCAGTAACTGTTTTTTCCAAGAACTTTGGAACCTCGGCCCCAGAACCTTCCGCAAACATGAATATCGCAGAAACCATCGCGTTGCAAACCGTCTCTTTGTCCAATTGTCCGTAGCCGGTGCCCATTCCCGTGAAAACTGCAACTTTCAGCTCTTTTTTCTGGTGAATCTTTATCAGACACTGCCACGTCCAGTCGAAAACAGCTGTAAACGTTTGAGATTTTGTGAAACCAAGTTTCCCCGGAGTAACCATCGTTGGAAGATGCAACAGAGTGCGACTCCTATGTTTCTTCCACGCTTGCGACCTGTTCATGCTAAATTCAATCAGTTGAGCTGTACCAGGACTCGAGTAACCCCTGCTATTAGCGCTGATCCAGCCCCGAACAAATCGGTCTGTGTTCTGCCAATTCCCGTCCTCGGCGAAAAGACTTGCCAATGCCTTATCGTACCCTCCGCCCATTCCACCAAACGAGTTCCCAGGAGATACAAAAACGCTCTCTTCAGAGACAGAAAAGTCCAGTCCGTCCAAATACCCGTGAAATACCTCAATGTCAACACTTTTCGCTCTCCCTCCGATGCGACTTTGCAGCAGTTTCTGCCAGAACTCGCAAATCACCCCGTCCGCATCAATTAAAATAATTCTCATACTCTTTTTGGTGGATAAATATTACTATATATTATACTTGACCAATTTGAATGCCGGCGGCGAAGGCATCTCCTCCACAGGTCTTTCCACCACGACAAGCTCGTCCTCAGACAGTCTGTCGGCCAGTAGCAAGTTTTTGTATTTGTTGGTGAACCAGAACGTCTTTTCCGACACCTCGTGGTTCTCATTAGATCCATTGACTGTTCCGTTTGGCTTGCTTCTGCTACGTTTCTTCCCCTTGGACTGTTTTTGCGGAAGCTCTGTTTTGGAGTCGAAGAAAGCTAGCCAGCTCGTTCCGTAGACCCAGAAACGGTCGTTTGTCTCGAATATGCCATATGGCTGGCCTGGAAGCGTCACAAAAGCCTGGGGCATGTTCTCGCTATTATTGCGTGACCATTCCGAGTGCAGGTCGCCTTCCAGGTTAAACTCGTAAAGCTTGTGGTCCAATGTGGCCACTAGAAGCGTGTCTCTGCTGCTGAACCGTAGAGCAGTTGGAACCTCGTTCAGTCTGACCAGTACACGGGTCTCGCCAGACTCGGTGTCGAGCAATGCTATTTTGCCTGAATAGCTAGCAAATGCAGCCACTTGCGAGTCTGCACTCACTTGCAGCAGCTCGCACTCGGTCTCCACGTCGTACTCCAGCAACTCCTGCTCCTCGTCGAACTCAGACACCTCATCTTCGTCGTTGACGTCGAACTTAATGGAGGTCACCTCGTTGTCGTTGGAAACGAGCAAAATCTGTGCTTTTTCGTCCAAAATGGCCACCTTCTTGGCACCGACACCGTCCAGTTTCGAGGCTTGCACTTTGAGAACCTGTAATTTGGCCGTGTCTGTCTCGATCAGCTCGAAAATACGCACAACACTCAGTCTTGCCACAACAAGGTACCGTCCGTTCTTGGAAATAGCAACGTCGGTGATATTTTCCTGGTCTGCAAGCGTGAGCTTTGCAACCAAAAGCTTCTCCTGATTGTTCAAGAACTTCCAAACCTTGATGGTCTGTTCCTGCCACATCACCAGCAGCCGTTGCTCCTCGTTTATAATCACATTATTAGCATTGATTGGTAGCTTCACCACCATCCCGTTCTGAAAGTTCTTGGACGAATGCACAACAACCACGCGCTCGACTCCTCCACTGACCAGAAGATCGAGGTTCCGCGACTCGTACGCCGTCATCGCACGAACATCGTTTCCATGGAGCAGCCTGTTCGAACTGCTCATCCATTTCTGTGATTTCTTGCCAGCTTCCACTAGTTGGAACTGGTATATTTTTCTGTCCACACCGGTACTGAAAACGGTGGTTCCGTTCATGTTTCCGGTCAACGTAAGAACATCGGCCTCGTGAACGTTGAAGCTCTGTTGCAACACAAAATGCTTCAAGTCCCAGAACTTGACGCTACCGGTAGAATCACCGGAAACAAGCTGACTGGAATTTGCAACCACATAGACACTCCACACCAGAGTGCTCTCTGTCTTGGACTTGTCAACTCGTAAAGTGTGCACCAGTTGCCCTTGAGCATCCCAACACCGTATACGGCCATCAGCACATCCTCCAATGATCATCTCGTCCTTATACCAGCACAAGCTCAACACTCTAGACTGCTGTCTTTGTAAGATCCGTTCGTGCTCCATGACTCCTGGGCCTCCAGAAACGTCTATTATCACAACAGATCCATCCTCACATCCAACAGCAATCTTGGATTGGGACTGGTTGGCCGCAACAGACCAAATCACACCGGCATTGCAGTCATGGTTCTGAACAGGAACTCCCTTGGAAACGTCCCACTCGGTCAGATACGTGGATCCTCCGATCGAAAAAAGCCGCGAGTGTATATCATCACTGCACCAGACAAGTCCTTCAACCGATCTTCCCTTTCCTCCGGGGATTGTGTGCTGTTTGAGCCAGTTTGTATGCCGTCCTCGCGGATTCCATAGCTCGATCGACCCGTCTGCTCGTCCAACCGCTAGTAAAAGGTTTCTGGGACTGATATCGGTAGTGGATCTCTGGGAGAATGCCAGAGAAGTCACCGTTTGAGGCGTATAATCCACAAATCGACACCGGTGAATATCCATAGCTGGTTGAAATAATTTGATAAAAATATTCAAAAAAAATTATTTTTTAAACCTCACCGATGACGTAAGCTACTAGGCTCTCTAGATCTCGATAATTTACCCGGACACGGAGCCGAGTAGCAAGGGATCTAGGAGCGATAAACGGAAGGAGAGTGCCACTGAGGTGGTAATAGAAAGAACACCATCTAACCACATATTTGACCCAACTAGAGCTATTTTTGGGGACCCCCGCACGAGAATATTTCCACCCCTTGAAAGAACAAATTTCCGGAGAATCTCCGAGTCAAAATATTTCGTATGTTGATTCTTCGTACTAGTGTACCACAATTGGGTCGTAAGCGCCTGATTCGTCACGTTTTGAGCGCTTCCCGGTTTCAGAGCACCACGCCGTTGCAGAGATACGACCAGCTGGTGTCTGAGAACCGGCTTCGGGACGATTCGTATCAGCGGGGTATATTGACGAGTCTGGAGGGGCTCCACGGTGAATTGCTGGCATACAAGCCGCCGGATGTTTTGCAGCCGGATATCAAAGATCTCACGCCCAAGACGGGTTTGTCGAAGGTGTTTGGGTCGCTGTTCGGCAAATCTCACGCCAAGGAGCCGGAAACCGTGAATGTCCCGCATGGAATATATTTATATGGAGATGTGGGGTGCGGTAAAACCATGCTGATGGACCTATTTTACCACACGGTTCCGGGACATCTAACCAAACGGAGGGTTCATTTCCACCAGTTCATGCAAAACCTGCACAAACGATCGCACGAACTTAAACATCAGCATGGTGGCCACCAGGAACTGGACGTGATTCCGTTGTTGGCGTGGGAATTGGCACAGCAATCGACTGTTTTGTGCTTTGACGAGTTCCAGGTGACGGATGTTGCCGACGCGATGCTTCTGAGACGGCTGCTGAACCTGGTTTTGCGGTCAGACCATGGCTTAATTTTATTTGCAACCTCGAACAGAGCACCGGACGACTTGTACATCAACGGGATCCAACGCGAATCGTTCATTCCGTGCATCCAGCTGATCAAGCGAGTGACCAATGTGATCTACCTGAATTCGCCCACAGACTACAGAAAGGTGCCTAAACCTGTTTCTTCGGTGTATTACTCGCCAAAGCCAGGAATCAGGTTCGACTCGAAAATATCCCGCAAACAACAACAGCAGCACATTGAAAGCTGGTACGAGTTTTTCGCCCAGGGCCATCCAAAGAAGGAGAACGTCCCGCTGAAAATCTGGGGAAGAGATTTGGTTGTCCCCGTTAGTTCTCCAGGACATGTTGCCATGTTTACCTTTGACCAGCTCTGTGGCCAGCCGTTGGCCGCTGGCGATTACCTGACTCTGGCGTCTTCCTACAAAGCGTTCATCGTGACAGATATTCCGTACCTGAGCGTCAATGTCCGTGATAAAGTGCGAAGATTCATCACATTCCTCGACGCCGTTTATGATAGCCACGGGTGTTTGGCCGTCACCGCCGCCGCTTCCTTCACAGATATATTTGTCGAGCCCGAAGACATCGGCAACGGTGACTACTCGTTGCTTGACCACAAAGACGAGCAGGTGAACGACGCTCTTGAGAACGACGACTTGGTTAAGAATCACGGATTCGACAAGAGGATCGCCAAAAAGGCAGCCATGTTTGGAAACTTGGACGAAGAACGGTTTGCGTTTGCACGTGCGTTGAGCAGACTCAGCCAGATGAGCACCCAGAACTGGATAGAGGATAGTTTTTCATGAATTAGACAATTACTCTATATCGTCAAGATCCAAATCGATCTCGGCATCGTTCACGGTAGCGGACACCATTGTGCCTCTGGTTTCTCCTTTGACGAAATCCAGCGACTCCTGGGATTTCTGTCTGACGTTGACAGAGGTATTCTCCAGGTGTCTTTTGAACCGTAGCAGCTGCTTGTAGCTTTCCTCTGTACCGTTATCGACCTCGAACTGTTTCCACGCGTTCCAGACCTCATCCAGGTCCTTCTCGCGTTTACCAAACTTGAACACGAGTTCGGCAGCGTACTTGTAGATCTCGCGGCATCTCTTGATTTGGCCAAGTTGCAGCTCAAGGTTAACAAACCCTTGGACCAAAATGTTGAGGAATCCAGGCGTGTTCACAGAAACTGTCTCGAGACCGTGTTGGTAGACCGCGCGGGCGCTTTCTGGGCTCTTGAACTTAAAAACTTTAGGGATAAGCGTCTGGTAAAGCTCCAGTTTCTTGGTATATGCTGGAATATAGTCGATAGCTCTTTGGTAAATTTTTAGAGCCACCAGCTTGGATCCCTTGGTTTCCTCAAAACCACCATACTGATTGAATATCCACTCGGCCTGGTCTGGCGGACACCCTTTGAGGGAGTCTTCGAACAAATCGCGTATTCTCTCGAGTCCCATTCCAAGCTTTTCATGATACTCAAGAGCCTTTGTTAGATAAACGGACCATATCTCAAAAACCACTGGATACTGAAACAATAGCACTCCACGTTCGTAAACTTGGAAACTTTTCTCCATCAGGGACTTTTCCTCAAGATAGTTGGCGTAATTCAAGAACGTCTGGACTGTTGCCACCTTTAAATCGATCATCTTATTGTATGCGGTGCAGACCTGCTCTGTATCGTCAGAACTCTCCACCAAGTCCAAATAAAACTCCCAGAGCTTTAACGACTTGTGGACCCGCGTTTGTGCGCTCAGTGCGGTGTCCAGGTAGCTGATCTTGCCGTCAAATTTGGGCCGTTCCAGTGCGGTCTGCATGACTCTCACTGCCTGATGGTAATCTGTGTCCAGCTCCCATTCGGCCCAGTACAGCCAGATTTCCACCAGGTCGTCGATGTGTCGGAACGGAACTTTGGTGGCTGTTTGTAGGATCTTTCTGGCAATGGGGATATTGCCGTTTGAAGCGTAGAATTGGGAATACTCGATCCAAAACTTGGAAAACACACCAGACAGTTCAATCTTTTCAGGGTTGATGGTATCCATTGCCCGTGCAAAACAGTCCGCCTGCTCGTTCTTGTCGGTGTAGAGACTGATCCGGTGCTGCCATTCGGCCACGTCGTTCGGGTTATGGCGCAAAAGCGTGTCGCTCGCAAGCAACGGTCTTCTGGCCACCAATTTTTCAAACCGTGCTATCTGCACCTCTAGCTCTGCAGAATGCTGGTCGATATTTTCCGCAAGTAAGTCGATGCGCCGCTCTTCCACATCAAGATACTCGTTGTAAATATCGACGAAATCTTGCAACCGCGTCGTGGCTGCTATTTCTGTCTCCAACAAGTCCTCAAGTGCAATGTATTTTTCCTGTGTTTCGTAGTAGTCGACCAATCTCGTTAGGAACTGCACCCTTTGGTCAGGAAACTTATCAGTGAGATGCTGATACGTCTTTTGAACAACATGGTCGTCGCTCTCGTACTCCAACACCAGATCCCAGTACTTTTCGCACAGTTCCAGCTCCGAGATGGATAATTGGAGAATTAACTGGTCGTTTGCTATAATTTGTTCAATAACCGCCTGGACCTGACGAAACTCTGTATCTGACTCTGTTGTCTGAATCAAGTTCTGAACAGTCTCGTCCAACGACGGCAGATCTGCAAACAAGTCTGGATAACTGTCCAGCTTGGCACGGAGAATAAAATACCGTTTGTAGATGCTGAAACTGGTCAACCCGCCCACGAGATCCGCAAACTCGATAAACAACCGCCAAATTGGAAAGTTCTGCACCACGCTCAACGAACGCAACGCAGTGTTGAACTGCAGACGAATGTAAGTGATGTCTAGGAAATTGATGTTTTTCACCAGAAAGCCCAGAAACCGGGTCCAAGCGCCAACGAATTCCCCCAAATTCGCCACATACGTTTCATAGATCTGCACTAGCTCCTTCGTATCTCCCGGATGAGCAATAGACTCGCACAGATCGATATATCCCGTCCACAGTTTAAACGAGTTTGGTAAACGCGAGAGAGCACGGCGATATAGCTGGATTTGCTCCGCATTTGACCGCTCTTTCTTCCTCCCAATATACTCCAGCCACTTCTCGAGCGAATACGGCTGTTTTTGGACACCAATCTCCGTGTCCAGGTCCTCTGGTCGCACCAGCTCAAGAGACATGAAGGTTGAAATATTTATAAAGTTCTTGCACAGCCGTGAAAAAATAGACATTGATGAAACTACCCGGCACAAGCAGCCAGAAATAATAATTGTAACCAACAAACCTTTACAACATGTCTGCGAATCGGTAAGTTAATAAGCGCCAGAACGGCCAATTTGTATGCTAACTGGCCAGAGAGCAAGTGTTCCCTACTCGGATGACGTTGAGTCTGATGAAAGGTAAGCTGAAGGGTGCTCAGCAGGGACATTCGCTGTTGAAGCGTAAGTCTGAGGCCTTGACAAAGAGGTTCAGAGATATCACCAGACGGATTGACGACGCCAAGAGAAAGATGGGACGGGTGATGCAGACGGCTGCGTTCTCTTTGGCAGAGGTCTCGTACGCCACCGGTGGCAACATTGGGTACCAGGTTCAAGAGTCTGTTAACAAAGCAAGATTCAAGGTGCGTGCTCGCCAAGAGAACGTTTCTGGAGTTTACTTGCCGCAGTTCGAAGCTGACATCGACGAGAGCATTAACGATTTCAAGATGACTGGATTGGGAAGAGGAGGACAGCAGGTCCAGAGAGCTAAAGACGTGTACACCAAGAGTGTGCAGACACTTGTGGACCTGGCCTCTTTGCAAACGGCATTTGTTATCCTGGACGAGGTGATCAAGGTGACCAACAGAAGAGTCAACGCAATTGAGCATGTCATCATCCCACGTACAGAAAACACCATTTCCTACATCAATTCGGAGCTGGACGAGCTTGACAGAGAGGAGTTTTATCGGTTGAAAAAAGTCCAGGAGAAGAAACAGGAGGAGAACGCCAGAATAGACGCAGAAAACGCTGCCAGAAAACTTAAAGAACAGGAACGTCACATCTCGGAGGAGGACCAGCTCATGCCCGATCTTACTGCCGAGGCAGAAGACGACGTGATATTTTAGTGTTTACGGTAATAAAAAAAGTATAAATAATTTCTTGGCCAGTATTTAAATGGTGCTACTTGTTGGGGTGTTTGTGTGTGTGGCACTATTTGTGTTGCAAACGTTTCATTTGCGGTACGTGTCTTTGCTATGGCCGGTGGACATTTTGACGATCGATTATCCCGCACCCAGTTTACAAAACGAGGTGTTTTCGCTTATCGATCAAATAGAGCCCGGTAATTTGGATTCCAACCTGCGCTCTTTTGCGGCAGAGTACCCCAACCGCGAGTTCAATTCTCGACAGGGCGAGCTGTTTGCGCTGAAAGTGTACGATTTACTAAGCGAAATGGGCGTCGCTGCCAGCATCTATCCTCACGCGCATTGGAAACAGCCGTCTGTGATTGCCAAGTTACCGGGACAACGCGAGTCCAAAGTGGTGATCGGGTGCCATTTGGACTCCATCAGTCTGGTGCCTTTCACTGGCTCGCCCGGAGTGGACGATAACCTGTCGGGAGTGGTCACACTGTTGGAAGCCATACGAGTGCTCCACCAGTCGAGCCTGGACCTGGTCCAAACCGTGGAATTCCACTTCTACGCGGCAGAAGAGCCCGGCATGAAGGGCTCGCTCGAAGTGCTCTCCAACTATTCGAACGTCGTGGCGTTCCTCCAACAGGATATGACCGGGTACATTGGGACTGGAACGCCACACCTGGGGCTGGTGACAGACTACGCCTCACACTCGTTGTCCGAATACGTCAAGCAACTGATAAGCACCTACTGCACTGTTCCTTACCGCGAGACACAATGCCGGCGTATTTGTTCCGATCATTCTGCAGCCCTGTTGAACGGGATCCCCGCCGTGTACGTGTTGGAGTCGGAGGTGGCATTGTCGAACCCTTACATTCATTCGCGCAAAGACACGGTTGACAGACTGGACATCAGCCACATGACAGAGCACGTCCGGCTGGTGGTTGCCTTTTCCACCGAGATCGGCATGTTGCAGACCCTGGTGTCAACAAAAGATCAGCAGTTTCGGTTCAAACTCGCCGATCTGGTCATTCTATCTGCAACTACAGATACACTGCAATTCTTGACACTATGTGTGATACTTTCCGGAACAATTGCCACTTTAGTGCTTTTCCTAAAGTCCGGGAGTCACAAGAATACGATAAATTACCCCATAAAAATTAGTGGGGTAATCGGCACGAAAAAGTATAAATACCGGGGGGAGGACTGATGTTGGCGTCATTGATTTCAATATGCCAGCTATACGACAAATCGCAAGTCCAACGTAAGTACACTTTACTTCCACCATCTCCCCGTGTCTAACACAACGTTAGTTTCCTCGCACTCATGGCTGGAATGGCTGTGCCCCCAATTCTTCTCCACACCCTCGCACCAAGATACAGCAAGATTGTGTATCGAACCGAGGACGAGCGCAATCTCCACAAACTGCAGTCCGATCTTGATGGATTCAACGTCAGACTCGCCAACGTGGAAACGAATATTGGCGGAGGACAAAAATACCACTAAATAGCATCAATCTAAAGCATTCGGGTTCTCTTGCCGTTAACTATTTCTCCAGATTTTTACTCTTTTTTTTTTGTTCGCTATGAGCAGGCCATCGCGAACACTTGATATATATAAAGCTCACCTCATTTCTGTCTCGCTGTAAAAATGGTTTCTCCTGAGTTTAACCTGACATCGGCCAAGGCCACCGAATACGAGCATGAATACGCTGCACATAACTACCACCCACTTCCTGTGGTGTTCTCCAAGGCCAAGGGAGCCAAGGTTTGGGATCCTGAAGGAAAAGAGTACCTCGACTTTTTGAGTGCCTACTCTGCCGTCAATCAAGGCCACTGCCATCCAAGAATCATTAATGCTCTTGTCGAACAGGCCCAGAAGTTGACACTATCTTCCAGAGCGTTCTCCTCGGACATCTTTGGTTCCTACGCTAAATACGTGACCGAGTTCTTTGGCTACGAGTCTGTTCTGCCAATGAACACGGGTGCCGAGGCTGTCGAGACCGCCTTGAAGCTCGCCAGAAGATGGGGTTACAAGAAGAAGGGTATTGCTCCAAACGAGGCCATTGTGTTGTCCTGTGCAGACAACTTCCACGGCAGATCGCTCGCCATTGTCAGTATGTCGACTGACCCAGAGGCAAGAGACGATTTCGGTCCATACTTGGAGAAAGTTGGTCCTGTGATTCCAGGAACTGACGGCAAGATCCTGCGTTACGGCAAGATCGAGGACGTCGAGCTTGCCTTTGCCAACGCTGGCGACAAGATCGCGGCCATTCTGATCGAGCCAATCCAGGGAGAGGCCGGTATTGTTGTTCCTCCAAAGGACTACTTTGCCAAGGTCAAGGCTTTGTGCAAAAAATACAACGTTTTATTGATCGCCGACGAGATTCAAACCGGTATTGCCAGAACCGGAAAGCTGCTCTGCTGGGAGCACTACCTGCCTCGTGAAGACAAGCCCGACATGGTTCTGCTCGGTAAGGCCATCTCTGGCGGCGTTTTGCCCGTTTCTGCTGTTCTTTCTTCCAAGGAAGTTATGTACACGTTGGAGCCAGGCTCGCACGGATCCACCTATGGAGGTAACCCTCTTGCGTCGCGCGTGGCTATCGAGGCTCTGGAGGTTGTGAAGGACGAGAAGCTTGTGGAAAGATCCGTCGAGCTTGGAGAGTTCTTGCAAACCGAGCTGAAAAAGCTCCAGGACGAGTCCCACGGAGTCATCAAGGAGGTCAGAGGTAAAGGTCTTCTGTGTGCCATTGTGGTGGACGACACCAAGACCAACGGCAAAACTGCATGGGACTTGTGTCTTAAGATGAAGGATCACGGTGTTCTTGCCAAGCCAACTCATGAGCACATCATCAGACTCGCCCCACCATTGGTCATCTCCAAGGAGGACCTGCTCAAGGGAGTTGATAGCATCAGAAAGGCATTAAAGGAGATCATCAATTAGGTATGTTTGTGACGTGTGTATAATGTTTTAAAGGATTGTTGTACCTTCTTCTCTTAACACCCTTAGTAAGAACTCGAGACCTTTTTTAGCAAACAACTGCATGTTTTCGGACCGGTCTTCGTGGCCGGTGCTGATCACACAGGACTTATCTCCATTTGGTCCGCTGACTCCCAAGTAAACCAGTCCTTGTTTCGAGCTGTCGGTGATACTCTCCTGGTCTCCCAAACCAACGCTTGTAGACGGTCCAGCAAACCCAGATTCCGAGAGAACGTATGTTGATCCAAACTCAATTCTTAGGTTTCTTGCGAGTCTAAGAACAACCGCCTCGCTCGGGCCGGTGTAATTGCGGATCTGGTCGGTGTCCCAGCCACTAAGCTTCAGGCGTGACTTGAGACTGTAGATAAGTCTGCTTCCATCGAAAAACTTGGACGCGCCGGGCAACGAGATCAAGTAAGCGCTCAGTAACCCACCACACGCTCCCTCGCTCACAGACAGCGTCTGTTTCCTCGATTGGAGGATCTGGGCGATCTCCTCAACAAGGATCTTAATTTCGTCCGGAGGGAAATGCATGAAAATTGAAAGAAAAATTACGTTAGTTATTTGTTTGCCACAGCACAGTTATATTCAGCATGGTTCTTTCATCGCCGCTTAAATTCAAGGCTGGAAAAGTCGACTACAACGAGGAAACCAAGGTGTATACCCCGAACCCGGTCAAGGGCGAGATTGTGATCAGCCAGAGCGACGAGGGCGACGAGTTCTATCTGTTTGTGTGGAAGCCTCGTGACAACACTGTGTCGGGAATAGACTCTGAGGAATTGCTTGTGATTGCTGGAGACGTGACGTGGAAAAAGGTCAAGTCGTGCAAGTCGGGAAGAGTGTACATGCTCACGTTCTTGAGTAGCGGGGCCAAGAACCTGTTCTGGATGCAAGACATCAATCAAGACGAAAACGATCTGTCCAAGGAAACAGACCAGGACAAAGAGATTTATCGGAAAATCAACGAATTGTTCCAGGAGAACGAATAGTTACTCATATCAAGAATCAATGAACCCAGGACATGTTAAGGGTTATACGAATAACAGTATAACAGCCCCCAGTATCCACAATCACCACCAGCAAGTCTCTTAGTACCGCTAGTTCTGGCAATCCAGATTCGCTTTTGGTTTATGTATAGATTACTTAATAACTCAATCTTACTCCACACAAGTGTATCAGCTTTTTTATTTATTTATTCCTGTGGCATTAATTGTTTACAATGTCCGAATCCAGCTCCACTTCCAGACGAAGACCTCTTCGCGGCTCGGCCCCAGGAAACCTCACCTACTACCGCGATCCAGCGTTTTCTCCGCAATCGCTCGACTCAGAGCCTCCATATTCGGGGCCCCTGTCAAGTTCGGTTGATCTATCGCCAAAAGACTACATGACCACAAACAATATCCAGACGAATTCTTTACCGGAGGGTGAGGGTGAGTACTGTCCCTATGGATGCTGTTTGATCGAATCCCCCACCGATTATTTCTATAAGCGCGGGTTTCTAGAGGGGGCCTATTCTGACGTGACCATAATGGCCTTTGGAACATCGTATTCGCTCCACAGACTAATTTTGGACCGCAGCGACTACTTCCAAAGTCTGTTCAAATGGCCTGCCGACGAGGATTCCGAGTACCGCAACCGATTCGTGCTGGAGTTCGACGACCCGCGCATAACACAAACCAGTTTCGAATTGGCCATATCCAGACTATACGGCACAGTCAACTCATCAGAAGAAAAGAAAATCCCGTACAACATGATCGCAGTCGGCCAGTACCTGGCCATCAACGAGGCGGTTTGTACCGCCACGGATTACATTGTGAAAAACATGAACATGTCAAACATCTCCGATATCATGAAATTTGCAGTCACCAACAACTACGGTTCTGCCAGTGAGCGAATTATCCAGAACGGTAAGGGAATACTGTCCATTGACGGCTGGGAGGTGGGTGTCGAGGCCTGGGACGAGATCCCGGTGTCTGTTATTGCCGAGGTTGTTGGCGAGAACTACTTCTTTGTGCCAACCGAATGGGACCGGTGTATTTTCATCATCAAACTGCTTGAGCGCCGAATCGAGGCCGGATTCGACAGCGAAGATATCTTGCCGATCAAGACAGTTCTCAACGACAAAATCCATTACTGCCATATGAGCCCCGAACAGTTGCAGGAACTCGAATCTTACTCCGATGTGTATGGCAACACCTATATCGACTCGCAGGTTCTTCATAAGGCTCTGTGGCAGGCGGTTTACTTGCAAAGACAGGTTCTGCACTCGTCCTCGTCGAACATTGCCTCCACAGTGACGACGGCTGCGCCGCCAACCGCTGACTCCAAGTGGTTCAAGGTTCCGATCAAGGATGCCACGATTTCCGGGCTCCCAGCCGATCTCGACAAGAAAACGCACGATGTCCTAAGCTCGTCGCCAACTCCCGCATCCAACGAGAACGGGAAGTCCACGCAAGATGAAAGCCCGAGGATCGAACGACTGTACAATTGGACATCAATTCCTCCATTCCGGTTCTCCATTGCCTTTGCTAACGTTTCGGACCTACTCACCGAGAAGAGACTGTATGGCACAACGTTTTGGTATGCTGGCTCATATTGGAACCTGTACCTGCAAAAGAACCGTCTCCAGCTGAAAAACACCTATCAAATAGGAGCGTATCTCCATAGGGCCAACAACGGCAACTCGACCCCGGCATCCAAGCACGGCCTGATAAATCCAGATGTTTACGCAGGAAATATCAACTACCAGTCCATGCCAAGAAAACGGTCCCAACAAATGAACATGGGCTCAGACGGGTCGATCTCGCTTTCCGGTAGCAACCTGCACGGCGCAGAGGAGAAAGAGAACGTTCAGGATGATTCGCTTTTGAGCTTGAACGAGCTCTCATTTTCTGACGGATCGGCTCAAACATCAAGAAGCCCAGTCACGGACGGACGTTCGTTCCTGACATACGAGGACCAAAGAAGCATGATAAAAGTGTATTTTATCATATTCACTCCATCAAGACGCGAAAGGCCTACAATTACGTCGTTTCTTTCTGTTCCCAACGACTTTCACAAGTCGCAGAGCTGGGGATGGAAGAGCAATAGCATGTGTGTTTTCAACGATGACGGAACGTTCCCCGAGGGACACGACCGGCACCTCAAGTTTATGATTGTTTTAGGAAACATCTAAGTTATCTCCATTCGACGGAATACTTGAGCTTGGCTCCAGGACGGAATGGAACCACCGACAGGTCCTGTGTTGACACTGTTTGTGCCACGACCGACTCTTTCGGCACGAGCCAGCATTTCTGCTTGGAGCGCAGCTTGGACTCGTCCATGGTATAGAACGCGTTACCAAAGGTCGAAACAAAGTCTTTCAATTTGTCCAGTTTTCCTTGACTCTCAAACACCTCTGCCAAATAGGCGATAGCGAACGGCTGGGTGTAAACACCTGCGCAGACACCCGTGTGCACTGCTTTCTTGCGGACGTCGTGGGGAGCAGAGTCGGAGCCAAAGATGAAGTACGGTTTTCCGGAGGTGGCTGCCGCGATGAGTGCTCTTTTGTCGTCCGGCAGTTTGGCAACCGGTTTGCAGAAGTTGATTGGGTTGCCTGCCCAGTCGTCCACGATCAGATACAGGTGGTGGGCCGTGATGGATGCCACAACGTTCGGCTGCTCGCCCTGTTTGAGGTCTTTGTTTATCTCGTGGATTGCGTCAACAGCGGCCTTGGTAGTGCAGTGTTCAAGGACGATCTTGAGCTTTGGGAAGTCTGCGTGCAACTTGAACAGCGCCGGCAGAAACTCTGGTTCGGCGTTGAGAACATGGATATCTTTGCCGTCGCCGTTGGAGGTGGACGGTTTCTCGCCATGGAGATTCAAAACCAGGCCGTGTTTCTGCATCACCTCGAAGATCGGGTAGAATTGCGAAAAGTCGTTCGGATCGACTCCAGCGTTCGAGTTCGTGGTGACTCCCGCAGGGTAGCACTTGATTCCTCTGATGGCCTTCTTCAATGCGGCCTCCTCCACCAGCTCAGGTGTCAGCTCCTGGCTGAGATAGAATGTCATCAAAAAAGTGGTGGAGTCGCACTCCTGCTCCAACTCCTGCTTATACTTGACGACCTGGTCCAAAGAGGTGATAGGAGGCACCAGATTTGGCATGATGTACGCGATCGAGACTCCTCCCTGCTTGACGGTCGGCGTGACGAGCTTCATCATCTTGTCCTGCCGCAAATGGACGTGGTAATCGGCAGTGTATCCCAGTTCTAAAGCCATAGATAGTGATAGTGGAAAAACTAGAAAAATTCAAAAAAAAATTCAAAAAAATATCTTTAAACCAGAATCGTACGAGTCTCCCAGCATGACAGAAACAGTGGCCCCGGCGTTATCAACAGCGCAAGACGCCGGCGATTTCGAGTTTGCCAAGGTCAACAAGACTTCTACCGCGCGGGCGTACCTTGGCCAGATTTCCGATAATTCAGAATCCACCCTAAAACAGCTTCTGGCACAGTACTACTCGGTGACGGACCTGGTTCGGTTTCTCCAGGATAAGAAATTCAGACGCATAGCGTTGCAGTTCCCAGACTCGCTTGTGGCAGACTCGCCCATCGTGCTGCAACTGGTGCAACAACACCTCGACAAGCTGCCGCGTGATCCCGGTCACGTGCCCAGCGCACAGGATATTGAGTCTGTCAAGGTGTGCAGCGGCAAGTGCGGTGGTGACTGCAAGAACCGGCCCGACGTGTGGATACTGGCGGACACGTCCTACTCGCCGTGCTGTATTGATGAGGTGGCTGCCGAGCACGTTTCGGCGGATCTTGTTGTGCATTTTGGAGACGCCTGTTTGAACCCGGTCGACAAGCTCAGTGCAGCTTATGTGTTTGGTAAGCCGTTCTTGGACAAGGAGAAAGTGGTGGAGGCGTTCAAGGCCACGTACTCCCCCGACGACAAGGTGATCCTGATGGCCGATGCTCCATACACCAGCCATCTGTACGACATATACGAGCAGCTGTCCCCAGAGTACAACGTTGGATACGCGGAGCTCGATTTGGAGCGCTCGAAAGCGGCAATAATCGACCAGACAGTGCACAACAGCGAGGGAACGCATCTGGCCTCGCGGATCATCCATTTTGACGGCCCATTGGATGAGTGTTCTCTGTTCCATATAACCAAACCAGAAGACCCGCGGCTGCTTTATCTGAGCACACAGTTCTCTAGCATGACCATCTATGACGTAGACTCTGCATCAGTGAGTTCTGGGCCGTTCCCGACGCTGATGAAACGATACAGAGCCATGCACATGGCCAGAAGCGCAGGAACCGTGGGAATTCTGATCAACACGCTGTCACTGTCAAACACGCGCACTTTGCTGAACAAGGTGATTCGCTGGGTGCGTGGCGCAGGCAAGAAACATTACATGTTTGTGGTTGGCAAGCCGAACGTTGCAAAACTGGCCAATTTTGAAAGCGTCGACGTTTGGTGTATCATTGGATGCGGCCAGTCGGGAATTATCCTCGACACGTACGGCGAGTACTATAAGAACATCATCACGCCGTACGAGCTGCAGCTGGCCCTCAAACAGGAAATCACATGGACAGGCCAATGGATCACCGATTTCGAGGCTGTGCTGGATCAAGAGGAGGAGGAACAAGAGGAGCAAGACGGCGAAGAAGAGGAGTATGTGCCGGAGTTCAATCCCGTGACCGGTCAATTGGCGTCTTCCAGACCGCTCAGACAGATCAAGCACTTGGAGGTGGAGCTGGGCTCGACTGATTCTTCAACAGATGGACAATTGGTTGCTCGGTTCTCCAACACCCTAAGCATCAAGAACACCGTCAGCACTTCGGCCAGTTACCTTCAGTCGCGCGAGTGGACTGGTCTCGGCAGCGATTTTGGCCAAGACGAGCTCGAGGGCGCCGAATTGGAGGAAGGCCGTTTGGGAATAGCTCGTGGGTACGACTATGATAAGGGGCAACAAGTAGAGAAAAATAATTAATAATAAATAAATCCATGTGCCATGTCTAGCAAGTTTGAATCTTCTTTTCCGCGGCGAAGGCCGAGTGAGACGGGCGGAGGTGTTCACGGCGCCTCTGCGCGAGGTTCTAACACCAGTTTGGCCGATCTGGTCGATTCCCGCCTGGGTTCTCCGATAGGATCCTTACAGTACGATATGGGGCCCTCTTTGGAGGATGGGTACAAGGACGAAATATGGGGCTCTAACTCATACTCGGAAACTGCCAGCACGTTTTCGGTACCGCAGGTGTCGTTGGACGTTCCTGTTGTGCCGTCTCTGGGGCTTGTTGATGACCCCATGCATTATTTAAAGAACCAGGAGATAGTGGTCGTTTCAAAACTTCTGGAGACAATAGAGAATCACAGGCGCAATCTCCAAAAGGGAAGCAAGCGTGTGAAGCGTGATAGACAGTCACTGTTGTCTTTGTTTGCCGAATTGAACCAGATCCACCAGGCAATGAAGGAAATATACACCACAGAAAAACATAACAAGAGCGCCGTGTTGAACAACTTCCAGCGATGGGAAACAAAAAAGGGCCAGCTGTTCAGCAAGATCGACGAGATCCAAAACAACACTGTCGAGGGAGCCACGTATAAAACTTTGTTAACAGAAAGCAACAAGATCAACTCGGAGATTAAACAGCTGGAGGAGAAACTACAGTCGATGAAACAGAAACAGAAACAGGTGAACCAGCAACTACGCGAATCCAAATCGTTGCTGGATATCAAGCTGAATACATATTATGACTCGTTGAACCAGCTAGAGTCCAAAGAGTTTGTGGAGATGGAAGCTCTTCAATCGACTAAACTGATCCAGAAACAGTTTAATCCAGTGACAATCATTGAAAACTTTAATTTACAGTTAAATGCGCTTACAGACCTAATCCATGTGGCCGAGTCGAAGGAAACGAGTTTCCACGAGTGCTCGGTGTATCTGACAGACGCCTTTGAGACGCTCAGCTCGCTGGAAGAGTCGTTGAAGGCCATTATCTCAGACACGATTCCGGAGAAGACCGATTTGCTGCTCAAACAGCTGGACGTCGCGCTGGACGCCCTGACTCAACGCAGAGACCAGGCTAAAAAGTCGCACCTGGACTACATCCAGGCAATTCTCACGGACGAGATCACCGCCATCCAAAATACCATTAGCACTATCAAGGGAGAGGAGCCCAAAGAACTCAAGGAGCCCAAGCCAATACTGAAACCGTCTTTCAGTAATTCCACCATGCACTCGTTGTCGTCGTCGTCCCCGCTCCCGATCAAGCCGGCCTACTCGTTGCCCATTGCCTCCACGTCAGATGTGACCGCAGGAACTAGTGGTCCCGAAAAATACGTCCACGCAAAAACAGCCATCCAAAACAGCAAGGGCGAGAAACGAGATTGATTCAAATCTTGTCCTCGAGCGAGAGCTTGCTGGCCACGTCGGTGTGTGCGATGGTTCTCTTGAACTCTTCGAAATTGAGTCTGTCGTCTCCGTCCTCGTCGTTTTCCATAATGGTGCGGTCGACAAGCTGTTGCAACTGCACGTCGCTCAGCGAGTTCGCCACCATCATGCGCAGCACCAGGAATAGCTCGCCGTTCGAAATGTACCCATCGTTGTCCATGTCGTACACCCGAAACAGGAACCTGAGCTTATCGTCGACGGACCCGCTAGAAAAGATCGACAGCCCGGCCACAAACTCCTTGAAGTCGATGTCGCCTCCTCTGTTGGTGTCAAAGATGTCTATCACGCGTTTGGCCAACGGATTCTGTCCAATTCCCGGAATCGACAGAAATTCCTCCTTGTCGATGGCCCCAGAGTTGTCGGTGTCTAATTTCATGAAGCGCTTGGCTAACCGGTCGATTTCATCAGATCCGACTGGTTGTTAGTCTTGGTGAACAAATAGCAACTTACAGTTTGTGCCCTCAGACAGGTCGTCCAGAAGACTTGACGGAATGTTTCCCATACTAAGCAAGTTGGAGAAAATAATTATATATGCAAATCACTATTTATTTCGCAACCTCGTGTCTGGTGCAATTAAATGGCGTCAGTTCCGGTTGGGTCTGCGCGGGAACTTGGGCTTGGGCTTGCTGATCTTGATCAGACCGTTACCGTCGGGTCCAGTAGGCCCGCTCGGAATCTGGGGCTTTGCTGCTGGCCTATTAGGAATATTAGGTAAGCCGGCTTCGGGCGGTGCAGGAGCAGACAGCTGTGGTTTGGCAGGCTTGGACTTGGAAGGCCGTTTTTTCGTGTTGTTGAGCGACGAGTAGCTCATCGTGTCGAGTTTCTGTTTCTTTGGCCCGTGTGCTAATTCTGCCGCCTGCTGATCGCGTTTCTTAGCAGATTCCACTGGTGCCCTGGAATTATTCTTGGTGAACCCAGGACTGGCTTTGGTCACAAGACCTCGCTCGTACAGGTCTTCCACAAGGTGTCTCCAGGTCTTGTTCAAAGTCAGGGTCTGTTTGCTTCCGAGAACCCATAGCGACGACCGTGCTCTGGTCAAAGCCACGTTCATACGACGAACATCGGCCAAGAAACCAACTCCAGAGTTCTGTTCGCCAGCACGAACACAGGAGAATAGCACAATCACCTTCTCCTGACCTTGGAATCCATCCACTGTGTTGAAGTCGATCTCCTTCGTAATTGGGTACCCGTATTTCTGAATGAACACTTCTCTGAGACACCTGATCTGCTCTTTATACGGAGAAATAATACCAATCTTGCCCGACCAATTTTCGTCCGGGTACAGCCTGAACAAATCGGACACGATCTCCAAAGCTATCTTGGCCTCCTGGTAGTTGAACAGAGACTTTGTCTGTTCATTCTGGTGCTGGCTACCCTGGATATCAAAGAACCTATATGGCCCGTACTCTGTGATACTGTGCCATGGCTTGGCATTCATCTCTGCCATTCCCGGACCGTCGAGCAACTTGGAGTCGTAGAACTCCTTCGATGGGAACTTAGAAATCTCCGGATGCATACGGTACTGCATATTCAGCAAATACACCGAGTTGGAGTGGCTATTTTGCATTCTGACGAAAAGACTCTGTTCGTAGTTGAATTCGGCAGCCCGTTGTGATAAGACTGTTGGTGGAAGCTGGTTGGGGTCTCCAACCATGATACACTTTTTGGCTCCGTACCGCAGTGGAATAATAGCGCTGAGCTCAATACACTGCGCAGCCTCGTCAATCACAACAGTGTCAAAGGTGAACGACATCCCAGCAAGAACATCGTGCGCAGACCCAGAAAGCGTGGAACACACCACCTCTGCCGAGCTGAGAATTTTGTACTGTGCGTTCCTGCGCTCGATCTCTCTGTTTCTGTGTTTCACGGAGTTTTGCTCACGTAGTTCGTCGAGTCTTCTTCCCAGCTCCTTTCTCTTTTGGACCACCTCCTGCAATTTCATCTCCAGCTTGGCCACCTCGTCTGCAGAAAGCTCCTCACTGACCAGCTTATTTCTCAGATCGTCTCTCTCTTTGACACATTTGCGGTGTTCTTCACGGATCTTGGAGTCGTCAGACATGGTGTTGCCAGCACTGAGCTGGGCATCCACAAGCTCTTCCAATGTGGTGGACTTGACCTGAGCGTTCACCGCATCAGACCGTCCCAAACGAACAATGTTCGGTTTGTAGTTCTCTCCCTTGGCGTTCTTGATTCCGCCCATAAGACGCAAGACCAGCTCGTCCACTGCGGCGTTCGATGGGGCACAGATTAGAATCCGTCGTTTCGGAGACACTTTCTGCTCGCCAGGAACAGAAATCACATTGGTGTTGCCAGAAGTTAATGCATAACCAATAATACCCAAAATAGTTTTGGTCTTACCAGTTCCTGGTGGACCTTGGATCAAAGAGAAACCATCCTTGTGGACACTGCCAGCAATGGCCTTTGCCTGCGAGTCGTTGACTGCGTACATCTGTTTCATCTTTCCAACCAGAACAGGATCCACCTTCTCAACTGCCGACGGAACAGCTCCAATGATTTCTTTGCTCAAGTCATAATACTTTAGACCTTGCAACGAGGAGTATTCACGCTCAAGAGTCGTCATTTGAACAACTCGCATGCAAACAATCTCTGTAGCAGGGTTCAGGAAAGCTCTTAAGCTAGACTTTGTTGAGATTCGGATCGTGATATCAGAGAACCCGTTGTGGTTGTTCTTGATGTTCTTGACACGGCCAAAACAGGCATGCTTGCAACTGGCGAGCATCTTCCTGGTGATCTTGGATTCTCCTTCCAGGTTTTCAATAAACATTAACACCACAAGATCGCTGTCTCCAACGCACTTCTGCTCGGTGATCACTTCCCGTTTTGCTGATGCAAAGACATCAAAGAAGTTGTCAGTCACAGATCGCGAACCAATGGTGATCTTGAACGGAGTCTCTTGAGAAACCTGTTTGGCTCGTTGAATAGATTGCCAACATTCGAGCAATAAAAGCGGTCTGAATGTCCTTTGATAGTCCTCTGCATTCTGGAACGTGTTCTTGATGGCCGTGTATTTTTGCTGGTCGTCATCAGGATACTCGCTGTCTCGGAAGTACGACCAAGTCAGCAACTCATTGTACAGCGGGTTCATGTTGACATTCAAACGCAACCGCATCAATTCTTCGGCCTTCTTCTTCAAGTCAACGTTACGTGCAACCCCTGCTCCCCGAACAGTCATAGGCTTGCCTCTTGGCTGCAATGACTGCAAAGCAGCCTTGGTTTTCTTCAACTTTGCAACAACCTGTTCTCTAGTGAACAAAGAGTTTTCACTGTCACTTTCAGACTCGGAGCCAGAGGTATCCGATTCGGCAAGCCTGGTCTTCCTGTTGAATCCAGACGGTCTGGCTGGAGCTGGTTCCTGTCGACGTTTTTCAGAAAGTTGCAGTCTCGCCTGTTCGAGCATTGACAGACGCTTAGGGGCCGGAGGAGGTTCAGGAACGTATGGTTTGGACGACAAGAAGCTTGCCAGCGTTGATTGTTTGGCTGGCACCTTTGGTCTGGTTGTCGACTCTTCCTCAACAGGCGTGACAGATTTCGAGACTGGTTTGGCTGGTTCCAGACCTTTGCGGATACTTTCAGTCTCAGCAACTATTTGATCCACCAAGTCGCTGTTGAACTTCCGCACACGAACCAAAATCGCTCCTCTCTGCTCCTCAGATAGATTGTTGTTGAACTTCTTGGCCTTGGTGCATAACTTGGCCAGAATGGCTAATGAGGTTTGACCAAATTCGAGCTGTAGTTCATCCACCAGATCCAAAGAAGTCAATGTCAACTGAACACAGAGATATAGCAACGCGCTGTCGCTCAGTCTGAGCCAGTAAACTGTTCTTTCGAAGGCGTTCAAAACAGGCTGCATCAGACTCTGTTGAACGTTTTTGATTTGTTCCTCTGTCATGCCCGTAAATTGGATACACCCAACCATCATTTTGTACCCATCCACCATTGTTTGAGAGAGTTCCAAAACGTCTCTGGTAAAATCCATAAGCGTTCTTGTGATCTGCTCATTGTGCTGTGTATTTTGAACGTGCGCTTTAACCTTTTCGTATTCCTTCGACCAGTCAAAGGTCTTGACATATATCATGGTCAGGAACTTCCAGCATCTTTCCCAGAACTGAGCCAGTATGTTCCGCGTGGAGTTATTCAACTGCGATGGGTCGATCAGAACACCATCAATTGGATTCATCAGACATTGCACAATATCCATCAGCACTCTGACTCCTCTTTTGGAAGCATTGAACTGTTGCAACTTGGTCAAACTTCTAAATGCTTCTTTTGCTGCCTCCAAAGTCACAGCCAAGTCCAAATTGAACAATTCCTTGATGGCCTCGAGTCTTCCATCAACATCGAACGTCTCATATAGTAAACCAACTGCAGCGTCGTACATCTTTTCCTCACATGAACAAATACATTTCCATAGACCAATAGAGGCTGGCAGGTCTTGCAAAACTTCCTTTAAATGAGCTCCAGTGAAGAAATCGGACATCCTACTCAGTATTGCCTCCACAGAAGTAGAAAACATGGTGACATTTTTGTTTTGCTTGCTGCATGCTGCCACCAGCTCCCGCAACCTTTCGTCTGATGGGTTTTTGGAGCTTTTGAAGTTGATCTTCAAAAGAGTTATGTCAATGGAAAACACATAGCTGGCCTCATCTAAACTGTATAGCAGGTTTCTCGCGAAATCCGTGTCATGTGCAGACAATTTCCGAGAAACCAAAATCCAAAGATCCATGTTTAAAGTAGACATGGTGCTGGAATCGTATTTGGCCAGAAAATGGCTCGCTTGAGCCAGAGATGCAACATCGTACATCATTGAGGAAACAATCGCGGAGACAGCCTTGGCCTTTATTGCTGGGTTCGACATGGCGTCAAACAACGTGATGCTCTTTTTGTCTATTAAAGCCCGTGCATCGGACTTGCTGTATAGTTCGACAGTAAGCTTCACGTCAAACAAGGGGTTCTGCAACTTGATCTCGTCTGTTATGATGTCTGCACCCATGCACGCCAACAGAGAGCCATACTTTGGTCGCGAGATTTTGTCAATAAAGTATTTGAAGACAATACATGCTGTTTGGGTTTTCTGTGATGGGGTGACCGAACGGTAAAGAGGATAGATCCAGTTTATCAGATCCTCTAGTGCAGGTGTAGTGGAGCTTGGTTTATCGTTCTTCAGATCTAGAGTGTCCAGAAAACGCGTGTAATGAGGACTGTTGAACGAGACGTCAAAAAAATTGAGGTACGTGTGAGGCTGGACGAGTTCCCAAAAGCTGTTCTCGAGCTTGCCCAGAAACACTGAAAATGCACGCAGAAGAAACGGCAATGGGGCGTTCAAGTACGACATGATTTGGTTGATGAATATTTGTATGAGAGGAACCACTTTGAATGAAGCGGTTTTCTCGAATGCAGAAGCGGTATTAGGATAATTAAGAACCATGATCGATTGCTGGTTGCACTGTCTCAGAAAAGGGATGATGTTTGTCCAAAAGTTGATGCAGTTTTCCGCGTTGAAAAATGTTGGGTCTTGGATATTGAAGAAATGAATCTCGTACTCTTCCATGAACGAGGACGTAAAACTAGACGGTTTCAGGTTCTCCGAGATGCAAGACAAAGCCCAATCCCTTTGGTATTCGGATCCTTCAAACATAAAGTAAAGGATTCCAGCAAACACGTCGAGGTTTGGTTTGATGGATCTATGTTTAGTGACCTCCTCTAAAAGATGAGAACAAAGGGTCTTCAAGTTTTCGTTTGTTCTTAGCAGCTGAGGACAGATCAAACACTCGGTGATTGTATTGAGCACGTCTGTATCCTGTAGAAGGTCTTCGTCCCGAGTAAACTGAAGTTTTGAAAGACGATCCACCAAAGATTGGGCTTCCCACTGGAAAACTCTCTGAATCACGATGGAGATTTTATCGTATGGAAGGTTTCTCTTCAATAGCAGGTCGTTTCTCGCATTTGCTCTAGCCTCATGGAATCCAACAATGCACTTTGGACATCGATCAAGCGAGTTTCTCGTTTTCGATTTAATGTTGTCCAATATCTCTGAATCATCAAACGCTATGCAAATCACTAACAAGTAGCACGCGATCTGTGCAGACGTTTTGTCGCAAAAAAGATGTTCTTGCTCCAGAGACACAAAGTATTTGTAGCACTCGTTAAAGACATTCTGTTGGACCTCGTCGTCTGTCGGCTTCGTATGCGAATTCTCGATCAGTTCAACAAGATTAGACATGTCTCTTGGATCGTAATTTTTAAAAGCAAAAAAAAGTGGTTGAGTCCGCGACCTTTTTTTTTAATAAATAAACAATATGAGGTGAGTTTAAACGTTAACCCAACTAACGCAATTAGTGGACGGTTTGTTCGGGCATCCAAATTCAGACACGTTTTTGGACAACCTTTCAAGAAGGAGAAGTGTTATGAGAATTTGAAAGTGACCATTAGTGCTTTTGATAGTAACATCGTGAAATGCAACGGTAAATATATCAGTGTCAATGCCAATGGAATCGGGTCGTTCATAGTGATTCCTGTCGAGGAAGTCGGCAAAGCCCCAGATAAGGTGCCAATGTTCCGAGGCCATACTGGAGGATCCGTTATGGACACAGATTTCAATCCTTTTGATGAGAACAAGCTGGCATCTGCTGGAGAGGACGGGAAAATCTTACTTTGGGAAATTCCTGAAGACTACACTTTCACCAAGATTGATACCGACAAAATTGTCGATGTTGCGCCAGTGGCCGCTTTGACTGGTCATTCCCGTAAAGTCGGACACATTTTGTACCACCCGGTGGCCGAAAACGTTCTTGCTTCGTCCTCGTTCGACTACTCCATCAAGATCTGGAACCTGGACACACTGAAATGCGAAAAGACATTGCAACACAAGGACCTCGTGACAAGTTTTTCCTGGAACTTTGACGGAACCAAAATTGTCACTGCTTCTAGAGACAAGAAGCTCAGAGTTTGGGACGTCCAGACCGGAGAAATCATCTCTGAGGGACCAGGCCATACCGGAGCCAAGGTTTCCAGAGTTTGCTGGCTCGGAAACACAAATAGATTGGCCACCACTGGTTTTGATAGATACTCCGAAAGACAGCTGGGAGTCTGGAACGCGGATAAGATCGAAGACGGCCCAATTGGAGGATTCTACTCCGTGGACGCCTCTTCTGGTGTTTTGATGCCGTTCTTTGATCCATCTACCAACATTCTGTTTGTTGCCGGAAAGGGAGACGGAAATGTCAGATATTACGAGTACGAGAAGGACGAGCTGTACTTAATTTCCGAGTACCAGTCCACGTCTCCACAACGTGGCTACGCTGTTGGACCGAAGAAACACGTCAGTGTCAAGGACAACGAGATTGTTCGTGCGTACAAGTTGCTGAACGACAACTCGGTGGAGCCAATCTCGTACATTGTACCAAGACGGTCTGAGATGTTCCAGGAAGATATTTACCCTGATGCCCCTGCAGGCGTTCCTGCATTGAGCGCCGAGGAATTTTTTGCCGGTAAGAAGAGTGGTCCCGTGCTGGTGTCCATGAAGGATCTTTACGAGGGAGTCGACTCTCCAGCTACTACTGTGGACGAGACCGAGAGAAAGGTCGAGGAACAGACTGAGCAGCCTAAAAAAGAGGAGCCAAAGAAGGAGCCAAAGAAGGAGCCAAAGGAAGCGCCAAAGGAAGAGCCAAAACCTGAGGTTAAAGAGGAGCCAAAGGCCAAAGCGGTTGATTTTTCGTCCAATACTGGTACCATCGACGACCTGAAGAACCAGAAAGAGGTCACCTCTTTGCTGAACAAGGTGCACGACCTGTCGGACGACGACACCCAGGACGTTGATGGCGACGATGACGACGACTGGCAGCAGGTTCCTCGCGAGGTTGAGGCCAAGAAGGAGACCACTCCAGCCAAGGAAGAACCAAAGGTCGTGTCTGCTCCAGAGAAAAAAGAACAGCAGGAGACACCAAAGCCGGAAGAGTCTGTTAAGACCGTTGCCGAGAGCGAGACGCCTGTTGAGGAGAAAGAGGTGCCAAAGTCTGCTGTAACCGAAGAGCCAAAAAGTGTTCCTGCCTCAGCCGCCTCTGCAGGTTCTGCTGGTTCTGCTGCTGGACGTGCTGCTGGCGGTCTAAAGACTTCGATCGAGAAGCTGCAGACCCTGGTTACGAACCTGGAATCGGTCGTGGAGCAATTGCAGGCGTCCAACTTGGCCAAGGACAAAAAATTGGAATCTTTGGAAGAAAAGATCGACCAGTTATTGACTAAATCTATTTGATAGACGTTAATTGTTTGTATTTCGGAGTTCCTCGACTGTTGAAAAAAAATTAGAGAGATAAAGGACTTCCGAAGCGGCTTAGAGGCTATTCTTTTCTTTTGTTTTCCCACGTCGAATTTCTCCTGTATGGTGTAGTAGATCCAGGATATAAATACGGGGTGTTCCTCAGGAACTTGTGGTATTGATTGTAATTGCAATGACACAAGACGAAATTGTCACCTCGTTGGTCCACGGTGCTGCAGACACCACTCCTCTGCCAAAGCCTCCTCCATCCCACCTTGAGGGTAAAGGTATTTTTGACCTTTTCTCTATGAAGGGCAAGGTTTGTGTTGTTACTGGAGCTGCCAGAGAAAACGGAATTGGATACGCTGCTGCTCAGGCCTACTGTGAGGCCGGCTGTGATGTTCTTGTCATCTGGGACTACTCCGATGCCACAGAAACCGCAGAGAAGCTCGCCAAGCAATACGGTGTCAAGACAAAGGCTTACAGGGTCAACGTTGCCTCCTCGAAGAACGTCGAGGATACCGTTAACCAGGTCGTTGAGGACTTCGGCACCATCGACGTGTTTGTCGCCAACGCCGGTGTTGTTTGGGAAACCGGATCCATCCTCGACGACGTCAACAACGACGACAAGGACTGGCACAGAGTCATGGACGTCGACCTCAACGGTGTTTACTACTGCGCCAAGAACGTCGGAAAGGTGTTCAAGAAGAATAGAAAGGGCTCTTTGGTCATCACCGCCTCGATGTCCGGAATGATTGTCAACGTTCCTAACTACCAAATGCCATACAACGCTGCCAAGGCTGGATGTATCCACCTGACCAAGTCTCTTGGTGTGGAGTTCTCCTCCTTTGGTGCTAGAGTCAACTGTGTGTGTCCCGGCTATATGGATACCGGGCTCTCAGACTTCCTTGACAAGAAGATCTTGAACGCATGGTACCAGATGAGTCCTATGGGAAGACAGGGTGTGGCCAGAGAACTCGCTGGTGCTTACTTGTATCTTGCTTCCGACGCCGCAAGTTTCACCACCGGTGCTGCTCTGGTGTGTGACGGAGGATTCACGTTAACTTAGAGAATCCCAACATAATATAGTGATAATAATAATACGGCTGTGCAGACCATAAGAAATTAAATTTAACTCCACCATGGGTGATAAAGAAATGGCATTTGACCAGAATGCCAACCCGTACGAGAACATCACCGAGCGGCTGATCACTAAACGTGTTTCTGAGCTGGAGGCGTCAAAGGTGAAGTCGGCGTCTATCTATACGCTGGTTTTGCAACGGATAGCAAAGATACTAAGGGACGTGCCCCTCATCAAGCATTGCATTGGCCCGCCCGACGAGGTGACCGCACAGATCAATAAACTCATCGCACAGCAAAAGGCCGCCACCAGCTACAGAGAGTGGTACGACACAAGTGTCAAGCTCGACACGTTGATGGAAAAGGAGGCCTGGAAAAATGAGGACGATAGTCCTCTTTACGATTACCAATTAGTCCAGGTGAGACTGCAAGAGCTTCGAGACGCACGAATGAACAACGATTACTCGCGACTGTTGTATTTAATAAGAACAACCTGGTCGAGAAACATGGCCAACATGGATAACATCAATCTTTATAGACACTCTTTTGTTGGTACCAAGTTTCTCATCGAGGAGTACATTTCGGAGTGTCAACGGTGCTTGCAATGTCTCACATCGGAAAAATGTCCGCTTGATGATAAATACATTCTGGCCATGTTGATGCAGACGAGAAAGAACTACGGAAGAGTGGCCATTACCATGAGCGGCGGAAGTTGTTTCGGTATGCTGGGGATGGGTGTCTTCTCCACGCTTTTGGAGCTAGACCTGCTCCCCAAAATAGTGTCTGGGTCTAGCTCGGGCTCGATCTTGAGTTCTGTGATTTGCTCGAAAACGACTCCCGAACTTCTTGCCCTTTTGCAATCCATCACGTCGTCCAAGTTTGAGGTGTTTAGCAAAGACGACGAGCCGGACACTTTCCTGACTTGTTTGGGACGGCTGCTGAAGTACGGAACCTGGTTTGATAACTCGCACCTGAAGTCCACCATGCAGGAGATCCTTGGAGATTTGACGTTCCGTGGAGCTTACAATAGAACGGGCCGTATTCTGAACATCACCGTGTCGCCAGCCTCTGTTCACGAACAGCCGACTTTGCTCAACTATTTGACTGCCCCAAACGTTCTTATTTGGTCGGCAGTCTGTGCTAGCTGTTCTCTTCCGGGGATCTTCGCCTCGTCCGCCATCTACGAAAAGAACGTCAAGACCGGCGAGGTGCAAGAATGGTCCGACCCCATGGTCAAGTTTGTGGACGGCTCGGTCCACTCTGACCTCCCCATTAGAAGACTCTCCGAGATGTTCAACGTGAACCATGTGATTGCGTGCCAGGTGAACCCGCACGTTGTTCCGTTCCTCAAGATGTCTGTTCAATGTGTCGGCGGAGAGATCGAGAACGAGTACAGCGCAAAGCTCAAGCAGCTCTTTAACGGCACTTGCGAGCTTTTGTCGGCCGAGGCCATGCATTACCTGGAACTTTCTGCTGAACTCGGTCTTGCTACCAACTTCTCAACCAAGATGCGCCAGATTCTATCCCAGCCTTATTCGGGAGATATCACCATTCTGCCAGAAATCAGACTCACAGAGATGAACAAGCTGCTGGTCAACCCTACTCCGGAGTTTCTCCTAGATGCTTTGGTCAGAGGAGCCCGTGCTACGTGGCCAAAGGTGTCCATCATCAAGAACCACTGCTCATTGGAGTTCTCGCTCGACAAGGCCATTGCCAAGATCCGATCGCGGCTCATCTCGAATCCTTCACGACAGCTCGAGTTTTTGCCGGTTTCGCTGATTCAGCACGGAGAGCCTGTTTTTCAGGTCCAGGAGCAGAAACCACGCAGAAGACGCAGTCACCAGCGGCGCAGATCCGAATCGCTCACGCTTGGAGCCATGGCCGAACAGAGATTACGTTCGTCGATGGTTTACTCGTCTCATAAACCAGCAGCTACGTCTACACCACTCAAACGCAGAGTGTACCGCCACCCCTCGTTCCCCACGCTCAATATCCCGAAGACATCTCCGAGCACGCAGCCGTCACAGCCAGGGTCTCCGCAGTCGCTAAAAAACCGCGCCTCGTCTGTGAACCGCTCCAGTAGCTGGCTTGCTACGCCAGACTTCTCCGGGTCGCACAGAAACGGTTCGTCAAGAAACCTGCTTTCCGCGCCCGGGTCGTTCCACACGGCCAACGAGTCAGTTACTAGCCTCGCCCCAGAACAACAGATCGAAGATAACGTCAAGGATACCGCAAACGACACGCTATAACCTTGCAGCCACCATCCGCGCCGGTTCCGACCCTAATATTTTTTCACGGCTGTGCTTTACCAGTAGCTATCTAAAAATTCCCCTTTCCCGGGGACACGGCCAAAAGGATAGCCCTCAGTATAAAACCCAATCTCGCCCCCGAGTTTACCGAAATGAGTTTTCTTGTAACCTTCAGGCCCGCGTTCTTCAACTCGTGGGGAAAGGCGACTGCGGCCGCTCAGTCTCCCGTCAGGCGCACGTCGCTGGTCGAGAGCCTGCTACAATTGTACAAGAACCAGGCTGTGTTGCTATGTCTGGAGAACCCAATAGAGAACGACAAAATTAGAGGGTATTATCTTGATTTGGGCAAGAAGTACGAAGAGAGCCACGCGAGACTGGAACAGGCGTCCAAGATGGCCGAGTTCCGGTTTGTCAACTACTTGAAAGACGAACTGTATGTGCGTTCTGAAGAGCTGGCACAAATTGCTACCAAGCCGTCAAAAGACGACCTTTCCTGGTTGAAAGACCACTACACCCCGAAAATCCACTCGTTCCTGGAACGGTACCATTTTGAACGCATCGAAACAACATTCAAACTCAGCAACTACCTGCATAACGACTCGCTAGTGCAGACCATTGGTGCGCGCCAACTGGTCGACAACGCCTTAAAATACACCCAGGACGTGCTCCAACTGAACGACTACCCGGTTCCGCAGATCATCGTCAACTCGAGCTCGGACTCGGCACAGCTTCATTGTGTTGCTCCGCAAGTCCAGCACGTGCTATTCGAGATCCTCAAAAACTCCGCCATCCCGGCCCTTCGCACCAACACCCCCATCACACTCAACATATACCAAGACAACGGGTCCACGGTGATCAAGATCTCTGATCATGGCGGGGGAATGACGCCAGAAATTGCATACAAGATCTGGCAGTTCCACTTCACCACTGCCAAAGAACAGAATAAGGACGAGGTCAACGGGTTCGGAATGGGCATACCGCTGTGCGCACTGCTCACGAAATTCAACAAGGGCAAGCTCGACATCGTCAACCGACTTGGCGATGGAATCGACGTGCTTGTCAAGCTGCCTGTCGCGTGAAAAAACTTGGTGATGCACTCTGTATTTATCAGCTCTATAAAATTATAAATACATAACTCTGGTTCGCCTTTTCGCCAGGCGTTCCTCAGCGCTATTGGCCGTTTTTAGGTGGATAGCACCATCGTTCTCACACAACACCTTGTCCTGTAGAACGTAGTAGTCGTTGTTTATGGTGATTCCGCAAACAGAACACTTGAGGCAGTGCACATGGAACAGCTCGCCGTGTTCGTTCGACAGACACTCTCCCTCAATACCCGATCCACAGTAGGTACAGAGTGATCCGTTCTTCTCGTGAAAGTGGAGCTCGCAGTAAGGAGCGTCCTCGTGGACGTAGCACGACTCTCCCTTTTTGAACGGCTTGCTGCAGGTGTTACACGAAAAACACTTGCGGTGCCACTGGCCCGACAACTGCTGGTCCTTCGACCAGATGGACTTCTGGCCAGATGCTATAGGCAGTCCGCACTGTCTGCAAGGACCTTCGCCCGGGTTATATTTCACGACCGATTTTGGCTTCATTGGCGATACTTCGGGAGCAGCCACGTTCAACGGTTTCTCTGGCGATAGCACAGAGTTCGGGCTCGTTGTCCCAAGTCGAGACATTCTGTTGCTCATCTGCACAACGCTGTCGTCGTACTCGGTGTCCTCCTGGATGGTGGACATGTCGTTGTTTTCCTCCTTGGAGTTGTAGACCTTGAATTCGGGCGACTGCATGTTGTTGAGCCTGTGGATGTCCTGTGCATTGTAGATGGTTGGGCTAGTGCTCTCTGCCTGTCTGGAAGCCATGGATGGAATCTGAACATTACCGGAAGGAACAGCAGGAGTTGGCGAGAGCTCTTTACGCATGGACAGCAGCTGTGCAACGGAGTCTTCGCCCGTTTCGTACTTGGCATCGAACTCGTTGATCGACGAGCTGGCATCTTGGAAATCGTCCTCGGTGCTGGTAAACGAGGCCTTGGACCGAGGGGTGTCTGGGAGTCTTGGAGAAAGCTTAGAAGGAGTGGACGCAGTTGGAGGAGCACTTGCAGTGTCAAAAATGGGTTCGGAGTCGGGAGTCGGAGTTGTATCTGGACTGGCCGGGGTTGTGGTGATGGCCGGGGCGGCGATCTTGTTGCTAGGCCCCAAATCGGAAGACTGCGAAATTCCAGAAAATTGTTTCGAGTGTCTTGATGGACTAGCACTGTGGGATTTTGTTCCGTTGATGGCAGTTTGGGTCTGGTTGAGCCTGGAAAGGTCTGCCATCGATCCGTTGCGGCTGCTGTCCATCGAGTTCGTGCCGAGCTGGAATTTGGCCGGTCTTTGTGATTGGGCTGCTGGGAGCACCGCGCCAGCAGAAAAATTTCGGTTTTTTAGCTGTTCCAACTTGGTGTCGAGAGGGAGAGAGTTGGAGCTGAAATGGGCGTTATCCTGGTTCATTTTGCGCTGGATCTCCGAGTCCGACTCGTGCTGTTTCTGTGCAGCCAGGTTTCCTGGGGCTGTGAAGTTCCGATGGCCGTCGAACTTGGGGGTCTGTGCCTGATCAGGACGGTAAACGTCGAACCCAGCTCTTTCCATGACAGACTTGACGCGTTTTGTCGTCGTCAGCGGCGGAAATGCAGAGTGGAACCGAACCTGAGGACTACTGGACCTCATGAACGTAGGCAGAGACTTCAGCTCTGACGGTTTGAGATCCTGATAGCTCATGATGTAGTGACGGGTAAAAAAAAAACAAAAAAAACTATCTATATGTAAATACAAATTTCATCGTGGCGAGTATGCAAAACATTTTCGCTAAGCATTTTCCGAATCCAATTCAAGCACCAGAGAGTTTTGCTGTGTTTCGAACTTGCGACTCATCCGTTTGTAGATCACGTACGTCACAATGACAAACGCCACTGGGGCGATCACCATGTTGAGGATATCCACCAATTTCGTCTCGGTGGCCTCTCCGTCCTGGGCCAATTTCCGTAGCTGGTAGCCAACATATAAAGGCACCAAGAGTTTTGGCGAAGTCACGAATGTGGCCCCGGCAAATGTGCTGAACCCAAGCGTGGGGATTGCGGCTAGTGCCCCGTTGGACAAAGAGTACGGCAGGGGACACAGTCGCACCAGACACATGACACCGAAGTTCTGCCAATAGGTGGCCTCCTCGTCGTTGAGTGCAGACACGAAAACCCCGATCTTGGGCTCGTGGCGAATGCACCACTCCGAATACTCGCGCAGCCAGTTCTTGCAAACCAAGAACGACGCGCTCGAGCCGGCCAGAGTGGCAGATGTCAGCAATGGCCAGCCATGGAACCCGTAAACCATTCCACACAGCACCGACAAAAAGGAGTACCCAATCACCGGCGGGAACCCGACCACAAACACAAGCGCAAACAGTATCGCCTGGCCCTTGATCCCCCACCCGACCCACACGTCAGCCATGTCCACGGCCTTCTCCAGGATGCGTTTGTGGTAGATTACCGCAAATATGCCTGCAATTAGCCAGATCAGCGCAAATACGACGACCGCGATTTGCTTCACGAGCGACAGTTCCCGGTACCGGTCTCTGGTCTTTAGCAGCGTTGCACGGCCAAACTCGGCCGCAGCCTCAAACTCACGACGCAAATCCATCGCCAAGACGCTAACCTAACAAACTGCGGTCCACTTTATTTTGGTGCTGCACAGCCCGAAGGTGTGCGCGACTTGGCACAAATTATTTTCAGCCCCTGATCTAAAAAGGTAGCTGCTTAGATGGTTTCGAAAAAGCTGCAAAGGCTGGTTGGGTTCACAGTAGTGTGCCTACTGGGCTTCTATACGTCGTTATTTTGGTACGAATGGCACGCCAGCGACTCGGAGGTCGACCTGGTAGACTACGCACGATCTGCCGTGAGTGGTCTCCTTATTGCAAATCAAATTAAAGAACTCTACTTCAAAGGCGGTTTCAAAGAACCGCTCGGCGCAAAAGACATTAGAAACATGCTGCAGGAGGAAAACAGAAGATACTCGGAGGACAGAGAGATCGTGCTCAAGCAGACTGCCGATCGCACACGGTACCGGCCGATCCCTGTGGACTCGTCGGTCCAGAAGGTGTTTGCGCAATTCTCCAAGGTTCTCAACAAAAATAAGATGTTATTCCCTCACCCAGAACGTGGAATCACTCTCAACGGGAAACCGGTGATTTGGGAGACGCAATTCGAAGAGATCCCGTTCAACGTTCTTTCCGAAAATAAATTGCTGGATCTCATGTCGTTTGACGACGAGTTCCTCAACGACCTCACACGCAAGCACAAAAATGTGCTTGCCAGTCTTCCCAAGAAACCGGTCAACTTCTTCAAAGGCAAGGGCTATGTGATGTCCGGTGGAGGCTGGTACACGTGGTTTTCGTACTTGTCGATCATGGCTTTGCGAAAGACCGGGTCGGTGTTGCCTGTTGAGGTGATCCTACCTGAGGACGGTCACTATGAGCGCTTACTTTGTGACGAGATATTCCCCAATGAGCTGAATGCCAAATGTATCAAGCTGTCTGACGTGCTGGGCCAGGAGACACTTAACTCCTTGGGAGAACTCAAAGGATACCAATTTAAGTCGTTCTCGATGCTTGCCGGCTCGTTCGAGCACATGATGTATCTGGACTCGGACAACTTTGCTGTTTCCAATCCCGACCCATTGTTTGACTCTGACCTTTACCAGAAGTTCGAGATGATTACATGGCCCGACTTTTGGCGCAGAACAAGCTCGCCATTGCTATACAAAACTCTCGGGATCAAAGTGAGCAACTACCCAATCCGCCATCTGAACGACTTCTTCACGCCTGTGGAGAAGTATGTCTCCGACAAACAGATGATCGAGGTCGAAGACGAGCTCAACTTCCACGACAGGAAAGGTGCGCTCCCAGAGTGGACCTCTGAGAGCGGCCAGTTGCTGATTAACAAAAAGACGCACTTCAATACCCTCTTGCTTTCGCTTTACTACAACTTCAACGGTCCGGCCGGGTACCATCCTCTTCTCTCGCAAGGAGGAGCGGGCGAGGGTGACAAGGAGACCGTGGTGTTGGCAGCACACGTGCTCAAGAAGCCCAACTACCAGGTGTACAAAAAGCCTGACAAGTTGTACGGAACGTTCATCAAGAGCGCCAACTTTTTTGTCGACTCGACAATCGTCCAGTACGATCCTGTCATTGACTACGCTATCCTGAAGAATGCTCTTCAGAAGAACATCAAGAGCATGGAAGATCTGAAAGACTCGTATGTGTACAGCTACATGCACACGTTTGGCAGTATTCCATTTGATGAGAACCCTGGACGGCCGTTGTTCTACCACATTCACAACCCTAAGATGAATCCGTTCGAGTACGTTGACCGAGGCCTGTTCACCGACCCTAACGAGAAAGTCATCCGCAATTTCGGTAGAAACTACGCCCAAATCGGGTTCGACATCGAGTACTGGATCTGGGAGACCGTCACCAACACCTTGTGCGAGCGCAAGGTGGAATTCTTCTGTTTCCGCGACATGGACATGGCCAAAATCTGTGACAACCAAATGATCAGAGATAGATTGGAGTATTTGAAAACCACTGGAGAAGACGGTTTAAAGGATTATAAGCCATTTTCGTTCGATCCTGGTGAAACTGATCCCGAACTAGATTCGTTCATCTTGCAGAAGATCAAGGAAGGCTTGGATTACGACCGTATTAAATGACATAAATTTATAAATAAATCGATCTTAAATATACAGGATTAGGGTTGCAATTTTTTCAACGAGTCGATGGCCATGTGGCGCACTTCCAGATCGCCAACGGTGCGGAAGATGTTGGCAACGACGGCTTTCAGTTTGTATTTCGTGGCTGCCTCCGCGACAAGTTGGTGGTCTGGGAGATTGGCGAGGTTTTGAAGAATGTAGAATCCACGGAGCAGCTTATCAGAATCATCCGTATTGGCTATCAGTTCAAACAGATGGTCAATAAACAAGTTGGATGTGGAAAGCATGGTTGCAATCAAATCGAAGTCGCTGGAATTGGCCAAGATATTTAGCACGGCTAGTTGTGATTGTCCGTCTTCCAAATCCATCAGACGAATAAGAGTCTGAAAATTCTTGAAGTTTTCATCCTTCTCAGAGCTCCAATTGAAGAATTTCTCCATACATAGCGGCGTCATTATGAGATTTGCAAGCAGCTCCAACACAGAGCGTCTTATTTGGACGTTAGCGGAGAGCATCAGGTTCCCGATGGCTGGCCATCCTAATTTAACTGTGAGCAACTTTACATCCATTCCATCGACAGATGAAATGTTTATCAGCGCGATCAGTGCATTAAACAATTCAGGAGGATCAATTTCAACTTGAGATAATGGGCTTTCTGTTTTTGTTCCGTTCAGTTCAATGTCGTATTGTATCACCGGCTCCAACAAGAAAGGAACAGGCGTGACAATTTCGGATTTTGTGAACAAAGCGTTTGGGTTACTGCTCACTAGAATGTTGGCCAACGTGTTGATGGCCATCAGTCTTAGAGCCGGGTTGTCAATCGGTTTCTTGATGTGTAGTTTGTCTTTGTAATCGATATTCTGTGAGCTGTTAACCAGAAAAGTAATCACCGTGTGATAGCCACCCTGCTGAGCAAGCTTGGGTCTGGCCTGCTTGACTGTAGAGATATTATAAATCAGCTCAATCACTTTCTCCTGGACTCTGGTGGAAACAGATTTAAGACCGGTGATCTTGCCAATCTTTTGCGAATCCACAAGATACTCGATGAACCGCACCAACTGCGCTTCATCGTCTGGCTTTTTGTGCATATTTTTAAGTTGGCTCACCTGGTCTTTCTTAGGGATATTGGTTAAATTAGCAAGCACACTGACTACACCGTACGGATCAGACTCCAGATGTGTCATTAGCTTGCTAATCAACTGGTGGTTATCTCTCATTGAGCGATAGTTCAGCGACAAAAACGCGAGACCTTCGATTCCATTGGCGATATTCTCATCCAAAGCTTTGGTGAGTACTGTTTCGAGATCTGATAGCGACAAAGTTTTATGGTCGTTGAACGTTTCTTTCTTGACGTTATTCCATACCTTCAGGACCACAAGAGCAGCAGTTGAGCTGACTCGCAAGTTTGGTCTCTCCAACGCCCGAATCAGTGCCACCATGTACTGATCTGCAATTGGAGCACGGCAAAGCTCGTCGATACAAGCAGCCGAGAAGAGGTTCAGCAGATCGAGATACTTCGAGTCCTGCGCGGATCCATTGATAATGTCTGTGATGTCGGCGGTAATGTATCCGATGAGAGTCTTGTTTTGAAGAAACAGTTGATGACAAATGGTGGGGGCGATGGTGAACGAATGGGCCAGTATCTTTAACAAATGAGGTTTCGAGTCGATTTCCATCAAATCTTCTAGCGCGTCGGCAAACGTCTTGTCGTAATCAGGGCTTTGAACCGATTTAAGCAGGATTAAGATCGCCAACGCGTACGATTCCACATCGTCGTAACAAAGGAACCGGATCAGAAACGGAATCAGCCCGACCCCATCGAGCAAATGTCCACCCAATTGGGTGTACAAACGCTTGAGCGAGTCAACCGCGTTCTGCTCATCCTGCTCCCGACAATTATTGGCCTCCAAATTGTCCAATAACCGTTTTAGATCATTTTTCCACGTTTTCAGATCCATTGATTTCCCAGCTAAATAAAGTCGCAAATAATTTAGTAGCAAAAATCTGTCAATTGCAGGAACCCTTAAATCGTGGCCAGCGATTTGCAATTTAACAAACAAGCATAAAACGCCCACTCTCTTTAAGTTTAGCGCCTAAATACACAAGTGCTCCTTGTTCCAAAGCAACAATTCCAAGTCTCGTCCCTGTTGTGCTTCCCCATGGTTTAGCTGAAGAGTCTGCCAATTTATCAAACGGCTCTTTGTCTTTTTATACACTTTGAACCACGTAATAAAAAATCTTGGTACTATCGAAAACATGAAGAGCTTACTCCTTGTGTTGGCCTTTTGTTTCGAACTAGCAAATGCCTTCTACCTTCCCGGTGTGGCCCCCACGCCTTACAAGAAGGGTGATTCAATCCCATTGTTGGTGAATCACATAACGCCATCGATCAACCCCGAAGACAGTTCGGCAAAAACGTACCTTTATTCGTACGACTATAATTTCCCAAGATTCCATTTCTGCCAGCATCCAGATGGCCCAGAAAAGCAAAGCGAGTCTCTCGGCTCTGTGATCTTTGGTGACAGAATCTTCAATTCGCCATACGAGCTCAAAATGCTGGAAAACAAAACATGCATAACTTTGTGTTCGGATATTTACTCCAAGAGTGATGCTGCCTTTGTCAACAGAAACATCCGTGCAGGTTTCAAGCACAACTGGCTTATTGATGGGCTGCCGGCAGCCAGAAGAATGTTGGACGAGCAAACCCAAACCACTTTCTACAACTCTGGTTTCCACATTGGTTTCGTGGACGACGAGAATACTCCTCATCTTTACAACCACCACGACATCATCGTCGAATACCACAAGAGAAAGGAGGACGAGTACCGTGTTGTGGGTGTTATTGTCAACCCTAAGTCCATTAATCAAGGCTCTGATGTCAGCTGTGCTCCTCAGGAAGAGAATCCAGTCACTTTGAGCCAGGAAGGAGAAACTGGTGTCACATTCACCTACTCAGTCTATTTCGTCGAGTCTCCAACCGTCTGGGCAACTAGATGGGACAAATACTTGCACGTTTACGACCCTAAAATTCAATGGTTCTCGCTGGTCAACTTCTCCATTATTGTGGTCGCTTTGTCCATCATCATGTCGCACATTCTCATCAGAACTTTGAAGAACGACATTCAAAAATACAACGAGATCAATTTGGATGACGACGTGATCGACGAAATGGGATGGAAATTGGTTTACGGTGACGTTTTCAGACCTCCAAAGAACCCAATGCTTTTGTCGGTCCTTGTCGGTTCTGGTTTGCAATTGCTCCTGATGGCCTTGAGCACATGTGGATTTGCCCTGTTTGGTCTTCTTTCCCCATCAAACAGAGGTTCTCTTGCCACTTTGATGTTCATCTTGTATGCTGTCTTTGGATCTGTTGGTTCTTTTACTTCTGCATACATCTACAAGTTCTTCCAAGGTGAGGACTGGAAGACCAACATGATCTTGTCACCATTCTTGGTTCCAGGAGCACTGTTTGCATTCTTCATCTTCTTCAATTTCTTCCTGATCTTTGCCAACTCATCAGGAGCAGTTCCAATCGGTACCATGTTTGTGATTGTGTTGGTTTGGTTCATCATCAGTATCCCACTGTCTTGTGTTGGTTCTCTTCTTGGATTCAGACGCCAGGTCGTCAAGGTTCCTGTCAAGGTGAACCAAATTCCAAGACAAATCCCTAAACAATCTTGGTACCTGAAGACTTCTAACATGGCCTTGATTGCCGGTATCTTCCCATTCGGAGCAATTGCCATCGAGATGTACTTCATCTTCAACTCTCTGTGGTTCAACAGAATCTACTACATGTTTGGATTCCTGTTCTTCTGCTTCGTGCTCATGATCATCACAACTCTCCTCGTGACCCTTCTGCTCACCTACTACACCTTGTGCAACGAAAACTACAAGTGGCAATGGAGGTCTTTCTTCGTTGGCGCAGGTATCTCTATCTACGTGTTCTTGCATGCTCTGATTCTGTCGAAATTCAGACTTGGTGGCTTGACCTCTGTGGTTCTCTACGTTGGCTACTCCTTTGTCATTTCGCTTGTGATTGGACTTTTGTGTGGTTCCATTGGTTTCCTTGGTGTCATGGTGTTTGTTCTGAGAATCTACAGTCAAATCAAGGTCGACTGATCACTGGTCGTCAATCTCTGTATTGTAATTAGAAAATCACATCCTATTCTTTTTAAATCGCACTTATTACGTAAACGAAAACTGCTCCAGCTTTTCCTCGGGACCCGAGATGGGTTGAAAAAAATAATGTCAAATAACTAGTCAAATTGTAATGTCGGAAGAAAATCCAGTCGAGGTGGAAACTATTCAGCTTACAGTGAAGCTGCCGGATCCAATTAATCAGATAGGATTCCAGGTCAGCTCAACGGACGCTGTTCAGGACATCGCTCAGACTTTGAAGATCGTGAGCCCCACGCAGCATCATACTTCTTTTGTTCTATGTTCTTTGGAAGGACAGGTTCTGGACGATGAAACAATTATTGGAGATATTTCCAGCTCTGGTTCGGCCACTGTGGTGTTGAAGAACAGTCCATACACCGAGAAGAGTGCCAGAGAGCATTTGCAAAGAGTTCGAGAAATAGTTTCGTTGGATCTGCCGTTGTTCTACGGTTCGTTGAATGACATCAGCGGCGTTTCCTCGGGAGCTTCCACTTACAGCCAGCTTGATCTTGATCCAGTGACTCAGACCAAAGAGTCAGAAGATTCGGAAAACCAGGAGGTTCCAGATTCGGTCAAGAGGAACATCATCGACACTGTTGACTCCATATTGATCCAAAAACCAGTAGCAAACTCTGCCAACAAACCGCTGAAGCTGACTCCTGGTTTGCGTTCTTTGAACATTTCAGCATGGACCCCGCCATCTCCACAAAGAGTTCTGAAAGGTGATCTGCTCTACTTGCAATGTCAGACCCTAGAAGGTGAGAGTTTCCAGATCACAGCTCATGTTACGGGATTTTTCGTCAACAGCTCGTCTGTGTCGAAATTCGACGGATCCCCGCGGAAAGTCACATCTGCAAATGGTAAACACACCAGAACCTCCAGAGACCACTCGTTGTTGAGCTTGCTCAAGAGTCTTTCTCCAAAGCTCGTGGAACAGCTCGAAATTAATGCAAAAATCTTATCGGAGAATATCCAAGATACCTTCTCTGTTCCAACTAACTCTTTGCTCGACAATCCATGGTTGGTGAAGGAAGAGTCAACACAATACCCAGACATGGGTAGAATCCAGGAGAACTATATTCTTGGTGGTGCCGACGGAGCAGATCTTGCAAAGGACTGGAACGACGAATACCAGGGCAGCAGAGATTTGCCAAGGACCAACTTGGTTGAGATCATGGCTCGTGAGAGGCTGTTGAATAAGACCGGGTTCGACTTCACCGTGCAGGCCATCAAGGGAGCCATTTCCGTTGTCCATGGCGATGTTACCCCAATGAATCCCGGCGACGAGCCATCGCAGTTGGTGTACCTCAGAAACGGCATTTTCTACTCTCTGGGTGTTGATGCTGCAGGTGACTTTGAGCGTTCCGGCGGTGACGAGGCCGCTAGGGTGGCTGCTGTCAAGGATCTCAATGGAGTCCGACTCTTGAACAGACTCGACTTCAACGATGTTTTCCACTTGTGTACAGCCGTTGTTGACTACTGTGGACACCGTGTGATCTGTCAAACTCCAGTTCCCGGAATCTTCGAGGAACCTGTGTCTTCTGAGGAGGAGTCTGTTTCTAGAGTTATTTACGGTAGCTCTGAGGCCCGCACCCAACTTAATGGCGACCCAAAGATTGGTGAAAAATTCCAAAAGATTGCAGAGGCTTTCCATTTGAAGCCTCACAAGGCATGGACCGTGAATGGTGACCAGGTTCAGGACATTGTCGTCTCGATGGACACCAAGGGAATGAAGGGAACTGACGGAAGAGACTACATTATTGATCTCTACAGAACTACTCCGGTTGATATCGAGTTCATTGAGAAGCATTTCACTGGTGCTGACGATGCTTACCCACACAGAGAAGTTGTCATTCGCCATGAGGCTGTGGAGGAATGGTGGAGAAGAAGATTTTCTTTGGCCATCAAAGATAAGTCTGAATCGTTGGACAAAGAGACCAAGGAGTCTGAAAACGGCGAAAAGCCAACCTTGGGTGTCGACATGTCGGAATTGACTTTGAACCCAGATGCTTTCTGTTTGACTTCTGCTCCTACGCCAGAGCTTGCTGAAGAATTGCAAAGGGACGAGCAGAGAGTCAGAGAGGTTTCCAAGTTCGTGAGTGAAGTTCTGCTTCCTGAACTGGTTTCTGAGCTCGAGGTCTCCGAGGCGTACACTCCAATCGATGGTAAACACCTGACCAACATTTTACATCGTCATGGTGTCAACGTCAGATACCTGGGAGCCATGGCCCAACTGGTGGAGACCAGGAAAGATGTTGTGGCCAGAGAGGAGGAGGAAAGACTCGAGAGCCTGAAGGAGGAGACACTTATTGAGAAGACTGATGAGGAATCTGACGAACAGGAGGCGTCCAAGCTCGATGCCACTCCTGTTTTGAACGTTTTGGACGCACTTTACCGTGCCACTGTCCAGGAAATGATTGCCAGAGGTGTTAAGCATGTTCTCAGGAAAGTGTGCAGTTCTGTTCCTGTTACTCTTGTTCCTTACGTGATTGCTCATTTCCACAACTGTCTATTGGGTGTTGAGGGCAAGCTTGATATTGACGAGCTGCTTTTGGAGAGCTTGGGTCCTGTTGATATTCTAGAGTCCAGCAAAGACGAGGTCCGCTCACTGGTTTCCAAGGAGGTGTTCATTAGATACAGATACACTCTTCCAGAAGAATGGCCGGTGCAGCCATTATACCTGATGAAGGAGATTGCTCACAAGTTTGGCATTCAATGGAAGGACAGACGGTACGCGTTCAGTAAGGAAGAGTTTGTGCAAGAGAACAGCAAGAAGGCTGCAACCAAGCCGCAAACTACATTCACCTCGGAAGACGTTATTGCTATCGTGCCGGTTGTCAAGGACTCGATCTACAACTCTTCCACTGCAGATGAGATCTGGGAAGCTGGACGTGCCAGACTAAAGAAAGGCGAGCCAGAGGGACTTCAGTTGTTGAACGAGTCGATTGAGGTTTACGAGCAAGTTTACGGGGCTATTCATCCGGAAACTGCCACTATCTACGGACAGCTCGGACAGATCTGTGTCGACAAGGATATGGGTGTTCAAGCTTGTGAACTGTCCCGTAAGTCTTTTAGAATTCTTGAAAGAACGCGGGGAATTGACTCTTCTGACTCTATCCTTGCGCTGACCCGGATGGCTCTTGTCGAGGCTTCGCATGGCGAGCACCTAAATGCCATCAAGCTTCATGGTCGAATTCTCAAGTACTGGTTGACGTACTTTGGAGAGTCGCACATCAACGTTATTTCCGGACTGTCTGCCATTGCAATGATTCTGCAAAACGTCCAACTGCACTCGCAGGCGGTTGATGTGTTTAGCAAGGCTGTTGAGCTCAGTGACAAGTACGTTGGAGCAGAGACGCAGATGTCTGGTCTGTTGCGGTTCCAGCTCGGTCAATCTCTAGTGTCCTTGAAGCGGTTCGTTCTTGCTGGCGAGCAATTGGAGAAAGCGTCTGCAATTTTCCGTACCACGCTCGGAGTCAACGACAGAAGCACTCGCGAGGCCTCGAAATGGTCTGCCCAGCTGAAGGAGTACATCTCTGTGATGCAGAAGCAAGGAAAACAGGCAAAGTCGCTGGAAGCACAGATGGCCAAGAAGGCCCACAAGACTCCGCTTCCGTCCAAGAAGAAGTCTGTCACTCCAAATCCGGAGATTGCAGAAAAGTCTGTTGACGAGATCATGAGGTTTATCGAGGGCCAGCCTAAAAAGTCCAAGAAGAAGTCCAAGAAATAGATACTTGTATATACCACAGACATTGTAAATAGAGTTTTCTAACTTTACAGGAAATTACTTACTCTTCGATGTCGCCGTGCTCCCAACATCCTTTGTGCTGGGCCTTTGCTTTGGATTCGAGCTTGAGCAGAGCCTCCTGCTCTGTTTTCAACAGCTTCTCGAACTCACTTAGCTCTTTCTTCACGATACCCAGTCCGTTCGAAACGAGCTCCTTGTTGATGGTCCATTGCGGGTCGTTGGCAATTGTCTCCGGGTCGTACAGCTCCACGTCCATCTCGATTCCTGAAACAGGGTTGTGGAACGTCTCGCAGGCAACCAGCTGTTTGTCCAGAATCAGGTCTTCCAGGAAATACACAGCGTCCTGATGGTAATCGATAGGATGCTGTGGGGGAAGCTTCACCAACGACAGCTGTGCAAGGTGTGCTTGTGGCTTCAGCACGCTGGTTGCAAAAGTGGGTGGCAGCTCGCGCAGGTCGGAAAAGGCAACGGTTTCTGTGTTTCCGTAGTCAATGTGACGGACTTTGTACTTATTAAGCTGGCGGTCAACGGTTTCCACAACGACTCTGTAGAACTTGCCGTTCTCAGAGAATTTGGCTGCAAGAACAGCTCCAGCCTTTGGAGCTTTAGCCAGAGTTTTGAACCCGGACGAAGCAGCATGGAACTGTTTCATGAACGGAGAGAGCTTTTTCTGCTCCTCGTTGAGAATATGGAAACTGATACCGTCGTAAACGTCGGTGATCAGCACATCGTAATACTTTCTGTCGATGCTGAGCTTCGAAAACTGTTGGACAGGCGCCTCCTCCTGAGTGTAATTTGCCCAAAGTCCAACTTTCTTAGCCCGGGCCTCTTCCTCTGCCTGCAAGAACTGAGACTCGAACTTGGTTTGTGCCAGTGATCTGTCGTGGCACTCAGCAAATCCCTGTTGCAACAACGACACCTGGAAAGGCACATTGGAGTTGGCCAAATATAGGTTACCAATGAAACCTCCAAACTTGTCAACGTTGTAGATATCCACATGGACGTCTCTTTGATAAGCCTTCTTGGAGGTGTACAACAACGCTTTCTCAGAAAGTTCGTTGTCTCCCTTGGTATTGGCCAATCCACCAAGAACAAGCGTTAGCTTGAACCCTTCACGAGGCACAGAAACTTTGAATCTGTTGGAAGCGCTCACATGCTCCACGATTCCTGGAATCTTGGTCCGGTTCTGGAGAGAAAATAAATATGGCTTTGCTCTGACTGCAGATTCGGAAGCATCCACAATTCTATCTGGCTCTGGAGCCTTACCATGGAGTCCCTTCTTGGCCTTGATGGCCTGAGACTCGCTCTCGATCAAGGAGTCCCAGTACTCAGGCTTCTCGTCTCCCTTGTGTTTCAGGACAGTGGCATATCCACTCGAAACAACCAGATCAGATAAGTTTTTTCCGTCGCTGAAAAACACGCTCACCAAAGCACGCTCGTCCAGCTGTTCGGTCTTCGGTCTGACGGACTCGACAACAACCTTGACCTGTTTTCCGATGGCCTTGGAACGAACAAACTCTCTCGCAGCTGCAACAAACGGAGCAGACTCTGGATCAGATTGTCTTGGTCCTCTCAAGAAAGCCAATTGCACAGTGGTCTCCGTATCGTCCTTCAGTCTGATCACAAGGGTGTCCGCAGAGATCACTCTGGCGACCGTTCCGTTGAAACTCTTGCTAGTTGCGTCCGAGTTGAACTCTTCGTTTTTCCACAAGTTCTTCTTTGCTGTCTTGGCAAGACGCTCGCACTTTCTCAGCTCGGACATTTCGTTGGCACCAACCAAGCTAGATTGCCAGTCGCAGACCTCCGCCAGACCGTCCTCGAGGATCTTCTTGGAAATGTTTCCAGCAGGGTGGATGACCTCTGCCACCGAAATTCCCGTGGAAGACTCGCCCAAAATGCTGATCTTGACATTGCGAGCCAATAATCTGGTTTCCACATAGATTTTGGCCTGTTCCCCAAACGGCTCGGCAGGCTGGTCTGAGAACGCAGTCCGAGGCGACTTAACACCGGCGATCAGAACAGAAAGCACAACGTGTTTGGACTTGGAAAGGATCACACGGACCATCAATCTGTCTCCGCTTAAAACTCTCTCCACAATTGCGTCCAATGGGGTGGACCGGGACTTTTCCTTCTGAGAAGCGGTCAATTCGTTGGAAATCTCAAGAGATGCGAGCTTTGGGTTCCATAGACCCAGCTCCTGCTTGCGAGCTCTGGCCTCGATTGGTTGCAACTTGACAGTTGGCTCGTCATCGAAAATGCCCGGTCTCAGCTTGACAGCTCCTTTTTCCAACAAATACGAGATCAGCGATGGGAACAAAGGAGTCGACAAGTCTCCAAACTCCTTGCCTGACTGGCTGGTGTACAAGACCCAGAATTTGATCTCCTTTCCAATTAATAAAGTTCGAAGCAGCTCTCTCGCCTCAAAAGCGTACTTCTCTCCCGAACTCAATTTCGGGCTCTGGACGTACCCCAAGGTCAAGGTGCGCTCCGCATTGGACCCCTTCAGGGGAACCAGCACAAGAGTATCGGCAGAAAGAACGTTCTTCACACGTGCTCCAAACACAGTCGACATATTATCGATAATAATTTTTCATGGCGCACCTGTTTTTCGGCAAGATTCACGGCTGTGCATCGATACCTAAGCTTTTCTTCAAGCCCAATAAAAGACCGTCATCTCGATGTAGCCAGCGCGATACCTCTGGGTCTTGCAGCTGTTCGATCTCTTGCTCGATGCTTTCGACCAGAATTTTTGTTTGGGTGGGTTTTGAAACAGGGTCGAGCTCTCTGGCAGCAAGGATCAGCCACAGTATGGACTTTCTATATCTGGTATGACCGAACGAAGCCAGGTCGGGAATTTTGAGTTTCATTGGATTCTCTTGCTCGTAGTAGGACTCCTTTGCTGGAGCGGATACGCGTCTCTCTGGCTTGTTGTATGTGTAGTATATGCATGCCAATCTCTCCATCAACACGGCAGTTGACGTGCTTTCCAGTAACTGCGAATCGATCAGTTTGATAAACAGCTTGATGGCCTCGTCGTAGTACAGTTGACACGCCGAGCTCGACGATTGTCCATGCAGTGCCGACGATTGTCCAAGAACGACAAAAAGCTCGGCAATCACAATCACCAGCCGTATGCTGTATGTCTTCAAATTGAATCGAGACAGATAAGAGTAGTACGAGGAATCAACCATAGGGTTGATAACCTCCGATATCATTTTCCCTGTGATTCCATTTGTGTTGGTAGCAGCCGTAGACTTATCTAACGGATTAACTTTGTTGCTTGCTCCGATTAACAGAGAAACTATCATGAATTCTTGCAACGATGCCAAATAATTGTATGCCTTGTCGGTGAGGAAATCTTTTTTCAGTAACTCGTAAGTGGTGTAAGAGCTTTTGTAGTCACGGATCATGAAGCTCCAGTCGGCCAGTCTTCTTATTTGCATTTCTGGAGCAGATGCGCTATAGTAGCCTTCCCTCTTGTTGAAAGAAGATCCACTTGGTTCTGGAGCAGCATCTTGTACTTTCTCACTTCCATTCCCGCCAAACGAGAAAAACGACTTTTTGGAGTTTCCACCTCCCCATTTCTTTCCGGCGTTGAACAGTCGTCCGGTAAAACTCTTCCGAGGAACAACCAGCTCTTCGGTCCATAACCTTATGTTTTTCTCCATGTATGGTAGTAGCTGTTTGTAAAGAATATCTATGATCTGCTCATTAAACGTTTCGTGAATCTGTGCAGGAATCTCTCTCTGGATAGATCCTGTTCGGTTCAGTTCTTCGCCCAACTGGGCAAATAATGGCTTCTGCACCTCCACCTTGTCTTCTGACTGGTCTAATGGAACAATTACGCTTTTCGTGCCCATTTGCAGCTTCAACTCCTCTTGCAACCTGAGTCCCTCTTGTAAGGTTTTCTCGGGATCAACAACGATCAGGACCAACTCCAGCATCGTCTCGACATCCAGCCATCCTGGATAAACGGCTTTTTTCCACCCGTTCAAAGTTTCATTCACATCCTCAAGAGAATCTGTTCCCGAAACTACATACAGCTGCATGACGGGATGGTTGAAAAACTCGAACGGCGAGATTGTTGTCGAGGAAATGGATTTTGTGAGCAGCTTGTAATAAATTGAATCCCGGGCGACTTTGGTTTCCTGTTGATTTTGGCTGGAAATTATCACCGAATCGACATCCTTGATATGATCGTTTATAAAAGGATTCAAGGCGCCCAAATTATACAGCTCTGTGACGGGAAAAGATTGACTTATTGACTCCGATGAGTTCAATAGCCCACTACCGCCCACACTGAGTCGTCTAACCTCTAATAATGACTCCTGATCGCGCAACTGTTCCGAAATGGGGCTGACAAACCGCACTGTCAGCTTGGAAGAAGAACGATATTGTGAAGTTATTCCGGTATCCTGTTCTATCAATGGTTGTTCAAAGCACCTCAAGAACTCAAGAAAGTTGACAAACCCCAACTCAGAAGCCACAGAGTCGGACTTTCTCGTTGAAACAACACTGATCTTTGGACAGAAGTTCTGCACAATCACCTGCTTACAAACCAGCGAGGGCACTCCTTTGGTATCTGGTCCAACAAGCTCGTACACAGACTCATTATATGGCGATTTCAACCCAAAGTCGACGTTCGCTGGCTTCTCCGACATGGGCCCAAATCACTAGTTTAACGATTAAATTTATTATTATTTCCTAGTTTTTATTCCGACACGACAATCAACGATCGGTGTCTATGCAATTAATATACAATTTACGAAACCTTGGCCTTGTCCATGTTGTTGATGACCTCGTTAGGCGGAACAGCCTGCACCATTTTGTCCTCCCCGACTCTGGATTGGAGTGGTGCGGACCGCGTGCTTCTGTTGGTCACGTAGTAAAGACCTGCTCCCGCCGCTGTTAAAAGTAGCATGGTACCAACAGACAGTGCCAGTCCGACACCAGCCACTTGGCCGGTAGTCAGATGTTGCTTATTTGGTGATTTTCTCGGAGACGATGATGAAGTTGGGCTGCTCGTTGGAGTACTCGTCGTGGTGGTGTTGGTTTTGGTGGTGTTGGTAGCATAATTGATGGCGGTGAAACTTTTGACCAATCCGGTAACATTTGCATTTGAGGAATTGAGGCTTTGACCGGAGATAACCAATGGCGTCCATGAGTGTCCGTTGTACGCAGCTACATGCGCTTTTCCAAACTCCGACGAAAGCAATTCCCCAGAAACCAGAAGAACTTGTTTGTTAAGGAAAGACGACGAGGAGTTCACCAGCTCGATATCCGAGAACGAGCTATTGCTTTCAAAGTCAGTGTCCAGACTCTTGTAGGAGGAGCCATTCACATATCCGAGGGATGTTGGCGACATGACCACAATTGGATCCTGCAGTGTCTTTCCTGCAACTGCAAATCTCTGAATGTTATTTGGTAGCTGAACGTTGTCCAGACGATCTGCAGGCTCGACAGACGTGCTGTTGAGATTTAACACTGCAAATGAGGAGTTTGAAAAGCTTCCACTAGCCAGAATCTGCAGTGTGTCCAAGTATTGAAGATGCGTCACCTCGCCAGAAACTGGATTCTTCGGCTTGGAGAAGGTTTTATTCCCCGGACTAAAGAAACAGAGATAGTCGCAATCGTCAGACGTGAAATTTCCTCCAACCACTATGCTGTTGTCCTTAGGGTTTGCACTTAGCGCGAGAATCTTCCCATTCAGCTTGGATGGTAAGAAGTAGGTAGACTTGGAAGTGAGGTTGTATCCCAAAAGGCCGCTACCAGAGGAACCGTTGATGGTAGCAGTTCCGTCAAAAGCTGCTAGAATCAGATCTTTGTAGCTGTAAATCAGTCTCACTGCCGAGTCGTTGCTAAAGTCAATGTCTGGGGTTGAGCCGTTGACAAATACCAAATTATCCTTACCATCAGTGGTTGTGAATTTTCCTCCAAGAATTAGACTCTTATTCACATACAATCCGGAGTGAACGTTTCCTGATTTGATGATATCCACTCCGGCAAACGTTCCATTTCCAATCTGTGCAATGTCAATGGCCTGAGAGTCGTACTTGACGATTTCTCCAACAGCGTATGTGACGTCGTTTTGCTCTGCTGTTTTCGAGATATTGAACTCAGCAAGATCAAAAGTCCTCCAGCTATGAGTGGTGTAATCATACACCGAGGTGTTTCCTTGTGAGCTCACCGAAACATATTGAGAAGAGTTGTATGCAAATGACGAAGCAGTGAAAGGATGGCTGAAAGTTTCCAGTTCATGGAACGATCCGTTGTACAAGTCCAAACTGTCGTCGTCTGCAACCACCAGCGAGATATTTGACAGTGCAATCAACTGGGAAATTGGTTGCTCATTATCGGTGATATCCTTGAATTCAACATCGTCAAGGTCCACACCAACGAAGTTGTCTCCGTAGTCAGAAGAGAAATCTCCTGCAATGTACAAAGTCGAGTTCACGATATCCAGTCCGGTGATGTTGGCGTTCTCTGTAAGGTTGCTTCCAATCATGTCAATTGAAGAGTCTCCAAACGGACCTTTAGATCCAGGATGGTACTCAAAGAGGCCATTAAGTTTCACTTTGTTGGTCTGCTTCACTTCAAGACTCACAAATTGGATATAAACAGACTGCGAAACGAGTGTCACCTCGTCGCTATAAAGTGCAGATTCCAAAGCCACGCGAAGGTATGGCTGAGAGCCGGACTCCATGTCAACGTATCCTGAGTAGATTATGTCATACTTCATCTCATTGTTGGTTTGGTAAATGGATTTTGTGCTCAGCATACCAGTACCATCATAAAAGGAAGCATTCACCACGCCACGCGAATCGCAGGTGTTATCTTCCAGACACCCTGGCGTGTAGAGATACACCATGTACTCGCCCGAATACGTGATATTGAGATCGTACTGGGTACCTTGTCCATCAATGTCCGAGGATGAAACAGTGGTTGTTAAATAGCCATCTGAAGATTTCCAGTCCGCATCTCCGAGTGACGAGGCAGACGAGTAGCTTCCGGTAGAAGAACATGTAGGTTCGTTCAAGCTGTTATTGGCGTAGATGGTGGTTCCGTATTGGAAAAGCTCCAAACCAGCGAGTCCTGCTTGATTACCGTAATTGTCCAGCACTTGAACAGAGATCTGATCAACCTGGATCCCATTAACAAACACAAATTCCTGGTAGTTCGCGCCGAATCCTACCCATCCAGCAGATACATTGCTCTCTGTGGTGTAGGAATTATCCTGGATCTCACCAACATGGTCGCTCAAAGATGATGAGAGGTTGCTATTAGGGAGCAGCGGACACCAGGCGTCACAATAGCTCGTTTCAAGACTCTGCGGGTCGATATACGACAAGTTCATGATTCCGTTTGCCGGACTCGTTGTGATTCTGAATAAACTGACTCCGTCGTCGCCCGGCAAGTTGTACAGTCTTATCTTTGATGGTTGCACAGAATTTGGTAGCTCGGCCGACCAGGTATCGTGTTTCTGCGCGAGCCATTCGCTGGACTCGGACGGACAGACTATGCTATTTGGGTCTGAGTCTGAAGAGCTTGAGATCTGCGCGTATTTCAAGCTGATCAATTGGTCAGGGTCCACTATAGTGGAGTTTGTGCTATTGGTACTGAGTAAGCGAGAGTTTCCAATGGAATCGAACTGTCCACCAAAGATGATGCTGTTGTTGTTGCTATGTATTATGCTGTTGACTGTTCCGTTGAGTCCTTCAAAGGGAGTGTTTGATAATGTGTTGTTCGACCGGTTGTAGACCACAACACCAGTGTAGTTATTGTAGGAGAGATCACCTCCAAGATAGATGAGATTGTCGTCCAAAAGAACACTGTTCACTGTTCCTTCAACGTCTTCCCAATTTTCAAGTTCTGTTGTATTTTTAGAGTCCACGTTGTAAATGTACGGCTGACCGTCCTCCAAGTAGATAAACGAGCTGTTGTCTAAACTAAAGACATTGGATGCATCTGTGTTCTTCAACTCAACGATCGAGTCATTGTGAGCACTCAAGGCCCATATACCACGGTTTCCCGTTGTCAAATTGTACTTGGTCACATCAGAATAGTTGGATATCGAATCAAATTGGCCGTAGAAAAACACAGGCTCCAAGATTGAAGGCTGATCCAATGGAGTGGTGTCAAAAACCGCTCCGTAGGACGCTTGCATCCATTGGAGCATCTGGGGAATTAGCAGGTGGGAAAGTCTCATGGAGAAAGTCATTCCCTGTGGCCAGGATCTTTTTCTTTGGATTGTATTGCAGAATATCTGGAAATTTTCAATACCTCGTTTTTATATTTCCCAAAGCGGTAAACAGTAAACATAAAACGGTTTACGGTTGCATGCAATAATTTTTCTGACGGAGCAGAGCATTAATCAGTAGAGATACGTAGGTACAATATTTGTGGCACCGTATGCATCTGTAGTGGTCTTTGGCCGCGTTCTAGGCAATGTCGATCTTGCAAATTTCTCCTGTATATTCAACCTGGGGCCAAAACTTGCTACATTTTAGCACCGTGGCGCAGTGGAAGCGCGCAGGGCTCATAACCCTGATGTCGTTGGATCGAAACCAACCGGTGCTACATTTTTTTACAAGCTTCGATATGGCTGCATAAAGAGCAATCGTGCAGTGACGTGAAACAATACTGCATGGGTGCAACGCGATCCATCGGACATCAAGATAAAGCCCCTGCGCAAGCAAACCTATTTTTTTAAGGTCGGATCTCCGCTGGCCCCACTGCTAAGAATTGGGAGGTTATTATGTGGGGTGATAATTGCTTTAAAGTTTTAAAAGTACAGCAGTCCCCAGACTTTCCCCTTACTTCAAAATGAGACGATGCTCTTTGATGATATCTGAGCCTGATCGCAAAATCAAGCAAGATTGCGAGAGGCAGCTGGTGGATCCAGTTACTTATAATCCAGGCAGCGTTCCTTTGGTAGGTTCTCTGGTATACTATAGGAGACGCAAAACGTGGTGTCCCAAGACCAGCGACATATCTGAGACAACGCACAAGTTGGTCCAGAGAAAGTCCAAATCATACCCTAACTTATCTTCAAAAGCAGAATCGCGAGAGGAAGCAGTAATCGGCGGTCGGGGTGAGTTGCAACCAAATATACCAGACCGGTCATGTCCAACCAGTGATACCGAATCGGACATGGATACCCTCATAAGTAAGCCTACTGCCACGGAAGATGACTCCTTCAGCCAATTGGAAGACTGTGTTGACCATCAACGTCGCAGATCATCCGGCTGGGTCGATAATCAGGAGTACTCGAACTCCATCCCAGCACAACAAGTCCGTTCTTCAAAACACCAGCGCCGTCTGACGTGTGCGGTCATGTTCACCAAACCCAGACTTCTGGAGATTTGAGATGTTATACCTAATTCATTTCTAGCTTTAAAGCTTCACCATTCTATCGGCTTGAACGCATGTAGAAAAAAACCAGGCTGTGTCTGCCCAAAAAAAATTATTGTCGTACGCGTAACTTGATCATGGAGTCGAAGCGGCCAGTGCTGGCGCGAAAACGAACCGCGGCTCTTGCTAGCGACGAGGACATGGCTACCGACGATGATACCGCCCAGACGGTGCGTTTTTCTGGGTTTTCAAAGATGCGGGCCGACTCGAGCACGTCCGATATGATTCCTTTCTCTAGTTCGTCGTTTATGCATTCCTTCGACCGACAGCCAGGGACCAGTTCGCCGTTCCTGCAGCCGGTGAGAGACTTTGATTTTGAGAATTCGCAAATTGACGCGATTCCTTCTTCGCCGCCGATTATCTCGCAATCGCAGGCCACATTGGTGGACAGTCCGCCTAAATTGTCATTTGCAAGATCAACATCGTCACTGACAACGGAGCCCAACCGGAAGCGTCAGCGTGTTTTTGAAGATACCGAGGAGCTTGCTCTCGACCGCGACGGAAGAGTTTTCGGCGTTCTGCTCCCAGATGCAACATTTCCCGAAGGATACCGGCCCAGCTTGTATGATGATCCAACGTTTTTCGTGGTGCGAAACCCAGACCCGTCCAGCAAGGCCGCCGCAGAGATCATCACCAAACTGTTCGACCAGGATATTGACTACACCAGCAGGGTGTATACGCTCGAGCTCGAAGAACTCGGACTGAATTCTTTACCGCGACAGATCTCCGACTTTAAAGATCTGGTTCTATATGGTCCGACTGGAATAATCAAGCCCATTTTGCATATCCACGCGGCAAAGAACCAGCTCCGTTCGTTGACCCCAAAAATCTTCGATATCGAGGGACTCGAGGTCCTTTCCTTGCGCGGGAACAAAATTGCAAGAGTTCCGGGACTCATTGAGAGATCAACCAACTTGAAAAGTCTCAATCTCTCAAACAACAAACTCAAATTTCTTCCTCCCAACATTCTGAAACTGAACAGTCTTCAGACGCTTCGAGTCAGGCCCAATCCGCTGATTGAGTGGAACACAAGCGACAATGTTCGGTCAGTCAATGGAAATAGTATGGAGAAAGACGGGCCAGTGCTAAAATATCTGGGCCAACTTCACTGGATATCCAAGAACAAACAGGTCAGTAAAGCTGCCTTGAACGCTATTAAGCTGGCCAGAAACCTGTCCACATTGCAGGATACAGATCTTTCTTCAATGAACTCGGAGCAATCGCATCTAATGGGGAAATATCAATGGACGCCAACGCTCACAGAGCTGGCGTTGCGCAAAATCTCGGACTACCTGATTTCGCAGGCGGAATTACTCAAATGGAAAGAGACGGTGCATGAGCGTGTGTACCGATTGGCAATCAAGGCCTTGATCCATGGCAATAATGGAGAGACCTGTGGATATTGCAACCACACATGCATAGAAAGCGTGGCTGAACTGATGGAGTGGTGGGACTTCAAGGACGCGATTGAGATTCCCATCAAGCGCAAGTTCTGTTGTAAGCGGTGCGCAGTCTGTTATTGGGATAAAGTAAAGGTGTATATTTCGTAATCACTCATTCACACCCAGACTCGGATTGTATCGTCGGCGGAAACGCTGGCCAAGTAGCACCGGATGCCGTTATCAAGAAGCTTGCGGTTGGCCAGTTTATCTTCGAGATGAACGTGTTCTGTTATCACAGGTGGAGCAAACTTGATGGCATTGACGAAGTTCTCGTGGCCCTTGAGCTGCGAAACAAGGTTCAGTTGCTGCTTAGTAGCCAGCGTTCTCAGGTCCCATATTTTGATGAGTTTGTCATCGGCACAGGATGCAAGGTAGTATCCGTTAGGGTGCATTGAAAACGAACGGATCCAAGAACTGTGTGCTTTGGACTCATACACCAGCGTTGCCTTAGGATTAGAAGCAGGACCAGGTCGATCTGGGTTGGCAAGGTCTGGTGGACTCAAAAGCCATATTTTCATCATACAATCTCTCCCTCCGCTGACACAGTACTTGTAGCCAACGGTGTTGTATATCTCGTCACTTATGCCAACCAGGGGATCCAGGTATTCGTTTGCTTCCATCGGTAAGAAAATGGCATCTTCCACCACCTGTTCATGACCCAAACACAACGAGATACCTGCTCCCGTGTCGTAATGCGTCAGTCTCACCGATTGGTCGTTAGAGCAGCTAAGAATGTACTGTCCTGTTGCGTTCACATCCACGCTTCTGACCCAGTCCGAATGGCCTCTTATGGTCAGTAGACACCACCCTGATAGAACATCCCATTTCTTCACCGTCTTATCTCGCGAACAGCTCAATAATTGTGTTTCATCGGCCGGATTGAACCGCAGGCCAGAGATCAAATGGTCATGTCCGGTCAATACCCGTATTACCTGTCCTGTTCGGCAGTCCCAGAGCTTTATTAGCAGGTCTGAAGAGCACGAGGCCAAAAGCACAATTCTGGTCGATTCAAGCGTAATTTCGGAGCTCTGGAACACAAGAGAGTTGATTGTACGGGTGTGTGCGTTTCGTATCACTTTCTCGGGTTCCGATAGATCTAACAAATTCCACAAAGCAATCGTACCGTCCTGTGATCCGGTGGCCATCAGTGGCTCGTAAGGATGTATCGAGACACAGGTAACAGACCCTTTGTGTAATTTCAGAACGTTCTTGGCTCTTGTTGGAAGCCAGTTGAGCTTGTCTCTGCGAATATCCATTCCTCCGGACGACTCCAAGAGTTCGGAATAGTTCTCCACGAGCTCTTTGTATTCACCAATCTCCTTTTCAAGATCATAAATACGTCGTTGAAGACGAACAACGGTTGCCCACTTCTTCTCCAGATAGTTTCCTGGGATTCCAGCCGATGTATCTTCCTGTAAAGAGACGCCCAGCTCGGACCTGATTCGCGCAAGGCCATCGAAATTTTGTATCTTTCTCTCCAGATACTGGATCACCGCCTTGTTGAGCTCGGATCGCTGTCGATCGCTCAAACTTGTGGCCTCCATCCTGGTTTGATTTGATGTTTACAATTGATTATTTTTTTTAACATTCGACGCGTCTGTAGACGGTGACGATAATTATCGATAATATGCATATATAATGTGTAAATCTATCAACATTCGAGATTGTGTTTGTGCGTAGGGTCGTTGACGGTATTGCCCTTCTCGTCAATGGTACAGTATCTGATTTCAGAAAACCATTCATCGTCAAATATATCTTTCATTGTGGCACGTTTGGCAGGATCCACCATGAGCATCCGCGAAATCAGAGGTCTGGATGCGTGAGGCAACAGTCTCATTAGTCGGTACGGCCCGTGGATCTGCCCGTGGGAGCGCGAAGCACCCGCGTGACGCCGCTCAGGCTGTTCTTGTTTCTCCTCGTGGCGGTGTTCTCTCCTATGCTCGCGTTCGACTTCATGGAGCTTCAATGGATCAACAGCTATGAGTGATGGATCAGGCAGCTTGCTCAGATCGAAGTCGTCGTCGTTCTTCTTCTCCGCTGGCTGCTCAGAACCTTCCTCTTTCTTGTCTTCCGGCTCAGGCGCGGTTTCCTTCGGAACTTCCGCCGGTGGGTCAACCTGGTTCTGCTCCACAGGTTGAACAGACTCTGCTAGCTTGCTTGGCTCGGGCTTGGTCTCTGGCTTCTCGGCTTCCTTCTGAACCTTGATCTCGATTGCCTCCTTGCTCATGTTCAACTGAGAAGTCTTTTCACTCAAGTGCTCGACTGCCTGGTGCTTCACGTTCTCGTCGTTCTGTCGCTGCTCAAGCTTCTTCTTTCTCTCTGCCAATAGCTGTTTGTGATGTCTTGCGCTCTCAACGTAATCGTGAGGAACATCATCTTCTTGACAGTATAGTCTGAAACTAGTATCTTCAGGCTTTGGTGCTTTCCAAGGGAATCTTCGAAGGGTCATACAACAGTAAATGATAGCAATAGACCAGATATCCACCAATTGGGGATCGTAGCTTTCCGTTGAAGTCAACACTTCCGGTGCAAGATACGGATCCGATCCAACTATACCATGAGCATAGACAACTTCGTCTTCAAACGGATACTTGAACACCACAGCTGATCCGAAATCAATCAACTTCAGTATTCCTTCAGTGGTAACAACACAGTTATCCAGTTTCAAATCTCGATGAGCCAATCCGACAGAATGTAGATATTGAACTCCCATGGTGATCTGCTTTAAAAAGCAATTAATCTCTGAGCGAGTGAGTTTGCCAGCCATCACGACGCCAAAAAAGTCGATTGGAGCATATTCCATAACCTCAAAATACTGATTGTGCTCACTGATTATGTCGATGGTTTGGATGATGTTTGGATGGTGCAGAGTGCTTCCAATACAGAACTCGGCGGTACACTTTCTAGCATACTCTTTGATACTCTCATTTGGTCTCCGAGGAACAAATTCTTTCACTGCAAAAGTTAGCCCATCACTTTCTCGGACAAGCAATCTGACAGATCCGCCTGCTCCCGAACCTAAAACTTTTCCTAGTTTTCCGTATTTTTTGGTCAGGGAACCCTCCAAATCATCCCAGAAACGAGGGTCAGGCTTAACAATCATATTATTCTTGGCATCGTGCGTAAATGTAGGCGAAGCAAGTTCTGAGTGGGAAACCCTTGGAGAAACATCTTTCGATGTAGACTCGAAAATACGGTTTCCTGAAGACGAGTGACCCAATCCTTCAAGCTCGTGCTTTTTGGAAGGTCTAAAGAACCGTTTTAATTGGACCATTGAGGCATTTCTCTGAGGAACTCGACGGTCCCCCTCGTGGTGAGACAGATGGTGATTATGATGACCATGATGATCATCCGACTGAAACGAGTCGTGAGACTCGTTCGAAGTCATCTTGCCCAGGTTTAACCCAAAGAATGAGCGACGTGAGCTATTCGAGTGAGTCATCACTGAACTGTTTGGAATAGGAGATTGTGCTCCAATTTCCTTGTGATGACCTTCTTCGTGGTGTTTGTGGCCCAAATTGGCCAGGTTTCCGAATCGACTAGGCATCTTTATATGCTTTGTGACATAAGAGTCTGAAATTCCTCAATTGTGTTTATCAACTCTTGCTATGCTAAAGCGCTTGTCGACACTTTCTGCGCTGCGATGAAAATTATCAACCAAGACTCTCGCGTAAGCTCTTAGTTTGTCAGAACCACGCAATCACGTTCTTTAGTTCACTGTTAATTGTTACCTAAAGCCAACCAACTGACGGAAAAGATTCTTTGCTGATCTTTCTTTTCCATTTTTTCCCGTGGAAAAGAGAAACATCCGTACACAGAAAATGGCAAGTCCCCATTCAGCTATTTACATGTATGCTCCTAAAACCCCAACGTTGTATCCTGGGCTTCCGAAACGCTCTATGTGCAGGCTTAGACGCGCGCGTAACTTGTCCTCGTTCAATAGATCGTATAGCGACTTCTCGTTGTGTCCAAGTTGGTCCACAACCTGCTTCCAGTCAACCAGTCCTCTATCGACGCATGTGGAAAATAGCTCAAGCCGGTCCAATTTATCAACTCCACCGTCTCTAATGAGCAGATGCGTGTCTACCACCAGTTCCCTGTACTTACGTGACAGAAGGTCTCTGTGGGTATCCACGCTGGAAAAAGGAGTTCCAAGACCCAACAGTTGGCAGAGCAACTTCAGCTCTTCTTGAGGCATAGTGTATGGGTTTTGTAAAGCGATCTCTTCGTATGTGCGTCCTTGGCGTAATTCCTGGAGCTTCTCCTGCGCCTTCATGCTTTTCCCGTAGTAAGTCTTCATGAACGCTGGAAAAACACACGTCGAGGGCATCAACCGTGGAAAGATAAAGTAAAGCGGCAGACAGAACTCTTCCAAAAGTGCAAATAAGAACGCAAATAACGGCAACTTAGGGAAGTCTTTTCTGGTACGCAGCATGGTTTGGAAGTCAGCACGCGATAGTTTGATCTGCTCGCGGCTCAAATCTAAAGACCCAGAATTTTTCAGGCATGTGACCACTGTTGCAAGTTCTTCAACAGCTTCTGGTAGTTTGGAGCTTTTCAAATACAACTTTTGATCTTTGGTGTCCCCTGTAGCAAGATCATTAGCAGCAAGTCCATTAACGACCAAGTACCAGTTCTGCCCATAAACTCGCTTGTTCAGATCTCTATAATTGGTCCAGATGTTGCCCATTCCTGCCTTGAAAAATTGGATGTAATTCTTGGCCAAACGGAACAGAACCACGGATTTCACCCCAATGGAGCTTGAAGACGGTTTCTCTTTCAAAACCAAGTCCGTGATGGTCTTCTTGGTCTTCAAGAGCTGGATCTGAGGCACCGAAGACACAATAGTCCGCCGTTGACCAAAGATCGCAGGCCTCGTTATTGAGGTTTTCATTATTATTCCGAGTATTTAATTTTTCTGTGTGACTTATTTTTAAAGATCCACCATTTAAAAGTGTATATTATGTCTGACTTCTAAACAAACAAAGCTGGCTTATCCGCCGGATCTCGTCCGTACCATATGTACCAGTCCTTATATTTGACACTCATGTGTCCAGGAGCCAGTTCACCTTTGGTTTGGATGGCATGTTTCGCGGCTATAGCAGACTGCACGTCAAAGTATTGCACAGCAAAACACAACTTTCTGGAAACAACAGGCAAGATTTCGACAATGGGGCCAAACTGGTCGAAATCTTCGCGGATTCCGTTGAGATCGAAATCGCTGGAATAATTGAGAATAGGGTCTGGATAACTGGGTCTTTTCTTCTCGGCGCTCACATGGCTATTCAGCTTGCTTTTGGCAAGCACGGGTTTCTTCAACACAAGCACCCTTCTAGCACTTTCTGGGCCCCCCATAGTCTCCAGTGACTGATGGCTGTCCTTTTCGTGGTAGCACAGATAGTCCTCTGTGTCCACTATTCCGCTTCGAGGAACCCAAGATGGGTGTAAATGGTAGCCGTTGACAATGAACATTCCTGTGGAAGCAAACTCCATAAACTTCATGGCGTCTTCCTCTTTTTGGAAGTAGAGATGCAATAATGTATCATCCCAGCTGATGTGCTTGCCCAATTCGTACTCAGCTTCTTTCAAGCTCGACTTGTCAAGCAACCGCACTTTTTCCAGTGGACCACCGTAGATTTGGCTCATGATGCTGGTCAAACTTGTGTTGCAATGGATATTCGAGAGCATAATGACTCTTGATTCTCTCATCACGGCCTCGAGAATGCCATCTTTCGTGGCCTTCTTGTCTAACTGGAACGTTGTGTTGACGATATTTTCGTTCATCTTCAAAGCATTGTCTCCAGCTACACTAGTGGTTTTCTTTCCCAGGCCAAGCTGTTTGGAGTTGGATCCTCTACTTTCGCCCGCTCCGTCGGCATCATGCTCGGCGTCTTTGGTGGTGACCGAATTTCTCGACGCAAGGCGGGTTTCTTGTCGAATCTTCATATTGGACTCCATCAATCTTGCAAGCAAGGTGTCGTCTCTGTCGGTAGATTCGATATGTTGGCGGGAAACCTGGCTTTGCCGAGAGTTGTTGTTGCGGATATCGCCGACGATCTTTCGATTAGCCGCTTTGGACGAGGACAACGAGTAGCTTTTTGCGGTTTCGTAGTATCTCAGAGAATCTCTGTCGTCTTCAAGTGCTCCGCGCGAAACTTCTTCTAACTCTGTGCCCTTGCCAGCTGAGTTTTTATCGCCGTGCAACAGACTCTTGGCCAGTCGTCTGAACCCCATCTTCTCCTCCTTTCCATTTTCCGATGATCCTAAAAGCGACGAGAGAGACGGTAATCTCGATCTGTTACCCCTTAAACTGTTCCCAGTATTGTCTGTGGTCAAAGGATGGACCGCAGATCCATCCTCAACAAGTGAAATCTGGCGTAACATGACCTTTTGTTTGGATTAAGCAATGTGATAGCAATAGTCAGGTTGGTTTACTTTGTATTATAGCGGTCCTTGTGTGATAGCCCAGAGATAAAAAATTAAACTTTTTTGAGGATCCGTCTGCCCTTTTATTTAATTATACCAGGAATAGCGACAATTGGGCGCATCATTTATTACGCTACTGTTGACCATCCAAAAACTCTCTAAGAGCCATAGTGGCATATGCAGACACTCCTAGTTGCATTTTCACCACCAGGGCCACCTTTGGACCTTCCGTTGCTTCCTTTAAACGCTCAACCTGTTTCCCCTCCTCGCGTAGCCGCAGAAGCTCCAAATCTGTATAAACCAAAGAATCAAGATTTGACTCGTAATGGCGGAAACTGTATTCGAGTCCCTTGACCTGGGCAAACACGTGACGATAAGATCCCGCTAACGAAAACTCACGAACACGTCGGGACATCTTAAAAGGATCGAGTCCGTCTTTGGACATCACATCCACGTAAGTTTGACGTAGCTGGCTATTTTCCGGATATCTGACATCGAAACCGGGGGTAGGAAGAACAATATCGTGAATAGTGTATCTTTTTTGGTCCACGTCTTCTTGAGTTACAGGCTTGGCCCTAACAAACGTCTCCTGCTTGATATCCTCTTCAAAATCCTCGTCTTTTTCCACCAGTTCTGAATCGTCAATCACCAAATCTCCAACAACAACAGTTGGTCCAAAAAGCTGGACCCGAGCGGAAGCAACTGTGTTCCAAACGTAAGATTGGTAAGCGTGTCCGTACATTATGCGTAAATTTCTCGGAATGCCCATTATGGCCTTGAAGTAGGAATTGGCCGAGTACTCTCTGTCGTCTTGCTTCTTATCATGTTCCAAACGACTCAAGATAGAAAACTCGGCACTGCATCTCCGTGGCATCTTCTTCAATGCGTCTCCAGGGTTCTTTGTCTCCTTCCAGATCTTTCTGGCCTCCACAGAGTCTGGCAGAACGACTTCTTGCTCGCTTAAGATAAGCTCAGCAGCCTGCTTCCATTCGCTTTGCAAAATATATTTTCCAACTTCGTGTGTAGACACGGAAAACGTTCCGAATCTCTGCATTCCAAAGTAGTTGATATATCCGTATTTCTTCATGGAGTCGAAAACAGGGTCGAGCTTGGTTTGTAGGCTTGGAATATCTGTGCTTCCGTCAGCAAGAGAAATATCTTTGATTGTGATGATGAACTCGTTTCCCTGTAGGTCTCCGAGATTGAGCGGTTGATCGGCATAGCTAAACCCACCAATTTGAAATCCACGCAGAGCCTTGTTCAAGTTGTTGATTCTCTCCACGGAAATACGCTCGATGGATATTTTCTGGACTGTCACTCCACGACGGTCTTTGGTTCCTGCATACTTGATGTTCTTGACTGGGATATTCAAAAACTTGGCAAGCAATCCGGCCACCTCCATTGTCTCCTTATTCTCTTTGTACAAATTGGCATAAAGGTACCGTTTACGTTCGCCCAGGTTGTGTTCAATGACGACTCTGCGCTTGCTATTTTTCGATCCAAGTCCAATCTGAAAATGGTTGGTTTCCAAGGTCAGAGATTCCAGTCTGTTTCTGAAGATTGTTCGCAGCAGCCTGTGCAGTTTTGTACGGTCTTCCTTGCTCTCGAATGTCTTTTCGGTGACCATTTTGTCTCCAGTACTGAAAATCTGTAGCACTTTATCCACATCGGATTTACCAATGATTTCTTCCAGCTCGGATCTCTGTTCGTCCGAAATTTCAAACACTCCCTTCTTCTCGCTCTCGGACTGCTTCTCCTCCTGTTCAGGGAACCCCAAGTCGTTCAGGTGAACAACGTTACCATCAAGGTCGATCTCATTGACCAAGAAATCGGTGTACCGTTGCTTCAACAGCCCACTCACCCGATCCTGGCCCTTGAATACATACTCCGTGATGCCGACCTGCTGCTCGGTGATACCTGAATCTGCCTTTTGGTGGTCCAGGTCGTTAATTTTACGCTTCATTGAAAATTACAAGATTTTCTAGCGATTTTTTTTTCAATTAATTTTTCCGCACCAGACGCGTCTGCTATCGAGTCTCCGTCCTAATTCCATGAGCGTGGAGACGTCACAGAAAAGACACACGCAGGCAACCCAGGCCACGCAGCCTACGCAACCCAGCGCGTGGGATTCTCCGGGAACAGACGTGCTGGCCCAGGAATTGATCAGCACAGGGGTTGTTTGCCGGCTGATTTGCACCACAAGCACGGATATCTGTCGTGGCAAGGGGTACATCGACGTGATTCTGCGAACAGATATATTAGACGACAAGCAGGAATGGATTTTCGGACGAAGAGCAGAAAGCTGCGATTATCCATTGAAAACCAAGAGCAATAGAATCAGTAACAAGCATTTCAAGCTCTGGATGAGCACCAAGAACTCTCATAACGGTTCGAACAATAATCTGATGATCCAGGATACCGCCACAAATGGGACATGGGTGAATGGCACGAAGTTGATCAAAGGAACTAATTATATCTTGACGCAGGGCGACGAGATCAGTATAGGCATCGGAGTGGCAGCAGACGTGATTCGGTTTGTGGTGCACTTTCCGAAAAATGGTGCGCGCGACGAGACGCCAGAAAGTAATAGCAACAGCTCCAATGCGGGCATTCACCAGGACTTCATTGTGCGAAACGAGATCGTTGGATCCGGGGCGTTTGCCACGGTGAAAAAAGCCATAGAGCGCGCGACGGGCGAGACGTTCGCCGTGAAGATCATCAACAAGAAAAAAGCATTAACCGGTGGCATGGATGGTGTGAGCAGAGAGCTCGAGATTCTGAAAAGATTGGACCATCCCGGGATTGTGGGGCTCAAGGCCTCGTACGAAGATCACGAGAATTATTATTTGGTGATGGAGCTTGTGCCCGGAGGAGATTTGATGGACTTCGTCGCATCGTACGGATCGGTTGGCGAGGCTGCTGGACGGGAAATTGCGAAGCAGATTCTTCAGGCCATTGAATATGTTCATTCAAAAGGAATTTCACATAGAGATCTCAAGCCAGACAACATTCTTATTGCTCATGATGACCCTGTCACAGTCAAAGTTACTGATTTCGGGCTTGCAAAGCGACAGGGCATTGCCAGCATCATGAAGACGTTTTGCGGAACGCTGGCGTATCTGGCTCCGGAAGTTATCACAGGCAAGTACGGGAATAGCTTGAACGTCTCCAAAAAACGGTATATGGGCAAGGGACGCGTTTTTGAAGATTCCTACTCCAACAAAGTGGACATGTGGTCGATTGGATGCTTGGTGTTTGTGATCTTGACCGCGCACCTTCCATTCAGCGGGTCCACTCAGGAGACTTTATTCAAAAATATTACGCATGGCAACTATCACGAATCTCTGCTAAAGGAGAACGGTATTTCTCTCGAGGGTCGCGACTTTGTCAACCGGCTGTTGGAGACGGATGTGTCACTTCGTCTGGATGCTCGACAGGCGCTCCAGCACCCCTGGATTGACGAGATTGCCAACATCAGCTCCCAGGTCAGTTTGTCACAGAGCCAGTCGCACCAGCAGCGTCTTTCACAGTCGATCACGTCGAAATCCGAAAAGGTCCCTGAATTCAAGGTTCCACAGATCCCCAAGCCTAGTCAGAGAGTTCAGACGACAGGTGTTGCCGAAATGGGTGATTCTTTGAAGGAAGTCGAGATCATCGACTCGCAGCCTCTTTCGCAGGAAGAACCTGCACAGAAAGATGAAAATGTGCCTCCTGGAACGTTCCTGACTCTCAAGATCATTTCCAACATCGCTGACAAGTACGAGCCCGTGGTGCACATCAAACAGGGACAGCCATATTTTTCTGTTGGGAGACTCGATAATCTGGATTACACGATCTCCGACGAAAGAATTTCCAAGAACCACGCGGTTATTTTGAAGAAACGGCATCCGATCGCTACAGACTCGTCGATCTATGAATCTCCAGCAATGGGTTTGGAAGATATATGGATCTTGGACTACAGTACCAACGGCTGCTACGTCAACGACCGCAAGCTAAAGAAGGGTAACAAAACCAAACTCTTCAACGGAGACGTTCTTAGTCTGTTCATAGACAAGCAAAGAGGAGAAAAGCTGGCGTACAAGGTGGTGATCAACGATACCACGGGATTGTTCAAGGGCGCAACCCGAGAAGATAAAAAAATAGCCGTTGAGCCGCAGGACGAGGCGGATCTCAAACTGCTGGCTACCAAAAAACGGCAGCCAAACACGGATAAAAAAAGAAAGTTTGCTGAGGAACAGCAAGCAAACAAGCGCAAGCGGGCAGACTTGAAAAATTGCTGATTCGTATGATGGAACCTTTTTTTTATTCGTAGCAAATAATATAGAGACACAAAGAAAATCATAGTCAAGCAAACTTGCCAAGACTCAACATCATGCTAGTAATCAGAACTGAATCTTTTTTGTGATCAAATAGCCTTAGCCAATCCAACAGCGTCGTTACCCAAGTCGTAGACGGAATAGAACTTTCTTAGGAAAGCATCACCAATAATGGCCAGAGGACCGATTGGAGCTGGCAAGTCCAGAGGAGTGAATGCAGAAATACACGAACCAGACACCTCCAAAGTGTAGTCATAAGGAGTGATGGTGAAGTTGTAGCCGTCGAAGTTGAAGGTGAGATCTGGCAATGAGTCTCTCTTGTCACAATCAATCTGGTATTGTCCAGACCAGGTCTTCTCGGCACCGATTTGAGCGTTCAGGATCTCGGCAAGTTGGGATGGCAGAGCAATCAAAGAGGTTCCAGTGTCAATTGCAGCACCGTGGTTTTCTAGAGTGGCGTATTCGTCGCCAAGAGCAATACCGTTAAACTTGACCTCCCAGTAAGCCTTTCTTCTGACTGGCAACCAAGTGATGTCACCAGTAAACTTAGTAGCATCGTAGCCTCCGAAAATGGCCTCTCCACCATAGTCTTCAGACTTCTGAGTGTCTCCAAGGTAGAAACCGAATTGAGGAGCGTCAAGCAACCCATTGTTGATGGCGTTGTAAACAGGTGGAACAATCTTATTGACGGAAATAGTGTCGTAGGCCAATCCCAAGATACCGTCAAACTTACCAAAAGCGAAAGCAAGACCTGGCTCGCTGGTTGCCTCGGCGAAGTCCTGTTTTGGAATGATAAGGTCTCCGATAGTCAAAGTGTCTTGGGAAACGTAACCCTCAAGAGATCCGGAACCGTAGTGGATACTAAATGAGCTACCGTTCTTCTTGTAGGTAGAAGAGTCGTCGTGCTCGTACTTGGTGTGCAAGAAACAAGCCAACGAGGAGCACTCGCTACCTGGAACCCACAAGTTGGAGGAACCGGTATCAAGGACGACCTTGAAGGATTGGCCAGGGGTACCCAGCTGGATCTCGGTGAAGTATTGGGCATTCAGGTAATTGGTTAATGGAGTGCTGTGTCCACCCTTTGCCTCGAGCTCGGCTAATTCCATGACTGGAATGAAACCCAATGGGTCTTGCCCATGGGCGGCCAAATGTTTATTGAATGAAGTGACGTATTTGTACTTCAACGAGTTCACGTAGTCTCCGAAGGCAACGTCCTTGTACGAGTCGGTAACAGGGTTCTTCTTGATGGATGCCTTGTGGACTTTGGCATCAGTCAGAGATGCTAAGCAAAGTAACAGAGCAAGGGAATAAAGCGTTGAATATAAGAGCTTCATTTTGGAGTTTTAATGGGCTTAGTAAAAAATAGTAAAGCTATCAAGTGTAAATGGATGAAACTGGTCGGTCTAGTTAGAATTCACCTCTCTATTTTCAAATCTTTGGATCCTCTTGATAACCTTAAAAAGCTAATAGGAAACCCCATTAATTTACGCTTTGCCACCCTCGTAATTGGCGGTCGTGTACTGTCGAACAAATTTATTTTTGGGGCTGTATATCAAACCTTAATAGGTTATTGCAGCTTCCAGAATAGGCAAATGATAGTTGATTAAGATATAGATCCGTAATTTGACATCTTGAGCGTTTCGTCAAGATGGTTTTTCGGTTTATGGCTCTTAGCAAGAATCATGTAGTCGTCCAATAAAAAGTCGATTGGAGACAATGGAGTATGCTCACTCAGTTTGCGTGCATGATTCGGAGACATTGGTATTTTCATGTTGATTGGACCGTGTGGACCGGTTTCTGGAGAGTTGGTCTTCAGCAACTTATTATAGTGATCCATGGTGATGCTTTCTCTTCTGTTGGCCGGTACGTTGGACGAGATCGGACTGTACTCTTCGGTCCGGTTGTAATCCCACCAATACCATTGTAGCAACAACGTAACGTCAAGAGCAACCGTTCCCATAGCACCTAGAAGATAGCTTAGTTCGGCCTGCCAAAACTCACGCGAGACTTTCCCGCCGCTTAAAGAGTCTTGGCATGTTGCCAGAGATAGAGAGTAGCACAGGTTTCCCAAAAGAGCACTCAAGATGAACTTCGGAGACACTCCTTTGGTGGTTCTGATCTTGTGGTTTGTGACGATCTGGGGGAAACGGGAACCAATGTAGAGGATGGTGCAACACCAGGCCAATATTTTACCCAGCTGGTGTGTGGATAGTGAGAGTAATGCTTGTAATATTTTCAGTAATGCAGAGTTGTTTATCTTATCCTGGGCAGAGAACCCGTGGTTTGGGATGGGAGCAGCGTTAGCCCGGCTGAATCCCATGATGAAACTCGAACTCACCAGTTTGGTCAGACTATTTTTCATCGCGGACGCCCGTAACGGACGATTATTTCCGATTGCTATTGGAGACGCGATATGTTCAGCCGGGATAAATGCGTGGTTGTTGGGATCCATGTCTATTTCTGCCGCGGAGTGGGCATCCAGAGCCGATCTGAGAGCCGTGCGGGGCGATTTGATGTCTCCCATTCGTTTCGATCTTTTGTGGTGGAAAAATCGCGACTCGGGATTGTGATACATCTTAGTGTAGTAGTAGTACTGACCTGCCAGGACCACGTCGATGATTAAGTAGTAGGAGCTGAGCAGAGTCTGGAAAAACATGGCGTCGGTCATCAAACAGCTTGTGAAGTTTAAAAAGTCCCCTGCGAACCAGCAACATAAAAAGCCCAGAGATAACCCATCAACAGATTCCTCCGAGTAGTTTTTGATCACCTGAGGAATCTGCGCAAATAGCCATGCGGTAATGGATAAATAGCCCGAGTAGGATGAGATGGGTCTGAAGAACCGGATCACCTGTTTTCTAGACACGTCCAACTGACACTCGCCCGTTAATATGTATATCAGTCGAACAATCAGATCGAGCTGTTTACAATATTCTTCAGAAGGGATATCGGACGGCAGCCCATAAAAGTTGTTTGTTGTTGTTGGAGTTGGATCTATTCGGGACATGATGCGTCCTGATTGGATTTTTAAGCGTGGAGAGTAGATATCATACCAACGTTGCGTTCTGTTTCACAACTTTTTTACTCTATCTTTTTTTCCAAATACCCTATCTATTTTCGCTGATAATCGTAAAATTTGTCACCCCAGAAACAGAGCAGGCCCTTGACCCTATTTCGCATAACTGCTTTTGTGACGCGTACCTTCACTCCTGGTCCAAATACCTGGCGGGAAATTTCCATCAGTTGGTCCAGATCCGAGTTTCGGGGTAGAAAAAGCACAATCACCGGGGAAATCTGCAGACAGCTTCGGAGCAAATCTTCAAGCGGCAACGGCTCAATGTTTCGCAGATTGAACTTTTCCTGGTTGAGGTATTCGGGGCCTCCCCACGGCGGCGATGCAAAGACAATGTCGGACTTGATGTTTTGGATAAATTGTTGCGTTTTATTATAGGCGGCCTGGTCGGTGGGGCTCGTAGTAGGGAGTGCATACTTCCAATCGCAGTGGACGAACTCGATTGTTTTTCCAGCGTGCTGTAGCTGTTCTGGGCTGAAATAAACGTAAACGTTATTTTTGGTACACGCTAAGTTTGTTTCGTTGTAGTCGACACAAATACACCTGTCAAATAATCTGATCATCTGGATTGAATTCCCTCCTCCACCGCAGAACAGATCAACAACTGTTCGCGTTTCCGGGTAGCAGTGCTGGATGAATTTAGCCAGGTAGTTAGCCACAGCTTCGGCAGTGACACTGAACCAGAGCTCTCTGGTCAGTTTAATTCCCTCGTTGTATTTGCTGAACAGGTTTCGACGCCGTTTCCAGTACTTCTGTACGTCTTGAGGTATCTTATCTGCCCTGTCCAAGATCTCAGACTCCATAGAAGAAAATACAGTAAAAAAAAATGTCAAGACCCGTTTTTATCTGATGAGTTCTGGATTCGTACGAGGGCCCATCTGTGGTGTCGATAACTGTACATCGAATCTTTGGAAGCGGATTGATGGTCGAAATGTGTGTTACTATGGCCACGTGAACGAAAATGATATCGAGATCGATGACGAAGAAGATCAACTAGACAAACAGACACAGGGAACCTTTTCCAGACGTTTGAGAAACGTGGCTGGTTTGACAGATACACAAGCAAAGAAGCTGAGGAGTCAGCAACTGTTACAAGAACAACAAAGAGATTACGCGCACGGATTGGAACTCAAGAAATTACTGATCCAGTGTCTCCAAATTATTTTGATGAGACAAACAGAAATGCTGGAAGCCAAGCTTAATCTCCCGCATGGATACCAGAACGCAGTGAAAAGGTACTGGGCGATGTACCTGATGAAAAAACATACCAAGAAACATTCTTCTAAGCTGTCAAGCCAGATGGCTGATTTCTCGAGCGTGCCAACGGTTTCGGACCTGTTGGTGTTTTGTTATTTGGGACTTGTGCGCATGAGGGTCCCTGTTTACTTTAATGATTTGTGGTTGATGGTTTCGAGTGGCGAGCTCCCGTTTTTGAGAGCAGAGAACGTGATACCTGTGGACCTCCGGCTCCGAGTCCCGGTGCACGCGTTGCGCGTTTTTCACGGCCCTGCTGGACAGAAGGTGGACCATTTAATAAAAATCGGGCGGTGGGTGCGGGAGCTAGCAATTGAGCAAGAATTGGCAATCTCATTCAACTGGTACCCGTTGCTATCAAAGACGGTTCTGCGTCTCCGGCTCCCATTAGAAATAATAATAATGGTGAGCAATATCATACGGGGCTCGGGACTGGAATTGCGTATTGCCGCATCGAAATCGTCTCCGAACCCAGAAATAGCGATATGGGCGCTGATAGTTGTAAGTGCTACGGAATATTTCGCGCAAAATGTGCTGAAGTACGGCATTTGGAGGGAGATATACGAATCAAGAAGCGCCTCGCGGGACGAGATGGGGGTAATGCAGAATCAGGTGAGCAACAAGTCCGGGTTCCTCGATCTTGTTGGGTGGAGCGAGAAACAAACTAACGAGTACCTGGACTTTTTTGAGAGTCAATTGCTTCCAATTGTGTCCAAGGATAATCTTGTGGATGATACTAACACCAAATATCACACTCAAAAGATCATGACCAACAGACTGTTCAACATATTTGACCTGCCCCAAATAGCAACAAATCACATGGACCCCGTATCTTGTGTAATTGCCGATTACAAGAGATATACGGAGCCATTAGCCAAGCCTACTCAATTCAACCGGGATTTTACAAAAGGCATTATAAAAGGAGAGATAAGAGCAAACTACGGCATAAAAGAGTCGATCGTAGATAAGCACGTTATCTGGGGGATGAAACAGGCCAAGAAAGCTGCAAACCACTCCTAACGCCAACCTTAACGAAGGGCGCGAAATTCTTTTTTTCCATATCTTGCATTTATTGTACGGCAATAGAACCAGAAAAAATTTTGTTAAGGCATTAGAACAATAAACCCTGCGTTCCCTACAATACCCTTCTAATTGTGTCAAAGCGAACTATTTTAGGCTTCCTATCGAAACTTGTATAAAAAGTTTATCCCCACCTCGATCGAAAGTATTTTAAATATTTGCTAGTGTTCTATGGGTAACGAAATGTACAGCTCCCCGTCGGGAGCTAAATCCCTGATTTCTGTCCATACTCAAGATTATGCTCTCGAGATGCAAAAGTCGCCTTTTGGCGCAGGCACCAATGCGATTGCATTAGAAGACGGTCACAAACTGAAAAAAGACTTGAAGCCAAGACATATCACCATGATTGCCATCGGAGGTGCTCTGGGTACTGGTTTGCTCATTGGTACATCTTCTGCTTTGGCCGGTGCGGGTCCAGGAGGTGTCTTAATCTCCTACTCTTTAGTTGGTCTTGTTGTTTACTTTGTTATGTGTGCTCTTGGAGAAATGGCCAGTTTCATTCCTCTTCCCGAAGGTTTTGCTGGTTACGCAAAGAGATATTGCGACGAAGCCCTAGGTTTTGCCGTGGGTATCAGTTATTTGTGCAAGTACTTAATTGTCACTCCTAATCAAATGGTTGCTGGTTCTTTGGTTATGCAATACTGGGTTTCCCCTGAAAGGGTCAACCCTGGAGTCTGGATTGCCATACTTCTTGTTGTGGTGGTGATCATCAACTACTTTGGTGTCAAGTTCTTCGGTGAGTTCGAGTTCTGGCTTTCTTCGCTGAAAATTCTTACGGTGCTCGGTCTTATTATCTTGCTGCTTTGTATCATGCTCGGTGGATCTCCAACTCACGACAGAATTGGCTTCAGATTCTGGCACCACCCAGGTGCTTTTGCTGCACACGCCCACATCGAGAACCAGGCTACCGCAAAGTTTGCTGGTTTCTGGTCCGTCATGGTGACTGCTGTTTTCGCCTACCTCGGTACAGAACTGGTTGGTATCACTTTCGGTGAAGCTAGAAACCCAAGATACACCATCAAGAAGGCTATCAGACTGACCTTCTACCGTATCCTTGTGTTCTACGTGTGCTCTGTGTTCTTGCTCGGCTGCTGTGTTGCTTACAACGATCCTAAATTATTGGCTGCCAAAAAGGCTTCCACTTCTGCCACCGCCTCGCCATTCGTGGTGGCCATCAATAACGCTGATATCCGTGGACTGCCTCATTTGATCAACGCCTGTGTTCTGATCTTCATCTTCTCGGCCACCAATTCGGATCTCTACATTGCAACCAGAAACGTTTACGCTCTGGCTGCCAACGGCATGTTCCCAAGATTCTTCTCGAGAACTAACAAGAACGGTGTTCCTATTTATGCACTGATGTTCGCAAGTGCTTTCTGTCTGCTTGCCTTCATGGTGTGCTCTTCTTCCTCGTCCAAGGTCTTCAACTACTTCGTTAACGTGGTGTCCATCTTTGGTCTGCTCACCTGGATCTCCATCTTGGTGACCTACCTCTACTTCACCAGAGCTGTGAAGGCCCAAGGTTACGATAGAAAGAAGTTTGTCTACTACGCTCCGTTGCAACCATACGGAACCTGGTTCGCCTTGTTCTTCTGCTGCTTGATCGCGATTACCAAATCGTTCGACGTGTTCATTGCCGGCTTCGATTACAAGACGTTTATTACCTCGTACATCGGTATTCCAGTGTTTTTGATCTCGCTGTTCGGATACAAGATTATCATGAGAACCAAGACTGTCAAGCCAGAAGAGGCCGACCTTGTCACTTACAAGGACGTCATCGACGCCGAGACGGAGGAGTACGAGCTCTTGGAGGAGAAGAAGGTTGCTGCCAGAAACGGCAAGAAGGATCTCGGCTGGTTGTACGACCACTCTGTTGGCTACCTTTTCTAACTTATTTAGCTTATGTAATACCTTTTTTTCTACCCCAGGTCGGTCACACCTCGGAATCCGAGTAGAGTAAAAAGTATTGAAAAAATAGTCATAAATTGCTAACATTACCAATGCAGTCTTTCAAGAGAGTTTTGGCTAGCACCCGGCACTTCTCCAGCACCACCCGGACCTTGGACAAAATCAAGGTCAAGCAGCCCATTGTGGAGCTTGACGGAGACGAAATGACCAGAATCATCTGGGACATCATTAAGAAGAAATTGGTTCTTCCGTACTTGGACGTTGATCTCAAGTACTACGACCTTGGAATCTTATCCAGAGATGCAACCAACGACCAGATCACCATCGATGCTGCCAATGCCATCAAGAAGTACGGCGTGGGTGTCAAGTGTGCCACAATCACCCCGGACGAAGCAAGAGTCAAGGAATTTGGACTCAAGAAAATGTGGGTGTCTCCGAATGGTACCATCAGAAACATCCTGGGTGGTACTGTCTTTAGAGAGCCAATCGTCATTGGCGGAGACCAGTCTGGCGGAGTCGAGATCCCAAGACTGGTTCCTGGCTGGGAAAAGCCAATCATCATTGGTAGACACGCCCATGGAGACCAGTACAAAGCCACTGACCTGGTGATTCCTGGAGCAGGAAGTCTCGAGCTCGTGTACACGCCAACAAACGGCGACAAACCCCAGGTGTTCAAGGTCTTCGACTACAAGGGATCCGGTGTCGGACTCGCCATGTACAATACTGACGAAAGTATCCGTGGCTTTGCACACTCTTCCTTCAAGATGGCCTTGAACAAAGAGCTTCCTCTGTACATGTCCACCAAGAACACCATTCTCAAGAAGTACGACGGTAGATTCAAGGACATTTTCCAGGAGATCTACGACGCTGACTATAAGTCTGAGTTCGAGGCCAAAGGTATCTGGTACGAGCACAGATTGATCGACGATATGGTGGCCCAGATGATCAAGTCCAAGGGTGGCTTTGTGCTGGCTTTGAAGAACTACGACGGTGACGTCCAATCGGACATCGTTGCCCAAGGTTTTGGCTCTCTCGGTCTGATGACTTCCGTTCTTATGACTCCGGACGGAAAGGCCTTTGAGTCTGAAGCCGCACACGGAACCGTCACAAGACACTATAGACAACACCAACAAGGAAAGGAGACCTCCACGAACTCCATTGCCTCCATCTTCGCATGGACAAGAGGTATTGCCCAAAGAGGTAGATTGGACGGAACTCCCGACGTTGTTGAGTTTGCAGAGACCTTAGAGAAGTGTGTCCTCGACACCGTTTCTCTCGACCAAATCATGACCAAGGACCTGGCCCTGTTGATCAACAAGAAGGACTATGTCACCACCACCGGGTTTTTGGATGCTGTTGAATCGAGATTGAAGAACTCCTTCAAATGAGCTATAACTTCATGGATATCATCATTAACTATATGTAACTTCTTTAGGCAGTCGAATTGCTAAGAACGGTTATTTTTCTCTGTTGATTGTACAACCTTTTGTTCGTCTTCGTCAAGGAACTTCCAGAGGTATTTCATTCCGTAAAACGTGGCCAGACTCACAGCGCTCACCTTCAAGAACGGAACAGCCAGAACTTTGTAGAAATAGCTGTGCGGGTTCAAATTGGATTGGTTTGTGTTGTTCCCGCGCACAAAACTGGTGCTAAACCATCTTCGTGTCATGGAAACAAATTAATCAAAATTATTTTTTTTTCTCACTCCTGAGTTTCTGTGCTCTCAGAGCTGATTCCTGAATCCAAGGCCATCATGCTTTCATCACCATCTGCGCCTGGTTTGTTGGTGTTCCGGTATTTCTTGAACTCTGGAGAGTTCAAAAGCGGAATTGTCGTCAAACCAAATTGGAACTTGGCATCTGCTCCAAGTCCAGGACCTAAACCCGTTTGGACAGGAGACATCGACCCAGAATTGAAACTGCTCGACGGTTGTAGCGACTTGGACGTCAACTTTATTGCTGAGGGTGACATCTCTTGGGATCGTCTCAGTACGAGCTGTTCCTCGCCCCTTGATTCTGCACGCAACGGTGATGAAACGTATTTTTTTGTAGGTACCTCCTCATTCATGCTCACGTCAGAGTCTTCCGTAGTCGGAACCTCCCATCTTACCTTCTTGGTCTGCTTGAGTGTTCCTTCAGACAGCGATCTGTTCTTCAAGGATTTGCCGTTGGTGTCTAGTCGATTAAGCTTCGCAAATCCTTTAGTTAGAGGAGACGAAGATAACCGTTTGGACGATTTGACTGGGGTCCTTATCACCTCGGGAATCTCCATCTTGCGCTGTTTCTCAGGATTCAGCGTAATTGAGCTGGTGTCCAAAATCACTTGTCCACGGTCTTCAAGCAAGCGAGAGAATGCACCTTTGATCTCCACCACCATTTCTCTCAAATAAACGGAAACGTTCTGCAACGCGTCATCATTCTCCGAGGAGATATCCAGTAAAATAGCAGTCGCACGCTGTAGCGTTTCAAATACAAAGTTGAACGAATTGAAGTGCTTGACAGACCGATCAAAGATTATCGATGAATCAAAGAGAATTGACTTCTCCACCGAATCCTTCAAATGTGCAACGCGTTCCTCGAAGAGCTTGGTGTCATCCTCTGTCCACGTGTCAAGCTCGCTTAACGATCTCAGAAGAGATGCTGATGACTCTTTGAGGATAAAGTCGAGCTCGTTCGGTTTGCCGTACTGTGCCTCGAGATCTTTGATCCAACTGTCTATTTTTTTAACCAGTTCTTCACAATAATGGATTAATTCGCTGAACCCAGGAACAAACATGTCAATGTCAGATAGCTCCTCTTTTGCACCAAACCGTGTCTCAAATGAAACCAGGAATTGTTGGGCCTGGTGTTTTTGTAACAAGAGGAATTTGCGCTCGGCCAAAATATATGCCTTCTGGAACTTCGCCTGCTGGTTTCTCAAGAGCGAATGCTTCAGTTCTTCTGCGGATGATCGAAGTCGCTTCATGCAGTGTTCTCTATTGTTGGTGAATTTCTCGATGCCAATGCTGATCATTCTATCTTCTCTTGTTCTGAGTTCCTCGATTTCGCGTTTTTGCTCAGTGATCATCTTCAGATAAGAGCCAACATGGCGGCTCAAATTGTGTTGGTTCCGTATGAGTTTCGTTCTTATTTCTTTTGCACGATCGGCATACTTCAAGGTATTCAACGTTTCATCATAATGGCGCGACGAAGGTGAAACACACACTATCATAAATGTTTTGCAATTGCCCCCAAGCGAAAATTTGAGGAGTCTAGTAAGCTTCGAATCTCTGTATGGAACATGGTTGCGCTTGCGCGGGTCGCATAATGCGTTGATGCAATTTCCAAGTGCCAGTAACGATTTGTTAATATTTGCACCCTCGTGTAAACGTGCACCTTTATTTCTAGTCGCCGAGGCGCGCTCACTTCCGGCAAGGTCAATAATAGATAATGTAGCAAAAGTGTGCTCTTCATTCAAGTCTGCGGTTCTTGGCTTTTGAAGCACGTTTATTTGGAGAATGGCATGCGATCTGGATGAGGTGGAGTTGGCCTCTGTTGGAGAAACCGTTCGGTTGTTGTTTCCTATTATTATGAGATCCATGACATCTTCAACAGAATGCGGGGTGTGAGATGAAAGGTTGGCCACAGAAATGCGCTTTGTCTCATCTTCTCTCAGAATCAGCGATCTTGGATCTGTTTCTGGGTTCAGCAAATCTCGAATGGTCTCGTTGTAGATCTCTAAATAGCTCAAGCTCAGCTCCGTTTTGTGTGTATCTTCAGAGTCACTTATGCGATTGAATAGATCCTGCATAGCTAGAAAAATGATGCCTGGGCTCTCTGGTGTTCCTGAAATGGTATATGTCTTCCCGCATCCAGTTGCTCCGTATGCAAAAATTGTGGCATTGAATCCGTTTAGCACTGAATCTAGTAGAGGTTTGGTTGAGAACTCGTAAACCTGATTTTGGCTTGTCTCTTCGTCGAACAGCTTGTCAAACACAAATCGGTGCTCTCGTATCCGCGAACTGTGTCTTCCAACACTGCTTGCACGTCGTTTGTCGTTGTTGTTGTGTGGATTCGAAAATACGTTTTGTTCCATGGCCACCAATGGATTTGTATCGCTGGGATCAAATATCAACATTCTGTCATCCACGGCGTTCAAGATCTTGCGAATAGAACTCTGTTGTAGCAGTCTATTAGAGGTATTCTTGGGAACCCCATAACCATTAAGAACCGTATCTGGTGCCTCTGAGGACGACTTGAGCAACAGAGACGATTCTATAGTGGTAAAAGGTCGAATCCTCACAGCAACGGTGATTGACGATTCTTTGGACATTTAGCAACAGATTCGGAGTAGCTACGCCTCTCCTTATGTTTCTAGTCCAACAGTACGGCTTTCAGATAGTCTGGGCCTGCAAAATGTCACCTTCCAAGAAACCCTCTTGATCTAAATATTTAATGTAAACAAAAGGTTAATCTCCAAAAACGACGCGGCGACGCGTCAATTTTTATATTTTATTGAAGAGGGGCATACAGAATCTGTGTAACATACTTTCTTTTGTACCGGACAATGCTAGCCACCGCTAACGTGTTATGCTTAATGGAGGTTGTAGCCAGATGATTAAGAACGACGTGGTTTGGAATGCTCAAAGCTCCAGAAGTATTGTCCTTGTCGGTGTTATTGTAGCTGTTGAGAATCACACTTTCAAGGTGAGGAGGAAGCTGTGGAGGAATGAGCCACTGCTGGTTCTGGTTTCCTTGTCTCTGATTATTGTCTAGAGTAACGTAGTACTCTTCCATTACCTTTGGATCCGTGAAAATAGGGGGAATAGAGTCGATGAACTCGGCTGGTGTGTCCATTGGCTGCTCATCTTCGTCGTGGTATCTCGTGAATCCGTCTCCCATGTCGTCGTCGTCCTTCGTGAGCCCAATTTTGGAGTCTAGTGTCCGCAGCGAGGATTTGGACTTGTTGTTCGAAGTAAGGGAGTTCAGGCTGGTGTAGTCTTCATGCTCAGACGGAATAATTTCTAGATAATTCACAAAATGACCCGAAGTGTCGGTAGCAGTAGGAATATAGTTCGAGAACCTCACCTCGTTGTCAACCACAAACTTGAATCTGTGGGTGCCTGGAGGAAGGGCTATTTGCACGCTGAAACTGCCGTCTTTTTTGGAAGGCCCGTTAAGAGCAATCATCTTTCTCCACCCGGTGAAAGTTCCCATCACAAAGACTTTGGAGCCGCCTTCTATCCATCTGAAAACGGTCGGAACCAGCACTGGCTGCGGCGGCGGCTGTGAGTTTTGCGGATTTTGTGGAACCTGTGTTGGTGCACGTTCTGGAACAGGAGACTGTCCGATATCTTGCTCGCTGTCCACTATCATTTCGTCGTCTTTATTATCCGAGCTGAGGGCCTTGAGTTTGTCAAAATCTGTATCATCGGTGAGTATGAGGGTTGATCTTCGTCTGGAATTTGGTTGTGATGAGCCGTCCGAAGACGACACTGGAGGGGTATCCGAAGACGATTCTGAATGCTGTTGACTGGATTGCGAGTGAAGATTGGTCAGCGGTTCTCTTTGGAGGTCCACCATCGAGACATCCTTGAGGTTCGAGGCCAGCTCGTCGTACACTGACGACGAATTAATTGAATTGTTGGAGTTTGTGGAGACGTTAGACATTTCCGTGCCCGGTGGGCCAACGGAAGAGTTGCTCATAGTGATCGAATTTTAAAACAAGATATATCGCTGAGAGTCCCAATCTACCGTTTATTTGGGATGTTTATCTATTGGCACTAGATAGGTCCAAAGTATTGTTGAATCTTTGTTTTTTCAGCCAGTGTGTTAAAACTTAATTGGTGCCAGAAAAAAACACGGGCAAATACAAAATATAAATAAATACTGCATTATCTCTTAATAATATGGTGTCTTCGTCTTCTGCCACGGAGTCGACCTACGACCAGATAGAGACAGCTAAGGACTCAATTCTTGCAGATCTTGCTACCAGATCCACAAACAAGAACCTTCTCTCTCCCCGAGTCCTCATCATTTGTGGATCAGGCCTGGGGGGAATAGGAGAAATTCTACAGGGTGAAACAGTGGCCATTGCTTACCAAACCATCCCGTATTTCAAGTCTTCCACCGTTGAGGGACACGCCGGCAAACTTTTGTTTGGCGAAATCGGCCCAAACAAGGTCCCGGTGATGTGTATGGTGGGAAGATTACATTTCTATGAAGGTTATTCTTTCGACGAGGCAACGTTCCCTGTCAGAGTCGCGGCAAGTATGGGAGCTCAAATCCTATTGGTCACCAACGCAGCAGGAGGAATCAATCCAGCGTACAAGCCAGGCGATCTTATGATCATCAGTGATCATCTCAACTTGCCGGGTGTCTCTGGATACCATCCGCTAAGAGGCCCAAATCTCGACAAGTTTGGTCCGCGATTTCTACCTCTTTCGGACGCCTATGATTTCGATCTGAGGCTGGAGTTTGTCAAGCAGGCCAAGCAGGTCTTGAAACTGTCCAGAACAATACACGAAGGCACCTACTGCTACGTTGCTGGTCCCAGCTACGAAACCAGAGCAGAAGTCAGATTTATCAGAACCATCGGCGGTGACTCCGTCGGCATGAGCACCGTTCCGGAAGTGATCGTTGCTAGACACAGCAACATGAAGGTTCTGGGTCTTAGTTTGATCACCAACGCCGGATTGGGCACTCCTCCCGTCAGTGCTCTAGAGTTCTTGGAACAAAAACAAGAAGACAGCCAAATTAAAGACCAGCAGGACGGAATGGCCAGTCACGAAGAGGTTCTGGAAAGTGCCAACAGCGCATCCAAGGATGTCAACATCCTGGTGGAGGCGTTCATCAATGCAGTGGGCTCAGTTTAAGTATCATCAATGCATTCTAATATACACGAGAAAAGAGAAAGAATTTAATGCACTTTTTTGCCGATTGCCAAAGCTGCCGCAGCCGCAGCCTTCGACTTGTCGCTCAGTTCCATCTGTTTCACTCCGTTGCTCAAACTGGCCACCGAGCCATTTTGAGAAGAGCTTCTCCTCATAATCCTGCTGCCAGATCCTGAACCTGGTCGGCTAGTTTTCTTAGCAGTACTCTTTGAAGCCTGTTTGGCAGTAGACTCGGGTGGCTCCTTGCTCTGGCGCAATAGCTCTCGAGCTTTCAGCAAAGAGTCGATCCAAGAAACAGACTCGTTCACTTTGAACCCAATTCGCACATTGGAATTGATTCCACCCCGAACCAGAGTTTTCGGGTTATACGCGCTAAGGAATATCAGCTTGTTCATGTTCATGAGTTCAAGAATCAAATATCCTTCCTTCAATTCCTCGTCAAACTCGTAATCATACATTGAAATGTTGCGGTTCGTCAGTTTCACTTCCACAATTTTGGAATAGAAGTCCATAGCCTGCAGCTGTGTTGAAGATTGGGGGTTTTGTAACTTGAAATCAGAATTGATCTCATAAATCAAAAGTCTGGCCATTGATGTGATGATAAGAATACAGCTCTTCAAATCTCTATTCAAGCTCTGGTAGTTCTCTGTAATCACCTTGTTCAAAATTGTATCATCAAGAGTTTGGCCTTGGCTGACAAACTGATTCGGCTTGTGAGTAAGCTCTGATTTGAAAATGTTGTCCAGTTTCAAAATGTACTCGTTGGCCATCAATTTGTTTGTGATCCCCTTTGGTATCTGCTTGTCAAGCAAGATAGGATTGATCATCTGTTGTTGCTGTTGTATTTGGTATTGCGTGTTTGTGAGGCTTGTGGATGATTTTAATGTACGCTTGTGGGACATCATGTTTCCGATGGCCCCAGCAGCACTTACAGCCTGGGAGCTTGGCTGTGGAAGTCCTAGTAACTCGTTGATGGAAGGTGCGCGACTCGATGATTTTTTCTCTGTCTGCTCGCCTCGTTTGGCGACGGTAACGTTCTTGGGCGAAGTGGGCACTCTTATAACAGACTCTGAAGATACACGCTTCACGGGACCTTCAGGAACGAACGGTCTATTTGTGGTATATTCTGCTGTTGTTGTTGAGAGAGGGGGTGTTCTTATCGATCCGTTCTTCTCCCCACTAGTTCCTGTTTGGATCGAGCGATAAGTATTTGTTGTTTTCAAGGAGTCGCTTGAGGGAGAGGAACTTCGAGAGATAGGTGGAGTGATTGAAGAGTTGTCAGGGTTGACAAACTGCAAACTGTTTCTTTTCTCAACAATCTCGTTCCTGTTATGGAAACCGCTCGATGGTGACTGCGATGATTTGGTGTTCTTGGCAGCTGCTGTTGCAGATGACAACGCTGTTTGATCTTTGATCAGCTGGTCTTTGACCTCCTTGTTCTTCTCTGAGAGCCTATGAGAAAGAACTTTACTCATCAGCTGCGGGTTATTTTGTGCGTTCATGATTTGACGCTTCAAAACATGTTGGGGCATCGAAGAAGTTTTGCTCGTGAGTTTTCCATTTGGAGGAACATAATACTGAGAACTTGGATTCGCAATTGGTTGTTTCGGCAGTAGTTGTGGATGCATACGTGAATTGTAAGGTTCCAACTTTGGGACCTTAGTTTTCCAAATGGAATCTGTGTTGTTCCATTCTATATTCTGAAGCCAGGGCTGTTGTTTCAAATGATCTATTGTGAGTCTTCTCTCTGGATCGAGTACCAGCAGCTTGCTGATTATGTTTTCAATTGGTGCCGGGACATAATAGTTCTTAGGGTAGCCATATTCGAGAGATATAATTTTCTCAAACGTGAGGTATTCGGTCTGCCCTTTGAATGGAGGACGTCCGACAATAAATTGATATAGGATACAGCCAAGTGCCCAAAGGTCACATTCGAACCCGCAAATATTGTACTTAAGCAGCTCTGGCGAAACGTATTCGGCTGTTCCAACAAACGAACCTGTGCGGGTGGAACTGTTGGAGTTGTCACCCTTATCGTTCACACTCTGTGAAAGATACCCTTGATTTTTCTCTTCTTCTGTGAGGATCTTGGCGGCACCAAAATCTGTAATCATAAGTTTCCATTCATGATTCAACAAAACGTTTTCAGGTTTCAAGTCTCGGTGAATTATACCCTTTGAATGAATAAACTCCACAGCATCAATCAATTGGGCAAAGTAATATTTGCTGAGCGATTCGCTCAACGAGCCCAATTTACGAATCAGACTCAAGAGCTCGCCATTCTTGGCAAAATCGATCACAAAATAGAGAGACTTGTCATCTTGGAAAGTATAATACAAAGTCACTATACCCGGATGCTTACCAAGAAAGTTGAGCGTATCTTTCTCAATGTTGACATATTTCCTTTTGTTTTCTCGATGGATGTGCGATTTCGACAAAATCTTAATGGCATACGTGCGGTGGTTGTGAATGGAGACTCCTCTAAACACTTTGGAATAAGATCCTTCTCCTATACACTCTCCGAACTGAAAATCAATGGCAGATCTCTTCCTCGCCATTGTAGATTGTTCGATGAGCTTAGAGCTGGAAATTGCGGACGATTGGGGGTTATCTCTGTTTAAAAAAAATGGCGCTTGTCCAATCCACTTTCCACTCCTTTTACAGCCTTGTCTTGTAAATACCTTCTTTGTTTTCGTGAAATATAAATTGAGTTACTATTTACCCGGTTAAAATATGACAGTCTGCCAAAGCCTATAGTCCAGCCAACAGTCTAGTCACATCGTCCATGCCGTCGTATTTGAGCTCTTCCAACTTGGTCGAAACAACTTTAATAAGGTCGGACAAATCAACAAGTTCTCCGTCCTCCTTCTCGTTTCCGGTACCAAGAACCTTCACGCGCACTTGACCCTGCGGATATTCTTCCTTGCCAAGAATCACAGCAATTGGGCACCCACTTCTCTCGGCAGCCTCGAACTGCTTACGTGGATTGGCTTTAGCTTTGTACAAGTATTCGCACTCGATTCCAGCCTTCCAAAGTTGAGATGCAACGGTCATTCTCTCCTTCAAGAACCCGTTCCATCCTTCACCACCACCAAAGGCCATGATGTACACCTGGGTGGACGAAGCTCTGATCTTGTCTGCCAATTGTGCTCTCTGCTTGATCAGCGAGAAAAGTCTCTCAACACCAAACGAAATACCAACACATGGAATAGATGGAGCCTTTTTACCCTTGGAGTTGGTTCCAAGGAACATACCAACAAGTCCGTCGTAACGTCCTCCAGCAGCAATCGATCCAACACCAACATACTCGGATGCATCCTCTTCGTCCTTCTTACTCTTCTTGGCTTTCTCTTTCTTCTCAGCAGCGTCTTCAGGTGGAGCACTTTGTTCTGTAACTGCCTCGTAAATGACACCAGTGTAGTAGTCCAGACCACGGGCCAAGGACATATCGAAGGAGATGTATTTATCCACTTCAAATGCCTCAACATAATCGGTCATGGTGGTGATCTCTTCCACACCCAGCTTGGCAGACTCGTTAGCCATCAAAACTGGGTCGCTAGACAGTTTCTGCAACACTTCTCTCAAAGAACCACTAATTTTAACGTATTCTCCGATCTTGTCAGCAACCTCCTCTGGTTGTCCCTTCTCCTCACACATTTCCTTCTTGACAGCTTCCCATGGGGATTTGTCCAACTTATCAACAGCAGAGGAGATTTTACGCACATCCTCCTCCTTGACTCCACAAACTTGAAAAATACCATCCAAAATCTTTCTGTGGTTCAACTTAATCTTGAAGTCTCTGATTCCCAGTCCGGTCAAACCAGAGACAAGAATGTTCATGATCTCTGCATCCGGAACCATGGAATCGTAGCTTCCGGCAACGTCGAAATCACATTGGTAGAACTCTCTCATTCTTCCCTTGGTCATGGCAGGTTGATCTCTTCTATAAACCTTGGCAATGTGATACCGTTTGATATTAGCGATTCCGTTCATGGCAACATATCTGGCAAATGGAACGGTCAAATCGTATCTCAAAGAAGTGAGCTCACCTCCTTGGTCTTCCAGATTGTAAATTAACTTCGAGTCTTCACCGTATTTTCCAGCGAGGATCTCTCTCAGCTCAAAAACTGGAGTATCAATGGTCACACCTCCGTGGGATTTGAAGAGCGATGTAAGCTTGCTGAAAATGGCCTCTCTGATTATCATATCTTTATCAGCCCAGTCTTTGGTTCCCTTTGGGGTTTTCAAAGTAAACTGTTGGGTTTCTTTCGCTTTCTTGGAACTAGTTGGTACCCCCTGAGCGGCCTTTGCGGCTGGGGCGCTGGTGCTAATACTCTGTGACATGACTCGACAAATTACGTTGTATCTTTTGATCGAGGAACAAATGAACATGGAGACAGAGCAGGGTGGATTTTTTCAAAAAACAGTTTGTGCTGCGCACGACCCCACGACGAAAGAATGTGTCATAGCTGGATACAGTAGCAGGAAACTGCAGCGTAGCAGGGAAGAGTTGTCTCTGGAAAGAGTTGTGGGGTCATAAGAGTTCACTCTAAAGTTGGTTAGATTGACAAATTGGGTTTTTCCCCCGAAACTCTGCATCCTTCCTCAAGACAATGTTTAATAAGTCAAGGTTATTAATTCTATTGATATATTTCGTACACTATTTAAACTTCTCTACAATGTAGTCCTCTCCGTTTTCCTGGTATTCTTCCTTGCTGATGAACAGACTATCCAGATTACCGGCAGAAGAGCTGGTAAGAACGTTCGCACCCACCCAAGAATCGAACTGTCTCTCAATGGTGTCTGGAGACAGATAGGTAATGATGGTGTAGTCTGAGATCAATCTTGCCAAATCTTGAGCGATCCTGTGCTCCAAGTTGGGAATACTGGAGAGCGAGCCGGTGAAGACAATATTTTTGAGGAGTTCCATGTACAAAGAAGCAGGTGCTTCCAGACTCTTCATGGAACTTAGAATAAGCGACGAGATACCTTCAGCATCTTGAGCGACCTTGAGTTGAGGAAGGTTTTTGGAGTATCCGGCAGGGTTAAACAATGGCTCTGCCAGTTTGTACTGCTCGATACCGATATCTTTGATGAGACGTCTATTTGGAAGCTCATAATTTCTGAACTCTATTTGCGAGTGAGACTCGTATTGTGGATAGTTGGTCTGGGGAGGAAGGTCGTTCTGTTCAGGTAGCACTGGATACAATGACGCGTGCAACAGCACGTTTTTGAACTCGGCCAAAGATGTGGATATTTGATATGTTCTAAAGGAGTCGCTCATGGAGGAGTTTTGGAATTGTCTAGGAACGAGGAACGAATCGATTGGTTCGTTAGGGAACTTGGATTGGATAAAGTCCAAAACAAACGGACTCAGGAAATCACCGCCATATTTGGTGAACTGAATACCTTTAGGAAGCACAGCACCGTTGCTAATAGGAGTCACACTAACGATGTCTTCGTCGATATCGACAACGATCGACGAAGAAGGTTTTGACACGGCAAAAGCCGTACAAAGCTGTCTTTTCAAAATCGAGAAGATTGGCACTTGTAGCTCCTCAAACGCAGTTTGACATGCCTTGATTCTGTTTTTCTTGGTGTTCCAGGCATTTTCAGTAACAACAAGCGGGATTTCGGTCGCGTTGAGTTTCAATTGCGAGTAGATCTGTGTCCATTGTTGAGAGATAGCCTCCCAGTCGTACACCAGTCCTTCACTGTACATGGTGTAGATGTTATTTTGAGGGTACGAATCGATGTCGTCTCCAAAGACGTAGTTGCCATTATCCACCGAATCCCGCGAATACACCGTCGGCATGACCACAGACGGCATGTCTAGCGACGACAAGCCCGCTTTGGTGTACGAGGAGTTGGAATCGACAATTAGCGATGGAAAGTCAAAGTCCATGGTTGTTGTTAAATTGGAGACAAGTTTTTCGCGAGAAAAAATACCAAATAATCTTTAAAGGTATGTCGCAACAGGATTACGACAGATTGAAAAAGAAGCTCAAAGACGCGCTGAACAGAAAGAAGGAGATCGACCGACAGGTTACTCGTTTGGAAGAAGATATCTTTAACAAGGAAACGGCGTATTTGTCGGAAGGCGCGCAACACGGAAACATAATTAAGGGATTCGAGAACTTTACGAAAACCACAACATCCACGTCCTCGTCGAGAGGAAAAAAGATACAGTTTACAGACGAAGACCGCATATTTTCGCTCAGTTCGGCCACCTATGTCCGGCATTTGAAGAAGATCAATAGCGGCCAGATGCAGGGCACTTTGAATCCGCTTTTAGCCCAATATGACGATGACGACGAGGAGAGCGAAGAGCTCACCCCACGCAAAAGGAGAACTTAGCTCTCAAAGAGGTGTACGAACACTTTCAGGGAATATCAATTGATTCACAATGACCTTTTCACTCGACCCGCCACCGCTTTGTAAAATATAATTTTCTGTGTATAAAAATTTGCCTATGCATTTAACACCAGACGAAATTGCTAGATTGCAAGCGCAGTCGGCTAATATCCGAAACATCTGTATTCTTGCGCATGTTGATCACGGGAAGACTACGCTATCGGACTCGTTACTTGCTTCAAATGGAATCATTTCTCAGAGATTGGCGGGCAAAGTCCGGTATCTTGATTCTAGACCAGATGAGCAGCTGAGAGGAATCACCATGGAATCGTCGGCGATTTCGCTGTATTTCAAGACTATTTCACGGGCCCAAGAGACTTCGATCGTCAACGAGTACTTGATCAACTTAATTGACTCTCCTGGCCACATTGACTTCTCTTCAGAAGTGAGCACTGCTTCGAGATTGTGTGATGGAGCAGTGGTTCTTGTTGACGTCGTGGAGGGAGTCTGTTCGCAAACGGTGACAGTTTTGAGGCAAGCTTGGGTCGATAAGCTGAGACCTGTTTTGGTTCTTAACAAGATTGACAGACTCATCACTGAACTACAGATGACTTCCTCTGAGGCATATTTGCATCTTTCCAAGATTATCGAGCAAGTCAATTCTGTGATCGGTTCGTTCTTTGTTGGAGAGAGAATGCAGGATGATCTGGTGTGGAGAGAGAAAGTTGAAAGAGGAGAGATCGAGGAGTTCTTAGAGAAAGACGATGAGGATATCTATTTTTCTCCAGAGAAGAACAATGTCATTTTTGGGTCCGCAATTGATGGATGGGGTTTCAACATTGCTCAGTTCTCTGTCATATATGAGAAAAAACTGGGAATCAAAAGAGACCTGTTACAGAAATGTTTATGGGGAGACTTCTACTTTGATCCAAAGTCCAAGAAAGTGATTCCAGCAAAAGCCCTCAAAGGCAGAAACTTCAAACCGCTGTTTGTCACTTTTGTTCTCGACAGTATCTGGCACATCTATGACACATGTTTGATTAACAGGGACACGGAGAAATTGGAGAAGATTGTCAAGTCGTTAGGAATCAAGGTGCTCCCAAGAGATCTACGTTCCAAGGATACTAAACAACTACTCAACACAATTTTCAGTCAATGGCTTCCTGTTTCAAACGCAATCTTGCTGACAGTGGTGGATAAACTGCCTTCTCCGTTGGTTTCTCAAAAGGAAAGAATCCCACACATTCTGGATGCTGCTCCAAGCTCGAAGTTGGTTGATCCAAATTTAAAGAAGGACATGATTTCCTGTGATGCCAAGGGGCTTGTCAGCTGCTATGTGTCGAAAATGATATCCGTTCCTGAAGATGAGCTCCCTCGCAACCAGAAGCAAGCTATTGGTGAGCAGGAGCTTTTTGAGCGTGGTCGTAGGGCCAGATTGGAGGCTCTTAAAGCTGCAGAGGAAGCAAAGAAGCTGGAGAAACCTAAAGAGGAAGACGAGTTTGCTGTCATCACTGCTTCGGATGAACCTGAATGGGATTTTGAGGAAGAGGAGGACGAGGATGCACCAGCAGACCTTAAAAAGGAAGTGATCATTGGGTTTGCTAGAATCTACAGTGGAACAGTTTCTGTTGGCCAAGAACTGACGGTGCTGGAACCAAGATTTGATCCGTTGCACGCAGAGAAACATACCAGCAAAGTCACGATCACAGAATTGTATCTTCTGATGGGACGTGAACTCATACCTCTGGAAGAGGCAACTGCAGGAAGTATTGTCGGAATAGGCGGTTTGGAAGGAAAGGTCCTGAAAAGTGGTACTTTGATCACACCGGGAGTGGTGGGAGTCAACTTGGCTGGTATCAATTTGAACAATCCACCGATCGTGAAGGTCGCATTGGAGCCAGTAAACCCTATCTACATGGACAAGCTGGAGCATGGCCTGGAGCTTCTAAATCAGGCTGACCCCTGCGTTCAGACCTATTTGGAGGATACTGGAGAACATATTCTTGCGACGGCCGGTGAATTGCATCTGGAAAGATGTTTGAAAGATTTGAAAGAGAGGTTTGCAGGAATTGAGATCACGGCTTCCAAGCCAGTCATTCCGTTCAGAGAGACAATTGTTGGTAATGTCGAGTTGAATCCACCAAAAGGTGAGTTTGGACGAGGAGTAGTGGATATCAAATTGGACAAGTATCATATACAACTTGAAACCAGACCACTTCCTGAAGCTGCTACAGAGTTCCTGCTCAACAATAAAGCATCCATCGCAAAACTGGCTCGTCGTGAGGTCAAGGAGGACGAGGACGAGGTGATGATTGGAAGTGTTCTAAGCAAAGAACAATTTTCTCAACAATTGAAGGATGCGTTGGAGACTGGTAACAAGTCCAAGATGAGAGACAATATTGACTGGACAGATACTCATTTGCGTGTCTGTTCGTTTGCTCCTAAGCGGATTGGCGCTAATATTCTTTTCGATACCCCAGAAAACCATCTTCGTCGGTTGTTCGAGGCAGACAACAGAGCCAAGAAGTTTGAGTATGAGGATAATATACTGCACGGATTCCAAATTGCTTGTTTCGAAGGTCCGTTGACAGCAGAGCCTACACAGGGAGTTGCAGTGTTTATCAAGAGTATCAAGCTTCTTGAAGAGCCAGTTCTCGTCAACGATGTGTCTGGTCGGTTGATTGGTTCTACCAAGGATGCTATCCACAAGGGATTCTTAGACTGGTCTCCGAGATTGATGTTGGCAATGTATTCTTGCGATATTCAGGCTTCTGCTGAAGTTCTGGGTAAAGTGTACGCTGTTATTCAACGTCGGAGAGGAACTATCATTAGCGAAGAGATGAAGGAAGGAACACCGTTCTTTACGGTTAGTGCCAAGATTCCTGTTATTGAAGCTTTCGGATTCAGCGAGGATATTAGAAAGCGGACCTCTGGTGCAGCATCACCTCAATTGGTGTTTACTGGCTTCCAAACTATAGATGAGGATCCGTTCTGGATTCCAACCACCGAGGAAGAACTTGAGGAGCTGGGGGAATTTGCTGAACGTGAGAATATTGCCAGACGTTACATGAATGATGTGAGACGGAAGAAGGGTTTGTTTGTGGACGAGAAGGTGATTCAAAATGCCGAAAAGCAGCGTACTCTTAAGAGAGACTGAAGACGTGTACGACACAAATACTTTTAATGAAAATAATACGGGTAAAAAAAGCTAGTCGTTAATAGTATGGGATTGTTTAGCAAGGAGACAGTGAAAGAGCCTCCTAATCGCTCGAAGAGAGAAAAATGCTGGGAAAGCAGGGATATTTATTTCAGATGTTTGGACCGGATTGAGGTGGAGAACCCATTTGACAAGACCAAACAAGATAAAATCAAAAAAAATTGCTCCAGTGAGGATGCGCAGTTCTCCAAAGACTGTGTGACTTCTTGGGTCAAGTATTTCAAAGAGAAACGTCCATTTGATATTAAGAAGGAGAGGATGTTGAAGCAGGCAGCCGAGGAGAATGCTGAAATCATCCCATTGAACAAGTAAGGCCTGCCTCATGTATATAAATGTGCAATGGAAATTAATGTAGATATGCGATTTGAATGTGGAAACTGGTCTCCTTTTAGGTGCTGGCTTCCTTTACCACTTGCAATAGCTCGTTAAACTTCTTTTTATTCTCGTCTACCTTGGCGTTCAATTCACTGATGCGCATCTTGTATAATCGTTCGCAGATCTCAACGACCAGCGGTTCATTTTCTTTGTAATAATCTAAACTTTTATCTGGCGTTTCTATCAATTGATTCTCCAACATGAGATTGTTGAACAACTGCAAAAACTCGGACTTGGACGGCGTCCAGCTATCACTGGACTCCATCAACGGGTTCTCTTTCAGCTTTTCCAAAACAGTTTCAACATCAAAATTCTTCCCCGACAATGAATGTAAGCAGTCAAACATCACCTGACTGATCAAGAGCAACGTCTGTGTGGTGTAACTTTCAGGATTGGTCAAATCTACCTGATCCATATGCTAACAATATAAACAATAATTTCCAATATTTTTTATTTTCCTATCCGCGAAGTGTTCTGTTTTTGTTTGATTCTTTAGGTTTATCTTGAAATGTCGTTCCGAGACGACTTACAATTGAGTTCCCTGATGAGCGAGCTCAACGGGTTCAAGATTAATGGATCAACATCCAAGGACCGTGAAAAGGTACCGCATAACCTGTTGGGAGCAGATAAACTGCATACTCCCTCAAAAAGGTTATCCTCCTTAAGCGTCTCGTTGGATCCGCAGTTTAGTTCCAAAATCCCCACCCGATCGCCATCTACCAAATCGTTGAAACTGATCGATCCGCCGCAAACAAACAACTCGAAACTTCCAGTTGCAAAGCGTTTCTATAGTGACTCAAAACATACCCAACGGAAACCATCTCTGAAATATGCTTCTGGAATTCCAACTTCAAGATCGATGTACCAAATCAACACAAATATCCCACAAGCCCCATCGTACCTGAAACCAACTCTTTCGTCATTGAACCGATTGAAAGCCCACGAGAAGGAGAACGTTTCCCTTCAAAGACGTCAAAGCATGAAACTCCCCGAGAAACGTGGCATGGTGTCTTCCTCTAGTGTCATGGACTTAAAAATCTCCAAGTTTACGGACAAAAAACCAAGCATTCCACCCTCAAGATCGCATAGAAACATCACTGCACCAATACGAAGGTCACAAGAGGCTCATTTGGCTAGTCAGAACGATCTCTATTTATTGTTGGAGTCAAGCAAGAAAACATCACAACAATTTAGACAATACCTTTCGTTCTTGTCACAAGGACAAAGAAATGATCTTTCGATCAGTCCAATGGAATTAGCAGTTGTTAGACCTGATTTGTACGAACAATTGACTGTTTATGAAAGAGGAGAAATACAACGCAAACAGGAAATATACTTTACAGGCAACCGGAAAGTCAAGGTCAAGGTGGACAGCAAAAATTATGGACTCAACTTTGGTTTCGATGATAAGGATAAGAATTATGTGCGCATGATCGGAGACCACATCAATTACCGATATGAAATTTTATCAAACCTCGGTCAGGGCTCGTTTGGATCAGTCGTATGCGCCAGGGACCACAAGACCAACAGTCTAGTAGCCATCAAGATTGTTAAGAACGAGATGGACTGGTCGGTCCAGGCGTTGAGTGAAGTCAAATGTTTGAAACAACTCACAGGGAATTCATCAAACGTCATCGAATACGTTGAACATTTTCACTTTAGGTCACACTTTTGCATTGTCACAGAGCTGTTGCTTATCAATCTCTACGAGCTGATTGAGTTGAATCAGTTCAAAGGCATCAAGCTTCCACTACTCAAACAATTTGGCAAAGATATACTTGTCGGAATGAAGTTCATCCACGATCAGGGCCTGATCCATTGCGATATGAAACCGGAAAATCTCATGTTAGCATACAAACCGCAACTCGGATTCCATGTCAAGATTATTGATTTTGGATCTTCGTGCAAACGGGGAAACCTATCGTTTTCTTACCTACAATCCCGCTTCTATCGTGCTCCAGAAGTTTGTCTGGGAGCCAGATACAACCATAAGATTGATATTTGGTCATTTGGTGCCATAATGGCAGAGATGTACACCGGGCTACCTATGTTCCAGGCCAAAGATGAGATTGATCTCATTTCATACTTCATAGCATTTTTCGGAGCTCCAACCAGGAACCACATTTTGCATCTCAGGAATCAGCTATTAAACGAAGGCCCAATCATCAATGCAAGTCGGAACAGTTCGCAATCGATCAACTTTGGGACTCTACTATGGAGAGCATTCAACGAGGATGGCTCGCTGAATGTGGGGTACTTGCACTCTCGCAAACCAGGGTGCAAAATCAAGCCATCGTCTCGAAGTTTGCGCCAGCATCTTCTCAAACATTGTGGCGAACCTGGTCCCGATTTTGAGAAATTTGTGGACTCACTCTCTGGCTGCCTTACCTGGAACCACACTCGCCGGATGGATTGCGACAGGGTTTTATCTATGCCATTCTATCAGTAGTCTTGCTGGCACCATAGTATGGGGTTACGAGAAATCGGAACGACGACTTGGCTTCTTTATCAGCATCGTCGTGGCTCCTTGAATATGCATATAAGGACATAACTTAAGTTTATAAAAGGACGTAATTTGGATTTGATAGAAATAGGCTGTGCTACCATAATCATGGATTGCGTATAACTTGCTAGAAATGGGAAATAATTTTGATAAAAAAAAGATGAGCAGTTCTCCTCCTTCTTCATCCAGTTCAGACAAAGCGATGTCTATAACGCGAAAATTGGCTGTCAGTGCAATCAATGGGATCCAAGAGCGTTCAAATGACTATATACACAACCGGAAAAGCGAACGAGGGCAAGGCGAGGGGCGCAAGCGGGCAGCCTTAGCGGCGATCATCTCGACTGTCTCCTCTGTTGGAGCAGACAAGCTTGCACGTTCAGAGTTTGGTGAATATGACAATCTAACAGAACAAGAAATGCACGACAAGGTCCATTTTATGGACAAACTGACCAATAAGTTAATTGACACCATTCCTCAGAGATCAAACGAATCATTGGAAGAATTGCGTCTTCGATTAGATGATAAGCATAGGGTGGACCAACCAGGGCTGTCAATCACAAGAATCAGTAGGAATTTCAAGACGCTCAGTTCAAAGATGGATATTGTGTTCCGATTACAATACTTTGTTCTCCGCACCATTTCATGGGACGAGCCGGCTCTGACCTTGACATTTCTGATTTTGTACACCTGGGGATGTCTGATGCCGTATTTGTTTCTTGTTTATCCGCTGATATACGTGCTGACCGCTATCCTGATCCCAAATTATCTCTACCGACACCCCATTGAGAAGCCAGATATCATTCCGACTCGCCAGCGTGGAGATAAATCAATTTTTGGGTTTTTACAAACTCGTAACGACTGGGAAAAGGATAGGCAGCAGCTTCTCGAAGAAAGGAGCAGAGAATTGGAGCGCCTTCTGGGACAGGACCTGAATCTATCAACGATCAGCTCCAGAAACTCAACAGATTCCGAAGATGATACCAGTTCAAGTTTATTGTATGAAGCATTCACGACCGATCAAAAAAGCAACATGGTTTTGAAAGCCGTGCTGGAAAGCGGAGATTCAACTTCAGATGACAAGAAACCTTCTGGGATGATGGACAAAGTGAAACTTCTAATCAATATGAGGGATCTACAGAACTTGACTTCCACTTTGATCAAAATAATGGACAAAATGGAGAAGAGCATGTATGAAAATTGCAGCTTCAAGGATGAGAAGAAGAGCACGAAACTGTTTTTCAATATTGTTTCTTTGGTGATCATTGCAATGGTGCTTGGACCGTATATTCCTTGGCGTGCAATATTCATTATTACTTTATGGGTTCTGCTTCTTTTGAAACATCCAAGCAGAGGCGAAGTTTGGAAGCAGTTCAAGCCACAGAAAAAGCGCAAGCTGCCTCCACTAAAAAAGGCATCGCCAAAAGAGAGATTTTCATGGGTGACAGAGATCATGGTTGATGATTCTCCTCAATATCGGGAAGTGGAAATTTACGAAGTAGAAAAGCAAGATATCATTGAGTCTTCTGTCTATCAACTGTTTATCTACTCGCCGTCTATTTTCAATGAATCGAATCCTTCCAGGTTGCAAAAGAAGAGGCCGGATGGAACAACCAACTTGGCAATTGTTCAACCACCAACTTCCAGTTGGAAATATACAGGAAATGACTGGCTAGTTGACAGAGACGTGGCATCGTGGACTTTAGAGAATGGAGTGTCAGATGAAGTTGATATAAGAGGAGAGTGGGCATATGACAAGTCTGGAGAATATCGCCGTCGCAGACTTGTTCGTGAGGTCGTGAGGATAAGCCGACCAGCTAAGAAGCGCAACTTAACTAAGTCATGAGTCTTGCACTAGTCCATCAAACAATCTTCTGAAACAGCCATTTGATGGATCATTATAGTGCAGATATGGATCTGTCTTGGACAAAAATTCACCACACAGATTACAGAAGTATGTTCTGCACCGCGAGCATGTCATTTTATTGCAACCATCAGATCTTTGAATCAGTAAGGAACAACTTGGGCAACGAACAATACCCGCTTCGCCGGATTCGATCAAATCTTCAAACAGACTATCGGAGACATGCTCGTCAACAGACAGCATGATTGCTTTCCGGCCATACTTGAAAGCCAGGTTGTTCCTCACTTCTGAGTCTGGATCGTTTTCGAGCCACAGCTCTATATCCTCAATTGGGATCTTTTGGCCGAGATAGTTCTTGCAATTATTGAGTTCGCCATGCCAGGAGTGCAAACAGCCGTAACAGAACGCCATACCGCAATTCGGACACACGCATAGCATATCATTATCATCCTTTCGCAGAAAATAGGTAGCACAGTGTCTTCTTGGACATTGTGCTACTCGGAATGGGAATAGTCGTTTATATTTTTCAAACTTGTAGACTGTAGCAAGCTTGAAATATCGCTGTGTTAGAACGGGATCTACCACTTTGTTGAGGAACTCCTGAGTAACTGGAAGAACAAAAAACTCTGTTTCGAATTTGCCTAAGTCTTTCACTGTAACGTTTGCTGAAAGGCGGTTATTGGTTTCGACGTAAGCCTTTGTACATTGAAAAGATGGGCAATGAACGTTGTCTAACTCACCACGTTGAATATTAGATGTGAAGTATTCTGTTAGGCAATGGTTGCAAAAGACATGGCCACAACCATCGAGTCTTTGAACAGAATCTCCCTTTTTAGACTCCTGGCAGATCTCGCACTCGAAAGTCTGCAGATTGAATTGCTTCTGTTTTTCATGGACATTCAACTTGATAAACTGTTCGTACTGGTCTTTCTCCAAGATCAGTGGTTTTGCAAGATCAAAAATCCCAAACGCTCTCTGGCTGTGCTCCTTTAGATAGTCTATGATTGAGAAGAGCACTATATCGTGGAAGTCCTCCCAAATTCCTATCAGATCAGCAACCAGAGAGTCCTTTTGAAACGGTTCAAGCCACTCAGCACCAAAAATTTCGAGATTGGGTGGCTTATCGTGCGGATAATCTCTAGGAAGGCTAAATCGCAACTCGATAGGACTCAGAAAAGAGATTGTCTGAGATTCAGCCATATTCGACAGTCTGATCTCTAGATCAGACTCCAGCTCAACCGGAATAAATAATTTTCCCGACCTGGAAGTCCGGTCGAGTTGTATTTCGGGGAAAATAGCTTTCAAACTTTCAAGCTCCTCGTCTTCATCTAGCATAAATATATTAATAACTGTTTTTGGAACTTTTTTTTCAAATTTAAACTGAACACGATGGATAGATCCGCTGGTTTCATACGGACATTCGACGCTTTTCGTAAGTTCATTTCCTCCAAAGTGCTAACCCGTCAGCGAAAATAGCCCCATCGCAACAGGTGCGATCGACTAGAGGATCGTACTCCTCGATTATCACATACGTGTTTCTTCTCTTTCTTGTTTGGGTGGAAATCGGAGGATATATCGATGGAGGCATCGACCATCAGTTCACAGTGGACGAGGTGGTTCGAAAAGATCTGGTCATCAATCTGGATTTGGTCGTGGCCATGCCGTGTAACTATATCCATACTAATGTCAGAGACGCTACTGATGATAGATTCCTGGCAGCAGAGTTGTTGAATTACCAGGGTGCGGTGTTTAACATCCCTCATTGGTATCAGGAATCGGACAAAAAGATTGTTACACCCGAGCTCGAGCAAGTTCTTGAGAGATCGGTTCCCGCAGCTTTCCAAATGAAAGGAGAACACCGCGACGAAGGAGCTCCAGCGTGTCGTATATACGGAGCCATTCCCGTGAATAGAGTCAAGGGAGAATTCCATATCACAGGCAAGGGATATGGATACAGAGATAGAACGCACACTCCGATGCAAGCACTCAATTTTACACATGCAATCTCGGAGTTTTCATATGGAGAGTTTTTTCCATTTCTAGACAATCCACTAGATATGACCATCAAATCAACCAACGAAAATATCCATTCGTTCAGATACCATATCAGCGTGGTTCCAACATTGTACCGCAAACTGGGACTGGAGATCGATACCAACCAATACTCGCTTTCCCTCACCGAATCATCTGGTAGATACGTTCCGGGAATTTTCTTCCAGTACGATTTTGAGCCAATTAAGATGGTGATCGAAGAAAAGAGACTTTCGTTTTGGCAGTTTGTTGTCAGGCTGGTGACCATTCTAGGTGGAATCATGGTGGTCGCAGGCTGGCTTTACAAACTGCTCGACAAGGCTCTTTTGCTGACGTTCGGAAAGGAGTTTGCCAAGAGAGGAGAAGAGAAAAAGAGCGGAGGACTGTTGGATAAGGTGGAAGAATTTGAAAAAATCTAGCTCAACAAGGCCTGAGTTTCTTCCTTATACCCAACTCCTTGGACGATCTCAGTATATCTGATATACTCGTCGTCGTCAAACGTTATAATGTCCCAATATTTGTACACCAACATGATTGCGAACAGATTGCTCAACGTGCTGAAAATTAGTCCGTCGACATAGTGATTCAATGATGTGCATATGCTGTAATTGAAAATATACAGCAAACATTCGGCAGCGACGAAGAAGAAAACCGAAAAGCATAGTGCCCCGATTGCCCACCAATTTAGCACCAGCGTAACAAAACAGATGAAGAGTTGGCATACCAGGTACATGAATAAAAGTGTCCCGTTGACGATAAAGTACAAGACGAACAGTGATGTTGTTTCTGCTCTGTTTATTAGATTGGTCCAGTTTTCAAACGTCAAAAGCGAAACCACATAATTAAGCGTGAACACCGCAAAGGAAGTCACAAATAATGCTGCCATCGTGTGGACAGAACCATCGTCCCAAAAGTTCAGACTTGAGAGTCCCGCGAAAAACAGCGTCCAACAACAAACGCCAGTCATAGCCACTTGGAAACTCACAAAGTATCCATAAGTTGTGGACCCTGCGGGTGCTACCCCTGTATCGACGATTATTGAAGAGATTGTGAAGAGTATGAAACTCCAGTAGAAAACAAGCATTTCTTTTCTGCCCACGGATGTGTACCTTAATCGCACATTGTATATGATCATGAGGGTGACTATCAACGAAGAAATGTGGATAAAAGCTGTACCGATCTGAAAAATCAGAGTGTTGGAAACATCCACCGTGCGAGCGTAGCAGTCGGGCAGAATGCCAGGAAAGCTTGTGTTGAAGTCATGTAATGGGCTCACAAGAGTACACAACGGCAGCGACGTTCTGGCGCAAATCCCAGAGAAGTCGCCAAACATGAGGGATAACTAATTTGGCAGCTAATTTGGGGCGGCTAGACACGATAGAAAATTGGCCAAATTTTTGAATCATTCACTTATTTTATAGCATGTAACCCATAAGAATGAACTGCATAGAGTTGGAGATACACAACCAAAATATGCGCTTATAGTCTCGTTGGTGAGCGCCCAATCATTCCAGCTACGCGGAGCTTTATCTGCTCCCAGATTATCTATATGTGCACGTTTTATTTTTGGCAGATAATCAATCATCATCAAGTCAATTTTTCATCCAAATTTTTCAGTTATCTGACCTCCGTCAATCCGCCATGTCTCCTGTCGCTGATAAAAAACAGTCTGCCACCGCTAGAGTGCTTGGATCTGCCTCTGCTGGAATTTGTGAAATCGGTGTTTTCCACCCGGTTGATACCATTTCCAAGAGACTCATGAGTAATCAAACCAAGGTCAACAGCTTGGAAGTGTTCAATAAGGTCATTTTCAGAGAAAATGCAACCAAACCAATGGGCCAAAGACTTCTCAGCTTGTTCCCTGGTCTTGGATACGCTGCTTGTTACAAGATCTTGCAAAGAGTGTACAAGTACGGAGGTCAACCATTCGCCAATGAGTTCTTGACTTCCAACTTTAGATCCACTTACGAGGACGCTTTCGGCTCCAAGACCGGTAAGGCCCTTCTTTCGGCTACTGCTGGTTCTTTGATCGGTATTGGTGAAATTGTGCTGTTGCCATTGGATGTCTTGAAGATCAAGAGACAAACAAACCCCGAGGCTTTCAAGGGTAGAGGTTTTGTCAAGATCTTGCAAGACGAGGGATTGGGATTGTACAAAGGATGGGGATGGACTGCTGCTAGAAATGCCCCTGGCTCCTTTGCTTTGTTCGGTGGTTCTGCCTTTGCTAAAGAGTACGTTTTCCACTTGCAAGACTACTCTTCTGCTACCTGGGGTCAAAACTTCGTTGCTTCCATTTTTGGTGCCTCTGCCTCGTTGATCGTGTCTGCTCCGTTGGACGTCATTAAAACCAGAATCCAGAACAAGAACTTTGAGTCTAACGAATCTGGATTCACAATCTTGAAAAACATGGCCAAGAACGAGGGTGTTACTTCTTTCTTCAAGGGTCTCACTCCTAAGTTATTGACCACCGGTCCTAAGCTTGTGTTCTCTTTTGCCTTGGCCCAAACTTTGATCCCAGCTTTTGACAAGATGCTTAATTAGTTCTCATGTATATACAATTAATTAGATAGAGTTTGCCAGTTGCAGCACCAACGGGTGAGTGTCTGCTGCAAAATTGGGCAATTCAATAATTTGTTCGAACGTTACTAAAGTTTTGGCGTGGATGAGTGTAGCATAGACGAACTCAAAAATAGACGGTTCGGAAAGGCTCCCAAAACAACCATCTGATTTCAACAATTTTGAAATGCTTTCGCAATTTGTTATCACTTGGGTTCTTAGTTTCGTAACGTCCGGGCGAAGACCGAGAATCAGCTCTTGACTCTGAAAAGCTCTGCGTATAGGGCTTTTGTAGAAATTGTCTTTTTCAGGAGCAAACAACAAAGAGTTCGTAAAGAATAGATCATCAAACTTACCGTTTGTAGCAAGATAGAACAAATTATTGTCGGTAGCAGCAATAGTCTTGGTAGAAATGAAATATGCAATCATTTGTTTCTCTACCTCAACAGGAACCATTGTGGTTTCAAGTTTCAAAAACTTAGAAAGGTGATGAGCAGACGACAAGCGCAATTCTTCGTCGTCATCAGACAAAAAATCAAACAGCTTTATAAGAACTTGAGTCTTTTGATCTGTTCCTTCTTCCGAGACACCATTAAAGCCAATCAGTGCTCCCAATGCAGCTTTTCTATAAGGGAACTCGGAAGAGTCGGCACCCAAGCGCACGACAACGTTATACCATGAGTTGAAAATTGAAGGTTGCAAGTTTTTTGCAACCAAAGGACCCAAGCTTTCAACGACACTCATTTCAATATCACTGCCTTCATTTTCATTCATCAAACTGAGAAGCGGTTTTAACATATGAGATCCTTCGTATTGAGACGTTGACAGTAAGTCTCTTAGAGAACTCAAGGCTGCAGACTTCACATAGTTCCATTTTTCCTCAAGACACAATTTCCACAACAATTCAATGACCTTGATTTTGATTTCAGCAGGGAGTGAAATGCGGCACACGTTAATGGCAGCCAGACGAACTTCATACAAAGAGCCTAGAGCAATTTCGAGCAAATCCAAAAATGATTCCCAGTTCTCAGATTGATCGTAGTGATTCAACAGCAAGCAAACACAGGCTGCCAGCGATAATTGTTGAGAGCCATCCAATGTTTTCAAACTGCAGTGGGATAAGAACCAGTTGCCCAATATCGAGGCCGATTCTTGATCACATTCAAACTCTGCAAATTGTAAAAGTCTGAAGTAAGTCAATTGTATAGCATAGTTATTTTTCACGAGCATTGCTCTTAGATGTTCTGCCATCAATGATTTGTACTCCTTTGGAATAGAAGTCCATTCATTCTGCACAGCAAGTCGACGTATTAACTCCTGAACCGCCAATATATGGCCATGTATGGCGTTCAAATGCCCCGAACGATTCAATAGAGCTGAACATTCAGTAAATACAGAGTCAGAGGGAATCAATGCAGGAAGTGCTCTGGAAGCCATCTCACGCAGTTTCCAGCTTTGATTTCCCAAACATGTCAAGACAAGAGGTTTGAATTCTTCCAATCCAGAATACTCTGGAGTAGCCTCCAAACGAGTAAGTGTCGTCAAAACCGGATACATTTTTTCAACATTCTCACTTGTGAATCCATTCTTGATAGAGGTGGTCAGAGAATTCAACAGTACTCCGCGGATAGTCTTGAATCTAGAAAAAAACAAGCGGGCCGAGATTGTAGAGAGATGTCCACTCTTGATTTTCTTAGTTCCAAAAAGTTTGTTTTGCAACGCAGCAAATAACATAACACCACAGTTGCGAACAGCCCATATGCTCGAGCCAAATCTGTCCAACGAAAGCTGCAGCGCTTGCCCAACATAATCTGCAGAATCTTTTGACAGCGATGAATCCACAATAATCGCTTTGACAGAGTTGATAGCATTGACTTGGGGAATGTTTATAGAAGTAGCTGCCTCTGGGTCAATTGGTAGCTGGGCAATTTCAACAAGCTTGTCCATAGTTGACGCAATGAAGTTTGGGTTAGAACGCAGCATTGCCGTGATCAAGAAAGGAATACCAGCAGATCTTCTTGTAATGGAGCTGGTTCCTGTTTCGACAAGAGAAAGGGTCTGTTGCAACCACATATCAGTTTTCTTATATTTCTTGCAACAGGCAACAAAAGTAGGAAAAACTGATGTGAAAGCTCCCTTGTGACGGACAGTTGCAAGCTGCTCCATCAACTGCTCTCCAATAACAGAAAGAACATCTTGCTCAATGGAATATTTCAAAATCAAGACTTCAAGCAAGTTACTTGACTCCTTTAGAGCTCTCCAACAATAGTTGTAGACAACTTGGGATGCCTTTCCATATTGCGCCTCCAGATCTACTCTATACTCCTCAACCTCTTCAGGCAAGTTTCCTTCGGGTGAATCATTTTTCAGAACGTCTTTAGTGATTTCCCAAATTTCAGAGCAGCACTCAATCAGCTCAGCAACATATTGCTGTAGATCACCGTGGTAAATACTGAATATATGCTTCAAAGCTGCAAAATACCCATGAACATTAGCCTTGAAGCAGGCTTCACCAAGGTTATGGGCAACACCAATATCATGCTTCAGTTTGCTAATCAGAAGATCGAGCGTAGGAGCAACATTTTGATCTTGGGATCTTTCATGTCTAACCAAGAACTGGAAAAATTTACCTGCGGAGTCCACACTCTTATCTTTCATGTCGCTCAAAAAAACAAGACTTCTGGCTTGAGCAACTTCCAAGTCGACGAGCGTTCCAATGTCAACAGGGCGCATCTCTAAAAATTGGGCTGCATGAGAACGAATATCATCGTAATCATCAGAAAGACTGTCTATGAGAATTCTGCAAAGCGTGGCATCGTAAAGCTCGATTGTAAATGGAAAATCAATATGACGGAACTTATCGAAGTACTTGCTATCAACTCTTCTATCAAGTCCTGACTTGACAAGGGAGCCAAGTAAAGCATTCGAAAAAGACTTACAATGGTAAGAAGATCCTGGTCGAAGATGGAATAATATCTTGGTGATCAAGTTTTGCAAGAAAGCGAGAGCATGTTCAACCTGGTCAAACTTGTCGTTGATTTCAGCTTCGAACTTAGCATGATTCTTTTTCGAAAGACTTTTTGCATCTCTATCCAAAGCGTACGTCGAGTCTCTAATTCTGAGTATGAATTGATTCAACAAAGAAAGCGACTCTGTACGGGTTTCTAAATCTGTTTGAGCAAATAGATGATCCGCAACATCCAATATGAGGTTATACGTTATTTTCTCAATCGGCATAGCTCCTTTTGGAGAAGAAAGAATCAAAGATAGTGTTGTAAGACGAAGCTGATCATTTTCTTGGAGTAGCAGAGTTTCAAATTCTTTGTAAGGCAGCAAGGTTGTTGGATCTGTTATAATTGCAAGGTCTTTGGCAATTCTCAAGCAGCCGAGGAATATATTAGTGTTCAACCTTGTGTGTTCAAGGAAGACTTTGGTAGCCTTGTTGGAGATTCTCAAAATGTTTGGTAGCAAGTATGTTTCTGTGTGCTTTTGTAGCTTGAGATTTTCAAGGTTGCTGATAACGGGGCGTTCCCATAGCAGAAGCCAAGAGTCTATGTCATCATCGAGCATGTTCTTCAAGATCAAGCAAACAGTTTTTCCAATACAGCTGGCTAAAGCGTTACTCCAAATAAACTGCAAGGCATCATGAACGAAAGTTGGTCGATTCTCAATCACATAAATGCTCCATTCTTTATCTTTCGCCAAATGATCCAGCATAAAATACAACACACGGGAGAAGTATGGTAGCTGAAGACATCTGTCAATATAGGCTTTAAAGATTTGAGACTTCGTTGGACAGAGTCGGAAAAATGAAATCAACCTTGAAAATAAATCTCTTAAGGCTTTACCCAGGGGAGCTCCTGATTCGTTCCAGAAATCTATGATGAAATGTAGGAGGAAGTCTGACTTGTTTGTAACAAGAGCTATGATATCATATTTCACACTTTCAGGGACGCTGTGTGCTTCGACTACTAGCTTTTGAGATCTGGCTATCCAAATACTCAAGGTATCACAAGCTAAAAGTCTATCAGACTCCATTTGGTCACAGATGAGCGAAAAGTCATTCTTCAATTTTGTAGAAGTTTCTTCTGAAGAGTCCTTCAACTGTAATAGCGAGGCTTTAACCCCTTCCAGCTGCATCTGTATGCTGCGGTCTCCAAGCATAAAATTTTAGCACTGGAGTTCGCGAATTTGAAAAACTAGTTTTACGTGTTTTCTCTAACCAACATGGAAGATAAATACATTGGACTAGCACTGGCCATCAGTTCATCGTTGGCGATCGGTACATCATTCGTTCTCACAAAAAAGGGTTTGCTCAAAGATGGAAATGCAGGAGAGTCGTATTCCTATTTAACAAATCCGATTTGGATCCTAGGTACCTCCTTGATGGCTGTTGGGGAGATTGCCAACTTTGCCGCATACACGTTCGCTCCACCAATCTTGGTGACCCCTCTCGGTGCCTTATCAGTGATCATTGGAGCAGTGTTTGCATCCATTTTTCTCAAGGAAGAGCTTGGTACCTTAGGTAAGATGGGCTGTGCAATCTGTCTCCTGGGTTCGGTCATTATCGTGTTGCACGCACCTGCAGACAAGGAAGTTGAGACTGTCGATGAGATTTTGAACTATGCCGAAAAGCCAGGCTTCATTTTATATGCGACTTTGGTTGGTGTTTACGCCGTGTTCATGATCTACAAGATCGCTCCAAAATACGGAACTCAGAACCCAATGATCTACATCAGTATCTGTTCGCTGGTTGGATCGATTTCTGTTTGTGCAATCAAGGCTTTTGGTATTGCTCTGAAGCTTACCCTCCAAGGAAGTAATCAGTTTACCCATCCTTCAACTTATGTCTTCATTATTGTGGTGGTGGTTTGCATTCTGACTCAAATGAACTACTTCAATAAGGCGCTGGCTCAGTTCGACACGTCGATCGTTAACCCTCTCTACTATGTCACATTCACAACGGCCACACTGTGTGCTTCTTTCATTTTGTTCCGCGGTTTCAACACCACCTCCTCTGTGAACATCATTTCTTTGATTTGTGGGTTCTTGATCATTTTCAGCGGTGTCTACCTTTTGGACATTTCTAGACACGGTTCTGACTCAGAGGAGCTGTTTGCTACAAACAAAGAGGGACTTTCAGATATTCCACTGAACTCAGACCTATCCGCTTACCAGTTTAGAAGATCTATGCAATTGAACAGAAGTCATGCTGACTCTGCTTACCAAAACCTAAATAGCGATCCTTCCAATCGTCTTCGAAGACGATCAGACAGTTTCGAATTGAATTAGCACTTGTTTCTTAGCAAGAATTCATACACATATACACCTCCTTTAAATATCGTCAATGTCCAACTCTTCTTCGTCATCCTCTTCACTCTCGTTTCCAAACTCGAAGTTGGCATCGTCGTCAGCATCTTCACCGAAGGTATCGGTTTGATTGATTTTGGCGGTTTCTGGGAGTTCTCCTTGCGAAATCAAGGTACGCGCCTCATCAGCTGTGTATTTGTGAACAACGTCAGCTTGACCATCTTGGAACTCTCTCAAAGCAACCAAAATGATATCTCCCTGTGCCATCCACACCTTCTTTCTCAATTTTCCTCTGATATGTGCGATTCTGGTAGTTCCATCAAAGCAAGCTGCCTGAACTCTTCCATTTCCTAACATTTTTGTAATCTGTGCATATTCTTGTTGCTCATCTTTGTAAATGAGTTCTCTCTTTTGTCCCCAACTCTCGTTCTTTCCTCTTCTTCTGTTCTTTCCTCCCTTACCTTTACCTTTGTTAGCCATCTTGGATACTAGTAAAAATTGGTAAAATTTTTTTCGTCAGACAAGAAAAAAGGCTGTGTTATTCAAGTTCTAATAATTATTCATTACCCGGAACCTTCTTAGGCCATGGACTCTTTCGAAGCAAGAGTCTATTTGACCAAACAGTTGAGCTCTTTGACTCCATCTAAACTGGCCGCTCAGCAATGTGCCAAGTTTTTGTTGAAAAATAAAGAACTTCAAGATGATCTCTATTCTGTTATTCTGGAAACTCTCGACGCTGCAGATCTCAACATTCGCTTGAATATCTTCCAGTTCCTTGAAGAACTCATCTTTTTCTGTCAGAACGACCCGCAAAGACCGTATGTCAATTCGATCTTCAAGGACATGAAACTTATTCTCACCAAAATCTTGCCTCCAAAACCTGAAAATCAATCTTCAGAAGCACGATTACTTACGAACCTCAGTTCAGCATACATCATACTGTTCAATATATCCAAGACATGCAACTATCCACACATAAATGACATCAAAACACGATTCAATTCGAATCTCCTAACAGAGCTCGATAAAAATAGAATAGAGCTCCAACTTCATTTTGACGAAAAACCATTATACACAGACATTACCGCTAAACAGGACGTTGAGAGTCAACTGACGGCAGCTTGGGATTTTCTCATAGAAAAAAGACGTCAGTCACAATATGAAAGATTATTCATCGACAAACACAACATCCAATCTCCTGCTGAGCCTTTGGCTGATTTATTTACGAAAACTCGGAAACAACTCCTGGCAAGAATCGAGGCTGATAGAGAGAGACAGAAACGTGGTAAAGAAAATCTTTGGCAAATAGATCGAGCTAAAGGGTCGTTAGCTGAGTTTGACTTGATTTATGACACTTTCCATCAGTTCGATCTTATTGAAGACAAACCATTGATAGACGAAGTGAACGAATTATATGAGAACAGCAGACATGGGGTTACACGGAAACCTCAGCCAAATAAAAGGTTTAAGCGTTGATTATATACTGGTGGTGCTGACCTGAGATAGAGTTTTGAAAAGTTCATTTACACCCTTCAGCTTCTGTTCGGCTTTGGAGTTTGAAGTGTCCTGGCCAACCCTGACAGTTAATGTATTTTCCACTTTGAAGTCCAGATTGTTGAAATAGTTAAACATTTCTTCATCTGCAGGGGTGTTTCCGCCCGCTGCCATGATAAAGCCAAGATTGTCTTTAAACTGGGGTTCTTCAAGAATGCTGCTCATTGAAATATCGGCAGGCTGAATCATAGGACTTGTCAATGAAGATGATGGAACTTTTTCAATGTGGCCATCAAAAGAGTTCTGATTCATAATGAAAGACAAGGCACGGATCACCAAGTTTGCTTCCTGTACAATAACTATTCCGTTGACGAGATTCGCGTGAAGATTGAAATCTTTCGAATATAGCTCGTTCACATGTGTAATAAGCTCCCCAATTAATTTATCCCGATGATCTTTGTCAATGTCTGCACAGCTCTCGGTATGGAATCTGACAGTACATTCCTCGACCTCAACATAAGAACCCGGTAATCTTTCGCAGAATGAGTTCATCACTTCAATGACGGTAGGCATCCACGAAAGCTCATTTTCGTCGATCACAGTAAACCAGTCGCTGCTATTTGGTAGCTTTATGTACCCACCATTTTCCGCAATGAGACCGATTTCAGTTATTCTGCGGTGCTTTCGCAGTAGATCAGATCGCTTCAAATAACTGAGAACGTACACCACATTTTGAGGATCATGAGCAAGATTGTATAGAGTGGAATCGATGTACTGATGCTGAACCGGGTTGATGGTGGAGCCGGGAATAGAGACCTTGGAAGCCAGATTTCCAACATTGATCACAAACAATCTCTTGCTATCAGAACTTGGCAAATCATTATATCTTTGAGTGAACATCTCTGGAGTTAACACGGTGAGTTCTGATGGAGACTCATTTTGATGACTGATAAATGCATGCTCGATATCCTTGATACAGTTTTTAGTCCACTCCTGTGAGTCGTGGGCGAGGATTATGGAATACATTGATTTCCACCTTTCTAACTTCTCCTCAGGAGACATCTCCAAGCCATACTTGATCTTTTCCGCCACTTGTTTGATGTTGTAAGGGTTAGTAATCAAAGGCCCATTAGTGAAAACTCCAACAGAGCCAACGAACTCGCTCATGATTAACGGAGAGTGTGTCTCTTGCGCGGCCACCACAAATTCATGAGAAGTAAGATTCATTCCTTCCCTCAAAGTGGAAACGATAAACATATCTGCCTCTGAGAGTAACGCCAAATATTGTTCAAATTCGATATCTTGGTGCAACAAAATGACAGGTTGATCCGCCGAAATGTTATTGGCCTTGGAATTGATTCTCTCAACAATGTTGAAAATTGTATTCTCATAGTCATCATCCTTCTCAGCTCTACCTTTGGTATAGATCAGGATCAAAATCGTGCTGTCGAGATAATCTGGGTTGTCATTCAAAAATCTTTCATAAGCCAAAAGCTTCTCTTTGATACCACGAATTTTATCAATCTTGTCTCTGCTCAAAATTAGTTTCTTGTTTGGCCATCTTTCTCTCACAAGCTGTCTCCAATTCAAGCACTTATCACTTTGTAACCTCTTATTGAGTGAAGATGCATCGATACCAATTGGGTTATGAGTGACACCAATATCTCTATCTTTGTAGCGAATTCCCTGCTCATCGAAGTCAGCTAACAGCAAACGGTTGCAAGTCTGATAAAAGTGTCTCACATACTCTTTTGTTTGGAATGTGATACAGTCTGCTCCGAGTAAACCCTCTAGAATGTTGTTTCTCTGTGCAAGACATCTGAAGACTTCACTCGACGGGAAGGATACATGCAAGAAGAAACCAATCTTTGCGTTCGGTAGTTTTTCTCTCACCATTTTCGGAACAAGCATCAAGTGATAATCATTGACCCAAACAATATCGCCTTCCTTGTACTTGGAAACAATCTTATTAGCGACCGCTTGATTAAGCTTCTCATAATGCGTCCAGGAGTGGTTCTCAAAAGCGTTATTTTTTGGATTATCAGGAATCTGATAATGGAAGATAGGCCACAATATCTGCTTTGAGAAACTATTGTAGTGTCCGTCAAATGTTTCATCGTCAACATACGCAGCAGAAGAGTGGTAATTGGCTTCAAGCTCCTCTGCGATTTTTTGGCGAGTATCTTCAGGCACCACATCCGAAGGCATTGGTAAGATTCCAATCCACTCAAAAGATTGATTTGGGTCAGCTTTTCTAGCAAGACGGACCGCGTTTCTCAAACTTCCATTACCTTTATCAAAGTCAACAACTCTCCATGGAGCCGAAGCAAAGACGTTATCTTTCACAAACAGATCATGATAATCTGGCTTAGAAAACCCACCAAACGGTGTCACCTTGCCCTCATCATCATGGAAAGCATTCTGGGGCTCTAAGGGTAACTTCTTGTTTTCAGTTTCAGTGGCTTTATGAAGGTGGGAACTCGAACGCCGACGTGAAATGTTACCTCTGTTAACCTTCAAAGAAGACTGAAACACTTCTGGGGCTTTGAGAACCGGCTTTTCGGACACCGAAACCGAAACACTGGACTTGAGGGTGCTGATCCTAGACTTTGGTTTGATGAATTTAGGGGCTGAACTGTTATGAGCAAGTGAGTTCTTCACTGCCTCCTCAATTTCTCCGATTTCGTCGGAAGTAAGCCTCTTTGGGTTATTGAAGAAAAACTCTTGAACTGACACATTTTGACTTACAGTGTCTGTATTGGTAGTCGATGTTGACCCCTCACCATCATCATCTTCGAGGAAGGATTGTTTTCTGATATCTGAAAAGTCACCTTGACTGATGGTTGGTGTTGAAGGGTTTTTAAGCGACAGTGCTTGAATAAGCGACATAGAGTTGTTTACAGTGGTACCTGAAGCGGCCTTATCTTTGGACTGCTTAGGCTTTGCCTGAATAATTGTTTCAGCAATCTCTTCAAACGTTGTGTCTTGATTCACATACTTCTCCGGGGATTCAATTTCAAAATGAACTGTGTATGGAAGAAATCTGGGGAAAGTGTTAGAGCAATTCAGCAATTATACTTACAATGAGGCAACAAGGATTGTCATTGAAAAGTTTCTGGCAATTGAGATATAGTATACTCAGGGAAAACTAAGATCTTCAGATTCAATAGAATTTCAAGCGTTTAACAGCAACTCAATAAGTATCCCCTCTCTTGACAAGGCGGAATCAAAAATAATTCTCAAAACTAATTTGCGTAGAAAAATTCTAGAAATGTTCTGAGCTACCTATCCGCTTTATCCCCACGTTTACGCAATTGCTAACTATGCACTTAAAAATGAAATATATTATCCGTGTCTAGAGGACTAATACCAGTTAAATGTCAACGTTATTTAACGTGTCCATGCTTACCTAGAACAAGGCGGCAATCACACCGAGAGCAGCAGCAACCATTCCGGTGTAGCCAGCGCTCTTCATGTAAGCATCTCCACAGTAAGTGGATTCCAGAGCCGCCCAAGTTCCGTTAGTAGAGTTGGAGGCGGCAGATGGAGCGGTTGAGTTGGTGATAGTAGAGTTGAAGTACTCCTCAGTGGACGAGGTAGATCCGTCCAGTAAGAAGGCGTCGCTATCAGATCTTCTGAATTTACCCTTGGTCTTCACAATGTTACCGCAAGTGATTTTGGTCATGTTTGCAAAGTGAATATTGACGGAAAGGCCGATGACATAGGCCTTGTTCTTAGGATTCAAAGAAAGGTAAGGATCGTAGTAGGTGGTTTCGAAACAAGTAGTGTTGATAAAACCATGCTTTCCAGAGAGATCTCCCACCTGACAGTAAGCGTCATCGTCAAATGCATCACAGTCATCAAGTGGCGCGTTGTAAGGATTAAGGTGAGTACCAGTAGCTTCACAGTTACCGTTAGATGGAACTGGCGACTTATGAATGTGATAATAGAATGGGCCGCCTTCATCAGGAAGACCAGTCACGTCGACGTGAACCTTAACAGTTCCATTCTTGGCGGAAAAATCGATCACACCCTTAACGTCTTTGTTATCGAGATGTGCCTTGGCAACAATGTTTCTTGGAGAGTCTGTGTTTTCTGGAGCTTCGCCAGCGAATGCAACAGCAGCAAGAGCGCTGATCATTAAATGAGAAAAGGAGACCATTTTGATAATGTTTGAATGCTAAATCTATGAGTGTAAACTTAAGTTGGAAAGAGATTTTAAGGTGAAAAGGGGGACTATAAGAATCCCAGGCGTTTAGGTTAAGCGCCCAAAAAAGGGAGATGGGGATTCAGGCGGGTAAGTTCCCCCCACTGGGGTTTAGGGATTTATAGGTTATTACCCGGACTCAATTTGACAGCAACCTTTTTTTTCCTTCAATTTAGAACGATAAGCACACCGACTGATAAGATAGGGACGATAAATTATTTTGCGTAAAACGCCCATGGCTGCGGCCGGGAGTAACGGAATGCCTCACTGAAGTCTAAATCAGTAATAAATTACTAAATAGTTGTCAGGAGGTTGATTTTCAATCCCTCCATTAGATCCTATAACTTGGGAATGCTGCTTCTTCATCCCTTCGCTTCCAGGGTCGTGCACCAGATCAGTAAAATTTTTTCCGTGTCCAACGTTTCACGCAGAAATATTTATCAGCTGAAAAAAAGATAACAGAGATAGACAACAAGTACTTGACGTATTTGTCCTAAATTGGCCTCTTGTACCATTTTTCGTTCTTAATCACTTTCATTTTGGTTTCAAAAACATCGACCAGAAATATTGCAAATCTTTTCAGACTCCAACGAATTGATTTGAACAACAACCTGGTGGGCTTTCGTTGAGTACAATTTACGATTTACTACGATGTCCCAAAATATTTCTCTACTGAAGCCAGAATATCCTCCTACTTCTCCAACTGCTCTCAAGCACAACTCTTTGGACTCATCATCTTATTCTTCTACGTCTCCAGGAGCAGAAGGATCCCCCCAATCAGGTGCTGACCCGCTGCATCCCAACGCAAAGACAACAACAACTACACAGAGCAACGGTGCCACTACTACGAAACAGAATATGTCCACTCCAACTTGCAAAAATTGCAAAACACAGACTACACCACTGTGGCGTAGAGACGAGACAGGACAAGTTTTGTGTAATGCTTGCGGCCTCTTCTTAAAGTTACATGGGCGCCCAAGACCGATTTCATTGAAAAGCGACGTCATCAAGTCCAGAAACAGAGTGAAACATTCCAATTCGAAATCAAATCCAAATACTCCAGAATTGAAGGCGAAGGATTCCAGCAGTAATGGTAAAGTCACCAAATTTTCTCCAAAACAGTACAAACCAAACACCAAGTCACAACAGCAACAAGGTGCTCAGTCGAAGGACTCTTCGCCAGTGTTAAATCCCGCTCAAGAAAATGCTGGGAATTACAATGCTGACAGCAAGTCACCAGCTGTCATGCCTCTATTACCGCGCAATCATCAAGAACCAAACGGACAACAAAGTCCTGGGACACCTTACGCGTTTTCCTCTACAAATTCTTGGTTGAACAAAGGTCAAAATAACGTGCAACCTCTTCATTATCCTTCTTCTGCTCCGACCCAGTTTGCTCCAAATTTGGCTAGGGTTACATCTCCGTTACTGCTCTCTACAGCCAGTGCGAATGTTTCCACTCCACAATTCAATCAGCCACAGTCATCGGAAAGATCAAGCTCTCAAAAGTTTGGTAGAGATGCTATGCTGAATGCAGCAGGTGCCTTGGAAACTCTTAGTCAACAAGGTTCCAACGAGAAGATTCCGGGCATGCGACTCGACAATGAGCCAGCAAGCAAACCGCTTTCTCCTCAACCTCAAAAACTTCCATCCATCTCCAGCATCAGTAAACCATTCTCGCCAGCCACCGAGCTCAACAACCATGCCACCCCACCATTTGGACCTACCAAGTTTACCTCTTTGGAACATGGCCACCAACCTTCACCTCTTCAATCTATCTTATCACCAAGCTTTGGTCCACAATATTCGTTGAATAATTCTTCATCACAATTTATGTCAAATACTAGCGAAAAGCTACCTCCGATCAAGAATTTCACGATGAATGGCAATATGCAAACGAATAACAAAGCAATGTCGCCGATGATGATGCCGTCTGACAGCTCCAAAAATAAGAATAATGTTTCTACGTCAGAGCAAAGAACGTACTCTTCAGTCTCATCTTCAGAGGACCTTCGAACCCGAATCTCTGAGCTCGAATTGGTGAACGATTTGTACAAGACCAGAATTTCGGAGTTGGAAGCTATGGATGCAGCATCGAAACAAAGAGAAGCTCTTTTGAAAAGACGTATCGATGAATTGTCGGAAGTTTTGAAGCAAAAAGATGCAAAAAAGAACCCAGAACACCGCCTTCTTTCACAGCAGCATGGGAATGAGGCCAAGCGTGTAAAAGTTGAACAACATTAGCCAGAAGATGCTAATTTTTCATGATGTTGTAATTTGTATAATGGTTTTAATTCATGATGAACATATAATATTACAATCTTAGCTAGGAAAAATTTAGCAAATATGTCAAAACCTATCTCCGTCAGGTATTCTGAAGCTCTGAAGCAAGTGGAAAAGCTTGACAGCTCATCTTTGCGTAAAGATTCTACTGCTTATAAAGAAGAGTTACACGAAGTACTCAATTCCCTGAATACTGTCAAAAAATCAATTCAAGAGAACTCCTTATTCAGCGTGAATGAAGAGATTGATGAAGTCAGTACTTCAAATATAAGACTATTGGGTATCGACTACTACATTGCGACAACTATAGGAAATACAGTCGTCAATAGAGAGGAAATGTTGAAGACAGCTAACGGTCTTTTCTTGCAATTTCTTTACACTCTTGAGAATTATGGAGTTTTGGAGAAATCACAGACGGCAAAATTGGATGGATTTACATCTTCTTATAGTCCCAAAATTGAGGAATTGCGCTCAAACGACGCAGTAAGAAGAAGACAAGACAAGATTGATGATTTCAAGCGCGAGAGGGAGTTCAGAGAGAAATTGAAGGTCTTAGATTCTTTGGATTTCAACAACTTGGATGAAGAGATCGTGAGAAAGGTTTACATTGATGAGTTGAAGTTTTTTGCCCTCAAATCGTTCCAAAATTTGGAATCCAACTTGATGGAGCTGGAAGTTCTTGCAAACATGCCTATTCGTCCTGTAGAGCCAGAAATTGTCTCTGACGAGCGCGAGAAGCCAAAGAAATTTGATGAAACATACACCCCTAAATTGGAGTCTTTAACAAATCCAGTTTTGTCCAAAAATGGTAAGGTTTTACGGCCTTTCACGATTGTTCCATCCACACGTGATAAATTACAAAAGAAAGTGTTTGGAACTGGCCAGGTTTTGCCTACAATGACTGTTGAAGAGCTGGTTGATATGGAATTGGCGAATGGTGGAATGGTGAAAGACTCTCTTCCTGAGAAAGAGTTTGACGAAGATGATAATGAAGACAATGACCGTCTCACGTACAAAAATCGTGAATGGGACGAATTCACGGACAATAATCCAAGGGGAAGTGGAAACACACAGAATCTTGGATAGACACAGTCGTGGATTATACATATTTGGAAAAATCGCGGTTCGAAAAAAATAAATCAAAAATATAAACGATAGATACGGTTTGGGCAGTATGAGTTCGTTTGTTCCTGCTCAATTTAGCTCCTTCTCGACGAACTTCGATTTTGACAAGCTGAAGGTAAGTGTAATGCGATTTCGAATCGCTCTTATCAGACAAATACTGATTTTTATAGACGGATACCACGTCGTCATTTCAAAGTCGGCTTAAGTCGCTGAAAGGTCCCCAAGATTTCTTCGATTATAAACGGATGAGCAAACCCAGTAGCATTTTTGAGATCCAAAAGAGAGTGAATTTCAACATTAATTACTTCAGCTCTAACTACATACTCATCATAGCCATCATCTCATGTTACTGCATTTTGACAAACTTGCTCCTATTTTTCATTATTGCCGCAGATGCCGCAGTCATATATGCTGTACAAACAGTCTTCAAACACTCGGAAGAAATCCAGTTTGCCGGCTTCAAGTTGACCAAATCCGGTGTTTACTTTACGTTGCTATTTATCAATCTGCCAGTTCTATTCGTTGCAAATCCTTTCACTACTTTGATCTGGCTTGCTAGTGTTAGTGCAGTGGTAATTGTACCACATGCTGTATTCTTGGATAAACCAGTGAACGCGGAAGTCGCGGTATTAGTTTGACTTCACCCATGAACGCTGCTATATAGTATTCATAAATAACACCTCGCACCAAAAGATAAAACTAGTGTCTCAGAAAAAGCTCAATATTATTTTGACGGCAAATTGCTTCTTATTCACGATTATGGGTGGAAGCAGACGTATAGAGTGGTCTGTTACCGCACTACTCGTACTTGGAATAGTATTAGCCACATGCTACAGAATATGGACACCGACAACACACCCACAAATGACAATTGGAGCACCTCTGCCTCATTCTCTCCCATCACGATTTAAGATTAAGCATATATTTCACAACGCCGCAGACGGAAAACTACACAGACGGTTGGATATCAACGATGAATTTGTTGACCTTTACAGATCCGAGATGTCTGACTTTGCATCTATAGAGGAAATCGACCTTTTTGAGTCATCTCCTTTTGAGCAAGAGTTTACGATAAGACATCAACCTGGTCAAACGATCCGTCTCGCTGACAGATCACCAGATTTTGTTGAATCTTACTTGAGTTTTGCTCTTGAGAACCCCAAGGCTGCAGATACCATTGAATTTGATTGGAAACAGGAAGCATTGTTAATTCCTAACATGTCGGACACAGAGACCATCGTCAGCTTGGCTTTAATGTGCTCAGATGCATATGTCAGGCTTCCAACTGATGCAGATTGGAATGATGTTGGGGAAAGGTATAACGAATCTGAGCGTTTCGGATGGGAAGAGGGTGGCGTAAGGGGCCATGTTTTCTCAGATCCAGAGGAAAAGATTGTTATCATCTCTGTGAAAGGCACGTCTGCTGCGGGTCTCAATACAGGCGGAGACGGCGAGACAGTGGAGCAGGACAAGATCAATGACAACTTATTATTCTCCTGCTGTTGTGCAAGAGTATCATCATTATGGAAAACAGTGTGTGATTGCTACGAAGAGCCTTACACCTGCAACCAAAATTGTCTTGAGCATGAAGTTAGAAGACAAGACAGATATTACGAAGCCGCATTACAAATTTATCGTAATGTTTCACATATGTACCCAGAGTCGGAGATTTGGGTCACTGGTCACTCTCTTGGTGGATCTCTAAGCTCATTGATGGGTCGTACATTTGGGTTGCCAGTTGTTTCATTTGAGGCTGTGGGAGAACTACTTCCAACGCGGAGACTACATCTACCTATGCCTCCTGGACTTCCTGAAGAGATGGAAAACATTTGGCATGTTGGAAATACAGCAGATCCAATCTTCATGGGGGTTTGCAATGGCGCGTCATCAAGTTGCTCATTGGCAGGTTATGCCTTGGAAACACAATGTCATTCTGGAAAGAAGTGTGTTTACGACGTGGTTACTGATTTAGGATGGCACGTTAGCTTGCTGAACCACAGGATCAGGACCATCATCACTGATATTTTGCTTGCATACAACGAAACAGCTCAATGTGTTAAGTCTCCACCATGCTACGACTGCTACAATTGGAAATTTGTTGATCATTCTCGTGATCGATATAGAACCACTACAAGCTCTCCATCCCCGACTCCATCAGACCCGCCTGGGCGTCGTTGTTTGAAGCGTACGTGGTACGGTCGTTGCTATGAATGGGAAGACGACGATTCCTCCACGCTGAAAACAACATTCACTACAAGCACTATATACAGCAAGACAAGCTCCAGGAGTTTGAGTACTACTACTAGCATTGAGGGAGGAGAAAAATGTCTGAGGCGATCATGGCTTGGGTATTGTTTGGAATATGGACCAGGAGGTAATTAGGAAGGTTTGGACTACTACGATTTATTTTTTTGCTACCAGTGTTTATTTTGATTATTTAGGGCTGTGCAGTAAATAGCATTTATAAAACGAAACGCGTTTTATTTCTAACGAAACACGCTCATAATGTTTAGAAAAGTCAAGCGGAGAACTGACGGTCGTCGTAATTTTGACGAGATCCAGAGTGGACATGAACATTACCGTCTCGTTGGAAGCAAAGGTTTCAAAGATGACTTGTCTATCTATCCCCATCGTCTTTCGTTCTACAAGATCCCTCCGTTTGAAGAGATCACTTTAGAGGATTTCGAGACATGGGCTATCGACAGACTTAAGGTAGTTCTAGAAATCGAGTCTTGTCTCAGCAGAGGAAAGAGCTTCAAAGACATGGAAGCGATCATGAAACCGGTTCTTGCCAAATTGTTGCCCATGAATCTGCCTAATAGAGAGTCCAGCTCTTTATATCTTGAGCGCAAAAAGGACCATTACTCGCATTTCATTTTAAGATTAGCTTTCTGCCGTTCTGAAGAGCTTCGTTCTCGTTTCATACGTGCAGAGGCTATGCTTTTCCGTTTGAGATTCAACATGATGTCTTTACAAGAACAGAAAGAGTTTGTTTCCTCGATCGATCTTCCTTGGGAGGCCGTCACCGACGAAGAAAAACAAGAGTTCCAATCTCAGCTAATTGCATGCTCTTACAACGCTGTGCGTTCAATCCTGACTCAGACGGTCGAATTCCAATGGAGCAAAAAGGTGACCGATGAGCAGATCAGAGCGTTCGTGAACGCAGAAAAGTTCTATAAGATTCCGTTTGAGTTTGTTCCCGAGCTTGTTTCAACTAGACAATCGTTTCTTTACAAGGGAAAAGCGTTTGTGGCCCAATTTCAACAACTCTCGCTAATCGTTACGGAATTTAGCAAACATCTGGGAGAACAGTTGAACGTCACGATGCGTGCTTTGCCAACTCTCGATGAAGATGATCGGTTAATTCCCGTGCTTAATAATCTTTCGCGTGGATACGCCTCGATGGACTACCAGTCCGAGTTTGGAGCAGGTGAGTCGAATGATGGCTCCGTCACTGCGGAAAGTGTTCCGAGCTTGATGAAACATATGCCATTGTGCATGAACCACTTGATGAAGGGCGTTATGACAGAGCACCATTTGAAATACTCGGGTAGACAACAATTGTCATTGTTCCTCAAAGGAATTGGTCTCAATGCGGAGGAAGCAATGCGTTTCTGGCAAATGCAATTCACAGCAGGACCTGGCTCAATGTCGATCGAGAGATTCAACAAAGATTACAAGTACACGTTTAGACACAACTATGGTCTCGAGGGAGGACGCATCAATTACAAACCATGGGACTGTCGTACTATATTGAGCAAGCCAAAGCCAAGCAAGAGCGAATTCCACGGATGTCCGTATCGGGACATGCACCGGGACCAATTGGCCAATGAATTGCACAAGATGGGCCTGGACAGTGGATCGCGGATGGACGACGTTTTGGACCTGAGTGACAGAGGAGAATACCAAACAGCATGTACAAAAGTGTTTGAGCTCACCCACAAAGATCGTATTGACGCCATGCTTAAAAATGGGGAAACAGTTGACGAGACGTCTATTATTCATCCGAACCTCTACTACAGCAGATCGGTCTATTTAGAAGGTAAATAACAAACAACAACCACGCGAATGTCCTTGTAGCGAAGATTTTCCGAGGTAGCTCCTCTAAAAACGCGTTCGAGTTTTATTTATGGGCGATGCAGCTTTTCTTATGCACTCAAAATATTTATTTTTACCGTTCGGGAAGGGAGCAGGGTTTTGATAGTTAATGATCTGCATGTATAATAAACTTGTTTATTAGCCAAAGTTCGCAATCATGACTGTCGATTCCAAGCGCTTGACGATGAGCCTGTTTAGCAAGCCGAAACAACAGCTCCGGCACTCCAAGTCTCTTGGCTCCCCAGATGCACGCCATAGAGACGCGTTTTTGAAGCGTCCGGGCCGTACCACTTACGAAGACCTGGAGTCTGAAAACAAGATGTTACAGGAGCAGGTGACAAACCAAAAGTATTTGATTGTCAAGTTGGTGAAGCAATTGGAGAACTGGGAAACTGAGGATACCACCAAAGTGCAGCCGGCTTCTCCAACACGCTCCATCTCGTCGAATAGCTCCTCTTTACAGACACTCGTTGCCGAGAATTCCGAAAAGGATAAGATGATCGAGCAACTGACCGCCAAGAACAAACAGCTTCTCACTAATATTGCGGAACTTGAGTCCCAACTGTCTGCCAGTCGCTCCGAATACCAGAGCAATCTTTCTAAACTATCAAATTCGGTTTCTCTGATTTCGGAAAACCAGAAGTTCCTTTCCCACCCAACGCTTCCGGGACTCATTTCGAGTCCCCAGGAGTCGGATCTGAAGCTCAGCAAGTTCTCGAGAAAAGAACAGGGAGAAACGTTTGTGTTACGCAAGCTCAGTATCTGCTGAAAAATTTAGACGATAGACGCGCCGATTTATCTTTTATACCAGACCCGTAATAATTTAAACATTGATTGTTTTCTTTACTACACCATGAGAATTCTCTTTGCGCTGGCGCTTATTTTGGGCCTCTGTCGCGCTTTGCTGACGGTGGATCAAATGAATGAACGACGCCTACAATCTCCGCATGGAATAATTCCAATCACAGCCGACGAGGTCGAGGATCTTTTCTCCGGAGACAGAGATTATTTCCTTGTGGCTTTTCTCACGTCTGCAGGCAACGAGAAGTGCAGACTATGTGGAATTGCTCAGCCAATTGTGGAGACAGTGGCGAAGTCTTTCCATGAATCCAACCCGCATCTCAATCGCGTCTTTTTCGTTTCATTAGATGCAAAGGATAATCTCCAACATTTCCAAAACTACCAAATCAACACAGTGCCGCATCTCTGGATATTCCCAATTCCATCGGAAATCTACAAGCCACAAGATAGCGAAGACCCGTTTGATCACCGCATCCCAAGACCTGAGAAATTGTCTCTAATTAGTGAGCATTACACATATCCATTTTCAGACAGTATCAGCGTGGCCGACCAAGAACTTCGGTTCGCAAAGTCTTTGGGAGAATTGACTCAAACACGTATCATAATCAATAAGCCATTGGATGTGAAGCTGGCTCTTCAGTACTGTGCTGGATTCTTTTTAGTTTTCAGAATATTACGAGCAAGAAAGGAAAAGGTGATGGAGAAATTACGAAATGGCACAGGTGTAATGGTTTTGAGCATCGTTACAATATTCTTGTGCTTATCGGGAGTGAACTTTGCGATTCAAAGAAACGTTCCCTTTTTAGTGAAAGGTGCTAACCAGACCATAAAGTATATCGCTCCAGGAGTTCAAAATGAGATAGGGTCTGAAGTGGTGATATCGATTGCATTCCAAGCATTATTTGCAGCATTATTATGGGCTTTGATACAAGGAGTCACGACAGTGCCAAAAGAAAATAAAGCCACGAGCATGCTTATTTACGGGGCACTATTATTCATCGTTTATAACCTGTTCACGAGCATGTACAAGGCTAAGGACCCCGGTTACCCATTTACATACCTATACATACCAATATTCTAGATCTCCTCCTCTTCACTTTCGCTCTTGTTAACGAAATAGAATGATAAACATATCAGTAACGCTCCCAATATGTACACCCATGAATTTAGCTTATGTTTGAAAACAAAATCACACACCATAGCCACGGGGATAGTCAACGACAGTCCAAGAGTTACAGTCAACGGCGAGGTTAGAAGCATTGCACGGGCCCAAAGGAAATCTGCCAAAAATGAAATAGCACAATTGAAGATCACGACAAAGAAAACATATGGGCTTCTCGGTAGCTCAAATGTTTCCACTCCCATTATATCCAGTAAAATGAGCGGAGGCCACAAAAATAGCAGGTTGAACACTCCCACAAACCCAAAGAACAGTCTCATGTCAATCCTGCTATCGTTCTTTATTTTCAGCTTCAGCAGGATTGAGTAGATTCCGTAAAGTAATGCCCCAGATAATGCAAGTACATTACCCAAGATGACAGAGTCTCTGGTCTTGGAAACTGATGGGTCGTCGTTTTTGGTCACGAGGATAACACCGAGAAATGACACAACAATAGACACAATTTTCGTGTTGTTTATTCTCTCTATGGCGAACAGTGCGCCAATCAGTATTGTAAAGAAGGAAGATGTTGAGGACAAAATGGTTTGCGAAGACACAGATGTATAAAGTAGAGAAGCGTTGTTGACAAGGTTAGAAAGAAACCACAGTGTGCAGAACCAGAATGCCAGCTGGATAGTTTCTTTTGGAGTTAAAGGCAAATGATCGTTAGTGTGTTCCTGTTCTAGAGGGCCTAGAATATGGTAAGGAATGAGGTAGAGCGCAAAAGCCGCGGTGTTGATCCATGTGATGAAAAACGGCTTTGAGTATATGTCCTTTTCAAAAAGGTCGTTTAGCAGCACAGACGACAGGACCCAAAGGCACACAACACAAAGCAGAAAGATAAGCCCCAAAGACCAATCACGCGACCTTTTGGCCCGTTCAAGGGCGCTGCTTGTGACAGTCAATGAGGACATGAAAGATAAAGATTTTGAGCGGGCCACTTAAGGAAACCACAACGCGGAGTCGATCGACGCGACGATTGATTTTTTTTGTTTCAGAGTGGTCTCGTGAGCTTGTTTAGTTGCAACCTAACCAGAAAATTGAAATACTGGAACTGGAAGGTGGCCAACGACGTAGTGTTCAGAGATGTTGGAACATATGGAGGGGTTGCTTGCAAATTTGTTTTGTTCATAGAGGGAGATATCCACAGTTTTTCATACGAGGGGGATAGCTGTAACGGGATCTGATCTGCAACCAAGAATTCAAACTGCTTAGGAGAGAGGTGGTTCAGTTTTGGCCTCAGGTAGTCAAGAGTCTTTTGCCGAAGCAAGTGGGGGTTATAAAGCGATTCTAAAGTGGATGACTCGTAGGTGTGGGGGAAGTTTGATCTCCGACGGGTTGTTTGTTTTCTGGAGAAGTTGACTGTTTCTGAAGCAACACTTGTGTTCAAAGACGAGGACTGGGACAGCTCAGTGCGGGAACTTGCCGGGGTAGGAGTGGAAGATTTTGATTTTGAAGAAAGTAGAAGTCTCAATGAGGTAAACGACTTCTGGTTACTTGACTGGGAGTTCAGAGAGGATGTTGAAGGAAAAAGATGAGGGGTCTGCTTGGCCTGGACAGTAGTCATTGAACCTATCGATTGTAGAGCAAGAATGAAATCTGATGAAATGATATATGAAATATGTGAAATATATGAAACGATTCCTAACCAAATAAACAGAAAAGAGCACAAATGGTTAACTGCCTCGGAAAAGGGAACGAAATTTCTTCTGCAAAAAGCTTCTGGTATCCTTATTTTTTTATGTATTTTGGTAAATGGGCAAATTACCCGGTTGTGGGCCGAAAATTTTTTTTCAAACTTCAAGGTTGAAGGAAGGTTTGCCGCAGGTTAGATCGTGAAGTAATTCGTTGAAGAAACCATGTCGTGGATATTCGGTACACCAGAGAAAAAGGAGACTCCCCAAGCATCGAGCAACAAGCTTGGTTTCGACACAAACCAGATCTCCGACATCTCCAGCATTTTGAACAGTAACACATTGGATCCTACCAAGCTACATCCTTTGGCCGGATTGGACAAAGACATTGAGTATTTGGATCTTGATGAAGAGAAACTGACTTCTTTGGAAGGAGCCGACAACGGGCTTTTGCCATCGAGAGGCTGGACCGATGATCTTTGTTACGGAGCAGGTACAGTCTATGTGCTAGGATTAGGTCTTGGAGGACTACGTGGATTCAACGAAGGGTTGAAGAACCTTCCACAAGGAAGAGTGGACCCAGTGACAAACCAAGTGAGACCAGTTCCATTCAAATTGAAGTTAAACACTGTTTTAAATCAAATCACTAAGTTTGGACCCCACATGGGTAACAATGCAGGTGTTTTGGCCATCATGTACAATCTCATCGACGCTTCTTTGGACAACTTCAGAAACAAGCACGACGATCTCAACTCGCTAGCTGCTGGCTTTTTGAGTGGCGCATTATTCAGAAGCAGCAGAGGTCTCAAGCCTATGGGATACTCGGCAGGTGCAATGACCCTAGTGGCTGCCGCTTGGTGTGGATTCAAGAGAGTGATCAATTGACGAATAATGATTATAGATGACCGGTCATAGATGTACATATGCGAACTGTGCGAGATATCAGATTTGCGAAGGGAAGGCTAGACGCCAGGAAGTTCCCCAGGAGCTCACTAGTAGACAGTAATGTTTGTTAATGAGACTCAGCTCTTCCAATTCATCGAGTAGTTCTAGCCTGTTGATAGAGACCAGTTCCGGCTGGTCTATCCAGTGAGTGTAGACAAAACTGAGATCGGAAACGTTAGTCAAGGAAAATCCAAGTTCTCGGAGCCGATCATGCTGTTTTTCAATGGTTGAATATTTTAGTAGCGATGGCATTTGGATTCCCCTCATTGATAAGTTTTGCAACATGATCTGTCCATAGTTGGCCGAGCTGTCCCCACCAATGGGGTCATACATCACCAGGACGCCCGATTGTAAATTTTCGCGGAAGAATTGTAAAACTCGGTTACTTTCATTATCCTCCATGTAACAGACACAGCACTCGGTCAAGACAAGAGTCGGCAATGCCGGGTCCAGCGAGGGTAACTGCGACACAGAAGACAATTGGCGGAGGTCCAGAGGAATCAGGTGGTATCTTGGCGTACTTAGTGAGGCAGATGAGTTGATGAACGCCTCATGAGTGTCCGGGATTTGGTTTTCTTTGGCGTCCACCACAGTTTTCAATGCAATTTCGTTTAATATGCTATACTTTTTGATCCGGCAAGTTTCTTCGAAATCGATCTCAATAAGCGAAAGGTTCGGATGTTTTTCCAATAGCCGAAAGCCTCTAGTGTCGTTCCCGCTTCCCAAAATAACTAATTGAACTTTTGACGTAGCGTTTTCTCCCAACCATTGATCTATTACTAAATCAATCGATCGGGTACGAATCCATGTTCCTCGATTGATCACTGGGGACTTCAATACCACAGGAAGCCTAGAGGATACTTTCAGACCCCCTTTGGGATCGACGAGCCCGAAAAATTGCTTGCTCAATTGTCTCTTGACGGAAAGTCGTTTAAACTCAGATTCTATAGAGAGCAATTTGAAACGGATAATTCCGCTTATCTCCTTTTCCAAGTACTTGTCGATCAAATACCCCTTTAAATGACAAGATAAGCGGCACGATAAGGCATCGTAATCAGTAGATCTAGTAATCTGATCTTGCGAAAACATGTTTAGAACAACAAGCCCAAAACCGAATCAATCGTTTGTTATGATTGTCTCTACTAATGTAAGGGTGTAGCGAGCGTATCGAAATAATTATTACTAGTTGAAAACTGTGGAGCTAGGAAATTCGTCCGAGGGAAAAAAAAGGAGGTTGCACTTATCACTGAAATATTCACGTAGCCGATCTAACCTCGGCAAGCTCAGGGGTGCCTGGAAAGATCTTACATATCTTGCTGTTAATATGCATAAACTATTCGTTGCGCCCTAGTCGGGGACTGATTTAGCTGCATTCGCGCACAATTTCTTCTCTTTTGTGCATGTGGCTCCTTCAAAGTTCGGCCGTTCTGGTAGCTAAACTACCTAGGAAATGAGCGGAAGTATTATTTGCACGAATCATCAATATAAAAGACGAGGACAGGTCTCCTCGTTAATGAGGTTTTGGTCAAATGAGCAAAGAAGAAGTTTCCATTCATGAGGCTGGTCAGTTCTCTGACAGTAGTACGTTCAGTGAAAGCTCTAATAATCCATTCTCGGATCCTGCCGTGGCAGAGAAGTACCGTCAGATCTATGAAAACAGTGAATACGAGTGTCGTCATAGATTTGATCCAGACTTCACGTGGACCAAGAAGGAGGAGAAAAAAGTCGTTTGGAAGCTGGAGTACAAGGTGACTTTGTTTGCCTGTTTCATGTTTGCTGCTTTGCAGGTGGACCGCGGTAATCTTGCTCAGGCTGTTTCTGATAACTTGCTCGAAGATATCAACATCACTACCAACCAGTACAACACCGGAAACACCATTTTCTATGTTTGTTTCCTCGCCATGGAGCTGCCATCCCAGTTGATCTCGAAGAAGTTGGGAGCAGACGTTTGGATCCCTCTTCAAATGTGTGCCTGGTCAATCGTCAGTCTTTGCCAATTCTGGCTGAAGGGAAAGAAGTCCTTCTATGCTTGCCGTGCGTTGTTGGGTCTGTTTGAGGGAGGTTTCATTCCTGACTTAGTTCTGTGGATGTCGTATTTCTTCACCGGCTCTGAGCTATCTTTGCGTTTGAGTTTCTTCTACACGAGTTTGGAACTTGCCATGCTTATCTCTGCCTTCGAGGCATACGGATTCCTGCACATGCGTGGTGTTGCGGGCAAGCCTGGTTGGTCTTGGCTGTTCCTGATCGAGGGAATCAGCACTTTGCTTATCGGAATTGTTGCTTGGTTCACCATGGTTCCTAGTGCGGTCCAAACCAAGAAGTTCTGGAACAAAAAAGGATGGTTCACCGAGAGAGAGGAGAAGATTGTGGTTAACAGAGTTCTTAGAGATGATCCAACCAAGGGTGACATGAACAACAGACAGGGATTGACTCCAAAGATGTTGTTCGAAGCATTGGCAGATTATCACCAATGGCCAACGTACCTTCTTTCTCTCTTTGCAATTATCCCAACTATCACTCTGAACGCCTACTTCACGCTACTGTTGAAGAATCTTGGATTCACCACTTTCCAGGCAAACTTGCTCACTATTCCAAGTTACATCATCCACATCATTTTGCTTATCGGCATAACATGGTATGCCGAGTACGCAAAAGAGCGATTACTGGTGTGTCTGACTCAGCCAATCTGGACAGTCCCATTGTTGGGTGTTCTGCGTTGGTGGAAGGGCGCCAACATCAACAAATGGGGAACCTATGCCGTGGTAACCCTGATAATGGGAGGCCCTTACATCCATCCTATTTTGATGGCTATGTGTTCGCGTAACTCGCAGTCTATCAAAAATAGAACTGTTTCCGCTTCGCTTTACAACATGTTCTTGCAGGCTGGTATGATCATTGCCTCAAATATCTACCGCACACCCGACAAGCCAATGTATTACACAGGAAACACTGTTTTGTTCTGGCTGGCTTTTGCTATGCTACCATTACTGATCTTTAGCAAGGTCTACTATGTTCTGGTTAACAGATATAGAGAGAAACGCTGGCAAGCATTGACTCCAGAGGAGAGAGAAGACTACTCAACTTCTACTTTGGATGTTGGGTCCAAGAGACTTGATTTCCGTTTCGATCATTAGTACTGCACTTTAATTTATTCATACTTCGTATTTGGAGCTGTTTCGAGTAAAAAACACGAAAAATCAATATAGCAGAGATCTACAGCAGATCTCTCTCATGTAAGCGAAAAGCCTGCCTCGGTTGATAGCGCCCGGTTTTGCGCAAATAACCGGGATTGTGGCCATCCATGGTCGAGAGCCAGACCCTGATCTGAAAATCTCACTGTGCAAGGATGTGGGAACACTCCGGCAGACTAAATGTGGCTAAAAGTGTGGAGTTAAAAAAATTATACTAAACTTACCTAAAATCATGTGTCAGAAAAAAAACTTCAGGGAGACCCCCTTCAAACAGCTTTTTACTACGGCCAATTGGGCTCAAGAGATCTCGATTTGTTCATCATGCACGTCATTCGTCTTGATGTAGACGTCGGGTTTTGAACCGGATGCACCTGACCCGTTTTTTTCCTTTTTCAGGGTATGTGGCTCTTGCCACATCCGGGCTGTGCAAAGAAGTTGCTACATTCTAGATAGGCCAGGCAGCGATGCGCAAGCCACGGTTTCTTCTTATAAAGGATCACCCTTGGACGTTCGAGTAGTTATCACACTATACAATGAGCAAAGAAGACGACGTGATCGTCCACGACGGCGGTGAATTTTCAGACGAGAGCTCGATCAGCAACTCATCCACGAATCCTTTCTTGGATCCTGCAGTGGAGAAGAAGTACAGGCAGATTTATGAAAACAGCCAGTACGAGTGTCGGGAAAGATTTGATCCCGAGTTCACTTGGACCAAGAAGGAGGAGAGAAAATTGGTTTGGAAGCTTGAGTACAAGGTTACTTTCCTTGCTTGTCTCATGTTTGCTGCTCTGCAAGTTGACCGTGGTAATCTCAGTCAAGCTGTTTCTGACAATATGCTGGCTGATTTAAACATCACCACTGATGTTTACAACACAGGAAACACCATCTTCTATCTGTGTTTCCTTGCTATGGAGCTACCTTCGCAGTTGGTTTCTAAAAGATTGGGAGCAGACGTCTGGATTCCTCTCCAGATGTGCGCCTGGTCTATTGTCAGTTTAGCTCAGTTCTGGTTGAAAGGGAAGAATTCCTTCTACGCATGCCGTGCGCTTTTAGGTATTTTCGAAGGAGGATTTATTCCAGACCTGGTGCTGTGGATGTCATATTTCTTTACTGCCTCCGAATTGTCGATCCGGTTGAGTCTTTTCTGGACGACTTTGGAGCTTGCTCAGATCGTGTCTGCTTTCGAAGCTTACGGCTTCTTGCACATGCGTGGTATATCTGGAAAGCCGGGCTGGGCCTGGCTGTTCCTGATTGAGGGTCTCAGTACCTTGGTGATCGGTATTGCTGCCTGGTTTATCATGGTGCCAAGTGTGGTTCAGACTAAAAAGCCATGGAACAAGAAAGGATGGTTCACCGAGAGAGAGGAGAAGATTGTGGTTAACAGAGTTCTTAGAGATGATCCAACCAAGGGTGATATGAACAACAGACAGGGATTGACTCCAAAGATGTTGTTCAAAGCCTTGTGTGACTACCACGAATGGCCAATCTATATGATCGGTCTTTTGGCCTATATTCCTCAGTCGACTGTCCAAGCGTACTTCACTTTGCTGTTGAAGAACCTTGGATTCTCAACGTTCCAGTCCAACTTGCTCACCATTCCGAGTTACGTGATCCATATCATTCTGCTGCTTGGTCTGACCTGGCTTACAGAACGAGTGAACGAGCGGATCCTGCTATGTCTGTCGCAACCACTGTGGATTGTGCCATTGATGGGCATTCTACGTTGGTGGGGTGGCGCCAATGTGAACAAATGGGGAACGTACGTCGTGGTGACCCTGATCATGGGAAGTCCATACATCCATGCCATCATGGTTTCGATGTGCTCGCGTAACTCCCAGTCGATCAAGAACAGAACTGTGTCTGCTTCGCTTTACAACATGTTTGTGCAAGCAGGATCGATCATTGCGTCCAACATCTACAGAACGAACGATAAGCCAATGTACTACGAAGGAAACACCGTTCTGTTCTGGTTGTCCTTCGCAATGCTTCCGCTGCTTCTGTTCACCAAATTCTACTATGTCTCGATCAACAGATATAGAGAAAAACGTTGGTCGAAGATGTCACAGGAGGAGAGAGAAGAGTACATCACCTCCACTTTAGACGTTGGATCCAAGAGACTAGATTTCCGTTTCGCTCATTAAGTACCATAATACACTATGAATATTGACTTTGTGACGTCAAGTAGAGTACATATATTGCTGTTGAGTTTTCTTTATCTGTTGAACGGTGTAGGGTGTGTCCAACAAAATAAAAAAAAAAAATGTCGGCCGGAATTTTCACCAGGCCATTTCTAACGCGTAGCGGGCACACTGCACAGAAAATATTTTGCTCCTTAATTTGATGTTTATGTCTTGTTGAGAGGACAAGAAGGAAGGTGTTTGGATTACGGTAAGTGTTCCCCAGGGTGGGGGAAGGATTTAAGACTTCAGAATGGGCGCGCTGGAGATCCACGACCTGTCTGGTAGCAGAATCAAGCTTGAATTGAGCCACAACGGATATTTTGGCTATGCCAAATGGATACCGAGATCACTCTTCACCAGAGCGCTCGATAGACTCACAGAATCAACCATCATGGTCCGGGAAGACAGCAGGTTGTTTTCCTCGGCCACAGGCCTGTGTCAACTTGGTGTTTGCCGGTTGTATTTGTGCTCTTCCCCTGAATTGCATCCTTAACTTTTTCTTTCACCCCGTATTTATTTCCCATGGCTAATGCTAAGATTACTTAGGTTCCCAAAGCTCATCACAAGACCCTTAACAACTATGACAGCCTCCTACTCAGCCAAACATACCTCGCTGGCCAAGCATTTTTTGGGTCTACACTCGATCGAAGTGGCAGAACCTTCAGATGTTAAGGACTTTGTGGTCAAACATGAAGGTCACACAGTCATTCAGAAAATTCTTATTGCAAACAACGGTATCGGTGCCGTGAAAGAGATCCGTTCTGTTAGAAAATGGGCCTACGAAACTTTCGGCAACGAAAGAGCCATCCAGTTCGTGGCCATGGCTACTCCAGAAGACCTCGAGGCCAATGCCGAGTACATCAGAATGGCCGACCAGTACGTGGAAGTTCCTGGCGGAACTAATAATAACAACTATGCCAACGTGGAACTCATCGTTGAAATCGCTGAAAGAACAGAGGTGGACGCCGTCTGGGCAGGATGGGGTCATGCCTCTGAAAACCCAGAACTTCCAGAAAGACTGGCTGCCTCCCCACGTAGGGTGGTATTCATTGGTCCACCGGGATCTGCTATGCGTTCGCTAGGTGACAAAATCTCCTCCACAATTGTCGCCCAACACGCAGCAGTGCCGTGTATCCCATGGTCTGGAACTGGCGTCGATAAGGTCGTTATTGACGATGCGGGAATTGTTTCTGTTGATGACGAAACATACGCAAAGGGATGTTGTACTGGGCCCGAAGACGGATTACAAAAAGCCAAGGAAATCGGCTTCCCTGTTATGATCAAAGCCTCCGAAGGAGGTGGTGGTAAAGGTATCAGAAAAGTTGACAGAGAAGAAGACTTTGTCTCTCTCTACCATCAGGCCGCCAACGAAATCCCAGGTTCTCCAATCTTCATCATGAAGTTGGCTGGTTCCGCTAGACACTTGGAAGTGCAGCTCTTGGCCGATCAATACGGTAATAACATTTCTTTGTTCGGAAGAGATTGTTCTGTTCAAAGAAGACACCAAAAGATTATTGAAGAAGCTCCTGTCACCATCGCAAAGCCAGAAACTTTCAGAAAGATGGAGTCTGCTGCTGTGAGACTTGGTAAGTTGGTTGGATACGTTTCTGCTGGTACTGTCGAGTACCTTTACTCCTACGCAGACGACAAATTCTACTTTTTGGAATTGAACCCAAGATTGCAAGTGGAACACCCAACCACAGAGATGGTGTCTGGTGTCAATCTCCCTGCCACCCAGCTGCAAATTGCCATGGGTATCCCACTTCACAGAATAAAGGACATCCGACTCTTTTACGGAGCAGATCCTCACACAACCACAGAGATCGATTTCGAATTCAAGAACGAGAACAGTGTCAGTGCACAACGTCGCCCAGTTCCAAAGGGTCACTGTACTGCCTGTCGTATCACTTCCGAAGACCCAGGTGAAGGTTTCAAGCCGTCGGGTGGTACTTTACACGAGTTGAACTTCCGTTCGTCTTCCAATGTTTGGGGTTACTTCTCGGTGAGTAACCAATCCTCCATCCACTCGTTTGCCGACTCCCAATTCGGTCACATTTTCGCCTTTGGTGAAAACAGACAGGCTTCGAGAAGACACATGGTCGTTGCATTGAAGGAATTGAGTATTAGGGGTGACTTCAGAACCACCGTCGAGTACTTGATCAAGTTGCTTGAGACTCCTGACTTCGAGGACAACACCATCACTACTGGATGGTTGGACGAGCTGATTTCCAAGAAGCTCACGGCCGAGCGTCCAGATCCAACTGTTGCAGTTGTTTGTGGTGCTGTTACTAAGGCGCACCAACAATGTGAAGACAACAGAAAGGAATACATTGCATCTCTTGAAAAAGGTCAAGTTCCTTCCAAGGAGCTCTTGAAGACCATTTACAACGTTGACTTTATCTACGAAGGCCAGAAGTACAAGTTTACCTGTGCTAAGGCTGCCAACGACGAGTTCAGTTTGTTTATCAACGGTTCCAGATGTGTCACCAACGTTAAGGCACTTAGTGACGGTGGTCTACTTGTTGCATTGGGTGGAAAGTCGCACTCTGTCTACTGGAAAGAGGAGGTTGGTGCAACCAGAATCTCTGTGGACGGCAAGACCTGTTTGCTGGAGGTCGAGAACGACCCAACCCAATTGAGAACTCCGTCTCCAGGTAAGTTGGTGAAGTACTTGGTTGAGAACGGTGGTCACATCAGTGCTGGTCAACCATTTGCCGAAGTTGAGGTCATGAAGATGTTCATGCCTTTGATTGCTCAGGAAGATGGTATCGTCCAACTCTTGAAACAACCAGGATCCACTCTTAATGCTGGTGACATCTTGGCAATTCTTGCTCTTGATGACCCTTCGAGGGTGAAGCATGCTTTGCCATTCGAGGGCACCTTGTCCGATCTTGGTTCTCCAATTGCTGTTGGTACTAGACCTGTTCACAAATTCCAAAGATTGCTTGGAATCTTGACCAACATTCTTTCTGGTTTCGACAACCAAGTTGTGATGAACGCCACTTTAACCGATCTTATTGTTACGCTGAGAGATCCAGAATTGCCATACTCGGAGTGGAACAATTTGATTTCTGCATTGCATTCCCGTCTTCCACCAAAGTTGGACCAACAGCTCACCGAGTTGGTTGACAGGACTCAAAAGAGAAATGCAGAGTTCCCATCCAGACAGGTTCTAAAGCTCTTTGAAAAGACCAAGGCCGAGGGACAGGTTGACGCTCTTTTCGATCAAGTCATTGAACCTTTGGTCAACATCGCTGAACAGTACAAAGAGGGACTGAGAGCCCACGAGTACTCTGTCTTTGCGGGTCTTTTGATGGAATACTACAACGTTGAAAAGCTTTTTAGCGGAGAGAACACCCGGATGGAAGATGTTATTCTGAAACTCAGAGATGAGAACAAGGACGATCTTTCCAAGGTCATCTCTCTGGCTCTGTCTCACTCCAGAATTGGTGCAAAGAACAATTTGATCACAGCCATTCTTGATAAATACAGACCAGTTCTGCAAGAAGACCCAGATGCTTTGGTTGCTTTCAGAGAACCATTGAAGAAGATTGTCGACCTGGATAGCCGTTCGACTGCAAAGGCTACTTTGAAGGCGAGAGAAATTCTAATTTTCTGCTCCATGCCTTCCATCAAGGAGAGATCCGACCAATTGGAGCACATCCTGAGAAGTTCTGTTGTGGAGACTCGTTACGGCGAGACCACTGCTGCCAAGCACAAGCTTCCAGATATGGAGATCATTCAAGACGTTATCGACTCCAAGTACAGCGTTTTTGATGTGTTGACCCAATTCCTGTGCTCTTCAGACCCATGGATCGCTGCTGCTGCCGCTGAGGTTTATATCAGAAGAGCTTACAGAGCTTACTCTGTTACTGAAGTCGAGCACCACGTTACTTCGACCAAGTCTTCCCCAGTTGTTGCATGGAGATTTCAATTGCCAGCCCTTTCCACTGCTGCTTACAACTCCGTTCCTGAGGCCTTGCGTAACGTCAAGTCTCCATCCTCCATGAACAGAGCTCTTTCCGTCTCTGATCTGACCTTTATGATCAACAAAGATGACTCTCAACCTCTCAGAACCGGTATTCTGGTTCCTGCTGCCCACATTGATGATGTTGACGAGATCTTGGGTAAAGGTCTGGAACTGACTTCCGTCAGTGAAAGCTCTGAGCCAATCAACGTTTGTAACGTTTTCATTGGTTCTACCGAGGGATACGAAACTGAGGAGGAAGTTCAGGAAGAAATCGCCAGAATCATCGACTTCAACAGACACGAATTGCAAGATGCTCTGATTAGAAGAATCACTTTTGTTGTCGGTGACAAAGTCGGTTCTTATCCGAAATACTTCACCTACAAGGCTACCGATGGTGCCTACGTTGAAGACGAAGTGATCAGACACATTGAGCCAGCACTTGCTTTCCAATTGGAGTTGGGTAGATTGTCCAACTTCCACATCAAGCCTGTGCAAACCGAGAACAGAAATATCCATGTCTACGAAGCCGTTGCAAAGAACTCTTCGGGAGTTGACAAGAGATACTTCACCAGAGGTATCATCCGTACTGGATCTATCAAAGATGACATCACTGCCCCAGATTACTTGACATCTGAAGCACACAGATTGATGAGTGATATCTTGGACGCTTTGGAGATCATTGACACCTCCAACACCGACTTGAACCACATCTTCATCAATTTCGGTGCTGTGTTCAACATTACTCCTGAAGATGTTGAGAGTGCCTTTGGTGGTTTCTTGGAACGTTTTGGAAGAAGACTTTGGCGTTTGAGAGTCACTGGTGCAGAGATCAGAATCATGTGCACTGACTCAGAGACTGGTGTGCCATTCCCTCTCAGAGCCATCATCAACAACGTCAGCGGTTACGTGGTCAAGTCTGAGATGTACATCGAGGAGAGAAACAAAAATGGTGAATGGATCTTCAGATCTCTTGGAACTCCAGGTTCCATGCACTTGAGATCGATCTCTACTCCATACCCAACCAAGGAATGGTTGCAACCAAAGAGACAGAAAGCACACAGCTTGGGTACCACCTACGTTTACGACTTCCCTGAGTTGTTTAAACAGGCTGTTATTTCGCAGTGGAAGAAATACGATCCAACATTTAAGCCTACTGAAGACATCTTCAAGTACGTTGAGCTGATCACCGACGATTCGGGAAGTTTGACTGAGGTTGAAAGAGAGCCTGGTGCAAATAACATTGGTATGGTGGCTTTCAAGATCACCGCCAAAACCCCAGAGTATCCAAGAGGAAGAGAGATTGCCGTTGTTGCCAACGACATCACCTTCAAGATTGGTTCCTTTGGTCCAAAAGAGGACGGTTTCTTCAACAAGGTCACTGAGTATGCTAGAAGCTTGGGTATCCCAAGAGTCTACCTTTCTGCCAACTCTGGTGCCAGAATTGGTATTGCCGAAGAGCTCTTGCCATATTACAAGGTTAATTGGAACGATCCAACAGACCCAAGCAAGGGATTCACCTACTTGTACTTGACTTCTGAGGACCTTAAGGCTCTTGACAAGGCCGGAAAGAGCAGCTGTGTCACCACCGAGAGAGTTGTTGAGAACGGTGAAGAACGTTATATCATCACTGCCATCATTGGTATGGAGGAAGGTCTTGGTGTTGAGTGTCTGAAGGGGTCCGGTTTGATTGCCGGTGCCACCTCCAGAGCTTACCAAGACATTTTCACCATCACTCTGGTTACCTGCAGATCTGTTGGTATCGGTGCTTACTTGGTTAGACTTGGTCAAAGAGCTATCCAAGTCGAAGGTCAACCTATCATTTTGACCGGTGCTCCAGCCATCAACAAGATTCTTGGTAGAGAAGTCTACTCTTCCAACTTGCAACTTGGTGGTACACAGATCATGTACAGAAATGGTGTTTCTCACTTGACTGCCAGCGACGACCTTGCTGGTGTTGAGAAGATCATCGAGTGGTTGTCATACGTTCCTGCTAAGCGAGGATTGCCTGTTCCTATTCTTGAATCTGCTGATGACTCTTGGGACAGAGACGTTGTGTACAAGCCAGTCAAGAACGAGGCTTACGACGTCAGATGGTTGATCGAAGGTAGAAGTACCGAGGACGACTTCGAGGCCGGTTTGTTCGACCGTGGCTCTTTCCAAGAAACATTGTCTGGATGGGCCAAGGGAGTTGTTGTTGGTAGAGCCCGTCTTGGAGGTATTCCTATGGGTGTTATCGGTGTGGAGACCAGAGCTGTGGAGAATCTGACTCCTGCCGACCCCGCCAACCAAGATTCTACCGAGGTGTTGGTGCAAGAAGCCGGTCAAGTTTGGTATCCAAACTCGGCCTTCAAGACTGCTCAAGCCATCCGTGACTTCAACAACGGTGAGCAGTTGCCACTGATGATTCTGGCCAACTGGAGAGGATTCTCTGGTGGTCAAAGAGACATGTACAACGAGGTTCTCAAGTACGGAGCTTATATTGTGGACGCTCTTGTGGACTTCAAGCAACCAATCTTCACATACATCCCGCCAACCGGAGAACTGAGAGGTGGATCGTGGGTCGTTGTTGACCCAACCATCAACTCAGACATGATGGAGATGTATGCTGATTCCGAATCTCGTGCCGGTGTTTTGGAGCCAGCCGGTATGGTTGGTATCAAATACAGAGAAAACAAGCTCATCGATACCATGAACCGTCTGGATGACAAGTGCAAGAGCTTGCGTGCCCAGATTGCTACCGAAGGTATCAGTGCCGAGGAGAAGACTACTTTGGCCAAACAACTGAGCGAGAGACAGAAGCAATTGCTTCCTATTTATGCTCAGATTTCCGTGCAATTTGCCGACCTGCACGACAGAGCTGGACGCATGGTGGCCAAGGGCACCATCCGTAAGGAGCTGGAGTGGAGCAACGCTCGTCGGTTCTTCTTCTGGCGTTTGAGAAGAAGATTGAACGACGAGTACCTGATCAAACAGATCGGCGCCCAATTGCCTCAATCTACCAGACTGGAGAAGGTTGCCAGACTTAACTCGTGGTACCCAAGCTTCTTGGACCTGGACGACGACAAGTCGGTTGCTACGTGGGTGGAGGAGAACCACAAGCTACTGGAGTCGAACCTCAAGAAGCTCAAGGGAGACGCTACCAAGCAGACTTTGGCAAGACTGTTCCGCACAGACATCAAAAACACTACAGAGGGGTTGGTGGAGATTCTGTCCCTGTTGCCTGCTGAAGAGCGGGAAGCTGTTCTGAAAGATTTGAGACATTAATGATATAGTTGAAATAAGATTTTGTAAATTTTTCCTGTTCTATTAGGTGAGTAAAACATTTTTATAGCGCCAACAAGAAGAATCCCTATTTTATTGCTATTCTTTGCTTATGAGGATCGCGGGACTATTTGTGGTGATCACAGCGTTGAGTGGAGCAGTTGCGGTGCCGATAGAGTCGGCCAAGGGAAAGGTGGATCGGTATTTGGTTCAAATGAAGGAGCGGTTCACGGTTGAGAAGCTGTGTGCCCAGGACGACAAGGTCAAGGCTTTGAGCCACTTTAGGGACGGTATTGACAGAAACTTCTCGTTTGGCAATTTCGAGGCCTTTTCCGGCAAATTCAGCAAGGAAGCGTTGCTCAGAATGGCTTCCAATCCGATGGTTGCAAAAATTGTGCCCGATAGTCTGGTGCAAGCCGTGGACATCGACGTCGAGTACGACGCCCCACCGCACCTTGTGAGACTCTCGCAGGACGACCCGGTCACCCCCGACGAGTCGGAGTATTTCTATGATACAGATTTTCAGGGCCAGAACGTCAACGCGTACATCATTGACAGCGGCGTGTTTGTGGACCATCCCCAATTCGAAGGACGTGCTTCCAACGGTCCCAACTACAGCGAGGACCTGACCAACGCGGATTTCGTGGGCCATGGAACGCATGTTGCAGGGCTTATTGGATCAAAAACATTTGGTGTAGCCAAAGAGATCAACCTCATCAGCGTGAAAGTGCTGGACAAGTACGGCCAAGGTTCACTTTCGTCAGTCATTGCGGGACTCCAGTTTGCGGTCAAGCACAGAAAGGAAAGCGGAAACGTCCCGGGAGTGGCTAATTTGTCGCTCGGAGCAGCAAAAAGCTCTGTTCTGGACGATGCCGTTAAAGCAGCATACCAAAGCGGATTGGTTATCGTTGTGGCTGCTGGAAACAGCAACATCGACGCATGTAACACCTCGCCAGCTGGATCACCTTTCTCGTACACCGTGGGAGCCATCGATGACACTCAGGACAAGATTGCGAGCTTCTCCAACTGGGGAAAGTGCGTTAACATCTTCTCCAGCGGAGTCGAGGTGCAAAGTCTTTCCAACAGCCAAACGAACCTAAACAAGGTCCAAACATTGAGCGGTACATCTATGGCCAGCCCTGTCGTTGCTGGCGTGATTGGAGTTTTGCTCAGTAAAGGCGTCGGACCAGACGACATTGTGTCTGAGATGGACGAGATTTCCATCAGCTCTGCCATTCCCCGGATCAGTCTTCTGCTCAGACCGGGAAGCCCCAACAGAATTGCATCCAACGGTGTCAGAGAAGACGATTTCGACATGTTGCGATTTTCCAATAGCAGCATCCAGTCTGTTGATCCAGCTAGAAGTTAAGTAGCATGCATTTAAAATAAATCTGGTCATTATTTGTGAGGCTGATGGGTGAAGCTAATCACCAATCTACCAGTATGGCCGTTGTATGAGAGAAACAGGTGCGAGTGGCACGGGGTTTTCGAAGCGGGTTGGTCTGGAGACGTGGACTGCAGGGCCATGAGCTCCGAGTCGATATCGTCGTTATGGAACAGCAGGTCGATCTCGTTGACGCACTTGAGCGTCTCTCTCACAACCAACCGGTCCGGGTCTTTGTACTTTTGCGGGAACTCGGACTCGGTCTGATATATGAAATCGTATCCTGTGGCTTTGCTGATGGGGAGAATGTATTTTTCGTAGAGTCGAAGAAGCATCGAGGCGGCCGACTTTTCCTCGGTCGGGGTGGTAGAGAAAAGCTGGTTTTGCGGAAGAATCGTGGAGAAAACAATGTTGCACAGCTCCTGTTCGCTATTCAGCTGCAACACGAGCAAATAATAGTCAAACGACTTGATCACAGAGTCTCTATTTTCACACGAATAACACAGATCTGCGTATCCTTGGGTGTCTCCTCCACAGTGTATACATATGGACTCCGGTCGATGCAAGTCCTGTTGTCCGATCTGGTACTTCTGGTCGATCTGACAGTTGTAGTAGAGGTGTTGTTGTAGCTCGGACTTGGTATTTGGGAGTGCCTTGAAACTGCCCATCTGTGCGTTCGATGCGACTGAAACCGATCGTTCTGACAGATTCGACTGTGTTTGTAATTCCGGCTCGATCTCAGATCCCTGCGCGGCTCCAGGCGACGACTTACCGGAATTCGACTCTGCAACCGACTCCGACTGGTTGGGCGTGTCCTGTCTTGCATCCGAATCGTCCTCTTGGTCGCGAGAAAGAGGCTTTATTTGTCTCAAGGTCTCGAAGTCGTCCTTGCTCTTGTACACCGGGGTTTTGGTCCCCCGCCTTTTCTGTGCTCTCTCAATCACCCGACACGGGTTGCACGTCTTGAATTGAAGGTGCTCGGGCGCCTCAGACTTGAGTCTCTTGCGCTTGCATCGACGGCACATGATGGGTTTCCCATTCACAAGCACCACGTCGGACTCTTGCGACGGCTTGCCGCCGTTGTATGATTTTATGCGCGCCAACACGCGCTCGTCGTTTGTTTCGGAAGCCACACTCATGTCTATCAGCACAAACCTATTGGTATTGCCATTAGCTATATAAGAAGTTTTTTAATAATAATCCACCGTCTTAGCTTTACAAGGGTCGATCGACCCGAATTTATTTATTATCTATCAAGATTAAAACACAAAGAATCCCTGCTCCTCCAAGTAAAGGACAATCTTCTGGATGGCGGTGTTGATTGGGATGGAGTCCAGGTCAACGCGGATCTCCGCCTCCTTAGGAACCTGGTAGGTCTCAATGTCCTTTCTCTCAGACTTGAAGTATCCCTTTCTGTCGTTGGCTTCGCAAACCACTCTTGGGGTCTCCACAGAAACAAGCACAAATGAGCCGGCCTTGGACACCTGGGTGTTGACCGACTTCAAGAAAGCTTCGGAAGCAACTTCCTCGGAGTCGGTCACGAGAACACCAGCGCCGGATCTGACAAGCTCGGCAGTGACGAAGCCAGCAGATTCCTGGCCGATCCGAGAAACATCGAGCAAAGTGATGTGACGCGAGCCAGAGAACTGGTTGAAAGTGGCCTGCAAAGCATATCCCAAAGCCTCGACACCGGAGTTCGGCAGTCCTTGCAAGTAAACAGCAAATCCTTGGGTCTGTCTTGGTGGATAAGCAGTTCTCAAGATTTGAACAACCTCTGGGTACGAGAACCATTCTGGGATATGGGTGCCCTCGCGCAAACGCTTTCTGAGCTCGGTACCGGAAATGTTCAGGGTTCTTGTTCCGTCTGGAATACTGTCGATAGGAGCATATCTGGACTCGTCCGGCAAGTATGTCACCATTCTGAATGGAACAACCTCGATTTCCAATTCGTTAGCAAACCGCTCAACAAGCTCCTGGGCATCGTACGGTCCGTAGAATGGAACTCCCTTCGAGTTGGATCCTGGACCGGCGTGGTCTCTTCCCACGATGAAGTGGGTAGCACCATAGTTCTTTCTGATAATGGCGTGCCAAACAGCTTCTCTGTCACCGGACATTCTCATGGCAAGCGGCAGCAGAGCAAGTTGGGCCATTCCGTTTGGATACTTCTTGATGATCTCCTGGTACACCTTGACTCTGGTGTGGTGGTCGATGTCACCCGGCTTGGTGAGTCCAACAACAGGGTGGATCAACAAGTTGGCAAGCTTGTCTCTAGCGGCACGCACGGTAAGCTCTCTGTGAGCTCTGTGCATTGGGTTTCTGGTCTGGAAAGCAACCACCTTCTCCCAGTGCTTGTTGCCGAACTCGGACCGCAGCTGAGCAGGAGTCTTTCTGAGCCCAGTATAGTCGTAGTGTTTTGGAGCACTAATGGCTTGCAACGAGCCACCAATATAAACGTCCCCGGCGGTGTCCAACAGATACCGAATAGCAGGGTGCTCAGGGTCACCACGGAACACCTCCTTGGCCTCGACCTCCTTGTTTGGAGTGTAGATGTCGTCGATGGTCAAAATAGCCAGAGCCAAATCGTCTCTTGGGTCTCTCAGCACAATACGTTGGCCGGACTCCAGACCAGAAGCCACATCTTTGGAAACGTCCAAGGTGATAGGAATGGTCCAGATCTCTCCGGAAGCCAAACGCATCTTGTGCACAACAGAGGTGTAGTCGGCCTCGTTCAAGAATCCCGTTAACGGAGAAAATCCACCAACAAGGATCAACTCGAGATCACAGAGCTGTCTGTCGGTCAAACCGATCGAGGTCAGCGAGGCGGCCTCGGCCAAAAGCTCGCTCTTGATTGGAGCATCGCGCACCAGTAGGTCTTGCAGGACTCCTCCGTGTGGGGAAAGCATGTTGTTAATCAGGTTTGATTAACTTTTCACTCGTCTTTATTGCACAATCGGACGTTGCAAAATCGCACGTGACCCAAAAAATTTTGCTAAAAAGGATCCACTGTTTAAGGGTTTGTTCGTTTTGGATTTTTCAACTGCTCGGCCTCGAGAGCTGCACAGCCTTGAATCCTGCTGTGGAGCCGGCATATAAATGTCTGGCCTCCACCACACGTAGCTCGCATTCTTTCATAGTGGCTGCGTCGCCGATCTTTCCCTTGACGGTGGTGCCGAGCGCCTCCCAGCACATCTGCCGCGTGAGCCCGAGCACCTCTGCCATCACCGTCTGCACCTGGTTGGCGGCCTGTGCTAGATCGTTCAGTCGGTACAAACGGTCGACCAGCAGCGCCGAAAACAGGTCTCCGACGCCCGTGAAGTACGAGTCCAGCTTTGGGATCGCAAACACGATCGGCGCAGCCATGTCGGTCGACGACACGCAGCAGTAGAAGCAGTCGTCGTGGTCTGGGTCCGGGTCCAGCCCCAGCTTGTCGGCACATAGAAACAGAGACGATACCACGACATGTTTCACGTGGTGTTCGGTGTGCAGGGTTTGCAATGCCTCGAACAGCGAGTCTTTGTCTGTGATCTTCAAGTCGAGCAGGAGCTCGAGCTCGAGCTGGTTCGGCGTGATCACGTCGACCAGGCCGGAGTGAACGATCTTGCGATACACCGGTATCACGTCCTGGCTCACGTAGATCTGGCCGTCGTCGCCCATGACCGGGTCGAGCAGCCAGAGACAGTCTGGGTGGGCTTTCTTGACGTCTGTGCACATTTCCCCGACCGCGGCCAAGGAGTCGGCGCCGTGGATGTACCCGGTGAGCACAGCGTTGTACTTGACGCCGATCTGCTTGAGTCCAGCGTACATCTCGGCCAATTTCTCGCCCGTAACAACCTCGCCGTAGAACTTGCCGTACCCGGTGTGGTTGGAGAAATTGACGGTGTTGAGCACGTCAACGTTCCACCCGAGCATCTGCAGCGGGAACGTCGCGGCCTTGTTGCCCACGTACCCGTGGATAACGTGCGACTGTATAGATAATAACTGCATCGAGATTGGCGAATTTTTCTTTGTAAACCAGATAAGATAAGCTCTAGTCGAGTGAATAGTTTATAGATCGAGCCAAAACTGACGGGAAATCGTCCTGTTCTCTAATCTGCTCGAGGCCGGGAATAATTAAACGGGTTATCAAGATCGCTTATCCGCTAACGATCTTGGAATTACTCACCCCTGCACTAATAAATATTTTTTTTCGAGAATACATTTGCGAAAACGGTTAGCAGCAGGTGAAAACGGGAGGACGCGACGTTACCGGCTGCAGCCGTTCGACAATCACCGTTTTCGTGCCCACGCTCACGAGCTGGATGCCCTGGTCCAGAATCGTGGTGTTGCTCTCCTCCCACTTGGACTCGTCGATCTCGCCCGTCAGGTACGAGTTCCAGTTGTTTTGTAGGCTCTGTCCCAGCGGAGCACTGTTATCTGTAAACGGCGAGTCCATGGCGTTGACGATCAAGGGAATCGGGCTTGTGAGCGGGACCTCGATCTCCGAGTCTTGCACGATCATCCGGGGTTTGCGCGCGAGATCCAGCGGACTCTGTCCGGGCACCAGTAGCGTCTGCACCACGTTCCAGGCCTGGCCCTTGAGCACAGCCAACTGTTTACGGAACATGCGCTCCTTGAACCCACGATCTCTGCTGAGCATCTCGCGCAACAGCACTGACGTGTCCTCCCACCACTCCTTGGACGTGAGAAGCGGCAGAAAGTGTTTTCTGGTAGCAGCAGAGAACGGCCGGCCAATTATGGAAATGGGCAGAAACAGCCAGCCGAACGGGAACGAGCGCCACTCGTTCGGGTGTTTCCACGGCAGCGACAGCCCGTTGTCGATGGCCCCGAGTCGGATCTGTGGCCGTCCGTTGATATGCTCGATCTTGAGCATCCAGTTATCAAGACCTCTGTCTGTGTTTCTCACAATAAAATCGAGAATAACCAACTTCTCTATCTCGTGCTGCAACTGCTGCAACGTCTCGGGAGTCCATTGGAACTCTGAGGACGGAGACTGAGACTGGTGCGGCAACGGATATTGCTTGAAGAACTCGTCTGCTCCCTGGTAGCCGTGCAAGAACAGCTGGAACGAGCCAACCTTGGGCCGCAGTGGCTTGCCCGCAATGTACGCCCCGACACGCTCCCACATCGGGTAGTAGAACTTGTCGCACGAGAGCGTCACGATGTCCGTGTACGGGACAATGAAGGTCTGCAGCTGGCGGTCGAGCAGGCTGGTTGCGCTCTCGGCGATGTAGCCCGTGTTGGGGATCAGACACGAGCGGCCGAAGAAGCACGGGAAGAAGTTTCTGTGGATCCATTTGGTCATTTTGGGCGACAGCGGGCCGTACGGCTCTTCGTCCTGGGGCTTGAACACGCCGATGGGCTCGTAGTTGGCGTTGTACACGAAATACGAGCCGGACGAGCCCGCAGAAATGAGCTGCGGGCCAATGCCCAGCTCAATGGCCTCTGCCCCACTGGCCACGACCTGCTCAAAGTCGGCTCTTGTGGTGGGGCCCAGGTCCAAGAAACCGGCCTGCGGCAGCTTGGTGAGCGGGTGGATGTCTGGAGGGGCGCGGAACACGGAGTAGTAGATTTCTGTGGCGCGCGGTTGCACGTTCTTGGACCGGAACATGTTGCCAATATGGAGGTCTCTGATGGTGTTTGTCCACTGCGACAACGACCGCTTGGAAAATGGCGACTGATCCGCCCCGGTGGGGGGACTCAGCAGCGGCGTCGTCTCTAAAACAGGCGACCCGCTGGCAAGAGGTTGACCCGTAACAGACATGTGCCTAAATACATGGAGAAAATATATCTCTAAATTATTTGCAATTATTAGGCCATGACCAGCTCGTTGCTGTTTGCGCGTGTTTTGCCACTCGTTGTGCCGTTTTTGGGCCAGCAGGACAAGATCGACCTCGCGTGCACATGCTACGACGTCTACCGCGCGGTTATCCCGAGCGTTTACCAGAATTTGCTGTTTTCGGGCAGATCGCTTTTGGAGCCAAGCTTAAAGTGGTCCAATGTTGGGTCGTTGCAGAACCCGTTTGTGAGCGAGAAAAGACACACACAGGTGTACGAGCTGCGACAGGAGCTGCTCTTTGAGACGCTGACGCTCAACAAGGAGCTGCTGCAGTGCGTCGAGAGCGTCGTGGTGGCCGGCACCCAGATCTCCCCGGATTTGGCACTTTTGTTGAGCCAGGCCCCAAACCTGAAGCGGTTCGACGTGCCCAATGCACAGCGACTCGCGTCAAACCTCGCCAGCACAAGTCTTGCCTCCGTGCTCATCACAGACCTCGAACAGCTGTGCCACTTGCCCGACACTGTCACAGAGATCAGACTCGGGGTGTTCGACTCAGACAAGATCTCTGTCTCTGACCGGGCCCGGGCCCTTGCCCGCGTGTATGCGGCCTCGTCGCTCGTGCTCGTGTCGGACGAGCCGTCCATCTGCGCCTTCCTCAAGTTCCTCCAGCCGTTTGCTACTCTGCGGCTCCGGTCGCTGTCCGTGGTGTACTACCACGGCTACAACGACTACAACCAGGCCGCGCGGCTGCTCGTGCGCCAGCTGCTCGACCACACAGACGCCGCTCAGCTGTGCCGTCTCGAGATCACCGCCGGCTGCGACCAGATGGCCTGTGCGTGTCTGAACGAGTTTGCGGCCCATCTGTGCTCGAAGCCGCTCCACCTCAAGCAGCTCGCCCTGCTCCAGAAAACCGTCCACAGAGACCACAACTACACCGAGAAGTTCGACGTGGCCGTCACGGCGCTGCTCAAACAGCTGCCCAACAACACACACCTTGAACAGCTGTATCTCCGCCACTCTCCCCCACTCGACGGAATGATCGTCCATGGCTTTGAAGGGAACTACATCAAGCGCCGCAACCTGTACCAGGAAACGCTGCCGCTGCTCACAGGGCTCCAAAAACTCGTCTGTCCCACATTCGTGTGGTCGCTGGCTGGGTACGAGCAGCTCATGTCCGACCTTCTGTGGAACGGCTGCTCCTGCCCCCACTGTGACTCGTTCCTGTCGCTATTTGACGAGTTCATCATGACACACCATTTCTACGACTCCAGCGCCGGACTCGAGAAAGACGTCATCTCCCCGTGCTTCTTCAGCTGCGCGGCAGCCACGCTTGCCGCCCGCTTCATAGGAACCCCGTTCGACAACTTGCCGCTGCTCAACGTGTCCTGGAACTTCCACACCCTCCTCAGCATCGATCACGACCCCACCTACGACTGCCGCTTCAACCAGGGCTTCTTCCGGCCGCTCGCCACGTGCATCTCGCACTTCTGCAGCGACTACGTCGACGCGCTGGGCCGGTCCAACGAAAACCTCGTCCACATCAACCTCAACGGCATCGTGTTCCAGAAAAACGGCAAGTGGGGGTGCACCAACGAAAGGGCCTACCAGCAATCGTAACGTACGTTCATAATAAAGTTGTCTATATCTAGTTGCTCTGTCGTAACGCGGCCAGCACCCGTTCGGCCCGCGCGGCCAGTCGCCGCTTCGTCTGCATCTCAACAGACTCCTCCAGTCCGAGCCAGCTAACAGGCTCCACCAACGGAAGCCCTGCCACCCAGCTCCGCACGGTCTCGAGTTGATCAGACTCGGGCAGATACACGGCCGACCCGTCCAGCGTGATCGGCTGCGAATCCAAAACACCAGGACTGAACAGCAGCCGCGAAACCCGCATAATAACAGCAAGATCTCCGCTGTCTGTCACTTTTCCACCAAAAACCACTCGGCCAAACATGTTCGACAGCACATCCCACGCAACGCCGTCCGCAATCACCTGGTCAAGAACATGCTGCGCACAAGCCAGATCGGCCTCCGTGAACTCGTAGCTCTTGCTGAACCCAATAGGCACAAATCTCAGCCGTTCCTTCAACAGTCCGTAAAACCATGCTAGCAAAACGTAGAGTCGAGCGTGCTCGGGGTGTGCCACATTATTAAGACTCATTGCCGCGTTGCTCTTCAGCAAACTCTCCTCAAGAACAGTCTTGATTCCGGGATCGCTCTCAAACACAAACTTGGTGCACAGCTTAGAGACAGTGCTGGAGATCTGAGAGTCAACCTGACACGACAAGAATAAGTGGAATCCAGGCCTCTTTTCTCCCTCCAAAAGCTTCGGAATGATCTCAATAAACTCCGGAGACATGTGCACGTTCTCCACCAGAAGCCAGCCTCCGCTCTTCATTGTTGACACAAATAGTCGTCTGGCAACCTCGAGACCTTCGCTGGATCCCATGGAGTAAGAGCTCAGTTCCCTGTGATGCGACTTTGCCAGACTGTTAATGGTAGCAGCGGCATCGAATCCACCGGATGCACGAAGCAGGAACAACGAGCTCTCTTCCAGTGTCTCTGCCAGTTCGTACTCCCTAGACGAATCAAACTCGCCGACAATGTCCTTTAGAAGCTGCTCAAAGATGCTGCGGTCTTCCTGGATCAGCGAGTTGGCAGTAGATCTATAAGTCTCTTCACCCAGAGCGGAAATCATATGTTCAACAGTCTTTCCATGGCTTGATTTCAGCATCTTCTTGAACACAACGACCAAGTGGTTGCTTGCGAACTGGTAGATACTGTTCAGCTCCCAGAGTCTGTTGAGCAGAAGTTGTATCTGGCAGTAGCTTTCTGCCAGAGGCAGATATTCATTCCGCACTTTGGTGACTTCTTCAAGCAAAGCAGACGATTGTGAGAGCTTGGTTTGAATGGATGCAGCCTGTGACTTGATCGATTCAAGCTTCTTGACTAGCTCGTCGTTATCAAGAATGCTAACACGGGTATCGCTCAGATTCTTCAACAAATCGTTCTCCAGATTGTAGAGACTATCTTTGTACTCTCCATTAACCTTGGACAATTCAACAAGCTGTTTCTCAAGTTGCGGATTCTCGCTGTTAAGAGTCATGTCAAGAGCCTGGTTGACCAAAGAACTGCTTGTGAATGTGTAGTTCAACACGTTCATCCTGCTCTGCAAAAATGGTGCTATCTTTGCAGACGAGTCCTTTGTATGCACGAATAATCTAAAGTTTGGAGAAAGGTCAATTTCCTTAGACCCAAGTCTCACCAAACTGCGGCCTCCAGATGTCTGAATATCCTTAGCGATCAAACGACTGATCAAAGGATCGTAATATTCTCCGTCTTGAATCAAAATATGACCTCCAAATCTGATACAGTTCTCCAAAAGCTTCAGGTATCCGTCATCCAAGAAACTCGTCACAACAAGATCTGTATGTGTATTCACCAGGAAATTAATCATGAGACCCGAAGGGTCCAGAATGAATGGATATCTTTCATCTTTGCTCAACATCATCGTGTTTTCAATAAACAGCTCGTCATTTGGAAGACCATTTTGCTGCCAAATGTACTCCTGATCTGGTTTCAAAGCCCAAGACTTGAAATCAAGGGTCGGTTCGTAGGCAATTGAGTACTGAGAAAGAATGGATTTCCAAGACTCAGAGTACTTGCGTCTCTCAAGCTCGCTGTACGTTCCCAGATATGACATGTAAGCTGTTCCAAGCAACGTGTTGCCGACCAAACAATCTCTCTGTTTCTGAAAATCGACCACACTTGAACCCCATCTGTCCTTCTCGTCTCGGAGACTCTCCAACAGCATTGTACTGCGCTCCACCTTGTTCTCAACGTCTTGCATCTCGGTCTTGATCTTCTCGCTCTGTCTAATCACCTCGCTGTACTTTTCTTTGTAATCCTCAATGCTCTGCTCCAAGTCCTGGATCATTCCATCAAGAGCAATCAATTTGGCTTTTGTATCAACCAGTTCGTTCTCCAAGGCTCTCACCTCGTCTTTCAAAGGCTGGACTTTCTCAATCACGGAAGCATATCTCAATTGAGCTTCAACCCACAAAAGCAAAGGTCCACAGGCTTTACTGGCCCGATTCACAGATTCAAAGTTGTAACTTGGTCTTGAAATGTATTCCGACTCCATAAAGTCGGCAAGCTCTTTCGTCAGGTGCACCTCGCTGTCAAATCCAACAATACTTGCGATAAAGTCGTCTCTTCTGATGATCAGTTGAACATCTCTCCAAGTGCTCACGTCGTATCCAAGCAGGATACACACGGATTCCAGGGTGATCTTCACTGCTTCAGGAGGATTGTTCATAGATCTCAGCTCGGTCAAATGCTGTTTCTTGATATTCTTGACTCCTCTTTGAGCCTCTAAGATTAACGGCTCAACCTTTTCGAGATCTTCAAGCGCAAGACTACGCCGTTCTCTGATGTATTTCTCCTGCTCTTCAAACCGACTATGGATTTCTATAGAAGCCTCCTGTTTCCGCTCGGCTTCGTTTTGGTCGGTGATCATCTTGTCAAGCATTTCTCTGGCCTCTTTATTTTTCTCTGTGAGCTGATGTCTCTTCACCGAAAGACTCTTGTTCAGCTCCTTAACTTCCAAAAACGTTTCCTTCAGTCTATCAAGACCAACATTGATATGGGACTGGTGTTCCTGTAATTCAGCCTCTTGAGAATTGAACGAGGAAATAAAGTTATTGATCAAAGAGAAAAACTGATTTGGAGTAGGTTTGTAGCTGTTGAATCCCCGATGGATCTTCACAAAAATATCCACGACAGCTTCCTGAAGCGTATCGACACTTGATCCAACAGGAGGGTGATACTGCGAGTTGTTAATTGGTAACACTTGCAATAAACCTTTGGCAACTGCTTCCAGCGACTCCGATGTCCAGTCTCCCATCCAACTAATAACACATCTGTTGAAAAGAGCTGGCGATGAAATGAGAGGAGGAGCATCTGTGGAGTATGGATCGGTGATTGTGAAAACCACATGGAAATTGTTAGCAACTTGTCCAGTGAACCAAGAGTAAAGCTCGTCGTCAGAATCCAAAAATAGACCTTGTTCTTGCGACCTTTGAGAACAGATTGTCATGAGAGTGCTGAATTCTTCACCTTCAAACAATCCAGGCACTTCAGCGTTTGCCAACAACGTGTTCATCCTCTCCAGGAACTCAGTTTCCAAAATCGAAGACTCGTCGATAATAAAACAAACTTTAGTTCCTTCAGCAGCACGGCGTAGCAGCTCTCGTAAAGTAGAGTCGAATTCTGCCAATGTGTATTTCCGAGAAACAATCAGCTGATGAATGTAGAGCCCGTTGATCCAGGCCACAAACTTTGCAAGGGTTGTCTTTCCACTTCCACTTGGACCAACTAGAATCATATGTCCTTGAGAATTCTTCAGAGCACGGTCGATTCGTAAGACATGATCCAAAAGATCAGGGTATAGTACCAAAGAAACATTAGTTTCTTCCTCACTGAACACTTTTAATCTCTGATCCACGAAAGCACCAAGCTCTTTTGGAGTTACAGGAGCGTAGTCATATGAGAGCCAACCAGAATAAAGAATAGGTTGTTTCAGCGTAGTTTCCAAGTCAAGATGAGGGAAGTTTTTGGATGCCACGGACTCTATCAACTTCACAGTCCATTCGCGCTCGTCTTGATCGACCAATCTGTCAAGAAAGAGTCTCAAAGCTTCATGAGCCCATAATCTAATGAGCTGTTCCAAATTCAAATGCGAAGACGCTCTCACAGCCTCGTAAATTCCGCGAACCCATCTTGTCAGCTCACGAGGAGAGTAAATGTAGTGAGCTCTGGTCGTGAAATGTGTTCTGGATGAATTGTAGACTTGGATCATAGAGTTGGTAAGTGGTTGCACGTATCCACGCAAATCAGGAACACATTTCAACAAGGCAGAATTGAACGTGGAGTAAATTTGGGTCAACGAATGCTCTCCAGGATAATCCACCATAATAACTGAGGAATGCCTTAAGAACCTGGAACTGAGTGCGTTTCTTCCCGGATCAGTAGGAGGGTTACAGGCTCCAACTATCTGTATGTTTCCCAACGTGACCCAAACTCCGTCTTTCTTCCTCCAAAATCCACCTTGTTCCACCAGCTGTCTGAGGAATGCAATAGTTGTCTGAGAACCGTAGCTGTCGAATGCTGGAAGATTGATCTCATCGCAGAAAAGAACGAGCCATTTTTCAGGAACAGACGGAACAAGTTTGATTCCCAAAGGAGTAGATGTATAGACACAGTGCTGTTCCAAAGTCTTAATCACAAGATCTGGTGTTGTATCTTTGGAGAAATTGACGCCCACAAAAATGTAACGGTGTGACTTTCTGAGCGCAGCCATTAAAGTCATTGTCTTTCCTGAGCCTGGTGGACCGCACAAAATCACAGTCTCATGCTTTCTGATCAACGAAAAAATCAAATTCTCGTGAACTGTCGTATCCATCGTTGGGATCACAACGTCTGATCTAGTGATCGTGTGTGGCTCCAGATCGAATTCAGCAACGCTTGTTGGTTTCCACTCATAGTCAGAAACTGAGATCTCAGAGTAAAGCAAATCACTAGTGCTGTACTGTGATAGTTGAGGTAGACTCTGGAGGTACAAAGAAAATTGTTGTTTTTCACTCAACGGAGAGTCACCAGCAAAAGCCCAAACCAACGAGTGTAACACTGCACGCATGACGTACGAAGTGATATCTTCATTATGAACAATCGTCTGGGAATTCACCAGCCGCTCAAATCTGTCCGATAAAAGACCGAAAAGTGTCTTTATTGGGCTCATTCCACGGTCCATTATATGACTGGACTTCTTCGATTCGGTCCATACCTGGAATAAGACGGTAGACGGGAGTGATTGTTCAATTGAATCGGCAAAGCGTGAGCGTAGGTCATCAACAGAGCCAGGTCGAGTGTTTTGTACCATATCCTCGTTTTCCAGCTCGGTGTTCTTGAACGAGTGAAGAAGGTTGGTATAATAATCAGAGAACTCAAACAGTTTGTCTCCAAACCAGACAATTCCACATCGACTGACAGTGGCGGGCGTTGCAAAATTGAGATCTTGCACCTCAAACACAATTTTCAGATTCGAAGGTAGAGCAATCCGTTCACCACTAGGCAGTGTGAGAATCTTGTTGTCATCCAAAACACTGTTGAGGTTCTCGACCCAATTCGGATCAACATCTCCATCAAACACGATCCAGACGTTCTTGGACTTTTCTCCTCTGAGATTCAGCTCAACGCGTCTTAGTATCGAAGTGAAGACTCCGTCGGTCCATTCTCGGGTAGCATAATCCAACGATCCGTAAAGAAGTTCTTTTCCAAGGACTTTAGGATCAATGATATGAACAGAATTGTCCTTACCAGTTGTACGCTTCATTGACTCAAGAAGAGACTGGAAAAGAACAGTCTTTCCACTGCCTGCTTCACCAACCATCATGAACCCATGATGAGACTCTTGAATTTCGTATAGCTGCAACGCTTTTTTGATCCATGCTGAAGAAGCAACGAATCCGTTTTGTGCAGCTAAATCTCGGAGATGTGGGACCAATTGATCAGCTGAAGTAGCAAGTCCCTCCTGAGTGCCAAAAATGGAGATGTTCTTTTCGAAAATTGGTTCGTCGACCGCAAGAAGTTTTGGAAGCGTAACCGTCTTCAAACTGTGAACCATAATTCTGTTCTCGAAGCTTGGATCCGTAATATCGTCCTTGATAGCGCGACGGAAAGCTCCACATCTGGAAAGTGTACTCTTCAATGCACGGAGACCAAAGTCGTAATGCGGCTGGCTGGAACAGTTAGATTCAAGAGAAGCAAAGAAAGAAACCACCTTTTCTCCTAAGTCTCTTGCTAAATCAAATCCTTGCGAAATAAGAATAACTTCAGAAATGACTGAAGCATCCGGTTGCACAACAGAAAACTCGCGGTACTTTGTTTTCAGATTGTCGGGAAGAGTAGATCTTCCAGCATAGTTTGGATTGCTGGTAATGAACACACCTGTTCTTGGTTGCACTTCAAACTTTTTAGCCAAAATCTCAATCTCGAGTGGATACTTCGATGCAAGGGCATTCTCAATCTTCTCTATCTGTGTAGAGATTGCAGATAACATTCTTTTGTCCAATCTGTTGAATTCATCGAAACAACACCATGAGCCAACACGACAGATTCCAATCAGAATTCTGCTGACACTCTGGAAATCAAAAGTCTCGTCACAGCAGAACACTAGCACCATCATTCCGAGGTTCTGTCCAAGGGCTTTAATCGACTCAGTCTTTCCTGTACCAGCTGGACCAACGAGAGATCCTCCCAGATTCTGGTTTAAGGCCTCTGACATCGCCAGGAAACACGTATCCATCAAAGAAGTGTAGACCAATCTTGCAGGAGCTCCAAGATATTCAAACCCATAGTAATCTTGCCAATTTCCTTGCTTGATCACAACTCTCTGGGTGATGACATTAGAAACATCGAAATAGTATCTTTGTTGTGATTTCCATTCAAAAGATTTTAGACTGTGTTCTTTTTGAACGTCAAGAACATCTCTCTGATGCACAATCTCAATGATCAAGTTTTCGTACTTTCGACGCTGAAGAGAAGTCAAATTTTGAAGAATCATATCGGCAAACAATGACAAGAAGCAATTGTACCTATCAACACATGATTGTAGATTTTTCGTGGTTTCAACAAGTTGAGTCCAAAATATCTGGATGGAAAGGAGAAGAATCTGGTTTGGGAACAAGTCTATCCAGTGAACAAGCTCATTTTTAGGATCTTCGGCTTCGTATATTGACGGTAGCAGCTTTAAGGAATCGTCTAATGATAATGCCAGGGTATTTTTGATCTCGATTTCAAGTGCGTGTAGCCAATCGGTTAAGTGAGGAAACTCTATCAAAGACACTGGGGACTTCAGCTGTAATTTCTCCCCTTCTGGAGATATTACGCTCTCTATGCATGACGTATCAGAGTTGTATACAGTATCTGCCACGCCAGTGAACATCTTTTGAAGATAGGTGGACACCAATCTCACATTGCTAGAATTTCCAACAATTTCCAGTAGCTCTTCATTCCCGATAAAGTAGAATCTTGGAAACACGTCTCTTTGTTTCTCAAGATACCCAATTAGAGATTTCTTGATTTTTTCTAGAGTCTCTTGAATCTTTTCAAGTAAACCTTTGACATTAGTGATGTTTCTAACTTCCATCACTAAAGTAGACTTGTAAACGTTCTTCATCAAGGAATGAAATTCCGCTGAAGTGTTAAAAAACCGATTGGATTCCAAAGGAAGAAGCTTCTTGATTTCATCGTTCTTTTCAAAGACTCCCGAAAGATAAATCCATTGACGCTGAACTTCAATCCATAGATCAAGAATCAATTGAAGCTCGCACAACTTCTCTTCTAGTGTTCCCACACTTTTCTCAAAAGCTGGATAGTAAGGAGACATTTTCATGGACCACAAAGAATTCAGGTCTTCGGTGATAGTCTGGAATAATATCTCCCAGCCCTTGATGAGCCTAAATTCTGGATTGAATTGGAACAACTGGAATGATAGCTGCTCCCAATTCTTTTGGATATTTTCGATAGAGCTCTCGAGATTCTTCTCTCCCTGGGCCTTATGAATGATCGTCTTGAAGTACTTCTCGTTGTTAGCAAAATCCAGATCAAGAACGTCACCAAAACGTAGCTTGGAAGGCACCTTCCTCATAGACAATTCTTCAAAAATAGTGGACCAGTGACGGTCATTGATGGCATCCGAGCACAGTCCACCAATCAGTGGAATGGCTTTGATGTATGTCTTCAAGTTTGATTGGAATTCTTCAAATGCAGAATACTGTCTAATGGCAATTGGCTGATTTCTAGAATTGGCAAGTATCTCCTCCAACGTCTTTTTCAGAGCCATCGGAGTGACTGATTTCCATTCCTGATCTCTAACGTTAGCCAAAGAAGACTGAAGCCCGCTAATGGCAGACCAAAACTCTTTCAAGTCATTTATCTCAGAAAGAATAGGGGTGATAGAATCTTTGAGGACAATTGATAAGTCCAAAAGTCGAGCGACACTTAGCAATTTGGATCTGCTTTCATTCAAATGCTGACAAGACGCTTTAAACGAGTCCAACGACGAAAGAGCAGTTTCAGATGCTAGCTTCTTGCCCAATGGTTTCTCGTTCTCCCATTTGGTATGCAATGCTTCAATAGCTGTTCTGAGAGAAGCTGCTTCGTTTTCAGCAGTTTGGACCACTACGTTCATATTCGAAAATATCTGGTTTGTCTTGCTGTCCAGCAGCTTCTCAAACAACTGATATTCAGACGAAAGTTGCTCAAAGTGGACCCAGTCGGAGCTGAACTTCATTCTGAAAAGCACCAAGAGACGGTTACAAGAATCAATAGTGTCAATCTGCGGATCCCATTCTCCTCTCTGGAGCTTCAAATGATGTACAATGTCAATTAATGATATGATAGCTTTTGCGGAACCAAAATCAATAGGAGCACTCTCGAGCTTTTTGCGACCTGTCCGGACCTGTTCTAGGAACGTTTTGATTTTCGAAGCTAAGTTCCGTGCAAGTACTTCAAGGATCTGGCGTTGCCATGCGTTGTATTGAGCGCTCACCTTCCATTGAGCCTGACCATACTCCAATTTGACTGGGCCAAACATAGTGAATGTATCAAATGTATCAAATGCGTCTTTCAGACTTTTAACTTCAAGCAGAGCATCGCGCCAGTACTCGATATTAGAGCCAAAAGATTGTTTCAAATCTTCAAAGTCGACGCTCCACAGCGACTGCAACTGAAGCCATTTGTTGACCAACTCCCCAGCAGAAGTCATAATCGAACTCAGCTGGGAAATGCATTCAAAGTAACGCTTTGTCAGTTTCTTTTGAAGTTCAGGGAACACCTTTTGGTTTTCGTCAATATTGACGTCAAACTCGTCTGTTAGAAGGCATTTCTGAGACGTCACGACACTGATACACTTATTCAGTTCACTCACGATCTTCTCCTCTGATTCCTCTAGCGGTGGCCGCACGGAAAGTTTAGAGTCCTGGATCACTATTGAGTGGTCTCTGATAGATTCGTCAGATAACTCTATTCCTTGGAGTCTGGCTTTCTGTATGTTCAACTCCTTCAAACATCTGTTAAAGAGGACGGACTCAACGGTCTCATTGACTGCTGCTGCAAACTCGTCGATATTAACAAATCCTTGCAGAGCAAAGTTATTGATCTGGGACTGAAGACTTTTGATGCATCTTGAAAACTGGAGTTGATCATATTTACAAGTAACCAGCTCATCGATGTTTGATCTAAGAACGTCTCTAGAGGCCTTGAGGTATTCAAACTTTTGGAGAAGAGCGATTGTCTCGGTTTCGAAATTCTTGGCCGCCTGAAATATCCGCACTTCGTCCAGGTCATTAAGGCCGGAGTCAATCAGGATCTGGGCGTTTGCCAATGCCGTCCATTCGAACTGAGAAAGAGCTAGAACGGAGTTCAAAATCGCATCCAAATAGGGAGAAAGAAGAACTTTCAATTCCCCAAGCTGATCTATTTGAGAAATGGTGGACTCTAAGTTGATCACTGAGCTGTTGAGAGCAGAAGCAATTGGATAGACCGTTTCAAGTATTTGCGAGAGAGAGGAAATGTTGCGCGGAACATCGAATCCCATAATCTGAAGCATTTGAACTTCTTTGAATAGATCAGCATCCGTAGCAGAAAGATTCACTTTGATCTTCAAATCCTTGGACTCTGTTCGGTCGATCTTGAAGATCTTTTGCTCGATTATCGCCTGCTTAGAGTTCTCATTGAAGCTCGCAAGCCATTCGGTATAAATCTGGTCGATATCAAGCTTCTCGAGAAATAACTTTATTTCGCTCTCGATCTTCTTTCCCTCTGGGTATTTTGACCAGTCCTTGGTCAAAACTAGCTCCAGTCTCGAAACCAGAAATTCAATTTTGAACTTGGCTTGGCCAGCCCATATGATCAAACTGGTGAAGCGAGGGAGAGATCGAAGCTGTAGAACTTGCTGGGTATATTTTTGGCGTTTGAACTCCTCTTGAAGCAAGCTAAGATCGTTCTGGATAACTTGAAGTAATTCATGCTGATGATCGAAAATAGACGTTCGGATACTGGTGCGTGTCAGAAGAAATGAGTACTTCTCGAGAGTGGTGAAACGTTCGTTCGGACTTCCAGACTGCTGCAGCGACTCCCTAAGAAGCTCGATAAGTTTGTTCTCCAGCGAAGCAATTTTTTTGAGGTAACTCTTCTCGGCTTGCAACCAGGCCCGTTGGCCATCTGTTCCAAAGTTAAAGGGATTCGAGTTTCTGACTAGGTCGTAGGCATCGTCCAGGTCATCTGAATATTCGGCAGTTCTATTGATTTGAGCGACCTGACTCATAATGTTGTTTAACTGTTCATGTTGTTGTCTAAACTCTGTGATTTTGATCATTTTCTGTCTCACATCGTCAGGGATGGTGATCTTCACCGCGATGAACTTATCGGACCGTTTTCGTAGAAGTTCGCGGGCCATAGATATGAATTCCTTGACGTTTTCTGCTATCTGGTCTAGCACGTTATCGATCTGGTGACTTGTAGCACTGAACTCAGCAAAGTTCAGCTCCATGACGTTCTTGTTGAATAGAATGGAAATTATGCAATGGATGATATCCTCAACTATTGTCTGGCAGAGTTCGATTGCACGTGGAATTGGATACATGGTGACTCTGAGTTTTCTAAGATGCTCGAATATTGCAAAGATAGCGTCTTCGACCTTTTCGAGTGATTGGGCCGACAGAAGATCATTAATGGGTAAGTCTTTTAGAAGTTGGGTATATTTGATAGTCAGATTCAATGAGTCTGCAATTCCTGTATCTGCAAAGGTCACTGTTGCGTGATATCTTTTAGCGGATCTCAAAATGTCAAGAGTCAGCTGAACCTCCGGGCTTTTCAATTGTTCCTGGATAGCCAACAGAGCCACTTCTTTGGACGCCCAAAAGTTGACCTCTTCGAGCGTTGTTCCATCCGACGGCTCGTGAACTAGCTGGGTGATATTTTGGACTTGTTTGGCCCAATCGTTCACGATGGATTGAAGCTCGTTGAGAAACTTCGAGTCGGTCTTTGTATTTTCGTCTAAAAGATCGATGGAAAATGCTGCCAAGTACTGGTTTGTTTGAACAGTGTTCTTGATGATTGGATGTGCTGAGATTAGGAGATTTGGCACCTGGATCGTTTGCTGAAGATGCTGGAACGATAACGTCAACTCTGAGATCTTTTTCTGTGTGCTAGTCACTGATTGGGAGCTTGTATTGGTGGTCAGGACATTGAAGTACGGGGAGATTCCGTACTGGAGAAGGGACTCCAGATACTCAAAGTTTTCTCGCGGCGACGATTTGAAGGGCAGTTTGGCCACAAAGACCTGATCGGAACAGGATTTCGTGCTAACAAGGGGTCCTTTTTGTTTGAGGAATATCACCATTGATGAGGACTTGGCCTGCTCAGTCAGTCCATGGAGATCCAATCTGTCGTATAGTTGTGTTTCTGAACGTTAGAACAAGGACATAAACTAATTAACTCACCATTTTCGCCTGTGTGGACAAGAAATAGAGCACTTTCGTTTGGGTTTTTGATGAATTGGACAAGACTGTCGCTGGAATAAGCGCCTAATCCGGACGAGTCCAGAAATATAGCGCCAGATCGGCTGACAAAGTCTAAAAACACGTCAACATCAAGCAAAGACATGACTTTCAAAAAGAACCCTTCTTGTTTACCTTATTATTTGATCTAGGAAATAAATCTCCCTCCTACGCGTTGGAGTAGCACCAGCCACAAAAAAATAAAAACTTGTGGCAGTTACTCCAGACGAAAGTAAATACAGAATCTCTTTTAAAAAACGGTATATTGTATTGTAACTCAATCATGCTGATGACACAAAGATCACAAAACTTGGCAACATCCTAAATAGAACACAAATTAGTTATTAGGGTGTGTTTGAGGCACGAAGAGCATGATATCACAAAATGGGGAGCAGTCCTCTATTAACCCATTTAAGATCTTGCTTAATTGGACTTCTCGTGTTGCGTAGAGACTCTGTTCATGGCAACCATGAAGTCCTCAAGAGATCTCTGAGGAGGCTTCTCCTTGAGTGGCTTACCGTTCATGAATCTGTCGAACTTATCAGACTCAGACATGATAACGTAAGCACCACCAAGAACACAGAAGACACCGAAAGACCAGATCCACACTCTGGTAACGGTAACGATGTCGTTCCAGTTTTGAGACCACCATCCGAACAAGGTGAACATAGTTGCAATGATATCAACGATGAACACAGCACCAGACAATTGCCAAGATGGCATGGAAGACCAGAATGGACCAGTGGCTCTGGTAACGAAAATCAACCAGTTCTCAGTCAAGGAGATTTGCAAGAACAAGACACCATCGATGGAACCGAAGTTCTGGATGATACCTCCCTTTGGCAAGAACATGGTGGTCAAGGTGATCCAGGTTCCGACAGCAAGAATGACACCCATAACAATGGACATACCCCATAATCTTGGCAAGTTCCATTTGACTGGCTTCTCGTCGTAAGGAGCGTTATCGTAAGCAATGGCAAGAGTAGCAACATCGGCGAAAATGGCAATGAAGACAACCAAGTCAATGTTCAAGGACTCGTTCAAGATGGCAATCCACAGACCAAGGAAGATCTCCAAGTGCAAAGACAAAGCAATACGGTACACAACGTAGGCGTACATTCTGTGGAAAATCTGTCTGGAAGTCTTCAAAGCATCAATGATAGCAGAAAGACCAGGAGCAAGGAAAACGATATCAGCAGCAGATCTGGCAGAGTCAGAGGCACCCTCGACGGCAATACCAGTGTCAGCCTTCTTAAGAGATGGGGCGTCGTTAACACCATCACCAGTCATGGCAACCAAGTAACCTCTCTTTTGCAAAATCTCAACAACATTGTACTTGTGTTGAGGGAAAACTTCAGCGAAACCATCAGCATTCTCAACAAAGTCGAACAATTCAGAACCGGACATGTCTCCACCACCGGAAAGACCCAACTTGTCAGCGTCGAAGATGTTAGTACCAAGACCCAATTGTCTACAGGTCTCCTTAGCAATACCAACGGCATCACCAGTAAGCATCTTGACTCTCAAACCAAGTTCTCTAGCCTCGTTAACGGTCTTAGCAGTGTCATCTCTAGGTGGGTCCATACATGGCATGATACCGAGAATTTCCCAGTGACCTTCACCTCTCTTTCTGGCAACACCCAAAGATCTGAAACCTCTGGAAGCGAATTCGGCAACCTTGTTCTCGTAGTTCTCAAGAACGTCTTCTGGAATTGGGTGGTCTTCTTGCACAGTCTTCATAACGAACAATGGGGCACCCTTGACACAGATGATTCTCTCACCTTCTGGGGACTCAACGTAAGCAGTAACTTTCTTGGAAACAGGGTCGAATGGCTGGAACTCAAGCATCTTGTACTTGGTCAAAGCAGCTCTGGCTCTTGGGTAGCTGATCAAAGACTTCAAGAAAGCCTTGTCAATAGCGTCAAGACCCTTCTTCTTTCTGGAGGCAGCAAGACAAGCGGTAAGCATCAAGTCATCAGGCTCAACACCCTCGACAGTGTAAGGCTCGTGCAGGGAAAGCTTGTTCTTGGTCAAAGTACCGGTCTTGTCGGAACACAAGATCTCGACACCAGCAAGAGACTCAATAGCAGACAATTTTTGGACAATGGCCTGTTTCTTGGCCAAGTAAGCAGCACCGACAGCCATGGTGGTGGTAACGACGGCTGGAAGACCGACTGGAACACCAACAATGGTGATAGCAAGAGTGTATCTCAAGATTCTAACGATCTTGTTGGTTCTGTAGAAGGAAGCAGTCCAGACAACCAACAAGGTGACAATGACCAAAACAAGCAAGGTAGTACCGATACCGTTCAAGACCTCAGTGAAGTGACCTTGACCACCGGAAGCCTTGTTAACCAAAGCAGCAGCTCTACCGACGAAAGTGTTGTCACCGGTAGCAGTAACGATCATCAAAGCTTCACCTCTCTTAACAGTGGAAGAAGAGAAAGTTGGGTCACCAGATCTCTTGTCAACGGCCAAAGACTCACCGGTAAGGGCGGACTGGTCGACTTGCAAGAAGCACTCGTCAGAAACAAGCTTACCGTCGGCTGGGATAACCACACCGTCCTCAAGCTGCAAGATGTCACCTGGAACAACGTCAGCTGCACCAACTTCAACAGGGTGGCCGTCTCTGATAACAGTAGCAGAGTTAGCCAAAGTCTTTTTCAATTCGTCGACAATAGAACCGGCTTGGTATTCTTGGATGAAACCAACACCAGCGTTCAACATAAGCAAACCACAGATAACACCGAAATCGACCCAGTCCTCAAGACCAGCGGCCAAGATAGCGGCAGCCTCCATAACGAACTGAATAGGTCCGATGAAGAACATACAGAACTTGAGCACCAAGTTCTCCTTTTCCTCGGCCATCTGGTTGAGACCGAACTTCTTTCTTCTTCTGGTGACTTCGTCAGAAGTAAGACCAACCTTAGGGTCAGTTCTAAGAAGCTCCTCCGGAACTTCCTTGAAAGAAGAGTGTCCTTCTTCCTCCTCTTCTTCCTCGTCGTCCTCACCTCCGGCTGCTCCGTGGTTGGATTGCAAATCCATCACCAATTGGTCGATGTCCTCATCTTCATCTTCGTCTTCCTGAAGAGGAACTTTCTCCTTGGTTGGTTCAGTTGCAGACATGATGGGTCTTTAATCTAGCAATTGAACTGTAAGAAAAAAAGATATAAAGTTTGATGGAGAAAAACGAAGGAAAGATACTGCATTTTTAAGAGGTGGATGCAAAATATGCAACTTGGCAAGAGGGACTTTGTTTGTCCGAATACAGTAAACAACACTCCATACTAAAATGGCAAAAAAGAAACACAGTCCACAATAATATTTCCGGTCTTGGACCTATTTAGCTGTATTTTCACTGGCTGATGAGGTCAGTATATCCGGCTCTATTGTTGAAACGGTTACGGGAAATCCGGGAGGTTTTTTTTTTGCGTGAAAATTCGATACCGACAAGAAACCGACAAGTGAAGGCCGTGCCGAATGGCCCGTAAATAGCCCCAAGGATTCCCGCTGGACGTGGGATTTGCAATAAATCTCTCGCCTTGCGATACTTTAGCGGATGTTTACACTTTAGAAAGATTACCCGGTTTAAGATTGCTATCGTTACTTTCTCCAGCGAATTCTATTGTTTTCATTTAATTGTTCAACCAAGGGGAAGGAAAGGCGGCCGGATATCCCACGATTGGCCAATTACTAATTCCCTCATAGTCCCTCTTACACCATATATTATGGCAAGCCATGCCATGCACCTCTTTCCCTCCTCAAACAGCACCGATACCTCGACCATCGCATCTTTCCCGTTTCCAGTGTTCAAGCCATCTCATGTTTTTCTGCTTTGACGAAAACGCCAAGCATTTTTTTCTGTGTCGGAATCGGGGAAGGTCCGGATACGTTCTTTTGAGGTTTTTTTTGGCTGCCTTTTTTCGCTCATTTTTACTCACCGAGCCGAACTTTCCAGCCATGTCGTCGACCTCCTTGGCACTGCCGTAAAATCGTCTATTTTCAGCCCTTACCTTTTTCGGGTAACTCGCCTTGCCAAATATAGGTGGCCGCTTACCGCATCGAGATACCCCGGACCTCACATAGAATTATGTCATGGAATTTGGGTACCCTACCGAGCAACTGGTGCAAGCTGTAATTATCTGCTAGCTGTAGAATGCCTTATTCGTACCCACCCTGTAGGAGACCCTGTTGTGCCCATGATCTTTGGTTATACCAAGGTTATATCTTGAAATCTCACTATGCATAATCACCAACAAAACAAACTACCCAATTAAGTTTCCACAATTATTAAAATCTCAGCGCAATAACTCGCTGATATCCGCTAAACTTACTCATCGTTATCGCTATCGCTAGATAATAACCGTGTTCCACGCCGTGCCCGCCATCTTTGGAACCCCTCGTCGGACCCTTCTTCAGACCTGTCCTCCTCGATTTGTTCATGCCGACTGCCTGCCTCTGAACTACCCACGTAGTCCATGTCCGAGGAGTCCATGCTTTCCTCGTCCGCTGATCTCGAGAAGAACAGTCGGTCAATTAAGTACGGCATCGTAAAACCTGTCACAAATGTAGCCAGCCGTTCTCGATCGACTTCTTCGCCGCCGTCGGGCGACTCTGCGTACGACAAAGGTTCGTCGGACGACAAGTACGAGAAATCTGCCTCGTCGTGGTGGTCGTGGTCATGCTGGGCCGTCTCGTCTGAAAAGTTATAATCGCCTCGTGTGTCGTCGTCGCTGTCGCTGTCGTCGTCATCGTCGTCGTTTGCTCCTAACAGCCGTCGCCCGCAGTTCATGCACCGCGATCCGTGGGCTTCCCAATGGCAAACGCTGCACCGCGGGATACCGTCGCTCGTGTCCAGGACGGCCTCCGAGTAGTTCTCGAATAACTTGCGGAAATAACCGTTGCCGTTATTTGTATCGGCCTCATATAACGCACTCCGTTCTTGTACTGTTCTGGTTATGGATTCTTTCTGATCCGGGTGGTCCCTCACAATGGCGTCCAGAAACCCGTCTAGCAGCTGCTTCAGCGGCACGTTGTGCACGGGCGCACGCCGCACTCGCGCTCGACACAACGGACAGGTGTGTTTCACCTGGAGCCAGTCTCCCAGGCACTCGTAACAAAACGTGTGCCCGCACGCCACCGTGAACGGAGTGACCATCAGCTCCTGACAGATAGTGCACGTGAACACCTCTACGCTGCGTCGCATCAGCTCCTGCCGCGACTGGTCGCCCAATGTCTGCAATAACTCGAGTATTTGCATTGATTCAAATCATAAAAAATTATAATAAATTTCATAACTGAATGTTACAAAATAACCTTTATACAAGTCTCCATCTATCTAGTAGCTCCAGATGCGTATCCAGCTCGCGCAAAACCCGCTCCCGCTGCTTCTGGATCTGCTCGTACAAACACTCCACCGTGTGCTGTAGGTAAGTCTCGAACTTGTCCTTGATTTCCGGGTGCTGGACGTTGGCAGCATAAAAAGTTCCTGCTGATTTAACGTTTCTGACAAAATAGTCGGTTGGACAGAACTGCGGGTCGGCCTTGATGACCTCCAGGAGCAGAATCACCTGGTCGGGCCGGCCTTGATCAAAGAAGAACCGGATCACCGCGTAGATGACACGCAGCTGTTCCGTGGAGTCGTGTGGCTGGAGTTCTGCTATGCGCGAGAGCAGGACGTTGCCAAACTCGTGGTTGTGGAACTTGGCCGATTCGAGCAGCATCGACGACAGGTCTGTCGCGGTGAGCTGGTCGCCCGAGTCCTCCACCAGCTGCCCCAGGAACCGGAAAATTCCCCGCCGGAAGTGCGGATTCAGCGTCTTGCGCTTGCGGAACAGTAGCAGCTTGAACGGCACGCTTTCCGGGTCCAGGATCTTTGGGTTCGACACCACGAACATGGTCAGCTTGTCGAGCTCGTCGAGCGAGCGTGTGGCGTTGATTGCGGTCATCAGCAGCCCCGGACGTGGCCGGATCCCGCTGCGCAGCCGGCTCTCTATCAACCCCATGGTTGGTAGCACCGGAGCAGCCTGATCGCCCACCACTTTAGCGCGGAGCGAGACGCGGTCGTTCTGGATCACGCTCGCGTACCGGCCCGTGAGCATTGTCGGGTCTGCGTGCATGTGGCTTTGGAACCTGGCGGTAATTTCTTTACGCAGAGCAGGGTACGTTTTCCCGTAGCATTTCCACAGGTCATAAAAATACTCCTCGCGGAATCGCAGCCGGATTTCCTCCGACAGCTTCACAAGCAAACGCGCGTACACTTCTGGGCGGCAGTCGTTCTGCAGTGCCCAAAGAACCCGTTTCAAAAGCACCTCGAACTCGTCCTGGGTGTCTGTGTGGTTTAATATATCGCGGACCCAGGAAATCTCGCCAACGCGCATCAGCATGTGGACGCACTCGCTCAGGAAACTCTCCTTTTCGCCCGGCTCGAGTCTGCCGAGCCACTCGCCGTACTCCTTGGCCATGAACCGGCGCGCTTCTGCGGGCGTGGCGATTTCTTCCAGCTCGTCTATAAACCACGCATGGTAGCAGCCGTCTTTTTCGAGCTGGCCAATGACCCACTCCTCCTGCTCCTGGGTGCCCTGGCTCATGACAAACTTGTAGAGCAGCACGCGCGTGCGGAAGTGCACTGCAAACCCTTTGGACACCCACAGGCGGTACGCCATGAAACACAGCGATGAATTGAACGTGTGTGCTTGCAAATCTCTCAAATACGAGTCCAGAACGTCTGGAGACAGACTCTGCGACGACATGACCGATTGGTTGAAGATCTGGGTGGCCACGCTGACGTTCTCGGTCTTGAGATAGATCCGCAGAGCCAGCCGCAGACAGTCTGAGGCCGGCTCGTCCACACGGCTTAAATAAACGGTGAATATGCGGTCAAACTCCGTGTAGTCGAAGTTCATGTACAGCACCAGCAGCAGTTTCTCCAGAAAAGGGGTGCTGAGGCCGCTGTAGTCGAATATATCGCGGTGCTGCTGGCACAGCTTGTATGCGAACGTGTAGTTGGACGCTCTGATGATTAATTGTTCAAACTCCAAGGGAGTGAGCGATAAGGAGGCCAGGGCTTTGTACAGGTCGGTGTATTTTCTGGCCTCCAACAGCTGGGTCAATGATGAGTCTAGAAACTGGGGGCATTCTTTTTCGCGTCGCGGCGCTTTAGGTTTTGGGCTGTACTCGCCGATCAATAGGTCTTGCATCGGTCGTTTTTTCACCCGCAAAAGACTCGAGATGTCCGGCCTGAGTTTGGCAGCTGCCGACTGAGCGTCGGGCTCGCCGGTAGCAGTCAATTTGGCGGGCGACTCTGCGGAATGCGACATGTTCCTTTTGAATATATGCTGTACTGTGTAATGATCAATGTTATGCTGTCTGGGGGGAACATGGACGCCACGGCCACGCTCTACTCGGGCAAACAAAATTCGCCTGGGTGTTAGTGCCACGTGCCGCCATCCTATGCGCGCTAGTCGGCACCTCTGCATGGCAGAGCTGTATCAGTGGGGGTGTGGGAAACAAGCAGAAATAGGCCGATTTTGAAAAAAATTCAGCTACTGAAAAAAATATCCAAAAAAGTTTATTAATTTTTCACAATCTACTGGTCAGATTTATGTGCACCGCTTTCGTCTGGCTAAACGCTGCCAGACCTGCCTCACCCAGCTCGCGCCCAATTCCGCTCATCTTGTACCCGCCAAATGGCATGCGGTAGTCCGCGGCAAACGTGTAGTTCACAAACACCTGTCCGCTCTCCACCTCGCGGATGTACTTCTGCGACCGGTTCAGGTTGCTCGTGAACAGGTACGCGGCAAGACCGTAGTCGGAGTCGTTCGACAGCGCAATGGCCTCGTCGTCCGTGCTGAACTTGGCCACCGTCACCACAGGCCCAAAGATTTCCTCCTGGACAACGCGCATCTTTTGGTTGCAGTCGGCCAAAATAGTTGGGTCGATGTAGTAACCTTCGGAGTATTTGGCCGTCTTGACGCCGCCAAGCACCAAACGAGCGCCTTCTTCCACGCCCGCCTTGACGTACTCCAAGATCTTGTCCTGCTGGGCCTTGGACACCTGCGGACCCACATTCACGCCCTCTGTAAACTGGGACCCTTGCACAAAGTTCTGCTGCACGTGACTTTTGAGTTTCTCCAGAAACTCGTCGTAGATGCTGTCCTGGACGTAGATTCTCGACGAGGCCGTGCAGATCTCGCCCTTGTTGAAGAAGATGCCGAACGCGGCCCACTTCACCGCCTGGTCCAGGTCGGCGTCGTCGTACACGATCAGCGGCGACTTTCCACCGCACTCGAGAGTGCACACCTTCAGGTTCTCAGCGGCCAGTTTCTGGATGATTTTGCCCACGCCCGTGCTGCCCGTGAAGGTGATCTTGTCGATACCCTTGTGTGCGGCGATGTGCGAGCCCACCTTGGCCCCGAGTCCGCAAACAACGTTCACCAGTCCTGGCGGAGCACCCGCCTTTACAAACAGCTCGCACATGAACAGCGCAGACAACGGCGTATTTTCCGACGTCTTCACCACAATCGCGTTGCCCGCAGCCAGACACGGAGCCACTTTCCACGCAAACGTGGACATCGGGAAGTTCCACGCCATGATGGCAGCACACACCCCGTATGGCTCCGTGATGGTGTATGTGAACTTGGACCGGTCCGTCTCGATGGTCTTGCCGTCCTCGGCACTTATGGCCAACGAGCTATAATAACGGAAAACGTCTCCAGAGTGCAGAACGTCAAAGATGGCGTTGCTGGCCTTTGGCTTACCGCATTCCAAGGCCTCCAGGTCGGCCAGCTGGTCGCTGTGCTCTTTGATCAGCTCAGACATCCGCAGAAGCAGGTCCGACCGCTCGCGGCCGTTCTTCTTCTTCCACACCGAAGAGAAACAGGCTCTGGCGCTGTCAACGGCCAGATCAACGTGCTTTTCGTCTCCGAGATGGATCGAGCAGATCTCCTTGCCTGTGCCCGGGTCCTCCACGGCGATCTGGCTGTCGGTGGCCAGGAACTCGTTGTTGATGAAAACCCCGGTCTGTTGGGTATATTCCTTTCCGTTAGGGACTTTGATAGCAACACTAGTCATTAAACAAATATTGCTAGTTATCTTTACATATATAACCCTGGTGTGCACCTTCCAAAAACGGTAGCCAGAATTCGGTAATCGGACTAATGAGTGCACAGAACGAGATAACGTAAGCATATCAGTGGCAGACGAAACCAGCATGCGCGGCAAGAGCGACAAGCGCGCGGGTGACGAGCAAACACCGCTCTGCCAGCCAACCATCCGTCAACATAGACTTGGATCGTCCAGGGGATAATATATACGGTGTACGGATGTGCAAATTTAGATTATATTTATTATACACTAATGAACGCACCGTCCTCGCCCAAACACCCCAATGCCAACGAGGAGGTCACGCCGACCGAGGGGGACATCCCGCGAGACCTTGCAGATGCGCTTGACCTTTCCTCCGACGACTCAGATGGCCCCACAGACGATATTCTGGCCGACCTCCCGCCAACGGCAAGTTGTAATTGTGGGGACAATTTCCTGGACCCGGACGCGGTGTTGCCGCGCGCGTCGCCCATGAACCCGTTTGGCCAGAACGTGGGGCTCACGTCGTCCGAAACACCGCGCATAGTGCACACGAAGCGGGATCAGCCCAAACGGCTCACGAGGGCCCAGCAGAGCCGCATTGTGACCTACATTGACGCCCAGCTGCTGCATATCCAGCGTCTATTTATCAAGTACATGTCGCTGAGAAACGACGACGACGACGACGACAACCAGGACATGGACACCGCGGATCCGTCGCCTCTTGCGTCGATCGACGCTCCATCGACGCAGACGGAGCCGGACGACATTCTGCAGTACAGTTTGCTGAAGCTGTTATCGCAGATCGACTCTGTTGTTTCGCTGTTGTGGGTGTCTCTGTACGGGGACAGCCACGTTCCTGTGATCTACCACTCGAATTTGAGCGCCAAATCTCTGCCCACCGAGGTGCAGGTCACCATGATCGACGCGTCGCAGCTGTGGGGCCAGACGGAATACATTATCAAGATCATGGGCGATCTTGTTGACTACTTGGAGAAGTATCGATTCGAGTCGTTCAAGGAGATCCACAGCGTGGTGGAGTTGCTGGCCAAGATCGATAATTTTGTCTCTGTGATCATCGACCAGCCGGCCACCTCTGTTTTCAGCACCACCGAGAAAGTGCGGATGGACTCGATCGTCCAGCGGACCAAGCTGCTGATGGTGAAGAAGCTGGACGCTTTCCGCAGCGTTGTGGAGAACAGCGAGGTGGACGAGCTGGGTAAGCGCAGTCTACAATCGGGACAGGACCTGGTTCCTGTGTATGAACAATTTATTGGCGAGATCTATGAAGGGATCAGTGACCGGACGTCGATATGAGCCACGAATAGGCCGACGCCATGCCGGATTGTTCGGCGCACCACAGGTCTTCAAGGGTTTCGGCCAGGGATTTAGCCAGCGGGTAATTCTGCTGGGCTGCCATGATGTATAGCTCTTTGGAGAAAAATTCACGATACGACATTTTATCAGCCACACAGCCTCCGATGAGCAGTGGCAGAAGTAGCACCGACAGCGACACGCCGTCGAGGAAGTTGAGTTCGCCAAACAGCTGCTCCAAGTAGAACTTGACCACCGGGCTGGATGAGTCTGTGGTCTGGTCTGCGAGCTTGAGGTAGAGGATTTCTTGCGAATAAAACAGTGCTTTGAACACGGCCAGGTTTTTCTGGGCCTGTTTCTGCGACTCCGACAGTTGTTGCAACGGCAGCTGGATCTCGAGCGTCTGGATGGCCGTCCAAGTGAGAGTCATTTTGTGGCGCACGGGGGCCAGCATCTTAGTCGTTTTCGCATCTGCCAGTTTGGCCATGGTTTCCATACTTTCAAGCAAAAGCGCACGCTGTTGGGCGACGTGCCAGTCGGACGCAAATGGCAGGTCCACGAGCGACGCAAACGTCAGACTATGGCTGTAGAACTCGTACGGCGACGGCAGTTTTTGGGTGTTGCCAAAGAATAGCGCAAGCGGGAAGTTTCGCACAAAAACGTTCAGCACGGTGGAGCTGTCGGGCAACGACGAGAGCGCGTCCAGCGTCTGCGAGTCGAGTTGTTTATGGAACTGCGTCTCCAACGTGTGCAGGGTGTGAACGGCAACGATCAGCCACGAGAACTTAGCCGAGGAGTCGTTCACCACCATATGGAGGTTTGGATGTGGGGAGATGATGTCGTAGCGGGGCGGCGATTTGGGCGATTCGGACTGGTAAGATGGCAACTCAAACACAAAGCACATATTCGCCGGCACAGGGTATTCGTCGGTGTCGGGGGAAGGCTCCTTGTGGGTTTCTGGAGGAGAAACGGCCGCTTTTATCTTGAAATCCTTGGGCAGTGCCTTTGCGGTATTTTCTGGCCAACAGCACTGAAGGAAGTTGCGTGAACACCCCGAACACACGGGGAGGCGCTCGTCACACTTCTTCTTGCGCTTGCGGCACGTAAAACAGCCAGATCGTGTGCGGGATTTAGACATTGCAATGGAGAGAATTTTTCGCGGTGTAGAGATGAGTAGTGGTGGGGTGGGGTTGGCAACTGTGGCAGCGCCGCGAGACAGCGAGCGAAGAGCACGAACGAAGAGCACGAGCGAGTGGGAAACGAGCCAGCTGGCGACCCGTACCCCGCCTACCGTCAAGGTCCATCACAGTTGGGACGGGCCCACTGGAGCCACACCCCCCATTGTCACCCCCTCTCGTCCTGTGCTCGCCAGCACGAGCTTGTATGGCCAACTCTTTTCTCCTCGTCTCATTTCAACAACAATTTCTCGCCAGACCACCCGCCAGTTCTGCCCTACCCGCCAAACCAGCTTTTCCGACACCTTCGCTCGATCCAAACTCGCTTACGTAACACATGCGCGTGGAAATTCCCAAATCTGAACAGCTTATCAGATAAATAGCAGACATCGGGCCTGAAAAAAACTCAATTTCCACAGCCATGGTGTCTCTTTCCTCCCCTGCCAACATAGAGTCTTTCTATAAGTTCACCGACGACGTTTCGAACCCGGAACTATTTGAGTCCTGGAAGCCAAAGATCGCTTCGTACCAGAAAGCTCTTTCCTCTGCTCTTCCAGAGGAGTACAAGCTGCCTGAATCGGAGATCCCATCCACTTTGGACGACGAGAGTTTCAACACCGTGAAGTTTCTGTTTGAGACCAAACATCTTTCTGCTGCCGAGCACGAGATCACTGAGTCTTCTGCCACGCAATTGCTCGAGAAGCTGTCTTCCAAGAAACTGACTGCCGTTGAGGTTCTGAAAGCGTTTGCACACCGGGCGGTGATTGCACACCAATTGACCAATCTGGCGTGCGAGTTCTTCATCAATGAGGGACTTGCTCGTGCCAAGCAGCTTGACGAGCAGTTTGCAACCACCGGAAAGCTTGCTGGTCCATTGCACGGTATTCCAATCTCTTTGAAAGAGCAGATCGGGTACGCTGGCAAGATCACCCATGGAGGATGGGTCGGCTGGCTCGACAACATCCCTAAGGAGGACGCCGTCACTGTTCAGGTGCTCAGAAACCTCGGTGCTGTGTTTTACGTGCGTACTAACGAGCCACAAACTTTGATGCATCTTGATTCCAACAACAACATTGTTGGCCGCACCCGTAACCCTCACAACTCTTTACTCACTGCTGGAGGCTCGTCCGGAGGAGAAGGTGCGTGTGTTGGTGCCAAGGGTTCTCCGTTGGGTGTGGGAACAGACATTGGTGGCTCGATCAGGGCTCCTGCTGCCTTTTCTGGTACTTATGGTTTGAGACCAACCACCCGGAGAATCTCGACTTTTGGCGGTGTTTCTTCTGGAAAGGGCCAGGAGTCTGTTGTTGCCGTTGCTGGTCCGCTCGCTGGCCATCTGGAGGACATCGAGCTGTTTATGAAATCGTACATCAACGACGGACAGCCTTGGAACATCGACCAATGGTGTATTCCAGTGCCTTGGAGAGACGTTCCTGTTCCAGAGCCTTCGAAACTGACCGTTGCTATCATGTACGACGACGGAATCGTCAAGGCGCTGCCTCCGATCGAGAGAGGTCTGAAATACACCGAGGAGAAGCTGAAAAAAGCTGGTGTCAACGTGATCGAGTTCAAGCCACTTGCCTGCGAGGAGCTGTACAAGTTGGCCAACGAAATGTACAGTTGCGACGGCAACTACGCACAGAAGGAGATGCTCAGACCGTCCGGCGAGCCGCTGCTTCCTCTCACCAAATGGGCGCTTTCCTTTGGTAAGGGCGACCATGCTTACACCGTGACTGAGAACAGAGAGCTCAATTACCAGAGAGACAACCTGAGAAAGTTGTACAACGACTACTTTGTCAAGAACAAGGTGGATCTGATTTTGTGTCCAAACTACTGCGGAACTGCTCCTGTGTGTGCCCAGGACGGAGTCGAGGGCCCTTACTACTGGGGCTACACCTCGCACTTCAATGTGTTGGACTTGCCTGGACTGGTGGTCCCAACTGGACTGTATGCCGACAAGAACGTGGACGTCAAGTCGTCTCACCAACCAAGATCCGAGATCGAGGCCATCGAGTACAACAAGTACAAGCCAGAGCTTGTGCACGACGCCCCAATTGCGCTGCAACTGGTTGGAAGACGCTATTTCGACGAGGAGGTGGTTGCAATTGGAAAACTGTTCAAACAAGTGTTGGAGCTCAAGGAGTAGAGACACCTCCTGTGTAATAGAGTCTATAATACTATATCGATTATGTCGTGTATGTCACTGCCTCTCGAGAACGGGCAGAAACTGTCCCACGATCAGCATCGGGATGTCAAACACGTCTCTTTTAATGGTCCAGATACAGCAGCACCGGAGGTAGTTATTTTCTTCAGCTTTACGCAGGTTGCAGTCGGTCAAGTACGTGGCGTTGAGGTCACCGAAAGCCAGTTCGCTGAAACTGCGGAAATATTTGATGGTGCTTTCGTCGTCCATCAATTCCACAATGTACGTTCTTTTCGATAGCAACGCTTTGCGCGAGTAGCCTGTCATGACAGCAAACGTGTCTGTCAAGGCGACGATCTCGCCCGTACGTCGCCAGATGATGATTGGCGACGGCGACATCGAGATGAGATGCTCGTATTCCAGCAACGACCGCTGGAACGAGCGTTCTGTAAACAATAAGTCGTTTTCGTGCAGCGACTTGGTAGCAGAAATAAACGACGGTCTATATTTGGCCATGCATTTTGCAATCTCAATCAGTTGATATTTACTGAACCGCTTCTTCAAGTAGTGGATCAGTGCGTGGTACGCCTGTGGATACCGGTACGCCCTGATCACCGGGGTCAAATAAATATCATCTGGGTGCTGGACCTGTTTTCGCACTAGGCTCGGCGCGGTGTAGTACTCGTCCTCCTCGGGCGCGACAGGGACCATGCTTGCGGTGTTGGGCATCTGGGAGTGATGCTCGTTGTAGACGTACGAGTTCGGGGTCTCGTTGTTGGGGTACGAGGTCCTCATTGACAAACTTTCCGTGTTGATTTCGACAAACGGGCGAAAATCCTCGTCGTCGTCCTCGATCTCCACAAACTCGTCGGTGGGGGACGGCGGGTTGGTGTTGAGCAGGTCTGTGAGCTGTACGTACTCGTCGTTGGCGATCGAGGACTCAAAGTTGCGCAACTCCGGGGCAAACACGAACGGCGAGAGCTCGAACGTCTTGACGGGCGAAGCGGTCGTAGGAAGCACCGTGGAGGGAACAGAGGTGCCTGAAGACCCGCTCAATGACACGTCGGACGTTTGGCGCGGATTAGACGGCCGGGGCTTGTCCTTGTATACACTCTTCTTTTTGCGGACCGAGTCGCGACAAGAGTCCTGGAACCCGCGCTTGGTGCAGTTTGTGCACGGCCGCTTGTCGTCGCATTGCAGATGCTTGTGGTGGCAGAACTCGCACGCGACCCGCGTGGCCTTGCGTGCCAACTTGACCTCCAAGGGAAGACGTTTTGTCATGGTTTGGAAAAGATCGGTGGCAGGTGTGATCTGGGGAACCGCCGGGAAAAAGGAGGAGGAGGGAATTAAATTGCTTATTCAGCTGATTACTTAATAAGCTATACAATTTAGTTACTTCTCAGGACATCCAAGAATTGACCCTTGGATGGCTTAGCAGAAGAAGCCTCAGCCTTGGTGTTAGCCAACTTCTTCTCAGAGAAGGCCTTGGCGTATGGGTTGAGTCTGAGCAGAACCTGCTTGTTCTTGAGAGGGTTCTTCTTCAAGACGTGAGTTCTCTTTTGGGTAGCCTGGCCAGCTGGTCTAACAACGGCCTGGATCTCAGCAGAGTTGATCAATCTAGCAACATCGGTGTTGGAGACGATGTTGGATGGCAAGGAGTAGCCGGCCTTGGCGCTGTAGACGGAGTCAAGAGCAGCGAAAGCAGACTCGGTCCAGATGACGAATCTACCCAAGTGAGCACCTGGAGCAAGTTGCAACAAGTTGAGGGACTTGACAGAAGAAGTCTCGACACCTGGAATGTTTCTGAAAGCCTTGACAAGACCCTTGTCCTCAGCGTAGACGACCAATGGACCTCTTCTTTGGACAAATCTTCTGTTTCTCAACTTACCCTTACCGGCTCTGACCTTCTTGGACTTGATGACCTTGACAACGTCCTTGTGGGCACCAACGGCCTTCAAGACAGCAACAGCTTCCTTGGTCTTGGTAACGGACTCAAGGTCGGAAGAGACAACCAATGGGATTTGAGGAATGGTCTCGATTCTGTGACCTCTGGCCAAAACAAGAGATTGCACAGCAGTGGCAGCAATAGCAGAAGCAGTGGCGTATCTCTTCTCGTTGAGATTCACCTTGACGTGCCATCTTCTCCAGATCTTGGTTGGAGCGAACATACGTCCACCTCTGCACATGTTACCGAAAGCAGCTTGACCAGATCTGTGGGTTCCACCACCACCAACTCTTGGGATTCTGGCAACAGCTCTACCGGTACCCCACGACTCAGCGGAAGTTTGGTGACCAGCGTTCTCGGCGACAGCGTAAGCTTGTCTCTTGTTCTTGTTGACTCTGGTGAAGACAGAGTGAACGATATCTGGTCTGATAGGAGCCTGGAAGACGGCTGGAAGGGAGAGGGAGGCAGAAGCAGCCTTACCCTCGAGGCTAACAACGGAAACTTGAGGAGTGGACATTGTGAATTAAAAGATGAAAAATCAGTGTTGAAAAAATTGAAAAAAAAAAACTCTGCTTGGGTAGTGTGCTGGTGAAAAGTTCCAATTTTTTTGCGTGTGGATTCACCGGGTAACACCCATATTTACAACAAATCTACATGTCACAAAATGCACTCTCTCTCCCTCCTGACACCTGTGGGGAAATAATAAGTTGATACCCTCTTGTTTTAGATAACTATGTCTTCATCTATTGCCGAGTTAATTCGAGTCGACCCATGGCTTGAGCCGTTCTCTGGAGAGATTAAACGCCGTCGTGACCTTGCAGACAATTGGCTGAAAGTGCTGGACAAAAACGAAGGAGGACTCCTGAACTTTGCGGATTCCTATAAGAAAATGGGGTTCCATGTCTTGCCTGACAATTCCATCGTTTACAAGGAGTACGCTCCCAATGCGGTTGCTGCTTGTGTCATTGGCGACTTCAACAACTGGGAGCACAACAAGAATGTCATGAAGAAGGACAATTTCGGGTTCTTTAGCATCACGTTGCCTCCCGTTGATGGGAAACCTGCTATTGAACACAATTCGCGAGTCAAGATCTACCTGACTCTTCCCGACGGATCTAAAATTGCTCGTCTTTCTCCGTACATCTTGAGAGCCACTGCTCCACCCAAAGAGTATGGCAATTCGACTTACGAAGCAAGGTTCTGGAACCCCGCAACCCAATACGACTTTAAGCATGCCAGACCTGCTTTGCCAACTTCGCTCAAGATTTACGAAGCCCACGTTGGAATCTCCACTCCCGAGCCTCGGGTTGGGTCCTACAAGGAGTTCACCGCAAACCTGCTGCCAATCATCAAGGATCTGGGTTACAACACTGTGCAACTGATGTCTGTCATGGAACATGCATACTATGCTTCCTTTGGGTATCAGGTGACCTCATTCTACGCAATCAGCTCTCGTTTTGGAACCCCAGAAGACTTGAAGGAACTCATTGACACCGCACACGGAATGGGTATAAGAGTTCTGCTCGATGTTGTGCACTCCCATGCATCCAAAAACATTGACGATGGATTGAACATGTTTGATGGTACAGATTACTGTTATTTCCACGGCGGAGGTAAAGGTGTTCACGATCAATGGGACTCGAGGCTCTTCAATTACGGGAACTACGAAACTTTACGGTTTTTGTTGAGCAACCTCAAATTCTACTTGCAAGAGTACAAGTTTGATGGGTTCAGATTCGATGGTGTGACCAGTATGCTCTACCTCCACCACGGTATCGGTGAAGGCTTCTCGGGAGACTACAACGAGTACCTCAACCCTAATGGTCCAGTGGATACGGAGTCATTATCCTACATGATGTTGGCCAACGATTTGTGTACTCAATTTGGGGAGGAAAATAATTGTGCTATTACCACAGTTGCTGAGGATGTTTCTGGTTACCCAACCTTGTGTATGCCTCGTTCGGTTGGAGGTGTTGGGTTCGATTACAGACTGGCAATGTCTATTCCTGACATGTGGATCAAAATTCTTAAGCATACGCAAGATGAAGACTGGGACATGGCTGCCATTTCGCACACTTTATCCAACAGAAGATACAAGGAGAAATGTATTTCATACGCAGAATCTCACGATCAGGCATTAGTTGGAGACAAAACTCTAGCATTTTGGCTAATGGATGCTCAGATGTACACCAATATGTCTGTTATGACAGAATTGACCCCGGTGGTGGATCGGGGAATTCAGTTGCATAAAATGATTAGACTGATCACTCAGGCTCTCGGCGGCGAGGCATACTTGAACTTTGAAGGTAACGAGTTTGGCCACCCAGAATGGCTGGATTTCCCTCGTCAAGGTAACGGTGAATCGTACCATTACGCAAGACGGCAGTTCAACTTGATCAAAGACGATCTTTTGAGATACAAATTTTTGTATCTATTTGACAAGGCGATGAATCAAACGGAAGCCAAGTACACCTGGTTGAACTGCGACCCTGCTTACGTTTCTTTGAAGAACGAGGCAGACAAGGTTATTGTGTTTGAGCGCAACAACAAGTTGTTTTTGTTTAACTTCAACCCAACGCAGTCGTTCACCGATTACAGGGTTGGTGTTGAAAGAGAAGGAACCTACAAAATTGTATTGAACTCTGATCGCACCGAGTTTGGTGGCCACGGGCGCATTGACGAGGAGAAATCTGTGTTTTTCACCACCGATTTCCCCTGGAATAACAGGAAGAACTATATTCAGGTTTATTTGCCTTCCAGATGTGCACTGGTTCTCGCTTTGGAGAGCGAGATCCACTAGTTGATATATGGGTTTATTTAAGTTCGGATGTGAAGCTGATCCTACCAAGAACCAGAGACTCCATGAACTTTTCAATGCATTTTTCATGGCAAGATTTTAAAGCGTTGGACTTCGTTAAAAAGGCCTCTTTTTCCTTGATGACCTTTTCTGTTGGGGTGATTTCAAATAGCTTGGAGAGGGCCTCGACATGATTTGAGAGATTGCTCTGTGTTCTCTCCAAGAATCCCTTTTCTGCAGAGCTTTTAAAATAAAACATCAATGCATACGACCACATGAGGGTGATACGGCATCGAAGAAGTATATCGATCGACTCACGGTAGAAGTGAGCTTCTATCCAGGAGACCTTAGCTCTTTGCTGGATCTCTTGGACTCTGTGTTCCAGCTTGGCCAAGAATTCGGTATCTTTCTTTAAAGAGACCCGGTGAATTTCAAACAGATCAAAGTAGAAGAGATACCGTTTCAAAGAGACCCGAGAAGTTTCTTGTTTTTCGCGCTCTTTCTTGGACTCTTCGTCGTTGAAACTGGTGCAGACGTAGTTGTTTTTGTGACGACTCCAGTCTCCCAAACAGATCCAGCAGAACTGGTAATGGCACTCGCCGCAGGTCATATGGTTGCAACCACCGTTTTTTTCAATTGGAGACGAGCATTTGGGACAGTCTTTGGTGTTTGCGGTGATCCAATGGGATGTTTCAGTTTCGTCTGCGCAGGTTTTGATCCAGGTCTGCACCACGGTACACGTTGCCGGAGCGTGGTCTTCGCTGAGACACGCGTAGCAGAACCGATGGCCGTTCGAGCATTGCACGATCGGAATGTACTTGTGAGCCACATACTCTTCCACAGACGTGATGACGTCCGAGTCAAAGCCCAGGTACTCAATGAAGCACTCGCAGTCGATGGCGGGACAGTTCTTGAACGTTTTGAAATGTTTCTTGGTGTACTGCACCACGACCGTGTACCAGTACCGCCTGAGCAGGATTTTGTTGCGCTGATTCTGTTTTTCCAGGCGTTGCTGCTTGATGTGTCGTTCGTGGAAGTTGAACAGAGCGTCTTCGGCACTCTCGTCCGATTCCTGGTCCTCGTCGAGCTCCTCGTCCGAGCTATCGACAAGCGGTTTCTGGTACTTGGCCATGATCTCTTCCGACGTGAGCGGGCCCGAGACCGACTGTTTGCGCAGCTGGTTTTCGTGCTCTTCTTGCTGGCGCACTCTTTGCTCTTCGAACGTGCTCAACTGTTCCAGCTCGCCGGGCCGCACGTACAGCGCGCACGACGTGTCGGGACACTTGACAAGCGCGCTCTGCCCGCCCCGGATGTACCGTACGTAGCAGTCCACACAGTACCGGTGGTCGCACCACGATAACTGAAAAGTGTAGAGCGGGCCGTCGCTGCAGCAGATCTGGCACAGGAACTGCGGCTCCGACTCGCGCACCAGCCGTGCGCGCACCCTGGACTCGGGCCCCAGGCCACACTCGCGCCGCAGGCTCTCTGGCTCCTGCGTGGTGTAGTCCTCCAGCAGCTTCTGGTCGTTCCAGCCGTACTTGAGCAACAACACCGTGCAGTCGTCTGCACCGAGCTGCAGGATCGTGTCGACGTTGGCAACACGCGCCTTGAGCTGCGCTTCGATCTCGTCCGCCTCCACCGGCTTGTAGCGCATTCGGTGGGTGCAAAGACCCCCCGCCGTTTGTTTGTTCTTAAAGCTGTAGTGCACAGAATCTGCCCTGAGAACGTCGCCGATCTCGTCCTCCGAGTCCAAATCGTCCAGGGAGTCTGCCTCCGACTCCAAATTCGAGTACTCGTCCTCGGTTTCGTACTCAAACTCGTAATCCGACATTGATATCGCACACAAATATTTTTGCACAGCCAGTGACTTTTTATTTAGGGCCTTTATCTATACACGTTAATTACGCCTGTTCTGTCTGTGCTGATCACCATCTGGTACGGCCGGCGTAGCAGCCCGACATGGAGTACCCGGTCGCGGTGGTCGGCCAGCGGGCTAGAGCGTGACCCGTCGGTGTACCGTTCAGAAACAAACAGCAGGTTTGAGTTGATCTGCGTAGCCACAAACGACGCTGTCTTGCTACCAACCACGCGCGAGCGCTCTGGGTCGGCCAGGTCCCAAACAACCAGTTTCCCGGACGCAGAGGCGCTGACCGCCAGCGTCCCCACCGCCCGCAGCGCGCTGCAGCTGCCGTCGGCCACTATGACGTCCTCAGAAAGCTCCAGCTGCATCAGCTCGTCGTTGATCGCGTCGGACTCGTTGCTCAGCTCGGTCACCACGTACGTCTCCAGCGTGCTCGTTGCGCTCGAGCAGCACAGCACCTGCCGCGGTTGCAGTCGTGCCACGTCCCAGATGGTGACGTCCTCGTCGCCGGAGCCACCAACCACGGCAATGTACCGCGACTTCTTGCCGTTGTGCACAAACTCGTCCGGCAGTACCTGCACGCGGTTGATCGGGAAACTGGACCCGCGGAACTTTGTGCTCTTGAGCGAAATCCCGAACCCAAGGTCCCACAGGTCGAGAATGCCCTTGGACGTGCCGACCACGGCCCAGCCCTGGGTCTCGTCCACAGCCAGACTCGTGGGGATCCCGTGCGAGAGGTTGTTTTGCAGCGAAAAGACCACTGTCATTGTGCGCACGTCCAGACCAATGATCTTGGCCGTCGGAGTCGTACACACGAGCAGTGGCTTATCCGACAGCGAGCAGAAACACAGTTGCAACGCGTAGCTGTCGGCCGGTTCCAGCTTGTAATGACGAATCAGACTGATCCGTGTCGACGCCTGTTTCTTGTGCGCGGGCGTGAAGTCGATCCGGAACACTTTGACGTACCCGTCCTTGGTAGCTGTGGCAATGCAGTTCCTGTCCTTCATGAAAGCAGTGCACACGATCGATGACTCGAGGTTCAAAGAAAGACTCGACGAGCCTGTCACGTTGGTTTCCAATCTGGCAGAGTCCCAGAGTTTCAGCTCGCCTGACCGGTCCGCCGTGACGAAAAACCGCTGGTCAGAGCTCACCTCCAGCCCAGAAATGGCAGCCTTGTGCTCCACGAGACGAGAAATCAGCACCCCGTTCGGCTCCATTTCTGAAGTTTCCGACACCTCGTACACGTCGGTCTTGCTTCCAAACTCAATATAGTCGTCCAACGTCGGCTCAAACGTCATCCCGTTGAGAAACTTCCAGATGTACGGGTTGGTGCCTGTGTAGCTGTGTTTGATCTTGGTGGTGATCTTCTGCACAGAGTCACGAGACGACGGTGGTTCCTCTGTCGCCTTGGAGCCGTTGCTCAAAGTATCTGGACGGACAGCTCCATACAGAAACACAGACGCTCTTTTGGGGGCAGAATCTGTCTGTGGGGCACGAACAACCTCCGACTTGTAGCTCACATCAAAGAAGACCGTTCGTGGAAGCACATTCGGCTTGGAAACGTCGGTGTCGCGGGTCTTTCTGCTGTTTGAGCGCGCGATCTTGAAAATATACGACCGCAACGTTGCCACTTTCCAAATCTCAGAGTCAGCCATACCGACAGACTTCAGTTTCTCCACCTGCTGCATATCTTGTTGACTCAGCGGGACCTCGGAGTTGCTCACAACCGTCATATCGTCAACACCATGGAACCTGTGCATTGTGTTTTGCGACGCATTTTTCCGCATGAACGCAATTTCTGAGGTGTTAAACAGGTCTCCGCGTCGGTGAGACGCCTCCACGCGCTGCCAGAACAGCGAGGAGTCCTGTTTTAGCGACCAGTTCTGCGCCAAGGTGTACACTGCAGGTGAAATTGGCTTGTGTGCAGAGATGTATAGCGATTCCCAGGTAAATTCAGTAAGCTCGTCTTGGAAAAAAGGCCGAATGATTGGGTATAGCATGCAATAAAGATCGACCAGAGATAAACTCGACCCAATTGCAACCACAAGGTCCAGTACAGACTGTCTGATAGTTTCGTTAGGATGCAGAATCAGTCGAATGGTGAGTCTGATCAAGTCCCAGTAATGGATTTTGCGCACAAGTCCTAATCCACACAGCTCTGTAAAAGTTTTCAGCACCCCAATGACAACCAGCTCGTCCGAGTCTGTGAGCGATTGGACCAATAGTGGAAGAATATACTGTTCCAAACTGACAATTCCCACGAAAACAGACACCGACACTATGCTGGAGATGAATTCGAGCCGGATGTTTGGATTTTTGTCGTTCAAGTAGGTGATCAGGTGGCTAAGGATGACATCGTTTGTTCGGTCCTTGCCGAAAAAGGCAGCCAACGGCAGAATGTTCTTCAACAGAGAGATCCTCACAAAAGAGTCTTGGTCAGTCAGGATCTGCACAACTAACGACTCGAACTCGGCTACCACGTTTCTAAAAGCACTCTCCAGTTGATCATCGTTCTCAATCACAAACTCGTCTCCCGAAGCGTGTTGGAGCTGAGTTCGGAAGAGTGAAGACATGTCGTAGAATTTGCGTGCTGTTTGAGCCAGATATGGCAAGCAACCTGCGAAAACAGACCGGACATGACGGCCGTATCCAGGAATATCTGACTCGGTATACGTTCTCTTCAAAACCTGTTGCAGTTTCGGCAAGATGTATTCAGGGAAAATGTAGACGTTAACGGGTGTGATAACGTCCACCATGACGAGAAGTTGCGTCAAGGACCGCAGCGCTGCGCTTTGGACGTCCTCGCTTGGATCGTCAAGCATGTACACCAAATACGGCAAACACCTATCAAGTTTTGCCTCGTCGTGGAGCTGTTCAGCGAACGCAAGTATAAGGTCGCACGCTTGCATTCTAAAAGACGAGTGTGTGGAGTTTCGCACGCTGTGTAGAATGATGTCAAGCAGGATCAAAGATGCGCAATCGTTTGGAGTCTTGAACACTTCGTGAGTCGATCTTGGCGTGTGATCAATCATACCTGGTAGCTGTAGATGGACCGGTATAAGTGTGTCGGAGCTTTCAGTTGTTTCGTTATCAAACTGGTGCTTGAAACCCAGATATAATGCTATTTTGTCAAAGTCGTTGTAAATCCGCGAGATACGAGAGTCGCAGTCCAGAAACGGATCCGAAGCCGTTGGTTTTTCGCTCAGTTTGCGAACATAAGGATGCAAAAACGTGTAGAAATGGTCTGGGAACACTGATCGGCGGAATTGCGTAAGACAATCTTGAGCACAAAGTCGTTGTGCCGGGTCCAGTGCAATCATACTTTGAATTAGTCTTCTCACGTTTATATCTTCAATTGCATCCAGATTCGGCTGGTATTCTCCTTTTTTGTACTTGAACAGCTGTGGAAGGGTGAATATCGGTAGTCCTTCAAGATAGATTTCGGCTATTGCGCACCCCAACGAGAAAATGTCCATTTGCCAGGTGAGTTGCGCATCAGGGTGGTCTTCCACCTCCTGGTCGTTTGCCAGAAATCGTTCCGGAGCCACGTAACATATATGACGTTGACTAGTATCGAAATAAAATGAAAATTGCGACGGGTTGTTCTCTGGAAGATAAACAGGCTTGAACACGGCAAAGTCGCTAATCACACACCAATTCCACGAAGTCATCAGCACATTCTCCGTTTTGAGGTCTCCATGGTAAACATTCTGTTGATGTATTTTTGATAGAGCCACCAGTATCTGATAAACAATCCATTTGCGCTCAATTGGTTCCAGAAACGGCCGAATACTGATCCGATCGTACAAGTTATAGCGAATATGGGGACGAATCAGATAACCCGCGCGCTGTGAGTCGATTATGCTCTCGAACGGTAGGACATTCGGCAAGTCCAGCAGCTTGACCCGCATGTCCTCGAGTTCTTTCACCCACAGCGACAAATCGAGCTCGGTGGTGGGTTTGATCAACAGTTTAACAACAACAGCCCCATGTTTGTCCAAACATTTAATAGTCTTGAGAAATCGAGCAGAGCTCAACGGCTTGCTATACTGAACATCACTCAGGTTATCAATATACGCCGATATCGCGATTGTCTGCGCAGTCGGCGACAACAGCGATAATTGGGCACCCATAAAGAAACCTGCTTATTTTGGATTTATTTATGGGGGAGGGCCTAAATTTTGTCTAATAAAGAAAAAAGGTGCACAGCCTGGTATTTTAAAGGTTTATCACTGTATCTCATTAGCTTACATTATCTACTTGAGCTTTGCCTTTCTTTCCTGCTTGAACCTCTCGACCTCTTCGTGGAGAAGAACCTTCATGTCATTGACGGTGCGACACTTCCATTCGAAACTAAAATCAAACGGCTCTGCCACCACCGGCTCGTCCTCGAGATTACGCACTTCTGATAGCAATGGATGCGCAAGACATTGCTCAACAGTGTACCGATTGTCCACCTTCCAGCACAGAAGGTTGGAAAGCAAATCATGTGCCAAAGGACTGGCGTGCGGATAGATGTCAGACCATTCCTGTTTCTGGAATTGCGGCTTGGGAGACGCAAAATAATCCCATGCCACCGTAGAATTGTAGCCGATTATCACGCTACGAGATGGGGTACCCAGCACTTTGCAAATCTCATTTATCTGATGCATCTGGTCGTCTCCGATGAACAGCGGTTTGCGCCCGTAAAGTTCACCAAAGATGCATCCAACAGCCCACATGTCGATTTCCTTGCCATATTGTTTTCTAGTGAGAATTAATTCTGGAGCACGGTACCACCTCGTGGCCACGTAGTTGGTTATGTTGCTGGATCTATGGCTTTTGTTCATATATTGCTCAGAGATACCTCTGGCGAGCCCAAAATCGCAGATCTTGAGCACACCTTGGCTGGTGACAAGAACATTACCGGGCTTGAGATCTCTGTGGATCACGTCTGCAGAATGAATATATTTGAGCCCGCAAAGAATTTGGTACAAGAAACACTGGATGTGGAACTCACTGAATTGGACAGACGAGTGGATCACCTTGGCAAGATCGTAGTCTACTAGCTCTTGGAAGCAGTACAGACCGTCGTAGGGTTTCATGTAAACGATATCCAGGTCCACGAGATTGATAATGTTTTTGTGGCCTTTGAAGAACGACATTAGTTTCAGCTCTCTGACTGCACGTTTCAACAACACCTCTTTGTTGAAGATATTGCTCACCTTCTTGATGGCGATAGAAACCTTGTCCTTTGATTGGATATCAACCGCTGAACAAACTGTTCCATAGGAACCCTTTCCAAGCACACTGACAACATGATATCTTGAATCCAGATAGAAATTGGCCTTTTCATATACAACTTTGGCCGGCGCTTGTTTCTGCTGCTGTTTCAAGTTCGCAGTGAGTCTGTTGTTGAGGGTTCGGGAAACGTATCCTTCTTCGATCGACATGTTGGTGAAGCGCCAAAAGGAGATTTAAAAAAGGGCAAGGGGGAAAAATTTATGCGAAACTGAACGATGGTAATACCCCACCGTCTGGAACATGGGCAAGTTCTAGTTGTTGGAATTTGCCGGACGATTGATGGAAATAGAGTCCGGATATCGATCCCGTGAGCTGGTTAAAGCACACGTAGTAGAACCCTTCAAACGAGGCACCCACTATACCTTTCACGCTGGCATCCGGAACCAAAAACACTTCTTTCCATCGCATGTACAGATGTTCGTTGTTGAGTGCGTTATCGTACAATGGCTTGTTGGCAAGGTCATTTTCGGGATCAAACTCCAAACTTCTCCAGGAAGGAAATCTGCTCCAATGCTGTAAGTCGTTGCGCTTGCTCGAGCCCCAGGCTTCGTTGGCTGTATAGAAAGAGTGGTGGGGTCCGATGATCTCACCTTTGAAGAAGGTGGTAAACTCGGGATGGGATTCCGTCAGGCCGTGGATCGTGAAGAACCCGCACAAATACGACCGTTTCAGATCCACCTCTTTTAGGTCCACACGAACCTCAAATGTAGACCGTCCCGACTGTTGCGACCCTATAAACGAGGAGTTGGGTTTCAGGAACGAGGAAACCAGAGACTTGTGGCTGTTTGCAAAAAAATCGCGGGTTTTGGGCGAATCAGCAAGCTTTGGACGCGCACCATGGCGTTTGGCCTTGAATGGGTGCGAAACCACCCGGTTATGCTCTTTGCTAGGGACGTGATCAACACTAATTGGTGTAGGCATGGATATAGTGGAAATAAAAGCTAGCAAAAATCAAGGCGGGGCTGACTAAGCACTTTTAAGAGTCAATCAGTTTACAGTGGTGGTACCCATACTATGAGAACGAAAAAGTTTGCTTCGTGATTACGCTGTGCGGGCTTATGTAACCCACATCTACAAACATGATTACCATGGTTACCGGTTAGCAGCCGTGTTAGGCTCTAACGCGACAATTCGGAAAAAAAACGAAATTAGTTCCGGTTTTAGTCGATTCAATGTTTCAGCCTTTCCTTTTTGGTATCTTATCTCGAATTTTTGAAATAATTTTTCACTTCTCATTTAGTCGATATGGCAGACGATTATCGCGCGGCTAAAGACGTTTTCGCAGGTACCATTGGAGGTATTGCGCAGGTTTTGGTTGGTCAGCCTTTTGACACCACCAAGGTTCGGATCCAGTCGGCCAAGGGAAACGTTTCACCGGTGAAAGTTGTCCGTGACTTGATTGCAAACGAGGGTCCTTTGGCCTTCTATAAAGGAACGTTGACTCCGCTTGTTGGAGTGGGTGTTTGTGTTTCGATCCAGTTTGGTGTGAATGAGTTTATGAAACGGGTTTTCACTAACGCAAACGGCCCTGGCACCCATTTATCTATGGGTCAATTTTATTTATGCGGAGCAGCAGCAGGTTTCGCCAACGGTTTTGTCGCTGCGCCGATCGAGCACATCAGAATCAGACTTCAGTTGCAGACTTCTGGTAATGCCGAGTTCCATGGACCAGTCGATGTTCTCAAGAAGTTGTACCACACCGGAGGAATCAAGCTGATCTACAGAGGTCTTGGCCCTACTTTGGCAAGAGAGGGATTCGGAGGTGGTATGTACTTTCTGACGTTTGAGGCTCTCGTCAAGAATGAGATCCATACAAAGAATATCCAAAGAAAAGACATCGAGAATTGGAGACTAATTCTCTTTGGAGCTCTTGCCGGTTATGGTATGTGGCTCAGTATTTATCCTATCGACGTTATCAAGTCCAACATGCAGACAGATAACTACCACAAACCGGTCTACAAGAATGCCCTGGCTGCTACAAGAGGAATCGTGCAACAGAACGGATTGAAAGGATTGGTCAGAGGATTCACTCCAACCATCTTGAGAGCTGCTCCAGCCAACGCTGCCACCTTCTTTGCATTCGAAACCACCATGCGGTATTTGAATTAGATAAATTAGACTGTAATATTCCTAATACAATCCTGAGGATAAGAACCGGTCCACGTAGCCACCACTGGTCTGTGTAGCGTCGGCATCATCTTGTTCGTCCTCCAGTCTTCTGAGCAGGTAGTCGACCTCCACCTTCTTGGTGAGAGGAATGACAAACTCTTTGTAGATCCTGACAATCACCTCCGGCTTCACTTTACTTTGAATGTTCTGACTGAATTTCAAAGTCGGGTCTGTGCCGTAAGCTCTTCCTTTTTCCAACAGTCTTTGCAAGATTTTCTCTTCCACAGCGGAATTGGTGATCAGCTCCTCAATTCCCTTAACATCCTTGTTCTTGATCAACTCCACGATCTTCTCGCCCTCGTTCACAAACTTGGCCTCGGCCACAAACTTTCCAAAGTGAATCCGGCGAGACAGTGCCTGCAAACAGTCGATGTCGGTCATGGCACACGATCCAAGATTGTCCGGCTGTTCTCCACTGCCGGCAGCAATTCCAGGAACGATCTCTGTGGTGTAGATTTTCAAAATCTCGCTATTGACGTTGATTTCGTCCGAATAGGAGGCCAACACCGTTGGGTAATTAATCTTTGGCAAAAACGTTTTCTGCAACACCTCAGGGAAGAAAGGCACCTCGTCTGGCGCCTCGTACCGTCTCACTTGCGAATGGATCCTCTCGTGCTGAGAAAGCAGCCAGTCCAAGAACGAACCCCGAAAGTTCGGAATAGGAAACTGGTTCTCTTTGTAAACTGAAGGCGATGCAAAGAACTGCGACCGTTCGATAAAACTGAAAATGATGGTGTCTTCCATACGGACCAGCGCATCACGGATGTTCTCCAGCGCCAACACCGATTGTGGGTTCATGAAGTCCATAGCCTAGAATTTTAAATTTATTTTATGTAGTGGGAAAAACTTTAGGTTCGTTTATCTTCTCCCAGCAACCAGGTGAGTTGCCTAAACCACAAGAAACGCTCAATCCGTTCTTGTTTGCCATCTCCGTATCCATAATTTGCTTTAGCGTCCATCAAATCGTGGTGCGACTTCTCCGTCATCCGGATCCGCGCCATGAGAGACTCATGATAGACCCCTCCGATGTAGTCGTCGTAGAAGATAATGTGCGCAAACTGTAGCGCTGTGTAGATGCCTGTCATAGTCATAAGTGTGAATAAGATTGTGCGTCTATTGCGTGCGAACGTCTCCATATTGGAAGCATCCGGACCCATATCTTTCCAGTCGCCGTCTGAATGATACCCGTATCCGTATCCGTGTCTGTGGCTGTACCACTTGTCCTCCCAAGTTCCATACTCCGTAGCATGGTAAGGGGCGCTCTGGGGAGCAGTTTTAGGACGGTAGAAACTCTGTGAGTTGTCTTCCCAACCGATCCCGTAGCTATCGTAGTTGCGTCTGGTTTGTGGATTTTTCAACAGTGTGTATGCGGCCAAAATTCGCTTGAAACGCCGTTCCCTCACCTCTGAGGTCAACACATCGACACTTGAATCAGGGTGATACACCTTGGCGAGCTCGTAAAACCGTCTTTTGAGCTTATCGGGCATACAGTTCTCTTCCTTCATTCCCAAAATCTGGTACGGTGTGGCGTTTTTTGCGCTCGGATACAACTTCAACAGCTTATCAACATCTGCCGCGGAGCTGTAACACCGTCTACCGACACGGGAAAGGAGCATATCGAAATAAAATCTAAGTTATCTAATCACAAAAGTATATTTGCTCAAGATTTTGGAGCCACCCCCACACCGTTGACGTTACGGAACATCCGAACACCATTTTCACCTTCCACGAATTGGCAAGCTCTAGCGGAGTTCCACAGGGTCTTCCACATGGACTCACCAGAGTAGCGGTAGTGAGAGCCCATAGCCTCCTTCAAGCCATCGGTGGCTGGTCTGGCGTTGTAGTGGGGAATACGCGAGACATAATGGTGCAAAACGTGGGTTTCAATAATGTCGTGGAAGAAGAACCAACCAATAAAGCCAAAGTCTCTGTCAATGGTTGCAGCAGCGCCTCTAGCAAACGTCCATTCGTTGCTGTCATAGTGTGGCAGAGTCATGTCGGTATGTTGGAGGTAGGTGATGAAAACCAACCAGTGGTTGGTGAAGATGTATGGAACCAGCCAGTTGACTGCCCAGTGGAAAGCACCAAAGCTCTTGCACCACTGGTAACAGACGAAAGTTTGGGCCAACACACCGATGTCGGACAACACAATGTACCAGAAGTCACGCTTCTCAAAAATAGGAGACACTGGATTGTAGTGAGAAACAGCAAAAGTGCTGTGTCCGGGGTATTTTTGACCCGAAACGTTGGTGAGCAGGTACCACCACCAGCCACCAAACTGTTGCATCAACAGACTTGTAAGAGTTTGGATAGGAGTGTCTTCAGCCAGCTCGCTGAGCTTGACCCTGCTGTCGACCCCATGATCTTTCTTAAACTCCTCAACAGTCTTTGGAACAAACACCATATCTCTAGTCAGGTGACCAGTGGCCTTGTGGTGCTTGCCGTGACTGAACTTCCAGGAGAAGTATGGCACGTACAAGTACGAATGGATGATCCAGCCCACAGTGTCGTCCACAGCCACGTAATCGGAAAAAGCGTGATGTCCGCATTCATGACCCACAACCCATAGCCCGGTGTAAGGAAGGGATAGGAGAACGGAGTATGCAGCCCACAACACTCCTCTTAGCGCCATGTTAGGAACCATAGGGATGTAAGTGTTTGCGACGTATCCGAATGCAAGACACACGGCGATATCCCTGAAAACGTAATAAAACGAGCTAGTTAATCTACGCTCGTAACAGGGTTTAGGAATCTTATCCAGTATCTCCTTGATGGTGTAGTCAGGAACCTTGAATTCGTTACCGTAGGTGTCGATAGCGCTTAGTCCCTTAGTAGATTTGTCGCCAACGCGACGTTGAGTCAGAGTGGCAGACATTTTGATCTAAATTGTAAAAAAAGATCTATGATTTGTTTAAAAGGCCCGCTCCCACAAAAAATTTATTACCCTGTGGCCAGATTTGGATTTTGTTGAGCATTTTCCAATCTGGCGGTGGTGCAAGGATGGACCCTAACTTTTCAATCTTTTTTTTCTCTTTATGTAAAAGATCGCACATCTGTGATTAAATTTCTCCCCGGTTTTTTTCGAGTTGTTGATTTTACAGATATGGCCGAGGTTCAGAAAAAACCAATCTCCTTCTCCAACATCTTGCTTGGAGCAGGTCTCAACATGTTCGAGGTGACCACCCTGGGTCAGCCTCTCGAAGTGGTCAAGACTACAATGGCTGCCAACCGTTCGTTGTCGATTTTTCAGGCCACCAAAGTGGTTTGGTCCAGAGGAGGGGTACTTGGATTCTACCAAGGACTGATTCCGTGGGCCTGGATTGAAGCCAGTACCAAAGGTGCTGTTCTGCTGTTTGTGTCGTCCGAAGCTGAGTACCGTCTGAAGACTGTGGGCGCATCTCCATTCGTTTCTGGTATTGGTGGAGGAATCACTGGTGGATTGTTCCAAGCTTACCTCACAATGGGATTCTGTACCTGTATGAAGACTGTCGAGATCACCAGACACAAGGCTGCTGCTGCTGGAGCCCCAGTCAAGAGCAGCTTGGAAGTTTTCAAGGACATCTACGCCAAGGAAGGTATCAAGGGTATCAACAAGGGTGTCAATGCTGTTGCAATTAGACAGATGACCAACTGGGGATCGAGATTCGGGTTGTCCAGACTCGCTGAGGACTCCATCAAGTCGTTCACCGGAAAGTCTAAGGACGAGAAGTTGGGAGCTGGCGAGAGAATTTTGTCGTCTGCTCTGGGTGGTGGTCTTTCTGCCTGGAACCAGCCAATTGAGGTGATCCGTGTGGAGATGCAATCCAAGACAAGTGATCCGAAACGTCCAAAGAATTTGAGCGTTCTGGGTGCTGCAAAATACATCTACTCGAACAACGGTATACAAGGACTTTATAGAGGTGTGACTCCAAGAGTTATGCTTGGAGTTTGGCAAACCATTTGTATGGTTACTTTTGGTGACTACGCCAAGGAGTTTGTTGCAGGTTTGACAGGAGAGAAACCTGTTGGACATTAGAGTTTGTACTTTTGTACTTGATTAAACATATTCTTTCAGAGAAGAAAGCAATTTTGAGAAAAAAATGATCGAATGAATTGTATTATTAAATAATATGCCGGTGGATTGATTACTTTACCTGTCTTTCTAATGCAGTGCGACGATGTAAGAACTGGCATGGTTCTTAATTTTTGCGCTGGACACCCCACTTGTCGTAGCAGTAGAGCCCAATAAATGTCAATGCAAGTCCTGTCCATTGAACAGCACTGAGGTGAGTTCCTTCAACTAAGATCGAGCAACTGATGATAATGATCCGCTTGAGAATGTTGGCGATACTGTAGTTGATTGGACTCACCATTCCCAGAATTTGGAAGGCTACCACGCTCTGCACGAAATGTGTCATTCCGTTCACAAAGATAAGACCAGCCACGTATTGATCGATCTCGAACAGCGAAAATCCAGTAACGGAGGAGATCTCGGTGAGAATATATGGGGGCAGGGTCAAAAGGAATCCAACAACAGAGCAATGGAACAGAACGGACATCTTGTCGAGTTTTTTCTCGGAGTTGATGACCAGCTTGTTGAGAGACTGGGACGAGTTGCCCAACAGAGGCGTCACAGGCGGGCTCGCATGCTTAGGAGTCATTGCAATAGGTAACATTGGGGTTGAGGTGGCCGACTCGCTCTTGACGACCTTGTAATTGAGGGTATTGGTAAAGTAATCGTTCTTTGCTTCTTTTGCCTCGAAAGTGAGAATCTTTTTAGCAAAGATGTTTTGAGACACGAAAATCAGCATGGAGATGAACGCAAACACACATCCCGTGTAGAAGAACTCAGAGTCTGCAGTGATTTTGTTATTTTTCACGCAAGAAAGCATCACACCAACCATCAGAGGTAACAAAGTGAAATAAGTTTTCTTTCCAAACTGTTGGTTGAACATGAACCGGTAGATTAACACGGTGGTTAGAGGAGACAAAGCCTTGATTGTGTGGACTAGAGACACTGGGATCACCGAAGTAGCCTTGTGGGATGCGATGTGTCCAACAAACTGGAACATTCCCATTGGAAGCGTGGTCTTCAAAACAAACAGTGTTGGCTTGAGGAAATCCGTCAGTCTGTAGTTGTAGTGGTTCAAATCCGTTGGGAAGGTGCCCTTTGGGAACTTCTCCAGCAAACAGTCCGAGGACTTGTCAGCATAAAGGGAGTTTGGGTTGAGGTGGTGGCGATGAGAAGCAAAAATAGCATCGTACTTCTTCACGAAAGCAACGGTGAGCAGACAACACAAAGCGTTTATCATGAACTGGAATTCTGTGAGTGTAACTGGGTAATCAAAGTTGCGAAGAATGGACTTGGTGCTGTTTGAGGAAACAACACTAACGGTGTACCAAATGGCACAGAGTAAACATAGCTTCCAGTCAATAAGAGGGAACAACGGAGCCACTTTCGAGGCTAGCTCTTTGACTGAACTGCGCACGTTCTGGATACTGGGCTGACCAAATATGAAGAGCATGTTGTAAAGCGAATGAAACAGAACAGGGCTAACCTTTGTGAAATACCACGTAACTTTAGAGATGGCTGTCCTAAAAAAAAAAAAAAAAGAAATGTCCGAGAATCCAATTCGGGAAATGTGAGGAAAAAAAAAAACAACAGGCGCCTATTGTCTCCCAGCAACGCGCCGCGATAGCTACAGCAACTTGAGATAAAGGATCTCATCAAATTCATATGCGCTACCCCTGTAAAGCACCCTAACAATGTGCAGTTTTCGAATTGTGGTTCAAATCGGGCAGCATGCCTACACGTTTTAGTCTGATGAAGATCATCGGGCGTGTTTTTAAAACTAATCACGTACGCGCTGCACATCATCGGAGGCACCGCATCGTGGGCAAAAATTGGTTTTTCCTCCCAAAACGTCTGGATTGTACGTAATAATTTTTCACAAATTTCCTCTTTCACCATGACATCAACCTCTGATCCTGAGCAAGCGATTTTTTGGTTGCACGAGCCGCAAAATAATTGTTTCTGGAATGGGGCTCTGGATGTGGTCTCCACCCAAAATGGTGCAGGTGTGGTCTCTAAACGGTCGATAGAAAAGGGCACTGTATTGCTCAAGGTGCCCAAAGAATCCATCTTGTCTGCACGTACCACCTTCATAGCAAACTTACTCATCGATGCTGAGATATATGGCATGCACGCCTTGGTGATCGCCTTGATTTACGAAAAAAACGCCCTTGCAGAAAGTCCCTGGTACCACTACATTAATTCCATAAATTTCGCAGATAAGACAATCCCCCCTTGCTTATGGCACCCAACGCATAAACGTCTGCTCGATAACACAGAGGCTGATCTTATGGGTGTCCTGGACGACTCAGAGTTGCTCGATCATTTCCAAATGGCGCAGGACTTCGCCCGTCAATATGCATCCATGCTGCCCGAGCCCCCAGAACTCAGTAATATCTCACACTTTGCAACCATCGTTTTGGGCGTGGCTTCGCGCGCATTTGAAATCGACGATTTTCATCTATCCGCATTGGTACCAGGAGCAGATCTTTTTAACCACGAACCGCACGGCGACGAGTCAGCTCATTTCGAAAGTTTGGCAGGGGTGTGTCCCGACTGTGGCAAAATTGAGTGCGTCCACGGCGTCTATTCCGACGCCGACGAGTCCGACCAGGTTTGCGAAATCGTCGCTCACTCCGCCGTCCCTGCAAATACCGAAATTTTCAACACCTACGGCCCGCTGTCAAACTCCGAGCTTTTGGCAAGATACGCCTTTTGTGTCGATAACAACCACTTCGACACAGTCTGTTTGGGCAGACAGATCTCTGCGCTCCGCAAGAAGGCCGGGCCCCAGATAGCAAGACGTATCAAGTGGTGGTCACTAACTGCACCCAAACCGTGGCTATTGGACTGCTTTGTCAAAGCTGACGGTAAACCGTCCAAGGAGCTCTGTGCGGTGGCAAAGCTCTTCACCGCACCGGGAAAAACCGTCCAGAGATCTCATTTAACCAAACTGACTCCGTCATCGAGGAAACTCATCCAGCATTGGTGTCGTCAGCGTAGACTGCCGGAAATCGCCATCTCCTTAGACGACCCGCAAAGAGAGGCCCAGATCAAGTGCATCAGACAGTCCGAGAACGCCATCCTTGACAGATGCATAGCGTTGATGGACCGTCCATAATCCTGTATAACCTCCCGCTTACCTAAGTGCACATGTAATCAAAGATTCCTCGAAACAAATTTTTCCAATTGGCCAAACAAACATTTGTTAAACCCTTGAGTATTTATGATCAGGGCTGCCAGATTACAAGCGTGCGCGCGCCAGGCGGCACGGAGCTATAGATTCCAATCGACTCTTCCACCTACGCCAGTGAAGAAGTCCAGACCAGTCAGAAAATTCTTTTTCCGTTTATCCCTCTTAACGGCAACGTTCTATCTTGGTGGAGGGTATTTGGCTACCAAGAACGACGCTATTCAAGACGCGTTTGAAGACTTTGTTCCGTTCGGCGAGTTTGTCGTTTCCAACATTGAGTACTACTCGTACCATAAGGACGAGCTTTTAAGTCCATTCTCCAAGGTTAACGATTCGTTTGCCGATGTCAAGGAGAAGCTTGGACTGGAGAAGACGGTGCCAATTCCAAAACAGGGTGTTCAGAGTGACAAGATTGAGCTGAAGAAGGAGGAAGAGACCCCAACCGAGACCGCTGTTGGGCGTAGCTTGCCATTGTTGCATTTAGAGACCGGCGACCAAGTGATTGACAGCACGGTCAATGCGTTGAACGAGTTGATCGCTGCCATGAACTTGAAGGTGACCAGTTTGGAGAACCAGCAGGTTGTGGAGTCTTTGCATCGGAGCTTGACCTCGCTGGCAGAGAAATACAAGACTTTCAGTACTGCCAAGCAGCTTGAACAGGGTGTTGTTGACGAGCAGCTGAAAACATACTTGAATCAAAAGGAGGTCGAATTGACACAGGAGTTTGTGAACAAGCTCGAGGAGGCCAAGAAACAGCTCGAAGAGCGTCATTCTAAGCAGTTGGAAGGAGAAATTGGAGCTGCCGAAAAGAGAATCCAGCTGGAAGCTTTGAACTTGATCGAGCAATCGAAATTGGCTGCCATTGAGCAATTCAACAAGGTTATCAGCGAAAAAGTCGACTCCGAGAGAGCCAACAAGTTGAAGGATCTGGACGCCTTGGCTGCCAGAGTCTCTGAGATTGAAAAGTACCAATTGGAGCTCGGCAAGAGTGCCGGTCTCTACTACAACTACAGAGACATCAAAAAGAGCATAGGCGCTTTGCAGGGACTGTTGCTATCGAACGAGTCTTCTCCAAAGCGTGGTGAGGAGTTGGTGAAGGAATTGGACAACCTGAAGAAGCTGGTTGCATCTCTGGACAACGACTTGATCACACAGGCTATCAACGCTCTTCCATCTAACGACACGTTGTTGAGAAATGGAGGTGTTTTGACGCAATCTCAGCTGCTTGCCAGATGGGAGCTGCTGCTTCCTGAGCTGAGATCTGTTTCGCTTCTTCCACCAAATGCCGGTCTTGTTGGCCACATTTCGTCGTTTGTGTTCTCGAAATTGCTGTTTGCCAAGAGTGGCAAGCCTGTCAAGACTGACGACGAGCTGATCGGCAACGACATCGAGTCGGTGATTGCCCGTGTCAACGAGTACCTGGTGAAGAACGAGCTGGACAACGCTGTCGAGGAGGTCTCGAACATGAAGGGCTGGGCCAGAAAATTGGCCGACGACTGGCTGGCTGAGAGCAGAAGAAAGCTGGAGCTCCAATTTCTGGTGGACTTACTCGAAACCGAGGTGGACGTGAGCGTTTAGAGAAATAGAGGAAAGTAGTTATTTTTCAAATAATTTATATTATTTTTTTCCGTACTTGTATACACTCCCATCAATGACCTCGGCGCCACAGGTTTACGGAGCAGACGAGATCGACGCCATTGTCGTTGATCCAGGAACGTTTCAGACAAAGATCGGATACGCGGGCTACGATTCGCCAAGTCTTGTTTTACCGTCGTATTATGGCGAGGTGGATTTGGACGGCAACAAGAGACAGATATTTGACGAGAGTTTGTTGTTTCTGCCGCAGAAGGGGCTCGAGGTGAAACACATTGTGGAAAACAACGCGATTGTGGACTGGGACGGGTTTGTTGCGCAACTCGAGTACGTTTTCAAGAAACTGGACGTCAAACCTGAACAGCAGCCGGTTCTCCTAACAGAGTCGACATTCAGCTCGTACGACAGCAAGGTAAAGGCCCTGGACGTGTTTTTGGATACGTTCAAGTTCTGTGCGTTTTATTTGGTGAAACAGCCAACCACGGTCTCGTTTGCACACGGCCGGCCCAACTGTTTGGTGGTGGACGTTGGCCACGACCTGGTCACCGTCACGCCGATCGTGGACGGGCTGTGTCTCAAGAACCAGGTGATGGGCACCAAATACGCGGGGGCGTTTTTGAACCAGCAGCTCGAGCAGTTTCTCGCCGACAAGGGCATCGAGCTGCGGCCGCACTACATGATTAAGTCCAAGAAAATCGTCTATTACGAATCTCCAGCGTCCAAGGCGGAGTTCCAGGAGCGCAAGTACGATTTCGAGGTGTCCAAATCGTTCCACGAGTTTGCCAAGCTCAAGGTGTTGCAGGAGATGAAGGAGACTTTGTTGAGTTGCATTGAGGAGGAAGGAGACGAGCCAAAGGAGTCTGACGACCAAGTTCGCTGGTTTGAGCTTCCGGACGGGCTTGCTGTTCCGTTCACAAAGAAAGACCGTGCTGCGCTGAGCAACTCGTTGTTCTCGCCGCTCGAGACGCTGTCGACGCCGATCACCGGCTTCGAGACCCCGGACGACGGAAACATCATCAAGAGACTTGGCCACGCCAACGAGACCTCCAGCAAAGAGTACGTTCCAATGAGACGGGCGAAAAAGCCCGAGGAAGACAAAATGGACGAGGACGTTGCCGATGTCCAGGGCGGTATTGGTCTGATCAAGCTCGTGCAAACGGTGCTTGACCGGCTGGACATCGATCTGAAGCCGCAGCTCGCCAACAACATCGTTCTTGTTGGCAGCACGTCGCTGGTGCCTGGTCTGAACGCCAAACTGCACTCGGAGCTGTCTCTGATGAACCCAAGCTTGAAGATCAGAATCCACGCCGCAGGTAACACCATCGAGAGACGGTACTCGTCGTGGGTCGGCGGTAGTATCTTGTCGTCGTTGGGCACGTTCCACCAGCTGTGGGTGACCAAGGCAGAGTACGAGACCGTCGGTGCTGAGAAACTGATCGTGAATAGATTTAGATAGTGTATTAGATGTATCCTCCAATATGCCAGTATTTGACCAGGTCGAGCCACGACGCGTCGCGTAACTCGTCGTCGCTGCTGTTGCGGCCGCGCCAGATCTCAAACAGCGCCTGTTTGCCGATCCACTTCTCGCCCGCGTCGAAAAACGACTTGCCCAGCACGTCGTACCGCTGCTGCAACTCCGGGTCCATCGCGTCGGAGCCGGCCACGAAGAAACACCAGAACGGCAGCCCCACGCGCATGTCGGTGACTCCACGCGTGCGCTGTGCCAGACTCCGCAGGTTCTCCAGGTGTCTAACTGTAGACACCACATGCTCCTGCAGTCTTCTTGGGTGTGTCTCCTTGACGATGCGGAAAAAGAACATCAGAATAGTGTTGTAGAAACATGTGGACAGGTGGTACACGGCCTGGTGGGCCGGGCTCGAAAACTTGTACGACCCGTTCGCCGCCTCGTACAGCTGCCACGGGTGCTTCCAGTTGCGCAGCTCTTCCTCGATGTCGCAGCACTGTTTGGGGAAATTGCGTGGAAACACTCGTTTCCGGAGAATGTAGTTGCGGTGGTCGGAAAGCTCCACCGTGCGCTCCATCAGAGACAGCAGACTGTACGGGATGCCGAAACTGAGCTCCACAGAAGAGAAGGGAAGCGCTCGGGACGCGTCGAACCGGATCGGCCCCGCGTCGCTGTCGGACTCGGGCTCGGAGTCCTCTTCTTCCTCAAATTCGGGGCCATAGTTGAACCGGATCGTGTATGTTCGCGGTGGCTTGTCCACAACTGGTGGCCGTTCCAAAAGCTTCTTTGGAACATTGTCCACCTCCATGGGCTCCCAGGAATCCATAACCACCTGCTTGATCTCGATCCGCGTGTAGTTTTGCTCGGACATCGCAAACGAGTCCGGATCGTAGTAGTTTTCCTCCTGCGACTCGTACTTGTCCATATCAATGATCGACGTGGACCGGAAAAACAGGTTCAGGTACCTGATCCACAGCATCAGGTCGCGGACCGAGCTGGAGACCTGGCGGGAGTCCAAAAAGGAGTGCAATCCCATGGCGATGGAAAATAGTGTCTCGTTGTTGTAGTAGATATTAGTAGACTCTTCCTGCTTCAAAGCAAGAATAACCATCATCAATAGCTGGTCAATCACGCCTTTCTCCAGAAGATAGTCCAGCAGTCCGTGGTTCGTCACCTTGACCTTGCCGTCTTGAACGGTGGCCAGCATCATGAAAATCCGACTCAGATTGTACAAGTTGGCTTCGCGCAGATAGATAAAGCAGCGCAGTTTCTGCAACGAGCACTCGTGGTCGCCCGAAATGTCAAACAGCGTGCGGTACCGGTCAATGGTCGCCATCGCCAGCGCCTCCAGAATGAACGTCTGTTTAATCAGATCGATAATGTCCTCGGTTCCCGTTGGTTTCTTAATCAGCATCTCGCCCAGGGCTTTGAACAGAGTGGGAACCATCACGGTGTTGAATATACTGTTCTTGCACATGATATGCATCAGCGACGGCCCCAGTTTTCTGAACTCTTTCACCAGATGTCTCGTTTGTGGGTGTTGCAAAATACCCGTCACAGAGTCTCCGTGGTAGCCAGGATCAACGTCCACTATAAATTTGCGCAGATATTCCTCCACGGCGGCCTTACGAGCACCATCGTCCATGTTCATGCGGTCCAGAATCCTGTTGTGGGGCTTCAGCCCGTAGAATCCAGCAAAAATCTCTCGTTTCACCTGCTCCCAGTCGCTCACCTCAGCATTGTACTCTCCGGTGTATATTTTGTATGTCAACGAGGCGTCCACCTGGAGCCGCGGATGAAGCCACAGTTCTCTGGGAAGTAAAGTATCTGCTGTTGGAGCGACGTACGACGATGCCGAGGCGATCGAGACCGGCGTCAACTGCGTTTCTTGCGACTGGGGACTTTCTCCAAGAGGGAAGACCCCAAAAGGCCCTATAGATCGATCTCGATAGTCGTCCAACGCCTCCAAATCGGCGTCCATATCGTCCGGATACTTGTAGCCGTTCTTAAACTCCATAAACGGAACCTGTCGCCGCTGATGTTGCTCCACAGCGTCTCCCCCAATCACTTTCAAGCCTTTAGAACCAACAACCATATATTCGTGGAATCGCAGCCGGATATCGTACCCCAGACATTCCGTCTTGGACTTCTCGCACCGCAAACAGTAAGGCCGGCGTCCATCGCATTTCACCTTGCGATTTCGACAGGTGTCGCACCCGGTGAACGTCCTCTTTTTAACGGACACCATACAATAAATCTAATAAAATAATTATTGGTGGGAGGAGTGTTTTTCTACTAAATTCCCTAGATAAGAAGATTTATCTGATTTGACAATGTTCGTGATGATTAGTCGCTGATCGCAAGATCTTCCTCCATATCGACTCTTCTCAGTTTCTTGCGGTTCGACTTGGTAGGAGAAATGATGTGTTTACCCGAAAAAACCGGGTTTTCCACAAGCTTGTTGGTTGGCTGAAGAGCATCGCTCTGTTCGGCCTTGTCAGCCTTCTTCTTCTTCTTGCGTGAAGGAGACTTGCGGACAGCAGACTCCCGCTGTGGAGAAACGTCCTCAAAGATCGAAACAGGCTCGTTCAGCCCAGTGCCGTACAAATCGGTTGGAAACAAGTACGGCGATTTGGCCGGCGACCGGGTCGGAGATCTGGAAAACGCCTTGCTGCGATCAACAGAGTCTATCACACTCATCTTGGTCTTGGCAGACTCCAGCTGCGATCTCAGGTCTCTGATATCCTTCTTGCTCTTTGCCTCCAGCTGCTGCAGCTTCGTCTTGAGCTCGTCGATCTGTTTCTCCTTGGCCTCAAGTTCCTTGGCCGTCTTTTCGTCGTTCTGGCCCATCTCGGCAACCTGCTTGTCGTGAGTGGACTGGAACTCCATCATCATGATGTTGTTCACCTCCAGCTCCTTGGTGACACAGGTCAACCTCTCGCGAAGCGACTCGGCCTCTTGCTCATACTTGGTCTTCAATGCTTCCATGTTGTCCCTGTGCTGTTTGGTTTGGGACTCGATGGCACTTTCATGCTGTCTTTTCATCTTTTCAAGTTCCTGCTCAAAGTTTTGCTGCTGAGATGCAGACTCGGCCTTCAGGGTATCGTAGTTGCCCATCAGCATCACAATCTCCGACTCCTTCATGCTGAGATCGGACTCCATTTTGCGCCGCTGTTGCTCGGCCTCGTCAGCAAGTTTCCGAACGTTCTCGCTCTCATTGCGCGTTTCCTCAAGCTGTTTCTCCATAAGCTTCAATTTCTCGCTGTCTTGCTCCTTCAACCCCACGATCTCTGTTTCCAAAGTCTCGTTGTGTTGACCAAGATTCTCGCATTTCTGCTTGAGCTCCTCCACAAGTTCCTTCACGTTACTCAATTCTTCCTCCTTGGCCTTGATCTGGCTCTCGATCTTTTCCTGGTAACATTGGGAAACTTCTTTGAGCTTGGCGTCAGCTGAGTCCATATGCTCTTGTGTGAGCCTGTGGACTTCGTTCTTATGCTCAACGGCGATCTGGTTCAATTTCGACTCGTTCTCCTCGTACAGTTCCTGACGAACACGGACCTCAGTTTTAACGACTTCCTCCTCAAGCTTGAGAACTTTGGCCTCAAGCTTGTGCTGGTATGCCTTCAAGGTATCAATTTCACAAAGAAGCTCGTATTGAGCTTTGGTATCGGTGGAAGACTTGGTTTGGGAAGATGCTGAAGAGATATGCCGTGGAACACTTTGGTACTGGACTGGATTAACGTAACGAAGGGTTTGCAAAATGAGTCCTTCGTCTCCAGCAGGATCCAAGGTGACAATGATGGAGATCAGGCTTTTGTTCTTGACGTAGTCGTGGAAGATTAGTCTGGTTAGCTTGTTGGTACGCAGCAGAGACTTGTTGAATTGTCTGGTTGCAACGAGTTCCAAACAGCGGCCCAATTGAGTCAACGAAGCGTTAGTGAACCCTCCTTCTTTCAAGTTCAAGCCGGAGGTCTGAGAAAGCTTAGATCTTTCCAGACCGGCAAGATCAGCAATAGTGAGTCTTGAGGAGTTAACGACTCTGCCAATAATACGAACAACATTGATGAAAACGAAACAGTGAGATCTTGAAGACTCTCTGTTCACCTGTGTGGTGCCTGTTTTCCTGTGGTTTAAACCTCTCTGCAGCACGCGAGCAGCACTGTCATAGTCGCTGACCAAGAACTGGGACAGGTTGTATGGCTTCAATTTCTGGTCTGTTGGATCGGTAATGATATCAAGGAAAGATCTGGATCTGGTGGTGGAATTCATGAGAATGTCTTTGATCGAATCGTTATAGATCTCAAACATAGACATCGTGACGGCGTATTCCGAGTCGACCAGTGGAACTCTTGAACTGTTACCGTTCTGCAGATTGCTCATCAAACCAGACAGTTTTTTATAGTTGGAGCTGATCTGCCCATATTGTGAGAGTCTTTGGAAAACGTACTCCAAAGATTTTGTGGCCATACCAGTCTCTCTGTTGAACACAGTATGTGTCTTACCACTGTTGGAGGGCCCCAATGTGAACAAAAGACAATCCAGACCTCTGAAAAGTCTATCATCTAGCATTGGTTTTCCCACAGTCTCAAACAAGCTCTCTGGTTCTTGAGTAACCGACTTGAACCCAAACGACGACTCGTACTTGGGAAGATCTATTTGGTGTTTTTTCGACCCATTCTGAACGAAAACAGGCTCGGTTTCGCCCGAAAACTGTCTTGCTCTTAGATGGAGATCCATGTTTTGTTTGTTTGTTATTTATTTATTTTTTCCTCAAAAAGATTTGAGTGGGAAAAAGGGGGTACAAAATAGTTGAAAATTAATTAGCGAGCAGAAGAAGATTCAAGGATGGGAATCGGACGGATTTTGAACCATAGCGCCAAGTTCATGGGGAGTATTTATCCCGTATAGTAATTGATCACTTTACTGACCAAGAAGACGCACTTTGGGTCTCCTCCAGAGTGGGATTTTTCCTATTATGTTTGTCAGTGTCCACTATAACTCCTATAGGGATATTTTACCTTTGGATAGACCCAGAGTCGTTGATTAGATGGGTTTCTGGGGCCTATAGAAAGGTTTATTATGGGGGCTAAATTGTTGCAAGAGTCGATCGACGCTTAAATTATTTATTTAAAATTCGATTATCAGGACATGTCAACTGCTGAGAAGAAGAACAGCGTAGAGTCGGCTCCTGAGGAAGAGACAACGAGCATTGCGCTCGAGAAAAAGAGAACGTTGGATGAGTCCGACAAAGAGGATGTCAAGAGGATTAAGAGCGAAACAGCGGAAACCTCAGAGGAAGCAACGAAACAGGACAAACAAGAAGAAAGTGACAAGATAGAAAAGACAGACGACAGTAAAAAGGAGGAATTGACCGAGACTGAAAAGAAGGACGAAAAGACCGGCAACGGAGACGAAAGTGCTGCCGACGAGAAGCCAACTCCAGCCAAATTTGTGTTTGGTGCTCGGACCACATTTGGACAAGCCAGTGGGTTCTCGATGCTATCCAAGAAGAATGTGTTCGATAAAAAGCCAGAAGCCACTGAAGAGAAGACCGACGAACTCAAACCAGCTACAAAGAGCGTTTTTGGAAGCGGATCCACGTTTGGAAACGCGTTCAAAAAGGCTGCCACTACAAAATCGATCTTTGACGAGCCGCAAAAGGCTCCTGAGCAGCCTAAAGATAAAGAAAAGGCCAAAGAGGTGTACAAGGCTGTTCATTTAGAGAAGCAGGAGGTCAAGTCTGGTGAAGAAGAGGAACAGACGTTGTTCCAGGTGAAGGCCAAGTTGTATCATATGGATCTCACCAAGGTGTCTGATGGATGGAAAGAGAGAGGAGTTGGTGTGCTCAAAGTGAACAAATTTTTGAAATCAGATAAACCATACAAAGCTCGTTTAATCATGCGTCAGGAAGGTATTTTGAAACTCATATTGAACGTGCCTGTTGTGCCAGGTTTTGAGGTTTTCAAAGGAATGGCAAGCTCGTTAAACAGCGACAAATTCATCAGAATTCAGGCAGTGGAAGACTCCAAGCCTGTTCAGTACGCTTTCAAGATCGGCATGATCGAGAACTCGTCCAAGTTGTATGAAGTTATTGAGCAATTGGTTAAAGAGGTGAATTAAGTTTATAAATTATGCTATCCTTTTGAATGCTACAGTGCATATTGTCGATCCTTTCACGCCGCCAAACTGGAAAACGGGGTATTTCACTGTTTTCCAAACTTCAAACGAGTTATAAGCTGTGATGACGCGAATCAGCTCTTCTTGAGTGAAGTTGCAAGAGGTGATCAAGAGAATGCCACCTTTCTTTACCAATTGTTTGACCGTTTGCGGATACACCTGCTGACCGCTCTGACCATCATAATCGGCCTCGCTCAGTGCAATAGCGTCCAAAGTACCCTTATCAAGTACCAGATCAAACTTTTCCGTGTTGGAACTCAAAAACGGATCGTTTGCGTTAAGAATGTCGCTCTGTGAAAACTCAACGTTAAATTCATTGGCGGTGGCAATGTCTTTAGCAAATTTCACACTGGTATCGCTATAGTCAACTCCCACAAGTTGACCCTGCCATCCCTCTTGCAAGATTTCAAACAAAAGATGGCCATTACCAGTGCCCAGATCGCAGACACTGATGGAAGGGTCCAGGTTCGAAAACACAAAGTCCACCATCTTCTCTTCTGCCCCCGAGTCGGAGAACCAGCATTCTCCTGTGTCTTCCGGGTTCTTCGAGAAGTTTTCCTGTTCCAGCTCGTAGAAGCTGTTCCAATACTCTTTGGTTCCGAGTTTCGAGTGGTTAAGCTTTGTGGTATCCATTGGACAAAAAAAAAATTACGTCGATCGTCTTGGATAGACGCAGCTCAAGTGGAAGCCACCTTTAAGCAAGATGGGATATACAAATTGGTAAGACGCGAGCATGGCCGATCTCACAGTGTTTAGTTGCCCAGATCGGACTGCTGACACGGCACCAGATTACCCGATTTGCCTAAGATATCCTCCATGAGCGAAAAAACACGGGGTTGCTTATTTCGGACGTGGGATGTGCGGGATAGGAACCACAGGAATTTAGGTTTTTTTCTCGATAAGATTGCATTATGAACCGTCTGTCTCAATTAAACCGAGCAAAAACTTCTTTCAATAGATCAATGTCGACGTATAAAGTGTTAAGATTTGGACCCGTGAGATTCGCTCAGGAAGCATGGGCTGAACTGGCCGCCAAGCCCAACGTGGAGGTGGTGGAGTCGTCAGCTTCTTCTAGAGACGAATTTGTGAAGGAGTTGAAGTCCGGCAAGTTCAAGGACGTTGACATCATTGCCAGAACGTTTGAGAGTGTCAAGCAGACTGGTCTGGTCGACAAGGAGCTGTTGAGTTTGTTGAAGGAGACCACTCAGCTGAAAGCAATTTCTCACAACGGTGCGGGATACGACCAGGTGGACGCTGTTGAGTGCGGCGAATTGGGAATCCAGGTTTCCAATGTTCCGTCGCTTGTGGACGCAGCAACAGCCGACTCGCATATCTACCTGTTGCTGGGAGCATTGAGAAACTTCCAACTCTCCACCCTGAACCTGTTGAAAGGTAAATGGCCAACCAGCAAGTGTGCAGGCACGCCAATTGGCCACGATCCCGAAGGAAAGGTGCTTGGTATCTACGGAATGGGCGGAATTGGCCGTGCTGTGAGAGACAGAGCCAAACCGTTTGGGTTCAAGAAGATCATCTATCACAACAGAAACAGACTTGCTGCTGAGCTGGAAGGCGGTGCTGAGTACGTTACGTTTGACGAGCTGCTGAAACAGTCGGACGTCATTTCGATTAACATCCCACTCAACAGTGCCACCAAGCACTCGATCAACAAGGACGCCATTTCTAAGATGAAGGACGGGGTGGTTATCGTCAACACGGCCAGAGGAGCCATTGTCGACGAGAGCGCCTTGCTTCCGGCCCTGAAAAGCGGCAAGGTTGGCTCTTTTGGTGCAGATGTGTTTGAAAACGAGCCAAACGTCAACATGGAGCTTGTGGAGCAGCCAAATGTGGTTTCGCTGCCACACATGGGCACCCACACCGTCGAGACCATGAAGGCCATGGAGGAGTTTGTTGTTGAGAACGTTACCAAGTACGTCGACACGGGCAAGGTTTTGACGATCGTTCCTGAATTGAAGGGTAAATTCTAGGAGTCTCGGCGAGTTTCGTAATTTCTTTAATCTGATTATCAAATAAAAGCTTTGGTTATTATTTATCTAAACTTTTTATTTATCACGAGTTATGATTCTAACTTCCCAGCGATTAATTAGGTTATCGTCAGCCCCTCGACTGGGCAACATGTGGTACCTCATAGCAGCCGTCACCCTGACCGTGTGCAACCAACCCCAGGAAATACCCAAACTTTATCACTATGCTCTCCACCTGCGAAATGGTCTGGGCCATCCGTCTCCAGAGTTATACGATAAGGTCAAGACCTCCATAGACTGCGTGTCTGGCGATAACAACTGGTGTCCGTACGAACTGGATCCTAGTTTCAGACTCTCGGAAAAGTTCAGAGAAAGCATCTTGAAAACATCTGCGTTGAGTGGACTCCCCAAGGCAATCAACTCTCTGATGATTCTGAAAGAAACCACCCCGAAAGCATTGAGGGCTTCGCAGGAACCCAACAGACCGCCCACCAGCTCGTTTGCTGCGTTCGAGTCGGAACAGGCCCGCGGCATGCAGTTCTGGAAAACCATATACAGCAAGATCAGCAACAGAGTCATCACCCAGATGAGCTCGTCGTACCCTGACCTGTGGTCGTACACGATCCAGCACGTGTATTCGCCACTGCTGTCGTACTCAGGGGTCCTCACACCGCAGGAGACCTCGCTGATAGTGATATCGTGTCTGATTCCGCAAGACGTGAATCCACAGTTGAAAGGCCATCTAAAAGGAGCTCTGAATTTGAACATTGACTTGGAAACCATCAACGACTGCCGCGAGATGGCCATCGAGGTGAGCCAATGGTGCGGAACTGTGTGGAAGAACGAGGTTGCCAAATTGTAGCTCCCGTATATATTAATCATTCTTCTCCGACTTCCATTTTTTCCAGACGATCAATCTTTTCAGCACTCGACGTCGCGTCCTTCTCCTTTTCGACCCGCCCTACGCTCAGGAACCCGTTCATCTCGTCGTTCGACTTGCCAAACAGCTGGTACCAAAACTTGACGTCGTTATAATTGGGAAAAACCACCTCCTGGTCGTCGTGGTAGCCAGGGAACGAGAACTCCTGCTTGCGGCTCTTGAAGTAGTTCCACACCGATTGGGTCCTCGTCTCGAGCTGCAGTTGTTTCTTCTCGCGCTCGCAGTCGTACAAAAACGTCCCGTATTGACAGGAGTACAGGTGGTAAACCAAACGACGCAAAAACCGCTCGTTGAACTCGAATTTCTCTGGGTGCTGGCGCATCAGCTGGTAGACACAGTCGAGAAACTGCTGGAACACAGGGCTCTCCAGCTTTGTGTTCTGATGGTGCTTAAAATGCTGGTTGAGTTGCTTGATCTTCTGGAAGTTTGTGTCCTGCGCATAGTTGTAGAACTTTGTATCGCGTTGTAAGTGTCCTGACCGCTCGTTGAACCGGTGCCCAAAGGAACACCAGTCCTTCTCAACAAGAACCACAAACCCTTCCAGTGTCCGGAAGTATGGGTCCAGACACAGCTGGACCAGCGAGGCGATTTGCGACGTCCTGTCCCATCCGTCAGAACAATGCAGTATCAAGTGCATGCCGTTTAAATGCATCGACTTCACCAACAGGTCTGTCGCTTTGAGCATGTTGGAGACGTGGTTGAGCCACCCAGATTTGATAAGAAGCTCCGGACTGTATAACTGTGTAGAGACGTCGCCGTTCTTCAGCACTTCCTTAATCTTGTTCAAGCTTTCTCTCATGATATGGATATTTTCAATGTTGAGAAACACTTTTTTGCAACCGGGGTAATTCTCCATCACCTCTGTCCCTGCACCCAGAGCGGCCTGAGCCATGGCGTTGGTGATAGGACGCGCATCGACAATCAAGTTGGCGAGGTTTTGGCGGCCGTTGGTGGCAAATATCTCGCTCAATAATTTTTCATCTTGTAAAGAGCGATTCTGCTTTATTCCTGTCAAGGGCTGCGAACTGCGAACTATGCAAGCGCCGTTCTTCTTGTAGTAGTAGGTCAGTGCAGGGAATCTGTTTTTCGAACGGAAGCTCACCGAATGCGATAGAATCGTGTCGCTGATCGCCCGAGGTACAATTGTTTGTGCAGGATAGCTGGAACACAGCCTGTAGTCACTGTTCAAATTGGACAGCCGCCAAGGCCCCGAGTCCAGATCGAGCCCTTGTCGCTGGAACTCGTCAAACACCTGGTAATCCTTCCACCCGTTAAATGCCGTTTCAATCCTTATCGGAGAATAAAGAAATGCATACACCTTATCGATCTCATCAATACACGTTAATTTCATAATACTGTCATAAGCGTCTTGGCATTGGGCCAAATCCGGGAAATCGAGTGCCATGAACGTGAAATCGCGACATCGGATCCGCAGACACGCTCCTTTGCACAGATCCGGATGCGTTTCAGAGTCAACCATGTACAGTTGGGCCGACCCTTTGTTTAGTTCCACCCTCTCGATCATTGGATAACAGCACCATAGCTCCCGCATTCCGGTCGCAGTGGGCGGGAGAGTGAAAATCAGATGATGGGTGGTCAGATGCAACGTCCCCTTAAGAGAAGTACCGCGCCTGAAAAGTAGAATATCGTCTACCTTTGTGATCTTGATATATTCCATTGAGGAAATAATTAAATTCAAAAATATCTTTGGGTTGCGAAATCTAAGATACAATTTTATACTCTGTCCATATATCTATTATTTCCACTCGGCGATCCATCTTTTGGCGATCTCGTCCTTGATCCACTTGCTTTTGTTTCTCCAGCGGCCCATCGACCAGAAATGGTGCGGGTTGAAAACCGGTGCTGTGGATTCCGGTTGCACTGGCTGTGCGGGCTGTGCAGGCGGTGCAGAATAAACCTGTTCCATCACTTCGGATATCTCTGAGTCGCGCCGTTGTTCCCACGGTCTGAGCATCTGTGCACCCATCCACTCGTTCTTCCGCCATTGGTTTCCGTAAGTCATCTCGTAAATCCGGCTCACGGCCCGTTTATATGCAAACATCTCATCTTCTCCAGTAAACCGGCCAACGTCCTTGAAATTCGTCTCCACAGTCGTCTGTGTGAACTCGTTCTTGCCCTCCTCGTAACTCTGCACATTCGGCCGGTACGGATTCGACAAGTACAGCTGTGTCCTTGCAAACATCTCCTCCTCCAGAATCTGCTGGTTGTTCGATCTGGTATCCTCTTTCTGCAACATGTCTGGGAAAAAGAGCCCCGACGGCTCAACTTCCATGCGCAGAACAACGTTGCAACGTGCTTCGTATAGCGAATCAAGCAACGTGATGAACCGACGAGCCTCGCTGCGTCGACGTGTTGTGAGAACAGGAATATTGTCCACGACAAGTGTGTGGAACCGAGAAGCCAGAGATATGTACTCTCCCGGGCCGTAATACGAGTCACCACAGAGCTGCTCAAAATCAAAGTATGCTACGCCATTATGGTGTTTAGGCACTCTGATTTCTCGGCCGTAGCTCACGAACGTGGTGGACTGGGTCTCCTGTGGCATCAACCCTTGGATTAGTGCTTCCCATACTCTCTGTTGCTGGGGATCCTTCTTCACCACCAGGTACGGGTCGACTTTTTGGTCGGCCATCAGCATCCTGTAATCGCAGTCACTGTTCATATCAAACACCTGGCAACGCATCTTCAAGATTCGCTCGAAACCGTGGAACTGGGTCTTATTGAAATCTGTCGAGTAGAGTTCCTCGGGCAGTCGGTTCGAAGTAGCCACCAAGACGCCTCCTAGCTTGAAGAAGTAGGTAAACAGGATCTTGACGATTTTCGCCGAGGCCAGATCGGGTAGCATAAACTCGTCCAACATGAGCACGTGATGGTTGCGGACCATTTTCGAGGCCACCTCGAGCAACAAAAACTCGTTCTCGAGCCACAGAAAGCTATGGTTGCTCTGATCCTGGCGTTTGCGGCGTTCGTAGATGTTATGGATCTCGGAATAGACCCATAAAATGAAATTATTATAATGAACCCTCAACTTCCCCTTAACAGGGAGCGACTCGGCAAAAGTGTTGAGTAGCATCGATTTCCCACATCCAACCTCTCCATTCACCAGTAGTCCCTGCGGAGCAGAAATCTTGTAGATTTCCTCCTCGTCAGTCAGCACTTCGACCAGGTCCTTGCGCTCGTTAGCGGGTATTTTCCCACCCCAAAACTGTCTATAACCGATAGCCCTGTATAACAAACTAGTGTTCTTTTCGGTATACCGCTCCTCCAACTGTCGAACAAGATTGTTGATCTGCAACTCCTTATCGTTCGGAGTATAGTCCCGGAGTCGGAAATACAGTTTTTGGAATTCCAGCGCAGCACGATGCTGATGGACATCTGCTTGCAAAGTCCCCGACGCGACAGCGGCCCGATAGATCTGATACGGGTCTGTCATGACCAGGCCTGATCCCGCGGTGAAGGCACGGGTTGTGTGGTGGAAACAGCGGTTGCCAGTCTTGGAGTTGATTAAAACATGGAACATTGATTTCGCTCTTTACGGACAAGATAAAGGAAATAAATTCAACATGCCCTTTTTATTCTATACCTCTGAAAAATAAGAATGTTATCGATATATAACACCTAGATACAGCTTATGGATGGGTTTGCGGGAGTTGGGTCAGAATAACTTCAGAGTTGAATACCTTGCTGTCTTTTCATCACCAAGAGTTGGCATCCGCAAAACAGGAGGAACAGCACATACAGCCCAACGGCACCAAACACGGTTTTCGCAACACTGACAGTTAGTAATCACCGGTGAAATGAGTAGCAAACTTACGCTTTTCCGTCTTCCGGATCGGTTATAGATCCCATCATCGACTCATGGTTATTGTAGAACAATGCACCGATAACAGATAAAATGACAATTCCAAATGCAGAGATCAGAGTGCACGCCCATGCTTTGGCCGGCTGAGGTTAGTCGTTCGAAATCATGTCCTACTTACCGACACAACAGGCTTCATCGTAGAGTATCTGTGTCTGTATAAATTAATAACCAATAATTTTTTCCGGGCAACATAACCTAAGTCGGTCTTGTCAATTATATATACGTTCGTCAAATACATAACCTTATCGTCCAACTATATCAAGGTTTTGGGAACCCTTCCATGTCGACACTGATCTTAGCCTTTTTCCGTAATCGTTCGAGTTCTTCGCTGTCACGCTGGCTTCCTTTTTCCACCACCAAATTCCGTAGAAGTCGATTTTCCATCTCGAGCTGTTGGATCTTGAGCTCGAGGTTTTTCGACAAATCCGTCAGCTCTTTCAGGTTCCTCTCCATCTCCTGTTCCTTGAGCTTCTTCTTGATGCGGAATCTCGCAGAAGCCGCCGTGTTGCGTCTTCTTTTATCTGTCTCCACATATTCTTTAGGCTCTCCGAGGAATGACACATCCGGTGACACCGTAGAAGAAACGGTATTCATGTGAGTCACATTCACTTGTTCAACAGGCTCGAATGTACTCACTTGTGTACTGCTTGGAGCCACCAAACTGGACTCCGAGCTCGAGGTATCTTGTTGTAAAGCGTCGGGTTTGTGGTAAGCTATAAGCGAGGCAAGAGCTTCGATCTGGGTCTGGGATAGTCCGGCCGCAGAGAGCGTGTGCTGGGCTCCGCGAGGAATCGAAACCCGAGGAAGTTGTGAGTCTGGGCCCAAGTTCAGTCTTTGTTGATCTTGCTGAACTAGATGTGCTGGGTTGAGTTGTTGGTATGGACGTTGTAAAAGCTCCGAGATGGTCGACGGAATAGCACCTTGTCCGCGGTCGGGGCTGCCATAGTTATCATGTTGGTCACTGTTGCTGTTCGAGTATTCCATTTTCAACTTTGGCTTCTCTTCGTCGGGAAATATAAACGAGTCGTCTGCAAACGCTGCAAGCTCCACGCTGAGTTGGTCGTCGATGTTAGGTTCCTCCGAGAGATCGTTTTGGTCACCGTTTTGCATGAAGTTGTCTACGTAAACAAGCTGCTCCAAAAGAGCCATAGGCGTGTCGTCTGGCATATTTGTAGGTAAAGAAGTGCCGTTTTGCTGAAACTCGTCCAACGCTGGCGACTCGGAGAATCCTGACATGGTTATATGGCGCCGTGTGAAGCGAAAAGAACTGCGATGATGATGAATAAAGTGACTTTCAAAAATTTTTAGCCACAATCGGGAGACCGGGTAAGTGACGCCTCCACACATGGGTGAAGCCACTTTTTTCTTAGTTGCTCCGTGTAATTAAAAACGTTGTCGGGATCGTCTGCGGATGTTATTAATACATATTCTATGCAATCGTGAATCGTAGGCGGGAAGGGCGTAGTCTTCTGTATAGTAAGCTAGTCCGAAACAGAAAAGCTCCTACGCCAGCGGAATTTCTTGCCCCACTTGGCCCAAGAAGAGCCTGAGCCGGAGCCACTTTTAGCTGAAGAAGTCGATGAAAAGCTCATGTTTCGACTTGGTTTCGCGCTCGACTGGTCAACGTCCTCTCTTTCTGAACAGTCGTCTTCCGACGAAGACTCGACAGTAACAAACATTTTGGTGAGAACTTCTCTCGTGAACTCCTGGTAAGAGTCGTGTAAATAGTGCTTGGTGAGAGCCAAAAAGCGTTGTAATAGCTCTATGTCCGGGATCTCAGAGGCAACAAGGCCGGCTTTGAGGTCTCCTGGAAGGTTTATTTCACTGGATGCGTTGATTTCGAAATACTCTTCGTACAGTATTCTCCAGACCTTGACATCGTCTCTATGATTATCTATGAATATCTTCAGTGTTTGGTAGAACTCCAGGTTCTCTAAACAATGTTTGTCAAGAAGAAACTGTGCAAACGCGGACCGTGAAAACAGCGACTCCGAAGGAACTTTGTTGTCAATAACCGAGTCCAGTTTTGGTATGTTTGGTTGTGATGACGTAGAGAGGTTCGGCCGCTCTCTATTTTGGGTCCCAAAGGACACCTTTGAGCCCGTCAAAGAGATCATAAAATTAAATAAATTCCGATTTCAACGAAAATGTCCCTTTATATATAACAGTTTTACGTCAGGGGCGAGAGCTATCAAGTCGACCGTTTATCTTATTGGGCATACGAAAAAGAAAATCTGTTGGGTTGTTTTTCTATTGTTCTCAACGGTTTTTACCTCTAAGTTTTTAACCACTATTGTTTCATAACTGTTACGCCTTCCAATTTCGGAAACCGCTGATAGTTTTCCAGCTGCTTTCAAGAAAAATGAAGCGGTGTGCAGATGTCGTGTTTGTAGCAATAACCGAGCTACCGACATCCCCGTATATTATATGCTCATCGTCTTGGCTAGAACTGACCTGACATGTTGCCGATACGAACTACATGCTTCGAAAAGAAATGATGGTTTGACATCAAATCACCCCACCCTTTTGTTTTTACATCGCTAGAACCGTAATAAACGATCTTCTCTGCCATCCCAAAATCGGCAACGCACATCTACACTTTTTTAAATTTGCTACATATTTTGATTTGATTTTGACACATTCGTTGCATGAATGATTCTCAGCCTACTCGCTTACTGAGGTCTCAGGACCCGTCAACTCTTCCCGAATATCTTAGAGAGCTCAAAAGCTCTAAACTCGTCACTTTGTCCTTCATCCCTCCAAGTAAGCGCAAGATAAGAGGCTATATTGAACCTGGCACATCCACAGATATTCCTATCAATATTCTTTCAAAATCGCCATCGCTGCTCATACCGATCAGCTCGAGACGAAGATCACGTCAGTTCAAAGCACGCAGACTCTCTTTCAAGGTGTCTGAGTCCGCCTCTCCCAAATTAAGTCACACCCCGAATCAGAATTTCAGGCAGCTGTTCCCAAATCTGCATCATGAGCTAGCTACAATATCTTCAAATACACAGGGCTGGACCCTCGGTACTTCGAAAGTCGCCTTGCTGCTGAAAAACTACACTGTGTTCCATGAACACTTGCGCAAGAAACAGAAAGAATCAAGATGCATGCATAACAATCTCATTAAACCAGCTACTCAGCTAGAAATGCCGTAACATTGCCGGTCACATAATAGGAAATGTTTTCTCCCCAGATGAGGTCAAGATGCTCATAATTTTCGACCCCCACAATATTCAAACTGGTGCCGTCACTGGCTTTAACCGTATCTTCTAACTTCTCGTCTTCATCTGTGAGCAGCGGCTTCATATTGACATCTGCTGCAGTCAGAACAGACATTTTGCACTCACTGAATTGCGGCAGCTGCTCGATCATCAGTTTTATGTCAACCAACGAGTCGGACATACCATAGATCAGCAGAATTTTGGAAAGTTTGATATGCGAGTGGATAGGATACTCGAACGCCGAAAACAGGTCCGATTCTTGATACATTTGGAATTTTTTGGATTTGATGATTTGAAACCAGTGGACAACGCTTTTCACGGAGGTGGTTGAGTATAAATGAAAGTAACTAATGAATTTTTGTATTGGATCGATGTTGAGGGATTTCCAGTCAAACAAGATGTCGTTGGAAATGTCAATGAGTTTCGTAAAGAACGGAGGGTAAGTGATGTTTCTCCAAAATAAGACAGACTTCATGAGGATTTTGCGGCCAAATAATAAATAAATAAGAGCAGGTTGGAAGTGAACGATCGAGTTTATGAGCCAGTTGGACAGTTTCTTTGGAGTTGTAGCGGGCGATATCAAGATCAGCTTGCCAATCTTACTGTTAAGGTCGTTGTTAATGGAAATAGCGGCTAACACCTGGGAGCAGCCCTGACTGAATCCGATATATGTTAATTTGGACATATTATTCAACTTCAGAACGTAATCGAGCGAGTCAGGGATATCGTACAGCGCAAACTCATCAATTGAAAAATTCCAAAATTCGTCTTCATTGACCGAAAGTGAGGTATGTCTTGAGGAATATTTGTTGCCTCTGTTGTTCCCCAGATACACATCGTACCCCAATTCACACAACCGGAAGGGCAGGTTTTCCTCGGAATTGGCCATCAAAACCCAAATCTCACTGTTCATCAGCAGTCCGTGTTGGAAGTACACTATCTCACCATTTGGACGGAACCCATTCTGTTCTGGATTTATACGATGAACAGTCAATAAGTAACCATCTCTTGTTTGAACCAAATGACTTTCCGATTTGTAACCATAAATTGCACAGAGCTCTTGGAAATCATCTGCTTTTCTCAATTCCTCTGCTCTCTTCAAAAGTTTATCGTCTTGTAAATTGCCCGAGTACAAATATCTGTTATAAAGAGGGTTTCTGGTAACTTGGAGACTGAATAAAAACTTGGCAAGACCGGTGAAAAATGCAATGAGTGGCTCAGGCAAAAACCAGGTGATGCCTAGAATCAACTGTTCCAGAACAATCACACCAACCGATGTTATATCTTCTAACCTTAATTTGACCTGATTAAACATGGCTGGGCTAGATAAATTTATTTATTCTTTCGTATTTATGTTTTGCACAGCCTGCATTTGTAAGAATTTCATGTCTTGTATGAAATTAAAACAAGAATTTCTATAATTTGTTTTTATTATGGTTTTTGATCGTTTGCTCTCAAGAAGACCTTCAAGAAGGGTATGTTCCATCACAACTACTCACTAACATATAGTCTCGGGATTCGGGAGTTTACTATTATTCCAACCCACCGCCTCAATCGCCAAATGGTCCTTCAGATGCTTATATGGCAGCAAACTTTGCTGCCGGAAGTATCTCGCGGAGTAACTCAATGAATAGCTTATCCAATGCGGCAGCCTCAGCTGCCCTGCGTAAGCATTCGTCGACATCCAATTTGGCTGATCGGAGACTATCTGGACAAAGAACGATGTCGCTTAGCTCCAGAAGCTTTCGGTCCCCGGATACGTATAGCCGGAGAACAAACTCACTTCAGAATGGTTCTTACAATCCGTATAACTACCGCTCCAACAGTTTGTCGTCGACGTCCTACAGACCCAATAACACACGTTCTAATTCTTTGAATTCTAATTCATCTAGATTTTCAACCGGTTTCACAACCACAACAACCACAACTACAAAGAGACTTCCTCAGGGGCGACACAGTATGCCAACGACTATTGTCAAGACGACAAAGGAACAGGATGCTGAAGGTCGAACACGATCGATTACAAAGACCACCGTGGAGCAAAAGGATGGCTTTGAAATCACCAAAACCACTATCGTCAAACCGAGCTTTGTAGAAAACTATGGAGATGACCTTGGAAGCATCGCAGAAGGTTTTGACGAAGACTTTTATCAAGAGGAGGAGCCGATTGCCAATGGTAACGCAGAACTAGAGAAAATCCAAGAAGAACCTGTGGAACCCGATGTCATACATTTAGTGGAACATGAGCCGCAACCTACAAAACAAGCTCCTGCTACCAACTCTAATACTATCGAGTCTGCCCGAACTCACACATACAGACAGCTGACACAGGCGAAACCAAAGCGTGTGAGTGTTTCCCCTGCCAGAATCATCCTAAAGAAGTCTACTGTTGACGATGACTCCGATGGTCAGTCGGTTTATTCAGATGCGAATGAGATCACACCAAATACTCAAAAGGCCGTTGAAGGCGAGAAAGTCACCGAGGAGGTTCAATCCAATGGATCTAGTACAGTGGCAGGTTCTCCGGTGATTCCGCAAAGATCATCATTCCGTGCTCCTCCCTCTTTCGCACCTAGGGCTAACAGTTTAACCTCTAACACATCTTCCATGCGTAAGCAAGTGAAGATAGTGGGTCCAGACCCTGCAGAATCTAGGCCGGCGGTCCGGAAGCCAACCCCAGAACAGACTTACGAACAAGCTTACCAAATCGCGCTTCAAAAAGTTTATGGACCTAGTTACAATGCTCCCGTGGAAGATGTTGATATGGATGAGGATACAAAAAAGAACACGCTACTCAACGCAGCTGATAGCGAAAACGGACGTGCTATGTCTTTGACACGGAAGCCTACATCTCCGGTGCCTCAGGCTCCGGTTGATTCTAGCTACCAGTCTAATGCAGCAGGGGTTGGTTTTAGAACCCATACTTTGCGTGGCGAAGCAGACAGCAAAGAAGATAAAAAACTCAAGGCAGCTCAACACAAGGAGGAAAAGAAAAAGTTGAAAGAATTGCGTAAAGAGCAAAAGAGTGAGGTGACCAAACTGAACAAACAACGGGAAATAGCTCGCAAGAATGTGGATGACTTGAACGAGAAGAAGAGAATTTTCAGTTTCCGTAAATCCAAGCCTCAGGAGGTTGCTCCCGAGGCTGAAAACAGTGCAATTACGGTTACTCTCCCTGTGGAGGAGGACCCTGCACCACCACAAGAACAAAAAGCTTCAAAGAGTACCGTGGGAACGAAATTCAAAAAGTTCTTCAATCTGTAAGAAATGTTTAAATAAGGTTTTTAATGTTTAATTACTGACGCAAAAATAATTCTCGTCTTATAAAAACACCAATTTAATTTGCACTTGCCTCATGTCGTTAGAGGCCAGCATTCACACGCTACATTGGCATGATAACAATCTTCCAGTATACTCGTTAGATATCCAACCATCTAAGGTCACGTCTGCTCAGAAAACTGTGAGAGTAGCCACCGGTGGTGGAGACAACAACGTGCGCATTTGGCGTGCTAGCTATACAGAAACTGGCGTAGAGTCAATTCAATATCTGAGCTCGCTAACAAAACACACTCAGGCAGTCAATTGCGTGAGATTCGACCCATCTGGAGAGTTACTAGCTAGTGCATCCGACGATGGAACTATCATGATTTGGTCACTTTCAGATAAAATTATCAAGGAATTTGGGAATGAAGAAGATGACGTGAAGGAAAGTTGGTACCTGAAGACCTCGTGTCGGTCTTCTTCACTTTCAGAGGTATACGACATATCTTGGTCGCCAGACTCGAAATATATCTGCTGTGGATCAATGGACAACATTACGCGTATTTTCAACGTGTCTACAGGAACGATGATAAAACAAATAGCCGAACATAACCATTATGTCCAAGGAGTGACGTGGGATCCGAGAAATGAATTCATCTGTTCCCAATCGGCCGACAGGTCTGTTCATATTTATAAAATTCTCAGCGACAAAGCTTCGGACCTTGTCCTTTCTCCGACCACATTCTATAAAATAGTGCGTGCGGAATTGCCTACAAAGAGTCTCACCAGTGAGAATCTAAGCAAGAACCTAGATGTTTCTTCCATGGACCCTCCATTACAAACACCACGTCATAAGCGCACACATTCAAACTCCTCAACGTCGTCATCGCATTCCCTCGCAATGTCGATCACTCGATCATCCAGTCCTCTTCCAGCAGTCATGCCTGCATCATCTAATGCCATTTACAAGAACTTTCACCTGTACCACAACGAAACATTACAATCTTTCTTTAGAAGACTTTCATTTTCTCCGGATGGGATGCTCCTTTTGACCACAAGTGGGATTTATAAGACAGATGGCACAGAAGAGAATGTAAATACGGTTTATATTCACACGCGTGTTGGTCTCAATAGACTGCCCGTGGCCCACTTGCCTGGATTCAAGAAACCAGCCATAGCGATCAAGTTCAGTCCTGTCTTATACAAGTTGATCCCCGATGAGCCTCGAGTCTTCAAGCTTGACTACCGCATGATATTTGCTGTGGCTACTCAAGATTCCCTGGTCTTGTACGACACTCAAAGACTGAAAGCCTTGGGAATCGTGACAAATATTCATTATGCTGTGATTACCGATCTAAGCTGGTCTCCAGACGGTCAATTGTTGATGGTGTCTAGTGCAGACGGATTTGTTTCGAGTGTGAATGTGTCAAAGACTCTATCGGGCGAGATTGAGGCTTACAATGGCAAAGAGTTTTTGAAGAAAAAACGCGAAAGCCTTGCTTCCACCCCAGCAACCCCTGGTACACCAGCACTGGCCTCCGTTCCCCAGCAAACGTCAATCATCGACATGCTACAGATGGAGCCAATACCACCTCCTGAGATTATTGGGAAGCCGGGTGATTCGGTCGAGGTGATCGACATCACCACTCCCCGTGCTTCATCTCCCGGTCCAGGCCCTTCTCCTAAAAGACAGAAAAACTGATCGGGCACATTGGGGTTTGAACCTAGGCAAATAATACATGGACGTAGTGAACACACCAAGACATTCATTCTCAAAAACGGTTTTATGAATATATTGTCCGCTTTAGGAAGAAGTCTCCCCGTTTTTTTCTCGATAAAATCCTTATCGGTAGTTATATATTCAAGAGCTCCACTCTTGGAAATATGTCTACAATGCCAACCAAGCCACTTGTATTGCAAACGAAGAAGCTCGATCAGCCTCCTGAGGGATTCGATGACACCTCCCGAGGAGATGTTCACTGGCACACGCTCTTCTCTTCTCCAGAAACTCCTACTGATCAATTGACCGCAGGACTTGGCATTTGTCCGGTTGGAACTGGCCGCTTGTGTAAACACCGTCACAAACATGCTGAGATATACTACATCACTGAAGGTATTGGTGAGGTGACCGTTGATGCTGAAACCTACGAAGTTTCAAATGGGCACACTATCTATATTCCTGGTGATGCTGAACACGGGATCAAAAACGTCGGAAACATTCCCTTGAAATGGTTTTACGTATTTGCTGCAGATTCATTTTCAGAGATTGTGTACAGATTTTCTCACGAGCAGAGCTCTGAATAATCGCGCTTAAATAGATTGGGCGCTTAATATCTTGTCCGTAACTAGGGGAAAATATATCAGTCACGTGCATATCATCACATGACCCAAAGATTTCGCCGGATAATTTCCACAGTAAAAATACTCCAGAATAAACCATGGATAACACAGTTACGCTGGTGGTCACATTGGTGGTTGCGTTCGTCTTCATAGCGTATTTTCTGGGCGAGAAGTCACCTGTGACAGATGAAATGGTTGCACGGGTCGCTCAAGTCGCGCCTTCACTATCTCCAGATGTCATTCGTCGTGATCTAGAACGGACCCGTAATGTGCACCAGACAATTGATAACTACTTAAATAACCAACTCGGGCCCACAGGGATAAGCGAACCCCATTCAGCAGAAACTACACAATCAATACAGAAACCCAAAGCACAAGCAGCTCATTTCGAAGGCTTGGACTTTGAACAGAAGAAACGGGAAATGGTGCTCAGGGCTCGTCAGAGATTAAATCTTAATTAGCTAGCCTATGTTCGTCTATCAAAATACATTTTGAACTTCTTGTTTTCGTTCTTCACCCTGTAAATGAAACCCATGATCACGTCACTCTCCTTGACGTTTAGCTGGTTGTGGAAATGATCCTCCACTGCGCGTCTGAGGTCGTCTCTGGTGCGGTATTCGTACATGTTTGTTCCGCTGCTCATTTCGTTTTTCAAGTAAGACTCAGACGTTTCTCCAAGTTCAGATCCTTCGAGTAGGTATCCCTGGAAGGTCTTGGCATCCGACACGATGATTTGCGATGGATTCAAATATAATTCTCTATATTTGCGCAACTGCTCCTCTGTCCAGTCCGAGAAGTCCAAAGGGTCTTTCGGAGGAAAATCTTGCGGTCCATTCGAGTGGATGTACTTTGCCAGGAACTCCTTCTGCTGTTGAGCAAGAATCTGATTCCGTTGTTTCGTTGACGAACGCGAAGATGAAACTGGATCTGGTTCGGAATTCTCTCTTCTAGCCATTGTAAGAAATACTTTTTTTTTGTCTCTCATCGCTTCATGACTAATATCTACGTTTTGGGTGCTGGTGGAATTGGAACCCTTGTTGCAGCAGGGCTGACCAAACGGTTCCCAGTGAACTTCATTGTGCGCACACAGAGTAAAATCGATCTGTTGAAGAAAACGAACAATACTTTCACCATCACTCAACTTTTCAACCAAAATGCCAAAATTAGCCGTCAAATCGCAAATGCCTCTAGAGCAGAGGAGATCAAGGATAGACAAATCGACTTCCTGATTGTGAGTGTGAAGACATTTGACACTGTCAAATCACTCACTCCGTTGCTACCAAAAATTGGCTCCTCAACTCATATTCTTTTGATCCAGAATGGAATGGGAGTTTTAGAGGAGCTGAATGCAAAGGTTTGGCCCGATGCATCCACCAGACCGGTGCTTTACCAAGGTGTCATCACTCATGGAATATTCCAGGATCAATCAGAGATAGGTACTTACAATTATAGCCATGCAGGAAACGGAGATCTTAAGGTCGCCAGAGTTGACGGGAAACCTGCTACCCATCCTGTTATTCAGGCGTTGGTCGAAAGCGAAATCAACACAAGCGTTTATACGTTTGAAGACCTCTTGACTCATCAAGTCTCCAAACTGATGGTCAACGTTTGCATGAATCCAACAACTTCTGTTCTGGATTGTATTAATTACGAGTTGGCTGATATCGACGCTGTTAAAGAATATTTCCGTTGCATGATTCACGAAGGTATGACTATTCTTAAGAGAAAATACCCAGCTCTTGAGAATCGTCCTGAATTGGCCGATGATCTTCTTGTGGATCTGGCATGCGAGAAAGGCTTCATACTGAACGGGAAAAACAGTACCAGTATGAGACAGGATACTCTATTCCTGAGAGATACGGAAATCGACTATATTAATGGCTATATTGTGAGATTAGCAGAGGATATGGGTCTTGATGCACCTTACAACCGCAGCATTCAGCTGCTGACCAAAAGTCGGTCAATAATCAATAAAAGACGAGCAGAGCTGAAAAATTAGCTTTTCTCACCATAGAATTGAACATCTTGTCCTTTGGAGCTGATGGCCTCGATGACATTATCTTCCTCTTCGTCGGAGATAAGAGATTCTTTGCCCAAGTTACTCTTAGGTCCTTGGTAGATCTTGTGAGCGTAGACGACATACCACACCATACACAGGAACATAGATCCCCAGTAAACGACGACGGTCCAGTTCATCATGTCTGGAGTGTTGTCGGCACCTCTGTATTGTGGGAAGTTGAGGATAGGAATCATCAAAACGACAAACGCAACAGCGACCCATCCAGAAGGTTCAGACATGATTCCTAAATTCCAGGGACCCTTGCGGAAAGTCTTTCTAGAGTATGTGATTCTCAGAAGCGTAGGAATAGTGAAGGAAATGAATGATCCAATAGCACCGACAGAGAAGATGGCGTTGATTGGAGTCTCACCTCCAAACATCAGCAAAAGCAACAATTCACCCATAAACCAGTTGGCCCACACAGCATTAACTGGAGTCTTGGTTAATGGGTTCACAGACGACCACCATTTGGAAAGCGGAAAACACCCATCTCTGGAGTACGAGAAGAGCACACGAGAAGCTGCAATCATACATGAGAATGACATAGCGAACGACAAAACAACAGCGAAAGCAGTGAGAGCGTACACGCGTTCACGGGTCAGAATCTGAGCAAGGTAAGAAACGTATGGTTGTCCGAGCTCGTCGTTGACAGCGCTGTCAACGTCCACAATAGTGTAAGCCATTGCTAATTGGAAAACGAAACCAAGAGTTCCTCCTGTGGCAGCTGTCAAGACGATGGCTCTTGGAGTTGCAACCTGAGCGTTGGAACACTCCTCTGCCAAGTGGAAAGGAGAGTCGAAACCAGACATGGTCCAAATAACGGCCATGAAACTCATCAAGATGCAAATTCCGTCAGGCCATTCGGTATAGTTGGTGATGCCCCAGGCGATATCGTTTGTGTTGAATTTAGGCAAGCCCTGGTCCTCTCTAGTGTTTCCTCCCAAAACAATCACAAACGAGATAAACAGGAACAGTAAGTTGAGGGCCGTTGAGCCCGAGTTGATAAAAGCGATCCATTTTGTTGGTAGAGAAGCGATGATAGCGCAGAAAAAGGTCAAACAGGAGGTGAGCAGATATGTCTGCCAGTTGGTAGCGGAGTAGGAAGCGTCGTCAAAGGACTTCAGAGCCAAGATCATACTGGCACATCCGTAAGCGACGGACGGAGCACCGGTGACCTGGACGAAGTAGTTGGACCATCCAACAAACCAGGACAGGACTGCTTTGTATTTAGGTGGAGCAAGCATGGCTGTAGCATAGTACAATCCTCCAGAGGTCGGAAAAGCACTGGATATTTCGGCCATGGAGCAGGCCACGGCCATCACACCAATCATTCCGACCAAGTATCCCCAAGTCAGACCTGCATTTCCAGCATAGGCCATAGAATACCACAGAGTAGAGGCGATAGAAGGAAGCAGTCCAAGGACCGAAAACGAAACACCGAACGTAGTGAGAAGCGAAAACTCTCTCTTGAATTCCTGCTTATATCCCAAGGCTAAGATGACCGCCTCATCGCTGTCGACGTCGTGATCAACCACAATTCTCTGTGACTTATTAGACAGAACAGAAGTGACGGGGATCTGATCAACAGACAGCACGGTCGCTATCGGACGTATAGGAGAAGCGCTGGTTGTCATTTTTGTTACTAGTTGTGACAGCCTCGGCAGTATACATGTATATATATTCCCACGGTCTATCTTATCAAAAGTTTCAGTGCATGCACGTCTCTTTTGGCTGTGCTGCACTTCTTATCTGTCGCGGGATCCCAAAGTTGATAACTTAGCGGCAAATGAGAGGGTAGGAACTGCTACATCGCATATATACGGCGCACCCTTTTGTTCGGCGTTCTTACCCCTTCCAACAAGGGTCATTTTTGCATTATAGGCAATGATTGGAGTTTTCGATTATGATTCGTCGTCGACTTTCCTAATCTGATCGCGCCTGCATGGAATCGAGCCGCACAGAATAAAGGTCGATCGGCGAGTCGGTAAACGTTTGAAGGTGTGAAAAAAAACCCATTTTATAGGCCCATGAGAACCACGCAAACTTTGATCAGATCCTCGCGCTTAATTAGTCGGAGTTTTGCCAAAGGGGCCGTTCCCGCACTCAGACAGGTTAATGTCGCAGGATTCCAATTACAACCAACGCAAATACGTTGGAATTCGATCTCCATCACCACGGAAGGTGTGGAAATTCCAGAAAGCGTCAAGAACCTCACTTTAGAGCAGTACGACGTTAGCGCTAATGAGACTTTGGAGTCGGTTTACTGTGATTTAGATGATTTTTTTGACACCAAGGGAATCTCGGACGCCGATGTGGAAGAAAGCGTAAGTACTATGCCTTTTTGCACCCCAACGATACTAACTACAGGCCGGAATCCTCACCATCAACACCAGTCAGGGCTCATATGTGTTAAACAAACAGCCACCAAATAAGCAATTGTGGCTCAGTTCGCCTATATCAGGTCCCAAGAGATTCGATCTAGTGGACGGAAAATGGATCAGCATTCGCGATAATCTAAAACTTTTGGACATCCTGCAGACGGAGATCAATGACATATATGGAGACTTTGAGTTTACCAGTGAGTTCTGATTCCCCAGGCTAGCTTGATCCGCGGCGTGGGGTAGTTAAGGGAATCACACGTGAGCCATGTACATGTGACCTTTAAAAAAAAAAAGATTACACCAATTCTGCCTTTTCAGCAATGTGCACGACCGTAAAATTTTTATAATCTTTAGGTACCTTTGACCATGTCGACTGTTTCTGCATCGAAAGCGAAGAGAGAGGCCAAGAAGGCAGCCAAGGCTGCTGAGGGAAAGCTCAAGACCAAGAAATTGACCAAAAAGGAAAAGGAAAAGCTTGAAGCCGAAGGAGACGTCACTTCTACAGCAGAAGAGATTGAAAAGCTCAAGTTGCAACAGGACAAAGAAGGAATGAGTGACAGAGTCACCACTGGTGTGTTGGACTCGTTGGAGACATCCAGAGATATCAAGATGTCTTCTGTGTCGCTTCTTTTCCACGGTAAGGTGCTTTTACAAGACTCTTCTTTGGAATTGAACTACGGTAGACGTTATGGATTGCTTGGAGAGAACGGTTGTGGTAAGTCCACCTTTTTGAGAGCCCTTGCTGCCAGAGAATATCCTGTTCCTGATCACATTGATGTGTACTTGTTGAACGAGCCAGCCAATGCATCTGAATATTCTGCATTAGAGTGGGTCGTTAGAGAAGCTGAGGCCCAACTTGCCCGTTTGGAAAAGGAAGTTGAGGATATCATTGTTGACGAGGGTCCAGAGTCCCCATTGTTGGAGCCATTGTACGAGAGAATCGACGAGATGGACCCAGCTACGTTTGAATCCAGAGCTGCTGTTATTTTGACCGGTCTTGGTTTCAATGCCACCACCATCAAGAAGAGAACCATGGACATGTCCGGAGGATGGAAGATGAGAGTTGCTCTTGCCAAGGCTTTGTTCGTCAAGCCAACCTTGCTTTTGTTGGACGACCCAACTGCCCACTTGGATTTGGAAGCCTGTGTTTGGTTGGAAGAATACTTGAAGAGGTTCGACAAGACCTTGATTCTTGTTTCTCACTCTGAGGATTTCTTGAACGGTGTTTGTACCAACATGATTGACATGAGATTGAAGAAGATCACCATGTACGGTGGTAACTACGATGCTTACGTCAAGACCAGAACCGAATTGGAAACCAACCAAATGAAACAATACCACAAACAACAAGAAGAAATCCAGCATATCAAAAAGTTCATTGCTTCGGCTGGTACTTATGCTAACTTGGTTAGACAGGCCAAGTCCAGACAGAAGATCCTTGACAAGATGGAGGCCGACGGTTTGATTCAGCCTGTTGTTCCAGACAGAGTCTTCAGTTTCACATTCCCAGAGATTGAGAGATTGCCGCCACCAGTGCTTTCTTTCGACGACATCTCTTTTGCCTATGACGGTAATCCAGAACACTACTTATACAAAGACTTGTCCTTCGGTGTGGACATGGATTCGAGAGTGGCACTTGTGGGACCAAATGGTGTGGGTAAATCCACCCTGTTGAAGCTCATGACGGGTGAGTTGCAACCTCAAAAGGGAAGAGTTTCCAAGCATACACATTTGAAGATCGGAGTGTATTCTCAGCACTCTGCAGACCAGCTTGATCTGACCAAGACTCCATTGGAATTCGTCAGAGACAAGTTCTCGCATATTTCGCAGGACTTCCAGTATTGGAGAGGTCAACTAGGAAGATTCGGATTGACTGGAGAAGGTCAGACTTCGCAAATGGCAACCTTGTCCGAGGGACAAAGATCTAGAGTTGTGTTTGCTTTGCTTGCTTTGGAGTCGCCTAATGTTTTGTTGTTGGACGAGCCTACTAACGGATTGGATATTCCAACCATTGACTCTTTGGCCGATGCTATCAACAGTTTCAATGGAGGTGTTTGTGTTGTTTCGCACGACTTCAGATTGTTGGACAAGATTGCTAAAGATATTTATGTCGTTGAGAACCAAACTGCCACCAGATGGGACGGATCCATTCTTTCCTACAAGGCTAAGTTGGCCAAGAATATTGTGCTTTAATGAGGTGATAGATGTCTAGGTAGGTAGTATTGAATCTATGTTAGTTTATTTCTCAGTTTTAATGTTAATTCCGTTGTTGAGGTCTCTCAGATCGGCTGCAAACAGCACAGAGTGAGCCCAGCCGGCGTATTCTCCCCAAAGTTCTTTGAACTTGTCCTGGATTTGCGCGTAAAGTTCTTTATTGAGCACTTTTCCTGGCATGCGGTAATCTTTGGTTGCAATCTTGAAAACATGGGTATCCACAGGAACGACGTCGTGTTTGTCCAATGACATAAGACAAACACAGTCGGCAACTTTTGGGCCAACTCCTTTAAACGACTGGAGGTATTCGTGGCACGCTTTGTGCGGCTCTGTTCTCATGGTGTATAGCTTGAGAAACTCATCTTTGTCGGTCAGCATCTGGGCGGTTTGCTGAATATATTTGGCTCTGTAACCAAATCCAAGCTCGCGAAGCTCGGTTTCGACGTTTGGACCCGCCAAACGTGCTGGCTCGGGGAATAAATAGTGCTTGATTCCTTGATGATCCACCAAAAAGTCACCGTAATGAATACACAGGTTTTCGCACATTTTGGAAATCCGTTTCACATTGTTATTAGTTGAGCAAATGAAAGAAACCAGGTTCTCCCATGGATCTTGTCTCAGCATCCTGATGCCTCCAAAATTCATTGAGTTCTTGGTAAAATGCTTATCTTTTGATGCCCAGTCCAAATACAGGTCTTCGAGCTTGATTTGCAAGTTGAAGTAGTCCATGACAACCTCTTCAGTGTCCTTCATATGAGGGATGGATGCGAAGTGTAAAAATGTCTCGTCTTGCTTGAGTAGAAGAACACGATTCTGAATCGTGCAAGACCAGATATCGTCAACGAACTTCCATCTAAAAGCCTGGCCGCAACGCAGAACTCTGGATATAGCCAGTTCCTGAGGTTGGTTAGTGCTTGAGCTGTGTTGTACGTACTTTCTGCGACAGTTGGATGCTTTTCCAGAGGATGTCTTTGGTCATGATAAGTAGACGCGACGAACTAAAATTTTTAGTCGCGTCGAGTTTTATCATGGTTCTACATAACGATAAATGGAAATGGAAGAATAAGGTCAAACATCTGCGGAAAGTTGGAAACGCAGAACCTGAGGACAAGTCGGGGAGCGAGGAGTCTGAAGAGGAACTGATCACGAATACCTGGAGATTTGAGGAGTTACAGCCTATTCAACATCCGAAGGATGAGGAACAGTTGGCTTTGGAAAGAGAGCAGAGAGCTCTGGAGCAGGAGCGCGAAGAGGCAAATGCTAGTCTTGTGCTAGAAAGACTGAAATTGGGCGGCCATGAGCCAGAGATCGAGGAAAAACAGAAGGATGCCAAGAAGATGACCAAGCAAGATCTTCTTGACTGGGAGATGAACAAAAAAGATACCAAGACCACCAGTGAGCCGCAGAAGTCGCGCGTGCTCAGCAAGGAGGAAAAGGACCAGTTTTACGAGCTGCAAAAGCGAATCGAGCGGCAGAAAATGGTGGCATCCATGAAAAAACGGTTTGCAGAACCTGGCAAAGGCAGAGTACTGGAGGTGGCCAAGAAACACGACGACAACTACAAGGCGGTCAACTCGCTGGCTCTGGAAGAGGCTGCTCGGAAACAGGGTGCTGGCGATTTCGAGGAGAGTCTGGCCAATCTGATTGGAGACTCTGTTCCTGCGGAAGACGATCACGACAGAACAGTTCCGCTGCACATTTCAAAGCCAACATCGAGCACCAGCAAGCCGGCGCCGTTCAAGCTATCTGCGTCCAAGAAAGACGAGGATTTCCTCGACGACTTGCTTGGATGAACTGTTCACGCCGATCGACGTTTTATGGCGACGCGAACGCGAAAAATGTTTACCAAACTCCAATCTTCGGGCTCGTGATCTACATATGGCTCGCGGCATGGGATCTTCGGACAGAGCGCTTCTTCCCGAAGATTCGGAAGTGCTTGGGATACTGACCGATTATTTGGTGCGCAAGAACCAGAAGTACAACCAACTACAGAATTTTCCTGGATCTGGAGGCAAGGGGGATCGAGACCCATTGGAGACCAAGGTCGAACAGCAGGCCGCTGAGATCGTCAAGTTGCGGTCGAAATGCTCACAACTGGAAGAACGGCTGCGGCGGTACGAGCATAACTCGCCGGAAATCAGCGTCGTTTTTTCCCCACGCAAACGGACCCGGCTCTCCCCATTGAAAGCAGAGCAGTCTCCAACTTACTCGTCGCTTTCTGGAACAGAGACCGAGGACTCTGCGTTCTCGACTCCGCACAAGCTGCGTCTGGTGAATGTGCTCACCAAATCCGCGCAGCCAGAGAAACTTGTCTCTGACAGCGACGGAGAGTACGACGACGAGTCGCGCAAGGTTCTGAAACAATCGGGCTCTCAGCAACCCCGCGACAAGATCAGAAGTCTTCAGGACGAGGAGCTGGTCGATCTGACCATTCATCCGGTGCGGAAAGGCAACTGGTGGCCAGAAGACTTCAAGCCTAATCCAGAGACGAATTTTGGCGAGAAAGAACCGTTTAAAATGCGCATGATCAATCCAAAGTATGCGCATCCGGCTTTGCAGACACAGCTCAAGTACCAGCAAAAACATCTTCAGGAGGAAGCCATGAAGGGATTCAACAGACTTGCAGGGAAAGTTGAGCCCAGCACGCCAGGAGTGAAGCTCGTTTGGAACTCGCCGGCCGCAGGCGCGTTGCCGACTCCTCTCAAGACGCCCGAACAGGCTCTGGACGACCCGAACATCGACCCGGTGTTCAAGTTCGAAATCAACAGAAATAACTATAAAAATTTTGGACTGAACCTGAATAGCAACAAACTCAAGCTTTGGCTGGACTTGCAGGACTCGCCACCGGGCCATGAGCGGTCCGAGTTCCCTACGCCTTCACAAACCGCCGCCGACAGAGAAAAGAGTCTGAAACGGTCGAAATTGATCGCACTTCAGCGGCTTTTCCAAACAGTCTTTATGATCCAGCCTACTAAAGATGACAACGCCAGCTACCAACAAGTTGGTAAGTTTATTTTCCGCAACGAGGAGTGGAACCAGCTTGTCAGACAGAACAAGTTCCAGATCGACCAAACCATCTTCTACCACTTCGAATGATTAGTTACTTGCATAATATCACACTCTGTATGTCTATTTATTTCCTGCTCTGGAAGTCCACGTAGTTGTAGTAGTTGAAGTTGTTCAATGCAGGGTTGAGCTCCAACGACGTGCTCACAAACTGTTTGGCGCCCTCGGTGAGCTCGTGGTGAAGAGTCTCGTCCGACGAGGTTGGCGTCAGAGACTTCAGTGCGTTTCCGTGGCCATCGCTCACAATTCCTTTGGTAGGGTCAGGATAGAACCGTTGTAATGGAATGTATCTCTGGAACATCTCGTACGAGGCCAAGGTAAATCCAAATTGGGGCGACGACCGACAAATACGTGCAACACCTCCCTTGAACAAAGCCCTGAACCCTTCTTCCTTGAGAATACGGCTGAATGCGTCCGCAATGTTCTTGTACGCCTTCTCTCCTGGTCTCACCTCCACTTGCAATCTGGTCTTGATCACATCGCATGGAGTCGTGCAGTAGGCAGCAGGCATTCCGGCCATGGCACCACTAAGAAGCAGCTCCCAAGACTCGAGTCTGTTTCTCTTGGCTGGGTTGTGTGGATCAAATCCGAAAACATACTTCTTGATGTTGGCGTAGGTAGGGAAGTAGATGGCACTGAAAGGAACGTCTCTCAGCATGCAGGCAGAAGCACCTTTATAAAGACCCTTGAGTCCAAGTGCTCTGACAATATCAACGGCAGACTTCTCGACGTAAGGAATGCCTTCCTTGGCCATCTGTCTAACGGTCTCACCTTGAACTTGCAGTCTGATCTTGGTGATTTCCAGAGGATTGGTGAAGATCACCTGACAAGCACCAGCAGAAGAACCGGCCAAGATCTCCCAGCCCATGGTCAATTCGCCGTTCTTGCAGTACTTGGCACCGAGTCCTCTGACCAAATCGTTGACGGTCAATTTGATGGCCTTTTCAGGAGCCACACCGACCAGTTGAGGCAGCAGTCCGGAGTAGAAACCAATCAGTCCTTCGTGCTGGAACACTTTACGGAAACAGTCACCGTAAGAGCTGTAAAGAGAGTTTCCCTTCTGGTTCTGCATTCTGGTTTTAACTAAATCGATCGGATACACAACAGTGGCACCGATCGCACCAGCAACAGAACCAAGCAGGAAAGAGTATGCAGAGTTGAAAATTGGATACAAGCTGAATGGAATATTATCTGCAGATTCGCGGGATTTGATAAGATCGTCTGTCAGGATAGCCAACATGTCTCCGGACTTGATGGCCGATGCAACGTTCTGCTGTTGCAGGAGTTGAGAGTTCCATTGGAAAAACAAAGATGCTTCTTCTTTCGTGACTGTGGATGTAATGTGGGATCTAGCGTACTCGTAAAATTCTTCTTTCGAGATAAGATGATCTTTGCTATTGTATTTTCCAGAGGAGATCTGCTCATAGATGGTGTAGTTGAGAGCTGGCAGGTCCTTCAGCAGTTTGACAAGGTTCTTCGACTCGTCGAACGACAACTCGGCGCCGTACGTGGATCTCGAGAACGACTCGATCTGAGAAAGAACAGTCTTTGGAAGCCTCGAGTAGAAGATCTCGTTCACGATGTTCTTAAATTTCTCTGTGTTGATCTTGTTGTCCACGGCCGCGTCTTTAAACTTCTCCTCCAAACTGAGTTCCGGGAGCTTGGAAACCAGCTCCGAAAAGTCGCCCGAGCTGAGTTTGGTGAGCTTGTTTTCTTCGAGATATTTTCTCACAAGCTCGATATTGGAGTTGGATTTGACCGTCTGGTTCAGGTTGGCCAGGATCTCCAAAAACCGCTCGGCCTCGAGCTGCTGGCTGTTGTTGTGGTCGGCGTAAAAGTCGTGCTCGAACAGCTTGAAAAGCTTGAACAAAAGTTTCGTGGTGGACTCATCGGTGTTCTGGACAGTGAGAAGCTCTTTGGAGAACTTCTGGAAGTCTGTCTCGGTCAAATAACCTCTCTTCTCGTGGTCGGCAATCAAATAAAGCAAACCAAACGAGTCGATCGGAAGAAAAGGAGCCACCTTCGATAAGTTTGGCTTTTCTTGATTTTGAATCACCTTGACAAAATCCTCGAACTTGAGCACCTTTTCTTTTGTGTCGAGATCTGAGTACTGTTTCGAGTATTTCTTAAATATGCTGGACAAAGACGAGTCGGTATTGGAAGGCATTGTTGTAGAACGTGTCTTGTGACCAGAACCAAATGAAAGAACAGGGGTATCTGGTTTATTTGTAGCGGTAATCATGACTCAAGTTTTTTTCAACGCGTATTGTTAAACTATTGTTAGGTCCGGAATCACCTATGGAGAAATGGAACAACGTTAAAAAAAAGCTCGATTAGACACTTGAGAATTATCTGTGCTTATATACTCTGGTTACGCACAACCGTTACTTATCACTTGGAGGCAATCTTAATCGGTCAAACGTAACTATCCGGGGATATTTCGTTTAATCTGCGCCCGGTCAGACGGTACCCCGGGATTGTGCTACTTGGGATATTCCAGTTTCCCTGTTCTACCGATTTTATACGGTGCGAGAAAAAAAAATCCCCAAAAAAATTCCTCTCTTCCCAATCTTGGAAACCTAACCAGTTACCCGGAAATGATTCGTCTGCCCCCACAAAATAACTCAAAACCGCTTTACTGACACCCTCAAGGAATAATTGATAGTACACTATTTTTATTTTCTTTACACAGATTTCTGGATGCGTACTAGCACGTTTATTTCTTAGTGGCCTCTCCACCCTCCTTGGCACCGGAAATGGCACCGGAGACGTACTCAACAGCCTCAGCAAGCTTTTCCTTACCGGCTCCCAAGTATTCGTTGGCAGTGTCGGCGAGAGTAGCTTGGTGGTCCTTAGCATCGCTCTTAGCGGTATCGGCACCAGATTGGGCCTTGTCACCCAAAGTCTGGCCGAAAGACTTCTGGTTGTCTGGGACAACGCCACCAGCAACCTTGTCAACCTGGTCGGTCACAGTCTCCTTGGTCTTCTCAAGAGTGCTCTTCTGAGAGTCTGGCTTAACAGCCTCAGACACCTTGTCGCCAAATCCTTTTCTTCCTAAGTCACTCATGTTATTTGTTAATAAAATGTCACAATGGTGGGGGTGTACCGCGTTTTATATTCCCCAAGTAGCAATTCATAGCAACAGCAACCTTGCTACTTGAAATTCCGAAATATCTCGATCAATTACGTAATTTCTACATCTTCATCCTCGTCGTCCTCGAGCCAGTCTCTGGCTCTGGAAATGGCCCGCTCCCAAAGACGCCACATCTTCTCTCTCTTGGCATCCTCCAATTGGGCCACATACATGTTTGGACCGTTGGTATCGCCACCCAGCTTCTTCTTCACATGCTCCAGAGACTCCCAAATTTTTACATCTTTATGAAGTCCTGCAGCAATCGCGGAACCAAGAGCTGTGCATTCGGCGTTATGAGATCTAACAACCGAAACGGAAGGACCTAGAATGTCGGCTTGAATTTGCATCACAACGTCGGACTGAGACATACCTCCATCAACGTGGAGCGTGTTCAACGGGTTTTCTCTGTGGTGCTGCGAAGCTTTTGCCAGGAATTCGTGAGAAGACGACGCGTCCGAGACCATTGCGTTCAATATAGCACGCACTTGGAAACACACACCTTCAATGGCAGCTCTGGCAATGTGGGTGGCTTTAGAATACTGCGTCAGTCCGAAAATAGTACCTGTAGTTTGTGCGTTCCAGTAAGGAGCAAAAAGACCGGAGAAAGCAGGCACGAACACCACTCCCGCACTGGTTGGTGCCTGAGCAGCAAGCGGACCAATGTGGGACGCACTGTAGATAAGTTTCAAGTTGTCTCTAAGCCATTGGACACATGATCCGGCAACGGCAATCGAGCCCTCCAAACAGAAATGAGGCTCAGCACATTTGGGGCCGTCCACAGACTCGTCCAGTTCCGGGAACCAGTACCCGACGGTGGTGACGGCACCGTGCTCGGACACCAACTGAGTGTCTCCGGTGTTGTACAACAGAAACGCACCCGTTCCGTACGTACATTTGGCGTCTCCCTTATGGAAAGCAAGCTGGCCAACTAAAGATGCCGACTGATCACCAAGACAGCCGGTAATCGGCACGTTCCGGAGATACTTGGACACGATGTTGGCCTCGTCCTCAGAAAGAACGTGTCTATTGTATCCGATCTCCTTGAGGTCTCGAAGCTCGAAGGTTCCAAAATTGTGACTGCTTGGCACGATTTCCGGCAAATGCATTTTGTTCGGGTCAACTCCCCAGAACTCGAGCAACTGCTCGTCGTAGTTTTTGGTCTGCAAGTTCATGAAACTGGTTCTAGAGGCGTTGGTGATGTCGGTCATGAACGACTTCTCCCGCGTGATATTGTAGATGAGCCAAGTGTCGACGGTACCGAACATCAAATCACCTTCGCCGCTCTCGTACGCATTTCTAATCAACGGCACGTTCTGGTACAGCCAGGTCCACTTCAAGGCCGAGAAGTAGGTGGAGATCGGACATCCGGCTCTTTCCTGGATCTCTCTTCTAATAGAAACCGGAACGTTGGCGTTTAGGTTATTCATCAAAGACAAAGTACGGGTGTCGTTCCACACGATACCGTTGTGAAGCGGTCTGCCCGTCTTCTTGGACCAGATGATGGTTGTTTCACGCATGTTGGCTATTCCGATAGCGGCAACATGGTACACGGTCGGCGACGATCCGTCAAGCGGTTCTTCAGAATTGGATATTTCCAGTTGTGTCAAACACGCACCCAAACATTCCAACACGTTTGCTAAAATATGACAAGGGTCACATTCGACCCAGCCGGGCTCTGGGAAGGAGAGAGTCGGACCCGCATGGTGGTCTTCTTCGACCTTGACGTGGCCTCCTTCTCCGATATCCAAAGGAATACCTTCGTTGGAGAAAATAGTGGGGGAATTCCGTTTCGACCCCTCTTTCGCCGACGTCGAATATTCGATTTGGTGTTTTGTCACTTCTTCACCAGAATCGGTGAACAAAATCACCCTCGTGGATGTCGTACCTATGTCAATGGAACAGATAAGAGGAACGCTTGTCATGGACAACGGATAAAAATTAGTTGCGGAAAACTTTACTACCCCAGATATTAAAATAAGAAAAAATAAGGCAGTCCCCAAATATTTATCTATTGAATAAGCAGCTTTGCAGCTTCTATAAAATTCGGAGTATTTTTTTCGAGCTCCAACTCCGGGTGATTTTTCCAGTTGAGCCTTGCAAAAATTTCATCCATCACCAGTTGCTCTATATTGTTATCAAACGGTTGCCGAATATCGAACTTCGGATCTGACGAGGCTGAGTTAATTTTAGCAATCTCTTCCCCAGAAAAATAAACCGTCTCATGTGCGTATTTAGCAACCCTGTAGTTTAACTGGTACAGTTTCTTTGCCATTAGATCCCAATATTCGCCGCGGTCTAAATAGTGCAACCGTTGAACCAAAAACTTCCAATTCTCCAAGTCCTCATATTCTGGGTATCTGCTCTTAAGGTGATTGGTCAGAGCTATTGCATTGTAGATCTCCCCCGTGGAGATAAAATGCCACAAAAGGATGCGCACCAACCGGAAACTCGGACTTTTTTTTGCGCTCGAGGTACACACCTGCAGGATTACGTTCCATGCGTCTTTGGCTCTATTCTCCCCGAGCAACTGGCGCACTATCACCTCGCCAATCTCCAAGGTGCTTGCTTGCTTGATGTGTCGTTGCAGAAACCGCATTGCTTTTTGCGGCTCCTCGTTCCTGGCTAGCATTTGCTTGGCAACTTCCGTTTCGATGCCCTTTTGACTGAGCCCCATCTCCTGCATCTTGCGGTAGATCTCCTCTTTCAGCTCGGAGTCCCGCAGACCCTTGTACATTGCATGGAAAGTGCTCCGATTGGGAACCAGATGGTACTTGTCAAGGATCTGCAAGTTTTCCATCGTGTTGGTTTCTCGTCGCGGATGGTGTTTCTGAAGCGTCGCCTCCAAAAGCAGGTTTATCGTTTCGATGTCTGGCACAATTCCTTGCCGAATCATTCTGTCTCGAACATTGAAACATTCGAGTGTCTGGTACGTTTTGGCGAAATACCTTAGAATTTTCTTGAACGACAGCCGCGAAAGCAGCGGCGAGTTCATCAATGAGTCGTAGATGCTCGTGATCGACGGCTGGATATCTGCGTGGTGTCGGAAGTCCAGCTTCGCCAAAGCAGTCACATACCTATTGATCGAGATTCTGTTGTATTTGGCCGGCGGATCGGGGAACTGGCGTCCCAAAGTCAGCTTGTCCGTCCGCCGGACCTGGTCAGCCGTATTTTTCACCCCGCGACGTCTCGCAATGTCCAGCAGATAAACCACCAACTGCGACTCTTCGCTGGAAACATCGGCGTTAATACCCCGCGAATGCGCCTGGCTCTGTACGTATCTGTCATAGCGGACGTTGATACGTTGCTCGAGCGTCGCCAGCGACATCCATCGAACCCCACGTAGACCAAACGCTCCGTTAACACCCATCTTGGCCGGTTGGTTTAATTTACACTTTTTTCGTACTTGCACGATCTCTCTCTGTTAACCTCTAACCGATGCTACTAATCTACATGTCTTGCTAATCCTCGTGGATGTGTTTCGCGACTGAAACCCACTCCATCAGCTTCTCCACGGCGTCTGCCTCCTCCGGCAGTCTCTCGTGGCCAAAGTTAACTATCGTGTCGCTCTGGCCAATCAGCTGGTACTTGGACTCAATACCGTCATCTTCTTTGCGCTCAAAAACATCCACCTTGTACTCGCCCGCAAACGCGTGCTCCACGCCCACCAATCGCCGGCCACGCATGTAGTTCACAACCTGTGTCTTATCGTCTATGACCTGCTTCTCCAATTGCGAGTCCCAGAACTGCGATCCGTTCTCAACAGTCCCGGTGTAATCCACGTAAACGGGCAACACATTGCACACGTACTGCGTGGCATTCTGCTCGCGACACTCAAATCTGGCGGGATGCAACGACTTGCTCATTGACGCGTACTAAAATAATTTATCACCAATTATTTTTTTCCATGCAATGAGCGCAATACAGTCCTTTAAGCACTATCCATATTTGATCTCCAAGTAAGTTGATGATGTTGATTGTTCGCTAACTTTAGATATATGGACCCACTCTTCGCCGTTTCCATTGGAGTGGTGTCGTACTACGCCTACGAAAAAAGATCCGGCAGACCTGAAGGCCACACGTTGAACGAACTACTAATGAGAAAATACCAAAGATGGTCAAACTAGGTTAATATATGAGCTTTTATTCATTTATCGTATGCAATACTTTTGAAAAACTAAACACGCAGATCAAGCGCAGGCTTCTTTCTCGAAAGCATCCGCTTGTTCCGTTTGGACAGCTGTTTCCGTTCTTTCTTTCCAATATCAATCAGGTCTCTGCCAAACGTATCTTTGTCCTTGAGCTTGTAGATACGCACAATCCAGTTCTCACTGGTAAAGGCCTCCTCCATAACGTCCACGGTGATCGACTTGGCGTAGTTGGCGCTCAATTTCTGTTGTCTGACCCGGTCAACAGGATCGTTGCCAGCATAAACGTCTCCAAACCGGTAGAACGACAGTTTGTACATCAACGAGTTCTTCATGGTGTCGGTAGCCAGGTCGTCCACTCTGTAGGCGCCTCTATCTGTGAAATAGTTGCGCTCGTTGATCTCTTCGGGCCAAATTCCTTCCGAGATTCTCACCATCCACAAGAACTTGTTGATGTCGTCTCCAGAGTAGCCAATGAGTCCACCGAAAATCACAAGCACATAGTCAACGCCCAGCTCTCTCATGATCACCTCGGCTTTCTCCTCAGACGTGGCCATAGCACGTCCGACAGTAGCAATGTGAGTGTTGTTCCAGGTGTTGTTATCAACAAACGTGGTTCTGTCAGCCATGCCACCAATCTGGTAGCCGTAGTCCCACCAGGCCATCACCTTGGCGTCTTCCGGAGTGTTCATCCGCAGCCAGTAGTAGGCTTCTCTGTAGTCATCAATCAGCATCTGGGAGCCGTCAGGAGCTCTGGAAGCCAGGACCACAGACGGCGAAGAGTAGGCATTGGATGTTACCCAAGTGCAGTGCTGGACGTAGAATGTGAGGTAGAAAATGAACGTGGCACTGACAACCATCTTGGAAATCAAGGTGAACAACGAGTCTTTGGTCTCATCCTTCTTGTCGTGCCACCAGTTGGCCACCTCTTCTCTGATGTCGAGATAGATGTTGAACAGTCTTCCCAAAGTGATACCTGCGCAAACACAGACAACAGGGGCAAGAGTCAACATCAGTCTGACCATGACACCGGCAAAGTACGAGCCCAGCACGGCGTACACAATGACAAACACGGCCGAGTTGGAAAGCTCCTGGAAACAGAAATACACTCCAACAGGAAACAGCCAGATCATGAAGTTGAGATCAAAGAAGAACGAGGACCATGGAGTAGGCTGGTGTTCGGACACAGAAGCAATGATGGGGATGTGCACCTTAGCATAGTTGGTGTCCCAAAGGGAGTAGAATCTTCCTGTCCAAGGAGCAATCAGACCCAATTTGGTGGCAGCAACCAAACCAGTGATGCCCACCGAGGCCACAATAGCACTGAAAGCGTACATCAATCTAGTGAATTTCTGTGGAGAAAGAGTGTCTTTCAGGTATGACACCAAAAGAACTAGTTGAATCAGGCCAAACACACCGAACGCGGCCATGTGGTCGTTCGATCTGATAGGAAGGAACCCGACAAACGGAATCTGCATGGACATCAAGGTTCCCAACGCGTACCATGTGCAGTAGGATGTGTAGATTTTGTAGTCGAACCGGCCCATCAGCAAGAGGATGAACACGTGCAACGGAATGATGTTGGTGATGAAGACGTATCCACCCCAAGCACTGACCATGTAGAAGTAGAAGACGGCGGTCAGCGAGCCGTAGAACACAGAACCTGTGTTGACGGACTTGACCCAGAGGAAGAACGTGACCAACAGCAGGGTGATTGCAATTGCCTCGTTATCATAAGATCCGGCAACAGATCTCGAGATGTAACCTGGGGTGATTCCCATGAACACGGCACTGAGCAACGCGCCTGTTTTTTTCGTTCTGAGAGTGGTTGAGGACGAAGTGACTTCCAATGTGAGCAGGTACATTGCCAAAGAGGTGACGGAACTGAAGGCTGGTGCCAAAAGCACACAGATGTTTCTAATGTCGACGGGGAGACCCAAGAATTTCAACACATGATAGATCACAGAAGAGGTCACCATCAGTCCTGGATATAGCGTTCCACCGGTAACTCTTCCGAGCGGATACCACGTTTTGTCGTCGAACCAGTTCAAAAAGTCGTAAAAGGACGTGTTGACAAGATGCTTAGTTGCCCGGAAATTGAACCAAGGGTCGAACTCGTGGATGATCGACTCGAATCTGATCACCGAGAATAAACGTGACGAGACGGCGGCAAACGAGATGGACACAAAAATCAAAGTCAACAACAAGAGCTTGGTCAACTTGAGTATCGATGGGTCTACCCGTAAGTATCCCTCATTATCTATAAGTGAAGCCATTTTGGGTTTTATTTTGATCGACAAACAAATGAAATATGTTCAATCTAACCAGATATCGTCTTTTCTGCTTGATATCCAATCAATCTTTATCAATTGTCGCAAGTTTCCCAAATGCTTTGTACGTGTTAAAAAATTGAATGAAATTTCCAATAAATAAATATAAAGGAAAAAGGCAAAGTAAGTTTCGGCACACCACCAGATTATTTCTAAGTTCTGTTTAAAGAGCTCAAATCGGCTCGAATACGTTATATTTATACCTCCTTTCATGTTCAACAATGGCGTCGCATAAAACTACCGGTAGTCTCAATTTGCAGCCGATGAATAGTGCCAATTATACGGCAGCGCAAGATGGAGTACAGGACTTCCAAGGCTCCTCGTCTGCGCACAACTCTGTGCCAGAGAAACCGTCCATCCATGGTGCTGGAATCACCTCTCAACCCATTTTGGATATGGCCACCGCTTCGTTGCCCAAAGACGAATCTGATCACAGCCAAGATCCTAAACCTGTGGCTTACGAGAACAATGTCGAACAAGACCTATCTATCAAGAAACCATCTCTCTCGCCGCCTTCTCATCCGATCCCGGTCCAGCAACCAGAAATTCCCAAACCAACAACCCTCTCGCAGTCCATCCCCGGCAAACCGATGTCTCTGTACATTGACCAAAAGAGCCTCAGTGTATCGCCACCTCCTCGAACCAAATCTCCGTTCCGCGACTCCTCCAACGTGTTCATCAAGCAGATCAAGGACCAAAGACGTCCAATGTACACGCCTGCCGTTTTGCGCTCCGATAGCATGAGCAGAACGTCGTCCTCTCAAAGCGGATGCGATCTTATCGACGTGAACAACCCAGAACGCCCGATTTTGAAGTCGACAATGTCATCGTCGTCGCTGAGGTCGGTGTCGTCGATCTCCGACTACTTTGGCTCGTTCACCCGCGCATACGGGAAAAACATCCCGGTCGAAGGCCCTACAAGAGAGCACTGGAAGCCAAATAATAGTCGGTTCAGCTGCGCGAAATGTAACCGGGTGTTCCATTTCATGACAGAAGGCCGCCGGAAACACCACTGTCGCTACTGCGGAGACATATTCTGCAGCGACTGTTTGAAAAACTACGTGTATCTTGATGAAAGCGCTCATTTCACGCTGTTTGGAAACTCAGAAGACGTTCCCGATGACAAAGATAAGAAATATTTATGCAAAGTGTGCCAAGACTGTGCACACAAGTACGAAGTGTATCTGAAAGACCATACAACGAGAAATTTGGACTTGGAATCAAATAAGGATTCGTCTCTTACGAAAAGCTCCACTAGAAAAGACACAGTTGCAAACGTTCAAAACCCAATGCCCGCAGATTGGGATTGGAGTTCTTTCTGAATTAATACATAAAAGAATTGAAGAGCATGGATGGCATCACGAGTCGGATTTCTCGTTTCGTTCTCTGTTTTCGCGGATCATGGCGTCTCTGACCAATCCCAGCTTGGTGGTGTCGGCAGATTTTTCTTCGCGTTCGAATTCAGAGTCGGATGATGCCATATCGTTCTCACTTGAGGAGGAAAGCCCGACAGACGACGTTGTTTCATTGTCATTAAAAATTATCGGAACCGACGACGTCAGTTTCTCTTTGATCGATTGATCGGGCTCTGTGGTTCCAGCAGACCGTGATTTCGCTTGCTTCTTTGCTGCTCTTCTCTGTCTGAGTCGTTGGGTTTTTTCCTCCTCATATTCGTCCTCTGAGTCGAGAGCAACACGTTGTTCGTGCTGCTGTTTGCGTCTCTCGTCGCGTCTCAGCTTCTTCAACTCAAGTCTCTTTTCATATTCGAACAGATTGAAGTCTGGGAACAGCTGAGGACCATACTCGTTGATCACCTCGGTGATCTCCAGAGATAGTTCTCTGCGCTTCGCCCGCAGTTTCGAAAGACCTTGTTTGTTGACCAATGCCAGCCACAGCGGTCTGATGGATTTAAATAGATCCATTCCTTTATCGCCAAAGATCAACGCCGAATATGTGATCATGGCCGAAAACAAATAGAATAAACAGAAAATGGTAATTGCTGATCTTTCAGATAGTTCCCAGTACCTTTTGATCAACACAGTTCCAAGAGCCGAGTAGAAAACGTACAACAGAGGAGCAAATCCTATACTCACCAGGATCTTCCATGTAGCAATCACGTCTCTTGCTTGGATCTTAACGGTCGAGCCTGCCAGAGCCTCGACTCGCTTCTTCTCGCTAATCAACTTGGTGGCTATGAACACCGGCGAAAACAGAATAATTCCTGGTAGAGCTAGTGTCCCCAACACTATAAGTTGAATCAGCGAGGTGATGAACCGGATGAAAATGGTCAAGGTGTCGGCGTTACGACCTCCTTCGACCAGATGGTCAGGGATCTTGAAGATTCTTAAACTGTCGTTGTATTGCAGAATGCTCTTTTTCAACTCAATAATTCTGGGTTCGTCTTTGAAATGGAGATATCCCTTGATAAGACGTCTGTTCATCTCGACTATCGACTGCAAACTTAAGCTCTTGGACATATTGTTCGAGTACAGTCTTCTGGCGACTTGAACGCAGGTCAAACTCTCGTAATCTGGACAGGTGACGGTGACCGACTTTAAACCACCGGTGATTATCTCCAGCAAGTCCTTGATGGCGTCCTTTGAGGTCTCCGGGTTGGAGTACTTGGCCACCAGCTCTGGGCTGATCTCGATCGGCATACCAAACTCCACAACTGCTCTGGACCGGAACTTGTGTGGATGGAAATAATTCATTCCGCAAGGGACAATCTTGACGTTACAGTCCGGATTGGCCTCCATGGCTCCAAGGGCCATGATAGCCACGCCAGCTTTCAAGGGCAGCAAGTCAGGACGGTCGTGGGAGCCTCCTTCAGAGAACAGCCCCAAACAGTGGCCGTGAGCCAGATGTTCAAACACCTTGGAGTACACTTCCGACTGGTCGATTCTTGGGGCTGTTCTGAAAAACGAGCCTTCCCGCAGCGCCTTCTTGGCGTCCTCGGTCGTTTTCGGGGACGAGAACTTGAACGGCTTTCTGAGGTAGAGTTCAGTGTCGGAAACAATCTCGCCGACTTCGGCACTTCCCCAGGATCTTGGCAGAGCAATCAGACCTTTTGGCTCGCATACTTTGGTGAAGTTGGAGTTTGTTCCAATCACGTGCAGCTCGTTTTCCGGGTCGAGTCTGATGGACCCTGGCACAGCTTTCAAACAGTCTTGTGCGCGTCGCACAGGGATAGACATCTGTGATCTGCTCACGAGTCCGATAAACCGTCTTCTGTGGCTCTTTTCGGCAATAAGAAAACTGATTCGGCGCGCGGTCTCTTTCTTGACCTGACCCATCAACACAATGGGGTCAACAAACTGGTTGGCATGAGGTGCGGCCACAAAAATGATGGGACCACTCTTGGGCAGTCGGAACGCTCCACGCGGCCGGATCTCTCTGAAGAAACAGTCAAAGATCACTGTGAACGTCCACAACACCAAGTCATATACAAATTTCCGGAACGGCGTAGGTTCCTCCCAATTCGAGTTGGAGGTCATACAAGAGGATGGGTAATTAATCTAGAAAAAATTATTTGCTAGTAAAAACCGGTTGCACCACCGGGTCCACCAAAGGACCCCCATTAATTTTTACTACAGCGAACAATAAGCAGATGTGTTTGTGTTCCTTGGCATATTTGTGCGGGCGAGATCCAGTTTAAAGATTTGTGCTCTGCACTTTGGAAGATCCACTCGTCACATATTGCCTGATTCGGAAAAACCTAAACATCCAAAAACTATTTCATCTTGCTACCGGTGGAATTGAACTCTTTCTTGCAAAATGCTCCGACTGCGTGTGCTCGGATCCCTGATGGCAACAATTGCGCTCTCATGGGCTTCTGCGTCGCTTGCGCTGGCCCTCGTGATTGTTGGCTACTCCCATTCGGTACCTTTGATTCTAATTACTGCGTTGGAGTACACAGCCGGGCTTTTTCAGCTGGCTAGTCTGTGTACCTCGAATTGGCTAGTTTGTGGGAGTTGCTTGCTGGTGAACCTGGCATCGATGCCCGTTGTTGTCTACTGGATAGAGACACTGCTGGATGCCCCTTCCAAGTGCAAATACCTCGAACTGTCGCTGCTCACAACATATATTGTCTCGTGTCTGTTCCGTTTGGGTGTTGGAAGACGTATTTCCAAGATTGAGGACCCTGAGGCCAACACAGTCAAGTATAGAACCTCGGCACAGACCCTGGTGGACGAAAACGCTAACAAAAGCGTCGACCTCCTGTGTCAGAAATCCATGGACCTCTTGCAACCGAACACAGAGCCCCAACTGAGACACGACCAGGAGTCTGTCCGGTCAGAAAAAGCGTCGTTCCACAACACCTCATCGGATTCGTTTGAGTTCCAGTACAAATCGGACGCCCCGAACGAGCACCAGTCGATGATTCTTCCTCAATTGGAAGACCCGCTAGTTCCTGTGTCTTACTCCTCGGCCGAGCTCGAAAACATCACAGAAATACCCCTCCCGCAATGGTCCAGCCCTGCATACCCAGGAATGAACCATATCTCGCTCGAATCGTGGAACAACAACTCTGCTAAATGGCAGGAACAGCAACAGCTCTGGGGAAACAACTTTTTCAAAAGACCAGACATGACACGCTCGTTCAGCAACCCAATCTCGATAGTGTCGGAGAACCAGTTGCAGGCAACTACTTCCCGATCAAGATCGTCCACTGTTACGAGGTATTCGCGAATGAGCCCGTCCGCATCGAGCAGTCCACTCAAACGACTCCGCAGTCTTAAGTTCAAAAGACAAATCAAGCATTCGCAGTCCCAGCCCGAGCTGAACTTCGACTTTTTAAAGACCTTGCAAACGTCGCCAATCAGAACACACCAGCATCAAAAGACACTCTCCTCTAATTTCAAAACACCATACAGTTCTCCGGTGAAATCTGTGGCAGGAATTTCGCTGCATAATTTAAACGAGGATCGCACTCCGGATAGCCAGCTGAGTAACCCGTCGTCAAAAAGCAGCGTTCCGTCCGTGGTGATCGGGGCATACGACCGCGAAAAATGGCACACCATCAAATCACAGCTGCTCCAGGAAGCCCTTGAATCAAATTGACGCCGGTGAGGCTGCTGCCAATTTGTTGCGTAGGAAAAAAAAAATCTTATTGTTCTTGGCTAGCCCCATGGCCGCAATTGAACATCATCTATATAGCCGGCAAGAAAAAAAATTAGTATCAACTTTATCTTCATTCCTTCTTTTATGACAGATCCGGCCAGAAATCCAGAATACACCAATCCGGACGAGATTAGAGACCCCAATACTCCCTACTATCTTCCTTATGAACAAGCACCTCGACAACAGCCCGTTCCGCAGGAGTTTTCGGCCCGTCGCTCGACCATTCTTCCTCCTTTAATTCCAAACTCCCCTTCCACAACAGCATCCACGCCTTACTTCTACCCCCCACACCACGTACAACAATACTACCATCCTGACCGTATCACGAGGCCTCAACACACCCAACAATACCAATACCCTCCAAGCATGCCCTCGGCCGATTACTCAGCAAGAGGGCGCCCCAAAACCACAAACACCAGCCTAACACAAGCCCAAATTAGCCCCATAGATTATATCCCTGCAGATCCTGAAGTCGACTTGTCCATCTTCACTGAGGAAGACGCTTTGGTTCTCCGAAGCCTCCTGCCTCTTGCAGAAATCCATAAATGGAAATATGTTGCAACCAGGCTTTCAAAGCAGAGATCTAAAAAATTTAACAGCGAGTTCTGCATAAAGAAGTTCCACGAGATGTTCGACCTTCCTTTCGACCCGAACCACTCGTTGTTCAATTCTCGCTACTTTCTCAGGCCCCACGAGGCCTCGAATTTATCGGGACTAAACTTCGAAGGGTTGGTAGGCAGCTCGTTGCCCTACATTGTCTGCAAAAACGGCTGGTCCGATCTGCAGGCATAGTGTTCTTAGATAGTACACCCCACACCTCTATTTATAGCGCATTATAATTGGAAAAAATTACATAAATTGTCAACGCCATAGTATGTTTCGGTTCATTAGGACTCTTTCGAGTGTCAGATCTGGTTCGCGGTACTCCCCTGAATTTAAGGTGTATTTGCAGCTTGATGACGGGAAAATTGGCTCGTTTTTCCACGATGTTCCGCTAAATCTCAACAAATCCGCACGCACAGCGTCGATGGTGGTGGAGATTCCCCGCTGGCAGAACGCAAAATTCGAGATCTCCAAGGAACTTGCCGCCAACCCTATTGTTCAGGACACCAAGAAGGGCAATTTGAGGTTCTTGAACAACATTTACCCAAACCATGGTGTTCCCCATAACTACGGAGCATTTTCCCAGACCTGGGAGTCGCCGTTGCACCCATCGCCCCTGGTGAAAGAGAGGATCTCTGGCGATAACGATCCGCTCGACGTGATCGATATCGGCCGGTTCGTCTCGGCCACAGGAACAATCAAAACAGTCAAGATACTCGGGTCTCTGGCTCTTGTTGACGACGGAGAATTGGACTGGAAGGTTGTGGTCATTGACACGAATGATCCAATGTCCAAGGAGGTGTCCAACACCGCCGACGTGTACGAGAAAATGCCCGGATTGCTCGAAAACTTAAAGAGATGGTTCGAGATCTACAAAATCCCAACAGGAAAACAACCAAACAAGTTCCTGTTTGACGGAGCGTACCAGGACGTTGATCTCACCCTCAAGGTGGTGCAGGAATGCCACGAAAGCTGGAACCAGCTGGTTTCTGGCGACCTGGCCGGAGAAGAGCTGCCATCGATTGAAAACGCGTCTCTGACTCAGACCAAGGGCCACACCAAGTTCGACGTCGAGCTCCTACCTGCCTCCGACGCTAACGAATTGCCACAGGACGCAAACGCCATCAGCTACATCAAACACTAGTCCTAGGACCACCGTTTGCAATTCAATGTATATACACCTCGCACCTGAAAATATTAAAGTATCTCACGTAAACAAAAAAAAACCTTTTATAGACGATTCACCATGACTGCTACCTCGACGGTCGTGCCAGTGTCCGATCTGGCGGTCAATCTTAATTGGACATTTCAGCATGCATACCTGTTATTGGTCAATGGCGAGTCGGACTCGTCAGTGACGCAGTATCTGTGCAAGTTCTTCAAGTCGAACAAGAAGTACCTCTTGGTGAAACATCTTCCTTTCAACTCAAAGTCGGGAAAGACGGTGTCTGACGACTTCCAAATAGATTCGCGGGTGGTCAGAAACAATCTGACGGCCAAACAGAAAGAGTATGCCACACAGATTTCAGATAAATTGCGTTTAGATGTCCACGAGGTCGCGAGAATAGTTCAAATTGCAATGGAGAGAATCATCGACGAAGCAGAGTCCGAATCGTCGGGAGCGAGCTCGTTGCAAACCATCAAAAGTGGCGATCTGGTTTCGTTCCTGTATTTCAAGGTTTTGCAGGAAGTTAGAGCAGTTCTGAAGACCCAGTTGTACTTGATCAAAAACGAGTATTCTCTCTCACCGGAGCTGCAAGATCTCTGTTTGGAAATCAAACAGGTGGCATACCAGCTGTTGGAATCGTACATTGAGAATCTGCTTGAGTGGAATACCAGCCAGCTCGGTTCAATAGGAAAAGGAGTCCAAAAAGAACTGGAGTTGTTGACACTAGATGTGTTGAATGTTTTGGCATACTTGATTTTCAAAACAGGAACAGGATTCACCAAGAAAACCGCCTTGAATTGGTTCAGGTTGATGAAAAACACCAGCTATCGGGGATTGCTCGTGAACGCTCCCGACGAAACCACCGACAAACGGATTCTGAACCTCGAGAGTATCTGTACAGTGCTATCGCTGGTGATGTTGGATCTGGACTTCAATTTTGGTGGTCTTGGTGACGAAGAGTCGTTCACCAACGACCCAGAGGTCTTTTCGAGCATCAATGACTACATTCTGGGAATCCACGCCAATCCAATAGTGTTGTACGGCTGGAGCATCATTTTGCACAGAAAACATCTGGTAATTGCAAATAACAAACAACACCCAGTCAGCATCAAGCTGATTGAAAAATTCGGCGGTCTCGACAATATCCAGCGGATCTACTTGTCTTGTGCCAAAAAGGCAGCAAGCCTAGACGTTTGTGCTGCCATCATCACATGCCAGGAGACCGTTTCGTACGACGATCTGTATATCGCGATTCTGGCTTCCTTTGTTGTTTCGTTCGTGCCGTACATCCAGTTGAACGACGAAATCACCCTCGCTATTAATAAGACAATGACCCATGCTCCTAACAAGATTGTCGAGCGCTTTTTCCAGAACCCAGCGACAGAGGACTTGATGGCAATTGCTAGAGCTAAGCTGCCACTATCAATCAAATCGTTCATCAGACTAATCAGCATCAACACCAACTTAGCATACGAGGAACTCGCCAACTTGAAAAGCTATATGGAAATATTCAAAGAGGAGGAGTTTTACTACAAGTACCTGATTGACGATGAAAATCCACAACTAATTAAACTCACTCAAGATCTTGATATTCTGCCTCCATACGAAACCCCTGGAGAATTGTCGCTGCTCTTGAAGGAAGGAACAAAAGCCCAGATATTCCCTGGAACCAACAAGGATGACGTTGTGGTTGCGTTCTTGTATGATTACAACGGATGGACACTTCTTGGCAGAATCATCAAGAACCTGTCCAAGTCGTTGGACTCGAACCCGGAGAAAACAGAGCTTGCCTCTGAAATATTCCAGCTTGTTTCCAAAGTCTCCCGAGAACTCGAAAAGGAACAGTTTGACGAGGTCATTAGAGCTATGAGTTCTTTCGTGGACGATCTGGACGTGATTGAAGTGATCTTTAGAGTTTTAGAGCAAGGTTTGCAATTGCGTTTGGTGAATCTTCTGCAGAGCGGGTTCGAGCTGTTGTCTTCTTTATCTCGATGTGGCTACTCGTTCAGAATCTGGTCGTACCTGTACAAGTCGCAGATTCTTGGCTTAAAAGTCAACGCGGGTCTCGCAAACACGATATTGGGAACTGTCGAGATGGTGGAATGGAAATACGGATTTTCAATCTCTCTTCTCAAACTGACGCTCGCCTTGCTTGATGACTGCTTTGTTATCTCTAACGACGTGAACTGGAAACTCAAGTCGGAAGTGCTGGACCGTCTGACTGCTCACTGTATCCACATCTATGGAAATTACATGCATTGGAGATATACAGACGAGATCCAAAGATTACAAATTGGAACGTACTCTCAGAAAATATTCATGAATATCATCACATCGGTGTATGGTATCGAGAATGGCACGCCTATCCGCGATAAAGTGACTCGACTGTTTGCCCAGTCGTGTGAGAGAATCACCAAGATGTTTTTGGTTCCGGATATTCAAGTCTCTACTGCTACCAGACCGATCTTGGAGACATTACGGCGGTTGTCGTCCTCTGTTTTCGATCTCGACACGTCTGGACTGCATGGACTGTGGCAACAGAAGTTCCTTGACAGTCTGTTTGAGTATGCTACCAGTCTGGTTGCAATCAGAAGCTCTTACCAAGGCACTTTGTCGTCCTCGTTTGAGAAGGACCTGTATTCTATCGTTCCAGAGCTTGTCAGTTTATACGCCTCGACAATGTGTTTGCGTACCAACATCCTCAGGTTACTGTCGAGTTTGGTTAATAGCAGATGGGAGAATGAGCCACCCTCGCTGCTGACACATCTTGGACAGGAGCACACCCATCTATTTCTAAGATGCTTGGCTGCGGATATATCCAACGAGTTTGAAAGCCACGACATGAAGATCGCACTTTATGACTTCTTTTCCTCGGTGATGGTTGGCGACCAAGAAGGTTTGTCGATTGTGTTGATCACAGGAAGGGACATCAAAGATTGCATACTGGATGAGAAGAAAACGTTTTCCAAAGAGGATAAAGTGAAGAAGTCGCAATATTCGCTCCTCAAGATTCTGAAAAACTCCATCTCCAATATCTCAACGTACTCGAGCGACGTTTCTTTGAAGTTGGTGGAGGCTCTTGCCTTGGCTTTCAACTCGTGGACAACGGCCAAGGAAGATGATGACGATGACAAGTTTGTGAATAATCTCATCTCGGAGGTGACCAAATTCCCTGATGCTCCAACTGCACACGACGAGACTACCTTGAAAGAGCACTACTACCAGGTGAACAGAAAGGCCAAAATGGCAGAAATCATGTCGCTGTACCTGTTTGTCTCGCAGAACACCGCAACAAAACAGAAAATATACAATCTGCTGAACTCCAAGGAGTTCACCTCCAATTTGAGAGCCAATTTTGAGTTAAGGTCAGCCGTGACCATTCCTACAGAGACGCAGATTGACGAGTTTTGGATCGACGGTGCTCTGTTCAAGTTGTCCCAGTTTGAACGGTCGCCGGTATTTGCAAGAGAAACGTACGGAGCAGACGCATCTCACGCTCTTGATCTCATGGACAAGTTGTTCCACACGAGTCCCGAATGGAGCGGTATTCGCCAGCAGGTTGTTTCCAGCTCTTTGGGCTTTCAGATGATGTCCGCCCATGTGACAGCAGCCAAGTCGTTTGGAGCACTAGTGACGTGTTTCTGCAAGAACGACGGCCCATCTGTTGACTTGTCGTATATCAATCTGGCCACTTCTCTGCTGAAGATCAACGAAGTGGAAGGCATCATCTCGCCCGAGTTTGCCATTGTCTACCAGGAACGGATCGATCTGGTGTTCTTCATCTGTTTAACGTTCTCCAAACGCCGTGACAAGAAATTGGACGACAAACTAATCTTCCCGCTGATCTCCTCTGTTTGCCAGCTACTGCTTTCCGACGACATCAACCTTACCAGCGGCCTGTTCACGTTTGAGGTCCAGAACTACCGTCCATTGCTCCGGACGTTGCTGATCGCCCTGAACATGATCAAGGACGACACCATGTTGTTTGTGGAGTACGGAGCTACCTTTGCCGATATTTTCACCACGATCATCTCCAAGTCGCTGAAAACCATCTTCAAGTCCATCCAGACGGAGGTTATGTCTTCGCGGAAAGAGGACTACGGCGGCTCGTTGCTGATCTGCAAACAGGCAGACGACATCACTTTGCTGGTGAACATTCTGGGGTCTTTGCTGAGCCACCACCTGCCACGCGATTTGGAGCTCGCTCTGGCCAGATCGGTGATCGATGCCGGTCTGTTCAGATCAACAGCCAACCTGTACTCGATCTCGCACCTGGTGAAGATCAACAAGGACGTGATCTTTGCAGACGTCGCGCTCAAGATCTTCAACGAACTGGTCCGTGTGAAGGTGATAGCCGAGAAGATGCTTGGCGAAGGTCTTTTCATGGTTCTGATCGACTCGCAGATCTCTGTACAGATCCAGCGGGGCGGCATTTCGCCAGTTTCTGCTGCAACGGCCCATTTGCACCATCTGTGGGTGGAGGGTCTGCTGTCCACGGTTCTGACGCTGATCAGCTCGTTTGGCGACAGAATCACGTCCGAGATCTATCTGTTTGTCAAGTCGTTCAGCAAACAGTTCCAAACGACGCTGCTGACGTGGCTGGAGTCCAACAGCTCTATAAGTCTGGCCACCGTGCACGAGACGTCGCAGATAATCTTTCTGGCCGAGGCCCTGAACGTGCTGGACGTGTACAGCGTTGTGCGCGTTGCTGGGTCTGAATCTGTCAAGCTGATCCCCGGTCTCGACACCAAAGACGAACGGCTCAACCTAGTGAGCGGACTCAACTACCTGCTGTCGCACCCAAAGTTCCTCTCGTCACGTGTCGTGGCATCGAGCCAGGAAGAGCAGAAACAGCTCGACACAGATAAAAACCGGTTTGTCGACCAGCTGCTCGAGGAAATCAAACAGCTCAAGAACATGCTATTAGATTAGATATTAATGTACATTTCTTTTACGCCGGAGCAGGTCCTGGAACGTGCCGATCTTCACGACCGAGTCGCCGATTTGGCGGCCGTTGAACTTGAAGTCGGCCAGCCCGGAGCTGCGCACCGTCTCGAACTCCACCAGCGCGGCGTGGTGTTCTGGTTGCAGCTCCACCTGGGTCACCGTGCCCAGCTCCTCAAACACGGCCTTCAGGCTCTGCGACGTGATCTTGTCGTCCAGTCCTAGCACAGAGATCGTGCGCTGCTTGTCGAAGCGACCAGACCCAACAAGAGCCACCTTTTTCTTGCGCGCGGTGGCCAGCTCCACCCGCATGGGCCGGCCAAAAAGCAGCTTCCCATTCAGTTCCAGCGCCCGGTGCGCGTCCGAGCTCGCTACGAAAGACACAAACGCAAACCCGTTGTTCAGTTTCGGCCGTTTCTCGTGTCCCGGCTTCACAGGCACCTTGACCTGCTCCAGCTCGCCGTACCGGCCGAACTCCTGTGTCAGCCGCTCCTCGTCCACCTTGTAGAAATCCAGATCGCTCACATACAGCTGTCTGCCCTCGTCGAGCGCGCCCTTGCGCTCCTGCCGTGCCTGTGGGTTGGAGATCTTCACCGTCAGTTTGTACTCGGGCTGTTCTGTCAATGGTTTGCCGTCAAGCTGTGCAACCGCGTTGCTGGCAGCCGACTCTGAGAAGTACGCGACATAGCAGAACCGACGACTCACGTTGCTCTTCAGCGACGGCAGGCGAACCTCCATCACCTCCCCGTACTGCCCAAAAAGGGCCTTGAGCTGCTCCGCCGTGAACTCTGGCGGATAGTTTGTCACCCAGACGGTGTTTCTTTGCAAATGAGTAACTTCCACAGACTGGCCGTTTATCGCTGCGCCGTTCTTCCGCACAGCAGCCAAAACGCTCTGCTCGTCCGCAAACTCCAGCGTCGCTTTGTCGTTGAACATGTGCGTGCTGCGGATCTGGCCTAGTTGGCCAAAGAAGTCCACCAGCTCAGACTCCGTGACTTGGCCCAGGTTCGACACAAGCACCGTCAGGTTCTCCCTGTCACGGGTCTCAGTCTTGACACGTTTGGCCGGCGGATCTGTCTCTGGCGTCTCCTCAACGGGTCTTTTCTTCTCTTCTGGCTCCGGCTCGCTGGACTTTTCTGGAACGTCCAGCTCCTCGACCTCTTGCAAGCTCTCCAAACTTCCGTGCAGGATCTCGTACCTGCGCCACTCGCTGATCAGCCGCTCGGGCCAGTCCAGCCTCCCGGTCTGAACCGCATCACGGAAAAGTTCCACCACCGAGGAGTAGTCGCCGTGTTTTTTTTCGAACTCGATGCAGTACAGCCACACCTCCACCTGGTCGGAAAACTGCTCCACCAGGCTCTCAAGCAGTATCTTCCGGATGTAGTCAACGTCGATATATGACTCGAAGATTTCCACACACAGCTTCTCGACGGTGTGGAAAACGTCGCGCTCCAAAACGGCCTGCTCAAAGTATAGCCCGGCGTCGTCGAAGAGCCACGGCAAGACGGTGTTGGCGTCTGTTTTCATCAGCTGGTACTCCACGCGCAAGATCTCGCAAAACACTGGTAACAGCCTCTGGCCAGACTCGTTGAAGAGCTTTCTGACGGAGCCAAACTGGGCCGGCGACGAACGCACAAAGTGAATCCACAGATCCGCGTTGGTCTTGTCGATAGCCACCATGCGTTTCCAAACTGCAAACTCGTCGTACTCGTACCCAAACTCCAAGTAGCTCGAAACAACCTGCGGCCAGACCTTGACGGCCACGGCTCTTTCGAAAGTCGTCTGGACCAGCCGATTTTTCGTGACCTTGTCCACATTCTTCAGCTTCCTAATGGCTGTCATGTACGCGATCCAGAAATCCGGGTCTTCAGGGTCCTTTTTGAGCTCCCACCGTTCCAGCTTGTCTATCAACTGAAGGGTCTTGTTCTTTACCTCGGCAAGAGCCTGCATTTTTTCGGCGTAACTGTCTGCAAACTGGCTCGAAACAAACGCCGAGTACTCGCTCAACAGTCTGTCGTAGCTCAGACTCGGGATCTGTAGCTGCTGGAGCCACAGCTCGTCCAATTGACGAGAGTCCTTTGTTTTCGAGACATGTTTATAGTACAGGTCCCACACCAAATGGCCGTGTTCCACGTCGTACTGTGTGGCGTAGTACGCCGTGGTGAACTCTTCGTCGCTCGACTCGGCGCTTAATAGCCGTTTCCACAGCAAACTACTTGCAGGATGCAATTCCAGCTGAGCTTGCACAGACATTTAATTTAAATACTTTTTTTTTCTATTAATTATTTTCCATTATTAATTATTTGGTAGCTGCCTGTTTAGCCTCCCACTCCGCAAGAGCAGCCTCCCATTCGTCTTCCGGAGAAGCGTTCTGTCCAACCGACTGAACATAGTCGTCAAGTTCCTTGCGTTTTTCGTCCTCGAGTTCATCCCAGCGCTCTTTCTCGTCGATCCACCGTTCGTGGATGTCGATGTCCTCCATGAACCCGAGAGACGACTGGCGAACGGCGTCGGACCAGATCGAGTCGCCGCCGAGCTCGTTCGTACCGAAACAGTACCCGTTGGCCTTGTCGATGCTGGACAACAGGTTGATCATCGACACCTTGTCCTCGATGGCCAGAACGGTGTACTGGATCAGCCCAAAGTCGTCGATCAGGTCGGCGATCAGCCCAGTCAGTTTCTCGTACTTCTCGTTGAAGTAGCCGCGCTGGTTGTTTTCTGTGCGCACAAACGGCACCAGCTGGTCCAGTTCCTGGACCTCTGTGTAGAATTGCAACCGGAACGGCAATCCGCCGTCAGAGTCGGAGTCTGCCACTTTTCTGCGCTTGTTGTGCTCCAAATGCGACGCCCGGTCGTTGTCTATGTATGATTTGAGAAGATCGATCTTGGAGATGACGTTGATCTGCGGCAGGTCCATTTGGAGCATCGATCGTAGGGTCAACAGCAGCATGGAGATGTAGTTTGACGGCACCATGAGGTTGATGGAGTCGACGAGCGACACCACACAGAACCGGAAATCAAGTTCCTTCTCGAGTCTTGCAAAGATGTTTCTGAAAATCGGGTTATTGGTGAACAGTTCTGTTTGCCCCGGACAATCAAATAAAATATACGCAGACTGGCCGTCGAGACTGAGTCCCATCAGGTCTTTCACCTTGTCGATGAAGTACTGGATACTGTGTTCAAACGTCTCAAGGGCATAAACAAGCCCGCCGTTGGGCCCAAGCCGGATCTCGTCGTCGTTCATAATCTCCTCGAGAGTGATAAAGTCCCGGATGTCCACCGTGCAATGGTACGGCAGCATATCGTTCGCCGGGTCGAGGTTGACTATGAGCGAGTTGCGGCCGATAGAGTTGAGAAACTGGTTCATCCCGTTGCAATAGGTGGATTTGCCCGCGCCGGGGGGCCCTATTATGATTTGACCATAAGGAGGCATAAAATATTTTTCTAATTAATTCTTTTGACATGGACAAGGAGATATCTTTGATCGATGACATTTTGTACAACCTTGTGGCGGTGAAGCAGTTGTACGAGTTTGAGGTGGGGCATCTGTCGACTTTTCTGAAGCTCAACCGGCAGTTTGTGGTGGAGAAGAGCTCGGATTTGCAGGGCTCTTGTTCTGTGTTCAAGGACAGGGCAGCGCAGGAGGAGCGGTGGGTGGTGGAGAAGCTGCGGGACCTGAACGGCAGCGTGGAGAAGTTGGCGAAGGAAATCGAGGAGCGCAAGGCGTCCAAGAAGAAACTGATGGAGCTGTTTGAGAGTCTGCGCAAGGTAGACGAGTTTGAGCAAGCTAGTGGAGAGCCGGTGGGGGGGCTGCCTATCATGGAGATCCGCGAGGACCTGGACGAGGACGGCCGGGTGGTGAGCAGCGGCATGCAGCCGTACCAGGGGGGACAGCAGGCGGAGAGACAGGTGGAGGAGCCCAGTCAGGCCAGGATCGAGGATGTGACGGAGGAGGAGGAGAACAAGGAGCAGCTGGCCGAGCTGCTGGAGGATATGGAGCTGGGCAGCGCGCGGGTGGAGGAGGAGCCACAGGTTTCAGACTCTAACTCTGCTGCCGGTCCGGCCATCGACCCTGAAGACCTGCTGACGCTGGAGATGATTGCTGAGGACTTTGACGAGGAGGAAGATCCTGAGGACGACTACGATGACGACGAGGACTACGACGAGGAGGAGTATGTGACGGTTGTGCCTGACGGGGCGAGAAATCGGTTTCTGGAGCAGATCAGTCAGCTGCGCCAGGCAAAGCAGAAACCCAGTGCCAAGAAGAGCGTCAAGTTTGACGAGGCCGTGCAGGTGAAGGAGATCGAAAACGTGTCCGAGGAGCTAAAGAAGAGCGAGACTGTGCGAGTGTCGCGGTTCAAGCAGCAGCGGAGGCAGGGCCGCGCGGAGCCAGAGCCTGTGGAGCCGCAGGACGAGTCTGACGACGTGATGGGGGACGTGGTGGAGAAGGAGCCGGAAATTAAGGAAACCAGTCTGGACTACCGCACGCTGCAGAACGACATCGACACGATGGCCCGGGCGTATGCTCTGGGGATGTATGACGACGACATCGAGACCCACGGCGAGGTGATTGAGAAGCTGGAGGATTTCGAACGACACAACCAGATAGCAGAGACACGGGCGCCGGTGGAGGAGCCGGTGGAGGAAGAGACCGCAGAGGACAGTGTCGTTCTCGTAGACAAGGTTGTGGAGAACGACGTGGAGCCCGCGGCACAGGAGCCCGAGTTCGAGCTCGCAGACGACGTGCTCGAGTCGAACGTGGCGATGGACTACACGCGGCTGCGCAACAAGATGATGCACCAGTACAACGGCGGGTTCCTTGAGAGCGACAAGGAGAAGGAGTTCGAGCCGATCGAGCCTGTCAAGACGAGCAGGTTCAAGGCGGCGCGGCTGGCTCGTAATATCTAATGTATTGGGTCATAGAGAACGAGTATAAACATTTAATTAATGACTTTGAGAGTTTTTGAGGATTGGTAGCCGGTGAGTATAAACGGCTCCAGTCCGGCGTCATGGACGGCCTGGTCGGAAACGGACCTTTGTTTGCGGACGTATGTTGGTGTTCGCGTGAACACAGACGTGTCTGGTGGGTTCATCAAGGTCTTTTTGGGGCCTGCAGACGGTTTCTTGAGAGCCTCTGGATATGTGTATTTGATAGGAGTTGGATTGTAGTCTCTGATGTCGTACTGATTCTCGAACTTCAAGGGAGGCGCAGGCAACGGCTTGGAGTAGGCCTGTTTGGGGGACGAGAATCGAGAGTTGTCGGACTTGAACAGTGTGGCTGACGATTGCGACTCAAACGAGAACAACGAGTGGTCGGAGTCAGACACCGTTGGCTGGGAGGCCGCGTCGTCCATTTCTCGGTAAGTATCGATCAGATTGGAAACCAGCGACGAAGCTGAGTGGTTCGACTCGTTTGGCTGCATGTACAGCGGGCTCGAGACCGAGCGTCTGTAGTTTTTGATCTTTTCACTAAGGCCGTCAAATAGTCGCTTCTTTCGCACCGACAACTGGGTCTCCGACACGGTTTCGGGCGTGTAGTCCTTGAGAGACGGCTGCTGAACACCGATAGTTTGCGGCGAATAAGAAACCGAGCGTGCCTTGGGCTGGAAACTTTGGATCTTGCGCACTCCGTCAGAGTCAAATGACGGTGGTAGCTCCACGTTGATCTCAACAGATAGCGGGTCTAGGAAGTCCTGATCAGGCAGGATCTTCTGGCCGGTGAACTTCCTCATTGTATAACACAGAAAACAACTAAAGGATTTGCAAGCTTCATGGTTTAAATTAATATCCAGATGGCTGTCTTTGAAAAAATGCCGTTTTGGGAAAATCTGGGGACGTCGTGCGAGTCTCCAACGGCTTTAATTCGAATTATTTTTTTTGAATTTTTTTTTTGACTTTTCACAATGTCTCAGGATTCCAAAAAACCAGCGCTGGAGTCGCGTATTGGCAGAGACCAACCGTTCGACTTTGGTCAACGGTACCTCAAGAACGAGGATGAGGTGTTCAACTTCAACGCATGGGATAACGTCGACTGGGACGACGAACAACTGAAGGACTTTGAAGAGAAGATCAAGCAGCAGCACAACGACCCGGTCGCAGACTACTACAAGAAACAGTACAACGAGAAACCCGCCAAGTACTGGGACATCTTCTATAAGAACAACCGCGAGAACTTTTTCAAGGACAGAAAGTGGCTGCAGATCGAGTTTCCTTCGCTGTACGAGGCAACCAAGGCAGACTCTCCTGCATGCAATATCATCGAGATCGGGTGCGGTGCGGGCAACACGATGTTCCCGATTTTGGAACAGAACCAGAACGCCAACCTGAAGCTGTTCGGGTGCGATTACTCCAAAGTGGCTGTTGATCTGGTGCGATCGAACGAGATGTATGCGAAAAACAACGGTGTGGTGCATGCCTCAGTCTGGGACCTGGCCAATAGTGAACACGAGCTTCCAGAGGGAGTGGAACCCCACTCGATCAACATCGCGGTGATGATTTTCGTGTTCTCAGCTCTCGAGCCTGGTCAATGGGAGCATGCAATCACTAATTTGACCAAGATGATGGCCCCTGGTGGAAAAATCCTGTTCAGAGACTATGGAAGATACGACCTTGCGCAGATCCGGTTCAAGAAAAACCGGTTGTTGGACGAGAACTTCTATGTGCGCGGAGACGGCACGCGTGTGTACTTTTTCACCGAGGAGGAGCTCAGACAGATCTTTTGTGGGCCGTTCAAAGAAACCCGTATTGCGTACGATAAGCGGCTGCTTGTGAATAGAAAGAAACAGCTGAAGATGTACCGGTGTTGGATGCAGGCGATTTTCGAGGTTCCGGAGTGAATCAGTCGAGGTCTGATTTCTGGATCATTCGAATGGAGATGTGGAGAAACGCGTCCAGAGACTTCATGCATATGTACAGGTCGACGACGGGAGAGTCTATGGGAAGAACCACGCCGTGGGACACGGGGTGTGCCACCGTGTACATGAGCGACGAGGGGAACAGGTCTGGGATGAGCGACTGGAGCAGGTTCCCGAGAGTCAGTTTGCGGCCCACGTTGGCGATGACGGGCTGGATCAGTTTGTTAGATAAAGGCAGATAGATTTTAATTGGGATATTCTTCAAACTGGAGATGTTGGATGGCAATAATCGTCTGAATGCTGTTTCGTACTGTACAGACTCCTTGTGGATGGCGGCCTGGTAGAATTCGTCTGTTTCTGTTCGGGACATGTTCATGACGAGCTTGCTGGAGCCATTGAGGATGAAACATGCTTCTTTGAGCTGGTTGATCCAGTACGACTTGAGGAAGTTTGTGTTTGGCTCAATGGGTATGACGTACTCCACGGGGTAGTCATGGTATCGCAAGGTGAGTTCCCAGGCCTGTTTCTCTGCCTGGGAGTCTGTGGTTGTGAGATCGTAGAGCAGGCCAATTGGAAGATTCCATTTCAAAGGCACTTTCTCAAATTCGAACCACCAATTGGGAGTTTCTCCCAAACTGGGGTCTTTTAAATGGGGTTTGTAAAATTGAACAAGGTCTGCCAGCGAGCTGTGTAAGAAGGAGTTGCGGTAAAGCGTGGCGTAGTAGAACGGACATTCCTCGGTGGCCAACACGGGGTCCAATTGGAACTTGACGTGAAGAACGCCGCCCCAGACCCGTGTTATTATATCGGAGGTGGTCATGGGGAAATTAAAATAAAGATTAACTTTTTTTTTGTTGCACTTAAGGTTATATCACGATTGATCCCTATAAATATCTATTTCTATAAGTTTTTGATAACCTGTTCAGTAAAATGACCGGTGGAAGAGGATCCCTTCAGATCCCTGGTTCTGTTTTCTGGGCCAGAAGCAATGGTTTTCAAAACAGCATTCTCGATCTGGTCGGCGTACGAGTTCAATCCAATGTGTCTCAACATCATACAAGAGGAAAGCAAGAGGGCGGTTGGGTTGGCAAGACCCTTGCCGGCGATATCTGGAGCAGATCCGTGGACAGCCTCGAAAATGGAAACCTTGTCACCCATGTTACCCGATGGAGTCAAACCCAAACCACCAATCAATCCAGAAGACAAATCAGACATAATATCACCGTACAAGTTAGGCATCACCATGACCAAAGACTTGTACTCGGATGGGTCAGAACAAAGCTTCAACGAGGTGTTGTCAAGTAGCTCGAAAGTAAGCTTGACATCTGGGTATTCCTGGGCAACCTCCTTGGCGGTCTCGACAAACAAACCGTCAGAAAGCTTCATAATGGAGGCCTTGTGCACGACTCTGACCTCTGGCTTGTTGACGCTCTTGGCATATTCAAAAGCGTATCTGATGACTCTCTCGGAAGCCGGCTTGGTGATCAACTTGATCGATTGGACAACACCGGGAACAATCTCGTGCTCGATACCAGAATACTCACCCTCGGTGTTTTCTCTGATCAACACGGTGTCCACGTTCTCATAAGGAGTTTTGTAACCTTGCACACTCTTGCATGGTCTGACGTTGGCGAAAAGCGCAAAAGTTCTTCTCAGGGTCAAATTCATCGACTGGTGACCTTTTCCAACAGGAGTAGCCAATGGACCTTTCAAAGCCACCAGGTTCTTGTTGATGGAGGCCACGGCGTCAGCAGGCAACGTGGTCTTGCCATTGATGAGCGAAGGGGTCACGTCGACCGACTCCCAACGGATTGGCACGTCCGCAGCCTTGTAGATGCTCTGGACAGAGGCTGCAATTTCTGGACCAATACCGTCACCAGGAATCATGGTGACGGTGTATTTGCCGTCGGCGTCAGGCTTTCCGGTGAACTGGCCGGTGACCTTGCCAGTGGCATACGATCTTGCGAGCATGGTGGGAGTTCTTGTAATTGCTCTGTACATTGGAAGAAATTCTGGTGATCTATATAAGAAATATTAAACAAAAAATTGCGTGGGGGGTTATTCCCCCGGGGCGGGCTGGTGGAGGGAACTCCGGAGAGCACCGGGGGGAAAAATTGGGGCCGCCAGCAACTCTTTCACCAGGCATGTCCGAAATCGAGTCCGATACACACCTCGCACCACACCGACCTCGGACGGACTTACTGGTCTCCAAAAAGTCTGCGTCGATCGACCCGCACACGGGTGTTCCCTCCCCAATCCGGTTATTCCTGTACAAGATAACCAAGCGTTGGTGATACGAGCCGGGTTGTACGACTAAAAAATATTTCTTATTCGACGAAAGTTCAAGTTTACTTATCTTCTGACACCTTGACAGGAACGTAGTCGAAATCAGAAGGAATCCGACATTTCTTCTGAGACCGGTTGCTCTTCCAATGACCAGTCAGTTGGTAAGAGCGGTGGAACCGCTTGCCACACCCCCAGGTTTTCCCGTCCTGGGTGTGACCCTGGCAGATGTAGAGTTTGTTTGCGTTACGTATGTGCTTTTCGCGCACGTGTCGTCTAAGATCCGACGGGGTGGAGTATTCCAGATCGCAGTTGGCGTATTGGCATTTGTGGGGCTTGAGCTTCTGGTGGACAGAGGAGATATGATTTTTCAGCGACTCTCTTCTGGTGAAGTTCTTTGTACATAGGTCGCACACAAACGATTTCTTATTCTGTGCGAGCGCCGTGTCTGGTTGATGTGTGTGGTTGTGCGGGATAGTAGGCGGGTTCAACATCCACCCGTTGTATGATTGTTCCAGCGAAGGAATCTGGGGCTCGGGAGGAGTAGGTAAAAAGGAGTCAGCAGCGAGCGGTGTGGGTTGGACAAAAGGATTTATCACCGGCAATTGGGTGAGAGGCAGCGAAAGGTCGTCGGTGAAGTCTGATTCTGAGTTAGTGAGTGCTTCTTCAAACAGGTCGTCCCAGTCGGGTTTGAATTCGGGTTTTTGATAAACGTCAATTGAAGCCGGTATGAACAGATGGTCCAAGGAGGGCCATGTATATTCAGGAACGTTGATTTGCATTGAAGGATCGTCCTGGCTCAAATGACTAGGCGTGGCGCCAAGGGATAAGAGAGCAAAGAGGAAGACGCTCCTATTTATAGAGTGTGGTTATTGAGGTTTGATTCCGAAAAATTGAGCTCAGGTTATTTACATATCAGCTTCCTATTCTATGCAGGTACTTTTATTGTGCGGATCAAGGCGATGAAGAGTGCCGTGCAATTTTTTTCAGGACACTATTGTTCAGTACAATAGACGTGTGAAAAACACTCGGCGGTACGGTGTTATCTAGATCCACAGTCGGGCAACTCTCCCCAAATTACTGTTTGAGGGAGTGCTAACCGGCATAGCGGATACGAAACCGTTGAACTGATGAGCTTCAAACTAGCTGGAACGTAGCTGGTTTCCAAATCCTTGAAGTTTAGTTGCGATTGGCCCCTGGATATCACTTTTAAGCAGATCGCAGACTCGACCGCACGATTATCCTTAGTCATAGAACTCGTATTGTACCAATATGGAACATTAGCCGCGGTATTCTCTGCAGAGACTAGCCTTCCAGATTGCCCTGTTCGGCAACTCATACGCCCGAGCTAGATAATAGAGTGTCGTGCGCAAAGCAGAAATCGGGAGATTTTCGTTCCGAAGTTTTTGAAAAAATTACTTAATTGCAATTCCTGACAGATCGTAACCACTTCACGCGTCAGTGCCGGTTTAGGGACTTTGCTTCATGTCGCTGGAGCTCGGGAAAATTGCGCTCACAGCGCAAATGCTCGGAATCGTGCTGGGATGCTCGCTCATCCTCTGCTTCTTTGTCGACTTTGTCCAACTGCCATGCTATCTCGCAGCGGTGTCATTGTTCCATTTTCTCGAGTTTTTCTGCACCGCCTTGACCTCCCCGTCGAAAGCGTCCTGGGACTCCTTTTTGCTCGCCAACGGCTCGGAATACCTTGTTGCCCATTTAGTTTCCCTTGCAGAGGCCACAATAGAATATCGCCTGTTCCCTAATCTCAAGCTCCACCATCCCTTAATCTCTACGTGCGGCATTACCGTTCTGATTGTGGGTCAGGTACTAAGGTCCTGTGCTATGATAACCGCCAAAGAGTCGTTTAGCCACTCAATTGCCTCCACAAAAAAAGATAACCATATACTTATCACCAACGGGGTGTACCGTTTTTTCAGACACCCATCGTATGCGGGCTTTTTTTACTGGGCATTGGGGTCCCAGCTGATGCTTTGCAACCCTATTGGCTTGTGTCTATTTTACGTCATGCTTCGGCGATTTTTCAAGCGCCGAATCACCTATGAGGAATCCACCTTGCAGGTTTTCTTCGGCAATAGTTACACTGTCTATAGAGACCACACCCCTTTGTGGATGCCGATATAGCCCTATTAGTTCGTACATTATGTTACAGGGGCAAATTGAACCCCAACAGGGAGCCGCCGTTTGTAGTGCCATTTTGAGACTCCAGTTGGTGCAACGTGCTAGACTCTTTTGGCGAGACTGGTTGCAACACTCCCGAAACCGAGCTCTCGTGGTGTGTATCCGGCTCTAAACGTCGCGTTTTCAATGATGGGCCCTCTGCCCCGACTTCAGTAGCCGTGTTCAAGAGCTCATGTTTAGCCGTATTATTGGGGACCGGCTGATCCACCGAAGCGTCTATCTCGTCCTCAGAGTCCAAACTGATGATATCGATACCGTTTTGTGGCATCGAAGTTGGTGGTTCCTGCGTTGTCTGAGCGGCTTCGCGGCCCAGAGCCGTTTTAAAAGCAAGATGCTCGTGTTTTTCCGGCACCCCGTCAGTTCTGCCAAGATCCCCCGGCTCTCCAACGTCGCTCTCGTCGCTCTCGAGACTGATCACCGCCACGGGTGCCTCGCTTTCTTGGCGTGTTTGCGATTTCTCGCGCAAATCTCTGGCGGGTCCCTGCTCAGCTTCCTGCTCCGCGTCCTGTTTCACAGCCCAGTTCCCCACTTCGTCAATCTCCACAGCCTCATCGTCTTCTCCGGTTTTTTCCACAATGGCCTGGAAATAATCGTCAATAGCCAAATCGTCCAGATTTAGCCGGTTCGAGCAAACAGGACACTGCCACGTCGGTGCCTGCTGCTGAAGTTGGAGAAACGACAACGCGTCAAAGCACTGGATGTGTCCGCACTTAATCGATCGGCACGGATATCGCATCTTGATAAACGAACACGGACACATCAGCGATAACACCTCCTTATCTGTCTGCACAAGATCGTCGTCGTCCTCCAAGTGTCGCTCCTTGATGGCCTCTATCGTCGTCTGCACCGAGATGTGCTGCTTTCCCAGAATCTGGTCCACCAGTCTCGAGGCCGGGATCTCCTCCAATATGTATAGATATAGCCAGAAATCGGTGTTTGTGAACGCATACACAACTTCCAGCCGATTTGTCTCGTTCAGCCGCAGGTTGGCCATCAGATCTATGGGCTTGGCCGACCCAGGCCGTCCTTTGATGCCTCGTCCCGTCTGTTTGAGCCGCACCCCGTTCATCGTGATCTCGTTGGGTTGTGGAAACTCCAAGTACTGTTCGTTTTCTCCAGCAGTTCGCGTGCCAGAAAGCAGCGACAGCTTCATATTCGCGCTGCTCTGCAACAGTTCTTTCTCCTCTGGCGTCAGATGGAAGATGAACCGACAAGAACCGCGGTCCTTCTGTTTCTGTGGCGCAATCAGCGGATTCGATCCACTCGCGTGGACCTGGTGCTTGAGAACGTAAAACTCGCTTTTTTTGAACACAACCGCAGGAATAGGCTTGGGAACCACTTCTGGAGCAGTGTACTGGTTCGGAATCTGGATCGTGTGCGCGTTCGTTCGGAAAAGAGCATATAAACTCTGGTACGGTGGTAATTCTTGACCAACAGAGGCCTTCATAATCAGCGCTCGAACAGCCAGTAATCGCACCTGGTCGCCCTGGTAACGGCCGCTTGCAAAATACTGCTCGATTCTCCCCGCGATCTCGGCTTTTCTTCCCGACAAAACCAGTCCAATCGACCTACAGATCGACTTGAGCTCGGATATTTTCAAATTGTTCAACTGAACCAAAGTTTCCTGATTGTTAGTGTACTTTCTGGCGGTAAACCACTTACGTCAAAAACCCGCTCGGACATTATCCCCGAACCCTCGCTCATCGTAGGATAATAACCACGCCAAAAGACGGTACTCTTGGTCTTTGTTTGATTTTATCGAAAATCCCCTATTTAGCAAAATTATTTACCAATTCTCTTCCTGGTGCTACAAGCGTGCTTACATAATCAAAGATGGAGACGGTCGATCAGAATAGCGTCTGCGACGGAGCCCTGTTGCAGCACGGGCTGGCCGAAATCGCTGGCTGAGGGAAGACATACAAGTCCGTTGGCGTTCTTAAACGATCCGATGTTGCTGCTCCGTTGGAATCCTGTTGAAGAGGCCACCAGGTGCATGTTTTCCTGGCGAATACTGACTCTTTGGTACTCTGGCCGTTGCGGGTCCAATCTGAGCTCCGATGTCAGCTTCACTTTAACAATTGGCTCAGTTGGCAACTTCTGGCCAAGAACTGGTTTCAGACCTTGCCATTTGAGCAACGAGGGCAGCACAAACAAATGGTAGCAGACCGACGATGAGGCCGGGTTTCCGGGCAAAGCAAACACCACTTTCGAGTTCCCGATGGTGGCGAACGTGGTTGGTTTGCCGGGCTTCATTCTGACACGGCCAAAATGAATTGTTCCGTCCAGGTCGTGTTCGATTGTCGGTTTGAGAAGATCCATTTCTCCCATGGAAACACCACCAGTAGTTATCAAGCAGTCGATGTGTTTTTTGTCAAACGCGTCTCGAATGATACTCGTGAGCGAGCTCTTTGTATCTGCGGCTATTCCCAGATCAACAACCTTGTATCCGGAGTTCTCCACCATGGAAATTAGTGTTGGCCGGTTGCTGTCGTAAATTTCACCGTAGTGAAGACTTTTTTCTGTTTTCAGATCCTGTAGCTCGTTGCCGGTAGATAGAACGCCAATCGTTGGTTTGCGGTACACTTTGATCAATTTAACGCCAACACTGGCCAATGCCCCAATCTCTCCTCCACCAACAGATATTCTGGACCCCTTGGCAAGCACCAGGCTTCCTTTTTTGGTATCTGAGCCAACGGCTCTGATATTCTCGCCAGATTTGACATCCTGCGCCAGAATCTCCACCAGTTTCTCCTCCTTGCCATCGTCTGTGGTCTGCACCAGCTTTGTCTCCTCCACCATCACCACTGCGTTGGCTCCGTCAGGCAACGGCGCTCCCGTGGTGATTCTTGCTATTTCGCCCGAAACAAGCACTTTTTTCTCGTTTCTGTTGGCATGCGACACAGTCACCACCGGATACGTTCCCGGACCATCTTCTGCCACAACAGCATAGCCGTCAACGATACTGGCACGGAAATTAGGCACGTCCAAACTCGAATAAATATCTTCTGCAACCACGGAGCCAACAACCTGCGGATCAAGCACACTGAGCTCCAATATCTCCGGTTGCGGCGTGTGCTGTACAATCTTCTCGTACGCTTCAGGCACAGAAATAGCCGGGTACGGAGACACTCTGTCTCTGGTGACCACAGACTGCGTCAGCGTGTGTTTTGCCAGATGCCCATGGCCATGCCCGTGGTGATGCCCGTGGCTGTGGCCGTGGCTGTGCAAAGCTCTTGCGCTCTCGACGCCCAATTGCGGCAGCGCGTGTTTCAAAACGGGCTGGATCGCCTCAAAGTTCTCGGTCGCGCCTTTGGGAGATCCCGGCAGTGTCACGATGAGAGTCTGTCCACGCACGCCGGCCACGGGTCTGGCCAGCATCGCAAACGGAGTCACCTTGAGCGAGAACGAGAGCATCGCGTGGACGAGTCCCGGGGCCTTTTTCTCGAGCAGAGGCTCAATTGCTTCTGGGGTGATGTCGTGCTGGGTGAATCCTGTTCCACCGCAAGTGAGAACGAGCTGAACACCCTTATTAACGAAATCCAGCACTTTCGACTGGATTTGGGCCTTGTCGTCCGAAACGACGTCAGAATACGCCAGATTGAGGTCTTCGAGCTTCGCACTCAGCGCCCCCACCACTTTGTCCTCCGATTTACCTTTCGCAACAGAGTCAGAGACAACCAAGATAGCAACACTCATACTGAATAATATCAAGAGCCGATCGGCGCGACGATATAAAATTTTTGTCGTTCAATTGAATAAGTCATGTCCTCAGCGCAAAAGTACGAGGTGTTTGTGGACTCGTTTATCTCGAAGCTCAAGCGCCGCCAGGTGACGGGGTCCTACAATGTTGCCACGGCGACGTGCCGGCTTTTGATGCGGGTGATTTCGAGCGGCCGGTGGTCGAGCACCGCCGAGTTTATTGAGCTGATCAGAGGAGTGGGCACCAAGCTCATCGAGGCCCAGCCGCGCGAGTTTGCCGCCGGAAACATCGTGAGACGTGTTCTGGCGATCATCAGAGACGAGGTGAGCGAAACCACGGCCACCGACATGGCCAATAACGCTCCATATAACACGTCGATGTTCCAGCTGCTCTCCACGACCCAGACCAACAAAAATCCATCCAACCAGCTCACCAAACAGCCAAACCAGGACCTGAGATCGGTGGTAATCCAGGGAATTCGCGAACTAATAGACGAGATTGCTTCTGTGCACGAAAACATCGAGTTGATGACGGTGGATCTCATCCACGAGAACGAGGTGCTGTTGACTCCTACGCCCGGTTCGCAGACGGTGCTGAACTTCTTGCTCAAGGCCAGCCTGAAACGGAAGTTCACCGTGCTGATCACCGAGTCGTACCCCAACGATATCCAGGAATGTCACAAGTTTGCCGAGAAACTGGCCAAGATGAACATCGAGACCGTCATCATTCCAGACTCGAGCGTGTTTGCAGTCATGTCGCGAGTCGGCAAGGTGCTCATTGGCGCACGGTCTGTGTTTGCCAACGGCGGCTGTGTGACCGCAGCAGGAGTGGCTACCGTTTGCGAGTGCGCCAAAGAACACAGAACTCCTGTTTTCGCCGTGGCCGGTCTGTACAAGTTTTCTCCAACATACCCCTTCGATAGAGACTCATTGATCGAGGTCGGCAACTCGGGAAGAGTGCTGCCGTATGAGGACAGCGATCTTGTCGGCAAATGCGAGGTCACCAACCCGCTATTTGACTACGTTGTTCCAGAGCACATTGACATCTACATCACCAATATTGGCGGCTTTTCGCCAAACTTCATTTACCGAATAGTCTTGGATAACTACAAGGCCGAAGATGTACAGTTGGGATGAAATATAACGATTAATTGCACTACTTGACATCGAACAGTGCGCCCCGTGCCTCGCTCGGTTACTCGACAATTGGGTGATCTTGAGCTGGATACTGTGAATACAGTAAGGGGCCAGATCAAACGGATCTGATTGAGTGCGGCCCTATCTTATGGTACGGTTGCAATTATGAGGTCCAACAGTCTCGTAGACCGTGTAGACTGGGGCAGTTGTAGGTTGGTTGTGTTTCGTGCCAGCGTTATAAGCTCAAAATTTGAAATTTTTCATAGATTGTTACAGTGTCCGAGTGGTTAAGGAGCCGCCCTGCTAAGGCGGTGTGCTCTGCATGCGCAGGTTCGAATCCTGTCTGTGACGTATTTTTTTGAATTTTTAATTTTTCTGGCACAAATACTCCACTGCTGGTTACTGCTGCTTATCACCTCGTTACACGCCGTATAGACTAGATCGTTAAAGGTACTTAGAAGTTCTGGTCAATAAGCTTCTTGACAAGCTTCCAGTCGTTTTTCTCGCTGTAGTCCAAAATCACAATACCGCATCCTTTGCCGTACGTCTCGTCAAGGTTGGCTCCAATCAGACCTTCGGTCACCTGTTCCGGCCAGCACGCGTGGTCAAAGAAGTTGGCGCCCGAGCAGAAGTTCACAAACAATTTAGGGTCGTTGTTGGTGCTGTTGTAGCTCTTGGCGTTGTTGATCAGGTTCTTGACGTACTCTGCCTTCTTTGGGATATCTTCCTCGGACTTGATCTCACAGAAGTCTTGCACTCTGAACAGTCCTCTGTCGTCGTCGGTAGTGTTGTACGACCACGAGGAGGCAGGAATACCGGTGGAGTTTTGTTTGTCGCCGTTTTGAACTCCAAACCGTCTGAAAAGAACAACCTTGCCTCTAACGTCTCTAAGGTTTGGCAAGTTGGTGTTCAGGTACCACTTGTCCTTGTTCTTGGAAATGAATCTGTCGCGGATCACGTTGGCAAACTCGTCGTTCTGGTTGTCCCAGGTGCCGGATCCTTCCTGCTTAAGAGACACAATCACAAACTCGGACGGATGCTTGTCGACAAAGCTGTACACCTCGTCGAGCAACTCGGTCAATTTCACAGAGCCGAGTAATTTGACCGGGAAGTTGCCGTGGATAACAATCAAGTCGTTTTTATGCTCATCATCATCGTGCGTGGTGATGAAGTTTCTCGAAAGACGAACGTCCAGGAACCGAACACCGTGCTCAAGCTGCTCTGTCACAGAAGCTCCCTGGCATTGCACCGAAGGAAGAGCCGTGTGACACGCAGCAGAATTGTGGGTTCCTGCAAGAGAAAGACGTGCGATGTTGGTGTCGTCGGACACAGATTTCAACCAATTGGCGTAGTCGACCATGTTTGCTGATTTCTTACGGTTTCAATCTAGTATTAATCTCCACTATATATATCGCTGGAACTGAAATTGCTTATGTAAGCCGAAATGCAGGTGGACAACAATAGACCCCTACTGTAATTGGATCATTTGGACAGGTCTTTTCTCAGAAGGGTACGGCCTTGTTTCACCAATTCGAGTCCGCGGTACAGTTCTTGTGTGTGGTCTTCGACGGCGAATCCAAAGGCTTCCCATTGAGCTGGATTTTCTGTTGCAACGTACACTCTATCCAGATGTCTCTTTTTCGTGATCTCCTCGATGTGGCTCAGCAGTTGGCGCTCAACGTCATATTTCGAGCTGTAGGCGGGTAAAACACTGCAAACGTCGATAAGTAGTCCCACAGGCGATTTAGAGTGGACCGGTTGGACTGGCTTGCTTACCACGACTCCAACAGGCACCTCTTTGAAGTATGCGAACTGGGCCAGTTCGCCCGACTCTTTGAACTCCTCGAGTTGCTCTTTCGAGAAAGACTCGCCGGTTATCACGTTGACAAGTCCCAAATTGTTGATTGTCAGGTCGTCCAAGGCAATCATGAAAAATTTAAACGGTAAATTAAATCACAGACTGCGTTACCATTAATTAATGGACAATTAAATACACGAAGAGCAACACGGCTGCTTCACAGCCTCCAACGCCAAGCCATCTATTTTTCCGGAACCAGCACTCCAACTTTGGGGTATTTTGACTGGAACATCTGCTCCCAGCCGTCCAATGCCTTGATCTCCGCTTCGGTAAGCCCTTCCAGGTCGTCGATCGGCTCGCCAAACGATCTCACCATGGCTATTTCGTTAGTAATTGTAAAAAATTGTCAACTTACACTCCTCAAAAGAGTTCTTTGCCAAACCACGAGAAGCATCGTGGCCGGCAAAATTCGAATACGGCCCACTTGGCCCGTAGAATTGCCTCGACTTGGAAACGTCGTACACATTGCCCTTCACAGCAATGTAGATCTGCTCCAGATCAAACCCGTTGTACTTGTACAGCGTACGAGGCGTGAACTCCTGCTCTTCCACGGCGCCGTCCTCAACGGCCGGATTGATCTCGATGGTCTGCGAAGACGAAAATAACGTCTTACCGACCACAATGGTGGCCAAAATCACAACAACAGCAACTAATACCAGGTTATCCATGCCAGTTATATTTATATATGGGGTTACGTGAGTCGAGTTGTGCGAAAAAACGGATTTGGTTCTTCTCCTAGGAACATCCGTACACCGCAAAGCAGAGGGTGCGAGCTACTCGCCCTCCTCTTGCAACACGTGGGACGCCACCCGTCCTAGAGCGTCTAGGATGGTTGGACTTCGGCCTGAATGGTCCTGTATCTGTTTGCGGAGGAGCGCGTTCTCTGCCTTGAGCGTCTTGACCTTGTCGTGTTTGATGGTTTTCAAGCTCTTTATGAGCTTGAGGTTCTTCATGTTGATGATTTCATTCTCGTTTTGCAGTATGCGGAGGTTCTTTTCCACGTTGGCCAGGTTCTTCATTAACAATTGTCTCTCTGTGGCGTATTCCTCGATGTTATTCCTCAATTGGTACTTTGCAAGGTTTTTATTGAGGTTTATTCGGAGCACAGTTTGTCTCACCAGTTGTAGGAGCAGTTGTAATTCGGAGGAAGGAATCGATTCCTTGAGATCCAGTTTCATTTCTGTAACGTTGAGCAACTCCAAGAGCTTCTCAACATCGCTGTCCATCCCTTCAAGGTCGTTAGAGCTTAAGTTCAACGCCAGATTGTTGACCGATCCAGGCGAGGACGTTGACGAAACAGGAACAGACGTGTTTCCCGAGTTCGACTGATCTCCCGAAGAGCTGTCGGAGGACACCTTGGCGTCTGCCGGGTCCGTGGCGGCCAAATTCCGCTGGCTCATGTCAACAAGTGGTAGACAGGATATTTATTATTTCGCGTTTTCCAACGCGCCGCGAAAACATTTAGGGGCACAGCGTAAATTATGTGGATCCTTCTTTTTTACCCCCGCCCGAACACTTTAAGCGCCAGCATGTCCGACCAGTTTGTCGACAACGTCATCTATGCGACTCAAACGCTGTTTTGGATCCTGATTGTCAGCTTTGTTCTCAACCTCGTGATCCTGCTAATATTACTGTAAGTACTTTTACCACTCTGTACATCCGCCGAATTTGATAAACGTCATACTAACAGCAGAACCGACCACTTTGTGCTGGACAGCTGTCTGGTGGACAAGTTGCGTTCCGTGCTGTACAGAACTCCCAACACTCCACCCAATTCGTCGCTTACGGCTTCGTCCTCAAATGGCATTAGAGCGCAATTACCCGATTGGGAAACTCGGATAAGATAAGTGAAAAATATAACTCTCCCCGAGATCTTTCTTTCCACCACATCTTTTATTTTTCTTATGTTTTCCAGAGCATTCAGTCGTCACTATAGAGCCACCGTATTGAGATGGGCCGTTCCGGTCTCCGGAGTAGCCCTCGGGACCACTCTGCTGGCCACGTACTCGAAACCTGTCTTCAACGACACCAGAAGAAAAAAACGCATTGTCTTCCTTGATGACGAGGAGGACGACGACGAGGATCTCGAAGAGAAGAGAGAAAGAGAACGCCAAGAGGCAATTGCTAATAAACCTCCTCTCTCGTCGATATTCTCGCTCACGGATTTCGAAACCATTGCCAAGAAAGTGCTACCATACGGAATCTGGGGCTACTACTCTACTGGTTCCGATGACGAGATCTCGTTGAGAGAAAACCATTATGCTTACGGCCGGATTTTCTTTAGACCTCAATGTTTGATGGACGTTAGTGAGTGCTCTTTGGAAACAGAAATGCTCGGCACCAAAGTGTCCGCACCTTTCTACATCACCGCTTTTGCAGGGTCTCCTTCAGCCAATCCTCTTGCCGAAAGAGCTTTGAGAAACGCTGCTGGCCTTGAAAACATCATCCATCTTGTTCCGTTCCAACTGTCGTTCCCTGTCGCCGAGTACGGCGCTGGTGTCCTTCCAAGCCAGCAGAACTTCTACCAATTACATTTCTACACCCAGAAGCAGTTCGATGAGGCTCCACAGTTCCTCGAACAGCTGAAAAAAGACCTGCCTAGCGTCCGTGCCGTGTTTATCAACGTCGACCTGGCCGCTCTCGGTAACCGTGAGAAGGACTTCAAGATCAGAGCAAGTCTCGATCCGGACTCTGCCAGCGATGTTGAAGGGTATGCTGCCCAAGACGCGAAATATTTCACAGTCACTTGGGATCACATCAAAAAAATTAAAGAATCCACAGACTTGCCAATTGTTCTAAAAGGAGTGCTCAACAAGAACGACGTGCTTAAGGCGGCCGAGGCCGGTTTGGCTGGTGCTTTGATCTCCAGCCACGGTGGTCGTCAGTTGGACTTTGCTATGCCTACAATCGAGATCCTGGCCGAGAGTAAGCAGCTCCTCAAAGAGAAAGGACTCGATAAGAACTTTGAGTTGTTCATCGACGGAGGAATCAGAAGAGGTTCCGACATCATCAAAGCTCTCTGTTTGGGAGCCTCGGGTGTTGGTCTCGGAAGACCATTCCTGTACTCCTTGGCCAGTTACGGTGAACCAGGTGTTCAAAAAGCTATCCAGATCCTCAAGAAGGAGATGATCAGAGACATGCAACTACTGGGTGTCACCTCGATCAGCCAACTGAACGAGGACATGGTGGATATCACCTCTTTAAAGTACAAGGGCCTGCAAGTGAGAGACTCCTTGTATGATCAAAATTATACAGAAATGCCAGGACCAGTCTTCAAGACCGAGTGAGTCTATTTTTCTGGCTCCACGACGTTGGCTTGGCTCCATCCCATTCGCTGGTTCAAACGTTCATACTTTAGGCGGTCCTTGTCGCTCACGGAAGGTTTGACGCTGTCGAGTGCTTTCTCGAAATCGTGTCCCGTGACAACCACGTCATCACTAACTAGAACTTCTTCAATAGACTCATCTCCAACACCTATTCCCGTAAAGAACTTGCGTTTCAGCGAGATAACACCGGCCTCACGAACCAACGACGAAAGATCTGCTCCCGAGAAGTTTCTGCACCGCTCGTCGTGGGCCACGGTCGCCAGGTCAACGGTATTGTCCAACGGTGTACCGTTCGAGTGTATCAGTGTCGTCAAAATCTCTAGTCTTTCAGCAGCACTTGGAAGCTCAATGTAAAGCGTCTTGTCCAGTCTTCCTGGTCTCAACATGGCAGGATCAATCATGTCGGGTCTGTTGGTAGCTCCTATGACAAAGATTCCTTTTCTATCGTTCAGTCCGTCCAGCTCGGTCAGTAAGGTGTTCACCACTCTGGAACTCGATTCACTAAGCGAGGACTCTCTCTTAGGAACTAGTGCGTCCAGCTCGTCAAAGAATATGATGCATGGAACAGATGCTCTTGCTCTGGTGAACACCTGACGGACAGCCCGTTCAGACTCACCAACGTACTTGTTGAGAAGTTCTGGTCCCTTGACGGAGATGAAGTTCGCCTTGGACTCGTTGGCAACGGCTTTGGCAAGAAGCGTCTTACCGCATCCAGGTGGCCCCCACATCAAGACACCGGCAGGAGCAGTGATACCGACCTTCTCATAAATCTCTGGACGCTTGATAGGCTGCACAATGGCCATGTGGAGTTCCACACGCACTTTGGACAGTGCACCAACGTTGGACCAGGTGACATCGGGGATGGTTGCAAATCCTTCTCTTTTGGCCGAAGGCTGGATCTGGGGTAGAGCACACACAAAGTCCTGATGTTCGATGCAAAGCGAGCTCAGTTGTTCCGGCGTGAGGGCTGACGGGTGCTTGATCAAGAACTTCTGGATGATGGACAGTTTGTTGAACTGTGGGTTTCTATTGCTATCCTCAAGACTCTTCTCTGGGTTCTCGTCCAGTTCCATTCCGTCCTCCTTATCCTCTTCCTGCTGCAATTGAACTCCTTCCAAAAGAAGTCTTTGCTCCTCCTCCTCGCTCATCGACGTGAAAATCCGCTTGATAGCAGCAATTCCAGCTGCGGTGACCAGGGCCTTTAGGTCCGCACCCACAAATCCCGGAGTCATCTTGGCAATCGACATCAATTGAAGATCTCCGCTGAACTTGAGGTCCCTGACCATGCTTTCAAGGATTTTGAGCCGTGACTGTTCGTTTGGAACGTTAATGCAAATTTCTCTATCGAATCTCCCTGCTCTTCTAAGAGCCGTGTCGAGAGAATCAGGTCTATTAGTGGCTCCAATGATAATGACTGGCTTACCGTCCGTTTTCTCCAGCGATAACTCGTCCATGGAGGTAAGAAGTTGAGCGACAATTCTCCTTTCCATTTCACGCTGAGCACCACCGTCTCTTTTCGGGGTGATGGCATCGATCTCGTCAAAAAACACCAAACATGGTGCCAACTGTTTGGCTTCGTCAAAAATCTCTCGCACTTTCTTCTCACTCTCTCCCGACATCCCGCTCACCACTGACGGAGCGCTGATAGGAATGAACGGCACTTGGAGCTCGCCCGCCAGAGCGTTGGCAATAGTGGTTTTTCCGCAACCTGGTGGACCATGCAATAAAACACCCCTAGGTGGCTCTATTCCAGTAGCCATGTAGATCTCAGGGTGGAGAATCGGCATCCCCACAACCTCCATGAGCTGTGCAACCACATCGTCGAGTCCACCGAGATCGCTCAACGTACAAGTTGGAGGGGTTCTGTCTTTGCTAACTTTTGTTCTTTTGGCACTTTTGGAGCTTTCCTTAGACCGTTTCTTCGAGCTCTTCTCCTCTTTTTCTCCCGTTTCAACAGCCGGTTCTTGTTGATCCGTCGTTTTCCAAAGACTCACTATACTTTTGTTTGCCTGGTTTGTGTCTTTAACCTCCATCAAATCGTCCCGTTCCTCATCGTCTTCCTTTGACAGAGTGTCAGGGTTTATTCCCATACTTTTCATCTCTTCCTCCTCATCTTCGATTGCCAACTTCAGCACACGGTCTATAGAGTATCTAAGATGATCATCCTTGGTTCTGCTAAACGAACGGTCTTTGGTCTTGACATACTCGAATATTTGAATTAATGTGAGATCCTTGGCAAGAGCCATAGTGAGCGGTCCGTTGGTGACACCCTTTGCTTTCATTTTTTGTGTTTCTTCTTCCAAAAGGTTCATCACGTGGCTGTAGACCTTGTCGTCCATCTCCCGCTGGAGAGGTCCGTTTTTATGGACTTTTCCCTTGGCCATTGGATATATTTTTTTTTCCAAATTATTTTTTATTGTTTGCAGACTTATCTATTATTTCTTCCTGATGGGCAACACGGCGTCTGCGGGGCCCAAAATTACGTCTCAGGACAAGGCGATTTTGCAGCTTAAATTGCAGAGAGACAAGCTGCACAAATCGTCGTTGAGAATTCAAACCATCATTGATAGAGAGACACAGATTGCCAAGCAGAGTGTTAGACAGAACAACCGCAAGCGGGCTGTTTTGGCACTAAGAAAGAAGAAGTATCAGCAGAATCTGTTGGAGACTGTTGGAAAACAGGCAGATACTCTTGAAGAGCTGATCAACACCATAGAATTCAAGCTGATCGAGAAGGATTTCATTTATGGAATAGAACAGGGAAACCAGGTTCTGAAACAGTTGAACAAAGAAATGAGCATGGAGAAGGTCGATAAGATCATGGACGACTCGGAGGAGGGAATCAGGTACCAAGAGGAGCTGAGCGACCGTTTGGGAGAACTGATGTCCAAGAGTTTGGAGGACGAGGTCGATCTTGAACTGGAGCAACTAGAACAACAGGAGAGATCGAAACAGGATGTCTCCACGAAACTTCCAGATGCCGTCACGAACCCGCTTCCGGAAATCGAAACTCCGCAAGAACAACAGCCGGCTCAAGACGAACAACACGAACAACAACCCGCACTACTTCCTGCATAGCTGACATTTATTTACAAGGCCTCTTAATTAGTTACATTGGAACAGGTTCATCAAGCCATTCAAGGAACTCTGGCGTGAAATAAGAGATGATGATCCGGGCTCCGGCTCTGAGGAACCCATAGTGGGCTTCAAAGGCAATGGTTTTCAGGTCAACCACTCCTTTCTCTGCTGCGGCGTGCAACATGGCATATTCTCCACTGACATGGTAGCAACCAACAGGATAGTCCTGACAGATGGCGCTTGCCTCCTTGACAATATCGAGGTAGAAGGTAGATGGTTTCACCAATATACCGTCAGCACCTTCAGAGATGTCTCTGAGCAGAGCTCTTCTGGCCAGACCTTTTCCTCCAGAAGGAAGCTGGTAGCATTTTCTATCACCCTGACCAGGACTCGAGCAGGCTGCGTCTCTGAAAGGTCCGTAAAGGTTTCCACTAAATTTGGCGGAGTACGACATGACAAACGTCTTGTGGGCCAGGCCGGCGTCGACCAGACCCTGTTTGATGGCTTTCACACGGCCATCCACCATGTCGGAAGGAGCGACCGAGTTTGCGCCTGCTTTGGCATAGTTGACGGCCACGGCAGCCAATCTGCGGACAGAGAGTCTTGTGTTGATGGAGCCGTCCTCGTACAAGACACCACAGTGGCCGTGCGACGTGAACTCGCAAAGACAAACATCGCACATAATGTACAGTTCAGGGAAGGCTGCTCTGAGGGCCTTGATTGCCATGATCACAGGGCCGTTTGGATCGTCTGCGGCAGTTCCAACAGGATCCTTGACACCTTCTTTCAAAGGGACACCAAACAAAATGACTGCCTTGAGACCTTTTTTCACCAGACCACCAACGTATGGAATCAGCTTGTTGACGCCGAATCTCTTGATGTTCGGAAGAGAAGGAATTGGTTCTTCCTCGTTTTCCTTGTCGCTGACAAAGAGCGGAAAAATGAACATGTCCTTGGTGAGCTGTCTCTCGTGCTGCCACGAACGAAGCAGCGGGTGGTTGTATCCACCTTGCAAGATCGAGGAGATCTCGGTTGGTTGTTCAGGAAGATATTCCGCCGTGTGCATTTGGATAAGATGGAAAATTAAACTTGATTAAAAAAAAATCAAGATGCTCGCTTACAACTCAATTAGGAAATCGAACGAATTTTGGTGGCCACACATATTATTATATAGATAGTCGGTAATGCTATTTCTTGCGCTGGATATTGCGTCTGACATTGACGGACTTCGCTCCCTTGCCGGAACTCGTATAGGAGACGTACGGCAGTCTAGATTTGGACACCATTTTCGGCACAATCTCTTCCCATGGCATCTCAGACCGCCCTTTGGCCAGAATCAGCTTTGTTTCGTTGGCAGCCAGCGACGCCACAAGGTTGGAGATCTTGATCGGTGTGTACAGGTTGATGAACTTATTTTCTGTGTCGATGGAGTGGATCAAGGCCAGGCCGCGGAAAATCGCGGTAGCAGGGTCTAAAGAGCCACGGAACAGGTTGGGGTATGGCTCCAAAGAGTCGATCTGTCCCCGTGCGCTCATCTCGTCGTAGTAATTCTGGAACTCGTCGTACTCGAGCTCGAAAATGGCCACGATCTGGGTTTCCAGACACTCAATTAGGTCCTGCTGGTTGATGTTTGCCGAATCCAGGAAAAACACCCCTGTCAGTCCCGAAAAGCTCAGAATCTTGTCCCTTTTACCTGTGTCGATGTAGCTCACCTTGTACGGTGACTTGGCAAGCAACGGCTCAAAATCAAACCGTTTCTCTTGGTAGTTGTAGTGGAAATATGACAGAAATCTAAAGTTGCGTATCTGTGTGGGCGAGTAACGCACAATGTCGTATCCACGCGAGGTAAATGCAGGAACGAACACCAGTTTCTCGTACTTCAGACTGTTGAGAAGTTCGTTATCGTCGTCGCGACCATGTGAAAGGTATACAAGATGCGTAGGATTGACGGTTGCAGTGAGTTCCTTAAGAATCTCTATGCCAAACCCTTTGATCCATCCAGGGGAATTGATTAGCAGCAAGTCCGAGTCCATGTTGACCTGCTCTGCCAGTTGCTTTAGCTGTGAAATGTACTGCAACGGTTGTCGCTGTGGACTGTTGAATCCAATAAACCGAGCCTCCGTAGTGGTTTTGCGGGTGAACGGGAAATAGACACCATGAATTGGGTTTTCGTGTGATGTCAGTGAAATGCTATCTGGAAGAGAGTATTCAGGCTGTCCTGGGTCAATGTCCAAAAGCTTTGTGATTCCGAGTTCTCTAGAAAGGATCTGATCAAGTAAAAGTCGTAGAAATGTGGACTTGCCAGTATTTTTACCTCCAATAACCAAAACTCGTATGCTCTGGCTAGCTTCTGCGTCTTCGACCAGTCCATTCAATGCCGATTTCCAGTCCTTGTTGATGTATGTTCCAAGATTGTTGCTCGGTGTATGTAATAGTCGGAATGAGTAGCTGTAAAATGATTTTTCAAACTCCGAGCCAACAAACTCGTCGTTGTCCTCTCTATTAGGATGGATATTCTTCAACTGCGGATAGAGAAGACCGAGCTTCTCCAAGCCGTCGAAAACATTATCGATTCTAACCACAGATTTGTACTCAGAGCTGAATAGATGCTCGTTTTCGGGGCTGATGGTGTCTTCCACCAAACTGTGGTCGGTGACCTGGGCCGCAGAGATTATCGGAATGCTCGAAATCGGTAATGCGTGGATCTGTATCGGTTCCTGACTCGAGTGATAAAGCACAGAGTCTATCTGGACTGCTCCTCGCTGAATTTTCAGGCTATATTGTCCCTTAACCATGAGAAACTCCCCGGCATTCAGCCCAACAATCACATAATCCGATCCATAAATGACATTCTGAGCCGTAGGAGTAAACCTGGAGCAATTGATCACCACAGAAGCATTGGTCGCTGCAGAAACGGCTGGCACATACGGCTGCGCAACAGGCACCTCCTGCTGTCCAACGTCCGCAACAGCCGTCTGGGTCTCCTCATCAGACTGCTCGTACCTGATCAACTCGTCGTCGTCATCATCAACAGTGCTCAGAGCAGCAAAGGCACTGATGGAAGACCTCGACATACAACAATTTTTGATGTCGCACTAAACCGGTATGTTTTTTTTCTCTCCTAATTCAGTTCATTACGTAAGCCGGTTTGTGTCCAATAAAAAATGGTGAAAATACAACCCGCCGCGAGTAGCTCAACTCTTCGCGAAAGTCCCCGGTGGTAGGCAGGCTGGAAATTTTTTCTTAAAATCACCCTATACAGTCAGTAAATACAACGCATCATGAGTGAATCACAATACAAGCTCCAGACCCCAGGCTTCGACGCCAGATTCCCTCAACAAAACCAAACCAAGCATTGCTACCAATCTTACTTGGACTACCACAAGTGTGTTGCTTTGAAGGGAGAAGACTTTGCTCCATGTAAGGTGTTTTGGTCTACTTTCCAATCGTTGTGTCCAACCTCGTGGGTCGAAGAATGGGACGATCAAAGAAGCAACGGTACTTTCCCAGGTGATCTGAGTGTTGACAAATTCCGTATTGAAGCATCTTCTTCTGCTCCTTCTTCCGAGTCTCAAGAATAGAGGAAATACAGGTATAGACAAAAATATACATTTCGATAATGCGATATTGACATCAATTCGATTGGTACGACCAGCCAGCGGCGATCAGACTGGACTTGAGTGAGCCCAGATGGTCCAGCTGGTCCAGCTGATTTGACGATTGTACTGGTTCCGGGACTATGTGCAAGTATATGTAGAGGATCGGCATTTTGGACGGCTTTTGGATCTCCAGTGCCTGTTCTTGTTCCGAAAGTTGTTTCTGGTACTGTTTGTAGAGTAGTTGGTTAAACTGTGAGTGATTAGGGTGTTTTCTTTTAACTATTTCTACCACAGTGAGTAGTTTCTGGATACTCTCGTTTTCAGCCCAAAATACCCAGTTTGTTGGTGTTTCATTGCATTTGTCCAGAATCTCCGACAATTTCTCCTTAAGATGATCGTTTTTGCGGACCTGTGTCTCGTGCAAATTCGGCACGTTTTCAAGCTGTGTAGAAACAGCCTTGTCCATAATTCCAACCTAATTTTTTTTCCTGGCTAGTTTATTTCATGTCTTGTCACCATCAGCATTCCCACGGCGTTGCGCCAATTCCCACGAACGAGTCGCAGTCGTTGAACTCGGACGTGCTAACAACGCAGGTTTCCGCATTGAACATTGAAAATTCGCCCCAAGACCTGGCCAAACTGTTCAAAACCCAAACGACTAAATACCAATTGATCCCTGAGATCAGATCAGACGCAGACAATCAGTTTATTCTGCACATTCCGTTCCAAGGCTCGGTCAAACTGTATTCAATCATTCTCCGAACCGCTCGCCACCCAAACCATTGTCCGCGCACCATCAAATTGTACAAGAACCAGCCGTCTTTGGACTTTGACTCTGTGGGTACAACCAAGGCTACACACGAGATTGAACACCCGCAAATCGGTGTCGAGTTCGATGACGATCTACCCGAGGAGTTTGTTGCCGAGGACACGTTTGTGGAACATTATCTGCCTCGTAGACTGCTTACTGGAGTGACCTCGTTATCTATTTTCTTCCAGAATAACTGGGCAGACGACGACGACGAGGTGCTGAAACTTTACTCAGTCGAGTTACGCGGAGAGTTCACTCCATTGACCAAAGATCCGGTGGTCACGCTCTACGAGTCTGCGGCCAACCCCGCGGACCATAAAAACATGCTGTCGCAGGAGACTAAAAACTACCAGAATTTATAGCGACGCGAATTTTATAGCATTTATTTATCTTAATGACCGTTCCGTTCCCAGACATCGATCCATACAAGGAATTGGGGTGCGAGCAAAACGATGCTCCTCCGGCTATCAAGAAGGCCTACTACAAGCTCTGTTTGAAGTACCATCCCGACAAGTTGTCGGAGAAAGATCAGGTCAAGTATAAAACCAAGTTTGAGAAGATCCAGTTTAGTTACCAAGTTCTGGGTGACCAGAAAAGACGCGAACGGTACGACAGAACAGGGAATCTGGACGAAAGTGTTCCCGATGACGATGATTTCGACTGGTACTCGTTTTTCCAGGAGATGCGGAACTCTGACGTGAAAGTCACTTCTGAGCTGATCCAGAAAGATAAAGAGAGCTATCAGGAGTCTCACGAGGAATACGAGGATGTTTTAGAGACAATGATCTACTACCAAGGAGATTTTCTCAAGCTGTTTGAGACAATCCCGCATTTGGAGTTCGGGGACTCAGAAGAGGCCCGAATGTACAAATTGGTGAACCAGATGGTTGAAGCCGGCGATTTGCAGGATTACAAAAGATGGCAGAAATACGTGAAGAATCGGGTCTCTGAGAAGAAGAAGCTGGCACGGAAGTTGAGGAACGAAAGCGACGAGGCAGAAGAGGCTCTTAAAGAGATCAACGAGAAAAACAAACACAAACTGGACGGTTCTGAGGACTCGCTCCGACAACTTATACAGTCGAAAAAATCGCACACTTTTGACGATCTGATAGCCAAATACTCTCAACCGACAAAAGCCACGAAATCCAAAACAAAACGCTCAAAGCCTTCCGAGTACGACCTGGACGATTCCGAGTTCGACAAGATCCAGCAGCGCCTGAAGAAGCACAAACAAAAATGAAACCGGCCCCAATGGCCGCCCTACGCGGAATTTTACTAAATCTGCTACAAAATTTCTGCCCGCACACGGGTAAAAAAAATTAGATAGTTATGTTGTTTTGAAGTGGAAGGGATAGTATCAGTTTGAAAATTAATACGTTTTGGATTATCGTGTCTCATACATTTCTACACGCCCAAGTAACACACATAAAATCTGATTGTTTCCGACTCTCTTGACTCCATAATAACCGGAAATTATATATTAACAACAATACAGCAAGTTCCCACTAAGTTGTCCGAAAACATGGCTTCTCCCGACCAAACCAGTCCAAACTCGGTTTCAAAAGGTCCGTGTGTCAACTCTATCAGATTCCCGCTGTCTAATATCAACCTGAGCTCGGTTCTACCCGACTCGCGTGAAGCACTCGACCACGCAACTGAACTTCGAACGGACACCGCGCATGACAACGACACCGACTCCCGAACTTCCAGAAAACGCCTCAATACAGGAGGGTTTGTGATAGAGTCTGCCGACTCCGAAATGACGGATCTCTCTGTCGACGGAAAGATTATCGTCAACAAAACAGGCTCGAGTCCTCCGAACAAAAAGAGACTTGTCGACAACATCCCGGTCGGCACTCCTTCCATGACCTCTCCTACGGCGTCGTCTGCAGGAAGCTCAGATACCACGAAATTGTCAACGCCATCAAACTACGTCATCAACACCTCGTCCAACTTCAGCGACGAGCTCCAGCAATTGCCACTTCCCTCGCCTAGCGCGTCCCCGATACAATCTGGCAACGTGCAGGAGCTGGACGAGTACGCCTCCGAAAGCCAACCCGTTCAAACTGTTGAGCAAAAAGCAGAGCTGGTCAAGCTCATTACCCAGATGATCAGCATGCTTCCTAGTGGCTCCTCTGAAATCAACCATATTCTCTGGTCCCTGCTTCAAAAAACCGATAGAACAGCATTGTCCACGTTCCAGGACCTCATACGGAGCTCGCTCAGGAAAGATTTGGTCACGTTGTTGCCATCCGAAATCACCATGAAGATCTTTGGCTATCTCGACTATGTGTCGCTATCGAAAACCTCTGAAATTTGCAAAAGCTGGCAAAAGATTGCCATGGAGAGCTACGATTTCTGGAAAGACTTGCTTTTCCGAGACGGATTCATGACCAGTGCCGAAGAGTTTGATGGTGAATACAACTGGATGAAAAATATCCACCAAGGTCTCAACAGTTGCCAACTCACTAAATTGATGTACAGACGCCGACTTGCGGTCGGCAAAAGATGGAGAGATCCCAGCTTCCAGCCTCGTCGTATTACTTTGCCAGGGCAGGGCCCCAATGTAATTACATGTCTGCAGTTCGACGACGAAAAGATAGTTGCTGGTTCCGACGATCATACCATCACCATCTACGATACAAACACCGGTAAGCTTAGATCTGTGCTCTCTGGCCATACAGGAGGAGTGTGGGCAATGAAATACCTGGGAAACATCCTGGCTACAGGAGCCACAGACCGTACGGTGCGGATCTGGAATATCAAGCAGGGAAAGTGTACCCATATTTTCCGTGGTCACACCTCTACTGTGAGATGTCTGGACATCCTGGAACCTAAGCAGATTGGAGTCGATGACGAAGGAAACCCGATCATGTTCCCCAAGACTCCACTGGTGGTGACTGGCTCTAGAGATTCGACTCTTTATGTCTGGCGACTACCAATCACTGGAGAGGACGACAAGCTGCCAGACGAGCCAGTCGATCTGGATGAGAACTTCAACAAGTATTTGGTGAAGGTTCTGCGTGGCCACAACGGACCTATTCGCGCCGTTTGTGGGTTCGCCAACGTCCTGTTGAACGGAAGTTACGATACCAATGCCCGTGTCTGGGACCTCCGTACTGGAGACTGCAAATGGGTGCTTTCTGGTCACACCGACAAGATTTACAGCTGTGTCTTGGACGTGAAGAAAAACCGGTGTGTAACGGGTTCTGCCGACAACACTGTGCGGATCTGGGATCTGAACACTGGCGAGACAACCGCCATCTTGGAAGGCCACCAGAACCTTGTTGGACTGATCACTCTTTCCGAGAACGCATTGGTGTCTGCTGCGGCAGACTCGACGGTGAGAATCTGGGATCCTAACACGGGAGACGTGAAACACGTTTTGCGTGGCCACAGCGGTGCCATCACGTGTATCCAACACAACGACAACTTCATTATCTCCGGCTCCAATGGAATGGTGAAGATGTGGGATACACAGACCGGTAAGTTCATCAGAGATTTGCTTGACGACGTGGACGGCCAGGTTTGGCAAGTGAAGTCTGACTTCCGCCGGTGCATTGCTGCTGTTCAGAAGAACGACCGCACCTACATCGAGATTCTGGATTTCGGGTTCCCCGATGCTGCTACCGTTGATGAGGATCTTGATCAGATTATGTAAGCTTCGAAAATATTAAGATAAAAAAATATTTGGAAAAAAAAAATTGGTTAGTCTTGAAATGGATCCACGGCAGTATCTGAAGAGCTATGGCTGGATCGAGGGAGAGGCTTTTCGGAAGGGGGCTTTGAAGAAGCCGATTCTTGTCAAGCACAAGAAGAATGCGTACGGAATTGGCCACGGGAGCTCTCAGGCGGAGGCCTGGTGGGAAAAGATGTTTGACGGGCAGCTCAAGTCTCTGGATGTGAGCAGCGACAACGGCAGCGTGACGTTTGCACAGGACGAGGAGTCCATCAGGCAGTTCAACAAGAGTCAGTCGCAGCTTTACAGAATGTTTGTGAAGGGTGGAGTGCTTGAAGGAAGCATCAAAGGGGAGCAGCAGAAGCAGCAGAAAGAGGAGCAGGACGGCCAGCTGATGATCTTTGATTTGGGGGAGAAGAAAAAGAAGGGCAAGAAAGGAAAGTCAAAGAAGAAGGAAAAGAAGGAAAAGAAAGGTAAGAAAGAAAAGTCCATCAAGTCAAAGGATAAATCTAAGAAGTCTAAAACCAAGGCCAAATCCAAAGACAAGATCTCGTCAGGAAAGATCAAGAAATAATTTCTACGCATTGCATTTTCGATACATCCGCATACTTAATGTACATCTATATTGATCCGTCGTCCAGACGCTTCACCTGGTGGTGGACCTCGGCGAACTCGTTGGCCAGCTCCACAAACAGCTTGAACTCCTCCTTCAGCGTGCTCACAATGGTCTCCAGTCCGTACGCGCCCGATGGCCCGCCGCTCAAAGAGCTTCTGTCCAGGTCGTTGACAGAGTTCTCCACCTCCTGCAAAACCAGCTGGTATTTGTCGATGTTCTGTCTGAACTCTTCAATTTTAGAGAGATAATAGGAATTAAGGATTTGGGGCACATTGACATGGGAATCCTTCTCCAATTGCTGTTGAGAGTTTCCCTGTTGAGACTGAATAGATCCCGCAGTCCTTATTCCATTCACACCAATGATCTGGGTGATAGTGCCGTCTGTACTTTTAGTTTGATCAGAATTGGAAGAAACTCCAAGAAGCATTGGGTTCGTGAGCTGTAGATACACCTTGATGAGTTTCTCGACCCAATTGTCGAAACTCTCGAGCGTTTTGTTTTTGAACCCCCCAACAAACTCGAGATCGCTGTTGAGTGCTTGGTTTGTAGAAAAGTACCGCTTTTCCAAGAAATCAATGTCTCTTGGTATGCTGCTGATAAGTTCTTTGTGCACGTCTTCGTCGTTTTTCAGTCTCTCCGCAATAGCAACCTGGGTCTGGATGTATTGGTCCAGCTGCTCCAGTTCTTTCTGAAAAGCTTCAGGAAGATCGCTCACTTTGGTTATTGGGTTTAATGGAGGAACTTGGGACTGTGCAGTGTTGTTCTGCTGTTGGTTTCCAAAAAGACCACCTGAAGTTCCTGTATTGTTGTTGTTTTGCTGTCCAAACAATCCCCCAGTGTTGTTTTGTTGGTTGGACCCAAATAGTCCTCCAGTGTTGGACTGCTGATTAGATCCAAACAGTCCTCCAGAGTTGGTTTGCTGATTAGATCCAAATAGACCGCCCGATGTCGACTGTTGGTTCGATCCAGAGCCAAAAAGACCTGGCTGCGTGTTTGTGGTAGAAGACTGTCCAAAAAGTCCGCCTGGCTTGTTACCAAACAACCCAGTCGAAGTGTTCGAGTTAGTGTTGTTGTTTGCTCCTCCAAACGAGAAACCGGTATTAGACGTCTGGCCTGCAGTGTTGTTCGCTCCAAAAAGACCTCCCGATGCCGCTGCCGGTTGCTGACCTGTCTGTGCTGTATTCTGAGTGTTTGGGTTGGCGCCAAAGGAGAATCCCGTGGATCCTGTAGATCCTGTTGTGTTTGATTGATTAGTGTTTCCAAACGAAAAGCCGGGTTTAGAAGCAGTCGAGTTGTTCTGGCCAAACAGACCGCCTGAATTCGAGGTGTTCGAGGTCAATCCTGTGGAATTGCCCGAGTTGTTGCCAAAAAGCCCCGTCGAGCCCGTCGAGGCAGGGTTGTTGCCTCCAAAAAGCCCGCCTCCCGCGGCCGGCTGCGAACCCGTAGACGCGTTGTTCTGGGTGCCCCCGAACGTCAACGCGGGCTTCTGTGCCGTGTTTGACCCAAACGAGAATCCTGACCCTCCAGAATTGTTGCCAAACATTGTTAATGTCTTGAAATAAAATGTCAATATTTTTATTCAAAACTGTATTTCGTGTGCCGGGTAAAACATGGCTTGCCACGAAACTTGTCGATTGTCGAAATTATTGAACTTCAAACATAAGACAATTTTCAACCTTTAATTAGCAATGGGTAGGTATCCAAACCAACTTGTACAAAACTAACATTCAGGTATCCCGAAGTTTTTCCGGTTTATCTCTGAGAGATGGCCGTTGATATCCAACGAAATTGACGGAACCACTCCAATCCCAGAGTTTGATAACTTGTATCTTGACATGAACTCTATTTTGCACACATGTACGCATACGAATGACAGTTCGCTGTTGAGAATGACCGACGATCAGATGTTTGGGGCTATTTTTGCCTATATCGACCATCTGTTCAACATCATCAAGCCTCACAAGGTGTTCTACATGGCAATCGATGGTGTCGCCCCAAGAGCCAAGATGAATCAACAACGTGCCAGACGGTTCAGAAGTGCCGTTGAGGCAGAAGAGAACTTGGAAAAGGCCATCAAGGAGGGTAAAGAGATCCCAAAAGAGCCTCCGTTCGACTCCAACGCAATTACTCCCGGCACGGAGTTTATGGCCAAATTGACACAAAACCTCAAGTTCTACATTAACCAAAAAGCCTCTACAGACTCAAGATGGCAGAACGTGCGTATAATTCTGTCGGGACATGAAGTTCCCGGTGAAGGAGAACACAAGATCATGGACTTCATTAGAACCCAAAAGGCCCAGCCAAAGTACGACCCAAATACCAGGCATTGTGTCTACGGTCTGGACGCCGACCTTATCATGTTGGGTCTTGTTGCTCACGAGCCCCATTTTGCACTTTTAAGAGAAGAAGTGACGTTTGGTCCTAAAGCTCAGACTCCAACAGACGACTTGACCAAGCAAACTTTCTTCTTGCTGCATATTTCTTTAGTGAGAGAATATTTGGAGTTGGAATTCCAGGAATTGCAAGACCAAGTGTCTTTTGACTACGATTTCGAACGAATCATTGACGACTTCATTTTGATCATGTACATGTTGGGAAATGATTTCCTTCCAAACTTGCCAGATCTGCATCTTAATAAAGGTGCCTTCCCGCTTTTGATTGAGACATTCAAAGAGTCCATTAAGGACATGGACGGTTACATTAACGAATACGGAACTATAAATTTCCAGAGATTGGGCAAATGGCTCGAGTATCTTTCGGTGTTCGAGCTTGAGAACTTTGAGAAAGGTGAAGTTGATGTTGAATGGTTCAACAAGCAGCTGGACAACATTTCCAAGCAAGGTGTCAAGAAGAGACTCAGACAGGGAAAAGAGCTGGTTTTGAAACACCAAAAGAAGGTGGTCGGTCTGATCAGAGAGTGGATTTACCGTATTTACTCCAGCAAGTTCGATGTCAGAGAACTGTTGCAGGATGAGTCGAAAGTCCCTGAACTGCCGTTGCCTCGTGAATTCTTCGACAGCGACTTCAACAAGGACTTTATCGGCAAGTTCCTCTTTGAGTTGGGCGTCGCTGTGATTCACAGCAAGTCCAAAGACACCTACACCGCTAAATTGGACGTTGACGGTCTCAATCCTGACTGGACAGACGAGGAGTACTTTGAGAAAGTCGACGAGATCAGAAAGACTATCAAGAAATACCAATCTGCCATTGTGGTGGAGGACGAAGAGACTCTGGAGTCTCAGAAGGATCTGTATGATACCAGATTTGTGAAGTGGAAGAACCAGTACTATAAGCAGAAGGTTGGATTCACTCTGGATGACGACGAGAAGATCAAAGACATGACAGAGAACTATCTTGAAGGTTTGCAATGGGTTTTGCATTACTACTTCAACGGTATTTGCTCTTGGCCGTGGTATTACAGATATCATTATGCTCCTCGTATTTCCGATGTCAGCAGAGGTTTGCAAGTGAAGATCAACTTCGAAAAAGGTCAACCATTCAAGCCATTCCAGCAATTGATGGCTGTTTTGCCAGCCAGATCCAGACAGTTGATTCCTACTGTTTATAGACCGTTGATGACCGATCCAACGTCGCCAATCATTGATTTCTACCCTGATGACTGTGCGATTGATATGAACGGAAAGAAGGCGTCATGGGAAGCCGTTGTTTTACTTTCTTTTGTTGACCAGAACAGACTGATCGAGGCTATGGCACCGTACGACTCTAAACTGTCTCCTGAGGAGAAGATTAGAAACAGTTTCGGCAGCGATCTGCAGTTCCAATTCAACCCTCAAATCAAGCATTTGATCAAGAGTCCTCTTCCAGCATCGTTCAATGACTTTGAGTCGCACTGCACTGAAGTGGAGTACCACCTTCCTTCTGTTGATGGTCTCAAATTCAGATATGGACTCTGTGAAGGTGCCAAGTCGGGAAGAGAAGCTTTGGCCGGGTTCCCTTCGTTGAAGACGATTCCATTGCAGTACAACTTGGAGTATGCTAGTGTTTTGGTTTTCCAACAACCGTCCAGAGCCATGACTCTTATCCTTACGTTGGAGAACCTGTTCAAGGATCTCACCGTGGAACAATTTGCCAAGGAACGTGTTGGACAGATAGTTTACACCAAATGGCCTTTCCTCAGAGAGGCCAAAGTTATTAGTGTTACAGACAATTTGATGAAATACGAACGTGTCAAGACAGGTTCTGTGTTCAAGGTTGTTTCTTCTCCACTGGAATCATTTGAGAGAGACGACTTTGAAAAGACGAGATCTCACATCTACAATAGACTCCAGACCAAACAAGGTGTGAGATTCGAGACTGTGGATTCTTCTAGTGAAGAGTCTTCTTCCAAATCAAAGTCTCACAACAAGTCCAATCCTATTGAGGGACTAGTTTATGTTAGAGCTGTGAATGGATTGATCAGAAATGAACACGGAGCATTTGTCAAGACATACTCCAATGAAGTTGAAGTTTATCCTATCCAGTTGATTGTTGATGAGGTGATCAACAAGGACACCAGATTCGAGGCCAGACCACCTGTTCCTATTGAAGAGGAGTTCCCAGTTAGTTCGACGGTTGTTTTCCTTGGTGCTTTTGCTTACGGTACTCCTGCTGAGGTTGTCACTCACGAAAACAACAAGTTGACTTTGAAGGTGTCCAAGATACCTAAAAAAGCGGAGCCTAACTTTGGTTTAGTCAGAGCCAAGCAGGAAAGAGAGGCCATCAGATACCATCCTTCGTCGAATGTTGCCAGAATCCTGAGAATCAGTCCGCTGTTCCTGTCCAAGTTGACCTCGTCGTATTCTGTTGAGGGACCAACCGGCAGAAGATTGGATCTTGGTCTTCCACTCAAGTTTGAAGGAAGAAAACTCAAGGTTCTTGGATACACCAAGAGAAACGACAGATTCTGGGAGTATAGTGATTTGGCAATTAGTTTGATCCAGGAGTACATGAGGAAGTTCCCTGACGTTTTCAAAGCTCTGATGAACCACAAGTCGTCATCCATTCCTCGTGCTAGCGAGGTGTTCAAGATATCTGAGCCAGATAAACTCAAGGCCAAACTGGACGCTATCAACGCTTTCCTGAAAGAGAAAAAGTCCACTTTTGTCACTGTGAGCTTGGAGTCTGAGGCATTGACCAAGATCGGTATTGCTGAGGTTGAAGATAAGATCATCGAGTACTCCAACAGTCCACAGGCTGTGGATACCAAGGGAATCAAGGGAATTCCAAGAAGCGCGGTTTTGGTTCCTTCGCAGTCGTTCCAACTACTGAGAAAGCAACATTTCTCGCTTGGTGACCGCGTGGTGTACGTTTTGGACTCTGGAAACGTTCCGCTATTCTCCAAGGGAACCGTGGTTGGAATCAGATTGCTTGAGACCAAGGTGGAACTACAAGTTCTGTTTGACCAGCCAATCTTGACCGGTAACAAGTTTGACGGCAGATTGAAGACACAGAGAGGACTGACCTTGGACTCGTCTGTTTTGTTGAACATCACAGACAAGCAGTTCATCTTCCATTCCAAGGCATCTAAGAAGGTCAGCCAGGGAGATAAGAGCGAGGCCAAGAAACGGTACTTGTTGAAGAAGAAGCAAGAGAAGGAGAACGAGACCAAGACCAAGAAGGAGCTGCTGAACGTGATCAAGAAACAGGAGCCTTCTTCGGAGACTCCTTCAGAGCCTGTCAAGCCTGCCGAGTCTCAGCCTGTCCCAACTGCTAGTAAGAACGGAGTTGCACAGAACGTGTTCAACTCTGTCTTGGGCCAAACTTTGCTGCCAAACGCACAATACGGTGTTCCGTTCCCTGTGAAAACCAACGCCAATGCCTCACAGGAATTGATGGGACTGCTGAATGGCCAGAAGGCCGGTCAGTCAAACGTTTCTAAATAAATCGTTCTGAATCGTGTTACTCTTGTATTTTATCATATATCTTCCTGTAGCGTGTACTTGAGCACCTCCTGCTGCCTGAGTTCCTGCTGACGGTTGAACCAGCGCTGTTCAAACCCGTTGGTGCGGTCCACTCCGTCCCAACGCCAGCCGGGCCGGATACCAAACCTGTTATCAGGGTATCCTGTTTCGTCGTACAATTTGCGGCCTGTTGCGCTTAAGTTCGAATTCAGTTTCCGTTTCCGGGTCTGAACATTTGTGTCAAACAACAGTGCCGGGTCGTCTTCGCTAATGGTCTGTTTGAGCTGTGATTCCTTGGACTTTTCAGTTTCTGTTCTCAGCTCTTCAAGACGCTGCTGTTGCTGTCTCTTTTTGATTTCTGTGTACTCGCTCTCGTTGAGCTTTCTGATCTCCTCGCGTTTGCGTTCTTCCTCGGCTTGTTTGTCTGCAGAAGGATCCTGCGGCATCGAGACCCGCTTACCGGAAGCGTCTCTGTAAACCGTCTCTACCTTTGTAGGGTCGTACTGTTGGTTGACCCTGGTCTTTTCCTCGTCGAGTTTCCGCTGTTTCGACTCAACAGACTGTCTGATCTGGTCACTGGTCTGCAATCCGGCAAACGAGCCGTCCTGCATCAGTTTGGGTCGCGTGTCGATAGTCTGTTTGGTCTCCACGGTAGTCCATCCCTTGGAGACCGGTTTCTGTTCCACCAAAACAGGCCCGTCCTCGGACTCAGACACTTCGGACTCAGATTCCTGCTCCTGTGTATCCTCAGAGGCGTACTTGCGCAAATAATCCTGTAAAGACATGGCCAGTTTGAAAAAGGCCGATCGACCTAAAATTGCCAAAAAAAAGTCTCCTTTACAAAAAACACATACATCATGGACAGCTGGAGAAGAATAGACATTGACCAATACGACCCGGACTACCAGTACGAGGCGGACCCAATTGACGCCCCAGCATACACGGTGCAGCAGCTGGAGCCGCTTCTGGGCGAAATCCGCGGCAGTATCTCCAGAGGCGACTCCGTCGGAGCCATCAAGCTGTGTGTTGCTGACCCTCCGTACGGGTCGGACGCCGCCGCAAAGACCGCCTACTTGCAGTCGGTGTTGAGCGTGCTGGTTTCTGTGAAACAGACCGAGATCCCGAACATTGTGAAAGGTCTGGACGTTGACGAAACAGACACCCTGGTGAAACTTTTGTATTCGCTCATGAGCCTCAAAGAGGGCCAGAAATCGGGAGGAGCGCTGCTCGGATGGTTCGACAAGGTGGTGGGGATCGTCGGAGAACGTCCGATTGTCAGTTATGTGAACAGTTCCCTGACTTTGTAAGATAGAATACATTGCGTCGACGTCGCGTCGAGACTTTAAAAAGATAGGCTATGTCGATGAGGAGGTGGCTGTAGCAAAATAGTACGCTGACGGCTAATTTACGCGACCCGGCTGGTATATATAGGGGTTGGTGGCGATTCTGGACAGTCTGTTGAGTTTTGCATCATGGTTCAAAGAGGTGACAGATTTCCTATCAACGTTGACAGTCTATTCTACTCGTCCCCAGAAGGCGAGCCTAAGCCGTTCGATCTCAAGACCACCACCAAGAGCAAGAAGTTTGTTGTTGTGAGTGTTCCTGGAGCCTTCACTCCCCCTTGCACCAACCAGCATCTGCCAGAGTATGTTAAGAAAGTGCAGAGTTTTGCAACCAAGGGAGTTGATTTCATCATTATTTTGACGCAAAACGATCCGTTTGTGCTCAAAGCATGGAAGGAGAAGCTTGGAGCCAGCTCCAACAAGCTGATCTTTGTTTCTGACCCTCAGCTCGAGTTGACCAAGAAATTGGCTCCGCCAATCGACCTGAGCGATCTCGGACTCGGAAAACGGTCCAGCAGACTGGCATTGATTGTCAACAGAAGCGGAATCGTCGAGTTTGTGGCCAACGAAAACGGCGGCGACGTCAACGTGTCCACGGCCACCAAACTATTGGCCAAGCTGTAGCTGGTTATAATAAGTAATTAGTTAAGGAATTTTTCGTTTAAAATATTACATACACTTTTATGTCCAGCGACACTGAGAACCCTTGGGTGGACTCTGCTCCTGTTGCGAGCTCGAGCTCGAGCCTGGAGGTTGCGAAGCCCGATCCAGCCTCGTTTGTGATTGGCTTGTGCATCGTGGACTTCGACCACGTCAAGGGTCCCGAAATAGAGTACTGGTTAGACGATAAAACCAACGAGTACAACCAGGCGTCGATGGCGGCGAAGTTTTCGAAAATATGGCCCCAGCTGCCGTTCCAGGGTCTTCCGGACGGTGCGCATCTGTTTGACGAAACGTTTACGAACTTTACGCTGGTTTACGACGAAAAACTACAAACCTGTCCGCCATTGCCTGCTGAACAGACGTCTTCCGAAACCAACCTGATCACGCTGTTTGGGTGTGCGTGTGTGCGCCAATTGAACAGCAACGAGCTTCAGGACGGCGCAGACTTCAAAAGATCCGTGATCCAGAAGAGCGTTGTTCTGATAACACGATACCCTATCCCCATACAACTAAAGGAGAAACTGAGCATAATTACCACGAGTTACTTCAACCAGCATGATTTCCACGACAAATCGATCATCAAGGCGCTTTACGACAACCTGGCCATCGTGTACAACTCGCACGGGTTCGAGGTCGAGGACGACGACCTGTACGACACCGTTGTTAACCCGGCCAGCACCAAGATCATCAAGGAGAGCGATTTCTACACGGGTTTGAACCTCAAGGAGCTGGTCACCATGTTCAAGCGCAATCTGCTTGTCATTTTCAAAGGCGTGCTGCTCGAGCAGCGCATTTTGGTGTACTCCAAGAACCTGAACCGGCTGTCAAACTTCCAGTACTCGCTGCTATCGCTGATCCCGAACCTGCTGCTCAGTCTGTCCGATAGTGGAACGCCGTTGACAGGACTCGAGGCGGGCTCGATCGAGAAACCAACATCTCTACGGAGCAGCGATCGACACTCGATGCTGGCCTTTATGGGGCTCCCGTTGCAGATCTTCAGCAAAGGCGGGTTTTTCCAGCCGTACCTGACCCTGCAACAAATGGACTACCTCACAAACCCAAACACCAAATGGTATCTTGTTGGGTGCTCGAACGATATCATTTTGGACCAAAAGTCCAGACTCGCAGATCTGGTGGTGAATCTCGACGACTCAAGTGTGGAAATTGTCGATGCCTCACTTAAAGATAAGCTTGCTCTTAGTGCCACAGATCGCAGATTTATTGACAGCCTGAGCGAAGAGGTGCTTGCCACAGATGACACCACAGTGAACCTGGCCAACAGCCCGATGGATTCGCAATCGTACCGAGGAGGAGACGACTTTATCAGGTACAATTTCGAAGACTATCTAATTGGGATGCTGTCGTGCCTGAAATACGATAGTTTCCGAAAAACGTCAAAGCTCGAGAACTTACACCAACTAAGCTCATTTACGAACGAGGTGGAGTATTTTGGTAATTCATTTGTGGCAGCATTTAAAGCCACAAACGCATACAGGATTTTTGACCGCGGAACCGACGATGAGCTTTTTAATTTTTTCGAGCCTAAACACGTCGGGTCCGGGATGGAGCGAACCAACGTGCTCAAGTCGTTCTTCAACAAAATCAAGGAGGACGACCGTCGGTACCTGCCGGGGATATTCAATTTCAGACGAACCGACAAGACTAGCTAGGTTTCTACATAAGACTAGGTGGTGGTCTTTTTTTTTCGAAAATTGCATGCAACCTGTGTCAAAATGGCAATTTCGGGCAGTGCGGCGGTCTGAAAGCCGTCTCATAAAAGGCACACAAAGTTTTTAGTCTGGACAAAATAGCCTTATAAGTTGGTCCTAGTAACCGGTTTAGTAGTCATTTGAAATCTCCGGCTCTCTGTTTGCGCGTTTTAAGCCAGGCGCCGTGCTGTTGACAGGTTTATCTTATCTCTTATCTGACATTTTTTTGTCGTGCAGATACTTATCTCCTCGAGATAACGGCAATAATCTGCCACAAATTAAGCAACTAGTTTTCTTGGAATTCCTCCTCTTCGCCTTCGTCCAGGACACGTTTTCTTCTTGCTTGATGCTCCAAAACGACCCATCGAACCCCGTGAACTATCCTATCCAGCCGATCCCGCCAGCCACCTCGGCCAGGATCCCGAAGGATCAGCAGGAACTGGTCCCTGTGGCTTCTGCGATCACAAAACGAAAGTACTCAACCTCCATCGACCCCCGCAACTATCTGACGGTGTTTGAATACAAGATCAACGATTCTTGGATCATATGGGACTACTATTCCGGCTTGGTTCACCTGACCGGCCTTTGGAAAGCCATCGGTAATTCCAAGGCAGATATTGTGAAACTCATCGACTCCTCGCCCGAGCTTGAGCCGGATCTCAAACGGGTCCGTGGAGGCTTTTTGAAGATCCAGGGCACCTGGATTCCGTTCGAAATAGCCCGTAAGCTGGCTTCTCGGTTTTGTTACAAGATCAGGTACGCGTTAGTGCCGATGTTCGGTGAATCCTTTGTCGACGAGTGTTTGAAACCGTACGAGAAAGGTTTCGGAATGTTGCGTTTGAAAGTCAGTGACGAAGAACTCAAGAAGAAGAGAAGTATCCGGCACAAGAGAACCACTTCGAACGGCTCGATCTCGACCGCGGCAGCCAAGGTCGGCAAAAAGCCACGGTCCTCGTCTCAGGATATCGGGTATCAGAAACTGTTACCCCCTCTCTCGCCAGACATCATTTCTCGATACCAAGCTCCGAAATCCGAGTTCTTCTCTTCTACTAACCAGCCCGTGCCCACTCCGAGAGTGTTTAAGATGGAACCTATCCAGCCCAAGGCAGACGGCCTCCTGTCAGTGTTGCGGGCCGCCCAGAACTTGGACGCCAATCCTTTCTACGCCTCCACTGCACTCCGACCATCCTCCACGCCGCTGTCGTCCTCGTCCACGACGTACTCGTCATCCTCCTCGGTTTCTTCTGCGGAATTCCCGATCAGTCCTATCGCCTCCTCAGCTTCGCTCATGCAATCGCAGTATCAGTATCAATATCCTCCTCGGGCCCTTGAAACTTCTTTCCGCTCCAAGCTAGAAGCTCCAGCAGCCTCCGAAACTGATATAAAGCGAAAAATGAGTATCAGCGATCTACTTATATAACTACTATTTGAATTCACCTCTTTGTCTAGCTATCCCTAAATAAAATTAAGGCTGTGCTGGTTTCAATTCCAGTTCCGCCAGGTCCCCTCCGGTAGGTAACAAACAATTTGATTAAATAGGCTTTTTTGCCTGCACAATTTCAAATTATATTCCGCCACCAACGCGCTCCAAAGCTTTGTCACCGCTGAATCGAACCCTTAGCTCATCAATTTGCACCTGTCAAGCTTCCTGCCCGGTTTTGAGTCCGCCTTCTATCGCGTCGGATGCTTTCTGAATCATTTGTCACACTCTTGACCAGTGACGGGCTTTCGTATCAGCAAATCACGTTTCTCACGTTCCAGGCTGTTGTTGAGGTTGTTCTTATCTGTTTATCGGGTTTTTGGGCCGCCAGAACGGGTCTTTTAAATAATGAAGCAACCAAAGTCATTTCGAGGCTCAATGTTGACCTTTTCACGCCAGCCCTTATCTTTACCAAACTCGCATCTTCCTTGTCGCTGAAGAAGCTTCTCGAGGTTATCATCATCCCGATCCTCTATGCCATCACAACCGGTGTTTCATACGTCGCCTCCTTGTGGACTTCTAGCGTATTGGGCTTATCAGAGCCCGAATCCAATTTCGTGACAGCCATGGCTGTTTTTGGCAACTCAAACTCTTTGCCCGTCTCTCTCACGCTAGCGCTTGCTTACACTCTTCCGGGACTCGAATGGGACGATGTCGAGGACGACTCTCCGGACCAGATCGCGTCCAGGGGACTTATTTATCTGCTTATATTCCAGCAACTGGGCCAAATGCTCAGATGGTCCTGGGGATACAACAGCTTACTGAAAAAACAGCAACCACTTTTGCTCCCCATCGAAAGCCCCGATTCGGATCCTGAACGTCAAGCTTTAACACCAGATAGACCTTCGAGTTACGGCTCTGTGGTGGACCAACCCCAGGAGGAAGAAAGATTGCTTTCTCCCCCGCCCAACGCTGACGGCAGATGGAGCGAAGGATCTTCGATTTCTTCGCACGAAACAATATCCAAAGGCGGTGGAGTCGAAGAGGAAACTGAGAACCAAGACACGTCTGTGGAAACTGTTCCCAGACCGATTGTGGTGCGAGTCTTTTTGAAATTCTTGTCCGCCATGAATCCTCCTCTTTGGGCCATGCTTATCTCCGTGATCGTGGCTAGTATACCGCAAATCAGATACGAGTTTTACGAGCGGAACGGTTTCATCCAAAACACAGTGGCCAATGCCATCAAACAGCTGGGATCGGTGTCTATTCCACTGATCTTGGTGGTTTTGGGAGCCAACCTGGCCCCATCGTCAGAAATCCCACCAGCATGTCCCAACTACTCAAAAATGATCTTTGGATCTCTTATTTCCCGGATGGTGCTACCGTCTATTGTTCTGCTGCCGGTGATCACGTTTGCAGTCAAGTACATCAGTTTGAGCATTTTAGACGACCCAATTTTCCTGGTGACATCATTTTTACTGATTACGTCTCCGCCAGCTATCCAGCTTTCGCAGATCTGCCAGCTGAACGAGATTTACCAGAAAGAGATGGCCGGCGTCTTGTTTTACGGATACGTTATCCTGACGCTTCCCGTTACTATCGTGATTGTTGTTTCTGCTTTAGAGTGTTTGAAATGGGCCAAGCCGTTGTAGCTTAGTCTGCCAATTTGGCCCCGGTCGAGTATATACAAAAAAAAAAGAAATGTCACAATTTATTTTAGCATGGGTACTATCTGGCCTTAAGAAGCTACGATATGAGTAAAGAAAGGAAAATAGCGCTTGTCGGAGCCAGAGCCGTGGGAAAGTCGTCGCTATCGACGCAGTTTGCCGAGGAGCAGTTCAACGATCATTATTTCCCCACCATCGAGAACCAGCTCAAGAAACAGATCAAGCACCAAGGAATAGACTATTCGTTGGAAATCATGGACACTGCTGGTCAGGATGAGTTTTCCACGCTACATAATAAGCTTCTGATTGGAGTTCATGGGTACATGTTGGTGTACTCGATTAATTCCAGACAATCTTTCGAGATGCTGGGTATTGTGCGAGACAAGATTTTGGACGGTTTGGGAATCAGTTCTTTGGAAGACGGACCACCTATCGTGATTGTGGGTAACAAGAGCGATTTAAAGATACAGAGACAGGTCTCAGAACAGGAGTTGAAAGAGTTGGCCAAGAGTTTTGGAGACGTTCCTTATTTTGAGTGTTCGGCGAAACAGAATTACAACGTTCACAAGGCTTTCACATCTATCATAGAACAAATCGAAAAAGGAGAGAAGCCAAAGGACGAAGAGGAAGAGAAAGAAGAAAAACCTGGCGCTTGCGCTGTTATGTAAATAATAGGGATATTTTTATAGAGGTGAAAAACGGTGGGGCAAAAAAAAAAAAGAGTTAGCAAGTGAGCAGCACTATCTATTAAGAAGAACCGTATTTTATTGAATTGAGCATGTCTGAGTATAAATTCACTTGGTAAGTATCTTTTAGTGGTGAAGTAATTGGTATGACTAACAATTAGGCCATCTGGACCGAAAACAGTCATTCTGACTGGAACATTCGATAACTGGTCTCAATCTTTGCCTTTAATTAAACAAAGCGATGGAAGCTTCTCATTGACCTTCCCATTGCCAACAGATACCGATAAACTGTACTTTAAGTTTGTTGTTGACGGCGATTGGACTACCAGCGAGGAATACAAGCTAGAGACCGACGAGTCAGGCAACGCCAACAACGTTCTCTACACAAAGGATGTTGTTTCTACCGAAGATACAAAAAGCGCCAAAATTCCCGAGGCTGGAGGACTTTCTGTTCCACTGGCTGCTGGTGTTGCTGGTGCTACTGGCGCTGTTGGCGCTGCTGGAATTGCTGCTTCAGGCAAGGACAAGGAGGCAGAGCCTGTTAAGGAGGCAGAGCCTGTTAAGACGGCCGTTAAGGAGCCCGAGACCGAGCTTAAGCCTACCGTTCTGCCTTCATCTGAGGGCAAGCAGACCACTCTGGGTGAACCAGGTATTGTTGTTCCTTCAGACCCACACTCTATTTCAGCCTTTTCTGAAATTAGAACTGTGGACCCAAAGGTTTTGAACCAGCGTGCTGCTGCTGCCAGCACCGCAGAGCCTACTGAGACCACTACCGAGAAGGCCGCTGAACCTGTTGCGGAACCAATTGCGGAACCAACTGCGGAACCAACTACTGAAACTAAGCCAGTTGAGACGCCTACCGAGCCAACCACCGAGTCGAACACGGAACCAGCCACTGCGGCCGAAACCGTGGCCACCACGGCCAGCCCAACCTCGGAGACTGACAGCAAGAAGACCAAGTACGTCAAGAAGGTTGTTTCCAAGGTGAAGAAAGAGGAGGCCTCTCCTTCACCTGCAGCAGCGGAAAAAACTAGCACTCCTGCTGCTTCCAAACCAAAGGCTAAGTCTTCGAGCACTCCTGCTCCAAAAGAAAAGACCGGGTTTTTCTCGAAGCTCAAGAAGGCTCTGAAATGAGTTGTTTGTTGCTACATGGCCCCCGAATCTTTGTCCCGGGTGCGGGCCGTGTCAATTGAATGTAATATCAATCAACACCTGTTGGGGAATCTTTTGTAAGCTAGTATAGGTAAAGCGAATGTTTTAGTATTGTTAACAAGCGAAACACACCACAATAGCCGCCCGCAAACGAATCTCTGTCAAAACCTCGCAAATAGGCGTCAAACCACCAATTCCATTCCAGTTCTTAAATTAGATTGCTTGATTCCTAATCCGGAAATCCTGTCGATCACCATATGCAATTAATATTTCAGAACAGATTTTTTTACAATAGAACAGGACTGTTTGCCCTGTGGCCCAATATATGATTCCCAGTTTCAAAGAGTCGTCCGCTCCAATCATGCTGGTTTGGGTTTTTCAACTGACTCTGGCAATGGCGGCCGAACAGTCGCTGTGTTCGTCTGAAAACACTGGCTCTGTGACTACTAATTATACATGGATGTCAAGTGCTAAGTGTTCCGACTTTTGCCAGGGCTACAACTACGGGATCTTGCAAGGCAAAAATTGCTGGTGCTCCAATGATGCCCCCGATGATACAGTGAGCATGAGCAACTGCGACTCGTTCTGTCCTGGCTACTCGTATGAGAACTGTGGTGGAGACGGTTATTATGGATACATCCAACTTGGAACGAGCACAGCCAGTTCGTCCGATTCTGGCGAATCTAGCAGCTCGGACGAGTCCTCCAGCACTTCGTCAGTCTCCAGCTCCTCTACGGCAGAGCCTTCGTCAACGGAGTCCTCCACCACCTATTTCTGGGATCCTGAAACGGCCTCAAGCAGCTCCCAATCAAGTTCGTCAGAATCGAGCACCTCCGCTAGCTCCTCCACAACGTCCTCGTCGGAAAGCTCCTCAACCTCCGTCGCGCAAACGACCACCTCGTCCTCTGTGTCGTCCTCCGAGTCGCCTACTTCGTCGACCGCATCGGAGTCCTCCTCAAGTACATCTTCCATTGATAGCTCCACCACATCGAGCTCTTCCACCCCTTCCTCCTCCACAACCGAGTCCTCGTCGTCAACAAGCTCGTCTTCTAGCTCCATCACCTCGTCTAGCTCTACAACAAGTTCTTCGACCACCTCATCGTCGTCGTCCTCATCATCATCCGCTTCTTCGTCCTCCTCTTCCACTTCCTCCTCATCATCCATCCACTCGGTCATCACCTCCACCTCATCCTTCCTCACCTCCACACAGGGATCCGGAGTCGCAACTGCATATGTAACCACCATGATCAAAACCACAATCACATACACCCCTTCGTCAACTGCAGACTCCAGTTCCCCATCGTCCACGAACGACCCGTCCGGCTCCCGCTCCGGAAACACGTCCAACGGAACCGGGAAATCGGACTCCTTCTTCGACCACAAGGGAAAAGTCGCTGGTGTGTTCACCGTGGTCGGGCTTGTCGCTCTGGCCCTGCTGCTGCTTCTAGCATTCTTCCTCAGAAAAATGTACAGAAACAAGACCAAGGGTGCCATTGCCATCGAATCGGACGCAGAAAGCTTTGAGAAACCGGTCATCATCAGCACGATGCCAAAATCCCCAACACCACCGTCTCCTCCGCCGTCTGCTACCAAACGGGCCTCTGTGTTCTCTCTCCACCGGAAAACACAGTCTGTGCCAAACACGAACTCCCGAACTCCAACGGTCGACCAAACCGTCATGGTCGACCAACGTCTGGACCCCCACAACGAGCTCTACGACCATAATAATTTCTCCACAAGGAGCCTTAGCGACCAGGTCGACTACAGTCGTAAAGTGCTCAAGGTCGCCAACCCGGACACCTAGTAGGTGCGAGGTGTGCCGATGAGGCTCAGATTCCCGCATCCAGCCTTTCCCCATACTAATACTCAAGGATTACCACGAGCGAGCCCTGGCCGTGGCATGCCGATCTCTGGCCCAGGTTTCGGCGTCTAGCCCAAGTTATTCAACTTGCACTGTTGTTAATTATGTACCAACGCGCATCTTATTTATGCCAAGAAATTTGAAGTGGTCATATAAAGTAAGGCAATTCCGCATTTTTTTCAACCTCTTTTTTTGTTTAGCACTATTTGTCTAATGAGTAAATCCACTTTGAACGTCCACCCTGTGGCGTACTTGAATGCCGACTCCGACCTTAGAACCCAAGGCGAGCGGTCGAATGCCACCAAATCGAATTTCACCGAGTCCACGGGATCCCCGTTGGGCTCCATGTCCTCTTCCTACACAGAGGTTTCTTCCGGGCCAGACTCCCCTCCTGACACTCAACCAGCAACCTCTCCATCCATGAAGCAGTCTGCCAGCACATCGTCAGCCACATTGGGTACCATGTTGCCAAACATCTCGTCTCTGGACGCCGTTTGCAACTCCTTTGACACTCAGCCAAGATACTTGTATCCTTCGCTAAGACCCCACGTTCCGCAAATCCCACAACTTCCTTCACTTGCCCTCCAAACACCCCCACGCATGCAGTCTGCTCCACCAAAATCCGACGACGAAGGTCCGCTCCAGTGCAAGTGGAAAGGCTGTTCCCAGTACTGCGATGACGCAAAATCGCTATACCAACATTTGTGTGACACGCACGTTGGCCGCAAGTCAAACAAAAATTTGGAGCTCAGCTGCCAGTGGGAAGACTGCCAGGTCGTCACCATCAAGAGAGACCATATTACATCCCACATCCGTGTGCACATCCCGCTAAAACCATACGCATGTGATCAATGTTCAAAGAAATTCAAGAGACCGCAAGACTTGAAAAAACACGCAAAGACACACTTCGAAGACTCTCGCAAAAACGCATCCAAGCGCGAAAAACAGATGTACGAGCAAATGAGAGGCAACTGGAACTATAACTACCCTGTTTTCGACCACTCGCCTCTTCCTCACCCGTACGCTTTACCCCCACCTCCACCTCCACCACACCAGTTTGAAAACAGAAAGCGCAAGTTGGACTTTGCATGGAACGTTCCGTCGCTTTATGACGATCTGAAGCGGTCCAAGTTCCAGCCCGTGTACAACTCGGACGTTGCCGGTAAGCTGAACGGCTTCGATGGTTCTCGTCCGGCGTTTGACCACTCCCTGCCTCCGCTTCAAAACACGAGATTTGGCGGATTCCAGTCGCAACAAGAATTGGTCGAGGCCTCTTCTTACTTCAACCACATGTCCTCTTCGATGAACATGGATCCTCTGCATCCAAAGCCGGTTTCTCTTGGAACGTTGTATCCATCGATTTCCGCAAACACCATGCCTCCGGTGAATAGATCCACGGACTCAGAGTTCGTGAGAAAGATGAACATCAGCTCCATGCAGAAGTCGACCGAGGCCGATCTCGCCGCCAAGATGGCTGCTGTTGATCTTTCCGAGCCTTCTGACGACGACGACCGTTCGAGCTTCCACCAGTCTTCCGACTCAGACTCTGAAGAGGAGGCAGACTCGGAGGTTCCTGAGTTCTTCAAACACCGTTTCATTATACAGGAGATTTCCAACTATCTCAACGAGCTGGTGGCCAGCGCAGATGTCACCGAAAGACCTGCTGCCAGACAGCCGTTATATCCTACAATGAGCGTTTAGTTTTATCTAGCTGATTTTCAATACCCGTCCCCAGTTTTTATCCATCTATACCACACCTCGCACCGCGAAGTTTAAACGGCTTCTCCAGCTTAAATAATTATTTTTAAAAGGCAAACGTACCATGCAGTCACAACCCCCCGCTACATCCCGCACCGAGACCCAAGTCCAAACGCCCGAAACCCAGAACACGCTGCGATTGGTTCCCGTGGCTGACAAGCCGAAGAAGAAGCAGCGCAACCGTGTGAGGTGGACCGAGGACGTGGTGGATAACGAATTTATGAACAAAAAGTCATCGAAAAGTAAGTACATTATGGGTTGCTTTAACTAACCGGTCTAGTATGTTGTATATTTCATCCGCATGACGAGGAGCAGTACGAGGTGGAGGAGGAAGAGTCCGAGTCGGAATCGTCGTCGTCGTCCTCTTCGTCCTCTGACGAAAGCGACCATGAGTCCAAGCCGAACGCTTACGAAAGACAGCCCAAGTATAAGCGCAAGAAGGGAGCCGAGTGCAACCACGATCACAGCCACAGCAATGTGTGATCACATGTTCACCTCCAGGTTGATCAGCGTGGTGTACACCTCCCTTGGCATCTTATACTGGACCATTCCCGCATATATCATACAGTTCCGAGACATTTGGCGGAGCGTGACTAGTCTGTCTTCCTTGGAAGCATTGGGCGAGCTGAGCTGGGGAACCTTGAGTACGTTCGAGTCGTATCCCTGCGACAGTTCGTAGAACAGTTGGGCAATGCAGCTCATCTCGATCACCAGCAAGTTTGGCACGTTCTTGGTGATGGCTTCACTAATGGTTTTGAGTTCCTGCGACTTGGCTCTGATCTTCTCCAGCTCGATGGTGGCAGAGCACGGAATCACGTTCAGTTGCTCGATCTTGATCAACAACGCAGCATAGTCCGGGTTGGCCGTCGTGAACTGCCGTCTGATCTCCACCATGTCCAGCAGAGTGCTGCACGTTTCCCGCTGTTTCACAGAAACCTTGCCCAAAATCGTTGGCGAGGCAGAATGGATCTTCATCAGTCTCTGTGCCAGCTTCACAATGTTGGTCTCTCCTTGGATCAGATCCTGGTCCAAAATATCGTCGATTGGAGTCTTGAGATCAATCGAGATCAAAAACTCCGCAAGCACACGGTTCACCAAAGTGATCACCATGTCATAGTCCTCGCTCAATTGGTACAGCAGAATGCAGTCGAAAGGTCTGCTCTCTTCGTCCGCTTTCACAGCAGCCTGTTCTGCAATTTTGTGTAAATAACTCTCTTTGTCATCCAAATAAAGCAGCTTCTTGCGCTGCTCGATTATTCCAGGCGACCGGGTTCCATCCTTGTCGATCTTTCCAAGTAGCATAACAAACTCTCTGGTTTCCAGAACCAGCTCCCGAATAGCCTCTTGGCCAATCGCGATCTGGGTCTGGCGCAACGCAGGTTTCAGACCATCGCATAGACAGATACAGAACAGGTACTCTGCTGCCACGCGCGGGTCGGAGATCTTGAAGCTGCTCGTGTAGAACCCAAGCAGTCTGGCGTAGGATATGGAAGTGAACCCGTCCGAATCAACATTCAGAAGCTTCTCTGCTTCCTGGGGCTTGTCCTCTGACACTCTCAAGAGACCAAAGTATGCCAAAGTGATAGCCAAATGAACAGCATCGATCTCGCTGGTCTCAAATAGATACTTGACGGCGTTCTCGTAAAGACCCGTCAGAATTAGTGCTTGCAGGTACATTGGGTTGTTTGCAGAAGCGTTGAACGAATCGGCACCAAATTGGAGAATTGACTGCTGGAAGTCGCTCAAAGTGTAAAACTCGGAAATTAGTTCGTCGTCGTCAAAATCGTCTTCTTGTATCAGCGATAAATGGAACCAGATCCAGTCCTCGATACTCAGAGTGATTGATGGAAGGTTCTTCTTGCTAAGATCGCATTTGCCAATCAGCTTGTAAACGGCGTATCTGAATGGGTCTGTGTCTTTGCTGAAATGCTTGAAGTATTGGTTGAACTCGTTGACTATTCTTCCTTGCAGTTCACGCGATAATCTCTTGTCGGAAGACTGACAGTAGCTCTTCAAGTAGAGCGGGAACGAGCGCTCGAGTTTCTGGAACGAGTCGTTCGACTCCGTCACCAGCTCAATTGCGTCCTCGTAACAACCCGCACGCAAAAGATAGAACAAAACAGCCCAGATTGGGTTCCCGTTCACAAACGTGAGGTTTGGAACTCTCCACTCTTTGTTCTTTCCCTTCAATGTGAGGTCCAGAAAGTTTTTCACTTTGGTCACGTTGGAAACCAACTGGTCTGAAGAAGCGGCAGTGTCCGACTTGAAGTAGAGCTCACCAATGTAGTCCAAAAATTGAGACTCCAGGAAGTATCTGCTGCGGGAGACGATTCTTTTACGCAGCGTGAGAGAGTCAAAGTCGGTGAGAGAGTTGGAACAATGGCCTTTGGCAAACCTTCTTTCAAACGCTTGGCCAGATTTCGGGTCTTCTGTCTCGCAGAAATCTCTAAGAATGAGCCATGTTTCGTTTAGTTGCTTAGATCTCGATCCCAGCTCCTGCTTCGACAAATCGGCAAACACAGTTGCTAATGGGTACGACTGGCCTGCCTCTCTGGCATCGTTGAGCTCGTAAATCACATGCGCATACAGCTCGAACTTCTGTCTCAGTCCGTAAGAGGCTGTTGGGTTGGACGCTCTCGACTCTGACAGTTTCACGTCGGTGAATTCGAGCTTGGACGACAGAATGTGCTTGTTCTTTGTGTTGTTCCATATCAGTTGCTTGTCCAGACTGCTATCTGTAGCTTTCAGTTTCTTTTCTGGAGACGACGACCGGTGCGTTCCTGGTTGGGTTCTTTTCAAGAGAGTGGAAAGCGAGTTTTGGAGCTCCTTCTTTCTCTGCGTCCAGTCTATAGTTATGTTCTTGTTGACATACGAGTCAAAGTCACGAGCGGCTGTGCTCAACGACTGTTCAATAGCCGCCAGAATGGTCTCGTCCTTGCGGCTGCTAATGTAGCTCTCGATGTCGCCCATGTTGACAACGTTCGAAACATGAGTCGAGTCCAATTGACGAACATCGATCGAATCGAGCTCGCTCTGGATCTCTTCAATAGTGAACCCACTCCCAACAAGCAGGTAGTGAGCCTTGGTGTATGGGTTTGAGTCCGAGTCTGTTTTGTTGTACTTTCTCAACTCAAAAGCCTTGCGTTTGATTTCGTTGAGTCCCAAATGAATGGTGCCCACGTCGTTGAGCCGTTTCGGCAGATTTCGAGAGGCTTCTAGCAGCTCCTTCAAAGAGGTGGATGCCTTCGTTTCATTGGCCGGTTTCACTCCAGGCAAGGGATTTTGCACCATCTTGGAAAAGCTGTAAACAATACGAGAAAAATTGTTTTCGAAGAAAATATCTGAATTACTATGTACACGTCGATCGGCGCAGATCGTCTCTAGTCAAGCTCGACTGGGATCCACCCTGGGTTTGAGAATTTCCGCTCCACTGGCGCGCTCGCAAGCTCTTTGCGGATGGTTCCATCCGGATCGATGTCCTTGAGCACCTGCTCAGTAGACCTGTCCTCGGGGACGGGGATCAGTCGAGTGTAAATTAGTCTGTCGTTAGGCACCTTTCGGTATAAATTGACCTTCTTGTCGCCTCCAGGCACTTCCTGTGGCCGTTTGTAGATGTAGTTGAAGATATTCTCTCTGATAATCACCTCTAGACCTTTGGGCACCCATATGTCAAAAATTTCATTCTCACACAGCTTTCCGGTCGGGGCAAATGACAAAAAGCCAACTCCTCGAATCACAATGTCCACGGCTCCAAAAAACGCAGGAATCACGTACCGAGACAGCTCTCCAGCGGCAGCACTGGAAACCACAAAGTTCTCTCTAAATTCAGGTCCGTGCACTGTTAAAGCGTTGACTCCCGAATTGAGGTCTGTAAATCTCAGCTCTTTGCCAGACAGACAGCTATTCACCCGCAGACCATACCCTTTCGGCGGACGCATGAAAAACATACCGCCCACGCTGAAAACTGTTTTGCCTGAAAAGAACCGTGGGCTCCGGCATAGAATAGATCTCAACTGGTGTTTGCGAGGGAGCTCTGACGGACTCCGTTTGATGGTGCTGATGCCCTGGAGTTTCTCGTTCTTGGCATATTTGTAAATTCCTCCATCTGGTGCAGTGTACCCAGGGGTGTCAATCAAATGACTCTTACGTTGCTCCAGAGGAACCCGGTAAAGGCTTCTGGTGAATAGGGGCCAGCTAATTGCCTGTGGCAGGACCATCTTTGACCCGTGCTTTCTCTCTTTCTGGTGTTCTGCAAGTTTGCGCACTAGACTGCTTTTCCCTGTGTTTGTTTCTCCAACAAAATACAATGTACCCTGTGGTAGCCGCTTGTCAAGCTCGTTGATTCCAGCCCCAGTTTTCGAACTCACACAAATCACTCTGTCCCTGTCAACTCCTGTCATCTTTCTGATTATCTTGCCAAAATACTTGCCTCCATACGAGTCCAGAAACGAGGTCCCAGTGAAAAGAAGGTCCATCTTGTTGACAACGACCCAGACATTATCCTTTCCAAAGTGCCCTATCACTTTGTTACTGACAGACAGAGGGAAGTCCTGAGCAGAGACAACATGGACAACCTTGGCTGTCTTTGGTATTTGCTTGAGAGCTTGCTCCACAGGGACAAACGGATGGTCTTCCTTTTTGTAGACATTTTGATGGACGGCTTCCCAGCATCGCAAACACACAGGTTTTCTGCCCGATCCCTTGGTTTTGTAATACTCGTGTTTCTCAGGGAGATTACCGTAGTATATTCTGAAGTTTTTTGAGAGCATTTCTTCACGCGTTAGGCCGAAATAATCTGTAATCGTGGTGGGTTTCTTGGAGCCCTTGTCGTTCTCATCGTAATGGGTGAAACCGATTTTGTCCTCGTGTTCGAACTGCAATTTGACACCGCACGAGAGACACAACAGCGGCGAGTTCTTCGTGGAGTACCAGGACGTTCGCACGAGCTGCCGAACATTTGCAGCGGCGGCGTTTTGCAGTATTCGTAACATGCAAAGTTATGAATTTTTTCTGATTTTTTTGATTTTTTTCCACAATCTGTAGATGGATGAGCTTTGATCTGTAAGTTAGGGATTATTGCATTTTTTTCGTCAAAGTGACCGACTCGATCACCTTGCGCACTTCTTTTTTGCTTCTCTCGCGCTGTTTGGCTTCATCCACCCGCCGTAGATACCCGCCAAACACCACCACCTCTGCCACCAATACGAGGATGGCTCCAAACAGGGCAATGAGCACCCGGGACGCGTCGTTGAAAATCGTCACCGAGCCTGTCCAGTACCACAGGGCGTAGGCGACGGAAACCACGCTGATCAGGATGTTGATGATTGTGGTGATCTGGTGCTTCACCTCCTTGGCCTCCTTGGAAAAGGACATATTTGTAGCTGTTCCGCTGACCGGGGCCACCATTCGCTGATACTCCTGCTCCTGCTGTTTTGCACGTAATTGTTGCATGTGTTTGAGGAATTCTGGCGATTTGGGAGGTTGAACCGGCTGGTCTTTGTAGACACTAAGGTCTTTAAGGAAAGATTCATTGGACGATTTAATGAGACAAACAAGGTCGTTATGCGATATCCAGCCTTGTTGTTTGAATTGTTCCAGGTTTTCTGGGAATTTAGACCCAATGGTGTCCAGTATCTGTTTAGTGAGCTTGTACTTCATTGGATTATTAAGTTTAATGAAAGATTAAAAATCCATCGATCAAAAGCCGTTTATAACCACCGACAATTCTCTCAAACGGTCACTGAACAACAACACAGCAACACACGCGCCAAATACCAAACAATTGGGCGTTTAATCGTTAAACTTTCACACTGGTGCTAAACAGCCAAAGTAGACAATTTCCCCCACGACAAAAAATCTGTGGTCTATAAAAACAACTCACCGAAAATGCCTAAACTTGAAGAATGGGAGATTAAGAAATATTGGCAGATCTTCAGCGGGCTCAAGCCCGTCAACAACAAACTCAGCGGCGATAAGGTGTCTGTTGTGTTCAAGAACTCGCGGTTGGACCAGGCACAGCTCGAAAAAGTGTGGGACCTCTCGGACATCGACGTTGACGGACAGTTGGACTTTGAGGAGTTCTGCATTGCAATGCGTCTGATCTTTGATCTGGTCAACGGCAACACGTCTGAATTGCCGCGCACGCTGCCGGATTGGCTGATTCCCGGCTCTAAACAGCATCTTGTCCAGGCCAACACGGCTGTTTCTGGAAACTCCAACGGGTTTGACAGCGACACCGACGACGACCTTGCTCTGAGCTCAGATTTTGACTGGTACATCTCTCCTGGCGATAAGTCCACGTACGAAAACATCTACACCTCCTCGAGCGACAGGTTCGGCCGCATCACGTTCAACTCGTTGACGGAGCTGTACAAGACGCTCAATAACGTCCCTGAGACAGACATCTCGTTCGCATGGAACCTTGTCAACCCAAAACAGTCAGAGACCATCGACAAGGACCAATGCATGGTGTTTTTGCACATCTTGAGCCAGAGATCCAGCGGCAAGAAGGTGCCTCGATCGGTGCCTCCTTCGCTTAGAGCAACGTTCAATAAGGAGACTCCTAGCTACGACATCAACAATTACCAAGGCGAGGACCTTTTTGCGTCCAAGAAACCCGCAAACACCAAACAGGCGTTTGGTGAGAGCTACCTGAACAAGATCGGTACGGGCTCTTCCAAGCTCGTGAGCAACGGAACAGACTTCAGCTCTACAGAAGACACCGACTGGGAGGAGGTGAAGTTGAGACGCGAGCTGCAGGACCTGGAGGACCTGATCAAGAAAGCCGAGGACGCAAAGAACAACAAGGGCTCTGATGAAAAGCTCGGCATCGCCAAGTACGAGTACGAGAACTTACTCAAGTACAAAGAGTCGCAGGTGGCCCAATTGGGCTCTGAGGCAGACATCGGCTCGATAGTGGCCAACATCGACGTTGTGCAGAGCCAGGTGAGCCAGCTGGAATCGTTCCTGGACCAGAAACGGTCCGAGTTGGCGGGACTGCGACAGGAGGTGGAGCAGCTGAAATAAAACACTGTGTACATTTAACGTTATTACTGGGTACATCATTGGTTTTCCGGGCCCTCTTGCTTCTCGCGCGTAGGGCTGTCGTAGAGACGAACAGACTTTCTGTATGCTGGCGAATAGGTTCTGCTGAACCGCATGCTTTTGGTGTACGGGCTGCGAGGAGTGCGGGACGAGCGAGTTGTGCGCGGAGTTCTTGGCGACGGCTTTGCCAGCGGGATCGACGGGTCGCTCGTAGACACCAGCGGCGCATTGAGCTTGGACGGACGCTTCTTGACCTTGCTTGACGGTCTGAGGATCTCGAACCGGAAAAGACCTTCCGACTCCTCGCCCGGCTGGCTCTGGTTCGACACCATTGGCGACCCGAGCGGCGACAGGTCCTGCAAGTGGTTCGAGTACTCGCTGCCTGACTTGCCGGCCAGCTGCATCGGAACAGAAACGTTGCTGAACGACGAGACTCGCTTTCCCAGCCGCGCAGAGTTGCGGAACGACGCAACAGACAGCTCCGTCGGACTGCGTGCGGTGTCGGCGATGAGCGTCTTGAACGACGGCGTGGACGCAAACTGCATGTTCTGGTCCAGCTGCGGCGAGTCCAGGTTCAACGACCAGTTGTTCTGGTCCATCGACGTGGCCGTGGTCGACCGCGTGTCCACAGACCCGTTGTACTGGTGGCCATAGGTGTCCGAGAAGTCCATGTTTTCCTTGGTGAAAAACGAGTCCAGGTTTTCGAGCGTGGCCAGCATGTGGCTCAACGAGTTGCGGTCCTCTGCGGACTCGTCGTCCTGCAGACTGCTCTGCTGTCTGTTGATACCCGGATGCGGTCTCTGGTCCGCCCACGCTGGACTGTAATGCACGTAGTCGTCCCTGTTGAACTCGGGCTCGACAATCTCCTCTTGCGGCTCCTCGCCGTCCTTGGTAGTGGTGACCACACACGTCGAGAACACCGAATGAATGTTGTTTCTGGTACGGGCCGTGCTAACTGCAGGTATCGGAACAGACCATCCGCTCTCATCTGGAATACCAAACAGCGTGGCGATCTTCTCGTACTCTCTGCGCACGCTCGGGTCGCCCGAACTCATCATCAGATAGTGCTTGTCGAATGGCGACGCAGAAATGCTGTTTGCCTCGTCCAAAACCTCCAGAGCCAGGTCAACGTAGTCGGTCATCAACAGTCTCAACAATGGCGACACCAGATCGGCTCCCAGACCCACAAACGTGCTGCTTGTGAGGTCAACAGCCTTGAAAATGTGCTTTAAGAAATCGAGCATTTCCAGCTTCACCCAGGACGTCTTGTTGAATAACAGACCTAGCAAAAACACCAGCGCTTGTGCAGAGTACTCAGGGAAGAAGTGCCGTTTAATCACACTCACGATCTGGCTCATGAAGTCCTCCTTGTTCCGGAACTTCTTCATGATCAAAGAGTTCAGAATCCGACTCAATCCAGGAATGTTTGCTCGTTCGGCCATCGACCCAACAACAGAGGCTGCCTCGACGACTTCCTCGCTAAACCGTTTTGTGGTCTGTGCGTGTGCAAAGCGCGGCATGTTGGCCAGAAGTGCCATCAAAATCCGGTAATCTCCCGACCCAATAATGGCACTGTCTTTAAGCAGATTCAGTCTGTCCAATAATCTAATTGTCGGCTCGTAAGCGTCGGCAGATCTCAGTCCCATCATGATCAACGGCTGAAGACCCTCGAATCGACCTTCCCAGTTAGGAGGGAACGTTGCAATCAGACACTCGACGGTCTCGTCAGAGTCCAAATCGATCTTGGAAATGAATTTCGACAAAGTCGACAGAACTTCAATAAACTCTGTCTCGTGGATCGTATTCAGACAGGCCACCACAGACCAGAACAACTGCGGGAAATCAATCAGCTGTTCGCTATACAGCTCCGCAGTGATGGCATTGAGCGTCATCAAAATCTGCATAGAGAAGCTCTGGATCCCGCTGTTCTCGTCCGAAACAGTGTTTGCCAGACATAAAAGCATGTCTCTCAACATTCCCAGGTCCAAGAAGGAAATCAAACAACGGAAGATCTGGAACGAACGTGCAGCAATGTGCATCACTTTGCAAGACGTGGCCCATGCAAGCGAGGTACGACTCCAATCCTGTTGGAGTCCCGGATAACTCTTCTCGAAGACCATTAGAACGTTTCTAACAAGCGAGTTCATGGTCTCTGGGATCCGGCCGCCATGTTTGGCTCCAGAAAGATCACCATGTGCCCAGAAACTTCTCTGGCGGTCGTGACTTCTTAAAGAGTCGGTGATCTTCTTGCAATTTCCCTCCTGGTCGTCTCCATACTGGTGAATCAGATGCACAAGCATGGCACACGCCTGATCCTGAACTATTGGTAACTGGTCGTCCAGAAGAACGAAAGACAGATGCAGAAGCAAAGACAGGTTGGATCTCACGTTCTCGCTTGGTGTTAGAAGCAGATCGGCCAAAAAGATCACTGACAGCTCACACAGAGAAAACGAAGGAGTCGTGGTGGAATTGCCAGCAGGCACGATCTTGGACATCTGTGCAATATATGGTAACCCGTGGTCGGAGCTTACCTCGTCTTCGATGGAGAGATTCTCTGTAGTGACGTTCTCAACAGGGATCATTGCCTTGGGATCCAGATTGGAGATCAGAGTATCAATCAAGTTCAACCCTGCTGGAATGGTGGCCAGAGAAGAAATGATTTGTCTCGAACACTCCCATATCACCGTGTTCTTCATCTCTAACGAATGTTCAACAATAAACGTGTAGATCTCCTTGATGTTGGAAGAGTTTGCACCATTGGCCAAAGCCACCCACAACGCTTCAACCTCGTTCTGCATCTTGTGAGCAAACTTGACAGTGATTTCAGAAAAGTTGGCCAGCACCATCAGCGAATTCAGTCTGTTGGAATTGTCTCTTTCCAAGTTGAGTTCCACCATCTGCACCCAAGGAAGCAGAACGGCCAATATGTCTCGTCTTGGACTCGATCCAACAACATGGAACAACATGGTGAGCTCCGATATCATCTCGTACTTGTTTTCTGGATGCGTGGTTGCAAAATGCGTCGACAGCTGGAAAAGCGTTCTCTTGTAAATGACTCTTGACCGACAGCATATTCCGTCAATGAAACTGACACAAGTGCTGGTTTTATAGTACTTCATCTCTGTGAACTCCAAAAGATTGGCGGCAGCAGTACGAACATCAATGTTGTCCGACCCACAGGCGAAAAGTCCCAAAGCCAAAGGTCTATGCACTGTTCTATTGAACCCGTCTCCCTTGACAAAAGCTTCGCTCAAAGTGACAAAGTAGTTGTCTAAGGCAGGGTCGTGAGTATAACACTTCTTTGTGACTCGGTCCAGAATCTCTGCAGAGCCCGTGCTAACCACAAGAATCTGCAAAAGAGCGTTCTTGGCCATCTCGATGATCTTGTCGGTGTAAGTGTTGAAGAGCGAGTCAACCCAATCGAGAACTTTCGAAATGTTGAAAGACTCTTCTTCTGTTGCAATGGGACTCGAACACAAATTGGCCATACAGCTGATAGTGCTGTACTGAAGCTGTCTTCTTTGGAGCTCCAAAGAAGCTTGTAAGGTGACATAATCGGGACGTTTGGAAATGTCCTCCATCATTTTTCTGTACCGTTCATTGAACAGAGTGGTGTTCTTTCCGTATCCACACCATTCATCCATGAACTCGAACGACTCCTTTCTGAACTGGAACGGAAGCCACCTCTCAACTTCACCGAGTTTCAGACACTCAAGATGGAAGTTTTCCAGAAGTCCGCAGAAATACTTGCGCAGTCGTTGCAGCTGGAAGTCCGTCTGCGATTCTGGCCTAGAAAGGAACTCCTTGTTGTTTTCCAAGATGAACTGCAGCTTCTTTGCGACAGTGTCGTCCACAAACGAGGTGTCTACCTTGTGGAACTTTGCAATCACCTTGTTCAGAATTCCTGTGATTTCCACACGAAGCCGAAGATCAGCGTCGCTAAACTGCCTGCCGTTCTGCCAGCTGTCGAGAATGCCTTCGATACTCTGCAGGAAACTCTTGAAAATGTTTACGTTCAAACAACTTAAACCTTCCACCAGAGCCTCTTTCAATTTGGTGTTTGTTGCAGTCAACAAAGGGACAGTCATCTTGAAAATCGATTTAGCACTGGTGATCTTTTGGTGCTGCACTGTGAAAAGCTGCTGAGACCGTTTTCTCATGTGCGATTTGGTCAATGGCGAGTAAAGAGACGAGGTCGAAGTTGGTGTGGACACCGCAGGAATGTGCAATCTTTGCTCGCTCGTAGATGTTAAAGACGAGCACGCAATCTTAAGACATAGCATGTAATCCCAGATAAGCGAACTCACGCTTTTGGCGTTCGGGTCAACACTCACCGTCACCAGATGGTCATAGAGTTGCACCAAACGGATACAACTGTGCGATCTTGCAATGGCTATCTGAATAGGACAGCTTCTAACGAGAGCATCCAACACTTCCTCAAATACCTTGAACCACAAAGCGGCATCAACTCCATGATTGCTTTCAGCCAAACGGATGATGGTATCTTTCCGCTGTTTATGCTGAAGCCGAGCCAACCTCTTGTTTTCTGCCTCGCTCAAAACCGGTTTCTTGGGGTTGATAAACTCAAAGAAATCTAACGACTCCAGAACATGGATAATTCTCGTACCAAACTCGGCGGCAAACTTGGATGGCATTCTGTTGTGAACTTTCTTGTACTCCTCCTCGGTTTCCTTGGGAGCAGCAGTGTCGCTTGTCAAATCGTAGATAACCTCATCAAACTGTGCAATGATCCGCAGAATCTGGGAACCAAGGAATCGCACTCTAAAATCGTGACTGAAAAGGAAAAACAAACCATTACCCTCGACTTCGTCGATCATGGTAACGATTGTCTTTAGTTCCAGGTCCTCAAAAGGCTTGGTCTCCTGGATTTCTTCCTGAACAAATCCATGGTTCACATTGTACATTTCGTTCGGAGTCTCCAAAGAGCCTTTATGAGCTTCAGCAAGATACTCGAGCCAGCACTGAAGAAGGTCAACGTAAATCTCAAGCAATCTGACGTACTCCGTTGACGAGACGTACTCGTGATTCAACAAACTGGCAGCTTTTTCGTCAAGGTAGAATGCAGTTCTGGCAAACACTGTCATGATGACGTTGGGGTTCTTCTTGGTCATTAAGATCTTGAGAGTTTCAATAGAGAAGGAACTCACGTTTTCGTCCTCGTGAATGCTATTCTTCACCAAAAGTTCAATGACTCTTCTGTATTGAGACGAGTTGTTGCTCAAACACCACGAAATCACTGAGATCACCGTGGAGAATAATTCCAGGTTCTTAGCTTGGTTTCCGTCCTGATGGAAGTAGAACTGCGTGAGTTTCATCGGCAACGTTGGAGTGCTCGAGTTTGAACCTGAAGTAGATCCATTTGGGCCAACGTTGGCAATATTTCCATCCAGTGTCTTGCAACCAACTTGGTGATCAAGAAGAAACAACAGTCCAATGAATATTCCGGAAAACTCCTCGTGAACCGCGGCGTTCGAAGAGTTGACATCGAAAATCTCTCTGTTATCGTTATTGCTGAACTCCATTGGATCCATCGACGAGTGGATGACATAGTCTGTTGGGAACGGCGGTCTTTCTCTGGATTTGTAGTCCGATATTATACAGGCGTAGGTTCTGATGCAGAGAACCACTTTTTCGTGCGAAATACCTTCGAGACTTGTTCCATTGAAGGCCGAGCTCAAAATGGGCAGGATGATATTTTCAAGGGTGAAGTTGAGCTGCGAATATGCCATTGCTCTCAGAGTTTGCACTGTTGCCTGAATGAGCAGCGCATCGTGCGTGATCCATTGCTGCTTTTTGTTTTGCTGGCCTTGGAACATGAGGTTTGCGATGGATTCCAAGTTCCTCGTTTTCGCATTCAACGTGTCTGAGTACCGATACAGGTAGGACCAAATCAGTCTTGCTAAACATGTGGTGATGACGACTTTTTCCTCTGTAGGCAGCTTGGGTTTCAGTCGTTTGATGTAGATGTCGACGATCTTGAGCCACTGCTGGTCAAACAGTTCTTTTGGTGCGACAGACACCGATGTAGATAGCAAAGTTGCCGAGTTTTTCCAGAACTTTGGCAATTTCGTGGTTGATATAAATGCGGCTTTTGAGACAATCAAGGTGATGGCGTCCACCCACGTAGGATGGTTGACTTCTGCTGTTAGTGTTTCAGCCAGTGAAAGCAGAAGCTGATTAATCACGTCGCAGTACGAGTTTAGAAGGTTGTCGTTTTCGCAGCGGTGGAAGAACTTGGCCAAACTCTTCATGAAATCCGCACCTTCCTCGAATCTTTCCAACGAGGAGTTGGAAAACTGCAAATATCGCATTCCGTGGATCAGCAAATTCAAGCTGGATTCGCTGACCGAGTTGCCATCGGTGAAACCTTTTGGGTATTTCTCGAGATCGGCAATGAACCGGTCACTGACAGAAAGAAACGACTTATCTGACATTTGACCAATCAGACCGGCCAACAGGTTCCAATTAGACGAGTGGATGATGCTCTGACTGACCAAGTAAGGATCGATGTTTTTCAGATAGTTGTACATGATCTCCTCGAGACCTGTTTCTTCGATCAAAATCTGGGTCGGGGTTTGGCGCACAACCTCGATCAACACTCTCCACAGGATATACGTACTAATGGTGAACTGCCTGTCTGCCTGGGTGAATGTGACTTCGGACTTGCGGACTTTTTGCTCGAGGATCTTGAGAGTTTCCGAATCTGTATTTAAAGACGGCGAATCTTGCGTCGCCCTTGACGACCGCGAGCTGCTCTTTTTATGCGTAGGCGTGACAGACGAGCTCTTGAAGTTGTTCCACTGAATCATGTCCTTTTCGAGCATGGCGCGAGCCATTTCTCGGAGCTCCGATTTTCCTCGTCTCCAGTGCATTATTGCGTCTGTAACAGACTTTGGTTTGCGTCGTGCGATATAACCAAGCGAGGTGATGACTCTGTCGAAGGTAGGGTCGACACCTTCGGAGAGCAGCTCAATGATGTTTGGTTCCTGGTCGAGCGGGACACTGTTAAGACACAGATTGAGTTTGCGTTCGGCTAATTTGGTGAACTGTCTCACCATGATGTTTAATGTGTAGTTTGGATACGACTGTTTCTGTTTGGCGGAGATACTTGCCTTGCGCTGTTCGATCACAGCATCGGGCTGGGTGTTGTTCTCGGAAACAGGGTTTCCCAGACGGAAAGTCATGGGCTGGGCGCCGTATCCGTCGTCGTGGTCGTCGTAGCCATGGTGGGCCGTACGGTTTTCTTCGTTGTGATCTGTGGTTGCCGGAGTCGAACTAGCGGGGATGGACTGGTCAGAAACGTCTGGGCCCAACGTGTTGGTCATGGATGTGTCCTGGAGAGTGATTCCACTCAGGTCAGGGATCTCAATCACGTTCAGAGACTGTTGGGGCCCGTTATGATCTGAGGACTCCTGCCAGTTATCTTGAGCCATTTTGAGAGCAGATTCTCTGTTACTATGCAAGACAAAAGGAGTTTCGCTATGTTTTTGCTCTAATCAGCGTAAAAAGCCAAATTATACACGAAACACAACGTTTAGAGGATTCAAACGGTCAATGGCGAGTCTGATTTTGTTTATACTTAAATAATTTTCAAGGAGATGGACACCTCGCACCGTAGACTTTTTTAAATGGTAGCAGGGGTGAATCGAAGGGGGCGTGCAACGGTTATGTGAGACGGGAATTGATCAGGTTTGAGGCAGTGGGGGGTTACGACACGCAAAAAGAGTACCTAGATGAACTATTTTTCTCAGTTTAACTTCATCTCCTCGGAAAATCTCCAATACTCTGCTTATCGACTGCATTAGGCAGCATATTCGACGTGTTCCGTATCCAACAGGACCCTAACCGATAAGAACCATTCACATACTCGCTTCTAAACCACCCGCTGCCTAAAACAGCATTTGCACCGAGCATGCCCAGTTTGGTGCTAATTTCCCGATAAGTGAAAAAGTTCCTTATCAAGAAAAAACTTTCTCCATATCTTCTACAACATGGCTTTCAACGTGAAATCGTCCAAGCGTGAGCAGATCACCGTTTTGGAGCCTGAGTCGCTTCCATTCAAGTACCTTTACTTGAGAAACATTGACATTCCCGTGAGAGACGGAGCTATTTTGAAGGGACACCTATGGATTCCTAAAGATGCTTGGGAAGGTGATCTCAAAGTCGGCACTTTGGTGGAATACATTCCATACCGAACGGACGTGACTATCCAGAGAGACTCTATCAGACACCCTTACTATGCTGGAAACGGATTGGCCTCGTTGAGAATTGATATGCGTGGATCGGCTAGTTCCGACGGAGTGTTAACTGACGAGTATCTCAAGCTGGAGCAGGACGACGCTTTGGACGCCTTTGACTACATTGTTAAACAGAAGTGGTCCAATGGTAAAATAGGCATGTTTGGAAAGTCCTGGGGTGGTTTTAACGGTCTTCAGGTGGCTGCAAGAAGACACCCTGCTTTAAAAGCCGTTATCTCATTGATGTCAACCGACGATAGATACTCCGACGACGTCCATTACCGCGGAGGGTGTGTGTTTGCCTCAAACATGCTCTGGTGGGGGTCTACTATGGCCGCCTATGCTCCACGTCCTCAGGACCCTCGGGTCGTTGGCGATAGCTGGAAAGAGAATTGGAAGCAGAGAATCGAGGTGGCTCCAATGGTGAAACATTGGCTCGAACACCAAACCAGAGACGAGTACTGGAAACACGGCTCTATTTGTGAAGACTATAACCAGGTGGATATTCCCGTGATGTTGATTGGTGGATGGAAAGACGGGTACACCACTCCTGTCTTCCGTATGGTTGACAAGCTTCCTCATCCACAGTCGTGTGGTATTGTTGGTCCTTGGGTCCATGAGTACCCGGAAATGGCCACTCCTGGTCCGAAGATCGGCTACCAACAATTATCTCTGAAATGGTTCAAGAAATGGTTGCATGATGAAGGAGAGATCGAGTTGCCACGGATGACCGCCTACATGCAAGACCCAGTTGGAATCGAGGACTCCTACGACTACAGAAACGGCCACTGGGTGTCCACTAATGACGTCAAGTTCAAGAAAGGCATGGAGCTGTCTTTGGGTGCAAATAATGAGTTGGTTGTCGCAGCTCCGGCAGAGATCAACTACTCCTTTAGCGGAGTCGAATCTCACGGTCTATTCAGAGGAACATGGTGTCCATTTGGGTACCCTGGGGACTTCCCGTCAGACCAAAAGTCCGAAGACGCTAGATGTCTGTGTTTCGACACCGAGGAGCTTACAGAGTCACTGGAGCTTCTGGGCGAGCCTAAATTGACCGTCACCCTGTCTTCCGACAAGAAATTGGCCAACTTGAGCGCCAGACTTGTTGATCTGTATCCTGGAAAAGAGAACGTTCTGCTTTCGTGGGGACAATTGAACTTGACCCACCACAAGTCGCACGAACACCCTGAGTACTTGCAAGTCGGCGAAAAGTACACCATCGAGCTCAACTTGGACGTTGTCGGAGTCAAGATCGAAAAAGGCCACAAGCTGAGACTTGCGCTGTCCTCCGTGGACTGGCCACAGGCTTGGCCAAGTCCAGAAACTCCAACGTTGACTCTCACAGGTGGAAAATTGTGGCTTCCACAGGTTGACGAAGCGGCAGTCGTCCAATCACCAGACTTTGGCACTCCTTCCATTGTCCGCAAGATCAAGACCCAAGTCGACAAACCAGACTCCAGAACCAAGACCATCACGTACGATTGCACCACGTACGAGTGGATCATAAAAGATATTGCAGACGACGGGGAAGTCACTCTTCCAGAGTTCAACGAGCTTTCGGGAATCTATAACGGCGCGTGCAATGTCAACACCTGGAAGATCAAGGAGAATGACCCATTGTCGGCATACAACGAGTGTCAGTACGACTATTGGATGGGCAGAAAGGAGGACAATTGGAACGTCAGAATGGATACTAGGGCCACTATGACCTCCGATAAGGACAATTTCTATCTGCACAACAAGATCGTTGCTTACGACAACGACGAGATATTTGTCGAGAAGGAGTGGACCGACACCATCAAAAGGGTTTATAATTAGCGTTTGTAAAAACAGCCATCTGTAGCGAAAAATCCACCCACTTTAGTGTTGAGCCACATTTCTTCGTCCACTTGGATGTTGTCGTACTTGCTAAGGATGAATCCGCGCGCGTAAAGTTGTCCGTTTTTGGACTTGAGTTCCACCGAGTTTGAGGCCACACCGAGTTGGTTCAGGTTGGTCAGTCTGTATTCGAACAAGTTGGACTTCAGTATAGGGCCCAGAGATCCAGGGATATCTGTTTCCTTGATGATTCTGGAGCCAAGGATACTTTTCAGTTTGTTGAGCTGGATCGATGTGTGATTAAAGTCTTGGATATAAACCAAACGCAAGCTCAAGGGCCATGCCTTTCCCCACGAATTAAAGATTCCTTGAGCATTAAGGAACTCTGCTCTTCCGAGGATCAGAGACTTGACGAAGGAAGGCTTGTAGTCAATCAACGACTTGAACGAGTTATCTGGTGCCGAAAGAATTGTTGTTTTGGATTCCACCAGCGACTCGATCGTGAGAGATCTGCTGAGTGTAACAGATTCCACTCCCGTCATTATTCCACACAGAAGTTTGACAAGAGCGTTGTTTCTGTTTCCGGCCACAATCCAGAGCCGGTCTTTCGGTGTCCAGGAGAACTGTGTCGACAAGGACATCAATTGCGACGCGACAGACGAAACGAAGCTCCGCTGGAAATACCGGTACTCCACGCCGTTTGAAAATTCGCTATACGGTTGGTTGTTGAACCGCGTGTGATCTTTGAGCGGGTCGTAGTCGAAACTCGAGGACTCGGCGACATTGTGGTCAAAGAAGTCGGGATCTGCCAGATCCACCACCTTGAGCGACTTGTCCTGGTTCTTTGCAGGGTTCCTGGTGAACAGAATGGCGAGGTCTGGGGCCCCATGTCCGACTACCACGGTTCTATCGCTCACGAAAAAGCACGCAAAAAGCACCAGCAGACCATTCGCATCGTCCGACTCGCAATCAAGACCCACACGGCCACTAACTCCGAGCCGGTCGAGTCTCCTAGCCACCAGGTGGATCATGCTGTTGATCTGCCGGATCGAGCGCGTCACCTCGCCCAGCCTCACCACCGTGTTCTTCTTCAACGCATAGTACCAGATGTCGCGCAAGATCCCGTCGCGCAACTTGTACCCAGCCTGCAGCCGTAAGCCAGACGTTAGGGGGAGTCCATGGGGAACGTCAACAGACCGGTAGATCGCGGACTCGCCCTGTTTCTTGGTCGCGCTAATGGACGACTGGTTCTCGAGCGCGACAGATCCAATGTCGCGGAGATTGGAAACCAATTGCGGAACCGCCAAGAATAGAGTGATGACACAGATTAACACTAGCAGCATAAAATATTTCCCATCGAATCTGGATATTTGAAAAAAAACACACTAAGCGAAAAGGAAATTCCAGGTTATTTTCAATGAGATTCCGATTACCAGGGATTCTACACTTCCGACCACCCAACGTGTCTTGGAAATCAGTGGGAGGTTTCCTGGCAGTGTGGTTTATGCTGTTTTACTGGTTTCTACGAGTGAGTGTGCTGCTGAACGTGATGAGATGCGAGTTCCCAGGGTCCAAGCAAGATTATAAAGCGCTTTTGATCGCCGACCCACAATTGATAGATAACCACACGTATCCAGGGCGGCCTGAGTTTCTGTTGAAACTTTCGCAAATGACCGTGGACGACTACATGCGGCGCAATTTCCAGGCTCTGATGGCCCATCTACGGCCTGATTCGGTGATCTTTCTCGGAGACATGACCGACAACGGCCGGTCCAGCTCGGACGAGTACTACAAACATCAGCTCGACCGGTTCAACAACATCTTCCATCTGAATGGAACAGAGAGCTACACCCTTGTTCCTGGCAACCACGACATCGGCTGGGCCGAAGGAGTCAAATTTGCTGCTTTGCACCGATTTGAAACGAGCTTCGGCAAACCCAATCAGGTTATCACCAGAAACGGACACGACCTGATTTTTCTCGACACCATCTCGCTCTCAAACAAGGAGGACGAAACGGTCTCCAAAGACGCTCGCGAGTTCCTGGACTCGATCGCCAAGGAACCCAAACTGCGCCCGCGTGTGCTTTTTGGTCACGTGCCCCTGTATAGAGACCCGGTGACGCAAACTTGCGGACCAAACAGAGAAGGAGGCACGTTCCCGATCGTGAAGGGGTACCAGTACCAGACGGTGGTGGACAGCGGGCTGTCGAAAGAGATTTTGCGGCTTGTGCGGCCAGACGTGATCTTTGCTGGCGACGACCACGACTACTGCGAAATCACACACGAATACCCAACGGGGAAGAGCGTGGAGGTCACCGTCAAGTCCATTTCGATGGCAATGGGGATAAAGTATCCCGCGGTGGAGCTTTTGAGCATCAGAGACACGGTTGGTGAGAAAGGTCTACAATATTCTCTGTGCTACATTCAGCCTCCATTTAAAGACATCATTACATATGTGCTATTTGCCACGGTGAACGGTCTGTGGCTGCTATGGAGTTTCCGCGACAGAACTTGCAAGTACAAAGTTCGTCTTTTGCCAGCGCTTGGCTACGCAGCGATAGAATTTGTGGCATTAGTGATTATGTACCAAATCATTAAATAGCTCGTTATATCTTCGATTAGCGAGGGCATTAAAAAGTGTCGTCATCGTGATGTTTCGTAGCAGGAAACTCGACAAACTGCTCGATGGCGCGCGCCAGCTTGGTCCGTGTCTCGACACTGATAGTGGAGTCCGGATATTGCGTCGCACGCCAGCCAGGAAGGTCGTCGTCTCGCCATTCGCGAGGAGATGACGGTGGAGTCAACAAACTGACATCCCTATTGACACATAACATGTCCTCGCACTTGTTCGTAAACTTGCTCAATCTGTCGTATTCTTTTTCATTGATGTGGAGCTTGTATTTTAGTAGCTCCAACATCTTGGTTTCATTAGTCTTTAGTTCGTCTATACCCAACCCTGTGATTTTGCTCCATGTCTTGAGCGTGTAATTCTGGTCCTGCAAGTACTTGGAGGCCAGAATCAAACACGTCAAAAAACATCTCTTTGGACAGCTCACAGAGTCGGTACCCGAATGTAGGTATCTGTTGTTTTGTCGTAGACCATTAACTTGTAATAAATAGTATGTTGTCACACGCAGAACAGACAAGTTACTGCGAGACCGTCTCAAAACCTCACTAACATAGCTCTTGAGACTTGCTCCCGTGTGGAAACCCTCCTGAAGTATGACAACACACAGACTGCTCAGATGAGTCAGCGAGTCTCTCGCCGTATGGCCTGTTTGGATCTTCAAGCGTTTGACCCCAATCTCGTCACCAGGGGTCAAAAGCCGGTCTACCACCGGGCCCCGCATGGAATGTTGTTTAAGTTGCAATCTTGTTGAAAAGACTAAAAGGCCACGAGATTACTAACTAGTATTTTTATTTTTTTCCTGCTACGTAATTGTTTTGTAGCAGTGTGGGAAAAAAAAATTACATATTACCGAAACGGACTAAACAGCGTCGATCGGCGTGGGTCTTGAAAAACGTTCTTTTGCGTCGCTGTATTTATAAACAAGACAATCAACCAATGGCGTCTTTATTCCAACTGGATGAAAAGACAAAGCAGCTCTTGACACTAGACAATTTCCTGGATGGAATGACCATCCAGGATTTTGTCGAGTATCTGGCATCAAAGCTCTCTGAACGGGCCGGTTATGACGGAGCCCAGGCCGTTGATCAGCTAGACCCCAAACCCTACATTCGCACTTTTGAGGCGTGTTTAAAAGAATTGAACAAACTGAGCGAAGATTGTCTTTCTAAGAAGTCCAAGTTTGAGAAGATCGCCGAAGTCAAGCAGACAGATCATTATTCCAACGTGTTGAAACTCGCCCCAAAGGCCAACAAACTCAACACCAGATTTGTCCAGCTGGACTCCCAAGTTTCGCAGATCAACGCCGACATCAAGCCGCTTGGAGACAAGCTCACACAGACAAACAATCTGAAGGAGAATACCGTCACCTTGATCTTCTTGACAAAATGCTACAACGAGTTCTACACAAAGAAACAGGCCCCTGCAGAATTGGCAAAAATGACAAGAGACAGAAAGGCGTCGACTTTGAACCGGCTGTTGGAGCTGTCGTCGAAAATATCGAGCAACGAGCTGCCTAACGCAAAACTGACCCACCAGCTGATCCAGGAGTACTGCAATCGGTTCGAGATCGACCTGTTGAACGAATTCCACGAGCTGGATCATTCCAAAAATTATAGACGTCTCCAGGAACTTTCGCATTTGCTATTTCTGTTCAACGACGGTGAAAACTTGAAACAGTTCTACATCAACAAACATCCGATCTTCAATGAGTTCCAGACAACCGAACTCAACGTTGACGCCAACTATTGGCAGAAAATGAGCGATCCCGAATTCACACAGGGCAGTCTTGACGGAATCACCAAAGCCATGTTGGACGCAATTGAAGACGTTCTCACGAAGGCCGAGTACGACGCTATTCGACAGATTTTCCTCGAGTACACTAAGGACGTGATAGTTGCTTTCGTGGACCGGTTCTACAACGACCTGCTTCGCAACAGAGTCCAGCTTCTGATGCGCGTTTCCTCTTCGTACTCGCGTCTCGCCAGCTTGCGGATTCTCCATCTCTTGAACACAAACGCTTTCCAAATGACACAGCGACTAAAGACCTATTTTGGAGACAAAGGCATAGATATCAGTGTGGAGCTCGACAAGTACCAATCCTCGTTGTTCCATCAATTTGTCGATAAAGACGCCTACTTCAACCTAGAGAAAGAGAATTTAGCCGATCTGATTGGTGCATTCACCGCTCGGTTCGAGCAAAAGAACGAGAAAATCGTGAACAAGCACTTGTTGGAGAACAAGATCATGCATTCGAAGGACACAAATGGCACCGTTCCTGGGGAATACGACCAGGACGTCTTTGCAGACACTCCTCAACGAGAAAACTCTACACGGAGACTGCTGTCCTACAAAAAGTCCAAGAAATTCACCTCTATTTCCAAGTTCATTAAAAACATGGAGAGGACGTCGTCACTTAGAGGTAGATTCACCAGAACAAAGCTTATAAATGGAACAGATACAAACTTCAAGGCACCAGTGGACCAATTGGACCCTGATCTCGGCGACGGGTCTGAGATGTCGTTGGTTATTGCCGAGAGAATTCTGAAATGTGTGGTGGAGTCTCTGACTCGTGCGATCGAGCTGATCCCATCAAAAATCAACGAATGCACTTTGGAATTGTTCGACATTCTCATTGTCAACTACGGCCAATCGTATTTGGCCGTTGAGCTCGAAAATCTCTACTACAACGGTATCCTGGTCCAGCAACAAAAACTTTCCTCGTTCTTTGGTTCGAGTGAAATCAACCTGAAATTCTTGGAACAGATCAACTTGATTTCCGTTCAAGTGTATCTGCTATCAATTGTGATCAAACGCTTCTTTTATCCGTTGATTTTATCCTCAGAGATTAAAAACCGATTAAGTGTCATGTTCAACTCGTATCTCCAGGACGTGGAGCTAGGATTGAACATTATTGTTGACGAGCTATTGGAGTTGATCGAGCGCAACATGAAACACATCCTTAACGGCCAATCGGCCGACGATTTCCAACCTGCCATTCAAACCACAAACGATAGAACTGAAACATGCGACAAGATGCTTAAGTTTGTGGATCAGCTGTTCAAGTCGCTGTACACTTACCTAAGCTTCAACCCTTCTTTGAAACTGGATGTTATGAAACGTATTCTGGCAAACTTGCTGGTGTTACTGATCAACCATTTCACTCGTTTCCGTGTCAACTCGATCGGTTCCTTGGTGCTTACTCAAGACGTGATTCATTATATTTCTATATTCGACAACTATCCAGATACAGAGGACATGAAGGAACAGTTCACTATTTTGAGAGAACTATCCAACCTGTATTCGTGTCAACCAGAGTTACTCAAAGATCTGGGAAATGAGGGCCAATTGATCTATTTGAAAAAGGCAGTGCTCAAACAGTACATTTCACGAAGATCCGACTTTGAAGACAAGTTCTTGCAAGGAATCTAAGTCTCAATGAACTGAAGCAGCTTGTTGCACAACTTGAAGGAATATCTTGAGTTTTTGTGCTGTTCCAAGTCGAGGTCTTGTAGCTCCAATGGAACAGTATCAACGCGCGCTATTGGTCCTTTGAAGTCTCGAGACGTTTCTTGATAATTAGCGAGTTTATCGTCTGAAACGTTATAGTTCGTGATTAGCACCTGTTTCAGTCTAATCAGCGAAAGAACAGCTCTTGCTGGGGCGGCAAGCGAGTCCCAATCATCTTCCTCTGACATTTTATCTGAGATCTCTGTACCTTCATTGTCGATGATCGAATCCAGTCCCGAAACCAGCAACAACACATGGTCTTGTATTTTGAAGTTGACAGCTGCAAGGTTGATAGCAATGTATCCGACGAAGAGCGGGTTTGGAGTTTTGAAGTTGGCAAGTGACTTCAGCAGCAGCTTCAAAAACCGTTTGGCTGCTCCTTTGCTACCTTCCAACACGCTGAACAAACATCTCAACAAAGTTTTCTCTTCCAACAGGCTCGGAGACAGTCTCGAGCGGTAGTCGAACGCGAGACGCAGTCCTTCCATATATCCTGTTTCGATCAGCGACTCATACTTCTCGAACAGCTGTTCGTGCATCGACAGAGCTATAGACCGAACAACTGGAATTTGGGACGACTCAAGTGCAACGATCGTTGGAATGCACAGTTTCGGGTTGGCAAAGCCAAGATTGACCACGAGTTTCAAGAAAGTGACTGCCCGCAGCGAATGGTCAGACTCGTCAATAAGACAGTTCTTCAAAACATGGTGGAGGTATCTCTGGACAAGAGACGAGCAGATTCCATCGTTGACGTACTCTGCGGACTCTCCATGGAACACCTTGACGTTCAATTTGGTTGTCTTGGAGTCTTTGAAGTCCAGACCGTTTTTCAACAGCGCCTCACGGTCCTGCAGCTCCAAGAACGTGGACAGAGTGTTGATGACTATGTCTTGGAGATCGAGGTCGTTGGTTTCAAAGACCGAGTCCATTACGCCCAGAATGCGCTCGCTCATAAAGTAGCGTGGGTGGGTGATGCACACGTTGAGCAGGTTCTTGATGGCCACTCGTTGCGACCCCACGTCCAACTCGTTGTTGCAGAACATGGTGATGTGTCTGATGATGAACCCAGAGACCGTGTCTGTGTCTTTGAAGCCGAGTTTCGACGCAGCAAACAGGGTGGAGTGGCTGTCGAGATGAGAGTGTCGGCCTAAGTTTCCCAGGAGAAACAGCAGTCTGAACACCTTCGGGTCTGGCTCGTACTGATGGTCTCTAATTTTGGCCAGATACGGTCTGAGCAGCGTGAGCGACGAGATGCACGCACGGGCGAGTTTCTCTGTGTCTTTTTTCATGACTGACAGAAGCCACAGACACGGCATGGCCTCTTCGAGCTCGTGAGCGTTGAACTTGGTGAGCCGTGCCAACAGCGACGTCTGGCACTGGTTGATGAAGGATTTCTTCAACAATTTGGTCTTTGGCAGAGTGTAATGGAATATTTGCAAGATGTTGTAGCACAACGAGCTTCCTGTAGAGCTGTCGTCGGTGATGTATGGTTGCAAAGACACGAGCTGGTCCTGAGAAAGCAGGTTGCCGTCGCACTTGACAAACACGGCGAGCAATCCGGTCATTTTCTGGACTCGTTCGCGGTCGGAGTGTACCTCGTTGGTGACGTACTCGAGGACGGTCTTGACGATCGTTGCGATAGACTTCTCGAGCGCCGGATCAGCACTGAAATTGTGGACTATCTTTTCTCTAAAGAACCGTTCGAAATACGTCCAGTTCTTTTCTGACTTGGCCACCAGCTGTACCATCACCTCGAGTTTGTCCAGAAGACGGCCATGGGGCGCAAACAACAGCTCGTTCAAGCACGACACCGCAAGATCAATAACAGCGTCCTCCTCGTCGTCCTGTCTGCGGAGCAGTTTTTCGCAGACGGTCACGTGCACGTCGAGCGAGTCAGAGTTCTGGTACATGATTTTGGCGAGTGCAATGGCCTTTTTGCGGACGGCCATGCTGGGGTCTGCGATTCTGTCGCACGCAGAGACGTAGAAGTCGGCGACAAGTTCTGGGTGCTGTGCGATGTTGTTGGAGAGCAGCTCGATGATCGAGTCGCGCACAGACGCGTACTGTTCCACCAGACGAACGGCGAGAGACTGTTTGATTTTCGGCAGCGTCACCAGCGAAGGCTCGCACGAAATGAGCAGCGACAGGTTCTTGATGGCGCGGTTTCGGGATTTCGTTTTTGGGTGGTCCAACGAGTTGACAATGAGGTTGAGGAACCCGTCGTAGTGCGAGAACAGGTTCTGCGAAGCCAGCACCGCACGGTAGTCTGTGCTGGCGGACACCGTAGGGAACGGGATCTTGTGGTAGATGAGCTGAAGCAGAGAAAACTCTGTCTCTTGGCACCGTGCAAGCAGTTTTTTCGAGGCTGTCTTGGCAAGAGCATGGACCTTGACGAAAAACTTGAACGCAAAAAAGGCCCCGTGGATCTTGAGAGAGTGCCATACGGCAAGGTACTGGCCCACAAGGGAGTCGAACTCGGCCACAGTCATCTCGGGCCCAAACCGCACAGGCTGGTAGTCTCCGCGCAACGAAAGAATCTTGGACCCGATCATGCCCATGAGTTCCAGAGCAAACGCCTCGACGGGACCGGAGTAGTTGTCGGAACTGAAAACAAACATCAGTGTGTACAGAAACGACTCCAACAACGTCTCGCAGCCAGAGTACTCTGGGTACTCGAGCATGGCAAGAAGATCCTCGATGAAGTTTTCTAAAACACGTTTCCCCGTGGCATCGTAGTTGGTGGTGACTCGCGTGACCAGCAGCGAAGCGATCTGATTGCACAGCCGCGACAGCTCCTCGTCCGCAGCGTCAACAAACTCGTACACGGCTGCGTTCAGATCTTGGCGTTTCTTGCCGCTCACTTTCCAGTACGCGTCGTCAAACTCGTAGCAGATGGTGAACGACTGCACCAGACGCACCAGCAGCATGGTGACGAGCTGGACGCTGAACCCGCGCGCGAGATGGTAGTGCCGCGCGTGCGACTTGTTGGCCGGCAACGTGTCGAAGCTGTTGACGATCTCGTTGAGCAGGAACACGCGCTGGTCCGGGTTTCTGTTGAATATCTCATAGATAACGTTGGAAGCTGCCACGCGGAGTTTATCGTGGAACACCGACCGACTGGCCCCGTCAAAACAGAGTTTGAGCGTGTGATACTCCAGCTTGGTGGCTATGGAGTCCTCCATGTTGTTCCACTTGGCGTAGCGGGCAAGCAGGTCCAGGATCTTGATCTGGTGCTTGATGAAAGTTTCCGAGTGCTGGCTCTCGGTAGCAAGTGCGTCCGTGACAGAATAGACGAACTCCAGCACAGACGTCAGGTACGTCTCCAGATACAGCTGTCTGTCTGTGTGGGCGCTTGTGAGCACAATCAGGAGGAGAATTGCGCATTTTGACGGCACCAGGGCTGCCTCGAGCTCGGCGTCGGTGTTGTCCACAAACTGGAAGTCGATCGACCGCACACAGGCGTCGGCCAGAGTGATGAGCAGTTTCGAGTCCATCTGTCGCAGCAGTTTCGAGTACCACAGCCGGTTCATAGCAATCTCGAGCGTTGTGAGTGTTTCCAAGTCCAGAACGAACGGGTTTGTCACCACGGCCACAAACGTGTTTCTGGCATCCTCGTGCAAGCTTTCGGAGTCGATGTGCACTACCGGCAGGTCCTGTTCAACCGCGGCAGGAATCTCGTGCACGTTGAGGGCCTTGGAGTCGAGATCAACGGCAGAGTTGTCAATCTTGATCCGTTTCACCTTGAGATCGGGCTTTGTCCACGCGCGCTTCGAGGGCATCGACTGGAGAATGTGGGCTTCCAACGGATTGGTCGGGGGTTTTGGCTCGTATGTATGTTTGGAAAGGCGCAAAGCCGGTTTCTTAAACGTGATGTTCTTCAATTGGTCAGAGACCCGGAACTCGGAGATCAACTGCTGGTCTATCGAACTTGTCCCTTGTGAAGACGCGTGCAACGGTTCGACCAAACGGACCTCGAACGGGCCACTAAACGGCACAACTTATCGTTAGTCATCTTGCTGAAAAACACTTACTGTCCTGTTTGGGCAAAATGTAGTTGATTGGCTGGTTCAAAAGCGCCGAAGCCAGATCATGAGGAATATTCATGAAAAAACAATTTAATTAATATTTTTCTCTCATGTCTACACAAATCTTTATTCCGTCCGAGGAATTACGCGCTGACGCGGCCAAAGAGCAGGCGTGGCTAGTGGCAGAGGTGATCCGGCCACAGCTGCCCAGCATCAAGGAGAGTCTGGCGTCGTGTTTGGCGCAGATCGACGAAAATAACATGGACGAGTTCAAGTTCCCCTTGTCGTCGCACAACTCAGAAACGCTCAAAGGTGTGGTGTCTCGGTCGAATTTTAGAGTCACCGGACTCAATGTATCGATAAAGTCCAAACATCTGGGCAAAATCCTCCATTTAAAGATGAAACCCAGCTCAACACTGATTCTACGACAGTTGCTTGATTGTCACGACCTCATTTACAACGCTATAAACACCATCAACAAAATCCAGGCACAGCAGGACACACAGCCGGCTGTGTTGTTGAGCATCTTGGCGTCGCTGCACAAACAGATCGATTTCGCTAAACAATCTCTGTTGGTACCAAGAGACGCATACATGTTCCCCAAGTACCGACTGCCAGCGAGCGTGTTCGAGCCCGAGCTGCCCGAGAACGTCTCACTCGACTTGGTGATCAGCAACAGCGACATCTCGATCGACCTCAAGATCGTCAAACCCATCACACATAAGCCTTGGGACCTGATTATAGACGTGCAAAAAAGAACGTCGTTCGCGGACCATGTGCGAGCCAAGATCTCGCAAGATCGCTCGCGGTCGATCTCCACCATCCTCGTGGACGAGTACCGCAAACTGACGGAGTCAAGAAAAAAAACCAATACCGAATCGCCTGGGTTTCTCAAGTCCATGTTCAACACAGACAGCGATCCGTCGTGCTCCACGGTGCTCAAGATGTCCACCAAGTACCTGGAAGAAAGCGTCACTTACGTGGACAACACGGACCACCCGGTTGCGGTGACGATCTTGGAAACATGCGACGTGGTGACGAGCGATCCAATGTTGCTGTCGATCAGCATCAAGCTGGACAGTTTGGAGAAGACGGTGGCGAAGCTGCTGCAAAACCTCAAACTGATCTCGACGCCAGTTTAAGCTTCTTTGCACGCAAACTGTTGAGACGGGCTATTTCCTCACGCGTACCTGCGACTTTTTGCACCTTGAGCGAGGCTCCGTGCTGAGATCTGACGCGTTGCAACTTCTTTTCCAACGGGCCGACCTGTTTGTACAAACGGTCTTGTTTGCGTGCAAGGTCCGACATTATTTCGCGCAGCAACTCGTGATCTTTGTTTAGACGAGGCTCGACCAGCGAATTGACCGAATTTGTGCGTTTTTGCACGGCTGCTTCAGGGATTACATCGAACACAGCCTTTGTGCGGAGAACAACTTTGAATCTGTCCACATCGTCGGTGACCTGCCTGAGCGGATCGATCGCGCAGTTGAGGAAGTTGATGGAGTTCTCGAGCGACGAGATGGATGACTGAAGGTTTTCTGCGACCGACATAGCGCAAAAGATCAACAAAGCGCGATGTTTATTATGATTGTTATTTTTCCCTGGCTAACTTTTTTTTCTTTTGCGTCGACCGCAGCCAAGCCGATCGACGCCCAGAACACTGCATATCGGCAAAGAACGGGAAAGTCGGTTTTTTAACCAAACCGGGGAAGACAAGATTGACGCCCTATCTTGCTGTTTCAGATAGCTACCTGCACGTGCACTGCAAATGGAAAATTCCCGAGCGTTAGCTACAAGGCCCGGGACGGCAAGGTTTCTTTTTGCGCTACCCCGTAGCTTGGCCAAGGGACTTGCGTGATTGGACAATCACACATCGGGTGCCAAGAATTGAATACCAATTCGACCACAAAGCCTTAGGTGAAACTCAAGCATATTCAGGGATGCATGAAGTCGCTATAGTCCCGGCCTTTTGCTTTCGCCGTGCCGACTCTTGGGCTGTGCCTCCTCTGAGTTTTGACAGGTTGGAAAAAGAATATATGCGTAATTTTAGTATGCCAATTGCGACTCTGCATGTGCATTGCATGAAATAGTTTGTGAAGTATGAGTTCCGTGCATTGAGGGACGTCGAATACCTCGGCCAAACCCATCGTTAAATATTGCTATCTTCCTAATAACTGTTTTCGAGTCAAACTAGAAAATCGTTTGTGAGCATCGATCGACTCTGGAGTGACAGATTTGACGCACAGAGGTTAATTTCTTTTCTGAAAATAAGCCAATTTCGAAATATCGGTTTATTCAGTTATAAAAAGCAGACCCCCCCTTTTCTCACCCTAATAGTTCAACCAAATATCCAATTCATCGTATGAATTCCTCCGATCGCCACAACCTGAACCACAACCGCTCAAGACTAGCAAGTCTTCCTCTTCCTCCCAAGGGATCGCAGGAAGCACACCATCCTCTAACTCTACCTTCGTTGGAAAATCCACCGATTCTGCCAGATTTCAACCTCTACTCCACCCCAAACCAGCAAAACTACAACTATTCCAGCAATGCCGCCGCCAATGCTCACTCTCGCATCCCTGTGAGCCCAACATACCAGGTTTTCCAGGAACGGGGCACGGAATCGGCAAATTCTGGCCGCATCCACAGTTTTGGAGATATCCAAAGAAGCAATGGTAGCTTGGGCTACCATAAGGACCATCAGGAGCCAATGTTCCCGCATGATAGAAGATCGACGGTTTCCCAGGAAGATACAGTGTTGTGTTATGACATGGAGACTAAAACGTACAAAATGGTGGAAAGAGCCGTTGCGCAGGAGTCCAGGTACAAACTTCAGCCGGTTGACCAAAGCCCTACTGATTCCACCTACAGTAAAGAATCACCGAGATCGAGCTCCGACTCCCCTGAGAAGGCAAAACGGTCAAGAAAGGGTTGTCTTACTTGCAGACAACGTAAAAAGAAGTGTTGCGAAACCAGACCAACCTGCTCTGAATGCTCTAGACTTATGATCAGATGCAGATGGCCCGTTCCCGGCAGCGAGCGCAAGAACAGATCCAAGAACAACACATTCAACCCGGACGAGATGTTACATGAGGCGTTCGGTGTCATTAAGATCCTCAGGGGTGTTGTCGACTACAAAGTTGAGGGTTGAAGATTTCCGTATGAATATTAAGTGTTACGTAATAAAGGTTTTTCTACTATTGTTGGTTAAGATAATTCCGTCCGTTTTTGCGAATTATTATTGTTCCATGCGAGATAATAGTAACTTTGCTACGGCCCGCATATTTATGCATAGAAATATACGCATAAACTGGTGTCTTTACCGGTTGTGGACGCGCCCGGAATCGATTCGCTTGGGTTCTGTGCCGTGCCGCGAGTTCTACTGGCGGGGCGGTGCACACAGTATCGGTTTAGCTTGTCTCAGCCATTAGTTTTAGCCGAAAGCCGTGCGTTCGAACGTGCAAATCTCATCAAATTCGCGAACCACTTGGCACATTGTTTCTTGATGGACTTCCACACAGAGATCAAACAGCAGGTAGTAGTTTTTCACAATTGCGTGGATCCGGTCCTGGACAAGATCGATACCGTAGAACTTGCTGTAAGCCCTCTGCAACTCCTCTGTCAACTTATTCTCCACCTCGCTTGAGCTGAGCCGCGCAAACATACCTGCAGATTGACGCAGGTATTTCTCGTCTCTGTACATGCGGCCGTGGTTGCCAACCTCGGCTGAAATAATGCTTGCCATCGCGTTCACGTAGATGGTCTTTAGGGAGTTGACCTTAGTGGACCCGATATTGACCTTCTCGATCTGGGCGATAAGACCACCAATGTGTTTTTGGTCTAAATTTAGTTCCAGCACCTGGTCGATTGCTTTTTTCTCGTAGCCACTCAAACTTAATCGCTCACCCACGTTCATGCATAGAATTCTGTACACTTCCTCCTTGAAGAAATTGTTGAACCGGTTGCATTCGATCTGGTCGAAATAACTCAACATAAAGTTGTCCAGGTCGGCGAGCAGTTTGGGGAAGTCGATTAGTTGTTGCTGTGATTTTGCCGCAAAGCTGCTATTTGCCAGTTGTGGAGGAAGCACCGTTGGCGTATTTGCCAATGAGCTCATCAAAATCACACTAATGGACTGGAGGGTGATAAGCGACCGTACTTGATTGTTCAAATCCAGAAACTGGATCGAAAATGTGTCCAAAAACTCGGGCATTTCGTACACTTTGGCGCTGTTGGTGCTGCATAGAAAGGAAGTGAACAGCCTATTGAAAAATAGGTACGACCTGGTTTCCGGGGTTCCGTCGTCTGGCTGCATGATGAGTTCTTTATGCATCTGCATCAACTTGTATAGATTTGGGTAGCGCAGGTTCAAAGACACCTTGGCTGAAGGATAGTTGCACTCGAACACCTCTCTTTCGAACTCCACAATGTTGCTACCAATGAACTTGAGACAGTTCTTGATGCAATTGTTCATTCCATAGATCATACAGTCTTTGATGAATTCCACGAATTTCTGCACAAAAAGCTTGTCTATGCTGCCCAGCATAGTCAGCAGAGTTTCTGCTTCGTAGCGCAGAAAATCAGGGATTTCTCTTCTCAGAACCGTCAGACTCATCTCAAAGTACTCCTGCAACGAGATCAGCCCGTTATGGAGCTTGTTCAGCACCAAGACCGAGTCCGACAAGAACGAAATCACATTGGAATTCTCTCTGCGATGCGTGGCATTGTCTGGGAAAACAAGATTCACCGTTTTGGACGAGTCTTCCATCACAATGAACATCGCATAAAGACACCTCTCAACCATCTGGACAATGTCCACCATCATCAGCTCGATTGTATCCACATATGAGAGCCGTTCGATCGCTTCTATGCAGCCCTCATTGTACGATTTCAAGCCCAACCATGTTCGGATGGCTTCGATGTCTGGCTGGACTTCCTCGATGTACTCGCCGAGCCTGTCTGGCTCTGAAATGGTCGATGTAGATGCGTCCTGGAAGAATCTGGACACCTTGCCGGTTTTGAGACGCACATGAACGTCTCGGCTTCGGTAGTCCAGCATCACTTTGAACAGATATTTTCGCCAGTTGTCCACAGAGAAAGTTGGCGGAACCAGCGACACCGGCCGGCTTGCTGTGCTCTTGAAGTTGGACTTGCTCGTGGACGAAACAGAAATCAACGGGTTGTCGTCCGTTAACGAGCCAGAAAGAACCGTCGCCTTGTGTTTGGCCACATACTCCTGCTCGTATTGGTCCACGGTTGCCATGTCGACCGCACGGTTGTCCGCCTTGAGCTTGCGGAACCGTTCCTTGTTGATCTTGATGAACGCCTCACCCTTTCGGATCATGTGCTTGTACTCATTCACCAAGACGTCGTTGTCTGGGGTGATGGAACGCATGGTGCGCAAGAAGTTGAGGTGTTTCGTCAGTCCGTCGTTACTCTCCGAAAGCATTGCCAGCGTCCGGAACCAATGGTTGAACTTAAACACCTGGAATATCGGGTAGTATTTGGAAACGTACTGCTCTTTAAAAGCGTATTTCTCGAACTCGGACCCGTTCAGATGCACCAGCCGCTGGAACTGTTTCCAGATACTAAAAGTGGTCTGGTGTAGCTCGTCTATGAGGAAGTTGTAGTAGGTGTCGTCTAGATGGTGCTGTTTCAGGTTTGGGAAGTCCTTGATCAGTCTGGAGAAAAAGTCCTGTTTCGTGTTCAGCCGGATGTCGTACATGGGTTTCCGTTTAAACTTCTCGAACTTGGTCTTCTCTACCAACACAGAAAACCCGAACAGGAAACATCTAGCCAGAAGAAACTTATCCAATGTTCCGTTGAATAGTTTCATTTCCTCGAATAGCAGAGCGGTGGTCTTGATAATTTCTCGGGAGTTGATGAACTTGTAGGTGTTTTCGATATCTGTCTTTACAACAGCCTCTTCGAAGTTTGCAAACATCGGGAGCCGTTGCAGGTTGGCCCACAGACTCATTGAGTCAACAATCTTGAACGTTTCAGGGAACGCGAAAACCGACTCTTGTGCCGGTTTTTCCTGCGCAATGTACATCTCGAGACTTTCTGTATCGTCACTGGATTTTGAAGAGCAAATGCTGCGCACGGTAGACGTGGCAACCAGTTTCTTGTGGTTGATATACTCCTCCTTATTTTTCACGGCCCTATTTAGCTTCTCAAGGAGCAATTCTCTTTTTTTGACCTTCTGTTGCTCTAGACTGGTCAAATTCGCAGAAACAACGTCCGAATGCGACAGAGTCTTGCCGACTCGCTTGTCCAGCTGCTGGAGCCTTCGGGTGGTGTGGGACTGGATGTCATCGTCTATGGAGCTGGCGGACTTTCGAGGACTGAACTTGCCCAGGGGAGTCAGACGGCGGATGACCCGGGGCGGCGGAGTGAGCGGTGGCGAGGAGAGCGAGATGGCGGTGATTTCTGAAGAGTCGGCAGAGTTGCAGGATCGGCCCTGGTTTGGCGGAGTGGAAGGTTTCGGAAGCTGTGTGGGGTTGAGTTTCGGCGTGAGAATCTGCGAGCCCGAACCAGACTCACGACATGTCATCTTGTCGTGGTCCGACCCTTGATCAGGGGGGCCGTCGGAAGTGTCCATGGAAGCAAAGAAAATGTCTAATAATCTACACTGGGCGGTATCTGATAATAAATGTTATCTCGAGTGGCTGGGCCCAAAATTGTGGCTGGGGCCGTTTTGGCAGCTGGGGTAATTTTCTGGTTTTTTTCATTTAGTCAGACTTTATTGTTTTAGTGACGTTTGTTAATTGTTATGATTTCGCTGATTCTGTTATACCTGGGCTTATCAATTGTGTTGATAAATGCGCTTACTTGGACATTGAAACGGTTCCGACTCCATGAAACGAAGTTCCAGCACGGCCTTACCGTTAACCTTGCACCGGTGCGGTATCTGATCAACCTCACATACAAGATCAACTCCAAGATCCCGTTTGTGGACAAGCCGTCTACGACCATCAGCGAGATCCGCGTCCATCCCATCAAGTCGTTTCCGGCTTTGAAAGTGCAATCGTGGAAAGTCACCGAGTTCGGGCTTGACTGCGACCGGATGTACATGTTGAGCAAATGGGACAAGGAACACAACAAATGGCTGATGGTGTCGCTGCGCGAGTACCCGTCGTTGAGTCAGGTCGAGTTGCGGCTGGAAGACGACATGTTTGTGGTTGGGTTCCAAAATAAAGACTATTTCAGCGTCCCTCGCACTGTCACCGACGAGTACTTCAAGGCAATGACTTCGGCCCCTTCGACGGCCGATCTGTGGAAGGTCGAGTTCGAGGCGTTCGCTCTGGATAAACTTGACCTGAAACCGTTCTTGGAGGCGGTGGGATTACCGCTGGATCTGCAATTGGTGTTTGCTCCGTTTGGAAAACTGGTTATCACCAATTCGCCAAAAAACCTCACCACGCGCCCGGGCTTCGTCCCTGGCTCGCACGAACAGTACCGTGTGACCAAGTTCCAGGACTACTTCCCCGTCCTGCTGATTTCACAGTCGGATATCGACGATTTGAACCAACGGCTGGTGAAAGGGTTCGGGCCAGACTTCCAGACCAGTTCTACGCATTTCCGTCCTAATATCCTGATCGAGGGTCCAAAAAGGCCCTTCGACACCGACGACTGGTACAGATTCACCGTCAACGGACGCGAGTGGATCGTCGCGTCGAAATGTCCCCGCTGCGTGATACCAAACATCGACTTTGAAAAAGGTAAGGTGCATAGCAAACACCCTGTTTCGCGGACGTTGGCGAAATTCCGCAGAATCGACGTGGGCAACCCGTTCCAGTCTTATTTTGGTGTGAATGCCGTGCAGATCCAGCACGGATACACGATCAGCGTCGGCGACAAGGTCCAATTGCTTGAACGGAGACTCAATCAATACGGCGATCTGTCTTGATCCAGAACGCACCCGTGCACCGGCAACATTAGGAAATTTTTGTAGGGGTAAATAAATAAGTTCGTTTCAGTTGCCGATTTCTTTAAGTGAAAAGTGATAGTGATGTCGTCCACTGCAATTGATCCTAAGAAGGCTTCCATTGAGGAGCTGGACTTGCGTGGACCGGTCAGTAAGACCGACAAGAAGCTTTTGGCCGAGAGAAAAAAGCTTGAAGAACAGAAACGTAAGCCTCATGATTCCGCCTTTACTGGATGGAAAGAAGTTGGTGGATGGGAACGGGGCGACATTCTGAGCTATGAGGAGGAGATCATTGATCTTTTGACGAAATCCACGTTTTTGGACGAGTATCTTCCGGAAGTGGCGTATGGCGACTGGTATCACACGGTTGCTATTGTTATTCTTGGTGGATTTCTGTCGTGGCTTTTGGGTCGGTTCCGGTTTTCGCTTGGTCCTGTTTTCTTCATCACTGTGGCTAGTGCCATCTACTACCGGTCGTCCATCAGAAAGTACAGAATGTCCATCAGACTCCAAGCACAGAGAGAATTTTCTGTGAATCATATTGAAGATGATTTCGAGTCGATGGACTGGCTGAACGTGTTTTTGGACCGTTACTGGCGGTTTATTGAGCCAACCGCTGCGCAGATGGTCTGTGACCAGGCCAATGCGATCATGGCTGGTCTGCCAATTCCTGCTTTTGTCAAACAGGTTTGGATCCATACATTCACTTTGGGTACCAAAGCTCCAAGAATTGACAAGGTGCGTACTTTGGACCGTACTGATGACGATGTCACCGTGATGGACTGGTGGGTCTCTTTGAACCCGAACGCTTTGGAAGACACCACCTCCAAACAGTTGAAGAACTACGTCAACCAAAGCATTATTGTCAAGGCCAAGCTGTTTGGGTTGACAATCCCGTTTGCCGTTTCCAACGTTGCGTTCCAGGTCAAAGTCAGAGTCAGATTAAGAATGATGCAGAACTTCCCGCACATCCAGACAGTCAACGTCTCCTTGATGGAGGCTCCTCACTTTGACTTCATTGCCAAACCGTTTGGCGGAGACTCCATTTTCTCGTTTGAGGTTCTTAACATTCCTGGTTTGTTCATGACCATCAACGAGCTTGTCAAGAAATTCGCCGGCCCAATGGTGTTCGATCCGCTGTCTTTCCAACTTAATCTTGAACAATTGCTGAACGGTAACGGTTTGGACGGTGCCCTGGGTATCTTGCAGGTCAACGTCAAACACGCCAAGGGTCTCAAAGCAGCAGACACTTTCAACAACACTATCGATCCGTATCTTACATTCGGTTTCGGTAGCGAGGTTCTGGCCAAGTCCAAGGTTATTCCAGACACCATGGATCCTGTCTGGAACGAGAAGATTAACGTTATGCTCAAGTCTTCTTCTGAGCCATTGAACATCACCTTGTACGACGAGAACGAGAGTGACGGCAGAAAGGACAAGATGATGGGATGCGTTCTTTACGATTTGGAAGAGATCATGCTCAAGGGAGAAATCAGAAATATCAACCTGCCAATTTTGAGAAACAACAGAGAAGCAGGCGAGGTTTCGATCGATTTGAAGCTGATGAAGACTCTGCAAGGATTCAAGTTGCCAGATGGATCGTACTCGCCACCTCCAGACCTTAACACTGGTGTTGTTGTTCTGAAACTGCTCGGAGCCAGAGCATACAACGAGGACGACAAAAAGCCAGGAAACGTGTTTGCCGAGGTGTTGGTCGACAAAGAACTCAAGCTCACTTCGGGACTGGTCAAGAAGAGCAAGGAGGCTTCCTGGAACCTTACACACGACCAAATCGTCTACAACCGGTCCAAATGCAAGGTTAGAGTCATTCTCAGAGACTCTGCCAAGAAGCTGGTTGGCTCGGCAACTTTCAAACTTACCGATATCATTGATGCATCCTACGTTGGAAATGAATGGCTTTCGTTGACCAAGGGTTTGGGAGAGGTCAGACTGACCTGTAACTGGAGTTCTGTTGCCATGACCGACGTGCCAGGCGCCATGGGCTACACAGAGCCATTTGGTGTTGTTCGCTTCAACATCGGCAAGGCCGAGAACCTCATCAACTTGGAGAAGATTGGTGTTATCGATCCATACATTAGAATTATGATCAACGGTATCCAGAGAGGCAGAACATTGACCAGAGACTCCACTACAAACCCGGTGTACAACCAGTCTATCTACGTTCCTATTGCTTCTCCTAACCAGAGAGTCACCATTGAGGCTATGGATGTGCAAAGATCCACTCCAGACAGAACCCTGGGTTCGTTCCAGGTCAGACTCAACGAGTTCATCGAGTTTAACGACAACGGAGACCCAATTGAGTCTTCTGGCGAGACTAAGGAGGGTCGGTTGGTGCATCCTAAGCGTGGAGCCAAGGGATCTGTGTCGTACTCGATGTCGTTCTTCCCTACTCTTCCTGTGATGACTCCAGACGACATCTTGGAGAAGAAGAACATCGAGAAGGCCAAGGCGGCCGGGGAGAAGAAAGAGCTGTCCAAGGAGGAGCAAACCCAAGAAAAGGAGGAAGAGGAAGAATTGGAGGACGCCAAGCCTAAATTGGATCTTCCTCTCAGCAAGGTCCAGGACTACAGCTGTGGTGTTTGTGTTTTCACTCTTTTGGAAGGACAGTTCTCGAAAGACGGTTATCTGCAGGTCTTCTTCGACAAGGAGGGATATCCCGAGTACGTTTCGCCAAAACTCTCGTCTCGTAACAACCGGATCAATTCCACTGGTGAGGCATTGGTCAAGGAGCTCAAATACTCTATGGTGACGTTGCGGTTGTCTGAGAAAAAGAATAGCAACTTTTTGCAGAAAGCTCTGGCCGAGGTGACCATGCCAACGATGGAGCTGCTCAACAAGACGTACGACCAGCCACAGGTGGTGAACCTGTCGAACGGCGTGAGCGTCAAACTGCAGACCAGATGGACTCCAGTGCTGATGGAGACACTTCCTGCGCAGGACTCGATCGGAAACGCGGGCTCGTTGCGTCTACGTGTGATCAAGGCCAGCGGTCTGCCTGCTGCAGACTCGAACGGCAAGTCTGATCCATTCACCAAGGTTTATTTGAACGGGGACGACGTGATGAAGACGAAGACCATCAAGAAGACCCTGGATCCGGAATGGAATGAAGAGGAGGAGTTCGAGGTGGACAACAGAGTCAACTCTGTGCTGCGGTTCAAGGTTTCTGACTGGGATATTGGTCTGGAACAGGACGACAAGTTGGGCGAGGTTAGTGTGAACCTGAGCGAGATCGATCCGTTCCTTGAAGGTGTGCAGGAGTCGAAGTTGCAACTGATTGATGACGACGGCCAGCCGGCGGGAGACCTGTACGTTGCGTTTGAGTTCAAGCCATTCTACGTTACTGTTTTGAGTGCCGACAAACAGCTGCCTAACGTGGCAGGTTCGGCCGTAGATGGTGCCGGAAAGCTACTGGGAACTGGTTTGGACGGAACTGGCAAGGTTCTGGGAGGTGCAGGCAAGGTTGGCGGCAAAGTTATCGGAACTGCTACCAATTTGTTCAAGAAGAAGAAATAAGCCACCACGAGACACTTGATTATGTAACATTTAAAAAAAAAAATCCAAATTTAAATCAAGTTTTAAATTTATATGCACGCACGTTCTGGAAGAATAAATTATGTATAATTTTTCAGTGGGAAAATAAAACTTTATTTATTTATCATTAAGTTTGCCCACTAAAGAGTTTTTAAGTATGGGAGCGCTATGAAGTTCGCAAAGATGCTAGAACAGACCCTCCAGGAGGAGTGGGTCCCCGAGGAGTGGGCCAAGAAGGCGATCCAGTACAAGGCGTTGAAAAAGAGGATCAACCGAGTAGTTGAGGAGCTCGAGTCGATAGGCATTAAGCGCGAGGATATGGTGCTCATGTACGATATTGAGCGTGTGCAGCACCAGCTGGTTCCGCGGCTGACGGTTCGCACGACGCTGGAGATGGAGGACTTGGTTTTGACCAAGATCGAGGAGTTGGGGTATTCGTTTACAGAGGTGCAAGAGGCCGAGGCTGGGGTTTGTTTGTTGACGGTTAGTTTGCATCAGGATGCGCTGTTTTTCCAAACTTTGTACGAGGAGCTGGAGGAATTGAGTCGGTTTCGAGACGAGCGCGAAAAGGAGATTGTGGCGACCGTGGAGAGTCTTGCCGCGGAAATAGGCAAAGTCGGGGGGCCCAGCAGAAGAAAGTCGGACATGTATTTGTGGCGGGAGATTTTCCAGCTGTACATCGAGAGCGAGGTGTTTTTCAGCACAAGAGAGAGATCTGCCGGCCGTGTGGACGTGGAGGTGTCGCGACAGCGGATGGGCGAGTTTGTGGCGCATGTGAACTCTGCCGGACTGCAGAAGAGGTTTCATCACCGGGGATCGCTGGCCGCGTTTGGAGCGTTCCAGGAGATGAACATGCAGATCATGAAGGTGGCCAATTACCAGACGATCAACGGGATCGCCGTGCACAAGATACTGAAAAAGTTTGACAAGCAAACGTCGCTCAACTCGTCGATCCTGTTCCCGGACATTTTACAGAAATCGTTCGAGACCAACATTCTGAATAGCACCGTTTGCAAGGACGTCTGTTCGGTGATTGCACAGCGCTTACTTAACATCATCCCGCAATTGGAAGACTATACCTGTCCGATCTGCTGCTCTGTTGCGTTCAAGCCGATAAGACTCGATTGCGGGCACTTATTTTGCGTGAGATGTCTGGTGAAGCTACAACGCAAGGACGAGGACAAATGCCCGCTGTGTCGCCAGGCTGTTGTGCTGCACGCCGACGAGCGCAACCTGGACTACGCACGCATGGAGTATCTCAAGCTGTACTTCCCGCGCGAGGTGAAGGAAAAACAGACCGAGAACGAGCGCGAGATCTTCAAAGAACAATACGGCCACATTGTGGACCCGGACAAGCCAACGTGCACGATTGTGTGAAATACTAGGACGATTAAATTTAATATATTTTTTTTAGCTGATTAATCTTTGTCTTATGAACGATACCGACGTCAACAACAAGTACGACCGCCAGGTGCGGCTGTGGAACGTGTCGGGACAGCGGCGACTGGTTGACTCGCGCGTGTGTTTTGTCGGGGCGTCGCCCGTGGCGTGCGAGACGGCAAAGAACCTTGTTTTGCCCGGAGTGGGAAAGCTTGTGTTTGTGGACGATCTGGCTGTGGACAGCAGCGACTTGGCGGCCAATTTCTTTCTGCAGGAGTCGGATTTGCACAAGGACCGGGCCCGGTGTGTTTCTGATCGTCTGGGCGAGCTCAACGCCGACTCCTCCTTGGAACATGTGAACACACCCTGGGACCAGCTGATCCAGGACAAAGGGTTCTGGAAACAGTTTGACTGCGTGGTGAACGCGCGACTGGACCCAGACACCGATCTGATCGACGTTCTGTGGCAATTGGGCGTTCCCCTTGTTCATATCCACGCCACGGGGGTGTATTCTCTGGTAAGGGTGTATTCTTTGGAACGGACGATAGTGGAGACCCATGCGACGCGCGCGGACGATTTCCGGCTCGACGCGGCGTGGCCCGAGCTGCAGACGTACGTGGACTCGATCGACTCGCACGCGGCCGCAGAGGTGCCCTACAGCGTGCTGCTGATCAAGACGTTCCAGGAGCTCGAGAAAAAACTCGGCCGCAGACCAACCACGCGCGAGACACGCGAACGGCTGCGCGAGCTCGGCGACGACGACAACGTGCTGGAGGCCGTCAAGAAGGCGGCGCTCGTGGGGAAAGAATCGCACACTCTGGACGACCGCACGCGGCAGCTGCTGGCCCAGAAGCCCAGTCTTGCTACAGCAACCATGTTCTGGGTATTGGTCGAGGCGTTGGACAGATTCTACCAGAAACACCGTCTCCTGCCGCTAAACGGCTCGCTGCCAGACATGACCAGCAACACAGACAGATACCTCGAGCTCCAGGACATTTATAGAGCAAAGCACGACGCCGACAAGACAGAGCTACGCGGGCTGGCTACACAGGTGCTGGCAGAACACGACCGGGCCAACGAGACCGTGACAGACGCGGAAATGGACCTGTTTGTCAAGAATTGCAACGTCCTGGAGGTCCAGCGCGGGTCCAAGAACGTGTGGGACCCCAAGACGCTCGAGGACGAGAACTCGCCCGTGCTACAGAACATCAACATCTACTTTGGGTTCCTCGCGCTGAACGCGTTCCACAAACAGCACGGCCGGTACCCGACGCCTGCGGACCAGGCCGAGGTGCGCTCGTGGTCGATCTCGGAGCTGTGCCGTCACCGCACGGTCAAGTCGTTCCCCGACGGGCTGGAGCACGTTTTGGACGAGCTGCTGCGTGCCAAGGGCGAGGTGTTGCACAACGTGTGTGCGCTGACGGGAGGAATCGCCGCACAGGAGATCATCAAGGTGCTCACCAACCAGTACGTCCCGCTCAACAACACGCTCACCTTTGACGGCATCCGCGGCCAGACAGGCACCTGGAAGATCGACTAACAGAAAACACCCGTGCACCACCCAGTTGGGTTTTTCGCAAGTCCACATGCAAAATAATCTCTAAACGACGGGACATGTACTACTCGGAGTCCATTGGCATTGAGAGCGCGCGGCCGCAGAACGAGTTTTGGAGCCTCGAGGTGTCCGACCTCGGCAACCAGAAATGGAAGTACGGCCCGGTGCGGCCGGGCGTGGTGGAGTCGCATCTTCTCCAGCCCAATAAGCCTCAACCGTACGGCAAGTACTCGCTGGACCAGGCGATCGAACTGGCGGCGCTCAACTTCTCCACCGTGCAGCACGAGTCTGGAACGTGGCCCAACCAGTATAAAGGCCCGATGTTCATGACAATTGGCTACGTTGCGTCGTCGTACTTCACCAAGACCCCGATTCCAGGTCACGTGGTTTCCGAGCTGATCAGGTACATAGTCAACAGCTCGCACCCTGTGGACGGCGGATGGGGATTACATGAGACGGACAAGTCGACGTGTTTTGGAACAACTATAAATTACGTGATATTGCGGCTTTTAGGGCTGTCCAAAGACCATCCCGTTTGTGTTAAGGCTCGCAAGACCCTGTTGGATATGGGCGGCGCCGTGGGTAACCCGCATTGGGGTAAGATCTGGCTGTCTGTTTTGAATCTGTACAAGTGGGAAGGAGTGAACCCTGCGCCAAGCGAGCTGTTTGCTCTGCCGTATTGGCTGCCTATCCATCCAATGAAATGGTGGGTCCATACCCGTGGAATCTATGCTCCTGTCGCGTATCTGTACACCCGCAAGGCATCGTGCGAGCTGGACCCGTTGTTGGAACAGATCAGAGAGGAGATTTATTTGCAACCGTTTGAAAAGATCGATTTTGCAGCATGCAGAAATAAAGTCTGTGGAATCGACCTATATTATCCGCACACAACTCTGTTGAACGTGGCCAATTGGGCCATGGTCAAGTACGACCAGTGGAGACCGCAGTTTGTGGCCAACTGGTTCAACAAATTCGCTTACAACCTGGTGTTGAAAGAGCTCGAGAACACAGAAAATCTTTCCATTGCCCCCGTCAACGGCGCATTCAACAGCATAGCTGTGTTTCTGGAAGAAGGCCGCAGCGAGCGGTTCAAAGTGGTTGTCGAGCGCATGCACGAGGAACTGTTTTTGGGTCCAATGGGTCTCACCATGATGGGCACGAACGGGTCGCAGGTCTGGGATAGCGCGTTTGCTGTTCAGTGTTTCCACGTTTCGGAGGTGGATCAGTTCGGATTGGTGAAAAACGCCCACGATAGGGCCGTCTCCTTCTTGTTGCGGTCCCAGTTCGACACCGAATGCGTTAGGGGCTCGTACCGGGACTCGCGTGTTGGTGGCTGGCCGTTCTCGACAAAGGACCAAGGATATACCGTCAGCGACTGCACTGCAGAAGCCATGAAGGCCGTCTTGATGGCTCATCCGAACGACACACAATTGATCCAGAAACTGCACAAAACAGTCGACCTGCTGCTGAGTCTGCAGAACGTGGATTGGTCGTCGAAGCTGAGAGCGTATTACGGATCGTTTGCCTCGTACGAGAAAGTCAAGGCCACGCCATTGCTCGAGCTGCTGAATCCAGCAGAAGTGTTTGGCAACATCATGGTGGAGTACCCGTACGTGGAATGCACCGACTCGAGCATCCTGGGACTGGTTTATTTCCAGAAACACAGCGACTACCGGTCCGAAGATATCAAATTGGCCATTGACAACGCTCTGCAGTTCCTGGCGAAAGCGCAAAACCCGGACGGCTCCTGGTACGGCTGCTGGGGGATATGCTATACATATTCCGGGATGTTTGCACTCGAGGCGTTCGCAGAGACGGGCCACAAATATGGGAACAGCGAGATTGTGCGCAAAGGGTGTCACTTTTTGGTCGACAGGCAATTGAAAGACGGCGGCTGGGGAGAGTCCATGAAATCGTGCGAAACGCACACGTACGTGTCGACTTTGCAGGCCAACGTTGTGCAGACCGCATGGGCATTAATTGGTCTGCTTCTTGCCGAGTATCCAGATCTTGTTGTCATTGAAAAAGGCGTTCGGCTGCTGCTAAGCAGACAAACCAAAGAAGGCGACTGGGCAATGGAAGGTGTCGAGGGTGTGTTCAACCACTCGTGTTCTATCGAGTATCCGAACTACCGGTACATTTTCCCTATCAAAGCTTTGGGATTGTACCGAAGACGACTGAAATCGCAGGGCCGAACATGGCGCAACCTCTAGGAGCTCCCCTTGAGCTCCTTTTTCTCTTCTCTTCGTCGCTTCTGGGTGTTGCCAACCAGGTTCTCCACATACATTGAATATATCTCGTTATCCTGTTTCAAGTCTTCGAGTCGTAGGTTCCAGCACGCAGCGAGTTTCAACAGCTCGTCGCGCACGTTCTCGAGCTCTTTTGTCTTTTCCTGTATGTCTCCGCGTTCTGCAGCCGCCTGGTAGAACGATTTGGGCTGGACTCTGGAATGGATCGACTCCAGCACCGAGTCCGACGAGCTCAGGATCTCGTCCTTGCGGGTCTCGTCAACACTCACCTGCGAGATCCGCGTCTCCAGCTCGGCGTTGACATTGTTCTGCAGCCCTTGCAGTGCACTCTGGTCGTACAACTTGCTCATCTTTGCACCAGCCACCGACGGCAGAACCTCGTCCAGATCGATGGGGATCCCCAGACTCACAAGCAGCTTGCGCCGCAAAAGCGACCGTTTCCAGTTCACCTGCCGCACGTTCATGGGCGGGTGCACCAGCCGCGAGTACACATCCTGACACCGCTGGTCCAGGTCGAAGGTCTTTTCTGTGGGCGAGGGCAACGGCAATGGGTTCAGGGTGTCGTGGAGGCTTTGTTGTAGACGGGCAATTGAGTCGGTGGACGGGGAGAAAACAAGCGCCGGGTCGTGCTCTATCGGCTGTGCAGCGTCAAACTCCTCGAACTCGCCGAAATCATCAAACTCGTCGTCCTCCATGGCCTTTGTGAGGAGAATCTATAGAGAAATAATCAAGAAAAAATAAGTGCCTTGTTTAGAAACAAGGAACAAAAAAAAAGACTTGCTGACTCTGAGGATCGAACTCAGGACCTCCAGATCTTCAGTCTGACGCTCTCCCAACTGAGCTAAGTCAGCAACTCTATCAAAAGTAGTGGCGGTGTTTGATGTATGCGCCGCGACCGAAGGGTTTCGGCGGTGAGAAAAAAAGTGGCGTCTGAAGATATCGGAAGAGGGGATGGGGGCTTTCTCGGATATAAAATTGGGGTTTCCGAAGGCCGAAGTAGGGGTGTGGAGGAAACGGGGCAAAGACGGGTCAAGATGACGGGGCTTCTACGACCGAATTGCTCAAGCAGCAACCGTGTGGCGAGGCGTTTGGGCACGTTGGGTAGGCTTTTTGCAGTGTTGATCGCTTAAAATACTGCGATAGCCGAAATGATACGATTGCACTTTTCAAAAATTCGTGACCATTTTTTTCCAAATCATGCATGTGCACAATAAAACGAGGGGGTGTGAAAATTTGATACCTTTTAGCTACTGCCGTATATAAAGACGAGGTTATCTCGCTTTTTTCTATCAATCAACAATGTCTTTAAGATTAGCAGCAAGAAGATTCTCCACCTCCGCGGTTAAATTGTTCGAAAAAGAGAAGGAAGTCAAGGCTCAAGCAGTGGACGCGTTGTCTTCTCCTAGCGGCCAGTTCCAATCGTTTGCCCAATACAGACTCAAGATTGTGCAAAAAGACCCATTGTCGCTACAAACAAGAAGAACGTTTGTACAGGGCAACCCTGCCGCAGTCGAGACAAACGAGGTGGACGAGAAGTTCAGAAGACTGGCCAAAAAGATCTCGTACAGAGACATTTAAAAAGATATCCTTCAACGCATTCTAGCCGGCCTAGAACTCTCGCCACCCGCCCGATCTGTGGATAACTTTAAGTATGGAACGAATAATGAAAGCATCAATCATTTAAAATATGTACAGTCTAGTTTGTATTCACCACACACCTTTCTTAACTCCAGGGAACTCGCCGTCTCTGGCCATGAGCCGGAACTGGTATCTGCTCACCCGGAACGGCTTGATAATCTTTTTGCTGGTGCCGCTTTCCACGCACCGGTCGCGGACCTGGTTCATTCTGGTGAAGTTGGGCAGCGCGGTCAGCTGGACCTGGGCCTCGATACGCACTTTCTGGGGCAGGGCCGCGTTTCTGGCTATGAACTTGAGAGCCTTTGTGGTGACCTCGTATTGGGCGGCCATCTGGCGCTTGAAGTTGTCTCTGAGGACTCTGGTGTTGAGGAACCCGGTAGGGATGCTCACAGGCTGCGGGAACCGTTTCATCGGCTTGCTCGCCTTGACTATCTTCAGCACCTCGGACATGCTGGTTATGCTGGCTAGTTTTTTTTTTTACTCGCGAGTGAAAATGTTATGAGCCAAGGTTATTGTACACACACCCGTGCACCGGCACCCATTAATATTAATTTAAACTTGATTGGCTCAGGCTTGTTGGAAAAAAAAACCTCTTCTCTTTAAACCTTCCTTGTTTTCGAATGTTGTCAAGAAGATTCTTTTCCTCGTCCAGAAGCGTGGCCAAGTCGGTGGTCACCAAGCTTCCCAACGGCCTGACCGTTGCTTCCAAGCCAGGCGCGCAATCGACCTCGTCGATTGGGCTTTACTTGAACTCTGGTTCCAGATCCGAAGACCCATTCAACTCTGGTGTTTCTACTTTGGTTGGTAACGTTGTGACGGCCTCCAAGACCGCCAGAGAGGCCTACGCGCTGTCCGGCGTGGAAGTCGGCTCTTCCAACGCCAAGGAGGTGACCGGATTGGCCGTCACGTCGTTTGCCAAGGGTAACTCCAAGGAGGCCTTCAAGGCCATCAAGGCTTTGGTGAGCGGTCTGGAGTCGTCTGTGTCCGACGCCAGCTTCGTCAAGCAAAAGGCTCAAGAGGCCTCTGCTTTTGCCGAGGCTTTTGAAAACCAGCATAAGTCCATGGTCATCGAGCACATGATTTCCACCGCATTCCAAGGAACCTCGCTTGCCCTGCCAACCTACGGTAAGGCCGACACTTTGGCCACTTTGGAAAGCTCGGACCTCAAGGCCTTCCTGGGCAAGCAATTTGTTGCCTCCAACTTGGCCGTTGTTGCTGTTGGTGACGTTGACCACGAGGAGCTGGTCAAGTTCGCTACCGAGCTGCCAGTCTCTGCCGGTGCCAAGCCTGCCGTCGAGCCTTACCACTTCCTGGGTTCCGACGCCAGACTGAGAGACGACACCTTGCCAACTGCTCACGTCGCCATCTCGGCCAAGGGTCCTGCCGTCAGCTCGCCAGAGTACTACGCCGGATTGGTTGCCTCCCAGATCAACGGTTTCTACCAACACAGCGGCCTGTACTCTCAATTCAGCGGCTCCCAGCTCGCCCAGTTCTTCAACGAGAACCCAATGTGCGACGAGTTCGACCACTTCTCTCTCGGCTTCTCCGACGTTTCCCTGTGGGGAGCCTACCTCGAGACCGAGCACATTGAATACTTGGACGAGGTTGTCCACTTCACCCTCAAGAACTGGAACAGATTCTCCTCCGGTACTTTCACCGAGACCGAGTTGGAGCAGGGTAAGGCTGCTTTGAAGCTGAAGCTGCTTGCCAGCGACTCCACTCCAGCAGTCGAGGCCGAGAAGCTGGCCTCCAGATCGTTCCTGCACGGCTTCGAGGAGTCGGAGGGCGAGATCATCAAGTCCGTCGACGAGGTGTCGCACAAGAGCGTTGTCCAATGGGCCCAGAAATACCTCTACGACCAGGATATCGCCGTTTCCGGTACCGGACAGATCGAGGCATTGTTCGACTACAACAGATTGAGAAACGACATGTCCATGATGAGATGGTGATATATAGAAGCGGTGTAAGAATTAGACTTTTATCCATAACTTTTCTGCACAGCCGGGAAAACTTTATGATAACGTAGCGAATACGAAAAATAACTTCATCACTTTATGTTTAAGTTATTTGTTCCTTCTAGAAGAGTTTTCGTGCAAGGGCCTGGTGCACGCGCCCGTTCCGCGGCACTGTTGCCAGTTCGCAGGGCGTACTCGTCGCAGGCCGGTCGCGGCAAACATTTCTACCCGTTGTTATTGCTCGGGGGAGTGGCTCTAGGTGTCACGTACTATAACCTCAACAACACAAGCAAGCCCCCAAAGGCACTCGTGGAGCCCACCGGTCCTTTGTACAAGGACTCCGAGATCGACGTGATCTTCGTTCTGGGCGGCCCGGGCTCCGGAAAGGGCACGCAGTGTTCACGGCTCGTGAAAAATTACGACTTTGTCCATCTGTCTGCGGGCGACTTGCTGAGAGCAGAACAGGCCAACCCGAACTCCGAGTACGGCTCGTTGATTGCCCATTACATCAAGGAGGGTTTGATTGTTCCGCAGGAAATCACCATCAACTTGCTGAAGAACGCCGTTGTGGACAACCACAAGAATCACGGCAAAACAAAGTTTTTGATCGACGGGTTCCCGCGTAAGATGGATCAGGCAGTCTCGTTCGAGAACCTCGTTGTCAAGAGCAAGCTCGTGCTGTATTTCGAGTGTCCTGAAGAGGTTATGTTGCAAAGACTGCTCGAAAGAGGTAAAACCTCGGGCAGAACCGACGATAACCTCGAGAGTATCAAAAAACGGTTCAGAACGTTTGTCGAAACAAGCATGCCCGTGGTGGACTATTTTGGCAAACAGGACCGTGTCGTCAAGGTCAATTGTAACCAGCCTGTGGAGGAGGTGTATGCAAAAGTGGTGTCTTCCTTCAACGACAGGGGCATCACCAACAAATGAATAGATTAATAAACCCGCTGGCTGAGACTGCCGCTCTATTTGATCTCTTTCCATAGACTTGTAAACCGGGCACTTTGGTACGTTTTCAGGGCATCCAGCACCGTATTGTCGATCTTGGACCCCACCGGCTTGAGCGTGCCAACGGCCACCAGCAGCCGGTACGCAGACTCCTCGTCTTTGGCCACGGCAGGACCGAACTTGTTCACCACGTCTGCCAGACGGGTGTACAGCGTGCGGTTGTGGCTCTTGCGGACCAGCACAGCGTAATTCAACACAAACGTGGCCACCGTGATGCTCATGAGCTTCTCTGTCTCGATGAACTTGAGCAAATCGTTCAAAAACACAACTTGCAGCAAGTCCGGGTCAGAAAACACCTGCTCCCCCCACTGCTTGGCACTGAAGATGTTCACCAGCACACGGATCGTCATCATCACCACTTTCGCCGACTCCGAAGTGAGCCCCACTTTGATCAGCTCAAACAGCGTCTCTATAGGCGGCGTGATCAGCACGATCGACCGCAGAATGTCAAACCCAAGCAATTTCGACGCCGGGTCCCAGGTGTTGATGATCTTGCCCGCCAAAACCGCCAGCTCCTTGTAGTCCTGGCAGTTGATGCACATCTCGAACTCCATTGGGTCGATCTGGTGGGCGGGGGACTGCTTCGCGTTGAGTTTCTTGAAACCGGCCAGCAGCTTTGGTTCGTCCAGCTTCGAGAATTGCAAGTACTCCGTCTGGGGCAGAATCCCCGTCTTTTTGTACGCCGGGTCCTGGTACGGCTCGGACGAGGCCGCGCCCTGCTGGCCCAGAGTGGCTCCCTCCGTGTTGGACAGAATGAACTCCACCACCTGCGGCGCATACGACGCTGGCAGGTCGTTGTCCAGCAGGAACTGGTCGGCCACCGTGTGGGGGCTGTCGCTGACGTTGTACGGAAGCTTCAAAGGCGGCTGGCCGTCCGCAATGTCCACGTCAAACACATAGTCGTAAAACTTGCCGTTGTACTCTTTCTTCTTGTCAGTGGAGGCCGAGCTCACCACTTCCCCAATTTTCCCCCACCCGGAGTCCCCCCACTGGTACACCTCGGTGGTGCCGATCTCTGTGCGGACGAGTTTTGTCTGGCCTGGCACGGAGCCTTTGGTCTTGAGAGCGTCCCTTGGCTCGACGGTCTTATTAACGTTGTAGACGCTGTCGTTGACGGTGGAGTTTTGCAGTTCTGTCTCAAACTCGTCGAGCAGCTCGCGAGCAGCCACACGCGACCCGGTCCGCGTAAAAATACGCACTTTCGAGTCGCTCGAGCCGGTCACGATGTCGCCGTTGGCAAGCACAATCACCTTCCAGACAGTGACACACGGCAACGTGATTGTCTGGACAAGGTCCCCTGCCGGGCTCCACACCCGCACGGATCTGTCCTCGCCAGAACTGACCAGCTCGCCCGTCGGAAGCACCGCCAGCGAGTACACAAAGTTCTGGTGTCCACGCAGAGTCTGCAACAGCTGGCCCTGGTAGCTCCATATTTTGATGGTGGCGTCGTTCGAGCACGAAACAATGGTTTTGTTGTCCAGAACCAGCACGTCACGCACCACGTCGGCGTGGGCGGTCCATTGGCCCGTTTGCTTGTCGCCGTGCCAGGTTCTGATGGTCCGATCTGCCCCACACGTGACAAACTCGTTCTCAGAGACGATCTGAACACCCCAGACGGAGCCTTCGTGGCCCTTGAGGTCGTGCACCACGGTGCCGTCCTTGTGCCAGACCTTGGCTGTGCCGTCCCAGGACCCGGAAATGATGAGGCTGTCTTTCGAGGCCAAGGCGCACACGTTTGCGTCGTGGCCCACCAGAATATACGCCGGGTCGACCCAATCGAAACTGGAGTCGACGAGCGTCAGGTTCACGAGTCCATCGTTCCCGCCGCTGACAATGTACTGCTCGGACCCGGCCTGATAAGCGGCCAGACTGTTGACAAACTTGGGGGCCTTGAAGTTGATCGTGGGGTCTGCCCACGATCTCGGGTCAATTCGTCTCCAAACACGCACGGTGGAGTCTCTGGACCCAGAAACAACGGTGTCCTGGTCGGGAGAACACAATGCACGAACGTCGTCCTCATGGCCCGCTAAAGTGGCCGACAACTTGAAGATGGTCATATTTGCCTTTGTAGATAAAAATCAAGACGGTGTAAAGATGCCACAAGATTTGCGCGAGACAAAACGAAACGATGCACAGAAAAATATCCAGAAAATTAATTACGTGTAGACTAGAGAATTTTAAATTCTATGGCTATTCACAAATCCACCAAGTATTTGATAGCCGCGGCTGTTGTTGTGGTTCTGTTTCTGGCGTCTACGCGGGGGTCGACGCCAGAGAAGCCCCACGTGCTGCATCCAAAGGTTGACCGCATCAACAAGCTGAACAGGTACTCGTCTAATGTTAACAAATATGGGCTCAAGTTCAACGAGAAGCTGATGGGGACCGCCAAGGGCGGGCAGAGAGAAGGGCTTGCGGACGCCGACCACGACGGAAAGCTGTCGATCGACGAGATCATGAAGGTTCTGGAGTACGACGTGGCAGGGGCCAACGACACCAACGAGGAGATTGTGGACGAGAACATGGACTTTTACAAGGAGGTGTACTCGAAAAAAGTGACCGAGCCCAAATTTGCCAAGCTCACGTACAACGAGGTCTACGACGAGAGCGGACTGAAGAGAGTGTTGAGCAAAGACGAGTATCCGCGTGCTAATGCCACGCTTCTGACGCTTGTGAGAAACAAGGAGCTGCGTGCAATTGTCCATACGATCAGACAGATCGAGTCGACTTGGAACTACCATTTCCACTACCCTTACACGTTCATCAGTGACGAGGAGTTCACGTCCGAGTTCAAAGACACCGTCAGAAGACACTGTTCTGGCGAGGTGTTCTTTGAGATCATTCCGCAGGAGATCTGGCGTAAACCGTCCAACATCGACCCGGAACAGGAACAACGCGGAATTCAGAGGCTCAAGGACAACGGGGTTCAGTACGCAGACATGGAGAGCTACCACAACATGTGTCGGTTCAACAGTGGCTGGTTCTACCGACTGGAAGGTCTTAAGAAGTTCAAGTGGTACTGGAGATTCGAGCCCAACACGGACTACTACTGCTCGATCGACTACGATATTTTCAAGTTCATGGAGGACAACGACAAAACGTACGGATTCACCATCTCGTTGTACGACGACCCGCTCACCGTGGAAACCTTGTGGCCCGTGACCATGGACTTTGTCAAGCAGAACCCGCAGTACGTGCACCCGAACGGCGCGTTCCAGTGGCTCACAGACGCCGTGCAGAACCCGACCTACACCAAGCAGGCCAACGGATACTCCACATGCCACTTCTGGTCCAACTTTGAGATTGCTAACATGGACTTTTACAGAGGAGAGGCCTACTCCAAGTGGATAGATGCTCTCGAAGCCGCAGGCGGATTCTATTACGAGAGATGGGGAGACGCTCCGGTTCACTCTGTGGGAGTGGGGCTGTTCGAGGACAAGAGCAAGGTCCATTGGTTCAGAGACATTGGCTACCACCACTCGCCATACAAATCCATTCCTAATTCCGACAAGTGCACGGCCCCTGAGGACTCGGGCTACTTCGCCCCTGAAGACGTCCACCGCCAGAACTGTCTGTCCAACTGGATCAAATACGAAATGACTCACAAGGAGCTGCAACAGTATTAAGGTTAATAATAGACAAGCTTGGAATTTTTTTCCTTCATGCAGGTACAGCCTGTCCGAGCCCTGGTGCCGTTTCTACTAAAAATAAGAGCTCCACACACGGGTTTCGCTGACGACGCGGTGTTGGCCACGGAGTCGGGCGGTATAAATAGGATACGTGTGTAGCTGTTGAAATCAATCATGTTCAAAGCTGTGGCTCTGTTTTTGTGTGCTTTTTCCGTTGCCAAGGCAACAACGCCCTCCGTTGACGCTTATATCCAAGATGGGGCTCCTAGATTTACTATCCATGTGGACTACGACACCCTCGGACCTTGGCTCAACGTGTCTGCTGCAGGTACCGTTGTCAACGAGAACTTTGGCTGGCAGGCCGGCTCGGCCCAGGTCCTTGACAAGGACGGCCAGCCGTCCAAGTACGGCAACACGGGACTGAGCGAGTCCGAGTCGGGCATCGTCACCACGCTGGACTTTGACTTCGACGACGACCTGCTGTCCTACTACGGTGGGGTCATCGCCCACTCTCCAAACACCACCTCGTATGGCGGTGACTATTTCTCAGCCACCTGGGAAATCTCCATCTACAAAGAGGGAGCTACCAAGCCGGACGTGTACAATGTGGAGGCTTCTACGCACGTCAACTGAGCGTGCACTAGAAGTATAGTTTGGTTTATTGATAACAGAGGTATTTACTAGGGCGTATTAGTAGTGGGGGAGGCGCGTGAATTGGCCGGTGCAACCGTTTAAGCTTTAAAATTCAAACATTTAAATTTATGCTTCGCAAACACTCGTCGCTCGAGCAGCTGCTGCGTCTGACCAAAACCGCCACCAACACGTACACGAATGCGAGTCAGTTCAACATCCCGTTTAGAGGGCGCGGGCTGTTTGGAGGCACCATGGCAGCACAGGCCACTGCGGCCGCACTCTTGTCGCAAGAGTCCCCGGCCTGGAAACCGATCTCGCTGCATTGCCAGTTTCTCAAAGCCGTCACACAGGACCCGCTCACATACGTTGTGGAAGACCTCAAATCGGGCAAAAACTACCAGACCAAGCAGATCAACCTGTTTCAGAACGACAAACTAGCCTTCACTGCCGTTTGCGGCATCCAACGAACAAAATTGCAAGGGTCCGCGGGGAACCTTGACGGCCAGCTTAGTCATCATCGGTCCGCTCCGTGTGTGGGGCCCCTTATAGACCAGAACACAGCATTCGAAACCTGGGCCAAGAAAACGGATAATTCTGCACGATTAGGCGAATTGATCGAACATTATGCAGCCGAACCTCTAGAATGGAAACTCCCCGAAAACATGTTTGATCTTGAGAAAGTCTCGAGCTCAGAACAATCTGCACCCGTCTCGGACCGCACCCTGTGGTACCAAGTGCGGCCAAAAGTGCCCGTTCCAGATCCTGTCTACCAATGGGCGCTGGTGGCCTATATTTCTGATTATTTTTATCTAAGCACAAATATGCGACTGAACATGCGGCCAATGTTCACCACAAAATTTTCCGTGTCGCTCGACCACACTATCTACTTTGAAAACCCGATCACAGACGGCTGGACCACATACGGAGTGAAAAGTCTGGTCGCTGGCGAGGGAAGAAGCATCATGACCGGCGAAATGTTCCAAGGACCAGATCTCGTGGCCACCACTTTCCAGCAAGGACTGTCTGTGGTCTAATTTGCCTCGTCAGCCGTGCGGCGAATAAGTTCTGCAATCTGGCGCTCCTCCTCCTGCTCCAGACTGTTGTGGATAATTGCGTTGCTCACGCGCGCCTGGTCAATGTGATCGAAGATCGACGTGGATTTCTCCGACGTGGGTGGTAGCACGTCGAACTCGAAAATCTCGTTCTCTTTCCAGAAACTGGCCGGGATCCGTGCCATCGCCGACGTCTCGTTCGACAGGATCACGTGCCGCAACAGGTTATCTGGGATCGTCTTGCAATCGAACTGTTGCTTGGCCTTTGGCTGTGCGCGGACGACTTTTTCGAGCTCTGCAACAAACCAGTTCTTCGTGGCCGGCTCCTCCAACATGATCTGGATCCGCGCGAGATACACTGCTGTTGCCAGCTTCGTGTAGTCCGAGACTTTGTACGATGGCTCAGGGTAATTGCTGAGCTTGTTGAGCACCATCTGCCCGGTGTACGGATACGTTTGGTACGCGCGTAGCAGAGCAGCGGAGGCGTCTTCTGGAGCCACTTTGTGTGTTGAAATGGCCAGAGAGTACGCCAAAGACGGCGTGTACCACTCTTTGTATGTCTTGACCAAGTAACTCTCTGCAAAATCGATCAAGTACTGGTCTTCGCCGGCCATTATAGCGTAGAAGTCGATAAAGTATCTGACTCCGTATGGGTCGTTAGCCGGGTCAAACGAGAACAGGAGCTTGCAGTAGTTGAGAGCGGTGAAAAACGTGGATTTCTGCGTCAACACGGTGATATACTTGAACACGGTGAGATAGCACTGTCTGTTGAGGAAGTAGTCGAACGGAAGTCGACAGTCGCCGCTACCAAGCTGGAAATTTGTCCGCAGACTCCAGTCAAACACAAATAGCGCTCTTTCAATCAGCCCGTTGGTGTTGGAGTTGTCTCCCTGTCGCTGTAGAATCGAGGTCACCTGCAAAATGGTTTCCAAATGGTACGGATACTGCTGCAACAGATGGATCAGGGCCTCGTGGTCCGGTCTAATAACGGTGGAAAGATAGAACTGGGTAGTAATTGCCCGTGGGTATGCAGGAGTCTCGACAACGCGAAACATGAGCGGCTCATCGGGCACCATGTCCATCGAAAGCGGTTTCTTAGGAGTGGGGATCCAGTCGTCGCGGATCTTGCACATGACGAGTTTCCTAGAAGTGCCTGGGATCGAGCGGCGGTCCCGGCCGCACCAGCCACGCACACGCTTGCTGAGAAGCTTGATCTGTTTCAGCACGTCTGGACTCACAAATGTGGACGGCGTGGCGTCCGCGTCGTCAACTGCAGCAGTGGACAGCTTGCCGAAAACGCTCTCGAATTCTCTGTCTGGGTCCAGGTCCCGGGGATCGAACTGCAGAAGTGCAATGCTGGCGGTGAGTCTCGCAGCGGTCAATTCTGGCGCGCCGTCTTTAGGATCGTCGTACGGCCCATTAAACGGTTCTTGGGACGTTTCCTCCGTGACGGATTGTTTACTCAGCTGCAGTTCGGCGAGAATCTGGTCGATGTCCTGCTCGTCTGCAGTTGCCGGCTTCTTGGCCTTGTTCTTCTTCTTCTTGCTGGAAGTTTTCCCAGACACTGGGGCCGGTTTGCTTGAGACCGGGATGGTTTCGCTGTCTGTGTCTTCAGACTCGTCGTCGTCCTCGCCACCGAGCAACTGGAACGCATTTACAGCCGTATGCTGAGCCACAGGCGTGTACTCGTCGTCCGACTCCGCGACCTCGAGCTCTTTCTTCTGCAATCGCCGTAAAGCTCTGTTACTCATGCTGAAAAAAAAAATAGGCCTAAATAAAGTAATTCGCCATGATTTTAATCTGCGTCGTAATCATAAATTAGCTCAGTCTAAATACATAAACTAGACACTCTCCTCCATACTGGTCTTCTCACGGAACTCGGCAGCCTCCTCCTTCTGGTCCTTGGCAAGGCCAAGCTCGGCAGCGAAGGTGCTGTGTGGCTTCCACTTGGAAGAAGTCAATGGAGTAGTCTCTTCAAGCATCTTGTCAACCTGCTCCAAAGTCAAACCCTTGGTTTCTGGGATCAACAGAATGGCGTACAACAGGCAGCATCCGCACAAGGATCCCCAGATGAAGAACACCTTGGCTCCAAGGTTACCCTTGTCCTTGTCGGTCATGTATGGAGTAATAACGGCGATAATACAGTTCCAAAGCCAGTTGGAAGCGGTCGAGAGACCAACACCTCTGGATCTGATAGGCAATGGGAAGATCTCACCGATAATAACCCAGGCTCCTGGACCCCAAGTCGATGCAAAGAAGAAGATGTAGATGCAGATGAAGGCGATCATGGCACTGACAGTTTTGTGGTTGTCTCCATCAACAACACCAGCAATAGCAACGATGAATTGACACACAACCATACCGAGAGCACCGTAGATCATCAATGGACGACGTCCAACTTTCTCCATGGTAACGAACGAAACTGGAGTGGAGAAAACGTTGACGATGGTGGTGATCATGGAAATAAGGAACTCGTTGCTAATGGTGCCCAGTTCCTGGAAGAAAGTGGTACCGAAGTAGAAGATGAAGTTGACACCGGTCCATTGTTGCATCATTTGCAGCGAGGTACCCAAGATGGTCTTTCTGAGGTTGGAAGATGGCTTTCTGAGGCCACCGGTGAAGCAGGCGGCCCAAGAGCCAATGTAACTGGTGGTTGGGATAACGCTCTGTTCGTATTCGTGGTTGGCCACAATCTCGGCCAATTCCTCCTGGATGTAGTCGCTGTCGACGGCCTGTCCTCTGAGTCTGGAAAGAACCTTAGCAGCCTTGTCGAACTGGCCCTTCTTGACGTAGTATCTTGGGGAGTCTGGGAGCAAGAGCAAACCACCTCCCAAGATGATAGCCCAAAGCAGTTGCAAACCAATAGGAATTCTGTAGGAGCCAGAGTCGGTTCTGTGCTCGGTACCGTAGTCAACACAGGAAGCCACCATCAATCCGATGGTGACAAAGAACTGGTAACCAGAAACGATAGCACCTCTCACCTTTCTCGGCGAGATTTCCGAAAGGTACAACACAACAATAGCGGACACGAAACCGACACCCACACCGGCAATCACTCTTCCCACCACAAGCAAAGCAATGGTGGCAGAGGCAGTTTGCAGAACAACACCAAGAGAATAAACAGCGCAACCACTAACGATGATGGTTCTTCTACCGAACATGTCGGCCAAATCACCAGCCACAACGGCTCCCACAAAAGTACCAGCAGATAGAATAGACGTAATAAGAGATTTGTTGGAGGATGAGACAACGTACGAAGCATCGTCCGCACCCTGTTTCACTTTTCCGGTGAATTCGTGGATGAAGTAGTCCATTCCCATGACACCGGAAATGTATCCAGAGTCATATCCGAACAGAATACCACCAAAAGCACCGAAAGCACACATGAGATAAGCTCTAAGAGTCAGAGGAGCTTCAACTCTGTTGACGTCGGAGGTACCTCCGACCGCCATGGCAATACCAGCGTCGTTTTCCATTATTGAGTAGCTGAATTAGAATGAGGATTAGGAGGAAATGTTACGTGTATTTATACTGCCTAAAAACAATGGAGGAAATACCAAACATTTGGAAATGGTGAGAAAAAAAAAAGGTGGGGAGAAAAATCCGGAACTATTGTCAACCTGCATATGCATCACGGCAAGTTGAAATTGTTCCCCAAGTGGGATGGGGCTGGCCAGCCAACTTGGCCAGGTAGCGATAACGAGAAGGGTGCTGGTTCTTCACACCAGGTAGCGTGCACATGGGACTGAAACGGCACTCCGAACTTTAGTGCCGACGATACGCGCTGGCTGGGGCGATATTGGCCTTCGCTACGGATCATTCGATTTGCTGACCAGGGCCCACATCACCGGAAAAAAAAAAATTGCTGTTTGTTTCTAATAATAAGAAATTCGCGCCCCGCAGTTCCCCAGCCTGAACTCAAATGACCCCAACTCCGTGTCTCGAGAGAACGCGTGGGTGCAGAATTGGGGGGAACGAATACCCGCACGCGCATGAGAGTCAACAAATACAATGTTACTTCCCATGGCGACGATTGGAGGAGACTGGACGATAGTTTTTCCATTCTCCATTTATCCAGACGTGGGCGAACCGATATCGTGCATGTAACAATAGGATTCCCCACCGTTCCGCAAAATTTCAACAAACTGCGATCGGCGTCACGCACTGGGGAGGCGAACTTCTGCCGCATTCGGAATATCCCCATGCAACAGGGTGCCGTGGATATTACGGCGTCCCGTAATACGTCATAACTGACCAAAAACAAAGTAGACCCACTTTTTCTCTTGTGGGGGTGTATGCGGATTATTATGAGAGCCTGACAGATGCGTCGGACTTTATGTGGGGTAGTCTATAGAAATGGGGACCAGCCGAGATACATGACTGCGAGATTCTGTTCGCTTGTCGCTGTCCGAACCAGCTCCTTCACAACGGCCTGCTCGCTAAGCTGCCGCGCGCCCAGCTTGTTGCGCACGCTCTCGATCGCCATCACGGCCTCAGTATCTGGCTTTTGCGACCTGGGTGTCTCCACCTCGCCGTCCCAGTCCTCCTGCAGCCGCCTTCTCCTCACCGGCGAAAGCGTCCACGAATAAAGAGGGTCGTACCGCAAAACCTCCAAAATGTCGATAATGTAAACACTGTTGCTGCGCAGCACGGAGAAAACATTTTCACAGCTTCGGCTAAAAACACCCTCGGTCCCGCATATTCCTAGTCCGTCTACGAGATCTCGTGTTAGCCGGAACGGGACACTTTCCGGAACTGGTAATACTTTGCCTTGGTCGAATGCGACCCCAAAATCGATGTGGATTGGCTCCCCCGTTGATTTGTCTACCAGGATGTTGTTGCAATGGCGGTCGCCAATGCCCAGCACGTGGCCCACCATGCTCGTCGTGGCCAGGCCGTGGCTGTAGATGAGCCGCGACTGGAACCAGTCCTGCGGCGCCACGTAGTTGTTGAAGAAAAAGTTGCGGAAAATTGGCCGTATTTGGTGGCACAATTTGTGGTACACAGCAACCCGGCGCGATAAGCTGCTCGACTGCACTTCCTTCATTTCCCCGCGCGCCAGCTCCACGCTCACGCCGTCGTGCTCGTGCAGCGGCCGAAGAATGTCGTTCAGAGCAACAGAGTTCGAAACGTACTCCAACACTCCGGCCTGCGACTCCAGCGGAACAATTTTGTAGGTGCGCACTCGTAGCCGCCGGCGCCGGGCGTCGCTGTTTTCCTGAAGCAGCACGTTCACTTTCTCAAACACCTGCTGCATGATCGCGTCCTGGCGAAGGTCGTCGGACCCGCCCTTGACGATCATCTTATGGGTTTCTCCGTTTGAAAGCACCATTTTCACGATCTTGGGCTGGCTGACTCCGGACGACGCGATTGACACGGCAGGGTCCACGCGAGCAACATGTACAGCTTCCTTGGTCAGCGTGAGACTCGGCGGCGGCAGCTGGAGCTGCGGGAACCGCTCTATCCACCAGGACCCTGTTGCAAGTTTTTTAAACGATAGATTCTTGGTGCCTCGGACGCGCTCTTTGGCCAGACCGACACAGTTGGTGCTAATCTCGTCAACTGCGCTCACCATGACAGCATGCTTGCGCGACATGGCCCCAAACTGGTCCAGGATCTCGCTTGCTACCTGGCTGCGAAACCGGATAAACAGCTTGTTCATTTCGGTGGTGCCGTTCACCATGAATTTAAGCAGATACAGCACATGCAGCGGCTTGTCCAGACAGATTTTGAGGATCAGCTGGCGCAGCATGGAACCAAACCGGTCGTCTGTGTCTGTCAACCGCGAAGTGAGCTGGTTCAACCACGGGATGAACTTGTCCGAAGAGATCTCCAACAAGCTGTCTGAGATGTCCACGTCCGGGTTCTCCAGCCACAGCCCACACAGCCGATCGATATCCCTCGACTCGGTCGACACGCTCGACCGCACAGAGAGAATGTAAAACTCGACCGCTTGCTTCAAGTACACGTTTGCGTGGTGAGTAGCACTCTCCAGCTCTTTCTTCTCGGCCTGGTACTGCAACTTGATGTGCTGGTACGTCTTCTTGGCCTTGTGCCGGTCGGTATCTGTGTTATGCCGGTCTGAAATGTAGTCCTCCCAGCCTCGGAGCATGGCCTTTTTGTCGGCCACGTTCGCTTTGAGCTTGTTGATGCGCTGGAAACTCTGGTCGTCACGAAGCTGGTTGTCGCAAAACTCTGCAAAAAGATGATACATTTCGTACTGCTCGGGGTCATGGTTGTCAATGTAGTTCACCGTTTCGGCAGGGTCCATGTACTGCTGCATGATCGCGTAGGAAGTTTCCTGACGAGACTCAAATAGCCATTTCACCATGTACGCCCTTATAAGCCCCGGGTTGATGAACCTGCTGCTTCCACCGGCACTGATGGTAGATTTGAGCGTCTCGAGCGCAAACTGGTGCTCGTTCTGGCTCCAAAATGCACAAGCAACGTTGAATTTGGCAACACAGAAAAGTCCAAGTGCTTCGTCGTTCGGTTTCACCATATCAGCAACGAACTTCTCGTACAGAGAGTCCAGGGTCACCGCGGCCGTCGCGGCTTTCTGGAAGCGCCCATTCTGTCGACACATTTTTGCGTACATGCTTAGATCGTCAAATTTGGCTCTCCCTGTCTCTGACGCAATTCGGATCAAGTGCAAGTCCTCAACAGTCTCAAATGGAGCAGCCGCAAGCCATTCCTCGGGCTCGATTCTTCTCTGCTGAGTCGCGCAGAACATTGCTAGACTCTTAATCCACTCATGGCTCTTTTTATTCGAGCAGAACCGATCGTAGCTCTGTACCAGCTCCTGGAACTTGTTTTCGTACGAACGGTCTTTTTGGTAAACGTTCAACAGCGAGTACATCGCCGTTCCCTGGTCCTTCATCTCTGGAACTGGAAGCGACCATTCGCCCAGTTTCCAGAACTGATCGTAGTTGTCAAACTTGTTTTCTTGCTGGTAGACGTTTTTCGACAGAGCAGAAAACCCGGCCTCGAACAGCGTATTGCCCAGATTTTGGACACTTCCGTAAGTTTCCAGCTTGGCACTCTCGAGCATCAGCTGGCCTGCTGTGTTGCCAGTCCGCTTCAGTCTGTCGATCCCGTAGTCCAGACTGGTTTCGAGCGGCAGACCGAAAAACAAGTCCGGCTCGTCAATTTCTGAGTAGACCCCGTGCAACCACTGGTGGCTTTCTTTCCAGCACCTGGAGTCCTGGAGATTTGTAAAGTACTCCTCCATTAGCATGAGCGCTGCTTTTGGAGAGGTTTTTGCGGCTATGGTGTACACCCGGCTGGTGTCAAGAGCGGTGTATATTTGGAAATGAGTGCGGTTGCCGTGGATTGCGCCCGCACGGAGCAAAAGAACCAGTTCGGTGAACTTCTGATGAATCTGGATCGCACAGTCTGCCGAGAACACATTGCTCAGAAGCGTTTTGACCGTCTTGACTATATGAGCGTCGGTCGAAATCAAATAAAGAATCACCAGACAAAAGTGGCTCGGGTCGTGGTACACGAATGACCGTAGATACTCACTAACGGGATCTGTTGACTCGGAAGCCAGTTTCATCAGAACTTCGCGTTCAAACGTTGCGGGATCAAACGATTCTGGTCTTTCAAGGTCGATCGAGTCCTCTGGAACGTCTTCGTACAGTCTCCAAACAGTCTTGGACATTGGGAAAACCTCTGTTGGGAACTCCAAGTTCAGCCTCATAGAATCCAGAACAGCACACATTTTCAAATAGGAAAACTTGGTAGCCATGTGTGAGTCTCCAGGATCAAGCTCTGTGATCAAAAGCTGGAGGTCTATGGTTTTCTTTGTAACCAGCGGGAAAACGTCTATGTATGGTTCTTGAAAGCTCGTAGTGATGCAGTCTCCGTGTTTCAAATAAGTCATTGCCAGATAGTTTCCAATCCATTGGCGAAAATTGGGAGACAGTTCATGGGAGCTTTGGATCTCAAATAATTTTTGAGCCACCTGGGGTTTCGGTAATTCAAGCCCAGGAAAGTTTGTGAGTTTGTCAAAGATTGCAGAGAGGAGACCGATTGACCGCTCATTCAATCCATTATCAGTAAGCCGGGCAATATCTTTGGTTCTGATACGAACAATTCTGCCGTAAAGCAAGCCGGTTACAGCTTCAAGTAAGAATGCGGAACACGCTCCAACGACAAACTTCGACCTGTACCCCATCACGCGGCTAGTTGTTTCTTTGTTTCCTTCATTCAAGGCGGCCTGAGATATGGCCATCCATATTTCGTCCGACATTTCGCCCATTGCTGCGATCTCAGCCGCATAGCACACGTCTTCGTTGCAAAAATGGAAAACATACAAGTCTCTTATGGACTTTTGCGCCAGAATGTCAGGGAAAAACGCGAGTAGCTTCTTCAGCGCGCGTGACCTGTACTGTTTCTCCTCGGACAGAATCTCGATGCACTGGAAGTAGATCATAGGGTTTGTGAGCTTGGCCGCAACAACGGAATCGTAGTAGTTCTCGGAGAGTTCTGACCAGCCGCGGTTCCATACATTCAACACCTCACGGAGAATTAAGCACGTTTGTTCCTCCAGTTCCTGTTTGCTGATAAACTTTGTGATTCTTGGTTGGATCTGCTGCTTGACTCCTTTTGAAGTCCACGCCAAAGCAACAGCCAACGACGCAGAGTCTCTGACCATCTCCCTGGCACTCATTCCCCAGACGTCTGCCATCTTTTCAATCATCGCAGTCCCCCCGTACGCCAGATACAACGCCGTAGCCGGTCTGTACACGGAACGAACGAAATCTGTATAATTGCCAAAAAAGAGTGCGTGGGGAAACTCGGGGAGTGCAAGTTTGAACCCGAGCCATGCTTTCAAGATCATCAGCTTGTGTCGGTCAAAGACACCATGGGCATCTCCGTGATAGCTAGCCATTTTCTGGATTGTCCCGGGAATTATATCCGCGAATGCAGGCAATGTGAACAGCTCTAACATGTTGCACAGGAGCATCAGCATCAGTTCTTCCGACCGCTGAGACATGATACAGCAGCACTCACAGAAAACCATTCTGTTCTCAAGGCTTCCTTCCTCAAGGCGGAAACAATCCATGAGTTTCGAGTAGTAGTCCATCGAATAGGCGCTCATGAGATTGCTGAGGCTGGAGACTGTTTCCAGTTTCACGTAGCAGGAAGCCTGTTGAAATAGTCTAAAGAGCAGTCCTTTTTGCAAGTCCTCATTCAGAGCTCGATGTGGATCTTCAGAATATAACTTGATCAGACTGCTCGTTGCCGAGGAAGTGTCGACCATCTGTTTCTCTCTAAGTCCTTCTAGATATTGTAAGACATAATAAGGGACAGAATCTTCAGAGTTGTAGTCAAAGTGAAAGTAGCTGAGGAACCGACAAATGACGATTATCGTTCTTTCCGAGGTCTTTGTCTCGTAGTTACTCAGGAGAGGTGTAATGATAGAGAAGAGCGAAGGGTCACGGCTGGTGGCTTCTCGAGTGATAAACCTTTCGCAAATGTCCAGCAGTGTCAATGGCGGGACTTGCTGAGCGCACGCTTCGTAGTCGAAATCAGATACATTGTTGAGCATCTTTTGAAGGCGGTCCTCTGGAAGAGCCTCAAGTTTGCAGCCCAGGTTGGGTGTGATGTTTGTTGAAACTGATGATTTAAAAAGAAGCCGAGGTTCAATCTCTAGCAATTGGCCTTCTTCAACAATCCCAAGCTCGTACAGAACAAGCAGCCAGTTGACAGTCTGGGTATCTGTCGCTTTATGTTTCGTTCCGTTCTCTCCCAGACTGTACTTCAGCTTCTCAGAGTATTCCTGTTTCAAATTTATTGATGTCTGCAACCATTTGATAAAGCCACCAATAATCACAGGTTCTGATTCGTCCTTGGGTTTGTACTCTTTGTATGCCATCCAGCTGATGATCTTTGTACCTAACAGTTGACCATCATCAGCAAAATACCTGCGATACTCTTCAAATCCTAGCCGGCACAGATATTCCACCCATTTCCAAAATTTAGTGCTTTCCTGGCTGATGGTAGCTGGACCATTTAGTTCAGGAACATCGATGATGGTCTGCAATTGAGACACCGAGTTGCGAAAATCGGTGATAAGACGCTTTTTTCTGTGTTCAAGTACCGTAGTGAACAACGCACAAGCCATGTTGCCATAGTTTGGGTCTTTGATTCGTCCTAGAGCTATACCAACCACAGTATCGAAATCCAGCTCGACATCAGGCGCACTCTCCAAAACGGTAAGGCATTCCAAAAATCCTCTGTTAAGAAGGGGGTCTCTGACTTGGCTGCGCTGCAAAAAGTCGTTGGCTATTTGGTTTTTCTTCTCTGCCGTACACTGCTTCAGCATTCCATTTTTAATCCAAAATGAACAAATAACCAGTCCAACGTACGCCACATTGCGATCCAGATCCATGATATTCAGCAGAAGCCATTCCATGAACCCATGGTTGGTGTTTTGCTTGACAAGATCGGATAACTGCTTTGAAATCCCCATACTTTTCCGTTTTTTTGGCTGACTTTCGTTAGAACCAGATATCTTGAGATATTCGGACAGTGGACCGGCAAGTTGGCCGCAGTATTGATGATTTTCAAGGCAGACTTGGAACCCAGAGCACAGAACCGAGTGGATGAGATGTTCGTGTTGTGAATTGGAACTAATATGCGGCCCCATTTTTTCAATAAATTGGAGGTACTCTTTCTGCATTCCGGCCATGCTCACGGTTCTCAATCTATCTGCTATCGTAACACCCAATTCAAAGGACTTGAGAGTCAGTTCGTGGCTAATTTTGGTACAATCTTTCATGATTCCGCCCAGAATTCGCAAAACATAAACCGTTTCCTGTGTTTCTCTGTAGAATGTATCTTTCGTTTCTTCGCAAAATTCCAAAACCGGTTTGAACGCGAGATCTGGCTCCGTCAGAACCAGCTCCATCGACGATGTCCGCTCTGGAACAACGTACTCGGCGATAGTCTGTAATAATATGGTTCTCAACGCCAAATCATCCGATCCGTTAACTTTGAGACACGAAATGCACTGTTTTATTATAGACCTATGATCAGCCGGTAGCAGGTGGTCTTTTAGACATTGAACAGTAACGGCATCGCGTATGATGGTGGCCATCGAAACGGCCGTTGGTTTCAGCACCTTGGGAGTACCATATCCACGCGTAAGGTAGTCTTTAGCACGAAGTACGATCGCCTGTAGAAATTTGTGTTTCGGCTGGTTTTCAAACAATTCCTTCGTGACAACGCGAATCAAAGAGCACGCTCGCGACAGTCTTGTGAACCAGCCATCGTACGCTCGATCTGATTCTGTGGTTTTTGAAAAGCTCTCAAGATCTAGGCTAACAAAGCCAAATAGTCCCAGAGCCAGTCTGACCAGATCGCCATTGGCTTTCCCAGACAGACTCAGAGAGTCGGCAATCTCGTTTAGCGCGTCAAGCCGCTCGCGCGCTTTGCCAGACCCTAGCAACTCTATAGATTAGCTCTCAAACCGGAGTTCACTTACTCAGAGACATCTAAAGTTTGATTTACAAAGAGAATTCGATAATTATTTATTCATCCTTCCTGCTTTACGTAATCACCTAACCTGCTTAAACAACGACACCAGAGTTCGAGGCAATTCTTGGCCACAGGTCAGCACACTCCTTTCCGACAGGTCCAGTGATGGCAGAACCCTTCATTTCTCCCTTAGGGTTCACGATGACACCAGCGTTGTCCTCGAAGTACAAGAACACACCGTCCTTTCTTCTCCATGCCTTAGATTGTCTGACAACGATAGCTGGCATAACCTTCTTTCTGAGGTCTGGCTTACCTTTCTTCACAGTAGCCATCACCATGTCTCCAACGGAGGCAGCTGGCAATCTGTTCAATCTAGCACCAGTACCCTTGACGGCGAGAACGTAAAGGTTTCTAGCGCCGGAGTTGTCTGCGCAGTTCATGATAGCACCGGTTGGCAAGGCCAACGACATACGGAACTTGTTTCCTGAGGCACCAGATCCCGACATTGTGTTAACTGTGTAATTTGATTAAATTGATTTTTTTTTTTTTGACAAATTTTTCAGACTTCATCATTTCCAGCCCTCTAAAAATGTCACGTGATGTTTCTACTGGTTAAAGATAAAGCGTAAATAGTATAATTAATTGTAAATCTCAATAGCGCACAAACATCATTCTTCGTTGTAGAGAGTTTCCAGATAGTCTCGAACGTATCTTGCCGAGCGTTTGAACCGTCTTTCGCAATACTTTTCGTAGATCGCCTGGTGGTGCTCCGAGGCATGAAGACAGCACTCTTCCAGCACCTCTGCTAAAGGCTCCAACTGCTCTGCAGTGTAGCCTGTGTAAAACACATGCAGATCTGTCCAACGACCACGGCCAAGCATTCGGCGAGCAAGAAATTGTGCTCCTGCGGCCAGCCAGCTTGGAGCAGAGGCTACAAACCGAGGATCCATGATCGTCACTTCGATAAAGTATTTGGCAACAGTTCTGACCTCGTTATCGTAATCGTCGGCTTTGGAGCCTCTTCTTAGGAACGACATTGGTCCTGGCCAGCCAAACTCAAACTTGAGCACTTCGATCATGAACTTCTCAGCACGCAAGAACTCGGTGACTGTAAATTGGTCTCCAACCATGTAGATCATCTGCTGAATTGTCGGCACATTGATCTCTTCGTATTTTGCGGCAATGAACAGAGCAACGGCTCCACATAGTTGAAATCTTGACAAAGAAATCGTCTTGTTCGACAAGAATCGATCAATGATATTGACAGTCAAAAACAACGTTTCTGGAAGTAAGTTGAACCTCCCGTGCAATTGCACCAGCCAGTTCATCAGTGTGGAACGATGGTCCCACGTGAGTTCATTCTGGACTTCATCGGCATACCTTGGGTTAGGCGCAAACTTGTATTCCAGCTCGTGAAGGTAGTTGAAGATTTCGTTGCCATATTCGGCCACCATCGACACATCAAAAGTGTCTTCATCTGTAGGGTCTAAATGATCTATTGAGTGCTTGAGGTATGCTTGAGTGATTTCTTGAACAATTTTGTCGTTCATCAAAGGTGACATCGGTTCCATCACAAACCCAGACACATCATATTCATGATCGTCTTCATCTTGGACCTTTTCCTCAATGTGTTGGGTTTGTTTGACAGATGGTTTCTGGACTTGTTTGGTATCTTGTCTGGTGTTCAAAGTGCCGTTTGAGATCACTCCCAGGACTTTTCTATCACGCAACGATTGTTTCTGTGTCGACTGTGCTTGTTGTTCTTTGAGATTTGGTTTGGCGTTCTCGTCAGTACGGAAACCAGTCCTACGACTGTAGCTTAAACCGTTCGAACTCATAGTTTTCTAGCCAATGGAGAGCGGGTATTGATCTGTATTTAGCTATTGCTAGTGGTTTTGTAAAGGAAGATAGAGAAGCTTGTGTAAGATGTAGATAAGCGCTTGATTAAATGCAGGGGTTCTCACGGACTGCCGCTCTGTTTATTAATTTTTTTTTTATATTGATTGTTTACCATTTTTGGGAGTTTTGTTTATACGTCGATCGACTACGTAATCGACGCCGAAAGTAGCTGACCTTGGTCTGCATTTTAGCAGAGAAGTCTCGATATCGTTGGAGAGGCTCGGTGATGAGTAGTAATAAACTTCGTGTATTGCATGTTATTGACCTGAAGGCCCTTCTAACTTGTCGGCATTCTCCTATATCTACATTATTAACTATCTCTAAATTTTAATAATTTATGCTACTTGTAATATTAACAAACAAACATTCGCATCATAATTCCCCCACTCCCTCCCCCACTCTAATTAGGCGCTATGTCGTTGATCTATCTCCCATCCACGTATACAACACAGTCTCTGTTGTACACCTCACACCTCACTATTGCTGGAGCGCCATTTGAAGCTCGACGAACAGATGATCAGACAATCAATTGGTACCACCAGTAGTGAAGACCTGACTTTCATGTCATATACATCCTTTAATCTCCAAATTTCCTTCTGTGCTTCACCCCTAATATATCTATCTCACTGCCCCCAAATTTTTTTTCCTGCAATTTTTCACTATGTTCCACCACAAGAAAACCATCGCCAACGGTGACCTTGTGCTCGTGTATATTGGCCGAGATAACCTCAAACCGATCTTCATCAAAGAAGGAGAGGTTCTGCAAACCAGATATGGCGTTTTTCCTCATGACAGTATGATAGGGAAACCTTTTGGTTCACAGATCACTTCTACCAAAAATGTTGGATACATCTATCTATTGCGGCCGACTCCCGAGCTTTGGACTGTCTCGCTTCCGCATAGAACCCAAATCGTTTACACGCCTGATTCAAGTTATATAGTGCAGCGGATGAATGTCGTTGGAGGAAGCAGGGTGATCGAAGCAGGTACTGGTTCTGGATCTTTCACACATGCTTTTAGCAGAACTGTTGGTCCACAAGGTCGAGTTTTTTCATACGAATTCCACGAACAAAGATACGAGCAGGCCAAGCAAGAGTTTGAGAGCCACCAGCTGGAAAACACCACGCTCACTCACAGAGACGTTTGTAACGACGGGTTCAGTATAGATGCTCCTGTTGATGCACAGATGGTGTTCTTGGATCTTCCATCGCCGTGGGAAGCTATAACTCATCTTCCAGAAGTCATTGCTAAAGACCAAACAGTCGAGATTTGTTGTTTCAGTCCATGTATCGAGCAGGTTGTGAAAACAGTGGAAGCTCTTCAACAGTATGGATGGACTGGTATAGAATTAACAGAGGTGCAAGCTAAACAATGGGAAGCTCGTAAGGAGATGGTCCGCGAGCTAGATGACGCAATCGAGCGTTTGCGTGACGTGAAGAAAAGACAGAAGGAAGGTCTTGACCTCAAAAAGCTACCACCAAAGAGAGACGCTAATGGTGAAGAAAAAGACCGTGGATACAATCCATTTGGTAAAGGACGACGCATTCAAGAGGGTGAGGATGGATTCAGCTGGCAAAATGTCTCGAAAACTGGTCCGGAACTCAAGACCCACACGTCCTACCTGCTCTTTGCTCGTCAAACTCCGACCCTTGGTGCAAAGGTGTAGTTTACCTTAATAATTTATGAAAAAACCTGGGGAAAATCCTAATAAATTATAAATGTATGGATTAGCTCTCCGATCTGTCATTAAGCACCAAGTATCAGGTAGCAGCGGGTTGTTAAGGCCGTCAGTACTGATACCTGTTCGGCATTTTCATACCACGCTAGCAAATCACCGGTTCCGTTGTCGGCCAAGTCGACGGATCGTGCGGCCATCTCTTGCCAACGAGATCTGGACCAAGTCTCCGAATCCATTGAAAGTGGCCCTCGGACTGACTGCTATTGGATCGCTTGTACTATTTGTTGCACTACCTTTGTTTGTCGTGGTTGTTCCACCGCTGTTCATCGGGACTTTTTTTGCATATCGATTGGCTCGATGGCGCAACAGGAAGCAGATGGAGGAGAAATGGAGTCTTTTACACAATTCAAGACTGGTGTTCCGTCCGAGAACTACGGTAGATCCACTACTGATGCCACCGATTGATCAAATCAACAGTGACTTGGCCAATTTCGAGCTTCGTCGGATTTCCAATGCGTTTCTACTGAATGAGAACGACATAGCTAACTATTTTGGAATCGAGGATGTCAATGACATTGCTCTGGGTGCCCTTGAAGGAATCCAATACGAAGGCAGAGTTGCAACAAAGAATATCCACGGTTCTTTACGCCAGGTGGACGAGCTTATCACAGTGCAAAGCAGACCTCTTTACGATAAACGGTCGAGAGAGAAAATAGCACAGGTAATTGTTAGCTTAAAGAACCTGGATCCACCAGTCTACGAAAGTTATATCGATCAACCCAGCGGAGCTGTCAAAAGTCGCTGTGTGATCGAAATTGTTCCACTGGGAATAACGGCCAGCAAACGTTTCATCATCGATACTCCGTCCATAGAAGAAGACGTGATTGATGTGGAAGGTAGAACACGCATATTGTAAATAGTGATTAGGAAATTGATCAAAAATATATCTATTCACCGCTCTTCTTTGATTTCTTCTTCTCAGCTTCAGCTTCTTTCTCAGCCTCTATTTCTTGCACAATAGTTTCGATCTGGTCATTAGAAAGATGTTCAACCACTCTTGCTGGTTTCAGCACGGAAATCTCAATGTTTTTAGCTCCCGTCTGGACAACTTCCAACAACGCCTTGACTGTCAGCTTTATTGTCTGTGCCTCGTCCAATTCGTTTTCTTTGTCATAGTTTTTCTCTAAGAACTCGCGAACGGTCTTGCTACTACGTCCAATCGCGTTGGCCTTCCAAGCAGAGTATATTCCAGATGGTTCTGTCTGGTAGAGTTTTGGAGTTTTGTCGTTTTCATCGAAACCGGCAATCAATGTCGAAACACCAAAAGGCCTGGTTCCTCCACTCTGAGTGTATCTCTGTTGCACACCGGCAACGTACTTGGTCAGGTATTCAACAGAAACTGGGTCTTCCAACGTCAATCTGTGCGATTGAGCCTCGACACGAGCTTTATCAACTAGGATTCTGGCGTCGGCATTGAGACCGGCAAATGCCAATTGGACGTGATGATCGATTTTGTTGATTTTGGAAGGTGTAATTCTAGGGTCTTGCAATTTTAGTGTTGTTCGTCTCTCGCAGGCAAGCACAACCACCTCTTTGCCCTTCACGCCCACCGCGCAAGTTCCTCGTTTCACTGCCTCCAGGGCGTATTCCACTTGGAAAACATGTCCATCCGGACTGAATGGTTAGTCTTCTAGAACCTCGTTACATACCTGAAAATGGATAAAGCACTGTCGTAACCACTCATGAGAAATGTGGCAAAAAAGCTAATTTGATTTTATTTGAAAAACATTTAATATTTCAGTGGGAATATTTGATGAAAAAGCCGTCGTCGGGAAAACAGCTTCGTCCGCCGAAGTTGCCGCCAAAAAGCGACCACTTGAAACGTCTGGCGTTCATGTATCAAGCGGCTATTTCGCTGGACCCGAATAGCATTGTATCTCGGATGTATCTGCGAAATATGGATGCTGTTGCAAAGAAATCGGTTTTGAAGCTGGATCCAACTGTGAAACGCACTATTTGCAAGTCGTGTCAACGACTCCAGGTGGCTGGAGTCTCTTCCAATGTCCGCATCGAAAATAACAGCCGAAACGAGGCCGAAAAGAACGATATTCTGGTAATAACCTGTGCTTGTGGAAAGTCCAAAAGATATCCTATCGGTAAAGATAGAACCTACGAGCTCTTCTCGGCCAAAAACGAGTACCACGAGGAAACACAGTAACCTAATAGTGACCCAGCTACATGTCCATCAAATATCGTAATATACATTAAGTGTCTAGTAAAACTCATCGGTCATGAACGACGTCAAGTAACCTTTACTAGTGAGTAGCTTCTCCTCAGAAAGGTGTTTCTGAACAACAACTTCCTGATGTTTCTTCCATTCGCCAAAAGCCGCTCCATAATCAATCCGGGTCAAACTCTCCAAAGGCTCGTCCTCCTTATCGATATCGAGTTCTCCCAACATCACCACGTTCTCTCCTCTGATAAGGAAGATTTGAGGCTCCACAGACTCGCCGTAACGACCTCCATCCAGATAGACTCTTTCGACACCGTCGTGAATAACAAGGTTGGCAAATTGGTCAAAGGTTCTCAAAACTCCAATAATGCTGCGTCCATCTCTGAGCAAAACAAACACCTTTCTGTCCACAGAACCAATGATGGCCGCCGAAGTTGTGAAAGAATACGATTGCAAATACAAATCCTCAAGATTTGCACTGGAACCAGCCGACATTATTTAATAACAGTTTTTTCGTCAATCCAATTCATTTTTTTACATAATCACTACCTACAAGAATTCTCTGGCCTTACGTCTGTACTCATTGCAATCTCTAAGCCATTGTCTGTAGTCCTTAAGGGAACCAATCTTCTCACCGTAATAGTCAGGAACAGGGTTGTTCATACTCTGTCTCGAGGCATCAACTCTTCTTTCGATGATATGTCTGAGGAACAACTTTTGCTTGATTCTGAAACAGTCCATGATCTTGCGGTTCTTCAGTGCAAACAGCGGGTCTCCAATCAGTCCCGGACCCAAAAGAAATCCAACAGTACCAGTAGCCAATATTCCTCCAATATAGACAGTGAAAGTATCAATTCCAAAGATGGTTTCTGTTGGATCAATCTGAATTTGAGAGACGTAACCCCACGCTCCAACAACGGCCAAAAATGCAGCGATTCCGGATCCAAGCAGAGATGTCCGACGTTGTTCTTTACGGAGGGTCAGAAATTGTTCCCACGTCATTTTGTTCGCCAACTCCAACTCCTTTGGCGTTAAATCCGCCTTGGAGGCACCAGCAACCTTGGAGCTCTGGAATCTGACACTAACTCTAGGGAAGCTGCTGACTAGCGGGCTTTTTATGCTCCGAGAGCAAATCTGTCTAAAAAACATGGTATATGCTTATAACTAAAAAAAAAAAAAAAAACCAATATAATCTTTTGCTCAATATTTTCTCAAACCAATTAATCCTCACATGGCTCCAACAGCTCTGGGATTTTCTCCATAGCCAGGTTCTCGTAGATAATTTGATAGGTAGTCTTGAACAGAGGGAATTCGTCCAACTTGTTCTGAGCGCTCAAGAACTCATACACCTCCTTGGTGGTGTGAATACCTTGGCACGACATACCGTTGAGCAATGCCTTCTCGGCCTCTAATGCGCTCACTTTGTGCTCTGCCATGTACTTTCCAACACGCACGTTTCTTCCACCAGCACATGTAGTGATGAGATCGGCCACACCGGCACTCTCATGAGTGAAAGTGGTCGATTCTCCGTCATCAAAGAACATGTCTGCAAACTTGATCATCTCGACAAGTCCAACACGCATGACGGCGGACTTGGCGTTGTCTCCCCATCCGAGTCCTTCAACGAAACCGGCAATCATGGCGACAACGTTTTTCAGGGCTCCACTCAGAGACACACCGGCAACGTCACTCACCACTCTCACATGGAAGTATGGGCGGTGGAAGAGGTGCTTGATCACGCTCTGATCCACATCCTTACCCTCTCCGCGGAAGTCGGAAGGAACTTTATAAGCAACAGTGGTCTCCGACCATTTTTCCTTAGCAACTTCCGGAGCAAGGTTAGCGCCGGATAAAGCACCACAGTAGATGCCCAATTCCTCGGTGATGTACGAAGACAAAAGCTTGCATCCGTGCTTGCTGACCTCCAGACCCTTCAAACAAGAGATTGCTCTTGCTTGTGGATCCACCTTACCCTTCAAGTTTTGCAAGATTCTTGGAAGGAACTGGTGGGGAATGTTGAAGATGATGATATCTGCATCAGAACAGGCATCCACAACATCCGGAACGGCAACGACGTTCTCTGGGAGCTTAATTCCTGGGAGGTACTTCACATTTTCATGCTCAGTGTTAATGATCTCGGTCAGTTTGCGACCCTCCACCTCTTCTTCGAAAACCCACATTTTCACGGTTTGGTGGAACTCCTCAGGTCTCTCAGCGGCATTTTCAGCAACAACCTTGGCAATCGTAGATCCCCAATTACCAGATCCCACGACAGTGGTACGGAATGGCTTGTATTCAGAGCCGGATCTTTGGCGCTTAGCAGCCAGCTGGTTGTTCACGTTATCTAATCTTTGCATTGCAGTCATTGTAGAATGAAAATATACCACTTGTCCAAATCTCGATACGGTCTTGAGGGCTATACAGAGACGGGGGTTCCTATACATATATATATGAAAAAAAAATCTGAAGCACATAGAAAAGAAAAAGAAAGACAAAGGATGGCAAATCTTGTGGTAAAATGCGGTAAAAGGCAAATAGACACATAATTAGAACAAAGACGGCATTCTGGCTACTTGTTGAACAATTGAAGCATACAGCGCTTTGCTTGTATCGGGTCTTATTAGCTCGCTTTTCTTTTCCCATGTACAAACGTTGCAAAATGTGCATGTCCTAGTTAATCCGCGGCTTTTGTTCCCAACACTTCCCCTTACGTGTCATACCACTGCACGACTGTTTTACTCCGGCAGCTCCTGCTGGCTTTTTTTCATTACGTATACATATGAACTGCCCAGAAGTGGGATCTAGATCCGTTTTTAGAGAATTGGTAGCCTATTTACCCGCTAGATGTTCGCTATAAAAACCCAAACTTGCCGTCCCCTACATGAAACAACCTCCCTGGTGGAATTTCATCCCTTGTTACAAGCTTCATGTGTGGTCTCAAACCAATAATCGCCCCTTCAATTTTATCTGCTAATTTTATTAATCTAGGCTCTGACGTCACACTATTGTTTTTAAATCAATGCGACTGGATTCACATCGACGTCATGGATGGGAATTTCGTGCCCAACATCTCTATCGGATTTCCGGTACTACATCAACTCCGAACCCTGTTGGTTGACAAGTCCAAGTACTTCTTCGACTGCCATATGATGGTGGCCAACCCAGAACAATGGGTTGCAACCGTTGCCGAATATGGCGGGAACCAGTACACGTTCCATTTGGAGTCCACAAAAGACCCCAAAAATCTCGTTAAATTGATTCATGCGCATGGAATGAGAGCCGCCTGTGCCTTGAAACCCCAAACCGAGATTGAACAGGTGTTGTCTTTTGCAGATCAACTGGACATGGTTTTGGTAATGACTGTGGAACCAGGGTTTGGAGGACAGTCTTTTATGCCAGAGATGATGTCCAAGGTGCGCAAGCTCCGGCAGTTGTACCCGAAACTCGACATCCAGGTGGACGGTGGCTTGGGTCCTGAAACCGTTAACGTGGCGGCTGAGGCCGGCGCAAACGTCATTGTAGCCGGGACCTCTGTTTTCAAGGCCAAAGACCAGGCCAAGACTATTCAGACGTTACGAGACGCGGTTGTTAGACATACTTCCAAGCTCTGACGGTTGTAGCAGTCTGCTACCCACCTGTCCATCTTATCTTATCTGGTTTGGCTTGAGGTGTAGTTGAAAATTTTTGAAGCACAGCTTAAAGGAAAAAAAAATCTATCAGACTCAACCCGAGATCTATACAGAATGCCATCTAGAAACTCCATAAATAAGCCTAAGGACAACATACAGAGACGTCAGAAAAGTCGTAGTCTGGGGAGACAAAGGGCAGGTGCCCGTAATAGCACCCGTGTTGTTGCTCCAAAATCGACCGCTCTAGCATTATACAATGGAACCGCATCAAAGGGAGGTATTACTACCAACACCCTTTCTAACAAGAGAAGTAAGAAGATCGAGAGAAACAAGAAATACGCCAAGGCTCGTAATTTGGATACCGCACAGTTGTTGGCTGACGTGCAATCAAAACAGGAACAAATGGAGGTTGATGAGGCTGTTGTGAAGTCCCAGGAGACCGTGAGGAGCGCTCTGTGGGCCGTGGTGGAAGACGTTGCCAACCACGGATTCAAATACCTGGCTGCGGGAGAAGGAACAACTTTGGGCGGACCGATTAATGTATAATTCTGATCATCTAAAATATTTACGTCTCTAATAAGCCTCTAGACTGGAGCTCTGTGGAAACATGGTCTCTGAGCAGCTGAATCACCTCTTCAGGCTTAGCTGCTTTGAAAACAGATGTACCAGCAACAATAACGTTTGCTCCAGCCTTTGCCGCGTCAGGAATGGTCTTCGGACCTAGTCCTCCGTCGACTTGAATGTTGAGATGAGGGTATTTGGCACGCAAATCTTCAACTTTAGACATCATTTCCGGCATGAAAGACTGTCCACCAAAGCCTGGTTCGACTGTCATGACAAGTGCCATATCAAGATGTTCAGCTAGGGGATAAAGCACGTCAACAGAAGTTCCTGGCTTGATGGCACAAGCAGCTTTCATTCCGTGCTTCTTGATAAGTTTCACAACTTCCAATGGTTTCTCTGTTGCTTCGTAGTGGAAAGTGTATTGATCTCCGCCAGCCTCAGCGATTTCTGGAATCCATTGCTCTGGGTTGGCAACCATCATGTGACAATCAAAGAAAAACTTGCCTGGCTGAGACGGATCTCTAGGAACCGCTTTTCTCAAGCTCGAAATAATTGGTGGACCCATGGTCAAGTTTGGAACAAAATGGCCATCCATAACGTCCAGGTGGACCCAATCAGCGTTGCACTTGAACATACGATGACATTCGCATCCAAGTTGAGCAAAATCGCCGGCTAAAACAGAGGGAGCAATGATAGGTTTGACCATTCTGTGGAGTAACGGAAAGAAATTTATAGAATATAGTGTCAATATTTTTTTATCGAATAAATAAATAAGACTTATTGATCTTGCTCCTCGAGCGTTTTGAAGACCATAGGCTTCGTCGAATCAGGGAACTTGATTCCCAACTCCAACAATCTGGAGAACACATCGGCGAAATCCTTCATACATTTTTCTTCGTCCTTGGCGTACAATTCCACGTACTCTCTAAACTTGGAGTCCGTCTTCAATGCCATATCTGTGGGGAGCATCATGAGGGATTTGGTTTTGGAGTCCGTGTATTGCTTAGGTCCATTCCAATCCCTGACTTTCCAGTCCTCGTCGAGTAATAATTTAAAAAAGTCGTTAGTAACCATTGTTGGTGAGAATGTCCAAGGTCCATCAAATCCGGAAGCATTGGTGTGACATCTTCCCAATGCGTGTCCAACACCAATCAAACACACCATCTCCTGGTCCGTAAAACCCAATCTGTTGTGGAAAACGCTACGAACGTAGTCAGGCTCCTCTTCAGGAGCATGCGGGAGTCTGTGATACGGAGGAACAGCATCCAATCCCAATTCTTTACGTCCTGGTCTCCATTTGATCTTTGGACCGCCAAGTTCTTGGATAGAAACGACTCCACCTAAAGTCCAGAGGTCTCCGTAAGAAAGTTCAGGGTACTTTGTCTTGAATGGCTCTAAGAAATCTTGGGCTGTCTTCAATCCTGCGTTTTCTGGGTCGTCCTGTTCCTTCTGGAATCTCATGGTACCAGCGTAAGAACCTCCCTTGTTCTTTGAAGGGTCGTTCTGATCGTAGGTTCCTGAACAATGCCATGCCAATCTGACCAGAATCGGACCGTAAGACCCGTCATCGTAGTCGTCTTCGTCGATAAGCTTCTTGGCAATGTCATTGTAGATTTGTTGATACTTTTCGAACGAGGAGACACTAGTGGTGGCTTCTCTCACATTGGTGGCCAACAGTGACGCAGCCGGAGCAGGATTCTTGGGGCTCTGGGGTGCAGGAGCGCCCTTTTTGTAATTGACATACCCGTAGCCACCAGCTGCTGCTGCAGCAAGGGCAAGCAACGGCTTGTAATTAAATTTAGAAGATGCTTTTGCAAAAGTACTCATGTTTGCAAAAAGAGCAAGAGATTGGGGAGTATATAAGGCAGGAACAGATAGTGAAAATTACTATGCCAGATTACCAGATCAGGCCTAAATTCTAGACCGGTTAGTAATTATCTGGCCAATCCTAGCCTCGAAATTGGTAAGACGCAAGTTAGCTACACCAGACACCAGACATAAGATACGGGGTTTTTGCGAGGAAATTTGACTACTCCACCAACAATATTAGGATAGTATTGGCGGTTAGCGGGGGAGACAGCAGAATAAGAAAAATCTAACCCACTTCTCTTTTTTCCCCCACCACCTACTTGCGTAATCGTAAATAGCCGTCTTTTGCAGCCTGTAACGATTCGCAGCACTGAGAAGCACCCGGCATTCTCAGCACAATCTGTCACAAATAATCATCAAACTATATAAAATCATCAAGCGGCTTCGACAATGTGTCCTCTCTCGGAAACATAGATACCATCCAAGAACTTTCTAATATCTTTGTTTCTCACTCTGCAGATCTGTTGGATATCGGCGCAAGTTTGGGAAACGTTCTCTAAGGAGTTACCTTCGACAACGAGCTCATCTTTTTGGGTAGATGAGATGGCAGCCTTGCAGCCTTCCCAAACCTTAACCTTTCTGAGTCTCTTCTCTCCCAAAAAGTTTCTGATCTCAACGTAGTCTTGGCCTTCTTCATTGACAATGTTAACATTGATAGGGAAGTGCGCATACACAAATCTCATTTTGTACTTGAATCCGACAGTGACACCCTTCACCAAGTTAGAGATCAACGACTTCACAGTTCTGAGAGAAGCAACGTGCTTTCTGTCACCGTTGTGGACGCTAATCTTAATCTGGGAGCTAGAGAGCTTGGTAAAAGTCACATCAATGTGACCGAGATCTTTCTTCAACTCTCCGCGAGGACCCTTCACAAGGACCTTACGGGATTTGATGATGACCTGGACGTTTTCTGGGATATCAAGAATTTCAGAGGATTGGATGTACTTCATGGCGATATAATTAAAACTTGTGAAAAATTTTCAGGTATTTGGCTTTTTTTCAAGTCGGACAGTTTTTCAAAGTTACCCTCCTCGAGGACGAAAAAAATCGTTTTCGAGCTTTTCTTAACCAGCATGTTCCAAGCACTACAACAACAGGCCAGACGGTTCCATACCTCGCGTATGGCTCTGGCTCTGAGCAAGCAAAAGCGGAAGGAGCTTGCATCGCATAAGAAGAAGCAGAATTTGGTCCTCCAGGCCGGAAAACTGCTCAACAAGGAGAAAGTCGATCCTGTGCTTGGAAGACCTAATAATCCATTCATTCAAAGACTGAGAATGGAAATCGAAGAGCCAACCGTGTTGGCCAAGAGATTTGATCTCGCTGAGGTGGACAAGCTTTTGTTTGGAGCCAAGGAGTCTAAGATTCTAAAATCTGTGTCGACATTGGGTTACGATGAGAACACCGTGAAGCAGATCGAGCAGGAGGAATCAGAGAAACGTGAGATTTTGCTGCGAATACTCAGTCTCAGAAACGCAGACCAAGCTGAGAAAAACAAGCGGATCCAGATGTTGGCAATCGCCGAGTTTGCCAGATTTGAAGGAGACACCGGTTCTTCGGAAGTGCAAGCTGCTTCGTTGACCGTGGAACTGTACAACTTGATGAATCACATCAAACAGAACCCACAAGACAAGGTTACTGTTCGTGATGCCCGGCTTTTGACCCAAAAAAGACAGAAGCTGCTCAGATACCTGAAAAGAGACCAACCACAAAGATATTATTGGACTATTGAAAAGCTCGGTCTGACCGACGAAGTTGTTCAAATGGAATTCAACTTCGACAAGAAGTACATGCAAGACTTTGAGATCTGGCCAGGTAGACAGTTGGTGCGTCCTGGTAAGCGCGAGAACATAGAAAAACTCAGACTCAAGAGATTGCTCACCAAAGAAAGACTTGCTGAGCTCAAGAAACGGGAGTCTGTTAAAGCCGACGAGTAAAACGTGTACATATATAGTATATTTGATTGATTGCCTATTGAGATCTATAGTGAATATTAAAAAAGTATTATTTCTTGCAGTCCTCAGGAGTGCGCTCCAGAACTTCTTGGAGACTCCACCGAGGAGCAATTCCCTTCTCGTAATCTCCAGGATTCTTTTCTCCGCCAGATATTCCCGAGCTGAACTTGAGGTATAATTTGTCCCCGATCTCGTCACAGATGGTCAAAATCTTGTCGATATCCTCCTTCGTCAACGAAGCAGAAACACATAGTCTGACACGCGAAGAAATTAACTCTGTAGCAGGGTATCCGACAACCACCACAGCAACACCTCTCTCATACATCATTCTGCTGAAGGCTGGCATTTTTGGTGGAGCATATAATAATAACGGGATCACAGGCGAATCATCAACACCATACACAATGAATCCAAGCCGTTTCAATCCCAAACGCAGGTATCTCGAATTGAACGCAATTCTTTGCAATCTTTCCTTTCCTTCATCGCCGTTAAGTTCACCGATCAGAACCCGCAATGAAGTATTAATTTGAGTCACAACCGCAGGAGGCATCGATTCTCCATAGACGTTTGTACTGATATCCAGCCTGAGTCGGTCGATAATGTCTTGGTTAGCAGCAACGTAACCACCAGCTGCTCCAAAAGATTTGGTGAAAGTACCCATCAACATGTCCACTTTGGATGGAGAGATGCCAAAGTAATCACAAATACCTTTTCCGCTTTTTCCCATAGCACCAATAGAGTGAGCCTCATCCATAAACAGATAAAACTTGTACTTGTCTCTCAGAGCCACCAAGGCAGGAAGGTCACACAAGTCTCCTTCCATGGAATACAATCCTTCCACACAGACCAAGATTTTCTTCCATGGACGGTGAGTCTTTGATTGTCCTTGCGAAATAGATTCTCTGAGTATCTTTTCAAGGGCTTTCATGTCATTATGAGGAAAAACTTTAACTGCAGCACCGGAAAGACGAATTCCAAATCTAATAGAACTGTGGTTCAACGCGTCAGAGATGACCAAACACTTTGAGTTGACCAACGAGGTGAACAAATTGGCGTTTGTTCCGTAACCCATGGCAAACATCAAGGAGTCGTCCTTTCCAACAAACTTGGCGACGAGTTTCTCGGTTTCTATTTGGAGATCGCTGGTACCAATCTGGGTTCTTGGGCCGTACGAGGAGGTACCGTATTTTTCCAAAGATTTGATGGAAGCATCTGTGCAACAACCAACAGACTGTGCAAATCCGAGGTAGTTGTAAGAAGATAGATTAAGAAGAGATTTCAATTCTCCACTGTAGAGGAACGATTCGTTGTAGTCTGGAGAAATACGATCGAAACATCTGACAAAGCGGCCGGGAACGCCGCAAATTGGCCGGGAAAAGCAGTCATCAAGTCTCTTTTTCAAACGACGTGGATAGAAAGACTCAAAAGCCGAATACCACGGAGGATATCCGTTTTTCGGTAGCACGGCTTCGAAATATTGAGGCATGAATCGTTTGCCAAAGAAGTCTTTGAGGTGGCCGATGATAATCAGAATTAAGTAGTTGAGGTAGGTGAAGATCACAATGAAATATGGAGGTTCATCCACGGCCGGGTTCAGTGGTCGAGTTGGATCGTAATGAACAGAATACAAATAATCCTTGGAAGTCAGAGTACCGAATTCCAGCTCGGCTTTCTCCTCCTGAGAGATATGCTCCTCAGGAGCGTCTGGCACCCTTGTTGAAACAAACTTGCTCATTGCGGAACGTCAATGTAAACAACCGAATGCTTCGCCTTGTTTATCAGAAAATAGAGGATTGACAAAATAATTTATTCGCGTAGAGTGCACTGTGGAAATTGGCAGACACGCTCTATTTTAGTCCAGATTCCCGTAGCCGTAAATGAGCAGTATTGTGAGATTGTCCAAGTGTTTGGTCACTGAGGGGCTTCTGAACCGGGGTGGACACCGTGTCTTCCAGGAACCAATCAACTTTGAGATTTTCCAGGGTGAAAAATGGGCCATTATCGGCGATTCTTACAGATCCAAGTTTCTTCAAACTTTGAAAGGTTCCTTCAATGTTTCGCCGACTTCGACTGGGAGATCGTATCCGTTGAGTTTGAAGAAACCAGACATGAAGGTGGAATTATTACAGTTTGTGAATAACGGATCGTTTGGCCACGGAGCAACCGACTCGTCCGGTGGATTTACTCATCTTTCCAGTAGATACGAGTTCTACAAAGATGCGGAGGTTGACGAAACAGTGCAGGATTTCATTGCGAACATCTCGTACAATTCTCAACATAAGATTGACCCTGTTTTTCTGGGTCAATTGCTGGACAAAGTCGATCTTTCCGGGTTCCAGCAAAAATATATCACCACTCTCAGCAATGGACAGTTCCGCAGGGCCCGGATTGCCAAGAGTCTGTACGGTAGACCCGACTTGCTGCTGGTTGAGGATCCGTTCCTCGGTTTGGACCCCGTTGCTACCAAAAATATCTCTTCGGTCTTGGAAAAAACCGCTCTGCCAACCACAGTTTGTCTCGGTCTGAAGATCCAGGACACCATTCCAGACTGGATTGAGAAAGTCGCCATTGTCGATCACACAGGGATCGTTAAAAGTGGCCCAAAAAGAGACCTTGTGGAAATGTTGAGGATTTTAAAAGAGAAGCACGAAGACCATCAACTTTCACTCAAGAAAGCAGTCGAGTCAAAACTGTTCCACGCTCTGGAACAGACTTCCACAACGTCAGAAACACCCATTTTGGAAATGGACAACGTTAACGTGCTTTACCGTGGCAAACCAGCACTCAAGAACCTGAGCTGGACTGTTCGCGATGGCGAGAAATGGCACATCAGAGGTAAAAATGGATCTGGTAAGACAACTTTGCTTTCCCTCATCACTCTTGACCACCCTCAGTCTTGGAACAAACACATCAAATTGAATGGACAACCAAGAGCAACAGGTAAAACCAACTATTTTGACACAAACAAACAGATTGGGTTCACATCGCCTGAGTTACACGCGATTTTCCCCAAGAACCTGACTGTAGAACAAGCAATCTCGACTGGATTTCAAACGGGTTCATACATTCCTCCGAAACTAACTCAGCAGCAAAAAGATACCATCTATCGGTATCTGGAATCTGTCGATCTGATCAACCAAGCACAAACAAAGTTTAAAGATCTGCCAGTAAGCAGCCAAAAACTAGTTTTATTGCTCCGTGCCATGATCAACCAACCTAAAATCCTAATTCTGGACGAATCCTTGAGCGCAATGTCAAACGAAGACATCATCAAAGGAAAATACTTAATCGACCACTGGAAAGGATGTGTTTTAGTGATCGGCCATGTTGAAAACGAAGTTCCTAAGTGCGACAAATTCATCGATCTGAATGGTGCAAACGTCGGTGACTATATCATTGGAGATATCACGAATTAGAACCTCTCATAAAAAAGCATGTATGCGTCGCCATTCACAACCTTGGAAACTGGGGAGTTTTTGTAGACCTTGTCATCATCAAACAGACACCACCCATTTCCAGCTCCTTTATCAACAAACGATGTATAATGACCATTGATCAAATTTCCATAATGATTCACTACCCCGTAAAGTCTGTATCTGAAAGGTGGGACTTGACCTCTGATCGGCAATCTTCCAAGCTCTTGTCTTTCAATTTCGCTCTTGACATCTGGCCAGTACTTGTCCAAACTCAATTCAGTGGGGTAATCGATGTAGGTGTTGAGTTTTGTCAAATAATTACCCATTTTGAATCTCTTCAGGTGAATTATGAGCACTTGGGGTAGTCTAGAAATCCGCAGCTGTTTCATGGTGCGCTGTTTCTTGTTGCAATGAGGACAGAACCAAGAATCGTCACTATCCAGAATCTCTGGCTTGACGAATTCATCAAAACAAGCTTTCAAAGTGGTTCTTGATCCTTGTTCTGGGATTGGAAGACTGATGGTACTGAATGCATTGTAAGTGGTGGAAGTGGTTGAACATTCGAGACATTTCAATTGCGACATGATTTGACCTTGGAAAATATCAACTATGATGCTGAAGTTCGTCTTCAAATATCTCTCCCACTCAATAGTTGATGCTATTCTGATCGGCAACTGTTCACGCTGTTCTTCTTCCTTCTTGGTCAGCTCAGCAAGTTTAGGATGATTCCCGTTTTCATTCAAATCTTCGTGCAATGAATCCAGAATATAGTTGAGAAACTCCGAACCGTCTTGCTGTTCCAAATTGCTATACATGCTGTTGAGCGAGGCAATCACTTTGCGGAAATGCCGAGGAACAATCGATTGTGGGTGAGATGGGGTGCTCTTTTTGTAAAGTTCTGTAAGAAGAATAGAGAACTCATTAGCAAGAATTCCCTTAGATCCTAACCGTGAGTTGACGTTGATATGTTTTTTGAAGCTTCCAACAACGAAAAACTCTGTCAGTTTTTTCGACCCAACTAAACATTGGAGTGCCGAGTTCATGTAACAGGAGTTGCCCAAGTTGGCAAGACCTGTCATCAAGCCCAAACCCTTTTGAAACTCTGAATTTGATCTAGAAAATTGCGTTGGAAGAGGCGTGGGTGTGGATGGAAGTGTTGGAAGCTGGGCTTTTGGAGGCACGCTCTTGGGTCCTGGGGACGACGCTGGAGACAGTAGTGCAGGACGTGGTCGTGATGGAGAGCCAGCATGGCTGGATGGCACAGACTTCAATTCCATCCTATTGTACATTTCTTGATATGGAACCGCGGTAGGTTTACGAGGCTCAGCATAAACCGATTTGGGCTGCGATTGCGATTGATGCGATAAAAATTCCCCCACATTCTTGATCAATGACTTCTCGTTATAAGGGATCGACTTTCTCGATGTAATATCTTCCTGGCTGGATATCGAGCTTATTGATTCCTTCCGCCCCAATCCCAAAGCTGGCTTAGGCCCTTCAAGAGGGGACGAAATCGCCGAGTTAGCTGCAGACCACTCTCTGAACCCGCCTTGAAGGATGAGTGGGGGGCGTTTGAGAAATGTTCCTGCGTGTTTTGTGACGAGGATCGAAAGCAATTTTGCTAATTCCGGACTTTTTTGAGAGGAGGTTGACGAGTGATCAATGAGAATAACGAGCTCAAACTTTCCTCTTTTGGAAAACATGTCTCTCTCCTCGTCTGTGTCGGTGATCATTGAATATTTTTCTATTTCTTGACATGTGTAGTTGTCTCTGATCGAGACCGGCTCTAGTTGAATGATGTTATCGGTAAGATCAATATGGTCAAATTCGAACTCACGTTTGCGTCGCAAATCTATAAGCAAGACATCTTGCGGAGACTGGTCTAACAGCTGTGTGAGCTGGCTTACTGTGACAAACTCCTTGAAGGAATCGAAATATGATGATAAATCTCGTTTCGGTGGACTCAGATCTCTGTTGCTGCTTCCATTTTTCAGTGTTTGTAAACGGAGCAAAAGTCTATCTGAAGGTCCCACGATGGTCTGCTTGATCTCATCGTAGGTGGAACGCTGACGAACCAAGTAGCTCACCAGATCTGAATAAAATTGGTAAAGGTTGGGGTTTTGTTTCAATTGCAGGTAGTCAGCCAGATTCGGGATCAACTCTGTTAAAATCCGCGATGCTGCATTATAATATATGAAACTCTCCTCCAATTCGGTCGTGAAGAGGTCAGGCACTTTCTTTTGTCCCACGATGGCCTTGTAGCTCTCGATACATTCGAGTGCCTTCACCAGATGTTCTTTTGAGAATCGCGAAGAGGTAGCCTCTAACGACTGAACCAGCTCGTCCACCAGTCGCGTCAGTTCGCTGAGACTTCGAGGCTTATCTGTCCCTGATGGCATCGAGGCGAGTTGCTAACAAAGTACAGCTTAAAAGTACACTTGACCTAAATAGTTTTACAAAGCAGGAAGATTCGCACACCGTCCCCAAAACACGCGGGTCGATCGACGCGACAGAAATCACCACCCGTCCATAGGGTTATTGGACTGCTGGTTGTTGGCGCTGGCGAGGATCTGCTCGGGACTCAACATGGCAGAGCTTGCGACCGATGGAGCAGACCCACTGTTGCTGTTTTCGAATTGGCCCATGTTGTTGAACGGCATTTGTTGCTGCTGTTGCTGGGGCTGTTGGAAATTCGTGAACTTTTGCGGACTGTACTGGTTGAACACCGGTTGTTGTTGCTGTTGCTGCTGTTGAGGCTGTTGCTGTTGCTGCATCTGCTGAGGAGGTTGCGTGTTTTGTTGTTGGTTGAGCTGCTGCTGGATGAACTGCGAGTACATCTGTTGCTGTTGTTGCTGCTGCTGTGGCTTGGGACGCGGAGGTACCATGTCTGATTGAGAGTTCCATGCATAATTAATCTGGTTGCGCTGTTCGTCCGGCGAAAAAGTCTGGTTGCGGAACTGGTACTGTTGAGGGGGCTGTTGCGGAGCCTGTTGCGGAGCCGGCTGTGGCTGTTGCATCTGGGGCATCCTTTGGGACTGCTGTTGTCGAAGCGTTTCCATCCGTTTCTGGAAAAACGGCAATGCCTCGGGATACAACTGGTTGAGCAACTTGTAAGGCTCGTTCAGCTCTGGAAGTTCCGGGGGTGGCAGGACAATCTGTGGTATACTATAATTTTTCTTTGGAACGTTAGGAGGACTGGAATGGATGTCGTTTATGGATGCCAGACACGTGAGATTGAAATGGATCCGTTTCAGATAGTTCTGGTACGTGTCTCTTCTTTGATTATAGTCGGGGTTCATCGAGTTGGATTTCGACAAGATGTATGGCTGAAGAAGTAAACATTTATGGAGAAGAACCGTGTTTATTCTCAACAGCACGTCGATTCGCTTCTTATCTATTTCCATGTTGATTTGGGGCGGTTGCGATGCGTGCGCATGCAAAAGCTGCGACAACGACGAGTTTTGGAACTGATCCATACAAAGAAACGTTCTTGATTTTTTTTATAGTGCCATTTAATTTTTAAACGTCTTGGCCCTGGACCAACATCTTTGCACAGCGGCCCGTGGGTGGTTTTTTTACTTATTTCCCGATATCTTTGTTAACGAGATCTCGGTGACTACTTTGGTTTGATGCTGCTCAGATTACTCCTCTTCCCCCTGTTGGTGGTGGGAATAGGTACCGAGGTCGCCCAGGGAGACTACAATTATGCTGTTGGGCTGGCTATGCGAGATTACTTCTACTATACTCATGAAACGTCATATTTCCAGACCTCAGAAGCGTCGGTGTTCGCATCGATAGCCAGTCAGTACGACGAAAACATGTTCTTCGACCATCAGTTGGCCACGTCCATGATCGATTATGCCACATCGATGTTGTCCGAGCTGCCTTCCTCCGACCAACAATACGTTCTATCTAGGGCTACTGGGTATTATACAAGATTCACATCGATCGACCAGAACGTCAACACTCTTTTGGAGTTTCCAAGCACAACACCAACACAAACACAATGGGACACAGAAATCATCATTCCCGCAAACCAATCCGCTACATACCAAACTTACTACAAGCTCGCCCGGTGCAACGCTTTATGTTACGATATTGCCACTTATGGCCGCGAATACAACCAGATGGCCATCACTAACCCTGGATTTGCATCGAGTTTGAACAACGTGGTCAGTGCATACTCCACGGAATCGGATGTTTTGAGAATCAATCTGGAATGTGACAGTTTGTTGGCATATCTGAGTCAGATCCCGTGGAGCGGGAGAATCCTACAAGGGGCCAAGAGCTCGTACTTGATTCTGCAGATGAACTACAACACTCCTACACCGGATCCGGACTACATGACTGTGACATACTACCAGCCGTGGGTGTACATTTCCACTTCCGCAACTGTGGCTACCACTACCACCATAGGACCCTCGGAAGCGGCATCTGCCTCGGTTCCGACGGACACGGGCTCATACATCACGACGACCACGACATTGACTTCGCGGTCCGTGAATACCGAGACCCCGCTGGCGTCGATGACCAGCACGCCGGACTCGGTTGTCAACAAGACAGATACCATGACAATCGAATACAACGGACAGAACATCTTCTCTGCGGTGATCGAGGGGCTGTTGATTGATTATAGAAACCATACAGACGATTATATCTCGCTGATCACGAGTAACAGCAATCTGCAAATTGTTCAAAATTACACAAGCATGATCGAGGACTACAAGACCAGGACGTCGCAGCCGGATCTGGACGAGTACGAGTCAATCGTCAAGATCATCTACACGTTTGCCAACATCATTCCGTGGCGGTCTCGGATCTGGGATGGAATGGGATGGTGGTACACCAACCAGATGCTGTCGCAGAATGAAAAGACGCACTCCTTTTCTCAGGGTGCAGGACAATTCTTCACCCAACTGTACAACCCGCAACTAACGGGACAACTGGACGCTCGACTCACCTCGGTGCCGGCGCTTAAAACGGACGCAGGTATCGGGTTTGAAGATTCGTGAGACTCGATTTTTTCGTTGAACCGTTTGGAAAATCAGAAAATTCCATGTTGGAAAGCGCAGCTACCTAATAAATTTCAATTTTTTTTATCTTTTGAGACAGGGCTTAAAAAAAGCTTCATATCGATGATTTTTCTCGGTAAAAAATTTACTCTTCAGGAACCAATTTCGAGTTAGTTGTTATTTAGAAACTCTGAAGTTGCTTAACGCTACTTTCCATTCTTCGGTACCATCTCTATACACTTGAAATATGGTTTCGGTATCGGTGATTCTTCGAGGTCCGGTCCTCTTGTATCAGTTGATACGCCATATGATTGTCCAGGCCCTAAATAACAGATCACTGTTTAAGCTTGTTTTGAATTTTGGAATCAACTTTTCGCCCGTCTTTGTCTGGCTACTGATGTTCAAAAACGCCGGCATCGTTCCCAACGAGATCAGACCCACAATTCACGTGAAATTGGCCATGTCCCTGGACGCATTCATCTTTGACATCCACCGTATCTCGGCCTGGATGTCGCTAGTGTTGATCATGGCCGTGTCATATCTTCTCTGGGTGTACTGCTACCAGATCCCAAACCGTACCGTGTTCCGGTCCGAGCTGGGATCATCCAGTTTCACCATGCCGTCCAAAAACGACATCGAAGACCAGGCAGATCAGGACCTGGAACTTAATCTATTGGAACAGTCGGGCGTGCAATCGGCCGAATCCAGCTCCTCGAGCACAGACCTCTCAGCGCCGACCCAAACATACCTCCCTCCTTCGTGCTGCTACACAACACCGGTCTTTTTGCTCGGCTTCTGCTGGCTGCTGCTCAACCTCGACCACGCGATCATCTACCCGCAAACCACCTTCCGCGACTTGCTGGCCTGGGTTTCCTACGTGCTCTTCCATTTCTTCGCTCCGCTTTTCACAGCCATCTATCTTTATGTTTTCCAGACCCCTGGTGCCATCAAGTGGTTTTCCGTGGCTCTGGGCTCCCAGAACATTGCCGGAGTGATCACCCACATGCTTTTCCCCAACGCCCCACCGTGGTTCATCCATCTCTACGGCGAGGACGCGGCAGCAGATTACGATATGCCCGGCTACGCAGCAGGGCTGACGCGTGTGGACGTGGCTCTGGGCACCCACCTTAATTCCAACGGTTTCCACAAAAGTCCCATCGTGTTTGGCGCAGTGCCGTCGCTGCACTCCGCCATGGCTGTCCAGTGCTTTTTCTTCATTGCATTTTATACCACCTGGTGGTTCCCGAAGATAGGCATGCTTGCCTTTGTGATCTTACAATGGTGGGCCACAATGTACCTGGACCACCACTGGCGTCTTGATCTGATTGTGGGGTTGGCGTACGCAATTATTAGTTTTACCATCTACAAACGGCATCTCGTTGCTGCGGAACAGAGACTGGTCAAGGCGCGGTTGCGCGGCGATTTCGGAGCAGGATCCTCGTACGGCATGAGGGTCTTCCGCAACCATTGGCTTAAGCGACTATTTGATCAATACTCCTAATAGAAACACTCACATTTCTTCATCCTCGTCCTCGTGCGTAAGATCCACATGCAAGTCGTGCCACTCCTGCCCGGCAAACTTGCACGAGCTCACTCCGTCGTCCACAAAGCCCAGCCCGCGGTAGAACGGCGTCAGCGACGCCTTTGCCAGCAAAACAACCTTGTCTGCAACAAACTGCTGGTTCAATTTCTGTAGGTAATCTTTTATCAAGAGCGAGCCTAATTTTAGACCCCTATACTTATCGTTCACAATAACAGAATGGATCCCTATGATCCGGCTTTTCTCCACATGTCCTGTTTCCGTATCGGTTTCGTCCTTTGGTATGTCCATCGACCGCTCCGTGATGGTGGGGTCGGCAATCTTGGTGGCTATGATGTGAGCAATCAAAGTCTCCTTAAGAATGGTGGACCGCGGCGGAGGCGAGTCTGATTGCGCCGCGTTTTGCTCAAACTCCCGCACAAACAGCCCCGAGCACAGTTCCGGACACACAGTTAGGCGATACTCCAGCTTGTGTTTTGGACACCGTTCCGGCTCTGGGAACCCGTTTGCCTCAAGCTCAAGCACCTGGGACAGGTCGTAGATGGTGAGCGGTCTTATACACAGATGCTCCGGCTTCTGCTTGATCGATAATTCGGACTTGTACTTGGAGTCCTGCGACGAAGTCGAGCTGGACGATTCGGTGGTGGATTCAATCGAGGACATGAAAGAAGAAGGTGTTGTAAGTTGATGACATTTTTTTCCACTCTTTCAGGTAGCCAGTGGCGGTGGTGGCGGATGCCCGAATTTGGAGAAAAATAATCTTTGAAAATTGACCGTTGCGTTTATACACTAGTTGCTGAGGATGTCCGACGTGATTCTGCCGTTAGAGCTGATTGATAAGAGTATTGGATCCAGAATCTGGGTCCTGATGACCACAGAACAGGAGTTTGTGGGGAATCTGGTTGGGTTTGACGATTTCGTCAACGTCGTTTTAGAAGACGTGGAGGAGTATGAGGGTGATAAGCTCATTTCGAAGCGCCCAAAGATGCTGCTCAACTCCAGACAGCTTGCCATGATTGTTCCTTCAGGCGAAAGAACAAGCTCGAGCACCAAATAATGCATTATTTGCCGTATGTATATTACTCTAATGCCTCAACAGACGTGTCACTCACCCGCCACAATAACAGCATCCAGATGCTCTTGTAGGGCACAAACTGATGTGCCAGACAGTTTATCACGTGGTCAGACACAAACTTTGGGTTCTGCGACGATTTGGGCAGTTTTGGCAGCTCCAGCTCCTTGAGTTTTGCGTTGATCTCTTTTAGAAGTTCTGGCCGTTGAGAAAGGTACACCGTTGCACCTCTCCGGATCCCCAAGTCTGACACCTCAAAGATGTCGTACCGTTGTAGTGCGAACATCAGAAACATCGACGCAGACCATGGTCCGATACCTTTAAATTTTTGTAAGTCCAGATTGATTGTGATATCGTCTGTGGTCGTGAAGTACGAGTCGGTGAACTTCACTCCTTCTGGAGGAATTTCCTCGGATTCGATGAACGCTTTGGAGAGTCGTTTGACGAACTCCGCCTTTTTGTACGAGAGGCCGCATTCACGCAGCTCCTGAATGGATTTCGAGTCAAAGATCTCTGCCGTTGGCAGTTCCTTGTCCTCTGAGAGATTGTCTATGACTTTTTGTTTGATGGCCTTGGCCGCTTTGCCGCTGATCTGCTGTGATATCAATCCACTGACCAAACTATCGAAATAATGTTTCAACGGCTTAGGTCCGTCGTCGTCTTTCAAATACCCGCCAAATGGAGTCTCCAGGTACTTTGACAGAGACGGGTCTTTCTTTAGGATATACTGGAGACCTTCAACAAGACGGCTGGAGTTGTTTTTTTCGAAAACGTCTAACTTGAACGCATTTGGAGCCTTAGCCGACTTCTTCTTGGTGGCATCGAAGTAGTCGAGCTTCGGGAACGACGCCTCGAATTGAACCAATTTCGCCTTCTTCAAGGCCGTTTTGCCATTTTCCGACGCCGCTGCCGCACTCCTCTTCATCAGTATAAAAAGACACAGCCAGTGGCAAAAAAAATATAGATTTTCTTTATCTTCCCCGGATTCGCCACGAAAACCATCACCATGAATTTGACCATTGCTGTCGATGATACTGACCAGATTATCACTGCAGACCTACCCGACGATTTGGGGCTGGCAGATTTCCAAGCGTATCTCAAGTCCGAAACAAATATCCCCGAGAACCAACAAGTGCTTGTTTTCGACGGCAAGCAGGTAGATCTTGGAAAAGCGGGCACTCTGAAGGATCTCGGTCTCAAGGATGACGATCTGTTGGTCTTGAAGAAGAACCAACCACAGACTCAGAGTTACTTAGACTCGCAGCTCGAAACGGTTCGTCAACAGTATCTGTCGAATCCTCAGATCCAGAGCACGTTGGACCCTGAAACAAGAGCCGCCTTGAACGATCCCGCCAGATTCAGAGAACTCGCACTGAAAATGGTGGAGAACCAACGTCAATTGCAAGCAGACCACCAAAAAGAACTCAGCCAGCTGTATAGTAATCCCGACGATCCAGAGAACCAGAAAAAAATCATGGAACTTATCAACCAGGAAGCGATCGAAGAAAACATGCGCACAGCCATGGAAATCTCGCCAGAATCGTTCACCAGCGTTCACATGTTGTACATCAACTGCGAAGTGAACGGCACCCCGGTGAAGGCTTTTGTTGATTCCGGTGCTCAAACAACAATTATTTCTCCATCTTTGGCAGAGAAAACAGGACTCACCAGACTGATCGATAAAAGATTTATTGGAGAGGCCAGGGGTGTGGGGTCGACCAAAATCCTTGGAAGAGTGCATTCTGCTCCGTTGAAGATCGAGTCAGGATACTTTCCCTGCACCTTCACGGTTATCGACACGCACGTTGAGATGTTGCTTGGATTAGACATGTTGAGGAGATATCAAGCCAACATTGATTTGAAACGCAACCAGCTAGTGATTGACGGCATTGCTACGACGTTCTTACCTGAGCACGAGTGTCCTAACATGATGCAACAGGTTTCTCCTTCGCAGCTTGGAGGCAACATTTTCAGCTTGAATGACGCACCTAGTGGAGCAGGTGCTTCTAGTGCACCAAGCAGAGCTGGTCCTGTGAAGAAACCCAAGGTGGAGGCTCCAAAAAAGACTGCAGACGCGGCGAAAGTGGAGCAGCTGGTTGCGATGGGATTCGACCGCAAACAAGCGGAACTGGCGTTGCAACAAACCAACAATAATTTGGAATTAGCTGCCGGGATGTTATTTGACTAGACTAATTTATTATCTTCTTCGAAAGACACAAATTGCATATTTGGATGGCTTTGGACGATGCTCGAGCTCATTCCTTTCCAGATCCAGTCGACACGTTGATTTGATGGAGGAACTTGAATTCTAGCTTTAAAGCTTTCTATGAACGCACGGTCGTTCTGATTAATTGTTGTGCTGTAATTAACAAATTCATCATAGATAGACACGAGATTCCACAATTGTATCTTTCGTAGACATGCGATTGCCAAAGAGGTGATTTGTCCTCCGTTATTGCAGAAGATGTACACGGGGGATGATTTTTTGTCGAGGATCAGTTCCAGAATGCGCAGAACCTGTTCCGGTTCGATGGGTATTCCTCTTTTCTTTCCCTTATCTTTGGAGGAGCTATCTGTTTCTATATGAACGAGATTGATGTTATTCTTGGTGCAGAAGGAGTATAGAGAGGGATCATTTTCCATGGAGATATCTTGTGCTGTTAAAGCTATCATTGTCTTTAGGTTCAAAGTTTCGAGATAGCGGTAGTTTATTGGGCGTGGGTACGCTCCACGAGACACTGTATTCTGGACTTTGGCAAATTTGATGGGGGGAGTGAATGGTTCAGGCATTTGAACAAATTAATAAATTAAAGAAAATAATTAACTATGAGCGAAAAATTACAGTGGGGGGAGATTTAAATTAAAACAATGTTTATTGTTCACGAAGGTATAGATAGGACGGAGGCTTATGGATTTAAGGAGATGCACCGACAGTGATACCTGCACAGGTAAAGCCGGAATTAGGAGAGACAGGAGCAGTACATCCAAATGCACTTGCACTGGAATTTTTGTAGAAGGCAATGGCGGCCTCAATGGCAGAGTAGGAACACAAACCAGCACAAGAGAGAGCAGCAAGGAACAAAAGGAATGCACACAGCTTGATTGAAGTACGCAGGTAACCTCCGTGGGTGAGGGCTCTCTTCCACCGGGACCAGCTAGCGAAAGAGTCGGCCTTAACAAGAGTCTCTGTTGTAGGGTCGAAAGTGTCTGGCTCTGTAGCGTCCAACCGGATCAGCAGACACAAAATGAACAAGAATGGAAGGGTGTAGGAGAACTGGAAGATACAGAAAGCACCAATGATGGACACCAATTGGGAGATACCTGGGATAGCAGCACCGATGATGAAAGCGACAGCCCAGTAGATGATAACGAGAACACCCCAGAAGATGGTTCCCTTCTTGGTTGTGATTTGAGGGAAGCCGAAGTCAGAGACCAAGAAACCTTGGTAAGCGACCTTAAGACCAACGTTGGCGTACAAAACAGCAGCAAGCATACCGGAAACAAGGTTGATAACGTTAGTGGCAGTTTGCAAAGCACGGGTGGCAATACCCATGTTAGCGGTAACGTAAGACCATTGTCCAAGGTAAGAGTAGACGAAGAGACCGAAAACCAAGTAAATGACCATGATGAAAGCTTGAGCACAAAGCATTCCCTTCCAGAAGTCCATTGGTTTCTTGAGTTCGTACATGACCTCACAGAAGACGGTAGCACCACCCCAAGCGAAGACCATGTTGTTCATACCGTCAATACGGTCAGAAAGAGAGCCAGGAGCAATAGCGTATTTGTGGATGGACAAGGTGTCGTAAGGAGCGGTACAGCCGTAGTTGGACCAGAACAGGTCGTAGTTTGGCTTGTTTTCAATACCAACGGCGACCATGGTGATGATACAAACAGCAACATTCATCCAGACGGCGGAGTTAGCGATGTGAGCGAAACGGGACAAGGTCTTAATTTGACCGAGAATCATACCCAAGAACGACCAAACAACAATTTCAACCGTGTAACAGAGACCGTTGTGGCCCCGGTTGGTGACCAAGAGCTGGGCCAAGGACTGAGCAGTGGACAACAAGATAAGACCAACGTTCATGATCATCTGGACGAACTGCAACAAAGCAGTAGGGTAACGGAACCAAGCACCAACGGCTCTACCAGCCAAGTCAGAGAAAGTACGGATTGGGTAGTTGTTGGAGTCAAGCTTGCAGAAGCAGTAGTTCAAGAGGTAACCACCCAGAGCAGCCATGATACCGAAAACAACGTACAGGATGATACCTGGAACGTAACCCATTTGGGCAATAGCGTATGGAGCATTTGAAGGACCCAAAATATCGGTGGTAATCAAGAAAAACACCGAGTAAACTTTAGCCTGACGCAGTTTACGTTGACTGTCGAGTTTTTCCTCAGAAATGTTGGCACGGGCATCGGTGCGCATTTGCTCACGCTGGACAGCGTACAATCCGTCAAAATCGTCGGCTTGCTCGTAACTACGCTGGATGTCTGCGTAGTGACGGTAAAGCTTGAGGGGAAGACCCCGGGAGTGACGGTCGTCTCTTGACAGAGGTTGCTCCTTGAGCTCATAGTCGGAGCTTTTTGGCTCGTCAGAAATAAGAGCTTGGTCTTTGACTTCTTCGTCCAAAGCTCTGGACACCTTAGGACTGATGTCACCGAAAACTGAAGGCTTTAACATTATATCAGCTAGGAAGAGGGGTTGACTTAGATTCGGGGAAAGTTTGGATTTTTAGTGAATATAAACACTGGAGAGCTAAACTTATCCGAAGACCAAAGCGCTGGACCAAAGATGGGGCGAGGAATAATAACATGGTCCGCTGGCCGAGACGGCAACTATTACGACTTGCACTAGGACCGTATTGTTTCGGTGCCGTCTGTTATTATTAAGAACAATAAGAGGCGGCATTTCATAATTCTTATCTGGATTGACGTACAGACGTTTGTTTTCATGCAAAAAAAATTTTGTCTGTAGGAGATCCATAGTGTGCCGAAGTTTTGTTAGACACACCGTTTTATAATCTATGCCAGAAATTAGCCCGATTAGTCCAGGTTTGTGCCTAAACAGGAAACGAAAACGAAGAATTCGTAAACAATTTTGGTAACGCCGCCGAATTTCTTTTAAAATGCCCTGTTATCGAGATGTAGCAAGTGGTATGCCACTACCAGCCACCGTATCGCCAGTCGGGTACGTATCTGCACGATAAAGAAAAGTGGATACCATCGCGGACGGACTTCATATCTCGGGGCACGGCTAGAACCGGCAAAATCGAGTCGGCATCGATTTTGTTTATTTCCTGTCATTGGACCTTTCCAACGCAGGAGCGCAGGACTAGCGTGATATTTTTTCAAAGCGTCTTGGCGTAGGGCAGAGTTGAAATTTTTACAAGCCAGGCCCAAACAGAAACACCCGTGCACCAGACAAATCTAGAAACATCCTGACCCGGCCAACATGGCGAAAAACTAAGCGTTGCACGCATTTTATTTATTACGTTTTCGTCTGTTAAATTAAGCGTGATTCAACATGGAGTATATTGAGGCGGAGACCCAGGAGGGTGAGCACAAGGACCAGAAAACAGAACAATTGGTGAATGAGCTGGAAGAACAGGTCGAGAAGGTGTACAACAACATAGAAACCCAGACTGTTTCTGGCTGGAACACGTTTAGTGGGTTCTTTAGCAGTGTGCAAAAGAAACTGCCAGACTATCTCACCGAAACAAAGGAACTTGCCAAGAACATTGATTTACAGAAGACGTTGAACTCGACGCGGGAGAATTTCGAAAAGAACCTGAGCAATTTGCAGAACAAGTTTAGCGAAGAGGAATTAAAGGAGATCAGAGAGAATTCAAGCAAATTGCTCCAGAATCTGAACGAGAACACAAACAAGTACTTGGATGATTTGGACCAGGATCTGGAGAAGATCGAAAATGTCACTTTGGGATACGCCTCGAAGCTGGGCAGTTTGCTTGCGTCGAAAACAGGACTCAATCTTGGCGGTGAGAGCGAGGTTTCTGGCGACAAGAAGGACGAGGTTCTTTTCAACATGCCCCAGAACGTGGCCACGAACCGGCTCGAGGCCCAATTGCACGAATTGGAGAACAACAAAGATCTATATCTGTCCAATGCCAAAGATGAGACTGTGCAGAACTACACCCTGAGTCCAGAAGAGGAGACTGAGAAGACCGCGCTGGCTAACAAGGAAAACATCAAGACTCTGTACGAGCAGCTTGTTCCAGGCGACATCGAGGGCTCTCTATTCTGGAAGATCTTTTTCTCTACCAAGTCCAAGATCTTGGAAGAGGAGAAGAAACGCAAAGAAATGCTCGAGAAGAAACCGGCCGATGACGACGAGGAAGATTTCGACTGGGACGACGATGACGACGAAGAGAAAAAAGATGAGTCTGAGAAAAACTAATACTTTTGCGTCCGTAATTTGTTATACTTATTAGTGCAATTAGGCTAATCATTTTCTTGAATATTTTTATTTACATTTTCCTATGACTATAACCACCATTTACATTGTTCGCCATGGGTATCGCGAAAACTGGCTTCCCAAGGAGGTCCAGAGAGACAGTCCAATGGGCGACAATGAGAGCGATCCTTTGTTGGCGGCTCACGGCGTGGAACAGGCCGTTGAGTTAGGCCAATATCTTTCCCAGGAGGTGGACCCTAAACCCCAGTTAATTTTTTCAAGTCCATTTTATAGATGTGTCGAGACCATCCAGCCCACAGCCAAGGAGCTAGGACTCAGCATCTTCCTCGATAGAGGTATTGGCGAGTGGTATAGACCAAATAGACCCACCATCCCGGAACCAGCAAATATAGCTGTTCTGTCGCAGTATTTCCAAGATCTGTCCGACAAATGGCCGCCCGACACGGTTGTTCCGTCCGACAAGGGCGAGGAGGAGGACGAGTTGATGCAGAGATGTCGTGAGTTCTGGACCAAGTTTATCCCCAAGGTGGAGTCGCAGTTCCCGAAGGCCAGCTCCATCATTCTGGTGACCCATGCTGCCGTCAAGATCGCTTTGGGAATGACTTTGCTTGGATACACCAACACTAGAGAGTTTTTGAAACCAGAGCACGGCGGCGACGGCGTGTCGACGAGAATCCACGCCAGCACGTGCTCCTTGGACTGCTACAAGAGCTCGGGTGCCGGCTGGACCATGGTGATGAACGGTAACACGCAGTTCCTGACCGGGGGCCCAGAAATGAACTGGCATTTTGCTACCGCGCAGTTCGAGGCCGGCAGTAAAGAGGACATTGAGGCCAGAAAGAAGGAGCAGGAGGCTGCCGCCGCGAGGCTACGCACATGATGAAGATCTCGAGTATGAGGATGTCTTTGTTACGCTCAAGTTCCCGCCAAATCAGTACATCAGTCTGGACAGGAACTCGCTGAATGCAGATTCTATTAAAAAAGAGTCGCTAGAGGAGTCGTTGGAGGATTCTGCCGCCGAACGCTCTAGCTTGAGATTAAGTGGACTCGACAAGGACAAGCCGTTGTTGCAGCTCAACAACAACCTTTATCAGGGCGAGTGGTCCAAGCTGGTTGGCTCCGAGCTGGTTTTCAACGAGAACGGCGAGTTTGTAACCAAAGTCGATGGACACATAGTGCTCAAGAGCGGCCGTTTGGAGAACACAGAAAACGATAAGGAGTCGTTCCTTGCCAAAGTGTTGCAAAAAGCCCGTGCTGTCAAGACATCCAACGAGCCAGACTCCATGGACGTTGACTCCTAATTTAGAACACGACTCACCCAGTGGTCCAAGTCGTTACTTGTCCACTCATAGACGCGATCATCGGCCATAATGCGGGTCTTAACGGCGAGATTTTGCAGATCGAGCAGCCTGTAATTGTCGGCCGCCTGGCTTGGAGAGAGTCGCAGTTTTTGCAGCTCTGCAAACCCCAGCACTCCGCACGATCTCACTAGCAAGTCTGCTCCGTTAGGAAGCTCGCTGACCCGATGGATCAGCCGCAAGATCTCCTGTTGCAGTTTGAAGGTGAGATATGGAGACCCAGTTATTGCCATAATGTATTCGAGAATCCCGCTTCTGTTAACCACCTTGAGGTCGTTCCGATGAGTAAGTGACTCCGTAAGAGTAGTGAGTAGCCACGACAATTGTTTATAGTAGTCGTCATTGAAATTGGTGCTGCCCAAATGTTTGTCAGTCACAAACTGTTGGGTGACTGCTTTGAGAAGAGGGATATCGAAAGAACGGAACTTGGACCCACCAAGAATGAAACGATACGTTTTTTCGTACAGGAAGTGAGCTGGATTGTTCAGAATCGGAACAAGATGCGACAACATCACGGTGACAACTGGAGCAAGATCTTCCTCAGAAGTGAGCAAGTTACCCAGATAAACCTTGAAAGTTGCACGGTCTTTGAATGAGAACAGATGAACAAGTCCAGGCTCGATCTTGGTGCTGTCTTCCTTAAGCTCTGCTACCTGTTTCAGTTCGCTATCCAAGGTGGAGTAAGCCGCAGAGAGGATTTTGCGGCTGATGTATCTTGTCTCCGGTTGGCAGTTGGCCAGGTTCATCACGACAAACTGCAAAAGACCAGACTCGGCCAGTCTTCTGACGTCGACTGTCACAAGAGAGTCTTTGGGCTGGAACAGTTCGTCGTTGTTGATGACCAAGAGCATCAAAAACTCTGGGTCATACACCGTTTGCGCATAGATGTTGTCAAACACCAAATGTCCAAGCACAACTGCATTGTGACGATAAAAGTCCTGCCACTGTTGCCAATCGGTAGCACCATTTGGAAGCTGGAATGTTTCAGAAGAGCCACGGAACCTGGAGATAGAGTTCTCAATGAATTTCTTGGAAAGATTCACAATCAGACCCTGACTGATACTCGTAATCAGTCCGGTGGAATACGGCTCGTATGACTCTGTGTCGTAAAATTCCCAGCTGGCGACCAAACTCATCCAGCTCTGTCCAGTGCCGTTTTCCAGTTCCTTCAGCACCTGTTTCAAAACCAGATCGTCTGCACGCAGAGATGCAGTGTAAAACTGGAGCACCTGCTTCACAACGTCGAAATTGGTCACTGGACCGCGTTGTGATAAGTAATACAGCGACAGAGCTGTGTGGTAACGCAGCTCCAAGTTAGTTTTGGATGGAAGCTCGCTCAGAACGTTGACAGTGTTATTGGCGAGAATCTGGATGTGTTTCGAAGATTGAATGGCTTTTGACGAAGTGTTCATTAACAGCATCGTGGAATACTTCATCACGACCTCGTTTTGCACCCATTTACCGGAAAACAACGTTTCCAGTTGGGCATTCAACGAGGAAGGTTGAACGATTTTCCAAATGTCCACAGATTTCAGCAAGCCTTGCAGAGACAGAAGGAAGGATAAGAACTGGGACGAAAGAACGTCTTTTTCAGCCAAAGTTCTGGTGATATAAAGAATTGCCTTTGAACACCATTTCTTGAGCACAGGAGCGTTTGAAGGGAGCTTAGAAACCAAGTGTGCAGACTCTGGACCAAAAATATAGGCTGCGTTCTTGTAAAACGGAGCAAAATCAACTAGTTGTGAGAATAGCGAGTAGGAGGCGGAATCGGCCAGAATCTCAACACATGTGCTGACGTTTGAAGACGAGGAGGATTCAAAGAAGTGTGCAAGCTCTTCCGTAGCGATTTGAACCAAACCCTGTTGCAGTTCAGGCGAGGCTGCATATTTGTTTAAAGTAACAAGGTACCGCAGGCCATAGGCGGAAGACTTCCCTGTTTCTGGGATTTTGGTAGCCAAGTGAACAGCATGTTCCGAATTTGTTTGGAGGAGTGAAGACAGAGCATAGAAAATCAGCGGGTTGGATTCGGCTTTTTGCAGAAGCAGCTCAATCTGAATCAAAGATAACTTCACTTTCATCGAGAGAACGGTGTAGTTCTGGAAGTTCTGTTCGTTAATAAGATCAGCCAAACCCACAACAGTCTCTGCGTCCAGCTCAATTCTCTTTGCAACTGCTAGTTCAAACGCCTTATTGCCAATTGTTCCTGGTATGGATAGTTTTTCAATGATCTCGTCATTGTTCAAGATCCACAACGAGTCGGCTATAATGGTTTCTTCTTCTGGTGATTTAGGCTCATACTTTCTCACAAAGCTCTGGTAGTCTGACATCTTGGCCTTGATTTTGGTATCCTGCTCGAAAAGACCATAAAACAGCTCATCCAAAAGTTTTGCAACCATCAACTGTTTCTCATTTGAGCTTTGGCCGAGATACAGTCTGTTCCAATACTTGGACTTAAAAAAGTCCAAACGGTCCGCAGATTTGACGTTTGTTTGCTGGACTAGATAGTTTCCGATCTTGGAGATCAACTCAACCACCAAGTCTTCTATATCCTGTAGTTTCAACGAGTCATCTGAGGCTATGATCTCAATTCGTCTGAAAAGACAAACGATATCAAAGTCAGTTGTCGCTATTCCACCCGAAATGGTTTTCTTCAACAGTGAAACAGGATAGTTGACCACTTTCTCAAAAAACAGAAGATTATCGTCCTTGTAAAACTGGGAGCAAAACTGGTTCAGCGAATTCTCGTACTCCTCGAAATCCAAAACTTCTTTCTGCCAATATCTGTTGATCACCTGTTTCATACTCTCCAGAGGCTCACCAAGCAAAAACATGTACTTGCTGAAAAGGTTGATCCAAGTTAAGACTTTTTCACTGGTAGCAAATTTGGATTGTTCAATGACTGCCACGTAGAATGGACTAACAGGTTCTCCAAATTCCCTTGAGACATCAACGTATTTGTATGGCGTTCTCATCACTCTCGCTATGGATTCGTCCAAAATCTTGCACACGGCGTCGATTTCACAGTCGTCTTCAACAAACTTGGAATACAGGTCCAGCGAATAAACCAAAGCCCAAGCTTGAGACGCTAGTGGACCAGTAGTCTCCAACTTGTAATCAGTGAAGGCCAAGGTAGAGTCAATAAGGTTGGAAATAACAGCAACCACTTTGTTATCCATTCCGGAATTTTTCAGTCGATATGGTAATCTCAATATCGTGGTGAATAGCGAGTTCTTACCAGATCCAGTAGTGGTCCACTTATTCTGCTGCGAGTCGGCGTTGATTTTCAGATAAGAGTCCAAGATCACCAAATCGATGGACTCAAAATTCTCTTCTTGACCAAGGTTTAATTTCGGTAAGTTCAATGAGACAGTCTGGGCCAGCACAGATTGATAGTATTCGCACGCTTTCAGCAAATTAACTATGAGAAGTTTGTTGTATGGCGGCACTTTGTAGCACTCGTTCAATGCACCAGTGATTGAGCTCAAATCTGGAAGTCTTTGGGTTTGAAGAATTTCCATAACTTCGTCTCTAATATCGACAGGAATCAACTCAAAGCTTTTTTCAAGCTTCTGCAAAACATCGATAATCAACTGTGAACCAATGTGACGAACCAACGACACATTGCTTGTGAGGTTCTTCGACAAAGATGTTCTTCTCAGCGAGTTTGGACAGATATACTCCACCAGAGTTGTTACTGATCTTGTAGAAGTGAAAAGTTTCTCAGGGATGGGTATTCTGATGATTTTGGTGAGCAACCACGACTCAGCGACGTACAACATCGAGAGTTTTGGATCACTCACTCCAATAGTATGCGATAAGTGATAATTGTAACATGGAATGAGTTCAGGAACAGCACTCAAGACCGACACAACTAGGTCGAGCTGTTTCTCGCTTGTCCATGGTTTGCAACCAGTTAACAAACCATAAATCAACTTGTTATGTATTCTGAATGTTTGCTCACCAACAGTGACCGGAACTCCACTAGAATCAGAGCTTCTGTCAACTGCAAACACCAACCCGAGGTCGTAATCCGTAGCAAGTGTCAACAGGAATTGATGCACATTAGAAGAGACCGACTCGATAGCATACAAGTCCAACAATTTTCTTGGAATAAAGTCTCCGAATATCTTACATTTGGTCATTTTCTTGTAAGTGCGTTCTTGAACAATGGCCTCGTCTAAGAATTTGAGTGTATGCTGAATAGTTTCTGTTGAATCATGGGAAGCGATATGTTTGAACCAATTGGTTACAATTTTTCGATTATTAGCCAATAAATCTCTGCGAGTTAATGGCGACGAGTGCGAGCATAGCGTTGTCCAAAACACAATGAAGTTGTACCGTATAGATCCAGAGTTTTTAGCCTTTGACGCATCTTCCAGCTCTGCTTTGGAAGGATTGAGAAGTTGAGGTAGAATTTTCAGAGACAGATCAAAGTTGTCAAGAAATGTATCGACAAACTCTCCTTTTCTGAACTCAAATGAAGCGGTGAGAAGCCTCAATGCAGGGTTAGTGATTCCAGGTCTCTGATTGTTCAGACATCTATAGAAGATCTTGATATTGTGCGAGGAAAAGATATCTTGGATCAGGGAAGAGCATGGTTTTTGAAGCTCTTGATACTGAGTTCCCAATCTGACCACTTTAACAAATTTGTTGAGAATGTTCGATAGACCCGAATGTTCGTTGATGGTGGACAAATATGAGAAATTTTGGGTCAAAGAGATCAGATTCGAGGGAGTGTGAAGAAACGAAGAAAGACCGTTCAAGTCCTCTGGCTTTCGGTCTTTTTTCTTCTCAAAACTGTCTAGCAAGACAGAGAGTTGCTCCAAAGCGTCTGTGCTGACGTTGGCAACATACTTGGATTTCTTGGACATTTCCAGTGTATTATACAAAGTCCTTTGTTCTTTAAGTAAATCTGAAATATATTTCAGATAATTTTTTTAAGGTCGTGCACCACATACCCCAAAAACAAAACAACACGAACAAATCAATTTAATCTTTATTTATTCTTCAATCATCGATGTGGGGGGTCAAAGCCGCCGCCCGGTTGAAGAAACAGCGCGAAAGTACTGCCGGTGCCGTAGATACGACCACGATCCCGGGGTTTTCGAAATGGTTTGCGCAGGAGGTTCATGTCGAAACGAAATTAATCAAATCCAGTGTTGATCAGTTGGGTTTGGCAATGATGGAGCACAACGAGTGGATCAACGAGGTGATGAGTGAGCTCAATCTCTCGTCAGATACGAGCGATTCGCTGATGGTTGAGGAAGAGAAGGAGAACGACGAGAGTGTCATGATGCTTCTGCGTTCGCCAGCGAAGTTCAGAAGGGAGCACTCTCCCGTGAAAGAGATCCGCTCCAAAGAAATACAAATGCTCAGGGAGCAGGTGAACATTGTAAATGAGGAGGATATCCGTCCGAGGGTTTCGCCACCTGTGGAGGAGCCTGAAAAGGTGGAAGAACACATCGAACACGAACAGGAAGAGCAACCACAACCAGAAATAAGTCAGCTCGAGGATCAACAACCAAACAATTCTTCAGAGTCTCCAAGTCGTGTAGAGCTACCGGCACCATTGGAGTCTCCAAAACAGCCAGTTGTGGAAGAACAGGAACCAGAACAGCCACACACCGTGAAGGAACCAATCACCATTTTGCCAGTGGAAAAGTCGCCATCTCCAGTTCGTGTAATAAGTCAACCAGTTGTTTCGTCCTCGCCCGAAAAGGCTTTGTCCGATGCCGGATCATCTGATATCTCATTTGACGCTATATCAAAGAATATCCGGAAATCGTTCGCTCGCAAAACAATGATGCACGAGGAATCATCTCCAAAGGAAGAGTTTACCCGTCCTATTGTTCACGAAACTGTCGCCACCACACCTACAGATTATGTTCCGAAACAAACAGAAAAGTCTGATGCTGTGGGTGATGAGGGGTCTGTGTTACTCGACGAGGGTGATATCATGCTCAGTGATATCGACAACGAGATCAGTTTCCAGATCGGCAAACTAGAAAAAATCGAACTGGCCCAAATACGCATTCCTTTGAAAACCGACGCGCAATCGAGCAAGCTACCAAATATCAACAACAGCACGACTCCGAATGCTGGACGTTCACCGATTAAATTTGCAGAGTTGCCCTCTCGAGAGCCATTACTAGTCAAGTCCAACAAAAAGAAATCGCTAAGGAAGTCAATCCATCAGGTACAAAAAAAACCCACAAAGGTTTCTAGAGGACCAGCACATGCATTAATGAGAGAAGAAGCACGCGAAGAACTTTCACCGTTCAAAGACTATGGTTCATCCAATTCCAGCATTAATAAACAGCCATACAATCTGCGGTTACCTCCAATCAACGATGCGTCGCCTTCGAACACTGGTAGCAGCGAGCCCACGATCAAGATCAATAGAGGATTGGTTCACAGGTCTTCACCATTACGCAACGAGTTATCCAAGTCTCCTGTCAAGTCTCCGGCCAAGTCACCAAGTAAACCTGCGCAGACAAACTTATTCTCCAGACTAATGGCTCCTACTGAAGCCAGTACTAAGAGAATTAAGGCTTCACCCATGAGAGAAGAACAGAGAAAGTCTCTAGTCCAGACGGAGGTGGCCGAGCCAATGCGGAAAAGTCAGTTGCTCGCTCCGATCAAGCTTGAAAAGTACGATGAGATTCCAAGATTAACAGAGTCTCCATCAAAGCCCAAATCGTTTGGTTTTTCGAAATTGGCAAAACCACAAACCGAAAGACTAGCTCAGACTGACAAGTCTTTACGCAAGTCGAAGATGGAATTGAGATTGCCTCACGAGCAGAGCAAATCGAAGCTTCCGCTGACGGAGCAGATGTTGCAACCAAGCATGGTGCGATCGCAGTTTGGTCTTGGATCACCGGACGCTAAGAGTCTAATTGATCTGAGCAAGAAGCTGGAGAAAAGAAAGAAGTCCGAGCATCTTCTACAGAACAAAAAGCAGCGCACTGATATCAAGCTGAGACAAATTTCGGTCAATCATCCGAAGCTTAATCGGCTACCAGAGCCTGCTGGAAAGGTTGTTTCTGAGATACCTATCAAGAAAGCGCAAAAACCTACGATATTGGAGGCTCACGAGTTGCCGGAAATCAGTTCTGATAACGAAGACGATGATGGATTAAAACAGCTGGCTTCGTGGGGGACGAACGCGAATATCAAACAACTCCTTCGTCGCCAAGCGAAAACCGACCCAAGCAGCGTGTTTGGACACATTAACAAGATCAATTGCTCTGAGATTTTCGAGAGAAGTCACTACGGGAACCTCAACATCAGATGGAACGAGGGCGACCTGTTGGGACAGAGAGAAATCGAGGAGTACGATCGTAAGATGGGGTATAGATAAGTTCGCGTATGCCCAAATACACCTTGCACCCCCTTATAGAAAAAATAATTTTTTAATGTTTACATATTGCCTGGGTAGGTAAGATGGCAGAAACACGGGTGTTTTTGCTGGCTTCTGTTTTAGGGAAATCCAAGTTTACAAAGAAAACAAGCGTATTTTAAGTTTCATTAGCAAGCTATTAAAGTGTGCGAGACGCCGTTTCAAGTTGATAGGATACTTTGGAGAGCGCACGGCGAACTTAGTGGCGCGAAATTACAAAGAAACTCAAAGGTGATACCGTCTAATTGCCATTCGTTATAGTGGACGTGTTTTAGATAGTTTACCGGGACAGAGCAGGTTGAACAAGGGAACTGCTTTTGAAGACCGTTCCAAGATGTCAAGAGTAAGTGTACCAATGGGCGTGTATGATTCTAACCAGCAGGAATTGTCGCAAATGCAGATGGACGACGAGAACATGCCGCAAATCAGCGGGGTGGTGTCGGCAAAGGGACTGGCGACTGAATCGCAGGCTAGACCAAGACAGTCTCTAACTCGTGCCAGATCTGTGTTAACAGATATTGATAGCAATTCCGGGGTGAACGAGCCCCAAAAGCAAAGACAGAGTCTTTTGCACCAACAAGCACAACAAACAAGTAAAAACAGCACAGGTCATGCGGTGCGGCCGTTGAAAGTTCGTGCTGACCAGGAATCTTTGGAGAACGAAGCGAAGCGCGTGTCGTTGAAGAGACAAGCTACGGACTCTAGCAGCGACTTCCTGGAACAAGGAACCCAGGAGGTGAAAAAGGCCAAGGTGGAGCATGATTACAAGTGGGACGATTTGGACGCGGACGATGCGGATGATCCTCTCATGGTGAGCGAGTACGTGAACGATATTTTTGAATATTTGCATGAACTGGAAATAAAAACGCTGCCTGATCCAAACTACTTGCATTGGCAGAGAAACCTGCGCCCAAAAATGCGCTCTATTTTGGTGGATTGGATGGTTGAAGTGCATCTCAAATTCAGATTGTTACCCGAGACGCTTTATCTGGCCATCAATATAATGGACCGGTTCATGTCACGCGAAAGTGTCCAAGTGGATAGATTGCAACTGCTCGCTACTGGCTCGTTATTCATCGCTGCCAAGTACGAGGAGGTGTATTCTCCATCAGTGAAGAACTACGCATACGTGACGGACGGGGGTTTCACAGAAGAAGAGATTTTGAACGCGGAGAAGTTCATTTTGGAAATTTTGAAGTTCAACATGAGTTACCCGAACCCAATGAACTTCCTGAGACGCATATCCAAAGCGGACGACTACGACGTGCAATCCAGAACCATTGGCAAGTATTTGCTTGAGATCTCGATCATTGACCACAAATTTATTGGATACCTTCCCTCTTTGTGCTCTGCGGCAGCGATGTACATTGCGCGCAAGATGGTGGCCAAGAACGAATGGAACGGCAACTTGATTCATTACAGTGGTGGATACAAAGAAAGCGACTTGAAAGAGGTGAGCGAGATGATAATAGACTATCTTATCAGTCCGATTGTTCACGAGGAATTCTTCAAAAAATACGCATCGCGTAAATTCATGAAAGTGTCGATATTGGCCAGACAGTGGGCCAAGCGAATCACTAGCGAGGGTAAGAACATCATGGACGCAGTGCTGTGATTTGACCACGTTGCTACTTCCTGCTGTACACTGCTCTTTAATCTATCTAGTAATGACATAACTCTCTAGGTTTGAGGTGTAGTTTTTATTTGATTATTTTTAATTACACAATTTGAACCTCCCTCTAATTCCAATGAGTCTTCGCATTGTTGTGGACGAACCCACCAAGAAAGACCTGAGGGAGAAATTCTTGAAATGCCAAAGTTTGTTTTATCTGTCTCAGCTGGAAAAGAGCCGAATTGCTGCAGATCTGCTAGCCAGATCAGGCTCTCCTTCTTTGGACTATTCATTTGGGTACACAGACCTTTCCATCAGTCTGACTCCTATTGAGGTCGAGTTGATCCTGGGGGATAGGTTTGAGCTGTTCGAGTACGTGCGACGTCTGGGACGATTGCGGGCTTTGAAACCGTACTTATTGGAGTTCAAGAACGAGTCCTTCCTTAATTTCCTAAGAGCCAGACTGCGAGTATATTCCAATTTGGTGAAAGACAGTACACTGACATATATTGATGGAATTGGAATGATCACAGACCACAGAGAGCCATTTAACGAGCTGATGTATCAGGAAGCGTACTACATGGCACGTCCCAGCAACTGTCGGCTGATTCTGGGGTTTGAGAAGCTTGTTGAGTATGTCTGTCGATTGGCCAAGACTTACGGCAACCACGATCTGGCGTACCGTATGGTTTTTGGGTACGATTCGTCGATGTTCAACAATATCGGCAATTGCATTCGCATGGTGCGTCCGTTCGAGATGATGAGTTTCCAAATACTCGATTTCGAAGACCATTTGTGCAACTCTGGATTTGCAATGGTGAGCGACTCAGACACGGTGGGCGAGTCTCTGTTTCGCTATGTGCTACATTTACAGGACTGTGCCACCAAGTACAACTTTCTAATGCCACTAGAGAGCTCGAGCTACGCATCTGTGGGGAACTTCCTCAATTTTTTGTTCTTGACGTTTCGGGAGCCACGAGAGCTGGTCTTTGATGGTTTGGAAACTGCCGAGTGCAAGGACTTCATCAAGATGTTGGGCAAGATCCTGAACATCAAGGTGTCATTGCAAGTGGACAATATCAAGTTCACAAACGGGAGTGTGTCGTTGCACCTGGAAACATTAATTAGCGCGTCGATGAAGTTTTTCCATAGTCGGAACTGGGCTCCACAGTTGAGTGTGATTTGCAAGATCCTCAACAATCTGAGGCTTTACGGGTACGACCACATCAACGAGGAACTGGGCCGGTTCAATCCTGCAGAGCTATTGTTCAACAGCAACGAAGACCTGCGTGAATTGATTGGAGAGTCTGATTTGGACGAGCTGATAAGACTTTGGGAAGAGAACGAGAAACAGCTAGAGGAGACCGACCAAAGCATCATCGAGGTGGACTCGGTGCCGATGAACGGCAAGGAAAATGGACACAAGGACGAACGAGACTACGAAAGTCTACGGAGCCAGATCGAAACGATTTATAAACGAACAAATGGATGATAACGGTGTATTAATATTCTGAAAAGTGGAGAGTTGGAATAAATAATTTTTAATCATGAATAGATTCCGGGTTCCTTTCAGAACATTTGTGAGACGTAATTCCACGGGCGTGGATTACTACAAGCTGTTTCCGCAGACGTTCCCCTCCGGAGCGCCTCCGAAAGCGCCGTTTGCTGTTGACCTGAAGAAACTCCGTAAAGAGTTCCGTCTTTTGCAGAGCACCAACCACCCGGACATCAACAAGATCAAGGACGCGACGTCGGGCGATGTTTCTTCGTTATTGAACAACGCATATGCGGTACTTTCGAGTCCATTGAGACGGTCACAGTACTTGCTGAACAGAAACGCGGGGATTGATCTGAACAACGACGATATCAGCAAGAAGTTCCAGTTCCAGGACCAGTCGATCTTGATGGAGATCCTGGACGTGCACGAGGACTTGGAGAATATCCAGAACGAGTCGGAGCTCGAAGGACTCGAGGCCCAGAACAACGAGCGGATCGAAAATAGCATCTCAAGGCTCGAGGAGCTGTACAAGGGCGATGATTACGACGCCATTGCGCTGGAGACGGTGAAACTCAAGTTCTGGGAGAATATTCGCAACGCTTTGAAGGAGTGGGAGGCCGGAAAACCGGTGAACCTGACGCATTGACCGAAATTCACTCCCCAATGCTTTCTTAGTAGCCTGTCAATATTTTATATTAAATAATTGGGGAACCGTTTATTTGAAACCTACAGCAATATTTCGATGCAGCCAGATAATCCAGGCTCCGAGCCTAGTCGACTGAGGCTTCTTCTGGAGGAGGCCAATCAGAAAAGTTCTTTGAAGGACCGACACATTGCGAAACTGGAAAACGAGCTGGAGATAAGTAGACTCGAGAACCAGCGACTGCACGCGAAACTGGGCCATACGTCGGACAACGCGTCAATGCCCGACCGGTCAGCTGTGACAGACGAGTTGCACACCGATCGCAGCATCGAAGACACCAGCACGCGGATCTTTGACCGGGCCGACATCGAGGAGCTGAAGCGACTTCATTTGGCCAAAGACGAGTACGAGGAGCGCACCAATGCACAGCAGCAGCAGGTGGACTCGCTCAAGGCAGAGCTGGCTGTGGTGTTTGAGGAATTGGAGGCAGCACACGAGTATATCCAGAATCTGCTCAAGAGGAACCAACAACCGTCGCCAACAGAGCCACAGGACTCGGTCTCTTCCGAGGACTACGATTCCGAAGAGTCTGACCATCAAAGACTCCACCACGCAAAACAAACGATCCACGAGCTCGATCTGTTCTACAAGGCCCAGTTGCTGGAGAACAGCGACACTTTGGAAAAGTACGAAAAGAGAATCCACGAATTGGAGTCCGCAAACGGTCTTGCCGAGGAGAACAAACTTCTACGGCGGTCGTTCGAGCTTCTGAGCGCAAAGTTTGTGGAATTGAACCACGAACTCACTTTTTATAAGGAAACCAACCTAGCAGACGACAAGCTGACGAAATTGCAGGAACTGGTGATCGAAAAGGATAACCAGATCGAGATTCTGCGTATGAAGCTGCTACAGTTCGCGGAAGCCCGAAAACACGCCTCCACCTAGCTCCACCGAGCCCCGTTCTGCCACCCTTTTGTACACTAGACGGCCGGCCAGCATACGACAAGTGCACAGCCTTTAAATAATTTTTAATCGCAAAATGTCACCATGAGACACTGGATAGTGTATATTTTTAGCATTGTATGTGCGATTGTTGGCGCCAATGCGGAGCCACACGAGGAGTATGTTGGATATACGGCGGCGCATTTGAGCTCACTGCGAAACCGGACCAAACAGCTGTTTTACCACGGATTCAACAGCTATATGGATCACGGGTTTCCCTTTGACGAGGTTAATCCGTTCACGTGCGAGCCTGTTGGCCGCGACTTTGAGGACAGTTCCAACACGTGGAAGAACGACGCCATGGGCAATTTTTCGCTCACCTTATTCGATTCACTGGACACTTTTGTGGTGATCGGGGACAAACAGGGGTTTTGGCGAAATGTACAACTGATCAAGGACACGTACACAGATTTCGACATTGATTCAAACATCCAGGTGTTCGAGACGAATATCCGCATACTGGGAGGTCTACTAAGTGCACATCTTTACGCCTCGGACGAACGACGGGGATTTAGCATCGACAACTACGACGGCTTCTTACTTAAATTAGCATACGACATGGGCAAGCGACTGGTCCTTGCATTCGAAAACAAGTCGGGGGTCCCCTTTCCTCGTACAAACCTCAAATACGGTCCGCAAAAGGTGCCCAAAAACCTCCAAAGAGAACAGTGCACTGCCGGAATAACGTCGTTGATCTTGGAGTTCGGACTTCTCTCGAGACTTACCAACGACCCGATCTTTGAGCTCGTTTCGCGCAGAACGTATCTGAACCTGTGGTCGTCCAAGACGGGTCTCGGGTTTCTTCCGATGTCCGTTGACGCAAGATCAAACGTGTTCACCGACCAGGTCACCGGAGTTGGTGCTTCGATCGACTCATTCTATGAATACGCTTTGAAATACTCGATTCTTTTCGACGACGAGGTGTTCAGCGAGATCTGGCAGCAATCTTACCAGTCGCTGCTGACCTACTCGCAAAATTCCAATAGAATATTTGCCAATATCCATGTTTCCAATGGAGCTACCGCTAGAGAATGGATCGACGCCCTGGGAGCATTTTTTCCCGGATTGTTAGTACTCGCCGGAGATCTAGACAACGCTTTCCATTTTTACTTGGTGTACTTCAAGCTCTGGAACAGCTACGGGGCTATTCCTGAAAGATGGGACTTTTCTGGCTCCCGCTGGGAGTTTTCACGCAGAGAACAGAAAACGTTTCATCCCCATGTCCCGTTGATGGGTCTTACTTTGGACGAGACGAAGGACCTGCTGATGAAAGACTCTGTTCTTCTGGAATGGTTTCCGCTGCGGCCAGAGTTCGTGGAGTCCACTTACTTTCTTTACAGAGCCACCAAGGACCCGTTTTTCCTCCGCGTCGGAGAAGCCATTTTGGAGCGGTACGAGACCGATTTCAGGGCTCCGTGCGGGTTTGCTGGAATTGAGGATATTAGAATCGGCACTAGGCAGTCACGCATGGAGAGTTTCGTACTGAGCGAAACGCTCAAGTACTTGTACTTACTATTTGACGACGAAAACGATCTACATAATACAAACGGAGCTGCCGTTTTCTCAACAGAGGCACATCCTTTCTGGTTTGACGAAAAGCTCAAGATCTATGATCTTAAGCAGGACATTCAGATTCCAAAAACACAGGACAAGGGAGTCTTGGAGGAGTTTTGGAACAGGCTTTTCGCCAATCCAGAGCCTCAGGAGGTGGATATTCAATTTGCCAAGCTGCGCAACGAAACAGCCATGTTTCCGGACTACGTGTCTTTGATCATGACACCAGAGTCGGAAAATGCACTGATCAAGGCAAATGTGAAGTACCCAGACGATCTGGAGTACGGAAAACGGTTTTATGTGAGCCCAAAAGTATATGAAATCCTCAAGCCATCATTGATTACAGTTGCAACCAATGAGGTATTGGACAGTATGGGGTTGACATTGGACCCAGATTACCTTGGCTTGAACACTTGTCGTCGAGTGTTGCTGTCCCGACCGTTTCTAAAGTCAAAGATCCTGGAGTATCCACTGTTGTACAAGCTTGATTACAAATACCAACCGTCGTTGCAAAGTCCAGGGTATTATAGAAACACGAGCGATGTGGAGATTGCGGACAATTTCTATAGCTTGTTTGGCGATAACCAAATGGTTTCTTATCCATCTCAGACATCTGAACAGTTCGACGCGTTGATCGGGACGCTTGACAAGGTGACCAAGACCCAAATTTATCGGATCAAGGCAGGCCCAGAGTATGACCTCGAAAAAAGTGCGGTTGTCCCGATTTTACCGCAAGACCTGTACGTTCCGCAGTTCGACAACCTGCGGATGTCGTTTGAGCGTCTCGAGCCGGGCAGGATCAACGCGTTTGGCGGTGCTATCCAAACAGACGACTACAACTGTACATTACGACTACTCAAGCTTAACGGATACAACCTGGACGAGGAAGACATTGTTTGGGTGGATCAAAACTGGTTCCAAACAGCAAACCGGTATGCCAACATTCGGTTTTCCAGTAACGGGTTTGTCACCATCAACGGAGAGTCTGTAATGAATCTGCGGATAATTCCTAATCTAGGCGGTGCACAGGTGTGAGTTTTTATAGAGTAAAGAAAAGCAACGACTAGAACGGCTTATCAGCAAAAATCAAAGGCCCAGCATCTCGGAGTTGAAACGGGGGTGACCCGTGTTGTTTGGATGGATACTGAAATATTCGCTAATGGACCAAATTTACGTATTTCTGAATTCGATCAACGCTGAATCAAACAATAAATTAGTTTTCGATCGAAACAATAGGGTCTGGCCGGTATTACAATTGAAAGAAAATACACGGAATAAACTGCAGACCAAAAAAAAACCAAACCGTTCTAAATTGTTTGGCTGTATTTAAAGTCTCCTGCAATTTTGCAAGTTATCTATCAAAGAGGCGAGACTATAAGCGATACTACTTGTTTTGGTAACAAGGTTCTTTCCTTTATAGATGTCGGAACTTGCCAAAACGTTTTTTGCCTTTGGCAAACAGAAGGTACAGCCTCTTGATAACAAGGGGCAGGCGGACCAGAACAACGGGTTTTCCAAAACTAATGGTCCTTCTTTCCCGTCCGAGATGATCCCGCAGCCGGCAACTCCCACGATCGCCTTGAGCGAGAATTCGTTTGCCGTGGGAACCACCATCAAGGGGGAAGAGAATGCCCTTAATAGAAGTATTACAAATCTGGACCAGACACAGCAAAGCAGCAACCTTACAGCCCAGCTGTCCACCAACATATCACATCCGATCGAAACAGCCGCTGCAGGTTTGCCTGTTGCCAACGCTGCTGACGCTTCCACGTCCATTCCCCGTGGCAAGCTGAGAGTCAGCATCATCGAAGCCGTGGGACTTAACGTGACGTCGGAAAATTCGCTTCCATACGTTGTGTGCACCTTCGAAAGTTCCGAGTTTGTGACCCAAGGTCCGGAGTCGTTTGAGCAGTCCAAGGACAGTTCCTCGCCTTTGGTGAAGCCTCACGGCAACCAGCTACCGGGTAAGCGAGTTCCCTTGGTTCGCACGCAGACTTCTTCCCAGTACAATCTAAACATCATGCCACACAACTACAACTCGTCGAACCCGATATGGCACCACAAGGCCATTTTCGACGTTGTTGGGGCCAAGTCAGAACTCGACATTTCTGTCTATGACTCAGCACAAAATGACCATTTTCTGGGGCATGTCAGAATCAGACCACAAACTATCCAAGAAACAAGATCTGAGCAGTGGCTTGAGCTAGAGCCGCGGATCAACACTGAGTTCGTCAGTGGTAAAATAAAAGTCCAGGTCGAATATTCAAACACGGGCAAGAGACATTACGGACCAGAGGATTTCGAAATTTTGAGACTCTTGGGTAAAGGAACATTCGGCCAGGTGTTCCAAGTGAAAAAGAAAGATACGGGAAGAATCTATGCTATGAAAGTGCTGTCGAAAAAGATCATTGTCAGAAAGAAAGAGATTGCACACACCATTGGCGAGCGAGACATTTTGGTGCGCACGTCGAGTGCAGAATCGGCCTTCATCGTGGGACTCAAGTTCTCGTTCCAGACTCCAGTGGACTTGTACTTGGTCACGGACTTTATGTCTGGAGGAGAGCTGTTTTGGCATTTACAAAAAGAAGGCAGATTTTCAGAGGATAGAGCCAAGTTCTACATTGCTGAGTTGGTTCTGGCATTGGAACATCTTCACGATAACGACATCGTTTACCGTGATCTGAAACCCGAGAACATCCTCCTGGATGCTAACGGACACATTGCGTTATGTGACTTTGGACTATCGAAAGCCAACTTGACGTCCAACGGAACGACAAACACTTTCTGTGGTACCACTGAATACCTTGCTCCTGAAGTTTTGTTGGACGAGTCCGGATACACAAAGATGGTTGACTTTTGGTCACTGGGTGTTTTAATTTTTGAGATGTGCTGCGGATGGTCGCCGTTCTATGCTGACAACACCCAGCAGATGTACAAGAACATTGCTTTTGGAAAAGTGCGGTTCCCTAAAGAGATTCTATCGCCCGAAGGACGCTCTTTTGTGAAGGGTCTTTTGAATAGAAACCCTCGTCATAGATTGGGAGCCATTAATGATGCAAGAGAATTGAGAGCACATCCATTTTTCAACGATATTGACTGGGCTTTACTGAGACAGAAGAAGATTCCACCACCATTCATTCCGCATATTGCAAACGAACTAGACACATCCAACTTTGATCCTGAATTCACCAACACCTCGACCTCTGTTATCAACAAACAGCTATCGATGGGCACTCCGCTGTCTTCTGCTGTTCAAGAAAACTTTAAAGGATTTACTTATGTTGATGATTCGATGATGTTTGATCATCTGAACAGTCAGAGTATTGGGAAACGGTTTGGAAACTCCTACAAGCCAGCTTATGGTTCATTAATTCCAGGCAACCCTAATTTGCCACCGGAAGAAGAAGTCATTGATGAGGACAGTCAAGAGGACGAAGACATTGTTCAGGACGATATGGATGTGGATGACGATTTTGTCAATGGGCAGTTCGATTTGTAATTTTGGATTTAAGTATACAGTTAGAATACGAGAGGAAAATAATTAGTAATTTTTTTTTATTCATGTCTACTTACAATGTTTCGTCTACATCGTCATATATGCAGGCGATGCAGCCAATGATCGACGCTCTGAGTCGATTGGAGCTGGAAGGTGACGAATCTGCGATTTCTTTGCCGAATTTAGGCGATGGGGATGCCAAGTTGGACGTCTCTAAACAAGTGACTGATTTACTTAAGCAGTTTGAAAATACGGTTGAGATCGAACTTGAGGATGAATCAAGCGACGATTCGGCTGAATCTGACCATAATAATCTGTTAGACGAGATACGGACCGAATGCCAGAGGATCAACCCAGATAACAGCGACCACTTGATGGAAAATGTGAGATCTATATTGGAGTCCGAGACTCCCACGCAAATCGAGTCGGCTTTGTTTGATCTTCTGGGGTTTGAGGAGTTTGATCTGATATCCAAGCTGGTTTTAAACAAGGACTCGATCTTGGAAGAGTACGCCAAACAGCAGAAACTGAGTCAACTAATGAGCGATGAACAAATACGAAGACAAGCCAGTCAGAACCTGAAAGACAACAAGAACGTCAAGTTGGAATGGGAGCAGACGAAACAGCAGTATCCGCATGTTTTCAGAGTCCATGATGCCGGAAACGTTGTTTCGTTTACTGGTAAAAAATACAGTCTTCCATTTGGCACTACTAGAAACTCATATGAGAATTACGAAGAGATCATCATACCTAAATCCGAAAGAAAAGCATCAAAGTTTAAAGAGATATTCATTCCAGTCAAGACCTTGGATTTCCTGTGTCAGGGAACATTCAAGGGATATAAAACATTGAATCGCATGCAATCGCTAATTTATCCCGTTGCTTATGATACAAATGAAAATATGTTGGTTTGTGCTCCAACAGGAGCAGGTAAAACCGACGTTGCGCTTTTGACTATTCTTCATACAATCAAACAGTTTGTCACTGAATCCGAGACCGAGGATCGAGTACAAGCAGATATCGACTACGACGAGTTCAAAATTGTCTATGTTGCTCCGCTCAAGGCTCTTGCAGCCGAGATTGTTGAAAAGTTCAGCAAGAAACTGGCCTGGCTCGGAATCCAAGTTAGAGAACTTACTGGTGACATGCAACTTACCAAGGCAGAGATTATGACTACACAGATCATAGTTACGACTCCTGAAAAATGGGACGTTGTCACACGTAAATCTAATGGTGATACAGAGTTGGTTGAAAAAGTCAAGCTACTCATCATTGACGAAGTTCATCTGTTACATGAAGATAGAGGTTCTGTGATCGAGACACTTGTTGCAAGAACTTTGAGACAGGTGGAGGCTTCTCAGTCGATGATCAGGGTGGTTGGACTTTCTGCCACATTACCGAACTTTGTGGACGTTGCCGACTTCCTTGGTGTGAATAGACAAGTGGGGATGTTCTACTTTGACCAGTCGTTCCGTCCTGTTCCTTTGGAGCAGCAACTGATTGGAGTGAGAGCTAAGGCCGGCTCGATGCAGTCTCGAGACAAACTGGACAAAACAGTGTACAAAAAGTTGATTGAGATGTTGGAGCAAGGACACCAGGTGATGATATTTGTCCATTCTAGGAAGGATACCGTGAACACTGCCAGAACTTTGTTCAAGATGGCTGCAGAGAATGACGACAGTTGGTTGTTTGACTGCTCAAGCGCTGATAAGCACGGCTACTACGAGCGTGAAATGAGCAAAAATAAGAATAAGGACATGCGAGAGCTTTTCCAAAACGGATTCGGAGCTCATCATGCTGGTATGTTGCGCTCTGACAGAAACCTCACCGAAAAGATGTTTCTTTCTGGGTCGATCAGAGTTTTGTGTTGTACGGCCACGTTGGCATGGGGTGTTAACTTGCCTGCTGCCGTGGTCATTGTGAAAGGAACACAGGTGTACGACTCCAAAGCGGGAGGATTTGTTGATCTGGGTATTTCCGACGTGATCCAGATCTTTGGTCGTGCTGGTAGACCTCAGTTCGAGAGTCATGGAATTGGTATATTGTGCACCACCAGCGACAAGCTGGACCATTACATTTCATTGCTTCTTCAGCAGCATCCTATCGAGTCCAAGCTATCTGCAAAGCTGGTGGATAATTTGAACGCCGAAATTTCTCTTGGAACAGTCACCAACCTCGAGGAAGGTGTCCAATGGCTAGGATACACATACATGAATGTCCGGATGAAGCAGAATCCATTTGCGTATGGAATCGATTGGAACGAAATAGCCAAAGATCCGTTGCTTGTTCAGAAACGTCGCGATATGATTATTGAAGCTGCCAGAAAGCTACACACTTTGCAGATGATCATCTTTGACGAACGGTCTGGAGCGTTTATTCCAAAAGATCTTGGTCGGATTGCTTCTGACTTCTATCTTTTGAACGAGTCGGTGGAGATTTTCAACCAGATGACCACTCCAACAGCCACGGAAGCAGACGTTTTAAGTATCATTGCCATGAGTTCCGAGTTTGACAACATTAAATTCCGTGAAGAGGAGTCCAAGGAGTTGGAACAATTGAAGAAGGACAAACTGGCGTGCGAGATCTCGGCGGAAATGGCCTCTGCGCAAGGAAAGTCCAATATTCTTCTGCAGTCGTACATTTCGCGTGCCACCATCAAGGACTCGGCACTTATTTCGGATGCAAATTATGTTGCACAGAACGCCGTCAGAATTTGTCGGGCATTGTTCCTGATTGGAATGAACCGTCGGTGGGGATTATTTGCTCGAGTACTTTTATCAATCTGCAAGTCTATTGAGAGACAGCTTTGGTCGTTTAATCATCCAATGAGACAGTTTGATCTACCACAGCAGATCCATCGCAATATTGAGGCACATAGTCCTTCAATAGAGACTTTGCGCGATATGAGTGCTGGAGAGCTGGGAGATCTGGTTCACAACTCCAAAATGGGGCCTATTCTTTACAGATTGATTGGACGGTTCCCATACTTGCTTGTTGATACCGAAGTGTTCCCAATCACCACAAACGTGATGAGAGTTCACCTGACTATCCACCCCGATTTCACATGGAACTTTGAGACACACGGAAACATCCAGATATTCTGGCTGGTGGTTGAAGAGAGCGACGGTGCATCCATATTGCATTTTGAAAAGTTCCTGCTCAACAAGAGGCAGATGAATTCGCCTCATGAAGTGGACTTTATGATTCCTTTAAGCGACCCAGCTCCTCCACAGATCGTTGTTCGTGCGATCAGCGATAGTTGGATTGGAGCAGAAACGGTGCATGCGATTTCGTTCCAGCATCTTATCAAGCCGCATAACGAGACTGTGCAAACAAAACTTTTGCGGTTGCAGCCACTGCCAATCACCGCTCTTCACAACCAGGAGATTGAAAATATATACGGAAGCAAGTTCCACTACTTCAATCCAATGCAGACGATGACGTTCCATACACTCTACAATAACAACTCGAGTGTATTTGTGGGATCTCCAACGGGATCTGGAAAAACTGTTGTTGCCGAGCTTGCAATCTGGCATGCATTTAAAGAGTTTCCAGGATCTAAAGTCGTGTATATTGCGCCTATGAAAGCACTGGTTCGTGAAAGAGTGGACGACTGGAGAGCCCGGATTTCTCAGAATACAAGCCATAAGGTTGTGGAGATGACCGGTGACTCTCTCCCAGAGGCACGTGAAGTGCGAGACGCAGATATCATCATCACCACTCCGGAGAAGTTTGACGGTATTTCGCGTAACTGGCAAACAAGAAAGTTTGTTCAAGACGTTTCGTTGGTGATTATGGACGAGATTCATTTGCTTGCCAGTGACAGAGGTCCAATTCTGGAAATCATAGTGAGCAGATTGAACTTTATCTCTTCTTTCACCAAACGTCCGGTCAGACTGTTGGGACTGTCTACTGCTGTTTCCAATGCCATGGACATGGCCGGATGGCTGGGTGTGAGAGAAGGTTTGTTCAACTTCCCGCCAAGTGTTCGTCCTGTTCCGTTACAAATGTACATTGACGGGTTCCCCGACAATCTTGCGTTCTGTCCATTAATGAAGACCATGAACAAGCCTGCGTTTATGGCCATCAAACAGCACTCGCCTACAAAACCTGTGTTGATCTTCGTTGCTTCCAGAAGGCAGACACGGTTGACATCGCTGGACCTGATCCATCTTTGTGGAATGGAGGAAAATCCAAGAAGATTTTTGAAGATTGATGACGAGGAATTGCAGAGTATTCTGGTGAAAGTGAAAGATGAAACGTTGAAACTCTCGTTGCAATTTGGAATTGGGCTGCATCACGCCGGTTTGGTTGAAAGCGACCGTCAAATATCGCACAAATTGTTCGAACAGAGCAAGATCCAAATTCTGGTTGCAACGTCCACACTGGCCTGGGGAGTCAATCTGCCAGCATACCTGGTCATCATCAAAGGTACGCAGTTTTTTGATGCTAAAATTGAGGCATACAGAGACATGGACTTGACAGATATTCTGCAAATGATGGGAAGAGCAGGACGTCCCGCGTTTGATACCAGCGGTGTAGCCATAGTGTACACCAAGGAGTCCAAGAAGCAGTTCTACAAGCATTTTTTGAACGTTGGATTCCCTGTGGAATCTTCGCTGCACAAAGTCCTGGATAACCATTTGGGAGCCGAGATAGCTGCCGGTACGATTAAGACCAGACAGGAGGCCGTTGAGTTCCTAACATGGACATTCTTGTACCGGAGAGCACACCACAATCCAACTTACTATGGTATTGAGGATAACACCACCGAGGGAATTAACAAGTTCCTAAGTGGACTCATTGATAAATCCATCGACAACCTGAAAGAATCCAAATGTGTGATTTCTCACTCTGACAAGCTGAAGTCGACGCCGTTCCTGCAAATAGCTTCGTACTACTATCTTTCGCACAAGACTCTGCGGAACCTGCTGAACTCAGTGCGTCCGCGTGCTAGTTTCCGGCAGTGTCTGAGATGGCTTGCCGAGGCTACCGAATACGACGAGCTACCAACCAGACACGGAGAAGAGCTGATCAACATGGAGATGTCTCAGCAGATGAGATACCCTGCAGATGACTTGGAGAATGCCGAGTTTATCTGGGATCCTCATATCAAGACGTTCTTGCTGCTCCAGGCGTACTTTTCGAGAATCGAGCTTCCAATCGCAGACTACTCGCAAGACACGGTTTCTGTTCTGGACCAGAGTTTGCGTATCTTGCAAGCGTACATTGATGCCACCTCGGAGCTGGGGTACCTATCGACTGTTCTGACGTTGATCAAGCTGATGCAGTGTGTGAAGCAAGGGTGTTGGTTCGACGACGACTTTGTGAACACATTGCCTGGGGTTCGGACGAGCGAATGGGAAAAAACCGACAACGACGGCGAGTTTGAAGGGATCAAGACGGACCACGGACTGCAGAGAGTTGGCGAGATGGGAGAGGACCAGCTGGCCAAGCTTTGCAACCAGCTACATGTGAGACAGAAGGAGCAGTTCAAGAAGGTGGCACGCACACTGCCTGTTGGGCAGTTCAAAGCCCATCGGAGCGGGAAAGAGATTGATATTGAGCTAGTTCACAAGAACCCGTCCTACCAGCGGGACTTCAAGGTGTACTGTCCGCGGTTCTCGAAGCCGCAGAGAGAGACCTGGTTTGCTATAGCATACAATTTGGAGGAAGACCGGATATACGCGATCAAACGTCTTTCGCCAAGGCGGGTCGGCAAGGTCGACAAGGTGCAAGGCACATTGACAGTAAACGCAGACTGCGCGCTAAGTGTGGCTCTTGTTTCTGATTTCACAAATATCCAATATTTGGTGCCTGTATAAAATGTTTACCTAATACTTTTTTATTTAAATTGCATGAGCTTCGAAGAGGAGCTTGATTCCAGCGTTTACTACGCTGCGTTGAGTCTGAACTCCACCACGCTGTATACGTACGATAACGTGAACTTCACCAGCAAGCTGAATGTCAACTACTCGGAGCTGGTTTCGAAAAATCTGGGGGTCATCAACTCTATCCAGGAAACAAGGATAAACAGTCTCAAGTTGAGTAGCAATGTGATATTGAACGTCGCAAACTCGCACAGCGCATCGCCGCGCCATGTGTTCACTAACCTGATGCTATATTACCACAAGAAGCTGATGAAAAACAACAACCTCATAACCATCATAGTGCTGTGTAACGACCGGATGCTGGATCGGTTCGTTTACAACCTGATGGAGAAGATCATGGACGAGTATTTGGACCGGTTCTACCAAACCGAGAACGGCGGACTGAATTTCGAGTTCAAAAACCGACTTCGAGATATAATTGTGGACCACGAACTCAAACTACGTCAGCTCACCTCCAAATACGGAGCCACTACAACAGACGATCTGGACGAGATCAGAGACCTCATGACCGAAAACATCGATAAGGTGCTCAACCGAGGAGAAAACCTCAACGCTCTCATTAACAAAACAAGTCAGCTCAACTCGTCAGCCAACTCGTTCCGCAGAAGAACCGTTCTTGTCAAGCGCAAACTCTGGTGGTCCAACATCAAGTTTCTTGTGCTGATCGGATCCACCGTCATTTTCATCATATATCTATTCATAGGCCTGGAGTGTGGCCTGCCATTTTACACAAGATGTCTGCATCCGTCGAAACCGTCCCAACCTCATCAGAACGAATATTAATATACCTATGTCTCGTTTTCTGTCTCTGGCTCTTCTCCTTCCAACTCCTTCATTTCCTGTTGTATGTTCTGGATCGCGTTCACGGCCGGCAGTTCCGGCTCCTCAGGCTGTTCCTCTTCTGTATCGTCCTCGATTTCCACCACGTCGTCCGTGGTCTCGTTCTCTCTTTCAGGAGCAGAAACGGGCACTGGGGCCGGCTCAACAGGCTGTGTAGCGTCCACCTTGGCTCTTTTGTGCTCGCCGTCGTCGTCGTTTGTCTCAGCAGCCTCCTCCGGCTCCTCCAGCTCGTCCTTCTTCTTTTTCTTGTTCTCCTTGCGCAAATTGAATTTCTCCAACTCCTCGTTTAAAACAGGCACAAAGCTGCCAAACTGCGCCCGTTCCAGTCCAGCTAGAATGTCGTTGGCATTCACAACCTTGCGGCCCTGATCCTTGGCCACCTGCTTGGCGTGGTGGTACACGTAATTCACAAATAAAACCGACCCGCGTTGAATCACCGTCTGCGAGTCCTTGGCCAGAATCATGGATGTTTCCGATTGCGACAAGATCTGTTTCGAAACCTTGTGCACCGTCGCTTTCGGAAATAGCATCGAGTCGATCGACACCTTCTCGTTGTCCGCTGCAGTCTCAAAATTGGACTCTTCTGTGTCCTTTTTCGATCCCTTAACTGCCATCACACGAAATTTTATACCTACAAAATTGCAACTTCGTGTTTTTTTTTCTGACTCGTGGTACTGTCGACGCCTGTCGACGCGTCTCGACCAAACTTATCGACAAAATCATCCCATTCAGGTAATATCGAGTATATCTTCTCCATTTTGAAGTGGGTGAAAAAGCTTGCAAAAAATCCACATTCTGCCACGATGGATACACAAGAGGTCTCTGTGACGTTCAAGTCTTTGAACAACTGTCTGGTGAATCTTCCGGCGCCTCTGGTGAACCCGTTTCTCGCCAACAATATTCTTATCCAGCAAGTAGCCGTCGAGCTCAAGTTTCGAATGGCGGGGGTTAAAGCCGACTCCAATTGTCTTGTTGGGTGGAACGGGTACTTTTCACAGGACTCGTCCTGTATCGAGATCGACCCTGTTTTTGCGAAAACCATTGGACTCCGAGAAAACAGAAAGATCACCATCAAGCTGTCGCTGTCGTTGCCAAAGATTCATTCTGTAGAGCTCGAGCCAGAAACTTCCGCCGACTGGGAACTCACCGAGCTTTACGCGCAAACCATCGAAGACCGGTTTTTGAACCAAATCAGGTGTGCCACTCTGGGCCAGAAACTCGCCGTGTACCCTACATCCAGTTCCACCAACGTGATCAAATTCATTGTCAAGTCGATCAAGTCTGAAACAAAAGAACTCGACAAGGGAATTCTGGCCACCGATTCAGAACTTCATATCCAGCCAAAGGTCCACAGAAGGGAAACCCAGAGAAATAGCCATGGTAGTCAAACAAGCTCGAAAAGAAGAAGATCTGTCTCTGGACGCAGGTCGTCGCAGTTCGACTCTGTTCCGTCGTGCATTCTGCGCTCCATTGCTCTTCCGCATTCACTGTTTGCGCACGTCGATGTCTCCAAGGCTAACTACGAGGTTTTCGCAGACCTGAGCCAAGACTTTATTAACTCTCAGTTCAATTCGATCGAGTACGTCCAGGTTTCCGTGGTGGCCGGACCGGGAACGCCTTCGAAAATCAGTGGGATCTCGCACTCGACAAAACCTCATGACACTGTGTCTCCGGGAAACTCAAGAAACAACTCCAACACGCTGGTCGAACACGGATCCAATGGAACGGCCACCCAGCCGGAAATCGACCTGAAAAAGGTGATTGCAAGACTGGTCCACGATCCGCACAGTCCTCCACGTACCGTGGGTGTCTCGCCATTGCTGGCCATTGCATTGGGCAACGAGGGCCGCTGCGGCGACCTTATATGTCTGGAAGCACCTCCACAAAAATACTCTACTGACATTCATACCTGCATTTTGCATAAGATTATCTCCAGCACTCTCTCAGTCAACGAATTAGCATTGAAACACGACGAAGACCGCAAACTGAAAGAGGTGGCTGCTCGCAAAGAGCTGAGTGCCAAGTTCCAGGAACAGCTGGCCGTCCTCAAACACTCTCCATTGACCAACGGGATGAAGCTACCAATTCTACCAGAACTGCTGCCTCAGGGTGCAATTTTGGAAATGAAAGGCATCTCTGGCTGGGCTCTCCTGGGAGACACGCTTCCTGAGTTTGTTCTAGGTGGAGACGTCTTGAAGCCCGAATCGTTTGTCCAGACGCCAGCCAAACACCACCTACAAAAAGTGGTAGGCCAGGAGAAACTGATTGCGCGTGTGATCCGGTCTATGAAGCGTGGAAGTAGCTCGATTGTTTTCGGATCTTCGGGCTGTGGCAAGACAGTTGTGGTTGACGAGGTTATCCATCGACTGGCTACCAAAGACGGGTTCTACACGAAACTTATCAACTGCGAAACGATCTCCAACGAGACGTTCATCAGTGTAAAGAACTCGCTGGAAGACGCCGTGAGGGAGATCAACTGGCACGCTCCTGCTGTGCTAGTGCTTGAGAACTTAGACGCTCTGATTCCCCGCGAGGCAGAGCACGGCGACTCGGGCACCAGCCAGCAGATCTGCGAGTTTTTGGTGAACTGCCTAAAACACCTTCTCAAACACAGACAAGTTTCTTTGCTCAGTACATCTAAATCCAAGGAAAACATCAACTCAATAGCATTTCAAACGCATCTCATCGAAGACGAGTTCAGTATCAGGGCTCCAGATAAAGAGCTACGCAAACAGCTAATTTCCAGTTTTATTGGCAACTACAATTTAACAGTCGACCGTGACGAGGTGCTCAACGATATCACTGTCGACACCGAAGGGTACCTTCCTTCTGATCTGAAGGTGCTTGCGGATCGCACGTTCCACGACTATATTTCCTCGGTTGAAGATATTCCTGCTACATTAACCAAGGGAAACTTCGAGCGGGCGTTGCAAGGGTTCACTCCGTCCTCGTTGCGTGGCGTGAAGCTGCAAAAGTCTAGCGTTTCGTGGTCGGATATTGGTGGCTTAAAAGACGCAAAACAGGTGCTGTTGGAAACCCTGGAATGGCCAACAAAGTATGCTCCAATTTTCGCCAACTGTCCTTTGCGTCTGCGTTCGGGAATCTTGCTCTACGGGTACCCCGGTTGCGGCAAGACGCTGCTGGCATCGGCTGTTGCTGCACAGTGTGGCTTGAACTTCATCTCGATCAAAGGTCCAGAGATTCTCAACAAGTATATCGGAGCTTCCGAACAGAGTATTCGCGAGCTGTTTGAAAGAGCACAGAGTGCAAAACCGTGTATTCTGTTTTTTGATGAGTTCGACTCTATTGCTCCAAAAAGAGGCCACGACTCGACTGGTGTCACCGACAGAGTGGTCAACCAGCTGTTAACGCAGATGGACGGTGCCGAAGGACTGGACGGGGTGTATGTTCTGGCAGCCACCTCGCGACCAGACCTGATCGATTCTGCTCTACTGCGTCCGGGAAGACTGGACAAGTCGATTTTGTGCGATCTGCCCGACTTTGAAAACAGACTGGATATTTTGCAAACGGTGGCCACCAAGTTCCAAATAGCTCCAGAGTGTCAGTTGGAGACGTTTGCACGTCAGCTGGAAGGGTATTCTGGTGCCGATTTGCAGGCGTTTGTGTACAACTCGTATTTGAGAGCTGTGCACGACAACCTGGACCAGATCACCAAATCTGCCACCAAGGAGTCCTCCGGCCAGGACACCAAGGTGCAGTTCTTCAGCATGATGAAAGGCGTTTCTGTTGGAGCCGACCTGACCAAGAAGATCGACTCGATCTACAAGAACTTTCAACAGCTTGACCTGGACCCAAAGGAAACAAAACAACAGGACCCTGACCACCGAAATAATCCAGTGGTGATTACGTCAAAACATTTCCAAATTGGGCTCGAGGAAACCAAAAAAAGTATCTCCAACAAGGAGTTACGCAACTTTGAAAAGATCTACTCGCAATTTGTGGACGGTAAGCGCGAGGGCAATCTTCCCAACGGCGAGCCTAGCAACGACATTGGCGGACGAACCACGCTGATGTAAATCCCGAACTCCAATGTTATCTCCGGATTATAAATTACAAAAAATTTTAACTTCTCGGGCCGAGTAAAATCCGCGCCCGTAATTATTATTTCCCTGACAAAGCAAAAAAATTACAGGCTGATAATTTATAAGCGATCCGGGGGTAACTTAAGTCCGGAAGCACTGGAAGTAAATATAAGTAGACATTTTTCCAATTTGTTTTTAATATAATGCTTCTACGCCATGGAACGACAACACACTAAATTACAACGAATCAAGACCATGTTCCCGAAACTGATCAAACGGTCAATTTCGCACGATTCTCAAGCTACCAGTCTCGCTTCTTCTTCGGACAGATCTTTTGACAGTTCTACCGAAGCCGATATTTATTCGTCTCTGGAGTCCCTTGAGGATCCTTCCAACGCGTTCGAGAAACTGCCCCAAGGATGGAACGTCCGCTACGATCCCGTCCTGCAGTTGTATTACTATGTCAATTTCGACAAACAGATTTCGCAGTTTGACAGTCCACTCGAGGTGGTCAAACATTAATTGTACCGAGCAAATAATTCACATGTATATAGTGTTTGCAAAAATTCGTCACCATTCGTCATAATCGTCATCTTACTGTAATGGGCGAGTCTCCTTGAGCAGCCAGTCGATGGCTCTTGTGTCGCCGAGCTTCTCCAAAAACGGAATCGTCGAGTCCTGGATCCGTTTGTAGTACTCATTGATCCACTTGATCTGGTCAGGTTCCAACAAGTTCAAGTCGATCAAGTTACGACAGAACGGAACCAGCGTGAAATAGTCGAATCCCAGCACCGGAACGCCGTCTTTTTCGCCCCGTTGAACAACAAGAAGATCGCTCTCAATGCGGACCCCGTACTCGTTATCCCGATAATACCCCGGCTCATCGCTGATAAAATTGCCTGGCTCCAACGGTTTGTAATTATAGCTCGTTTTCACAGGGGAGAGTCCGCAGGGTCCTGCGTGAACACAAATAAACGTGTCAATTCCGTGGCCCGTGCCGTGGCTATAGTTGAGACCTTTCTCAATCAATGGCTTTCTAGCAAGAGAATCAATGTATTCAGAAGGAGTTCCGGCCGTAAATTCAAGCAGTGCAACGTTCAAATGGCCTCTCAAAACCAACGTGTACTTCTCTATCTCCTCGTAACTTGGTCTGCTGAAATGCAAAGTTCTGGTGATGTCTGTTGTTCCGTCTAAGTATTGTGCTCCCGAGTCCAGCAAAAAAATGCTGTCGGGGTCCACCACGGAGAAATTATCCAGGGTAGGCACGTAATGGACGACCGAGGCGTTGGGGCCCGAACTTGAAATGGCGTCGTACGCAAGACCTTTGAAGTTGGGCATCAGACTCCGATAATGGGCAGCTTTGGTAGCAACCTCGATCTCGTCCAGCTGGGCCCGTGGCGGCAAAAATGCTCCGTCCATCCAGGCAAACAGTCTGATCAGCGCAACAGAATCCTTCAGCTGCGCAAATCTGTTCCCCTCGATTTCGGTGGCATTTTTAATTCCTTTGAATTCCGTAAGGATAGACCGGTGTTGGATATCGAAAGTGGCAGAAAGATTCATGTAGAGTGCATAACTGCTGTTGTTCGAAAGATACACCGTCCGAGACTCGGAAACAGTGTTCTTCAAAGCCGGAATGTTGTCCCAGAACTGCGAATAGCTGTAAATAGTGAGATTGTAAATGGAATCCAGGTACTGAGTCACTTTAGGAGTCAACTTGGATCGGTCCAAATACAACTCGACCCCGTCCAATTTCACAATTGCATAGGAGAAAAACACCGGACTGAAAGGAATGGAGTTCCCGCGCAGGTTAAATAGCCACGCGATTTCCTCCAACTGCGACGCAATCAATGCAAATGCACCAGCTTCTTTCAAAAACTTTTGAGTGCGTGCAAGTTTATGGTTGGCGTGTTCACCCGCAAACCGCATCTCATGTTCAAAGATCTTGTCGTTTGCCGGTAAGTCTGGCACGAAATGCTCCAATTCCATTGTTTTATCAATCAAGTTGGTCATTAAAGGAAGAAACTCCAAATTGGCATTGTGGCATTTCTCTTTGAAATACAGACCCAGATCGTAGCTGATCAGTCTTGGGTCCACCGCAATCGTCTTGAAGCTTGTATCTGCTGCCTCTTGGAGACACCAAAATTGCCAAGGAATCGACTTCGGGTCCGACTGTTTCAAAAGTGTCCAATTTCTATCCAATTGCCGTTCAGCTTGGAGATAATACCGACCATCTGTTGAAAGGGCCGCGTTGTTCAAAGAAATAACAGCGATTCCAGCACTCCCTGTGAACTTTGAAATGTACCCGCGCCGTTTATCTTTTGGCGAGGTGGTTTCACTCTGGTGTTCGTCTTCAGACGGAACAATGTACACCCCTATCTTGAATTGTTTCATGAGATTGCGCAAAATACACAGTCGGTTGGTGGTATCGGACACCTGTGACTTCAGCATGGATTCATTATCTGACTTCTTTTCTGCGTCTAAACTCCGATACATGAGTCCTGCCTTTGATTCTGTTTCCGATAAAGCAACTTTGGAACTGCCTCCAAAAAACCAGCGCAATCCATCAAAACAACCAGATCTTCTTTCTCTAGAATCAACCAGTCTGATTTCCCCGCCGTCGTCCAAAGAGTCCACGCTGTCAGCTAACCGGATCGGCGTGTAGCGTAAAGTCATGTTGCAGTGCTTATTATCACGATAATAATTTTGGGTGGGGTGAATTCACAAGGTCGATCGACTTGGCTGCATGCCTAAAAAATAAATTGCCATCTAACATAAATACAGTTTACTTCAAGACTATGTGTATGATGTTTCCAAGAAGAAGCTTTCCCGATGATGAGACGTGTTTGTCATCTCCTTCAAGCTACTTGAGATATCAACCTGTCGAATACGATCCTTCCATCGACCCAACAAACATGGAACAGTATCAACCAAAGGTGTACAAGGTGGAATCCGAATACAGAAAGATTGACGCTGAGGAGGAGACGAACGAGAAAACAGCCTTGGAAGTTGAGAAACAGCCTGAGTACCCTCCCGCATACTCAGATGTTTACGCTTTAAACGACACCAAGGAGTCTCAACATGACACTGTGGCTCCTGCGCCAAAATACGGTTCTTTCCAAAGGGTGCTCAGATTGATGGTGGTACTGTTTTTGTTGATTACGCTTCTAGACTCTGTGCTCAGAGTAGCTTTTGACTGCGAGGCCGAAATGTCGAACGATGCCATGGTCAACAAGGGTAACATCGCGCTGGTTAGATACCAAGATGAACAGATGCAAGAGATTTACATCGAGATACTCCCGATTGAAATCGCGTTCGAGTCAGAGTCCTTGACAGTGGATCAAATTAACGACACGCCCAAACTGTTGCAATAATCTTACTCATTTCCTGGTACCATCGATTAAGTAAAAAAAAAAATCCATTTTTACTTGTCAACTATAGCTTGGAAGTCAATCCCAGATACTTTGCATGGTGGGCAGCGTGGTCCTTGGTAAACGAGGAGACGAAATAGAACGAGTGATTGTATCCGTCTTCCATGTGCGAAATAATTTTACCCTTCAATTTGGACTCCTCGCTAGCCTTAAGCAAATTCTCCGGCAAAAGCTGGTGTTCTTCATAGTAGTGTGGGTCAGCTTTACCTGTATGGATGAGAATCGGGGTTGTTGGGCCGTCATACTTCTTGATCAGCTCTGTTGGATCGTACTCGGCCCATTTCGACTTATCGTTGCCAAGATAAACACTAAAGCCCGTACGTCCCCATTCGCCATTAGATGGGTTCGAGATTGGCGCAAAAGCACTAACACTCTTAAATCTTCCAGGGTGTCTGAAATAGAACATCAATGCACCGTATCCTCCCATTGAATGACCGGTGATGGAGATATTATCGAAATCCAATTGCGAGTAGGCAGAAGCCAAGCCCGGTAGCAACTCTTTGGAGATGTACGAGTACATTCTGTAGTTCTTGGACCATTTCTCCTCGGTGGCATCGACATAGAATCCTGCTCCGGTACCGAATTTGTAGGTCTCGTCCTCACCTTCGACACCAGCACCTCTTGGAGAGGTATCTGGGAACACCATGGCAAAGCCGTACTCGTTACAGTAAGGCTGCCAGAATCCCTTCTCAGAGCAATTGTTTGGAGTACAGGACAATCCAGACAGAAAGACCAGGACTGGCAGCTTGGTGTCTGGCTTCTCGTAGTACTGTTTTGGAAGATAGAGATTGACATCCATCTTGGTCTTGGTCTCCTTAGAGTCATGCTGGAGCTTGACGATCTTGCCGCCAAAGGACTTGATTTCTTCTTGGGTGGTGAAAGACATAATGAGTGGCAAAAATTGGCACGTTTGAACGGATATTTCAATGAAATCAAGAAATGGATCAATAGCCTAATTTATAGAGGATAAATTAGCCAAATACGGAATAAGACTGGAAAGTTGGCTAGTGACTCATTCGTGGCAAGTGTGTGGCGGGTCACGTGACACGCCTGGTTTACACGGACGGGATTAGTCATACAAAGCGGCTATCTCTTTCTGATTAGCTGGTGGTACACGAACACGAGGGCGAGAACGAATCCCGAAGCTGCAAGAGCCATCCCCATGTAAAAAGCGCATCTGATGCCGGTATAAGTTGAGGCTCCGTGGAGAAGTTTGTAGTACTCGATTGTTCCAGCCAGGCCTAGGCCAATTGAAATCGAGTAATTCACCACGGTTGTGACCAGAGACGCCGCGAGTCCCTGGTGACGTCTAGGGAGTTCTGTGGACAGAATGATGATTCCCGAGGGGAAGCTGATATCCATTCCAAAACATGCAATGACGATCGACGGGAATTTCTGGGCCCAGTAAATTTGGCCCTCTGGTCGTAACCCCATGATCACGAGTCCTCCCACAAAACAGGCCAGTGCAATTGTGAGCATAATGGACGAGGGGACTTTTGTAATTATCTGGGCAGTTGCCATTCCTGCAACCATGCCTGCAATAATAGATGGAAGGAATTGGACAGATGCAACCAGTGGAGAAACATCTAAAATGTCATAAGCGAAGCGGAAGGTGTAAAAAATCCAGATGCCGAAACTGGACCATCCGAGAGCAATACAGCACAGCGTGAAGATGACATCGAGATTGAGTTTGGGGAGCAGTGGATGGGACCCGACTCGTTGTGTCCAGGCAAATGCAACCATAAAGATAAACCCGATGATTAGTAGCACATAAACGTATGGTTTTTCCCAGCCCACGACGGGGCCCTGGTTGAACGCAAAATTGATAAGCACCAAGCCTATGACTCCTGTGACTGAGCCCCAGAGATCGAAATGCCGAGGTCTTAATTTTTCTTGCACGGTGGCTATGTTTTTTGGAATTATTAGCAACGAAACAGCGGCTTTTGCAAGACAGATGATGGCGGTTGCGTAGAACGACCAGGGCCAGAAAGTGAACTCGGCAAAGATAGAGCTTAAAAGAGCACCAAACACGAATCCCATGGGGGCCACGGCGCCAAAAAGGCCAAAGGCCATATTTTTCAATTTTCCTTGGGGAAAATAGTGCCCCATAAGACCGAGCGCATTGGGCACTGCCCCAGACACAGATAGCCCTTGGAACGCACGACACACGTCGAAGAACTCAATTGAACCGCTATACCTGCTGATTCCTGCCAACAGAGACCAAACCGACAGACTTATGTAGCTTGCGACGTAGACTTTTTTATATCCCAGCAGATCTCCAAGTCTCCCTGAAATTAGGATGAAAGTTCCCACCGTCAATGAGTAAGCTGCCGTCATCCAGGAGATCTCTCCCGGGTCGTTTTGTTTCTGGAAGCTTCTTGCAATGTATAGCGACGGAACAAGAGATTGTGCAAGCAGAGCTTGCGCGAATATCTGCGTAATTGCCATTAGTATCACAAAGATAAGCAGTCTAGGTTTGGAGATGGCGTCGAACGTAGGCGAAGCAACCTTGAACTCGATTTCGTTATCGTCTGAATCAGACGGCTGTTGCACTGGTTTGGGTTCATTTTCAAGATCGACCGAGAGGTTGACAACCATTGATGATTACTCGGTTGAGAAAAAAGCGAACGCAAAAATTTAGATAATAATGTTAAAAACGGGCCTCAAGGGATTCAAGCAAACTTTCAGACCATTTGTGGGAACCAGATCTTTCTCGGGAACCAGGAAATTGGCCACCAATGGCAAACTATTGGCGCTGTCTGGAGCCACTGTTGCTGGTATTGGGTCGTATTTCTCTTTCTCTCAGATCTTGAACGATGCAACGCCGGCAGAGAACCCAGAAAGTCTGATCAGCGTGGACTCGTCTGTGCATTCTTTCCCGATCTTGACCTCGGACTGTTTGCTGCAGACCCCGTTCCAGCTCCTTGGCTACGGAGTTCGAACCGTCACGTTTCTCAATATGAAGGTTTACGCTCTTGGTTTATATGTGGCAAGAGAAGACCTACCATTGCTCACGAAAACGCTCACCTCTCAGGTCAGCAAAGATCCCTCGCAGGTGGCGTTTTCGCTTAGAGACCCTACACTGTCCCCACAAGTGGTGGACTTGCTACTTTCCGCTGGTGTTCGGTTTTCTGCCAAGATTGTTCCTGTGCGCAATACCGACTTCAACCACCTGCGTGACGGACTGATCAAATCCATCAAGTCGAACCCGAAATATAAAGAATTAACCAAAGCGGATGACGGATCGGACGAAAAACTGATCAACGGTTTAGATCAGCTGCGGAAAGCGTTCGGATCGCGCAAAATGACTGCATTCAAGAATTCCACCCTAATGCTCCAGCTCCTCGGAGACGGGAAATTGGTTGTCACATTCCAGCAATACACGACCCGGGACCAAATGGCCGATCCTATCAGTTTAGGGGTTGTTGAAGAACCGCTTGTTGGACGGTTATTATTTTTAAGTTATCTATCTGGCCAAAAGCCGTTGAGTGAGGCTGCACGTTCCAAAGCGGTCGAAGGGTTCAGCTCACTTTTGTAAACCTGTACATAGTGAATATTTTTTTTTTAGGCTACACTCCGGGGAGCTTGTCCCGGAGATTTTTTTTGCACCACCGCATTCCCCAGAGACTCCCCCGGATTAGGCTGTGTGGTACTTATATATACATCCTGGCCCCCCAGAAACGTTTTTTTTAAAATGGCTGAAGCAAAACAAGCTATCAACACCGACTTGGTCACTCTGACCAGATTTATCCTCGAGGAGCAGGAGAGATACGCCCCAAATGCCACTGGAGAGTTAACATTGCTACTTAACTCTCTCCAGTACGCCTTCAAGTTTATCGCCCACACTATTCGTAGAGCTGAGCTGGTCAACTTAATTGGACTGGCAGGTATCACCAATGCTACCGGTGACGACCAGAAGAAGCTTGATGTCATTGGTGATGACATCTTCATCAACGCCATGAAGGGCTCCGGTAACGTCAAGGTGCTGGTCAGCGAGGAACAGGAGGACCTGATCATCTTTGAAGGCTCGGAGGGCAACTACGCTGTTTGCTGTGACCCAATTGACGGTTCATCGAACTTGGATGCCGGTGTTTCTGTTGGAACCATCTTTGGTGTTTATAAGATCCAACCTGGCTCGACCGGAAGTATCAAGGACGTGTTGCGTTCAGGAACCGAGATGGTGGCTGCTGGTTACACCATGTACGGAGCTAGTGCACACTTGATGCTCACCACAGGTAACGGAGTCAACGGGTTCACCTTAGACACCCACTTGGGAGAATTCATACTGACCAAACCAAACCTCAAGATCCCTGATCAAAAGGCCATTTACTCGATCAACGAAGGAAACTCATACTACTGGGCTAAAGAGATCCAGGATTTCGTTGCGTCTTTGAAGCTTCCTCAGGAGGACAACAAGGGCAAGCCATACTCGGCCAGATACATTGGATCGATGGTGGCAGATGTCCACAGAACGTTGCTGTACGGAGGATTGTTTGCATATCCATCCGACACCAAGTCCAAGACTGGAAAATTGAGAATTTTATACGAGTGCTTCCCAATGGCTCTGCTATTGGAGCAAGCCGGAGGACAGGCCGTTAACGACAAGGGCGAACGGATTCTGGATCTGATTCCTAAGAAGATCCACGATAGAAGCGGGATCTGGCTCGGAAGTAAGCATGAAATCGGCAAGTTGTTGGGATACATAAAGAAATAATTAACGTCTTTTCATCACTCTTAGCAAAAGGTATATTATTTTAATACGTGTGTGTGTTAATTTTTCAAAATCATTTCTGGCTTTTGTCAAAGTTTCGAAATTTAGGCAAGACAAACTATCAAACATGAGCAACTGTAAGCATAACGCGCGTTTATTTCATTACTAACTCTCTTTTAGTCCGTGTTTTGGATCTTGTGAAACCTTTCACGCCGATTTTGCCAGAGGTTTTGGCCCCTGAGAGAAAAGTCCCATTCAACCAACGATTGATGTGGACCGGTGTCACGTTGCTTATATTTCTCGTTATGAGCGAGATCCCATTGTATGGTATCACTGCATCCGACACTTCAGACCCGCTGTACTGGCTCAGAATGATGTTGGCTTCGAACAGAGGTACTTTGATGGAATTGGGTATTTCGCCCATCGTCACTTCGGGAATGGTGTTCCAGCTTTTGCAAGGAACCCAGCTCCTAACAATCAACATGGAAAACAAAAAGGACCGCGATTTGCTCCAGATCGCCCAAAAGATCTTTGCTATCTTGCTTTCTGTCGGTCAGGCTACCGTGTACGTTCTGACAGGCATGTACGGACGTCCAGGTGATCTCGGCACGGGTGTTTGTCTGTTGCTGATTTTGCAATTGGTCTTTGCAGCCATCGTGGTCATCCTGCTGGACGAGCTGCTCCAGAAAGGTTACGGACTTGGTTCGGGTATTTCTTTGTTCATGGCCACCAACATTTGCGAACAAATTTTCTGGAGATGTTTTGCCCCAACAACCATCAACAGAGGACGTGGAACAGAGTTTGAAGGTGCTGTGATTGCATTTGTCCACTTGTTGTTCACCAAGAAGTCCAAGAGAATTGCCTTGATCGAGGCCTTCTACAGAGACAACGCTCCAAACATGTTCCAGGTCATTGTCACCGTGTTGATTTTCTTGGCGGTGGTTTACTTGCAGTCTTTGAAAGTGGAACTTCCTGTCAAGTCTACGAGACAAAGAGGTCCTTACGGTCTGTACCCAATCAGACTGTTCTACACCTCCAACATGCCAATCATGTTGCAAAGTGCCTTGACCTCCAACATCTTCATCATCTCCCAGATGCTCTACTCCAGATTCCCAAATAACATTGCTATCAAGCTTCTTGGCTCTTGGGAGCCAAGAGCCGGCTCGCAACAGTTGTTTGCTTCGTCTGGTATTGCATACTACATGCAGCCTCCATTTTCTTTGACCGAGGCTCTTTTGGACCCAATCAAGACCGTGGTGTACGTTGTCTTTGTTTTGGCTTCGTGTGCTTTCTTCTCCAAGACCTGGATCGAGGTGTCTGGATCTTCTCCAAGAGACGTTGCCAAGCAGTTCAAGGACCAAGGTCTTGTGATTGCTGGCCACAGAGAAACTTCCGTCTACAAAGAGTTGAAGAAGATCATTCCTACTGCTGCTGCCTTTGGTGGAGCCACCATCGGTGCCTTATCTGTTGTTAGCGATTTGTCTGGATGTTTGGGATCCGGAACCTCCATTTTGCTTGCTGTGACAACCATCTACGGCTACTACGAGATGGCTGCCAAGGAGGGTGGATTTGCCAAGAGTGTCGGAACTGGATTCAGTGACGTGATGTGAATAGAAGATTGCACAGTAAAAAAATACACATGAATTGTTTTTCCAAGATTTTTTTTAATTTACCTTTTTATGCCTCCACAGAACTCAGCGTCTCGAAGAATCAAGAACATTTCGATCTCCAAGCCGATCATCTACGGTAACGTGGCAGAGAAGATTTCCGAGTCCAACCCTTTGCCAGAAGGAGCTCCGGCAGACCATTCGCACACATGGAAGGTGTTTGTTGCCGACCCGTTGGGCAACGACCTGTCCAGTTACATTCGCAAAGTCGTGTTCAAACTGCACGAGACATACAACAACCCCACGCGGTCGATCGAGGAGCCTCCATTTGAGGTCACGGAAACGGGATGGGGAGAATTCGAGATTGCTATCAAAATATACTTCAACAACGACTGCGGCGAGAAAAACATCACATTGTACCACCATTTGAAGCTTCATCCGTACGGTCCGCAATTGGAAGAGAGCCAGCGCACAGGGAAAGTCGAGAGCATTCTTTTTGACGAAATAGTGTTCAACGAGCCAACAGAACGGATGTTCAAGCTATTGACGTCGAAACCAGGATCGTTACTACCATACAAGAGCGAGACGTCCAAGTTCACCAAAGAAGCTGAACGCCAGGAATTGGACCGCATCGAGAAGGCTTTTGACGAGATCAAAAAACAGATCGACGAGAAAAGCGTCGAGTTCAAAGAACTGGAAGAACAAAGACAACGACTCGCAACATAACTTATATTACATTAGAAACGTCTGTTATTATTAGTGTGCATTAATATACTCCAACACGTCTTGGAACACTTCCCGGAGACTGTTATCTGAGCTGTAGTATTTTTTGTAGTCGTAGTTGACGAGAATTTTGACCAACTCCACCCCTTGTCTATCGAAAATCATCACCGAGGCCAGAGGATAAGTTCCTCCTCCGAGCGGGTCTGATAAATGCAAATGTCTGGCCAACACTCCGCGAGTGTCCACCAGGATCGGGAAATTATAATTATTTTTGGCTTCATAGTTGCTTGTCACTCCGAGAACGCACCCTTCGAACTGCGAGTCGGTCATCAGGTCCAACAGTTGGTAGTCGACCTTGCTGACGCCGAAGAAGGTGAGGATCATCGGGAGCGAGAAGGAGGAAACGCGTTGATTGAATGGAATTTTCAGGCTCGAGCCTGGTTCGAGAAAATACATGTCTTCGGAAGCGTTGGCGGTGTCGAGGAGCTCGAACACGTTGGATTTGGCAAAATGGGCCTGTCTTATCACCACGTCTGGGATTCCTCGGGGCTGTTTCTGGACGAAATCGGAGCTCGAGGAACACACAGACGAGGGCCGACTCTTTTTGGCTGAATCCGGAACGTCGTACGCGGCATGGCGACGCTTGCGCGTCCAGGACAACTCAAACGCATTAGATAGATCAAGGGCGCTGATCTGAAGCTGTGTGGAGGCCGGGGGCATGGTGTGCATAGCAAAAGAGAAACAAAGATATGCTATGCGCTTTGCAACGATATATACCCAGCGGTTAATCAGTCGATGACCTTGGCGCCCAGAGCAAGAGCGTCTCGGCTGGCTGCAGGTGAGGAGTCGTGGAGGTTGGGGTTTTTGTAAATAAAAAAACACTTGCGTTGCTACTAGAGTCACCGCTGGTGTCAGCTGCACATCACTATCGTCTGATATGTTCCGGCAATGACTTTTTCATTCCGGGGACGAAAATTCGTCGCGTCACATGAAAGCTTTTCACGTGACCCCCGAAACTACGTAATTGGGAGGTGGAAAAAATTGGCTGTTTTGCGTGAAACAAGCGAGGGTAATTCTGTTAGCCACGACAAGTAGTCAGCACGCGCGGACAAATTCGGGCATTCTGGTTTTTTTGTCCTGCTGCACCAAACCCGCCTTGTGCCTCATCCCTTCGCCGCCATAGTATTCAGAAAATGTGCGCCGGCAAACCAGCCAGCATATTTGTAAGGTGCACGACGTAGATTTTGCACGACCGTCTCCAGAGTGCTGCATTGGTATTGGATAGGTACACTAACTATTTTATCTTTGTGGAAACATTGGAGAAAGAAGAACCGCTAATCAATAATGTTATCTCCTTCCAGCAAGGACTCGACGCTGTCATCGTCCACTGGGAACCAGAACAGACTGTCTGCGTTTTCGTTTGGAGAGAAAAGAGTGCCTTTATCCAAGATTGAATCCTCACACGATCCAGCAGAGGAGACGGCACCACATCGTTGTGGCAAGTCGTCTGGTAATTCGGGCTCAAACGCTCTAAACTCTCCACTTTCGTTGTCGGAAGAGGAGCAACCCCCAACGGTGTTCAAGAACTTGGACGGCGACCAGCTTTCGTTGGAGAGTGTTCCGCCTTCGGCCATTCCATCTTCGCCTTCTCAATCTCGTGCAAATGCTTCCCGAAGCTCTGCTTCGAAGCAAAAGGACTCTTTGATTTTTGAGCGGTTTGTTCAGGACCAACTTATTGACTCCCATCCGCTCCCATCGTCGTTGCCTCGGCTACATTCCACCGAAAACTTTGTCCCCGCATCGCTCGACCTTACAGCACAAATCTCCCACGATGAGCTTGACCAGGTTGATAGAAGTTACCCAAGGAGATCTTCCACTGCTAGTTTGCAGGCTGCTTTTGCAACCCCAACAAGCAGAAGATTATCTTTTGCGTCCACCAGACCAAGTACCAGAGGAAGCACTTCCAACCTGACCGAACAACTGCTGTCTTCGCAACCCCAACGTCCAACTGTCACACACTCTCTTACAACATCAAACCTCCCTCCTCCTGAAACCCAAGGTTTCAACTCGCCAGCAGCCTCGCCCGTGCTTAAACAAAATAATTCAACGCTGTCATTCTGCTCGTACGCAGACATGATTAGTTTGGAAGACCAACAATCCAAATTCCCAATCAGACGTCCTAGCCTTTCTGCTAGCATCTCTAACAACCCAAGACTTTCCAGAACAAGCTCGATTTCGTCCAGCTCGTTCCTCCAAAGATCGCCGATCAGTGTTCAGCCACCTCAAATCCACCCAAGTTTTGGGCCTCCAGGTTCCGGACAGGCATCTACTTCATCGTTATCGCCTGCAGCGGGTCCTATTTCCCCTCAGCTATTTGCAAGAGGTCCGCTGTCCCACAGAGCTTCCAGTGTCCAATCGGGTAAGAAGTTTACCGTGGACACTCAGAGCTCCGACTCGGATGGAGAAGGAGAACAATCCTCCATCCCACAAAGATTCCCTGCTATCCAGAGAAAGAAAGTCCCGGCCAAGCTTTCCAGCACCAGCCAGACTTCTTTCAGATCGGGGGGTAACAATATTGATGATCTTTTGGTGGATAATGAGTCCGATCAGGACAGTTTCCAGAGCTTTGTTAGTGAAGGCTTGCGTACTTAGTCGGAGTTTCGATTTCTGTTATATTTAGGCCGATCTTTAAAAATGTCGTAACTACTTTACTCGCTCAGGTAGTTCTTTCTATTACCTGTTCTCACGAACCGGCGGAGCATCCATTCGACATCGGCATCTTTATCATCCATGGTGCCGAGTCTCATCTCAAACAATCTCATTTCAAAACGCGGTCCAACTTCGCTCAACTCGACGTCGTCTTTAGTCCTCACATAAAGATGTTGTCTGACGCTAATGAAATCGTCTTGGTTCACAAAGCTGACCAATCTTGGCGACTCATCCTTCACTCCTGGTGGGAACAGATGTTTCAGAACTTGAACAACACGGCCACCGAGCTTGGACGTGAAGTTCTCGAACACGATGTGCGGATAAGCTTCTGACTGGGATCCAACATTAAGGATATCGTGACGGAGCACAACATTATGTAATGTGAATGTGGCGGATGGTCCGTGCGGAAGATGTGTAATGGTGAGTGTTGTTGGCACACCCCTATGTTCGTGGACCACAATAACGTCGGTGACACCCGATTTCTTGCATGTTTCAATCAAATTACTGAGAATGTAGTTACCTCTGTTGAGTCTCATGGCATTAGGGAAGAACAACTTGAGTTCCTTAGTGAATTGTGCCAGTCTCGAAGACGGACTTCTGGAAGTAGTAATGATGATCTTTGGCTCAATCAGTCCAGAAAGCGCAGAATACTCGTCGTCCACCGTTTCCTGAATGGATTCGTCGTACAAGTAGTCCTGCTGAAGCTGTTGGTCATCAGCAACCTCTTTTGGCAGGTTTTTTCCTGTAGCCAAAGCATTTGTCAGTTTCCTACGCTTCTCGATCAGCGTCTGTTCCTGTAGCTGCTGTGCCTTGCGGTACAAATACTCCCTTCTCTCTCTAGCTTGTCTCCTTAACATTAGTCAAATTTTTTTTTTTTTTGGAATTTTTTTCCCTACACTATTTTTTCAGTACAGTTTCCACTCTTGGGCCGATCCATAGTAAAATACAGAGAGTGAACAAAAAACGTCGTAAGTGTGCAAATTATATGCGTATCAAATCAAAATGTCCTACCAAACTTAACTCTTCTTCTTTCCGAACCATCCTTTCTTCTTTTTGGTGGTCTCCTTAGGAGGCGGAGCAACATAAATGCCCTGCTCGGTCTCGGGTATGTTTTGTCTCTGGTACGTGTTTCCATCGTAGATAGGCTGTCCATACTCGTCAAACTGTTGCTGGCCAGCGCCGTAAGACGAAGAATACTGGTTCTCGGTGAAGTGTGGGAAGTCCTGTCTCACTCTCCATCCCAGAGTAGGTGTTTCCAATTGTTGTTTGTAAGTCAAATCTCCCGTAACGGCATATTCAAATGATCTGATGGTATCCATCGGTCTTTCGTCACGGGATCTCGAGGGATTGGAAATGTCCGGGTTTACTATCGTATTGCCGAACACGTCCTTCAATCCACCATCGCCCAAAGACGAATGTCTCTGGTGCTCGTTGGCTGACTGTTCGAACGGCTGTGCCTCGTTGACCGCGTTCAAAATCGGGTCGTGCACGTTCTGGGACCGCATCTTCAATCTTTTGGCGTCATCATCGGTGATCTTCACCTTGAGCTTTTCGTTGGACGATTGAGAGTTTCTTTTAAACAGACCCATTTGGAAAAAGGTTATGTATTTTTATTTACAGAACTTTTCTCTTGAGTTTTTTTCCTTCAAAGGGGGGTGTATGTGGAAGCACAAAAGCGCAGAAACTTTAAACAACCTAAATAAACAAAGTTTACAGCTTTTGCCTAAAATCTCGTTTCTGTATTGCAAGATGCAGATCCTTGTGTCTGTCGTGTTCCTGCGCACGTTTTGTGCGGTGAACTTCCATTTTTAACTTCAATCTCCTCGCTTCAGCCTCGATTTCCGCCAAGCGTCTATCGGCGCGTCGGCCAAGCCCACGTCAATTATTGTCCCCACACATTTTTTTTATTGTGATTCAAATTAAATAAGACCGCGTCTTATCAGTCTTTGCCATCGTGTTTGAAACGTCAGATCTCGCGAAAACATTCCGACAATCTCCAAACCCGCTATCTACAGGCAGAGGTCGACTGGATACTTTTTCCAAAACGTCTCGTTCTTCAGCAATCGGTCGTTTGGAACAAATGTCCTCTTTTCGGAGTGTTCCTGAATCATCCTTAAAGACAAACTATTTGTCTTCTTTGGGCGAATTGGCAGAATGGTCTGACCGCATAAAGGACTGTGTTTACGAACTGGACGATTTTAAGAAACCAACAGAGCCTCTCGCTGCATATAAACGTTCCAAACAAAACAAAACGTCTGATGACGTCAAGCTGTTGGTGTGCCATGATTTCAAAGGCGGGTATCAGGAAAATGAAGACGACTCATTATTAGGTTATTTCCCACATCCCGACGGAAAACACTACTATCTCCAGTATCCACAACTGGTGGACAAATTTGTGTATTTCTCCCACCATCGTATAAGTATCCCGCCAGCAAGTTGGATCAACTTTTGCCACAAGAACGGAATCAAGTGTTTTGGCACAATCATATTTGAAGGAAATGCATACACTGACTTTGAAGAACTTGACAAATTGGTGACGAAGAAAGATGGGAAGTTCCAGTTCGTGGATACCCTATTGAAATTGGTGGATTATTTTCAATTTGACGGGTTTCTACTTAATATAGAGACTCGTTTCAGCAACATCAAAATCGCCAGTTTGTTGGAAGCATTTGTCGAACAGCTGAGAGCCGAGTTGCACGTTCACCGGGCCTCTAATGAACTTATCTGGTATGACTCGTATATTTATCCCGAGAACAAGGTTGTTTACAAGAATGGAGTCAACGATCTAAATTACAACTTCTTCGCCTCCACCGACGCTTTTTTCACCAACTACTGGTGGAACATGAAACATCTCCAGGATAACATCAAAAACATTGGACTTTTGGGGTGTTCTAAAAGTGTTTATGTCGGTTATGATGTTTGGGGAAGAGGCACTCTAATCGGAAAAGGAGGTTACGATACAGCGATTGCATGTCAGATGATCAAAAAGTTCCGCTCCAACGTGGCCATTTTCGCTCCGGCCTGGACTTACGAGTACTTGGGCCGTTCAAAATTTATCGAAAACGATACGCGCTATTGGATCGGTTTACACGATAACGAATCTTCCATAGCAACATCGTTTCAACCACACAACTCGCCGTTGTTGAAGATAAACGATTCGAACTTCATGTTTTACACAAATTTCAACTCAGGAGAAGGTGTTGCATTTTACGAGAGCGGGGAAAGAGTGTTCGACAATCCTTGGGTGAACGGATCACTGCAGCTAGAACTGCCATTCAACATCCATAAGTCTAACAAAAATGGCTTGAAATGGGGGTTGGACAAGTCAGATTCGTATCACGGAGGCTCCTGTTTGAAAGTCAAGTATACTGAGATCACAGACTCCAATGGGTACCAGGTATTTAATAACACAACAGTGAATACGTTGCCCTTGTTTTCCTTCCGTCAGGATTGCGACTCGTTGACAACGTATGTGAAAGTGACTTACAAGTTGAATCACAAAATGGCTTCGTCTTTCAAGTTGAAGGTCAGTTACTATATTGAACGTCGATACAGGAACGTCCAGAAAGTGAGGAGCGGATGTCTAATCATTCCACTAATGTCTACAACCGGAAAATGGTTCACTATTGAGGAGCCTTTGCATGTGAAGTTACAAACCTCTCACGAGTTCGTGGTGTTGGATTCTGCTGTTTTATGTTATGAGGAGACCGACAACCAGCTTGCGCGCAGCTACGTTATTGAGGATTCATCTCCTTCTTCTGTCATTGACAATGAAGAGTACGAAAAACTGATAAACAGCGAGATTTATTTCGACGACGAAGATGAAGACTGGATTCTCGTTCCCTCAGATATTGCTCTGGAGTCTATTGAGAATGGCGGCAAAGAACAAGGTCCACTGCAGGCGATGGTTAACAAGATAAGCAAACGCAAATCGGTTGTTCAAGATTCTGCCCCGCCTGTTTTGAAGCTCGGAGAGTTGGCGGTTATTAACGCCAATGAGTATCCGTCGTCTTCCTTCTTCAAACTTCCGATCGTCAAAACTGTTGCTGTGCAGTCTTTGAGCAACCAGTTGCTTTTAACTTGGGATACTATTCAACGATGCGTTTGGTACCATTTGATTTTCGTTGATGATAAGTTCGTTGGAGTTTCTCTCCATACACGATTTTTATTGGACTACGATTTCAAAAAGAAGACGGCCAACAAGAACGGCTCGTATGGACTGAAAGTTCGTGTCGATAGCATTAACAGGCTGGGTGTGGCTACAAAAGGAGTTGATTTATATTTGTGAGTGTGTGCGGCCATGTGGCTCGATAAAGTTTATTTGAGACCTAGCGTTTTATCGATTTAAAATTATTTGCTAGGCGGCAATCTACTCATTGCTATGGATGTTCTCAAGTCTGACAAGGAATCCGCGACACTGCTTGACAAGCCACTGGATCAAAAAGAAGCGGTTGGCTTAAGCCGATCCCTTGACGGGCAGGTTGGTCTCCAGCCGCCAAAAACCAATAATATTCATCCCTTGTACCAGCTTGCAAGAACACAGGTCCCTTCCCAACTAGACCTGGGCATGAACAGAACATACTCCTCATTTGGATCCGAAGGAAGCTTGCTGGAATCATCGAGACGAAGAAACGGTTCTTCATTTAGTTTCCAGTCCAACGACAGTTTTCGAAACAGTGTTTTATCGTCTCCCGAGAAACCAAGCTCCAGCACCATGAAAACCAGCTACGTTGTAATTAATGGATTTCCGTTTCCGCTGGAGATCGTGTTCCCCAAGAAGATCTCGCCGAAAGCTCGTCTGAAGGTGCTGAAAAAAGAAGAGGATAGCGTTTGCGTTTCCAGACCTGCTACGCAGCCGCTTCCTTCCAAGAAGTCGAGTCCTCTACTTCAAAGTAAAAGCAAGTCGCTTCTTGCTATTCCCGAGATCACTGTGGTGGACAAGAAGATGGACTCAGAGCTCGAACCGCAGCTGATCTTTGACGATTTCCGACATGGTCGGTACGAGCCGATGGCACAAACGGAGGCCTGTGACGACGATGACGACATTTCGTTATATTCCAGCATCAAGAGACTGTTGTACGACTCTTTGGAAGAGCTGGAAACAAAGCAGGTGCCTATAGCGTCGTCCTGTGTGAGCGAAGACCTTTCCGCGAAAGCAACGAGCTCGGCAAACAAGTCTGGGGCCAAACGCGAACCACTGTTCTACATTGCTGGCTACCAAGAGGCCGCCAGAATCATCAAGTCTTCCGATACCTTGCTAGAGGAGAAAGAAAACCAGGGCAACGTTCTGCCAGAGAAACTAAAGGTTATCAGCTGTTCCCCGTCATTGTTGGATGAACTGTGTCCTCAAGACAACGATCATCCGTCTCCGTCACTACAAATGCTGATGAGTCTAAATATGCTTGGCGATGATTTATTTATGCGTGATTGTCTGGTCTAGCGCAGCGGGGAACGAGTCAGCCCGCTATCGAAGGAGGCCTCGCTGATGGTTGTCAGTGGGGAGTTTGCGTTGCGAGTGAACCCGCGAAACTGGATCGGGTTAGAGAGCTCTGCCAAGTCGACACTGTCGTCGTACTCGTCGGTCACGTCCTCGCTGCCGCTGACGTCGACCGGCTGCTCCAGACTGTTGGACCGCGAAATGGGCTTGAAAAACGTGATTGTTTTGCTGCTGGTCTCGATCCGGTCGCCAGACGTGTCCGATGCAACGCTTGGATATGATGTAATGTTTGACTTTAATTGTTTGCGACGCTGCTTCCGCAGGTACGCCTGTGTTGTAGTGGACAGGCTTGCCAGCTGGGATTCCTGTTCCTCGTCGAACTCGTAGTCCTCGGGGATCTCGTTGACCTCGTCGAGCATCGAGCTGAACGGCTGCTCCTTGGCCGTCTCGTCGTTCGCGTACCACGAGTACCTGTGGTTCAGAAAGTCGAGCTCGTCGTCGTCGTCGCGCGACTGCAATTGGTGGTACTTGATGCTGTTGGACCTGAACCGCGTGACCAGCTCCTGGATATCTGAAGACGGTGGATCTGCTGCCACCAGCGGTGGGCTTATGGTGTCGGTTGTTTCCTGGTCCGACTGGAAATGGTACTCTCCATGAACAGTCAACGGCCGGTCGGCTTTCTCGTCCACATCAAAGTCCTGGTACTCGTCCTCGTCGTCGCTGGAGAACATTTTCCGGTTGAACAGGTCTTCCGTGTCGTCTTCCTCGTCGCCATCGTAGTAGTTCATGTCCTCCTGGAGGTCGTGCAACGACTCGTTGTCGTTGATGAACTCCTTGAACTCGTCCTGGTTATCTTTCAGCTGCGCACGCATCTCCTCGTACTTGAGCTGGTCGTACGACTTGTAGTACTTGAGCGAGGCGTTTCTGCCCTGGGCCTCGAACGAGAAGTGCGACGAGGACGAGCTGGTGTCTGAGTCCTGGTCCTGTTTGCGTTTGATCACCACAATGGAGAAATCTTCCACAGACTCCAGGCTTTCTTTGCTGCCGTCGATCTCGAGCCCGATCGGCTTTGTGGACTCCTCGAGCGACGCAGACGAGCTCTTTTTGTACACATCGTTGAGTTTCGACTTGGCAACCCGGTCGGTCTCTGGATCCGAGTCTGGCTCGGGTCTTTCAAAGCCATGCAGCAACGATTGCGGACTGCCGTTTGCGCTCCAGTCGTGGGTCTTTGTGCCGAAGATTGTAGGGCTTTTGAGCACGTCATTAAACTCAGCGTGGGTCGAGTTGTAAAGACTCAGGTTCGTGGGTTTTGTGCGAAACTTATCCTGGCCAGAGGGTCCCACGCTGGTGTTTGACATGCGATGCTTCAAAAAACTCTTGATTGGATTTTTCAGCTTGCGGCCTGGAGACGGCGGCGGCGAAACACTATCAGTGTCACCAAGTCTCGGTCGCGGCCCCAACGAAGAGTCCTTGTGCGATTTTATAAGAGACCGCATATTCTAAAAAGAGATCTGTTTAAATATTCAAATTAAAATGGGGACGGGGACGTGTGTGAGTTGAGTTAAATATTACTGCATACATTTTTAGTAACTAGTGATTTTATTATGTAGTACTTATTATGGATACTCGCCTCGCTCAAAACTATGCTTCGTTACTGCTTAGTGGCAACACCGTTGGCGCGTTCTGGTCTATTCTGCTTCTTCTCCAATGGATATTGAAACCCTCCAAGACTCAATCTCTCGTTTCTCTCGACGATCTGGTTCACCTTCTCGCTCAGGTTCAATGCAAGCTCCTGCAGCTTGGAGGCCTTTGGCTTGTTGCTCTCGACAAGCTCCAGGATGTTGGCCGGCTGGTTGTACAGAGCGGTGATCTCCTCATTCGAGATCATCTTCAAAACCGTGCTCTTGACAACTCTCTCCTCAAGCTGGAAAATGGTGGCCAGGTTCGAGATCGACAGTTTGGTAAAGAACGACTCGTTCGTGAACAAGTACGTTCTTAAGGCCTCGATCTGCAACTTCTCCTGCAACATGGCCTTGATCTTGTCGCTGTTGTTGAACAGGTCCCAGATCTTGATCGAGTTGATCAGCTTACTGGCCTTCTGCCAGTCAGACTTGAGCAGAGCCTTAGCAGCAAGCATGATGTAGTCTCTGGTGTACTCTGGAGGTCCGTCGAAAATCTGTCTCTCGTGGTACTCCAACACTCTCTTGAAAGACTTCGACACGGCAACTCTTCTCTTGGCAAAGTCTGGGTTCTGGGCCATCAATGGCACCTCCGTCAACATTGACGCAGTGTAGAATGCACATTCAAGCAACTCCAGGTTCACGTGCATGTGGAAAGGCAACAGTCTCTGTTTGTCGACCTGTGATTGTTGCAATTGGAATCTCTGCACTCCTTGTCCCAACAGTTCTTTCTGTCTTGGAGAGGTGGCAATCTCGTACAAAGACTGTTGGGCCTCTTGGATCAAACCACATCTGAAAGCACTCAGTCCAAGTTGCACCAGAGATCTATTGAAAAGAACCTGCAATTGAGGGTCGGCAGTATGGATGGTGGCCTGCAAGTGCGACAGCAGCAACATGTCACGGGCCTTGAAGTATTGATCGTTGAAAGCATAGTAGTAAATGTGGTAGAGAACGGCCTTCTTTCTGAACACAGAGTTTGGCTGTTCGTAGAGCACCAGACAGAGAGCGTCGATCAATCCGTTGGTATATTCGACTCCCTGTGGACCAGACTCGGTCAACTTGGAGTAGATAGGCGAGTCCAAAGACTCTTCCAACTTCTTCCACACAGTGTTCTCGCTGAAAATGATGAGCTTGGATGGCTTGAAGTAGATGTAGTCCAATCTCTTCAAGATCACTCTTGCCAATTGGTCGCCCTTTGGTGTGGCCAAGTCCTCTCTAGAAATGATCGACTCGTAGTAAACCTGTGCTCTCACCAAAAGAGTGTACACGGAAGACTCGTCTCTCAATCTGGAAACGTACTCTGTGGAGTGAGGGTCGATGGCCAACAAATGCGAGGTGAGCTCGTCAGCAAGTCTTTCAACTAACGATGCAATAGAACCAATCAACTGTCTGACACCATTGGCGTCGGCCTCTGGCTCGGTCTCAATATCGTCGACAGGAGCAGCGGTCTCGCTGACAATGTAGTTACGGTTCTTCTCCAAAACGTCCATCAATGCATTAATGTCTCTTAGAGCAAATCTCCATTGCTCAAGAGGCATAAACGCAGCCTTGGAGTACAGGTCGAATCTGATTGGAACCAGCAACAGGTAAACAGATATCAAATGGAATGGTTTCTTAGCCAACTGTGTGAGTTCTTCCAACTGACCGATTTGCTCGCTCAGATCCACATTTTTCTTACCTCTGGTTTCTATGATAGAACGCAAAATTGTGAATATTCCAGCACCCTCGGAGTCTTGAGCCGACTTGCTGGTTTCTGTTTGAACAGGTGTTTCTGGTTCCACGGAAGCTCCACTCTCATAAGCTTCAGGGTTCTTTCTGTATTGATCGATTTCGCTTTGATAGTCCTTAATGGCCTTTTTCACTCTCTGCTTAACAACGTTTAATGCTTTGGATTCAGAAGAGTTCAACTTCTTCTTGACGTCTTTATCTTGGAAGGAGGTAATGGCGTCCTCCAGAATTGCAAGCGACTTGATGTATAAACGCGGAACACGGATTTGGAATTGGCCGGACTTTTGAACGGATTTGCTTAACTTATCAAACTCACTGACGATCTTGATCCAGTCCTCAACCATGGAGTAGTTCTCAATTTGATCAACAAGGTTGGCAATCTCCTCCAAGTATTTCTCTTTGGCACTCTTGACAACCCTCTTTTCTTCTCCATCACTGTCTGAGTCACTGTCTCCTCCTCCGCTCTTAAAATCTTTCTTCAAGAAATACGAGGGACCTCTAACTTTACCAGCCTGGTAGTCGTCGTCGGAATCAGAATCCAAACCGGAGCCTGAGTCCCAATCCTCGTCACTTTCATCATCCTCTTCTTCTGGAGAACCTTCTTCGCTAGAAACGTCTCCAGCTTCGGATTCCGACGATGAAAGAAGCTCCTCACTCGAGGAGAGCAATTCCTCGTCCGACGAGTCCTCTGAATCGTATGTTGTCGTAAAAAACCTCGACATACTGTTGTTTAGTAGAATAGATCCTGCTATACTTGTTGCTGATTTTTTATGAAAAATTTTACAGGGGGTGCACGACCAGATTGATTTCTTAGTAGGGGAAGACTACACGTTTAACTTGTTGGTTATTTTGGGCCATGAGATTGGTTCGAACCTTTTTTAAATTCAAATATGGCTTTCTCGTAATCTTGTAAACCAGAGTCTGTAGTTATCAGAGTCAAATCGTAGCTCCAATCATACAATTCGCGGCCCCATGCTACCACATACTGGCTATTTTTTTCCTCGCTCTGCCAACCAAAATCACGCTTAGGTAAGCAACCCTTCCTCCAACTCTCGCTGGAAAAAACTAAAAGAACAACAAGACAAACAAAGCACGCATCACCCTTCCAATTGATTTAAACCCTTGGATTACTTTCCTCAATTGCACCAGTTTCTGCTTAGCTCCAAGCAACTGTTTATTTCAAGATGAAGATGCTCACTAAGGTAAGTGATCCGACTTGTTGACGTGTACTGTATACTAACATCTTCCAGTTTGAATCCAAGTCTTCACGGGCAAAGGGTATTGCTTTCCACCCAAAAAGACCTTGGATCTTGGTTGCTCTCCACTCCTCGACGATTCAGCTTTGGGATTACCGGATGGGAACCTTGATCGACAGGTTTGAAGAGCACGATGGTCCGGTCAGAGCTGTTGATTTCCATCCAACGCAACCGATTTTCGTGTCTGGTGGTGACGACTACACCATCAAGGTTTGGTCTTTGCAAACCAGGAAATGTCTGTTCACTTTGAACGGCCACTTGGACTACATCAGAACCGTGTTTTTCCACCATGATTTGCCATGGATCCTTTCGTGTTCGGACGATCAAACCATCAGAATCTGGAACTGGCAAAACCGCCAGGAAATCGCTTGCTTAACCGGTCATAACCACTATGTGATGTCTGCTCAGTTCCATCCTTCCCAAGATTTGATTGTCTCCTCATCTTTGGATCAGACCGTCAGAGTTTGGGATATCTCGGGATTGAGAAAGAAGCACTCGGCACCTCAAGGTGGCTTGCGCTCTTTCGACGACCAGTTTGCCAGAAACCAGGTTCCTCAACAGGATATTTTTGGTAACACAGATGCAGTCGTCAAATACGTCCTTGAAGGTCATGACAAAGGTGTCAACTGGGCCACGTTCCACCCAACACTGCCTTTAATCGTCTCCAGTGGTGACGACAGAGTCGTTAAACTCTGGAGAATGAGTGAAACTAGAGCTTGGGAAGTCGACAGCTGTAGAGGACACACCAACAACGTCCCTTGTGTGCTGTTCCACCCAACCGAAGACCTCATTATTTCTGTTGGTGAAGACAGAACTATAAGAACTTGGGATCTGAATAAGAGAACCCCTGTCAAGCAGTTCAAGAGAGAAAATGATAGATTCTGGCTTGTTATTGCCCACCCACACATGAACTTGTTTGCTGCATGTCATGACTCCGGTGTGATGGTCTTCAAGCTTGATAGAGAAAGACCAGCCAATACTCTTTTCCAAAACACTCTCTTCTTCATCAACAACGAAAGTCAAGTTCAGCAATACCAGTTTGACAAGCAGCAAGTGTCACTTCCAATGCTTTCTCTCAACAAAATCAGCAAGTCATGGACTAAAATCAGAAACATTTCTTACAACCCAGCAGAGCGTTCTTTGCTGGTCCAGGCTGGCGAAAATGAAAACGGCGTTTACGCTTACATGGATCTTCCAAAGGAGATCGTTGGTGCTTTAGAACCAAGCCCAAGAGGTGAAGGATCCGCCACGGCTTCATGTTTCATTGCCAGAAACAGATTCGTCACCTTCTCCAAGATCACACATAAATTAGAAGTTAGAGACCTCAGAAATGCTGTTACCAAGGTCATTGACTTGGATCCCGCTGTTAAGGATATCCTCTATGCAGGACCTGGTACCGTCTTGTTGATGAAACCTAATGAGGTGGTTCATTACGACGTTCAACAAAAGAAAGAGTTGGCAAAGATTCAAATAAGCAACGCCAAATATGCTGTTTGGTCTGCAGACACCCAGTATGTCGCTCTCCTGTCTAAGCATACCATTGTCATTGCAAACAAGAAACTCGAAACATTGATGTCTATGCACGAGACCATCAGAGTGAAGAGCGCTGCATGGGACGATTCCGGTGTTTTGATCTACTCCACTTTGAACCACATCAAGTATGCCCTTTTGAACGGCGACAACGGAACAATCAAGACCTTGGAGAACACCCTTTATGTCATTAAGGTGTCTGGTAGACAGTGTTACTGTCTGAACAGAAAGAGTGAAGTTGAAGTCGTGCCAATTGACCCAACTGAGTACAGATTCAAGAAGGCTTTGGTCAACAAGAACTTCAACGAGGTTCTTAGAATCATCAAGACATCCAACCTTGTTGGTCAAAATATCATTGGCTACTTGCAGAAACAGGGGTACCCTGAAATTGCTTTGCAGTTCGTTGAGGATCCAGAGACCAGATTTGAGTTGGCAATCGAATGCAACAACTTGGACATCGCTCTTGAAGAGGCGAAGAAGTTGAACAATGCCGTGATTTGGGAAAAGCTCGGTAAGGAGGCAATTCTGCAAGGTAACGTTCCTGTTGTTGAGCTTGTCTATCAACAGCTCAAGAAATTGGAGAAATTGTCTTTCATCTACCTTGTTTCCGGTGAAACTGACAAATTGTCCAAGATGGAGCAGATCGCCGAAAACAGAGGCGACTTCTCTTCTTTGTTCCAGAACACTCTTTACTTGAATTCCATTGAAAAGAGAATCAACACTTTCATTGAAACCGGTCTCACACCTCTTGCATATGCCCTTGCGAAGACCAACGGTCTAGACGATATTGCCGAGTCTATCTTGTCTGAATCTGGATTGACCGAAGCAGACATCCAAATGCCAGAATTTGGTCAACAGAGCGCTGTTGAGCAACCAAAGACCATTTCCAACACCCCATGGCCTTTGGAGAAAGCTTCGTTGTCGTTCTTCGAGGAGGCGCTTCTTGGGAACTTTGAGGGTCTATCTCTCGAAAGTGAGCCACAGGCGCAACCTAAGAGCGCTGACAAATTTGCATCCAACCTTGAAGACGAGAATCTGTTTGAAGATGCCGAGCCATTGGAGGAAGATGAAGGTTGGGACCTTGGCGATGAAGACCTTGAAGTCGAAGTCGATGAGGAGGCTGAGGATGAAGAGTTTGAAGAGGTTGGCGCGCTATCTGGAGAGTTGGGTCTTTGGGTCAGAAACTCCAGATGTGCTGCCGGATACATTGCTGCAGGAGCGTTTGAGCCTGCTGCTCAGATGCTGAACAAGCAGCTCGGTATTGCCAACTTTGAGCCTTTGAGAAAGAGATTCTTGGAGGTGTACCAGGCCAACAAGGTTTCTTTCCCAGCGATTGACGGTCTTCCATCCCTCAAGACTTATGTGCGGGCTGATCCTGAGGAAGAGAGCAGCTCCAAGGCACTGCCATTTGTGCCAGGATTCGACAAGCTTGAAACCGGACTGCACGAAGGATTCAAGCTGTTTAAGGCCAACAAGCTTGAGGAGGCCATTGTTGTTTTCAGAGAGCTGATCTACGTTGTTGCCACGTTGGTGGTGTACGACAAGGACGATGAGGAGAAGTGCAAGGAAATCTTGAGTGTGTGCAAGGAGTACATTTTGGGTCTTTCAATCGAGCTGGCCAGAAGAGCGTTGCCTCAGGACGATGCGAAGCGCAACTTGGAGCTTGCTGCTTACTTCACTAAGGCCCAGCTGCAGCCTGCACACAGAGTGAACGCTCTGCAGGTTGCCATGACACAGTCGTTCAAGTACAAGAACTATGCTCTGGCTTCTTACTTTGCCGGTGAGTTCTTGTCTGTTGTTTCGTCTGGACCTCGTGCTGACCAGGCCACCAAGATCAAGGCCAAGTCCGACTCGATTTCCACAGATGCTGTTGAGGTGGACTTTGATCCATATGCCGACTTTGAGGTGTGCAGTGGTACGTTTACGCCGATATATAAAGGTTCTCCTTCGGTGACGGAGGCCCTGACTGGTGCGCGGTACCATGCTAGTGAGAAGGGAAAGATTTGTTCCATCACCAAGGTGACTATTATTGGGGCTCCTGCTTCCGGTCTGCGTATTTTGGCTTGATGTATTAATTTCGTACAATGAATTTTGTCATATATCGTTACATATCGTTACATATCGTTATGTTTGCGTTTTTTGGTGTGAAGAGCGTACCAATTTTCGAACTTTTCCACAAACAGCGACGGTTTCCCTATGACTGCGGTGGGGAGTGCTGTTTTCACTTTAGCGATGATCCGTTTGTGAGCCTTGTCTGCTGATTCGATGTTATCGATGTCTGAGAGCAAACTTTTGTAGAATGGTAGCAGGTTTGCCAATGCCTCTAATTCCAACGCGGAAACGGTTTCTTTTTGCATCACGAACCAGCCAATGAGCCAGATCACCTTGATGAAGTTTGGGAACTTGAATCTGTCCGGGACTTTGGTGTTGATTTCGATCTTGTAGATTTCCAAATGGTTTTTCAGACTGAGCAGGTTGAGGAAGTTGCCGCCAATAATCACCGAGTCGCATGGAGTGTACACTGAATGGATCCAGCCAGAGGGCAGGATCAGCAGGTCGCCTGCGTCGATGTTGATCTTGATGCCGTTGTTCATGTACGCCGGGTCTAGTTTGTCTCTGGTACGCAACGGTTGCACCAGGTCGCCAAACCACACAGAGTTCTGATCGTCGGACAAACACCATTTTTCGTACGCAGCAAGATTGCGCTTGGTTGGCGGGAACATGAGAAACTGCTTCTTACCCTGTAGAATGGTGTAGTACACGGAGGTTCCGCCAAAGTCGATGTGGAAATCGGTGAACGAGTCTTTCACCGACATGAGAATATATTTGCTGACTTTGGGCCGTTCGATGTCGTGCTGGGCCAGCTGGTCCTTGCAATCGTGGAAGATCTTGTTGACAACGTCGATGTCGCGCACACACTTGGGCAGCTCGATCTGCGCGTCCAGCGGCGACTGTGACACCTCCAGACTGATCACGTTGCGGATTCGGTCGCGATCCTGGGAGCTGAGGTTGAAGTAGTCTCTCCACTTCTGGAGCGTCCAGTTCGGTGAGTTATTCTGCGTCAGCACGTCCATCACAGGCACCTCCTTGTCAAGACCGACCTGCTCAGCGATCTGGTCCACGCTCAGCTTGGGGAACCGGAAACTCAGGTCGTAGCAGCTCTTTGCGTTGGTCACAGTGGGATTGCACGCGGGGATCAGGATCGGCCGTTTCATCTGCGTGCGGAAAATGATGTCCTTGATGGTGGCGTCCGTTATGCGGCCATTGGAGTCGCCGTCAACCTCGGGCCGCACAATGTATATCAGCTTATCCAAGGGCCTATCGTTATCGAAGCTCTTGAACCGGTCAATATGCGGGTGTTTATCGATTTCGCGCAGCTGCTGGCCCTCGTTGAACGCGATGTAGTCGATCTTGCGCTTGGCACGGCCGGACTTGCGGCGCAGCACCGAGTCGCCGTGTTTGGCTGCGCAGTCGGTGCAGTGGTACTCGGCAATCAGCTCGAGCTCGTGTCTTTTCAATCCCACGCACAAGGCGTGGAACCAGCGTGCACACACCTCGCAGCCTATCCACACGGGCTGCGGTGCGAGGCCCGCGTCGGTATCGTCGGCACAATGGCAAACGGAGCAGGTGTCGTTGTTGATGTTCTGAACCGTCATCTAGTGAGCCGGGTAAAATAATATTTCAAGGCAGAGCCGAAAAAAATTGAAAAATCCAATAAAATTCAACTCAACACCATGCTTTCTTTACGTCGGGGATTTGCGTCTTGCGTGGCCCGGTGCCAGAACAAGGCCGCGCGGTCGCCAAAGAACATTCAAGCACAATACGAGGCCAAAAGACAGGAGGTGATCAACCCAAGATTCATTAACGGGTTCGAGAGCCAGACTACTTACGACCCGTTCGACTTCTCGATGGCCAAACTCAAGTTCGCCGCTAAACAGGAAACAGAGCTCAGAAAAACAAGACTGACAAAGTCGCTGCTCAACGCCAAAGAGGTCAACCCTCTGGACTTCTATCTGTTCCCAAAATTGCTGTCGCAGAACCTGTTTCCCGTCGGAACCATCAAACACAGATCCGTGACACAGCTGAAGCCAAAGAAACAGGTCTTGATGACCAGAGCCGTCAAACGTGCTGTCAACGCTGGGTTCCTTGGTACAATGTCGCGGGACGTGGTGTACAGCCCAAGAAGAGGTGAAACACTATAGATTCGTGTATCTTCGTGTATATATATACTTTAAACAAGTTTCTTCGCATCTACTCCAATCCACTTGAGGTACACCGTGGTGCCGAACCCGTGCACCGTCTTGAGCTGGATATCGCCGTGGAACAGTCGGTTGTACGTCAAACTCAACGGCAACCCATATCCCATACCGGCAATGATGTTGGCCTGGTTGCCGCCCGTGTGGTTCAAAGTCTTGTACGAGTCTCCGTCCACAGACTCGGAGTCAAAAGTGGTGAACGAGTAGTCAAACAGCTTCTTTTCCACTTCGGGGTCGATCCCCAGTCCCTGGTCGCTGATGCGGATCTCTAAATGGTAGAACTGCGGACCTTCCTTGGTCACGTCCGGCTTGTTCACCACAATCAACGTCTCTATAGGAACCCTGACCTCGTTCTCAATATGTGCTCTTGTGGAGTTCTTCAAAATCTCGTTCAAGACGTACTCTATGTGCGCAGAAATGTACGGGAACCGCAGAACAGGATGGCCCTGCGCAGTCTCGAAGTTCTCAATGTTGTACTCGGTGGCACTCTCGTCGCTGTTGATGGTGACCGTACGCACGTCCATCCTGATTTTCTCGTCGTATTTCAACGACGCCATATCGTTGACAAACCCAAACGAGCGCTCCAGAATCTCCAAAACGTTCAGGTTCGGCTCAATTATACCGATGTGGTCGAGCCCTTCAAACTCGCCCCCAACGTTCTTGAGCTGCTCAGAAAGCTGTATATGATGGTTTGCCAGCAACCTCATCAGAATTCTCTCCTGCAAATGCTCGTTCAAGAATGTTGTGTCGTTGATCATCGTCAGTCCAGAGATTTCCTCAAACCCCTCGCTCAAAATCGACAAATTGTCTGTGTGGATGTCTATAGTTTGCTTCAGAACCTCAAGAAACTTGTCGTTCTGGTCCAGATTCTGGATCTTGAAATTCAGCTCGTCATCCGCAATCTCACACTCTGGATCGCACTCGGCGACGAAATCCAACAGAACTTTCAACGTTTCCAGATACGAGTTGTATATCTCGGCAATCTTGGGGTTCAACACCACAATGTACGGCAATTTCATAAACTCGGATAGTCTCTTGGTCACCAAGACAAACATGTCGCTCAACGTATCGTTAGCGTTCTCTATCAACATCAACGGCTTGTCTTTATGTGAAGCAACAAAGCTGAACCGAAGCAGATCGTCCAAAGAAACCGTTGGCAGAGGTCTGGAGGCCTCCTTCTTGATAAACCGTTCAAGAGCCGTTCTTAATTGATGCTGGTTTTGAAGATTGCTATCAGGCTTCTCGTGTATGAAATGTCTCGAGTTGAAGCGAACAAGCGGTCTTTTGGGGAGAATCCATCGCTTTCTGCAATTTCGTAGGAAAAGAGACATGTTGGACGAGACAAACAGTTAAGAATTAAAACTTTTTCCCCACAAATATATTTTGTCACTATTTATTTCCAACCTTGGCACGACTCAACAACAATTCGGACCCGTTGCGTTGGTTGTATCTGCGTGGAGGCGGCGGAGGCGGCTTGCGACGACGCACCCCTTTCGAGTCCAACGACGAGCTGGACGAGTTGCTGCGAGTACGGTCGAAAGGCAGCGGAGTAGGCGAGTCTGGCGATTCCAACTCGCTCATAATCGACGACTGAGACGAGTCATGGCGGATCAGCGTCTGCGGAAACGATGGCTTCAAGGCTATTGGACTTGGTGTCGGCTCCACAAAGAAGTCCAGCAGCAAACATCGCTCGGCCAGGCGTCTGGTGGTTTCTGTGGTCTGCTCTGCTGCCGTCAAATATTTAAGAACTTCGTACAAACTTTCTCTTTTGTACCTTCCGTCCTTGATGCTAGAAAAAAGTAGCATTGGATATAACACTCTCAGATAAGTGTTGATCAATGCTTCTTCGTTGACAATGGATAAATTAAACAATTCTCGAATCATAATGTCTATAATCAGCCTGAGGTCGTTGACATACAAGTTGCTGCACGTATTGGAGGTGGTGAACACCAAGTAGAACACTTTCAGAATGAGGATCCGAATCACAGGGTCCTCCTCTCTGTTAAAGTTGAGGATAAGCACTTCGTTGAAGTTTTGGAAATGCTGGCTATTCTCGGTCATTTTCACAAAAAACCGGTTCTCCATCTGATGGGTTGGGTTTTCTGCAATGTACGAGAAATGAGCCACCATGAACTGTTCGTTGAGCACCAACAGAAGCTTGAATTTCAGAAAGTTGAGGATGTCGTCGTCTTTGGGCGCAACTTTCAGGCTGTGAAACAGATATTCAAGCAGCTGCGTACTGATATGAGCCAGCTCGGAGGTGTCAAACTCGTAGTTCTTGCACAGCTCAAACGAAAGCTCCAGATACGTAGAGTAGTTGAACACGTAAGGGTCCTTGTCGTGGGTGTTGCGGGATATTCGGGCGTAGTTCGACAAAACATCGGCCAGAGTCTCAAACCCATGGAACTCTTTTAAAATGTCCAGCACTTTCTGTTTCTCGGACTGGTAGTTCACTATAAGGATCCAGCCAATGATCTTGATGAGTTTTTCGTTTGTCATGATGGACATGTTGATTTGATCTTGAACATCAGAGTCCAAATGATCAATTTCTAGCTCCAAATTGAACTTGTTGCGATCCACGCCATAGGTCAATAGGGAAAGCATTTTGCGTATACAAAACTGCAGATTCAGCTGGTAATCATCCAGATTGACCACAAAGTCTGAAATCTCATGGTAGAACTGATCTTCTTTGTCGGGAGTGGTGAGTTGTTCGCAGTGCTCGCAAACCAATGTGATGTAATTCACAAGCAACATATTTATTCTGTCCTCTGAACAACGATGCTCACTCTCACTACCTTCGTGATAAAACAGATCATTTGCTATATCCCAAAACTTGTCCAGAGTTATGTTTTCCTCACGCATCAGCTCGACATTGGTCATTTTTCAGACCCGCCGTGTTTATAAAATAGTGGTATTATTTCTATTCCCCGATATCTATTTGGCAGCCCCTAGGAATTAATATTGTCTTTAATTAAAATGTATGGCTTATCTGAGGTAAGTTGGGGAGATTACGATTATTTTTGCTAACTTGAAAGGTCTACGAAAGTGAACATGACGCAGAAAAGGCTACAATCAAAGCAGACTACACAAGGGCAATTGGCTGTCATGAGTCGTCAATTGCTTTGTTGCAAGATATTATCGATAAAATAAATGAGGAATCGTTGATCAACCATTTCAACACCATCAATTCGCTTAAAACATTGAAATTGCAGATCGAAAAACGAATAGATCAGCTCAGATTGGTACAGAAATCAAAAGAATCAAAGCAATTGCGCGACCAAACCCCAATCATCAAGGAAAGTTCAGCCATTTCTGTTACCGATACCACTTTAACAGACCAAATCAGACTACTGATGGCAAAAGACCTCAATTACGATATGGAAACAAATAAAGTCAAATTCATAGACCAGGAAAAGATCAACCAGCTCGAGCATGAACTCCAATTGCTCAACTTCAAAGAGAAATCCTCAAAGCAACAAACTCTCGAAGAAGCAAAACTTAAAACAGATACACTCACGGACCTGAACCTGGTTTATTACAGTGAACTGATGGCAAGTCATGAATTCATCAAAGACCTACTTAAACTGCTCGGAACAGGACCCCAACAGAATGATATCGACCAGTACCAGGAACTGAAAACAACCATAGATGATCTACAACAAAAATTGGCTACTCAGGAAAGAGACCGCATTCTCTTGGAAAACCAAATCATTAAACTCAAGGAACGCTGGAATAACCTGGTCGAAAGCGCGCGTAAAAGAAAGGGACAAGAAACCCATCAACGTGAAGCATAATCTATTTCGCATTATTTATTTCACTTTAGCAGCATACATCATTTCCTCCTTGTTGATAAGATGCTCAATGGTCTCGATGCTGCCAAGAAGCTGATCAATGTTGGAACTCCACTCATTCAAATACTCGTTCTCATTCTTCACCTTAATGAAACTGACAACTTTCGAGGGTCTGTTGATCTTTGCGTAAATCACTCCGTTACTCACAAGCTCGATTATGTTTAGCTCGACATCCTTCTGTTCCAGTTGTAGCAACTCACAAAGTCTTCCTAATCTGATCGAGGAATAGTATTTAGAAACAACCCGCAAGTTGTGCTCTATCACACGTTTTTGCAGGTCTTTGTAATGAAGCTTGCCCTTTTCGGTGGACTGGTCAAACAGCTCATTTTCAAACAAGTGTTCACTGAATTGACCTTCAAATTGCTTCCAGTCAATCAGCTCCTCGGTGGTGAACAGCTGAACAATTTCTTTCTCGGCAGGCAACTTGTCAACATTCTTGTCAATCTTCACTCTAGAGATCAAGTCGTTTTGCAAATTGGAGTATGGCGAGAGAACGCTGTTGTACACAATCTGCTTCAATGCCTTCAAAGACTCTACCTTGTCTCCCTTAATCTTAGGTATGTCATAAATTGCCAAGTGGTATTTGACCAAGTCAATATAGTTGTCTTCACTCAAAGCAATATCGATCATAAGTCTGTAATACTCCAGTTTTTGGTCGGCGAATTTCTCTAGTGATCTCACCAAAATCTTTCTTGACAACACCTTCGACAACTGGAAATCACCTCTTTTGTTACTCAATGTCATCTGTCTCAAAATGAACTCTATCTTCTCGCTGAGTTCCATCGAACCGTACGTTTCAACTTGTAATTCGCACAAAACATCACAAGCCTTGTCCAGATCGTTCTTCTTGTCCAACAAGATATCACTGTATATTCTTGTCACTCTGGCTCTTTCAATCTCCACAAAGATCTTGTTTTCTGTCACTGTCCTGATGGTTTCTATGGTTGCAATCTTTGTATCCAGATCCTCGATTTCGTCGAGATGGGAAATTGCCTGCTGAATCATCACTCTGACGGAGTCTTTAAGTTGTCCTTGTTTTTTGGAGAGAAGCAGAATCTGCTCGTCGAGAAGAGACCAGTCTTTCTTCGAGGCCAACAGGTCAACCAAATTGACCATGATTCTTTTGCAAGAAGCCAAATCAGAAGCCTGTCTTGTTTGTTTCTCCAAAAGCAATAACTTATCGACAGCAGACTTGTAGTCTGACTTTGACAATTGCTCAATTTGAGGCAACTGCTCGTCCAAAGTCTCTGTGAAATCCTTCTCTGCTTTTAATGGGGCTTCCCTGGACATGTTTGAAGATATACACAAGGTTTGAATTCTTTTGCCACTATATAATTCTCAATAAAATCTGGTTTCGAGCCCGGAAAACTTACATATCTTGACGAAGGACTAAGTGACTGTAGCATAGCAGCAGGCGGTGAAATACTGGGTAGTTTGAAGATACCTAAGCAGATAGGGTCTTTGCTCATTATATCACACCTTCCTCCGCCAGCCTGAGTCCCGAACTTGGTTGAATCCACGTTCTTGCCCCGCCAGCCCCCACCGTGTATGGACTCCTCGCACCAGGCTTAAATAAATATTTTGATTTAAATACTAAACACTACAAAGGATATGGACTATTGATCATGGATACAACCACAGATTTTGGCTTTTCCTCGATCAACCTGGCCGTTAACCTGCAATGGGTCTTTATGGTTGAATGGATCATTGGTCTGATTGGCTCGATCGGAATTCTATTCTATTTCAACAGACTAATGGGTTCCATTATATCCTTCATACTTAAATATCTGATCTGGAAACGATACAAAGTACGAATAAAGGTCCAATCCTACAAGATCTCTTTCCTGGGAGGTCGTCTCTTCTTCAAGAATGTTACAATAATAACGCAAAACGAAATGATTTTGATCCACCAAGGATGGCTCACCTGGAGATACTGGCTCACAACAGTGCGTCAATCTGGATTCATAACAACTGACAAACCCAACAAGAACGAGTCGTTACCATCGCGCTTTTTAATGGAAATTTATGGACTCGAGCTCTTTGTTTACAACAGAATGCACGTATACGAGAATCTAATGACTAAGCTTCAAGAAGAAGACTTGAAGTCCCCGGAAATGCATCTTTTTAACCCGTCTAAAAGCAGCGAAGACACTACGGAAGATAATACTGTTCACGAGAAAGATCCTACGACAGAGCGGCAAAAGATCCCTTTCATCATCAAACTTCTACCATTGAAAATTCTTGTTAAGAGAGGCTCATTTGTGGTTGGAAACGAAACCACCACTTCTTTGCTTGTGGGATCGTACACTTCGTTTGAAGGAACTTTGGATTTCCTTCAGCCGACTTCCAAGCTCGACTTTTACCGTGTTGATCACGAACTACGTTTATGGCAATTACAACTTTTCCTCAAGCCAAATGTCTCTTACCAAAGTCTGGGTCAACGAAGCGATGATTTTGATAGAATCAACAAGCACAAGATTCAAAAATTCATCGATAACCTCAAGCTCAAGTTTCATAAGCAAAAAGAGACCGATGTACCAGAAACTCGTGCAGAATGGCATGGATTAGAAAGATACCGAACCTCGAAAAGCTTTGAAGTTTCTAGTCAAGATACTTCTGATGACCTGTCGGACCTCCCTCAGGACGATGCATTGATATTTCCAAAATCCGATTACGCAAGATACACGCACATTTTCGACTCAGAGTACGTCGATCTTCATTACTTTTTTGACATGCTTGGAACCACGCCTAATGTGCCTTCACAATTTCCAAACCTCGAGGGTCCTGATATTGGGAATGGAGATCTTCCACCAGCTAACAACATCGATATTTCTGTTTCTGGTGGTGTGGTTCATTTCGGACCGTGGGCTGACAAAGAAAGAGTTCTCCTTCAGCAGATGCTGTTCCCCAGTATCTGCAGAGATGCAGAGCCTTTCAAGCAATTAAAACCAGGATCCAAAAGACAATATATCGGATTTAAAACTTACATCACAACCGTTGATGAGATGGTGGTTCGAATCCCTTTCAGAGAAGCAAGTAAAGACATACTCTATGTGGATTCAAAAGATTCGGAGAATCAGCTGGAAAGAAGACCTTTTGGATGGCTGGAACTAAAAGCCGATCAAGACACCTCATTTAATAGTTTCACATCGTACATCCCAACCGCAGAAGACGGCTGGAACAACTCGTTCCACCTTGACCTTCAAAATCCAACTGTTTCATCAAGTGTTAACCATAACATATTCTTTCGCGCTTTGAATCATACAATTGATGGAGACATTGGGTATCCTCTACAGTGGAATGGTGCAACTACCTGGAAGTTTGAAAACATCTCTACCAATGCAGAGATATATATTTTGAGAGAACACATAACCTTACTCACAGATATGTTTGCAGATTTCAGCTCTGGAGAACCAACACCATATGAATTGTTCAGACCATTCTTATACCGGATCAATTGGAGAACGAATAACTATAACATCTTTTTGAATCTCAACGAGAAGAACATTGTCAGTCACCCATTGGATTTCAACGATAACATATTTGTTTCATTCTCTGGTTCGCAGTTAGATTTGAACGTTGATATTCCATTGGACTCTATTTATCAAAAGTCAACTGTTTTCGAATACAAACTCAATACGACTTTTGACTTGGTGGTCCATCTCCCTCCATGGCATACCGGATACAATTTCTTGAGAAAGAAAGAGGTTGGGCGTGCAAATAATTATGAAATGTCTGGATCGTTTACGTTCTTCAATTCCCTTGATATCGATGCAATCGACACAATTATCGTTAATTGCACATGTGAAGATACTACACTTGAATGCTATGGTTTCATCATCAGATACGTGCTTCTTCTGAAAGCCAACTATTTTGGGGAAGATATTGAATTTCAGACATTAGCAGAGTTTTTGGAAGATTTCAATGACAAGTCTGCTATAAAGAACAAAGAAGACATTTTCAATCCATTCGCAGTCAAAATGAGGAACGAAACAGACCTATTATTTTCATTCTGTGTGAAGAATGGATGTTTGATTCTTCCTTCCCATATATATGATTGCGAATCTCATGTGGCACTTCAATTTGAAAAGCTGGATATCGACTTGCGTTTCAACAACTATTACATGGACTTGCAAGCCGATTTTTCAGAGATATATGCTCATGCGGTTGACAATGCTGACGAAGAATCGATATTCGACAAAGTTGTCAACAATGAGAAAACTGATTACTCCTTGTTTATCGATCATCTTCCTGTCCATGGTCACAGAGTCTTTGGCTTACCTCCAGATGAACCAACATATTTCTGTCGTTGGGAATTCGATCCTGGTCGTATTGTTTTAGATTCTAAACCAGACTTTTTAGACGATTTGTTAAGAGCTCTGTCGGCTATTGGTGTCGGTTACAATGAACTTGAAAACTCCTTAGGTCTTCCTGAAGAAGTTCTGTTTGATGTCCTCAACTTGTTTTTCAGTTGTCCAGAAATACTCGTGAAAATCAATGGTCCAAACTACGACTTTTCCGTCACATTGATGGCCCTGTCTCTTACAATTTCAGACCAAGCTGCTGATACCTACAACAGTCGTATCAATTTGAAAATTGAGGATATTATGGTTCAGAGCACAAAGGATAAGGAAACAGTCTTGGAACTAAAGACTTCGCTGTATCTATCGGATTTCATCAAAAAGCCAGATTTTGCAACTCGAAAGGCAGCTCAGAAGGAACATTTGAAGACGAATGATGCACCATTCCACAGGTGTCCGTTCTTGCTTGATCCAAGCTACCGCGACTCTGAATACTTGAAATTATACGGAAGTATGAGACCGTTTATTAATTATCCGGATGTTCCCCCTCCACTGAACTTCAACTCAGCGGATGTTCTTATAGAGGGGTATCCGAAACGTTTGAGGGAGTCACTACATTATAGACCACAAACAGGAAGCTTTTCAAGCAGTCAAAATGACCTGCATTCGAGCATAAATTATAGGACGGACTCAGCAATTCTAGAGGACGATGGATTTGAACATGACAATATAGTATGCACCTTCGGAAAGCTTAACGGATATGTGTCTCCAAAGGTAGCCCAAGTTCTGGGTCGCATAGCGGTGGAGAAGAATAAGTTTTCCGTCACAAACATTCTGGACGAGATCCAAAAAGACTTTATTGCATACTTGACGAAGAGGAATTCCTCGCCATCTCAGAAGGTCGATTTGAAAGCATTGATTCCTCAAGTCAATCTCAAAATTTCCGACTCCAGAGAATCGCCAAATGGAATTGTTGTTGGAGTTGCCAAAGTCGTGGTCACAGGAAGAATACAAGACGAGGAACCTGATATATTTGAACTTGATCTGTCCCAGATACTGGTCAGTATACTGAAAGGAGACACGTCTATGTGCGATCTTGAATTGATCAAGTTTGAAGCCGAAATTGTTGATTGCAAGTCATTCACAAACATAGTCCTTGAACAGGAAAGGTGCAACTTCAACGTGAATCCCGAGAGCTTTGATTGGATTTCCGATTACATATCTGCTCTTGTGGCTCCAATTGAAAGTGCGAAGATAGATTTTGAGTCTGCCAAATTGAGCGTTAAACAAGCTAAGATCGATGTGGTTCATGCGGTTTCTTCAGCAGGTGTTGATTACTCAATCAGACAAGACCCTTCCTGTATTACCAAACCCTCATATGTGAGTAAGTTTTGTGATGAACACATTAGACTGGAAGATAGTTGGAAGATCATTACCAGATTGAGGCACATCTTGTACAATTTACCCGATAATTGGCATGAAGATGCTCAGCAAAGGTATGACCAAAGAATATGGGATACACCTGCGAATGCTGACCAAAAAGTTTACGACGTTTTCCTCAATTGGAGAAGGTGGGAGTTCAGTAACATTTCAACCAGTTACGTTTTGAGAGACGTTTTTGGAAGCACAGAAATCCCAGAGGACGCCAAGTCCATCTCGGTTGTTGCCAAATTGAAAACAACAAACTTGACAATGCAACCATTCAGCAAACTTGTGGTCTTGAAAGATGTGGATTTCATTTTTGATCAGAATAAACTTACTGATGACTTGCGCGAGCTTGCAAATACAATCTCAGGTACTGATGTGGAAGACGGTGTCAACGTGAACCTCTCTATCGGACTTTTCCAAACGGATCTTGACCGTATTAGCAATTCAATACCGTACATCAATGATCTTGTCACCAATATCACATCAAAAACGCCAAGCTCCTCAACGAAGACGACCAATGGTTCACCAACAATATCGAAACCTCAGTATTTCAGTGCCAACGTGATGATCAAAGAGTTTAGACATCACTTGTCTATTCAAAGATCTGCCATTGATGTCCATGGGACGAATACAGTTTTGGAGCTATCAGGTGTCAACACTCCATCAAACATCATGTTCACATTCTTGCTCAATAATGAATCTTTCACTGCAGAAACCTTCGTGGATAAAATCAGGTTATTTCAATTTATATGTGTTGAGAATTCCTTTGTGGTGGCTAGTTCTCCGGCATCCGAAAAAAGTCAGGTTTTCGTTGACGTTTCAACATCAGATGTATCTTTTATTGCCGGACTGGGTTCAGAGTCTTATTTGCAAGCTATCGATATTTTTATGGATGAAGAGTTTAAGGTTTTGGAACCTTTGATTGCAAATTTCAAGCAAATTCAGCACGTCAAAGAAGCGTCAAAGGTTTCTGCAAGAGAGCAGTCAAGCCCAGACTTTTTGAAGCATCTTGAATCCAACATTACTGCAAATGTCCTCATTGCAAAATTCTCCCTTTACTTGGAAGTGTTGACACCATTCCTGTACAAAATGGAGATGTATGATCTGATTCTCGACTTATCGGCCTCCAAAAGTGGAGCAACATCAAATTTCTCGATTTTGCGGTTAAGTTCCGGCATTTTCTCTACTTCTCAATTGCATCAAGTGCAATATGTGGGAATAATGGTTAGAAAGCTGAAGGCATTTACGACACTTCTCGAAAAGTCCGGGAGATTCGATATATTCTCACAAATCCATGCCGATCAATTGAGATTGACAAGTTCCCAGAATAACGCAATTTATCTTGCCAAGCTTGCTGAGACTGATTATGGTATCTCTGTTGGTTTTGTTGAACTTTTCAGGACGAGATTTGCTGAAATATCTTCAATTTTTAAAGGATCCGATTCTGAGCCTGTTACGTCTGTTCCCCCTATCTTGAAATTCAATATAGGTGTGTCGCTGGATACCCTTGGCCTTACATGTCTGCTGAATAAAAACCAAACTCATGTGGATTCGAATCATATTGCAATGAAGTTCATTTCATCTGGATTCAACTATACCGAAACCAGACCCCAAGGATTCTTGAAAGTTCCTTCCACAAAACTTAGTATCTTCTCGCATGGTCCTCAAACTTCGAGATTCGTGGTCTGTGATTTCAACCTGGAACTAAAAGGATTGCAGTCAATTTCTACTGAAAAGAAGCTACACGAGATTGATCTGACTAGTGAATATTGTCGATTCGTTCTCGACCCATACTTCACCAAAGAATTGATTGAGATATTCTCAGAATTCAAAGCTTATAAGAAGCCATCGACACAAACATCCAAGCCTGAGGTTGATGTCGAAGAGTTATGGAATTTGCTCAGCGTCTATTCGATCAGAGTCGTTTCCAAACACTTGTGTATTGGCTGGTTGCTTCCAAAATCAAACAGAGAATTGTCAGACTTTTCCTCAAATATCCCAGGATTTATTGTTGGATATGAAAACGCTGAGATTCTTTGCTCGACCAAATCTGGAAATGTCCTCGTTTCCAGTATGTATCTTGCAACGGCGCATGGAGATACATCCACAACCTTCTTCTCGAAAGGAAATGAGCATTTGAGTGAAAACAGAGCGTTTTTCCCAAGATTTGAGCTGAATTTTGGAATATTCAATTCTGAAGAAGGTCGTGACATTAGAGCACAGTTAGATGGTGATAAAGTGGACTTCAAGCTGCAGACCACCATCCTTTCCGTTGCTGATCGACTAGCAAGATCGATCGTGACTGTCCAAGAAAAGCTGGAACTGCTGAAGACACCTCAAGTTGTGCAGCCACGGCCAACGGACGAGTCTGCCACGTTCTTCTCTTCTATCCAGTCAAAGTTGAAATTACTGGAGTGTCTATTCACTTTCAACGGTGCATCTATCATGATTATAGATCCAAATCTTGAGGTGAACCATAAACCAGCATCTCTCAGCTTGCAAGCACCTTCCGTCCAAATTGCTACAGAATACATCAAAGTCCCAGAATCTTCGAAACGACATGTTATCTCTGTCCAGGCACACACGTCCAGCACAGATAACGTTCTATATGCATCGTCTGTTCCTGTTATCGTGAGTCTGGTCAATAACATTCGAGATCTCGTTAAGAATAATGAGATGACGAAAAAGAAGACACAGACTTCAAAGGCACCGCTCGAAAGACGCAGAAATTCAGTTTTGGAGCGTGAGCAGGCCGCGCTTAATTTCGAGCGTATGTTTGAGCATTTCAAACTCAATCTGTCTCTCAAAGTTGAACCTCAAAAGCTCACACTTAGCTGTGACCCCAATGCAAAGGTTGAGGCAGCGGTTTCTACCAGCGGAATATATTGGCATTTCATCACCGATACAGATACAATCTGTACCACTATTCTTGTGGAGAAGCTGAAGGCCAAGTTACAGCACGTTTACTCTAAAGAAACAAGTGGTTCTGTCGGTGCTAATAACATCATTCTTACAGGAACAATTGGCAAAACAGAAGGAGTCAAGCTTATGTCCAACATTGCTGAGGTCTCTAGCATTGATGCGTACCTGAACATTCAACAACGTCAAGATGTTGATATTTTCCGTGATATTTGGATTCCGGAAGAGTTGTACAAGTCGTCTGTCACTGCCAAAGAGGACCGGGAAGAAGAGCTATCTTTCCAGAGTATCGCTTCCCGTGTGAAGGATGTTTCTAGCACAACCACCCTTCCTTGGATTCTGACTCTACTTGTTGGGGAACTCAAGCTGAAAGTTGATCTTGGATTTTCTCTGGGTACACTTGATATAGAAGTCAACAAGAGTTGGCTCAAGTCTACCAAGAACTCTAATTCAGATCATAACCTTAGGCTCGAGATTGGATTATTGAAGATTTTTTCTGAGGGAAGATTAGGTGGTCTTCTTGTTGTTGAGAATGCCCGTATGGTTTCTGCAATTTCGTGGACCAAAGAGGAAGGAATGCCCGGTATTCCATTGGTGCTTCTCTCTGCCGGTTTCAAGTCTTTGGAAACCAAAATTTCTCTGGACTACCACACCTTTTTCATTGGAAACATCACCAAGGCCATGGCTTCTATCTACAACCAAGGAGTCGATAATAATTCAGACAAGCTGGTTGGTAAAGCGTCTGTGGAGACGTTTAATGTTTACATGACAGCACTGGCAGCTTCCAACTTTGTTGATATCTACACTATCGGACTGAGAATCAGACAGGATATCAAAGTTTCTTATCACCAGACTCTGAATGATGCGTTGGTTGATCAGTCGCAGTTGATGAACAAGTCGCTACCATCTACTCAATCAGAGGCACCATTCCCTGTTTCACGTCTTGACACTTCAAGCTCGAGCGCGATAAAGACTGTGGAGATGTTCCTGGACGTGATCGAAGAGTTCTACACCGACCTTGATATCAAGATTGGGTCGATGCAAATCCAAATCTTCCCGAGTACTCTTCTGGATACACAAGCTCTGACTATTAGGATTGGAAAATCGAGTGCTAATTTTGTCCAGATCAAAACGAGCATTTTGGAAAACAAGCTGGACATGAGTCTGGATAACGTCACTGTTTCCTTGTCTACATTCAAATCCAAGCCAACTAAACAATCATTGCAGGAAGTTGGTATTCATGAGTATGTGAAACTGGCAAACACTGCGTCAGGAGGAGGTATATTTGTGTTCCCGTCATTAAAGGTTTCTATGGACGTCTTCCAGAAGCCGGACTCCAACCTGATTGAATTTCTGTTCAGCAGTTCTTTTGGAGGCAGTGTTGACCTAAGATGGAAATTGGGGTCTGTTTATTTCATCAGGGAGATGTGGTATTCTCATGCTACCACTTTAAAAACGAGATTAACAGCGTTGCGTATTTTTACTTCAGGCTACAACTTCGACACCGACGATATTCTTGAGGAGAATTACAAGGAGTCTATCTTTGAGGCCGTCAATTTGGAAGATAAGCTGAAGGATGTCGAGTCGGATAAAAAGTACCACTATGTTCCCCTAGAAGAGCCACATATCGAGACCCCTAGACTGCGCGATTTGGGTACCGCTACACCTCCATTGGAATGGTTTGGACTGCATAGAAACAATTTCCCGAACCTCACACACCAGTTTGTGATTGTTGGTTTGCAAAAAATTGTCAAAGAGGCTGAAAATAGGTATGCTAACGTTCTTAAATGAAAAACATGTATTTATTTATGTTTAACCCTAACACCAAATATATAAATTAAAATACAAAGTATTCTTGCCTTGTGAAATGGTCGAGACATCCAATGAACACCGAAGGCCTCCGCCTCTGAACACGCGGAAGGGTCCGGACTCGACTTTGGAGGATATTTCCGAAAACGATCAAGACCAAAGCTCGGAATTGGCCTCGCCAACGGCAGAACCCATCAACAACTATCCATCCTTCATCAGTCTGGATCGGAAGGAAGGACAACGGAAAAAGCCCGTTTTTCCGGATTTTGAGAGCACGAGAAGTCGGGCCGTTTCGGGGGCGCAGGTCCCAACAGCAGACTCTACAGCTTCGTTATCAAGTGCATCTTTCAGAGAAACAGACGATAGTACAATTGCCGATCAGACACACTCATCCAAGTATATAGGCCAACGAGTGAGTCCCTCGTGGGCTCTGGCTGATATCCTACAAGTTTTGGGCGACAAACACACTTTTTGGGACGAATTGATAGACAAGACCAACGATTTGGTGGAATTATTGGAAGAAAATAAGTCTTTGCAGAAAGACTTAGTTTTCTCGTCTGTTCTCAATGTGATACAAAGACTACTGCTCAGTGACAATGAAACTGTTGTTGCTTGTGGATACAGGATCCTACGCTATGTTTTGACCGATGTCGAAGACATGGTAGCGTTCAATAGATGGGACCTACATTTCTTCATTATTGCAAGCTTATCAAGAGACTATAAGAGAACGACAGAACGACGGGAATGTTTAATGCTAATTGGACAGATTGTTGAGATCGAAAACGGATTGGACGAGTTCTCAATTGGATACGTTCGATCTCTTGTCAATATGATGGAAAGCACGTCTGATCCACTTCGACATCCTGCTTTTGAACTATTGGTGAAAGTGAGTATCTTAAACCCAAAAGTCGCATACCAAGCCAACGCAATTACCGCTCTATTACATTACATCATTGATGGTCCTGTTTCATCCATAGATATCTTTGGCGCAGCGCTGCTAAAGCTCTTGGAGCTCCCAACTACTCGCCCGTACATCATAGAATCGCAAATAATCCAGCTCTTGGTCTCACCATTCATGGATATTTCTCACATCAAGGTGGAAAATCTACAGATAATTGCACATCTGATTGCACTCGTTCTCAAGAACTGGTCAGGACTGATTGCATTTAGTCAGGAAGACTTTAAACCGCTTAGAGAACTGATCAGCTGTCTGACGTTCGCCTCAACCTCAATCAAAAACATCCTGCTGCAGCTGTTTTTTGATCTGTTTAGAATCAAGACCATGTCTTGGACAGAGTCCGAAGATACTCACCCTGCAATAACGCTTTTACAAGAGTCTTCCAAACCAAATACTGCTTCCAAATCGACCGTCAATACAAGAAGCTCTCCCGAAACAGAGGTTTCTCCCGTCAACCATCATACTGCTTTGTTACTTCATATATGTATCAAATGTGGTTTGGTGGATCGATTGAAATCAATGTTTGAGGAGACGACGGACAAGAAACAATCGAAACGCGTGATGGTGCTGCTTTCCGAGATCTCATATATGCAATCGTTCCTTGTTCCAGAGAAACTGACAGTTTCTATCGCACCATCTTTCGAGTTGAATAAACAAATCGAACTCGATTTGAGGAAACATCATACGACAAACCTTATAGTTTCTGACAATGCCCGAGTGAAGGCTTCGGAGAAGCTGTCCAAGGATTTGAGACTGAAAATGCTTCGCAACGTTGACGCTGCCGAACTGAAAAATCTGGTGTCCAATACTCATGTTCTTGCCACAAAGGACTATTATAAATGGAACTGGGCCTTAATAACGGAATTAATGCAGGGACCACTGCAAGACTCGAGGAATTTTGAAGAGACCGCAAAGACCACCAAATTTTACAAAAGACTCATGTCTTTCTATCGTCCATTCAAGTATAGGTTTTCATCTTTACGCAAAACGAAAAGCAACCTGGTGTTTGTGAAAGTTGGGTGCGAAATCTTCAAGAATCTGCTTTCCAACGCCGAAGGTGTGAAATATCTTACCGAAAACAAGATTCTTCCCCAGATCGCTGAATGCCTGGCTCAAGTGGATCCTCATAGTGGTATCACCGCAAGTGATCCTCTGTTCTCAAAAGCCAAGCTCGAAAATACCATTAGCTATGGGTATTTTTCGTTTTTGGGAGTTTTGTCTGCGGATCCAAATGGACTGCGGATGTTGGAACAATGGTGGTTCTTTGATATGCTTTACCATATCACCGACCACAAGAGCGAAAGGCCGGATCTTGTGAGGGTGATTGTCAAGGAAATGAAGTACAACGCTAACAGCCACATGCGAATCATATTGAACAAAGTGGCCAACACCTCCAACACGTCCCTGAGACTGTATTCTGTCAAGCTTCTATCTACTCTCCTGGAAGCTGAGGAGTGTGAAAAGTTTGCTTGTGAATCGTTGGTGGGTCAACTTTGTGATCCAGAGGTTCAAATCAGAGACTTGGCGGTGGAATATCTCACCTCTTTTGCTAAAGATGAAGACAAAATCATTGAGATTATCAAGCATAGACCTTCAGTTGATGTTCTCGGAAGCAGTGGGGTGACTCTCATGCTCATGATTCTTTCCACGCGGTCTGGATTCGAGTACTTGCAAGAATGCGATTTCGTCGACATGGAAATGGAGGCCTGGATCCAGACCAAGAACAAGCTTTATGTCGATCAGATTGAGACGTATCTTGCTCACAAGTTCTACAACGAGCCTGTGAGTGGCGACCTGCCTTATCATTTCTTTGGAGAGCTGGTCAGAACCATTGAGGGGCTCCATTTGTTTGAGAACACTGGAACGTTTGACTCGTTTTGCGGGGTAGTCAGTTCGTATTTGAACCTGATAACGTCGGCTCGTGAAACTGAGTACTACGAGAAGACACCTATCAACGAGCAGGAGGATTTTGTTGCAGACCTAAAGTCTGTGCTATGGGCTATTGGACACATTGGTTCGTCTGATTATGGAATCTCTCTTTTGGAGATTTCGGGTGTTGTTGAGGATATTGCCACCATCTGCAAGCAGTCTCAAAATGCCTCCATCAAAGGCACTTGTTTCTTTGTGCTGGGGCTAATCTCGCGAACCGAGCTCGGTTCCGAAATGCTTGACGATGTTGGCTGGTACAGTAACACTGGGCGGACTGGTGACCAAGGAGTGTGTTTGCCAAAGCATTTGACCGATTTCCTGTATGTGGATAAGACGGATGGGTCTTTGGTTGACTTGGAAACTGTTCCTGAATCTGCGTTCAACGATGACTTTGACAGAATCATGGAGCAAGACTTTGTTCCTTACCATAACAACCAAAAGACGCTGACGAGAACGAACTCGTTAAGCATGGTGACGGGAGGTTTGGGAACAAACAACGTCCATTCAACAATTTACTCGCGAGATTACCAGATACTGAAACAGCTTTACAATAACCTGTTATTGCTACCTGTCAATCAGGGCAAGGCGATTGGCAACTTGAACAAACTTAAGGCCAGATTTGCAACCATTTTCGAGTCCGAGCCGGTGGTCCTGAAGCTGATCATGCGGGTTGTTGAAAAATATCGTGTGAAATATGGCGTGAAACGATTTCTTCTTGGAGAACTGATCGACTTCAATAGTCTGATGGAGCTACTTTTACGGCACCACAGAAAAAGAAGCAAAGATTTCCCATCGTCCGGGATGGCCCCTCAATTGGAACCGTCCAAATCTGTGCAAAATATCACATCTTTGTCACGGACCGCAAATCGGAGACTCTCCATCTCGTGAGAATTTTGCAGGGAGGGACAGAGTAATTGATTCACGTCATGAAAATAAATATGCATGCATGCTGTTGAGGGGCTTAAATAAGGGGACTATGAGACTATAACTCCACCCCGACCGCAATTTGCCCAAGCGCTGAACCCCACATTCTTCACTCGCGCTGACATGATGGGGTATAAGTAGTAGTGACATGGGAATGTCAGAATAACGTTTTGACATATGTCACAATTTACCGATATCGAGAAACAAGCTGGAGACGACAATCTCAACTCTTCCAGGTCACAACCAACGGTGTACCATGATGACACTCCTATTCAGACCGTGGAACACACTGACGATGGGAGGTATGTGATAATAGGCGGTCGTAAGTACTTGAAGAGCGACTTGCAAAGCGCATTTGGAGGTACTTTGCAACCAGGATACGCTCCTCCGAGCGAGCACAAGTTTGCCAACCCTGCACCGTTGGGATTGTCTGCGTTTGCGCTGACGACATTTGTGCTGTCATTGATCAACGCAGGGGCAATGGGTGTTAAGACCCCGAACGTTGTCATTGGCGTGGCTATTTTCTACGGCGGACTTATCCAGCTTCTAGCCGGGATGTGGGAGATGAGCGTGCAGAACACGTTTGGTGCGATGGCATTGTCCTCGTACGGCGGGTTCTGGATGAGTTTTGGAGCCGTTTTCATCCCATGGTTCAATATCGCAACTGCATACGAGTCTGAGACCGAGTTGGACAACGCGCTCGGGTTTTACCTGTTAGGGTGGGCGTTGTTTACGTTCATGCTTGTGATCTGCACCATGAAGTCTACGGTTGCATTTTTTTCACTGTTTGCATTTCTGGACATGACGTTCCTGCTACTGGCTGTGGGGAAGCTTGCTCCGTCTACAGGCTGTACCAAAGCAGGAGGGGTTTTCGGAGTGATTACTGCGTTCATTGCGTGGTACAATGCCGCGGCCGGTGTGCTTGACGAGAGCAACTCGTACATCACCATCAAGGCGGTTCCGCTACCAAAGTTCGGTAAAAAGGCCAACTGAGCTGGCCATGTATAAATTAGGAAATGAATTTTTCATAATATAGCGCTCTGTCCCCGCGCATATTTCCCAATCGGTGCAGAGTTTGAGCTAAATTTTTGTGCTGAAATGTAGGCCGGTGAAAAATCATTCTTATATATATTAGTCATTGGCAAATGCTGCGCTCTAATATTGCTCAAACTCGCGGTTTTCGTACGATGACCTGTGTTCTTTCCGGAAAGCCTGTGTTTAAGACACAGATCCAGAACTCGTTTGTGCCTGCCTCGCGTCTAGTTGACTCGGACCTGAACCCAAACGCTTTGAACGCAAAGTATGCTGTTAGAGGCAGAATCCCGATCAGAGCCGAGGAACTGAGGGCCCAATTGGCCCAGGACCCGTCGTCTGTGCCCTTTGACAAAATCATCAATGCCAATATTGGTAACCCTCAGCAGTTGGACCAAAAACCCCTCACTTTCTACAGACAGGTTCTGAGTTTGTTGGAGTATCCAGAACTGATGGACAACAAAGCCGTTGTTGACACTTTCCCGAAGGATCTTGTCGAGAGAGCCAAGAAGATGCTCGAAAGCATTGGCTCCGTCGGTGCTTATTCCCATTCCCAAGGTGTTCCTTATCTTAGAGAGAGTGTTGCAAACTTCATCTCCAAAAGAGACGGCTACAAAAGCAGCCCTGACGATATCTTCTTGACGGCCGGTGCGTCCAGCGCCGTCTCGTACTTGCTGAACCTGCTGTCGCTGGGTCCTCAGACCGGTTTTTTGATCCCGATCCCGCAGTACCCTCTGTACACTGCGTCGCTGGCTCTGAACAACTCCACTGCTCTACCTTACTTCCTCAACGAGTCGGACGACTGGTCGATCGACGCATCGAGTATCGCCAAGATCGTTCAGGACGCCAAAGCCCAGGGAGTCGAGGCCCGCTGTTTGGTGCTGATCAACCCGGGAAACCCAACCGGTGCCATCTTGAAGCCAGAAACCATTGCCGACCTGCTGGCCGTCGCCGCAGAACACGGCCTCGTGGTCATTGCAGACGAGGTGTACCAGGAAAACGTGTTCAAGGGCGAGTTTGTGTCTGTCAAGAAGGTGTTGAGCCAGCTTAAGGAACTCGACCGATCCGGTAAGTTCGATAAGGTCCAGCTCGCCTCGTTGCACTCCACTTCGAAGGGTGTTTCCGGTGAGTGTGGCCAAAGAGGTGGCTACATGGAGCTGGTTGGGTTCGAGGAGTCTGTGCGTGCACAGCTGCTGAAACTGGCTTCCATCTCGTTGTGTCCGCCTGTTGCTGGCCAAGCCTTGGTGGAGCTCATGATCAACCCTCCAACCGAAGGCCAGGAGTCCTACGAACTGTACAAGAAAGAAACTCAGGCTATTTCCGACGCTCTTAGAGAGAGATCGTCCAAGCTGTACGAGGCCTTCAACACCATGGAGGGTGTCTCGTGCCAGCAGCCAGAGGGTGCCATGTACTTGTTCCCAAGCCTGACTTTGAGTGAAAAAGTGTACGCTGAGGCTGCCAAGCTCGGCATGGAGCCAGACGAATACTACTGCGCCCAACTGCTGGAAAACACCGGTATCTGTACCGTTCCAGGCTCTGGTTTCGGCCAGGTCGAAGGCACCTGGCACATCAGAACCACGTTCCTTGCTCCAGGAACCGCCTGGATCGAGGACTGGAAGACCTTCCACGAGAAGTTTGTCAAACAACACAAATAGAAGTGAGTGATAATAGAGTTTGCGGTTTCTAATTAACTTTCTGTTTTTCGTAATCCTTGGCCTCAACATCAACGCAAGATACAATAAGCAATGCAATCCACACTGGCAGCCACCCAAAACTCACAATAATCCACGTCCAGTTCTGGATACGTCTGTATCCGGTGATGAGTCCATAGAACATCTCAACCGGACCTTGGAATAGCTCTGGGTCCAGCCAGTTCACATCGAGTATCTTACTCTGTATCTCGCGCTGCATGAGCGGGAAGCTCCAGTACTGGATCAGGTTTCGCAGCACATCCAGCTGGAACTCCAGCTTGCGCGCAATTCCAAGAATAGCTAGCCACAAAAATGGAGAAGACAGGACCAGCCATAAGCTGTTTTTGCGATTGGAACCTATTGGCCCGTATCTGATGAACGTTAGTGGGAAAGCGGCAATCGAGATCAGGAAACTCAACGAGAAATGGAGCACAAGTAAACTGACAAGTGCAAATGCAAGATAAAATAGTGAACAGCCGTTGATAATCCTGACAAACTGAGAAACCCCTGTGGATGGCTGTAGTCGGTATCTCAGCAACAAAGGAATAGATGAGACAACAACGCTCAGTATGATCAATCCCCATGTGATTTGTGTGTATAGTTGTCTGTTGGTATCTAGAGGTAGCAAAAGGGAAAGACGCATAAGAGACGTTCCAAACACTATGGACACCAAGATGGTGGCCGCAAAGACTGACAGTCCGTAAATGAGAGGAATGGTGTCGACCTTGAGTTTCGCATCGTTAAAGTTGGAGAGCGCATTGTTGACGTTGTTGTTGGTCAAAATGGCACTGGCCGAAGAAACAACAAAACTGGCCGCAGTTAGAACGGCAGCCGGCAAATAGTTTCCAATAGAGACAAACTTGGCAGGCGCAAGAAGCAAGTAAAAGAAGAAAGACTGGTGGAACTTCTCCAGTAGGTTGTTGACTGCTCTGAAACAGGCCTCGATAACTCTTCCCAATGTGGTGATATCGCGGCCCTCTGTTCCACGAGCTTTGAAAAGGACCGTTTGAATGTTCCAGCCACTGAATGCCTCGCATCCATTGCCTCCGCCGACTTCGGGCAGGATTCCCGCAGTAGCCATCGCGTATATGCCTTTCAACAGAGTGGTGAGTCTGCTGGAGTAGTCGTTCGCCCAAAGTTGTCCCTTTGGAGTGTTGTGGAGAGAAACTCTAAACCCTTCGTGCTCACTAATCATGACCGCGCAGTTTATCAGGTCAAGGTTTGGTAATTGGCCGTTCACTCCAACGTAATCGAGCTCGACATAGTCAAGTCCGTCGCTCTCCGAAGGATATTCAATCACTATAGCACTCTCGATGGAGCCTGCAGTCTCGTCCAGCGTTGTATGATACGCATCGACCCAGTTCCGAAGTGTATCTTGGCCGTCCTCGGGGAAAACCACAATGATATTCTTGGACCATATAGACAGTCGATGGAAGTAGCGAATCAACCCCATTGTGAGAGCCAATCCGCCAATGTTGGGCTCGCCCTCACTTGTTCTCCAAGGAGCAACAATAACCATTGCTTCGGTGTCATCTCCCTTAGGAACGTGGTAGATTCCATATGTAGAGACCAGTTGTTTCTCTGATCTGTGTTGAAAGGTTTTGTAACCTATGGTGTCCATCCAGCCAGAAACCATCGCATGTCGGTCCTCCATTGAATCGCCAATATGTTCAATGATCTGGTCTCTATAGCCTCTCACAAAATTCCACTCTGATTCTCTAAAGAAAGAGTACGCCTGCGATGGCATCAACGCGTTTTCCGAGATGTATGTGGAACGAAATTGGCCCTCTAATGGTAAAACAAGAATCCATATCAACCCTAAGAGAGTCAAAATGGAAGAAACTTTAGGCAAAGACCGCACCAAAGCCGGTAACAAGCCATGCCTGCTGATATTTCGCTGAATTGCCTCCAATAATGCCATGGAGGTTGTGGACTAGACAAGAGTACTGACACAAGCCGTTTCGATCTAGTTATTTTTTCTTCGAGAGTTTAATTTACAAAATGTAGTTTCGGTGCAGAGATGTGTCTACTAGCCATCGCTACAAGGACTGGTATGCATTTGTATTATCAGCTATCAAGTCTCGGTATCTCGCTCATTAGTGGATTGGTCATCTTGTTGGGACTGGTTGGAAGAAAGAGTGGTGGTATTCACGCCGTCCTCAGTCCGTTGACTAGCAACACCAACAGGGAATAGCGGATCCCTATTGACAAACTCCCTGGAAGCCAATCCTGTAGACCTTAAAACTCTTCTTGGCTGAATAACCCGTCTTCTTCTTGACAAGAACGAGTTGTGTCCGGCCATAGAACCTGTAGGGCTTGATCTTATTATTGGCGGCAGTCTGTGTAAAGTTTGACGATTGACCAGACTGGACTGTTCATCATCTGAAACTCTGATAGGATTGCGCAAGCGGCCATTCAGGTTTTGAAGAAGACCTCGCACCAGTCCGAGAACACTTGCGTGGTTGTTGGTATTAGAAGGCGGAGGTGTTTGAGACGTTTCCGCAACAGGAACCGCAACGGCTCCGGAGGTCTCTGTGGCTTCTTGGTCTGGCATGGTGAATGTGAGATTTCTAGAATTGAAATCGTCAAACATGGCTCTGCTTTCGCTGATGACCCTGGCCAGGTTGGGCAGCACTATGGTAGTCTCGTTCTCCGAATCTCGAGGGCGACTGGATGAAGCATCATTCTCATTGCGAATACTATGGCGGCACAACGGACAACTATTATTTGTCTTAAGCCATTCGCGAAGACATGACCTGCCAAAAATGTGTCCACAGGGCATCTCCACCGGGACATGTGTGTATTCCACATCTTTCTGGGTCAGCTTTGACGAAAGAGGACGTGGCTTCGTTTCATTTTCCATTTTGCGTAATTTCTTGGGTTGATGCTCATTAGACTCTTCCTCTTCGTCCTGACCTCGTTTTCGTTTCTGCCCAATCTGAGTCTTCCCCACTGACTCCTGGTCTTCATAGCTTTCGTAACAAATAGCACATTGTTGATCAGCAAGCTCGGAAACCTTCTTGACCTCCAGCTTATCGAAAATTTGCTTCGAAATTCCAGACGCCTTTTTAACCGAAGTGGCAATGGTTCTTAGCGCAATAGTTGTCGCCAATCGAATTAAGACTTGCAAATTCTCGTCATCATTATCGTTGATATTTGGAACATGAAGGATCAAAGAACCAGAAAGATTGTTGTTAGTCTCCGAGGGTTGCATTGGATTTGGCTGTCCGTAAATGTAGTTGACAGTAAGAATGATGTTCCGGGAAGGTTCGATAGTGGGGGCCAAATTCCTGTAAAATGGCACACTGACGTTGTTCGACTGCTGATGAGCTGAGTCTGTATCCCCAAGAGTTCTGTAAATAGGAGCAATCAGACTGTCGAGCAAATCGTTGGCAATATGTTGTTCTCTATAGACACCTTCATTTGAAACATCAAAAGCCGGATAGTCCAGCCCGCGAATACCTGAGCTTGATGTTGGTGATCCTGCACTCAACGTGGAAGAAACTGGCTCCTGCACAGATGTCGGAGCCGATGGGCTAGGATTTGGTTCATTATCAGGAGCACTGTCATTGGCAGGCCCGACCTCGATTATTAGGTTCTGACTTGTTCCATCTGCATACTGGATCAGCACAGCAGGCAAAGCAAGTCTTCCGGAAGCGTTTGTCGGTGCACTCATCCCCGCACTGCACCGATATATCTCACAAGAAAACTATGCTGGCTTGTTTCAACAAAAATTACGGTCTGACTTTTTCCCTGCGGAAGATACCAATTTATTATTCATTTGTTAGTAATTGAAAAACTTCCCAAGAGGAACGGACAAAATTGGGTTTTTGCAATTGGTGGTCTTGTCGAAGTGTTCCAAGTTGTCGTAAATAGAGCTTTCAAAGCCATCACTCTCATATTGATCATCACGGCGCTCTAGATTATTGACATATAATGTCATCATATTTATTTCAAGCTTTGAAAGCTGCGGAAATGTTTCCTGATATACCTTTTGAAGCTGTTCAGAAGATAGCAGATGCCAATAAGGGAAATCTGGAAAGCATATCGGAAGAGCTTCTCAGCTACGATATATTGCGAGAATCAGAGTCAAAGTCGCAGCAAGACGCTGAGTCTGTCATTTCATCTGTCAAAACAAAGAAATCTGTAACTGCAAAGCCGAGCTCTGAAATCACCATAATGAGCACGCTTCTAGGATGTTCGGTCGATACAATAAGCCAGATTCATCAAAGGACGAAAAATTCACATCGTACAGTGCGCGAAGTAATAGAATCAGGATGGAATCCGACAGAAGTCGAGATTGCAACCATTTACAATAGACAGATGATGGAAATCGCTGACGCCAAAAAGTCAAACTTCCTTCTTCAAAACATAGAAAACAAATTCTATGTGAACTCGCTTCATTACTTCAAGGGAGACGTTAATAAAACCTTGAAACTCGCAACATGGATGGTTGATCCAAATTTGGTGAATAGATCAAAAACATCAACCATTCCAAAACCCGCCGCAAAAATAGTATCATCTGATCCCATGGCCGATCTGATTCAGCATTCGCTCAAAACAAACAAGTTGGATTTGCATGGACTCACCGTCCCTGAAGCCAGAACATGTGTGCAACAAACACTTGTGAAATGGTGGAACTCTGAGACAGAGCAGCGCATTATGGAAGGTCTAAATCTGCGTGGATCTCGAGCCATGTACGTTTGCCCATTGGAAATCATAACAGGGAGAGGACTACATAGCTCTGGTGGAAAACCGAAGCTAAAAATCTTAGTTCATGGAATCCTCAAGTCAAACAATTATCTTTTCGAAGACATTACTCTGGGATATCTAGTTACAGGTAAAAAAAATTGATGATACTACTTACATGTATTCTAACGCTTCTTGCCTCCCTTCTCCTTTTGGGCAACCTTTCCTCCAAGTTTTTCAGGAACAAAATTCTGTTCCAAAACGTTAATATAATCGTCTTCGGCAATGACATCTTCCAACTTGACTCCTGATCCGGTCAAAATTCTCTCCTTTCTTTCTTTCTCCAATCTTGCCTTCTCGGTCTCAATCTCTTCAGTGGTCTTACCAGATTGCTCGAAACTCGAGAACTTGCTCTTGAACTTGCTCATTCTACCATTATTCTCTGCATCGAGTTGCGATAGGTCTGGCTTGGATGGGTTCCACAGAGGACTCGATCTCTGGTCAACAATCATTCTGATCTCTTCTTTAGGCAGCTGTGTGCGACGGCTCACGACCGACCCGTCCGAAAGTTCCACGAAAGTATCGAACTTGTAGTAGATAGCCGGTCTGGCTTTTCCAACTCTGATTGTTTTTCTAGGCCGGCGAGGGAGAACATTGGATATTTTGGGTCTTCCAACCGATGCGAATCTTCTGGCGTCTGCAATCTGCTTCAGAGGCCCAAAATTTCTGACTTGCGGAAACATGGTCGATGCAGTTTTCAGTAATCTTTTGAATTTTTTAGTTTTGGTGAAAAAAATGAGAAAAATACGGTAGTCTTGTCGAACTTATTGAACTGGAGCGTAATACGGAATGTAAAGCCTGGCTAGCTCAATCGGTAGAGCGTGTGACTCTTAATCACAAGGCTGCGGGTTCGAGCCCCGCGTTGGGCTTTTTTTTTATTTCTCGACTTTTTTTGACTAAGATATAAATTTCAGAACCTGGTACTCAAAATCGGAAGCATTGTCAAGATAAACGTGGTGGCCAGCATTCTTCAGGATTCGGAACTTCGCACGTGCATCTGAATTGTCTTTGTTTATCTCGTTGATGTTTTTGACAATCTGATATCCTCCTTCTTTGCTCATCCAATCCACCTCTCCGTACAACCATAACGATTTCACCTTGATCCGCTTGGGCAGTCTCTCGATCATTGGCAGCTTGGCAACTGCTCCAGGGGCAAGAATTCTGGTCAGTGCAAACTCTCCCGACCCTTTAGCGAGTAGAATCTTGGTTGTGTATTCGTTGATTATGCGTAGTTCTTCAATATCCTCGAGCTTTCCAAATCTATTGTATGTCCATCTTGATATCAGCTTGCTCGAAATAGGGCCTACTAATCTGGCAATCTGGAACGGTGAGCAGTTGCTCTCCCATAGTCGTGTCAATAAAGAGCCTATTCTTGGTGCTTTCCGAACTTGGTTCAGAAACTCTGTAGGATCTGAATCGGTAGCGTCAGAAGAGACTGATACGTTGTCTGGAGCAGTGTCGCTGGTTGGAGTCGTACCTTGTTTCTGTTGGTGGTCTGTAAACTCGTTTGTGAGATCAATTCCTTGAGTCGAAGCTAGCTTCGCCTCGATCTCAATAGACGGTCTACGTTCATGAGTTGCGTAGAACGATAAGTCGGTTCTTTCAATACCAACCGGGGAAATCATCACCAACTTGTCGACAATCCCATCCCCGTATTTCATGTAGTATGCTGCTGATAAATAACCTCCCAATGAGTGGCCCATAAGAACAAAATGGTCAATACCTTTGGCTTTTCTCCAGCTCTCGAGAGAATCAATAAAGAAATCCTCGCTTGCCAAGACATCCTCGACGGTGTCACCCTTTAGATTTGGAAACTTGGGCCTACTGGACAGACCAAACCCGAGCAAATCCAATGCATGTAGTCTGATTCCCGGAACATTGGTCAACGCATCAAAGTTCTTGTAGAAAAATCCAAGTGCTGCGCCATATCCATGCACAAGAACAACGTCCAACTGTCTATTATCGGCTGGTTTCTGCGTATTTTCAATAAAGAACTCATGGATATAGTTCCCGTCTTTATCGATTGGTGTGTTGATGATCTGAGACCGCTTGGTTTCTGTTGGATTGGGGTAAAAAGGAAGATACGATAATATCTGATCTTCAAAATGTGTTAGTGGTTTGAACGAAAAGTAAAGCTTGAGCGCCCCCATATACGTGATAACAACTGGGGGTAACTCAGGCTTGGTTGCAAGTGAAACCTGATCAACTTCTGCCATTATGTGATCGATGGAACAGAATTCTGGGAATTTGGTGGCAAATATGTATTCTATCTTCGGCACGGATTTAAAATAATATGTCCAGCCCAGCCCAATTCCGGCGATCACTGCTGAATCCGGAACGGAATTGCTGTTGAGTTGGGCCCGAGCAAAACAAATTGATTATTTTGTTTCTTATTCCAGAAATGACTAGCAAAGAAACAGACGCTGGGTTTCAGTGTCTTGTCCGGCCTCAGGACTGTTTTTAAGTTGTGTCTTAAGTTTGCAGTTCCAAACTTTGCTCTAGCACAGCCTTGGTCGATTTATTTATGTGTGGGGGCACGTATAGAAAAAGTTTGGAAGCAGACCACTTTAGCGAAAGCTTTAAAAAGTGATTTGATGGGGGATCTGTTTTTTGCTAAATCAATTTAATGAGTTCGCTAGCATTATATACAGATCCTTTGGTTTCTCTGCTGAAGGATCCGAATCTAAATAAGGAGAAGGACAAGTCACAAGAACTGATCAGGCATATCAATAGCATAAACGATGAAGAGATCAAGTCATGGTGTATTGAAGCATTTGAGATCCTGAAAGATCTGGAGACACTTGAGCTCAAGATTAAGAATTGGGAGTTCCATGCACTTGAGTTCAACGTTTCTCAGTCACTCATTTTGGGCGAAGAAGACCAAAGAAAAAGAGCATTCAACTCCAAACTTGCGCAAAGAGTAGCAAAGAATTGTTTGGATCTCCATAGATCGCTTCAAGATTTGGGGGTCGAAATCAATGAACTAAACGGGCTGGCCAAGTTCATGAGTCCCCGCCAACGGATTAGTGATCCGGGAACAATTCTGACCGAGCTGATGTTGAGGGCAATCAAACTGAAAAGTTTGTTGCTTGATGAAGTTTCCATTCGCTATTCCAAAGCCAAACTCGTCAAGATCGGAATGGATTTGGAGAGCATCATGTACCAGGATGATGAAGGAAATTACGATGACATTACCGAAGACACCGTCGTCAATTACAAACAGTTCATCAACACCTTGTTACAGCAGATCAACGATTGTATTAGCACAGGAGATACAATAGGCGCATTGGAATGTGTATCCGTGGTGACCGACGTCGAACGGATGTTTGAAGCCATGAAGAAAGATAAACTCGATCGGAACAAGGAGAACCTGCTAACTGGGCCAGATCTTAGCGCAGAGAAAATGAGCACGTCTGCCGGCTCCGAAAGTTCCACCTCCACTAGCAACAGTGACACTCTTTGTGGAGATGAGCCAGCTAAAGAAGTCGAACTTCCTCGCAAGAAATCTACAGCCGAAAGATCTTCCAACTTCCAATCCACCGCATTATACTCTCCACTCTACAAGACCACACTTGCCGAAAACATGCCATATCTGATGCACGCGTTCGAGGAGGCAAGAAATGTGGAAGAAGATTTGAAGGATGTGATGGAAGCTTCCGATTTGAAGCACGAAAAAAGACGGAAGCCAACGGCACCTACCAAGTTGGAAGTGTATCCTGGTCTTTCTTCAATGAAAAGGGAATTCCCCCTAAACCAGCAGCTTCCGGTCTTTTCCCTGAGTCCATTTATGAAACCAAATCGTCAAATCGTTATTGGTCGCGTTGGTCTCCAGAAAAATGAGACTCCAGCTGGACAACCCACAAAATTCAGAAAGTCTTCCCAAACTGTCCCGAAAAGCGTGCAGAACTTCTCATTTCGTGATATAGACAACCTCATTGATTAGCATTCCAACCCGTCATATTGAATATTCAAAATCCTTTTCCCATTATATATATACAAGTAGATTCAAACTTATAATCTGGAAATGTTTTCAAATCCTTCGAATCCGTGTTCGTTAATAGCCTTGATTGCCCTCGTCACAGACGATCCTGCATTGTAGTTCTTTGAGTCGTCCACCCTGGTCAAGAACGATCTGATAACTCTGGGGTCATTTTTTAACGATCTAACAATTTCACGTTGCACAGCGCTCGAAGAATCGAAAAGAATTAGAAAGTGAGAGCCTTGGAAATGTCTTTCTCCTGCCTTCTTCATGATCTTTGGGAGAGGTTTAACTCCCAAACCAATAACCTCGCGAACAACACCGTTGTTCTTGATGATCATTTTTCCAAGAGTAGTTGCCAACCTTGATATGTTAGAGCCACAACGATCTATTTAAACTTACTCTTTTGCTTCCACATGGACAGCCAAAGGGTTCGAGACCCTGGCTATAGCAGCCAATTCATAGAGCATTATTTGCGATGAAAGTGGTGTAAACTGTTCAGCTTTAGAAAATTTTGAACTTTCAAGAAAAAGTGAGAATTCCACACCCGTACACAGACAACATTTGGGCAGGAAAGATTATTTTTAAAAGATAGGAAACTGTCTAGTTCAAGTGCTGGTAATACCCACAATGATTACATGGTTATTCGGAAAGAGGCTAACGCCTCAAGAGCAGATGAGGAAGAACCAGAGGCAGCTAGAAAGAACGCAACGGGAATTAGAGAGAGAGAAAGTCAAGTTACAGCAACAGGAAAAGAAGTTGATGCAAGATATCAAGAAGTCGGCCAAGGCGAACCAAACTAAAGCTATCAAGGTCCAGGCAAGGGATTTAGTGAGGACTAGAAAGCAAGTAGAGAAGTTTGACAAGATGAAAACACAATTACAGGCCATTTCGCTTAGACTTCAGACTATGAGATCATCTAACCAAATGACAAGCTCTATGAAAGATGCTGCTCGTTTGCTGAATGGATTGAACTCTCAAATGAATATCCAAGGCTTGTCCAGGATAACAATGGAATTCCAAAAATCCATGGACGTTATGGACCAAAAGCAAGAGATGGTGGACGATGTTATGGATGACCTCATGGATGATGAGATAGACGCAGAAGATGAGGAAGAGATTGATGAGGTTGTTGGAAAAGTGCTCGATGAAATGGGAATCGACCTGGACGCTAAACTGGGAGATTCTGTTCCAGAAGGAATAGGACACGCTTCGCAGAGCCAAGTCGCTACAAAAGCTCAAGCTGTACCTATGGGAGCCGATGGGGGCTTAGACGACGACTTGCAGGCCAGATTAAACGATTTGAAGAGATGATCTCAAATCTTACATATTGTCTGTTTTTCGCCGCATCGCTAAGTAAGTTAATCAAGTCCGGCATGTGCACTAATTAGAAATCACACATGTGCTTCCCTCGTAAAAGTGATGGGGTTTTTTCTGTTACCGTGCAAATTGCCTGCCAAAATTTGCCACAAATTCCCCGCGCATATAGTGGCTATGATGCATACGTGCAGAGAAAAAAATATTTGACGAAAACAAAAACCAGATAGACAGGTAATTTGCATTCAAATAAGTCAAGCAAACACTCACAAGGAGGACTTTTACACTATCATTTCATTCATTCTGTCACGCTGTTGAATTGAAGTCGGCTCATTGCTCATTTTCTAGCTTTTTGCTGCAAAATTACTATTACTGGTACACAGCAAAGAAGTTTATTAATAACGAACGTCCACGTTGTAATGCCGTCTTCTGATACTCATAATCATGAGTCCACCGACTCCTCGGGACAGAAGAAGAACAACTTTTTCAAAAAACTTCAAGGCAAGGCGTTCCATAAGCATCATGACCACGATTACAGTGACACTGAAAGCAGTGGACACTCCGATGACTCCTCCACATCCTCTTCAAAACATTCCAAATCACACAACATCTTTAAGCATCTGAAACATCCTGTACATCATAGTTCGTCTCTATCGGTCAACAAGCATCATACCGAGCCTCATGTTTCCAAACACAAACCTTCGAAAACTAGCACCTCTTTGGGTCATTCATTGATATCTGAGTCCAATAAAAATATAAATGAAATGTTAGGCACCTCTGGGAATGTCATTGCATCCCCAAGAGACGTTCCCATCCCCAAGCCAAGTGCTAAGCTAGGATTACCGTCTGTTGATGATTACAAACCAGCTAAACCTCAAAAGTTAGAGTACAATCCGTTTGGAGTTAAAAATACGGGGCTCCAATTTAGCTCAAGCTCCCAATCAAAACGGACTAATACTTATGACATGACCGATGATGAATCCAACGTACTACCCTATCCCGTTGATATGCCAAATGAACATTTGCCAGCAGAGTTCCAATTAGAGCATCAACTCCTGTTTGACGAATACCAGTTCCCGAAAGATGATTCTGGTAATATTGGAACAGGGGCCTCTTCTTCTGTGAGAAAGATACACAAAATCAATAAACCAAAAGAAGTTTATGCGCTCAAGAAATTCGTTCTGTTCAAAGACGAAACTCCTGATGAATTTTACGAAAGAGCTTCCAAAGAGTATATTATTCACAAAAACCTTTACAACGGTCTCCACATCGTGAAGTGTTACGCATTGATCCGAATTCCGCATCAGTCCCATTTGACTAGAGGATGGGGATTTGTCCTTGAACTTTGCAAGGCTGATCTGTTTAGTGTGATGTCTTCTCCGAACTGGTCGTTGACTTCGACTGGAGAGAAAATGTGCCTTTTTAAACAGGTTGCGTTTGGAATCAAGTACATGCACGAGTGTGATATTGTTCATCGTGATATCAAGCCTGAAAATGTGCTTTTGACTGCCAACGGATGTGTCAAGCTCACAGACTTTGGTGTCTCTGACTACGGCCACCAGGTCCCAGGGGATTTTTCTTCTGATCTAAAACTTAGCACACAGCTTGTCGGCTCACCACCATACCAGCCTCCTGAAGTGCAATCGCTTCACGGAGTGCCTATTCCAAAGAGAATCCCATACAATCCGTTCAGAATGGACCATTGGGGGATGGGTATCTTGTTATTTGTCCTATTCTACGGTGGAATGCCTTTCCAAGAATGTTCAAAGAGAACATGTGCTCAGTTCAGAGACTATGAACAATCCTATTCCCAGTTTTGCTCCAAGAGTCCAAGCTTCAGAAAGAACGATTACTCGAAATACCCTGGCGTGGAGTCCAGGTTCGCAAAGAAGTTCCCTGAGGAAGGAATTGCCAGAATTGCTTGGAGGCTGGCTGACCCTCAGCCTTCTACGAGATACACGCTGAACGACTTATTCAATGATCCGGCTTTCCAGAAGGCCGAGATGTGTGTTGATGAAAACGAGTATGAGTGCAACTTCTATCACCATCCCGATTCCAACTTCCATGGAAAGTTCGAATATGGACATGAGAGTTCGTCCACCGTCTCCCTCGAGTCTGCGAGCTCCGGTCCGCCTTCTCAAACAATTGTTGTGAGAAGTTCCTCAAATGTCAGCTCTGTTGCTGCTGCGAGATCCAAAGAAGGAACACTTCATTCTGTTACCAAAACCAACAGCTTGCTCGACGAAAAGAAATTAAAGAAACCCGTTGTATCAATGATTGATATGGCGTCTGTGGCGCCAGAGATGCCTAAACACGAAGATTTGGATCCTCCTAAATCGAGCACTTCATCGCCGTCGTTGAGTCCGTTTGGTTCTCCTTTGACAATGCCAACGGTTCCTAAGGGTAACGGTCACTCTTTAGATTTACAGACGGTTACCCCAAAACAGAATTCGATAGCTACTGATTCAGAGACGGAGAGCGTGGTTCCAGAAAGTCAGCCTGATCACCAGGAAAATGGGAAGAACTCTCCTGAGCTGAAAAACGAACAAATGTCCAGGACAGGGTCCACTGTGACGCTTGACTCGCTATGCACCATGGATGGACTCCGGAGAATTACTCTCTGTGATAACGAAATATTCAAAATCATTCCTTCAGACGTGATCCGGAAATGTGGAGGAACCGTCAAAAATCATAATCACTTCCATAACAGATGAGCTTTACGTTATTATAACTAATAGCGTTATTGAAAATCAAAATATAAACTGGCGATGGAAATACGTGTGTACTCGTTAAAACGCAAATGTAAAATATAAGGCTTGTGGCTGTAAATGCAAGTTCAAATTCGTAAAATTGTTCAATGTTCACCGTGACAAAGCCATTCCCTTAGCCGTCACTTCTTCTTTCTGGTTGACGACGGCTTGAGAAGTTCAAAAGAGCACATTAATTTGTTGTTAACATTCATCACAGCTCCCCAATTGTCGAATTCACCGCAATAGTTTGGAGCTGAGAAAATGGTAACCAATTTCCGTTTGGAGAAAAATTCATATCCTTCTTCAACCACCATGTGGCCTCTGGCCACTAAATCAAACTGGAAATGGTCACAGAACTTCTGGACAACTTTCCTGCTGAAACAGTAGGAGACTCCTCTGTCATTGGAAGACCATTCACCACTTATAGACACAGAAGAGCGGGTGGTGGATCCCATAGACGATTGAGGGTCGGACCATAAAAGATCCGCCAAAAGTCCGTGTTCTGGAATGTCTGTTGGTCTCTGGATTTGCTTGATCTGGCTGAGATCTGTGAGTTGAGGAGACAGTCCACCATGGACACAGAAAATCCTGTCTGCGATGGTGGCGGCAACTGGAAGAGTGTTGAATACATCAACAACATTCTTCCAAACCTTCAAATTTGCTCTTCTTTTGCACTCATCATAGAATCCATACATTTTAGTGATATTGGCACTCTCATGGTTTCCTCTCAGCATGAAGAAGTTCTCGGGATACTTGATTTTCAGACAGAGAAGAAGAATGATCGTCTCCAACGATTGCTTTCCTCTATCGACATAGTCACCCAAGAACAAGTAATTTGAGTTAGGTGGGAATCCGCATAATTTGAAGATTCTCATCAAGTCATGAAATTGTCCATGAATATCACCAACAATCTTGACTGGAGCGGCGAGCTCCAAAAGCATCGGCTGTCTCATGAAAACTTCACGCGCCCTGGCACAAATTACTTTAATCTCAGAGCCTGAAACCATGAATTTCTTACTGGCATTTTTAGAAATTCCGGCTTCAACAAGCTTCTCAATGATTCTATCAAGCTTGATGTCAGACGTAACAGTCTTTTTAGGGGTGTTATTGGTGTTAATAACAGAATCTCCGTGTTTGGTATGATGAGTAGAAGTTTCAGTACTTTCCGGAGTGGACGTTAGTTTGGTGGATTTGTAGTCCGGAGTAGACTCTTTGCTTTGCTCTGCAATTGGATACAAAGCCGTCTCTTTTGAATTTGGCGGGGTGGTTGTGGAGCTGATCGATGAAGAAGATCCGTTTGTAAAACACGAGTCGCTGTTGCTGTCAAAAGATGAACACACCTCTTCCGTCACATCTTTCAGTGGTGATCTCGAAATGTTGAGGGTCTGGGCCATAGAAACGGCGATTTCTAGGTCGTAGGAGTCACTCTCCGTGGAACCCTTGCGCTTTGCCGATAACCGCGACAAAGAAGTATGTGTGTTTTCACCATCCTGAGGCGACTTTACGAGCGGTACTGGATCTTCTCCCCTTTCTTGCTCGGCGTTAATGGCTAAATTGTCGCTATGTGAAATTAAACCTTGTTGGTCGTTAGTTGAATTGTCGTTCTTGTTGTTGCTGCTGTGCAGCTGGGTTGTTAAATAATTAGAGTCATGTCGCGGCCTGGGCGACGACGGGTCTGGATCATCTGGGGATGAGCCACTTGTTGTCACAGAAGAAGTTGAGCTGCCATCTTTACTCGGCGAATTTCCCATATTCTTCAACAAAGGCTATAAGGATTATTGCCAAAAAAAATGACAATTAGAAGGATGTACTAAGAAAAAGATCAAATGTCAAGATCTTAAATGATCTCGCTTGGTGTCAAACTAGTGTTGGTTTAGGTTGGGTTCTGTTTAGGACAACGCCTCCAGAAAGACTAAAAGTATTAAAAAATTATATTAAGTGACTGCAAATAAGGTGCACCGGAACCACACTTGGTTAAGGCACGCCACTCGTTCCCGCTATTGACAGATCGTGCACAACAACTTTTTTTTAAAATTGAATTCAACTATCATTACGTAATTCGTATTTAAATCACTGCGGAATCTCCAAAACGAGTTTACCGGTGGTTCTCCGGCCTTCTAGATCACCTGTGGCCTCAGAATACTTCTCCAATGGGTAGACCTTGTGGATGTCAATTTTCAAAACACCAGATTTGATCAACTCAAATAGCTGGTCGGTATAGTGTTTATACTCGTCAGGCGTAGTAATGTAATTGAACAAGGTAGGTCTTAGCAACTTGATATTCTTTGAGCCCAGTCGCGTGAGCTCAAAAGGTGCAATTTTACCCGATGCGTTACCATACGAGACAAATGTACCTTTTCTGGCAACTGCTCCCAAAGAAAGCTCGAGTGTATCTTTTCCAACAGAGTCAAAGGAAGCGGCAACGCCCTCACCATTAGTGATCTCAAGAATCTTCTTGATTTGCTCCTCTTGACTTGTTGTGGAAGAATTGATCAAGAATTCAGCACCCGCTTCTTTGGCAAGCTTAAGTTTCTCCTCTGTTGAAGCAAGTGCTATCACATGAGCTTTCTTGACTTTAGATAGCAATTGATTCAAGATGAGACCCACACCACCGGCAGCGGCAGTAACAAGAATGTAATCACCTTCCTTCACATCGTATGCTTCGTAGATAAAAGTCAATGCGGTTAATCCTTGAAGCAACGAGGCAGACACAAGTTTCAAGAGATCGTCAGAGGTATCCTTAGGCAGCTTCAGAATGTTGTGTGAAGCTGGAACTTTGGTGTACTGAGCGAAACTTCCAGGATACAAGTATCCGACCTTATCTCCGACTTGGACTTTGTCGACCTTTGATCCAACTGCAACAACCTCACCGGCGGCTTCACGACCTAAAGTGTAAGGCTTCTCACTTGGATAGACACCCTTTCTGAAGTAAACCTCAATAAAATTGATTCCAGCGTACCTGTTTTTAATAAGGATTTCGTCCTCTCCAATCTTAGGAACTGGTACGTCTTCGTACTTGAGAACGTCGCGATCTCCGTTCTCAGTGAAGTAAATAGCTTTCTGGGTAGTTGGAAGAGTCATTGGAAACTTGATTGATTAGTGAAAAGCAATTGGGTAAATTGAGGGCTACTTATAGTCCAAAAAATTAAAGATAATGTGAGCCTCAATTACTAATAGCTTCCAAAAAAGGAGGTTTTGTAAAACCAAGACTTTTTGATGCAATATCGAGCCAAAATTAAAAAATAGGCAAAAAAAGAAGTACTCCGATGCGGGGAGTCGAACCCCGGTCTGCCCGGTGAGAGCGGACTGTGATAGCCGTTACACTACATCGGATGTTTGTATCCAAAAAGGACCTCGTACAGTTACACTGTAGCAGCGCAGTGCTGCGTTTGGAGTTTTTTCCTACGACATAAATTTCTTGTCGCAAGCCTTCATCGTAGGATCAACAACAAATGCCTCGAAATATAAAGATTAAAACAATAAGGTTTGAGCTAGCATGCTTCTGAATAATTTGTAAGCCATGAAAGCATGTAGATGTAGATCCATTGTGATGTGTGCCATGTTTGGTCCACAATGCAACCTTCTACAATTTTCTCTTTTACCTTCCCAAATCGAGTAAAAGATAGTTGGTTTCCCCCAAGTTGTATTTGTCAGGAATTGTTTAGTTATAATAGGGTTTACTTAGAGTCAACGTTTTTGAAAAGGTAGGGATAATACCATGGATTATATTTAGTATCTCTTCTTTTTAATAAGGACCGATTACTAATTCACCACAATGGTAGCTTTGAAGCATGATAGAAAATTTAGAGGACAAAAACAAGTCCACTCAGACTTTTGTTAGGTAGTGTAACAGAGTAGGTGGGAATGCTTACAGTCCACTGGTTTGGCCTAATTGCTAAGTTACACAAATTCAAAAATGAAAAAAAAGAATACTCCGATGCGGGGAGTCGAACCCCGGTCTGCCCGGTGAGAGCGGACTGTGATAGCCGTTACACTACATCGGATGTGGTTGACATAACTAAGCTTCGGGTGAATATGATGGGTTTGCATGGGTAGCCATGAACATAATGAACATCACTTGCTGCAATCTGACGACTAACAAGGCAACGACCAACACACAATCATATACCAAGTGGTCATAGAAGGATTTCTGAAGGAATACTGGACTCCAAACCTTCTAACATGGGTCCAAGAAAATGATTACACTTTTACTTAACATGTGTCCACAAAGCGAACCGACAAAGATATGAAGATGATCCATGTCGAATTATAAAGTGGATTTTTGCTCTCCTTTCGGCCATTTTTGCAATATATAGATGGATGCGTGCTAGTATCGCTGGTAATCCGAAAGTGAATATGTAATAGTGAAAGAATTTTTTCTGGACCTTGATACTTTTTAACTACGTAATAAAAAATATCCATTATTGCAAATGTCTACTATCACCTTTGTGACGGGAAACCCTAAAAAGTTGGAAGAAGTGGTCGCTATTTTGGCTGATGGCAGTCCTGTGCCGGTTGATGGAGGATCCAAGGTTGGAAAATTTATCATCAAGAACGAGAAGCTGGATTTAGACGAAGTTCAAGGATCCATTGAGGAAGTCACCATTCACAAAGCCAAGCAAGCTGCCCAACTAATCAAGGGTCCAGTCTTAGTCGAAGATACTTGTCTGGGATACAACGCATTGCAAAATCTTCCTGGCCCATACATCAAATGGTTCCACCAGAAATTAGGGTTGGATGGATTGATCAAGCTGTTGGCAGGTTTTGACGATAAGTCTGCAAATGCTATCACAACCTTTGGCTACTGTGAAGGACCTGATCAAGAAGTCAAGCTTTTCCAAGGTATCACAACCGGAGAAATTGTTCCGTCCAGGGGACCAACTGATTTTGGATTCGATTCCATTTTTGAACCACATGGAACTGGTAAGACCTACGCCGAGCTGCGTGGTCCAGAAAAGAACAAAATCAGTCACAGATCTAAAGCGCTAGCCAAACTCAAAGAATTTCTTTTGAGCCAATGAACACAGTATATGTCGAGTATAGATCATTCCTAATTCGTATATCATTCATTTATAAAGTACAACTTAATACTCACTTGAGTAGAATGTGAGACACCATATTTCTTGCGAAGTAGCACACAGAGATCATCAGAACCGCGGTGATGACATAGTGGAGGTTGGTCTTCAACTGGTAGTTGAAATTGCTCTGCAGTTTGGCAATGTTATGAGATTCGATTTCCTTCACAATCTTTCCAGTCATGATGAACACAAATTTGGACTCTTCTACAATCTCTTGCTTGATGTTCTCTGGTAGGTCATTTCTTGTTTGCAGCTCGTAATCTCTCTTGTAAACGGCTCTAAGTTCTTCAGTGTCAGGAACGTCAAGCTTGAAGAAGTTGGTACCTTGACGTAATGCGTCGTCACGGGATTGTCCTTTAATCTTAGGGAATAACTTGAGAGACTTCATCACCTGCGAGTTCAACAACTTAACTCCAGCGAACAGAGCGAGATACATGACATGCATGTAAGCGAGAAGCAGGTATGGCTTTTCTTTTGTGGATTCGAGGATGTGTTGAGCGTATTCGATTTGGAGAGGGAGAATAGGGTTCTCATACTTTTCAGAGTGACCCTCGTAGAAGTAGAAAAGATCCTTACGGAGCGGCTCTGTCCTGCATAAAACCGGCTGGTAAATGTTCTTGATCATCTGTGCGTATTCGGTATCTCTCTCCATCTCGCGTTCGAGAGCAATCTCAATGTGACGGTAAATGTGATAGAAAGCTTGGAGACCTTGTCTGTAGACTTTTTGGTTTCTCAAAGCAAGCGCAAACTTCATCGTCACGACTGCGTTAATCTGATCATGGAGAGCTTTGGTTTCAGCATTGATTCTATTTCCTAGAGCTCCAACATCGTCCTTGGCAGGGATGTTGAACTCTAACTTTTGGGCTGGCGACAATTTTGGTTGCATTCTAGAGGACACTGATGGATTACAGATGTTTCGGGGGCGCAAGGACATCCTTATATATTATGGCATGCTGGTGCAAATAAAAATATCTGCCAATTTCCGCCATTTTTCTGTGCGGACTTAAAGGATTTGAAATAAGTCCGAAGAAACCATTTAGCAGGAATGAAGAGTTTTAGAGATTATACTATCGATGATAGTCAAAAAAGTTGGATAGACCATGTGCGCGCACACTTCGGAATGATAGCACCCTTTTTCGGGTTTCCTTACATCCAAAGGTAATGACTTTTGCAAGTGGTTTTTATTTTGTAGCTTCGCTCCGATGAATTCGTAGACAGAAATTAGGCAGATTCTGCCAAAGTGTGGGGTGGAGCATAAACAACTTTGGCGTCGCGTTTCCGATAAAAAACTGGCTTTTTGAAACTAAGCGTTCGTTTTCAGTGTACGGATGTTTAGATAATTCGATTATCATTTTTTTTGCACTTTGAACTGTTAGTTTCGAGAAACCTGTGCTATAAGCCAACATAGAATCATGAGCTCCGATCTTATGGAGTTTGAAGCTCCAAATTTTAAGAACTCGACTTTCAGACTTGACAGGCCATCGTCGTACTTATTGAACAAAGCAAGAAGAGATGAAATCAATGGATATTCAAATCTCAAAAAGTCAATGACTTCGTCCACTGTCTACATTGGAAAGCTTTCATTCAACACTACAGAAGAGCAACTTTTTGAATTGTTCAGTAGCTGTGGAGTGATTGATAAAATCATAATGGGACTAGACAAAAACAAACTGACACCAACTGGTTTCTGTTTCGTGGTATTCAAGGAGCCGAATGGGGCTCTGAATGCTGTTAAGTATCTCAATAAAACTAAGGTCAATGGCAGATCCATGGAAATTGACCTGGATCCAGGATTTGAAGAAGGACGCCAATTCGGAAGGGGAGCAGACGGTGGACAGAGACAACAACCGCAACAGTTTAACCACAGATACGACTACAACAACCGGAGAGATAATTACGACCGTCGAAATGGCAGAGGTGGCTACAGGAGAGGATGGGGAAGAGGAGGAAGAGGAAGAGGAAACTATAGAGAAAGACCTCAAAGGAATTATGATGCACCACCTCAATACCGCGACAACTATCTTCCTCCCCAACCTCAGGAAACTCAAGGATATAGCGAACCTAGCCAGCCCTTGCCTCCACATCTCCAGGGTTCGGATCTGCCACCACATTTACAGTAAATACGTTATTAGCTCTAATTGACATAACCGGGTAACCTTTTCCAAGTAATTTTTATTTTTTGTCTCTTCAAACTGCTGTCTTGGCTTGTTTTAGTTTGAACAATCTTGCAAACTCTGGATTCTTAGCTTTCGTCCTGTAAGAATTGATCTAAAGATAACTTTGTCTTTAAGCTTGTATCTCCTCTATATTCCGAGAAATTCGGTTTGCAACTGATTTGTAAAAGATTCGAAATTAAGCCATGGCGAGCGAACAGGACAAAAATCAAATCGAACAGCTACAGGAGGCCGAAAAGCTAGCGTTTGACCATCCTGAATTCTTTGAACAAGTTTTGGACACCACTATATCGATTTGTCTGGCAACTCCCCTTAATGACTTTAAACTACAATTCCAGTGCCTCAACTTTATTTACAAGGCGTTCCATCAAAAGAAAATCGAATCCTCTAGTATAAGAATACAACAGTCAGCCAAACTGATAGATTTGCTAGACTATTTTATCATCAGAAATGAAGAAAAGTCGCCAAATTACATGATTATTCAAAAGTGTATTGATATTCTGACTGCCTCCTATGATTTAATATTTCTGAACATGATCAATAGCCCAGATGAGAGCGAATGGGATCGTCTTACAAACATCAAAGAATATCTATTATCACAGCTAACATCATCATATCCACTTCAACCATACAACCCAGAGTCAGACTTGTTCAGATCTATTGGATGTAAAAATTCAATAATTAAACTGACGGGAAAAGTTATCCAAGTACAGTTACCTTCTACATCATCTTCTGAGAAAATTGAAGATGACATTTCTGTTTCTATGATAGGGAGCACGCACCCGTTTTTGCTGAATGCCAATTTGTCCTCACAAGCTCAAAATCTGCTGGACAGTTTATTTGTGTTGATCAACGAAGATATAATTCTTCCAACCGGTGTTTTCACCACAATTATGTCTACATTAATGACTCTCTTCAAAACAAGATCCAAATTTGTATCCAACAAGTTTATCATGTTTGTTTTGGCATATGAGTCGCAGCTCAAATTGGATCCACGATTCGAGAAGGATCAGAAACTGAAAATGAAGCTCATAAAAAGATTCAACGATAGGATCGACAAATGTCTCATTTCCTTTCTTCTCAACAAAGGATTTTTAGCAAAAGATCCAGGACTTAAGACCAGATTTGAGAACAAGTTCAATTATCTGGTGGAAAAATCAAGGAAACAAAGACAAGGTGGAATAATAGATGTCGACATAGACGACGATGATGATGAAGTGAAAGAGATCAAGAGACAGAAATTGGAAGCAATACAGCAAAATGATATGATGTTTTACAATGAATCCCGTATTGCTCGTTCCAACGATTATAAAGCCATATATACTTTGATTAAACCTGAAGATCAACTGACAGGTTTTGAAATGTCAAGCATTCCAGTCCAAATTTTAAGTTCGATGGTTATTGCTGCATTAAGCAAAGTTACTACCCCAAAATTAATCAAAGGGTTGAACATTGTTTCCGATAGGTATAAAGAACTGACTTCAAATACAGATAGTGCGTTCGAAGGTGAATATTTACCGGCCGACAAGAACTTGAAAAGAAAGCGCGAGGATAATGACGATGATGACGGTCAAGCTCACAGCCGAGTCAAATATGAAGGTGAAAATGGCGGAGGCAACGACGTTGATGGAATAAACGATGATGATGAACTAAAGGGAGAATTTGTGGTCCCTCTGCCTGATGAGTTTTCGATTTCAAGGAAAAAGGATCAACTCAAACTGATCATTGATAATTTTATCAATCTTTCAGCGAAGAAGATCAAACAAAGTAAATCCAGTTCTGATAATGCCGGGCAACAGCAAATGGCTTTACAAAGAGTGGCCATTCCAAATTGGGACAAGGATTCGTGGATCAAGCTCTTGTCAAGACTTGCGACACGTGGACTAGGTAATAAAGACCTTTCCGATTGTGTCAGAGAGACTCTTTTCAACTATTTGAAAGACGATGTCAAGAATAGAATTGATGGAGTGATCGAATGGCTCAACGAGGAGTATTTTTCTGAAATTCAAGCAAAATCCGAACCTATTCCTTCACCGGATGGGTATTACATGAAATACGCAGGATATTTCTTGGATAACCTAATTCCGTTCTTAGAGTCTGCTGATCGGAAAATATTCATCAGACTTTTGAGCGAGCTTCCTTATCTTCAAAATACGCTGATATGGAAGATCAAATCGTTGTGCAAGGACCCAGTAAGATCCAAACTTGGTTTCCAATCATTATTGTACCTTATCATGTTTAGACCACCGGTGGTCAAAGACTGTTTAGATCTCATCAAGGAGATGCACGATGATCCAAGTAGCGATGATGCGCTTCAGCAAGAGTGTTCAAACTACTTGAAGAAATACAGTCCAAAATGAATGATTATCTATCATATACATAAATAGTACATATCAGAGCAGTCCCTGCTTCTTCAATTGATCATAAACTTTCTTACTCATGACGTTTCCTTCGGAATCCTCGATCTCCACACCGTCATCCCTGTATTGTATATCATTTCGCTTTTTTTTCATTAAGAATTCTAGCAGCTTTAGCACGTCGTCAATTCTATCCAAATCTTTGAAAGCATTGAAATCTTCGACAACACCTAGCATTCGGAGACCTTGGAGATGCCTCTCTTCTTTGAAGTGGTTCTGAAAAACCTCTCTTCCCTTGATCAGAGCATTTCCACATATTTCACAACTATATTCCATGTCGAGTCCTTTTAGCTTCCAAAGCCATAAAGGCATTGGTTTACCGTCAGGACCAATTGGGAAATTGGAAACGTCATCAAATTTCCCTTGTGCGTATTCGTTTCCTTCCGAAGGCTTGGAGGTTTCTTGTTCATCTATGGTGTCATATTCATAGTCAGATAAATTTTGAGTTTCTCGGAGCTCTATTTGTCGTTCTCGAGAGCTGAGACCTTCAAATCTATCCACTTCCAAGATGGTCGCGTTGAGTTGTTTATTCAGTAGTTTCAATAAACGGGTGGCCAGATACTCTGATTCTGCAACAGAAATTACCTGCGATTTAGTAGCATTCTTCGTGTGCTTTTTTCCATTCAAATGCGAAGAGTAAACTGATTCTTTGGTAAACTTCTTTTGACATATTAGACAGTAGACAGAAGAGTCTTCAAGTTCAACTTTACAAGAAAACTCCTTTCTGATACTCTCAATCTCAAGGTCGGTTGATTTCAGTGGATGTAATTTGATGTAATAGCTTCGAAGATAGTCTGCTAATTGTTGAATGTACAATTGATACTCTGATGATCCTTTATCATAATTTTCATCGTAGAAATCTTGAATCTTCCCCAGGTAATCTTTGTAAGTTGGGGGCATATCTGTATTCGTTGGTTTGTGTTTGGGTAGACTTGACCAAGTTCGATATAAATCTTTCAAATCCAGAAACTTTCCCAAGCCTTCGTTTGGTGAATAAATATTGGTGATCTTGAGGCCCTTTGAGTACCTGCTCAAAATTCTCCTTCTTTTGGTATCTGACAATTCATCTGAGCTGGTAAAAAGCTCAAACTTGTGTGCATCCGCCTCCTCAATCTCATTTGCATTCAATCCTAATTGATTAATTCGATTATGTTTCTCAACTGTCACACGATAAAGTTTATCAAAGTCGTCCATGTGTTTATTTCTGTCATGGTCTTCATTAAAATTCAAAAGTTTCTCGCGCTGAGCTTGGTATCGTTGTAAAAACTGTTTGATTTCATGCCTTTGTAGTAACGTTTGAGGATAAGGTCGTTTGGTTTTGGACGATAATAATGGTATGTCGCTTGACGAAGGGCGATAAATTTCGGGATCACGCTCAAATCTCTGAGAGACTGCTTGTTCAATTCGCTCGAGTTCCTCCAGTATTGTCCTTTTTTCTTCTAATGACATAGAAACAGTAAGATATTCACTATATACAAATTTCAATATTTTCTAGTTTTTTTCGGCTGTGTAAATGCATTATAGTAATTGAGTTTTATTTCTCATGGTCACTGCGTGAGTATAACGACGAGTACAGGGAAATACTGACAAATTCAGAGTTCTTTTTGTTCAGAATGCTTCTCCAACTACAATTACGACATTTCATGACTTCATCTCTAATGAACTACCACAATCTTTAGGGCCCTGGAATTTCGAGCTGAGAATCTTTCTGAATAACAAGTTCTCGAGACCAGCGAGCTTCGAACCGAACCAGATGGCAAACAGGTATCTTTATACACTACAACTTTCATATTTGAATAATCAAACAATCAGCATCATTAACAATTCGAAGTCGGTTATCACGAGGATTCCAAACACGAACGGACTTTTAGCTGACCCGACTGATCGTGACAATTTGGCTTTACTACAACATATTAAGAATGGATGCTCCAGTAATATCAGCAGTACAACTGAGACATTTGAACAGCTGGTGACCAGCAAATTAGCAAGCTTGTGGACAGTGAAACAAACGATCAAAGGTGAAGGAGGATACGGATACGTTGTTTCTGTTCCAGGACTCAAGGACAAAGGTGGGGACGAGAAGTTCAAACTTCGAACAAGCAATTGCTTTCTGCATGGATTGTTTAAAGGATTCCTCATAGAAATTGAGCATCTTGATGATGATATCGATCAAGATGATGTTCCAGAAGGCAACAACCTGATTGTGAAGTTTACCAACAGCATAAACAAAATCAAAAGCCTGATAGACTTATACAAATTTCCTGAGGGTAATCTTTGCTTCAACGTTTTGAACGAGACCAAACTGGATTACTTGAGCGATTTGTGTCAACAATACTGTGACGCTTTGCAGTTCTAATTTGGGCGATATATTTTATATATTGAATGTGCTAAGTTATGCATGAGATTTGGTTAAAGAAGTTCTTTCGCGGTCAATTCTGATTCTAACTGCCATCTTGCTCTGTTCATATATTGCAGTCTTCTCTTCTTCGGTGAAAAGTTTATCGAATTGTGGTCCGCCAACTGTGAAAAGTGTGTCTCCAGAGTCTTCACTACCTGTCTCCGAGGTACTTGATGATATCAGGGTTTCCGAAGAGTCTGATTCGTGAGAGTTTTCGGAATAAACGTTGTCAAGCTTCATAATTGATAGTGAAGGTTTGCTGCGAAGTGTGTTGCGGTTACTGGTTCTTAGTGGCCGGCTTTGTAAATTTGCAACTGACCGTTGCGTTCTCAAACCTCTTTGTCTATTGACAGCAGGTGCGCTCAAACGTGGAGGCTGTAGTGACTTCTCCTTAGTTTTGAGAGTCGCCTTGTAGATTCTTTCAACCTGGATATGGAATGCTAGCTTCTGGACGTAAAACTTGATGATCTTGGCCCGATCGTTCTTATCAAAACCGCTCTTTCCAGTGACCGCCCTTTGTGATGTAAGTATCTCTTTAACAATCTCTGTTCTTGTTTGTTCGCTAATCTTGTGCTCTTTGTAGATCCCGGATTTGTTCACAAGAACATTCACATACTCTTTATCGGAAGCGTTGGGTTTCAAAATAGTGAACTGGAAATCGGGACTTGTTAAGGTTGGCAAATGATTAAACTCTTTAGGTTTACCACTTAGTATCAAATATGATCTGAAACGGTTCTTACAATAATCAATGAGGATTCTGTAAGGATCGTCTAATAAAGTTCTTCGGAATAGTTCAATCTCATAGACGGAGTCTAGTTTGTCGTTAATAATAACATCAGGATGTAACGGAATCTCAGTGTTTGACAACCATTCTAATTCGGATGCACCTGATTCGGTGATCTTCAAGAAAGGCGCCAAGCTGTATATCTTGTACCTCTCAAACATATACATCAATGATTTGATCTGTAAATCCACAGAATCTTCTTTGTCTCCGCCTAGATATCTAGGGACATTCACTGCAACTTCATTCCTGGACCATAGATATCTCCACATGATGGAAAAGTTCCACAGTTACGTGTTGAACAGGTTACAATTTTAATCACGATAATACTTTCTCTTCTATTCAGTTAACTAATTTTATTTTTTCTTAATTGGGAAATTCATCAACAAAGGTACTCAACTCGGAAATCATTTTTTGAAGGGATCTGCCTCTGCTGAGATAAAGCGGATACTTTTTAGTCGACAATTTGCAATCTATAAGTATGAACTGATAAGTATGTTTGTTATGTTGGCTGCTACAACAAATGTTCGATTGCTTGGTTTGAATCTGAGATCCGGTTTCCTTGCTACCGTATCAAACATAATAAAAGTGATACGTTAGTGAACCTTTCCCTTTCACTTCAAGGTTTTAGAAATAGAGTTATGTAACTAAAGTTATTCCTGTATAACAACATCCCCCCTCCAAAGATTCTCTAAATTATTGATCTCAAAAATTTAATATGGATGGATATGTACGTGGGGGAAATTATTAAATGTGGGGGGCAGAGAAAAGAAAAGGGCACGGGTGGGTCTCCAGATATATCAGTCCACTGCATGTGGTTTACAGCTTCGGAAAATCATATGATCTTCAGATATTATCTACTATGGTCCAAATGATTAGACCTCGAAGCATTTCAAAGCCTCATGCAGTGGCTTGTCACTCTAACGAATAATTATCTTTCAAGCAACTTAGAAATTTCTACAAATTTCTAAACCTTTACCTATTTAAAATAATTTTGAATTTTTATATCCTCCTGCTCAGTTTTCTTGCTCTTTGCTCAATTGATTCGTCACGTTAAAACAAATACTCAATTAATCAGAAAAAGACCTCATGGCAAAAGGTAATGTTTTAGTGGTTTCCAACAGAATCCCTGTTACTATCAAAAAACTAGTGGATGATGACAATGGAAAGCCTCAATACAATTATTCGATGTCGTCTGGCGGTTTGGTGACTGCATTACAGGGTCTCAAAAATCCATTCCAGTGGTTTGGATGGCCAGGACTGTCTATCGACAGTGAGGAAGGGAGACAAACAATTGAAGAAGATCTGAAAACCAAGTTCAATTGCTATCCAATCTGGATGAGCGATGAGATTGCTGATTTACATTATAATGGCTTTAGCAACTCTATTCTATGGCCTTTGTTCCATTATCATCCAGGTGAAATGAACTTTGATGAGGTTGCTTGGGCTGCGTATTTGGAAGCAAACAAGCTGTTTTGCGAAACGATTCTCGATAAGATAAAGGACGGAGATTTAGTGTGGATTCATGATTATCATTTGATGCTCCTCCCCTCCATGCTCAGGGGGAAACTTGACGAGAGGGGACTTCAAAATGTGAAAATTGGGTTTTTCTTGCACACTCCATTCCCTTCAAGTGAGATTTACCGTATTCTTCCTGTCAGAAAAGAGATTCTCGAGGGCTTGCTGAGTTGTAACCTGATAGGATTCCATACTTACGATTATGTGAGACATTTCTTGAGCTCTGTGGAAAGAATATTGAAGCTGCCAACGAGCCCTCAAGGTGTCTTTTACAAGAACAGACAGGTTACAGTCAGCGCTTATCCAATCGGTATTGATGTTGATAAGTTCTTGAATGGTCTCAAAACGGATGAGGTCAAAGACAGAATTAAGCAACTAGAAACAAGGTTTGGTAAAGATTGCAAGCTTTTGGTGGGAGTGGATAGACTTGACTACATCAAAGGAGTGCCCCAGAAGTTGCATGCGTTCGAGATTTTCCTTGAGAATCATCCAGAGTGGATAGGCAAAGTCGTTCTCATCCAAGTCGCAGTTCCTTCAAGGGGAGATGTCGAAGAGTATCAGTCTTTGAGAGCTGCAGTGAACGAGTTGGTCGGAAGAATCAATGGTAGATTTGGAACTGTCGAGTTCGTGCCAATACACTTCTTACACAAAAGTGTTGACTTTCACGAGCTCATCTCGGTTTACGCTGCTAGCGATGTTTGTATCGTTTCTTCTACCAGAGACGGAATGAATCTGGTGAGTTACGAATACATCGCCTGCCAACAAGATCGAATGGGCTCATTAGTTTTGAGTGAATTTGCAGGGGCTGCTCAATCATTGAATGGCGCTTTGATTGTCAATCCTTGGAATACCGAGGAGTTAAGTGAAGCAATTTACGAGGGGTTAATCATGAGCAAAGAAAAAAGAGAAGGAAACTTTCAAAAAATGTTCAAATACATTGAGAAGTACACCGCAAGCTACTGGGGTGAAAACTTTGTCAAAGAACTCACGAAGGTTTGATTCGAAGTGTACCAGCCTTTGAAATAGAATCTTAAAAGTCTCGCTAAAATAAATTAAGAAATCTTTATAATATACATATCCGATTATCGTAAATCATTGAGGTGTGTCTTTTTTTTTTTTTAGCTTTAGGGCAAATCCGTAAAAAATCTATCGATAACAAAGCGGGAACTCCTTCAATTTAAATCAAGTGATACCAGCATTAGGTATTTGTGAAATTTGCTCGGAATTAACATCTTATTCTACACGATGGGTCAATTGCTCTCGCAACCGATAACCGAGAAGAACATCACGCTCGTTCAGCATGATCATATCTCTCACTCTATTGGAGAAATGCAAGGTTACCGACTCACAATGGAAGACGCTTATTGCGACATGAACGAAACTATACATCTACAAAACAAAGAGCATGATATTGTCAAGGACTCGCATGAGGTTGGGAACGAAAACGGATCCCTAAAAATCAACATCTATGGGGTGTTTGATGGACACGGCGGTTCTGGTGCTTCGAAGTTCGTGAGTCAAGCTCTTCCCACAATCTTGCGCGAGGAGCTCGTTAGAGAAATCAACGAGCTATCACCTGAATCAAAAGAGGATTTGATCAGTTGTAAAGACGTTTTAAACCACATTAATTTTCCGAAACTGCTAAAGTCATCTTACATGAAGTGCGACTCTATGTTCTATCATAGACAAGATAATAATAGTGGAACAACAGCAGTGGTGCTGCTTATATTCTGTGGATATGTCTTTGTGGCAAATTGTGGAGACTCGCGATGTATTCTCAGTCAGAACGGTTCTACAAAGCTTTTATCTTTCGATCACAAGCCTAGAAATTTAGGAGAGCTCATGAGGATTCATAATGGAGGTGGTTATGTTTCAGCTAACAGGGTGAATTCGATTCTGGCATTGAGTAGGGCTCTAGGCGACTTCACGTTCAAGATGCATAGTGATAATGATTTCCCAAGACGGCTACTAAAATCACATTCGAATCATAAGGTTTCACCACCTGAAGAGTTTCAAGTTACAGCAGAGCCTGATATCATCGTTCATAAAAGTAGTCCCATGGATGAATTTTTGGTTGTTGCCTGTGATGGAATTTGGGATTGTTACAAGTCTCACGAGCTGATCCATTTGATTAGACATCAGCTTTCTTTAGGCAAAAAGTTACCTGAAATCAACGAAATTATTTTGGACAATTGTATCAAAATGGCCAATACGATAACTGGAATTGGGTTTGATAATATGACCTTGATTATTATCGCCCTGCATCAAGATCATAACGATTTGAACGCATGGTACAATCACATGAAATACAGAATCCTTGACGAGAGATTTGGTACGCTAGGACACTGATGGCCATTTTATAGGAGTCATGTACAAATATCATATCCTACTTCATCATGTTTATCCGTATCTTATGTGTTTGTAGTCTCCTCAATTAGATCAATGAGTTTGTTCATTTTTTCTTCTCCCTCATTGACACCGAAAGATTTCAATGGAGTTGGAGACCCTTGAAGCCAGTTCTTTATACACGTACCTCGCTGTATTTCTCCTAGTCTGGATATTGGAAGTGTCTCAGGACCATAAAACGAGACGATGTCAATAATCAGACCAAACTGATTCAATATCTTATTGACAATCAACGGGACAAGCGCGCTAAGATTTGGTGAACGCCCAGCCTCTAATACCAAGACAATGTAATTTCCTGCTTTGAAAACACAGCTGCGAATTGAGAGATTGCTTGAAGAGCTTGATAGGGAGTTCACAAGATCATTCACCGAGGTTTCGATATCCTGTGCAAAATACTGCATACCCAACACTTCAAAAGTTTCCTCAATTTTACCCAAAACAAAAAGTAACTGCACCTCGATTATGTTTCCATTTTCCAGTGTCTTAGTCACATTGTGTAAGAAGCCCAAATCGCCCGTTCTCAAGTAATCGAGGTCCTGGTTCCAATTCTCAATTTTAGCTTTCAACCTAAAATTATCAAACGTGCTATTTTGACATTTCGTAACGCTTGAAACAGTTGATTCTGAGCAAACCCAAATCTCACCACACTCTCCCACTTTACAGATTTTTGAAGTTTCTGGGTTAACGATAGCCAATTGGGTATTAACAGGAACAATTCCCGAATCCTGCAAATGAATTGCATTAGGCGAATCGCTAGGATTCACAAGAGAAATGTAGCTTTGAGAGAGGGCCAATGGATCTAGCCACAAATCAACTGGCACAAAAGATAAGTAAGACCGTAAGGAAATCATTGGATTCAGATCATGTTGATAAACATTTGAAACCGAAAATGGTGAAAGATCTGTCGATTGCATATGTTTAAGAAATTCCTTAAACAGAAGGCTGGATGGACGACCGTCCCACCCAACCATCAAATTTTTCAAAATTGAAAGATCGCACTTCTTTGGAGGTGGCCTGGTAATCGCGTGATTCATCATTTTTTCGGTGATGAAGACATTCTCAATTTTATATCTTGCAAGACTCAGGAAAAATGAAGCAGGATTCACAGAGTAGTCAACAGGGGATATCAGATAAGTCGTGGTACCAACATAAATACCTAACATCGCAGCTTGTAAGAATCCAATTCCTGAACAATGCCTAACACAGGCAAGTAGGGGCTTTAAACTGCTTATTTGGCATGTTTCCTTTAATGTTTTGCACATCCGAAGTAAGTTGGAATGAGTGAGCTTGGCTCCTGTATATTGGTGATCTGAATTCCACGAAATCCAAATCAGGCACTCTGATCTTTTCTTCCTCGGTCTTGATTTATAGTCTTCCATTTTCTTGTACATCAATTTTGTACCCAGAGTCGTTTTAGTGTGTTTAGAGGTGTTCCTTAGTTTCGGTATTGCTGCCTTCAACTGTGATGAGTATGTTTTCAGCTTTGGACTAATTGGTTTGTTTTTGAGAAGAGATTCAACTTCATGGTTCACAAATATGGCACGAGCGTCATAGTCCTTGACGATCGCGACAAGAGAGAAAGCATCCTCATCCATTCTAGTCACATCTAAAGGAGGAAGCAATATCGGCACGAGTCCGGCAAGCCAGCATGCGTAAAGACAGATAATGACTTCTTCCGAAAGTGGGTATATGAGAAGAACACGATCCCCAGCTCTAAGATTTTCTTTTTCAAGAATATAGGCACAGACAGCAAAAACTCGTGACTCGAATTTCTTCCACGATAAAGATTTGCTTTCCTTGACATTGAGTCGCTCGATTGTACCGAATGCCATTTCATCAGATTGTTTCAAAGCTCTCAGTTTAAATATCTCGAGGATTGAATTGAATTCAGTAAGCTGCATGTTTGTTCTGTCATCAATACATTGTTCCCTTAGATCTAGACCCGAATACTGAAGTTCGGAGAAGTCAAGTGCTTCAAGTCTAGTGTTCGAGGAGTAGAGCGACCAAACACCTCCTCGTATATCGTCACCATGTGGAATCGCGCTCAATGAATTCGAGAAATTGAACTTCACGTAGACAGCGGGGACCTTTCCTTCGATAAGTCTTCGCTTACATAGCATGTTCGCGATTTCTGGTCTTCCACTTCGTGGAGTTCGCGAAAGGACATTTGGAGCCGTTATCAGTACAAAGTACAGCCTGACATTCTGGGTCTGTTCTAAAACCTGAAAAGCTCTCGACGCAATTTCGTCCAGCAACGGGTAGTTGAGCCGCTCAGAATTGTGTAAAGAGTTTTGTAGTGATCTTGCAGAAGGAGATTCAATTATGGCAACTGGTAAATATTCTCTGTTGATTCGAATATTGAAAAACGAGCAATCCGATATTTCATTGATGTTTCTGACCAATGCCTTGACTAAATGGCCAGCATAATGATAGGTATATTGGTTAGGTATCAGCTTTGAAACTGAAGTCTCATCTGTTTTCTTCTGTTGCAAATATTTGTCAAACCAGGTGACTTTCTGGTTGATTCGATCCTCATAAAGGCCCAGGACATATAGCTTACCATTATAAGTGAAACCAAGCAACCCCGTCCGAACAAATTTCAAGTTCAAAATTCCTTCATAGTCTGAGCATTCGGCTTGAAATATTGCTTGTGTTGCTTCGGCAAGGCTCCAGAATCCTCCGGAAATGCAATGAGAATCAACCCAGATCTCTCCAACTTCCATCAGTCCGCTTAAAAGTTTCGTCTCTGGATTGACAATCGCCAGGGTTGCATCTGGAAGAGGGTAGCCAAAAGCACCCACTCGGACAAACTTCTTGGAGTCGCTGTTGTCCATCAACGTGGATATTGGTGGAGGGTTGTCGCTTACGACCTTCACAGTATTGGAGGTTAGAGAGGCTTTATCAATCAACAGTTCGGACAGTTTATCATTTTGTGTGTTCCCTTCATCATCTTCGTATCCGTCGTTTGGAAGATCATCTGTAATTGGCTTGTTGAATGTGCACCCAAGGTTCTCCTCTTTTCCAATCCAGTCTCTCATAGATATAATTGCCCCTCCATGTTCATTTAGAGCTAAAATGGGTGCAATAGCTTTCCTAGGAGATTTATGTCCCAAAGGTCTGAGCCACCTATTGATAAGCATGTCGTTAAACTCGCAATCAACAATTACTGTATCAATAAGGCACCATTTCACAGAAGACACATCAACCTTGGTTTTTTTGTTGAAAGTGCGTGTCATTTGAGGAAATGATTGGTAGTTATAGGCAACTTGCTTCAAACTCAAATAGTCTGAGAGCATAACGGATACCTTATACTTCGAGATGACATGAGCCAATAAACCAGCTACCTCAGTTAGCCTTTGAGGCATCCAAATCAAAGTGTTCCCGCTGAATATTGTAAATAAAACACTGAATACAAGACCAACTGATTCTCGAGCATCTAAAGTGCTCAAAAAGGTATCTTTGGATCTTGTATACTTCACATCTGATCGAACAAATGCTGGTGATTCGGCATTTGGGGCACTACTCAGCATTGAAAGCAGTGATCTCATTTGATGCATGATAGTTCTATGAGATATGACGACTCCTCGAAGTTCTCCAAAAGAGCTTTTAGCATATGCAATGTATGCCAAATCGCTTATTTTCATCGCAGGGGCCTCCTCATCCTTTGAAGCTAACCCCATATCTGTGGTCTTCCAGATATCCATACCCCTTGGCCAGATATTATTTTTTGCAGCAGCCGATTGTCTTTCAAAGTGTTTGAAGACCGAGTCAGACATAAGACACAAATGAGACTGTGTGTCAGTCATAATCTTCACGAGTTCCCTGACGGAGAGACCACTGTTCATAGGAACAGCGACTGTACCAGAGAAAAAGCACGCATATATGGCAACCACCAGATCTATTATTTCAGTGTTTTGGTATATCAAGCAAACACGATCGCCTGGATACAGCGCAGCTTTGTTTTTTATTTTCTGAGCAATTTTCTCTGCCCGAAGATACAATCTTTCCCATGATATCGATTGCGTCTCTTTTCCTTTAGCGTCAATGATTACAATCGCTGGTTCCTTTTTGTATAATGAGCCTCGGTGCCTGAGAATGCTGGGCAAATTGCTGAATTCGTTTTCTGACGTTTCATCGACGTCTCTCGGATCAAGAGGCTTCTGCAGCTCTTTGGGAAGACCTGCTCCATGCTGAGACTGTTGCACCAGCTCTGGATACGAATAGTAGTCATTCTCATAAGTAAATCCCTGGCTAACACTTTCATTGTTGTCTTCAGGAAAGGACGTGATTTCACCAGATGCTAAATCAAAGTCATTACTTTCAGAAGGATTCGGTGTAGATGTAGATGTAGAAGTACTTAACACGGTAGTCACTTTTGAAAGAGGGGTTCTAGGAGTCAATGTACTTGCTTGTCTGGAGGGACTTGACTGCAAAAGTTCCAATCGTTTATTGATATAACCTTTCTCTGTTAAGTACCCTTCTTGAAACTCATTTATCAATTTCAATAATTGTTCCTCAATTGCTTGCGAGCAATTCCTAGGGATTGTGAAATCCATAATCAACAATTAAAGGTTTTCAGAAGAACTCATGTAGGAGCAATGAACAATTTCGTATATATATTTCCAATTATATTTTTCAATCAACTAGACTTTACTTGAATCTTGTGAATGGTGTGAGGTGTTCATACTGATGTAATTCTCAGAAGCTGGGTTGACCGGTGCTACGGATGCCTCGCATACGCGAGTGCTTGGATATCTCGAATACCAAGAGCACCGCCACCATAGATCCTTTTGAGAAACATTTAACGCCCGTCATATAAGGAATAGATTCAAGGCCGAGCTGGTCCAGATCCCTAGATTAGGATTTCAGGGGCTCGAAAAATTGCACTGCCCGAACTCAAACAAAGGCTAAATGTATGTTTCCGATTATAATTCTTGTAGAATAATAATTCGAAATTGCTCTGAAATACGAATATGGTCAAAATACATTGTTTGGCAGATATCTGCCTCATCCCAGTGAGTATACACTACTAGTTCGTTACTGACAACTCAGATTGGCACAGCCAGTCCTTCCGTATCCGATTATGTTACGGCGGTGGAAAAGGAGATTAGAAAAAGCGGTTTGAAAAGTACCCTTCATAGCGCAGGAACAACCATAGAAGGTGAATGGAGTGAAGTAATGGACTTAGTTGGTCATTTGCATGAGCTTGTTCATGGTATGGGAGTCTTAAGAGTTCAAAGTGACATTAGGGTTGGTACCCGCACTGACAAAAGCCAGACCGCAGAAGACAAAGTTAACGTGGTTGAGCAGAAATTGAGACAGGGTACTTAGAATAATTGCCATTTGTATTTCTCTAATGATTATTGATTAAGTGAATGGAGTGTTGATTCAAGAAAGTTTAAAATTGATTTATAGCTATAAGTTGCCGATAACGACAGACTTCAAAACGACATAATCATCAACGCCGTATTTTGAACCCTCTCTTCCAAAACCAGACCAGCCAATGCCTCCAAATGGCAGTGCCGCTTCGGTAATTGCACCTGTATTAGCTCCAACCATTCCCACATTTAAAGCCTCGCCAACTCTGAAAACCTTAGCATAGTCTCTAGAAAAAAAGTAACCAGCTAGACCGAACTCTGTGCTATTGGCGAGTTCGACGACCTCATCTTCGGTCTTGAATTTAATCAGGGGAACAAGAGGTCCGAAGGTTTCTTCAACATTGACGAGCGCCTCCTTTGGAACATCTGACAAGATTGTAATTTGATGGAAATTTTCTCCCAAAGCTTGTTCAACTCTACCTCCAGCGACAACCTTTGCACCTTTTGCAACAGCATCCTCAATGTGCGAGGCCACCTTTGCAACGGCTCTTTCATGGATCAGTGGTCCATGTGTAGTACCCTCGGAGAGTCCGTGGCCAAGCTTCAACTTAGAGACAGCATCGGCAAGTTTGTCTCTGAACTCTGCATAAATTCCTTCCTGAATGTAAAGACGGTTAGCGCAGACACATGTCTGGCCCGACTGTCTAAGCTTACAAGCAATTGCTCCTTGAACAGCGACATCGACATCGGCATCATCAAAAACAATGAAAGGAGCATTACCGCCTAACTCAAAGGAGAGTTTCTTTAAAGTTGAAGAGGACTGGCTCATCAAAAGTTTACCCACCCCGGTCGATCCAGTGAATGAAATTTTCTTCAGCAAAGGTGACTCACAAAACAATTTTCCCACTTCCTTAGTTCTTTCCTGATCAACAGGCACGATGTTCACAACTCCCTTAGGAAATCCTGCTTCCTCGATTAATGCGGCAACTGCCAAAGCAGACAGAGGAGTTTCAGTAGCAGGTTTGATAACAGCACTGCAACCTGCTGCAAATGCAGCGCCAAGCTTTCTTGTAATCATAGCACTAGGGAAATTCCAAGGTGTGAGAATACCAACGGCGCCAATTGCTTGCTTGTAGGTTAGAATTCTTTTGCTTGGATCAGCAGAAGAAATATTATCACCATCAATTCTAGGAGCTTCTTCGGAGAACCACTCGAAGAAAGAAGAAGCATATTTAATCTCACCACGAGCATCTGCAAGAGGTTTTCCATTTTCGATCGTGCAAATCTTTGATAGATCTTCACTGTTTTCAACCATCAAGTTGTATAATTTCCTTAACAAAAGACTTCTCTGTCTTCCGGTGGTTTCCTTCTTAAACTTCTTGAATGCTACATCTGCACTCTTTATTGCACTCTCAACGACTGCGATTGGCGTGTTGCTGACCTGCAGTAGATTGTTGCCTGTTGCTGGATCATCAACAGCGAAAGTTTCGTCCGAGAAGTGGAGCCACTGCCCATCCACGAAAGCACCAGTCTTGATCAATTTGGTGTTCTTGATGCCGTACTTCTTTGCCAGATCCTTGATTTCAGATTCAGAAGACATATTCAGAGTCTTGAGTGAGTAAGCTTCAATTTTGAGTAGAATACTTATTTGAACGTTTTGTCAATTCGAGGTCCTTTAGTATTCAAACATTCTACTCGATTCGGATAGGCGACTTAAATAAACTCCTAAAGAAATTCCCCGTAGCGGCCAAATTTGCCAATTCGCGACAATAGTAGCGCTTTTTTTGCATCCGGAAAAAAGCCGCTAATTTGAAGACAATCGGCGCGACGAAATACCTGATCGTTTCTATATTCGGGTTTTCAAGTCTTAACCGATTTCCCAAACAAGCAATTCTGAAATTTTTCCGCGTTGTGGTTACGAACTCTGGTAAAATAGACTCATTCTGCTATGACCCTGATCATTACCTACCTTTAATCGAAAAATTTTAGTCACAATTTCTATCTTTTACGTCCATTGATTGTCCTATAAAGAGAACATGTCTAAAGGTAAAGTTTGTCTCGCATACTCAGGTGGTTTGGATACCTCCGTTATTCTTGCTTGGTTGTTGGAACAAGGCTATGAGGTTATCGCCTTCATGGCCAATATTGGTCAGGAAGAAGATTTTGCTGCTGCCGAGAAAAAAGCACTGGCAATAGGTGCTACGAAGTATGTCCTAGTGGACGTTAGAAAAGAATTTGTCACAGACGTCTTGTTTCCAGCCGTTCAAGTTAATGCAATCTATGAAAACGTTTATCTGTTGGGAACCTCCCTCGCTAGACCTGTGATTGCTAAAGCTCAGATCGAAGTTGCCGAGAGAGAAGGTTGTTTTGCTGTCTCCCATGGCTGTACAGGTAAAGGAAATGATCAGGTCAGATTCGAGCTTTCTTTTTATGCTTTGAAGCCGGACGTTAAAGTCATTGCTCCTTGGAGAGACCCTACCTTCTTCGAAAGATTTGCAGGAAGAAAGGATCTACTCGACTATGCTGCACAGAAGGGTATTCCTGTTGCACAAACCAAGGCTAAACCATGGTCGACAGACGAAAACATGGCTCATATTTCTTTCGAGGCTGGAATTCTTGAGGACCCAGATGTTACCCCTCCTAAGGATATGTGGAAGCTCACTGTTGATCCAATTGATGCTCCTGATTCTCCTGAAGATTTTATCGTTGAATTTGAAAAAGGAATTCCAAAGAAGTTGATTCTTTCAGATGGTAAAGAGATCACGGATCCCGTTGAATTATTCATCACAGCCAATGCAGTTGCAAGAAGAAATGGTGTTGGAAGAATTGATATCGTTGAGAACAGATTTATTGGTATCAAGTCCAGAGGTTGTTACGAGACTCCTGGGTTGACCTTGTTAAGATCTACGCATATCGATCTCGAGGGACTGACTCTTGATAGAGAGGTTAGAAGCATCAGAGATTCGTTTGTCACGCCTTCGTACTCCAAGCTTCTTTACAATGGAATGTACTTCACTCCTGAATGTGAGTATGTCAGATCTATGATCCAGCCATCTCAGAACACTGTCAACGGAGTGGTCAGAGCTAGATGCTACAAAGGAAGCCTTTCCATTTTGGGTAGATCTTCGTCCACTGAAAAGCTCTATGATGCTACGGAGTCTTCAATGGACGAACTCACAGGATTCCAGCCGCAAGAAGCTTCTGGATTTATCTCTGTCCAAGCCATCAGAATCAAGAAATATGGTGAAAAGGTCAGAGAAGATGGTAAATTCCTCCAGTTATAAATGTTACTAAATATTGACTTTGGTAGAACGGCCAGCATTTGCTTTCCGTATTGTGAGCTACAACCACCAAATTTAATGCTTCAAAATCCATGTTCGGTTGTCCTGTAAAAATACTACGGGTCTGTCACAATAAAACCGTGTCAATTGTTCGCTTCAGTAAATCAATATTTTCGTCAAACGTTCGAAGTTTATTAAATAGAAAGGTCGTATTATTGGTCGCTCTATTTGTGAATTAAGGTTCGGTTTGAAACAGCTGTGAACATTACACCAGAATATAATATTCTTGTGTTTGTATCACTAAGGAAGTTAACGAGAAGTCTTTAATAAGCGACTGAATTGGACGTTGGAATCGTTGGCAAATCATATTTGCACTTTCCTCTATCTTTTTTGCAACATAACAAGAGGCCTTAGCTACATAAGTTTGACAGATCAGTATTTGCGCACAAGCATCTGAAGTGGTAGAACGAAAATGTCAGAGAGAGGACCCGACCAGTGGTTCGAAGATATCAAGAATTGTAAAGCATTGCCGGAAAATGACATGAAACAATTATGCGAGAAGGTTAAAGACCTATTGATGGAAGAGTCCAACATTCAACCTGTGAGATCACCCGTTACTGTCTGTGGTGATATACATGGTCAGTTTCACGATCTTTTAGAATTGTTTAAAATTGCTGGAGGATTCCCCACCCAAGCGGGCCTAAGCACTAACTATATCTTTCTGGGAGATTATGTGGATAGGGGATATTTCTCGTTAGAAACTTTTACGCTGCTTATGATATTAAAAGTCAAGTTTCCTCAACATATCACTTTGGTCAGAGGAAACCATGAATCAAGGCAAATAACTCAAGTTTATGGATTTTATGAAGAGTGCCTGAATAAATATGGGTCTACAATGGTCTGGAAATATTGCTGTCAGGTCTTCGATTTCCTGACTCTTAGTGCAATCATTGATGGTAAGATCCTTTGTATACATGGAGGCCTGTCACCTGAAATCAGAATGCTTGATCAAATAAGAGTTTTGAGTAGAGCACAAGAGGTTCCTCATGAGGGTGGTTTCTGTGACCTTGTTTGGTCTGATCCAGATAATGTCGACACATGGGCAATTTCGCCGAGAGGTGCTGGATGGCTTTTCGGTGCTAAAGTTGCAAGAGAATTCAATCATATCAATAATTTACAGCTAATTGCGCGCGCTCATCAACTTGTCATGGAGGGATTCAGATATCATTTTCCTGACAAAGATGTGGTCACCGTGTGGTCTGCCCCAAACTACTGTTATCGATGCGGCAATGTTGCGAGCGTGATGAAGGTTGATGATAGTTTGAACGTCAATTTCCAGATTTTCAGTGCCGTTCCCGATGACACACTCAAGGTGAATCCTTCGAAAAACCAAAAGAATGGAAATGAGTACTTTTTATGAATCCAATCCTGCTTTCAAACCTAACGAACACAAGAATCTCTGTCAACGTCATTGATATGTGAATTAATTATGGTACACTCGCATTTATATATGATGGCTGTACATGCTATGAAATTACCAGATTAAAAAGATTCAATGCTAGTACTAACATCGTATGAACCTTGTTCCAGATCCAATGGTGCTAGGAAAACCAAGTTGGTTAATATATTAAATGGTCCACAAATCCGAGAGCAATCTTGGTATTGAGTTTAGCCAGTGTTTATTTGTTCGCATATAAAGATATGATCATTTCCTCTGAGTTGTTTTGAATGGTGTCGACCTAACGTTTGTAGACTGATATGGTGCCAAAGATATTCATAGTTGAAGATCATTTGTGAATTTAAGGAATTAACTAAAATAATTTTTCTTATCTTACAACATGAGTCCTCCTGTTGCCTCAAAAGATTTGAAAGATGGTCCGCAAGCGCTAGGAAATGATGATCGTTTCAATTCTCAATCTTCGTTTGCATTAAGTGGGAACTCTTCTCAGAACTCTATTCAGGTACCAGTCAGCGACTCGATTATCAAACCTGATTCTGTGGCGCCCCGTTACCCCGAATATCGTCCAAATGATTCTATTCGTTCGCCATTAGTCATTCCGATCAATAGAAGACTTGAGACACTGGCAGTTTTTGGGCACGGCAGCTCGATCATTGTTCTTCCATTCTTCTACTTCTTTCTGTGGTGTTTCCCAATTTTTTGGCCTTTCCTTTTAATATATACCTTCAGATTCTACTTGTTCGACCGCACACCATCAAATGGGAAGGGCTTCAATCGCTACTCGACGCTAATTCAAAATCTGGGAGTTTACAAGCACTTTGCCAACTATTATCCTGTGAAACTACACAAGACCGTGGATTTGATACCAACGACGTCTCAAATTGAAGCCAGGTCAGAGGAATTTGATCTGCCATGGATATTGCGTATCCTTGCTCCCAGCATGTTGCTGGCTGTATTAGGGAAAATCGGAATACTCAAAAAAAAGCCTATTACGATTCAGAAAGAAATTCGCACCGGTCCCCGGTATATCTTTGGCTACCACCCTCATGGTGTTATCGCCATGGGGGCATTATCTGGATTTGCAACAGAAGGTGCAAGTTTTAGTCACCACTTCCCTGGAATTAGATGCTTTTTAACGACTTTAGTGAATCAGTTTCAGTTGCCATTTTATCGTGATTATTTGATGAGTTTGGGTTGTACCGCTGTGACTAAAAGAAACATAAGTTCGTTGCTGAATCAGGGTCATAGTGTGGTCATTGTTGTCGGTGGTGCAACGGAGAGTCTCTTGGCCAAACCAGGTCTCAATTCGATTGTTTTGAACAGAAGGAAAGGTTTCGTCAAACTTGCATTGCAGTCCGCCGGAAAATTTGATGAGAGTGACATGTGCTTGGTTCCGGTCTATGCATTTGGAGAAAACAACATTTATGACGTATACTATACGAATGATTCCCAGCAATATAGCAAAAATGATGGGTATATTAGAAAGCTGCTGAAGATGTTTCAACTGTGGCTGAAGAGAAATGTTGGCTTTACTCTCCCGATCATTGCTTCACGTGGATTATTCAATTATGATTTTGGTCTCCTTCCTTACAGAAGACCTATAAACATTGTTGTCGGGGAACCAATTCCTGTGTACCGTCTCAACGGAAATAAGTTTGGAGATACCGTGACGCAAGCAGAGGTCGACCATTATCACACTCAGTACGTTAAATCTTTGGGCGACTTGTTTGAGAAGCACAAAAAGGACTTTTTAGCACCATACGATCATGATCTTAGCATTGTTGAGTAATGCATAATCCCAATAAACTAACTGCCGTTCGATCAGGTCCCGCAGTTCACTACAACGAATTTCATGAGAGTTTTAGGGAATCACAGCCTTTCTATTTACGATCACTATAACCTAAGACTGTGATCCAAACATGATTGACGTACATTCAGAGATTGTTTTTAAAGTGCAGTCTTGTTTGAATATTGTCCCATACTTTTGTAAATACGTGTAAGCAAGAAAAGCCATTTTTGCCTGTGGCTCAAGGGCTCAAAAATCAGCTCTGACCATACAAAAGCACATGCAGACTTTGAGTTGAGAACTGGTCGCTAAAGTTCTAAAGGTTTCGCCCGCTCCTATCCGTCACATTTTTGCAATGTGGCTTGTTGGGTGGCTGAGTCGCCACTGATTATCAAGCACAGTCATAATACTCTTTTTATTCAATGCTTTGTAATGCTTAGGTAATAAATGAGCTGTTTTTGTGGAGAATAATATGTAATGCCAAATAACTACGTCGGTTGTCTATAAAACTCCTCATTTTCGCAGAGGACTAAATCAGTAGTGGAACAATTCCACTTCTGTAGATTGTGAATTATACACCTACTGAAAAATCGTCATCTGTAAGTTATCTATTCCAAACCTAAAACAAGCTACACAGCAGCCGGCCCCATTACTTCCTCTCTGGCGTGGACTGCTCTAGCCTTCGCGTAACATTGTCTTACCTAGACCTGCTTTGCTCAATTGGTGTTTCTAATAGTTGATGTATAAATGTCTTCTTAGAAGTGTCAGCATAAAATCGAAACAAAATATTCACCCAAAATCATGGATTTTAAACTTGTGTATATACCACATTGCAACAATGTCATCGGATCACCTTAACCTCTGCCTATTTACCCCTCGGGATGACCGCCCATTATCAGATCTGCTTACTTAGTTATCCAATCTTCAGGATCCCTGCAACATTCGTCCTCATGCTTTATGCATGCGTGAAACCACGTAAGCCATGCGAAACAGTAAGAGCTGATATAATATACACAACACGATCATCGCAGAGCCGCACAGGGTCTGATCAATAGATTAACTGTGTCAGTTTGTGGTGGACAAGTAGCTGTCTGGTAGAAAGTCAATCACCATGCCCTATGACCTTGAATAGCTATAAGTACAAGCTTGCTGAGTTTCTGCCAAGCAGTCTTGAACCTGAGTCATGTGGCACGAGTCAATGTGAAATTCAGTTCGGATCCAACCAAAATTCTAATGCTGACTTGATTGAAAGCAATTGAATTTCTCTCAAAAGTTTATATGAACATGACTGATGATGAGAACTCCAAATTGAAACTATTCATACTGCAATGGTTTCAATTACTGAGTCGAAGTTTTTATTTAATTACCTCTTCAATGTCTTCAAAGTCGGTCGTAGCAGGAGCATGAAAATAAAACTCAGCATAACCCCTGATATATTCTTGCGAATCGCTTACAATCAATCAAAAAGCAAGCTCCACTGGATCAGTGCAGTCTTCAATCGGGTTTAATATCTTCAGTCATAAAATATAATGAGTTTTATACAGTTTCTGCAAGGCCATCACTATGGAGCATTCTGTCTTCCTGCATACTTAATTGTTTATCTATTTTGAAAGCATAGTTGAACTATGAAGATGTAGTGTCTCAAATTCCATGCAGTGAGAGTAACTACGAGCAAAACTGTTGAGCTAATATGAGTCAGTCTCGACCTGCTTATCTACTCTCTTATGCATCGCTGATTATGCAAGATAAGTGAAAGGAGTGTGAGACTCAGATCTAACAATCTTCAATAGCCTCAGTCCTATTCGAGAGTCGTTAGACTAAATCACCTCAATTAGGACAGAGGCTAAGGTATCATTGTTCTTATTTCAGATACTATATAATGGGGTGCTAACCCCTCATTTGAAATAGAGGACAACTCTAGAATTCCATATCTGAGAATATTCTAAATTGATATTTACCATGAACCAGACAAATCTATATGAGTATTATCTGTCAAGTTACAAACAAAAACCTTTATCTTTTTGCCTTTTCTCATCTCGACTTTTTGTCCTGTTATCATTGTATGATCTTTCTCTGGCTAACTTAAATATAGGCTATACCGCGTTCAAACGATCAATTTTTCAGCACGATCAAACGACTCTTTTTCGTTAAAGAAGCAAGGAATCTTATCGCTGATTTTTGCTAAATATTGAGGTACTCGCAAACCGAGAAGATTCAAATGCATAGCGATTATTTGCTTGCAAGATCTGCTCAACCCCGTTGAGAATAACCAGAGATATTATTTTTATTATGTGAAAGATTCTTGCGAGTGAAAAATGTTCCACATAATGATATTTAGGGAGAGGGAGCCGCCCTACTCAGGGACAACTTTGCAGACCGGAATATCGTATCAAAGTATCAGATTAGGCATACTTATGAAAGTAAATTAAGACATTATCACTTACAATAGCAGATAACAATAAACAGTTTGATATTTTAATGGAAAGAAACAGTAGAGGCTGAATTGTTGCGAATGAACCGTTAGTTCCAACTGTACCTTTATAGTGCTATAATTATACATGAGCAACCTATTAGAGGGATAATATCCCACACTTCGGAAAGAGGGAATGCTCATATCAGATGGCGTTGTAGAGATTTAGATAAGCAAAACCGTGAGGTGGGCTGTACTATAATTATCTATGCAAAATTTCAGATTTTGAAACAAAAACTATCAATTTCCAGAATTGTTTGTAACGTGACAGATAATACTCATCTAGGTCTTTCTGACCCAAGGTAGATTACAACTAGAAGTATTAGAAGCCCCATAATAAAGCTTCAGTATCTATCCTAATTCGGATAGTCTCTGGCTTAAGGCTGATGCTATTTCGGGTTGTTAGGTCTGAGTCTGTTGAGCTAATTTGATTTAGTCTCGACCTGCTTACTAAAAATCTCTTATGCTTTATGATTATGCAAGATAAGGGAAAGGAGTGTGGGACTCAGATCTTGGAACATGACATCGAGGAAGCTGAAGAATCTGCACTATTAGCCTCTTGCCCAAAATTTCCTCTATGTATGCGCAGGTAACAATAACTATCTGCCATATCTGAATTACTATATAAGGAGGGGCTCAACTCCTCCTTACGTTAAAGGACAACTCTGAAATTGTATATCTGAGAATACTACTAGTTCATATATACCATGAACCAGACAGACCTATATTAGTATTATCTGTCGAATTACAAACAACAACAGCCTCAAGGATTGTAGAGCTCGTACATGCTAGTCAGCAGTTGCAACACAACTTTGTGCAAGTCTCCTTGGTCAGGTTCTATTGTGTTGAAGTGCATCCAGTAGTGATGTCAGTGATGAATTAGCTGCGGACATCTTATAACTTTAAATATTTGTAAGACACTCTTAATTATTTATTTCAGTTAATTATATAAAATGGGCTAACGCTCCTTTTATATATCATCTTATCTTAAACGCCAGATCTTCTGTCTTCTCTTGCTGACATAATATATCTGACAAACTGTTTTCGCTTACATAAGTAAGCGAAAACATAATCATCTGATACCTTTGGGGCTATCTTCTTCAACATATTGAAGCGCCGATTTTTTGGTGCCCAGCCCAATTTGCTAAAACTTCACCAAACATACAAAAATTGTGTATAACTGTCTGCAACATATGTCGTGATAGATTCCAAAGTTTTCATAGCTCCACCAAAAGCCTTCACCAGTGGTAAAAAAAGACATACTTCACTATGCGGTCCATAGATCACCGTGACACCGATAATTTTGCAACAGAAATAACGCTTCTCTGATGGATTAAACCATCACTCGAATAATCATTGGGTTGGTAAGGGAAAATTTTTTGGAATTTCAGATGGTAGAAAACATAGAGTGAGAATCTCATTGAGAACTGGACTTCGAACAAAGCACGTATTTCCATCTGCCTCCTACGGCTCAAGGTAACTAACTGTCGATTATCATATGTGATCTATATCATCTTACACAACCTACGTACGCAGATATTTGCAATGGCATATGAGGAATATTTAGCGACTGTTGAGATATGCATTACGCCTCACGACTAAGCAATCTTGATACTTATCTGGTGCTTGGCATCAATTGATATTGAGGCCGCAGGAGCTATATAGTTGTTTAACTCGTACGAACCTGCTTCTTCAATTGTAAGCTTCATTTCTCAAGATGGTTGACTTCTTCAGTATTCATAATGTTGCAGTTGACAATTCACTCTTCTACTATATCAGTTAGACAAGTTATCTAATAGATATGTGGTAAATACCACATATTTATACTGTTCTCAGATCAATGAACCTAACACATTTCCATCCGATCCTAAATCATTTCTGACACAAACTACACACATCCCGTATGATATATCATTTGCCTTAGGTCAGCTTCCTTATCGGTCAGAGTCACGAGGTTCAATAATGACTAACTTGACCATAACATAGTGCGGTCAAAGTATTTAGTCTTAAATGCTGTTGAGCTAATATGAGTTAGTCTCGGTCTGCTCATCTAATCTCTTATACATCATTGATTATGCAAGATAAGAGAAGGGAGTGTGAGACTCAGATCTTGGAACATGACATCGAGGTAGTTGAAGGATCTGCACTATTAGTCTCTCGCCCGAAATCTCCACTATGTATGCGCAGGTAACAATAGCTACCTGCCATATCTGAGTTACTATATAAGGAGGAGCTTAACTCCCCCTTTTAGTAGAGGACAACTCTAGAATTATATATCTGAGAATATTTTAAGTTGATATTTACCATGAACCAGACAGACCTATATGAGTATTATCTGTCAAGTTATAAACAAATGCTAGTGGGACCGTCCACATATTTTATACAACTTGTATTTTGGTATTAAATACTACAACGCGGCAGAACCTTTTGAAGCACTTATCATAGTGTTAACACCTGATGAAGGAATTCATATTATTTGGCGATCCAAACCCAGATGTCGAGATACTGCATACAATGTGAATTGCTCATACGTACTCTAATCAAAACACTGATTTACGACTGAGCAGATAAAGGTATTCGTCGGTGAAGTCGATAGTGTATTTTTTTCTGCTATTTTGGCGATCGGCCATTCTCTAGTTAAGTCGGTGCATACTGATAAGTTCAGTAGAGTAGAAAATCGAGACAGCCGCGAGCTCCAAATTTCGACTTTTGGACTCGTATCTTATCACATTAGGGAACATGCAATTTTCAACAATTTAATGGCCAGTGTGTACTCATAGCGGACAACCCGCTTACTGATTGACGGTGTGTTCACTTGTTGGATTGCCAAGAACCGTATGGCTCTGCTTCATCGGCTGACCGAATGTCCACACAGAACTTGTTTGGCTACAAATACCCAATCTTATTTTTCAGGTTCCTTGGAATTTGATAAGATTAACTAATAGAGTATCTAATAAACACAGGAAAAGGCAGTTCAGGCTGATTGATGTTGTGATGAAGCTAGTCGTGAGCGAATCACGTGACTCTGACTGATAAGGAAGCTGCGTAAGGCAATTGATACATCATATAGAGTATATGTGTGGTGTGACTCAGAAGTGTTTCCAGATTATATGGGAATGTTTCCGGTCCTCTTTGAGAATACTATAAATATGTGTGGGTTTCGTCCACATATAAAAGTGAACAACTTATCTAACTGATATAGTAGAAGAGTGAATTATCAGTTGCAACAAATAAGTACCGAAGAAGTTGACCATCTTTAGAACAGAATCTTAGACATAGCAAGACTTCTTTGGTCGAAGTCAAGCACAGTGTCAGAATGATGCATGTTTTCACAGCTAGACCCAAAATTTCTGGATGGCGCTCTAAGTCCTATTTGCGGTAAACGTTCAATTGGTTGCATACAGTTTTATTCTAGTGTGCAAGATTTTTTCCCTAAAGTGATAAAAGTATCAGCGTTTGTGATGTCTCAGTTAACGGTTCACTTTTCTACCAAATCATTTTGTTGGATTCCTCCATTAAAAATCAAATTGTTAACTGTAATCCGCTATTGTAAGTCAAATGATTTTAGTTTATCTTAATGAGAATGTCTAACTTCAAACTTTGATATGTCATTCCAGTCTGTCCAATTGCTCCTGAGTTGTTGAAGACGACAGCCCCAAAGGTATTATGCGATAACATACTCGCTTAAGTAAACAAGCAAGTACAGTTTACCAGCTTTATTATATACCATCAAGAGAAGTTCTGCCGCTTAACATAAAACGATATATAAAAGGAGCGCAAGCCCATTTTGTACAACTAACTGAAATAAATAATAAAGAGTTGTCTGATAAGGATCTTAGAGTTATAAGATGTCCTCAACTGGTTCATCACTGAGATCACTATTGAATGCAATCCAACATGGTTAGGACTTTTGCTTAAATATTATTCTGTGAATCCTTCGTTCAAGGGTCATGCTTTACCTCAAGAAGTTTCCGATCATTTTAAGTATGGCTGTGTGTATCTTGCATAAGCGAGTGGCAGCTATATGTTTGAATTTTATCGATTTGCAAGTACCTCAATATTCAAAATTCAATACAGTCAGAACAGTTGTTCAAAAAATATGTGGTGTATACCAACATATTTATAATGTTCTCAGATCAATGAATTTAACACGTTTCCACCCGATCCTTGATCGTTTCTGATACAGACTACATATATCCCATACGATTTATCACTTGCCTTACGTCGGCTTCCTTATCGGTCAGTCACGAGATTCAGTCACGACCAGCTTCATCATGATAGAGTGCTATACATTTCCTGTATGCCACGTGACTTCGGACTCCGCAGGATCAATAGGTGATATTCAAGATCCACATGGGGAAGATGAGTAAATCTCGAATGAACGACTTCAGCAAGTAACTCCAGGTATCTTCTGCTGATGCGGAGTGCGGCTTCTGCAACAATTCCTCATTGCAGTTTATTTCAATTATGGACCCTATTCTACCGGTCTGTTACGAAGACACCTATTTCTGATCTGAAATTAAAAATTGCAAAAATTAATTTCTGAATTGAAGGTAGACATCCGATAGACATCCCTTGACCTCAATCTTCAATTTACTGACGTCAAAATCAGGGCTTAAGGTTCTCAACTGACCAGGATTGATATGCGTGGAAGTTAAAAGAGATCATGATAATATGGCTCGAGAAATTGCGATATACACAACGATATATTGCTTTGCATTATCATCCATCATGAATGGAAAATGCAATTATTAGCTGGGTAATTAAGTTTCCGAAAATCATTCGAAGTCAGATGAACAAAAAGTGTTCTTGACAGAAACTTGCCTCAAGCCTTTGAGTCGTCCAAAATTTGCCAGCAAAATTCATTTCAAACGGCCGGAATTGGATGACTGTTTGTAGCTCACGTGGAACAGGAACCGAAACCGGAACCTGGAAACAGTTCAAGTCACAAATTTGACATCTCTTCTGTTGAAGAAGATAGTCCCAAAGGTATCAGATGATTATGTACTCGCTTACAATAAGTAAGCGAGAACAGTTTATCAAAAATATTACGTCAGCAAGAAAAGATGGAAGATCTGGCGCTTTAGATAAGGTGATATATAAAAGAAGCGCTAGCCCACTTTATATAACTAACTGAAATAAATAATTAAAAGTGTCTTACAAGTACTTTAAAGTTATAAGATGTCCACAGCTAATTCATCACTGACATCGCTACTGGATGCATTAGAACAGGTTATGAGCCCTGTCAGCGTCTTCTGGGCTTCTCGCAGACTTGTGGAAGACCAAAAACTGAAGTCAGCGGAGAATTTTCCTGAGTGGAGAGGGAACCTGAGGCTACTACTTGAAGAGGCCAGGCTTAGTCTACTTGAGTATGCAGACACTGGGAATGTTTCAGTTCCTGGGGAAGACTATCCCGAAGCGGCCCGGTTAGTCTTGAGAAACGCTTACGAAGAAGTTATACAAATGTTTTTAGAGAACACTGTCAGTGACGCTGTCTGGAAAGTCATTCCACCTGACATCAGAGGAAGAAGTCTTCTTCACTATCTGGAGGATAAGTTTGGACAGATTAAGATTTCTGATTTATACAGATCTCTTGAAAGTTATGTTCGAAACCCTAATATGGATGTGTATGAGTGGTTTAATCTCACTTCCAATATTGGTGGGTGGATTGACGACAGATATGCTATCATGACTCTTTATCATTTGGCGCTTCTTCAAGATGAGAAGCTAGAGCAAGAGTTTTTCAAATCTGAACCTGTCAAAGTTACACGCCAGATGATGATTAACGTATGCAGGTATCGTGAATCTGCCGATAACGGCGGTAAAATTGCCTTCATAGCCAAGAAAGGTTCAAGCTCTACTCCATCTAAGAAGAAGAAGAAGAAGAACATTTGTCTTAGGTGTAAGAAACCTGGACATAAGTCACCTGACTGTACCGCTCCTTTTCCAGTCGGTATAGACGAAAGTGACAATCGAGGCTTTTGACAACCTCTTCAAACTTATTAATTGAGTCGAGACAGAGTTACTGTAAAGATTCTATTCTTAAGATGGCTCACTTCTTCAGTATTTATAATGTTGCAGTTGATAATTCACTCTTCTACTATCAGTTTAGATAAGTTGTTCACTTTCATATGTGGACGAACCCCACATATTTATAGCATTCTTGAAAAAGACCGGAAACATTCCCATTCAAATATTCCCATTTCATCCGGAAACACTATTGAGTCACCCCGCACATATACTCTATATTGTGCGTCATTTGCTTACGTCAACTCTCTTATCAGTTAGAGTCACGTGACTAAGTTCACGTCTAACTTCGTCACAACAACTTAGATACAGAATTGGCTGGACTTTTTGTTTTTTTTTGTTTTGGCTTCAATCTGGATCCAAACCTCCAATACGTAGTGTAAACAGACATACTGCTATGATATTAGTGATATCTCGACAAGGATTCACCTAAAAGATAAAAGCTTCGATCGGCTTTGATCCCCCCAGAAAGTACGATAGAATTAAACATGGTTTACTCGATTATAGATTGTGCTATTGTCATTTTTCGAGATACGTTTCGCCCATGAGCGGTGGTATTAAGCTTAATTGTTGGATTGTTTCCACTAAAATATCAGACTGCTTATTGTTGTCTGGTATTGTAAGTGATATAGTCTTAATTTACTCTCATAAGTATGCCTAATTTGATACTTTGATACGATATTCCGGTCTGCAAAGTTGTCCCTGAGTAGGGCTTCTTCCTCTCCGTAAATACTATTTATTATGTGAAGCATTTGTCATTCAAAGACATAATTCATATAATATTTCCGGTCATTTGTAGACAGGGCTGTGCAGATCTTGCATGAGCGAATAACCGCTCCGCATTTGAATCGTATCGATTTGTAAGTATCCCGATATTCAACAAATATCATATCAGAGTATTAAGTTAAGCAAACTTGTTAAGCTGAACTAAGATCATACAGCTTACAATAGCTATAACAATAAGTAATTTGATTGTCTAATAAAAAGAATTCATCATTTTTGAATTCTTTGCCTTCAGCATATTCATCTTGGCAATAATACATCGAAAATCAAGTGCCTTGGAACGTTTCAATGGAATCAAGTTGTTGTTATCAATGGAAATACGTCTTTTGTTTCAACTGATGACTCTGGCCAATCGATACCTTGGATAGTCCACCGTCATGAACAAAATTGTCAAACCCTGACCCAGTGATTGAAAAGGCTAAAGATGTTACTGACACTCTTAGATAGATTTGAGACCATGTTGTTGAAGCAGTTCCGAGCAAAAGCATCATGACTCCTAATTCGATAATGGGTTATCTTGATGCTTGAGGCTTTTATTGAAGTGTAACAGAGAGAATTTGAAATATAAATTACGTTGATTAGATAATGATTACGGTAATTTGATGACTAATGTTCTTCATAATTGAAGGATGGCATTCTTTTCTCCGCGCTCCGTTGTGGTAGGTGTCGAGTTCAGTGAATCATAACATCTCTGCAGACGCTTGTTAACTGTCTAGTGATGAGTACATAAAGTTTTGTTATAGGTAACGTAAACTGATGGCTTCAAATGGTTCAAACTCTTGAAGTTAGTTACGTTCTGATAACATTTGCTAGACGGAAATTCTTCCGTCAGAAAAGAAGCAATCAAGTGCATTCTAAAACTCAGGTACAAATGAGTCAAATAAATTTCCTAGTTCCATCCTTATTAGCTCAGTTGGTAGAGCGTTCGGCTTTTAAGGATCCAATTCGGAAGTCGACCGAAATGTCCAGGGTTCGAGCCCCTGATAAGGAGCATTTTTTTTTGAAAGACAAATTTTTCTTGATGGTTTTTCTGGTGTTTACAGGTATGTAGCCTGATTCCTCAAATCTCACCAGCCATCACCCCACCCCTCTTCATCCACATCTAAATCTAGTTGAAGCTTTGACTTCGATTGTAATTTGAGAGACTTAGTTGGTTTCGGGAGACCCGTTTTTAAGCTTGGAGTTCTACCCTTATCGGTAAACTTTGATCCCGAGCTTGGTCTCCCGCCATTAACGCCAACGACTCGTACCTTTTGTTTCAAATTTGATGTCGGGCCCAGACTATCAATAGAATCCCAGTTGTCTGTGTCTATATTCAACTCTTTCTCTTCGTTAGCAGGTGAAACCGAGTCCTCGTATCCAACTTGCGAAGGCTCGGGTAATGGGCAATCACTGCTAATATCTAAATTCGTATTGGAGGAGTTCTGACTTTGCGTATTCAAACCGAAAAATGATTGGGTGTTTTTGAATCCAATATTAGACAGTGATAACGTGTTCAACCTCGAGAGCAAATCAGCGGACTCTTGACTCTCTTTATCAATGGTTTCTTGATTATCAGTTGGAAGTTTAGTCGCAGCATCATTGATTTTCACCATATACAAATCGAATACTCTTCGAGCTTCTGAACGGACTTTGGAGCTTTTGTCAAGTAACGCGGGTGCTATCGCGGATAGAATCTTTGAACAGCAGACTTCAGGTGAGAAATATTCAATAGAGCTTTCGAATGCCATAACAGAGTTCAACCTCGATGGGACAAAAGGATCCTTTAGTGCCTTCGAGTACGCTGTCACCAAAACTGCAGTCTTCGATGTACTGTTGATAAGGGGGGCGATTTTTTCTAGGCAAACAATCGTATCGGTTCGAATTTCCGGTGTTACATCACTTTGAAGTTTGGCCAAAATCCTCAGTAAATCGTTGTTTAGCTGCCTATCAGATATTTTGGAAACAATTGGGATGATCGATTTGATCGTTGCTTCGCGGATGGATGAATTAGTGTCATTGAATCCTTGTAGTAGATTTGGAAATATCTTATCCTGAACGTCTTGCTGGCTCAAGTTCTGAACAATAGATGGTAGAGAGTTGAGTAGGGTCATTCTGATGGCTCTATCAGGTAGAGAAAATGCTTTAAGCACCAATGGTTTGATTTGGGTAGCGAAGACGCCCGAATCCAACTTCCCAGCTCGTTTCAAAATCAATATTAAAAGTGCTGACTGTTGGTTACCATCGTTATTGGCTAAAACTTGAAATGCACTTACCAACTGTGGGAGCACCCGATACTCAAAAAAGCCTGTTGGAAGATGTTCAAGTTCGTCGAGAGATTGGAAAATCTCGTATTTTTGTGCATCGGATTTCAGATTTAATTCTGTTATTTCTTTGTACACTTTGACGAGCGATATGTTGAAAAAGGAATTGCAACCAGCTTTTAGAAACTGCTCAACGGAGTAGCGAATTGAAGGAGATTGATGAAGGAGTTTCTTGACATGAGGAGCAATTGACCGTAGTTCGAGCGACATCTTGAGTTTATCCAAATTCGAACCAGATGACGCTTCGCTCAAAAGGGAATTAATGACTATGCCAAGCCCATACGAGTCAATTTTGGAAGCTTTAAGTGTATTGATATTTCGAAAATATGCTGCTCCAGCTTTGATAACTTCAGGCGGATAGATACTGGAATTGTAGTATGGTAAGTTCTCTGCCAACTCAAAAGTGTCCACATCATTGTCCTTGATACTCAAAGTCAATTCAAAACATCCAAGCTTCCATTCGCCGGATGCATTAACAAAAATTGAGTGCATTGACAATGCACGGTGAATTGAAGATCCCTCAACATTCAAAAATTTTAAAGCTTCAGTTAATTGGAATATACCCAGAACTAAGAATTCCCCTGGTATTGACGAGTCTGAATAATGATGTTTAAGAATGTCTTCAAGTGGCTTGATTCTTTCAGTAATAATATATAAAACTGAGTCAGTTTCGATAGTGTCCAAAATGTTCAAAACTCCTGGCAGTAAGCTCAAAGATCTCAACTTGCGAAAACAGTTTTTCGCCAATGGAGAATATTTACTTGCACCAGGGCATTTCAGGTTGAACTCAAATATGGAGACTTCTTGCGACGTATCTCTTTGCGAAGTTCCGTCATAAATGTTCCAAATCGATTTTGATTTTGTTGGTTCGCTAAATATATCAGGAACAATTCTAGTGCCTATATTGTACGGAATCAAACTTCCTGTTAGGGTTCCAATCGTCGAATTGATTGTCTTGGCTAGGAAGTTCATCTTCGACTAAAATCAGCAATAAATCAGAGATGGTAGAAGAAAAATCTAAATTAAGCTCACCAAATCATAAAAACAAACAAACGACAAATTTCTAACTTACACAATTTCAAAAAATTAGAGCACCCATATTTTGGATTTTTGAGATTGTGTCAAAGTTAGTACTAAATCACTTTTTAGTCTTAATATTCTACGCCAAATTGTAAGGTTCGTGTCTTGTTTAAAAAGGACTATTCAGCAGCTTCCTGAAATCTCTCCGTGACAGTAGCCAACAGCTTTTCAAACTCTCCAGCAAGAGCTTCCTGGCCCCTGCTTGGCTCGAAGAATTTGGCAGACGACACTGCGTGCTTTACATCAGCTGTTGCATCCGAAAGCTTGGACCACTGTGCTCCGTTTGCAACTGCCTTCTGCGCCTCGTCATAATAGGAAATGAAAGCTTTCATCATATCATAGGTTTTCCAGATAGGACAGAAAGCATCGTAGGTGGAATAACCATTCTGCTGTAAGAAATCCTCCTTAATCAAATTTGCAACGTCCAAAACAATCTTATCAGAGTCGGATAGGGCCGATTTTCCAACAAGTTGAACGACTTGTTCAAGCTCTTCAGCATTCGAAATAATTTCCTTCATTCTGTCTCTCAAGGTGGCAAACTCAGGGTAATTGGAGTCGTAGTACTTGTTCAAAACATTCGTGTACTTGGAATAGGAGATTGCAGTATTGATCGAAGGAAAATGCTTTCTTTGCGCAAGCTTCTTGTCCAATCCCCAGAAAACTTGAGTGATACCGAGTGTGGAAGTAGTAACAGGGTCGGAGAAATCTCCACCGGCCGGAGAAACCGCAGCAACAATAGAGACAGATCCAAGTCTATCCGGAGAGCCCAAAGCAACAGACTTTCCTGCTCTTTCGTAGAAAGAGGCAAGCTTTGCACCTAAATAAGCTGGGAAGCCCTGATCGGCAGGCATCTCTCCCAGTCGTCCAGAAATTTCACGCAGTGCTTCTGCCCATCTTGAGGAGGAGTCTGCAATCATTGAAACATCTTTTCCCTGATCCCTGAAATATTCTGCTAAAGTAATGCCGGTGTAAATAGATGCCTCTCTAGCAGCAACAGGCATATTCGAAGTATTGGCGACCAAAGTTGTCCGCTTCATAATCGGCTCCTTCTTACCATTGTGCTCAGTGAACAGTTCCGGGAACTCCATCAAAACTTCTGCCATCTCATTTCCACGCTCTCCACATCCGACATAAATAATAACATCCGAATTGGAGTATTTTGAAAGTGATTGGGAAATGACAGTCTTTCCACATCCAAATGCACCAGGAATACAAGTAGTACCACCCTGAACACACGGAAACAAAGAGTCTAAAACTCTTTGACCGGTAAGAAGAGGGAAGTCTGCAGAAAGCTTCTGTGCAACTGGTCTTGGAACTCTAACCGGCCAAGTATGCATCATTGAATATTCATGCTTCACTCCATCGTACTCAACTTCTAAAACAGTATCATCCACATGGTAAGAGCCAGACTCTGCGATGGAAACAATTGTACCTCTAGCTCTTGGGGGAAGTAAGATTTTATGGTCAGACAAAAGAGAGTTTTCAAAAGTCGAACCAAAAATATCTCCTCCGGTTATGTGATCTCCCACTTTCAAAGAGCCTGGCTTGAAATCATATTCCACAGATCTCGACAATGCTGGTGCATCAATTCCTCTTGGAATATAGATGGATTGAGAAACATCCTTGATAGCCTTAAGAGGTCTCTGGATTCCATCATAGATGGTCTCCATCAAACCGGGTCCTAGCTCAACGGATAAAGGTTTTCCAGTACGGAGAACAGGATCTCCCACCGTCACACCAGCAGTCTCCTCATAAACCTGAATGGTTGCTTTGTCACCATCAATTCTAATGACCTCGCCCACCAGGTTGTCATGACCTACTTTGACCAACTCATACATGGCACATCCAATCATATTCTCTGCCACGACGACTGGCCCAGAAACAGAATAGATTTGTCCATAAAGAGATTCGTCTGCATCTAATGACAAGCTCTTAATAGTCTTACGTGCATTCTCTATTGCACCGGCCTAATAACATGTTAGTTGCCTCCGGCGAATAGAATTGTTGTACCAATTAAAAATGAAATTCAATCAAACCAGTTTCGAATCCCGACTTTTGAAAATGATACACCCAATTCAACATAATACATACCATCGTTGATTTCTCTTCCCAGTATTAGCAAAAGTATGAACAAATAAGATGTGGCCGTTAACGCAATAATGGCTAGTTAGTATATTATATTAATATTCGTGGTTGCTTAATCAATGTATTCCTGGCATCTTTAGGTTACGAGCCCTCTCAACTCAAAGAGTCTTACGACAGAAAAGTTTGTCGTATGTCCTTTTCGATGATAAAACATTATAACGAAGCTATATAGTTATCAACATCTTATATTGCACATCCCAGGAAATTGCTGAGTGGTATCAAATAACAGATAGCAGATAAAGTTGTTTGATTTTTTGTTAGAGTATCTTCATTGTACATTTTTCGGCGTCTTATGAATCCTACATCGAATCACTCACTCATGGTATATCATTGACTACCATCAACCCAAGTAAAGAGTCAACAACCTGAGCTGCTAAAAGTTCAGTACTAGCACTATTGATTGTATTTGGTGCAGTGCTAACCTCAACAATGTCTGATCCCACCAAATCAATACCTTCAAGGCCATCCAAAATAGTCAAAACCTCTCTTGTGCTGAGACCTCCAGCCTCTAAAGTTCCCGAATTCACAAGACCAACATCAAATGTATCCAAATCAAAGGTCAGATAGACCTTCTTGTCCCCAACAATTTTCTTAATCATCTTAGCAATTCCTCTGGTACCGTAGATATCAATATCTTTCGATGTGAATGTTTGAAACCCACAATCTTCTGCATCATGCCTTTCATCATCAGATGAAATGAATGGAGCTCTTATACCAACATGAACACTGTGGTTCTTAGAAACGTACCCAGCCTCTGTTGCATAATGAAGAAAAGTGCCATGATTCAAACTTGCGTAATCAGAGATTCCTCCGCCCAAAACTTTTGGATCCCAGGTATCAATGTGAGCATCAAAATGAATCACGGCTAGACCATCGATTTCGCCAAAGGTTTCAAAGGCAGATTTCAAATTCATCAAGGTAATTGTATGATCACCTCCCAAAGTCACAATACGTGTCTGATTATAGCGAGTCGAATTGAGGGAAGGGTGTTTGTGGATTGCTCTTTGACCTCTATACAGTTGGTTCAGAGCAATTCTGGAATCAAATGGTGTCATTGGAACATCTCCGCAATCGACAATCTTTAGTCCTGCGTGATAAGGGTCCAGACGTCTCAATTTCGATGACTTGTTATTGCCCCTGATAGGATTGTTCCCAGAGCCCAATCTCCTAGATCCTTGGCGTGCACCATTGGGGCCAAATCGTGCACCACTGTTGTAAGACACACCCAAATCAAAGGGAGCACCAGAGATTGCAATGTCGATTGCTTCCTCTTGATCAAAGAAGCAATTGGATTCAGGCAGGTGAGCAAAGGTGACAATGCCCGAATATAGGGGTCCCAGTCCAGTGAAGTCGGAAAGGTCGTCGTCTTCAGGGAACCGCAATTTGTTCAACTTGAATACAGAGGATGCACTTGCATGTGTTGTATCACTTCCAGAATACTGCTGCATTTGTTCAGAAGTTTGTCCAGGAAAAAACTGGTTATCAATTGTAATCAGTGAGCCAAAAATGTCATCCATCAATGTACCAGAAGCTTCAGGGTGTTCCTGAAAAACATCCTGACCAGGTTCCTGCCTGAAATTTAGTGCATGGATTTGATTACAAAAGAGGAAAAGTATCACTGGGTGTCTCATTTAACAAGTGGGGTGAGGAATCTCAACTCAAAATTTCTCGATGTTATTGTAAGCTTTAGTTTCGCTCGAAAATAGTTCAGTCTTATCTTGGCTCTAAGCGGCATTATAGATATTTCAAAATTGCCGCCAAGAAATGGGGTCGATCGTCGTTAAAATTAAATTAAACTTTTAGGTGAAAATAATCTGGGGTCTGGTGAACTTTGAAGTTACCAAATAAAACTAGGTAAAATGACAAGAAGGATCAAAGTCACCGATGTATCGTCCAAGGTTGACTCACTTTCGCCATTCAGATCTCAGAGTATTTCTTTGTTGAATAAGCAACACTTCTATCAAAATAGTATACTTCTTGGTTGGTCAGAGCGAAATGCTCATCCGGTTACACTGCGGCACCTTGCTAATTTTGGCAAAAGACTGACCAAAGAAAAACTTATAAGCAGTGCAAACTTTGTGAGAACTGAACTACCAGTTAGACTAAGCTTAAAAATTAGGGAGTTACAGAGTCTGGATTTTGATGTCATCAACAATCATCATATTAACCAAGTTTACCAAAGTTACTACCATTGCTTTAATGCTTTTAGAAGGATGGGAAGGATTGAAACTTTTGAGGAGAATGAGAAATTCTGTGAATTTCTAAGAAAGGTGTTAAACGATCATCTACTGGTTCTGCCTCATCTGATGATGGGGGCCCTAGAAGTATCCATTTTGCAGAAAATGCCCCAAGATCAGTTGGACGAATTCATGTCGTCCATGCTGAGATCAAGGATAAGTAGGAGAGTGATCATTGAACAACATACATCTCTCTCCGATTCTTTCAAAGACCAGGATGAAGATCTGCATAGGCCCTCCAATTACATTGGAGCTGCATTTCAATACATCTCTGCCCATGAGCAACTCATAACATGCAAGGATATTGTTTCGAGCTTCTTACAAAGCATCTATCCCAATCTACGGATGCCAGAGTTGATCATAATTGGCGATGATGTCAAATTTCAATTTTTGACTAACCATTTAAACTACATCTATGCCGAGATCCTTCGAAATTCTTTGAAATCCACGATTCAAACATTTTTACGCCGTAATTCGCATTGCACGGCGGCGGAACTAAGAACTCTGAAACCGCCACCCATAGTGGTGGAAATAGTGCAAACAAAAAACTCGATGACCTTTAAGTTTTCGGATCAAGGAGGCGGTATGTCATCAGAAAAGCTCAGCAAAGTTTGGTCTTTTGGAAAATCTTTAACTCTTGCTGAACAATACTTTTCAAACTTCAATAGGTTACCAGGTCTCAATTTTGATTTTACGTCACCTGTGGTTGATCAGAGCGACACAGAGCTCCATGGGCTGAGTGGAATGATTCATAATATTGGTCAGATGGAAACAAGCAATAATCATAGACAGAATTCGGTTTTGTCATCACTTGTTCGGCGCCCTTTCGAGTTCACATTGGGCATCTCAATGCCCATGTGTAAGGTGTACACAGATTACTGGAATGGCGATTTAGACATGAAATCAATTGAAGGTTACGGAACAGATGTCTTTTTGCAATTGAAAAAGCTCGGAAACGCTGATAAGCCCCAGCTAGATAAGGCTTAGTATGATCCATAGCAATTACAATCGTTTTCACGCATGCGAAGCATGTTTGCTGTGGTCAGGTAAATACCAAGACAGCCACCCAAACGTTGGTCTGCAGGTGCGGAATAGTTTTCATATTGATTTATTCGTAAATAATAACGATGCGGTCAGTTAGTAAGAAATATCAATAAAGGTGTACGCATTCCTGTTTTTTGGTTTGGATTATATTATGGATGAATTTATTTTCTGGGACTTCTTCCACAAAATTACGTGTGATAAATCTTTGCGCATCAACAAACCAAAGCCTTTGAGATTACATGTTTCTGTACCCAAAGGGGTTTAATAAAGTGCTTTATTGATAAGTCAGACAACTGAATATCGGGCCGAACTCAAATTCAGCTAAAACCATAAATATGCCTGATCAGCCAGAAAAGTTACTAGCCAGCAATGTTGTCAGCGGTGAACAAAGTAATGCCGGAGTTGAATCTCCCAATATGAACACGGGCTCATCAGTGGGATCATCCAGAGCCGTAACACCCCTAAGGACTCCACCAGTTGGACAATCTAGAACCGTGAACCGAATGTCGTTGAGTTCAATGATAAATATGGACGCAGGTGAAGTTTCGGCGTCTCCGCTTGACCATTCCGAGAAGCAGACTTCAGAACTTATTGTAGGAGGATTTTTGCCTGGAGTTCAAACGTCTGCAAGTCTGGCAAATTCAAATACAGACCTCAAAACAGACTTAGACCAAAACAAGATTTCGGCGAAGCCTAAAGGCAAACCAGCAGAATCAGACAGAAAAGAGATCACAAGAACCAATAAATCAAAGTCAACCAAGAATAAACCGAATGATCCTATGAAAAACGAAGATAAATCTCCAAAAAAGAAATCAATCTCAAGAATCGACAACGCCCCATCAGCAAGAGACTCAAGTTCTTCTTCAACGTCCCAAAAACAGGAGGAAAGAAAAATAGCCCCTCGTCAAATGGATTCTTTGCCGCAGCCCGTTATTCTTGATGTCACTGGTGACAATCAATCACAACCTGGTCCAGACTCCAGTAGTCTAATAGTAGCATTGCACGTTCCGTTGGTACCCCAAGGATCACTACCGGGAGATTCTCAAGCAATATTCAATGTGATGAGGCTGTGTGAAGACAAATATGGATTTGACGTTATGCATCCGAACGGGAAGATTGCGATAGATGCTATGGACGTAGATGAGGATATAGCCGAGGACGAAAACCCGGATCCGAACGAGGAAGAAAGTGCAGAGGTCGAGGAGGAGGACGATATCACAAGAAGGCTCGGAATGAAATTCAAAGTCGGAATGACAGACGAGGAAAAAGAAGAGATGATTTTGAAAGAAATTCACAGAAAGAAGATGGAGTCCAATAAAAGGATAGGAAAGTACGACTTGCTCGATCCATTTATTGATGACGAAGAACTACTGTTTGAGGAACAGACGAAAACCAACAAAGATGGATTCTATGTTTATTACGGACCTGTTGCTGACGATACTAATCCAAACACGAATAAAAGGAAAGTAGCTTCGAATTCAGGAGCAACTGCCAAAAAGAAAAAGAGTGTTCCTTCAAGTGGCGCCTCTACGAAAAAGACTGACTCTTCATTGCTAAAAATTGCTCCAAAACCTGCGGTTTTAACAAACGATAGCAGTGTTCAGTCAGCCGAATCAGCAAGCCATACAAAAACCAGCTCTTCAGCCGAGACAGCGATTGACACAGAAGAACAACGTGGTTCCAAAGCATTGGCTGCCGTGAAAACTCCCTCGCTCGAAGAAAAAACTATAGGAACTTCTGAGGAATTACCACCAAATCAAGATAAAAACAGAATCATTGTGGGTGCTCTTCCACCATTACCTTGAAAAAGAAACCAAAGTTCAATCCTAAATGGAGACTCCTTAAAGGAAGTTAATCAATGTGATAATTGTTGCTGTTTATCAAATGTCCATTGAATGGGTAGGTAGAGATGTGAAAAGAGAAGAGCAGACGGGCTAGAAAAAAAGAATTTGATGGTTGCACTGTTTTTCAATGCTGCGGAACTGACTGACCGCTGCAATGTTAGAATATGAGTGATCAGTCTCACATTACACTACTAGTAATTCTAATGAAACGCGTACAAGATAGTTTAGACCATGTTTTGACTGATGTCAGATTAAGTTTTATTGAGATGTCTTGATTCATTTTCGACGCGACGATTCGGATTTAGCATTTTCCGGGGAAAGCTAGAAAATTCTAGCAGATATTTGAGCATAGTATTTAAGGAAGCCTGTTTAAGCTCGAGAACTACTAAAAAGGGGCAAGCACCACGAATGCTATTGAAACAAGTTTACTCTTCAGCATCTAATGCCAGGACAAGGGGGCTTAAGGCTTTCCAAAGCGAGTTGTTCCACCTAAAAAGATTCTTTGGTAATGCTCACTCAGTTAGAAAAGGGCCAGACTACCCTGTTTCAATGTTATTCCCCAGACAACGGAAGCCCAATTCTGACAGTTTCCTGATCAATTACAGATGGTTTTCGTCATGTAGAGCTTCGAATTTACAAATGAAAATGAGCCCAGAACAATCAGAGGAGCCTGCCTTAAAAAGGTTTGCAACAAATTTGACTGATCTGGCAAAGAAAGGTAATCTGGATCCCGTTATTGGCAGAGACGAAGAAATCAGACGAACGATCCAGATTTTATCTCGGCGGACAAAGAATAACCCGGTACTCATCGGAAATGCAGGAACAGGAAAAACGGCAATTATGGAAGGCCTAGCTCAGAGGATAGTGAAAGGTGAGGTGCCAGAAAGTATGAAAGAAAAGGAGGTTATCGCACTTGATCTTGGATCTCTCATCAGCGGTGCAAAGTATCGAGGAGAGTTTGAAGAAAGACTTAAGGAGGTTCTGAAAGAGTTGGATGATCACTATATCCTGTTCATTGATGAACTACACACGCTTCTAGGTCTTGGTAAATCTGAAGGCTCAATTGATGCATCGAACTTACTAAAGCCTGCGTTGGCTAGAGGCCAGCTCCAGTGCTGTGGTGCGACTACTATCGATGAATATAAAAAATACATCGAAAAAGATGTGGCACTGGCTAGAAGATTCCAACCAATTTTGGTTAACGAGCCTACAGTCGAGGATGCTATTAGTATTCTCAGAGGACTGAAAGAAAAATATGAAGTGCATCATGGTGTTCGCATTGCAGACAGTGCTTTGGTGACCGCTGCTGTCTATAGTAATCGCTATATTACAGACAGATTTTTACCCGACAAAGCCATTGATTTGGTCGATGAAGCCTGTTCTGCATTGAGGTTGCAACACGAGTCCAAACCCGATACAATACAGGAGCTGGACAGATCGATAATGACTATTCAAATTGAATTAGAGTCATTAAGAAAAGAATCTGATGTTCTCAGTAAGGAAAGGAGAGAAAAATTACAGTCTCAACTCGAAGAGAAACAGGAAGAATTAAAGAGACTTACGGAGATCTGGGAGACTCAGAAGAAAGAGCTTGACACTGTGAAACAACTGAAAGAAAGTTTAGAGAAAGCCAAGCAGGATCTGGACAAGGAAAGGAGAGAAGGAAATTTTGCGTCAGCTTCAAAATTGCAATATGCTACCATCCCTGAACTTGAATCCAAAGTCAATGAGCTGACCCGGCAGCAAGAAGTTACTGGTAATGAAATTGAGGAAGAGAATCTCTTACACGAGTCCGTGACCTCCGATGACATTGCAAGAGTTGTTTCAAAAGCTACAGGAATTCCAGTTCAAAATATGATGAGGGGAGAAAAGGACAAACTTCTGTACATGGAGGCTGCATTGAAAGGAAGGGTTATTGGCCAAGATGAAGCTATAAACTCAATATCGAATGCTATTAGGCTCCAAAGAGCCGGGTTAACGGACGAGAAGCGTCCAATTGCATCTTTCATGTTTTTGGGCCCAACTGGAACAGGAAAAACAGAGCTCACTAAGGCTGTGGCAGATTTCCTTTTCGATGACGAAAACGCCATCATCAGGTTTGACATGTCAGAATTTCAAGAAAAGCATTCAATCATGAGACTCATTGGTGCACCACCGTCATATGTTGGTTATGAAGAAGGTGGTGAATTGACCGAAAAGGTGAGGAGAAAGCCATATTCGGTGATCTTATTTGATGAGTTTGAAAAGGCACACCCAGATGTGTCAAAGCTGCTACTCCAGGTTTTGGATGAAGGCAAGCTCACAGACTCTCAAGGCAACAAGATTGACTTCAGAAACACACTCATTGTTATGACATCGAACATTGGGCAGGACATTATGCTCTCCGACAACCCCGACAAAGAGCAGATTCTTCAAACGATGAGAACTGTTTACTCTCCAGAGTTCATTAACAGAATTGATGAGGTTGTTGTTTTCAACAAGCTATCGAAGGATGCTTTGAGAAACATTGTCGATTTGAGAATTGACGATTTACAAGATAAATTAGTTGACAGACGGATCGAGCTAGTTTTATCGGACGAGGCAAAAGACTGGCTTACGGTGAACGGATATGAACCAAGATATGGAGCTAGACCACTGAACAGAATAATCAAAAGGACATTGCTGAACCCTATTTCGATAATGATGTTGAAAGGGGAGATTAAAAACAACTGCGTGATCAATGTTGTGGTTAAAGATGATCAACTGGAAATAACCTCTCAAGATAAGGATGTTACTGATCCACACTCACAGTCAGGTACAACTACAGAAGAATAGGAAGAAATACGGATAAGGGTAAGGCAAACAGTGTAAATAGCCATTTAGTTGATTTTTTCATAGCACGATTTTATAGCATTTCAAAACGATCACTCCCCGTATGACCGCATAATTGTTATATAGCAGTTTTGCTTTTGAATGGCATCGACTCTCTGTTGACAAACGCTGATTTCCGAGCCATTATCAATGTACGATAGCCGAAGTAATCGAAAGTGAAATCATAACAGGTCATGATATGTTCCAGCAAAAGTTTGTACTTCCTACAGGTCCATGTTGATGAATCAAGCAAATTGAAATTTAAATTGAGATTATCTACAAATCATACTTTATGTATTTGTAAAGCCTCGAAGAAGAGCATGTGTATTTTTTTTTTTTGGCCTTCCTGTAGTGAAAGGATTTCTTTTTCATCTGCTAGAATTTTTTTTTTCTCGCCTTGCGTTCCTATTGTTCCGAATAATAAAAAAAACAGTTGGCTGCATAATTTTTTTATTTCATGTAACTAGCTGGGTACAATATACGGAATAGGGCCAGCAAGAATTGTTAACGAAATTAAAAACAGTACCGTTGGCAAGGAATCAAACCTTTCGCACTATCCAATCTGTCTCTAAGATCTTGTGTTGGAACTAATTGGAATCTTAGATGACTGGCCTACGAAAGAACAGCAAATTGATGAGTTTCCGAAAGCAATCAAGGAAGTCTCAGAATCCAGAGCCTGAGCTCAGGAAGAAAAGAAAACTACAAAATCCAGAGAACGGACAAACAGACACATACCAGAATTCATTGAAGAGCGAATTAATCATGGATGATTCCGATGATGATAATAACCGTATAACTTCGAAAAAGGATTTGAGATCCAATTTTTCAAATATCATTAATCAACAGCCGTTTTTTTCACACCCATCAGGTATGACAATCGATTTGCACAGCGAGATGAAGCTTCAAAGGCAAAGGAGATTGATAGAATTGGATATGATGAGAGAAAAAGAGCTGAACCATGAAAATAACGACGGGGAATTATCAGAAGATGACCTTCTTAGTTTCTCTTCGTCAGAGGACGAAGAATTTATGGACTCAAAACTTCCGAAGTTACACCAGTTAACTAGAATTGACGAAAAACTAAACCCATGCAACATGAGTGTGGAATCACTGACAACGGGATTGGAGCAAGTCGATCATTTGATTAGACAATATAGAGGCCTTGATGCAGAGAGTCAGGTTCTAAATATCTATGATCATATTCTACCACTAGCGACTGACTTGGATGAAGAAAAGGTTAAACAGGTTCCAGGAGACGTTAAAATGTCTACAGATAAGGAAACAAAAGTTAACGAGAGCGATTGCCATTTGATATCTGAAACTTCATCTTTTCGCCTTCTAGCTGGAGAGAGACTGACTCGTAAGGCTCCACTTAGTGTTTCAGATGATGACAGGGAAAATAGCCAAGAGGACTCTTCTAATGTTTCGCTTGAAGAGTTCCTCAACTTGGAATTTGATGGAAACTCTATAGAGCTTGATGGAGCTCATAATCAAATTTCCAAAACCAATGCCACTTTCGCTACCCTAGATATCATGCCACAAGCCAGAAATTTTGAATATCGATACAATCATGACAAGATCAACCTTGCTTTAGTGAACAATTATAGCAATTTCAATCCTTCCGTTGAAGGAAAACGATCAAACAAAAGAGGTCCATTAAACAAAAGTGCGCTGTTTTATGGAAACCACTCTGAATTGAGCTTCAACAACTACCTCTTCCAAATGAACGATTTTGTGATCTAATAGACCAATAACTTAGATCATCCCAGCTTTTTTTGAAAAAGACTGTTAAACTGTATTTAGCGAGTAACATAATTTTATTTCTTACACAGCTTATCTATTTTTTTTTAAGTGCATCAAATCTTTGCTTCAAATCGTCTAGTTCACTAGCTGGCTCGGATCTTTGTGCCCTAATTGGACTGGCATCCTCAGTTGCTGTAGTGTTGTTTTTCTGGGTCTCACCGTATAAATCGATTTTGTAACAATCGCAAATTTCTTTTAAGTACGACTCGACCAACTGGTCCACATTATCGTTCTGACACTTCTTGACTAAATTCATATCGTCTGGATTGTTTATGGCATCCTCATAGAAATCTTTTCCATACTTGTGTGCTAATATAGTTACCAGCTTTTTGAACTCTTTGATGTTCACATAGGAATTCACGTACATTAGCTTCCGCACTATTTTCGTTATATTCTCATCGCCTGGCGATAACTGCAGCTGGTGAATTTTAGAATGAAGCACTTCGCAATCCACGACAAGTATTTCGTATAAATCAACCAAATTATCATCAACTATCACCTTAGATATCTTCACTCTTGCCAATGTAAGACATCTATCGAACTGACTACCCGATTTTTGGTTTAATTCTTTCAATTCTTTTGATAGTTGAAACAGTGTTGCTTTATTAATAGACTTCATTTTCTCAGCTTTGAATTGAAGCTTTGAGCTTGTCATCTTCAAGGTCGTTTTCAAAGCAAGCTTTAGTGTCAGTAAGAGATCAGTCAAAAAGCAATTATAGTCATACCTCATCATTAGCGGGGGCCATTTTGTTGTAGCGATGACCAACTGAATTAAAAAAATACAATTCGACGAATTTATGAACTTCAGATTCGTGCTTTACAGTTAATCATGGCTGCATCATCCAAGCAACTAAAAGAACAATTTGTGACAGGTCTGACAGGTGGATCTACGGTTGATATTTATTTGACCACATCTGTATCAATCATAGCATACCTCGCTTGGTCTATTTTAAAAAAGAGGACATCCTTGTTCGACAACGATACTCAAAATTTTGCTAAAATATTGGATTTTTTCGTGAATTGGGTTGCCCTGCTGCTTTCTGTTACCCAATACTCCGAAAATGTCATTCTTTTGATTCTCGGAATCACTTTTCCTATGTTCATTGCCCTGAACAACAAGTCAAAGTATGAAGCCCCACGATCACAAAGGATAAACATTCAATATTTAAGTTCCAAGGAATTCATACCTTTCAAGCCATATATCACAGTATATCGTTCTCAGATGATGGTGATCACTTGTATCTGTATTCTCGCTGTGGACTTTCCGATCTTTCCGAGACGATTTGCCAAGGTAGAAACATGGGGCACGAGTCTTATGGATCTTGGTGTTGGTTCTTTCGTATTTTCAATGGGACTAGTTAGTGCAAGACAACTAATCAAGCAGAGGTTTGACAACCGATACAGCTATGCGAGATCTGCGATTTCGTCTTTGAAAAATTCGATCCCGATACTAATACTCGGGATAATAAGACTTGCAAGTGTGAAATCGTTAGACTATCAAGAGCATATGACAGAATATGGTAAGCACTGGAACTTTTTCTTTACTCTCAGTTTTGTGCCCTTGATTGCAAATCTCATATTTCCGCTGATAGATTTCATCACACCATTGGTTTGCAGTTCGATGATTATCATCATTTACGAAATTGCACTCACGAAATTTGGTCTCCTTGAATACATTTTGAAAACTGAACGCCCTAACTTACTGGCAATGAACAAGGAGGGGATTTTTTCATCCATCGGATATTTGGCAATTTATCTGAATGGTCTTTCATTGGGCTATGTGATTTTACCTCTATTTCCCACACACAGAAATTTGTTCAAGATGAGTGATTCGAAAGACCTGATCATAGAGACAATCACTAAGAGATCGGTTTTCACAGTTTCACCCACCAAGGGATTATTAATTTTATCAGTCTGCTTTCATGTCCTTTACTATGTAATCGACACATGCTATTATTACGGAGTTTCGAGAAGAATGGCCAATGGATTGTATGTGATCTGGGTCTCTGCTTACAATTGCACCTACTTGCTTGGGTACGCTCTTGTGGAAAAGTTCATCTGGGGCGAGCCTCACTACGAATTTACTAACGAAAACAGAAAAGCACCGAATAGTCTGAACATTTGGTATAAAAACAGCGTACCCGAGTCCTTATCTGCCGTCAATTTCAATAGTTTGGTATTATTCCTGATAGCCAACTTACTGACAGGACTAGTCAATCTTACGATCGATACAATTAATGCTAAAAATCAGACGGCTCTTTTGGTACTAGTTTTGTACGCAGGTGCTCTTGCTTTGGTAGCACACACGCTGTATGCAAAAAAGATTCACTTGAGATGACTGATAGAACTTTGCATCACAAACATTTCTTTACTCCCCCGTTTAGCCATATGCTGAATTTTATACACATGAATCGAACAGTTCATTCTATATTTCCAAACCCCTTCGATTGAGATATTGATTTCTTCGGTCATTATCCAACGGAAAGTCGACAACACAGTGGTTAATGACTGATCTTTATTCCAAGCATTTCAAGAATACCCGAGTATCTGGTTCGCTAATCTCTAAAACTCATTCATTTTGTCATAGTTTGAAGAGAATAGGAAGGATACTTATAATAACTTTATTTTAATTTTCCAAAAAAAATTATTGTGATGTGCTTTCGAACCAGCAAGGCCTTATTTTCAGTCTACTTTGGTAGTCATGACTGGTTTCAAAACACACCAAATTAATGATAACTGTGGATGAGCCTCTCAAAATATTCAAGCTTAATGAATCCTCAAACGAATTATAAATCAAACTGATTAGATAAGCATGAAACATACTATATGTGCGACTAATTTTCCTGTGTAAAATGTTGAAAAATGATTATTTCACGCGTTTGCAATATTTGATCTTAAATCCTGAATTGAACGCCCGTGATAATTATGTCAGGGAGACTTTCTGCGGAGGATCCCTTTTTTGAGCATGGAACACAGGAAGATGAAAATGGCCTTACAAGAGACGAAATGGCCATAGGAAGCACGCAAGTGGAAAAAAACCCCTTTTTCTCGTTTAAAGCAGAATTGGAGGCAATGTTCGCAGGAATAGAACCCGCATCTGTGAGACTTCTTTATGAGCACTTCAAGGAGTCAGAAGACAAACTAGCTCTTGCAATCAATGCATATTTGGATCATCCCGATAAATACCAGATCCATAATGGGGAATCAACTAAAATAGAAAACAAGAACAGCCCAGAAACCAGCCTTACAAAGGATTTGAAGCGACGTACAACAGAAGATTCAGATCATGACCCAAAGCGCAGCAAGATGAAAACAGGGCAACTCAAATTCATTGGGTGCTTTGAAATCGAATGTTGGTGTACCCGATTTGTCCTAGGAAAGCTTCAACTCAAGGATGAACTTTTATTAAGCAAAAATCCAGATAACGACAACATTGTTTACATTAACAAAACCAGTTCGTCACAGTATAGACAGGAAATTGGAAGATGCAGAGAGGAATCAGCAAAAATGATTGCCCCGTTCTTACCAACAAGCTTCATCACTTTCAATGCCACTTTGTCATACATGTCTGACTCGGTCTTGCGAACAGGCGATTCATTTTTTGTTAAATTGGACTGTTACTTGAACACAGAGTCGTTTGATCGCGACTTTATTTCAGACAGCAGTGTTGAAGAAACATTCAAAGCAGTTAAGCGAACTTCAGAGGAAGCGGATATATTTGGCTCAAACGATAAACGAACAAGCTTAATCAAGTTATTACGGAGACTGGGGCTACTCGCAGCTCCAATCAATGAAAATCTTGGTCTTGAAGATAAGGACAATGATTCCGACACTCCGATAAATGTTGTTGACCTAGAATCGCAAAAAGATCCGAATGAAAGTCCATCGAGAAGTCAAGCGAACACAGAATCAGATGATTATCTTACCGTGAAACAACTCAGAAGCATATATAAAACAACGGAACTGCAAAGCTCAGGGCTTCTGCTACCAGACTCAAACCCTGAGGAGTTTGAATTGGATCTTCGCCCTTATCAAAAATATGCCTTGAGTTGGATGCTCCTACGAGAACGAGAGTATACGCTAATTGGAGTTGGAAATACGGAGCTGTCTAAGTCCGAAAAAGAAGAATTCTACAAAGGACTGGTCCATGATGGAGGAATACCAAATCCTTTATGGAAAGAAATAAATTTAGGATTCCGCTCAAGCTCTGACGTTTCAACACAAACACAAGGCGAAGACTTTTCTTTCTATCTGAACATATACAATGGCTCTTGCTCATTGGAGCGACCTTTAGTTCACAATGACATGCGTGGTGGAATTTTGGCCGATGAAATGGGTTTGGGGAAGACAATCACCACGCTATCACTCATTGCAACATGTTCATCAGATAGCTCTTATACCAACCCCATTAGAAAGGATAGATATGCACATAGGACTACATTGATAGTTCTTCCTATGACTTTGCTTTCTCAGTGGGAAAGCGAGTTCTCAAAGGCAAATGGGGGTTCCAAAAAAAAGTGCTTTGTTTATTATGGAAATGACACCCTAGGAGATTTGAGCGCTCTCTTATGTGACAATAGAAAAGCACCGGAAGTTGTACTTACAACTTACGGTACGGTACAAAGTGAGGCCACTCGCTGTGCCAAAGTGGGAAACAAGGTAGGATTATTTTCGGTAACCTTCTTTCGAGTTATCCTTGACGAAGGCCACATAATTCGAAATAAATCTACCAAGACAGCGAAAGGAATTAATCTTATATCAGCAAGACGAAAGTGGATTCTCACTGGAACTCCAATTGTGAATCGACTAGACGATTTATATTCACTACTTTCATTTTTGAACGTACAGCCATGGACGAAGTATAACATTTGGAAATACTTTATAACTGAACCTTTCAATCAGGGTAAAAACTTGAAGGAAGCTTTCAGTTTATTGAAATCCATACTGGATCCGATTTTACTTAGAAGAACCAAGCATCAAAAGGACAAAAACGGTAACTTGCTTGTCGAGCTACCTTCAAAGGAGATAGTCATCGAAAGGCTTAAGTTTAATGAGAAAGAGGAGGCTTTATATAACCATATGAAAAGCCGTGCAATTCATATGTTCACCGAGAATCTCAAGCATGGATCCGTTCTGAAAAATTACTCTTCGATTCTTACGCAGCTTCTTCGCCTGCGACAAATATGTTGCCATGTTGACCTTATCCGTGCTTCTTACCAAGAAAAAAACTGTGAAGACGATGAATTGAAGCATCTTGCGCAAGCTCCACCAGGAACTGATGAGAATGAAGGACTACAAATACTAAGACGGTTCGAAGAAGAGGAAAATACAAACAAGTTACCTCCTGAAAAGATTATGACTATCAAAGAAGAAATTTACCAACTGTATCCTAACTTTGATGATGTTGAGTGTTCAATTTGCACCAGCCCTATTGAAATAGACTCTTGCGTGATCACGGAGTGCAAGCATTGCTTCTGTCTTGACTGTCTTATGGAACATTTTCTGTTTCAGTCAAAACTTCACAACAACACTATGAATATGCCCGACCTTTCTATCCCGCCAAAAAAGAATGACGGAGAAGTTTTTTGTCCCAATTGCAGACATATCATTCACAAAAACCGCCTATTTCGGACTTTGAAATCTCAATCAAAGACATCAACAGGCCCTGAAAATGATCAAACTGACTCAAGTTTGACACCAGATTTACCAAATGGAAAGATGTATTATGTTGGACCGTTTAATGCGTATGAGAAATCAACAAAAGTTAATGCTTTAATGTCCCATTTACACCAGATCAGAGAAGAGAATCCCAACGACCACGTCATTGTATTCTCTCAATTCACAAGTTTTCTTGACATTGTTGAAAATGAGCTGAAGAAATATGGGAACGAGTTCAAGGTTTTAAAGTTTGATGGTCGTTTAACGGCCGACAAACGTCAAACGATCTTGAATGAATTTAACGAGGAAACCTCAACACGTCAAATCACAATTTTACTTTTAAGCCTAAAAGCTGGAGGTGTTGGATTAAATTTAACTGTGGCTTCCAAAGCATTTTTACTTGATCCTCACTGGAACAACGCGACAGAATTTCAGGCAATTGATCGAGTCCATAGACTGGGGCAGAAAAAGAACGTGAAGGTGATCAGATTCATTATGGAGGGAACTATTGAAGAACGCATGCTAAAAATACAAGAGCGAAAAAATCAACTAGGAGAAGCCCTATCGATGAATGATGAAGAAAGACGAAAAAAGAAAATCGAGGAAATCGAGATCCTTTTCAAAGAGTAACTAATCTAATATCAAACAAGCGGGATCCAAGTTTGTGCCTGCAACTATCTCATTTTGAATCACCCATTTCTTGATCTTCGTTCGATCAATGAATAGTTTGTAGTTGACCTCTTCCAAAAAAACGTACTGCCGATCATTATAGCGCCTGCCGCTATAATAGTCTGTATATGGAGATTTTGTACCATATTCGAAGAGCGATTGCATATGGTCTAATGATAAGAGAATATCCTCTGATCTAAAGCCTGTTTTCTGGCTGATCAGCTCTAGGGTAACATGAGTATTAGTTGATAATTTGCCATAGAGAAACTCCCTGGAGAGGGATTTTGTCCAGTAGCTAAGATATGAAAGTTTTCCAAACGGAGATAAAGGTCGTTCTGGTCCGCTGACTATCTGTTCGTGATTCGAAAGATAATAAGAGAATTCTATCAGTTTGGATCCTAGTCTTTGTTTCTGATAGCAAGGTATTACTAGTATGCATGAAAGATTGTTCTGATCCCAGGAAAGAAGTTCTCTTGAATAGAACCCCATGGGAGTCGGAACCCCGTCTAAAGTTTGATAGATCACAAAATAATCGTAATATTCCACATTGAAAAACACAGACTTATTATCGAGGAAGAACTTGGCCAGTATACTCAGGCACTGGCAAAATAGCTTGTGTTTCCTCCCACTAACTCGCCTGATTGTACATGTGTCGTCCTGATACATTACTTGCCCGGGCAAATTCCTTCTAAACGAGCAGTAAGAGTAGTGCCGAAACATTTCATCACATTCGGTAGTATATTTGAAACATGCTTGACAAAAATGAAGCATTTTGATCCATGGTTGCTGAAGCTGATTAAGCTGATTGAACTTCTTTGTAGAGACAGAGGGCTTGGTCCTTTTTTCTAAAAGCTGGTATCCGAGGGTTTCAGGCTCAGTTTGTATAAATAAAACCGAGTTGCCAAACCATGTATCAAACTCAAAATTACCCAATCGTATACGTTCGACATTTCGATAATTCAGCGAACCATAGTCTAGGGTCTCACTTGAATTTGACATGATCTTGTCGCCCTTTAGCGAGTTTTTGAATAAATTTTAGCTAAGCAAGCGGCTCAAAAAAATTTTAGATTTTGCTTTGAAGTTCAGCTTATTTAATAGACTTTCCTTTGCATTTTATCACCTATTATGGTTCGGAAGTACAACTCATCAGCTAAAAGTTCGAACGAGAATCCACAGGAAATAACTGTGGAATCAGAACCTGATGGAACTCGCTCTGGACCGATGACTGAGAATGAAAAAAGCAAGAGAAAGAGGAAAATGAAGGAAGTTCTTTTAGAACAGCACAAAGACAAGATCTCAAGACAAAAAAAGAAAAGGTTGGACAAGTACATCGAACATCAGTTGAAGAGGGAGGAGAAAGAGTTGCTCCTTCGAAAGTTGGGGGAAACAAGGATTGATTCAAGTATTTTAAAATCTGCAAAACTTATTGGTACTGGATCACAGAAGACCAGGAGAGAATTGTTTTTGGACGCCTTGGAGAAAGAAAAGCAAGGAAAAGGAAATGAAGAAACTGCTTCTATCTTATATGAGGAAAGGACTGTTGCAAAATGGGACGATGAAGATAAAGAGGAACCCAAACCTACACAGAAAAGCTCGACAGAGACCGATACTCAGTTCAAGCAACCTCAAAGTTACATACCCATCTCCCAAGACTCTTCAGGCTTTCAATTCGGGTTCTCTAATATCAAGAAAGTTCAGAAAAGAGCGAAACCAAGTGGGTACAGTTGGAAAACAAAACTTGAATTGGACGCAAAAGAGTCGGATAGGGCTGAAAACGATGCAGATTTTTTGAGTAGTGAAGAGAGTAGCGTTGAGGAAGATAATATTTCAGAAAGCGAACAGCAAAACGGTGAGGATAACGAAGAGCTTGAAGGTTTCAGCGGGTCTTCTGATGGCGCAGCGACAGACGAAGAAGAAGAAGAAGAAGAAGAAGAAGAAGAAACCACAAAGCTATCACACAGCAAAAAGGCACAAAATTTTAAGAATTGGGCTGAAGGCCAAGTGCGACAATTAGAAGGAAGGTCTGAAACAATCATACAAACAGCTCCACAATTTGATTACACTCCTATAGTACGTGAGGAGGATTTGGATGACGGCTTGGAGCATAATTTCATCCCAATCAACGAACAATTACGGAGAAAAATTGCGACCGTTCATATTGACAGGGACGACGATATTCAAGTGGCTAGAATGAAATTACCAGTGGTTGGAGAAGAACATACTATTTTGGAGGCAATTCATCACAATGATTGTGTCATAATATGTGGTGAAACTGGATCAGGTAAAACAACTCAAATTCCACAGTTTCTTTTCGAATCAGGTTATGGTAGCCCCAATTCGGAAACACCTGGAATAATTGGTGTCACTCAACCACGAAGAGTTGCTGCCGTGGCGATGGCAGAAAGAGTTGGCCAGGAATTGGGAAATTGCAGGAACAAGGTAGGCTATCAAATTCGATTTGATGCAAATGTGAGCGAGGGTACGGCAATAAAATTCATGACTGATGGTGTTCTGTTGAGAGAGATGATGACAGATTTTCTACTAACCAAATACTCCGCTCTCATAATCGACGAAGCCCATGAGAGAAATATCAACACCGACATTCTGATTGGAATGCTCAGTAGAGTATTGAAGCTCAGAAGAGAAAAGGCAGAGACCGACGCTCAAAATTATAGACCGCTGAAGTTAGTCGTCATGTCCGCGACATTGTCCGTTTCGGATTTTAGTGAAAACTCTAGACTATTTAGAACTCCTCCACCAATTGTGAGCGTCCCTGCAAGACAATATCCCGTGTCCATTCATTTTAATAGGCGAACAGTTCCAAACTATAACGAAGAAGCGTTCAGGAAGACATGCAAAATTCATTCTAAACTCCCTCCTGGTGGAATTTTGGTGTTTCTTACAGGAAAAAGTGAGATCAACGAAATGGTGAAGCGTTTGCGGAAAAGATACCCGTTAGCGAAAAAGAAGCTTTACAATGATATTCCCGAAGTGAGGACTGACCCTAGAAACGTGGAAGTTGAAACTGAAGAGATTGAGTTTGGTGTGAGTGAATCTACCGATACATTTGAAGAAAATGATGACTTCACCGAACAGGACGAGGATGAAGAGGAGGAAGGTTTCGAAGAAAATTTGGAAGACGGGCAAACACCCGAGGATCCGCTGTACGTCCTCCCATTGTACTCGTTACTTCCCACGAAAGAACAAATGAAGATTTTTGAAAAACCTCCCCAAGGGGCTCGACTTTGTGTTGTGGCTACAAATATTGCTGAAACTTCATTGACCATTCCAAACATCAGATATGTGGTTGATTGCGGCAGGTCCAAGGAACGAAAATATTCTGAGAACACTGGCGTTCAGTCTTTTGAGATTGGTTGGATTTCAAAAGCAAGTGCAGATCAACGAGCAGGAAGAGCGGGAAGAACTGGTCCTGGTCATTGCTATAGACTTTTTTCGTCAGCTGTTTATGAAAGTGAATTCTCAACGTTTTCAATTCCTGAGATCCAAAGAATGCCTGTCGAAAGCGTTGTGCTGACAATGAAAGCAATGGGAATTGATAATATTGTTAATTTCCCATTTGTCACGCCTCCCAAAAAGGAGATGATACGAAAAGCCGAAACATTACTTCGTAATCTGGGAGCACTAGATGATAAGAAAAACATCACCAAACTGGGGCAAAAGATGAACTCATTCCCGTTGAGTCCTAGATTTTCGAAAATGCTTGTGGTTGGTAATCAGCAGGGTTGTCTTCCTTACATTATTGCATTAGTCTCCGGACTCTCTGTTGGAGATCCATTCATCAGCGAATTTGAAATCGTACCGAAAAAAGATCCGGAAGAACAAGAAGAGCAAAAGGATTATATAACTGAAGAACAGAGAAACGTTCTTTCAAAATTCAACAAGTCTCGTGCAGTGTTCTCCAAACTTGACAAATTCAGCGATGTGCTGCAATTGTTGTCTGCAATTTGCGCCCAAGATCATGTTGCTAAAGCTGATCGCATGAAATTTTACGACAATAACTTTTTAAGATCGAAGATCATGGAAGACATCTTAAAATTGAGAAAACAGTTGACCTACATTGTGAAAATAAATAAAGGCAAAGGACTAGTGGCCAGTGCATCTACCGTTAGTGATGACGAATTGAAACTCGAGCTGCCTTCGAAACCACAAATAATGGCTATCAAGCAAATGGTTGCAGCCGGATTCATTGACCAAATTGCAATCAGAGCTGATCTTATTGATAGAGATGTAAAACTCTCAAACAACATGACGATAAGCTCAATACCTTATGTCACGCTTCTTCCTACACATGAGCCTGATACTGAACCGAACGCGTTCATTCATCCGGCTTCCATATTGTGCAAATCTGGGGAGCTACCCCCGTCTTACTTGATTTATGAATCATTGAATGTCAATACTTCCTCAGAAACGAAAAAACTTCGTATGAAGCCCCTAAACGATATCAGCGGTCGTTCTCTAGCAAATGTTGCAGCAAATTCAGGTTTGATTACATACTCAAAACCTTTAGGACACCCCTATGCTCCTAGAGAGCTTTCACCCGATCAAAGAGAATGCTACGTGATACCACGGATTGGCGCAAATGTGGGTACAGGAGGAGTAGGATGGGATCTTCCGGCTGTAAAGGTGGTACAACAAAAACGTGCCGGTAATTGGGTGACTAAATAAAGACCTTGTAATATAGTACTTTAGTTTTTCACAAAAGCATGGGCTGTGCACAACTTTCAGGAGGTATTTTTTTTTGGTGACGACTTCAAACAATTTTAATATTTGAGCTGAAGCTAACACAAGCAAACAGTGTGTGATTACTGGAGAAGTTTGCAGGATTTATAAATTCGACACGGTGTTGTTTATTCAAACTCCGATTACGCGTTAGACAAGCAACAAAAGCTCAAAGTTTATACGCTTGAAAAGCTTTGTTGTTGTTTCGGTTTGACTTAAGAACTTCAATAACAAAAGAAATATAATGAAGAAAGAGGACAGAGTCAGTTTCAACAAGTTCTTTGGAGACTTCGTGGAAGTCCTAACTCGCTTGGATGATTACCAAGTTCTCTCCGTTGAAATTCCAAAGAGCGACAAATTTTTTGAGAATGATCCAAAGCAAATAACTACCCACTTCTTAGAATATCTGGACAAGTCAGGTAAGAAGATTAAAAGCGATATATCAGTTTCATCCAAGTTCAAGGGCCACGACTATGAAAGCATCTATCAAATTTATCATGACTTAAAAATTGCTTCTATTATCAGGTATTCTGAAAACGAGGATTTCGAAGAGGAGTGCCACAATATCGACAGGTTCTTTCAAGTGGCTACGGAAATCCTTCTGAAGGAAAGTCTGAGACTAGAGAATAGTACAGATCATCACGATAAGGATCTCCGAAAGTCCACGAGAGGTGAGTCACGAAGTAGAAGCGTCAAGCAGGAGTTCCAAGATAGTGACGATCCAAGATCAGAATTAAGACGTTCCATCGTTCGCGATTTTGAGCTGATTACAACCTCGTACTTGAACAAGTCTGGATCTGCCCTCATTCTCTCGGTTTCCAATGGAGTCCCAATATTTTCTTCTTTAAGCACCACCATATCCGAGTTAGAAGACAAACAGCCTCATTTTGAGAGTGATGCTCCGGCTGAAAATTTGACAGTCGTTCCCACCTTGAAATCTTTGACAGCTGAAGATTTGATACAACTGTCACCGGGCCAAGGTCCTACTCAACAACTAAGTCCACCAACAGAGATTTTAGTACAGAATTTCCACCCGAATTGGTATAGCATCCCGGTTCCCCAATGGCTCAAGCACGGTGACAACGAGAACGATTACTCCTTTGCTCCAATGTTTGATGAAGCACAGTCAATTATTTCAAACGAGTGGAAGGGCATTATGTGGCTTCAACAGTATGGGTTGAAAAGAATTTCTGAGATCAAGAGGTCTTTAGAAGCTGAAGAAATGGACCAGGACGTGCCAGATGATATACAATCAGAGGCTCAAAAGTTAGAGAATGGCAACGGAACTTCTGAAGATCCTGAATTTGTGCTACAGCCTCAAGCCGATCCACAGGTTGGATTAGAGCGTGACTCTTCTGAGGTGTTAATTCCAGAAAAGGACAGGAGAAAAAGCCACGGTCACGAAGAAGGAGAAGTAGAAGAAGAAGAGCAAGAACAAGAGATGGAAGAAGAACACGGACACGAAGGTCAAGATGATGATGACGTTGATATCGACATCGACATAGATTCTGCTCCAATCAATTTAGAGAATTTGTTGCAATGGAAATTTGGAGAGATCATTGAAGATTCCGAAGAAAGCGCTGTTGAGGCACAGATAGCACAGCAAACTATCACCGAACTGTTATTAGAGTTGAACCAGCTTAGAAGACAACGTTTCTTGGATGGTAAACATTCGAATTCCAGGGTTTTCAAACCCAACAAGGTCGAAGTAGTCAAGTTTCACCAGCTGAAACGTATGCTAAGTGGCCTTATCAAACACAAAAATGTATTACCAAACCAACTAGGAATGAAACCAAGCACAAAAATTCCTATTTTACAACAGAACTATAACGGATCGTTGCCCTCGTCGATGATGAGTGATGCTCATAATTCACAGGCAGTTCAGATATCTGCTTATAATAGACCCGGGAGAAGACGCCGTTAAATTTTGTATACAATTAGATCCTGAATCTCAACTGTCATGAATAATCTCTATACCGTTGAACTCAATAAAGTTTTTTGGCTCAATACCGGTGATTACTTCTGCAACAATCTGCTTGTCTGATTTCTGCTCCATCATTAGATCACAAATATGGACGCCCCCTATGCCGTATAATGAGACGGTATATTTGAAAGTATCCTTCTGCGATACAAATGACTCTTTATTGTTTTCAAGAGGGCTTAGAAGTTGCTTTCGTTTTTCCAAATCAATCATTGCAAACAAACAGTCTTGAAGAAGATCATCAATTTCCTCAAGATTTGCTGCATCGATTTTTTTGCTTGTTATCAATACGGTTGGCAGTCCCAGGGTTTCGTGAATTCCCATATAAAGATTATGACCTAGATTAATAAGGTTTAGATCTCGCAAATTCAAATGATCGCTACCGTTCTGTTCAATTTTGTTGTGTTCTTCGTCTTTTGCAATTAGGGAGCATGTAATCTGCTCAACAGTAAACATTGAGTTCATGAATGGATAAACTCGGCACAGCTCAGGATAGGAAACAGATATTTCATATACGCAGGTTTTGATTTCACGAATTTCGAGGATTGATGGAAATTTATGCTCGGGATCACACATGTAATGCACTTTAGCTACTCTCTCTTTTCCTGTCTTGTCACATATATCCCCACCAGTAAGAGTTTGCTCCAGATACCGTGTTTTAGCGCCATTGGTATTTAGCTTGAAATTCGAGTAGTCTTCCCAGTCCACATTGTCAAAGCTGGCGAGCTTGAAATGAGGTTGATTAAAGTCAATTCTTGTTATACCTGATTCTAGAAGCTTCGAGTCTAATGATCTGTACTGGCTTACATCCGAGAACAGACAGAAGCATGTGCTCCAATAGCCGCTCAACCGGTGGAGGCAATTGTCGTACTTTTTGTCGTACTTCGTCCCTAGCGACTTGATGATATCCACAGCCAACTTTAAATCTGAGGAAACCCTTTCCTCCATTTGATTCACATACTCAATTGTTTTTGCATGTGTCAATTTAGATGGCAAAGAACAGACGTAGTCCTGTCCAAACTGTCTGATATGTATTGTTTGGGCATCTGGAGAGTGTTCTCGTTGTTCTTCAAACAATTTTATATTATATTCCGGGATGATCTCATCTGAAAACACTTCGGCGAGAGTGTGACCAAGAAAAAGGATCAAATGGTAGAACCGCATTTTGATTCAATCAACGGCAATGACACAGGTTAATGTCTGTCAACTATGATCGTGTGTACTAAGTAGATTTTGAATTTAATCTTTGATATTTTTCACTGCCAGAAACGCTAGCAATCAATTGCTAAACAAGAACCAATTTGATACCAACCAGGCTCAATCAAATTTGCTCGATTGGGATGCAGATTTGGAAAGTACCTAATACAAATACGTACAGTCATTAATCAGGTTTGAACTTAAGCTCTTGATGTGGCTTAATTGTCAAAAGCCTCGGGGCCTGGGATCAACATGTTTTCGTCGCTACAAATCCCGAGGACCAAAACTTGAACGCTCAACTCAGAATGTGCGCGAAGATTCTCTTAAGCTATCGAGGTTCACGACTATTAGAGAAGACTATCAGATGCCTCAGAATCCGATTGTTCTTTGTCACGGATTTTCGGGTTTTGACAGTTTGATTGCATTACCAACAGTACAGCTATTCCACTGGGCACAGAAAAGTCCAACTACGACTCAGCATATTGCTCAGGAGGCAACCACCAAAATAGAGGTATTTGAATATTGGCACGGAATTCGAAGAGAGCTGTTATCCAGAGGTTGCAGAGTATTGGCAGCAAAAGTGCCACCATTTGCTACCATTGAGACCAGGTCTGAAATTCTGAACAAGTTCATTCAACAAAAAGTTGAAGCCCGGTTTCCTAATGCATCCGAACCAGTCAAAGTCAATCTGATAGCCCATTCAATGGGAGGTTTGGATTGCCGTTACTTGATATCTGCATTTGAGCAGAGAAACTTTCAGGTGGTCTCTCTAACTACAGTCTCGACACCTCACAGGGGATCGTACGCAGCAAATCGGATAATTGAGTTGTTTCCCTTCAAAGTGATCGATACAGTGTTTCCATCCATCAGAGAACTGACTTTAGAGAATTGTGCAAGACTGAACAAAGAAATACAAGATGATCCTAACGTGAAATACTTTAGCTATGGTGCGTCTTTCAAACCAAACATATTCAATGTGTTCTACCCTACGTGGAAAATGGTCTACCCCAAGGAGGGTCCTAACGATGGTCTTGTAAGTTTAGAAAGTGCACAATGGGGTGATTATTTGGGACATATGGAAAATGTCGATCATTTGGATTTGATTAATTGGATGAATCTATCTAAAAGAGTTAAAAATCTGGCAGGAATTGGCACATTCAATCCAATTGCATTGTATCTTGATATAGCAGATAACCTGGCCAAACAGGGACTATGACCCCAAGGAAATCTTATAGAAGATTATTCGAAATATAATTCATCTCCAGTCTGGTGGAATCACAGTAGCGTGCAAGCTGCTCGTCGTAGCTATCAGGATATTTAATCCTGGCTAGCTCGCAATTCTTGTGCTCATTAAATACCCATTTCTTCCACTCAGAAGTAATGTATGTTTTCTCAGCAGCATTCAAAAGTCCTAATTCCGTTAGAAGCTCGTTTCTCTTTAGACCAAATTCCACGAGACGAGACTGAACACGACCAGTATTGGATGTCGGGTGATCATGAACTTCCATCTGTTTTTGGAATTCCAACAAACAACCTGATGCAGTTTCATTTCCTGAGCCAAGCAATTGTGGTCTCTGAGTGAATTCTTGGATATCGCTCAACGAAATCATTCTTTTCATTAAGACTGGCCTCTGTGTCAATGAGTCAACATATTTTTCTGTATTATACTCCATCCAATATGAATAACTCGTTTTCCCCGAGAAATAAAGGTTAAAAATAAGAGATACAGCCAATGTGACCACCAAAATCCAATACATCTGCAAATCTTTGAACAAGGTGAGAATCGATTGTAGTACCAACTTCGCAGTGACATATATGAGCTTGTCTAGCTCAAGGTTTAGCTTCTGTAAAACAACGTTAAGAAGAAGTTCTGCCTTGACGCCCCTCACTTCTTTTTGGAACTCAAGCTCCTCTTTTGTTGGTTCATCGCTATCAAATTTGGTGACAGGACCAAATAATCTAATTGCAGACGCAATTTTTCGATTCTCGTTAGAGAGACTATTGATTGCTGAAGTGATGTGTTTGTGCAGGTCGTCAATCTTAAATAACATGACTTGTCTAAAAAACAATGAGCTTAATACTTCAGCAAAGCTCTTTGTTTTCACCACTTTGTAGTAAACCAGAAGCTTACACGTACGTGAATCCGTGTTGAAAATAACAAACCTGATCACAAGTCTGCGTGCAGAGCCAAATGGGAATCGGAGGTATGAGGTGCTTTGCGATATGTTGTAATACTTATTATTCGACATTGATTCGATTTCCTGCTGGACTGAAAGTGCCTCCAAATTCGAACTCCAAATGTTTCTTGTCAACTTTTGTTTCGAATCGCATCTCCAAATGGTGTGCTGTGTCCCTGTATCTACAGTGATCTGAGCAAATGGAAGCATGGAGTGTAGAAGAAAAGACTGATCTCCGACAAGAACATGAAAAAGAGCTTTTGCAGGGATATCGTACTTTTTAATCCACAGTAGCTTCATATCATCACTGTAATTCAGCTTATTATTATTATCAAGATCCGATGCCGAAGCAACGGTCAAAACCGAATTCTCTTCATCATTCTTGTTAGAGGGGCCCGATGAATGGCCATGTGAAGTGTCCTCATGATTTTGGTTTCTGACGGTTTTGATTTTGGTCAAATTTTCAAGTATAGTCTCCAAAGACTTAGTTTCCGATGATTTTCGAGCTGATATCAGATAGTTGATTTGATCTTTGATAAGAGAGCCTGACTCAAAAAATAGCTTCATTTTGGTAGAAATTCCACTGACAGTGTACATTCGGAGCACATCATAGTTGTCTTTCGAGACGGAATCCACATACAAAAAATTGACCAAGTTGAAGATTGAGATCGACACCAAACCACAATTTGAGGTGTAAAGATAGACGTGCTTTTGCGTGACATAAATATGACAAAAGAGTTCTTGCTTGGAGTTAGCAGACCAGAAAGCTCTAAATACAACAAGAACAAATTCATCAGGTTGGACTCGTGATTCGAAGAGTGAGCGCAGTTGTAAATCCAATCGTCTGAGTTCAAGGGGGTAAAATGCTGGGTATCTAAGGTTGATGTAAGTGAGGTTTTGAGAGTTCAATTCGTTGACTTTGGATACCTTCTGCAAAGAAGGACTGTCGATAGTGTAGTAAAGTCCCCAATTTATGAATCCCCACACATTAGCTGTAAAAGCCGAAGGAACCTCCGCCGATGTAAGATAAAGGTGAGATAAGCAAGAGAGGTTTGTAAGCTCTGTTACTAACGGAGGACTGAAATCAAGATCGAGCTTAAGCTGTGGTAAAGTGTGAGTGAGCAAATTCTGTGCATTGTCGCTTTTAGAGGTAGGAAAGTTAACCAGCTCCAAGTCTTTTTCGACAACAGGTTTTAGTCTAAATTGGTCAAGTAGTGGCTCGAACCGGGACATAGAAACTGCATTGTTGGTTTTCAGCGCCGAGGCTTTGACATTATGGAATACAGAAATCCAACTCTTAAGCTCTCCCAATGTTTCAACCTGAAGTGTTATTTCTGTCTCTAAGGTTTTAATCTCGAAACAAAATTTGCGGGTCTCCTCCGGTTTATATCGCACGTTAGCCAGAAGAATTCCGATTTTGTCAGATTCCTCCACAGCTGTAAGGGACGAGTTTAGCGATAAAAACCCAAAGAGGCCACTTTTAACAAAAAGCCACCTTTTGATCCAAACAGTGTCTTTGGAATTCAGTCTATTGCTCTTCATAAAAACCCACCCATGCTTTTCGTATTGCTGCACGTTGGTTTCAGCCAAATGCGACATATTGATGGTAGCAGGAATATAAGAATTCAGATCACTGGAGGGAGTATACAGACTGATAACAGCTTCTTCTGAACTGGCTTTTGCTACCAATAAATCTTTCATCAGCAATTTGTATGAACGAATTTGAACATCAAGACAATGTTTGGCTTTCACAACAGCTGCGTAGTTTTGTTTCAGGCCTAATGACTCTGAGAGAATCCTGGTTTGATCGCTTGCATTCCATACATTATTTGAAACTCCAACTAAAGAGGAACTTATCTTGTGCCTCAAATCGATAAGGCATATCCATAAGCTCAAGCAAACATGAATATATTGTTTTCTGATTTCAAATAGTTGTAGGGCATCTTCCTTGGCACTTGTGGGATCCAAGCTCTTTGGTTGAGCCACAAATCGCTCTAAGTAAGCGTCATATTTGCCTTGAATTGTTTCGAATGCAAATCGAGTCTCAAAATATGCTCCAAAATCTTTCTCCAGTAGAGTCGACAGTGTATTAGCCGAGTCTAACTTGGGTCCTAGTATACTGTGGAACGTATTCAAAATTACATTCATCCCCTTTGAGGTATTGGAGACACAAGGTTTTGCAACATCTTTGACCAGATAACTGCTGTGATCTAAGGATTCAAAAGTACTGACAAGCTCTGAACTCATCCCATCTAAAACAGAACAAGCAGACGAATACCGTTTGAGGAAAGCAATTGTCTTCTTCAGAACCGATTGATACTCCACGATGCGATCATTCATATAATTTGCAGATGCCCTAAAACTGGGAGAGTCGGTAGATGCTTCTTTTAATCCCACAGCAATCAGCTTTACAATGCGCTCCCCGGATTGATTAGATATCGTATCAATCGGCGGGGATAACAGCAGATTTGTGTTGGATTCTAAATTCGGCGGAGTCTCCATGATGGAAAATAACGCCAATTGTAATAAATATGTCAATCTCGTTACCGAGCTAGAAACGGGTAAAAAGTTGGTCTTATGTATTTATTTGATAATTTACACCTCGCACCAATCATTCATGCTCTATGTACACGGATCAGACTTTAGAAAGAAGGCAGTCAACTTTGGCGAAATACTCTGGGTCTGTAAGCTCTTGGATTTCTTCTCTTGTGAGCCATTTGTATTCTTGGCAACCCTGGATTTTGTTCAATTTAAAATCACCTGCAACAATATGCGACTTGATCAAATATTCTCTCACACCATCCTCTCCCATATCAGAGACAATCTTGCCCTTAGAGAATTTGATCAAAGCGGTTGGGGTGTTCGAGACTGTCCAAATGTTTAATTTGTCTCCGCCCAAACTCTTCAAACCGTCTTCGGCGACTAAATGTAATGGTTTCGAGTCATCTGCAACTTCAAATGCTGGAAACTTCCAAGAGTTGTTCTGTTTCACAAGGAGATACAACGTTCTTGACAAGCTTCTTTCTAATGACAGCTTGTTGTCTGATTTATCAGCTTCAGTAATTCGAGGCATCGGGTTAATAGGTCTACTAGCATCATCCAGGTTTTCTTCACGAGACTCTGGAGCCTGATCGGACTTGTCGCTAGAGCCGAATTTGGGAAGCACAATCACCTCTTTGAATCTTCTATCTCTTCCATGTCTGATCTCGGGTTTTCCTTGAGGAAACCAAACGCCTCGTCTGGCTTGAATTGGGTATGTTTGAGCTTGGGCAAACTCTCGCTCTGCAACAGTACCCTTTTTGAAGTAGAACCATCTGGGGAATGTCCACATAAGTCTCCTTTGAAGCTCATCTTGATATTTGTAAAACTTTTTCTCAAACTCTGACATGTCTGCAGTCACCTGAGGCACTCTCGAGAGTATAGCTCCTGCATGTACATTTTTAAGTGGAGTTGAAGTGCTGGTAGACAGATACCTTCTTCCCCATATCAATTTGTTCATGACGATGGGTGTAACTCAAAGTCTTTTAGATGGTATTTTTCAATTAAATTTTCGAAAAATTCAACATTGGTTCCAAAGTCAATGAAAAATTGTAAGTGCAACTACACATCCGTACACCACAGCTCGAGCTACATATCAGCCCAGAGTAATAAGTAAGAATATCTGAAAGTATTACAAGCGTGTAATGCACACCACTGCGCAGTTTTATTTTAATGGGTGGGTTATAGATCAACAGTTTCTGTGTTGGGCCTTAGAATAGGAAATGACCAGAAAAAGACAATCTTCTACAGTTGGGACACCTACTATGTCAGAAACAGTACCGTTGGTTTTTGAGTCTTGTCGTCAAGGAACATACCTATTTTCAGAAATTCCTCAATGGCAGCGAGACAATCATTATATACTTTCCGGTTATGTTCGGGAGACCAAAAGTTTCAGAGCTTGCTGGGATTCATTGTTTTATCTTCACAATGAGACTGTTAATATCATAACACACTTGGTTCCAGGACTTCTGTTTCCAATTGGACTGTTCTCAGTGTCGCCATGGATGGTGTCAAATGATCGATTGATTAGATCTGTTCCAAATTGGCTGATACAAATTCCCGTGTTTGATAGCACCACAAGAGCGGACAACTTCATTTTTGGCCTATTCTTCTTTGGATTTGTGTCTTGTTTATCGTTGTCAGCGATATTTCATGCTACCAAATGCCATTCCCATAAAGTCATGAAGCAGGGATCATCTCTTGATTATGTTGGAATCATTTGTTTGATAGTTACATCAATGATTGGTATTATTCATTATTCATTACAAGATGACCCCGGAGCACGTTGGAGCTGTATTGCTCTTGTTGGGTTATTCGGAACCGTGTGCCTGGTTCTCACCTTAGATCCTGGTTTTCGAGAGCCTGAATGGAGAACATTCAGGGCTACGATGTTCGTTATCTTCGGAGTCTCTAGCGTGATTCCAATAGGCTATGGCTTATTTGAATACGGGGCTACAGAGGTTTGGAATCGTGCGGGGCTTGGATACGTTCTTTTAGAAGGTCTCGGTTACATATCAGGAGCGATTATCTATGCAATGCGTACCCCAGAAAAGCATGCTCCAGGAAGATTCGACATCTGGGGAAATTCACACCAAATATTTCACGTTCTCGTGGTCTTGAGCGCATACTCGCATCTCAAAGGACTGAACCAATCTTATATATGGGCACATTCTTCGGGGGTGATGGATAAAGGAATCTAGAATATAGCACCTCCAGAAATAAACAACCTCTCTTGATTCTTCTTACACCACTTGATGATGTTCTTGCACGAGTGCAATAATACCTTTTCGTCCATGATACCACCATTTGTAATAAGATAGAGTTCATAGTTTGAAGTAGTGATCAACAGACCAACCAAAGTATCATTGAGATACGCCCACTTAACAAGATTTATGAAGTGGCTGTCTTTCAATATATCGCTCTCATTGGGTTGAACCGCCGTTTTGGATGAAGTTGCAAATCTAGCGTGTAGGTGCGAGTACATCAACATCAGTTGACCACGCATGTTTTCGTTAGGGTCTTTATAGTGCGCCAGCCTTGAAAATATAAATTGTGTATGCTTCTTGCTTTTGAAGACGAAATGTTGGACGAGAGGTGCTGGAATCTCCACAGGATCAACTTTTCCGGAACTCGGTCCAGTGTCTCCATTGATTCCTTGAGTGCCGACAATTGCTTTGAATAATTCTCTGAAAAGTGTGCGATTAAGTTTGAGAGACTTCACTATCGAGTTAGCTATCTTTCTCATCTCAAAAAAACTATCTTTATAAGCGCTGACTAGTATGACAGTTATCTTGCTAGAATCCGGATCTAGATCTTCGTCGAGAATTCCCATATTCAAATCATGCAGTTGCATCAACTTCTCTTCTTTCAGATCGACAAATTGAATAAAAGAGTATAAAAATCCATTTGGATTGAACTTGGGAAAGCATATTGGAACCCAAAACTCTTCGTTTGCAGCGAGCTCTTGTGAATTGTTATCAATTGGAGTGGTTTTGAAAGTATTAGTGTTGTAAATCATAGAAAACAAAAGCTGGAGGTCTGATGTGTGTAAAGTATGACGTCGAGGCCTCAAAACTGTAATCAGCCTTCCATTGGGAGCTACCAGAAGACCGTACAGTAAATTCTCAGACTTATTCGCCAGCATGACACTCTCAATTCTGCGTCTAACAGACCTGCGCATCTTCAAACATTCGAGCCCTCCAATGACAAGTCCCGGGTTATTAAAGCTGGACATATCATTGCAAATTGAGTCCAAACATGCAATATCAGCCTTCCCTAATAGCTTTCGTAGATCGAAATTATCTCGTTTTTGGAAAACGCGGTCAATATGGGGTTTGCTCAATATAGTAAGTAAGAAGTTGTATAAGAAGTCAAGCTGCTGATTGAGTTGAATGTCACTTTCCCCTAATGAAGAGGTAGCCATTAAAATTATTGGCGATTTGTTCAAGAAAAAGAACCTAGTCTGCTGCTTCTCTCCTGCCATGAACGATCGCAATTGTTCGGTTTTCCCATCTGGGTTAAATTCGAAGAAAGAAACTATCGTTTGAATAATTCCCGCGTGAACAGTAAGTATTTCGTCTGATCCATGCATCGAGTATATTGGTTTTCCTGCTGCTGACAATATAAAGAAATGCTTTTGTTGTGAAAAGAACTCGTCAACATCATCACTGGAATCTGCTTTCTTGGGCTGAAATCCAAGATCAATTGCTGTCTGTGTTTCAGGGAAGCTTTTGAATGCTGTGTCTTCGTCGCTAAATATACTAGCATTCATGCTGGCTTCTAAACTAGCTGCAATACTCACATTATCTGCTTGAAGTGACGCAAGGGTTAAAGCAGTAGTTGACTCTGGCGGCCGAGGCAAGATTAATGAATTGGAAATCAATGAAACTTGTGACTTGCGATGGCTTAAGCTAGAATGTTCCAGATCGGTGGATTGAGTGGATTCTGTACTAGATACAGATCCACGGTGGATATAATTTTCGTGAATTGTTATCGAATCCATAAGGAAGGAATAACAAATAAAGTTGAACTTTATTAATTTTATTTATTATGACACACAGAAGAACCAGTAGTTCTGGTTCGACGCGACCAGAAATTGATCCCAAACAACGAAGCAATAGTACATTCAGTTATGCATTAGGTAACGACTCGACGTCCTCCTTTTTACAGCAAAATACAGTGTCCAATGTGGAATTTAACAATGTCCGTAACAGCCAGGATCTACCACAAGACACTGCTTCCCACTCCTCCTTGCAGCGCTCAGTATCCTCATCAACGACAGCTTCACGTATAGGAACTATGGAGAATAAGATATCACGTTTTTTCAACAAGACAGCCGAAAAGATGCGCAGGTCGCCATCGGAGACACATCTCAGTGCATTGACACCCAATCCCTCCACCTCAACAGCAGCATCCTCTCCGTCGGTTGACAAAGGATCGGGAATAGGTAATGGGTTTTCTGCAAAGCTGAAACGACCTGACAATTTATCCATTCAAACAACAATCCTTCCTACCAAGGAGCTGAAATCACCGCTAGCCAGGACTTCAAAAGAAGTCGAGCGAATCGCGAGTTTGAGTACACTGACAGAACAGCCACCTAAGCACAAACATTACCATGGAATATTGCGTTCTCGAAAGGACCCCACCAAGTCATCATCGAGCTCCAATTCCAAAGCATCAGCATTTCACGGTGGAGAGACAATGTATTCTTTCCACCCATCCCTTGTCAACTCTTCAATGACCGTACAAGAATTACAAAACACGATCACAGAGCTTGAGAAATTAAGTGTGAACAATTCCGCCTTGTCGGGCGATACAGACGCTATTGCAGATGAAGCATGGTCATTGGTGTCTTCTCTTGTACTACCTTTGTTTTATTGTGAGAGACTCAAGACACCAATAGAAGAAATGAACAAGCTTGTGTTCTTGCACTTAAGGCTCCGCTCAAATCAACCACAACATGATCAGATGACTTATTCGCCAGTTGCATCACCTAACAATTTCTCAAGTGTCTTTGATGGTGCAGCAGCTACTACCCCATATACCCCTTTGGGAGCCCCAACTCCCACTTTCACATCAACTGGAAGGTCTCCAAGCTCTTACAATACAATGTCCCCAGTTCACGGTCCAAGTGTCTTGCAGGAAGTTCAAGAATTTCTTAAGCATGGAATGAACACATACTTGACTCAATTGTATCAAGACGAAGCCAGTAAGGAGTTTGCATTAAAACCGCGTGAAAGAAAGGTGTCTCCAACCAAACGGTCTGCTCTCTTGATTGTGACAAGCGAGCAAAGTTTCCGTGATGCCTGTGCATTACTTTGGGATTATTTTTTCCAAGATATGTACTATTATCTCCAAGGTGTCTTCTTACCCCTTGAAGACGAATCCTTCGAAAGTTTACTTAGTGGTCCAGGCGGATGGAGAAGGAATTCAAATGTGCAGCATATTCTTTTGACCAGCTTCAGAGACAACGTTGTTATACCACTTTACGAAAATGTTCGTCAAGCTGAAGCAGACAAAGAACGCAGAAGAGAACGTACGATGTCGCTTGCTACCAACTCCTCGGTTTCTTTGCAAAGATTATCCCATGAAAATCTGAAGGCTGACAACCCTTCGGAAGGCTATAGAAACAATAAGAAACTTTTGCATTGTTTGTCAATTTTAGTTCGAGCAGATACCAATGACACCAATCAGAAGATCGTGGAGAATTTGGTTCAGCAGGTGCGTGAAAGATGTGCCCAACAGAGCATGTCCTCAAAAACGTTAGTGGTATGATTTATTAAATGTCTACTGCAAACAATATTCTCTTCCTCTGGCAACCTGGTAGCTGCATAATGATGGCTCCAAAAACATTGCTATCGTAGCTGCAACGACTATTCCTGCGCTATCACTGATTCCCACACAGCCCATTGCAAACTCGCGCTCTGACAAGGGTATTTTTGCAGTGACCATCATAAATGTGTTAACATACGAAGATCCGCCCAATAGTCCTTCATAAAATATCAAGAAGAACAGCCAATATATATTTGGGAAGATAACAATCATAGACTGAAGAAGGCAAATGACCAAGTTCAAAAGTTGGAGCACAGCTGGAAGTGTCAAATTTTGGATGCGAACAAACTGACCGGAAGATCTTGATATAAACACTCCGAGTTGATATAGAGTTCCGTATGTCACGTATGCATCCCTGTAGTTTTTAAATGGCATTTCTTCAATTGGAAATAGTAGTGTTGGACTAATTCCCTGGTTTATGATATACTCTGCCACGTAGACTGTGAATAGTGGTAACATGAACGGCACAACTAGCGGTTTAATTCTTCTTATGGTACTTTGAAAATTTGTCTCAACAAGTAGGATAGGTGGCTGAGTTGGCTCTACTGACTTGATTCCAGGTGGAGGAAGTAGTTTGAAGTAGCAGAAAATGAATGTGAATGGAACAATTGAGAACATCAAGAGGGCATTTTGGACATTGACACCTAGCCAAGTAGTCAGAACCATATAGACAAATGCTCCTACCAAACCTGCACCACCTGTTCCAGAAGACCATGCGCTCAATGATGTTTCTGTATAGTAATGGGTCAGTTGTAAGAAAGTGGTCTCTCCAAGTCCGGAAGACATCGATGCAAGAACAATTCCAAATAAGACCAAAGGAACCTTCTCAGAAAAAGACACTGTCACCATACCAACAAAACTCAAGCCTACAAGCATGCAGATTCGTAGATGGTACGGAATCAAGTGGATGAAAAAAGGTGAAGCAAGTTTCAGAAGAAAGGACGGTAACACGTCAGCCATCAGCACTGTTGCCTTTGGTATCAATGGACCCACCAAGTCCACTGCTGCAGATAGTATCACCACATACAGCACATTATTGACCAATCCGAACAGCCAGAAAGAAATGAAAATTCGGTTTGACATGGAAATCGAGATAAGAGTTGAAAAAGAACTGAAAGATAAACAGTACCTGAATAATAGAAACAACATAATTTTTTGTCGTGACCAATTGAAGTTGAGAAAAACGTGATGTCATAAGTCTCTTTAGCTTCTATTTACATACTATTTACATTAGAAGCCCATTCCTGGCATACCACCCATGCCTCCTGCAGGAGGAGCACCGGCAGTCTTTGGTTCTGGAGCATCGACAATAGCACACTCAGTAGTGGCCAGAAGGGAAGCAACACCAGAAGCATCCACCAATCCGCTCTTGACAACCTTGAAAGGATCAATGATACCGGCCTGGATCATATCGACAAACTCTCCCTTAGAACTGTCGTAACCAAAGTTGAATTGGTCGGCATACTTGTCCAAGATTTTACCAACAACAACAGATCCCTCTTCACCAGCATTGTCAACAATTCTCTTGGCTGGTTTGGCAATAGCAGCCTTGATGATTTGCACACCAAGCTTTTGGTCGAAGTTGGAGGTCTCGACCTTGTCCAAAACCTCAGAAGCCTTCAAAAGAGCGGTTCCTCCACCTGGAAGAATACCCTCCTGGACAGCAGCACGAGTTGCGCAAAGAGCGTCATCGTATCTGTCCTTCTTCTCACCGACTTCAACTTCCGAAGAACCACCGACTCTGATGACGGCAACACCACCAGAGAGCTTAGCAAGTCTCTCGTGCAGCTTCTCCTTCTCGTAGTCAGAGGTGGCAGCATCCTCAATGGCACCCTTGATCTGGTCACATCTTTGCAAGATGTTGCTCTTCTCACCGGCACCGTTCAAAATGACGGTATCCTCTTTGGTGACAGTGATGGAACCACATTGACCCAAGAGCTCAGGGGTGGCATTCTCCGGCTTGATGTCCAATTCCTCGGTGAAAACAGTACCACCAGACAAAATGGCAATGTCACCGAGAATGTTCTTTCTATTGTCTCCAAAGCCAGGAGCCTTAACGCAGGCAACTTGAACCTGGCCCCTCAGCTTGTTCAAGATACATGCAGCCAATGCTTCACCGTCAATATCCTCGGCAATAATGAGCAATGGTCTTCTCAACTTGTTGGAGATTTCCAAACTTGGAAGGATGTCTTGGATAGAAGACAACTTCTTCTCAGAAAGCAGCAAGAGTGGGTTTTCAAATTCAACCTTTCCGCTCTTTGCCTCGGTAATGAAGTAAGGAGAGATGTAACCTCTGTCGAATCTCATACCCTCGGTAACCTCAAGCTCATCTTCGAGAGTCTTACCTTCCTTGATGGTGATAACACCCTCCTTTCCGACTTTCTCCATGGCAGAAGCCAAGAGTTGACCAATGTGAGTATCACCATTGGCGGAAATAGTGGCAACCTGAGCGATCTCAGACGAGGTAGTGATTTCCTTCTTGTTTTGTTGCAAGAACTCAATCACGGCTTCGACGGCAGCCTGGGAACCTCTTCTGAGGTCCATTGGGTTACAGCCGGCAGCAACGTTCTTGACAGACTCCGAGAAAATTGCTCTACCCAAGATGGTAGCGGAAGTGGTACCGTCACCGGCACTCTCGTTCGTCTTGGAGGCAACGTCTTGCAAAAGCTTGGCACCAAGGTTCTCAAACTTGTCCTCAAGAGCAACACTCTTGGCGACAGTCACACCATCCTTGGTGATCTTTGGAGCGCCGAATGGCTGCTCAATCAAAACATTACGGCCCTTAGGACCAAGGGTGACAGCAACGGCGTCAGCGAGGGTCTCCACACCTTTCAAAAGTGCAGCTCTACCTTCGACACCAAATTTAAGCTCCTTATGAGCATAAGTACGAGTCAAAGAAGCAAGATTCTTCTTGATCTGAGGACGAGCAAATCTAAGCATTGGTAAAAAGATGATTTAACTATTTCTCCAACAACTTTCCTTTATGAAAATTTGCCGTAGAATTTTCGAGTAAAAAAAATCGGAACCCGAGCAAAAAATGATCGCGCCCAGGATCGAACTGGGGACCCTCTGCGTGTTAAGCAGATGCCATAACCAACTAGACCACGCAACCACTTGATGAAAGTAAAGCGGTCCCAGTTAATGATACTCGCAAAGCTATCAGTCGGACTGATATGTCTTTTCATCATTCACCTATCCTGTTTTCAATTTTCTTTGAATAGAATTGCCCTTACTCACCACATCAGCCATGAAGTTATCAGCATACTACTGTTACATCGACGAAAGATAATTAAAATTACCCCATAATTAAAGACTTGGATGTTTTAAATGCAAGAAGTGAGTATTCTTTGGCCTTGTTTAAATTCCTGAATCACTTACTCAAATGAATTAGGTTGGCAAGAGATTGTATTGATTGGAACCAAACGGTTTACAGTAGCTTGTCTAGAATGAGTAGATTAAACCAAGCAGCTCGGACAGTGTTGTAACTGTGGCTAACAAGTCTGCCACCAATTTTTTTTGACGTCATGCAGTGATCGAAAAAAAATATTTTTTGCATGCAAAAAAAATCTTTTAGATATTTTTGCTATGTTTATCAGAAGTAGAGGGAGCTCTGTGATTTCAATTGGCCATACGCATGATCACACGAAAGGACAATTCAAGATCCCTCTAGAACGGTTTCCAGAAACTGCTATCAGATGTATTATGAGCCATCTTGACACGTCTGATCTCCTTTCATTTTCATGTTTGGGAGATTCGTTTGCTTCTGCTGCAACCCCCTTCATCTACAGGTCTCTTGTATTTGCCGATTCAAAAGATAATCAATCTGATACACTTATAGATAATTACAGAGGGTTTTTAAGATTGGTTTATACACTCATGATCCACCCAGATCGGGGCCAGCACGTAGTCAATCTTAAAATTGAGGACAACAAGAACGAAAAAAACGATATCTGGAATGTGAAACTTTCTGAGATCTTACCAGAGAATGAGTTGGAAGCTATGAACGGTGTTTCGGATCTTACACTGTTCGACGCCCTTGATTGCCTTTTACAATTGACTCCAAATCTAAAGTCTTTACATGTTCCTGCGCTTACAATCGAGCAGTTTAGCAATCTTCCTGGACTAAACAAAGTTGAGGAGATAACGATTCATATAAGACAGGAAGATACATTCCACGAACTACCATTGAACAACTTAAAAAGGCTATCCATTTGTTGCGAGAAAAATACCGAATCCATTCTTGGTAAGCTTGCGATTCATTTGAACAAGATTGGTGTGCTAAGTAACCTCAATTCCCTAACGTTGAGCTACAAACAGACAGGTTTCAATGAGATCCCTCAGCCAACGTGGTATGCATTCTTACACCCGCTCTCAGGAAAAGTATTCCACAGTTTGAAAGATTTGACTTTGGCTCATTGTCAATTGTCTACGAAGCAGCAGTACTTTGCTGGTGCTTTAGTCAGAACAATTCCATTTGCACAGCTTGAATCTTTACATTTATCGATTTACGAATCGTCGCACAAAGGGCGCAAACATGTTTCCGATGCGCCTGTTTTATTGAACATGCTTGCACCACATTTTGAAAACTTGAGAAAACTAATCATTCAACCGTCGGGAAACTGCTTGTTATGTCAAGTTAAGTCTGTCATCGACTTTTTGCATTTATATCCCCATCTCCATGAACTATGCCTATTTACAAACTCGCTGAATACGCTTAATCGCGACGACCTTACGACTGCATTATCCAAATCTAAAAACCTACACAAACTGGCAATTTTTGATGAGGCCATACATTTGAAATTAACCAACCACCTCAAGAAATGGTTTATCTACGAAAACATGGTGAAATTCAAGGCGTATGATCATTTTGAGTCCGAGTTGCTCTGTCAGATGAATAATTTCCAATTTGAGAAATACAGTATGGACGCATTCAAAACTTTCAATACAGAAAACGCCAATCTTTTGATTCTGTTTTGGCGCAAGTTTTTGACGTATAGCAAGTCCGACGAACTGATTAAAAACTGCGCCTCTGCTACCCATTTTAAGCTTTATGGTTACAATTTCCGCATCTTAAGGAGCCAGCAGGTGATACAGTTATATACCGGTATTGGCTCAGGTTATCAGAATTTAATGTACTATTAGAGCAGTTCAAGAATTTTTCCGCTATGAAATTTCCTTACCCCTGTATTCGGCATACATATCGCTTTCCTAAAATAGATTTTAAAGGCCATGAGGCTCAGAAGAAATTAAATAATAAACCTTGTTCAAAAATCATTTGGAACAGCATGTCCAAAATACAAATCGCCCTGCTAGCCAGCGCCTGCTTGCTTGCTGGCTCTGTGCTGACGCTCTTGCATCCAAATGTTGAGATAGTTGGGACCAAGGGGCTCTATTACGACTATTATATCACAAGTCCCGAGTATCTCGAACATAAACCGTTGTCCGTTGGCTCAAATCCGTTTGATCCGAATGTTACAGAACAACGGTTGTTAGAAGCATACCCTTACTTTGCAAACGAAAGTGAACCTATAGAGAAAAACATTCTGCAGATGTGGAAAATTGGGCCTGAAAATCCCGATTTCCCTTATAGAGAAGAATACGAGAGCTGGACATTGAAAAATCCGGACTACAACCACGTCCTGTATACCAACGAAGCACTCGGAAAGTATGTGATCGACAAGTACAGCAGAACCGTACCAGAGGTTGCCGAAGCCTTCAAGAAGATGCCTAAACTAATCTTGGAGTCGGACTTTTCCCGATACTTGTGGATTTATTTAAATGGAGGAGTTTATGCTGATCTGGACACCGAATGCACTGATCCGATAGACAACTGGCCCGACGCTCATGATCCGTCTATTCATGCGATAGTTGCGATGGAGAGTGATAACAATCTCCCGGAATGGGATCACATGAATCAAGGCAGATTACAATTTGAAAACTGGGGTTTCAAATTCAGAAAGCATCATCCTGCTTTGGCCAGGGTCATTGCCAACGTTGTCAAGCTCACCTTCGATAAGCAAGCTTGTGAACATTTTGAAACTAAATTCAAGCAGATGGGTTTAGATAAATGTCATCCTTTGGGAGTCATCGAATGGACAGGTCCTAAACGATTTACCGAATCGCTTGTTGAGTTTTTCAATGCCCGCGAGAAGCTGAGAATCATTGACTACAATGCTTATAGAAACAGCAAGGAGATTTATGGTCCAGAGGCTTCGCAACTGGTGAGCTACAGAACGTTCACTGCAATAGATTCACCTCTCATTCTCGGGGATGTTTGTGTGCTCCCACCACGGGGATTCCAGTGCCAAGACGAGATGCTCGGGAAATACTGTTACATGAAACACAAGTTCTACGGTGGCTGGAAGAGCGAGTAAGCTGGATAGATTCTCAAAGCTGTGTATTTATATAAACTTGCTAAATGTTGATGCTTCTAGCGTAATAATAAGACAAATACCCTCTTGTGATCTCGTCATCATCATCATGCTGATCCTTAGGGATCACTTTTTCCGTTTCAATCAAACCATTGAAGGAAATTTGAGGCAAGACTACAGTGGAATCGATTTGTGCAGGTTCCACCGCCATTGTAAAAAATCTGTATGAAAACGTATGGCCCTCAGAATTTGGAGGGCCATGAATTGTAGGACCCTGCTTCACTGTTCTTCCAGTGCTGTCCTTTCTAGTTGCCGAATCGGAGGAAGGGAACAAGAACACCTGTTCTTCTCTAGCTGTGTTAAAATAGAATTTCCAGTCTTTGGTGTTCAAATACTCTAGCAAAACGTCGGTGAACATCGAAGGACCGGTAAATGAGCCCACAGGCTCTGAAGCGACGTCGAGAGTTTCTAATCTCTTTTTCCAGTCTGCGGCCTGGATCTGTTTCTGGCTTTTCAATATGTAATCTGTGATTCTTCCAATGAGTTTTGCAAGGAATGGATGGTACTGCTTGGCTGCAAAAATGTTTGTTCCAAACGTCAGTCTTCTATTGTATAGCTCATGCCAATTATCAGCGTTGTGATCTGATTGGACTCCGACTAACAGTTCTGTGTCTACCATGGGTTGTTTGAACCAATGTCTCACTGGCTTGAACAAATCTGTATTGATGTCAGCGTAAATACCTCCTTCACAGTAGATTAAGAGATATTTCATGAATTCGTATTTGAGTTGGAAATGAGGCAAGCTATCCAGAGCTTTAAGGACTTCAGGGACATCTTTAAAACAGTAGCCTAATTTACTCTCGACACCATAAAGGGTGAGATAATTGTATGTGTACTGTGGAGAGTTGACCGATTGCCAACGTTCCATCAATGGTCTGGCCTCTTCAGGAACGTGCTCATCTTTGTCCCAAAATTGCCAGATGGAAGATTCAATAGGACCACTTGTATAAGGCGAATGCTTGAGTAATTTGTTTTCTGTGGATGTGAAAAGGGATCGTGGGCTGGATTCACTGTTGATACAGCCAAAAGGAATGACCACCAACAAGCCCAGTGTTAAAACCGCTAGAAACACTGGCTTCACCAGGAACATCTGAGTTTTATGAAAAAGAAGTGAGAATCGAACAGAGTAATATTTACACGCATCAATATCTTATTCCTGCAGAATTTGAAATAATGCATTCTGCAGGTTGAAAGTTACGTAGTTCAGTGCCAACTCATATCTCAGAAAAAAAAAGTAAGCCTAGTAACACTCCGAGATTGATGAAACGACCACGGATTGAACCTCGCTTTGCGATCTTGGGGATCGTAATTGTTGCGGTGCTAGCTACTCAGCTGGGTGCTGTTTACGGAGGCAGGTATAGCATGAAACTGAGTGCGCTTTCCTCCCTTTCGTCACGGCAAACAGAAGATCTTACACCTAAACGTGCTTTGAATGATGCCGACTGGAAGGTGATCAGAGAAATGGAGGCGTTCAAGCTCACGAAAGAACAACACAGACTTTCAGACGACCGGCAACTGGAGGTCCTTCGCGAGGAAGCCAAGTACGAATTGGTTTTGAAAGAAAAACTTAAGGAGATCTCCAAGACCTACGAGGAGCTAAGCGCAAATAAACCAGGCATAATCAAAGTCGATGTGAAAGTTCAGGATCTACGTGATGGATCAACAGGAGCTTTCCAAAAGCTTATTGATAAGTTTTTCGAGGTGATTGAAAGCAATAGAGTTCCAATAGAAAACAGAAATCCAAAAATAGAATGTTCAACGGAGCCACACGACCAATCCTCGCTTGATGTCTCGTACCCGGCAGAATCCATAAGAAACCTTGCTAAGGCACATAAGAAAGTTGTTGATTCAATTCCGGGAAGTTGTCCGTTCCCAGACATGTTCCATAATAATGGGTATGTGATGCTTGGAGGCGGCTTCGATTCGTGGCTATCCTTACTGGGAGTTAAATTCCTGAGACGTTCAGGAAGTACTTTACCCGTGGAGGTCTTCCTCAGAAGTAAGGAGGACTATGATGAATCCTTGTGTGAGGTTACTTTCCCATCTCTGAATGCAAAATGTGTGATGATGCCAGATCGGTTTGGACAGAAAAACACAGAGAGACTGAAATCGTTGGATAAATCGCAATTGTCCACCCTTTTAGTTCTTGCATCCTCGTTCCAAAGAGCTCTTTGGCTGAGCAATGGAGTGTTCCCAGCTGTTTCTTTGGATTACTTGTTTGACAACTGGATGGTTCTTGAATACGGTCTGATCACATGGAGAAACAAGTATGCCACCAGTCTGAACCCAGCGTACTTTGAAGTTGCCAGACTTCATCCTCGCTCTTATAGAAACACAGCAGATCACAGTGCTTGGTTCATCAACAAGCAGTACAACTTTGATAACCTCATGCTGGCAGCATACTACGATATTGAAGGTAAAGAGAGTTACTACAATCTGTTCAGTCAAACAAAATGTGAAGCAGGTGTAAAGGACTCGATCAGCTACGCTACGCTATTTTTCAACAAGAGAGAATTCAGAGCAGACCATTTACGTGATTTGGGTGGACTTCGCGTGCAGTATGATCCAGTTGAAGAGTTTGAATCTTTGTTGGAGGATGGATCTCATACGATTCGGCCGTTATTTTATGAGATTGATGGCTCAAGACTTGATCCTGAGAAACTCGTCACTCCTGGTAGAGTTTTCGGAAGTCAAGAGCTTACCTATGATCTGGATCTATTTTTGCTGGAAACTATGGATCTCTACGTCTGCGAGAGCAAACACAGTCTATTCCAAGATACAGAGAAATACTGTAAAGATTATGTCCCACAACAGAGAAGCTTGCTAACAGAAAAGGAGCTCACTTTGGTGAGTTCCGAGGAACGCGGTTTGATCAAGAGACCAGAAGAGACTGCGGATCATATCAAACAACAGGCTCATGATCAAGTGTTTAGTTCCTTGAGTGGAGTTGAGAGGCTACCAGATATATAACTGGATTATATGTACAGATAGTTACAAGCTATTATGACCTTTTTTTTGGTTTAGGTGTGTTTGACCGAGACTTTTCAGTTGCTTTAATGATCTTCTCCACATCCTGTGCCATCGAGTGTCCTGCGGACTTGTTCCTCCAAACGGAGCTTTGCTCTCGCTTGATCTTCAATCCTTCTTCTCTCTTCTTTTTGAGAATCTCGCTGTACGTTTGATCAATCTTTTCAGCCCGTTCAAATGGATCTGCAGGAACGTCATTGAAGAGCAAATCAAAGACACGGCCATCTCCCCAAAAGTACCCTTTCCTATCGACAAGCCAAGGGATGCGACTCCCCTTCTGTTTCAACCAGAAGATGAAAAGAGTATCATCAGTACCGTATGCACCAACACCCGTGTAAATTTTGGCAAACCTATTTTTCTTGATGTTTGTAATCGGCATTTGCAATTCTTTGGCCGTATAAGGTATAAAGGAGTGCGTTGTAAATTTGACTGATGGAGCCTTGGAGGCTGCACCTGGGAGATACCACATTTTATTGACAAGCTTGGAGGGTAACATTATCAGTCCCACACCACAAAGAGCTGTTAAAGTACTTGCAACGACGACCAAAGATAAATGTCCTGCGTACCTCAGTTTGTTTTTAACCGGAGTCAACTCGTCTTCGTTTTCATTGTATATGCGTAAGCTCATTTCTCGACCAATGTAAAAGACATTGATTCCATAAACCAAAAAACAGGCTCCGAAACAAAGACTCAAGATTGTGTACAACCGAGAACGCCTACTTTCATGTATGAGGGTTGGCTCTGCGGATAATAAAGCAAACATTTTCTTTGTAGTAAATCTGGAAGGCTCAGGAGCGTCCGTTTGAGTGAGTAACCTAGCATCAATCTCTTTTGAATCTTTGTGAAAATGAGAGCGATTATCGAATGTGTGCTTCAACTGTTTTGCATATTGACCAGATTGAATCGAGAATGATTTGATTTGATTGGAGACGCAAATTTCCCTAAAGGCAGACCCATTCACAAAACCAGTCTTTGTGAATTGACATATGGACTGTCTGGGGAAACAAGATTTAATTGTTCCCAGTAAGATCATGAAAAGAATTTATCGAAAAAAAGTTATCAACTGGGTTTTCCATGTCTCGAAAAGTGATAATCAATAATACCAAAACCTCAGACAGAAGATCTGCTTCCGGTTTGAAGGCAACAAGCTACTTGCACACAAACCAAGAATTGAAACTTGATGACGATAGCAGTGTCAGTAAGACTGCCGGATTACTGAAAGATTTAAAACAGTCCGCAGGATCAAAGCCGAACCCTACACATTTCAAGCTGTTTGTCGGAAACCTTGGACAAGATGTAGACGAAGAACTTCTTCTTCGATCCCTGATCAGATATCCTTCGGTTTCCCACGTTCAAGTGCCTAAAGATCCCAAAAAGGGAGAAAATAAAGGGTATGGGTTTGTTTCCTTTGCTGATTCTGAAGATTATCTGAGATGTTTCAAGGAAATGAATGGAAAGTACATTGGATCCAAGCCGGTTGAACTGAAGAAGGCAAAAGGCAAAGAAACATCGACAAAAAAACATAAAAGAGGCGATAAAAAAAGACATTAGCAATCATTGAACATTGAGATTAACTAAATCAAAGGCACATCAAGAACAGATAACATCCAGGGATACAATCATCGTATTCAAACACTTGGTTTGGAAACATGTGCAAATTCAATTTATTTTGAATTTTTTTCTCCATATTATTCTCATACGCGAATGGACCCGATCAAAAAGGGCTTACTGCTATTTGAAAAAGGCAAATACAAGGAGGCTGAGCTCTCGTTCACTAATTCGATCAAGTTCGGATACCAGGAATTGAGATGCGGCAAAAATGAATGGAGATCCAAGTTGGGATTGTTATTGGATTCGCGTGCGGCATGTCACGAGAAACTTGGCGACTTAAGATCAGCTCTGGAAGACGCGCGTCAACAGATCGAGCTAGAACCTTACAAGTGCAAAAGTTATCTTCGAGCAGCCAAAATACACGTACTGGATGGGCGTGAATACGAAGCTTTATCTGTTCTGGAATCTGGGATCAAACGACTAAAACATGGGAAATCAAAATATGGAGACCGGCTGAAAATCAACGAGCGATTGTATGAGAAGATGATAGCGGAAGCTTCCAGTTTGAAGGAAAAGCAGCCTACGAAACGTAGAAAATTGAAGTCAACTGATCCTCTGAAATATCTACCTTTCGAATTAGTCTCCACTATATTGAGTCTCGTGGATCAACCAACGCTACTTAACTGCTTCTTGGTGAACCACCAATGGTACGAGACTGTGGGAAATACACTTGGAATTCTCAACAGCCCTCGCATCAAGAAACATCTATCCCTGAAAGAATTTGTCAAATTTCTGAATTTCTATCGATCTCGCAAACGTCACAGATTCAAAGCTCTGGACTTGAGCTTAAGAGCCACTGAAGAGACCAGTATGGTTAAGCAGCTGCTGGCTAGCGGATTCCGAACTGAAAAACTAACGTTGAGTTTAGGAAAGTATGATAATTATGAGCTCTCCAAGTCGCTTAAAAATATCACGGCAGGACGCCATATGTTTCACGACCTAAAAGAGCTATCGATATCCATGCCCGTTATTGAAAACGGCGGGGGATTGACAGAGCTGCTTCAGTATCTCAACTCAAACATAGATAAGCTCAATATTGTGATCACAGACTTGAACATTTCCAAACTGGTGAGACTTGATACAACCAATATTACATTTACTCAAATGTCGAATTTTGCATTAGTGATCCGACCACAGTTGTCGGAAAAACTGAACAAGAGAGTCACTCAGAATCTCTTGAGCAATGCCACTTTTGAGAACGTGATAACGTTACAGCTGATTAACTGCGAGGTAGAACCTGAAAACTTACAGAATCTCTTGAGGCGATCGAGGCGGCTTGAGAGTCTGACAATAGATTCTTGTGGAGTTACAACGCTTGGAGAAATCCTCAGAGGACTAGAATCCACAAAATCTACATTGAAAAGCTTGCATGTGAAAGAAAGTTCAAAATCGAGGCCCGTGACGTCGATCTCTCAATTAAATTTACACTCCATATCGAGATTACGCACATTGTCATTGGAGAATACATCATTGAATTTCCACCAATTAATGCTTGTTCTGTGCAGCACTAACAAACATCTGCGACATCTGAGGTTGAAAGCCAACTACAAAGTGGTGTTTGCACGCAGTGCTTTCGATCGCAGACTACCGGATACTGCTACCCGTGCATTCCAGTTTAGGGAATTTCTCGAGGCAGTGCCACAGTTAGAGTCTTTATCGTTAGTGCAGGGCACAAACTTGACAGACTCAGCGCTGCGGAATTTCTCAAGTGAGCTGATCTCGACTTCACAGCCGATCGGGCTTAAAATTTTGGACTTATCTATGAACGAAATAAGCGGGGTTGGTATCATCGATCTATTCCAGAGACCCAAAAGCTGGTTGCGACTGGATCAGCTCATTGCCAATGGGTGCGATATGCATCCGGATACTTCCAATTTTCTGTTACGACGCGAATACTGCCGCTATATCCAAAGCATCGATCGATAATTCATAAACAAGTTGTACGACGCAATAAAACAATAGACGATGAGCCGTTGGTTGTTATGCATGCGCGATAAAAAATAAATTGGCTACAAACAATTGTTAGGGCATTAGGGTGTTCAAATTATTACAGAGTTTTAGTGAGAGGGTGCCTTTGACACCTTGTGTATAGAATCGTATCTGTACTGTAAGGTGTTCTCCACTATCTGCTTTGTTACTCGGAAAGAAGATGTGCAACTCTGTTGTAGTGATCTTCGATAGCTTTCATCCTTTGGCCGCTTGCAGCATTGGTGAAATCTTGGTCACTATCTCCGAAAGCTTGCGGAGAGAAAGTTGATAAAATGTCTGGTGCGGAATCATCATTAGTTGGCAAAACTGTGCTCGATTCCGATTCTTCAAGGATGAAGTGTCTTGGTTGAGGCGAAGAATGCATTTGGCACGCAATCTGTATCACAAAGTAGCTCATCAAAAGAGCAGTGACCATGATGATCGAAAGAATAGACCGGGTCTTTTTGGATCTTCCGGAATGTTGTTTGTTCACGAACGGGTATTCGCCCCGGAGTTCACCTTTCTCGAGCATTGGTGATTCTGATCCACGTAGGTAATTTTGGTATTGGCGTTGTCTCTCAGAAGCTAGAAAGGACTCAACGACGGGCTTTTTGTTGCGATTTGGTATTGGCGATTTTGGAGGACTCATCCGGTGGACCTGAACTCACATCTGGGAATCCTGCGTCCTTTATATATTTTTTTCTCTCCTGCACCAGAAGTACTAGAAAATAGTTACAGACATGCTTTTTTATTAATTTTGGCGTTCGCACGTCTGTACAATCGTCCGCAACATCAGAAATGGGACCAGTAATATCGACCAGTTCCATGCTTCACATATGGCCGCCAACAAGAAACTCACTTAAAACAAGCTTCAGTTCTCCCGTAAGCTGGCTAGCCCTGGCCGGACTAATCGCTGAGTACCAAGAGCTTGAGACGTGTCCAGACCAATCTTCGCAGGGACGATCAATCCGGTTTAATTAGATGCACTATTAAATAGTATCACACCTTACACCATGCTATTGTGGTATATTAAACGTATATCAAAAATGGGCCCCTGCCAAAACAGGTATGTGCATGAAAAAGGAGTAACGGTGGACGGATCTAGATTTCCCAAACTGGAACGGATTCCAGGATCTCTCTGCGTTACAATGAAAACTCTATCGAGCAGGGAGTTATTAAATTTATATAGAAGATGTGCACCAATTATCTAGTGATTCGACGTTGCAACGGACACCGTTCCGGCGTTGACTGAAGGCTTTTGGGTCGTGATGGACGTCTGGCTGATTTGATGATCGAGATCAGACCCTTCGTGCAGCTCGTGAACAGGTTCATCTTCGCTGATGTCTGCTTTTTCCTCGTCTTTTTGGGGTTTCTTTTCGACCCCTCCTAATCCTCTATCGCGAATGAGGAACGACATCAGGAAACAAATGCCCATAAGTGGGATGTGAAATATGAAAACTTGCTTGATACCATGGAAAGTTATGGCCCGCAACTTGTACTGCGTTTCTGGAGGATATTGATCCAAGTCTAATGCGAAAACATGTTTACTCAGTTGTTCAATCTGAGCAGCACTAAGACCCAAGTTGGAGGAGCGGAGCTTCGCTCGGAAGCTGTTGGACATGATTGCCGAGCACGAAGCTAGTCCGACGGCTGCTCCAACAGATCTATTGAAATTTCTGGTTGCAATAATAACTGCTCTATCAGCCAACCGGCTGTGGGCCTGAAGAGCAATGATTGTGGGCTGGAAAACAGCACCGGCTCCCAAGCCCATTGGGAATATGATGAAACAGATGGCCACTGTAGCTAATGTCTGACTGAAGAATCCATATTGTAGACATAGGGCAAGAAACCAGACTCCGAAGCCCGGAATAATCACAAAATTGTAGTGTTGGAAGCGACCAATCAAAAGACCAGTCAACGAACTGACGACTGCCTGGGTGACCACCATACATAATTGGACGCAAGAGGTTTTGATAGGGCTCCAACCACGGACCAGCTGGAAGTAGAGCGGAAGAAAATAAATGTTGGCATAGTAGACCATACCAAAGAAAAAGTTCTGCACCAGCATAATCGCAACTGATGGCGTTTTGTAAACTCTTAAAGGCATCATGGGCAATGACGATAGCTTCCATTGAGTAAAAACAAACACAGCCAAAAAGACTCCTCCAATGGTGAGCAAACTGATCACTATGGGGGAATTCCATTCATAGGTATTTCCACCGCCAGAGATAGCCACCAAAAATAATATGATACCAATAGAACTTGTGACGAATCCATAGTAGTCAATTTTCTTGAAATTGGACCAGTTGACCTCAAAATTAGGAGGAGCAGGAACGAGGAAGGCCACGACGGCAACCACAACCGCCGTGAGTGGACACATGAAATAGAAATTTCCATGCCAACTGACTTTCTTGGCAAAACCACTAGCCACAAAAGGTCCGATAGCATTTCCAAGCCCGACACACGATCCCAAGATACCCTGGTACTTTCCACGTTGCTGAAGAGTAACAAGGTCACTCACAGAGATCATAGTGAGAGAAGTAATACCTCCGTTGGCTACTCCGGCGAAGCCCCGAAAAACGTAGAGCTGAACGGCTGTGCGGCAAAAACAAGTCGCTAATTGGGTAAGACACAAAAGGCACAGGCTGAACAGCAGCAGGTTCTTCCGGTTGAAGATGTCCGAGAGTCGTCCCGAAAGAATCTGGAAGGTGGTCTGACCGATCATGAGCGAAGTTCCCGCCCAAGAAACCGTATTCTGAGCGTTGAGGGCGTTAGCGATTTCTGGCTGAATCACAGATATAGACGTTTGGTCAAGGAATGACACTAATAGGCCAGTAGCCAGAGCCAAGAATGCAATTAACAACTGCTTGAAGGGCAATCGTATGATCTGATCTTGCAACACAGGTTTGGAAGACATGTTGAATAACGATCTGAAGAAGCAGAGAGGAGAAACCGACGAATTTATATAGAGGTATTTAATTCACACGACCGATTGCGGAACACAACCGCATGAAGGTAATTTCTGCGATTCAACGTTTTCTAAAATTTAGACCGCCTCGGAGTAGCTACAGTTCGAGTTTCAAAACGACAGGAGAGGATGCACACACAATTTGGTGGTTGAAAGGTTTGTGATTGGCTCAAGCGCCATCAAAATCGTCTTGGCATTACGCATTGACAAAGGTTCCGACCATCGGAATTGACACGGCTACCCAATCAGTTGTGGTTGTATCGCCTTTAGGTAGCCCTGCTTTTCGGAAACGGCAGGGACGTGCTTATTATCTCAAATCTGTTCCTGTTTCTCTGGAGGCTTAGGTTTCAGGGCGGTAATAATTATTAAGTATGGTAGCATAGAATTTAAATTACGACTTGACAGGATAAATTCTGGGATCAAGCCTATAGGAAAGCCATTAACTCCCCATGAAAGACATAACCATCATTGTAGAACTTGCAGCTTAAGATCAACATGAAATTCGTATTCTGCATTGAGTCCCAAGACTCATAATTTTTCCGAGATGTAGGAACCCACGCTTTGTGTCAATGGTACATGCATGAGCCTCTAAACCCTAGATTTAAAATTGACACATGCCACTTGCCTTGAATTGAACATAGCAGATTAAATAGGCACGTTATTGTGAAATTACTGATTTCCTTTAAACCATTGTGAATAATTACGGGCTGTCGGAATAAATAATAGACCCTAATTTGACAGATATCCTTATTTGCTTAAATGATAACGTAATAAGTTGCACGATAACTTAAAACTTGATCCGTTCACCCGGGCCAGACATCTGTGAACCATTTCTTGTGAAAAAGTTAACCGTTTCCATTGCCCTGCCCAAGTTTTAAACTTGAGCCACTATCGCCTGTCATTACGTAAGTTAGGAAGGAGGTGAAGAAAAAAATTGAAAATTTTTTGTAGGCAAAAAATAATTATCAGATTGAATTGCATTGTGCGCTTTAATGCAAAACATGATGTCTATACAGAACGCTCCGATAATAAGCAATCCGGTAAAACGAAGGTACTCGGATGACGAAAATACCAAACGGCGGAAGTTGAATACCGAAGAGAGCGCTGAAGAAGAGGAGATGTCACAAGACCCCTCAGATTCGAATTTTTCTGGTAAAGTTTATAGCTCGTTGATTCGGTCCGCTCTTGATAGCATGGAGAAGGTAAGTTTGAACCAATTCAGCTAGTGAACTAACAATTAGAACGATTTCTCCGCCATAGATGCGCTTTCTGCACAACTTCAGCTGCCAAAAGGGAATCCTGAAGCAATTTCACCAGAGAAACTCATTCAGCTACTGCGGGTTCTCACTGGGGAGATTTCTAGACTGGATAATAAGGCAAGCGTGAGTTTCGTGCAAGCGATCCTTAAAATTGACTGGTTCGAGTATGATAGTGACGAATTCTCTCGGGTCTACTCTACTTTTCTTACTGTATTGGTGTCTGGTATACCGAAATGGTGGAATGAAGTGGCCAGCATGCTTATTGGAGATTTCTCGCGGCAGGAGGGTCTTGAGGTTCACCATTTTACATTGAAATATATTATTCATGTGATCCCGACCTCCACGAACTCCATTCCAAGCATTTTAAAAAGGCAGTTTCCTCATAAGACGGCTGCCAAAAATGACCTGGTAAATTATACGAAGAACCTACTATATCTTTTGACATACTGCGATCAGATTCGCCTTGCCGTTTGGCAACTGATTGTGGAAAACTGCATTAAATTGGACGTTGAGCTTCAAAATGAAATCGAAGAACTGGACGATGACGATTTGGAGGAGGCTTTGAACAGTGACGATGAAGACGAGGAGCTTGAGTTGGAGCCAGAGAACCTCCACAACGAATCGAGCGACGAGGAAGAGTTCATGGACGAAGAGGAGTATCATATTGATATCCAGAAAGTCAGCAATCTGTCATCCAAGTTGGATGCTGTCATGCGCACGCTTATGGACTCTACAGCTCCACTTTTCAAAGACGATGTTTCCTCAGGCATAAGTCTTTTCAATACCCTGGCCACGCTGTTCAAATCACACGTCCTGCCTACACATTACACACGTTGTATTCAATACCTGATGTTCTATATTGCTCAGCAACACCCAGATCTTACAGACTCGTTTTTGGTGATGTTGATTGACATCGTGTTCAACTTGAACGAGATCGGATCCAACAGGGTCAAGGCCATGCAATACGTCTCTTCATTTATTGCAAGAGCAAAGAGTCTTTCGAAGCAACAACTGGTATTTGTGATGAAATACCTGACGTCGTGGTGTTCGGTCTTTGTTGCCGAACGTGAGAATGAAATTTCAAATGGACAAGGAGGAATGGAAAGATTCAAGATTCTTTATTGTGTTTTCCAAGGACTTCTATATATCTTCTGCTTCCGTCACAAGGACTTGAAGAACGAGAACGATGAATGGGAATTGAATCTGGATAAGTTTTTCAATAAGCTTATTATTTCTGGATTCAATCCATTAAAGTACTGCAATGAGACTGTTGTTTTGATTTTTGCTCGCCTGGCTCAGCAAGTCGACTTGTGCTACTGTTTTTCGATCATCGAGCGCAACAAGAGAGAAAGACTGAATGGAATCAAAAACATGCAATCTGGAGCTGCTTTCGAAAGCAAGCAGGAGTTCTTGGACCTGGAGGCCTACTTCCCATTCGATCCGCTGATTCTCAAACGATGCAAAGAGCTTATCGAGGAGCAGTATGTGGAATGGGAGAGCATTGATGACAGTGAAAGTGAGTAATTGATTGACATTACTGAATAAATAAATTGATCATTATATCATTAATCTTCGCACATTGGTGACTTTCCACTCTTTGGCTGTCTGACTATATTTGCAACCGATCAGTTTTTTCCCCGTCACTGGACATTTACCTCCATCTTCGTCGCCTTCTTTAAGATATGTGTAGATACACTTGTAACAGAAGACGTATCCGGTCTCGATAATTGCGGGGTTATGAATAGGTTCGTGACACAACGGACAGTCACCGGTGGAAGTTGTGAGCTTTGAGCGAACTTTCTCGGACTTGAGGGCGTCTGAGTTTAATAATTGGGGTAATTGTGGGGTTTTTGTAGACACCACGCTTGAGCCGAAATTTTTGTTAATTTCGGAAGTGTTCCACCATTCCAAGAATTTTAGCAGGAAGATAGAAACTGGCAGGATTGACTCTGATGTGACCAAAAAAGACCTTTTAAAGGGGTAAGAGACCGAAGCGTACAGGTCTGCAACTGATTCCGTCAACGAAACAGGACGGATTCTCGAAGTCTGCGGTGCCGAGGAAGTCGTCTTGAGGAACTTTGCAGTTCTATCTTCTGCCAGCTTATGGTCGAACTGGTTCAATCTTGAGTACTGGATGTTAAACAAAAACTGAAGTAGATTTGTCGACTTGATTTTTCCGGAAAGGAACAGAACCTTGATCAAGATATTTATCAGCTTCAAAATTGAACTGATAGACGGATACAATTTGAGGAACCAGTATTTGATAAGATCTTTGGTGTTTTCCTTCGGTTTCAATTTATCCAAGAGGTATTCTGGAAGAAGTTTATCGTAGAGCAGATCTAGTTTCTCTCTTAAGTAAGGAACCAACACTATTTCGGCCAACGAGGCGAATATTTGTGTTTTCTTCAGTCTCTTGATTGTATCGAATTTTGCCGAAGACTCATGATTCCCGTGTCTTAATGACAAATTCAGCTTGTTGCACCTTTTGATACCATAGAACTTCTCAATAAAGGTTGAGTTCCAGTTTCGAAGAATCGAGTACTCAATAAATCCCCTGACGACCAAGTTCAACTCGTCGAAATGGTTCAGTAGCCTAATTAGTTGGCGAGGATACCTGTTGGCATAATGGATCAGAACAAACCTAACACTGGGAGAAAGCAACTGTTCTAGTTCCTTGGCACTGATGACTTCAAACAAAGTCGGCGTTTCTCGATCCAACGACCGAGAGTCAAGATTAGAGTAAAAGTCCATAGCCGATATGGTTTTTAAGCGGAGAAAAATAATAATCCAAAATTATATTTCCATAAACTATGACAGACAGATTGACTCAGTTGCAAATATGTCTGGATCAACTTTCAGACATGTTTTTTGCTTCGTTGTCATATGTTGATCAAAATCATATTGCTGTGAGATTGACAGAGGGCGACGAGATGTTGCCTGATCCTGACCATAACCCCCCGTCAGAGGCAGATTTCAAGGCCAACTTGGTGGAACTTACCTCGGACATCATCCTCAAAACAAAACAGATCCTCACAATCATAGACACACTTCCAGGAGTCGGAGTGAGCAAAGAAGAACAATTGGAACGAATAGAAAGTTTATCAGGAGAACTCAGAGAATTGGAAAAACAAAAGGAAGCTACACTCAAACGAAAAGAACAGTTGAGCGAATTGGTTGACGAGATGATCATACAGGTCAGCGATGGAATCGCAAGTACAAGAGATTGACTAAACCATTCTATAAACAATCACAGTCAGTGCAATAATTGCAGCCAGTACTTTTTCCGCTTTCATGTACTCGAGCCACTGGCAAAACAACAAGACCCCGAAAAATAACGCGAATGAGTACTTGGCGGGCTCCACTCGAGCATTTGACAACACATAGGGAATAAGATGGATCACAAACCCAAGAAGGAAATCTGTTGCGTGCCGATCGAACTCAAGCTCCTCTATACTCCAGACAGCAGGCTTGTATGGGTTCAAAGTGATCACTTGGAATGCCTTGAATCCAACGAATCCCACAACCACCATAATTACTGTCCAGTACACAACAGGGTTCCCTGTTGACCAGATTTCTTCGTCTCCGTTTCTCCATAGAAGAGTTTTCTCCTCTAAGAATGGCCATCGTAGCGGGTTTTGATCTTCTACTGTCCATTTTGGAAGCTTTCCAACTAACCGGAGAGTTTGAACGTGCACTTCCTTCAATTTGTCAAAAAACGAGAGATTTCGATACTCAACCGGAGATCCTTCAAGTTTCGGGTGCTCGTTCTTCACGAAATACCACAAAGACCGTTCAAAAATTGGTTTCTCAATGCAAATCACCTCGTCGTGGCCTTGTGCCCAACTTGGAAGCGCGTTTTCTGTTGCCATAAGAAAACACTTGTTTCTGACGTTGTATATCTGGAAAACGGATTCAATCGCTCTGAATCGTTTACTGGCTGCGGAAGTTGAATATCTGCTGGCTGGACGCAACTCGAAATTGATCCAGTTTTCTCCTTCCCAAGACGAGTTACCAAAAGTACTCACCTCTTTGTTATAATCGGTCTCGGAAAGAGGAGGTTTCCCGTCAGTGTTGATGTACAAGTATCTTTCTGTGGCATTGTGGAAGAATCTGATTTGACGTCCAGTTTCTATTTGTTTGGCCTTCCGAACAAGTTCACCGTTCCGTGCTTTGATTCTTTGCTCCACAAACCAGAGGTTCCCTTCTGTATCTGTTGGAGATGCAGTGACACGCTGATTGCCCGACTTGGGGTAATCGGAAGCCTCAGAGTGCAGATATTTGCCTGTGAAGTAGCTTCTCAGAGAAACGGTGGATCCGTATGAGATGTCTGCAACGTAAGGTGGAATTGGGTCTAACGCGTTTTGGAAATGCGGAGAAACGAGCGAGTATCCTGGCCCCGTGTGAGGAAGAATGTGCAAATAGACCGCATAGATAGACAGATAGATAGACACTGGAATCACCAGCAACAAGCTTAATCTGAATAGTGCCTGTTTCACAACTGTCCGTGTCGACAACGACAAGTCCCCGATTTGGAGCCAGGTATCTCTAACGAAAACCGTTAGGACCCAAGCCGCAGAAGCCAGACCGATCCAATCTGAGCTGATCAACAGTCCCAGGGCGATTGGACTCACGATGGTGGCCACCAGTGTTCGTTTTCTGCTCGAACCAGAGCTGATGGTTTTCGTCAAAGCCACTGTCAAGCTAAGGAAAAACAGTGTTGGTGTTATATCCGAGATATAGCTTGATTCTTGGACAAACGAGTTCTCGAATGCGATCAGCAGCGAACCCCCGATCGCGATCTTGTGACCGACTCCACATGCCTGTAATGTCCGATATGTCAAAAGAACGGTGGCCGTTCCGTAAAGTGCGCTTAAGGAACGGAGCAAAACCAATGGCGTATCCAAACCGGTGAATTTGGACACACATGAGTATAACAAAGGAACTAGAGGCGGATTCGGGTCAACAAAGAAGCTTCCTGTGGAGTAATCGACAATATGATCCACTATTCTAGACTCGAAGCCAGTAATTGTCGATGGGTAATTTATTCCAATAAGTCGCAGGGCTAATGCCAGAACAACAACCATAAGTAATCTGACACGCTGATCTTTGGGCAGATCTAGATCAATTGATCGACTTTTGTAGTATTTCCTGGAGGGGCCATTGGATAAAGACATTGTTGGAAAAAACAATAAAAATTAAAATTATATCGAGAGGTTGGAATAAGAATGGCAAAACCGGAATTTGGTAGCGCCAAATACGCAGCCAGCCAGCTGAGAAGGCGTGGACTTCAAAAGACAAAATTCTACTGCCAAGTTTGCGAAAAACAGTGCTTAGATGAAAACGGATTCAAGCTTCATATACAATCACCATCTCATATTAGAAGGTTGAATGATAGACTAGGAAATTCGAACAACAACTCGCGCGCGCTCATACGCGAGTACTCTGGACGGTTTCTTGGGGATTTCTTACGACTTTTGCGAATTAACCACGGCGAAAAACTCATCGGTTGCAACAGATTTTACCAGGAGTACATTATGGATAAAAACCATGTGCATTTGAACTCAACACGATGGAAGAGTCTGACTTCATTAGTAATGTTTCTCAAACATCAGGAACTATGTAGGGTGGAGGAGAACGAGGATTACGAGGAGTTCGATGCTGAAAGATACTCCATCGCCTATATCGATAAGTCGGCCAAAAAACCATCCAAGGAGCAGAAAATCCGCTCCGACGAAGAATCTGCCTCGCGCATGTTGCAGGAACAAATCGAGCGTGGTCGCAAATTGAAAGAGGAACAAGAACAGTCTGATAAATCAGAAGAAGTCCCAGTGCAAGGTTTGGAGAATCACGACAAGATCAAAATATCCATGAATAATAAGCCTCTCCAAAAATGTGGTATCAAAATTGTGCCTGGAGTTGGACATATTACCAAGGGGCAACCTCAGCGCAGGAACCACAAACTCAAAAGCCGGATAGCATCCAAGAATGTTTTGGAATGACTATGTGAAGTTCAAAACGATCTTCTTTTTCTTCTTCTTTCCAGAGCTTGACTCCTTGGCCTGTCTGATAACTAATTCTGCATCAAAATCGGACTCTTCGTGGTCTGACTCCTCACCCTTTAATATTTTGGTTCCCCAAACTGTGGTTTTGTATTTGGATTCATCCAAAGGCTCGATATCGTTCCCCAAAGGCGGCGTTTCTGTAGCCTCAGCCATCCGCGACGACGCCTCTTCATATCCATAGTCAGTCAATCGCAAATTGTTCTCGTTCGAGTAAAACTGAAGTGTCTTGCGCTCCAACTCCTTTTCGAAAACCGCTTTGCTTCGGTCTTCGCGCAATTTCTTGTTGCGAGACACTTTACTTCTCTCACTGATCTTCTTGCCGAATCGAGCATAAATCTCTTTTGGAATCGATGGTAGCTGGTTTGTCCAATCTAGCTCTAAGAAACCAACCTCTGTTCCCATTGGGAGATGCCCGATGTATTTGAGTTTCCCGATGGATTCCTCAGTTAAAGGAGACTGTTCGTAGTTGATATTTTCAAGTTTTGGATGCAACACCAAGGGGAAAGCCGAATAGTCACCATAAAGCGACCGTAGAACTTGAACATCAAGATTGGTCAAAAAGTATTTAATGCTTGAGTTGAATGCTGTCTGGTAAAAGAAAAATGATTTCTCTTTCTCTTGGAAACTGTGTTGGCGGATTGTAAGTTCATCCAACTGTAAATTTAGGGACTCCGGCGACTCTGGAGCAGACGTCGATACAGACACGGCAAAGGATTCATTCATGGCATCCTTGTGTGCCTTGATCCGAATTGCTGCTAATTCATAATGATGTATGCTATCTCCAAATAGTTCAGCGTCCTGCGACTGGTGCACGGCCAAAGTTTGTAGTTCGTCCTCGAAACACCTGGAAGCGAACTCAGGTCCAGATTGGACTATTCTCGAGTATTTGACATATCTCGAATCATGCAAAAAGTTTTCCACTGTTGATGAACGAGGGATCCACGGAATGTCTCCGTCGAACTCACAGTTCTCCAGATAGAACTTGAACGGCTGTGCAAAAACGCGCGATGCTGGCCTGTACATGAGCTCCAGCTCAACCTGTTGTCCAACTGCCGGTTTTTCGAATCTCTCGTCGATATTCGTGATCAGAACTGGCAGCAAATCGTGCTTTTCCTTGATGTCATCAGAGCAGAGGGGGCATTTGACACGGCCGCGATAATCGTCTTCTGTCGAAAATGCAGCAAACAAACGTAACAGACATGGATAACAGAATATATGACCACATCGTGTCATTCTCGGAGCGACAAACTCATCGCCAAGACAGATCGGACACTGATGATCGTTTTTATTGACCAAGACCCGCAAGATAGAGGAGTCATCCAAAGGAAGATTTGGGTCCAAAATCTGCGGTCTATAGTCACCACGGCAATCCACAATGAATCGATAGTTGACATTGACATATTTTCTTCCTGTTAAGTTCAACCTTGCACTTTGAGCACGGTGTTTCTTGGATCCGGGACGACGGCCGGAACTGGTGTGAATTTCATGTTCCGGTAGGCGGAAATCCACCAAATGACTAATATCAATTCCCTTTTTTCCACGGCCCAACGACTTCTCATAGTGGAAGTCATCAACCAGCTCGGGTCTTTTGTTTTCCTTCGTCTGCCGTTTGGACCCGTGCTTCTTAGAGTCCTTATGATGTGGCCTTAAACTGGCAGGGACTCGGCCAGATCGATCCACAGGCGCAGCGGCAGCCGGCGTAGGCTCATAGAACCGAGTCTGAGGACTGGAAGATGGCGGTTTCATTTCCACGCAAAGGGGAGAGCTATTTATTCAATAAATAATTAGCTTAAAATTATTAAAAGGCGAAAATCACAGATTAATTTCTAATGCGTGCTATTTAGCATTATTTGAATTTGTCTATATTTACAGATCATGTATCTCTCAACTTAACGTTCTCTCACTTCCCAGATATCCTCACTACTTCCGTGTTTGAGTTGGTCGACCAACCGGTTTTTGTAGAACTCTTGAATGTTCTTTTCTCTGACTTCTCCGGTATTTAAAGAATTAGAGAAACAGAAGTTGAGCTTCTCGTTTTGCTTATCACACATGCTGAAATCTCCATATCTGTAGTAGTTGCGAACTTGTCCTCCTAAAGACATGCAACTCATTAATTCGTCCATCGCTGTGAGGCATGACATTTCTTTCTATACTGTTAGTAACCATGGTTTGTGATCCAACTTACTGGGAACCGATCAAGCGTGATCGACTCTGCTCTTTTGCTGGCCTTTTCTCGCAAAGAGAGGGTTTTTTGATCGAGCACCTCTGTCTTTGAACTGGCCGATTTCGAGTCGTAGGCCTCGGCCAGAGCTATTTGAAGATCCGACAAGCCATCTGAAGTGTTCTGAACCGTTCCCTTGTTCAATCCAGAAGATTCACCAGCTCCAGAGCTGGCATCGTCCGTTGGTGCTCGTTTTCGCCAAAACATTTATTTTCTACCTTATATTAATAGCACCGCCACTTTTATACATACATTTAACCTTTACTGCGCCTCATGTGGGAGTAGAGCCTCAGCTTCCCCAACAACTTTCTCACCCTTCACCACGCTCATGCCAATGGAAAGCAATTCCGACTCCATACTAGCCTGGGTAGCCTCGACCAGCTTAGGAACATCTTCCTTTGTAAGTCCTTCAGTAGAGATTGGTTCCAGCACCTTGATTTTGATGGTTCCGGTGTTAAAGTTTTTGAGCTTCAGACTGTACAAATTAGAGGTGTTGGAAACCACGACTGGAATGATCGGAATTTGGGCTTGAACGGCAAGATGGAAAGCCCCCTTCTTGAAAGGAAGTAGGGTAGGTTTGGACGAATACGATCTGGTTCCTTCAGGGAACATAAACAATCCTCCGTTTGTCTCTTTGAGGTTGTCTAGGGCATTGTTGAGCACGCGAATGGCCTTTTCGTGGTTTGCTCTATCAAGGAAGAAAGTTCCCGAAAGAGCCATGAACCAGCCCAAAAATGGAATCAGTTTGAGCTGTTTCTTTGCGGTCACAACACACCGTTTAGGGAAGATTCTACCCAACACGAGAATGTCCAATTCCGACTGATGGTTGGAGATCAATATAGCCGGCAACCCATTAAGTCTCTCTTGGTTTTCGATTTCGATATTAATACGCATAACGGAACTGAACAGGTTGTAGTAAAATCTTGCCGTGCTCCATTGGGCCAGGTCTCTTTTCCCGATCGCCGAGAAGAAGAGCGAACATAGCACACCATAAGTGGCACTGGTCAACAAAAGACCCAATGCAAAGAACCCCTTGATGTAAAATTTGATTTGTTTGCCAATACTTTGCGGCAAAGTCATTTTCGAAGTTGGCCGACTGTTGTTGAAGTGAGGATCCCACAGAAAATACGAACTGAAGATAAGAACAGGAAGAAACACGTCCAACAACATTTTAAGATGAGAAAATTCTCGATAAAAAGATTTTCGGAGCCTTGGACCCCCACATTGCTCTGAAAAATGAATGTAGATGAACCGAATACGTGCTGTTTGATGTTTGATGGGTCTTTTCGAAAACCCAAAACACCCTCTTTACTTTGATGTCCATTTTTAATTTGGCACATGCCTTGCTATAATTTCATTGATTTCCATTAGAATCCAACATCAACCTATATACAACCCGTTTATTGGGATCTGTTCAATCTGTTCAATCTTCTAGCAGTACGTGCATTGTACTTGGTACGTTGACCGTGAACCGGAAGACCCATAGCGTGTCTAAGACCCTGGTACGATCCCGTGGAACGCTTCAATTTGATGTTATTACGCACCTGTTGTAATAATTTGGATCCAATAGTCATGTCTGTGAGTTCTTTGGTGACCGACATCACCTGTGTTTCCGAGAGTTGATGCATTCGCATACTTGGATACAGTCCAACCTTGGCACATATTTTCTCGGCCGTTTTGAGCCCGACGCCGAAGAACGTGTATGCAAGACCGATCTAAATGTTAGAACACCAGTTTCTGAGTACTTACGTCGACTTTGGACTTGCCCTTGATGGCCTTACCCAGGATATGGACAACCATTAGTGAAAGAAAGTTGATGAAAAATATTTTAGGTGCGAGGAGGTGACTTCAAAATTAGAGCTAGTATTGGATACAAAATTAAACGTACAAGATTGGAGCCTAAAGCTCTTGTTCCATCACCATTTCCAACCGCAAAATCAGTACGAGCCGAATTAATCCTATCATGGTCACAAAACTTGCCAACCCGATAGGAACGACTGCAAAAACCGTGATATTATATAGATCGACTGTTCGTGGCACCTTGCCTGGGGTCGGCGGCACAGCCTTGTCCTGCAAATGGCTGTCCAGACGTAGATTGGAGGTCACAAAGTTCTGGATGATGTAGATCAGTGTCATCACACAACTTATAAGGATCCACACCGGCAAACAGTACTCGTTCTTCACATTGTTGAACATAAACGTTAACACTTCCACAAGAGCAACGATCAACAGGGACATGCTCAGCATTCGCACTATTGCTGCTTGAATCGCATACATGACGATCCAGCGGACCATTAGTCCATCCAGGATCGAATATGAAAGAAACCCGGAAACCAGACACCACACTCCTGCAAGGAAGAATTCAGAAGCCCGGACAGAGACAACGTTGGCTTGGTAAGGCTGTTCGTTCACCATGTTATACCATGATCTCCACAGAGAAATGAAGTTCTTTACAATGACCAGCAATGAAAGATCTCTGCAGATAGCGACGGCCAAATGTTCTTTAGGAGTGAGTCGTTTGAGTCCAAGTTCCTTGAGCGAGTTCCTCTGCATATTGAGGTCTGTGGTGGCGGTAGAGGAGATTCCAAAGAGAATCGCCTGGTTAATCAATTCGTCATTTTCGATAAGAGTGTCGCGCGATTGGGTATGAGTATGAAGAGAATTGGCAATTGACCGTGAACTGCGTGAGTGCAGATGGTTTCGACTCCCTGTTGCTATCGTAGAGAGGGAAGTCGACGATGACACATACAGGGGCACCGACTCAATTTCCGCCTCAGAGTCGGTGGGGGGAGGATGATTGGCGTAATCAGAATCAAAATCAAATGGTGCCATCAATAAAGCATTTTACAAAGATTTTCTACATCAAAAAATTCAAGCATCTCAATCGCTTTCAGAATGTTTCTCTACACAGCCAAAATATAAAGAATAATTGCAGCGACACCGGATCTTTGCATTTATTGAATTGATTAGATATGTGAGCATTCCACTGATCGAAAATATGACTCATTTGATAAGTGCGCTGCCGTTCAGAAACGGCTAGGAGCTCAGATATGCAAAGCTGTGGCAACTATTGTTCAAATACAATAGAGCCATGTAGCAATTCTTATTTTTGGAGCTTTTTTTTCAGAACTTTAAAAGGAGCTACCAATGGCTACCATTTCTCGCAATGATTCCTTTCGAACAGAACTCGACAATCTGCCACTCATACTGGTACAATGACGATTTCACAGTTTGTGGACGTGAGTTTGCACAATTGTGGATCGTTTTTCCGTTAGCAATCAGTCTATATTTAGTGTTGAATAATCTATTCCACGTGGTTTCGGTCAAGAACAAGACCGTCAGCGCGGAACTCGATTCTGAACAGCAGCCATTACTAGAAGGCGAGATTTCGGAGTATAATGCAACCAAAGAGGGTAGATATGTGTCGACCCTAGACAGACACTTTGATATCTCTTTGCTAAATAGTGGAAATGCCAAGTCCAATGAGACAATACGTATTGTCTACCGTGATACCTCTGAAAAAATCAAGGTTGTGCTGGAAGAAGCGTTGCTGTTCTTTCAGATCGGACTATCGACTATAGAGCTGCTGGATTCGGACAATTCTTCTTCCCTTCACAGAGCAAAGCTTGTCAACCTCGGTTTTTGGACTTATCTAACTCTAATAACTTCTATTAGACTTTTCAATGTTTCCAAAGGGTTGGGGCCCGAATGGCTGGACTTGTGGAAACAATGCTCGTTTCTTTACAACATTCAATTACCAATATCAGCTCTTCTGTTTAGATCGGCGATTCTGAACCACGTTTCATCGTCGTTTGCAGTCAGATTTTATTTGCTACAATTTGCAATCAACGTCGCATTGGTTTTGATTAACGGTTTGGAAAAATGTTCTGACAAACCAGCTCGTGTGTATGAGAAAGATGGAATTCTGCCATCTCCAGAAACGACTTCAACCTTGTTCAGTATCATTTCCTTTTCGTGGATAGATAGGATGATTTTCAATGCCTATAAAAGACCGATCACTATGCCAGAAATCTGGGGACTCAGATACCAAGACCTGGCAGAACCGTTGCTATCCAAATATCACGAATCCAGAGCTACAGCCAGATTTGCAGCCAGACTGTTTTCCCAATTCAAAGTGGATCTGATTATGCAATGCGTTTATAGTGGTGTCGACTCGCTCATGGAACTTGCTCCGCCTATAGCTCTCAAGCATATTTTAGAATATATCCAAGATCCAGACCATTCATCCACAAGTCTAGTTTGGCTCTGGGTTATCATTTCGCTTGTCGGATATCTTTCTGAAGCTATCTTGATCTCCAGATGCCAATCTGAGGGAAGAAGAATTGATGCCAGATTGAGAGCCGTTTTAGTTGGAGAGTTATATGCCAAAGCTTTAAGAAGAAAACTGGGAACCGGATCAAAAACAGACGAGAAACATGGCGAAGAAAAACCAGAGAGTCCTGAAGAAGAAACAGAGCCAGAAACAAAAGATATGGGAGGTGTTCTGAACTTGATGTCTGTGGACACATTCAAAGTGTCAGAATTGGGTGGAAACCTGTACAACTTTACCTCGGCAATCAGTATGACAATTGCAACCGTCATTTTGCTGTACCAGCTACTTGGCTGGTCGTCTCTGATGGGAGTTGCTACATTAGCCTGTATCATTCCAACGAACTATTTCATCGCAATGAGCTTTGAGAAATACCAAACCCTGCTTCTGAGCTATTCTGATCAGCGGATCCAAAAGCTCAACGAAGTGTTCCAGAACATCAGAGTAATCAAGTACTTTGCATGGGAGAACAAGTTTACTGAGGCCATCATGAAGCTCAGAGAAAAGGAGATTTATTATGTCTGGCGCAGGGCCGGGATTTGGGCACTAGCGGTGCTCATCTGGTACTCTGCACCGTCGTTGGTTGCACTGGTTACATTTTTCTTCTACACGGCAGTTCAGGGCGAACGGTTGACCACCCCAGTTGCATTCACTGCTCTGTCGCTATTCAATCTGTTAAGGTCACCGCTGGATATGCTGGGAGACTTGATATCGTTTGTTTTGCAAACCAAAGTCTCCATTGGAAGAATTGAGAAATATTTGAATGAACCGGAAACTACAAAATACGAGCAACTAACAACTCCAAGAGGCCCAAATTCTCCTGCAATTGGATTTGAAAATGCCACATTGCACTGGTCCAAAAACTCCAAAAACTCGTTTGCTCTTAGAGACATCAACATCGAATTCAAGCCGGGAAAGATCAATATCATTTTTGGTGCTACAGGATCCGGAAAGACTTCGCTTCTTTTGGCCTTACTGGGAGAAATGGACCTTGAAAAGGGGTCCGTGTACCTTCCAGGGGCTGATCCAAGAGAAGATCTCATTCCAAATCCAGTCACAGGGTTGACTGAATCCGTTGCTTACTGCTCTCAAACTGCATGGCTTTTGAACACAACGATTAAAGAAAACATTATGTTTGGCTCTCCTTACGACAAAAAGAGATTTGATGCCGTCATTCACTCATGTGGATTGACCAGGGACCTTGAGATTCTGGATTGGGCCGAAGAAACAGAAATTGGAGAAAAAGGTATCACTCTTTCAGGTGGCCAGAAACAGCGTGTCTCTTTGGCAAGAGCACTGTATTCGTCTGCTTCCTATGTTCTTCTTGACGATTGTCTTTCGGCAGTTGATTCTCACACAGCCGTCCATATTTACGAGAACTGCATCAAGGGTAACCTTATGAAGGGACGAACCTGTCTTCTTGTCTCGCATAACGTTGCACTCACCGTCAAGGACGCTGATCACGTGATCCTTATGGACAACGGACGTGTAAAAGCACAGGGGTCGGTTGGCGAGCTATTATCTCAGGGTCATTTTGCAGAGGATACAATCAAGAGCATGCAAAAGTCCAGAAGCGAGTCGAGCGAGCTGGATCAAATTCAAGAGCCCGAGCCAGAAGTTACTGCTACCAAATCAGACTCAGTGAAGAATGACAAAAAATCCAAGCTGATACAGGAAGAGACCAAGAGTGAAGGACATGTGAAGCTTTCAGTTTACCTTGCGTACCTGAAACATCTTGGCTCGGTTCCTTACTGGCTCTTTTTAGTTGCTACCATAGCTGGTTCTCAATCTGCCCTCGTTGGCCAGTCTTACTGGTTGCGTTTCTGGGCAGCTATGGAGGATAAAAAGATATCCATTGAATGGAATCAGCCAATTGGTAGCGCTATTTTCAAAGCATACGGGTTTGAGCTTGAGAACCAATCAACAGTGTTCTACGTTGGAGTCTATACTTTCATTGGGCTGATGTATGCCACGATCGTTGGAGTACGGTTTTTGACTTTCCTCTCTGGAGGTCTCAACGTTTCCAAAAGCATGTTTGGCGAGCTACTGGATAAAGTCCTTCATGCCAAACTGAGGTTCTTTGATCAGACTCCAATTGGACGTATCATGAACAGGTTTTCCAAGGACGTGGAAGGAGTCGACCAGGACTTACCTGATGCATGGTACTCTTCGATTAATTGTTTACTTTCGACTGCTACCATTCTGGCAATGGTTTGCGTTGTGACTCCAATTTTCATGATCTTTGCTATAGTACTGCTTGCCCTATACGGAATGGTTGGTTCGCTTTATCTGAACCTTTCAAGAGACTTGAAACGGTTTAACTCAATTACCAAGTCTCCGATCCATCAACACTTTTCGGAATCGCTCCATGGAGTTGCAACCATCAGAGCTTACGGGGATATCAGACGGTTCCTTAGACAGAACCTTGATAACATTGACACCAATAACAGACCGTTTTGGTACAACTGGACCAGCAACAGATGGCTTGGATTCAGAACAGAGATGATTGGAACGCTCATCTCGTTCTTTGCTTCTGTTTTCGCCGTTTCCTACGCCAGAAACCTGGATGCAGGTCTGGCTGGTATTTCGCTTTCCTTTGCAGTTGGATTCCGTCAAAGCGCGGGATGGCTGATCAGAATGTACTCACGGTTGGAGATCATGATGAACTCCGCCGAAAGAGTGCAGGAATACATCGAAGAAACCCCTCAAGAGGCCGAACGCCTGCTTCCTCAAGATCCTGTTAACTCATGGCCATCTAAGGGAGAAATCGACGTTTCCAAGATCAGCATCAAATACGCTCCCGGTCTGCCACGGGTCATTGACGATGTCTCTTTCAAGGTGAACTCTGCTGAGAAGATTGGTGTTGTTGGTCGTACCGGTGCCGGCAAGTCGACTATAGTGACAAGTTTCTTCAGATTTGTCGAGCTGGATTCTGGTAGCATCAAGATCGACGGCCTCGACATTTCCAAGATCGGGCTCACTACTTTGCGGAAGGGACTCACCATCATTCCTCAGGATCCAACCTTGTTTGCAGGAACTGTTCGCTCGAATCTGGATATTTTCCAAGAATACTCCGATCTGCAGATGTTTGAATCTCTTCGGAGAGTCAATTTGATCTCTGGACTAGAGTATCAGGGTTTGGTCAACCATACGTTGCCAGATCAATCAGCGAACACTCACGAGAATACCAACAAGTTTTTGGATCTGGACTCGGCGGTTTTGGAAGGCGGATCAAATCTCTCACAAGGAGAGAGACAGCTGATCTGTCTTGCAAGATCTCTTTTGAAAGTGCCCAAAATTTTGATGCTCGACGAAGCTACCGCTTCGATCGATTACGAATCAGACGCTAAAATCCAAACCACCATTAGAGAAGAGTTCTCGTCGTCCACTATTCTCACAATTGCTCACAGACTTAAAACCATTATCGACTACGATAAAATCTTGCTACTGGATCAAGGTAAGGTGAAAGAATTCGACCACCCTTACAAACTGATCACCAACGTACAAACAGAGTTCTACAAAATGTGTGTCGATACAGGCGAATTGGACGAGCTAGTCCATTTGGCGGAACAGGCATACCAAAAACAAGTACACTAAGCTTTTAATTGATAATATTCCTTTACTAATGACAGTAAACCACAAGCTCAAACCGATTTTGGTCAAATATGCTGGTATAGATATTATTTGGTGTAGTCTGCGACAAGAACGTCTAACCAATCACGGTCAACATTGGTATATAGTTTAAAATATCTTGAAATGCAATTACAGCCAAACGACTCAAAGGCGATCTTTCCCCAATTAGATGGCCTCCAATTGCGCGCTGATCGACTCCAACTCTTGTTGTGCAGCCTTGTATTTGGCCTCCAACTCCTCGAACTTAGTCTCCAAATCAGCCTTTTCACTTTCCAAAGACGTAACCTTCTTTTCAAGAGTCTCTGCGCGAACATCGGTCTCTCTCAGCTTGGCGGTGGTTTCCTTCAAGTTGGCGTCAGATGCCTCCAACTCTTCCTCCAACATGGAGTGTTTCTTGGTGTAGTTGTCGTTGGCGGCCTTCAATTGGTGAGCGTCACCTGCAACTTTCTTCAAGTCGCTCAGCTCAGACTCGGCCTTCTCCAAATCCTCCTCCAACACCTGGTTCTTTCTGGTCAAAGCTTGGATCTGGTTGTCTTTCTCCAAATCTTTTTGTTCCAACTCCTTGATCTTGGCGGAATATTCGTCCGCCTTCTCTTGCCAGGTTTCAGCATCAAGCTTCAGCTTGTTCAATTTCTACTCAGTTAGTCCATCCAATCCCAATTGATCACAAACTTACCTCCTTTAATTTGTCCATGACGTTTTATATTTGTTTAATAGGAAAACAAAACAAATCAATGGGAACACTCTATTTATAAGGACAAGTCGCGAAGTGTCTCGAAACCGCGCCAACTTGTAAAATCTACCCGGGTAACTTTTTTTTTTTTTAGATCAAACAGTGTTCGAACTATACAACTAACTATTCATAAAAGCACGAAAACTTGCAAAAAAACCAATAACCGACCCCAAATTGAACCGCCAACATACACACCTTCAAGTACTTTTGAACCTCTTTTGACGTTCAGTTCGGTCATATGCGTCATCTAAACTGTCACTCTCCTTGGAGTTAGAACTTGTAGAATCTGAAAAGTCCGAAAGATAAACAATGTCGCTATCATCGCTTTCTTCCTCGATAGACTCTGCAGGATCCTTAAGTCCCTTCATGCTAGTAGCAGCCGACTCCGAAGATCCAGATTTGTTAGAATTCGAAAAAGGAGAGAAATCCTCCACCGAAACGTCTTCAGAAGATGAAGAGCTTGATATGTTCTTTGGTTTGAAATAAGGGTCCAACGCTTTGCTCAACATTCCATACTGAACTTCAGTAAGTTCGTGAATTTTTGGGAACTCAATATTGAATTTAATCACTAAATCGCCGTAGCTCGTTTCCCCGATGCCCGAATCACTCTGTATAGGCATACCGTATCCTTTTGCCAATTTGATTGTATTTGGGTTTGCCAAATCTCCTCTGTTGATGTACAGTTTCATCATCTTTCCATTGAGATGCTCTATTTTTAATAGACCACCACACACTGCCTTGGAAAGTGATAAATTGACTGTCGTAAACAAGTTATCTCCTCTTCGCTGGAAATTTTTGATCGCGCGCGACTTGTCTTCTTGTAAGGTGATAACCACGTCACCAGGAATGATGTTAAATCCTTCATCAGCATCGTTCGGAAATACTATTTCATATCCTGGCTTTGCTCCTTTTGGAACATTTATATCCAAAATCACTTTTTGGTCAATCAGTCGATGACCATGACATCTCCCACAAATATATTCTTCAGGGATGTACTGGCCCGAGCCATTACATTGATGACATGTGGTTTGAATACGTTGGTGTATCATTCCCATTCTTGTTTCATTCACTATAGTTCCCATTCCCATGCAGGCAGGACATTCAACATGACTACCTCCACGACCATGACAATCGGTACACTTGACCTTTCTAGTCAAGCTTAGCTTCATTGTCTTGCCGTTGTAGAAATCTAGAAGAGAACAGTACGTTGTGTGGTAGATGTTTCTTCCTTTCCGCATGCGCCGGTGACCATGGCCAGACGTTCGTGGTTCAGACATGGAATCGAATAAAGATGCCAGATCTGTAGCCGAAGCCGATCCAAATAAATGATCGAACAACGACTCCGCCTGTTGAAACTTCTCATCGAAAGAAGGTTCCGGAACCGCCGATGAAGACGATCGCAGACCTTCCATTCCATAAGTATCATAAATAGACCTTTTTCTGTCGTCGGAGAGAATTTCGTAAGCAGTGGTAACTTCTTGGAATACATGTGTGGCTTGTTCGGTGTTGTTGTTGCCACCTCCGGTTGACCCGATTTTATCGGGGTGATACTTCAAAGCGGCAGATCGGTATGCTTTCTTGAGCTGTGAGGAGTTGACATCGGGCGAAACGTTCAATAAGTCATATAATTTTGTTTCTTTAACCATAAAACCAGATAAATAAACTTCGTGAGCTTATAATCTGTGTAACTGTACAAGTGACATCAAATCCAACGGCCTGAGCCTGATACCGAGCAAAGCAACAAACCAACCAACAAAGCACGTTAAAAGACAAGACAAGAAAATTGTTGTCTCGCGATTCTACATTTTCTATCCGATTCCATCGCTTATGTCAGCAAAAAAAAAAAGAGGGACCTGGCCGAGAAAGGAAATGCGCAGTCTGGTCAATTTGTTTCCCCACTACTTGCTTGAATCGGCCTCAGAACGAGGGGTTTAGGATCATGGGGTGAAAGAGGGGCACATTGAGAATATCTTAACCGTAGACTATTATAATTTTCTAGTGACTATAAATCCTGATGAGGGGCCGCTGCCACCTTTTTTAAGGTGCAAACTATTTTCTGAAAAATTATCATGAGTAACGCCAATTCTTCTTCTAAAGACGAGCCTTTGATTCCAATGGTTTCACTGGCGTTTAGCAATTCGTTTCTGCCATGGAATTATGACCTTTCTTTTGAAATCACCCCGATAAAATCGAACTATCTAGGAGTTGCTGTGATTGATCTTGCTCCGAACGAGAGGGCTGATGCAGACGAGGCGGGTCCACTCGAGCTGGTTTTCAATGCTGTCGAGACGGTCATCACGGCTGCCTATATCGCCACCAATTCCGGATCGGAGGTTTCAGAGTACAAATTGAAGGTTGAACAGAACAGAAAGACGGAAACTGTCAAGTTTTCTACAGATTCCCTCACAATTGGCGATTTGAGCAAGGAGAAGATAATCCGTTTGAGAGTCCATTTCATTGGAGTTGTCCGTGCAATTTCCAGTTTCAAGGACTTCACCAAGGGTGTGTTCAAGTCTAAGTACAAGTTCGATGGTGAGGACAAATACATAATCTCGACTCAGTGCCAGCCCTCATTTGCTCGGTCGATCTTCCCTTGTGTGGATGATCTATTGGTCAAGGCAAGTTTCAAGCTCTCAATCACCACAGATCCAGATTATATATGTGTTTCGAACACAGCTACTGAAAGCAGCCATGATCTTGATGATCAGCGGAAACTCGTTGTTTTCGAAAGAACTCCTCCAATGACCACATCTGTGTTTGCTTTCACTGTCGGAGCCTTTGATTACTCGGAGACATCTGTTGAATTGCCAAACCAATCCAGATTCCCGATCAAAATCTACACTAAGCACGGCGAGGCAAACAGAGCCAACTTTGCCATTTCCACTGTTGAGTCAGCATTGCCCAAGATCGTTGGGAAGTTTGGTGTCGATTATCCGATCTCAAAGCTGGACATTGTCGCGCTTCCTTTCTTGAGTGACGGAGGTGTTGAGAACTGGTCGATGATCCAGATTTTGATGGATCATCTTTTGACACCTGACACAGATTCCCCCACCAAGATCCTGGATATAACCAACATGATCAAGAATGTGCTTGTACACGAAATGGTTCACATGTACATGGGTAATCTGGTCACTTACGATAGTTACGACCATACATGGTTGAATGAAGCATTCGCAACTTTCATGTCAAACACCATATTGAATGAGGAGAGTGTGAACGACCAGGTTTGGTTTGATCAGCTGAACAACGACGGATTCAACATGAAGAGATACCAAGGATTGGAGTCAATGAAACCGATCCATGTCCAAAATGTTCCGGCTGACACTATTCATAGCACCTTCAGCAAACATTCCTATGACAAGGGTATTTTCTTATTGAGAATGCTAGCATCCTTGTTTAACGACACTCCATCTGAAAACTACGACAATTTCTTCAAGGCTGTTGGAGAATTCATTGAACAGAACAAGTTTGGTTTGTTCAAGCCTGTGGATTTGTGGAACTTCCTCAAGAATAGTTCGCTGAACAAACACAAGTACGACATTCCTACTATCATGTACTCCTGGACTAGAACTGCAGGATATCCAATTTTGTCGGTTACAAATTCCGGGGAGAAATTGGTTGTCGAGCAGCATAGGTTCTTGTACAACACGGAAGCAAAAGTCGAAGATGTGCCATACCATGTTCCGTTGTTTGTCAAAGACGTGGATGGACAAATTAGCAAATACATGCTGACAGATAGAAGGATTGAGATTGAGGCTGGATTATTGGTCAATGCCAATAGCATAGCAATTGCAACCGTGAAATATTCTTTGCCTCAATACAAGAGCATTGCTAAAAATTTCGACAAGCTAAATTCCACGGAGCAAGCGCAAGTTTTGCTTGATCTGTCAACAATCTTCAGTGAATCCTACCAGACTAAAGATGACCTCCTTGGATTCGTCTTGATCATCAACAGACTATCGAAAAACGCCAAAATCGTCAATGCTACTGCATTGAACATTGCATTGACTTTGTTGACTACGTTCGTCGATTCGGTGATTTCCATCAGCTACTTCAAAGACGAAAAGGTTGTAAACACCGTTCGGAAGTGGAGAAGTCGCGTGATTGGAGATTTTATTAGCCAGTTCGAATGGGACGGACTCGATTTCAGACAATTACCTGCTACCGAATTGTCTGTCAGAAACAGTCTGTTGACCATTGACTACAGCAATCCACAGTCACAGTCCATTGCCAAGAAGCTTTACAAGACCCTTTTGCATGGACCAAAGGGAACAATCCCGCTTAAGTTGCTTGGTGCAATCTTGAACAATGTTCAAACCATTGCTTCTGCCAAAGAGTACAAGGAGATTTTGGCGTTGGTTAAGAATCCACATTCTGTTACAGACAACATTTACGAGTCAGAGATTGCTGCAGATGTGAGAACTGCAGCATTGACATCTCTTGGATACGTCACAAAGAGCGATCTGCAACAGAGAACACTCAACTATGTTCTGAACAATATGGATCAGGACTCGGTTGAGTTCTCACTGATTGGTCTGAAACACCAGCCAGAGAGTTTCACTACTATTTGGTCGTGGTTTTCGATGAATTACAACGGATTCTATGCTAAGTTCTTGAAAGACAGCGACAAGCAGATCTTCATCAAGGCTTTCCGGGGAATTGTGCAATTGGTGTTTGAAAGTTGTCTGTGCAGCAAAGATTTGACGGACAAGTTGGAGGCATTTTTGAAGGCCAAGAAATTCGAAATCCTCAATGGCGAGTACAAGAGAATCCAATCGGCGTTCCAGGATCGCGTCAAGCTCAATGAGGCCAACTCCGAGCTCGCCACTGTGATGAATTAAGATGATGAATTTGAACTGGATTGTTCGCGGAAAATCGACATCTGCTCGTTTCCGTAGATCGAACTGATGAGGTCTTCGTCCCAGTGCTCATTTCCTCTGTGTGCAGTGCTCGATCCTAGTTTGACGGCCAGTCTAGCTGCAACCACTCGACGTAGATATATCTCAAATAAAAGACGAGTTAACAAGTAATCGTTGTTCCAGATATCGTCTCTGGTCATCAAATATGGCTCCAACTCTGCCCAGAGGAGGTTTCTTCCAAAGATCTCCTGTTTGATACGATTGTAATGTTCTGAGTTGGACTCCAGACTAATTTCTGCCATTGTGCTGAGTCTATTACTTGATCTTTTCAGCTGGTAGTTTGTTCTTGGTAGCGACTTTATGGGTTGGTCCAATGCATATTTTGCGAGTCCTTGAAGAGGACTGTTGAGATGGTTAGGCAGCTCGACCGATCGAGGAGTCATATAGTCGCGAATTGACATGTCTGTTGTATCTAGAAACAACTGTTTATTAGACACCGTTGGCTTCACTATGGAGTATTTGAACACTGGATTATATTCGTATTGGGTCCATGATGGCTTAAGATCGTAGGTCATCATATGGGACGGAATATTATGAAGACTTTCTTTCGAACTGATGATTGCGTGAAGTTCTCCTTTGGAGATGAAATGTGCTTTATTGGCATATATCTGTGATTTCTTGCGAGAGTTTCTGCGAACAACGTTTGTTGGATGTATAGTTTTTTGAGTACTGGGTTTGTGTGCTAGAACATTGTATCCATCATTGAATCGGGCAAACCCCGTAGAAGACGGCTCCATGAAAGATTGAAAGGAGTTTACGATTTTTTCAGATCAGATATATCTAGATTGGCTGGCTCCCAAAAGTTTCCTAATCCGGTAATGATTAAAATATTAGCTATTTTTTTTCAATTGATAGTAATTATTTATCCTCTATAACTATGCCAAGATACTCTCCTTTTCCAGGATACGTTCTGTTTCTCTTGTCAACTTGGAGAAACTACGCGAAGGACCTCTCAAGTTGGTGAACACCAGAAGCGAGCCGTTCTCGGATGGGTAAGCCTGGCACTCGAATTTACAGGCTTTTAGGCCAAACGAGTTGCGCTTTGCAACGCTGGCCACAATCCGCCGTGTAGACTTCTTAACTTGCAGATCGTCAATTCCGTGTTGTTTCCAGCTGACCAGCAGCGACTTGACGGCTTCGAAAAGATCATCCTCGTTTAAAACGGTGCGTAGCTCCTTGGTTTCCTGCTCGTCAGAGATCTCTCCTGTGAACAGGGCAAGGAATGCCTGTGTAATGCTAACCTTCCGCTTGGTATCCTTTGGCTCCGAGACCTTTCTGCTTCCAAACGACAATTTTCTGAAGAAAGAGCCACCAGATGGAACTTGCTTGTTTGTTTCGTTGTCTTTTCTGTGTTGATCGATCTCACCAAGAGGTTTGCGTTGCTTACTGAATTGCAGCGTTCCGTCGTTCTTCTTGGAAGCAACAACTGGAGAAACAGACTGTTTTCCTTCCGCCTCTTGTGGCTCCTTGGACTCCTTTGGTGTCTTTGGATGCTTGGATCTGGATTGTGGCTCCTCGTAGACATCCACCTTGTCGTCCTTGATAGGAGAACCAGGAATCTCTGGCAATCTCAATGACTTGTACAAACTCTTGTCTGCAGAGTTCGACGAGATCATAGTATCTCTAGACTCTCTGTATTTCAAGTGAGGAATATCTTCAGAGGACATCAGCATGGACTTGACGTTGGACTTGCGCTTGGTGTCAACAAAGTACAAGCCTTCGTCCTTCTTGTCCAACTGCAAATTCATGTCCACAGTGTCGTCAGCTTCGTTCTCGGAATCTTCTTGGAAAACCATGCTTAAACGAGTAGCCTTAGAATTACGGTCGTTTGCCTTGGTCTCTGCATCTTTGGCTTGACTTGCAGAGTAGATAGACAGCACACTGTACCGTTTGCCATCAGACAAGTGTCTCGACTTGCGTGTCACTTGAGGGATGGTCACGTCGGAGAGCTTTTCTGGGTTTCTGTTGATCTTTCTTGGCTGTTTAGGAGCTTCCTTCTTCGTTTCGGCATCCAACTTTTCTTGCTTTTCTTGCTCCTCCTTCTCCTTTTCTTCCTTCTCCTTCTGTTTCTTCTCATCCTCTTCCTTCTGTTTCATCATCTTCTCCAAAGTCTGAGAAAGACGTTTTTGGTACTTCTCGTAGGCCTTGGCTCTTGGATCCAGCTGGGTCACTGGTTTAGGAGGAGGATTCACTGAAGGAGTAACACCGTGCGAGATGGAACGTCTGTTGATATTTTCCAAGTCGCTGGCGTTCAAAATGCGAGAAATACGCTCCATTGGGTTGGAAGAAAGTCTTTTACTCGAGATCGATCTGATCGACTTGGAAGATTCTCCCGAGCTTGAACCTTTCACAGATGCAGCAGCGTCAAAAAGCGAAGCAAAAGTAGATTGTCTCTTCTTTGCAGTAATCAACGAATGTCTAACGGTTTTTCTAGAAGATTTGGAAGACTTGTCATCATCAGCAAGTAAAGCACCTGCAGCGGCCAAAGAACTGGCATTGCTCATACGGTTGGACTTGCCGTCAAACAGCATATCACACAGAGCAGCGAAATCGGCAGACGCGCGCTTTCCGTACTCCTGAACATTATTGGTTTTGTTTTCATCAATGGCAGCAAGCTTGGCGTATGTGGACAACAACTTGGAGGTGACAGAGTTTCTCTTGAGTCTGGTGTTAGAGAGACGTTTGGAGACACCGTTGTCTGCAAAGTTCAACGAGTTCCGCTTGCTCTCGTTCATGAAGAGCATGGAGTTACGTCTGCTACCAACAGAGATCCGTTTCCTTATTGGAGACTTCTCAATTGGCTTCTCTGCCTTTGAACGCTGGAACGAGACTGGACGATTGGATGCAGTTCCTGCACTGAAGTTGCGCATAGAGGAACGCTTCTTCTGTGGAGAACTGGTACCGCTGGAGGCTGGAGTCACCGGAGTCACTTTCGAAATCACTGACGAGGATCGAACAAGGGTCTGCGTTTGGTCGCTATGGTCATGACGGTATCTCATCAAAAGAGAGTAGAAAGTCTTTTCTGGAGTGGCACGAGTGCTCAACAGACTTTCAACAATGGCCTCAGGGTCCTTCCCGTGCCATAGGATGACCAAATTCTCCAAGATCTGGCGGTCGATCTCCTCACGTGACTTGACCGGCTGGGTTGCCGAGTTTGGACTTGGCAAATTGAGGTAGTCTTCGTGGTCCTGTTTGTTGAATGGATACTTTGTGATGAGAGGGTGTTTGAGCACGTCTCTGGTTTTGATTCTCTCTTCTGGGTCGACAGTCAGCATTTGAGAAATGAGGTCTCTTGCTTCTGGAGAAAGGTCTTCGTGAATCTCGTAGCTGCCCCTTTGGACTTTGAGAAGCAGCTCGCGGATGTTTTCATCGTCAAAAGGCAGTCTTCCAGTGAGCAATGCAAAAAGAATCACACCACAGGACCAAACGTCGGACTCTGCACCGTGATATTGTAGTCCACTAACGATTTCTGGAGCAGCATAGTGAGGAGAGCCACACGAAGTCTCCAACAGTCTGTCTGTGGATTCGAGAGCAGCCATTCCAAAGTCTGCGATCTTGACGTTGTATTGTTTGTCCAAAAGAAGATTCTCAGGCTTGAGGTCTCTGTGACAGATTCCCAAGCTGTGGCAGTAAGAAGCCCCGAGGATAATTTGTCTAAAGAACTCCACGGCCGTGTTTTCGGGTAAAGGACCGGATTCCACGAGCAAATCAAACAACTCACCTCCTTCAACGTACTCAAGCACCAAGTACAATGCATTATCTGTTTCCCAGACATCGTAAAGGCGTAGAACGTTCTTATGGTTGAGCAATTTCATAATGATTATTTCTCTCTCAATGCCGTAGCTGAGACCAGCAGACGACGCGTCCTGACCTTCTGCTCCAAGCAGGCTCTTGGAAACCACTTTCACAGCAGCCTTTTGACCCGTATGAGTGTTGGAAGCCAATAGGACGCGACCGGTAGCACCTTTTCCTAAGGTCTTACCAAGCTTCCACGGCCCAATTTTCACAGGATTTTTCGTAGGGGTGGACTTGGAACTTGGGTTCGAGATGCCTAGTCCTAGCGCCGAAGACGACACGAAGGACGAAGCATACGATTCTTGTCGTGAGTGGGGCATTAGAAAGTAAAGAAAGAAAGACAAGTAAAGACAGGTAAAGACAGAAAAAAGTTTCTATACCCTATCGTCTTTGAACGCGTTGGTCCCCGAATCGATCTATCACCTTTCTGAAATAGGAATTAAAGGAGTGTTTTGTTCGCGTCATCCACGTTAAAAACAATAGACGCGTCTACAGGAGACAGGGCAGGGGAGAAAAAAAGATCCAGACCTTGCATCTCTACACCGCAAAATAATTCCAATCGAACTCTGCTGGGGTAAAAATGGTAGCCGGGGAGACACCCTATCGTCTTAGAGAACATAAAGACTCTAATTACGAGTTGTGTTTTCGAGTATAGGTCGAATCTTAGGTTGTATGTACTTACCTTTATAGAGAATGGTTAGCATCTCATAACCGGATATGATATCTTTGCTCCCAGTACTGAGCAGATAAGGTGTACTCCTTGAATCAAATAGAGGGGAAATAGCTCTTGTACTTGTAACATTTCAGACCAATATCCCATCTGTGCACCCATTCGAGACAGTGCACGCTCTGCGGTCAATTATTAGTCCTTTTTAGATACAGAAACCGGTTCTGGGTCAATTTGTCTGGTTGGTTATTGACCCATGAGTCAATAATGACAGTCAAGATTTTACAAATCGACTCCATCATGGTAAGTCCTGGACCATTGGGAAGCACACCCGAGACCGTGCGTGGAGCATGGCAGGCTCACCATGTACATACTCAAATCACACAGTCCACAGAAGCGAGGGGAACTCGTAAGCAATTAGGTAATTACCTGTTCAAAGTTCCGACAAAACCAATCGGTGCGGGTGTGGATTGTTTACATTAGAATGATAGTACAGGATATTCATCAAGCTGAAATTATATAAACCCACCAACTTGTTCACGGTGAGCCTCGATAACGTCACTCTCCTCCATATCTAAGTCCTCAGGAGTGTCCTCTGGGTTCACACGGTGGCCGTCAAACAAAAACCGTAGACTGCTGGCATCTTTTCCTTGTCTTTTGCAGAAAGCGTCCATAAGTCTTTTAAGCGGGGTAGATCTCTTAATTTTGAAGAACACTTCGGAAGTACCGTCCGAAACCTTCAAATTGATATGCGTATCACTTTTATTCTCTGGTTTTGGCGTGTTTTCCTCAGACATGGTGGAATTTAGTCTTTTGCCACTTTTTTAATGGGTTTGTATGATTTTCAGCTCGTTGCGATTGATTACCTAATTGGAATTTTTACTAAAGTAGCCGCACTCAAACAGGTAGCACTGAGACTGACGACGACTGCTGGGGTGGTCCCAATTCCAACAGGGGAACGTCGCATTCCTCGGAGTTGAGTGGAGGGAAAAACTGTTTATAGGTCCACCATGAAATGGAAAAACCCAGCACAGACCCGCAGCTGATATCGATAAAGTCGTGTTTATAGTCTTGTGACCGGCTGATACAGATGTGCAGAGCTAATAGCAGCGGAGCAAGCAGCGCAAACTTTGTAATGCGGAATCCTGGTTTTCCCAGAAAAAGTTTGTATTGGCCAGCAAACCAGAGGGTGGTGTACGATAGACCCGACCATGTCATTGAGGAGTGGCCAGAAGGCCATGATTTAAATGCGTCTTCCAGGATTCTTTTTCCGTAAGGGGCCGTACAAAACTCAATTGTGTAGAGACCAGGTGTTTGTTGCAATTCTTCTGGTAAACCGCATCTGGACAGGAAGTCGGGTCTTAATCTTCCAACCTTGAGTTTAAGGACCTCAGTTAAAAATAGCGTCAATGTTAATGAGATTGACAAACCCAAAAGCGCTGTATTTCCCAAATTGAAAACGCTTCTGAATTGGCCGCGTATATTTCTTTTGTTTCTAATGACAATGTCCAGTAAAATCAACATCCAAGGACACAGCATCACGTAGAAGCCCATCGTGGAGTCTGGAATGGAGTCTGGAGTAAACGGATAGCTAATTCGCATGTCCTGCGAATGAAACTGACGATGGAAAGGCGTCCATGCAACTTCCATGAAGATTGACACAATGGAAAACACAGACGGAACCAGCCATAGCGAGATCTGATGCCTAAAGATGGGGAAAACAGCGGTCGACATCAAACTGGTCCAAAAATTAAGTCAACACAGCCTGGAAATAATGTCTAGATTTTTTTATGTGGCCCAGACTGGTGAGGATGTACAGTGGGGCCAGTTGGCCGCCGTTTCGAGCAGACAGTAGCATTCTGCGCCATTTCACGGTGACGTACGCCAGATCTTCCGGTCCTGGGGGTCAACATGTCAATAGAACCGAGTCCAAGGCTGTTTTGCGATTACCATCTAAAAAATGGCATGAAGCTCGAGGTAAATGGATTGATCCTATTGTTTTCGACCAGCTCATGAAAAACTACAAAGACCAGACTTGTCCAGAAAACTTCCGGTTCCCGTTCTTCACCGGCTCGGGAGACGTGTTGATTATGAGCGATACTACAAGATACAGACAGAAGAACGTGATGGAATGCCTAGACAAGTTTGTGAGTGCGGTGCAGAGATGTGGGAGCCAGAAAAAAGAAACCGACCAAGCGACCATTGATCGGTGGGACGAATTACACAAGAAAGAACACGAAATCCGAATACAGACAAAACGTAAGTTGAAGGACAAGAAGAATTCGCGTCGCAAACTCAAATTAGACCTGTAAATATAGTAATCAAAAGACAAAAATAAGAGTTTTCATATTTCGGTTGTTTCTTTCACGTTGGTGTTTTTCCATAGATCTTGTAACTGGAGAACACTGGTGATGATTCCTGCTCCGCCAGCAACGCCGTCGTTGATACGGGCAGAGCCAAAACTGTTGAGAGCAACAATGGAGTCCAGGATGCGCACAAACGCTTCTCTCTTGGCTCTTGACAGCAGCGTGTTTTGCGTTTCAAGAGTCTCCTTTTGTTTTTCAAGGTTGACTTTCTCGTCCAATGGGTCTTTGTTCTCAGAAGAGGTGAGCTCTTTAAGCAGAGCCTGTTTTTTATGGTATGACACTCTGAGTTGACGCAGGTTCTGAAGCAGCCCAGAAACAAGAGCTATGAGCCAGAAGAAGCTGCAAACCTGTTCGATCTTGCGCACAAGCTTTCCGTTTTTGTTTTTCAAAAGTCCTAGTAGCTTGAGCCAGTAGATGGAGTCGAATCCGTAGTAAAGAGAGTATCCTGCCTGTTTAACGGTTTCCAAGGTTTTGGTGTAGGAGTCTTCCAATTCGTTATCCAGGGTGATTGACAATGTTTTGAGATGTCTCAAAGGTTTGAAAGCTCTCAAGGGCTTTCTACTTAACACAAAAAGATCCTGAATTCTGCGTGCCAGATAGTAGCTATTGACACCAGAACCGGTCTTTAGAAGATAGAAAGAAACCAATCTGGCCAAATATTGGAGCGTCCTTAACAGTTTATCCCTTCCATTGTTTGTCTCCAAGAAGTTGATCAGTCTTGTAAGTGTTGGGTGGTACGTGATAGAATCGCAAACCATATTTGGGCGGGAAGAATAATCCCCAGCTGCGAGAATATATATTTGCAATTAATTCACCCGCATTTTTTCTCTTCCACTAATAAAGCCTGCCCCCGCAATATTTAGATAGCCTATTTGAATGTATCCGGCGGTCAACATTTCTTACTGTGTCAAGTGCAAATGGATGCTCCGTGCTGCGTGGTACCAGCAGGAGATCTTGCAAACGTTTTCTTCCAAGGCTATTGATGAGAACGAGACAACCTTGACGGTCAATAGCGTGACACTTTCTCCATCACTTGTGGCCGGGACTTTCAAGGTTGCGGTGAAAAAGTCCGAATCCGACGACTGGACCGTGATTTGGGACCGCGTTGTTGACGAGGGGTTCCCGGACTCCAAGATTTTGAAACAGCGGATTAGAGACCACTTGTATCCGGAGCTCAAGTTGAGCCATATCGACAAGCCAAATAAAAATGGCGGCAGATTACAGACAAACCATCACGAGGAACAAAAAGATGATCCAGAACTGTGCACAGATTGCAAAACCTGGGAGTATTAATTATACATATCCTAGCCACTCAAATATAGAGTAGATCACCATATCCAGCGGATTCAGCGAATCGAAAAATCGGTTAGGCAATCGCCGGTACCCGTTGGGAACGAGATCGTCGTCGGTGGACGCAGGCAAGTCTGCAAGCAGCCCAAGAACGTACGATGTGATAGCAAACACAGTGGCCAGTGTCACGATTATCCACAAATATCGTTTCCAGAGCTTGATTTTCGCTGTTCGACGCAATTTGCGCTGGAACCTCACCAGCAGCTCCTCTTGTCGTCGAACCACCGCCACGAGCTCCGGATCGGTCGACTCAAGTCCAATTGGTGTCTCGTCATACAACTGAACCAGAGTCTCGTAACAATCCACCAACCGCTTGTTGAGCTCCAATTCCAACGTGCGGTCCGCGTTGGAGCTTCGTTTCCGTTGTGCGTTCAGTGTTCCCTTGAGAATGCTGATTTTGTGAAACAGGCGCTGTTTCTGTTCAGCCAGCGATAACTTTGATAAGGCTTCTGTATTTACAGTTCGTGTATCGGTTCTTTTCGTAATATTTGTATCTGAATCAAACAAATCCTGGAATTCAACTTCAAAAAGCATTCTGAATAGAGTCAGAAACTCCTCTTTGGTCAAACTTCTTCTGGGATGCTCCAGAATGGTGTCTACCCAGAATGCCTTGTAATCTGCCGAAAGAAGAGTCTGTCCCCATATCTGTTCGATCTCATCAATAAGCGCACCTGTGTCTGTGATAGGTAGCCGGTCGGACGTCGTAAAACGACTCCAGGCCCTGTCCAGAACACGGTCTCCCTGTCCCATGCAGATATTATTTATTGATTTATTTTTTCGCGTACACTATTTACTTTTCTCGCTCTGGATCTTGAAGATCTGTTTGTATTCGATCTGGGCGTCCAATCTGAACAAATCGCGCGTGATTTCCCAGTTGGTGATTTCTTCCACTTCCTTGAGAAGAACATCTGGCTTTCGTGCAATCACAATCGCCGGTGGTTGCAAGTATGTTTGAGATTGTGCGTTTGAGTCGTTTATCAACACTCGCATGGCATAGATCCTGCCCTTGATGCTTCCAAAACTAAGTGCGCCCAACACAACCTTCTTGGACAGTCCACCCAGCTCCTCCAGTTTTGCCTGGGACAGCTGGTTCTTGCCGATCAGCACTCCTTCCGCCTCAAACACCAGCTCTTCTCTGTCCTCGCTAGGAATAAATTCTTCTGTCACGGTTCTGCGTAGCACCTCCTGACGCGAGTCGGGACTCAACATGTAGAACGACCAGAAGATGCTTCGACGCAGCTCAAACGGTTCACCTATAAGCATCTCATGAACGGTCGAAACTTCGGTCTGAGGAAGCAAGTACGACGTTTGGAACGGGACTTTGATGTTTAAACATCTGACTCCAGAAATGTTCAATTGGTTAGTTGGAGAATAGTACGAGATCTCCTGGATTCCGACAAAACTCGATGCAGTCGCAGAGATGACCCAATCCAAATAGTTTGGGTCTTCGTTGACCAATATACAGTCGAATTTGGTGTCCAGTTGAACGGACCGGAGCAAGTCCAAAATAATTGAAGCAAATAGTTCAGGAATTCTAGTAACAGAAAGAATTGTGAGAGTATCCTGGTTTTTATGGGAATTCACAACCAATTGAGATAAAATGCTGCTCCACAATTCCTCACCACTAACGTTTTTCCTAACTTCCTGCAAAATCTGAACATTGGAAAACCAATTGTACTTAGACATAGGGTCTGGATTCTTAGTTAGCAGCTCAATGGACTCGGCATTGAATAACATCGGATTGGGCAACGGAGAATAAAATAACGAATTGTCAAAATCATAAACATGTATCCGACTGGCTCCAGCCACTTTCGATCTCAGCTCTCCATTTTTATGTTTTAAAATATTCCCGTGCTCCAATGGAACACTCATTAAAGTTTTTTAAAGCTATAATTTTTTTTTCTTCGCTGAATATTTTTCACCAACGGTATTCCTCCTCCAAGTAAGTCCCTTAATGATGATTTATCTTAATGCATAGTTCAACTGATCGTCATGAAGATAAAAACTTACCATCAAAGTCTTTCACCCCTATCTGAGAGTGGATTTACTAACAACTAGTCGCGGTATCTATTTCTTTAATGCATACATTCTGATCGGATATAATTCTTTTGGAACTCCTTTTTGTAAATCTGTAGCAATCAGCTTCCATCCCGCTTTGGCAAACAACGCGCGGAAGTTCTCGTCGGTCCGTGTTTTGCTCGAGTCCTCCGGGTCATACACGTCCTCATCGCCAATAACGTTGTTCTCCTTCACTACCAACAGTCCGTCCTCCTGTAGCGCATCCTTACACCGGTCGAGCCAGACCAAGAATGCATCGTCTGGCAAGTGGCCACAACACCACTGGCACCACAACAGGTAGTACTTACCGTGTTCCTGTGGGATCCAGTCCTGCATTGGGATCTCGTAGATGTCTCCAATTTTGCCAGCCTGAACTAGTGGAGCCAACTCTTTGCGCATCTGGTAAACGAACGGCTCGACAGGTTCGAGCAAGTCCACCTTGTCGCACACTTTGTTCAGGAAATCTCTAGTAACACGACCAATACCGGCTCCGAAATCGAGCCCGTACTTGATTTTGCCTGGCTCACAAGAAAACCGCGACTTGAGTTTACGAATGAAACTCATCGACCCAACAACGTCTGCCTTGGGAACGCTGGTACGCTCGCCAAATCCACCAAGAACTCCATCCACAGTGGGTTCCACTCCGGTCCAGTAACGGATCGCAGCATCGTAATCGATCTGGGAATCCACCTCGGGCTGTTTAGAATGATCCATAATTTATCAACCAGGACGATCGACCGCAAACTAACATTTTTCACTCGACGAAAAATTAAAACAATCGTTCAAGTTGGACATTTTGTTAATGAGTGGCAGTAAGTACTCTTTCAGTTTACAATTTCCACTAACTCGCAGTCCGTTTATTGGACCTTGCTAAACCTTTTGTTTCGCTTCTTCCAGAAGTCGAATTCCCATACCAAAAAATCGGGTTTGACGAGAAAATCGTCTACACCGTCGCCTCGGTCGCTGTTTATCTTCTTGCTAGTTTGCCGCTAAGCAATGTTTCACAGGGCCGTCTAGCCGACCCTTTCACTTGGCTACGTACCCCGTTTGCTTCCCAAGCAGGTACAGCCTTGGAATTCGGTCTGTTGCCTATTGTCACTGCTGGTTTCTTGTGGCAGATATTGGCTGGTTTGAAGATTGTGAAAGTCAGCTTTGAATCCAGAACCGACAGAGAATTGTTCCAATCTTGGCAGAAGCTGACCGCTGTGCTCATTGCCGTGGTGTACTCTGTCTTGCTCACCTTTGCCGGCTACTTTGACCCTGTTGACCAGTTTACCTCCCAGGAGTCGGTGCCAATTTGGGGAAGACTCACCTACATTGTTCAGCTGTCTTTCATGGCTCTGATCACCGCTCTTTTGGTGGAACTGCTCGACAAGGGCTACGGGTTTGGTCCTGGTATTTTGGCCTTGAGTACTGCGTGGTCTGCTACTCAGTTCGCTACCTCTTTCGTTGGTATAACCACCTCTGTCACTTCCAGAGGCTGGGAATCTCACGGTGCTTTGGTGCAACTCATCAGAAACATCAGAAATAAGTCGTTTGGATTGGCCATCTACGAGGCCTTTACCAGAGAAAACCTGGCAAACTTGACCCAGATCTACATTGCGTTGGCAGCCTTGGGAGTGGCTATCTACTTTGGAAACTGCAGAGTCGACATCCCAATCAAGTCCGCCAAAGTTAGATCCATGGCTTCTGTGTACCCAATCAAGCTGCTTTATTGTGGAGCTTTGCCATTGGTGTTTACTTACGCCGTGTTGTACAACCTCAACATCATTGGTTTTGCCGTCACCAGAATTTTCAACACTGCTCCATTCGCAAAATACATTGGACAATGGAAGCTGGACGAGTTCACCTCTTCCACTTATAATCTCACGTGTGGATTCTTGTACTTCATTTCTGCTTCTCCAAAGAACATTTCTCCAATCCACTTGCTGGTAAGACCAATCACCTTCTCGTTGTTCACTGTGATTGTGTCTGTGTTGTTCGCCAAGTCCTGGAGCAACATTTCGGGCTCTTCTGGTAGAGACCTTGCCAAACAGTTCAAGGAACAGGACATTTCCATGATTGGTCACAGAGACACTGCTGTTGGAAAAGAACTTGGCAAGATTATTCCTGTGGCTGCCACCACCGGAGCTTTGATTGTTGCCGGTGTCACCAGCGTCGCAGAGGGATTCGGACTCTCTAACGGTCTTGCCGTTGGCGTTTTGATAGGTGTTCTCAGCGCCTTGACTCTGTTGGAGTCTGTCATGACAGAGTTCCAACAATCAGGAGGTATGGGATCCCAGTTCGGCCAATTGTTCCAACAGCGTTAATATGATAGAGTGGGAAGTAATTGATTTACGTGGTCCCTTCTGACAACGATTGGGGTTAATTCCTGCAATTTACCATCAGGTAGCTATTTTGCTACCAAACTCAAAATCACTATTATTATGTAATCTCCAATTTAGTCCCCAAAAACTTATTTTTATATCTGATTACATACTCAAAAGTCTTGTTTGAACATTCTTTTGCACTTTCACCAAGATGGAAAAACTACCGTTCAGAAGACATGCCAACTCTGCCGCGCGCGCGCTCGTTGTGAAAAATTCTCCGGACAACGAAATCGCAAAGTCCAATTGCGTGGCCGTGTCTCCCCAGGACTTCCAAGATGGGTCTTACGTGGTCTGTGACGGCAAATTTGTTTTTACCTGTGTTGCGACCACGAAGGCAATGCCTGGAACAATTGGAATGAGCGGTAACCAGCGGTTCTGGGGATCCTGGTCGACAGATCAGTCGATCAACGTGGCCAACTACGACCTGTTCCACGCCAATGGTAAGAAAGGTGCTTATCTCGGCACGCTCAACGTCGAGATCAACTTTTGGAACAAAAACCGCGCAAACAACGTCCAATACGATCCAGATGAGATGTGTGAATCGTTTGTGCACAAGTTCGACAGCCAGATCCTACAACCAACACAAATCCTCCTGTTTGAGTTCAAGGGCAACTATTTCGAGGTGAGAGTTCTTTCTTCCCAGGTGATCGATCTTGGAGAGGTCCAACTGGAAGACGTGCCAACTTCCCCGGATATTATGAACAAGGGAATCTGTGTGAAACATACCAAGGTGAATTTCTTCAAAGGATCAGACGGATTGGTCAACTTAAAGGCTTCCAGCACTCGTCCAAACTCGGACGCAATTATCCGTCCGGATTTCAGATTCGAGGACATGGGAATCGGTGGTCTGGACAAAGAGTTCACCTCGATCTTTAGAAGAGCCTTTGCTTCTCGTATTTTTCCACCAGGGCTTATTGAGAAGCTTGGTATTCAGCACGTGAAAGGTATGTTGCTTTACGGACCTCCAGGAACCGGTAAAACATTGATCGCCCGTCAAATCGGTAAGATGTTGAACGCTAAAGAGCCAAAGATTGTCAATGGTCCAGAGATCCTGTCGAAGTACGTTGGTTCTTCTGAAGAAAACATTAGAAACCTGTTCAAAGACGCCGAAGCAGAATACAAACAAAAGGGTGACAGCTCTTCGTTGCACATCATTATCTTTGACGAGCTGGACTCCGTGTTCAAGCAGCGTGGATCGCGTGGCGACGGAACAGGTGTGGCCGACAACGTTGTTAACCAGCTGTTGGCCAAGATGGACGGTGTGGATCAACTCAACAATATCTTGGTGATCGGTATGACCAATAGAAAAGACCTGATTGACGACGCCTTGTTGAGACCTGGTAGATTTGAGGTGCAGGTGGAGATTCACTTGCCTGATGCAGACGGTAGAAAACAGATTTTAGAGATCAAGACCAAGAAAATGAAGGAGAACGGGTCGTTGGGCAAAGACGTTGATTTGACCAAGCTTGCTGAGCTCACCAAGAACTTTTCTGGTGCCGAGCTGGAAGGTTTGATCAAGTCTGCCACCTCGTTTGCTTTGAACCAGCACATCAAGGTTGGCACTGTTGGAGAGATAACAGGAGATCTAGAGAACACCGTTTTGGACATGAACTGTTTCTTGAGTGCTCTTGACGAAGTGAAACCTGCGTTTGGTGTTCACGAGGAAGACCTCCACGATTGTATCAAGGGCGGTATTCTGAAGTACTCGCCAAAGATTGACCATATTATGGAGCGTGTTCGTCGTGCTTTGGAGCAGACACAGAGCTCGGAGAAGTTTAATTTCTCATCTCTGTTGCTGTATGGACCAGCAGGCTCGGGAAAAACTGCTCTTGCGGCCTATTTGGGCTTGGAGTCCAAGTTCCCGTTCATTCGAATCATCACCGCTGACGAGATGATCGGGATGTCTGAATCTGCCAAAGTGCAGTTCATCGACAACACTTTCAGAGACGCATACAAATCGCCGCTTAACGTTCTTATAGTGGACGACATCGAGGCGCTGATCGACTTTGTTCCTATCGGGCCTCGTTTCTCGCCAGTCATCTTGAGAGCGTTGATGTCGAGACTCAAAAAGTCTCCACCAGACGGACACAGACTGATTGTCCTGGCCACGTCGTCGAACTACGAGCTGCTCAAGAGTTTGGACATTCTCAACTGTTTCAACGACGAGATTCTCATCAACAACCTGACTTCGTTGCAAGAACTGTACGGAGTGATGGAACTGGCTCCGTTTGGACGCGACTCGAGCGAAAGAAAAGAAATCATCAGCAAACTGAAAGCAGCGTACGGATCCGAGAAAATCAACGTGTCCATCAAAAAGGTGCTCTTCAACATCGACACGGCCAAGTTCGGCAAGAACCCAGCAGACGAGTTTGTCCAGCTCATGGTGGAAGGCCATCATTAGTAAGTATATGATATAGTAATAGCTACAGTGATAAATATAGGGCATAGTATCAAATGTACAAATAAACATAACCAAATGATGCTGCAATTACGAACGCGAGTCTCACCAGTCTTGTAAACTAAATGAAAGTACGTCATGAATTATTTGTGCGGTAATTCGACTCCAACTTTTCATTCACCTTCATGCTTGTGGCTGCTCCTCGGTCTCGGCGTCTTGTCCCGCAACATGCTCAGGAACCTCGTCCTCAACCTCCTTGTCACTATCGTCATCTTCATGGTCACCTAATGCTGCGAACATGTTCTTGGATGCCTCTCTTGGCTCATCTGGCGGGGTGGCAGTGCCCTTTTGAGAGTTGGAAGCAGCAGAAGAGTTTCCAGAACCAGCAGATGGAACTGTGGTGAATTGCTGTGGATTAGGTTTCGACGGAGTCATCTTGCCCTTTTTATTGTTGAAAGGCCCAAGCGATCTCTCGGACGAGTTTCTCACAACACCGACTTTGGAAATGTCGTTCGATGAAATATGGTTGCTGTTACCCCATTTGGAGTTCGATCTCGAGCTGTTGGATCTCGAAGAACCAGAACGTGGGTCGTTCTTCCGTCTTCTGATCGCATCTCTCTCCTCTTGAATACGTTTGGCCTCGGCTTCCTCGTGAATCTCGGCAATCGTCTTAGGACCAGCATTCAACTTGGCATCATTCCACTTGCGTGACCTCAAATCAATTAAGTCCATAAGCTTGAACTTGATTCTCGACGACAGCTTGCAGTTATTAATGATGTAGTTGATCTTCTCAAATGCAAAGTCCAATGGTCCTCTGTTGCTGGAATCCAACTTGGCACCAGTGGTGGTCAATAATTGGGTCAAGGTCTCTAGAGTATCCTCACTTGGAGTCTCAGTGTCCGCAAGTTGATCAACAAGACATCTAATAATAATCTTCTCGGACAACAAGTTCAAATAGTACAACTCTCCAATGAACCTCACGAGTCCAAGACCTCTTCTCTTGGCAGCAGCCATCTTGTAGTACTCGTCAGACATCATCTCTGGCTCCAATGGAGATCCATCCTCGTTTGTTGGCAACTTGTCAGACCATCCCTTCTCGTACTCAGATTGACATCTGGACACCAAGAGCTTACGAACTAAGCCAGAAGAGTACACACGCTTGGTAACGTGCTCAGGTCTTGGTTGCGACTTGTCCTCAACCTCTTCAGAAATGTCTGTGCAAAGTTGCAAGCAGAACTTAGCGTACATGGAAGACCAAAGGTGCTCGTCACAAGCCTTGGCAAAGGTCAACTCGATCACTTGTTTCAAAGTAGTAACATCGTCTTCCCATTGCGCTTGATTGGCAATTGCGATAATTTCTGCACTAATAGTATCGAACTTCTCGAGCGTTAATTTGTTCAAATGCGACTTCACCTTGGCCTCCACAGTCTCTGAATCTAAAATGACTGTAACACCATCTGGAGCATACTTGACTTCCTTTTCTTTGTTTCTTTGCGATCTTGGGACCCATCTGTTAGCCGACTTTTCCAACGGCTTAACCTCAACAGCAGGCTTTGGAGGCTCTGCCTCTTCATCCCTGTCGTCGTCGAATCTTCTAGGCTTCTTGGAACCCTGTCTTTGACTCTTCTCACGAGATCCAAGACCCTTCTTCTTGGAACCACCCTTTGATCCGTTTCTGGATCCGAACTCACCTCTAAGGGTGGCAGTTCTTGGCATGGAGTTTGACATGTTCGATCCGCCTCTTCCAAATTGGCTGCCAGATCTAGAGAATCCTCGGTCGCGTGAATCCTTTTTGGCCCCCACCAAATCAATTATAGACCGCACCTTGGCATCCCACTCGTCGTCAACTCTGAATTGACAAACCGGCTGGAACTGAAGAAGGAAAGGCGGACTGTATTTATTTCTGGAGGGATTTTGTAATCTTGGATCAGGCTTCTCTTGTCCTTCGCTGTAATCGAAAGAATAAATGTCTTTAATCGGAACGGCTTCCGAGATCTGGTTGAAAAAGCGGGTCATGTCGTATGACTTGTCTATACCTGGGGACTCGGTTTCTGGAGTTTCCTGTCCCTCTTCTTTTATTGGAGCTTCAGAGTCAGTAGCGGAAAGTTCTGTGGTTTCAGAAACAGTCTCAGATTCGGTAGCTGGAGCTTTTTCAGCGGGCACCTCTTCTGGCACCCCCTTTTCTTCTTTCACAGTAGAAGCAGACACAGTAGGTTTCTCGACAATTGGCTCGGTTTCTGGAACCTCACGTGCGGGTTCGGCAACCTTAGGTTCTTCAGCCTTTGGAGGTTCTGGCTTGGATTCCTCCTCAACCTCTGGTTTAGGTTCCTCTTTCACTTCAGGAACAACCTCCTTTGGCTTTTCCGTCACTGGTGCCTCCTTTTTGACTTCCTCGACGGCTGGTTTCACCTCAGTCTTGGTTTCCTTGATTTCCTTGGTTTCTGCTGCTGGAGCGGCCTGCGGCTTATCCTTTCCTGCGGCGGCTTTGACATTTTTCAACCGAAGTTGTTCCAAGAATTTAGCCTTGAAGTCCTCATTTGCTCTCTTGACTTCTGGTTGAGCTGGTTTTGCTGGTGCAGGAGCCGGAGGAGTGGCAGGCTTCGAGACAGGGGTCGCAATGGGTTTCACCGGGGACATGGGCACAGAAGCGGTTGTAGGTGGGACTGCTGGTAGGTTTGGTGTGACTTTCGACAAAACCGGGGTAGAAGATGAAGACGAGGTCGAGAACGAAGCTGTTTTCGAATGGCCCTTGTTGAATTGGACAGGCTCGCCGTTCTTGTTCTTAATGCTCAAACCAGCAGGTTTACCGACAGGAGTGTGAGTGGCCGATGTGGGGAGCGTTGGACTAATGGCAATAGCACCTGGAGGGGGTGCTGCATAGTAAGCTCCTCCTGGAACACCTTGTGGAGATGGAGCATAGTAACTGTATGCATACCCTGGAGGTGGCGCCTGGTATGGCTGGGGCATATATCCTTGCCAACCTTGCTGTTGGTAATACTGAGGTTGGGGGTGTGACGGGTTGTAATTATTGTAATTACCATTGTTTCTCCTATTTTTGTGGTAATTGGAGTTATAATGGTGATGCGTGTTTCCAGATGGTGGAACGTTATTTGGATTCGACATGATCAAATTGTCAATGGGGAGATGAAAAATTCCCAACTGAGCACTGATCTGATGAAATTAAAAGGTCTCAGATAACTTCCACGTGACCAAACACGTTTCTAAGGAACTACTAGTAGGAAGTTCCTGTTATATATATCCAAAGTTAGATATATATTGGTACAAATACCTTTTTTTAAAACAAGAGAAAGATTTTTTGAATTTGTTCGCTTCTACGAAATTTTCACGGTTACCCGGTTGAAAGAGTCGATCCGGAGCAGCTACTGAAACGCAGGTTTGATTGTCCTTGGAGCTGTGGCTCCGGGTCAATGGTGTTGGTATCTTGATATTCGTTTGTATTTTGTATCTATTCTATAAACCGATCCATTTTTTAACCACCATGTATCCCAATAATCCTGCAATTACCACAAAAAACCCGTAGATAATCACCGAGTCTTTGTATGATTCGCGTTCTGGCGGTTAGCATTGACGGTTTTCAACCCATAATACTTACGAAAGCAATAAGCAGACATTTTGTCTCGATTTTCAGTGTCTTTGCATCGCTCTATATTTTGGCCAAGACAGAACTCCACGGTACACTGCTGACATCCGTGGTTTTTCTCCAGCTCGACAATCTGGTAGTTAATTTCGCAATCGCATTGACAATACGACCGGAAACACAGTCCCACCTCAAACCAAATAAGAAGCGCTATCCATTGGTACACTAACATCAGACACGTTTATCAGCCAAGGCACATACGATTTTCTTCAAGCCATAACACACATCTTTGCACCGGCTCAGATTTTCCTTGGGTGTTTTGCCACCAAAAAAACAAAATCATTGGTAATCACATAACCTTTCTTGTCGCAATCAACTACCAATTCCAACATGGCTACTACTGCTTCCCACGAGGCGGGTGTTGAACCGTTCTTTAAGCAGAAGATCCAGGATTTCGAGATCCAGGTCAATGACAAGACGCAAAACTTGAGAAGACTCGAGGCCCAAAGAAACGCTTTAAACTCCAAAGTGAGGGCTTTGAAAGACGAGCTGAAACTCCTGCAGGAACCAGGATCGTACGTCGGCGAGGTCGTCAAGGTGATGGGTAAGAAGAAAGTTTTGGTGAAGGTCCATCCAGAAGGTAAATATGTTGTCAATGTGGCGAACGACATCGACATCAAGAAAATCACCCCAAGTTTGAGAGTCTGTCTCAGAAGCGATACATATGAATTACATCAGATTCTGCCAAACAAGGTGGATCCATTGGTCTCGCTAATGATGGTGGAAAAAGTGCCGGATTCCACTTATGACATGGTGGGTGGTTTGGACAAACAAATCAAGGAGATTAAAGAAGTGATCGAGCTACCAGTCAAACATCCAGAACTGTTTGAGAGTCTGGGTATTGCGCAGCCAAAGGGTGTGATTCTTTACGGTCCTCCAGGTACCGGAAAAACGTTGTTGGCCAGAGCAGTTGCTCACCACACAGACTGTAAATTTATCAGAGTGTCTGGATCCGAGCTGGTTCAGAAATACATCGGTGAGGGTTCCAGAATGGTGAGAGAACTGTTCGTTATGGCAAGAGAACACGCGCCATCGATCATTTTCATGGACGAGATCGATTCCATCGGATCTTCCAGAGTGGAGAGCTCCTCGGGCGGAGGAGACTCTGAGGTGCAAAGAACAATGTTGGAGCTGTTGAACCAATTGGACGGTTTCGAGTCGACCAAGGATATCAAGATCATCATGGCAACCAACCGGTTGGACATTCTGGACCCAGCTCTTTTGAGACCAGGAAGAATAGATAGAAAGATCGAGTTCCCTCCTCCAACACTGAATGCTAGAACAGACATTTTGAAGATCCACTCCAGATCCATGAACCTCACCAGAGGTATTGATCTGATGAAGATTGCCGAGAAGATGAACGGCTGCTCGGGTGCCGAGATTAAAGGTGTCTGTACCGAAGCCGGAATGTACGCTTTGAGAGAAAGAAGAATACATGTTACACAGGAAGATTTCGAGCTTGCAGTTGCCAAGGTGATGAACAAGAATGACGAAGGTGCCGTTTCCATTGCGAAATTATTTAAGTGAATATTCATGCCTCATCGAGTTTCACTGCATGGTCAGCCAACCAGTTTCTTGCATTTTGCACATTGTCTGTTGCCTGGACGCTCTTGCATATCCAAGCACGGTCGTACTGATGTTCGTCTGCCAGCATATCCACGAGCATTGTTTTCTTCACGGTAGCAAGGTCCACACAGAAATAATATTGAGAGCTTTCCATGAGCTGCTGTTTAACGTGTTTTAGAATGTCAACAAAGTTTTGAAAAGCGGCCATTCCGCTCGACTTACATTCCTTGTTTTTGCACCAGGTGTTTCCGCAGCCGGTGTTTAATTGTAGAATATACCGTCTTTCGATGCGGCTGCGCAGTTTCTGTCCAGACGGGTCGTTGACGTTCGAGTACAGCGGTCCGAAACAGAAGTCGCACAGGTTTAAGCTGTTTGACGACGTTGATGGCTCGCGAATGCAATTCACGTTGGAGCAGATCAGTGGAGTAGGTTTCGAGACCCTATTGAGCTCGTGTAGCTTCATGTGCGATTCCAAGTCCCGTAGTCTGACAGACCGCTGGCACCGAGGACACTGTGTGGTTTTGGACCCGCACTCGAGTTCGTGCTGCGACAGTCCCGAGATCAGAGCGTCTGTGGATGCCTCCTGTCTTGGAACGATCAGGTGACAGAACTTACACTCGTGCAGAGCGTACGGACAAGTTGTCGCGGAGTGTGTGCAATGGTCGACCAGCTTTTCCGACACCTGGTAAGAGCACTTGGTGCAGTTGACAGTCACTGGGCTATGGTAGTATTTTCTGTGTCTATCGAAGGAACTCTGGTCATCGCCGTACGCGTTGCAGCAATGCCAATGGGACTCGGGGATCTTGCGCAAGAACACCTCGCCACACCCGTGCGGACACTTGACGTTGTTGCGGAAACAGAAGTTCTCGTGCATAAGTTTGGACGCTGCTGCCACGGGGGCCCCACAGTTGGAACACACGTTGGAGCTTGGAGTTTTAAGCTGTTCTGCTTCCAACGGAGACATCGTCACCAGTGTTGATCCAAACGGCAACAGATACAACGGACTGTCAAAGTACGGATACGTGTTTTTGATCACCAGTTTGTTGTTGCCATTGAGTGTATGCCAGATGAAATTTGTCTCGGAAACATTGGCCATGTTGCTCACCACGAAATCTGTGTCTGCCTCCAAAACAAACGACTCGTTGCTCTGCGGGTCTATTTTCAGCAGTCCGTCGATCTGAACGCTGTTTCCCATGGTCAGGACGTCCGGCTCATGTTTCTCTGCAAGCTGGTGGGCCATGGCGTCGTTGAGCGGAACAACATCCAAGTTGATATCTGTGTCTATGATGCATACCGTCTGTGCGGGCTCCAGAGTCTCTACCAGCAGCTCGAACGACCCAAAGTCGTCCTCGAGCTTCAACAGTTGTCCTCGCGTTAATGTGCAGTAGTATTTCGTCAGCTTGGCCTCCAAAAACCATTTCCAGTCGGAGATCTCATGGTACAGCTTGAGCGGCTTGATGCTCAGATCGGTGCCCTTGGGCAACTCGACCAGTTCCAGTTGAACAGTCGGCGACAGATCGATCTGCAACGTACTGAACAGACTGCCCGACACCAAAACCGTGCCCTCTGGAGCGCTGAACTCCCGAACGCCCGCATAACATATCTGGGAGGCGGTGGCGATCTTAAAAACCATGGGATGCGGCAAACTCTCGCGCTGAGAGACAAGCTCGCTCAGCACGGACTCCGGCAGATCAATCTTGTCGGAATACGCCGGAATTGCTGAAGACTGTTGCACCCGATTAAATTCAAACATAAAGACTTGGTACACAGCCTTTATTATTTTATTTGAAAAATCGCTAGCTGCACAGCCTTGAAAGGAGTTAGTGGACAAGCACCGGACACGATCACTCGTTCTTTTCGCGGTAAAGGATGATCTCGCTCTGTTTGAAGTATCTGCGAGCGTCTTCGTCAATGAGGACAAGACTGAGAAACGTTCTGGTGGAAAACTTTTTGTTCACGTCTTTGTACGTTGGTGTCAAATCAAAGCCACCGAGAAACAGTCTGATCGGAATGGTTTCTCCTCTAACTGGGGCTCCGTCCATGATCTCGAATTTGACCACGGTCTCGCTCTCGTTAAGCTGATTGGGTGGCGATCCACTGGACTCCCTTCGTATGAGCGACAGCTCCATGTGCTTTATCTTCAGTCTAACAAGTAGGAAGTAGATTCTCCCCACAATCACGTCCTTGAGCGAGTATCTATTCTTAGAGTACTCGAACTCAATGTGAAGACAGTCCTCGATTCCCACGTCCATCTTGACGCTTGATGTAGGTGTTTCTGGCTGCTCGGCCTGTTCGTGCGGGTCTTCGTATTGGTACACCCACAACTCTTTCTCCCGAATAACGTCCGCGGATTTGCGAGAAACAGTGACTTTCAAGTAATAACGCAGTTTGATGTTGATTCCGCGGTAACTTTCGTATTGCTTCTCCACATTTCTGAATTCAAAGGCAAACGTCTCTGGATGTCTCAATTCGCCGGGACTGGCCAGCTCGTGGGCCATTGACAAGAAATTGTCCGCCACAATTCCATCGTTGCTTGTTTCGATCGACCCGAGAAGCTGGATTTTTATCCCCGTGTGCTCCACCCGCTTGTTGTCTCTTGTTCTAATGGTCACCTGCCCTTTAACGGTCTCTCCGTCCTTGTACAACAAAAGTTTCTCCTTGCGTCCCTTCAAGCCCTTCTGCTCGACGGTTTCACGAGAATCTTCGCCGTCAAGACGAAGCTCAATGTCTAAAGGTGATTTAAATATAAAGGACATTGAAGAAGGATGGGAAAGTTGTATAGTAATTTTTATATAATCACAACTTGTTTTTACAGTCTGCCATTTTTCAAGCACGGGTCACACGGACGGGAAACGTTTAGTGACCAAGACACTTCAAGATATCGGACCAGACGGTCTTTGGAGACTGGGAAGCGTCGATACCAGACCAGATACCGGCCTTCTTGTAGTAGTCGACAATTGGCTCGGTTTGCTCGTGGTAGGTGACAAGTCTCTTCTTCAAAGCATCAACGTTATCGTCAGATCTCTGGATCAATGGCTCGCCAGTGATGTCGTCCTTCATCTCCTGCTTAGGAGGGTTGAACAGCTTGTGGTAAGATCTACCGGAAGCTGGGTGGACCAATCTGCCGGTGATACGGGCAACCAACAGCTCGTCATCGATCTTGAGCTCCACAGCTTTTTGAAGCGGAGTCTTGTTGGTGGTCAGCATCTGGTCGAGCTTCTCGGCCTGAGGAATGGTTCTTGGGAATCCGTCCAAAATGAACCCGTTCTTGCACTCCTCGTTGTTGGCCAACTCATCCTTGATCATGTTGACCATGATCTCATCAGAAACAAGCTTACCTTGGTCCATGATCTTCTTGGCCTCAACACCAAGAGGAGTCTTCTGGGCAACTTGCGAACGCAACATGTCACCAGTGGCCAAGTGACAAGCACAGAACTTCTCCTTGAGGTTTGGTGCCTGAGTACCCTTACCTGCTCCCGGTGGTCCGATCAACACCATTCTCAATGCGGCAGGCAATGGAGTGCTCAGTCCAGCCTTGGCCTCCAATGTCTTAATTCTGGTCTCCAGCTTATCAACAAGCTCTTTCAAGTCTTCAACAGCCATGGTTTGTTTGTTTTGTTGGGGGGAAATTACCTTTTTTCGTCAAGCTTTAAAAACTCGGCGGAAAGAATATCAGGTGCGAGGAGTGGATCGGTCGCGAATTGAAACTTGTTTTTGGTCCTCGTGATTGGAGCATATATTCGTTAACTACTGTTTGGGTTGTCTATAGACTCTTTGATTATCAGAACTTGACATCCCAGCTGTCCAGCTTCATGGTACCGTTCTGTTCCAAGTTCAGGTGCATCTTGAAGGCGTCCTTCAACAGATGTGGCTCGTGCAAAGTCTTTTTCTTGTTGCAGTAGAACTCAGCACGGTTGTAGTAGTCTTGCAACTGGTCTCTGTAGTCTGGGTGGGCACACTTGTGAATAATCTTGTGCACACGCTCCTTTGGAGAACAGCCTCTCAGATCAGCAAGTCCGTAATCGGTCACAATGACGTCCAGATCGTGCTCGGTGTGGTCAATGTGCGAAGCAAATGGAACCACACACGAAATACCAGTAGGATCGGTCTTGCTTGGTCTGGCTGCAGGAGTGTGCATGATGGACAGCTTGGCATTTCTCAAGAAATCTCCAGATCCTCCCAATCCGTTCAGCATTCTCGATCCGTTAACGTTGGTGGAGTTGGCGTGCGCATAGATGTCAACCTCAACAGGAGTGTTCATGGCAATGACACCGAGTCTTCTGATGATCTCTGGCGAGTTCGACACAACCTGCGATCTCAAACACAGCTTCTTGGAGAACAAGTCCCAGTTGTCAAAGAACTTCTTGAATCCGTCGTTAGACAGTCTGATGGAGGTGGCAGTAGCATAGTCCATGGCACCGTTCTCGAAGAATGGCAAGAACGAGTCCTGCAGAACCTCGGTCCAGACGGTCAGGTTCTCGAACTCGGAGTTGGCCAGACCTCCGATAATGGCATTGGCAACGTTACCAATACCGGACTGCAATGGGTGCAGGTTGGAAGGAAGTCTGCCGGCCTGGACCTCGTGCTCGAAGAAGTGGATCAGGTGGTGGGCGATCTTCTGGGACACTTCATCTGGAGCAGTTGGGTCTGGGACTCTGTCTGGAACGGTGGACTCGACCACAGCCACAACTCTGTTAGGGTTGACAGGAATGGCAGTCAAGCCGTTTCTTTGGTCCACAGTGGTGTATGGGTATGGCTGTCTGAAAGGAGGCTGTTCAGGCATGTCAATGTCGTGCAAACCTTCAAAAGAAGGCGTGGCAGTGTTGACTTCGATAATGATTTTATCGGAGCACGCAAGCATCTCCGGAGAAGCGCCAACCGCAGGACCAGGAACAATGGCACCGTCCTCGGTGATTGCGGTGGCCTCGACGATAGTGTAGTCCAGCAGGTCATTTCTCTTGTCCTTGGTGTAGTAACCGTAGAGCAGATCTTGAGGGAACATGGACAAATGCTTGTCAAAGAACTGGGTTCTGTTTTCGTTGATAGCCTTTGCGATTGGTTTTCCAACCTGGTGAGGCGCACGTCTAAGGATCATGTCATTTGCAGCCCATTCAGACTCTTCTGGACCAGCAGAGGCGCCCACAAACAGATTGAAGGCCAATTTGCCTTGCAAGTTGTTTTTCGCAACGTGATCAACCAAGGCTTGAGGAACAACTTTAGGAGCTCCCACTCCGGTAAACCCCGACCATCCGAGATACTGGCCGTGTTCAAAGAGAGGGATACATTCCTCAGGGGTTCTGAGTTTCTTGAGGTACGGAGCGTACCGGACTCTTTGTTTCAGAATAGAAGACATGATAAAAAAGGTTCGAAACAAAACAAGGTAAAAATGGTGAGATAATGTTATTTTATATGGGCCACCCAGGTTTCCGGTCTTTTTTTTTTTAGAGATTTTTCAGAAACCAGGTGCGATTTATTTTTTTACCTGCGGCAATGGGGTGCGCGATGAAAATAAATATTGTGCGGAGCTTGGATGTTGAGACGGTATAGACTACGCGGTTCCGGCTCAACAAATTCGGTTATGTCATAACTCACGTTTTGCGAGTTTCTCTCAGCTTTCCAGGACCAATCATGCTGTCAAAACAACCGGGTTTGACCCATGGCCCCTGGTATGCGACTCGGAACCGTTCAAGGTCATCCCCTCATGCGCGACAGATAATACAGACGCACCCCTACAGATTGACCAATAAAATCGCTCCAGATGCCAAACAAGCTCGCCCGGATGAGGGTTTTCGCACCTGGGGAAACGCTCTACATGACCCCCGCGTCTGTGGGGTCGGGGGGTGCGGAATCCGTAATCTTTGTTTATTAGTCGTTATTTTTCGTATACTCGTTAGCGTATCTTTGGTCCGAGACACACTCCTCCACAAACCCAACGGTTGTGTGGCATTTCGGGAATATCAGTTCGAGCCGAGTTTTCATTCTCGAGAGCAGATCAACGTCTGCCGCGGTTGTTTCTGTGCAGTCTGTCGAGCTCGTGCGAGCCTTCACTATGTACAGTTGCAGACGTTTTAAACGCGGTTGCGGGCCATTTGCCACCACAAACACCTTGTCCAGCTCGTTGAGACTCGTTAGTCGCCATCCAACCAACGTTAGTGTTTCCAAGTTGGTCAAAATCGACTTGTTCTCAATCTCCAAAGTCTCCATATTTTGCGCCTGGAATATTTTTTTCAGATTTAGCCAGTTGAGCCACGGATAGTAGTTGTATTTGTTTTCCTCGGACTTTTGGTTTAGAATCACCAGCGATAGATGTTTGAGGTTGTAGTAGAACCTGGTTTGGAACAGAAATAGTTCGTTCAGGTCGTTGTCGATGAACGATTTGAACCGTTCGCTCACCACGAAATTGGATGACTGGTCGTTGTAGTACAAAGATAGTCGTTCTGGGGACGTGAACTCGGAAGTTTCCATGTTGATCAACGGGTTGGGTGAAGGGTACGTTGGCGAGAAGATATCGTTAAGATTGCACGGATGGTCCCATTTGCAGTTGACCAGTTTAAGATCGTTTAGATAAACGAGTCTGCCGTCGCGACTGCGTTGTTTCAGATCGCTGAAATCGGGCTTGAACTTGGGATAGAAGAACTGGTCTTTGGTGAGCAGAAACCCGTTCAACACCAATTGTTTGATGTTATGGAACCTTTGCAGTTGGGTCAACTCAAACAACGACTCGTCGTTGGCCTCGAGAGAATGACTAATTAGCTTCAAATATTCGATCTTGTCGCTAAGATCAACATCAAACTTGTCCTGGTATTTGAGACACCGCGATGAGGAAACAACCTCGATCGTGAGATGCTTGAGGTTGGCGCACTCTTCAAGCAGCTCTTTAAGAGAAATGTTCCATTCGCCGTAACTTGTGGCTTTTTTGTCCGTGTGATCGCTGAAGACACGCACGCTGCGCACCATGTCCTTCGACTTGAACAGCTCGTTGAAGTTCTTGAACTGGTTCCACGTCAACTTGACCTTGTCGTAAACAAGAGGATAGAACTTTGCTCTGTGCGAGCTGTCCACCAACGACAAATTCACCAAATCTTTGCGCGACAACTCCATCAACGGAACAAGCTCCATTGGCAAGTTGATCAACATCTGCGGAAACCGACTGTCTTCCAGCTTTCGCCGCTTTACAACAATTGACATATCGGATAATAAAAAAAAGATGGAGAAAAAAAAAAAATTAGTCAGTCGTAGTATAATTTATTTAGTCACCTAGTAATTCATAACGTCGTCCAGATCGTCGTCGTCGAAATCGTTATCGTCGTGGATGATCTCCCGGTCGTCCTTATGGAGCTCGTCGTACTTGTCCCATTTGCATTTTAGTCGTTCCAATGTAAACGAGGCAGCAGCAGAGTGTAACTGACGCAGGTTTTCGAAAAACCGTGCAACCAGGTCCCGATCCGCCTTGTACACGCAGTTCAGGCCAACAAAGTACATGGAAACCTGGATAATAAGCGCCTGGTATTCTATCATCCCCTTAGCGCGCAAAAACGGAAACAAACTGAACGCTTTCTGGACCAGTTCTTGTACCGAGGGGTGTCTTTTGGGATAGCCTCCCAAATTGGAGGTGATCAGAATGTATGCGGCAATCACATACGATTGGTGGCAGATATCGTACCAGGAGATGTAGTCGTAAGAGCCGTCCTGGTACTCGATTTTCTGGATAGCCTCTGGCGAGAGCGCCTCGAACCCGGGCGGCGGTCTGAGGTCGTTTTCAGGATGCATAAAGTGGTTTTTCGGCACTATGCCCGTTTTGCTGATGATTTCAAACTGTTCCTCTTTGCGGAAGTCGGAAACAAGGTCGTACAACGTGAAGATCGAGAGCGTTCTTGGTTTTTTCATCGTCTTGAACGTTTTGATGGACTTGATGAGTTTCTGCAGAGCAACTCCCAGAGTGTTGGAGTAGCCATAAACGTAATTGAAGCCGTCCTCACGGCAAAGCAACATGCTTTCCCAGTATTTCTTCATGTACGGCAGGTCGTACATCACAAGCTCGAGCTCTCTGTCGTCTTTCAAAACACCACCGGACGGAGCAGTCAATCCGGCAATATTTTCTATAGACATGTACCAGTTTCGACAAAAAGCAATCACATAAGAGTTGTGTCTGGAGTATCTGGGGTCTTCGCTGAACGGCGCGTACGTGGACAGCAGGTCCTTTGCTGCTCGAAGATGGGGTCTCCATTTCTGGAGCAACGAGATCGCCGTGTACGACGTGAGCAGCATCACTGTGAGCAACATTGGCTCGACGCTCTTATTGACTTTTGCCTCGTCGGCCAAGATCGTCGACAACAGTCGCAGACAGATCGACAGGTACGAGCAGTAGCTTTTCTCGTCCTGCGGGTCTTTGGTCTTGCGGTGGGACTGCATGGCTCCGCACGCAAGAATGGCAGAAAGCAGGTAATTATGGTTTTTGCCGTACGCGAGCAGAATTTCTCGAGCTGGGTTGTACCGCGGCGAGGGGGGCAGGGGCAGGATCACGCGCGCAAAGTCGTGGTAGAAGTAGTTGAGGTACTTTTTGTGGTTGCCCTGGAGATTGAACGAGTCGGGCACCACTGGCCGGGTGATGAAATCGGGCAATTTTTCACTGCTGAGTAAATTGTCGTAGGAAATGGGCTGGTCGTACAAGTTTGCCTGGTCAAACATGTGGTCCATGGCCGGTTCGACCAGGTTCTCGTGGAGATGGCCTGTTTCGTCGATTTTGGTCTCGAGCAGGTTGTTGAGACTTTGTGCCAGGTTGTTGGCCGAGGTTCCAAGAGCGGCCTCAAACTGGTGCGGCGACGGCGACAACTTCATTGGGGCAGACGACTCGGACGTGGACGGGCCCAGCGGGTCGCTGTGGTCCGGTTTGATCGAAGCGGGTGTCGAACTGGACGTGGGCGTGAGCTGGGGCTCCAGCGGCGGAAACGCATGCCCAGAATGCCGAGCCGAGTCCATGTACATTTCAGGTATGTTTGTATGGGGAATATAGTAAGGCATTTGATACGGCGGCGGGAGAATAGCCATGGGGCTCATTTTATGCGGCGAGTAGTTGGGGTTGATTGTAGAAACGTTTGGTTGCGACAGCGTGTCGTGGTTTCTCGATCTCTTCGGAGGCTGGTACACACATAGTTTATCCAGCCGTTTGCAGTGCCAACAAACAGGTTTTGCTTCATCGCACTAACGTTAGATGTCTTGGAATTTCAAACTCACCTTGATCTTGCGCCGCTTGCACTCCACACATCCCTGTTTCGAGTACTTGCGTTTCCTTTGCTTCACAGTCATCAAGAATTCTCTTCAAATCCTGTTTTGCTCAAACTTTACTTATCGTAAAAAAGTCGTGGCAAACATAAACCTATCAAAAGTCTTTGATAGAGTCTGTGCATCGAACATCGAAACTAAACGTTAGTGAAATAATATTTGTGGCGTTAAATTACCGCGGTACGTTTGGTTGTCCCTTATAGCCGTTGGTGACAGGATTGGATACACGGTTTTAGCTTCCGAATTGTTTGCATTAGCAAATCTGCCGGTATTATTATTCATTATTTTTTTCATAGCCTAATTTGTCACGAGTCCATGTTTCCTTTGGTCAACCCGCCAAACCGCGTGCTCCAGGTGGACGCCAAGCTGTTGGACAACGAGATCTTTGACATGTTGTCCAAACAGGTCACCGATGCCATCTCGAACCCAAAACTTCCCCGGATGTTCCAGCTATTAAACTCCCGGTATTCGGAGGAGATCAAGTTAGTTTTGGAACTATTGATCTTTAGACTCACAGTTTGGTCCAAAAACACAAGTTATGGCCTGCTGTTGCAGAACTTGGTCATGTCCGACGGAAAAGCCCGTTCCAGAAAGTCCAAGTCGGAGCTTTCGTCCATCACCAAGACGTTGCTCTTATCGCATCTAGTTCTCAACTATGCATACAAAAAACTCGAGTCGTATCTTTACACGCACGAAGAGGACGACGGGGACGACGAAGAGCTGTCTTTTTGGCGCTCGCGACTCCAAAGTCTCGTCAAGTCCCTCGCAAACGTCCTCCCCGTGCTGAAAAAATGGTACACGGGACTCTCGCTCGCCAACTTCCTGCTGTTCCTCGTCAACGGTCGGTACCCGAACCTGCTCACACGACTGCTACGCATCACATACAAGCCAATGGTGCGCACGCAGGTCTCGTTTGCATCGAACCCAGAAACCATCTCGTACGAGTTCCAGGACAGACAGCTCGTTTGGAACACGCTGACCGAGTTTCTCGTGTTCATCATGCCGATGCTGTCTGTTCCACGCGTGTCGAAACCGATTCTGCGGCTGTTCCACGCCAATCAGCCGCCAGAAAGAGATTCCACAGCAGTGTACAAGTTTCTGCCAGAAAGATGCTGTGCCATCTGCTACCAAAACACCTCGCTGGCCGGCACCAGCGACGCGGCCATCGACGACCACCTGATCACCAACCCGTACGAAACCAGCTGCGGTCACGTGTACTGCTACGTGTGTTTGCTAAACAAGCTCGAGGAGTCGCGACAGCTGGGCGACGAATCATGGCAGTGTCTCCGATGTGGATCGGGAGTCGAGTACGTTCGGGTGTTTGACGGCGAGGTGGAGGAAGACGAAGAGGATGACGAAAAGGAAGACGAAAAGGACTACTCTGACTATTCGGATGATTCGTAATTATATTTAAAATGCTGTTTCTTGCGGCTCTCCAAGATAGACCCGGCCAATGTAATCGAAAAGCACCGTGTCTGCTGTCTCGAACTTGAATATCCGGCCCTGGTGCTCGGGGAATTCCGACCCCCCGATCTTGTCGTAGGCACACCACAGGTACGCCGCGCAATTGTACTGCTTGATGTATCCCTGGCGTGGCTCGCGCGGAGTGTCGAAACTCTCGACCCAGTGCATGGAGTCGGGCGGAATGATGGCGTGCTCGATGTTGAGCGGCGACTTGTAGTGTTGAAGAAGCTGTTCTTTGGTTTCGAACCCAAGCGTGGCATTGTACACGTCGAAATCTTTCTCGTATGTCTCTGTGCGACGACAGTTCAAGATTCCCGAGTTGATCCACAGCAAACGGTCGTCGTCCGAGGAAATGTGGCCGGGATGCGTCGAACACAGCTCCTGCGACTTGAACGGGGCCCGTTGCTCGGCCGGCGTGAGAGTGCCGATGGCAGCAGACCAGTAGTCGTTGAACATGTAGTCTTCGTTGCCGGCCACAGATTGGCCGATCCAGAACAGCTCCTTGTCGCCCCAAACGTTCTCATGGATCGGTTTCAGCAGCGCCAAGTAGATCGTGGTGAACATGCCGTTCCAGTACTTTGGTCGCTGGATCGCAACCACACCCGACTCCATGTAGTGTCCAAACTCAAGAGTGAAATACCGCGAGCCCAAAGTTTTATAGGTTGCTCTTTTCACGTCAAAGATCTTGGTGTCGAGACCTTTGGGCAGCAGACGTTTCAGAAAGTCGATGAACCCGTCGTTCACGCGCATGATGAGGTTTCTGTCGCGGAAAAAAACGCTCTGGGACGATTGATACTGTGACAGCTGGAAAAATTGTTCAGGTCTGCGGAACAGCACAACGTCGGAGTCCAACAACACAATGTCCTGGAACGAGTTGAACAGATACGCCAGCAGCTTGTTGTAGAACAGCGGGAACTCCAGCGCGTACTGCGGGTTCATGGCTCGGGATATGTTCACAAACCAAACTTCCTGTCTAGGAAACGATGGATCGAATTCGTCCAGCCCCAGCTGTTTGAGCTGGTTGTATTCTTTGCGTGGATAGTAAACCGAGTCCTTTCTGGCCTGCTCGATGATTTTCCATTGCGACTCGATCGACAAATCGCCGCGATGGACAATTTGGATAGGCAGTCTGTTTCCCAGAGCACGCAAGTTGCGAATCAGAGCCAGGTTGTCGTCCAGAAACTTGTCTGACCCGGAGATCACCACTCCCTTACCGTTGACAAGCGTCTTGTAATGCAAAAAGTACGGGAACTCGTGCGAGATCTCGTCGTTGTCCTCGGGCTCTGTCACGTTTAGTTTGGACTTGCTGATCTGCGCCAGAGCAGGGTCCTGTGACGCTCCTTTCAGGTACATTGCCATGGTTGGCGGGCCAGTGATCTGCTCGCCTGTCCATCGAACGAAAACAGGAAGCTTTCTGCTGATGTACGGGAATACACGCGACTCGATGTCCGGATACTGGCCAATCAACTTCTTGTAAGCTTCCACGGTCTCTTCGTTGGTATTAGAAAGGAAACAGTGCGTGTAGATGCCCAGATGTTTTGTGTTTTGAACCATCGTGTTCAACTGTGCGTCGTCGTACTTGACTTTGTGCGGCCCGATCTTCCAGTCAGGGTCCATCAGGTACAAATGCTCAAAATACTTGACGCACCGGTCGGCCAACGACTCTTTTAAAAAGTCGTCGCCGTACGACTGGATGAGCCGAGCATAAACAGGATACTCTTGCGGATCGACATAGAACGAGGATTTGGCGTGGGTGACCACGTTCTGCCCAACAAGATTAGCCATCGGCTTGAAGGGGGCTGATGGTCTCGGCAAAGCCAAGCTGTTTGTGGCCAAAACAGGCGCTTCGCGAACCAAAGTCGGGCCAAGTCGGGTCACTGTGGTCTTTGTGGACGTGATTAGCGTCGTGACTACTCTTGGACCGGCAACACTCGAAGACACCTGCTCGATTTCCCGAACAGGCTGCTGGTCGGATCCAGACCATTGGGTGTTTCCAACCAACGGTTTTTCCAGCTCGGCCAGCTGAGCACTACCAACAGACGGCTCTCCTCTCACCAAAATGTGGCTGGAACTGGCTTCATGCGACGAAGACGAAAATAGTATCAGAAACCCAATAACAAAGCATACAGAAACACCAACGTACTTCTTTCTCAAATTCAGATATTTGGCCATTTGCGGCGATATTTACACTCCAGTGTGGCAAATAGTTAGATTCCCGGTTCCACGGTCTTCTCTAGACCTTTGTATCTTTGGGATCTCTAACGTGTCACTGGTACAAAATAAAACGAGCCCGGTAAAAAATCAATAGAGCCCAGATTTGGCAATAAGTTACCCGGTGTTGTCATGTCTTTTTTTTTTTCAACGGCCAACGCGTCGCTATAAAAAAACACCTGACCCCCACAAAAGTTCTCTTTTTTTTCTTTAAGATCTCTTTGCCTTTTGGCTTAGATCAAGTGTAGTATCTGTTCTTTTCAGTGTGACAACTGAAATTCCCTCGCCATGAGGGTTTTACTTGTTACTTTACTTTTTGGAACTCTTTTGCCATTCTAACAGGTCCAGATTTATCTGACCTGTTTACTGGTGTTGTGTCGTTGCCCTTACACTTTCTGGCTTCTGACGCTCTACGGACACATTCAAAGGTTTGAGTGTGGTTGTAGAGTTTTGCTCCAGGGTAAATTCTGTATATGGTAATATATTAGCTAATTTCCTATAACTTAAAATAAACAACGCGAATATTATTTATTTGTTAAAGATGATCTTGAACATCAACGAGCATCTGAAATGGCTGGCGTCGTCGAAGCCGCAGCTGCCCGGCTCGTTGCAGTTCCCGTCGTTGACGCCAGATCAGCTCAAAGAGTACACGAGTTCTGCGAAACCGCCGTCAGAGCCTGTGAAACCGGTGGCACTCCCCCCAAGAGCAGTGTCGCAAACCCCCGCAGCCCGGCCATTGATGAGGGCCAGGGCCGTCACGCCAGACGTTGCGAGTGAGATGAGTGGGATCATGGCACGCAAGGCAGACACCGTGCGCCAGCGGAGTCTGGGCTCGTCCCAGGGAAGTGTCGTTGTTGATCTCACCAACAACCAGGTCTTGGAGAGCCGCAAACGGGCCACAGACGCCGTGGACTCGTCGTTTAGCAAGAAGCAGCGGCAGAATGACGACGACGAGTTCTCGGACGACGACGAAGTCGAGGCCATCCTGGCTAATCGACATTCCTCCAACTCCACCACCAAAAGCATGGGCACAGAAAATGGCAGCGTCCGGTACGAAGAGGTGGCGAAATTCATCCAGACGGCGTCGTTGGGCGCCAGAGACGCTCGTGAGCTGCTGCTGTTGCAGTTGGAGCTGATTACGCGCATGGACGCCGTGACAGAGCTCCTGAGACAGAACATTGTCGTGGACGAGTCCACGTCGATCAGCGAGGACGAGAAACGACGCAAACGCGGCCAATTGGCTAACGACATACACCATGCACAAACGCGCAGCGACGAGGTCCGCGCCCAGATCCATCAGTACTGCGTGGAAAAACAAAACAGACAGATCGGCGACGACGAGCTGAGCTCGGAAATCGAAACCACCGCCATCCCGTTCACTAGCACCGCATACGCCACGAAACCAATAACACAGCTGATTCCTACCCGTGAGGACGAGATCAACCAAACGCCGTCCACGATCAACGCGACCAACCAGTCTACTTTCCCCAGTCCCTCGTTCAAGTATCCTCCTGTTCCAGTGCGAACGGAACAGGTCAACTCTCAGGTGGATGTAGAGGACTCGTTCAATTGCGATAGTGACGAGCCAGAAATCATTTCGACCCAGGAAAAGGCAGAGCTGGATCGGTTCATTGTTGACGACGAGGGGTCTGGGGACGACCGTTCGTACAAAGACGAGGAGGACGCAGAAGACATAGAAAACACAGAGCTGGGCCAGTTTGACGACTCGCCGGAGATAGAGGACGTTGAAGACGGAATAGAGAATATGGAGCTGTTACAGGACGCCGACGAAGACGCTATAGTGATCAACTCCGAAAAGGAGGACTCGTTCGAACAGGATACGGGACAGGACTATTTTACACAGCTGAATGAGGAACGCGAGTTGGACGTTATTGATCTGGATGACGAACAGTTCTGGGACAGCGACGCAGAGAACGAGATCTTTGACCGTCGAAACGAGCAAGGAAAACAGACAGAGGTGCCGTCGGTGGCTTCGCAGAGCTCTGACTCCGATATCGAAGAGCTCACAAACGTCAATCCGGACGCGTACAAGAAGTTTATGGGCAAGTTCGAGTGGACCGCCGAGGTTTACTCTGTGTTGAGGAACACGTTTAAATTGCCGTCATTTAGAGAGAACCAGCTGGAAGCGATCAATGCGACTTTGAGTGGAGAAGACGTGTTTGTTCTGATGCCAACTGGAGGTGGAAAATCGCTGTGCTACCAATTACCGGCTTTGGTCAAGTCGGGAAACACCAGAGGAACAACCATTGTGATCTCTCCGCTGATCTCGTTGATGCAGGACCAAGTTCACCATTTACTGCAAAACAACATCAAAGCAGCAATGATCAACTCTAAGTCTTCTGCCGCACAGAGGAAACAGACATTCGATATGTTTGTTAACGGGTTCTTGGACCTGGTTTATCTTTCTCCTGAGATGATCAGCGCGAGTGGTATGGCAAAGAACGCAATTGCCAGACTTCACAGGAACGACCTTTTGGCACGGATAGTTGTCGACGAGGCGCATTGTGTTTCTTCGTGGGGCCATGATTTCCGACCGGATTACAAGGCACTCAGCTACTTCAAAACCGAGTATCCTGACATCCCGGTGATGGCACTGACGGCCACCGCGAATGAGCACGTTCGAATGGACATCATCCACAACCTGAAGTTGAAACACCCGAAATTCTTCAAGCAGAGCTTCAACAGAACAAATCTGTTTTACGAGGTGATGCCAAAACGCAAGACGGTGATAGAGGAGATCGCGCAGCGCATCAACCACAAGTACAAGAACAAAACGGGTATCATCTACTGTCACTCCAAGAACTCGTGTGAACAGACGGCCAGTCGACTGGTGGATTTTGGAATCAAGTGCGATTTCTACCATGCGGGAATGACTCCCGAGGAACGGCAACGGGTCCAGCTGGGATGGCAGCAAGACGAGATCCGGGTTATTTGCGCCACCATTGCGTTTGGAATGGGTATTGACAAACCGGACGTGAGGTTCGTGTTCCATTTGACTATTCCACGGAACCTGGAAGGATACTACCAGGAGACGGGAAGAGCAGGCAGAGACGGCAAGCCGTCGGACTGTATCATGTACTACAGCATGAAGGACGCCAGAACGTTGCAGGGGATGATTTTCCGCGACAAGGAGCTGGACAGGTTCAACAAGGAGCAGCACGTCAACAAGCTGCGGCAGGTGACGCAGTACTGCGAAAACACGACAGATTGTCGTCGGCAGCAGGTGCTCCAGTATTTCAACGAGACGTTCAACAGAACAGACTGTCACAAACAGTGCGACAACTGCATAAACGCAGAGAACGTGGAGGTGGAAAACCGCGACATGACCAGTTTTGCCAGAGACGTGATCAACCTTGTGCGGAGTCTGAACGGCGACAACGTGACGGTTATTCAGTGCCAGGACGTTTTCCGCGGGTCCAAAACGGCCAAGATCGTCAACAGCGGCTACCATCTGAACGAGTACCACGGCAACGGGCGCGAGCTGGGTAAGATGGAGGTGGAGCGGCTGTTTTTCCATCTGCTACGCGAAGGGTTTTTGGAAGAGCGGTCTGTGATGAACGCTGCTGGGTTTGCAACGAATTATCTGATCGTGGGACCAAAGGCCAACGAGGTTGCGTATGGGGGCAAGCGCATAGTGATTCCGTTCACACGCAACAAAAATAGCCGGCCAGACGAACGAACGGTGTCGAGAATGGCCAACAAGGAAAACTCTGCTCCCGCGCAGTTTGTGGCCGCCAGCAAGTACTGGCCTGCTGCGTCGCAATCGTTCAACTCTGCCCCACCGGACCCACAACTGAGCGCACATATCAACAAGTGCTACCTGAAATTGCGGGAACACAGATCGCTGTGCTCCACGCATTTGAACCACTCAAGAGATTCAACCATGGCGTCGGACACTACGTTGAAAGACATGGCAGCCAAACTGCCAACTACGCAGAAAGAGTACGACCAGCTGGACGGCATGGAGAAGACACAGACACAGTACTTCAAGAAGTTCGAGCGCATGCTGTGTCTGTTCAAGAAAGAACGGGAGATCCTGTTTGGAGTCAAGCAGCCGCAGCGCACACTGGTGGCTCCGCCGCAGGACCAGGCCGTGGTGAATCAGCTGTCGCAGATGTTTTACTCGCAGAGCCAGGGCACGTCGCGTGAGCCGTCCGGCAGCAGGGGCAGGGCTTCGAGCCAGCGCTCGGGACGCGGGTCCATCTTCAAGAAAGTGCCTGCCAAGGCCGGTCTCCGACGCGGGAAAACTCCGGCCAAGGCGTCGTTGAAGCGTGGCAAATCGCAGCAGAAGCAGACGAGGTCGGTGAGTCGTCCTATGAGGATGTGAGAAGAGACGCCGATGCATTTAATAATGTTCACTAGCGTGAATTAAATAATAGCGACTACAGGCATATAATAGAGAGCACGCAATGGGATTGTCCTTTGTACGGCGAGAGAGAGCAGAATTTTCATCTGGTTGGGGGGAGGGTCACGTGACCTGATGGGTACCGGCACTGGTCGGCAGGAAATAGCGGTTTGGACCGACCGTGATTTTCCACACCCCCTATAACAGGTGTGGACGTTTCCGGTACGGAGTGGGACGGGGTGCGCATTTTTGTGTGAGGGACCTTTTACACTTTTCCACTCCGCCATTCCCGAACCGGAGTTGGCCAGTGTCGGACACCTAAATTTCGCGAAAATAGGCCCGCGTTGATTGGCCGACGCGGGCGTGTCTGCAAAGTGGCCGCACCCGCCACCTACACCCCCGAACAGCGTTTCGTGGCACAGGCCGCGTCCATTTCGGGCAGCCCGTCTTATTGTAGCACTTGTTGGATATATATCCACTCAGGTTCCACTAAAAAAAAGTCCGTGTACATTAAACAAGTCAACCTATTTTTTATCCACTATGTTGGCAGCTAGACGGGCCGTTCGCCTTAATCTCGCCACCACCAGAGCTTTCAGCTCTTCGGTTGTTGTTTCCTCTGCTCAACGGAAATCCTTGTTCCACAAGCTCTTCAAGATCCCATTCGATGTGGGTGCCATCGGTACCGTTTTGGCAACTACCTGGTTTGGTTTCTCCATCTACAGAGAGGCCAACCCAAAGAGCCAGAAGCCACAAACTGACTTGACCGCTGCCGGTATTGAGAAGAAGCACCTGGTTATTCTCGGAAGTGGTTGGGGTGCTGCATCCATGTTGAAGGACCTCGACACCAGCCTTTACAAGGTCACCATCATTTCTCCAAGAAGCTACTTCTTGTTCACTCCTCTGTTGCCATCTGCCCCTACCGGAACCATCGAGCCAAGATCGATTGTTGAGCCAATCAGATCGATTGCCAAGAGAACTCCTGCCGAAGTTACCTACTACGAAGCCGACGCTACTGACTTGGACTACTCCAACAACTCGTTGAAGATCAAGTTCCCAGACTCGTCTGCTGTTGAGAAGGAAGTTAAGTACGACTACTTGGTTGTTGCTGTTGGAGCTCAGCCATCCACTTTCAACATCCCAGGTGTTGCCGACTATGCTTGTTTCTTGAAGGAGTTGCCAGACGCCATCCAGGTCAGAAGAAAGATCTTGGAGTCTGTCGAGAAGGCTTCTTTGTTCCCTGAAGGAAGTGCCGAGAGAAAGAGACTGTTGCACTTTGTTGTTGTTGGTGGTGGTCCAACTGGTGTCGAATTTGCCGGTGAATTGAAGGACTACGTTGACGAGGACTTGAGCAAATGGATGCCGGAAATCGCCAAGGAAGTCAAGGTCACTTTGATCGAGGCTTTGCCAAACGTTTTGAACTCTTTCTCCAAGAGCCTGTGGACTTACGCTCAAAAGACTTTTGCTGAGAACGACATCCAGTTGCTCGTCAACACTGCCGTTAACAACGTTACCGACACTGTCATCACCGCTTCCACCAAGCAAAAGGACGGAAGCACCGAGAAGAAGGAGCTTCCATACGGTATGCTTGTCTGGGCCGGTGGTATCCGTCCTACTGACTTCACCACCGGTCTTTTCAAGAAGATTGAGGGTCAAGCCGGTGCTAGAAGAGGTCTTCTTGTGGATGAGAACCTCAAGGTCAAGGGTACTGAGAACGTTTACGCTGTTGGTGACTGTGCCTTCACCGGCCACCCACCAACCGGTCAAGTTGCTCACCAAGAGGGACACTACCTTGCTTCTACTTTCGCCAAGAGAGCTGCCATTGACGACTTGGAGGCTGAATTGGTCAGATCTTCCAACTCTGACGAAAAATCCAAGGTCCAGACCAGATTGGACGCTGCCTTGGCTGACATCAAGCCTTTCAAATACAACCACCTTGGTTCCCTTTCTTACGTGGGTGCTGAGAAGGCCGTTGCCGACTTGGTGTGGGGTACTTTCTCCTCCACCTCCACCGGTGGTGCTTTCACCTACTTGATCTGGAGATCCAGTTACATCGCCATGTGCATCTCTGCTAGAATGAGAGCTCTGGTTGCTGCTGATTGGTTGAAGGTGTCCTTGTTCGGTAGAGACTTGACCAAGGAGTGATTTAGTTAGCTCTTGGCTTGCAAATAGACTGACTATATTCAATGACAAAAATATCCAATGTATTTACAGATCTTCGTCGTCCGACTCGTAGCCCCACACGTACTGCTCGCTAATGGTTTCCATGTCGTTTTTCAAGTCCTGCCTGTCATCTCCGCGATAATACTTGGAAACTACCCCGGCCATTTCTTGGAACCACTTGCGTGGGGAATTTGTGACCCCCACAGAGCACAATGTGGGGGTGTCTTCTCGGAACTGCGCTGGGAAGCTGTCCAGTGCGCTGTTGAAGGGGATATCTGATTTGTACTCGATGCAGTGCTTAGACGAGGTGCCGGCCTCCACAAGGTGGGTGAACTCCACTTTCGTGGACCCCTTGTTGATGACCGACAGTGCAAAATGGTGCCGAGTTCGTGCGTCATTTCCGTACATCCGCACACAGTTGAAAACATGGGGTGTGCAGGTGAGATCGGAAACGATATTTTGACCCCCAGCCAGTGTCAAACCGTTCACAAAGTCCGACATCTGGAACGGTTTCTTCGTGCTAAACAGCCCGTTCACAAACTCGAACGGGATGCTCTGGAACGCTGACACCTCCCACAGAGACTCCTTGTCGACCCACTGCGGCAGCTCCGGGGCACTGTTGAGCGGGAAGAACAGCGACGAGTTCTGCACGAGCCCGACAATCGCCCTGATCCGGCTCAACAGCAGCGGGAAGTTGAGTCGCGCGTCGTCCTTCACCAACCCCCACGTCGAAACCGGTGTCTTGGCGTACTCGTCTCGGATATCCAGCAGTAACTGGTCGGAAAACCCACCCCACGCTGTATCGATTTCCGTCACCAAGTTCAGCCCACTCACCAGGTCGCACTTCTCCAAAGCGTACCTGAACGTTGTGTCGACAAAGTCGGTTTCCTTGTTGCCGTATTCTGCTGCTCCCACGTCGTAGCCCTCGAAATGGCGTTCCGGGTGCATTTTCAGGAACCCTGTCTGATTTTTGTAGTCGTACTGCCAATTGGACACGTTGAGCAGCGATTCCGGCTTGTACAGCACGCGCGAGAAGTCGGACCAGTACCTGACGGAATCCTGGTGGAGGACGTTGTTTGTTGGCTGTGCGTCGTCCAGAAGGTCCTGGTACCTGTTTCGGGCGACTTTAGGTTTAGCGATCACCTCGTACCCGGTGGGGTCGATGTTGAGGGATGTGTGTTTCTGTAACGCGCCGTAGCCGTTCTCGTACTCCCAGAGCACCGAGCGCGGGTAGAACGAGAAGCTGGTGCCCTGTCTGACGGGCTCCATGTGGACGGCTGGGTCTGTGGGGTTGTCTGCGAGCCGTGGCGCGAGATACAGCTTGTCCTCCTGGACGTTGTTGAAGTGGGTGACGATGTTGTTTGGGTGGGGCCCCACCGAAACAGTGACAATCTCGTGCATCGGAGTGATGTGAATATTTGAAAAGGTGCGGCTCAAAAAAATTAATCTGAAAATTTTCAGAATATATTCGCAGTGCCAATGGGGAACAATTCTTTGGAAGTAAGTATGCCATGGCAACCAAGAAAACTAACCGCCAGGATCGTTTGAAGGCACACGCGCACGCGTTTGACGGGCTGCTTTCGCTGATTCCGGCAAAGTACTATTTCGACGAGGAGACGTCCAATCAGTGGCAGCAGAAGAAGCAGACCAAGGGCCAGGCGAAGGAGAACAAGCGGGCGAAGCTGGATCCGGACGCAAGCAAGGACGTGAGTGCGCAGGCGGAGCAGGAGGCGAAGGCGGAGCACGCGAAGCCGGTTGTTTTGCCGGGGAAGCGTGTGGTTTCTGAGCCTGAGGCAGAGGAGCCAGAGAGCGAATCGGAGGAGGCTGTGACGGAGGAGCCCGAAGAGCTGCAGCTGGAGAATGCGACGATAGTGTTTGATGACGACGGGGACGGAAACGCGCTTCCTGAGCCGCCTGTTGCGCGCAAGAAGGAGCTGACTCCCGAGAAGCGGAAGGAAAAGGCCGAGAATCTGGCGCGGCTGCGGGCCAAGCTGGCCGAGAAGATCAACGTGCTGAAGGAGAAGCGTAAGGCGCCCGGCACAAAGAACTCGAACGTGACGTCGCGGGAGCAGATTCTCGAGGAGCGTCGCAAGAAGGAGGCTCTGAGGCGGCAGCAAAAGAAGGCCGCCAAGGAGGAACACAGCGACGAGGAGGACGACGAGGTGTCGAGCAGCGACAACGACGAGGTGGACGAGCAGGGCGACGTGGTGATGTACAATAATATCGAGTTCCACAGTGGCAGCAGAGCCACGTCGGACCTGAGCGGGGTGCGCAAGGTGGGGGGCAAGAAAGGCCCGGCCAACAACGACGTGCGTGCGCATTTGAGAAAGGCAGAGCAGGAGAAGGCGCGGCTGGCGTCGATGGACAAGGACAAGGCCCAGGAGGTGGAGGAGAAGCACCGGTGGAACAAGGCCCTGGCGAGCGTGCAGGGCGTGAAGGTGAAGGACGACGTGAAACTGTTGAAGAAGGCGCTGAAGCGCAAGGAGTCCAAGAAGCGCAAGAGTGAGCGGGAGTGGGGCGACAGAAAACAGTACGTTGCGGACCAGATCAAGGCGAAGCAGGACAGAAGAGAGGAGAATCTGCGGATCCGCCGCGAAAACAAGGGCAAGAACCGCAAGCATCAGACAAAGCAGCTGCGTACGTTCAAGGGAGCCGTGCGCGGGCCCAAGAGGGCTGGCTTCGAGGGCAAGATCAAGAGAAAGAGCTGAGCTGCTACCATTTTCCATCCCCAGCACATTTGCGTGCGCGTGCTAATTCTGGATGCGGCAACACGTAAACAAATATAACAGACAAAAAAAAAGTTAGACACTCTCTTGTTTCACTCGTGAGAAGTAGAAGGACCTTTGGCATTCGAGCAAGCATTGACTGCCGGTAACGAGCTTCTATTGATTGTTGAGCGTCTATTTGGCATATCAGGCAGCGACTTAAATAATTAGATTTGGCGCTTTACTTTGATATCTTGATCAACCATGTGGTAAGTATACAAAACACAGGTTCCCCCCGGAGACTAACGTTTCAGTGGTATTTTTGGTTACGCCAACTACAACGTGGGCAAATCCAGAGGTCAAATCATCGACACTCTGGTGGAAGGTCTTTCCAAATTGGAATATAGGGGATATGACTCGGCGGGAATTGGTATTGATGGAGAAAACGAGTTTGACGAGTCTTCTCCAGCCAAGGAGATTGCTATCTACAAGCAAGTCGGCAAGGTGGCCAATCTCAAGGACGAGATCAAGTCCCATAACTTGAACACGTCCGAGACTTTTGCAAACCACGTTGGTATTGCTCACACTAGATGGGCCACCCACGGAGGAGTCACCCAATTGAACTGCCATCCTCAGCCTTCCGACCCGAAAAACGAGTTCATCGTGGTCCATAATGGTATCATCACCAATTACAGAGAATTGAAGACCCTTTTGAAAAGTAAAGGCTATGTTTTCAATTCCGACACCGATACTGAAGTTATTGCCAAGCTGTTCAAATATTATTTCGACAAAGACAACGACTTGGAGTTCTATCAACTCGCGAAGGAAGTTCTGTACCAATTGCAAGGCTCCTACGGTTTGTTGGTGAAATCCATCCATTACCCAAATGAATTGGTGGCCACCAGAAAAGGTTCTCCATTGTTGATCGGTGTCAAGAGTGAACAAAAGCTCAAGGTCGACTTTGTCGACGTGGAGTTCATTTCTGACCCATCAACAGAGACCAGAGGCACCAACGGAAACAGCTACTCTAACTCTTACTTGACAGTTCCAACCACACACGAGATGGCATTGAGAAAGTCCGAATCCAGAGCCATTCTGCCGGACTACAACAAACCTATTGAATTCTTTGTTTCCTCGGACGCATCTTCGGTGATTGAGCACACAAAGAAGGTGCTGTTCTTGGAGGACGACGACATTGCTCACATTGACAACGGAGAGTTGCACATCCATAGAGCTGCCAAATCCGCAGGAATGTCCACCACCAGACCGGTGCATACTCTTGAGATGCAACTGGCCGAGATCATGAGAGGTGGATACGACCATTTCATGCTCAAGGAGATTTTCGAGCAGCCAGACTCTACTTTCAACACTATGAGAGGAAGATTGGACTTCAAGAACAAGAGCATCACCTTGGGTGGTATTAAAGAGTTTTTGACCAGTATAAGACGTTCAAGAAGATTCCAGATGATTGCCTGCGGAACTTCTTACCACTCCTGTTTGGCTGTGAGATCTTTGTTTGAGGAGTTGACCGAGGTGCCTGTTTCAGTCGATCTGGCCTCTGACTTTTTGGACAGATCTCCTCCGATCTTCAGAGACGACACATGTATATTTGTGTCTCAGTCAGGAGAAACTGCAGATTCTATGATGGCGTTGAAGATCTGTCGTGCTGCTGGAGCTTTGACTGTTGGAGTGGTGAACTCTGTTGGTTCGAGTATTTCTCGTGAGACCGATTGTGGTGTGCACATCAACGCAGGTCCAGAAATCGGAGTTGCATCCACCAAGGCTTACACTTCTCAATACATTGCGCTGGTGATGCTTGCTCTACAGATCTCGAACCATGTTGTGACCAACTCAGAGCGTCATCAAGAGATCATCAGAGGACTAGAGGAGATCCCATCACAGATCGAGAAGGTGTTGCAGCAGAAGAATTTCATCAAGGATGTTTCTAACAAGTACTTGCATGGAAAGGAGTCGATCCTGGTTGTGGGCCGCGGATACCAGTATGCTTCTGCATTGGAAGGTGCATTGAAGATCAAAGAGATTTCGTACATTCATTCTGAGGGAATTCAAGCTGGAGAGTTGAAGCACGGAGTGCTGGCGTTGGTTGACGAAAAGCTGCCGATTGTGGCGTTTGCTACCCAGGACGCGTTCTCCGCCAAGATGAACTCTGCGGTGCAGCAGATAACAGCACGTGATGGCCACCCGATCATCATTGCGACCGAGGGTGATACACTAATAGAACATTCCAAGGCATCTGCGGTGATTGAGGTTCCCAAGTCCGTTGACTGTTTGCAAGGTCTGTTGAACATTATTCCTTTGCAGCTGATGAGTTACTATCTGTCTGTTGCAGCCGGAAACAACCCTGATCGGCCAAGAAATCTTGCTAAGTCAGTCACTGTTGAGTAATTAGCCAGGGCTCCAAAAATCTGCTCTTTTTTTCTATACGGTTTTGTATAGGTCTTAGTCTTAATATATACCCATGCAATAAATCGTGGTTCAGGGTTCGGAGTCTGCTATGCTTTCGAACATTGAGCTTTCGCAAAAGTCAAACTCTTCTTCTTGTTCGGGTTTTGAAAAAGCGTCTGCTATTTCCCAATAAGGAGAAGAAGGGTAGAAGTATTCGGACGAGGGTTTTGTATCTTCTTCTGATTGGAGCATCATGTTACTGCTTTTGGACGACGCAAACACTGCCATTTCGAATTTCGACGATTTGGTGATGGATTCCAGCAGATCCGCCGTGAACGGCACGGGGTTTTCCAAAGAGGGAGTTTTTTTCGGTTTCATGAACGTTTCCAGCTTGAGCACGGGCTGATCTGGGAGATCTGATTGGCCGGCAAAGTACAGTCGTGCGACTCTTTGCGAGATGCCGTTTTTCTGGACAAATTCGTTGAAATCCATCAAATTCCAACGTATCCCTCTTTTCGCGTGTTTGCCCTTTTTAGTGTCTATCTTTATGCAGTTAATGTTTTTTTTTTTTTCAGTGGCTCCTACAAAATTTTCAGGTCACGTGAAAGCACACAAAGACATCTCTTGCTACCACCAGACAAACAGTTTTAATTATCAATTCTTTTGCCCTGATGAACCGAGGAGCTGTTTCTTTGCGCCTGGTGAGAAATTTCTCGCGGTCGATTGTGGCCAGAAAGCCGCGGCCCACCGCCACACGTGCGGCGTCGATTTCGGCCCATACTTCCAGAGCATCAAATCCCCAACTTTCATTCCCCTGTCTTGAGAAGTTGGAGCAGCGGTCGCAGTCTTTGGTCGAAAACGGACCTGAGCCGGCCTATTCCAAGGTCACCGAGGACAAGGCGGAGATTTTCCGTTCTTACGAGCCTATTTTCCTTGATTACGGAGGTTTTCTACCCCAGTTCCAAGTTGCTTATGAGACTTGGGGAACGCTCAACAAGGACCGTTCGAACGCCATTTTGTTGCAGACCGGACTGTCTTCCTCCTCACACGCCCATTCCACCGAAAAAAACCCGTCCAAGGGCTGGTGGGAGAACTTTATTGGTCCCGGCAAGTATCTTGACACCGATAAATACTTTATTGTGTGCACCAACGTGATTGGCGGCTGTTTTGGATCCACGGGTCCGTCGTCAATCGACCCGGCCGACGGCCAGGTCTACGCCACGCGGTTCCCTATCCTGTCGATCAACGACATGGTGAGAGCCCAACACCGTCTGGTCAAGGACCATTTGGAGATCGATAAGCTGTTGGCCGTGATGGGCTCGTCCATGGGCGGAATGCAGTGTCTTGCGTACGCCCACGAGTTCACCGACGAGGTCGACAAGGTGATCAGCATCTCTGGTTGTGCCAGATCGCACCCGTACTCCATCGCCATGAGACACTGTCAAAGACAAGTGTTGATGACCGATCCAAACTGGAATAAAGGCTACTACTACGGGTCTTTGCCGCCACACACGGGAATGAAGCTTGCCAGAGAAATCGCCACCATCACATACCGGTCTGGTCCCGAGTGGGAGTCGCGGTTCGGCGTCGAGAGGTCAGACCCTTCCAAACAGCCTGCTCTGTGTCCGGACTTTTTGATCGAGACGTATTTGGACCACGCGGGAGAGAAATGGTGTCTTCAATACGATCCGAACTCGTTCCTGTACATCTCCAAGGCCATGGACCTGTTCGACATGGGTCTGGCTTCCAGATCAAAGGCATACAAGAGCCGGTTGCAAACCCAGGCTAAGTATAATGGCGAGGTTGTTCCTGACGAGGAGCTCGAGTACAAGCCGTTGAACCAGTGCAGTTTTGACGAGCCTATCAAGGAGAACAAGCGGACAAGAAGACTGACCCCCGAGGAGTCGTCGCGCGATCTGATGCTTGGACTCTCCAAGTTGTCGAAGAAACAGGTCCTGGTGATAGGTGTCGAGTCCGACATCCTGTTTCCGGCCTGGCAACAGCGCGAAATGGCCGACCTGCTCAGACAGGGAGCCATCGAGACCGGCGGAGACGCTACCAACATCCACCACGTCGAGCTGGCCAAAGAGGACAGCTATTACGGCCACGACACGTTCCTGCTTGCTCTGGACCACATTGGCCAGCCGGTGAGCGAGTTTTTGAAAAAATAGATTAATGAAGATACGATCGTCATCCTATGTACTATTCATCTTCCACCTCCAGTAGCAGCGACGCGTTCTTTAGCCCGGCGGCCTCGATCGTGGTGTCCAGCTTGTCCAGCAGGTTTTCTCTTTGCATGGCCAGATGGAACTTTTTGTCGCCAACGTCAAACGCAAACTTGGCGTACTGAAACACCCGCAACACCGGGTCCTCCAGCGCAAACTTCTTCACCACACGCTTGCCGTCTCCAGACCGGATCTGGATCCGTGTCACTGCTGTTCCTTCGGGGTCTGGAACGTCCACGGCCTCGATGACCGGCTCGTCGCTCTCGAGCTCGATAGGGCGGTCTTTCGTTCCCTCGCCGTCCACAATGTCCACGCTGTCCTGTTGCACCGCAGCAGAAGGGTCCAGCGAGTGTGACTTGGCCATCTCGATCAGCTGTTCCTCGCTCATGCTGTTCACGTCTGGCTTCACCGAGTGCTGCACCATAGGGTTCTTTTTATCCTTGTCGAGCGAAAACCGATCCATAAAATCCACCACCTGCTCCACCCACTTGTTGATGTCCGGAACACCGCTCCACATCTTGAGTCGCTCGCCTGTGATCGGATCCAAGATGGCCAAATGAGGATACTCGGAAAATGGATACATGTTGATGTAATACTCTCCATTCGGCGAGTCGTGGTGGTATTGCAAAAAGACAAAGTTCTCCCTCACAATCTCCTTGATCTCCTGGTTAGACCAGAAGTCTCTGTTCAAACACTGGCACCGGAAATCGGTCATGTCCTGGATATTCACCAGGATCCATTTTTTCTCCTGTCTTGCCACCAATTTGGCTCCGTCCAGGTCCAGCTTCTGTACAATGTCCCAGGGAGGCCGGAAAATGTTGGCCAGACGTCGCTGGGTGCTTGTGCGGAAATCTCGCCGTCTTCTTGCTCTTCTGTTATTTTGCTGTCTAATAGGCTCTCCGTCCTCATCCAACATCTGGAAATCGTCCGAATCTTCGTCCGAGTCCTCGTCGTCCATATCAATCACATCCACGCCGTCTTCTTCGTCCTCGCCCTCCAATTGGTTGAAAATACCAACCTGGGTCCGCCCAAACATGCCTCTTTGCGGATCAACTCTCATGTAATCAGACACCAATTGATCGTGAACAGGCTGGATCGGCATTCTAATATCTTCCTGCTCCTGCTGTGGCTCCTGGTACATCTCCTGCTGTAACCTACCGGCCAGCTCTGCGTCGTTCGATGATTCCCGCGTACCTATTCCAGATCCATGCTCAAAAAAAAGACTCACCGCCGTGTCCAGGTCGCCGCCAGACATGTCCAGAAACGTCTTGGCCACATCGACGTCGTCCGTGCTGGTGATCTCCAAAAACGTCGGGATCAGCTCGTCCATTGGTGAAGGGCAAATATTTATTATGTATATTTACTAACACAGTAGGGAAATCGATATTCTTTTTCTCTAAGATTACATAATCACTGGTTATCGTCGCCGTAGAAGTGTGCTATTTCGGCCAGGTTGACCAGAGACGAGGGCGGTTTTTTGCGCGACCGCAGCTCGTTCTCTGTGCTGCTTGGCTGGTCCGGGTCGTTGGGGAAAAACTTCGAGTTTAGCTCGTCCAGGTTCGTTCGGATTTGCTGCTGCAAAGCGTCTCTGTTTTCCAGCAAAGCGGCGTGGTACTGGCTGTGCACGATCTCCTTGTTGATGTCGGTCTCCTTGTTGATGGTGGCGAGCTTGTGGGCGGCAAAGGCCCGTATTTCGTCGAGGATGCGTTTTTTTTCGGTGTAACTGGTTGCAAAGTACGGGTAGAACAGATCGAGATCCAATGCGGGCACTTGCACGCCGCGCTGGTCACCGAAATTGTCCGCCGTGGTGGAGTCGAGCTGCTGTTTTGTGGCTGCGAACTCGTCTTTGGTGGAAGCTATGGCCCGGTCGATTTTTTCCACCATCTCGTCGATATTTGCTATTCGGGCGTCCACAAACTGGTGTGCCAAGCGTTCGTACTCCTCGGCAACCTGCGACTTCAAATCCCTCATATCTTGCTCGTCCAGGTCCGCCAAGTTTATAGTTCCGTTTTCCAGCTGGGCGTGGAGATCTGTGCTTTGTAGCTTTTCCGGGAGGTTTTGTGCAAACAGCGGGTGTATTTGTGACTCTGGCTCTACTTTGATCGATCCAACGTCGGATTCTATCACTTGTTGCGAAGTTTGCGGGTTTTCAATAGACATGTCATATTCCTTGTGTTTTTCACGGAGCAACCGCAGCAGCTCGGCACGTTCTGTGCCCGTGCCCATAACGTAGCTCATAAACTGGTCCATATATTGTTGTCAATTTGTGCTTCAACTATGGCGCAATTTGCAAACTGTCCGGCTTCAATAACTAAAAGAACTCACGGCCCTTGAAACCAGCTCCAATCTAACTTTTTGCCGGCTACTTATTTTATTTTTAATTATTTTCCCAGCTCAAATGGCCATCAAATATTTGATCCTTCTATCGAAACAGGGGAAGGTGCGGCTTTCCAAATGGTACATAGCCGTCAGTCAGAAGGAGAAACAGCGGATTATCCGTGAATTGACCGCCATCATCCCGCTCCGCAAACCGAAAATGTGCAATGTGCTGGAACACAAGGACTCGAAACTCATATACCGCAGATACGCAAGCTTGTTCTTCATCGCGTGCGTGGAAAACGACGATAACGAGCTGATCACGCTCGATCTGATCCAGCGCTACGTCGAAATCATGGACAAAACTTACGGCAGCGTGTGCGAGCTCGATATCATCTTTAACTTCCAGGTGGCGTATCACGTGATCGACGAGCTCGTGATCGACGGCGTCATTCAGGAGAGCAGTGCGGTGGAGGTTCTGAAGCGCGTAAGTCGCCAGGACCAGGAGGAGATCGGCGAGCAGGTCGAGAGGTAAGTTTATTCGAACGGTTTGGTACTAACAGTCGCAGTCTTTATGTGTAAGGTAGCAGCTTTGTAGGACGAGAATAGAGATGTGTTTTTGAGTAAGTTTGCTGGTGCAGAGATGTGTTTGTACTTTCTAAATGGTTTCCAACCCACGCGTTATGTGCCCGCTCTTGTTCTGACCAACGAAATTCAGCCAAATTTTTCTAAACATCTACCGAAAACACCATGTTGGCAAGACTAGCAGTTAGAGGTAAGTAAAATAAGCGCCCCATTGACTAACCGCCCAGCTTCCGCAAGACCAATGACCACCCTCGGCCACAGAGCCGTCGGCATTAGATGTCTGTCGACGCCTGTTGACCCTAAATCCAAGGCCAACTCGTTGATCGACTCGCTCCCAGGTAACTCATTCCTTTCCAAGACCGGAATCCTGGCCACCACTGCCGCCGCTTCTGTGTACGCCATTTCCTCTGAGCTGTATGTTGTCAACGACGAGTCCATTTTGTTGGTGACATTTCTTGGATTTGTTGCACTTATTTCCAAGGTTGTTGCTCCATTGTACGGAGAGATGGCCAAGAACCAGATCGACAGTGTTGTTGGAATCTTGAACAAGGCCAGATCCGAGCACGTTGATGCTGTCAAGAGCAGAATTGACCAAGTTTCCAGCCTCAAGGACGTGGTTTCCACCACCAAGGCTCTTTTCGAGATGTCCAAGGAGACTGCTGCTTTGGAGGCCGAGGCTTTCGAGCTCAAGCAGAAGGTTGCTGTTGCCTCTGAGGCCAAGTCTGTCTTGGACTCGTGGGTCAGATACGAGGCCCAGGTTAGACAACACGAGCAAGAACAATTGGCTTCCACCGTTATTTCCAAGGTGCAAGCCGAGCTGCAAAACTCCAAGTTCCAGGACAAGGTTCTTACCCAGGCTGTTGACGAGGTCGAGAAGCTTTTCGCCAAGGAGAAATAAGTAGATTCATGAATGCCAGTCGTATATAATGCGTCTGAATGGAAACAATTAGAAATATACAAAGAGTGTAGCGTAGCTATTTGCGGAGCACCGTGGGCACCAACTGTGTGCGTTTTTCCTGCGATTGGTAAGCCCCGACCTGATGGATCTTCCAGAACTTTGGTCTTGCGGCTGATGGTAGCGGGACTTTTAGCTGGACGTTTTTCGGGATGATAAGCGAGTTGGTTGCAGCTTTTTGTTCATAGCCTCCAATTGGCGTTATACCTGCTGGGTTGAGTTCTTCATCGTAGAAGAGCGAGTTTTTAAACAATTTGATTGTGCGTTGTGGCTGTTGCGGCACCTCTTTGGTCTCAGCCGCTTTCCATAAGGCCAGGTCTGCACGCAGTTTATCAAGGTACTTGCGGTCGGTGATGGTCTTGTTTGTTCTGGCGTCTATGTTCTTGATACGCCGTTCCAGACTTGCCGGCTGACCGTACCGCTCGGCCAGTTCCTGCACTTTTGACGGTTTCTTTGCCATTAAATAATTTGAATAATTTTTATTTGGCCATGTCTCTCAACTTTGACGACGTTCCGGTGCAGAAACTCGAGCAACTGCGGCCGCGGCTCACCCAGCTGACACACTCGCTGCGTAAGCTGGAGGACTCGATGGCAGCCAACCCTACGCTGCCCAATTGGTCGAATCTCCAGAACCAGTACAACGTGATACTGTCGCAACTGACCTCGTTCAGCAAGACCATGGACCTCAACAAGGCCGTTCTCAAACACACAAACGCATATCCAAACACCGAGTTCGATACCACGCAGTTCGAAGGTCTGTTGACCACGCTGTTGCGGAAAAAACACCTGCCCGAGGTGGAAGAGTGGATCTCCACCAATAGGACCGACGTTTCCCAGCAGGACCTGGACAACGACGACGCTGTGGCACATGAGTACCTTCAGCTGACGGACCAGCTGCTTGAGGAGTTTGTTTTCGATGACGACACCCCGCTGGTGTCTGCAGAAAAGTCCGAGGCCCAGGGCGTGGACGTGTACAAGTACATGTTCAATGGGGCGGCGAAGTGAGCGTGTTGGCTTTCTTTCGGCCAGATTCTTCGTCCTGTGCTGCTCTCCGTTTGCGGTTGGTGACGATCGTGTCGCGTTTGCGGTCGAGCTCCTGGCGCAATCTTCTAAATGAGCTACGATAATTTATTCCGTTGTGGATGAGATCTCCTTTTAGTAGCAAATTGCAGTGTTCTGGGCTGTGACGCGGGTCGTCTGCGGCAAGCGGGAACTCTGTCCACTTGATAGCAAACGGCGTGGCAAAGCTGTTGTAGTGTTTCTTGTTCTTCAGTCTGTTGGAGCACAGATCGTCTGTCATGACGTGAATGTGGAGATTGGCCAAGGACGGCACCGAATGGCAGCAAACTATAATGTTCTGTTTCGAAATGGGCGTCTCGTAGCTGGCAGACCATTTGGAAAGTACCATTTCGCTCGCTTTGTCAACATATTTCTGTATTTTCGCAATAAACTGCTCGTCTTTAAAAGCTTCCTGGGGTGTCTTTGAGGTGTTCTCCTTTGGGATAATTAAATAGTGAACCAGCGACTTGGGATACATATCCTCGATTATCAACACGTTCTCGTCCTCGAACAATAATCCGGGACACGATTGAGGATCTTTCAGGTATTTGGCAAACACATATCTAAAAGACATGGTATAATTAAATATTTCAAACAATTAATCGTAAAGGCCATTCTATACAGGCCAATATATTTCTATTTACATCACAATTTCGATAGCAGGTTCGTAAACAACTCCCAGGTTCCAAACATGATCATGCTGTTGGGCACGGTCCGCATCAGATGCGGAGTCAGACCGCCATACATGGAAGCCAGACCTTCCTCTTTGATCACGAGCTTGAAACACTGGATCAGCCCTGTATATTTGGGCTTGCCGCCCTCGGTGGGCGCCTGTCTCAAACGGGTACGAACAACCTCGTGCGGATACGTGATCAAACTGGCCACGAATTTGGCCAACCCTGCAGAGCCGGATCTGGCAAACCAGTCACCCAGCTCGCTGGTCTGTTTCCCTTCTCTTTCGAGTCTTTGCGACCGCGCGTTGATCAGAAACTTCATCTGCTCGTACAGAACCCATTGCAAAGTGCTCTCGACCGATCCCAGATAAGAAGCTGTCAAACCTCTGTACAGAGCCAGCACTCCCTCGTTCTTGACGATCTTCGAAACACAGTCGAACGAGTTCTTGTACGCCTTGGTAGTCATGCGGTCGAGCTGTAGCCGCGTCTTGACAAGCCAAATCGGGTTCGTGGCCGTGCTGGTTACAAACCCAGCAGAAACTCCAGCTAACAAATGCACCAATGAATTTTCCTGGCCATCGAACGCAACGTCACGAATGACGTCTTTGGAGTAGCCGTATGTGAAGAAGTTTATCGATCTGGCGGGTATCACACCCACAAGGTTGGGCCCCAATCCTTTAAACAAGGCCCGTGGTCCTTCCACTGTGTAGACGTTTTTCAGGATCAATAGCGTCTCTTTAAAATGCAAAGCGGCTCCGCTCACAACACCCCCATGACGAGCACCGCTCTTGTACGTGTCGCGGAACACACTCGACTGGAGTCTGGTCTTGACCACGTCAAACGGCGAGGTGAAAACGGCTCCACACATGCCCCCAAGACCGCCGGCCACGAAATGGACCCACGGCTGGACTTTTTGCGGCTCTTTCAACTGATCTGCGGCCTCGTTCCGCACAGACGACGTCTCGTCGCTCGCAAGATATGGTACGCTCTCCTCGACCTCCTTCTCTAACTGTACTATCTTCTTGTTCATAAGACAGATAATTTTTTTTATGAAAAGATGCACAGCCAAGTTATACCTGGGAAAAGCTGGACAAGCAGTGTTAAACTATAAGAGAAAAGTTACTTGATTCACTCTACTATTCCATTACTCACTAAATGTAGGTCTCGTAGGCAATTGGAGCAAGGTTGGTTGGGACACCAGCAACAACCTTGGAAGGTCTTGGAGCAGCTGGGAGTCTCTTAAGCAACGATGGCTCACCAGAGGCCTTAGCAGCAGCCTTCTTAGCAGCGTTCTCCTTAACTCTGTTCAAGAACTCTTGTCTGCACTTGGAGTGCTTAACGTGCTCGATTCTGATGTTGAGTCTCTTCTCGATGTATCTGTTTCCAACAATCTTGTTAACAATCACACCAACGGACGACTTGGTGACGTTGTAGATGATACCGGTTTTTCCGTGGTAGTATTTGAATGGCATACCCTGTTGGATCGATCCGTTAACCTTGATATCAACAATATCGCCGACCTTGTATGTCTTGAGGTACACGGACAAAGGAAGCGCTCCGTGCTGTTTGAAGTCACGACTGAACGCGTAACGAGTTCTGGATCTCAAACCATGACTGTATGTTAGTTGACTGAGCAAAGCGCACCGTCTAGTGCGCTGTTCTGGCACTTACCTTTTACCCATCTTGAATTAATTAGAGTGATAATTGTATGTGGATTTAAAATTTTTCATATTCCAGTCGGTGTAGAGATTTCTGGCGGGGGAGGCCAAGATCCCGCGCAGCCCAGTGAGAGATCACGTGATGAAACAACAACCAGTAGCTAAACTATTCAAACCAACACCACCGCACTACTTGAACAACTATCTGCTAATCTGGGTTTTGGATTAATCTACTTACTCTTCGTCTTCCTCCTCAGCGTCACCACCGGCAGCGGAAGCCTGGGACTTTCTCTTGTTTCTACCTGGTCTTCCACCACCGTATGGGGAAGTTGGTGCGAAATCAATGTGCTTTTGAGAGTCCAATCTCACCATGAAAGATGGGATGTTGACGATCTGCTTACCAACGGCAATGTGTCTTTGGGTGATCAAGATTCTGGCGTGGTGGATGGACTTGGCAAGACCAAGCTTGAAAACTTGGGTTTGCAATCTTCTCTCAAGGAAATCCTCAATCTTCAAGGACAAAACGTAATCCAACTTCATTCTGTCTTCTGGCAAGATACCGACTCTGACCAATCTTCTGATCAAGGCGTTACCTTCGAAAAGTCTCTTAGGGTCCTTCTCGTCTCTGGTCAACAAGTCTCTGGCGGCTCTTCTGATCTTGGACAATTGGAAACCAATTCTATAGATTTCGTGCTTGTTCTTCAAACCGTATTCACCGGCGAGTTTAAGCTCGGCGTCCAATCTAGCGGACTCGTATGGTCTCTTTGGGACCGAGTAGGTCTTGGAGTATGTTCTTGGAGCTCCTACACTTGTTAGAAAAGCATGGGGACGGGACTACGCTACTTCAAATACATCTTCGAGAGCCAGGCCTGGATGGCCGGTTCTTGCACTGAAGTGTCGGGGGTTCAGTGCAAGGGTCTCATAGAGTGTTTGGAAGAGCTGAGGTCCCGAAACCTCGATTGGTATTACCAATCCTGGTGGTTGTACTTACTTGGCATGGTTTTCAGTGAAGAATATTTTTTCGTGAAAAATTATTCTCAAAACTCGCCGGCGCGGGTTGTGCTGGTCACGTGCAAGTCACGTGGACGTTTATTTACCACTAGCGTATCCCGGTTGCAACTCATGACAGGCTACTGTGTTCATATTCCCATTTTACCTTAGTCTACCTACGTTCGTATTCTAATCGGTTCTTTGTCTTTTGGAGCCGCTCGCCACGGTGACGTCCGAGTGGTACTGTTTGATGATAGAGTCCACATCCTCGATGTTGAGCGGTCTCACATCACCCATCTGCTTGATCTTGTTGGTGACCTCCTTGACCTGGTCGTCAGACAGGTTGAGGTTCAGCTGCTCGACTCTGCTCTTGATAGCGTTCCATCCCGTCAGTCTGTTGGCAAAGTGGATGTATCTGGAGAGTCCGAAATCTTCAGGATTCAAGATCTCGTAGGTGGATGGGTTGGCCAGGATAGCCTTGGCGTGAATACCGGCCTTGTGGGTGAAGGCGCAGAAACCGGTGATTGGGTTGTTGAACGGAATGTTCACCTGGACAATGTCGGCCACCAAGTTCTCCAAGTCGCGGATCTTGTGTAGCTTATATTTGGACTTGACGTAATCAGGATCGGCAACGATCATTCTGGCCATGAACCCTCCAAGAGGCACAATACCGTTTCTCTCGCCGATTCCCAACACACACGTGTCGATGTACTTGGCTCCGGCCTCAAGAGCGGTGTAGGCGTTGGCAATAGCACAGCCCGTGTCGTTGTGGAAGTGAGTCTCAATGTCACATGAAACCACAGACTTGATCGTTCTGATCAACTCGTAAACCTGTCTTGGGTTGGCTCCTCCAACAGTGTCTGCTATTCCGATTCTATTCACGCCGATTTTGTCCACTGTGCTGTAGATGTTGAGCAAATCAACAATGTCTGATCTGAACGAATCTTCGGTACTGAATCGCACCTCAAGACCTTTACTCTTGACAAACTCGATCACCTCGATCGCCGACTTGGTGATATACGACATGTCCTTACCGTGCGAATGCTGTCTCAAGAAACTGGAGGTTCCGATGAAGATATTCACTCCGTCAACGCCTGTTTCCACGGCCACTTTGGCGTCGTGCATGTGGCATCTAATATGCGTAAGAATCTTGGACGTTTTCAATCCCAATTTGCAAATGGCTTCCACCTCCTCGCGCGCTTGTTCAGAAGCAACAGGCGATGTCAATTCGATGTAATCCACTCCAAAGTCGTCCAACGCTTTAGCAATCTGTAATTTCATCTCGAGAGTGAAGAACGAGTTGGCAAACTGCTCTCCCTCACGCAAAGTCGAATCAATGATCTCGAATTTCGACACATTCGACAAATAGTCGCTCGGATTTGGGCCGTATGGGTTGGTCTGTGTCATGTTGTTTTGAAAATTAAATCTCTAGACTAACCTTATATATCTTAAAAATTTTTCACCGATAAATGACTAACCGGGGGAGGAACGGGATTTTTAGCGCATAAACGCAACCAAAGATTTTCGCCGCAGCGTCGCCAAATTTGTCAGATATCTGACTCACCGGGGCTAGCCAATCGCAGAACGTTGAAATCACCATCGTTGCAAAGTGGACTTCCTCATACTGGATTGGCCCACCTCCCCTTCTTGTGTTAAACGCCTCCTTTGCCTTGCCCATCCCTGCGCCGGTACCGTTCCGCTATCTTATCGGGGGTCCCGAATAGCGATGTGAGCATGTGCGTGTTAAACTTTGATGTGAACAAGTCGTTTGGTCTAGTGGTTACGACGTCCCCTTCACACGGGGAAGGTCGCGAGTTCGAACCTCGTATCGACTACTTCGCAATTTTTTTTTCTTAAATTCGTCTATTTTTTCAAGTCACGCAGACTCGTGCACAGCGCGCGACTCAGGTTTCTACACATCACCGTCTCATCTACGTTATCCTGGAAAGTCGTCAGGTTTGTCACCAGAAACGTGGCCAGTCGACAAACAGGAAACGTGTCGGGCACCTTATTTAGCAGCTTAACAAACTTGTCCATCTTGGCTACCCAATTGGACTCGTTGTCCAGGTCCTGGAAAACGTTGTTTGTACTCAGAAACTGCTCAATCAGCTCCGGTCGGTTCATCTCCAAGTATCTCCCAAAAACCATCATTTGTAGGGCGTCGCAGGTCGTTGTAGACGGGAAGTCTATGTCCTGCTCCTGTTTGTCACCAGCAAGATGTAGAGACGAAGCGAACGCTTCAGACGACTTAAAATCCTCTAATTGCAGAAACAGCGTGATAACTTCCTCGTAATGGCGCAGTTTGTACTCCAATGCTATCACAAGCAGCGGATATTGCAATTTGTCCAGCAATTGGTGGCATTTCTTCACCACGTTTTGGTGATCCAGTATGGACATTGTATCTTTGTTGATCTGCAGCAAGTAGTGGTAAATTTGGTTGTGTAAGTGGAGGGTTGGATCTTGGCCGCGTTTCTGCTCCAATTCGAGGTACTCATCAAACGTCAATTTGGGAATTGGTAGCTGTGAGTAACTGGAAATTAATGTGTCCATTTTGGGAGCCGCAACAAGCTCGTTCACCTGACACAGGATCAGATCGCCCAAAAACTGTTTCTCTCCTTTTTTCGTCACCATGTAGCTCAGATAGTCTTTTTTCTGGTCTCCATCGAGTAATTGTAGGATCTTGGCGTCGTTAAAATTGTGGTGTTGCAACTTGGAGTCCATGAAAAGTTTCAGAGCGTATTCTGGATGGGTCTCCAACAGCCATTCTCCATACGTGCGGATCAGTTGTTGGTCACAGCCAAGCAGATACTTGATCATCTCATCCAGTGGATCTTCCTCCTTGAATCTGGCATCATTTAACTCGCCAATAATTAGTTTTTTCCAATAGTACAGGAACTGGCTCTGGTTGCCGAGTTTATCGTAGAACTTGGCAAGATAAAAGTAGTTCTTGGTGCTCAGTAGCAGCTCAATAATCTCGTTTTGACAGAACTTGATGTCTGCCAAAAACGGCACAAAGTCGTCTGTGTCTAGCTTTTGTCGTGCCGAGTAAAGCTCGATGCTTTTCAAAACGCTCTGGTCTGTGATTTCAGACACAAATGTGCTCAAATACAGCGCCAAGAACTCGGAATTGGCCGATGCAAGCTCTTTTGTTGCTCTTATTGCATCCAGTTCGTCCACAAGTCCCTTGAAGATCCAGACAGACCCGAAAATCTCTTCTTTGGAAACATTCAGCGCATAAAGCAAAATTCTCGGATCAAGCTGTTTGATGAAGCCACCCCAGATATCAAAGCACTGGTCGAGCAAACTAAACTTGAGACTAAGAAGTCCCAATAAGTGAAGAATGAAAAGTTTCTCTGTTTCGTCTCGCAACTGTGGGTTTCTGTACTCGTCCCAAATCTCGTCAAACACCTCCAAACTGGTCTCCCGCGTAGCAAAAAAGTATATATCAAGCAAGCGCGATGGTTTGGCCAGCAATTGGAACAATTGAATACTCTTCCCATTCTGTTCGTACACAACAAGCGATGAGACAACGTTGTAATGTTGGTCCGATTCCTCGGCAATTTTCTGGACCTCTTCGGGCGTGGACTGATATATTAGTGGAGTTTTCTCCAAGAGACCTTTTAATTTCTCGTCTTCGGCTTTGAACAGATGGCTAACGCCCTGAACCTTCACCTCTGACGTGAACTTGACCTCCTGTACCAGTTTCTGGTCGTGAATGGAATATATGCGCACTAAAGAGCCAAAAGATCCAATCAAGTAAGGGTAATCTATCTCCACAGAGTTCGGGTACTCTGGCCACGGGAACGTTCCTCTAGTGATCTCACCGGCTGAGTCCACCACCATTCCCATTGCTGGACCTTCAGCTGTACCACATGCCAACAGAAACTCTTTGGACCCAAACGGCACAATTATGGGGCTTGTCTGGTTAGACGGGAACAACGGGATTTTCTGGCCCTGATCCAAGTCTATAAGATCGTAATTTGTCTGTGTGCCAACGGCAGCTAGATTTCCACGATGTATTCCATGCAATGTGTCGGGATAATTGATATCTTTCACCAATTTAATGCTATCGTCAAAAACTCGAATCAACCGAATGCTTTTCGAGGTGAACACTGTGACACTGGCAAACAGCCGGCCTTCAACGTGGCCCACGGCTCCTGTATAATTTTCTGCCTTGGAGTCGAGTTTCAGCTCGTCGTAGTCCACACGAACGTCGTGAACGTCCTTGATCCGTCCAATGTTTGCCGGAGATAGCTCAGGAAGAATATATGCTTTGACGGTGCCTGCACTGAGTACAAGCATCTTCGAAACCTGGGGAAGAAGCAATATTCGGTCGATGGGTTTATTTTTCGACCCAAACTGCTGTCTCGAGACCGCCATGTACCCTGTCTCGTCGTCTATTCGGTACATGTGTATCAGTTCTCCAGCACTAGTCCCCACATATAGATTGAGATCATAGGTCTCAATTGAAGAGATATGAGATAGCCGGGGATCTTCATCGAAAGATTCTAGTGGAACATCATTAACAAGCTCTTTTAGAGAGTATGGCGAGTTCAATTTTGACATCCAGTCCTGGACTTTGAATATTCCTCTTAATCTAATAAATTAAATTTATTTACTTATCCAAACAATTTGAGATCGGATTTTAAAATCGCTTCTCCTTCTTCAACCTCCAACTCTTCGGCCTTTTCACCCATGTCGATTTTTCTACCCAGTAACGAAGCAAAGAACTCGTCGATCTGATCGTCATTCCATGCAAATCCGCTCCGTTTTGGTACCTCAAACTGCTGCAACGGTTCTTGAACGGTGTATTTGAGCTTTCTTCCTTTAGTGGCTCTGCGATCGTAGTTTCTGTGGATCTTGTTCGAGCTCATCGTCACGATGGCCGCAGATGAGGCTGCCTTGTCGGTGATCTTCTTGTCCACCATGTCGTTCAGCAAAACACGGTAAAAGTCGTCGTCATCAAATAAGATCATGTCCTCGTCATTTTCAGCCCCAATAGGCTTGATTCCACGACGATTCAACTGGGTGCGTTTCAGCAAACGATCGAAGTCCTGTAAATTGTTCTCGACCTGCGTGTAGGAGTCCTGGTTGATGGTTTGCAGCTTGCCCGATTGCAACGCTGCCGATCCAGAAGCTGCCTGGACTTTGGCCGACCATTTCACCAAGACACTGCGTTTATATGGCTCCAAAGCGGTGTCCAGTTTCTCTGTTTCGTCCAAAACATCATCCAGCGTTCTCTTCCTGGACTTGGCAGCTGGCGCCTCGACCTTGTCCTTCGAGTAGATCTGTCTTCGCACATCCATGGCTTTCTCGGCAAGCTCCAGAATTTTATCCTGGACAAGTTGGATTCTCTTTTTCTCCTTTTTGCTCAAGGAGTCGTATGTTTCTGTGTTGGACGGGAGCTGGTTTGCCGCGACCATCGCCTTTTGGAGCTTGATCCTACTGTCGAGAATGAGGTCAAATATGCGGTTTTGGCTCGAAATGGCGTATCCTTTTAGCGCATCGGACTTGGCCGTCGAGGACAGTCGTGAGACGATCTGCTTCTTCTCCTCTTCCAGGAGCTGTGCGATCTTGTTGCGTTTGTACGACTCGTCCTGTGAAGGCAAAGAGGGGTCGTCGTAGCGGTCTTCCTCTTCCTCTTCTTCTTCTTCTTCTTCTTCTTCTTCTTCTTCTGCTTCTGCTTCGTCACTATCGGTCACCTCTGCCAGAATATCAGAATCGTTCGACTCCACACTGCTCCCTTCTCCTTCTTCCTCTTCATCCTCGCTGTAAACGTCCCCACGACTCACCTTCTCCCCCTCATAGCCAGCACCAACATCAACCCCCCTCAACCGACTCTTGTTCTGCACATATTCTCCGGTGAAAGTCTCCTCGTCACTGCTTTCAGAAGTGTATCCACCCTCGTTCTCAATATCAACGTCCTTGAAAACGGGCTTTGAAAGCTTCTTGGCGATCTCGTCACCAACAGTTCTGCTTTTCTTCGCCATATCGTCTGGTTAAAATATTTCAAATATTTTTTTATTAAATATTTTTCTCTTTATGAGCCGCACAATATTTACATACGGAGTTTCTTCAAGTCTTCAGTCAACCCTTTAAACGAAGATTGTCCCTTGGCCTTCTGCTTTCTACGCAAAGCGAGCTTGCCTCGCGAAACACTGTCGGCAGCTTTTTGCAGCTCTTCCAATTCTTTATCCTTCTTGACCACCCGTCTTCCTCCCTTCTCCAAGGTGTAATTATCCAAAAAGTCATCCACCATAGCACTCAAGTCTTGCCGCTCATTATCAAACGAAAACGGCTCGTAATCGTCCTCCTCCTCAACCTCATAGCGCTCTTTCATGACGTCAAACTTGTCGTCTATGATGGTCATCTGTTCGGTCCGACAAAGAGCCGAAGACGACATCGAATATGAAGAAGTGTCTGTCTGTGCTCCCTTCCGCCGTCTCTGCTTCTTCTTTGCACTCTTACTCTTGAGTCCAGTTGTGTTCATATCGGGAAGCTCCGCCACCTCGTCCTCCTCTTCCTCCTCATCAAAATCGTCGTCACTATCCCAGTCGTTCACCGGTCCTTTTCCTTGGCTCTGTGCTTTTTTAAACCGACTGAAGTCTTTTTCCCAGTCAAAGTCATCTTCGTTCTCTGCAGCATCGTACTCTTCGTATTCGTCCTCGTAGTTGTCAATGTCCCATTCATCGTACTCCTCTTCGTACTCTTTGTCGTCGATCACTTCGGCTTTTCCGCTTAAAAGAGTGCCAAAAACATCGGTGTTGTCAACGTCCTGCTCTGGATCAATATAAGCTTCGTCCTCAAGCGCCTCCAAAACCTCACGGAGATCGGGGTTCATGTCAGGCTTGAAGCCAGCAATATCGTCCTGGATATTCTGCTGACGCTGGTAATCATACTTCTCCGTCTCCTCCGACGGTAACAGCTCTTTGGGAAGCTCCACTTTTTTAGGCCGTTCTTCTTTGGCAATGAACACTCCGCTTTTATCTTCTCCTATCGGCTTCAAATGCTGCATATAGTCGTACTGCGAATCATCATACGTAATACCGTAAAGCGCAGCCTCTCCTTCGTTCTGCCGGATGTCTCCCTTAGCGATTTTCGAGTCCAGTTCCTTTTGGAGATCCTGTTTTGTCTCCAATCTCTCTTTGGCACTCTTCTTCTTGTCGATAGGGACCAACACCCGTTCCCCAGCCTCATCATTGTAATATAACGGATCCTCATGAGCACGGTGCAACAAAGCATAGCTCTGTGCCGTCTTTTTATCGATCCATTTCTTGGACATGGTGAAATAATTCTTGATAAATTTTTTTACGCCGCACAATCACCACCTAAAAAAACACAGCGATTTGTGATTATTTAATTTTGATCCGTAATTATTCCCCAATCCTCACATGCAAATAAAACTCAACAGCTGCTACGCAATCTACTCGTGGCATTGGGATATCCCCGAAGACGAAGTCTGTGGTATCTGTCGTGTTTCCTTCGACGGAACTTGCACAACCTGCAAATACCCCGGAGACGAATGTCCCTTAGGTAAGTTATCTTGTTAGAAATGTCTAACCGCCCAGTCATAGGAGAATGTCAACACGCTTTCCACATGCATTGTATCTGGAAATGGCTCGAAACAGAAACTGCCAAAGGTCTGTGTCCAATGTGCAGACAACCGTTCACCATGGATAAAGAGAAAGATGTCAACAAAGGCGTTAGTTTGCCAGACGAAAACAGATACATGGCTCAGGAAAACGACAATTTTCTCACGGAAATGGGTGAGCCTCAAATCACCGACGCAATGTCCGTTCAGGACCTTTCAGCGGGCGATTAGTGTGCTTGTCGCGCTTGTCCTCACAAGGGTTTGATATTCTTGTGGTGTACGGGTGTCTTTGAGCTTTCCCTCCCATTAAACAATTTGGTCCTGATTATGGTAATTTTTTACCTATTTTCTTCGTTTTTTGCAACTATGACTGATCAGCAAAAGTTCACCATTGTGGTGAAAGTCGGGTCGTCGTCGATCGTCGACGAGGTCACCCACGAACCAAGAATAGCTATTGTGTCCATGATCGTGGAAACTTTGATCAAACTGCGTCGCCAGGGCCATCGTATCGTGCTGGTTTCCTCGGGAGCCATCGCTATCGGGTTGCACTCCATGGGCATGCAAAAACGTCCAAAACAGCTTGCGGGTGTTCAGGCTCTTTCGGCCATTGGCCAAGGCAAGCTGATCGCCTTATGGGATGACATGTTCAATTACCGGAACCAGAAAACCGCCCAGATCCTGTTGACAAGAAACGATATCATTGATTTCTCGCAATTTAGAAACGCAGAAAACACATTGGTGGAGCTCCTGAATATGGGCGTTATTCCTGTTGTCAATGAAAACGATACGATCTCCACCCAAGAAATCAAGTTTGGTGATAACGATACGCTTTCTGCCATCACTGCTGGAATGTGCAACGCAGATTTCCTATTTTTACTCACAGACGTCGACTGTCTGTACACTGACAATCCGCGTGATAATCCTGACGCCAAGCCGGTGTTTGTGGTGAAGAACATGAACAGTTTGGACGTGAATACCAAATCTTCCGGCTCGAGCGTTGGAACAGGAGGAATGGAGACCAAACTGATTGCTGCCGATCTGGCCACTAACGCTGGAGTCACCACTGTGATTTGCAACTCTCAAAAGCCAGGAGACATGATCAAGATCGCTCATTACATTTGCGAGTCGGACTCGCAGCTCAGATCCGCAGCAGAGTCATGCTCTGTTGAGTCTGCCGAGGAGTTTGACCGCACAAACGTTCTCGAGAAGATCAAGCTGGAAAAGGAGGCAATTCCATACCACACGCGGTTTGTTGGTCAACCACGTAATGCCGTGAGAAACAAGGAGTTCTGGCTGCTTCACGGACTCAAGCCTGCTGGTTCGGTGATCATCGACATGGGCTGCTACCAGGCCATCACGCGGCGTAACCGTGCGGGTTTGTTACCCGTTGGTGTGATTGGCGTTGAGGGGTCGTTTGGACAGCTTGAATGTGTGGAGATCAAGGTCGGCAAGAAAGACGAAACCACCGGTGAATGGGACAGGGCCAAGGCCATTGTTGTTGGACGTGGTCGTTGTAACTACACCTCGACCGAGGTGAACAAGATTAAAGGTCTGCACACGCACGAGCTGCCTTCCGCGTTGGAATACTTCAACTCCGAGTACGTTGTGCACCGCCAAAATTTGGCCTTTCCGCTGCATCAGGCCCCTGAGCTAGACGGGCTCGTGGACGGGCTGAGCACAGCCTTACAAAATTTTTCTGATCAAAATTGAATTTCGAATGCGCAATGAGTCTACCTATGAACATTCAGGGCGGGCTTTCAGACCGAAAACAGGAATCGGACGAGGCTGCCGATCAGCTTGGCGAGTTGGCCAAGTTTGGTTCCAAGACGGGGTCGCCCAGTCAATCCCACCACGTGGCGTCCAGCGTGTTTGAGGACGGCAACTTTTCTGCCAAGTACATTCCGCAAGACACAGCAACGTCTCTGAACACCGAGTCGATCGAGGCTGCTGCGAACAACGAATTCTCGAACCCGGTCACGATCGAAGGCGGGTTCCGCGAATTGCACCCAGTGACCACCCCGGTCAGCAGCACTTTGCAACGTCCAAGACGAGCAAGCATGCTCTCGAACTTGATGGCCAAGTCTCAGGAGGACCGTCCGCGGTCGCCAGCACTGAGCACAGAGGCTCCGGACCCACAGACTGTGGAAATTGTCGAGAGACACCTCAACACGTCTCCTCCCACGCTGGATGCAGCATCTCCAGCAGGAACGCACTACGAGTCGCTCAAGCGCCAGGGCGGAGACATCACCAGGGACATATACAACTGGGTGAGCGGACACAAGAGTTTTGGGTCGCCATTGAGACGTGTGGCCAGCTCGGGCTCGTTGCAGTCGTCGACCATGTCGTCGGAGATGCGGATGCCAGGCGGGTTCCGTCGAGATTTCATTGTTCACGGGAACTCCGAGGCAGAGGCAGACAGAGCGTCGGACGTGGAGCTGGGGTCCGTGCGCAGCAGACAGGCCAGACCGAATTTCCTTGCGCAGAACTTCATTGAGTTTCTGTCGTTGTACGGGCATTTCGCCGGTGAAAACCTCGAGGAAGAGGAAACAGGAGACGAGTATGATCTGGACCAGGCTGATGCGAGCGATGTGAGCGAGGCCAGCGATCTGGAGGAGGACGAGGTGCTGGACGACACAGAGATGCTTGCGTCTACGGTGATTCCGGCTAAGAAACACCATCCAGGCCGTCGTGCTCGCTCGTCCAACATCTCGATCGGCGACCAGAAACGCAACCGTACAACCGCGCGTCGTAAGCCGGCGTTTAAGCCCCGCACGCGGCGCGACTACTCCGACAAGAAGACCACAAACCAGAAAGCGTTCTTGCTGCTGCTTAAAGCCTTTGTTGGGACAGGAGTGGTGTTTCTCCCGAAATCTTTTTCGAACGGCGGTCTGTTGTTCTGCAACCTAATGATCGTGGCGTTCTCGGTGATCTCATACTATTGTTTCCTGATCCTAATCAGATGCACCGAGCGTGTCCGTGTTTCTGGTTACGGAGACGTTGGTTTGAAGGTGGTTGGCCGCAACCTGCAGCTGCTGATTCTGGGATCGCTTGCGCTGTCGCAGCTGGGATTCTCGAGCAGCTATGTGGTTTTCGTCGCAGAGAACTTCAAAGTGGTGGCCAACTCTGTGCTGGCTACGGACCACGGCGTGGGTTTCTTTGTGGCTATTCAACTACTCATTTTTCTACCGCTGTCCTTGACAAGAAACATCAGCAAGCTCAGTTTCACGGCGCTGATCGCCGACGCGTTCATTTTGCTCGGACTCGTCTACATCTACTTCTGTTCCACCGCCCATTTGGTGCTCAACGGCGTATCTCCCAAAGTATCCATGTTCAAGAGTGACACATGGTCTCTGTTCATGGGCACTGCCGTGTTCGCGTACGAGGGAATCGGGCTCATCATCCCGATCCGCGAGTCCATGGCCCACCCGGACCAGTTTGAGCGACTACTGGTGCTGGTGATGGCCGTGGTGACGGTGATCTTTGTCACCCTGTCCACGATCTCGTACCTGAGCTTTGGCGACGACGTCAAGACAGTGATCCTGCTCAACTTCCCGCAAACCACGCTCGCGCTCGTCGTCCAGGTGTGCTACGCGATCGCCATCCTGCTGTCCACGCCGCTGCAGCTGTTCCCGGCCATCAAAATCTTTGAAAACTACCTCTTCCACAAGGAAAGAGCCACTTGGAAAAGAAAGATCAGAAAGGACTCCGAGCAGAAAATGCGCACCGAGTCGCAGCCGCTGCTGCTCGGCGTGCCGTCGTACGACTCCACCTCGCGCGACCTGCGCCAACTTATCCAGAGCATGCCCGAGGACGCCGTGGACGACAACGGAGTCATGTCCGGCAAACGGGACTTCACCATCAAGTGGCTCAAGAACTTTGCTCGGGTCTGCGTCGTGTTCCTCATGTGCACGATCGGGTACCTTGGTTCGAGCGACCTGGACCGGTTTGTGTCCATTATCGGCAGTTTCACCTGCATCCCGCTGATCTACGTGTACCCGCCGGTCCTGTACCTGAAGAGCTTCGACGAGCTCTCGCGGCCAGCACGACTTGCCAACCTCGTCATCTGCGTGATCGGCGTGGGAATGATGGCCTACACAAGCTATCAGACGCTCTCTACGTGGGGTGAATAGAATTTTAATTGCATGCTATCCAAAGTGACGTTCGTACTGCTTCAGCTCTCCTCCTCCTCCTCATTGGCGATCTCCATCACGGCCTTCCAATTGGTACGCAGAATGAGAACCAGTTCCACCGCCGTGAGCAAAAACACAGAAATCGTGAACGCGATCCACAGCCCATAAATTCCGTAGCTCTTGCCAAACGCCAGCCAGTACGCCAGAGGAACACCAATCAAGTAGTAGATGCTCAGGTTGAACGCCGACCCAACGTCTTGACGCCGTTGACTCCGCAGCAAGCCTTGCAGAATCGCGTTTGCTGTGTCGTACGTCTGCGTCATGTTCAACAAAGGAAGCACGCGGTAGCACAGCACGGCCACCTCCGGGTCGTTCGTGAACGCGGCCGTGATGGGCTTCATAAATATCGTCAGCACAGCAGTGATGGTTAGGCCAAGCACAAAAGCCGTCTTGATGCACAAGTACGTGGTGTCGCGCGCAAACTTCTCGTTGCCAGACCCGATGTGTGACCCGACTCTGGTGGAGATGGAACTGCTTAATGCCAATGGAACCTGGAACACCAGAGATCCAACGGATGAGCAGATCGACTGCGCAGCCAGTGACGTTTCTCCAAAATATGCAGCAGCTAACGCCATTGCTTCGTACGCAATGTATTCCGCCTCAATTCCAACTAGGGAAAATAATGCCAGATACAGCTGGTCCGAAATATTCACAAACATGCGTTTGTAGATGAACCCGTGCCAGCACTGTTTTCCGTCCACAAGTAGCACGTAGCCTACAAGGAACAGTCCCATGGCCCAGAACGAGGCAGCAACCACAATCGGTGCTCCGTAGAACCCAAGTCCAAACGTAAACGTGAACACATACAGCGATATCAAACTGAGCGGAGAAACAACAATCAGCGCATACGTGGAAGCATGGAAGATCTGCTGTGCTTGAAGATACCGCTTTCCCAGCTCAAAAATCAGCAAGCCCGGGATCCCGCAAAACACGATCCGCAAGTAAGTCTGGGCCAGGTGTGCGAGCTCTTGGTCCGGCTGGAGAAACCCCAGAATTGGGCCGCTGTGCCAGCATAAGAGTGCAGAGGGAATGAGTAGAAGGATGTTGACGGCCAGGTTCTTTTGCACAACCTCGCCTACCTGAGAGTAATTGCCTGCTCCGTAAGCGTGGGGTGCAAACGACTCCACGGACGTTACAGCTCCCTGGATCACACCCAAGCACGTAATGTTCATGAACATGGTGGCCAGACTGGCAGCTGCTAGAGCCTGTGTAGACACACGGCTTATGACCATCAAAGGACTAATAGCCAGGAAGTCTTGCATAAAGTTTGTAAGAACTAACGGTACGCTGTCTTTGAAGATTTTCTGCAATTCATTGATGCGGTCGTATCTGGTTTCAGATAGTTCTTGAACGTCGGTGTCGTTTATCGCGTCATAATTAGGAGTTCTATCCGCGTCTTGTATTAGTGACATAGTTTGAATTGGTAAAAAAATGTTTTTCGTTCTTTCGCGGTATTACTCACCAAATGCGTTTATCAACCATATCGAAGCGAACAACAGAATCGAGGCGTTCGCCTTTTTTCAGTCTCAATTCTTCCAAAGATGGAGGAACTTTTTCGTAAGCTTCGTATAGTTGTGTTCTTTGCTCCTTGACGTCTGTTAATGTGACATTGGGATCTCCTCGGACAAAGTCTTGCTTTGTTTGCTGCGAACGGAGAATCTTGTTCGACCACCGCAAAAGACCCAGAGATAACACCAGACGAACCACCGTGATAAGCGAGAAAATCAGCAGCAGTAACAGGAGTCCAAGGAAACTGAGTCTTTCTGTAGTCTCATTGTGGAGAAAATGCTTGACCCATGGATACATGCACATCTTGATAAACACAATCGATAATGTGAGCACGGGCAACCCAGTACGTTTGAGAAGCATTTCTGGATACTCGTCCAATGCAGTGAGGTTCGACCGGAAACTGTTAACGTAATCTGTTGCGAAAACCCGAACGTACTTGCCGTAAATGGTTGGTTTTATTCTGTTGAATTTGGTGATGTATGAGTGTTTTAGCCAATCGACAAGGACCTCAGACCCAATAACTGTGAACATTGGGCCCATCAACAGACCGATCCAGTTGTTGAGTGTAGTGGAAAATGTCATTTGACTATACCAAGAGTGAGGCTTCAAGTTGTCAAACAAGCCTGTAGATGTTGTATTGGTGTACACTTGGAACAAGTTCCTCGACGAGATGATAAACAGCATCACCAGCATTTGGAATCTCTCGTTGAGGTCGGCGCAAGAAACCTGGAACAGGCCTTCTCTTTCTGATCTCTTGAAAACAGAACTTTTCAGCTCTGCAAATTGGTTGGACAGTATTAATGTCAGAAGCGCGTTCGAGTACGAATTGATGGCCACGTTCAGCGCCATCACCTGGTAAGCCAAGACGTAGGAGTGTAAAGTGAGATAGCAGACGCTCACTGCTGTAATTGCAAGGAATTTCATTGGGGTTTTCAGTTCCGTGGTGGGGAAGATAGGCACAAAATAGACAACTTTGAGAATGTCTTGGCCCACGGCACTTAGGAGTCTGTCTGCAATTTCCAGGACTCCCACCATAAAGTATAGTTTGACTGCTGTTCCGGCACGAATGTTGTGATATATTTTGCTTGAGTCGAGGTTCTTAAGCAACATGAGACTGGAGATAATGAGGATCATGGACACAAAGTCGTTTTTCGTTCTTGTAGAGTAGTATTTGAAGGTCTTGTTGTTTGTGAACGAGGACCTGATGAGATTGTATGAATGTAATGCCGATCTCAATGGAACCACTGTTATTTGTTTTAGAAACACAATCAAACAGTAAACCAGTCCGAAACACATAAACTTCTCCAAATGAACTGGCAATTTGACAAAGTTGACGAGCAGTTCCGAATTGACTGACGGGTCGTCCGAATCCGAACTCTGAGACTTGGACGGTTGATCGTCTTTGGATGTGTTGAGTTCAGCAAGAAGCAGTTTCCATAGCGTAAAGCTGGAGGGTCTGTGGTCTCCCGAAGAGGAAGGCTGATTTTCCGGGGCGGACGAGCGACGTTCGGCCGACGGCGTTGGCTTTACGGGCGTTGAGCTATCGGAACGTCTTTTCATGAAACAAAGGGAAATAACAAAAAAAATAAATGTGGATAAGATAAAACGCAATTGACCAGTTATGAGGGCCACGAATAAATAACTTGGCAAATGCCCAATACGCTACACAAAGTTATCCATGGTGATGAATTGTATTTATTATTAGTTTTCGTAGGTCTACGACAATTACAGATGTTGTGGCCAAAATCTGTGGTTAATAGTATTACTCCATAATAAACTTTTTCCAACATATTTCATGCCCCCAATAATAACTACTTTGCAACCGATCCTGGCCCCCTACGAGGGCAAGCCACTTTTGACACCCAAAGAGGCCAACATGCTCACATACCATCTGATTGAGCGGCTGATGGAACATTCGTGTGACAAATCCGTGCTCAAGCTCCTGGCCAGGTACTTATCAAAACAAACGTACGAGGAACTGGTAACCGAGAGAATCATCAACCATTACTGCGGATATCCGCTGTGCGACTTCCGAGATCCAGGCAGAATCAAAGAAGTCCAGGTGAACCAGCTGGTTTCGAAACTCAAATTGCCCAAATCGTACAACCACAAGTATTGCTGCAAGAAACACTATCAGTGTTCGGAGTTTTACAAGCAGCAATTGACCACAGACGCATTGTTTTCACGCACAAAACTCGATCTGCCCCAGTTTCATCCAAAGGCCCCGGAATCCAGCATAATTCTACTGGACGATATCTTTGATCCCGTCGGAACGTCCAACCCAGACGATATTATGTTGCTGTTGCGCGAAATGAGCATCAGCGACCCCCAATTGGAAACAGACGAGCTGATCGACAAGTTCAGCAACATCGTCATCCATGAAAAGAACATTGAGTAACGAACTGATGAACCATTTTACGATGAAACGATTGTACCCTTCATTTACATATATACATTAACCTCTACTCTATATTCAGTCGTTTGAGTCTGCTCGACGACTTGAACCCGTGCTGACGCATCAGACTCCCTAGAGACTCGTCAACCACGTCCGTGTATGGCCCTATCCCCTCTGCTACCAGCACTTTTTTAAGTCGCTTCAAGTTGTTGCCGCTCTTTGTCCATATCTCGTCAAACTCCGGCTTCATCTTCTTGAACAGCACCTGTGACAGCTTGTTGTGGAACATGGTATCTTCCTCCACCTGGATTCCTCGTGCTGTCAGATTTTTCTTCCACTCGTTTCCAACTATGAGCCATTCGTGTCCCTTCTTCCCCGTCACCAGGTCCTCCCACTCCTGTTCTCTTTCATGCCACTGTTTCCACATGCGCTCCCAGTCCTTGTACTTGTTCAGCTCGTCCACATACTCCTGATGCCGCGTCCGTTGCAAATAAATGCCTCTTCTTCCAGTGACATGAATATGCTCGTTCCACGGCGTGCTAATCACAGACAGAGAGTTCAGCGTCCCCGTCACGCTTTTCACTCGCGCAGTGGACGGTCGCGAGTACTTTTCGTCCAGAATTCGAAAGTCTCTTTTGGCACGTTCGTACAACACCTTGGACCGTAAAATAGTGTTCACATATTTCGGGTCCAGCTCGCTCTTGGACGGCAAGGCATTTCGCTGCTGCTGTTTCTCGATGTACGTCTTCATCCAGCTCGCCAGCTGGCGTTTTTCTCTCGCAATCTCCTGTTCCAGCGCTCTGGCAGCCACTTCTCTATTGACCACTTTTCTTAGAGTCAGCGAGTCTGGAAGCTTGGGCTTCTTATGTGTGCCTGCCCGTGTAACCAGCTCGTCCAAACACGTCTGGTCTCCCTCGTTGGCGGCAAGCAGCTTCTCGTTGTGACTCAGCGCCTCATTTATCTGGTGCTGGACCTGTAGTATATCGTCGTTTTTGATCTGGTTTCGAAATCGTCTTTGTATTCGAGCAATCCAGTGCTCTCTTGTGGACTCATCAAGGTTCTGGCACCGCAGCGTATTTCGCAAAAGCAGTCGATACAAGTAAAACACCGTTTGACGGTGCACCTTGTTAAAGGAAATGGAGAGCATTAAAGATTTGTAGGAATTTAAATATTCTGAAAAATTAAATGCCAACACCAGTGTACAACAAATTGGTTTAGCAAGGACATTCCGTGAAGCTGTTGATAATTCATCAAACAGCTGTTCATTTGTGGTTTCTAACCAGCTTGGGCAACAACATATTCTGTTGCAGTACCCAGCAGTATATTGACCCGGAGTTCAAAACATCCAGAGACAGGCAACATGTCCGAGCGGTTAAGGAGAAAGATTAGAAATCTTTTGCGATTTTCGCGCGCAGGTTCGAGTCCTGCTGTTGTCGCTTTCTTTTTTCTTATTTTTTTTTGGCTCTCCAAGATACTTAAAATACACACTTAAATAACGTCTTCGAGCTCGTCTGTAGACAACCCCCGTTCTCCTTGCATGTTCTCTGGAGCCTGGATGCTTGGAATGAACTCTAACACAATATAGACGATTCCAATGAGTAGCAAAACCACCGCTGCCAACAGTCTGATGACAGAACTGTGGAAGTTCAAACTGGCAATCAGCACGTAAATCAAACCTCTTCCCAAAAAGGAGAAAAACGAGGAGGCATAAGCATACAATTGAGGTGGATTTTTGAATTCCAGGTACCCAATGATACCCCCCAATGCCGTAATATACAGACCTTGAAGGAAGTAGTTAAAGCCGTGAAACAGTTCTGTCAGGCCCGTTAAAACACTCAACACGGCAACTACCAAATTGACAATCTTGAACACAATGCTAAAGTCCGAACCGGTGTTTTCAAAATCAATTCCCTCCATGGCTTAGAATTCTTGCTTATCTGTTAAAATTAATATGTTTAATTTGTTCCATTTAGAAGAGAAAAAGATCTAGCTAACTAATAACTATAAATCATAAAGCAACGAGAACACATCCTGACGGAAAAGGCACATTTATACAGAAAACAGTTAGCAAACTTACTCTTCATCTGGTTTTTCAGCAGCCTTTTCAGGAGCAGGCTCGTCTTGGCCGGCTTCTGACATGTCGGAAGTCCACAAGGTCAAGTTGTCTCTCAGTAGTTGCATGATTAAAGTGGAATCTTTGTAGGACTCTTCTGATAATGTATCCAATTCGGCAATGGCGTCATCGAAAGCTTGCTTGGCCAAGTGGCAAGCTCTGTCTGGAGAATTGAGAATCTCGTAGTAGAAAACGGAAAAGTTCAACGCCAGTCCCAATCTGATTGGGTGGGTTGGTGGCAACTCAGTAACTGCAACCTCAGAGGCAGCCTTGTAGGCCTCCAACGAAAGATCAGCGGCCTCTTTACGCTTTTCTGTGACTGCAAATTCGGCGAGGTATCTGTGGTAGTCACCCTTCATCTTGTAGTAGAACACCTTGGATTCTCCGCTCTGAGCAGTTGGAATCAAGTGCTTGGTCAACACGTTCAAAATGTCTTCGCAGATGTTCGAAAGTTCCAACTCAATCTTGGATCTATATTCTCTTATAAGAGAAACCTGAGTTTCATTGCCCTTGGCCTCTTCCTTTTGTTCAATCGAGGAAACAATTCTCCACGAGGCTCTTCTGGCACCGATCACGTTTTTGTACGCAACGGACAACAGATTTCTCTCCTCGACAGACAATTCCTGGCCAGAGGAAGCGACCGCCTTCATGTTTTCAACCATCTCTTCGTATCTCTCGGCCTGTTCGGCCAACTTGGCTAGATAAACAGAATCTTCACGGGAAGCTGGCATTGTGAATCTGTGATATTTGTTAGTAAACAGGGGTTTAGTCTCGGGGCACGCAAGGCGGTAGCAATTAAGGTAAACAACTGAATCCTTTGATTTCTTCGCTTGTTTTCACTTTTTCATCCAAATACGTGTTAGCCGGTTATGTGCCCGCCGCTCAGCAACAAGGCAAAAAAAAACATCGCTCCAAAACCGATAACAAACCTCTGCACCGCAATCATCCTCAACAATAGTCTTTTTCATTGCCTCTGATAGGCTCCCTTGGGCTTAGTCTTGACAAGGGGCTCATCAATCCGTCTAGTAAGCCATCAGTACAAGGGATACCCACGCACAATTGAAAGCCCGAATAAGGGCACTGACTATTTTCGGAAAAAAGCCGACCCAAAACATTCGGATCACATCAGCTGATCTCAAAAGTAACGGTCGCAGACTATGCTTAACGGCGTGGTTGCTGGTGTACTGTGTTCAAAACTCATATCCCAAAAAACAACTTATCGACAACACGGTCTCCGCATTTGCCTATTTGATCTGATTTGCTATTCACACTTGACTGCTTAATTGCCACCGTATCGCGCTGTGCAATTGCACTAAAAACGTGTATACTTACAAATATGACTGGGTATGACTTTATCACAAGGTATTTGTTTAAGTGGATAACTAAAGGGATAGTGTGTTTGATGATGGTATTAAAAAAATATTAAGTAAATATAATTCCACAAAGGAGCCAGTACAATTTCCGGCCGCTCTGCAGGCGCCGTCATGCGAAAAGCGTCCGCCATCCTCCCACCGGTTGCCGCAACTTTTTTCTCGCATTCGCGCCAGCCCCTCTGAGAATAAATGGAGTAAGCAAGACAAGAAAAGGGGAATGTTACCCGGACACGGTGCACGGGTTTGGGGAGCAAGAGGTAGCCACGGCTGTATATTACTCTATCTTTAATTAACGGACTTGAGGGGTTGGCACTCCTTGATCTTGAGACCGAATCTCTCGTCCTGTGTCAGTTGGACCAAATCGCTGACTCCCTGGGCAACAGCCTCAGAGAGCTGGAATTTAGAGTGCACCCAGCTTGGTTTGCTGGTGGAAGCACCTCCGCTCAAACGCACCAAAACGTTGGAATCACCATTCAAAACCACAGTCGACAGTTCTCTGGCCACAGGAATTGCCTTGGAGGCCTTGAGCAGCGACTTCAACGAAGGAACACCCAATCTTGGCAATTGCAACTCCATGCCAGGCAAGACAGGATTCTCAGCGTCGAATCCATTGACACCGGTCGAGCTGGAAGAGTTCAAAATCACCTGCAGAGGCAAGAACCGGGCCCTTTGGATAGGCTTGGCAACGGCAAGGTGTCTATTTGCGAGTTCTGCGAGTCCCAATCTGGTTGGTTTGATTTCATTCTGGATCGATTGGAGTTGTTGGTCAATGTTTCCATTAAGATCAAATGGAAAGCCGGATGTCAAATGCGAAAGTTTGAATGGATAAACAGATAATTGCTTGTCGATGGTGGACAAAAGCTTTCTGGAGGTTTTGAGCTTCAGCTGGTGGGAGATTGCAACGTCCCGCACAAATACACTTGGTTTTGGTCTGAATGTGTCGTTTGAGTGGTTAGAACCGGTCACGTTATCCACGTTCTGGAGAGTAACTAACCCTGGACCCTCGGTGTCTTCCAAAGGAGCCATCTTGATATCCACTGTGTAGACTTCACCTGGAGACACGGTGAACTCGTCGGTTGGAACGGCAGACGAAGCAGTCACCTTGGCACTCTTAGTTTTATCGTATGCAACCAATTGTTGGTCGTTGTTGTATTTAGGAGACTTTTGCAACAATTTGAGTTCTTGGTCGGCCTCATACCAAACCACACCTTTGAAGTCTCTCTCAGCAACAATTCCCTCGGCCTGTCCAGCCAAAAACCGTCTGATTCTTCTCACCTTGGAAGTTGGAGCAACCACACAGTTGAAGCTCTCAGCAATCGAATCGACAACCTGTCTGATCAAAGAACCCTTGATTAAACCTGATCCATCAGCCAGAGACTGTGGGATCTTCTCTGGGGTCATGGACAGAGCCAAAAGAGAGATCACGGTCTCGGTTGCAATGTAAGCGGCACAGACAGCGTCAGCACTGGATCCCAACAATGGACCAACAGATGCTCCTGGAGGGTAGATCACCAGAGTATGTGCAACGTTGGAGGTGTATCCGTCGATCTGACATCCCAAGTTGATGGTGACAATATCACCTTCTTTGAACTTGAAATTGGTCTCATCATCAACCTCTGGAGAGTAGCCAACAACGACATCATTAACATCGATGGTAACTGGCTGGGCAATACCTTTTTCTCTGACTTGATTCTTGTATGCGTTATCGAGAGCAACTTTCATCTGGGAGTCTCCGAGCAAACACAGTTCTGCAACAGAGTATGGCTCGTGCTTTCCAAGATGGTAAGAATCGTTGATCAACTCGGTCAAATAAGCCAGACAGGTCTGGGTGATTTGACCAGCCAGTCTGTATTTTTCCAAAGTAGATGCGTCCAGGACGTTCTTCTTCTCAAGCAAGATACTTCTATCTCTATCGGACACAGCTAACTCCATCTTGAAGATCTTTAAAATAAATCAAAATTTTTTTCAAAATTTTTTTTTCTTCACCCTTGCACGGCTTCTCTGATAAGCGTGGCACGCGAGTTTGGGGAAGCTGGCGAGATCTGGTGTGGGCTGGGAATTTGAAATGAGGATATGAAGAAGGTGGTGCTGTGGGGGACATCATTGGTTGTTCTGAATGCTTAAATTCCTTCTATAGACACAAAATCTTGGCGCAACCCAGAGTGGCCCCTGATTTGGCCAAAAACGGATCTAGAGGTGTCAAAAATTATATTTATTCCGTTATGCCGTTGAGACTCGTTCTTCTTGGAGCTCCCGGTTCAGGGAAGGGAACATTGACGTCGAGGCTATTGAAACAGCTACCGAGCTTGTCGTCGCTGTCTACAGGAGATATCCTGAGATCGGAGATACAGAAACAGTCGGACGTGGGGAAACTGGCTGATACATACATCCGAGGAGGAAAATTGCTACCGGACAGGTTCATGGCGACCCTTGTGGAGAAAGAACTGCTTGACCGCGATTTGCTGCATAAGCCGTTTCTTCTGGACGGGTTTCCTAGAACTGCAAACCAGGCTTTGGAGCTGGAAACAAGCCTCAAGGATAAACCAATAAATCTTGTTGTTGAATTAGACGTTCCCGCAGACGCGATAGTGGGGAGAATCACGAGTCGGTGGATGCATTCTTCAGGAAGAGTGTACAATCTGGAATATAACCCGCCAAAAGTGCCGTTCAAAGACGATGTCACGGGAGAGCCGTTGTTCCAACGTGCAGATGACAACCCCGAAACTGTGAAAAAACGGCTCTTAACATATTACAGAGAATTAGAGCCGATCAAACAATTCTATAAATCAAGGGGTGTTTACCAGAAAGTTAGTGGGAAAACCTCGGATATCATCTTTCCTCAGTTGTTGACCATTGTGAACAATCACGCGGATTAGAACTCGTTCGTCAGAAAGTGGATTCTGTCGATACTAGCGAGTAAATTTCAGCTCGGGGAGCTATTTTATTATTATATTTCTTTCATCTACCGATACCGACTAAAATGTAGCTACCAATTTGGCAAGTACCGAAATCGTGCGGCGACCTCGGGCAGATATCCGAATTATATCCGAGTCGAGTCTCACAAACATCTGGATCTGTCACGAAGGTCCGCAATGGATCCGTTACATCTTTGCACAGGAGGAAGCTTGGATTTTTCTTCGAACTAAAATTATTAATCAATAGTGGGGATGAATCATAGCCATACCGACACGGTCGGCCAGACTTCGGGACATTCTTTCAAAAAGAAGCACCGTTCCGCACGGGCATGTTTGGTATGTCGAGAAAGAAAAGTCAAGTGCGACGTCACTGTGACTTATCCCGATAAATGCTCCAATTGTGTACATTTTGACATTGATTGTGTTCTACCAGAGCCCAAGAAACGGGTGGTTCCCAAAGTCAACAAGATCAAGGCAGAGACTCACAAGAGAAGTACAGACGGCAAGCATGAAACTCCGGACTTTGTTTCTCGCGATCCGCACGAGGAGTTCCCTGAACTGTACACACGGAGTCTTGATCCAGGAAAAATGCTGCGGCGGGAGGTTTCCGTTTCATCGACGGTTGAGTACTTTGGGCCTCCCAGTTTCCTGCAAAACGCAGTCAAGGAGTATATTGATACCAAAAGGAAAGCCAACCAAGTTAAGTTGTTCCATCTGAATGAAGTGGACTTCAAATATTTGGACAATCTCGGATGCTTTTGTCTTCCGGACCAAGACCTATTTGAATTGTACATTAATACCTATTTCGAGACATTACACGTCCAGTTCCCCATTTTGAACAAATACGAGTTTCTAAGAGACTATCTCACGTTGGAAAACCCGAAAAGTTTACTGTTGCTACAGTCTGTGCTCTTCGCTGGGGCCAAAATGTACCGCAAATTGGACTGGTCTTCGGAAGATTACGACCGCCAACAACGAATCACCAACCTGCTCAACCGGCGTGCCACCGCGTTGTTTGAGCTCCATGTCGAACAGGAACCTATTCTACTGCTTCAGTCAATGTTCATCTTTGGTAACTATTGGGACTGGGACACCCAACTAATGAACACTAAAAACGTAATTTTCCTCACAAACACAAAAATGGCCATCTCAATGGCCTACTCCATCGGGCTGCACAGGAACTTTGCGAGCAACAAGGATCTCTCGTCTGTGGAGAAAAACATTTACAAAAGAATTTGGTGGTGTCTGTTTTTAAAAGATACGTTTTCGTCGTTTGCACTTTCGCGGCCGTTTTCAATTGATCTTCAATCGTGTGAGGTACCATGGCCTGATAGGGACACGTTAGACGACACGGCCCATCCTAACGATGACGAATTTGGTCTCACAGACTTGGAAAAAGACTATTTCTTGCAAAGACTATCGCTCGCAAGAGTGCTACGGAAAATAGTGGACAACCAAAACGTTATTTCGCGGATCTCCCACTCGGGGGAGTCTACATATTCCCTGCTCAAGGAGTCTGACCAGCTGCTTGCCGATTGGATGTCTCAGTTGCCTACGTGTTTCCATCTGAACCTGGAGGATTTGAACAGTATTTTGAACTCGTACGGAGCATGGCTGAACCTGGAATATCACACCATTCTTCTTTTTGTCCATCGGTGCAACATCATTGGAAGCACTAAGATAGCTACCGAACGCAATGGCCGGATTCCAGACGTTCTACCCTCGTGGAGTGCATCTTTCAAAGTTGCGTACGTGGTGACGCAATTTGGTGATTACCTGAAAAGAGAGAAACTGTTGAGAAACACAACATCGCTCATTCTCTACAGCATGTGGACTGCTGGTATCACAATGGTGTATCATCTACACAACAAGGACCCCCAAATCGTGGAGATTGCACGGCGGTCGATCGTCACATGCATTGATCTGCTCTCCGACTGGCCAATGGCCGATTTTATGTCGTACACAATGAAGACATTTTTGGAAGATCGGTCCAAACAGCTGATGGTTGTTCGTGGAACGTTGAAGATGGTCAACAGTGCAGTGGCCTCGGACCGTCAAAGTTTAAGGACCAGCGAAATTTTGGACGAACTGCTTAAAAATTACACCAATAGACTGAAAAACACATCCATTTGCAAACACTTGATGGAAGCAGATCAAATCGCCACAAAGGAGGAGAAGAAAACTCCCGCCATGGAGGAGCTCAACGGACCGCTTCTTCCTGAATACTCCACGCACACGCCACCAATGATGTTCAACCCTGCTTTTTCCGACCTGGTAGGCGAGAACTGGATGCCCACTTTCGACATTTCTCCACAAACAGAATCTTCGGATTCTGCGATTCCATTCGACTACGCCATGACCAACGTCGTGGACGATCTCTTTGGAGTATTTGGGAATGTCGACTTTGGAGTTTAAAATCCAGCTACCAATTTTATTTAGATGTTAATTTGCTCGAAAATAAATTAGCCTTGTATTTTTAGTTGGACTGCCATTCCATTTCTTGGACAATTTGCAAAAACATTCTTGATTTAAGCGCCAGAAAGCGTCTGTGAGAACTCCGCGCGTGTCCAAGTGAACCATGATGTTTTTGTTTCCACGATTTGGCGTCAGCTCGACGATTCGACCTCTTCTCCGAGGTTCGGTGGTGAGCCCTCTGGGAATAGTGTCAAAAGTGAGTCGTTTTTCAACATTGCGACCACAGCATCGACCATTGTTGTGGACAACACAGCCTAAGGTTTTGAGACCAGCACTCAGGTTCAACTCTACAGCACAAAAACCAAACGATCAAAAGTCGAAGACCGACGGAGAATCCAAAGACGAATCAAAGAAAAAGTCCTCGTTCAACGAGATTTGGGAGCTTCTCAAACTCACAAGAACAGAATTATCAAACATGTCCATAGCTATCTTATTCCTTGGTATTTCGTCGTCGGTTTCGATGCTTTTCCCTATGATCATGGGTAAAGTGATCGATATGGCCAAAGAGGAAGGTGAGAAGTCGACAATTAATATCTTTTCGCGAGAGATTCCTGCCAGACAGTTCTTCATTGGCGTTGGTGGACTGTTCCTGGTAGGATCCCTGGCTAATTTTGGAAGAATCATCCTGTTGAGAAAAGTCGGAGAACGAATCATGGCCCAACTCAGAGTGGACATTCTCCGCAAGATCTTTTACCAAGACGCAAAATTCTGGGATATCCACAAGAGCGGAGACCTGATCTCGCGACTGGTGAACGATTCCACCGTGGTTGCTAGATCTGTCACTCAAAACGTCAGCGATGGACTTCGGTCTTCGATCAGCTGTTTTGTTGGAATCGGTATGATGGTGACCATCTCTGTGAAATTGACCGGGTACATGGCCCTCATCTTCCCTGTGCTGATGTTTTTTGCACTGGTGTTTGGAAGACGGATCAAGTCTTTATCTAAAGAGATCCAGAAACAGCTAGGAAACCTGACCAAAGTCTCTGAAGAACAGTTCAATTTTACCAAAACCATCCAGAGTTTCAACAACGAGGAGTACGAGGTTGGAAAGTTCAAAAAGGAAGTCACCAAATTGTACGACTTGTCCGTTCACGAAGGAAGACTGAGTGGATACTTCTTTGCCGGTAACGGGTTTGTTGGCAACGTGTTTTTGATTGGTTTGCTATCTGTCGGAGTCCAGATGGTTCGTCAAGGAGAACTTACTCTTGGAGAACTGTCCTCTTATATGCTGTACACGACGTTCAGTGCGTCCAGCGTGTATTCTCTGTCCAACTTCTACACCGAGTTGATGAAAGGTGTTGGTGCTTCTGAGCGGATCTTTGATCTGATCAAGCTTGAACCTGCTATTGTTCCCACCAAGGGTAAGAAGATCGATGTTTTGGGAAACGTCGAGTTCAAAAACGTCTCATTCAAGTATCCTACTCGTCCAACGCACCAGGTGTTCAACAACTTGGAGCTGAAAATCAACAAGGGCGACCATGTGTGTCTTGTTGGTCCTAGTGGATGCGGAAAGAGCACAGTTGCACAGCTGCTGCTGCGGTACTACGAGCCAGAGTCCGGCCAGATAATCGTTGATGGGGAGCCATTGACAGAAGTGAGTCTGGCCAATTTCAGAGAACAGACGGGAATTGTTCAGCAGGAGCCGATGCTGTTTTCTGGAACACTCAGAGAAAACATCACGTACGGCAAGATGGATGCCACGGACGAAGAGATCCAAAAAGTGTGCGATCTGGCCAACTGTTCCAAGTTTATCAATAATTTCCCGGACAAGCTGGACACGGTGATTGGGTCGAAAGGAGCGCAATTGAGCGGGGGTCAGAAACAACGGATAGCGCTGGCCAGAACGCTCTTGCTGGGCCACAAGACCAAGGACACTGTGAACGTCCCGCACGCCTACAGCGAGCGGGGCGAGCTGCTTCTGGGCCCAAGCATTCTGATTCTGGACGAGGCCACGTCTGCCCTGGACGCCAAGTCGGAGGAGGCCATCAAGCGCACGCTGCGGCTGAGACAGAAAGCCGGACTGACCACGATCAGCATTGCGCACCGGCTGAGTACGATCAAGACGAGCGACAGAATAGTGGTGTTCAACAACAGGGGCCAGGTCGTGGAGTACGACAACTTCGACAAGCTGTATGCGGACCCGGAAAGCCAGCTGAACAAGCTGCTTAGCAAGAGCGAGACGGGACAGGAGACTGAACATAAAGAGAAAGTAGAGGAGTAATGTACATTTATTGCCAGAGTACGAACGAGTCTGCGTTTTTCAGCAGCACCTGGACGTTTGGGCCGGGCCGGTGTTCGGACTTGTAGTATGCGACGTTTGTGTCCTGGACCCCGTGCTTGACGATGGCTGTCCAAGAGAAAGGGCAAAGTTGAAGCAGATTTTCCGCGAAAGTGGTAGCCAGGAGTCCGGAGAAGGAGATTTTATAGAGCTCGAGTTCCTGGCCCAGATCCGCGGTCTGCGGCCACGTGGAAACGTTGTCGTCTGTTCTGTCGAACGCAGACAGCTGTGGCGCGTTGAGCGAGGCGTATGCGATCCATTCGAGGGTGTTTTCGAGCCACTCGTGATTAATCAAGGGCACAAGATTTGGCGCTCTCACACGGCCGAGCGAGCTGTAGACCGGCCTGATCTCGTGCTGGGTGCTGTTTGCGAGTGTCAGCCCGCCTGCGAACGCAAATACGTGCTGCGACGGGTATTTTTGCGCAAACCAGACCAGCCGCATGTAATTTTTATCTTCCAGGGCCATATTGTTGAGGTCGAGCTGAACGACAAACAGCTGCTGCGACGTCTTTCTGTTTCCCATGGAGAGCTGTGAACGAGTTCCTTTCAGGCCTGAACGGTAGTACGACTGGGAGGTGAGACGCAGAGTGAGGATACCTCGAACTAGCGAGATAGAGTCCTCGTGCTCGGCCGGAGCATCCACGGAGACGAGCTGGATTCGCGGGAGGTCTATCTGGGCGGCCTGCTCAAACAGCTGCGCCAGCACGTCGTTCAACGAGCAGCGCACGGTGGAATAGTGTGTCTGGAGCTGATCGAGATGGTTCTGTTTAAGCGCGCGAAACTCGTCCGTGGACACGAGAACGTCCACGCGGATGGGGAAGTTGTGTTTCTCGAGCCGGCGGAGCGTTTCGTCGCGCGCAACGGCCCACGACCCGGCAAAAACCCGCGTGCTTGGTCCATTAGTCATTTCGGCAGTAGGCAGTGCACTGGAAAAAAACTTTTGGAAAAACCGTCTCAATTAAACATCTAGCCATGGGGTTCAAAATAGTGGACGAGCAGACGGAAAACCCGTTTTCGAAGCTGGTTTCCGGGCAGACGATCGTGGAGGTGCCGGAGTTCACGCTGGAATCGGGCGACAAGATCTTCAAAGTGCCGGTGGCGTACAAGACATGGGGCAAACTCAACGACAAGGGAGACAACTGCATGCTGATTGCGCACGCATTGACCGGGTCCGCGGACGTGAAGGACTGGTGGGGCCCGCTGATCGGCAGAGACCGGGCGTTTGACCCCACCAAGTTCTTCATCATCTGTCTGAACTCGTTGGGCAGTCCGTACGGATCAGCCTCGCCGGTGACCATGGACGGGGAGTACAACGAGAGATACGGGCCCGAGTTCCCGCTGTGCACGGTGCGAGACGACGTGCGCATCCACAAGCTGGTGCTGGACTCGCTGGGCGTGAAGCAGATCGCAGTGTGCATTGGTGGCTCCATGGGAGGCATGCTTGCGTTGGAGTGGTGTTTCGTGGACGGAGGCAAGTTTGTGCGGAGCCTGGTTGCTCTGGCGACGAGCGCGCGTCACTCGGCGTGGTGCATCTCGTGGGGCGAGGCCCAGAGACAGTGCATCTACTCGGACCCAAAATACGACGACGGCTACTACAGCTTGGACGACCCGCCGGTGAGCGGGCTGGGCGCAGCCAGAATGGCCGCCTTGCTCACCTACCGGTCCAGAAACTCGTTCGAGAAACGGTTCGGTCGCGGAGCGCCTACACAGCAGCAAAAAAGCAAAGATTTATCAAATACACCCGTTTCCGAGGACTCGAGTGCCGTGGAGGACTCTCCGTCCACCAAGGAGGAGAACTGGCAGATCCACAATGACGGCGCGGCCGTTCGCAGCAGAAAGTCGTTCGAGTCGCGGCACGCCAGCAGATCAAACTCCATAGACTCGTCGCTCTCTTCCGCAGACAGCGACAGTATAGACAGCAGTGTTTCTGGTAAGAAGCCTAGAAGGCGGCCGCAGCACTACTTCTCGGCCCAGAGCTATCTTAGATACCAGGCCCAGAAGTTCCACCAGCGGTTCGACGCCAACTGCTACATATCCATCACCAGAAAGCTGGATACGCACGATGTTGGCCGCGACCGGCCAGAGTTCGACAACGACGCGGCCAAAGCGCTGCAGAGCCTCCAGATCCCTGCTTTGGTGATCGGCATCGACTCGGACGCCCTGTTCACGCTCAGCGAGCAGATCTTCATCGCGAAGAACATCCCCAACTCCACCCTAAAGAAAATCCACTCTCCAGAGGGCCACGATGCGTTCTTGCTCGAGTTCAAGGAAATCAACGACCTGGTCATGGACTTTGAAAAGACCCATCTCAAGGAGATCATGGACCACGACGGCAACAACATGGACTGGTCAGATGAGACCGTCCAGCAGAAGGAGAGTGTTTTCGGCGAAGCAGAGGACGTTGCCAATTGGTAATAGACTTAATATTGATCGACAGTAAAGCTTATACTAGTAGCCACGAACCTTCGACTTCCTGATCTTCTTCCTCTTCGTCGCTCTTCACAGGAACCGCGTGTCGTGTTTTGCTAACAGAGATGCTTCGTGCGTACTCCATCTCGCGGTAGATGGTGTCGATGGCTGTTTGGACCCCGTTTTCCGACCGGATCTTCTCGCCAACAAGCTTGGCCTTCTCGACGATCCGCGTGCTTGTGGTGGCCTCCTTGAGAGCCTTTGCTAGACTCTTGTAGTCCAAATCTTTGAGTGCTATTCCACAGCCCAAATCCTCCACCCTTCCAGCATAGAACTTTTGGTCACCAAAGAACGGCTTGATAATCGTGGGCAGACCAAACCTGAGCGATGCGCCCGTGGTGCCGGACCCGCCATGGTGGACCGCCGCGTCGATTTTTGGGAACAGCCAATCGTGCGGAACGTTGCCGGCGTTGTAAATTTCCGGCGGGAGCACAATCTCCACCTCCGACTTGGACCCCAGCCGGTCGGACCAGCCCTTATTCAAGATGCACCGCACGTCGGCCTCCAACACCGCGTCCACCACGGCCTGTGTCAGCTCGGCCGGGTTCGACACCACGATCGACCCAAACCCAATGTACACGAGTTTCTTGTCGTCGTGTCGCGCCTGCTCAATAAAGGCCAACAGAGCACCAGGCGGCTCGTACCGGTCACTCTCGTCCAGGAACCAGTAGCCCGTCACTTGCACCCATTCGGAGAAGTCCACAGGCGGCGGGAACACCGTCGGCGAAATGTTGTACAGAAATGGCACGTTGTTTGCCTTGACCTCGGCAAGAGTCGTCTTTGGCAGCCCCAGAGTCTCAACCCGCCATTTGTTGATCTGGTGCACGGTTCCACGCCAGTACCCGTTCTCAAACGCCACGTAGGTCATGTAGTTGTACGCGCCGCCGAGCTTCTGGTCGGGAACCATGAACGCGTGCGGATACGCCCGTGTACGGGTCCAGGGCATGGTGAACGCGCGGAAGTACGGGATCTTGAGTCGCTCAGCAATGTGGATGCCGCAGATCGACGACGGAGACTCGATCAGAACGTCGGTGTCCTGACAAGAGTTCCACGAGGTCACCAGCAGGTCATCGATCCAGCTGCGGAACTTGGACTTGGCCTCCTTGATGAAGTTGTAGTTGATTGTAGGATGAGTCACCATCAAGGCCATCAGCTCGGACGGGTCGCCTGCAATGGCTGCAAAGCTGATGCCGTGTTTCTTGATCCATGGCTCGAACTCAGAATGCGTCACGATCCGCACCTGGTGGCCCTCTCTCATCAAGGCTTTACCCAGAGAAATGTACGGTTGCACGTCACCACGAGACCCAATCGTCAGTAAAGTGAACCGGTACGACTTGAGTGGTCGGAGGTTTGTCTTGCGCAGCGGGTGCTCCTCGATGATGATCGGAACATCGATACCGATCTCGTCGTGCATCCTGTTCTCAAACATCCGCAGCCGCGCAGACGCAAGACTCGTGTTGGACTCGGCCAGCTTGCACGACTCGTCGCTCGAGTTCTCGCCCGCGTTGGTGGCCGCGCTGTCGGTGCTGCCTTTCTTGAACATGTCGATCTGTTTTAGCAGCAGGAACTCACAGTCATCGCGGGCCTGATCGCTAGCAAACTCAAAGAACAACTCCTCGTGGCCATGAATCACAATCACCAGACCAGAGTACCCGAACCGGAACCCTTTCTCCTTCATGATGTTCTCGATGTCTGTGAACGGCAGAATCATAATCGTGCCTGTTCCTGGAATCGTCGACCGGAAACACATCTCGTTCGACCCAAGGTATATCTTTCCATAGGACGGTATTCCTTTCACCAAATACGCATGGTACGTGGATATGAGCTTTTCCGTGTCGGCGAGCGAAAACCGGCTTCTGAACCGTTCCGTAGCCGCCTGTCGCTGTTCCTGGTCCTTGACAAAATGCGTATCCTCCTCTCCGCGCAAAATAGCACACTTTTCGTCGTAATGCGTGATTGGAGACGTGGAGATCCAATGGTGCGTGAAAGCAGTGATGCCTTGCACCAGCGACCTCGTGGACCAGTTGCGCCGGCTTGTGGACCGGGAGATCTTTTCTGTGCCGTCCTTTTCTGCGGTTTCCGCAGTTTCTGCGCTTTCTCTTGCCGTGTCCTGGTCGGCCGCTGGTCCTTCCTCGTCAGGGACGATCTCGTCCTCGGAAAACACCTTTGACTGGTCCGAGCCCTTTTCCGACTCGTCCTCGTTCAGACTCTCTGCTATGCGCAGAACAGGAGCAGACGGCTTGCTCGACGTCTTCACCATCGACGGTGTCTGTTTCAGAATCTCAATCTTGGACTTGAGCAGGTGCGAATTCACGCCGTATTCGTCGTCGCTGTCTGTTCCTGTTCCCTCGGCGATCTCAACGCCGGCCTCGTGAATCACCTTCTTGATATCCTCAACTGCATTTTCACCTTTCGAGAAGAACATCAAAAAGTAATCGTCCACAGCAAACGTGTCTGCGCTCTCAATCACCTTGATCCGCAGGTTTTTGGTGATTCCAATCACAGAGGTCAGCTCAAGATCAACCACGTTCTGCAACGGAATCTTGATGGCCACCTGGTCGCCTTTGTTTTTCGAGGCAAATATGTGTTTGGTCAGACTCGAGGTCCAGGACCGGGCAGCAGCAAGGTTATCGGCCAGGAACCAGTGTGTTCTGGACTCTGTGATGATGCGGATCCACGTGGGTTTGCTAGGATCTCGCGAGGAGCTGTTCTTCTTCAGAATCTCGGCACGGAGCGCCGTGCGAAGATCGATAACCAATAGGGGAAAGTACAGGTCGGTGGAGTTGGCATAAACACTGAACGTGTTGTTGCGCAGAACAGCCCATTTGCGGTGCTCGCGCAGTGATGGATACGCCTTGGTGGTGAGCGCACCGGACTTGGTGATCGATCCCTGTTTCTTGGGCAAGAACGCAAAGAACAGAATGTCAAACTTGGTGATATAGAGATGGCCCTGCAACAGCACGTCTCCGATCAACCAGCAGGGATAATCGCTGATGAACTCGTCGTTGTCGGAGATGTCGAATGTGCGTTTGAGCTTGTTGGAGAGCGCAATGGCCCGTTTCTGGACGAGCTGGTTGTTGTCGAACTCGGACAGTCGCTTTGCAACCGAGAACTCGAACCTGGATCGGGCTTTGCGGATCTGTCGTGGGGGAGAGTGTGGTGCTGGTGGTTTGGTGTTTTCATTAATGGTCAAATCGAGCGGCGAGGGCGAATTTGCAAGACAGGTCTGGTCGTCCTCGTCATCAGAGACGTTATCGGAGTCAATATTGGGGAACTCTTCGTTGTCTTCAGAGTGTTCGTCTGTGGGGACATCTTCCGGGGCGATCTGTTGCTCTTCGCCTTCGAGGTCCTCGAATCCCGCGTAAACACTCGCTGTGGTGAGGAAACTCACAAACGACTTGGAAATCCCTTCTATCGAGGGCTTATCCTTATCGAGGCTTGCGAGACGATGTGGCGGCAGGGCAGATAATTTCGGGGTCACCACTCTGGACACCGATTTGGACCGCGGTTTGTGGGGCGATGTTCGTCTCGAGATCGACGTGATCAGACGGTGCGGTGACAGCGCAAAATGTCGCTTGGAAGGACTGTGCAGCTCTGTCTGCGAATCCCTGCGCGTGAGACGTTCTTCCGGCTCCAAGATCAACGGCGTCACCGACCTCGACTGCGTGCTGGACACTTCTTCACTCGGCTCGGTATCAGACATCCTTGAATGTGTCTAATTAATCCCGTCAGACCGAAATACTTTGTTTCAGGCGAAAGCAAGATATATATATTAATTATTAGGTGACATATAAATCGTCTATCTGCCAAGATAAAAAAAATATTAGCCTTCCCTATCATTTGCCAATTCTGAGCGGTAGCCGTGGTTTGCGAGCCAATTTTGCCGCCATTGATTGCCAAACCTGGTGCAGATCACCGTGGAAGCTAAGGCTACCAGAATAAGGGCCCCACTGATCACGCTGGACCAGCCGATTCCAATGGCCTCAAATAACGGTAGTGTGGCTCCAGATCCTATAGCAGACCCAATGTTGCGGATAAAATAGTTGGTTCCGAGCGCGATCGGCGGCCCGATCTCCGGCAAACTGCCAATGCAGTACGAGTTGATCGGCGTGTACACAAACGTTTGCGAAAACCCGTTCAAAAACATCATAATGATCGGTAGAGCCATGCCACCTTTTTCTTTCTCGATCGACCATCCGTATATTAAAATGCTGCCCAGCATCAGAACCATCGATCCCCACGCAGCCTTCAGCCGGTCCTCGCTCACCAGCACGCCGTTCCGTTTCTTTATCGCGCGTTTCAGCACCCAGTCAGCGTATCTCCCGGCAAACTGCGTCGAAATTAGCATCCCGCACCCGGGAGCAAGATAGAACAACGACCCTTGGATCGGGCTGTTGAACCCAAACCGCGGATCGACAACGTATCTGATGGGTGTCAACAAGGCGAAGAAGTTCCACGATAAACAGAACGTGGTGATTCCGGGAAGAAGTAGTGTTGGGATCCGAAGCGCGAAAACTACTCTGAACGGGTTCACCCCAATCAGTTTGAACTTTTTCGATGTTTCCTGTTTCCATTTGACAAACTTGACCTCGGGAGTGGTTTCCTTCAGGAAGAAGTACGCCAGTAGGAAAACCGCAGCGGTGATTCCTGCTTGGACCCAGAAAATGATCCGCCAGGAAGCATACGTGATGATGATGCCCGATATCACGGGAGCGAACGCACTGGCAGACAGTGTGCCAGCCAAACAGCAGCTCAACGCGGTGGATCGCTCTGTTGGCTGGTAAATATGCGACGTGACCGAAGCTGCTATGTTGATGTATGTGTAGCAGAACAACCCGGAAAGACTCCGGAACACGAAAAACATCGGCAGATTCACCGACACGGCAGTGAGAACCGATGGGATCAGCAACAGAAGACTCATCAACAGGAAGATCGGACGGCACCCGTAAAACTCGTACAATTGATTAAACACGCACGGCGCAATAGCAGTCATCACATTGAAGACCGTACCGGACAGATTGATCACAGAACCTGTTGTGTTGAAGTCCTTGGCGATGTTGGCCACGGCAGGCATGTATGCAGAAGATGAGTATGGCCCGAGCGAGGATGCCAATGCCAAGATAAATATAAAGAGCCGTTTTTCGTTCTTTGAAAAACGGCCGTATTTGAGCTCTTCTTCCTCGGTCAGCTCAAACCTGCCGTGTCCGGAAGGCTCTGTAATTTCGTTGGTCGCGTCTGTTTCCTTCCCCATGACTAGAAGACCATTTCTGAAAGTAATTTCCAAGGTGGTTTTTTTTCAACTTAAAAGAGCACTTCCGACAATATTTCCTAAAAGGTACAAGCGGGTGCATTGTCAGGAAAGAGTGCGGGAAAAAACATTAAATCTTTGCAACTGCTCAATTTTGAAGCACATTGGTCGCGTCCTTCACTTGTAGTATCACTTCCTGCAACGCTCTGCGTTCGTTTCTGCCGAAAAGGAATCCTATTTGTCCGTCAAGTAGACCGGTAGCAAGCGATAGAGAGCCCAGTAACATGAACAAAATCGAGGACCACGGAGCAACAAACGAAACAACAACAATCACCGCGAGACACCCGATGAATATCCACACAGAAACCCAGAAGTGCGCAATTCGTAGCCAGCTGCGCCAGTAGTTGTTGCTTCGTAAGTACTCTGCAACAAGATCAGACAGTTCCTGGTAAACACCAAGTCTGACGGCCCTGTCTGGGTAGCCAGGGGTTTTCAGCGATCTAGGAAGCACATTCATGGTAGCCGTGTAGGCAAAATGATCTGAGTACGACCCTATTCCCGGGATCTTGTCGGTGAACTGTACAGAAGCGTCAACGACTCGCAGTTTTGTTCTATCGATGAGAGCGTAATCCAGACGACACGCCTCGTCAGGACGTCTGTCTGCTCTCCAGGTATTAAGAGTGGAGTCACAGGTTGCTCCTCCGAGTAGGATCTGGTCTTCTGGAGTCATTTGTTTCAGCTTTTCCAAAATGGTAGCACCGTGGATCTCTTCCCAACTGTCTGTCAAACACGCTTCGGACTCCAAAATTCTGTACGGCAACGATCCGGGGCGGGAGTTGAGGTCTCCCACGAGAATCACCGCATAGCCCGCCTCGGTGAACGTCTGCACTATGGACGCGATTTCCCACGCCTGACAAGCCCGCACACACGCGTACGCAGAACTGCCTGTCAGGGCGTAAGGGGCATGCATGTGAGAATTCAGCAGGGCAATTGGCGACGCTCCGTCGTATAACGGCTCGAGCAACGTGATGGCAACGGCTTTTCCAACGTACCAATCGCCTCTATAAAAAGCGGCCGGTGTACCATTGACAGGGAATCTGTACAAGAAAGTTCTCTTGATGGGCACTTTGGACAGAATTGCGAGTCCCGGACCAGTGAGAATCCCGGACGAGAACTTTCTGGTGTACGGATAAACGTCTCCACAGGTTTCGACAATGATGTCCCAATCGCTGTCTGTCCATATCTCTTGCAATGCAACAACGTCATAGTCCGGCTGGCTGCGCAGTTTCTTGGCGAACGCGGTGATCCGCTCTGTCCGGCATTTAGAAACGTATTTTAGGCCCCAAAGATTGAAAGTTAACAGCTTCAAAGAGCCATCTTTTGTTGACAAGGACATTTATAGGAAATTTAATTTACAGAAATTTAATCAGAATAATTAACAATTAACTCGAGTTTATTAAATCAGATCTGAAATTTATGTGGTGAATGTCAAATAGCCGCGTTTCCGCCAACAAGTGTGTTCTTCATGGCATCAAGTTCCAGGCTATTTAGCGGCTTGCTCGCGCAACTGGATATTATGCATAAAATGACGGCTACGTGTAACCAGGTAATACACGCAAACGTTACTAAGGAGAATCAAGCCCGTCATCAGAGTGTAGGTGCCGCCGAGTGTCATGGAGGAAATCATTTTTGACAAACATGCAACAAAAATGGTGGCCATGCCGCACCGTCCCAGATTGTTAAGAGATGCAACCGAGCCAGAACGTTGCGGAAACAGGTCCACAAACAACGTCGGCACAACGCTCATCGGGAACATTGTGGTGAAGGTGATAAGAGAGATCATCACAAGTAGAATGGCCACGCTCTCGCGGTTCTGGAAACACCATCCATAGATCACAGAAGCCATGGCGCCCACAACAGCCGGAATGGCGAAATACTGTAGTCTGGCCCTGATGATGTCGAACGGTTCATCAGAGTTGGACTTCATGTGCTTGTTTCTGGCAAGGCGGTACGTAAAGTCCATAAACTTGCCGCTCAAAATGGCTCCCGCGATGGTTGAAAATCCGGGAGCAAAGAAACAGAGTCCAATTTTCAGCGATGAGTAGCCGTAGGTTTTCGACAGGTAAGTGGACAATGTGGCCTGTGCAATGGTCCAAGTGGAGAACAAGATCGAAGAAGGAAGCAGGATCATGGACACCTCTGGATATTTCAAGAAACTGATGGTCAAGAACGGATTATACTTGGTGAGCTTTGAAGGCTCCACTGTTTTGCGCTCTGTATCGCACAATCTGTCGCCAAAATACCACAGAGCAGGCGACTTGTGGTACCAATGAACTGGCGGCGCAGAAAGGTTTCCAACCACGCTGCGGTGTGTTTCCGGGAGACACACGGCAATAACCACTAGCAAAGCACCATCGATAATAGCACAAAAGTAAAAGATGGCTCTCCAGTTCCAGCCCGTGTCAACAAGCGAACCCAAAAACGGTGCAAATGCCTGTCCCACAAGCAAACATCCGTTGACGGTTCCATTAAAGCCTCCACGATCTTTTCGCGTCGTGAAATCACTAACGACAGAAGAGCAAATACTGATGAGCGGTGACACCGAAGTTGCAAGCAAACAACGCAGAAAAATAATCAGCCAGTATGCGTTGGCAACTGCAAGTCCAACATTAACGACTATGCCGCCAGTAAGACAGATTAAAATCACAGGACGTCGGCCAATGTAATCAGTTGCGGTGGAAAGAAAAACAGGTGCTGTTGCCTGCAAAACGAGATATGCAACAATGGTCAGGTTGACCTGCTCCTCAGAGATTTTGAAGTCTCTTTCGATCTCCGTAAGCGCCACCCAGTAGACGGGCATGCTCATCGACGACGCGGTGCCCATTCCTGAAAGCAGGATGGTCATGAGATGTTTCTCACGTCGTGTGAGGATAGTATGGGGTACCTCTTGTACGACCCCTTTATCAGATTCGATCTTTTTGAGCTCTGCCATGTCTGGAGGATCATCTTTGGCGGACATGGTGAAGTATTTATACAGATCGATATAACGGTTTATTCGAATGCGGAACGCATCCGCTGTAAAAAATTTAAAGTTAAGGCAGTGTAGAGAAAAATCCGGAGTTAAGCACCGTTGGAGTTAAGCTTCTGGTTCCGATACACCATTCTTGACAGGCTTTGTTCTTGAAGCAAGAATAACCAACTTTTATTTCACGTTGTTGATGCTATATAGGTATACAGATCGGGTATCATTTGGGAGGATTTTTCGGGGTGTTGATAAGAAACTTGCTTTTGGATTTGTCGTCGTCGGGCGCTCGTAGTGGGGGCAGCGTGGGTTCCTGGGGCTTTCCTGTGGGGAACTGGTACGACTGCTGATGGTAAGGGGATGAGTAGTAGTAGGGTGGTTGTTGGCGGGCCGCGTACGGAGACGCGGCCTGGGAAAATCGAGAAGTCGGGCCAACGCTAGTCGTCTGGGTCGGTGGATAGGAAGATGCGCTGTAGGAAGGTTCGCGGTACGGGTATGGGGACGCGAGCGGGTTATTTATAGAGCGTCGTTTGTCCAACGACAAAGAGTGAGATTTTGTAGGCGACGACGGCTGGCGATGGTGGGTTGGCTGGGCCGGGTCCGAGAACTTCCGTTTGTGAGCAGAGTACGATGGGGACGAGGTGGATGGGGCCGACGGAGTGTTGGGGTAAGGAAGGTTGGATGTTGTGGCTGACTGAGCGGAGGAAGCTGTTGTATCTAGTGATGACCCCTTTGACGTGATAGGCCCCACTGCGCCGGGACCGGGCCAGTGGTGGAACTGGAACTGCTGTTGTTGAGGTAAATTGACTTTCCACACAGAGGTGGCTCCCCCCACCGAGGGTATATTTGATGTTGTGTGGGATCGGCGGTGGGAGAAAGACTGGGCCGGGGAGTCTTCAGGGCGATATCGTGGGGTCTGGTAACCCGGCGTGGGCGAGTGGTATTTCAAAGTGTTCTCCACGCGTTCCCGAACATCGTCTGGAGAAACATTGGCAAACAGAAACGGGATAAGGTCGGGTGAAATTCCCACCTGGCGGGCAAGGTTGAGCAGTTCGAGAGCCAATTCCAAATTTCGCGACTTTGACTGCTCGGACCTCGTGCGTTCCTGCTCAGTCTTGAGCTGGATCAATTGTTCTAAAGATTCTTCCGAATAAGGCCAAGATTCGATTTGGACACCAAGCAACTGCGACAACACCTCCTGCGCCGACATTGACGCTGATTCCGGCTCGGGCTCGGGCTCAGGCGGCTGGTTGATGAGTTTCCTCAATGGCGATGCCTGCCTTGACGTGGGGTTGTCCTGAGCCTGTTGCTGCATGGCACAAGCTCATAGAGGTATCTGATTTTCAAGTGTGGAAAAAATCTGATTTTAATTGATTTTTTAACTTTGGCTGTGATTTTCAAAGGGGGTAACCGTTTGGCAGCATTTGTACACTTTTTTTCTCTATTTGGCTTAATTTGTTCCAATAATACGGCCGCGGCTGAACACATATGCAATTTTTTTTCTATTCATCCAACTGGGCACCAAACCCTGCGATCAAGTTACCGTTTTGGGGAATCTGATTGCTGCTTCACGGACTAGATTAGTAAATGGGCCCCTGCACCAGAACAAGGCTTTTCAGGTAAGTTTGTTTGAAATCGCAAGTCTCGATTTGCACGGGTTGCTTGTTATGTATGCACCGTTTGTTTGTTTGCTCAAGGGCTCGATTGTTACCACCGTTAAAGTGGAATGCTTTTGACTCAAACTACCTCCCCTCTCCTCCCCCCGGTGTCCACCTGACACCACACACCACACACCGTCAACATTTTTCTTGATTTTTCACGTGGAAAAATCAGTCCAACCAAAAATATGGCCATTATTGACGGGAAAACCATCAGTAAAGAGCTGCGCGACTCGATCGCCGCAGAGATCGTCTCCTTGAAGCAGCAAGACCCTGCTTTTCTCCCCAAACTTGTCATTGTCCAGGTTGGAGAGCGCCCAGACTCGTCCACCTACGTCAAGATGAAGCTCAAGTCGTGTCAGGAAGTGGGCATCGACGGGTCGTTGCAGAAGCTCCCAGACACCGTGTCCGAGTCCGATCTGCTCGATCTGATCTCGTCCTTGAACGCGGACGCCAAAGTTCACGGAATCCTGGTCCAACTGCCTCTTCCTCCGCATCTGGACGAGGAACGCATCACCAACGCTGTCAAGCAGGAGAAGGACATTGACGGGTTCTCTGAGCTCAACCTTGCGGCCATTTTCAAGAAAAACGCCGTCGCCAAGTTCGTCCCTTGCACTCCAAAGGGAATCATGTATCTACTGAAACACGAAAAAGTCGAGATCTCGGGCAAGAACGTTGTTGTTTGCGGCCGGTCCGACATCGTTGGCGGCCCGTTGTCGAAGCTGCTCGAGAAAGCCGGCGGTACCGTCACGGTGGTGCACTCGAAAACCACTCCGGATCAACTGAAATTCTACTGCTCCCACGCAGACATCATCGTCAGCGCTGTTGGCCGTGCCAACTTCATCACAGGCGATATCATCAAGCAAGGAAGCGTGATCATCGACGTGGGGACCAACTACGTGAAGGACGAGACGAAAAAATCCGGCCAGAGAATGTGCGGAGACGTGGATTTCGACTCGTGCAAAGATAAGGCCTCCAAAATTACACCTGTTCCAGGAGGAGTGGGCCCAATGACCGTGGCCATGGTGCTGGACAACCTGCTGGAAAGTGCCAAGCAAAGCAAAAAACTGTAATGATAATTATGATGGCTTTTGAGTTCGAGTGTATACTATGTTCGAAGATGGGCACTGGCGTTTTCGTACAACGATTGCCAGACAAACGCTTCACTAAGCATCATCTCAATGTCCGCCTCTGTCCAGTCATCCGTCTTGGACGAATCTTGCAAAAACATGATGATGTCCTGGAAATCCATCTCCACCAGTTGGTCGCTGAATCTGCGCAAAAATGCACAGCAAACGTAAATATGAAACTGATTGAACCCGGTAGGATGGTTGGAAATATAAGTATCCCACATTCGCACAATCAGGTCCAGCTTGAACTCTCGCATCAGCATACAGTTCATCCAGCGGAACGAAAACTGAATAAAATCTATTCCTTCTTCCTCGAAATGTTGCGCCAAGTACGGCTCATCTCTTCTCATCAAGTTGCGTAGCTCAGAAACCTGTCTGATGATCCCTGGCTGTTCATGGATAAAATTGTCTTGAATCGTGTCTAGTATTTTTGTCAGGCACCAGTACGTGTCTGCTTCGATGCAATTGACCAGCTCCTGCGGGAGTTGGTTTGTGTTGAACGTTTCCACGTTCACGTGGTCGCAGAGATATGTGGATAAAAAGATCTGGTAGAACGGGGTAGCCAGATCGTTGATTCCTTGCACGTATCCGCTGGCAGGATGTCTCACTGCCCACAGATACAGTATTTTCTCCAACGAGCGCTGTGTCGACTCGAACGAGTAGAGCTTTATTGTTGGGTTTGTTCGCGGGATGTCGATCGAGATCTGGTGCCACATGGCCTGGTCCTTTTCCGCTCTGAATAGTTGTGTCATGTTGTTGGTGTACTCTTTACGTTTGCGGCTCAAAACCGACTCTCTTGTGGAGTTGTTGGCCGGCAAGTATCCGAGCAAGATCTGCCAAACGAGCGGACGCAATGCTGGAGGAATACCGCTCCATGCGTATTTGCGCAGCTCTGCCATGTCGAATGGCTGCGTTGTCAGTGCCTTCACAAACTTAGCGTACTTGCCGTCGGTGCTTGGTCTTTCCAGAATCACGAACGGGTCCTTCACGATGGATTCGTAGTCTGGTCTGAGAAATTCGGTTGGCTCGTGCTCTGGCTGTGTTCTGTCTGGCACGGGAACAGACTGCTGCGACGGATTTCTCTCCATCGGTGAGTCCTGGAGCGTGAGATCCGAGATGTCGGGGTAAAATTGCGGTTTGGGGTCCTGCGGAGATGTCAAGTCTTCGATCTCGTCGTTCCAGTCGGCATCGTCGTCGACCTGCGTCGAAAGGTCGTACAACTTCTTCGATCGCGACATGTTCAAGTTCAGACTCGGTCTAGGTGATTTGGTGGACCCGTTCGAGTGCACAGACCGCGTGTCGGGCGAAGAAGTGCGTTTTTGCGACTCGGACGCAACAAGGTCCAGATGCGAGAACGAGGCCCCAATGATCTTCTGGCTGTCCAAGGTGAGCGATGACTGGTCTATCGGCGACTTTCTGAGTCCTGTCAGTGTCCTTAGCAGAGAAGGCGCCTGCGAAAGGTTCTGGTACCCTTCAGAGCCAAATACAAAGTCATTGACTTGTGACATTTCCTGTTTCGTTAGAACACCCAAATCCATTGAGTTACTTACACTCGGCTGCTGGTACCCTTTTTTGCGCATTGTAGGAATCACGGACGGTGGTTTTTAGTAGGAACTTTGTGCTCGTCGGCCGTTTGTCCCCGACTTGTTATATCCCACCTATCTATGTTTACGCCACATGGAAAAACAATCTTTAAAATTATGGAGGCACCCTCGCACCAGGCAAGGGCCTACAGAGCGGTCTTGTTTAGACCCAACTCCCAGAGTTTGTGGGACTCATTGATGGCGTACGTGAGAGTGCGCTGCTGGTATCCCTTGGGGCCCAAAAACCGGAGGTTATCGATGACTTCCTCGAGCAGAATGGCCTTTCCTGCCAAAATGGACTGGCCAAGACCATTGTACGATGCGTTCACCACATGGATGTGGAAATGGTAGTAGGATGGTTGGTAGTGCACAAACACACGCAATTCGTCTGCGCGGATGTTGTATTTCTGCGGCACAACCGTTTTCAAGGTGGTCAATATTTTGGTGAGGTATTCGATATGCGACTCGTTCAGGTCTCTGATCGAGGCGATATCGTCGCGGAACACAATTCCACACAGATACAACGACTCCATTGTGGTTCCGTCCCATTTCATGTCCGGGATGAGGACGAAATCGTCGTTTTTGTAAACCACTCTGTCTGCCTCTGCTCCTTCGTACAGGATGTTGCGCACCCATTTGATTCTGTCTCCGCGCATGGTGGCAATGTAAGGAGCAACCACCTGCTGGTACAGGAGCGGTGTTTCTGAGACGATGTGGATGACCGGTTTTTCGAACTTTCTGATATGAGTTTCTGTGGCCGGATAAATGATATTTAATTTAGCTGCAGGGTTGTCAAGCGACTGTTTGAGCGTGGTCATGGCCCAGAAATACACGTCGTTGGAGGCGATCTCGCGGATCTGGTCCACAGGCAGCTGCGGGAGCTGGCTGACGTCGAAATGGGACTTTTCAAGCTGCAAAATGGCATCTTTGCCGTCGATCGAACCCAAAAGCGCAACAGTCTTCAGTTGCGAGTCCGAGCTCAACACACGGCCAAACTCAAATCGGGAAACGAGCTCGTTCACGGACATCACTCTCCACAGGCACTGGTCAGGTACTTATCGAAATTTTTTTCCAGCTAAATTCGTGGCTGGAGATAAATTCCCGAGAGGCGCAGCATTTCACGTAGAGCAAGCCCCAAAACCAGGATGGCTTTGATGAAGCTTTGCGCAAGCGTACGTAATACGAAATAAGACTCATCTCGCGATTTTCACCATGGTGACATTATTTTAATAAAACACTGTTGCTTCCAAAAATACTTTACCAAGTTTGTTTCCAATGGACAAGTTGTTTGAGAGATTTCCGCTTTCTGACAAGAAGAAGCTGTACGAATTCCAAGATACTCTCGGTGCGGGCTCCTTCGGTACTGTGCGACGGGCCGTGGTGAAGAAAACAGGCGAGCCCGTGGCGGTCAAGATTGTTTTGAAGTCCCGGCTCAAGGGCCACCTGGACGTGGTGTTGCGTGAAATCAAGCTTCTCGAGACCGTCAAGCACGACCACATTGTGCGGCTTGTTGATTGGTTCGAGACAAAGCACAATTTCTACATTGTGACCCAATTGGCAACCGGAGGAGAGCTATTTGAGCGACTGATCCAGAAAACCTCGTTCACCGAATTCGACGCCTGTGTGATCATTTACCAGCTGCTGTCGGCTATCGACTACCTCCACTCACGCGGAATCGTTCATAGAGATATCAAACCCGAAAACGTGCTGTACCTGACCAAAGACGACCATTCGCCAGTGGTGCTTGCTGATTTCGGAGTGTCAAAGCAGATGGAGTCTCCAGACTCGGAAAAACTCACCGGTGTCGCTGGTTCGTACGGATACATTGCACCAGAGATCTACGCCTCGGAAGGCTACGGCGAGCTGTACGGCTTGGGAAAAGGAGGGTACACCAAATCATGCGATATCTGGTCGTTAGGTATAGTTACGTTTATTCTGATTGGTGGATACTCGCCTATCCGAGCCGAGTCGCCAGAAGCGTTCCTTGACGAGGTCAGAAGCAACAACTTTGTTGTTTTCCATCACAAATATTGGCAGCATATCTCCAACGAGGCCAAGGACTTCATTCTTAAGAGTCTGGACATTGACAACCGTCGAAGACCAACAGCCCAAGAACTTCTCAATCACCCATGGATACAGATCCAATTGGCCAAACAGAACCCGGTCAACGAGACAAACATCATCGGAAACATTCGCGAAGGGTTCAACGCCCAGGACAAGCTGCGCAAGGTGTTCAGACAGGTTATTATCCAGAACAAACTCAAGAAACTGCGCGAGCTCCGCGAATTGTCCGACTCGAGCTTTGAGGAAGGTGACGAGGACTTCATTTTCCACGGCAGATCGTCCGATTCGAACCTGATGGACAACTTCGACAAGCTCAATTTGAAAAAACCCGTTGACGACCCAGAAAAACTCAAGAGTGAAACTTTGACAGCAACTTTCCAGAACATCGTGAAAGCGGCCCAGGCCAGCAAAGACGAGATCCGCAAGTTCCAGGAGGAACAGGGATGAGCGTGTGATGTCTATTTCTTCAACTTTCCTGCCTCTGTTCGAACCAGCCGTTCGTACTCGCTCACGGCCAACGAGTTGAGCATTGCTCCGATCTTGGACGCTTGATCGTGCGACTTGGCCGGTTTGCTGTCCCGCCGTGCCCCTGCACCAGCCGAACTTGAAGGAGCGATATTCTTTTTTGGTATTGGTTTGAGACGTGAGAATTCTGTGCAGATATTTTGTATTCTAGCTGTTTCTTGTTCCTGGTCTCGCTCCGGTAAGGGCATCAAGTTTTTGTACCAGAATTTGGAATCGATTTGGTTCAGCAGCTGCTGTTCGCGTTCTGATTGGAACACACGAACGTCCAGAGAGTAGTATTTGTCGGCATGATGACCAAAGTCGCGTAGTTTAGCCGACGACGAGATGGCCGTTTGTGAAAGCTGGATCTGCGGTCTCGTTTCCAAAGATGTCAGATGTTCAGGATAGTATGTCCGAAACGCCCCGATATCAATAAAACCTTGTTTAGACGACCGCTCAGGGTCGATCACAACAGCAACATATGGGTCCTGGAACCCTTGGTTTAGTTCTTGGGTCTGCACGTCGATCCCTGAAAGCCAGCACCCAAATCCAGGATGCGAATGGTACCAGCCAATGATATTTTCGTTGCGGTTTGTCTGTTTCTTCTTTTGTTCTAGAAATTGTAACATGAACTCGTATGCCTCATTCAAAGGATTCACCCGACTTTCTGTTCCCTGCACAGGAAGTGGATAACAATCCAGTACCACGAGCTCTCCTCCAAACACCTTTCCTGTCATCATCCCCATGATCTCAATGGCTCCTCCCGACCGAGCATGGATACTCATCTTCAACAGGGCCAATGTGCTGATATGGATCGTGTGGAAAAAGTGCGGATCTCGAACCCACGGCTTAGTTTCCAATGTATCCTTGTCTGATTCCTCCTTGTAGAACTTTAAGACTTGTTCCTGAGGAGTGACACCGATGCCAATCCCATTAGCAGGAACTTTTGGCTTATAGTCTGTGCCGGTCTCATTGGCCAATTTAGTCAGTGTAGCGCCCAAATCAGCTAGACTTGTCCAGTTCGCCATAAATTGAATTAATTTTATTTATTTCCTTCTCCCTTAATAAAAATCTAAGAACTTTTATAAGCGTATTCTATAAAGCCACGCCTTCCAGCCGTTTGCGGAGAAGCTCAACCAGCTTCTCGTTTTTCAGGATCTCCTCCACCTGATGTCCGATCTCGGCCTCGGGGTCCATGATCATGGTATGCGAAGCATCGGAAGCAGTGTCTGACGGCCGTCTTGAAAACTCGTAAGCTTCAGACTCGGCCGGAGTGATGTCGCGACGTGCTTTCACGCTCTCCTCCTCATCCGAGCTGCTCGAATATTCAGAAGAGCTCACCGACGAGTCAGGAGAAGCAGACTTGCGGATGATCGGTCTGAAGTTGCCGCCGATCGAGATCGAGACTCTCTTTCGTTTTTTCTTCATCAAGCCGATCTCGTCCACCTCGTAAAAATCATCCGTCACCTCGTCGTACTGCCAGATCTTCAGATCCAGTCCGTACGGCTTGGGCTCAATGCAGTACACGTATCCGTGTTGAACGTCCAGCTCCGTCAACATCTCTTTGTTCAGGTTCATGAAGTAGCAAAGCAGTACCCGTGTAATAACTCGATGCGAAATAATAAGAACATGGTCTCGCAGACGCTCCAATTCGATGATGATTGGTCGCAGCCGCGAAATCACGTCCAGATAGGACTCACCCCCAAGCCCAGGATATCTGTAGGTGAGTTTTTCGGTCATCTGGGACCGATACTCGTCTGGATACTTGGTGCGGAACTCGTCTTCTCCGATCGAGTCCAGAGAACCGCATCCAAAGTCGTTCAACATCCGGAACGACTTGATATGGAAATCACCGCCCTCCTCTTCGCGAGGGAAGTGCGACGCAGTCTGCAACGTACGCCGGAGATTCGAGGTCCATATGTTAAACTCCTGGTCAATTTGTGCTTTTGTATGGAACACAAACTCGTCGTTCACATACTCCTTGTTTAAATGACGGAGCTTGAACTCCTGTCTCTTTTTGCAGATAAACTTTGGAAGAGCTCGGGCAAACTGATCGCCATTCTTTGTCAAGTTCGAGTCGCCTCCCTTTTTATTTAATGCGTTAAACTCGGACTCCCCGCTCGCTGTTAACCATATCTGTCTGTCGGTGAGGTTGAAGTTCAACAGGAAAAACACGCACTGCGACGAAAGATAGCCACTGATGTTGTAGGAAATGACTTTCTTTCCGGCGTTGATGATTTTCACGTACTGAATATCGTATATTTCGTTTTCCTTTTCCTCCTCCTCATCAATGGTTTCGTAAACCTTTTGGTAGTTTCTTAGTCTATTTCGAAAATCATCCAGAGCGACCTGTCTGTCCATGTCTTTGTAGTCCGGTCCGCTTAGTTTCAAACGGATGTTTTTCTCGACCAACTCCTGGTCGGTACAGATACTTTCCAAAAACAGAATCTTGATGGCACCGTTTGTCTTTTCGTTAAGGGTCTGGATAATCCAGCTTCTGCGGTCCTTTGTGGAGTTTGTCGCGTCAAATATCCCCACGTTTCCTTGGTCAACAAGCAAAAAGTCAATCAGGTCGTCCAGGGTCTCGCGTGCCCACTGTTCCCGCCTGTGGAAATATTCTGTATTTGTGTGGTCAAAGAAACTGGCATCATGACTGGTTCCCTTGTCGATGGTTGGGCCTGGAATCGGATAGTCGCTGGGTTTTGCATTTTCCTGGCGTCTTGTGTTGCCCACGTTGAAAATCTTGGTATTGTATTGCATCCAGTTGAGATATCGCTGGAGTTTCTTTGTAATGTACGATTTGCCAGTGGCTGGAAGTCCGACGCAAATAATGGCCAGTTTCAACGACTCGCTGCCCTTATCGCCCTTGGACGAAAGAATGTTTGTCTGGCTGTTGTCGGAGCCGTGGCTGTTCACCAACTGTAAATCCGTGGTCTGGCCGGGAATCGAGATGGCCGACGTCAAGGCGGAGGACGAGGGCACTCGCGACATCATCAGCGGCGAGTTCAGCTTCGACGAAGCAAGAGAACTCATCGCTGTATGGGCGCCCATAACAGAGTCTCCGTTGCCGGTCATTTTCTTTAATAAAGAACAAGAGATCTAACACCGTTAAGTTTTTCCGTAACCCCTCTTATCTTGACCCTAAATTTTTTCAATCCTCCCTGCTGATTTTTTGTACTCCGACGGGGTCACGTTTTCCGGTAACGGACTGAACTTTTTCGTTAATACCACCGCGGAAACGCTCCAAATGGCCTTGATATCGGTCCTGATCAACACTTATAACAACAAGCAAAAGTCTACGTTGTTACCGGACCTCCCAGTCACGATTTATTTGTCTGCTACCGGCTGCCTCCATTTCTCCGGATGAGTCAAAGAAAAGAAAGAGATGATGGCTATTCACCACGCGAATCACTCGCAAATCGTCTCTGACAAGGTCGCATGCGACGCCAAGCCCATCTACACCTCGACCCACCGCACATATGGCCGTTTCAGCACTGCACACTCGCTCATCAGCCACAGTTTGCAAATATGCTGACCGACTCCGACTCGTTCTTCTCTCGTCGCACCTGATTACCTAAGTTTTCGGAGACGAAAATATTGGCAGGAAATTTGGCCGAGTCACAGATCTTGAATTATTAATGTTTGCCAGACTCGCAAAGCTGCCTGTTGCTAGAACGACCAGCCGTCTTGTTCGGTGGTCGTCCAACGTGCGTTTGACTTCCGAGTCGTATCCACAAGTGCACCGCCTCGACTTTGGCCAGGTGACTCCAAAAACTGTGGATTTCTTCAAGTCTGTTGTTGGAGACTCTGCCGTGATCACCAACGAAGACGACCTGCTTTTGTACAACGAGGACCAGATGCGCAAGTACAGAGGCCAGTCACGTGTGTGTGTGAAGCCGAAAAACACCCAGCAGGTGTCTGAGATCGTTAAGTACTGTAACGAGAACAAGCTGGCTCTCGTGCCTCAAGGTGGTAATACAGGTCTTGTTGGTGGTTCTGTGCCTGTTTTCGATGAGATCGTGCTGTCCTTGAGCAGTATGGACAAAGTGCGGTCTTTTGATTCGACGTCGGGTATTCTGAAAGCGGACGCTGGACTCATCTTGGAGAATGCCGACAATTTTTTGGCCGAAAACGGATACATCTTCCCTCTTGATCTGGGAGCCAAGGGATCGTGCCACATCGGAGGAAACGTTGCTGCTAATGCTGGAGGACTCCGTTTGCTCAGATACGGCTCTTTGCACGGCTCCGTTTTGGGTCTTGAAGTCGTGCTACCAGATGGTACTATTTACGACAGTATGAATGCTTTGAGAAAGGACAACACCGGTTACGATCTGAAACAGTTGTTCATTGGCTCCGAAGGTACTTTGGGAGTGATCACCGGTGTTTCTATTCTGTGTCCATCGCGTCCAAAAGCGGTCAACATCGCTTTCCTTGGTCTCGAGTCCTACGACGCTGTTCAAGAAACGTTTAAAAGAGCAAAGTCGGAGCTGTGCGAGATTCTCTCGGCTTTTGAGTTCATGGACAGACAGTCCCAGGTCCAGAACAAGAGATTCTCCAAGAACACCCATCCTTTGGCCCAGGACGACCCGGACGTCGATGTTCCTGAGTATCCATTCTACGTTTTGATCGAGACGTCTGGTTCTTCCAAAGAGCACGACGATGCCAAGCTCGAGACTTTCTTGGAGTCCATCATGGAAGAAGGAATTGTTTCTGATGGAGTTGTTTCGCAGGATGAAACACAGCTCAAGGCTCTGTGGAACTGGAGAGAAGGTATTAGCGAGGCCTCCAACATGGACGGAGGAGTGTACAAATACGACGTTTCGCTGCCATTGCCGGTCATGTACGATCTGATTGAGGTTTTGAGAGTGCGTTTGGACGAGCACGGATTGCGTTCTGCCTCTGACGCTTCGAAACCGGTCGTTGATGTTGTCGGATACGGCCACATTGGAGACGGAAACTTACACGTCAACGTTATTGTGAGAGAATACAGCAAGACCGTGGAAAAGTGTCTGGAACCGTTCGTGTACCAATGGGTCAGCGACCACCACGGCTCGATCTCGGCAGAACACGGTCTGGGCTTCCAAAAAAAGAACTACGTCGGCTACTCCAAAACGGACGTCGAGATCGCCCTGATGAAACAGATCAAACACAAGTTCGACCCGCAGGGAATCATGAACCCGTACAAGTACGTGTAAAAGATAATTTTAAACCTATGAACCTAATTCTTGTCGTCGTCGGGGTTGGCCACCTTGAGCACTTTTTTGTAGTAGTCAGCAGCATCGGCAAGCGACCCGTCACTCAACCGTCTTCTGCCGAGCATTATTCGTCCAGACCCGGAGTTGGAGTTGTCAGAGGAATACATATCATCGTCAGGAGAGGCAAATGGGTCGCGGTTTGACTTGAGAGCCTCTTCGTATGCGAGATCGTCCACTGCGGTGTCGTCAGCGTTATCCCCGCGCTTTCTGAAGATGAGGAAGAAGATCAGGCCAATGATCATCGAAGCACCCACTGCTCCGCCCACTGCACCTCCGATGATGGCACCTTTGTTCGAGGACGATTTCGAGTTCGAGCTTCCGCTAGAGGCAGATGCGGACGCGGAAGCTGAGGCAATTGGGGTCGATTGTGTCACGTAGATCACCGACGTTTCCTTGGACCCGTCCTGGCTGACTGTGGAGGTGAGCACCTGTGCTGTCATGGACGGCGAGGAGGTGCTCGAGTTCTCTGATGTTGTGGACGACTGCTCGGTGGACGAAGATGAGCTTGTTGTTGCTGCGGCCTCGGAAGAAGAAGAGCTTTCTGACGTTGTGGAGCTGCTGGCGGCGGTGCTGGAGCTGCTTTGTGTCGAGCTGCTTTGTGTGACTGTTGTTTGTGCGTTATTTGATGATGAGCTCGAGGATGACGATATGGTAGAGGAAGAAGCTGTAGAAGAAGACACAGAGGTCGAGCTGGATTCGGCGGACGAAGACGAGGCCGTGGATGATGAGGCAGCAGACGAAGACGACGACGAGTCGGAATCGTCACTGTCGTCTGTTCCGTACACGGTATAGGCACCGTCTCCACCGCATTTCTCTTGCGGATAACCCACGCAATTCACATTACAACTGCTGGAAGAGGTGGATGATGTTGGCTTGTCGTCTCCGCAGTAACATTCATTGCCTCCACTGAGAGCAAAGTACTTATATGATGAACATTCGGACGAACAGTACGAACTTGTCTGCCACGTATATGTACCCTTGGAAACGAATGAAGAAGGGATCTTGGAAAAACAACCCAAGCTATCGACAGCGGACGACGCGGGTATGAGCGCAAGAATAAATAGAACGTGAGCTTTCATGGTATAACGAAGGTCTGGGGTCGCGCTGGCGCGAAAAAACACTGAACAAACGGTTAGGTGTAGCGCAAACAGTGAAGAAACCGCTTTTGTTTGAGAAAAGTTTTCAAAGGAGGTGAAAAGTGGAATGGGGCGCGACCGCGTCGCCCCAGGTCGATCGACTGTGTCGTGTTTTTTTTTTTTTTTCGGCTGGGGTGCGGGAAAGAAAAATCAAAAATTATTGTTGTTTCTGCCAATGCACACCACTGTTCCTGCTAGCGAGTCGGCAATTTACGACGAGCTGACTGCCATTAGGCAACGGCTTTCGCTCATCAAGCGCGACCACAAGACATATATGAATTCCAAGAGCATAACCGAAATATACGCCCAGGTTCTGGACAAGACGAAACAGTTGCGGGCGATCCGGTCAGACACCAAGGACTCGGAATATCTTCCGAACAAGGTGGACGTTTTGGTGGACGAGATCTTCCATCTTTTGAGTCTTTGTTTTGTCACGTGTGGCCTTAAAAACACCGCTCCGGGCACCTATGCCTCGCTCTCCACTGTTCAGCGACTGTTGGAACATTTGAACGAAAACGAGATATTCACGCACCAGGATTTGAACCCGATCAGAGAACGGCTGGACGATATTGCCAACATCATCAATGCGGACGAAACAGCGTCTCCGGAGGAGGTCAAGCTGCTGAAAAGCAAACTGGAACAGTCCAATAAGGAGTACGCAGTGTTGGAGGACAAAATTAACAAGCTGCCGGAAAACGTGCAGAAAATCATGGACAAGCTCATCTCGCTCAAGTACAGAATCCTGGAACTCATCACCAGCGAAGAGACTGGAAACCGCAAAGAGTTGAAAGTGTTCACCAAACAGTTGGAAGATATCCAATTGCAATGCGAGCTGGAGTTCTCCAATTGTCAGCATCCGAAGGGAGAAGGTCTTTTGAAGGGATTGATCGACGACTGCCACTATTTAATCCAGGATTTCCAGATCGGACAGGACATGGTGAGTCCGGACCTGGCTGAAATTTACAACAAGTTGGAGAAACTCAAGAGCACGCTAGAAAACCTGTTGGTCACCAGAAGATGGGTGTTACGGACAACTGACATTTTCAACTACCAGCGGGATCTTAACAACATCGATGCGCTTCGTGTTGATGGATATTTTGGTAAGAAAGAGCTTCGTGGTCAGTCCATATTGCTATATCTTCTGAGACGTTGCTATGCGATTATTTATAAACTTTTGGAAAGTTCAGAGCCGGTGAGTGAAAGTTTACAGCCATTGCACAACCAGTTGACAACGGTTCGCAAGTGCTTGCTAGATTTAAAGCGGATGGGAGGCGTTTCTTCGATCAGAGAGCTGTATCCGTTCCAAATGAAGCTTGCATCCATCGATAACAAGCGTGATGACGGGAAATTTATGATTGACGGACAAATTCCAGAGGGACAAGGGACGCTGAACGCGCTACTGGCAGAGTGTTTTGACATTGTGCACGAGCTGAAGATCGAGTTTTACGAAAAAGACGATTCCGAAAAGAAGGACGACGAGACAAAGTTCAAGGCTAACGTGATTGGCACCAAGGCACAGGAGACGAATTATGACTATAACATAGTAGAAGGCGGAGAAGATTACGAGGAGGACAATTTGGCAGGACTAAACGAAAGTATCGGGGAGAGTGAGACAGACGGAGACTTATAACACAATTACCAAGGTCAAATAGATATCAATGAATATAGTGAAATAGGAAAAGAGTAAAAAAAATAATTTATTTTATTCAAGCTAGCCATGTTTTCTGGGGCCCCAACAACAAGCGCCAGATTCGACGAGTTTGTCGTACCAACCGTGCTGGAAGCCTCATTAACGCCAGAACAGATCGAGGCTGTGCAGGTGATGGTGCGAATCGAGGAAATCAACCAGATGATCCAGAGGGATTCTTTTGTGCCTCCCACAAGAACAAGGTCGCCTTCTCCGCCTCCTGTTTACGACGCCAGTGGAAAAAGAACCAATACTCGCGAACAGAGGTATCGCAAGCGTTTTGAAACCGAAAGAGGCCGTTTGATAGAGATTGCACTGCGAAACGTCCCAGATTACAGACCTCCCCCAGATTACAGAAAGCCTTCCAAGACAAGCGAAAAATTGTACATTCCATCCAGAGAACATCCTGAAATCAACTTTATTGGGTTGTTAATGGGGCCCAGAGGTAACACATTGAAGCGAATTCAAGAGAAAAGCGGAGCCAAGATAGGTATTAGAGGAAGAGGGTCTGTTAAAGAGGGACGAAATTCTGCGTTGGTGAGGACCGACCAGAACAATATGGACGACGACTTGCATTGTCTGATCACAGCAGACACAGAAGACAAGATCCAAAAGGCCATGAAGCTTTGTGGAGAGATCATCAAGAACGCTATCAGTGCTCCAGAGGGCCAGAACGAGCATAAAAGAGACCAGCTGAAGCAGCTGGCAATTTTAAACGGAACACTTCGAGTCTCCGAGGAAAAAGTTTGTTTGAATTGTGGAGAAAAGGGACACAAACGGTACGAGTGTCCCAACTTGGGGAGACAGAACTTTGCACAGTCTTTGGTTTGTTCTCGGTGTGGAAACATTGGGCATATTGCAAGAGATTGTAGAGCCGATTTGGAGGAAACGGCCAGACACGATAGAGAGCTCGACATGATGATGAAGGATTTGACTGGCGAAGCAGATGGGTACGTTGAGCCGGATGCCAAGAGACAACGTTTGGAAGGAACGCACGAGAACAATGAAAACGCTCCGTCTGCACCAGTGTCAACGGCTCCGGCTGCCCCTACTGCTCCTGTGATTGCAGCTCCGCCAGGAATGAGTTTCGGCACTGGTGCTGGTCCATTGACGGGTGCACCTCCTCCGCCAAAGATGACTCCGCCGCCAAGACTTGCACCTCCACCTCTTCCTAAAAACATCAAGCTTCCCTTCCCGAAAAAAGAGGAAGAATGATCTACAACACAAGCATACATTGTCTTCGTTATCGTTACTAGGTATATTTGGAGCGGGCCCGGGCGCTTCTAGGCGTATGCGCATTCCAGATGTTTTTTCGCACAGCTCACACAATCTGAAGACGAGCTACCCTCCAGTTTGATGCATTTGATTTTCTTGTACCTGCAAGTGTTACACGAGGTTTTCTTTGGGTGTTTTCCAAAGTTCGTGTCCATGACGATAGGAAACACCGGGTCCTCCTTTACGTCCTCTCTTTCTGGGGTGTGATGCATGCGCTCTGACTTGTTGAACTTGATAATGTCGTTTCTCGTGAAGCCCTTGGAGAAACAGCAGGTGAGTTTTTTCGAGCTGCACGCGGAGCACGGCCGGAACTTGAGGTACTTGAACTGGCTGAGCTTGCTGTTGAACCGCTGATTCTGATACTGGTCGGTGTCTATTTGGAAGTACTGGTAGCGGTGCTCGTCCTCGTACAAGAAGTTGCAGTTGGCGATCTCAGACACCTGCGGAGGCACCTGGGAGGTTATTTTTGGCAGATCTGCGAGCACAAAGATCTCGGAGTCGCACTTGATTTTGCGCGAGCGACAACAGTCGCACGAAGGGCCGGATCTCTGTCTCTTGGACGCCGTGGACGGCGAGGCCAGCTTGATGGAGGTGAGGTTTATTGGTGTGACTGGCGGAGGAGACGGCGAGGATTCGTTAGGGGTTGTTTCGATCACCACGTTGGAGATCTCGAGTTTCGGCGAGGTTGCCGCGGCTTTAGGGGCCAGCACGTAGTTGGGCGACGTTTGCGGTTGTGTTTGGACGCTCTGCATGGCCGCCGTCTGGATCAACAGGTCGAACTTGGACCCTGGTGCCATGTGGTGTTCAAGCTGGCGGGGTTGGGGGACCGGTAGCGACAGCTTTGGAAGCGAAGGCAGGTTCAAACGGGGTGCCATGGCAAGCGCAGCATTGTACGTTGGGATGTTGTCGTTAAGACTAAGAGAGTAGTTCGACAGGTCGGTGATGGGGACCCTCGACTTGACGTAGTTGTGGATAGACATTGATAGTTGCGAGATTACAGGAAATACTGCGGAATATATGTAGTTGCCGTGTAAGGAGCATGGAGCAGGATAATGGACTACAGGGTGTCCTGTGAGTGGGGGAGGAACTCCGACGTCCGTAAGTCCGAAACGAGGGAGGTTTTCCGATTTTGGAGCCTATGCGCGGCGCGCGAAAAAACCACTTGAAAAAACAGATGATGGGGTACTTGGTCATTTGCGACGGCATGATTGCTTTGGTGTCTGGGCGGGGCAGGATGGGTGGGAAAGCGTTGGGGATTGTTTTGCAAAAACGCCAGCTTGTCCGCTCAAGTTCTGCTACCATAGCAACTCTCCAGCCAATCGCACCGGTCTCGAGGACCGTTTTTTGGAATTAGGTTCCGAATTTTTACGGACTCTAAAAAAAAAATGGGGTGCAGAGGGCGGATATCGGCAGATAGCGTGCATGACGGAGTGGCCACCCGGCATTGTGGAGTTCCTGAAATGTCTTGCGATTGGATAGCCTCCCAGTCAGACTACCTTTACTCCGAAATCCCCAAATAGCCAAAACAGTCCGCATTGGGTATTTTGTCGGGATCGGAGCCGTATCACGTCACCGGACTATCATGACTCAGGAATCATGGAGCGAGCCAGTCCAATATGACGTCATGACAAAATTGTGGTCGATACTCTTTATTAGCTTATTTACACCGTCTGGCTCTTCTGGTACGCCTCAAACAGCCTGCGCTGCTGCTCCTGCAACTTGATCAGCTTCTTTTTGGCGCTCTTGGTCACCTCCTCGCCGCCAACAAGCTTCACCGGCAGTCCGGTCTCGTCCCATTCCTCGTACACTTTTCTGTACTCGTCGGATTTAAACATCTCCTTTGGGTCGATCCGGGCCTTGGCCAGCCGTTCTTTTTCCTTTTCTTCTTTCAGTTTCAGCTGCTCCAACCGCCGTCTTTCCTTTTCCAGCTGCTGCTGTTGTCTTTCTTCTTGTTGATTTAGCAGCTCCTGCTTCTCCGTCTCGTTCAGAAATTTCACCAAGGCTCCTTGGCCGGACCGGTCGTCAAGCGACACGTTCAGGTTCAGCAGGTCCTTGTCCCGCAAAGTGTCCGTAGCCTCCAGGAAAACTTTGTAGTCGGCTTTGGCGATCGCAGAACTCCGCACCAGATCCCGGAAATTCGAGAGCACCTTGAGATACGGCAGCAGCTGTTCTTCCAGGTTCGAGCCCGTTTGTGCGCCGGATTCGTCTTCCCAGCCGAGTCCGTCCTTCCGCACGTCGAAACCAACAACAGACAGGATCCGCGTGATGTAGAGAGCGCTCTGCACAAGAACGTCCACCCTCAAATCGGCGCCAACAGAGCTGATGTAGTTGTTGGCGCTGTTGACCTGCTCCAGCAGCGAACGCAGAGCCAGCGGAGTGGACAAATTGTCGCAGAACGCAGCATGAACGTTTCTCTTGCACTGTTCCAGGTCCGCAGCAAGCTGTTTCTCGTGGACGCCGTATTTCTTGGAGATCACCTCGCCCGAAGCCAGACGGTGGTCGTTGTCGGCCTTGAGCGCACGCACGTTCTTGAAGAACTTGCTCAACGACGACTCCATCGACCGCACCTCGTTCAAAAGACTCTCCTTGAAATCCAGCGAGTTGTTCCATTGAACCAGTCCAAAACACAGCCGCAGCTGGCGAGAAGAGTACCGTTGCAGAGCCTCCTCGATGGTGATGAAGTTCTTCAACGACTTGGACATCTTCTGTCCCTCGATATGCAGATGGCCGGTGTGTAGGAAGTAGTTGACCCACTGTTTGCAGTCGAAATGGGCCTCCGACTGGGCAAGCTCGTTGTCGTGGTGCGGGAAGGCCAAGTCGATTCCTCCCGAATGGATATCCATCTGGGACCCGACGAAATCAGAGGCCATCACAGAACACTCGATGTGCCATCCCGGACGGCCGTGTCCCCAGGGCGACGGCCACGATGGCTCGCCCGCCTTGGAAGCCTTCCACAAGGCAAAATCGGATGCGTTCTGTTTGCCGTTCGCAGCAGACAACGAGCCCTCGCCGTCCGCAATCAGCTCCATGTTACCTTTGGACCACGGCTGCAGCTTGGCGTACTCGTGGGCCGGGTCCTTGTCGAACTTGGCCACATTAAAATACACAGACCCGTCCGGTGTGGCGTACGCGTAGCCTTTCTCCACAATCTTCTCCACAAACTCCACGATCTCCGGGACGTATTCGGACACTCTGGTGGTCACCGATGGTGGCAGCACGTTCAGAGCAGCCATGTCCTCGTCGAACTTGCGTTCCCAGTACGACGAGCACGCTTTGAAGATCTCTGGGTCGGTAACTGTGGATCCGAGCTCCTTGTCGAGTTTCGGAACAAGAACGTCCTGGATGTTGGCGAAGAACGATTCCAGGTCGGTTCCGTGTTGCAACTCGTTGGATGCGGCAACGGCGGCCTTCACATGCATAGGCAATTTGGGCTTTTGCACACCCAGAGCTGCCAGATCCAAGGTCTTGGCCCAGTCAACAAACGAGCCAGACCCGTCCCATTCGGGGATGTTTTTCGAGATGTACTCTTGCAAGGCGGTGGCCACGTTCTTCTTGAGCTCGGCCGAGATCTCGGTATGGGACTTCTTGTACTGGGCAAACAAATACTCTTGTCTGGCCTTGATGATGATCTTGTCATCGATATCTGTCACGTTCTGGATAAATCTAACGTTGTAGCCAAAATAGTCCTGCATGATTCTTCTGTTGATGTCGATGGTGACATAATTTCTGGCGTGGCCCATGTGGCTGGAGTTATAAACGGTGGGACCACAGCTGTACCAGGCAACCTCCTCGTTGGAAGTAGGCACAAACGGCACTTTGGACCGCGTAAATGTGTTGTATAGCACCAGCTGGGCTGGTTTCTGGGGCTCGGGCTGGATCCACGTGGTCATGAACTGTCTGGACAAGGGGAATCTGGGTTTGCAAGCGATGATGGTTCTTTGTCCGAATTGTGACCAATTTTTCATCAACAAAATTTTATTCTTGGCTTATGTAAGTATTAGTGGTGATGGCTAGCATATACAAGTTATCAGTTTCTGGGGTTCGATCGTTCAGCGGGGACACCCACGAGACGATCCAATTTGAGCGGCCGCTCACTTTGATTGTGGGCACCAACGGATCGGGCAAGACCACCATCATTGAGGCCCTGAGATACGCCACTACGGGGGATCTCCCTCCCAACTCCAAGAACGGCGCGTTTGTGAATGATCCGGGCATGACGGGCGTGACAGAGACAAAGGCCCAGGTCAAGCTCGCGTTCCAGAACGTCAACCAGACAAATATGGTGCTGACCAAGTCGCTGGCCGCGTTCAAGAACTCGCGCACCAAGAACACGAGCTTCAAAACGCGCGAGAACCAGCTCGTTGCCGTGCACAACGGCGAGAAACAGACGGTCACGTCGAAAATGGCCGACATCGAGGTGGCGGTGCCGCAGCAGCTCGGCGTCTCGCGCGCCGTTCTCAACTACGTGATCTTCTGCCACCAAGACGACAGTCTGTGGCCGATCAGCGACTCGGCCAATTTGAAGAAGAAGTTCGACGAGATCTTCGACTCGGTCAAGTTCATCAAGGTGTTGGAGACGTTCAAGGTCATTCAGAAGGAGATGAACGTGGATATCAAGGTGCTGAACAACAGTGTCGACCATTTGCGCAACGACCGCAACAGAGCGCACAATAAAACGGCGCAGATCGACGAGTTGAACCGTCAGGTGGACCAATTGAACATGGAGTCGGATTCGCTGTCAAAGGAGATCGAAACGGTGAACCGCGAGGCCGAGAAGCTGTTCACCTCGAACCAAGACTACGAAAAAACCATTAATCGACTCGAATATCTTAAACAGCAGGAGGTTTCTTTGGGACAGCAGATAGATATGATCCGCACCACGACGAAACCTGTGAGCGGGTCGATGGATGATATCCGGTTGCAATTGGACAATTTCGCCAATATTCTTGTGGAGAAGAAGTCGGAGATAGATCAGCTCAAGTCGCAGCTGGAGACACGCAGTTTGGACCTGGAGACGAAAAGAGAAAACTACAATTCGAGTGTATTGGAGTCGGGTCGGTACGCTGGTCTTTGGGAGCAGTACGAGAGGAATCTGGCCGAGATCCAGCGATTGGAAGCCGGTTTCGATCAGAAGCGACTCGCTAGTTTGACCGCGCTGTTTGAGGACAAACAGAGCCATTTCAAAACTGTTGTTGAGGACATTGAGTTTGAGGCCACAACGGTGAAAGAGGAGCTCGCAAAGGAACTCCAGCATGCCGAGTATGTGCGGAAAGACATTGCTAGTTTGGAGGCCAAAAAAAGCGAGCTTGAACGAGTTTTGGCCTCCTCTAGTACAAACCAGACAAAACTGCAGAATGAGCGAACTCTATTGGTTCAAGATGAAAAGGAACTGGAAGACTACCGCCAGCAACGCGTGCTGGCTACCGTGAACGAGAAGATTTCGCAAACAGAGGCGCAGATCCGCCAGGTCGAGGTGAAACAGGAAGATTTGTTTCGCAAAGTTGGCCAGACCAGTCGACAGTCTGACGCGATGGCCAAGATGCATTATTTGAAGAAGTCTCTGGAAGGAATAGAAGAGAAGCTTGAGTCTGCCTTTGGCAGGCTGGGCACTAATAGTGTTGAGCAGTTTACGAGCAGTTACGAGACGATCAAGTTGGAGTACTCCCAGCTGGAAGAAGAGCTGAAAAGTGAGCAGCATGCTCTTTCTGAGCTGAAAAATAGTCATCAGGTGCATTTGCAACGGTCGCAGGAGTCTTCGGAGCAGATTGCTGTGCTAGAAAAGGAGATTACCACCGTTTTGGGAGCCACTCCAATAGACCAGTACGACGAGGTTTTGGAGGACGCCGAGTACGAGTTCAACGACTGCGACGGAGGAGTCAAGGTCCGCGAGTACTGCATCAACTTTAATAAGCGAGCGATCGACCTGGTGAACCACAAGAACGCGTGTTTACTGTGTCACCGGGAGTTTGGTGTTTCTGACGAGAAGAGCAAAGTTCTGGAGCTTCTTTCGAAACAGACCAGCATTCTGGAGAATAATAAGAGCGCCGAGGATGCGTTGAAGGCTGCACGGAAACGACTCGAGACAGTGAAGGGGGTTGCTGGGAAAGTGGAGGAGTACCGCAAGCTAAAGAACCGAGAGGACGGGGTGTTGAAGCTTGTTGAGGAGTTTGCGTTAAAGACGGAGAAACAAGCGGCTATAGTCAGTGCGAAGAGCGTTCAGATTGAAGAGAAACGTGGCGTCAAGAGCCAATTTGATGCGTTAATATCGACGGTTGACGAGATTGCTCGTTTGGAGAGCGAAAAGAGCGTTATTGAAAAACAGCTCACGAGCTTCAAGTCTGAGCTTTCTGTTTATGGAGAAGAGCTTCAGAGCATGGAGGAGCTAGAAATTGCTCAGTCGGATGCCAACAGTGAGGTCAGACGGTTGCGGCTGGTTCTGGAACATCTGAAAGCTGAGCGTGAACAGAGTTCTCGCAAACTGGCCACTTTGGAGGGGCAGATCAAGGACCGCAAGCTGGTCATCATGGAGCTGGAAAAGTCCGACCTGGATAACGTGAACGTTCAGAACTCGTTGCGGGAGGTAACTGTGGAAGTTCAGCAGTTGCGAGACTCGGTTATTGAGAAAGAGAAGCTAATAAGTCAACTGAAAACCAGCCAAGAGGAATTGTTGCAAAAACTGCAGACGACGAACGACCAATCGCGCCAGGAATTGGACTCCATCTTGCCCGAGATCGAGCGTCAAAAGACCATTCAGCGCGACATCGAGTCTCTGCGCACGGTGGTGCGCGAGTTTGAGGAAAAGTATCCGAAAAAGGTGAGTTTCGAAGATTTGACGTTGGAGCTCAAGGAAGGTATTAAAAACGAGGAAGTTGCTATCAAACAGCTTGCGGACCAACTGCGCACGCTCGAGCACGCTGTGAGCGACGCAGACAACGAGGAACGCAACCTGCGGTACAATCTGGACCTGATTTCGCTGGAAACCCAGCAGGCAGAAACGCGTGCCACCATCGCCGAACTGTCGCAGCAACAGGCCGAGTCCAAACGACAGGAGTTTGTTTCCAGGAGCCGCGAGCTGCAAGCCAGACAGTCCGAGCTCCAGAACCAGTACTCCACGAAACTCGGAGAAATGACACAGCTGTCTCGCCAGATCCAGTCGGTCAAGCAGGAGCTGGCACGTGACTACAAGGACGTTGACCAGAAGTACACCAAGGAGTATGCGAACTTGCAGACGAAGCTGTCGATGGTGACGGACTTGTCGACGTACTACAAGGCGATCGACAACGCGGTGATTGAGTACCACCAGGTGAAGATGAAGGAGATCAACCGGATTGTGGACGAGCTTTGGAAAAAGACGTATATGGGCAACGACGTGGACACCATCATGGTGAAGGCGGACCCCATCAAGTCTACTGGCTCGTCGCTGACACGCTCGTACAACTATCGGGTGGTGATGGTGAAGAACGGCACGGAGCTGGACATGCGGGGCCGGTGTTCTGCTGGCCAGCGAGTGCTGGCCGCGTTGATTATCCGGCTGGCTTTGGCCGAATGTTTTGGGCTCAATTTCGGTATGATTGCGCTGGACGAGCCAACCACGAACCTGGACGACGAGAACATCGAGTCGCTGGCCAAGGCGTTGAGCAACATCATCCAGGAACGCGCTAGTCAGAAGAACTTCCAGCTGATTGTGATCACTCACGACGAGAAGTTTCTGCGGTACATGAACGCAGTGGACTTCACAGACCATTACTACAAGATCATCAGAAACGAGAGACTCAACTCGACGATCAACCGTGTTGAAATCAGTCAATTGGACGATTAAGCTATCTACCGGACGAGTTTAGACGCTCTTGCAACACCTTCTTGAGCTTGACGTCTCCACGGCCCTTTTTCCACAAATAAAGAGCCTCTATCGCATAGTTTTTAACACTGAGGTTGCGCTGCTTGTCGGAAGCAAACTCATTGATGAGATCCATGATGTTGAGATCGATCACCAACCCCCAGCATTTGCGCTCAAACTCCGCGAGTTCCTGTTCTTCGTCCTGCTGGTCCACCACTTGGAACTTGGCCTCGCCCAATTTATACAGAATACGGCCCAGACTCCGCAGAGCTATGCACCGTTGCCCGGCAAAAGACGACCGCAGATAGTGTGCCAGCTCCGCGAGCGTGTACCCTGGCAATTCTGGGTGTGCCGAGTGGTGGTGGAGCTCGCGAGCAGACGCTAGTTTGTCCAGGTTCTCCGACGTGACCAGATCTCCGTTCAGATCGAACCGCAGATCGGCGATCGTGTCGTAGGCTATTTCGTTCGGGGTTTCTGGCGCGGCCTTCATCCACTCGAGCTGTTTCGGGTCCTTGGGCAGGTCCGGGAAGAACTTGGCGTGCAGCTTGTCGTTGAAGTCCGGGTCGTTTAAATCGAGCTTCTCCAGCTTCTCCAAGGTGGACGGCTTGGGAAAATGCACAGACGCCTGTTTCAGCCGCTGGGCCTCCTCGAACGACGGGCCCGAGTCGTCCAGGTACTCGATGTCCTCCCAGTCCTCGTCCTCGTGCGGCTCGGACGAAGAGCTTACAGGCATTGCCAACGGCGACGACGGCTTGACGTACTTGACGGACGCCTCGTTGTTGAAGCGCACTTTTTTGTCGGACGACGACGACGACGCGCTGTTCTTGCGCAGCGCCGGCTTGAGCTGCGGGCTGGACACGGCCGACCCGGGCTCGCTGTCCACGGCAGGCCTGCCCTGGTCCAGGTCCTGGGGACGGGCCTTGTTGAGCAGCATCTGGAGGATTTTCGGGTCCAGCGTGCTCACCAGCTCCTCCTTGGCCTGCATTCGCTCCTCGGGCGACATTCGGCTGAGCTTCTCGACGTTTTCCAGATGGATCTGTTCCTTTTCCGAGAGGTGGGTGTCAGCAGGCTTGTCAACGGGCTTTTTTGCGAGTCGCTGGGCAGGCTTGCGCTTCGACGCGAGCGGGAACCCCGTCGCCGGCCGCGGCACAAACGCCACGGGCGCAGAAACCTGGTCGGACGTGTCGTGCTCCACAATATCTCCCAGCAGATCCATGACGGGCAATATATTAGCTGGAAAAATTAGGCAGCGTGGATAATTACACAGCCGTGCGTGGCCGGTGGGGGGTTGGGGGCAGTGCGAAAGAGTGCAAATGGCCTCAGACGGGAGAAGTCACACAAACTTGCCGGCTCCTACTGGCTCCCACTGGCTCCCACTGGCTCCTACCAGCTCTGTGCCTCCCTCCCTCCTGCTCACCCCGTCCCCTGCCTGATCCGATTCCGGGTAAATTCTATTTTTTTTCCGTCCTCCCATATAAATTCTCCGGGTCCCGTTTACTCACCTATATAATCCCTCGTGTCCCCAGTGTCAACCACATTGCCATGACAAGATCGTTCTCCACCCAAAACATCCCGCAATTGCCCCCAGACCCGCTGTTCGGCCTGAAATCCAGATACACAGAGGACTCCCGCTCCAACAAGGTCGACCTCGGTATAGGGGCCTACAGAGACAACAGCGGCAACCCGTGGATCCTGCCCTCGGTCAAACTCGCCGAGAACCTGCTCCAGAACTCCAAGGACTACAACCACGAGTATCTGCCGATCTCCGGGTTCAAATCGTTCACCGACGCCGCAGCAAGAGTCATCCTGGGCGATGACTCTAAAGCAATTGTCCAGGACAGACTCGTTTCCATCCAGTCGCTGTCGGGAACAGGCGCTTTGCACATTGCCGGTAAGTTCCTCAAGGACTTCTACGTGTCGGAGTCGTCTGCTGAGCCTCCGTTGATCTACGTTTCGCAGCCAACTTGGGCCAACCATATCCAGCTATTTGAGTACATTGGACTGAAAATTGCTACGTACCCGTATTGGGACGCGAAAACCAAGTCGCTGGACCTGGACGGGTTCCTGGACGCAATTAAGAAGGCCCCACAAGGGTCTGTGTTCCTGTTGCACGCCACAGCGCACAACCCAACAGGACTGGACCCGACCCCTGACCAATGGCTCAAGATCCTCAAGGCTGTGGAACAGGGCGGCCATTTGGCTCTGTTCGACTCGGCGTACCAGGGCTTTTCGTCGGGCTCGCTCGAAAAAGACGCGTGGGCCGTGCGCGAGGCCGTGGACAAACAGTACCGGTTCCCGATCGTGGTCTGCCAGTCGTTTGCTAAGAACGCAGGCATGTACGGCGAACGGGTCGGCGCAGTGCACGTGGTGTTGCCAGACCACGACGCCGCACTCAACAAGGCCGTTCTGTCGCAGCTGTCCAAGATCGTCCGGTCCGAGCTGTCGAACCCGCCAGCGTACGGAGCCAAAATCGTGTCGTTGATCCTCAACACCCCAGAACTGAAAAAACAGTGGGAAGAAGACCTCGTCACCATGAGCTCGCGCATCTCGAAGATGCGCAAAACACTCACCGCAGAGCTCGAAAACCTCGGCACCCCAGGCACCTGGAAACACATCAGCGAACAGCAAGGAATGTTCTCGTTCACGGGGCTGTCGCCAGCCCAGGTCGAGCGACTCGAGAAGAAACACGGCGTGTACCTCGTGGGCTCCGGCCGCGCCAGCATCGCCGGCCTCAACGAGGGCAACGTCAAGCACGTCGCCCAGTGCATCGACGAGGTGGTTAGAGCCGTGTAGCTGTATAGGAAATCAATTCAAACTCAACACCCGTGCACCAGCAACCAACCCTGTGTGGTCAGCCCTAAATCGCATTTCACATGAAAATGAAAACACATTAATTTTGCTTGTCCGCTTGCTTCTTGCCCCGATGTCTAAAAGAACCACCCGGTCCACGAATAAGGCGTCTATCCCGGCCCCCTCCTCGGCAATTGCCGACTCGTCAGACTCTGAGATTGTTCCGCAGGACCTGGCCAAAAAGAGCCGGTCGTCCTCGATGTCCTCGATCTTCTCGCTGGCAGACGACCCGCTGCCGCCTCCAAACGAAACAGACATCATCGCGTTCACCTCGGACAACAGACACTTCTCGTTCGTCCGCAACCTGCACATGGCCGACTTCATCACCATGTTGAATGGCTTTAGCGGGTTCTATTCGATCATCTCGTGTTTGCGGTTTACGCTCACCAACAAGCCGCATTACGTGCAAAGGGCCATCTTTTTCATTCTGTTGGGTCTGTTCTTCGACTTCTTCGACGGCAAGGTGGCCAGATTGAGAAAGAAGGCGTCGCTGATTGGCCAGGAGCTCGACTCTCTTGCGGACTTGATTTCGTTTGGCGTGGCCCCGGCCTCCATTGCGTTCACCATCGGAATGCAAACCACCGTCGATGTGTTGTTCTTGGCATACTGCGTGCTCTGCGGACTCGGTAGACTTGCCAGGTTCAACGTCACCGTGGCAAACATCCCTAAAGACCAAACCGGCAAGTCCAAGTACTTCGAAGGACTGCCGATCCCAAGCTCGTTGTGGATCGTGTTTCTGATGTCTTTCCTAGTGACAAAAGAGTGGTACGCAGACCAGCTGCCCTTCGGTCTGCTCTGGGAGGGAACTTTCTACGAGTGGCACCCACTCAGTTTCCTGTTCTTCCTCCAAGGATCCGTCATGATCAGCAAGAGTCTCAAGATTCCAAAACCTTGATCATTTATGTATTCATCTAAATGGCCTTCTGCCCTTGACCTCCCACTTATCGTCCTCCTCTGTACTTGCTGGCCGCACACTGCTTTTCTTGGCCGAAGACAGGTTCAAACGGCTGTTTTTTGGTGCTGGCGTCGACGACTGCGACCGCACAAGTGTCGGGATCGACGACTGTCGTCTCGCGGTGGCTGCTGCGCGCGTCGTGGGTTTGCGGATCGGCGTCTGGCGCGCCTGCGGGGGCCTGTTCTGCACCGGCGGCGGCATCACGCTGCGGTCCTTGCGCTCGCGGTCCAGCTTGCCGATTTCTGTCGTCAAAGCGTCGATCTTGGCCTGGATCTCGTCAGCCTGCTGTTTCTGGCTCCAGGTCTTGGGTGTGGGGGCCTCCTCGAAGTTCACGCACCACGCGTTGATGTTGAGCCCGAACAAAAACGACCCAAACGACTCGTTGAAGTTCGTCAACGACTCGTGGATCTCGTTCAGCCGCAGCAGCTTCATGTGGATGCTGTCGAGATGGTCAATGAACTCAAACTGCCGAGCCTTGTCGAAGAACGGCAGCTCCGACTCCCCAACAACACCCCCGTCAGATCCACCCTCGTTGCCGTCGCTGTGACCCAAGGATCCAGGAGTAGACAGCCCCGGCGGCTGGTGCTGCGAGTTGTACGGCGAAGAAAGAGGATAGTGCTGCTGTTTCCCGGCAGGAGACGTGGACGTGCCGATCAGGTTGGACGACCGCATGCTGCGTCGATGCTGGTTCGGCGTCGCCGGCCGCACCACCGGCAGCCGCGAGCTCGTGCTCTCGTTGTCAAACGGCTTCATCTGCGGTTGTTTATAGCGAAAACGCGTACCCTCTTTGTTTTTTTGTGATTAAATATTTATTTCCTCAATTTCTGCGCTTACATAAGCGCTTACGCAGTATATACAGTCGGAAGCACTAGCCCAGGTACTTGTTGGCGTGCTGCATCTTCTCCATCTTTGGGTTCACGATCTTGCTGTTTCTGATGACGCGTCTGAGCAGGATCGCCGAAACAACGCAGATTCCCCACCACGTGACCAGATATTGCAGGTGGTTGTTTTTGTAGTCGAGCGTGGGTGGTTTGCCGAGCGGCACGCCTGCGTTCATGAACTGCAGCGGGCTGAACTCCAGCTCGTCGTCTGCAGCCGGGGCCGGCTGTTCCTCGGGCTTGGCCCGGCTCCAGAACTTCCACCACGGAACCTGCTCCGGCTCGGGCTTTGGTAGCCACTCGGGTCTGTCTCTGAGGTTCTGCACCACAACGGCGTAGATGGGTCTCGAATGCAGCTCCTCGGCCATGGCATCGATGTCCAGGTACGTGTACAGCTTGGAGCCTTTTTCGTGGTCCATATGAAAACGGCCCTTTTTCGGTGGAACTCTTAGTAGACACTCGATGGTGATTTCGCCCTGTGGACACGACAGATGCTGCAGCCGTCTGTTGCCAGGCACCACCTTGTCCTCTCTAATCCAGCCGCGGTTCACCAGAACTTCGCCTGCTCCGTTGGACTGCACAAACGGACACATTAGAACGTACCCCTTGAGGCCGTTTTCGACGCGAGGGCCCACAAACACCTCTCGGGAGTAGTCGAATTCGCCGGTGATGAGCACACGGCGATACTCAAAGTCGGCCAGCTGGTCGGGGGTGATCGACTTGGGCAGAGGAAGCGGCTTGTATGTGAGTCTGTCCTCGCAGTCAGCAACGAGCCGGTTTTTCCACTTGAGCCGCTGAAACTGCCAGCAGCCAAGGAAGAACGTCACCACCGGCGTGAGACACAGCAGCCCGAAAAACACCCGCCTGCTGTGCTTGGCCTCGAGCTCTCTGCCCTTGGTGAGCTGCTTGGTGGTTTTCATGGGGTCCCAGTCGATGTTGTCTGTCTTGACGGACGCATGGCGTCTGTGCAGACGGCCGACGCGCAATTTCGTCGGCGACGGCGGGGAGATCCGCAAAATAGACCGGATTCCAAACACTTTGCTCATGAGATAATTTTGTCAAATTATTTCTACAACAAAAATTATGTCGTTGAGATGGTGGGTGGTGGGGGCAGGAGAATTAAAGTGGGGGTGCAATGGGCAGAAACTATCGGGGAGAGAAAGGGATTCGGTGAATGGGCAGTACTGGGAAGACTATGACATAGCGCACCGTGGCAGTATTCTCCCGTCCACCCTTGCATTTACATATCCACCATTATTAATTTCACCATTAGTCACTATGTTACACTATGCTACACTCCCTCTCTCCCCACAACTGCATCCCGCAATAGATCCACCCCCGTCTTGGTAGCACGCACGTCCTTCATCACCGCACACCACCGCTCCCCCGAGTGCGGGTCGTGCTCCACAAACCTGCGCTCCAGCTCTGCAATTTCTGCCTTGGTCCCGTGCTTCCGCAGAAACGCATAGTACTCCATGTAGTAGTCGCCGTACCCCGGGTCCTGGTCGTAGCACGCGTCAAAAAACTGCTTCGCCTTGGCAATCTTGCCCGACACCCACATGTCCCTCGCAATGGCAAGAATCACCACCGGGCTGTCGTTGGTAGCGTTCAGTGCGGCCCCGTAAAGGTTCTTGCGATGCGTCTTTTTCGCAAACAGTATGTTCTGTCGCCAGAGCACCGCAGAGGTGCCCAGTCTCTTGAGCGCAGCAGCCAAGATCCGCTCCGCCTGCGACCGGTTATTTGCCCGCTCTTCCAAAAGCACCCGCTCCAGGTACACCAGGTCGCTGTCCGGGCTGGCAATCAGTGCCTGGTCCAGCACCGACCGCGCCTTGATCAGGTTGCCCTGTTTCTCGTGAACTCGGGCAAGGTGCACCCACAGCAAATCGGCTTGTACACACGCAAACGTGCCCTTGTAGTAAGCCTCTGCCGCCTCAGCAAGCTCGTTCTGCTCCTCCATGATCTGGCCCAGCTGCAGGTGCAGTTTCTGTTCTTTCGGGAACAGCGCCAGCCCCGTCTCGGCAAGCTTTTTCGCAGCCACCGGGTCGTTGCTCTGTCGCTCAAACGTTACGCTCTTGTACCACACGCGCGCGGACAGCTTGCCCAGCCGGGCACGGCACTTGGCGTACGTGTTTCTGGCCTCGTTGGTGTCCTGCAACCGGATCAGAGCAAACCACAGGTCTTCGCAGTCGGGAATGGCTTCCAACCCTTCATTAATCACGTCCCTGGCTTTTTGCACATCCCCATCAAGCTTCCACTTGTCCTTCGCGTACATCAAATAAAACAGCTTGTTGGTGGGGATTGCCCGCGTGGCCATCTCGTAAACCACATACAGTTGCTCGTAGTCCTTTAGCTGTTTTTCCAACCGGATAAAATCCATCCAGCTGGCGGTGTCGTCCGGGTAGTTGGCCGTGATGTACATGAACATCGACTTGGCGAGCTCGGGCGACCTTTCCAGAGCATCTGCGCGCCAGAACTCCAGCTTGTCCGTTTCAGGAACTCCCAGACTCATGCTGTTGAAAACAATGGCCCTGGCTACCAAAGGCAGGTTCTTTTGCTCGCACTCGAGCGCAATGCCCAGCCACTTCTCGCGGTCCAGTGCCGTGCTGGCAAAACACCGCTCCACCAGTCGCGTCACCTTCACCTCGTTTTCCGTGTGTATTTCCTCAAACTTGGCCAGCTCCACCCAGATCACGTGCGCGTCACCGGGAGCCACTTTGGTCAGCGCCTGCTCCAGCACCTGTCTTGTCTTGCCGAGCTCTGCGTACTTGAGCCACAGGGACACGCTCTCCGGCACCAGCTCGACAGCCTTCTGCAGCATGCGCACGGCCATGGCCGTGTCCGGCTCGTACTTCACCACCTCGAGCCAAAGCTCTGCACACGCGGGCAAGAACTCCAACGCTTTCTTGACAATGCGTTTCTTCGAGACACTGTCTGTCTCCAAGGAGGCCGCACATAACCATAGCCTGAGCGACCGCGCGTTGAATCGCACCGCCTGCGCAACAATCACCTTGCAAACACCAACGTCCTGCTTATTCATCTCAATGTTCACCAGCCACGCCTCCTCGGACTTCGGGCACCGCTCGCATCCTTCCTGGATAAGCTCTCGTGCGCGACGGAACCGTTTCGCCTCAAACTCCAGCCGCGCACTGGCTATCCACGTATCGGGTCTGCGTGGATTGGCCTCTCTCATCTTGGCAAACAGCGCACGTGTCTTGGCGTAGTCGCCGATCTCGGTGGCAATGCGGTCGCCCGACTGTGCCAGGCTTGCCAAGTACTCGTCTGCGTCCACCGAAACGACGGCCGACTGTTCCTGCACGTTCATCAGCTGCCCGGCCAAAACTTTCTCCTTGGCCACCGAAACGCCTGTCAGGTCCACGTCGTCGTCCTCGTTGGTCACATTTGCAGTGCCCGCAGGCCCAGAAACAGACACAAGGTCCGAGTTCCGATAGAATCTCTGTCGCTCCTGCAATTCTTTGCGGGCTCTCTTGTTGCGTTTGGTGAAATCGCCCGACTCGGGAAGATTCAGCCATTCATCAGTGGACACCTCTGCCAATTGCTGCTTGTAGTCCTTGAACTCCTCGCCAATGGTCTGGATCGATTGCCCGATACTAATATCCTGGGCCTGGACCCTGCCGTCAGAGTCTACGACGGCAGAACGCGCTCTTTTCGCTGCTCTGGCCTTTTTCTGCTGCAATTTCTGCTCGATAGCGTCGTAGATCTGGTCTGCATCGTCATCGTCGTCGCGCAGACCGCCAAAAACACCCGCCTCGTCCTGATCAGCGTCCAGAAACCGGTCCTGGTCGCCATCGTCCTTGTCATCGTCGGACGCAAACGAGCCCGCAGGAAGCCGTCGAACGGTGCCCAGGTCTGCTTGCGTGGTGAATCCAGTGGCACCACGGCCCAGCCCGGCAATGTACCCCGGCGGCGGCTCCTGGTCAAGAAAACTCCTCCGCTCCATAGTTTGAAGATAAATGTGTGGTTTATTTCCCTTTCGAGCCAGGCTAAAAAAAAAATTTTTGAAAAAATATCTTAATTTTTTATTCAGCATGTCCAAAAGAGCAGCAGACGACTTTGGCGCGGCCAATTCCGCCAAAAGAGACGCCAACGGCAGCACCGAGCGGAGAATCGAGGACCTGTCCGACGACTACCGGTCGAAAGTCGAAGGAGATATGGAAGACCTTTCTGGAGACGACTATGAGAGCGAGGGAGAAATCATCGAGATTGACACCTCTGGGGAAGAGGACAACGACGAGGCGATGGAGGAGACCCAGACCGAGTCCGCACACACAGACAACCAGCCAGAACAGTCTTCGCAGCAGGACGGCCAACAAGAGCTGTATTTACCCCACAGATCCAGACCTTTGGGTCCAGACGAGGTGTTGGAGGCAGACCCCAGCGTGTATGAGATGTTGCACAACGTCAACATGCCATGGCCATGTTTGACTCTCGACGTTTTGCCCGACAATCTTGGATCGGAAAGACGCGGGTTCCCGGCCAGCATGTACCTTGCTACCGCAACACAGGCCCAGAGAAACAAGGACAACGAGATGATTGTGATGAAGCTTTCGTCGTTGGCCAAGACTTTGGTGAAGGACGACGACGACGAAGAGGATGAAGACGACGAAGACGAGGAGGACAACGACCACGACCCGATCCTCGAAAGCGAAACCGTTCCTCTTAGCCACACAACCAACAGACTGCGCGTTTCTCCATTGGCGCAGAAGACGGGCAAGTATTACACTGCCACCATGAGCGAGAACGCAGAGGTGCTCGTTTTCGACCTCAGCGCACAGATGAAGGCCTTCGACACGCCGGGATACGTGATCCCGAAACAGAACAAGCGGCCCGTGCATATTGTCAAGAACCACGGCAACGTTGAAGGGTACGGTCTGGACTGGTCTCCGTTGGTGGATACGGGCGCATTGTTGAGTGGTGACATGTCCGGAAGAGTTTACCTGACGAACGGGTCCAACAGCAAGTGGACCACCGACAAGACGGCCTTCCAGGCCAGCAATGCATCGATCGAGGACATCCAATGGTCGCGGTCGGAAACAACGGTGTTTGCTACCGCAGGCACCGACGGATACGTGAGGATCTGGGACACGCGGTCCAAGAAGCACAAGCCTGCGCTGAACGTGCTGGCTTCGAAAACGGACGTGAACGTGATCTCGTGGTGCGATAAGCTCGATTATCTGCTTGCGTCTGGCCACGACGACGGTAGCTGGGGGGTTTGGGACCTGAGAAGCTTCCAGCCGGGCAAGCAGCCATCGCCTGTGGTTTCGTACGACTTCCACCGGTCTGCCATCACTTCGATTGCGTTCAACCCGCTTGACGAGTCCATTGTTGCTGTTTCTTCCGAGGACAACACCGTGACGCTTTGGGATCTGGCTGTGGAGGCCGACGACGAGGAGATCAAGCAGCAGAAGGAGGAGTCCAAGGACCTGTCGGACATTCCGCCACAGCTGCTGTTTGTGCACTGGCAAAAGGACGTGAAGGACGTGAGATGGCACAAGCAGATTCCAGGAGCACTGGTCAGCACTGGAACAGACGGTTTGAACGTGTGGAAGACCATTTCTGTGTAATTAGACCAATAAAGGCGACCCATCGTTTTGCTGTTCAGGGTGTGTTTCGCGGAAGTACAAGCACATCAGCAGTAGAATGAGCTGTAAACTTGCGGCCGTAAAGTATGGTAGCCAGCTGCTCCATCTGGAGCCCGGTTGCATGAACAACGAGTAGCACCACAGATAGCCCCCGGGAGTTTGCAGCATCATCATGTGCACCGACAGACTGCCCGGGTGTTTCAGAACGTAGGTTGTGTGGATTTGCGGGAGATATTGTCCGGTAGCGAGCACTGTGGAGACGAGTCCGCTTAGGTTTGCGAATTTGAGTGTTTTTGAGTAATCTGTGACAAACACGAGAAAATACACCGCAATTGCGAGGTTGACTCCCGCATACACCAGAAACCATTTGTACGACCTGGCGATCTTTGCCCCGTCCGAATCCGGGGTCTCTATTCTGGGTCTTGTCAAATGGGCACATAGAACCAGAATCAGGGTATATCCCACGGTTTGGACTCCGACCTGGATCAGACCGACCTGCGAGTTGAGACATTGGAACCTGTCGAGCTCGGAAACACAGCATTGGCGTGCTGGGGCGGTTGTGAGCAGCAGATTCACAAAGGCGGAGAATCCAGACGTGGACCCCAGGAACAAGAACAGTGGCGACAATCCCTCGCTTGTTCGTCTATTGATGATCTTGACGTGCTGGGGGACATAGGACACGTAGATTCCCAACGCCAGAAGAACCCCCACCAAAAACCCCCACACTGAGGGCGATTCGTAAACAAGACACGATTCCATGATAAAACAAAGATTAAGTAGCTTTTTTTTTTTTTCTGGTGATCTATTTATCTCTGATAAGCTTTTAGACGCGACTCCAAGTTTCCGACGATTTTCGCACAGATCTTGTCGTCGATCAACTTGATGAACCGCACCAGCTCGAACGATGTTTCAAAGTCCTTGGTTAGCACCAATTTGACGAGGATCTCGTTGATCAGCTGGATATCGCTGCCACTGATCTTCTCGTCGTTCTCCTCGTAATTGAGCATGATGATGAAGTAATGCGCACACAGCTTGAAGTCCTTGTCGCCGGTGTTGATTTTGGCGAGCATCTGGCGCGGAGTCTCGCCGTACTTGTCGAAAAAAGTGGCCCAGTACTGCACCTCGATCTTTTTCAGACAGTTCAGATAAACCGAATACTCCATGCCGGTCATCTTGATCAGCGACACCAGCCGCTCGAAATACTCTGTTCCGTCGTCCTCGTTGTCGTAGCTTCTTTGGATGTAGTTCATCAACAGCAGTTCCAGAACAAACACAAAATGCTTGAACCGATGGAACCGTTTGAAGATCGACGACAAACTCAGAATGTTGCTGTTGTCGCCCTTGTCGATCTCCAGGTTGAGCCGGATGTAGTGGTCGAGCACGTTGTTGAGGTAGTTCTTGCGCGTGGGCCCGATCTTGAGGTTCGACGTGGGCGAGTAGTCGATCTCGATGCCGAAAATCATGTTCTTATCGTTCATCATCGTGAGCGGATACGAGTTTGTTCCGTTGGACTCCACCACCAGCACCTGGTCCTTCTTCGTCTGTGTCTGGTTGCCTGTCTGGACCGCGATCGGCAGCACCTTCATCATGTTCTTCTCGTTGGCAAAGTCAAATAGCAAGATCTCGCATCCGTCAAAAACTGCAACCAGGTTCGGCGTCGGCTTCGCCACGTACTCCACCGTGTTGCTCAGCAGGTACGAGTGGTAGATGGCCTTTTCGCGCGCAGAAACAACCTCCTTGCGGATATACGTGAGGTCGCAGTTCGCCAGCACCAGCAGGTCATCCTCGTTGACTTTCACCACGGCCTTGAAGTTGTAAACGACCGAGTCCAGCTCTTTCTCAAAACAGTTGCGCAGCTGGTAAACGTTGGACTTGCGCAGCAGTAGCGACTGGCCCGACTTGCGCTGGCCGTTGAAACCGATCTTCCATGTGTAGCAGTTCATCTTGTCGCTCATCACCAGCAGCTCGTCGTGGTACATGTCGATGTTGAAGCTGAGGAAGTTCTCGTCCAACGCGGTCTCCTCGAAGTTGAACCCCCAAACGATCTGGTCGTACGTGAAGGGTGCGTTTTTCTCGAGGATTTTGGTCGAAAACAGCACAACCTCGGACTTGGCCTCTGTCTCGAACGTCTTGGAACCAAGAAGCAGATAGCTTTTCCACCAGATACAGATCCGCACCGGGTTGATTTCCGGCTTGTCGCCCTTCTCCGTCAGGTTCAGCTCCTTCCACTCGTCGGTCACCAGATTGTACAGGAAGACGTCGCGGTTGCCAACAACACACACGTAATTCCCGTCGTCGCTCATTGCACAGCACCGGATTTCTCTATTGTTGATGAAGAACGAGATCGGCAGCATCACGTCGAACCAGCTGTTCGTCTCCTTGTTGCTGGTGTCCGGGCTGCCCTTCCAATGGTCGATCAGATTCTTATCAAAAGCGCGAAACAACGAAAGACGGTCGTTGCCCAGCAACACGGGCCGTTTGAACGTGGCCGAGCTCAGAAACCGCGAGTGGTTCAGCGTGACAAGATTCAGCTTGTGCAGCTTGTGCTCGGTGGCCAGGATCAGCTCGAAGTTGCTGATGAAGCCGATGCTGGTGGGGCGCAGCCAGTCTGCGCTCTCGTAGTCGTACGTGGAGAAGTTGAGGTTTCCGAGCGTGGAGTACACGTTCCAGCCGTTTCTGTACAGGGCAATCAAGGAGTCGCCGTCCGGACTCAGCACGAGGTTCTGCAGGTCCTGCGACGAGACGTGTTTCTTGATCACACGCAGTTTCTTCACGGCCATTGTGCGCAGCAGCTTGGCCACCACCAGGTCGCCGTTCTCCATGCCAAAATACACCAGGTTGCGGAAATGGTTGATCAGACACTTCACCACGCGCCCGTCCAGCGAGGAGTGGATCTGCTTGCCCACAAACTCCACGTTGTCTGCGCCGCCGCGTTTCTGCACCAGCCAGCAGTCTCCGGCTTCGTTCAGCCACACAAAACAGCCCATCTCGAAGTTGTAGAACAGCTCCCGCGTGGTGGAGTCCGCATGGTACCACTCTAGCTCCTCCACCAGAATGAACTTGATGTGTTTGCCCTGGTCCTTGGCGTCGATATCCGACTGGCTCGGCGCAGAGGCCAGTTGGATTGTCTGGAAAGCGTGCGGTTTCGAGTTCACCAGCAACAGGTGTCCGTTCGACGAAAAACAGTAGTCTGCCAGCGGACTCTGCACGTTCAGCACCAGTTTGAGCCGCAGACCGTAGTCATAGTTGGGCAACTCCATGTTGTTCCCGCTTAAAAGAACGTTAATAAACGTCTTGACAAGATTTTCCGGCGAGTTCGCGTTCTCCACCACCTCTGCAATCACAGGCAGCCCGTTCTGGATGATCTTGCCCTCGGTGTTGAAGATGGTGAGCAGCTCGTCCGAAAGCTCGCTCTTGAGCGTGAAGATTAGCAGCATGTTCTTGGACGTTTCGACGGCAAACTGTTTGCCGTTGGGTGACCGCTTGATCTTCAAATTGCGACCGTACTCGTCCAACGAGTTGTTGGAGCGTATATGGGCGGCTATCGGGGAGTTTGTGCGCGAATCAAACAGATAAATAGACCGGTACGTCAAAACAACATAGGGGAAATTTAGATCGTTGGTCAAGGTCTGGATCACAGGATCAAGGTGCGGCGTGGGATCGTACTCAATGGCAACATTCGGGTCACCGGTCTTGGTTCCTCCGGCCAATTCCTCAACCTCCGGTAACGTTTGCGAACAAACAACAAGGTTGGGCCAAAACATTGGGTATCGACAAAAATTGTTACACAGCCTGGATTATTTAAGAAAGGATTAATTTTATTGAAAACTTAAAGGGTGGGGGGTATATTGAACAAAACTAGTCGAGACAAATTGCTGGGCAGAGTCCCATTCGTATGGCATCTGCGATTGTTCGGCTATCAAAAGCAAGGCACAAAGGAAAGATCTCATCCGAACCCAAAGAAATGAAAACTCAGCCAAGCGCACGTTGGAAAACACCTGTTGCTTACTCAAGCATGTCCTCCAATGGAGCTTCGTCCGCATAGTCCAATTCTTCGTCGATGTCGTTGGAGTCCTGGTACTGCTGGTACTCGCTCACAAGGTCGTTCATGTTGGATTCGGCTTCGGTGAATTCCATCTCGTCCATACCTTCAGAAGTGTACCAGTGCAAGAACGCTTTTCTTCTGAACATGGCACTGAACTGGTCTCCCACTCTTCTGAACAGCTCCTGGATAGAAGTGGAGTTTCCAATAAACGTAGCAGACATGTCCAGGTCCTTAGGAGCAACAGAACAAACGGCAGATTGGACGTTGTTTGGAATCCATTCCACAAAGTAGTCAGAGTTCTTGGTTTGCACCTTGTGCATCTCGTCCTCAACCTCCTTCACAGAAACCTTACCTCTGAAGAAAGCAGCGACAGTCAGGTATCTACCCTTTCTTGGGTCAGAAGCGGCCATCATGTTCTTGGAATCGAACATTTGTTGTGTCAGTTCTGGAACAGTCAACGATCTGAACGACTGCGATCCAATCGAGGTCAATGGAGCGTAACCAACCATGAAGAAGTGCAATCTTGGGAATGGCACAAGGTTCACAGCAAGCTTTCTCAGGTCGGAGTTCAATTGTCCTGGGAAACGCAGCGAGGTGGTGACACCAGACATAACAGACGAAACAAGGTGGTTCAAGTCGCTGTAATTTGGTTGGTTCAATTTCAAAGTTCTCTGGCAGATGTCGTACAAAGCCTCGTTGTCGATACAGAAGGTCTCGTCCGAGTTCTCAACCAGCTGGTGGATAGATAAGGTAGCATTATAAGGCTCAACAACAGTGTCGCTGACTTTTGGAGAAGGCATCACAGAGAAAGTGGCCATCATTCTATCTGGGAACTCTTCTCTAATCTTGGAGATCAAAAGAGTACCCATACCAGAACCGGTACCACCACCCAAGGAATGGGTGATCTGGAAACCTTGGAGCGAGTCGCAACCTTCGGCCTCTCTTCTAACAACGTCTAACACAGAGTCAACCAGCTCGGCTCCCTCGGTGTAGTGACCTTTGGCCCAAACGTTGCCGGCCGAAGATTGACCGTATATGAGGTTATCTGGTCTGAACAAGTTACCGAATTCTGACGACTTGACAGTGTCGATCGTGCCTGGCTCCAAATCGACCAAGACTGCTCTTGGCACGTATTTTCCGCTGCTAGCTTCGTTGTAGTAAACGTTGAGTCTGGATTTCTGAATATCATCGGTTCCGTGGTAAGTTCCGTCTGAGGCCAAACCGTGTTCTCCACAGATGGTTTCCCAAAAAGCAGCACCCTATTATGTTAGCTGATGATTTCGACGCGTGCGATATACTTACAATCTGGTTACCACATTGTCCGGTAGACAAATGAATCTTAAAAGTGTTAGTAGAGAGACGTAAACACCCACCCCAACACGAAAATTGGGTGGGTTATAGTTTCAGGATGGGGGGACATAGTGGCACTATGCGACCACCCCACCCTTCAAGCTTCCATATACTTACAATTTCTCTCATTGCAACTTGCGGTGATAAAGTTCTAAAACTGTTGCGAAGGTCCAGTTGTCCTAAAGAGAAAGGTTTGGTATCTTGTTTAACAAATGTAAACAAATATTATACTGCTTTTGAAAAAAACATTTGCCCAACGCCAAACATTTTGAGCGGCGCACGTCTTGTTTACTTTTTTTCTCTTAGTATTACGATACAATATGTATAAGGACAACAGGGCTGCACAACCACCTTATCACGGGATGTACACCTTGCTGTAGCCGTCGACTTTGGACCGACAACAGGCACATTCGTTGAAGTTGCGCACAAACAGCGACACACGACAGCTTTCGCAGATCGCCAGACACTTGCACGGCCACAAAATCACCTGCCGCGCGTTCACGTGACAAATCACGCAGCTGCCCAGGTCGTCGTAGTTTGGGGCCCGTTTCTCTCTGATCACGTCCCACAGCTGCAGTTCTGGCGTGTAGTTTTGGTGGAACCGGCGTCTGGTCAATGTGGACGGTGCGTGGAGGTGTTGTTGGAGAATTCGTGCAAATTGGATCTCTTCTGTAGATTGAGGATTAAGGAGCGAGCCAATGTCTTCTGGCGATAACAGCTGGCCGATTTCGGACTCCACCGGCTCGTCGTCAGTCTCCCACTCGCTCTCGCTGGCCTCTGAGACAGGCTCGTAGTCTGCGGAGTTGTCGATCTCGGAGATCTGGCTGCCAAGTATCAATCTTGCGTAATCCTGTTGAAGCTCTGTTTCGGCGATCTCGTCCAGATTGACGGCCTCTGCGGCCAGAAGCTGGCGGTTGCGTTCGTGGAAAATGCGCCAGTCCTCTTCGCGAATATCGCTTGCTACGTCGTCCTCCGTTGCCAGCGGTAGCCGGCCCAAAACCATCTCTGTGGACATTTTGGCGAATCCAGACAGTAGACTGCGCATGTCGCGCACACGCCGCGCCACCATCCACATCCGCGGGCGTTTCTTGAGCTGCTGGACCTGGTGCGCGGCGAGTTCGGGGTGGTTGTCGATCTTGCGGCCGTAGCCGGACTGCAACGCCTCGGCTTCGAGGAAAGTGGTGGCAGGAACCAGTATCTGGTCGTATTCCTTCACGTAGCTCTGTTTGGAGGCCGCATTGATCACAAACGAGCCCAGGTTGATTAGCGCGGTGTAGAAGTCGTCGGCCAGCGAGATCTCGATCGAGTCAATGTGGCTGGTGAGAGCGCTGAACGTGAGGTCGGCAAAAGAGCCTTTGAACAGAGCAGCCAGCAGAAATATCACCAGACTTGACAAAATGACCAGCAAAGTTATCATCTGGGGCAGGTATCCCATGATCACGGTGAACGGAATGAATGAGAGCCGTCCCGTGAAGATGATCTTGAGGTACAGTGCCAATGTGAAGGACCCAACCAGCATGGAGAAGATTAGTCTGTAGTTCTGGCGATTGAACAATCCGAGAATATGGATGTTCAGCTGGTGGACCAACGCAATGACGGCAATCAACAGAAGCTCAACAGACGGCCGGTTGGCGGACTGCACTTCCTGAAACGCTAGCGAGTACTCAAACAGAGTGAGTCCGTTCTCAATACAGGGCTCTGTTCCGCCAGTGACAGCGATAAAAGTCTCGAAAATCTGGCTGAGACACAGCGAAAAGTAGAATGGCTTGAGAACAGACGGAGTGGGACCGTGCAACACAAATTTCCCCTCGCTGTTAATGATGGTGCGCTCAAAGTACTGTGCACTGTAACTTATGCCAAAAAAGGTGTATGTGTGGAACTTCGACTCATCGAAGTTGTAGTAGGACGGAATCAGTTTCTTGAGCAATGGTGTGCGTGTGTAATGCTTTAGAGACGATAGAACGCCGTAACTGCCCTCCAGTAGCAGGTAAATCGCAGTCAACCGCAGAATCACCTTGGACACTTTCGGGAGTCTTCTGCTGGATCTGGTGCTTGCAAAAATCACGATCCTGTTCAAAAGAGTCGCCGTCAGCATGCAGAACAGAGCAAACGGCGAAATGCAGTACGAAATCATCGATTTGCTGCGGTTGCTTGGTATTCCTGCCTCGTTGGACTGTTCCACAATGGCGTCTGTGAACGAATCAAACAGCCGTTTGAGCAACCACGACGATTTCAACGTGTCAGAAGTGTTTGCCACTTGCGCCGGGTCGACGACCGAGACCGAAGAGCGGGCTGCTGCGGTCGTCATAAAGAAGGAACAAATCAACTTATTTGAAAACCGGGAAAAAACCACACACATCTTTACACTGCTAATTAATGCAAAAAGAGTGGGGGAAGAACCACTGACCTATATTTAATTCCTAGTTTCTTCTTCAAACAGCGTTGTTTGCAACGGGTTGTGTAATTTATGAGCGTTTAATCTCCACAGACTTGTTGTCCAGCACAAAACAGCCGCCAAATTTCAGATGTCTCGTGCCGAAGGTCTTATCAATAGAGTACCGTCTCTCGAGTTTATTGGAAACAAACAGGACATGAACCAGGAGTTTGCCCCACCAGACTCGTGTGTCGTGGTCGAAGACAAAATTGACGAAGGATCAGGAGGTGCCATCTTCAAATGTCGCTTCAAGTCGGATAACACTCAACTTTGTGTTTTGAAGAGACTCAAGAAAAAACCCCAAGAGTCGCCAGAAACGTACTTGTTCAACTCTTTGAACGAATACTCCACTTTGAAAAGACTTCAGCCCCACCCGTTTTTGGTGGAGACATACCATTTCTTTGCCGAAATCCACAGTAACGAACTCTGCTATTCTGTTTTGCTCTCCTTTTGCAAAAACGGCGACCTGCTCTCGGTGCTTTCCAAAGCTCGCAAAAACAGCGTCCCCATTTCGTTCCAACACAAAGACTTCTTCTTTCTCAAGTGTCTCCAGGTAGTCAAATACCTGCACTCCAAAAACATCGTCCACAGAGACTTGAAACCTGAAAACTTCCTGATCGACGCAAACGGAGAACTCAAACTCACAGATTTCGGTAATGCAATCGATCTCGACCGTGTAGATGGCTACACCTTCACACCAGAATACCTCTCCTTGGGAACAACCTCATTCAAATCGCCAGAATTGTACCAATACAAACACAGCCCGGAAAACAGCATAGACATCTCCAAAATCAACTTCAAAGCCATAGATGTCTGGTCGCTAGCAATCCTCTACTTCAACATTGCCATTCTGCAAAAACCCTGGACAGAAGCTTCTTCAAGAGATTTTGAGTTCAAAAAATATAAAAATAAGTATGAAGCATTGTCTTTCGACCAACTCGATAGCTACCAGTTGAACAGAAACTTGGACGCTCCATTTTCAAAACTCCCAGAACAAAGCCGTCAGACAATCGTGAAAATGCTCCATCCAGACGCAGACAAGAGAGTGACCTTGGCAGACGTGCTTCGAGGAGACTGGATGATCCAAACTAATATCGCCTATCAGAATTATGCCAAGAAATCCTTATTGAAAGGACGCGACGACGAAATCTTGCGGATCATCAACATATGACGGATGCGAAACATGTAATGTAATATGATAATAGCAAATGCAGAAACCAGCGAGGGGTGTCATAATTAACAGCTCCCTTTTTTTCTCTTTCAGAAAATGACCAGCCCGTTTGGAGTAGAATCAAACGCCTCGTCGTGGGTAACAACACCCAGCGACTCTTGCGGAGCCTTCATGATACTGATCTGCGGATCAAACAGATCTTTGATGTCGATGTCCATTTGGGCTAGGCGATGCTCCACATCAACGTCCTCATCGTCCAGCTCAACCTCTTCGGAGTCGGAGTAATCGAGACCCGCACAGGAGGAGCGAGGAGTTTGGATATGTAGCGACTTTCCAGGGATCAGGTCGAGCAATTGCATAGATTCTATTAAACTGTTCATTAACTTTTGTTTGGAGACCTCTTGCGTTGATTTGTATGAGGAGGAAGCAGGGTTAGCTGTTTCCCCATACAACAAGGATAGGTTGATCTCATGCGAATATTTTTGGTCATTAATCTGTGAGCTAGCGGGGATGACAAATGGCGAGCAACATGCTACTAAATCGTTGTAGCCGATCGTGATCAATTGTTTATCTTTCTCTTCAACAAGATCTTTGGTAGCATCTTTAATAGAATCTCTTCTTTGCGGCTTCTTTTGTCTGACATTGACGTGAGACTTACGCTTACTGTTCTTTCTGTCCGACGCACCCATATACATTCCAAACAGGTCTCAACCAGGGGGAACACGAAATCTATATAAGGAGATCAGAGAACAAGACAAATCACAAAATAACAGTGTGGAGGGGCTCATGCATAAATTAGATACATAATCGTACATTATTAACACAAGGAACAAATTCCAAATATAATTCGCTTACCTATGGCTTATATTGTGTTTGTATATCAAGCTGGAACATGGCATAGAACATGTTGGGTGACGCGTAAAGAGGGTAATCGGGTTTCTAAATGCGGACAATACGGGAAAAAGCTGCTATTGTGCAGGCGGGAAGAGCGAAAAAGCTCACCCAGTTACCCGGACACAAGAGTCCATGTGAAACCTGGGCCCAGCCAAGCGATTTTTTAATTATTTTGGGAAAGTGCTGCCAAATTTGTTCAAAATCGACCTGAGGTGCATAAGTCTTGGCCAATCAAAATAATTAATTTGCCTTAGGTAAGCAGGGCCGACTTTAAGGGCAAAAAAAATCGACGTTTTCCCATTTCCACAAAAGAAAAAGTTAATCCCATCTCTATCTTAACAAAGCAGACAACTTAGCGAGATACTATGCTTCATCCCTTTTAAAGGGTCTCATTAATAGCCTCCAGCCACAGCCGATTAATTGTATCATTTGTTGGCGTCCTGATTCCTTGTTGTTGTCATATAAATAAACAGTCAAGTCGATTATTATCAACAGCCAGCAACGTTTTCCCACTGGATTGGGTTTTAAAAGAGTATCCAAATAGCATATTTCTATCAGCGATAAGAATCCAAGTAAAGCAGATAACTACGGTCTGAAGTTAATTCCGTTTACAATCCGCTACACGAGTGAAGAACCATTTCACTTATCAATTTAACTCCATTTGGCTTTTTGGCTCAAAAGCTTTTTTTTTTTTGCCAGGCTTACAGCAAAAACGCGTTTTTAGGTGCATAAATCTGTTATCATATAATGTCCGGAAAATTTGACACCAGTCTAAACAATGCGTCGGAAGACACCCTCACATCGGGTTTGAAGGACGACGCCTACGACGAGTCCAAGATAAACGATCAGATGGCCAACCTGTCGTTCAGTACGACGAGCACAACGCAATCCTCAGCAGTGGTAAGGATCAAAAATGTCCCATCAGACACAACGCTTAGAGAAGCTTTCCTCATATTCTCGCTCTGTCTCGACGAGGTGACCTTCGTTGACCTGGTGCACGAGGTTGAGTCCCCTACGCATGGGTCTTCCCCAGTGCCTCTCAACAATGGCTCAATTTCAACATCTCTCTCGAGCCACGGTTCTGTGTCCTCGAGCCTCGTCATCATCGCCAGATTCAGCTCATTGAAGACTGCTCAGCAAGTAGCACAGCTTCTCGATGATAAGTGTCTGTTTGGCACAGCATATCAGCCAGTCAACGTCGAGTTGATTTCTGATCAGCATGATTCTTCTGCATCCTTTGCTAACTCTCCTTATGCACAAACTTCGCCGTCTCACAGTTCATCTGCTGTTCCAATAATTAGTTCGCTGGGTCCTCCTCAAACATCAAACATTGGAATGAATAAAAGACCCCCATTAAGCACGCAGAGATCCAGATTCCTTTTCAGTGATCCCTTTTCGAGTCATAATTCTTCGAACATCCAGCCTCCTGGTTCGTCAACATCGTCTGCATCTTCTTCAACATCACAAGCTCAAACATTAACATCGCAGTCTGCTGGCACTTTGCCAAGTGGATTGATTCCTGCACCACAGGGATCGTCTTCGACCCCAACGTCCGCAACTTCTGCACAGAACGTTTTGGAGCAACTGACTTCGCCCCTTCTGGCGTCGTCAGGCAAGGGAATGCTGTTGATGGATTCGCATAGCGATTACGACCAGCTTGTGAGGCCATGGTCGACTGGAAGCAGTTTGTCGTCATCCCAACCCAACGTGAACTCTTCTCAGAACGGTTCCTCTCACCCAGGAGGAACACCAACAAAGAGCGTTCCGGAGTCATTGACAATCAACACAGGGTTGGCCTCTTCCATTCCGACCGGGCTTCCTACTCCGATCACCAACGAGTGGGATAGAAGAAGACAAGGGTCTGCATTTTTCAACGGAAGCCAACCCACCACATCCTCAAGTGCTCCTTCTCAGTCGAGCGGAACATCACAGTCACTTTTGGTGAACGGAGGAAGCACGCCTTCGATCACCTCACCTCCATTCCAGCAACAGCAGCCACAGCCTTCATCGCAGTCGCAGTCGCAACCGCAATCGCAGCAGCAGCAGCAGCAACAGCACATTCCCGAGCTGTCATTACTTGCCAGAGTGCCTCCACCCGCTAATCCAGCTGATCAGAACCCGCCATGCAACACCTTGTATGTGGGTAATCTTCCGCCCGACGCCACGGAGTTGGAACTGCGTACGTTGTTCCAGCCGCAAAAGGGATTCCGCCGTCTGTCGTTCCGCACCAAGCAGAACACGGGCAACAGCTCCAGCTCGCACCATGGACCAATGTGTTTTGTTGAGTTCGAGGATGTTGCGTATGCGACACGTGCGTTGGCAGAGCTGTACGGCCGGACGCTTCCACGTGCGAACGGGTCCAGCTCCAATAATAAAGGGGGAATCCGGCTGAGCTTCAGTAAGAATCCTCTTGGAGTGAGGGGTCCTGGCCAAAACAGACGGGGATCTGCCAATCCAGGGTACAATTCGGGGAACAATTCTTCGCAGAACGGCAATTCGAACGGGGGAAATTCACAAAACGGAGGAGTCAATTACAACGGGTTCCAACAGTACTCCTACCAGCAGATGCCACTTTCGCAGTACCCCAAATGAGCTAGGCTTTCCATCATGATATTCTCACCATTGTATTACTAGTTGTTGTTGTTATTAGTTGTTGATTTTATCGAGCGACCCAGGGACATTTCCATATTTTCAGCCATAAGTGTGTTTATTCAGTTCTTTTGCTTGACATATTCCATTCTCGTATTAGTTGCATATAATTTGCTAATCATTAATCCATATGGTAGTTTAATTTAGAGCATTGGTCCACTCCGTGAAATGGTGGCAGGTCGATGTTCCATTTTTGGGCAAACTCCTGAGGGATGAATCTCCCGCCAACGTAGTGGGATGAGTGTGGGGAGAGCAGTTTGGTGCAAGGTTTTGGTGCGGTCAGAGACACCAGCAGGTCTGGCTGGTAATTTTTGATTTCTGGCGAGACCGGGCCCGCGTCCACGTCCCAGCCGGACGGGATATCGACTGCGACGATGTGTTTGCCGTTGTTTTGTGCGTCGAGCATCTGCGCAATGACCGAGTCGAACGGCGATCTGATTGGCGGCTTGAACGAGAATCCAAACAGCGAGTCGATTATCAGGTCACATGACTTCAATTCTGGGGGAAGATCAGAAACGAAGGCAATGTTGAAGTTTTCGAGCTGGGTGGTGAGACCTTGGAAGATTGGGCGGTTGGTTGGTTTCGGGTAGTACACTTTTGGCGTGTAGCCGAATAATTTGAGGTGGCGCGCAGCCACGAGGCCGTCTCCGCCGTTATTGCCTGGACCACACAGGATCAAGCAATTTTTAGCGGAGGAAGGGGGGTACTCTTTAAACACGGCCTGGGCCACGGCCAGACCGGCCAATTCCATCAGCTGGTCGATGGAGAACCCCATTGACGACATCAGCTCTTTGTCCAGCAGTGCGGCCTTTGCAGCCTCGATGGTTCGGAAAGACATTGGAGACGATATTTTTGGACCTGAATCGATTCCCAAAAAAGCCGGACCGCAGCATGGCAGACAAAAATCATCAAGCTAATTGTGGACGCGTAAAAAATAACAAAAAAGGACAACCGTACATAACTTTGCAACATGTCGAGAAGAAGCTCATCTGCCGTCCTTAGACGCCAAAAGGACCTGAAGCGAGGAATCCGGTTCACCATGATGGTGTGCGGGTGTTCGGGAACGGGAAAGACCTCGTTCATCAACTCTTTGTTGGATCGCAACATTCTTCCACATAGGTACCAATACAGCAAGGCCAGTGGGGGTGAGGTGACTCGTCAGACGATCACTTTTGCGAACCTGAGCGGTGTTGTGAACGATGCGGCCGAGTACGAGAAGGTGTTTGACCCGGAAAACGCCGACCAGGAGCCCGGCATAGCCATCACAGAAACGTCTGTGGAGATTTTGGACGAGGACGACTCGAAGCTGTTGCTGACGATCATCGACACCCCTGGGTTTGGAGACAACATCAACAATGAGCTGTGCGACACCGAGCTGATCCATTTCTTGGAGCAGCAGTTCGATCTTGTTCTGGCCGAGGAGAGCAGGGTCAGAAGAAACCCAAGATTCGTCGACACCCGGGTCCATGTTTGCTTATATTTCATCACTCCAACGGGCCATGGACTCAGAGAGCTCGATATCGAGACCATGAAGAAACTGTCCAAGTACGTGAACCTGATCCCGGTGATCGGAAGGGCCGATTCGTTCACCAAAACAGAGCTTCTCAATTTCAAGAGAAATATCATGCAGGACATTGACCATCACAAGATCCCGATTTACCAGTTTGAGTACGAGGCCGACGACGATGAGGAGGTGATCGAGGAAAACAGATACCTGAGTGAAATGCAGCCGTTTGCGGTGATCACCTCTGACGAGGAGGCAGAGGTCAACGGAGCCAAGACCAGAGTCCGGACGTATCCATGGGGGTCGATCGACATTAACAACAGCGACTACTCGGACTTCCCTGTTCTCAAGTCTGTTTTGTTGGGATCGCATTTGCAGGACCTCAAGGACATCACACACGAGTTTTTGTACGAGAGCTACCGTACAGAAAAGCTGATGACGGTGACCGAGCTGGACGAGCTTCACGAGGCAAATGCCAATGGATTGCCTATCGATCCGCCGTCAATGTCCAACTTGGCAGACATTGCCAACTCCAAGTCGATGGCCAACTTCGACGGCCCATACAGAGCCCCTTCGATGCTGTCTGACGCCACTGCAGGCACCACACGGGTCACCAAGGACCAGAAGGTGAACAGTCTCACCTCCAAGATGGGTAGTGCCTCGTTACAAGAGCCGCCTGAGATCCTCAAGGGCCGTCCGGACTCAAACTACTCGTTCCAGGACGACGCAGAACTCACCTCGTTGGTCGACGACGAGGTCGACAAGTCTGCTCCAAATGCATCTGTTGGTACGCCTCCAGGAACGTCGCTCACATCCCCAAGAATCAACCACTCTCCGTCGGTTTCTTCGTTGTACTCGGGCTCGGGCTCCGTCAATGCTAGACAGCTACGTAAGATCAGCGAGACTGTTCCGTACCTGTTGAAGCACGAGAGCCTTCTGTCGAAACAACAGAAGCTGGAGGAGCTGGAGCGGAAGTCAGCTAGGGAGCTGGCCAAACGTGCGTCGGAGCTGGAAAAGAGAGCCATGGAACTGAAACAGAGAGAAAAGCTGTACAAGGAACAACTGGCCAAAAACACCCCACCGGCCGTCCAGGAAGAGGTGCCGGACTCGACGCTCGACAGCGCTAGCTTTGTTGCTGGAGACGACAAGGACTAAGTAGAACAGTATATCAAGAAACAACCACTAAATAATCGACGCGTCGAACTTGGGCAGATTTGGCCGAAATTTCCAAAAAGTCCAAAATCCACCGTTTTGTATTATTTCCTTGATATCTTGAACACATCGCGTCGTTAACGCCCACATTCTTTGTATTTTTAGCCGCCATGGACGTTGTACGCCCCACCTCGCCCAGACGCGTCAAGGTGTACACTTTGGAGGACGACAAATGGATGGATCGGGGAACAGGCTACTGTTCAGGAATGTTGGAGGGAGGCCCCCATTTCCTTGTTCGAAATGAGAACGATACCTCAGAGACTCTTTTGAAAGCCACCATAGAAGGAACTACCCAGTACCAAAGACAACAGGATACTTTGATTGTCTGGACAGATAGCGAGGGAAACGATTACGCTCTGTCGTTCCAGGAACCTGATGGATGTTTATCACTGTGCGAATTTCTGATCAACATCCAGCATTCTGTCGAGCCCAATATTTCTCTTGTGGCCGTGATTTCGAACGGCCAGGACGGAGAGGTTACCGAGGTTATTGCTGGTCCAATTCCAGAACCGTGTTTCCCTACAGACTCCAACCTTGGTGATCTGCTTGAACTTTTGAACCAGGGAGCCAAATCCAACAAGTTCAAGGAAAAACTGCTCGAGTTCATTGAGAACGAGGGATTCCTCACACAGCTAATTGAAACTTTCCACAGAAACGAGGAAAACCGACATCTGGTCAACCTTTACTATTTATGTGACATTGTGAAGACACTCGTGTTCTACAACGACTCGGCCATTCTCGACACCTTGGTCAACGACGACACAATTGATGGTGTTGCTGGGATCCTGGAGTACGACTCAGAGTTCCCCAGCTATAAAACAAACAACAGAGAGTATCTGGCGGAGAAGACCAGTTTCAAAGAGGTTGTTCCTCTGCACAACGAAAATATCAAGAGTTTGGTGAAACGAACGTTCCGACTGCAATTTCTCAAGGACGTGGTACTTGCCAGGCTTTTGGACGACGCGTCCTTCAATTGCATATCGACGATGATCCATCTGAACGAGGACCAGATCCTCAAATTCATCCGGACTGACCCCGAGTTTTTACCGTCTCTTTTTGGCCTCTACGACAAACACGACGACGCCAAATCTCGCGACGGAATCAAGCTCATCAACCAGTTCACCCTCATAGCCAAGAAGTTCCAGCCGACGCCGAGATCGGATTTCTACCGCTCGTTGATCGAAAACGGGCTGGTCAAGATGATCCAGTTCGCATTCAAAGACTCGCACACAGAAAGCCGAATACTGGCAACCGAGCTGATCGTGACCATCATAGAGCACGACGTGCTGCTGTTCAACAAAAAGAACAGCGAGATGGACACCACACTGATGTCGATACTGGTGGACGTGCTGCTCGAGGAGCCTAACTACGGCCTGAAAACACAGGCTTTTGAAGCCATCAAGGCCCTGCTGGACCCGGCCAATCTGGCTCAGTCGTCGATGCCGATCGACTCGTCTCCGAGCAACGGCGACACAAACATAGAGGGAAGCATGCTGGAGTCCAAATATTTGCAGAGTTTCTACCAGAACGCCGCAGAGAACCTGTTTGGACCGCTGGAACGCGTAATCACAGACCCTGCCTGCAAAAACACCACCGTCACATACTCGAACCTGTGCGAACTTCTCAACTTTGTGGCCCGCGAGCACGACAGAAACACAAGCAAGGAGTTCATTCTGAATCACCGGTATCTCCAAGGAATTGGCGAGATTCAATCGAAACGGTATTCTTTACAGCTGCGACTTAGTGCTCTGCGGTGTCTCAAGTCGATCATCATGCTGGACGACGAGGATTATACACAACATCTAATCAGGAACGACATATTGCGTGGCACGATGGAGATGTTGCGCGAGGTTAATAACCAGAACAACCTGGCCAACTCGGCGTGCTTAAGCGTTTTGCACCTGATTTTGCAGAACCGGGAGCTGCTCAATTTCAAAGCTTTACAGAAATACTTGGTTGCCAACTATTCGCACATTTTGAGACTAAACTACATTGGACGCGAGCTGGTGACTGCGGAAGACCAGTTTGTGGAAGAACAGGACGCGTTACAGGGCGAAACGACCGAGGTGAGTGCCACGTCGCCGGACATCCCCGACACTGCTGAGCAGGAGAACCCGCCCGTGAAGACGAAGAACTCGCGGCCGTCCGAGGACGAGACCGTCTCGCCCGCCAAGGAGCGCAAGCTGAACAGTTTCATCATGAAGGCGGGCAAAGTGTTCCAGATCAGCAATTACAGCGAAGAGGAGGAGGTCGGAGAGACGTGATTAATTTTTTTATCTCCAATTTTGTGGGGTAAGAGAAGTAAAAAGCATGTGAAGACGAATTTTCCTGACAATGTCTTCTTCTCCCTTTCTAAGTGTTTGGAAGCCCGATCTTTTCAAGGGCAAGGTGGCCTTCATCACTGGCGGGGCCGGCACAATCTGTCGCCGCCAGGCAGAAGCGCTGATTGTTCTTGGTTGCTCGGTAGCAATCATTGGGAGAAACGAAGAGAAAACCGCAAAGGCGGCTCAGGAGCTGGACGCCATGCGCTCGGACGTGCGGGCTATTGGAATAGGCAGCTGCGACGTGTGCAAGATCGGCGATTTGAGCGCTGCGGTGCAAAAGACGACTGACCAACTCGGGAAAATCGACTTTGTGATCTGCGGAGCAGCAGGGAACTTCATTGCGGACTTCAACTCGCTGAGTGCAAACGCGTTCAAGAAGGTGGTGGACATCGACTTGCTCGGGTCGTTCAACACGGTCAAGGCGTGCTACCGGGAACTGAAAAAAAACCAGGGTGCGGTGCTATTTGTGTCTGCGACGTTCCACTACTACGGCGTGCCGTTCCAGTCGCACGTCGGGGCTGCCAAGGCAGGCGTGGACGCGCTGTCGAACGCACTGGCCGTCGAACTGGGCCCGATCGGCGTCCGTGTCAACGCAATTGCCCCAGGAGCCATTGGCGGAACAGAGGGCTACAAACGGCTGTCGCAGAGCTCGAAACTGGCCAGCAAGATCCCGTGCCAGCGACTGGGGTCTACCGATGACATTGCACAAGCAACGGTGTTCCTTTTCAGTGATGCTGCAAAGTACATCACCGGGACCGTGCAGATCGTGGACGGCGGGTTTTGGCACATGGGTCCGCTGGTCACGGCGGATCTTTATCCCGGCGAGCTGCTGAAACGGCTTTCGCGCGAGCCCAAACTTTAGCGCCGCGTTCTTCTCGAGCGTAGTTACTATATTTAATATCTATGACTTATGATTCATTCCCCGGATTTTTTCGGTTTCTGAAAATTTAGCTTTTTTTTGCTCCTCGGGGACTTAATGAAACTCCGAACATAAAAGCGCTAGTTTGCACGCACTTTGCGGCCAACTCAAATGCCAGTTTCCGAGCTCAAACCATCCAGCTCGTTCGACTCGTTCAAACGGTCCCGGTTCGCGTGTTTCGTCGACACGCTGTTGGTCGACTTCCACCCCATGTACTTTGTCATCACCATGGGAACAGGCATCACCAGCGCGGTGATGTACCGGTTCCCCATCGAAAGTGTTCGCGTGGGCATGAAGTACGTTGGAATAGTGTACTTCTTCATTGATCTGATAGCGTTTTTTGTGGTCCACGTGCTTTTCGTGCTGCGCTACTTTGTGCTACCAAACCGTTACGACGGCACCTCGTTTGCCGGATTGCTGAAAGATCACCGTTTAAACGTGTTTCTTGGCGCCCAGGTCATGGGATTTGGGTCGCTCATCAACATGATCTACTACCTGAAGCCAGAATGGACCATCTTCGTGTACTCGTTGTGGTGGATCCAGGTGGGTCTAACTTTGCTCTGCGCATGGGGTCTTACCTATGTCATGTTTGCACTCAACGAAATCCCGGCCAGCGATCTCAACGCTACCATTCTGCTCCCGGCAGTGACTCTGACCGTCGCCGCATCCACAGGCTGCATCGTCAGCCAACAGCTGTCCAGCTACCGCTGGAAACTCTCCTCGGAGATTGTCACGTTTATGCTCTTTGGAAACGCAATCATGCTGGCTCTGCCACTCATCGCGGTTTACTTCTATAAACTGTTCACGTCCGGCCTGCCTCCAAAACAGAGCGTGTACTCGTGCTTCATCCCGATCGGCGTGCTGGGCCAGGGCAGCTTTGCGCTGCTGCTCAATTTCCAGAGCCTCGCACAGCTGGTCCAGGCCGACTCGTCGCTCGTGGCACTCACCAACGGCCTCGACAGCCAGGTGCTGCTCACCATCGCGACGGCACTGCAGCTCTGCTCGGTGTACGTGGCGCTGTTGCTCATTTCCATGGGCGTCTGCATCTCTGTGGTCGCCGCGCTGTGCGTGCTCCAGTACGGCTGGATCCACTCGTGGTCCAAAGCCCTTTGGGCCTCCACATTCCCGCTCGGCACCATGGCCGTGTCCCAGGCCCTGGTCTACGAGCTCACCGGATGGATAGGCTTCAAAATCACCGCTTCCGTGTACTCGTTCGCGCTCATCGCAGTCACAACATACTGCCTAATCAACACCTGCATCCACGAAATAGCATGGCACAAAATGGCCCAATCTGTATAATCTATTCTTCGAACCGCGACAAACCTTTACGTTCAAACACGTACTCGTAGTACTCCTCCTCTTCGCCAGCCGCGTTGTGACGGAACCGTTTCTCCAGCCGGGGCAGCTGCGCTTCAGCCGCAGCCACCTTTTCCGCGTCGCCGTACTTGCGCTCAAACTCCACCAGAGCCTCCACCAGCTGTTTCTTCTGCGCCCCGTCCGCTGACGCGATCTTGCTCCGGAAAACGTCCCTGCTCCGGTCCTTGGCCTCCTCGGTGATCTCGAACCGGAACTCGTCAGCGCCCGATCGCTCGTACTCCTCCAGCTGCGCCCGTGTAGGGATTTTCAGCTCCAGCATGCATCTTGCTACCAGACTCTTCACGTCGCCGGCCAGCTCAACAGCACGGTCCTGCAGCCGCCGCGCGTTGTCGTACTTGCGCTCGTCCATCTCGTACGCAATGTACGCCTTGAGGACGGTCGGCCGAGCAGAAACAGCCACCTCGTCCAACGCCAGGTCGAAAATCGCAACACACCGTGCACGGTCTCCTAGTTCGGCCTCAAGATTGGCAAAATCGATCCAGTGCTCTGCGTCACGCGGATAAAGTTCCACCAGCTTCGTGTAGATCATCCGCACACGGTCAAACTCCAACAACTTGGTCTCCAGCTCAATATAATACTTTATCACCTTGACATCTCCACAAACGCCAATCGAGCGGCCCAGCAGCTTGCGAGCGGCACCCAGCTTGCGCGCACGCAGCTCGAACTCGCTGAACATGATCCACACCCGCGAAAACGTGAAATTCTTGTGCGGGACCAGCTTGAGCAGCCGCTCGTACAATTCCCTAGTTTTTTCCTGGTCCCGTGGCTCCTGCCATATCAGATACTTGATCCACAGATAGATGTAGCTGGTCCAGTCTGATTTGACATCGCTTTGCGGAACAACTTCGACAGCCTGCTCCAGCTTGGAACCAAACTTGCGCTCGTCGAAAAGCGGCTCCACGAGCTTCAAATACACCCACCAGGTATCATAGCTGCTGGGAGTCTCTGCAAGTTCCTGTTCGTAAACGGCTATTCTTTTGGACAAAACAGAGTCCTCGATCGATGCTGTCTCACCGTGCTGTTTCTCAAACAACGCATAGTCCGAACGCAGCTCTACTCTCTCTTTTTCAGATAAATGCTCAAACCCAAAGTCAAACAGCTGTTTGGCCTTGTCTCTGTTGTTTTGCGAGACCTCCCATTTAATCCACGAGTAAACTAGCTTGGCATCCAAAGCACCTCTTTGCCGTAACGACTCGGCCGCCAGCCGGTAAACGTTGTGCACATTCACAGAGTCTCCGTGTGTTCTCTCGAAATCCACCCAAAGCAGCCAGGTGGACGAGTCCGGGTGCGCAACAACAAACTGCTCAAACAACAGCCGCGCGTTCTCGATCTCGTTGTACCGCAACTCGAATTGGATATAATGCTGCCAAACGTCTGGCCCTGGCTTCCATTGGAGCCAGTTCTGGAAAATCTTGCGTGTTCCAATCACGTCCCCCACAGACTCTTCCACGGTGATGTACTGGTACCACAGCTTGTCGACGCGCGGAAGCAGCCGTGTGGCCCGGTCCAACAGGTTCCGCGCATGGTTGATGTTCTTCCCCTTGAGCTCTGTCTGCACGTACCGTATCCAAACAGGGACCTGTTTATGATCGACCTCGAGCGCGCGCTCAAAGATCGACCGTGCTCGCACGTAGTCGTGCTGGTCCAACTCGAACTGCGCGTACCGCATCCACTGGCCGAAATCGAACCGCTTGACCCTGAGGGCCTTTTCGTACTCGGTCCGTTTCCTGCCCTGGAACTCGCGCAGCTCCTCGAGGTCGGCAATTTTGATGTTTGGGGCCTTCGGCGGCATCTGGCGCTGCTCGTACGCCTCACTCATCAGCTGTGCCGCAGACACCTGGTTAGTGGCGACTTTCTGGTCGTCCGACATTTTAGCTTAATTTATTTAAATTATTTTTCACCATTTTTCTCACAACGCGTATGTCGCTTTTTGAAGGCCACCGATTTCTGATCATCCAGTCGGCCGCGCTAAGCGCCGCAAAAGCAGACGCCATCCGCAAACACATTCTAAGCGCTGGGTTTGACGACGAATCCGCCATTGTCACCAAGAAGGACAGCGAGCTGATCCCGTTGTCTAATGATAAGCTCGTGAATATCACGCTGATCGTGTCCAACACGACGGATTTCGTCGAGTACCAACTCGCCGAGGAGCTGATGATCCCCGTCGTGCGGGAGGACTGGGTGTTGGACTCCATCGCGGCCAATCTGATCGAGACCCTGAGACCGTACTCTCCCGACCCCAAATACTTTCTGAGCAGCGTGAGCGTGTGCTGCGCAGCGTCCGTGTGCCAGGGCGACCAGGACGCCGTTTTCAGCGCGGTGCGGTCGTTTGGCGGGATCCACACCGACCTGCTTTCGCGCAGAACCACCCATTTGGTGGCTGTTGATCTGGACGACGAGAAATGCCAAATGGCAGCCGCGTTCAACCAGGCGTGCGAGAAAGAGGCGATCCTGATTGTGCGCCCAGAATGGGTGTTTGACAGCATTGTGTCCAAACGCAAGCTGCCGGAGTCGCCGTACGCCGTCAATACCAGAGACTCTGCGGCAGAGCCAGTCTCGTCCAGCCTGTTCAAGGGGCAGACATTCTTCCTTAGCGAGGACTTCAATCTGTCCAGTCGTGTTTTGTCGGCAATAAGAGCGCTTGTCGAACAGAACGGCGGCACGGTCGGCATGGAGTCGCGCGCAAATTGCTGTCTGGCCAAGTACAGAGCAGGCGAGATCTACCAACTGGCATTGGACGAGAAATGGGCCCTGGGCAACCTCAACTGGCTGTTCTGGATGGTTTTGCACCAGGAATGGATTTTCCCCGGCAAGAAACTGCTGCACTACCCGTATCCAAACACCCCGTTACCCGAAATGGAGAACGTGGTGGTTTCCGTGACACATTACCGTGGAGACTCGAGACTATATCTGCAGCAGCTGGTGGAGATTATGGGCGGACAATTCACCAAGAGTTTGCGACAGTACACCACCACGCATCTGGTGGCGGCAAAACCGACTGGCGACAAGTACAAGTTTGCACAGGAATGGGGGATCAAGTGTCTGAACCATCTGTGGCTGGAAGAGTCGTATGCTAAATGGGAGCTGCAGGACGATTCAAGTTCTCGGTACCAGGTGTTGGGCGATAAGCTCCCGGTCTCGCAGTCTGTGGGCCACGTGAGTCTTGAGGTGCAGTCGCAGAAACATGCAGCCGACTCGCAGCTGGAGGATATCACCAATTCGCAGGATGTTCCACGAAAAAAACAGAAAACGGTGCCAAAACCGTACGAGATTACAGCTATTTTGACCGGTTGCGATAAGGAATTCTCAGCGTCCGATCTGCGTAACCTCAACAAGGTAGGAATCAAGGTTATCGAACAGCCAAACAGTTCGTTGAACTGTATCATTGCTCCAGGAGTTTTACGAACAGAAAAGTTCCTCAAGTCGTTGAGCAAGAGTCCAAAACATATTCTCTCGCCTAAATTCCTCACGGACGTTCTGTCTATCCTGGATAGCCACAAGAAGATCGAGGATTTCGATAAGTCCAAGCCGAAACTCGAAAAATACAACATTTCGAAATCCATCAAGTTCAAGACCGACCCAAAGATGAAGGAGCTGTTCTTGGATCCGGGTTTGGGAGCACAGAATATCACCAACTTGCTACAAAACTCCAGCCCTGACTTGTTTGAGTCAGCCGATTTCTACATCTCAACCACTATCCCAGGAGGTCCAGACTTGATCAGTAGTATTATCAAGTCGTTTGGGTGTCTGACCTGTGCGGTGGTTGACAAGAAGACCAAGAGCCTGCCGAAACTGGTAGCTCAGGCCAGATACCTCTTGTGCGAGGCCAAGGACACGCAATTGCAGAACCAGTTCAGGAAGCTGGCAGCCGACGACCGGTTTCGGATCGTGGAGTGGAATTGGGTGGTGATGTCCATTTTCAACGCCCAGCTGGTGGATAGACATATAATTGATGAAAATTAATGAGAAAAAAAACTAAATTGCAAAAAAAGAGCCCGTGCCCGGGTTCGAACCGGGGACCATCAGATTTGCAATCTGGTGCTCTACCACTGAGCTACACGTGCACTTTTCGAAAGAAGTCGGCGCTGACTGTGGTATGACGAGATGGGAAGGGGAGCTCGTCGAGAAACACAACGGCAGTAGCGAGTCTGGCGAGGGGGAGCTGGGTGTGTCATGGAAAAGAACGTCGTGGCATTTGAGAAGGAGAACATTCTCTCTGTTTGCGCCCCCACCTGCTCACCCCACAGGTTACAGCTCTGAAATAAAATTTCTCATTTATTTATTTTGTTCAGTTGTTCTTGAATGAGTGGATATCGAGGGAACGGGTACGGAAACGGATACAGAGACCAATACTACTCACGCGGCCGCGGTAGAGGCGGCCAGTACCCGTACAGACGGTCGTACAGAGACTCTAGCGGGCCGTACGAGGGGAACGAGTACAGCGAGTCTCACGAGGACCAGTACCACGGCGAATACCGTCCTTCGCGCGGAGGATCGTACCGGGGCTCGTACAGAGGACGCGGGCGTGGCCGCGGCGGGTACTACGGCGGGTACCAGGAGTATTCGTACGACCAGGGGTACCACTACGACTATCCTGAGGCGGATGTGAGGTCGCGGTCAGGACCAAGCGAGACGAGCGGACATAGTGAATACGGGTCTGCCAAAGAAAGCAACGGGAGTGCGTATCCTGCTTCGCGGAATGGGAGCAGAAGCGCTCACGAGCCGAAACAGCCCGAGCCGGCCGTTTTGGAGCAGGAAAAGAACGAGGTGCATTGGATAACACGGCTGCGTGTTGGTGGAGAGATGAAAAACTCGTTGAGCAAGCAGTTTGAAGAGCTGGACAAGATCAACAAAATTATAGACCAGGCGGCCGAAAAACGGCTCCAGCTTGAAATGGACGTGGAGCGGTACTCGCGCGCGGGAAGAAGCGAAGACGTGCGGTGCAAGCTGGCTGAGGAAAAATTGGAGGCTCTTAATTTTATTTGACCTGTGTATAACGGTAACGAATTTTTTACGATTTATTAATATTTGTGGTTTCTTCCAGAAAATGCCGGCTCTCCCATCATTCAACTGCAAATTGCTTACCGGCTTGCTTTACGCGGCCACTGCCGTTGGTGTTCTCAAGATCTCGGCAAAAATCTACGGCTTTTTGTCGTTGATTGTCAACTTGTTCCTCCTTCCTCCGGTCGACTACAGCAAGTTTGGAGCCAAGAAAGGTGCGTGGGCCGTTATCACGGGAGCTTCCGAGGGAATTGGCCAAGAGTTTGCCAAACAGCTTGCATCTAGAGGCCTGAACGTGGTGCTTGTGTCGAGAACCCAGGCCAAACTCGAGGAGATCGCCACCGAGATCGAGTCCAAGTACAAAGTGCAGACCAGAGTTGTTGCTGCCGACTGCTCCAAAAACACCCCAGAGCTGTACGCTTCTCTGTACAAGGCGATTGAGGAGCTGCCTGTGTCTGTTCTGATCAACAACGTTGGTCGGTCGCACGCGGGTCCTGTTTTGCTCGAGGAAACGCCAGACGACGAGCTCGAAAACATCCTCACCATCAATAACGCGTTCCTGGTCAAAATGACCAAGCTGACCATCCCATTGATCGACAGAACCGTCAAGTCCAAGCAGGCCGCTAAGGGTCTGATTGTCAACGTTGGCTCGTTTGCCGGTCTGTTCCCAACCCCATACCTTGCAGTTTACTCTGGATCCAAGGCGTTCTTGCAAAACTTCTCGCAGGCCCTGTCTATTGAGCTGAAGGAGAAGAACATCGAGGTGGAACTGATTCTGGCGTACTTTGTCACGACTGCACTTTCTGCGATCAGAAGATCGTCGTTCTTCATCCCAACACCAAAGAAGTTTGTGGCCGCCACGCTCAGAAACATGGGCAGAAGAGGCGGGGCCCAGGACAGATTTGCAACCAGCTCTCCATACCCTTCACACGCACTGATCAACTACGTTGCCAACAATACACTGGGTGTTTTCTCTGAGTGGATTGCCCAGTCCACTTACAACAACATGAAGATCACCAAGGCTAAGAGACTGCGCAAGTTGCAGAAACAGAAGGCCGCCAAAGCAGAGTAGATGGTGCTTTCCTTTTTCCGTGCACCCGTGCACCAGACCATTCACGTAAACTAAAATAGGTAAACAAACTTTTTCTGTTTTCAGATAGATCACGAAAAGAAGTGATAGAGCCGAGTGGAGCTGAGTGTTTTGGGATCTTATAATACGAACAGAGTTTCACGAGCCTGTCTTTCCATTTTAAAGCGATTCTGTCCCATTTTCACAGATATTCCAGATTTAATCGACACGCACATATTGCCCCTTTAGATTTGTATCAGATACCTCAACATGGCCGAACTTAACGATTTTGAGCGGTTGGAGAAGATTGGAGAAGGTGAGTGTTGAATGTGGCGAATTAGACGCCAGTGGAAGTGGCCTTAGAAGGCGCACAGTCCCACCCATGTCTCAAACAAACTAACTATTTAGGTACCTACGGAGTGGTTTATAAGGCTCTGGACACCAAGCACAACAACAGGGTTGTGGCGCTGAAGAAGATCCGGCTGGAATCCGAAGACGAAGGCGTTCCTTCAACCACCATTCGGGAAATCTCCTTGTTAAAGGAACTAAGAGACGACAATATCGTTGGACTTTACGACATTGTCCATTCCAACTCCAACAAAATCTACCTGGTTTTCGAGTTTTTGGACATGGACCTCAAAAAATACATGGAGTCCATTCCTGAAGGCGAGGGACTCGGAAGAGACATGGTCAAGAAGTTCATGTTACAGTTGGTTCGTGGATTGTATCATTGCCACGCTCACAGAGTTCTACACAGAGACCTGAAGCCGCAGAATTTGCTGATCGACAAGGAAGGTAACCTCAAGGTTGCTGATTTCGGTCTTGCCAGAGCGTTTGGCGTCCCGCTGCGTGCGTACACTCACGAGGTTGTCACTCTGTGGTACAGAAGTCCAGAGATCTTGCTTGGTGGTAAACAGTACTCGACAGGCGTGGATATGTGGTCGATTGGATGCATTTTTGCAGAGATGTCCAACCGCAAGCCGCTGTTTGCCGGAGACTCGGAGATCGACCAGATCTTCAAGATCTTCCGTGTTCTGGGAACCCCAACCGAGGAGATCTGGCCCGACGTTACCTATTTGAGCGACTTCAAGCCTAGCTTCCCTAAATGGTCCAAGCAGAACCTGGCCGATTCTGTGCCAAACCTGGACGCCCACGGCGTCGACCTCTTGGAGCAGCTGCTGACCTACGACCCTGCGGGAAGAATCAGTGCCAAAAGAGCTCTTCTCCATCCGTACTTCCAGGAAGACTACGCCCACCCAGTCGAATACCCGCAACAATCTGCCATGCAGGTTGACACATCCACCATCTACGTCTGACCGATACCCTAATGAGATCTTGCGTCAAATATTTAGCAATAAATTAAAAGCCGTTATTAGAGTCTTTTGCCTGGCACGAGTGCAAAGATGATGCTGAGCACCGCTGTAAGCAGGAGAATGAGTAGTAGAACAAAGATCGAACGTCTTAGGAGCAGCTTCCGCACAAATGGCTCGCGAATCGGGACCAAACCGCCCTTGGATGCCCGGCTTTCGCTGTACCCGATAAAGTACAGCAGCGGATCAACTCTATAATAACTGGTGAAGAGGAGATAGAATGCAAAAAAGAATGGGATTACCACAACCCACCGGATGATTTTTGGCTGGTAGTCCAAGAAGATAAGCGTGTAGCCGGTCCAGAAGGCTCCCAGACCGGCAAGAAGCGAACCAAATAGCCGGTAGATCGCAGACCGCGATGTCACGTTGGACAAAGCGTGGTATCTCAAAAAGTTTGGATACGCTTCGTGCTCCATGGCCTTGAACACAAACTCGCGCGACTCGTCAAAGATCTCGGGATCGTCTCTGGCGTCCATTTGCACAGAACGGACCACCGAGTTGATCATTTCCGGAGGTATCACGATCTTCTTGGGCGAGGAGTGGAGGAAGTACGTGTGGACGATGTTGTTTGCCGACTGGGCTAGTTTTTCACGAGTGACAAAGTGGCTGTCTTTGAACGACTTATTGGACTGCTCGCTGTCCTCCTGGATCATTGTTTCGAGCATTTGAGGGTTGATGGTCGAGACACGTTTGGACGAGACCGGTGTCTTTGGCACATCCAACGGGTCGTCTGCAGAGCTATGCGATTTGCGTTTCAATTGATCGATCTTGGCGTGGATCTGGGGATCGCTTGATCTCACGCTGCTTTCTCCTCGAAGGAAAGCCGACATTCGCCGCGAATCAAACTCCTCGAGCAGGTTGTTACGCATAAGCAGATCCAGCAACATCGACGACGATCTGGACTCTCTGCTGCCGCTCGAGTTTCGTTTTGCAGAGACTGGGTTTCTTGGAGGAGACATGGACTCCACCACCTGATCGGCACTTCGTATTCGCTCATTCAACAACAACGATTGTTTGAGTCCCTTCACATAAGCCTTACAAAGACCCATGTGCTGAACAGTATCGATCCAGAAGTCCAGGTAGTCAATGTTCTTTTGTCCGTCTCTCATGTAAACGTAGAACGACCACAGGTCCACAGGGGACTGGGTCTTGCGGTTGAGTATCTCAAACAGCGTGGGCCATCTGTTGGACTGCTGTTTCTCGGCAACCAGCGAATTTTGCTCGGACTTGGCGTCCATTCGACGCTCCAGATCATCGGCACGCACAAAGTTGGACGTGGTATGGTTCCATGGCCCACCAGGGCCTTGTCCTGGAGAAGATGCCATTTATGCTAAAAGATGCAATAGATCAAAGTTTTCGGAAAAGGTCTGCTCAGATGCCAACACAGAAAATTCGCATCAGACACTGCCAATCCCCTTTATCTGTTTATGCAAATGGCTGGATTTTAAAAATTACCAAAACAAAGCAGGTAAAAAAAAAGGGATGGGATCGCATCGCACCCGTGCACCAGAAAGATGTGATGCTTGTTCAGCGCTTATTTTGAATCCCTATAAATTCACCCCCACTTTTTTAAACTTTAAACTACATCTGAAGACTTCATTGCTTACACAACGAAACAGATAGCACACCATGCCTATTGAACTTCTGCTTTCACCGGTGATGAGACCGGTGGTTCTCGCCAAGTCGGTTCTCTTCCACCCCCACCGTCGTTCGTCCCGGTACGTTCCCCACATCATCGAGCTTGATGAGTCCAAGGCCTCCGAGTTTGCTGTGAGAAGACGGTTCGGTACCGGTTCGAAGATCTTTGATGTCTACGACACCAAGGCTGAGGATTCCGGCCCACTCGGCCCAACTGAGGCCTCCAAAAGACTGTTTTGGTTTGTTAGATCCAGAGCGGTTAAAGGTGCTTACAAGATGTACAACTCTGATATTCTGGGAACTGGGCCTAATGGCGAGGACGAGCCATGCGCCGCTCTGAGAGCAGGTTTGAGATCAAACATTCTTCTCATCAGAGCCCCAGGCGTGCCTGTGACAGAGCTTGGATGGCACATCATAAACCATAGAGTTGACGCTTTGGACGCTTACAGAATGTTCACCCTTGCTGACGGAGCCACTTACCAGTGGACCACTGAGGGCAAGTTCTTGGAGAAGGTCCACAACGTTGGAGAGAAAGAGTCTGAGGTCCGTGAGAGAATTGGACAGGTGATTCCTGCTGGAGCTTCAGGATTCACCGTCAAGGTTGACGAGTCCAAGATTCCTAAAGAGTTGGCTTTGGCTTCCGCTTTGTGTTCGTACGTGGACCACTGGAACACCAACATCCATGTTGGTGGTATCTACTACGCCAGAAAGTACTCGCACGTGAGATGGAAGAGAGACTAGGCTTGCAGCCTACAAAGTCGTCGTTTTTTCTTTAGGTTTTTACAAATAATAATAGAGGTCCCCCCCACCGTTTTAAGATTGGAAACACCTTTCACTTCCGTACATGTACCGGAAACTGCCTAATCACGTAAGTCCGGAAACCGCGGCCAAAATGCATGTCTGCCTCACACACGACCCTTGTTCATATGAAATATTTTTCCAATCGAAAATTTTTCGAAATAAGTCATCATGTCTATCAGAACTCTCGCCAGACATTGGCGCGTGCCCAAGATGACCACTGCGGCTTACAGAATGGCCAGCCTGGCCAGGACGTACGCCTCGCAAGTGGAGAAGGCATCGACTTACGCAGGAGCCGGTATTCTTTCTGGGTTCACTGGAGAGAACGCACACCAGCTTGTTGATGTGTCGAAAGTTTTGGTGATTGGATCGGGAGGATTGTCGATCGGACAAGCTGGAGAGTTCGACTACTCCGGATCTCAGGCCATCAAGGCTTTGAAGGAGGCCGACAAGCAGTCGATCCTGATCAACCCTAACATTGCTACCAATCAGACCTCGCATGCTCTTGCTGACGAGATCTACTATTTGCCCGTGACTCCTGAGTATATCACGTATATTATTGAGAAGGAGAAGCCTGACGGAGTGCTGTTGACTTTTGGAGGTCAAACTGCGCTCAATGTTGGTGTGAAGCTTGAAAAGCTTGGTGTTTTTGAAAAATACGGAGTTAAGGTTCTTGGTACTCCTATCAAGACTCTGGAGACTTCTGAGGACAGAGATCTGTTTGCACAGGCGTTGAACGAGATCAACATTCCAATTGCCGAGTCCATTGCTGTGGAGACCGTTGACGACGCACTTTCTGCTGCCAGCAAGATCGGATACCCGATCATTGTCAGATCTGCCTACGCTTTGGGAGGACTTGGATCTGGATTTGCTGCAGACGAGACTGAGCTTAGAAACCTGGCCTCGCAGTCGCTTTCGCTTGCTCCCCAGATTCTTGTCGAGAAATCTTTGAAGGGATGGAAAGAGGTGGAATATGAGGTTGTCAGAGACAGACTTGGCAACTGTATCACTGTCTGTAACATGGAGAACTTTGATCCTTTGGGAATCCACACTGGAGACTCCATTGTGGTTGCTCCCTCGCAGACTCTTTCTGACGAGGAGTACCATATGTTGAGATCTGCTGCCATCAAGATCATCCGTCATTTGGGAGTCGTCGGAGAGTGTAACGTCCAATACGCTTTGCAACCAGACGGACTGGACTACAGAGTCATTGAGGTGAACGCTCGGTTGTCCAGATCGTCTGCTTTGGCCTCCAAGGCCACTGGTTACCCGCTTGCCTACACTGCTGCCAAGATCGCTCTTGGCTACGCTCTGCCTGAACTGCCTAACCCGGTCACCAAAACCACCAGTGCCAATTTCGAGCCTTCGCTCGACTACATCGTGACCAAGATCCCAAGATGGGACTTGTCCAAGTTCCAGCACGTGAAGCGCGATATCGGCTCGGCCATGAAGTCTGTTGGTGAGGTGATGGCCATTGGCCGTAACTTTGAGGAGTCTTTCCAGAAGGCCATCAGACAGGTCGACCCATCGTTTGTTGGGTTCCAGGGCGCCAAGTTCGAGGACCTGGACTACGAGCTGTCCCACCCTACTGATAGAAGATGGCTGGCTGTTGGCCAGGCTCTGTTGCACGAGAACTACTCCGTGGAGAAAGTGCACGAATTGTCCAAGATCGACAAATGGTTCCTTTACAAGCTAAGCAACATCGTTGAGATGCAAAAGGAGATGGAGAACATCGGCTCTCTTTACGGAATCACCCAAGACGTGATGTCCAGAGCAAAGAAGCTTGGATTTTCGGACAAACAGATCGCTGTTGCTGTTGGAGCCAGCGAGATGGAGGTTCGTAGCAGAAGAAAGTCGTTTGGCCTTACTCCGTTCGTCAAGAAGATTGACACGTTGGCTGCCGAGTTCCCTGCTGACACCAACTACCTCTACACCACGTACAATGCCACGTCTCACGACGTCAAGTTCGACGAGTTCGGAACCATGGTGCTTGGATCGGGTGTGTACCGTATTGGATCGTCTGTGGAGTTCGACTGGTGTGCCGTCTCGACCGCCCGTGCTTTGAGAGACTCTGGCAGAAAGACCATCATGATAAACTACAACCCAGAAACCGTCTCGACCGACTTTGACGAGGTGGACAGACTCTACTTCGAGGAGCTCTCTTTCGAGAGAGTGATGGATATCTACGAACTTGAAAACGCCAAGGGAGTCGTTGTTTCCGTGGGAGGCCAGCTTCCTCAGAACATCGCTCTTACCTTGCAACAACAGGGTGCCAAGGTTCTTGGAACCAACCCTGAGGACATTGACAAAGCTGAGGACAGACACAAGTTCAGCAGCATTCTCGACTCCATCAACGTGGATCAGCCTGCCTGGAAAGAGCTCACTTCTGTGGCCGAGGCCGAGAAGTTTGCCGACGAGGTTGGCTACCCTGTGCTGGTCAGACCTTCTTACGTTCTTTCGGGAGCAGCCATGTCTGTTATCAGATCCTCTTCTGAGCTGGACGAGAAGCTCACCAACGCTGCGGACGTGTCTTCGGACCACCCAGTGGTGATCTCCAAGTTCATCGAGGGTGCTCGCGAGATCGACATCGACGCTGTTGCTTCCCACGGTAAGGTGCTGGTGCACGCTGTTTCCGAGCACGTTGAGAACGCAGGTATCCATTCTGGAGATGCCACTCTGGTTCTTCCTCCACAGAACCTGGACCAGGAGACCATGGACAGACTCAAGGAGATCGCAGACAAGGTTGCTGCTGCCTGGAACATCACCGGTCCGTTCAACATGCAAATCATCAAGGCAGAGAACCCGGCCGCCGGAAAGCCAGACCTTAAGGTGATTGAGTGTAACATCCGTGCCTCTAGATCGTTCCCATTCGTGTCCAAGGTGCTTGGAACCAACTTCATTGAGGTTGCTGTCAAGGCGTTGATAGACGACAAGGTTCCCGCTCCTGTCGACCTGATGGCCAAGAGCTACAACTATGTTGCTACCAAGGTTCCACAGTTCTCCTTCACCAGACTGGCTGGCGCCGACCCATTCTTGGGCGTCGAGATGGCTTCCACAGGAGAAGTTGCATGTTTCGGTAAGGACGTTGTTGACGCTTACTGGACCTCCATGCTGTCCACGATGAACTTCCACGTTCCAAAGCCTCCATCGGGAATTCTGTTCGGCGGAGACCTGACCAACGACAACCTGGGTACCGTGGCCAAACAACTGAGTCCGATCGGATACAAGTTCTACACTGCCTCGGAGGCAGTCGCTGAGTACCTACGGAAATACGTGGACGTGGAAATCAAGGTGATTGAGTTCCCTAAGGAAAATAAAAGAGAGCTCAGAGAAGTGTTCCAGAACTACGACATCAAGTGTGTGTTTAATCTTGCCAAGCAGCGGGCCAAGGACCTGCTGGACGAGGACTACGTGATGCGTAGAAACGCCATTGATTTTGCCATTCCGTTGTTCAACGAGCCTCAAACCTCGCTTTTGTTCTCTCACTGTCTTTCGGTGAAGCTGCCAACATTGCTGGCAAACGAGGCCCAATCGGAGGTGGTTATCCCATCCGAGGTGCAGAGATGGAGCGAGTTCATTGGCGGAAAGCCGGTGTAATGAACAGATATACTGAATAAAAAGTAATGTAATGAAGTTGAGCTACCGGTAGCTTTTTATTCAGGGCGGTGCAGCCCCTCCAATTTTTAATTAAAAATATTGGCCTTTTTTTCAAGCAAGTACAGTATGGACAACTAATAATGGGAGTTTGTGGATCTAAAGAAACAGCCTCGACTGCGCCCCGGAGTGTTCCCAATTCGGACCACTCTGTGGTGTCGACGGAGAAACAGCAGAACGTTCATCCTGCCGCGGCAGACACACAGAAACCCAAAACCAAGCCCAAGCAGGAGGTAAAGATGCTTCTTTTAGGGTCAGGCGAGTCCGGAAAGAGCACCGTGTTGAAACAGATCAAGATTTTGCACCAGAACGGGTTTTCGAAGCGCGAACTGTACGATTTCAAGCCATTTGTGTTTAAAAATGTGACCGAGTGCGCACAGTCGCTTGCCAAGGCGATTGCGCAGTTTAATTTGGAGCCGGAGTTGAAAAACATCACGCCTGCTGGTTTGGAAGCCATCGAGACCTACGAGCCTGCTCTGGACAACACTATCGACCAGTACAACGTGGAGATTGCGGATCTGATCAAGCGACTGGTAGCAGAGCCTGCGGTACACACGCTTTTGGAGGAGAAGGGCAACGAGTTCTACATCCTGGACTCGGCCAAGTACTTCTTCGAGCACCTGGACCGCATTTTCGGCGAAGATTATTTGCCGAGCGTGGAGGACGTGTTGAGAACGAGAAAACAAACGTCTGGAATTTACGACACCAAGTTCCAGCTTGAGGATATTGATATACATTTGTACGACGTTGGGGGCCAGAGATCGGAAAGAAAGAAGTGGATCCATTGTTTCGACAACGTGACGGTGATCATGTTCTGCGTGGCACTTTCTGAGTACGACCAGGTTCTTTTGGAGTCGAGCAGCCAGAACAGACTGGAAGAGTCGCTAAACCTGTTTGACTCGGTTGTCAACTCGATGTGGTTCCGGCGCACGTCGATCGTGCTATGTCTGAACAAGATCGACGTGTTCATCGACAAGCTGCCTCGCTCGCCTTTGGAAAAATACTTCCCCGACTACGTTGGTGGCAATGACGTGAATAAAGCCGTCAAGTACATTCTTTGGCGATTCCGCCAACTGAACAGGTCCAACGTCAACATCATGCCCTACGTCACCCAGGCCACCGACACAAACAACATGAAGCTGGCGTTTGCCGTCGTCAAGGAAACCATCATCCACAACGCTCTGATGGATAGTGGCATTTTGCAGGCTTGATTGCGCACTACTGCTAAATAATACTCGGTCGCAAATAAAATCGATAAAAAAACATTATACTCGGTAATAAATAATATCAAAGAACTAATTGCCATGTCGAAAGAGGGGCCTTTTAACCTTCTTTTCGCGCTGGCTTTGATATATGTGGCCGTTCTGGTGACATTGAACTTCTGCCTCGGCTCCAGAGGGTCTTTGCGGTGGTTTTCGTGGAACTCGATCAACGGGTTCAGGTACGAGACCCGTACTTTCCGGATCGGTTTCCGCAAGCTGCAATTTTTGTGGAGTCCGTTGGGGCTTTGGACGGGGGATCCTGTGCTTGTGGTTGTGTTGAAAGATGCTGTTGTTTCTCAGAATGGCTCTTCAAAGTCCAAACCGTCGTCCCCAGAGCCCAAAAAATCGCACAGCTCCAGTTACCTAAAGTACCTTGCCCGGTTTCCGGTGGTGCTGGAGGTGCAGAACCTAGCGTACCACGGCGTGGTAAACGTCGAGCTCGAAAGTATCAAGGTCGAACTCAAGGCAAACCAGCTGCATTTGTTCTCACACCAGATCAAGCTCAACGGACAGCAAGTGGTGAGCAAAGTGCATGCCGGAATCAAGCTGGACACGTACAGTTTGACGTTGAGCGTGAAGGATTCGACTCTGGACATCGAACAGTTGCAGTCAGCAATGCCCAAACGACATAGCGTTGAAAAAACAACTTCCCAACCCCAAACTTCCTCAGGCCCTGTTTCGCTACCGTTTAAAAGAGTTTCTATAGAATGCGAGAACACCACGGTTCTTTTGCAGAAAAAGCACGTTGGTATCGAGCGCGCGATCTTTGCTGTTGGAAAACTCGACGAGGAGGAAGGTGCAAGCATGAACTTTGGCGACCAGCAGATCTACGAGATTTTGCTTGGAGTTAGCAACGTCAAGGTGACAAATTTGGAGTCCAAGAAACTCATGGTGTATTTACCGTTTCTGAACATCTTCTCCCTCTGCAACCTCGAAGACCTTCTTCAGGTGCAGAAGAAGAAGAACGACCTCGAGTTTATAGAGTCGTTTGCTGCTACCGACCGGTTCCTGCTCAAAACTACAGTTTCCGTGAGCAATTTGGTGATAAACGCAGATATTGACGAGCTTCTTGCGCAGAAGAAGCCATCCAAGTCAGTTTCCAAACCACACGAGTCAGAAGGCTTGCCTGGATATCTTTCGAGTCTGCTACCAAAGTTCAAGATCCGGTTCCAGCTGCTTGGATCGGTTGTCAACCTGGCTTTGGCTCCAAATTTGTCCTTAAAGACCAGAATCGAGGACATTGTGTTCGACACGTCACTGGCAAACACCTTCGACTCGCTCTTCAACAAGGTTTCCGGCTCTGTTCATCGCATGGTTGGGTTCCTTATACGGAACATCCAGTTCTCTTTTGTGGAGCCGGAAAAGATCACCAACTGTTTCTATCTGGATTATATCAACACGACGGTTTCTTTCGGAGTGCGCGATGCACGTATTTTTGGCGAGACAGACATTGACATTGGCATGATCGAGATCATGCTCGTGGAGTTTGCAGCCATTGAGAAACTGTATGCAAAGAAACCACAGATCGAAGAGTTGTTGGCCCGCAGAGCAGCCAGCAGCTCCGAATCGCAACCAGCTGCAGAACCAGCTACAAAGCCAAGATCGCTTATTGACGTCTGCTCCATAAATCTGGGAGGTATCCGGTTTGTTTCGTGTTTCCAGACTCCAATAAAGTACTACGACGGAGTCGACCAGAGCGAGCTGAACAAGTATAGACGAGGAGTTTACTTTGAGCTGAGCAAGGTCACCACGAATTTAGATTTCGTTGAAGGTAAAGTCGATCTCCGCGTGCCACTTGTGGAGGCCTGTCTGATCAGAGACTACGACAAGGAGCAGTACACGGGAAAACACGAGCGGTTCTTGCGGATGGAGAATTTCCATCTGAAATATTTCACAGATAAACACCAACTCTCGTGCGTGCTCCCATTATTTGACGGAGTTGTTTCCGCGGAGGTTTTGTGGTCCATATTGTTCATCAAGGCAATCTTGATGTCCGTGGTGCCGAAGACGCCTTCCAAGCCTAAAAAGCCAAGCTCCAAGCCGCCGTTGAAGTATCTCTTTGGACTCCACTTGCTGATGCTCAAAGTGGAGCTTCCAAACGACATTGATCTAGTTTTCGAGCTCAACCATTTTGAGACGTTGTCTACCATTGAGGATGACTGTCATTTGCGGTTCAAAGCCTTAAGAATGTACGGTATTAGTCCGTATGCTCCAGAAACATGGAGTTTGATTTTAATTCTGGTGGATACAAACACCACGTTGCGAATCAAGTCTCAGGCCGAACACCTAGCCATTGTGAACGCCCGCTCGATCAGGTTTGAGATTCCGTTCGAGTACGTCTTTTTCGAGACGTTTGACAACTTCCGTGCGCTGACCAAGGCGTTTACAAAGATCGAGGTCAATTTCCAACATCTCATGAACACCCCAGAAACCCAGACTGACTTCTCTGTGCCTGTGATTATGCCGAGTCTCGTGGACACGCCGCTGCGTTTTCCGAAGATCAGAGTCAACACGCGGCAGTTCCAGTTCTGCATGCATGACGACCCGTTCGAAGCGCTGTTGAACGAAAGTTTCTTGCTGGGACACATGGAGCAGAAGCTGCGACTCACCAAGATGAGCGCTTTTGAGAAGTACGAGCAGGACGTTCGCGAAAAGCTCGAGGGCGAGTTCCCGGCACTGACGTTTGTGGACGGCGAGGCCGTGCAGCCGCAAAACTACCGATCCAAGTCGACGCCGCGGTTCAACCACACCAAGACCAGTTCGCGGCTGGCCAACGAGGTTCTGGGCGACGACGTGGAGCAATATACGCAGTACTTGGCCAAAGTGAAGGAACTGATCGAGCTTCCACGGCTGCGTTTGCTGAGCAATATCAGCAAATCGTGGATTGTCAGAGTCAAGGCCCATCAACGAGTCAACGGAGCAGCACATTACCAGCGACTCAGAGAAGTGAGAGGCGGCGAAGACCCGGCCATTAGCAAAACCTTCACCGACAAGTACCCTGTGATTGGCACAAACTCTGTTGCCGCGCTGTTTTCGTTCGAGTTGGCCAATCTGCGCTGGGACTTTGACGAGCCCCATTTCGGACTCGAAAATTACAAGCAGTTCATGCACACCGTTGGAAAAGGCATGCCCTACGACATGCGGTACGGTATCTTTTTCCCTGTCAACCTGGACATCTTCTGTTCGCGACTGACGGTGCAGATCAAGGACTATCCGATTCCGTTCCTGTCGTTTGGCGGGGGCCAGGACGACGGCTCCAATACGGTCCATCTGAGCGGCGACTTTGTGGTTGCAGAACAAATATACGTCGAGGAAGAACTCAGGTACAACTTTGTGCCGCTTGTTTCGCAGTATAAGGACCCCGACTGCACGGATAACATGTTTGCGGTGCACGTTTCCAGGACCATGACCAACGTCAAGTTCTACACGGACATGAAGGTTGACGTGCAGTCGAGCAAAAACGCCATAGTTTCGTGGTATCCCGGGTTGCAGCCGGCACTGGGCTACGCCATGGACAGTTTTGACGTGCTTTCCAAGCCGCCGCTCGACCCAAGTCCCAAAGTCGGGTTCTGGGACAAGTTTGCGCTGCTGTTCCACGGCAAGTTCCATTTCAGGTTCACCAACGGCATCCATCTTTTTATGAAGAGCAAGACGTCGCCATACGACCTGATGGGTAAAGGAGGCGGTTTCATTTTTCGCTGGAATGACAAGGTGGACCTAACGATCAACGAGACCGGCAAGTCGCAGGAGCTACTGATTGTCAATAGCAAATCGTTCGACATTGTTATTCCGAGGTTTGGCTCTAAGAGTCTCACGTTCCTGCGTGAAGATAGCAACCCGTACGATCTAGACTACAGCATTGAGAAGATCGTCTGGAAACTCAACAGCGAACAGGTGATCTGGAAGCTCGGATTTCTATTTGAGCGCAACGAGAGGTCCAATATCAAGTTTCTTCCAGGCCAGGTTCGCCGGAGCACGCATTTCAAGCCGCATTACGAGGTGCGGCTACGTAACCCGGCCACCTTCAAGAACGAGGAAGAACGCAACGCTTGGGACTGCTATGACGGGTTCCGCAGCCAGTACTTGCACATGTGTGTTTCACTAGACTCCAGCTCTCCTGGAAACACGAAAAACACTGTCCACCTGACTCCGTTGGTGTTTGCGCACTTTTTCGCCTGGTGGAACACGTTCCAGAGCAGTTTGGGCCTGCCGATCAAGGCAGGAACCATGTTCAAGAATAAGTTCCTGGACTACCGTCCATCAGAGGGATTCGGTAGCCATTTGTTCTCCATCAGCTACACTTTGAACCTCAAGCCTGTGCATCTGACACATGTCTATATCCATCCAACAGATATCCGTGCAAACAGTAACCTGGCCTTTACCGGGTTAAAATGTTCTATAGACAGCTTTGCTATGGATTTGCATCAGGTCAAGGGTCCTACCAGCAAGAAGGAGAACCCTGACTATAGCTTGGAGTTCAAGCAGGGAGAAGTCGACTTTGTCAAGACAGATTTGCGGCTTTTGGTGGCAGAGTTCAACCAGCAGACCGCAATGGGTATGCTAGCCCACGAGATCGGTATCACAGAGTCTAGCTCTTTGATGGCCGCTTCGAACTCGTCCATGAGTGAACGTGGAGAGTCCGAGGACCAGGGATGGCTCGATATGGACGATTTCGTCGAGGTGGATACTCCACGAATCACGGCTAAGAATCCGAAATGGCGAGCCATTCCATTAGCTTTTTCGCCGCGGTTCTGCTATTTCCTCGATGAGAAGGAATCGGACCTGCCGTATCCGTTCTCAGACATCCAGGAACGCACTCACCGCTGTTTCCTGGGCAATAACCATCCGGAACGCACTCCGTTTGCTGCTACCAACCAGCGGGTGGACGAGCTCAAGGACCAGATCAAAACGTCGCAGACGTCGTTGGAGTCGCTCGACAGCGGCAGCAACCAGAGCGAGTACGTCAAGAAGCGCGCCGAGGAGCTCAAACAGGAGCTCAAGCTGCTCAACACCCGGCTGCACGTGACCAGGTGTTTGCGGGACAGTTTCGAGGACGGCGAGATTCCGGACTACGACGAGTTCCGCGACGAGACAGAGACCTCCGACGTGGAGACGACGTACTCTGTTTCACGGGCCACGTCGCGCATTTCGCGTCGGTCGTCCACGCCGACCGTGAAGAGTGCAATTCCCACGCCGGAACAGGTGTCGTCTTTCCGCAACCGCTTCATCATCTACCATGTTGTTTTTCGGTGGAGTGCGCACACCAAGCGGCGGTTTTCGAGCTATATTGACAATGTTGCTGATAGACGGTCGCTGTTGTTCAATCTGAGTCGAAACGCGGTGAGATTGGCCGAGGAACTGGCTGAGAGCCAGCCTGGCGACCGCAAGTTCTCCAGCTGCGACGATCAAGATCCATTTGACGTCAATGACACTCGCGTGGCCTTTTCGGACTTCACCACCAAGCTGCGCGAGAACGAGGACTTGGAAAACGTTCAGCTCGACGACACTTACTTGTTGAAGTTCATTCTGCCACAGCTGTGCTTCGAGACAGACTCCAAGAGCGCTGTTCTTGTGACATCGAAAGAACTGATGGTGAGCTCGATATCCGTGGATTACCTCGAGTCTGAGGACGAGGAGCCGGTCAACATGGAGTCACGGAGTGGTATTATTTTGCAGGATGCTTTCTTCTACGTTTTTGACCGCGAAAAGGCCCTAAACGGCCATTACAAATTGTTTACGGCCAACATGTCGTGGCCACCTCGGTTGCCCGTGGAGATGTACTACTGTCCGCACCTGCTGATGGACTCGATAGTGATCTGGAACGCGTCGTTGGCGGTGATTTTGAACCGACCCAACAAACTGCAGGCCGTCAAGTTCGGCAAGTGCAATGCTACCAAATTCAAGGAGAAAATTAGAGTAATGATTCCGGACGTGGTGCTGACCGCCAATAGCGAGCAATACAACGTGATCTACAGCCTCGTGATGGGATTCATGGACACCAGCATGACAGAGAAGCAGAAAGTCAAGGACAAGGTGAAGAGTCTGGTGCGTTTCACGGACGGCGAGGATTTTTCAACAATCCGGGCCCGGATGATTACTCTGCAGATGCGCGCGTGGATGCTGCTTGATTGCAAGAAAGTAATGCTCATGATGGAGTCTGCGAACTGTGCGGAAAGCCACACGCTCCGTGTTGATGTCGAATTGGAGAAGATCTACATGGAGCTGTCGATTTTGGTTTCGTATTTGCAGCACACCAAGGCTCTCAAACACAACGACTCTTACGACAAAAGACAGTGGGTCCTTGCCGCCGAGCACATTCGTCTGGAGCTACTGGACGGTGATAACAAGAAGTTTGTGGTTGTGGAGGCCGATACCACGTTCTACACGACAGAACAGCGTCCGGACGGAGCAAGCCGCAGCCAGGTTCGTATCCAGGACTTCATAGCCGAGGACATGCAGCCGCACTCGATGTACAAGACGATTGTCGAGAAGTACGGCAAGCATAGGTATACCGATACGCCAATGGTGTTTGTTGATTGGAAGATGCTAGAAGCTGTGGGAGGTATTCCTGTGGTGGAACACAAGTCTGTCACATTTGCTCCGCTGAAAATCGAGCTGGACGTGAAAACAGCAAGACAGATCTACCAGTTTGTGTATCCGAAACCTGTTTCTGACGACAGTTCCGAGTCGAGCGACGATGACGAGTCGATCATGGACTCGCCGTTATCCGATGGACCCTCATCTCCGACCAGCATGGACTCTGCCAGCTCGATTATCTCGGAGCCGAGCGAAAATAATGGTGGCAGCAAATTGAAACGGGTGAGTCGACTTTTGACCAAAAAACGGTCCGACAAAACGCTCAGCCGGACGTCGTCGCTCGACCTGAGCAGCCTGCAGTTCTCGAGCGTCAAGAACCACGAAAACACGGACGAAAAACAGTACATTTCGCAGATGATCGAGCGGTCCAAAAAGTACCAGCTGCTGAACCGGATCACGATCGACCCGTTGCACCTGGTGCTCAGCATCAAGGGTGAGGGCTCGACCAAGCTCGTGGACGTGCATCTGCTAGAACTGTCGATGCCCAAGGTGGAGTATCTCAACAAGGTGTGGTCTCAGGAGGACTTTTTCCAGCACTTTAAGAAAGAGGTGATCCGGCTGGTGTTGAAGAACTCCGGCAAGATCGTGGCCAACAAGATCACCAAGCGTGTTCGCACGGGCAAGTTGCACAACCTGCTCACGCACAACACAGACACCGACACGGGCCACCACGTTTCGCAGTCCAACGGCTCCCAGTCCAACACCGTGCAACAGGCACACTCGCACCTGCACCACCAGTCTGAGCACTTTGGCAAGTTTGCGGACCCGGACGTTTTGGAGCCCCACATGCACACTCGAGCGTTGATCGACCAGCATCCGGACTCAGAGGTTCAGAATTTCGAGCCCTTAGAAGAGATCTCCGAGGAGTCCTCCTCCAGATGAAGCTCTATATATATATGTGAACTAGAATTTTCGGGCTGTGCACCTCCTGCGTGTTTGCCCCGACTCCCAGAAAATGCCTGGAGATAAATAATAGCTGTAATTATTTGCGGATGGACTTCTTCAAGGACATTGTGAGCAAAACACAGACGATTTTGGACTCGACCGGTTCGTCACGGCGGCCCAGCAAGGACGAGCTGCTTTGTGTGGAGTTCCGGCTTCCGGACGGCGAACGAATAGTGGACGAGGCGTCGGTAGAGCTTGTGCTTAGCCCACGGGTGGTGAACGGGCACCAGTCTGCGGACACGTCGGCAGTCACATTTAGCGGCAAGCTGACGTTGACCAACAATTTTCTCACGTTCAAGGACTCGTACGACTTCATGGCGTGCTCTTTTGTGGTAGAGCTGTTGATGATCCAGAAAATACAAAGAGTGCACCGATCCTTCGATTTCGCCATCCAACTGCACACCACAAGCGATCTGGAGCTGACGATCCAATTTCTGAGCATCAAGTCGCAGGCCGAGCGGTTTGGCCAGAACCTGACACGGTCGCTGAAGCGCAATGTCAACGAGGTGTCCAAGATCAATCTTTTCCAGATGGGTCTTTATTCGGAGTACTTGTTGTACAAGAACCACGCTTCCAAGCTCAAGATTGAGGCTCCACCAACAGGAGGTCTTGGGTGGGTGTTCAAGTTCCCTGGAAACGCACAGAAGATGAACGATCGGCTCAAAATGAAGAAATGGTTTGATTTCTTTAGAGAGTACGGCCGCAACTTTGCATTGATCAGAAACATTCCGTTCTACAAGCTAGTGAGTTTCGGATTACCCAACAAGCTGCGTGGCGAGCTCTGGGAAACCTGCTGCGGGTCATTGTATCTCAGATACATCAATTGCGACGAGTACAACACGATTCTTGTTGACCACGACGGCATGAAGAGTTTTGCTATTGAGGAGATCGAAAAGGACCTCAACAGATCGCTTCCCGAGTACCCTGCGTACCAGAACGAGGAGGGAATCAACCGTTTACGCAGGGTTTTGACCGCCTACTCGTGGAAAAACCCAGAGATCGGCTACTGTCAGGCCATGAACATCGTGGCAGCTGCTCTGTTGATCTACATGTCCGAGGAGCAGGTTTTCTGGTGTCTGCATGTTCTTTGCGAGAACATCATCCCAGGCTACTATTCGCAGACAATGTACGGCGTGTTGCTGGACCAGAAGGTGTTTGAAGGGCTGGTGAGGAAGACTTTGCCGATTCTGGGCGACCATTTCCAACGACAGGACATCCAGCTGTCGATCGTGTCGCTGCCGTGGTTTTTATCGTTTTTCCTCAACACGATGCCGCTTGTGTTTGCGTTCCGTGTGGTGGACATGCTGTTTCTGCACGGGCCCAAGACGCTGTTCCAGGTGGGGCTGGCCATTCTGAAGGTCAACGGCGAGGCTCTGCTGCGGTGCGAGGACGATGGTGAGTGTCTGGCGGTGTTCAAGGAGTTTTTCCTCTCGCTCGACGAAACAGAGCCGTCCATCTTCAACCAGGACAGACTGCGCACCAAATTCGACAACCTGTGGGAGGTTGCGTTCCGGGAGTTTGCTGTGATCGACGACAAGGTGATTGCGCAGTTCCGTGCACGCAACAAGAACGAGGTGTTCCACGGGATTGAGATCTTTGTCAAGCGGGCGGCCGTGAGAAACCTGCCCAAGACGCCCAACCTGAGCCAAGACCAGCTGTCCAACATTTACGATCGTTACTACAACGTGCTGATTGCGGATAGCGGGTCTGCAATTGGCCGCGCGAACCTGACGATGGACTTTGCCTCGTTTGGCAAGTTCATGGCTCAGCTGGTGGACTGGGCCCAGCTCGACACAGACACTGGCCACAACGGGTTCCTGCGCCGGCTGTTTGACAACTGGGCCAAGGGCGAGGACACGCTGAATCTGGAGACGCTTGTGCTGGGGATCAACCGGCTCATCGACAGAGACATCATGAACTCGCTGTCGAACTTCATTGCGCTGTACGACAACGGCTCGGGCAAAATCGACAACGAGACCGTGCTGGAGCTGGCCGAGGACCTCATCTACATCACCAGCCCGTGGCGCGACGGGTATCTGTTCGACGACATGACCAACAAGGCGATTGAGACGGAGATCGCCAAGAAGATCATCGAGCGCAAGCGCATTCTGCAGGAACAGGGCATCTCCACCGACGACGACAAGATCAAGCTGCCGCAGGAGGTGCGGTTCAACGACGAGAAGTGGCGCAACAAGCAGAGCGAGCGGTACTTGGCGTCGAGCTCGAACTTCCTCAAGCTGGCTTTCCAGTACGCCCAGGAGGAGCCGGACCCACAGGCGTCGCTGATCGACCTGGACGACGACACCACCGAGAAGCTGAAACACAACAAGGCGCTCAACCCGGCCACGCCCACCTTCATCACCGCGTCCACGTTCCGGATGATCATTCTTGCCGACGAAACGTACGAGTCGTTTTTCCACAACGATTTCTGGAAATCGTTCCATGTTAACGACAAAGTGAGCGAGAACCCCGGCGTGGTGAACAACCTGCGCGGCATGTTCACAGACTTCCTCGCCGACGGCCGCCGCGTGGCCAACGAGGTGCGCAAGCGCATGGACGACGCTACAAAAACCGTCGCGTCGTCCGACCAGAGCTCCATCACCACCAGAAACTCGCGCGCCCAGACACTCACCTCGTACAACGACGAGGACGAGGACGACTTTGGCAACTTTGTGTCGCCATTGAGCGACGCGCTCAACGATATCCCGATCGGCGCGCCCAAACAGCCAGATCCTACAAACCAATAGTACTGCATAATAGATTAGTTGCATATGCGTATCCTCTATGTACGGCTAGCTAGCTTAGCTCTTGCCTGCCTTGACCGGCTTGCTGCCAAACAGCTTGCGCAGCTTGCCGAACCGCTTCTTCTTCCCCTCGGGAGCCTTTTCTGGCGAGACGTGCTCGCTGAAGAACCGGGGCTGGGCCTGCTGGCCCGTCCGTGGCTGCTCGGCACTCACGCTGCGCAGAGTGTTGCGTGACGGCTTGCCGTTCAGATTCGACGGAGCAGGAGCACCGCCAAACTCGAGGTCGGAGTCAGAGTCGTTGAACCGCGACTTGTATGGTGCCTGGTAGCCGCGTGGCTGTTGCTGTTGCTGTTGCTCCTGGGCCTGCACAAACGCAGGCTCCTCTCTAAGAGTAAGTCTGTTGGCCCGCTTGGCCTCGTACGTCTTCTCAAACGACGAGGTTCTCTCCAGCTTCACGCCAACCTGCTGCACATACTGCACGTTCAGAATCGACTCCTGGTGAGCAGGCTTCTCGTTGGCCTTCTTGTACAGCTCGGCAGCACGCAGCTGGGCCTCCGACTTTGGTGCAGCCTTGTACTCGCTCTTCTTTGGGGTCGGTGGAGTCTCGAATTGCTGTGGGTTGTGCTGCTTGGCAGCCCGCGTGGCGGCCACCAAATGGGCTGGCGACGATGGGTTTGAAGGCAGACCGCCAGTGGAGTCGCGTCTGGATCTAGGAGCCTGCACCGGGGTCGCACGCATGCTCAAACGCATTCCCTTGTGGTCTGCAGGAGACTGGCGTGTTGGCTTCTCCGGCTGCGAAAACCTCTTGGTGGCAGGCGAGGCGCGTGGCTGTTGCGAAACATTCAAAGAGGACGACGATGCCATGGCATTGAGTCGCGTGTTCTCCGCAGTGGCCAGCGACAAGTAAGCAGACGAGGAGGCAGACATGTTGTTCAGAGATAGTTTGGATGAACTGTGTGTATTTTTCAAAACAGACTTGCGCTTCGCCAACGGAGAGTCGTTGGCCTGTTTTGGAACTTTCTCTGGAGTAGAGGTGGCAGAAACACCCAGGTCCTCCAACTTGCTGATGGATGGTCTCTTTGGCGATCTGGCTGGAATTTCAATGTCCTTCTGTTGAGCAATTGGGGACTGTGGAGGTTTCTGCACTCCCAGAGTCGGTCTAAGACGTTGTGCCATGCTTTGCGAGGAATCCTGAGAGGTAACGTGCGTTTTTGTCTCGTCATCGTGTAGTGTAACGTCATTACTGGTTGCTGTGGTCAACGAGTCGTCAGGAGTGGCTCTGGAGAGCAGGTTGTCGGTAGACCGGCCGGTGTATCCATTGACTAGGTCGAGTTCTGGATACTCGCCAGATGATCCAGAGATGGCTGACTTGACAGGACTCATATCGCTGATCGGGTTCTTAGTCAGCGAGCTGGAGTCGTTAGAAATCGACCCGATGGACTGGGCAGCCTCGAGTTCCTGCTGCTGGAGCGCAGCTTGTAGAATCTCCTGTTCCTTCTGCCGCACAAGAGCCTCTAATTTTTGCTCGGCAAGTTCCCGATCTGCATCGGTGAATTCTGTTGACGTATTTTCATCTGGAATTTCATTAGAATGGGGAATTTCAGGTTGCACCACGATAGTCTGCAACTGTGGCTCGGGCGACTTCGAGGGCTCAACAGCCTTCTTGTCTTCTTCGCTCTCGTCTTCCTCGATAGTTGGTTCCACAACCATGGAATTGTTTTGGGTATGCATCGATTGAACACTTTTCTTTTGCGACAGCTGAGGTCCAGTTTTTGGCGCGAATCTCTGGCTTCTGGCCCTGCTTGAAAGCGAGTTCATGGACGCAGACCGAGCAACAACCCTCCGAGCGTTGGCGGCCGCTTGAGCGGGCTGCTCGGCAGGCACCTCGATGCAAACAAGACCGTGAGCTGAAGGGACCCATTTCTTCACCATACGCGGCTGAGTAGAAGCTGCTGGCGAATCCATGTCGAACCCATCGTAATGAGTAGAGTTTTTGCCTGTGAGACTGTGTAGACGGCCATTTTGTTGTGCTCTTTGTGAAATATTGGTCATACTCTGTGCTCTTTTTGGAGCAGCGTGGGCTGATCTGATGGGTCTAGTTTGAGCCACGGGGGAAGAAGGATAATGGTCGAAACTTCCGGCACGCGAGGCAGGTCTATTAGTGGCAGAAGTGACGCTCGAGGTGCGTCTGGAACCCAAAAGACTGGCTGTCCGATGCGCCTCAGTGTTTCTTGGAGGCTGTCTTGGCAGATTCAAGGGACCCGGTTTGTGGTCATTTTCCTTCAAAGCCTTGCCAATGACCGTGGCAGCAGCAAGAGCTCCCGAATTTGGTGCAGATGGCGGCGGTTGAGCAGGTCTTGAGAGCCTTCTGCTGGAAAACATAAACAAATAATTTGACTCGTTGCTCCTTTAGAAAAAAGTCCAGCCTTGTTTTTTCTGCAACGTGAAACCTATTTACCGGTTATGAAGCCCTGTGGCTGCACACCCGGTGTGAGGACTATTTAAAGAGTTAGATCCAGGGGTTAAAAAGTAGATCAGCTAAATTATGTCGCCTACCATCCTTGTCAACGCTCTTGAATTCGATCTTGATGGAACCATCGTGGATTCCACTGAATCCATCGAAAGATCCTGGGGAGAGATCTTGGAAAAGCATCCTCATCTTAACGAGGATGGGGAGTTCTTCCACAAGATCCATGGGGTTAGAGTCATGGATGTGTTCAAAAAGTATCTTGGACACGAGTTCAAAAATGACGACGAGATCATGGAGAATGCGTATGACTTCGATAGACTGGTTTCTGTCAAGTACGGTAAGCTGAACTACCCTATTGAGGGAGCCGGTGCCCTGTTTAAAGAGCTACACAAGCTTCCAAACAAGCCATTCTGTATTGTGACAAGTGGCTCTTCCGTTCTCGCCCACGGCCATTTTGAAAATGTTCTGCATGAAGCAGGTGTTGAAAAACCGGACATTTTCATTACTGCTGAGGATGTGAAAATCGGCAAGCCCGACCCTGAGGGATATAGAAAGGGAGCTGCTCTTTTGGAGAAAAAACTCGGTTATCCTATTCCTAAGAGAGTGGTCTTTGAGGATGCACCAGCCGGTATCAAGGCAGGTAACGAATCCGGCGCCGTTGTGGTTGGAATCGCCTCTACTTTCGATCCTGAAAAGCTGTACGCATCAGGTGCAAAGTACGTGGTGAAAAATCTAGGCGGTGTCAGGGTTAAAGGTTTCAATAATAAAGAAATCGAATTAGAAATCGATGACGTCAAACAGCACTAGACAAGATTCTTTCCTTTTTTTAGGCATTTTATATATTTGCTTTTTCTATATACACTGTTGTTTCCTGTTTTCTATTGTCATAGTAACGCTCGTAAAAGTGGTGGATTTCAAACATCACCTCAATCATGATCAAGTAGATCACTATCCATTCCAACCGAGTGCCTTTACGGGTGGTTAGGATGTCTAGAAGTGCACGTGCTTCGTCTGAACAATAGTCCAGCTTCCTGTTCAAGATACTGATTCTTGTGCTGAGATCCAAGGCCCTAGATACGTCATTGTAGATTTTTTCCAAGTTGGGCTCGGTCCAGTACAAATCCGGCGTTTCCACCAGCTCGGAGTACAAATTGAGCTTGCCACGGAGTAGAAGCAGTCTTCCTGAGCTACGCAACACTTCGCGTGCCCCAATTCCAAGCTGCTTCCCTTTGGACAAGTTCTCTGTTGTATTTCTGGTCAGCTGGATATGCTTTTCAAGCGAGCTCTCCAGGACGGCCAGTCGTGTGGATCTTGAAATTCCGTACGAAAACGCTAGCTTGTCCAACATTTTCTGTCGCGGATCTCCGGCGATGCAGATGATTTCTTGTTCAAGTGTTGAGCTTTGTGCTTTTTTTGCACCGCCTTGTTCGAACTCAATATAGTCCATGTCCTCCGTCTGCACCTCGTACGGTGTCGTCATAGCCTCATTGAACAAAGGCAGAACATTGTCCACGACGTTTTGTTCCGACAAGCCCCATGACACAATCGTTCCAGTTTGCAGGACGAACACGTCGGAAACGCTAGACGCATCGGCTTGATACCGGAAATGGACAGCCTCGTTGCGCACAATTTCTTCTGTGTCAAGTTCAAGGTGAGACAGGATGGTCCGGACTTTTTCCAGGTCGTAGGACTCGCAGCTTGTCACCGCAACGCATGGCTGCAATGGCAGACCGCGATACGACGTTGTGGATCGCTCCTGCGGCACCGAGTACGACTGTCCCAGGAGAGACTCGTTTGGAACACGGCGATTGATTTTGCGGTTGGCAGCGGTTCCAGGAACCGTTGTTGAGGCGGCACGCAAAACCACAGCTGCTGGTATTCTGACGCGCTGTCTTGCAGCCAGCATTCGCGGCCACTGTAGCCCTCTTGGTAGACACTTGAACATCCGGAATACAATCGACGCAGAGGTTTTAAAAAAAAAGTATGGATTTTTTCAAATCGTCGGGTCGACTTTTGCACATGATGTCATGTTAAGACTCGACCCAACACCAACTACATTCTGGTCTCGAAACTGGCCATGCTATACTGGTTCGATACCTTGCGCTCTTCAGACCACCATCGCGTGTGTATTTTCCCGGATTTGATCTTTTCGACCCGGGTTGCACTTTCCCGGTTCCGCCTACCTAAAAAAGCCGCTTAAATAGATAAGAGACTAGCCAATCTCGAATTTAGTATTTCTCATTATGTTGGCTCAGTTTGTTGCCCAATACCACGAAGAGCTGCTCACCACGCTCCAGGCGTCGGCGATCAGCTTCCTGATCTACTATTTTGTGCTATATCCTATCTATTTCCACCCTTTGGCCAGAATTCCAGGACCTAAACTATGTGCCTTAACAAAATACTGGATTCTGTATATCAGCTGGTCTGAGCAAAGAAACAGGTACGTGCACAGATTGCACGAGGAGTACGGCCCAATTGTCCGTGTTGGACCAGACGAGGTCGACATCTCCGACGCAGAGTACATGAAAGACATCTACGTCGATAACTTTGATAAAACCAGCTTCTACACGCAGTTTGCCGACTTTGGCTCCTTCAACACGTTCTCAACTGTTGACAAAAAATCCCACAGACAGAGCAGAAAGGTGTCGGCCAAGTTGTACTCGAAATCAACAGTGGTTTCGGAGCCGTTCCAGGTAAAAGTCAGAAGTGTCATGTCTGATCTGTTAAAAGTGCTCGACGAAAACCAGGAGAAAACACTCAACACTTTCTATCTCTGGTCGATTATGGCAATGGACACCATCTCTGGTTTTGCGTTTGGATCTAAAGTAAGCAAAAGACTGCTTAGGGATCCGTTTGGGGAAGGTGCATCCACAGTGGTAGCATTCATGACCCAATCTTCAGCCTGGTTCTGGACCACCCAGCTGCCTCAATTTAGAAGATGGGTGATTCCAGCGTACATTAATGAGGCCTCCAATGTGGCCTGTCAGTGGATCAGTGAACAGTTTGCCGATAGCCTGGATAAAAACGACGAAACTTCGTCCTCATTGGTTGGCGTCCTGCTTGGAGAACCCGGTGCAAAGGTGTTTGATTCAAACAGAGCAAAGTCCGAGATCTTTGACCACATTGCTGCTGGACACAACACCACAGGAACCACGTTGAGTTTCTACTTCTACGAGCTTGCAAGAGACACTAAAAAGCAAGACCGTCTTAGAGAAGAGCTGAAACAGTTGAACGGTGGAAATCTTGCAACCAACGACTACTCTTCGTCTCTTTACTCAGATATCGAGGAGCTACCATATCTTTCTGCTCTGACGCAGGAAGTTTTCCGTATTTATGCCGCCATTCCGGGACAGGAGCCGCGCAAGGCTCCAAAGAACGGGTTCTGGTGGAGAGGGTCCAAAGAGACTCCTCGCACTTTCATTCCTGAAGGGAAAACCGTGGTGATGCAACCATGGTCTTTACACAGAGATCCGGTTTTGTTTGAGGACCCGGAGCTGTTCAATCCCGACAGATGGCTCATTGACGACGAACAGAAACTCAAGGCCATGAACAAACAAATGATGCACTTCGGCTATGGCGCCCGGATGTGTCTTGGTTTACACATCGCGACATGTGAAATCAAACTCTGTGTTGCCAATGTTATCAGTCGCTACCGTGTTTCTCTGGACGACAGCTACGATTATGCCAACAACGTCCAAATGAAAGACATCTATACCACTATACCGAAATCCAGAGACGTGCCTTTGATTTTTAGCGGTTTGGAGAAATGAACAAGCACGTAGTTTACATACACTCAATCCACCTTGGTAGTCTCTGTGTTTCGAGTTACCTCATCTGCTCCGCACCCGTGCACCAGAAATAGGGGTCCAGGGTGAAAATAAATTTTCACCTGATAAAAAAAATATATTGAAAATTATCTCAAGGTAGCTCGCTTATCAATGTCTGGATTCCCTGATCTTGCAACCGACGCTGTTTTAAAGCAATCTGTGCCTGTCCCTGAGCACTTTGAAAAAGTGAGAGGAGTTGACTACTCCAAACCAGAGAGCCGTAATGCTCGTGCTTCCGATCTGATAGCTTCCATGAAGACCATGGGATTCCAAGGATCTTCTTTGGCCAAAGCTTGTGAGATCATTGACGAGATGAGATCTTGGAGAGGTGCTCATATTTCCAAATTGGAGGAACACGAACGCAAGGGAGAGTTTGATGAGGATGGATACCAAAAGACCACCATTTTCCTTGGCTACACTTCCAACCTGATCTCTTCTGGTCTCAGAGACACGTTGAGATTCCTGGTCCAACATAAGATGGTTTCTGCGATTGTTGCCTCGGCGGGTGGAATCGAGGAAGACCTGATCAAGTGTCTTGCTCCAACTTATATGGGAGATTTTGCTCTGCCAGGAAAGCAGCTTAGAGACGACGGAATGAACAGAATTGGTAACTTGATTGTTCCCAACGACAACTACTGCAAATTCGAGGAGTGGATGGTTCCTGTTTTGGACAAGATGTTGGAAGAGCAGGAGGAGTTTGCTGCCAAGAACAAGGAGAACTCTTTGGACTCCGACGTTCCATTCTGGACTCCTTCCAAAGTGATCGACCGTTTTGGTAAGGAAATCAACGACGAGTCGTCTGTGCTCTACTGGGCCCACAAGAACCAGATCCCGATCTTCTGTCCTGCTCTCACTGACGGAAGTATTGGAGACATGCTTTTCTTCCATACTTTCAAGTCTTCTCCAAAACAACTGAGAATCGACATCGTCCAGGACATCAGAAGAATCAACAGTTTGTCCATGGAGGCCTCCCATGCTGGAATGCTGATTTTGGGTGGTGGTTTGATCAAGCATCACATCTGTAACGCATGTTTGATGAGAAACGGAGCAGATTACGCCGTGTATATCAACACGGGACAGGAATTTGACGGTTCTGACGCCGGCGCGCGTCCCGACGAGGCCGTTTCTTGGGGTAAGATCAAGGCGGACGCCAAGAGCGTCAAGGTGTTTGCGGACGTGACGCTTGTGCTGCCGCTGATTGTCGCTGCTACCTTTGCGAAGAACTGAGGTGTGCGGTGTGCGGGGTTGGTGTTGGGTGTGTGAGATTTAAGAGTCACCCCCGCTCCGCAACCGGCCCGGTGACTAAATTGTATAAAATGAAAATTTTCCAAACTCCATCGCAACTATTCTTCTCAACATAATCATGTACGCTGCTAGAATTTCGAGAACTGCTGGCTCCAGAGCCGCCGCTGCTATGTCCAAGAGAGCACTCTCTGGCCTCACTAGATCTGTGAGACCAACCTTGCCAAAGACCCAGGTTGCTGGTGTCAGAGGAATCAAGAAGATCAACTTTGGTGGTGTCGAGGAAATCGTCCACGAGAGAGCCGACTGGCCAAGAGAGAAGTTGCTCGAGTACTTCAAGAACGACACTCTTGCTTTGATCGGATACGGATCCCAAGGTTACGGTCAAGGTTTGAACCTGAGAGACAACGGTTTGAACGTGATCATTGGTGTTAGAAAGAACGGTGCTTCCTGGAAGGCCGCTATCGAGGACGGATGGGTTCCTGGTGAGAACCTGTTTGATGTTTCCGAGGCCATCCAGAAGGGAACCATCATCATGAACTTGCTTTCTGACGCTGCTCAGTCCGAGACCTGGGCCGACGTCAAGCCACTCTTGACCGAGGGTAAGACTCTTTACTTCTCCCACGGTTTCTCCCCAGTCTTCAAGGAATTGACCAAGGTTGTTCCTCCTTCTAATATCGATGTCATCTTGGCTGCTCCAAAGGGTTCTGGTAGAACCGTGAGATCTCTTTTCAAGGAGGGAAGAGGTATCAACTCTTCTTACGCCGTCTGGAACGACGTCAGCGGTAAGGCTGAAGAGAAGGCCATCGCATTGGCCGTTGCCATTGGATCTGGTTACGTTTACCAAACCACCTTTGAGAGAGAAGTCAACTCCGACTTGTACGGTGAGAGAGGATGTTTGATGGGAGGTATCCACGGTATGTTCCTTGCTCAATACGAAGTTCTGAGAGAGAACGGCCACAGCCCATCCGAAGCTTTCAACGAGACTGTCGAGGAGGCCACCCAATCTCTTTACCCATTGATTGGAAAATACGGTATGGACTACATGTACGATGCTTGTTCCACCACCGCCAGAAGAGGTGCTCTGGACTGGTACCCAGTCTTCAAGGACGCTTTGAAGCCAGTTTTCCAAAAATTGTACGCTTCCGTGAAGGACGGATCCGAGACCCAGAGATCTTTGGACTTCAACTCGCAACCTGACTACAGAGAGAAATTGGAGGGTGAGTTGCAAACCATCAGAAACATGGAGATCTGGAAGGTTGGAAAAGAGGTGAGAAAGTTGAGACCAGAAAACAACTGAGTCATTTGAAATTGGATTGGTCCTGAAGGGCTAAGTGGTTTTTTATTTATTCCTGATACGGGAACGGCATGTTTAATGAATAAACAGTTCGAAAATTGAAATTACACCGTAGTAGTGATGGTTTTGATCCAGCAGAATCCCAATTGGGAATTTTTCTGGTGGCATAGTTTCTGGTGGAAAACTTTGATGGCATTCCCCGAACAGTACTCAATTTTTTCACTATTCACGTGACATAATACAATTCTGCAAGCTTGTTGAAGAATAGTATAAAACGGCCTGGGGACCCCAAACTTGTTGCCATCCCATTTTACGCAATGTCTATTCCAAAGCCAGAAAACGGAACTCTCAGATTGGGCTCTAAGGCCCCAAACTTCACTGCCGACACCTCTAACGGCCCAATTACCTTCCACGACTACATTGGAGACTCGTGGGCGGTTTTGTTCTCTCACCCTGACGACTTCACTCCAGTCTGCACCACCGAGCTTGGTGCTTTCGCCAAATTGGAGCCAGAGTTCGCCAAGAGAGGCGTGAAGCTCATTGGATTGTCTGCCAACGACGCTGGCTCCCACAGATCCTGGATCAAGGACATTGACGAGGTCACCGGATCCAAGCTCACTTTCCCAATCATTGCCGACCCTACGAGAGAAATTTCTCTTAAGTTCGACATGATTGACTACCAGGACGCCACCAACGTCGACGACAAGGGAGTCCAGTTCACCATCAGATCTGTGTTCATCATCGACCCAAAGAAGACCATCAGATTGATCTTGGCTTACCCAGCTTCTACTGGTAGAAACACTGCCGAGGTCTTGAGAGTCATTGACTCCTTGCAGACCGGTGACAAGCACAGAGTCACCACCCCAATTAACTGGGTTCCAGGTGACGATGTCATTGTCCACCCAAGCGTGTCCAACGACGAGGCCAAGACCCTGTTCCCTAAGTTCAGAACCATCAAGCCTTACTTGAGACTGACTCCATTGGACGTTTCCAAATAAATAGCTACTATTTAATGATGCTCTTTTGATTATTTACCTAAACTTTAATTATGACAGAAATCATGGGTTAGGAAAATTTTCCCATTCTATAATTAGTTGTGATCCCAGATCAGAGAATTCAGGTACAATTCTTTTTCGAAAGTTGATGTCCAGTATTCAAGAATTCTTTGCCAAGCTCGAGCCCCGGACCATTGTCCGGTCGTTTGTGCTGGCCTCCGTGCTGTCTTTCGTTCTGATAACGGTTATGTTACAATCTTTTGCACCATCTGTTGTGGAGGTGCCTAAATTCTCGGATTTGGGCTCCGACATGGTCAAGTTCAGACTCGTCAAGAAGGACGACGGTAACCACACGTCCACTGGCTCCAATGACGACTACGATGGGTACACATCTTCGTCGCAAGATTACTCTTCTTCGTCCCAATTAGAAACAACAACGTATCCAGGGGGTTCTGTTTACCCGTCCTCAAGTTCCACCACAAGCGCCAGCAGTTCCAGCAGTTCCAGCAGCGTCAGCAGTTCCAGCAGTTTGAGTAGCTCCAGCGAGTCGAGTAGCTCAAGCAGCTCCTCTAGCTCCTCCAGCAGCTCTTCCAGCTCTTCCAGCTCCAGCTCCGCAACAACTGACCACTCTAGCAACTCCATCACCAGCACGTCGTCTGAGTCGTCTTCCTCTGCCACAGAAAGCCCATCGGTGACCTGGTCGAGCTCGTCGTCCGAAGAATGGTCTGCAGAACCGTCCTCCTCAACGTCCTGGTCGGAATCCTCACAGTCACCTTCTGAATCGTCCTCAAGCCCGTCCAGTACCGAGTCGCCCACATCGCACACCACGTCCAGCGCAGACTCCTCCACCACGTCGCACACGACCAGCGCGAGCTCGAGTTCAGAGGAACACTCGTCCACCAGTGCGCCGTCCGCTACTGACTCGTCTTCCACGGCCAGCTCTTCAACGGAGTCCGCTAGCTCGTCCACCACCGAGGCCGCTTCTTCGACGTCGAGCACCCCAACAGCGTCGCCGTCGTCCTCGGTCGACTCCGACACAAAACGCTCGTCTGGCGGGCTGTCGTCGAAAAACAAAAAGATCGTGATCGGAGTGGTTGTTGGACTCGGCGTGCCGATCCTGCTGCTACTACTGCTGCTGTTGATCTTCTTCCTTAGAAAACGCAAGGCCAGCGGTGACTACTATGTGGACTCCAACGGGCGCATGGTGGGATTGATAGAGAGCAGCTGGTTGTCGAAACTCGCGTTCTGGAAGAAGGGACAACAAAAGGGCGATTTTGGCGACGACGAGGACGAGGATCTGAGTGGTTTCAACAAGAACTCCACGGGAGAGACAGGGTTTGTTGTCAACAGGGCCAAGACGGTCAGACAGACCAACCAGGGCACAAACTTCTAGTAGCAGGAAACCATAGCATTCAGTAGATACCAAGAGAACTAGAGTATGTAAAAGATAATAGGAAGCATGGCAGCGAGACTCACTTGGTTGCGCATACCTGCAGCAGCGAACGTGAACACGGAGAAGGTGCTGGAAGAGCTTGAGGAGTAGCTGGAAGCAAGTGGGGTGTAGGAAGTGAACGATGTCTCTGCCACGGACGAGCCTTGTGGGGACGAGACGTTGGACGAGGAGCACGAGACTGTGGCTGTTCTGGTGAGTACCGTGTAGATGGTGGTGCCAGAGCTGATGATGGTGGCCGTTGAGCAGGCAGTGCACTCGGTGGAGACAGTGGAGGAGACGAGCACGGGAGCCGGGCTGGATGTGGATGTTTCCGCGACAGTTGAGCTGGCTGGGGTGGTTGGTGTGGTGGAAGTGGTGGCCAGCGCTGTTGGAGTGGTGCTGGTCGATGTGGTTGGGGTTGCTGATGTGGCTGGAGTGGTGGAGGTTGTGGAAGTGGAGGTGGATGATGTGGTTGGTGCAGTGGAGGTGGATGAGGTGGTTGGTGTAGTTGAGCTACTGCTGGTGGTCACAGTTGACGTTTCTGGTGGAGCAGTCGAGCTTTCTGTGGTTGTCTCTGCCGGGGTGGACGAGGTGGACGAGGTGGTTGCAACTTCGGTGGACGAAGTGGTGGACTCTGGCGTGGAGACTGTTGACTCCGTGGAGGAGGTAGACCCGGTAGACTCGGTAGACTCTGTGGACACTGTGCTTGTGGCAATGGTGGACACAGAGGTGGTGAACCCAGAACTGCAGGGAACAGTCACCACGGTTGTGCTTTCCTCGGTGGTGGAGACAGTGAGAATTGTAGGAGGAGGTGTGCTGGTGGAGGAGGATATGGAGGAGGTAGTGCTAGACGTGCTGCTACTGCTGCTCGTCTCGCTCGTCTCTGTGCACACGGTGCAGGTTGTCTCTGTGGTTGTGTCAAAAGTGGACACCTCGAAGGAGCACACGTAGCTGGTGGAGACGGAGACGGTTGTCCAGTCGCTGTCTGTGACGGTGGTGGAGTAGACCACCGGAACGAGGGAGCCGGAACAGGACAGGGCTGGCGTGGACGTTGTCTCGTGGGCCACGGTGCTGGAGGAGCTAGGAACGAATGTGGAGGAGGTGGCTGTGGAGGAGGTGGAGTAACTGCTCCATGTAGGGGTGGTTGAGCTGCTCGTAGTGGTTGAACTGCTTGTGCTGCTCGACGGGACTGTGCTTGTGGTGGAGCTCGTAGTGAGAGTTGAGCTTGGTGTGGTGGTGGAGCTGGAGCTGGAGCTGGAACTAGAGCTGGAGCTGGTAAAGCTTGACGACGACGAGCTGGATGTGGAGCTAGTCGTGGTGCTGGAAGTTGTGCTGGAAGGCGTCGAGGAAGTCGAGCTCGAGGACGATGGTGTTGAGGAAGGTGTCGTGGATGTAGACGACGTGGATGGAGCTGGTGTACTGCTTGGCGTTGTGAACGTGGAGGAGCTGGACGTGGTGCTTGAGGAGCTGAAAGTAGTGCTTGAGCTGCTAGAACTGCTTGAGCTGCTAGAACTGCTGACGCTGCTGGAACTGCTAGAACTGCTGCTGCTGCTGCTGCTGCTGCTGCTGCTGCTCTGACAGAGCGAGCAGCTGGTGGACACGTTGTCGTCCACGTTGACCTGGGCAAGCCCCACCTTCTTCTCGTCCAGATCAAACACGATGTACACACTTGTCAGGAACGACTGTCCCAGCACAACAACGTTGTCGATGGTGCTGGTGGTCACTGAAAGGTAGCAGGTGTCCTGGTCCTGGAAAAATAGCTGGTTGGCTTGCACCTTGATATCTGTGGACCCAAAGGCCAGAGAGTAGCTGATGTCTGTTGTCTCGATCAGTCCACAGTCGACAGTCCATAGTCCAGACGACTGGTCCACGCTCGCTTGCAAATCGTCGGTGATCTGGGTCAGCACATCTTGCGGCACGTACGACAGCACCGACGCAGTGTCAAAGTAGCCGGTCTGGCCAGAAGTCAGCTGGGTTCCCGACGATGTCTCTATAGAGTCTAGCGAAACAAAGTATCCACCGGTGGTGAGATCGGTTTGATAAGTAACAGTGTCCAAATAAGTCAGCTGGCCAGAGTAGAGCGACGAGTCGATGCCACCAAAAGTGATTTTTCCTGGCGACCGGTTGTTGTGCAAATAGACAGAGACCTTCTTGCTGGAGATCAGGCCGGCTTTTTGCAATGCCTCGATAAAAGAGCTGGAACTGCCGAGTCCCAAAGATGCCTCGTAGCCAAACTCGTTTGTGGTTGCAACACCAAATTTGAGCGAGTCCAGGTCGAAGGAGCCAATGGTGATTTTGTCAGAGCCGTAGTTTCCCGAGGCAGTATAGCCGGTAACCAGGTCCTGGAAACAGAACTCCTCGCTGGATGATGAAAAGGTGTCTGATAAATTACTGTTGAACTTGCTTGCAGAAACCCAAGAGTCGTCTTGGGCAGAGTTGATAACGAACGACAGGTTGGTGAAGTAGTCGCCGACCACCCCGTCAATCTCATAGTAGTTACCCAGAAGGTTCTGGATGGTCAGCTCGGTGCCATCTCGTTTAACGAACGGAAGAGCCTGCACTAACGGCAATAGGGAAATTAAAAGAGTGAATTTCATGTCTCTGGTGGAATAACTGGTCCCATTCTTGACCCATCCTTTTCTTTATATACTGCTGACAGGTAACTGAAACGTCGAGGCCCAGTTCTATATTTGGAACTGCGAGATCACGGTCTCGAGTCTCGTGAACTTCAAACTCGCGCTAGTCCCGTTTGGCTCCTTCTACTTTTGGCAAGTTTTCGAGGAATTAGCGAGTCTCATCTTTCAATACTTGCCCAGTTGGGCCATCTCAATGACATGAAACGCTCGAGGAAGTTTGTGTTTGGGAATATCTTTGAAACATCGTCTCCAGTCATTAATTAGTGGCTCTAAAAAAAATGGTAGCACATCTGAAAAATTTCCGTATTGGGATTGTCAATTGTCCATTCATCTTATTTAATTCTCGTTCAAAATCGTCTTCAGCTCGTAGCAGTACGCAAACCCTTCATTGTCCGCTGGGAACCAGCTCCCAACCTTGCGGCCCCACCGCTCATTCTCCACTTTCCACGCCTTGTACATGCCGTCGGAAATCTGGAAATGCTCTGCATGGGTGCTCTTGGGAGCAGCTCTGGCCGGTTTGCCTCGCTTGGGCATCTCGGTGATAGTATCATCGAAATTATCAAACGGATCGTCCTCATACTTGCCAGTCATGCTCACCCACCGCAGCTGGTCGGTATCGTAAACCATGTTTCCAACAACTTGGAGGTTCTTGCTGCTCTTGCTGCGTTGCAACGACGATTTCATCGAGCTCGGTCTGGTCGACGTAGACATCTCAAACAGACTGAGATCCTGCTCATTGCCGCGCCACTTCATCTTCTCAGGGTCGTAAACCATCCCACCCATCGTGTGCTGGCCCCTGTTGCGACCCATAGACCTGATCATCTTGAGTTTCCCCTCCTTGGTGAGTCTCGTGCTGTTGGTCACTGTCGGGTCCGCATACTGTGGCCGTCGCGGCCGGGTATCCTGTTCTGCGTACATCGAAAGGTCCAACGCTCGGCTCTTGCGTTTGAGTTTCTTGTAGTCGGAAAGCGTAATTGTGAGGTCCTCAGGGAATGCGTCAATATCGTCCAAGTCAGACGAGTATCGCAGTGTCCGCGGCTGTGGGACAATGTTCATGGACGACATGGTGCGATGGAGCGAGCGCGAAAACCCAGATTTCGGAATGTCCATGCTGGAGGACGATTTGCGGATCGATTTGCGGCCAGTGTTGCCGGCCAAAACGGGCATCGACGATTTGGCCCGCAGTTTCTTCGGACTCACCACCTTCAATCGGTGGAAAGTGCCATTGTCTGGCTCGTCAGCCTCGTCAAGATACAGCCTTGAGGTGCGTCTGGTCAGCTCAGCCAGCTTTTCGGCCTGCTGTCGTCTAAGTTCCAGTTTCTGCGCAAGGTTCAAATCAGGCTCTAGATCGTCAAAATCGTCTGCATAGTCGCTGTGTTCGGTGTCGGACTCGACAAACTGCGAACTCTCGGCAGAAACACTGCTGAACCCGGACGATATCGACTGGGTGCTTTGAGACCGCGAAACAAACGTGTCTCTGTGCTCTTTGCGTTCGCTCAGCCGTTGCTTGAAATCAACCGGCTCAATCTGTTCCCATTGTTCCTCGTCTCCGTCAACGTCCTTAAATCTGGCCAACAACTTGGACTTCTTGGTCCGCAACAGTCTTGGCGGCGCGTGCTCAGACTCCGACTCCTGAACCGTCGACAACTCCTTCTTGCCAAACATGTCGTCGAGCCGGTGCTGGCTAAACTGCGGCTTCAGCTGGCGCGCACTCGGCTTCCGTATCACCGACGTTCTAAACCCGTCTTCCATCAGCCTGTATAAAATAAATAAAGATTAAACACAAAAAAGCAGGCTGTGTCGCGGTGGAGGGTGGAAAAATATTTACAACTTTCCCCAAACAGCAACGGTCAACAAACATTTCACACATTATTTTTCTACATTTCATTTTAATACACTGGTAAACAACCTCCAATATTTATATATCGGAGCTTGTGACGTGTAAGAAAACGGATTGGTGGTCATGTTAGCCTCCAATAAAAGACATGGCATGGTGCTTTCGGGCTCGATGGGCCAGGTGGGGCCTATTGGACCATCCAGCTCAACAGTCTCGTTATCTTCGGGAACATCAAATACGGGTGCCAATTCGATCAAGTCGCAAAAGAGAATGAGCAGATTGTCCACTCGGTCGGGATCTTTGTCGCTGAATGAGCTGTTGCAGGAAAATCGGTCCTTTGAGGTGTACCAAGACAACCGTGGTGATACCCTTAGTCGTCTTAGAGGAGCTCCGGTCGCAGAAAAGAAAAAAGCCCTGGCAGAATCCAAAATAAACAAGATACCTGAACGCGAGGAGAAGAAAAGTCATCGTCTCTCCACTTTGTCGCTGGCCAGCATCTCGTCGGTTTCGACGAGATCCACAGGATCCAGTCTCAAGTCCATCGCACACAAAATTGCAGGTGCTGTCAAGAGCGAGGACAAAGAACAAAACGAAAACGCAGAAAACGAGGTTGTTCCTGAATTGGAGCCAGAGGACCAGTCCGCCTCACCAGAACTGAAAAAGAAATCCTCCTTTTTTAGATTAAGACATTCCATCTCGCTCAGATCGCTGGCTTCTCGAGATGAGCCAACTCTGTCGTCTGCTCCTTCATCTCGCAAACTCAACCTCAACAATTTGAGAAAATCCTTCATTGGAGGCTCTTCCAACAGCTCAAGAGCATCTGTGGACATTTCGCTTCCAGTTCCGAACCAAACATCCAGGGACAAAATCAAAAACAAACTTAGAAACTCTTCGTCTTTGCTATCTATATCCTCGTTCATGTCCACAGGAAGCACCCGTGTGGCCTCTGATAGCAAGGAAGTATACACTGTCCGTGCCAACGAGCACGATTCGTTGCAGCAACAGCTGCTGTTGAAACTCTGCAACCAGCAAAGAGTTGTTTCTTTCAACACATTTATGCGCAAGATGCGCTCCAAGGACAAGACTTTGGAAAAACTCGCCGATGCTTCGTCCAGTGAGGTGTTTTTGGAGAAAGACGCATATACTGGAGCTCCATTGACGGTCTGGAAGATCTGTTCTTTTGGAGACGAGGACAATAACCAGCCAACTTTGAAAGAGCTGATTCAGGAACAGAGCATTACAATGGCCATGTCTACTGTTCCAGGGTACATCAAAATGAAGTCTGCAACTGTTGTTCGTGGACCAATGCCAGCAGAATTGGTGCAATTGTGGGACGACTACAACATGCAACACGGTTGTGAAAGTTCCCGTCCTGACGAGTATCCGAAGACTCAATTGCACCTGATTTTCAGACTCGAGTACGGAGGCTTGGACTTGGAACATTTTGAGGTGAAGAACTGGACACAGGCCATGGATATTTTTGTTCAATTGGTGGAGATCTTGAAGAAAGGTCAAGAGTCTCACGAATTTGAACATAGAGACCTGCACTGGGGAAACATCGTGATCAAAGAGCGGGACGCTCACGCCAGATCGAGCAAGTCGCAGTCTGCCGCGGACTCTCTTGCGCAACTGTCTCTTGACGAGTCGAGTTCGGTCGAGGTGAAACTAATTGATTACACTCTTTCGAGAGCCAAGATCGGATCTCAAACCATGTTCACTGGACTTGACTCTCCACAGTTTTTCGGAGCTAAAGGCGATTACCGGTTCGAAGTGTACCGGATGATGCGCCAGATGCTTGCACGGGACAAGGACACCGACGTTGATTGGTCTGCACAATGCTCAGGAATCAATCTATTGTGGCTGCACTACGTGGTTGACAAGTTAGTGAACCACAAGAAACTGAAACCATTAAGATTGAACCCGTTGACCAGGTCCACAAGCTATTTGAACATGAACGACTTGACGCAGGAGGTCGAGAACTACGAGCGATTGGTTCGCCTACGTAAGTTTTTGGACCCGGCGCGCAAGAAGCGCAAGTTTGTGTCGCTTGATGGAATTTTGGATTGGGTCAAACGTTGACTGGTTTTTTGCTTTGCTTTGGGATTAGATTGTATTGAGTAGAAATAATACTGATGAATTAGTTAACTTTTGCTTTAGCTGGTTTTGCTGGCGGGGTCTCTGAGAGCGATTGGATCAGGTTGGCGACGATCCAGAACACTTTGTTGACACAGAAACACCAGACGTAGATTCCAACAGATCCGCGGGGCAGGAACGGTAGATTGATCACTAGCGAGTCGATGAACCAAGGGAATGTGCCTGGGCGAACGAAAAACAGACTTTTGCGAGCATACCAAAGTTTCAGCAAGTTAATTGGTACCACGGTGACCAATTGGAGAGCTCTAGAAACATACGAGTCTATCGATGATTTCTGTCCAGAAAGCGAGTTTTCGAGTTTTTTGGTCTGTTCGGTCAACGAGTCGTACTTTCTGTTGAGTTTTGTCCACTTTGCGTAGTTATCCTGGGCACTGATCGAGTTTCTTTCCTTATTAATGGCGATTTGCTGAGATTTAAGGTCCTTCAATTGGGCGTATTTTTGCGACAAAAACAGTCTCAGAAAGACCAAATAAACAGCCCGTTGGATCTTTTCCTTGGAAACGATGGAAATCAGATTCGACAATAATGTTAGGCCAGTAATGACCAAAAACACAGTTTCAAGAGGCATGGGTGAAAATTTTGACCGCAAGATTAAAAAAAAAATAAAACACATAATAATCCTTCTAGTCTAATGAATATATCCAACGACCTGGAGTCGAATTCTACAGAAGAGATGGACAGCTGGATCTCCCAGTACTGTTCAATCTTTGGCCATGATTACTTTGTTGAGGTTGCGCCTGAGTTCATCGAAGATGACTTCAATCTGACGGGACTCAGCTCCATAGTTCCGTTTTATAGAGAGGCGCTGGATGTGATTTTGGACCTGGAACCAGAAGTGCCGATCAAAGTTTCGAACGTTCCACTGGTGGAACATGCTGCCCAATTGTTGTACGGGCTGATCCACGCCCGGTACATCTTAACTAAACAAGGATATCATTTAATGGCTGAGAAATACGAACAAAAAGTGTTTGGAACATGTCCACGCTACTATTGTGAAGGAATGCGTCTTATACCAATGGGAAGATACGACCAGAGCGGAATCGAGACCGTCAGATTATACTGTCCATGTTGCAACGATATATATCTGCCTTCGTCGTCACGCTATTTGAACATTGACGGAGCATTTTTCGGAACTTCTTTTGCCGGCCTATTTATCAAGATGTTCCCTGAAATCGAAAGACAGTGTCAACAGCGGCCCAGTAAACAATATGAGCTCAAGCTGTTTGGATTCCGCATCAACGAACAAGCCCCATCCGGCCCCCGCATGAAGTGGCTCAGACAAATCCCAAAGTCTGAGACCGAGGTTGAAGAGTTCGACCGGTGCGAGTTCGAGCTTCCCCAAGACGATTACAAAGAAGAAGATGAGCGCGACGAACATGACGGAAGTGAGAGCGTCATGAGCATAGCTCGAGATGAATAGCACAATAGATATATAATATGAAGTGGTCAATTTATGAAATGAAGAACGACAAAATGCAATGCCAAGCTGGCAAATATGTAATCGCCAAACGCCCGTTCTGGCGTGATGCCTTTGAACACCGTCTTGTTGGCGTCCAAGCTCTGGAGTCTCAACGACACCGTCAACACGAACTGAGCCACAGTCGAGATGAATCCGCCCAAAAAGGCGTTAAATGGGAAGTTTCCAACAAGCACACAGAACACAAACTGTAAAACACCTAGTCCAACAAGGAAAATAAGGAACGTGTCGATCAATCGCAGTTTTTGGTTATTCTTTGTTTCTGCAAGGTAACTGTTAAACGAGATTCTAACGGAGTTGCCAAGCTCCTGGACCACCGAAACGCCAGAACTTGTCTTGTCAGAGGTCTGTTGCGGCGTCTGTTTCTTCACGACCGGCGTGTTTTTTGTCTTAACGTCTTTCTTTGCCATTACGTGGAATAAAATAACAATTTAATTAAATTATTTTCCATACATGGACAAGAAAGCAAAGGCTGCGCCCAAAGACGCGGTTTTGATTGACCAGCTGCCGAATCTTGCCGCAGAGAACGATAATACCGAGTCGACCACCGTGGTGACTGCTCCGCCGTCGTTGCGGATCGTTCCGCCGATTAATTTCAGCCCCGTGGAGAAACACCTCTACCGATCAGGACAGCCGTCGGCAATCAACCACTCGTTTCTGGAACAACTACATCTCAAGTCTGTCATTTGGCTGGCTATAGAAGACCCGCAGGACACATTTTTGCGCTTCATCGAGGAAAATAATATCAATCTATTCTGCAATCTAGGATACGACTCAATAGACTCCAACTCATGGGACGGGCTCTCGGAGGCGTCCATCAAACAGGCATTGGAAGTGATTGCCGATAAAAGACACTACCCGATGCTGGTGTGCTGCGGAATGGGCAGACATAGAACAGGAACGGTGATAGGATGTCTACGGAAACTACAAGGCTGGAACTTGGCCAGTGTCAGTGAAGAATATCGACGGTTCACAGGAGTGCGAGGCGGCCGTATTCTGGTGGAGTTATTGATCGAAGCGTTTGATGTGAGCACTATAGAAACAAGAGAAGAGGTTGCTCCAGAATGGTTGTCTAGATGATACGATGGATCAGTCGTCTTTGGACTGTTTGCTTTGGCGTTGTCTGAACCGTTCCTGTGCCATTTGCACTGCTAGTTGCGACTTTTTTCGCTGCGCGTTGCACTGTTCCCATGCAAATGTCGATCCCAGCATTAGACCTCCGAATCCCCAGTTGGTAGCTTTACGTATATCTTTATGGTAAAGAAACATCACAGTCGAGAAAACGAACAAACACGAGAACCCGGCCAGTCCGGCGTCTCTGAAACAGGGGATTTCCAGTAGATTTGCGGGCTGGAAGTCTGCCCAGGTCAGTTCCGATAGGATCTTTTTCACCTCTTTGGATTGGGAGCGTGATTCCTGCGGTGAAACTTGGGGTTGTGTCTCAAATTTTGGAGGCACATCTTCCATGAAGATTTTCTGTTTCTCCTGCTTATTTTCAGCAACCACAGGCTCTTGCTCTGCGGTCTGTTTTGACCCTTTTCCAAATGGCCAAACCATCACTAGAGTCAATTATTTTTTTTCTCTTTCAATATCGACGCGTCGCTCTTTACAATTCTGAAACGACGGTCAACAAATACTTTATAATTAGATTGTCATCATGGGAGAGTCACCGCCAAGAAGATATTCCGGAGCCGTGCCAATTCTCAGCAGGAATGGGTCAGATTCGCGTGGGTCCAGCAGAGACGCCAGTAGAAGAGCCTCGATGGCCCGTTTGGCAGCGTCGCCGCTGGGATCCACAGCCCCATTATCTGCTTTAGCACAAAGAAGAACAGACTCTTCTAGCTCGTCGGTTATTGACGACCGAGCAAGTCCAGGAACGGCTACCCGCGGAAGACCGGTTATTATCCACGCATCGCCTCCCTCGTCCACCTCATCGGACGTGGAGGATAATTCCGCTTTCGGGCGTGGCGAGCCACAGGGCGATAACCAGCTATCGTCCTCGTACAGCTCCACGATCGACGATCCTCAGATTCTGAAGAACGTCTCCAAACATCTGGCAACAGACGCAAAAGGGTCTCTCAAACTGGCCGGTGGTGACATCACCAGAGACCTATACACTCTCCCAAGCAAAACCTCCTCCTTGAGACGGTCGCGCAGTTTGACGGGAACAGATTTCCCAGGCGAACGCCGCGGGTCGGCAGCTTCCCAGCTCCGTCTTCCAGGAGGATTTAGAAGACAATTTATCATGCATAAGAAATCCAAGTACGGCCACGAGCTGTCGAAACCAACGTTCATCACCAGGAACTTTTTGGAGTTCCTGTCTATTTATGGCCACTTTGCCGGTGAAGACCTGGAAGATGAAGATTATCTTGCTTGTTCTTACGTACTGGACAAAGACCGCGACGAAGAGACTCCTTTACTGGATTCTCGCTCGACAACAGGAACTGCCTCCACACTGAAGTCGTTCTTTTTACTTTTGAAATCGTTCGTCGGAACAGGAGTCTTGTTTCTTCCCCGTGCATTCTACAACGGAGGACTCTTGTTCTGCATATTGACATTGCTTTTCTTCGGGCTGCTTTCGTACTGGTGCTACTACATTCTCATTTTGACCAAGGTCAAGACCCAAGTTTCATCTTTTGGAGACATCGGAATGGTTCTTTATGGCAAGGAAATGAAAATCCTTATTCTCGCGTCCATCATCATCTCACAGGTCGGGTTTGTCGCCGCATACACCATCTTCACCGCCGAAAATCTGCGCGCATTCATCCTCAACTTTTTGAACGTAGACATTTCTATCGGCAAGCTGGTTGTGTTTGAATGCTTTGTGATCACTCCGCTTGCGCTGATCAGAAACATCACCAAGCTATCGATGGCTGCGCTGCTTGCCAATGTGTTCATTATGACTGGTCTGGTCACCATCGTGTACTATGCCTCGTTGGACCTAATTGAGACCGGCCCTTCGCCAGTGGCTCTTTTCAACCAGGACAAATGGTCCCTGTTTGTGGGAGTTGCCATCTTTGCGTTTGAAGGTATTGGACTGATCATCCCGGTGCAGGAGTCCATGAAGTACCCAGAACAGTATCCGAAAGTTTTGGGAGCAGTCATTGCTGTGTGCTGTGTTTTATTTATTGGCGTGGGGTCTCTGGGATACCTAACGTACGGCGAGAACGTCAACACCGTTGTGATTTTGAATCTTCCGCAATCGTCCGTGGCTGTTGGGTCGATCCAGCTGTTCTACGCGGTGGCCATTCTGTTGTCTGCTCCATTGCAGCTGCTGCCTGCTATTAGAATTATCGAGTCGAGAATCTTCCATAGAAGGTCAGGAAAAACCAACGCTGCCACGAAATGGTCCAAGAACTTGTTCCGGACGGCCGTCGTCGTGGCCACCACGCTGATCGCGTACCAGGGCTCGGCCAACCTGGACCAGTTTGTCTCGTTTGTTGGCTGTTTCGCATGCATCCCTCTGGTGTACATGTATCCGCCGATGCTGCACTACCGCAGCTGTGCAGAGACCATCTGGGTCAAGCTCATGGACGTTGTCCTGGTTCTCATTGGCGGAGTGGCCATGGTGTACACTTCGTACCAGGTGATATTTGGCTAGAAATTAATTACATAATAAACCAACCAATAATTTACTCTATTTATTTTTTAAGGTCAAGTCGTCCATTATGGCACGTTCCTTTTATTCCGACCAAGAAGAAGTCCTTCCCACTCCGGGTGTCAATCAGGCCATCTCCAAGGACCTGAAGAAGAAGGAGGACACGTTGCACGACCCGCACAAGAAACTCGTCGAGGGTAAAGTCATCACCGTCAACAGCACTCTGGAGAACTACGCCAAAAAGGCCCGTCAATACGCTTTGCAGAAGCTCGAGATCTTTGAGGCCGAATACAACAACCTCCATGCCGCATATCTGAATGAAAAGAGAAATTTCCTCGACAAATATCATCAGCTGGTGGTGGAGCCTGTGCTTCCGTCTGGACTGTACGTTCTGACAGCCATGCTGACGGGATCGATCATTGTGCGCACTAGATCACTGCCCACGAGGTTTGTGACTCCTGTGGTTTTCGGACTGGCCTCATTCAGCTATCTGATGCCGCAAACGTCCTCCAACACTTTCAATTGGCTCGATGCCATTAAAAGAGAACAACTGCCAGAAACCAGCAAACAATTAGATGAAGCCAAACTCCAGGTGTCCAAGCTGGCATCCGACATCGACCAGACCCGCGCACAATGGAGACAGCAGCTCACGGATTCCGTCAGGTGTGTCAGAAAGGAGATCCTGAGCCGGACAGAGGAAAAATAGAAATAAAAGTGCTATATTCACTCTCTTTTAAATACACTCATAAACTCGAAAATGCCACCCATGTCAACGTAGCGTCGTCCACATTCCGCCAGGTACTTGTCCACAACCCTCTGGTGTGACCTGAACAGGTCTCTATTCTGTTCCACCAGCGCGTCCAGTTCTCCCTGGTTCAATGCAACCGGTTTGTTCTCCTTGTCCTCGAACTCGTGATCGGCCACCAGCGGCTTCAGAACGCGTTTCTTGGCCTTGTCGACGTCAAACAGACTCTGCAGGTACAACAGCTGGTTGTACAGCTGTTTGTCCGAATAAACGTACCTCATTATTCCTTTGCAACCATAAGCTTTTCCTGACTTACCAATACACCGCCGTCCGTAAACAGACACCTGGCGCGTCTTGATACCGCAGTCATCACACACAAGCCAGCCCGCGTAGTAGGCCGAGATTTCGTGGCGCAAGAAGTGTTCGAGCTGTGCAGAAACGGCCAGTGGAGAAAGCATTTGCTGGCACGACAAACATTTGATTCCAGAATATGTGGTCTGGTACTTGTTGGACGCCTGGATACCGCCAAAGTCGAACGAGCTGTGACACGAGCTGCATTTCATAACAAACTTCCTGCAGTCGCGGAACCGCTCGCTATCTGAAATAGTGGAGTCCAGTGGTTGCAACTCGGCCGACGCACGGTCCTGCATGAACCGGGCTCTGGCCTCGTACTTTCTGGCGTCCAATCCCAGCGCGGACGCCAGACGAACAACGTCGCTGCCTTCGATCCGCTCCAAAAGTCTCTCAACAGGAGCAAAAATCTGTTTCTCGAGGTAGTAGTATGGATCCGGCCGGTACAATGCAGGGTTGGCCAGGATCTCGCCAATGGCCCGCGACCGCTCAGCAACCGTATCGCCGTTGTCCTCACCCTTGTCGGTGACCACAAACGTCATCACACTGCCCGCACGCACAAGCTTGCCCTGTTTTCTGAGTCTCAAAGCCACCTGCACCGCAGGCATCGACTTTCCGCCCGGATACTGATCTGGGTCCTTGGACAGTCTCGTGTTGATTGTGAGTTTCTGCATTGGTATCTTGTTCTCTTTCAGTTTGTCTCTGACCTCTTCCAGATGCATGTAGATATCGTTCAAAGCGTCTTCAGGATCGGTGTTTCCAAGAATCTTCTCCAAAACGTACGTGGACAGCTCCTTCGACAGCGGACAGAACTCTCTCCGCTTCATATCAAGTCCCTTCACTTCCAGAACGGTCTTCTCGATCCCAGAAGCGTCCATCGTGGCGTTCATCGCAGCATACTTCTTTTTGGAGTGGAGCAACAACCGTTTAAACACATTGTCGATGTCGATCTCCAGCAAACGGTACCGTTCGTTGACTTTCACTTTGAAGTCTTCACCAATACCGATGGCGTCCTTGAAGTTTTCGGATCCAGTCTCGATCATGACCGAGTCGGTATCACCGTAAACAACTCTCAGTCCATTGCTTTCGGCCAACTGTCTGGTGTTCATCAGAATCTCTCTTCCTCTATCGGTAACCAGCATAGCCAATGGTTTGGCGTAGAAACGCGAGTTCACGTATCCCAAACAACCGTACATGGAGTTGGCCGTCAGCTTCAAAGCCTGCTGCTTAATATCGTACTGAGCTTTCTCGATGGCCGTGGATCTTGGGTCCTTCAACAGCTTCTTCACCTCACGACGTCTATTAACAAGCTGCTGGAGCAACCGAGGCAGCACACCTTGGGCAGCGCCCGACTCTGGCACTTTTGGCAAGTCTCCATCCTTCAGATTGTGTCTGTCCACTGTGGTGAAACAGATATTGAATTCCTGGATGATGGAAGGATAAAGAGAGTTGAAGTCCATAACCAGAATGTAGCTCTTGTGCAATCCTTTTTCTGGCTCAAACACCAGTCCACCCTGGTACTTGGCTTTCTTGTTCGACGTGGCTGCGCTCTCATCAGCATCCTGCTCAATGGCAGCACTTGCAGCCGCCTGTCTTTGGGATCTAGTCTCCTTGTCAGGAACAATGTACCCGTTTCTTGTGAACTCGTGCAGTAGAATGTACTCGTTTCTACCTGCTCTGGTTCCGCCAAGTGTGTGTGCCCAGGCATTACCAGCAAGATTGGTAAGCTGCTTGGACAGAGACAAGATCTGGACACGGAAAGCAATGGTGGCTGTGATCTGAACGCTTGTGCTATTTTCGTTGAACGCAGCAAGGAGAAGATTGGCGTCTTCGGCGAACTGTGGGTTTGCAAGGTTGACCTCCATCGGAACAAACTTCTTTTTGCACACCACCTCGTACATTTCAGGAAGCTCCCAAGACTGACATTTAGAAGTCAAAGACTGACCCATTTCGTTGGCAATGTCGCAACACAACCGGCCGGCGAAAATTTCCTTTAAATAGAACATGTTGTTACGGCCGGAACCTTTACCAAACCTGTCGGGCCATTGCTTTCTGTTTCTGCGTCCAAAAGTAGACCATTGGTTGATTTTCAGGTCGAACATCCGGCGCATCAAAACGTCCAACACGACGCTGTCCAAACGATGGCCAATGAACACATCAGGATCGGCTTTCTTGACCATAGCACTGAGACAGTTCAACAGCGTACGCTCGTTGTTGAAGCTTCTCAACGGGATCTTTTTCTGAGCTGCCAATTGAGAAAGTCCTGGTGGCAGGGTCAGAGAACCGCCCACTGGCCGAACAAGAGTCACTAGCTCGTCAGGCACGGCATTTTCACTCACCGGGGCGTCCTGTGGAACGTTATGGTACACAGCAAGAGAAACAGAGCCAATCTCCTGTCTTCCTTCCTTCAAATTGGTCACTGGCTGCACATTGATACTGAGAACAGTGAGATCTGGAGCCGTCATGTTAGTCTCCATTGGCTTGATCTGGGCTGGGTCGGAAACAGCCACCTCCACGCTACAATGGGACGAGTTTTGCAACACCGAGAAATCGGCTCCCTTGATCTCCAACCAGCACGGACCCATCACGTTTCTTTGCAGGACAAACGACTCAAATATGTTGGCATTGGTACCAAAGACGTATCTGAATGTCTCTCCGTCCATATTGGCAGGGATGATTGCGTTTCTGGCCTTAGGAGTTTGGAATGGTAGCAGGACTTTCAAATACTCGGTCTCCTTTGGAATGTTTTCCAATTCAAACGAGAACTTCTTCACCTCAGGCTTGGCCCTAATAGTCTCCAAACCGAACTTGTCGAGGATCAGCGGGATAACCTCCTCGTGGATATCCATTGCAGTTGGTGGCGGACCATCCTCGTCTTCCAGACGTTTTTCACGTGGCAAGAAATACAGTTCTCTGCACAGTCCATTGATCTGGACCATTCCACTCACAAACTTGCCGTCAACAGTCTTGATCTTTCCGAAGAGCAGCAGACTGTTGTCGACCTCTGCATAGTCGAGCCAGAACATCTGGAGCACGTCCGAGTCGGTGACAACCTGAGACTCCTCGACTTTCTCAAACGTGATGTTCATCATCGAGGTATCAGGACTGTCTCTAGTTGGAGACGACGGCACTTCTTTGATGCCTATGGATTCCTTGGACTCCTTGCTGGAACTCATGTTGACTCTCTCTACAGTGGTTTTTGCGGTCTTCAAAGTTGTGATCGCGATTTCATCGTCAGAGCTAAGATCGTCGTCCAATTGGTCATCAATGGTGGTAGTGGTGGTGGTGGTGGCTTTGATTGGCGACGAGGGAGTTTGTATTGGCGCAGGGTCGGACTCTGCATTGTAGATTTCGCCCTCGGAGCTGAGTTTGACGCGCTTTATTGGAGCCTCGTCCTCGAAAGAAAGCTTCTTCACGCTCAATGGTTTCACCGGTTTCAGTTTGTTGGTCTTGAGCGAAGAGAACACGTCGGTGCGCTTTGAAACACCAAAACGCGGTGTGCTTTTCGCATTGGCACTTGCCTGTGTCGTGAAGTCGCTCAAAATGTCGTCAAGATTGTCGATCTTGCGTTTTGGTTTCACTTCTGGCTCTGCCTCCTTGAAGAAGGAGGAGATCTGGGGCGTGTCGCGCTTGATCTTGGCGATCTTTTTGCGTTGACGAGTCTCCGGCTCTTCCTCCTCCTCGCTCGCGTACTCATTGGCGCCATCCCAGTCGTCCGCACCGGTTTCTGCGTATCCGTTTCCTGAATCGTCTACTATAAAGTCGTCATTTAGAAGTTGATGCTGTTTGTGTTTGCGGAACTGCTGTTCATCAACCTCTTCGTAGATGTCTTCGTAGTCGCCCTCGTCGTCGGACAGCTTGACACCAGCACGAGCTGCGCGTAATCTGGCACGTTTATCTGTCTTCATAATATATACGCGTCGCGTAAAAAAAGGTAGCTGTAAATTTATCTTTTGATTTCCCCAGCCATCTTTCACCGCCACAGAAAACTTATTTTGCCAATATTGAATGTCTTTTGCCAATCTGGACCTGGAGGCCCAGAAAAGCGTTGTTCGGCCGTCCAAGTCGACGGCGTCCACACAGCAGCTCAATACGATCAGCTCGCAGCTGTCGGACCTGATTTCAAACATCACGAAATTTGACAAACTGCAGCAGCAATTGGGGACCAAAAGAGACACCCTAGGCCTGCGGAACAACCTGGCTTCGCTCGCTAAGAAGTGCGACTCGTTGCATTTGCAGGTGGAGAAAAGTATCACCGAGCTGGAAAACAACCCGGACTCTTTGGATAACCCGACTTTGCAATACAACAAACAGAAACTCAAGTCCCAATGCACAGACATGTTCCGCAACTACCAATTAATTCTGCGAGCGTATAATGAGCGGTTGCAATCCGTTGTAGTGAACGAGGAATACGACTCGAACCAACAGAATTCTGCTCCGATCGAAACCACGCCTCTGTTGGCTCAGCAACAAGAACCGCAAATTAGCAAGGCAGAATTAGATTTCCACGAGTCGGTCATCCAGCAAAGAGAACACGCTATCGACAACATCTCCCGTGGAGTCCAGGATATCAACAAGATCTTCGAAGACTTAAATGAGATCGTTAACCAACAAGGAGAACAAATAGATACCATCGAAGATAACCTACTGGCATACACCAGCGATAACCAGCAGGCCCATCGCGAGCTGGTTAAGGCGGATGCGTATCAAAAGAAAAAGCGGAAATGGACGTGTATATTGCTGGTGGTATTGGTCGTTGTCTTATTGATAGTGATTGCTCTAATGAGTTAAACAGACGAGGCTGTGCGAGAAGGTGTTTCGATACTTTCTGTATCGGAGTCTTCGTAGTACTCCTGTTCATCGATCCAATCTTTGACGCGCCGTTTTCTAACAGTCGACCGGGATTCGGCCATTGTGGTGGAATCACCTATATCCTGAGACCTGGCTATCATTCTTCTATTCTTGCGACGTTCGATCTTTTCCAGCACTTCAACTGCCAAATCCTCGAAAAACTCACTTATCTCTTCACGATGCACGTATAACACGGTAGAAACAGCCACTCCCGCGCAGATGGCATAAAATGGAATAGGAAACGGCATTGCTCAAATAAATTGAATATGTTTTATGATTTGCCTTTAGATAAGAAAAAGTTTATAGGGAAACTTTCCCTTTCTTAAAATTAAATCCCTTTTCTCCTTGATCCATGCTTCCCGCCCAGGGGAGGTATTCTTCAATAATTCATGGGCGCAAACTGGACGTTTCATACATTTTGCCCAATCTGGCGGCCTGTTCCGGTCCTTCTGATGCTGTTGCCCAGGTTTGCAAGAACAATATTTCCGACCTGGTAGAGGCGTTAAACAGGAACCATGGTAAGGGTAACTGGCTCTTGGTGAATCTTCGTGGAGAAAAGATCGGATATGATCCTGCTACTGTTACGGAGCACGGTGGTCGGTATTTACATAGACCATTAGTGGATCATAATGCCATGCCTTTTCTGGATCTGCTCAACGTGGTGGCCGATGTGGAGAAATACTTGATGGAATCGCCTGTTCATGTGGTTGTTATACATTGCAAGTACGGAAAGGGACGAACAGGAAGCGTGGTAGTGGCATATTTGATGTTCAAGTTTCATATGTCCTTTGATGAAGCAAATAAGGTGTTTAGAGAAAGAAGAGGGCTTTTTAGGGCAGAGGTCACAATTTGGTCTCAGATCCGATATTTGGACTACTTTGGTTATTTTCTGCATGACAAACGAAGACAGCAGTTTTACCGGGTCCTGATGAAAAGCGAGTTTTCAGCAAAGGACTTTACAGTCAAAATAATGGGCCCCAGCAGAGCCCTGTTTGATAACGAAAAAGGGATGACAGTTACCGTTAATAACAACAAAATTGCATTGAAAGAGTCCAACTTTTCCCAGATTGTTTATGAATGCCCGGAAGTGCACACTCCAGATATCGTTGTTGAGTTCAACTTCGTGCTCAGCTCGATCATGACGGGCATGGGTCGGTTTTGGATTAACGGCATTTTAGAGTACATGCAGCAGTACATTGCCACGAAAAAGAGTTACAACTACTTTGAGCGGCCAAGTTCGCGAGCAAAGAAAGAACCATTGCAGGTGGCGAGGTGCACTCTTGAGATCCCTTGGCAAGAGCTGGATGGATTTAAAGGAACCAAGAGTAAAGGTGTGAAGTTACTGGAAACGGTGGCTGTCGAGTTTACGACGCAATTCAAAAGCTCCGAGGATCTGCTAACGATCCAACGACAGCTGTCTCTTGCGGGAATGCTGGGCATGAAAACATAAAATGGAATGACGTTTATTTTCTATTTTAGCCTCCCTTTCTGTTTGATTCTAGTTGTCTCCACACGTCTTTTATGATCTTGCGAATGTACGAAAGCTGTTGCTCGTCGTGTCCCGAAACGGTTTTGCAATTTTCAACGCCATATGGTTTGGATATAACGATATGGTTATCGAACACAATAATATTGTCATTTTTATCCATTGAGACGTCTCCGTCTGGTAAAAGGTTGAAAAGACTGGTGAAGATCTCTTTTCCTTCTGTTGTAATTTTTCTTCCTCCCAGGGTGGAAGCCAGGATGTATTGCGATTGGAGTTTTCTGACTGTTTGAGAGTTCTCCACTTTGTAGTTATGTCCCAACATATTGAGAGGAATCGGGTAAGGAGGACGAGGGTCGGAAGCGAACTTCTCGTTCACTGACCCCGATTTTGATTCTTTTGGTTTTGACAGGCTGACTATGGACTTGATGAAGGCATTTTTAATAACGACGAAATTCTCCTTGGTTGGAGTTTTTGACTCAGTAATAAGGGACAGTAAGCCGTTGTTTGGCGTATACGAGTGGACGGTCCCCACTATCGTATTATCATCCAACGTAACAAGTTTGACCCTAGCGGTTAATCGACCCAAGGAAAAGAATAACTTACTTCAAGCCAACGATGTTGTCTAAGCTAGGCATAAAAAAGTGACTAGAAATAATTGTTGATTTAATTTGTATTTATTTTACCTTTTTTTAGGGATGGAATCTGATATCCGTGATTTGGAGGTCCCATTGGACGACCTGGACCAATTTCCGGGAACGATCATTGATCGTGGTGAAATGGTGGAAACTACCGATGATCAAGATATTCTGTCCTCGCCCCATAGCAGCTTTTCATTTGGAGACGATGAGGAGGAAGACGAGCGCGAGATCGACGGGCTTAACAATTTCAATATTTTGTTGGAGTACCCCGAGCTCGAATACGACTATTCGGAACTCAGCTCTTTCGAGAATGAGTACATGGACTGGTTTTCGTCCGGCGACTTGAAGGAATTGGCGAGTATTAGAAAACTGACCTCCTCGAACCAATCGCCTCACAGTTTGGTCAAGCAGCTTTCTGTTGGAACTGAGGAATCGAAGTTAGTGACAATCCTACGACTCGAATACATCATCATGGGCCACTTTGGAGACGTTTCAGAGATCCCGGAGCTGAAAGAACGGATACTTTCCAACTCCAAGTTGTTTGTCAGTCATGAAACACTTCTCCCAATTTTGGAATTGGTGTGCAATCGGATGCTTTTGTTGAGCGATCTACGCAATGAGGAGAAAGTGCCCGAGAAAAAGAAGCTCAAGCTGTGGTCTGCTCAGTTGTACCATGCAATGACGATAGTTTACACCATTGTGCTGTCTGCTCTTGTGACCAAAGATAAAACAAATTTTTTAGCAGGAATCATAGATACCAGTCAGCTGTTGCCCACGATGATGCGCTCGATCGACAATTGGCGATGGCTGACTTTGGATCTGGGCGATAAGGATCTAAACACCGTTGTTGATGGGTCAGTAGCTCACTACTTTAAAGTCCGAAACGTGATTTTACTACTGTCGAAACTCATCATTTTGCAATTTGGACCAAAAGACCACTTGGATTCGACCAAATCGTTTCTCCAGTACAGATATGAGTCTACTAAGGGCCATGTCGATACCTCTGGATCCAGGGGAGGCAAAGTGGATACAATCAGTCCGCTTGACTACCAGTACTTCCGCAAGGAGCTGATCACAAGATACCCCACATATACACCTCCAGAACATAAAGTTTCAGACATATTGCAAATGAACATTGATCAGGATAATTCTAGCAGTTCGCGGCTGATTAACACCTCTGCTCTGCTTATCAACCAGAAACACCATCTCCGAAACAAAATGGCCGTTCCTCAGCAGAGTAATCCTCCTGAAATACATATTGCGACTCCTGCCCCGTCTCCGACTTTGACTCCACAACATACTGGAGGGTCTCAGGGATCTAATATTTCTGAAATGGAGCACTCAAACGGCCAAGGCCGCAAGAAAGTGTTCATCACGCAACCACAGTTCCCTAATCTATATCCATTTTCCCAAGATATCCCAACCAGCATTCAAGAGGCAACCAAAATCTTCCATGCACATGTTTCCGAGTCTTTTAGTGCTGTTCAGTTCACGGACGTGTTTGTGAACTTCATCAGGCAAGAAAAAGGAATACCAGAAACCAAAAGCTCAAAGTTTACTTACAGTGAAAAAGATGTGGATGAGAATCCGATTTTTGCTGATGAGATAGTCTCTCTACAGCGGGTGGAGCAATTCTACCATTCTTCGTTACCATACTTGAACTCCTTGGCAGTGGTGCTAGTTCAAATAATCTCGTCCAATGTGGTTCAGACCCAAAATTACAAGTCTTCAGACAATCCATTTCTCCCACCTTCACGGCCTCTGGACATATCCAAACTTTCCGATTATGACAAACAAAAACTCGAAGTTTTGCGACTAAAGGAAACATGTTTAAAAGGAGCTTCTACGATCATTTTTTTGTTGCTCAAATGGTTCAAGATGTCACATATTCTCAAACAGGAATATTTTGCTCTGTTGTTATTTGACAACGACTTTTATCCAAACATGTTTCGTCTGTTAGGTAGCAACCAGGCCCAGACGCAGTTTGAGAACTCGTTCGATTTCAACGACACAGAGACTCTTCTTAGAAATAGGGCCGTTTACTGTGATTATGAGGTGTTGTACGACATGAAAGAGTACAATTTTTTCCTTGCGGCAACAGATAGCCCGTCTCCAAAGACTCCGAAGTATCAGCTGCAGTCCAATGATATTTTCGAAGTTAGCGATAAAACATATGAAACGTTCATCCCACCATTCAACGGCCAATCTCGTGTGAAAATTACAAGACCGAACCACAGATACTGTACGATTATCACGCAGCTATTGCGCAGTCTTTACACCAGCATTTCGAACTACAAAATTCAGAGAATCTACAAGCTGCTCGAAGTTCGTCCGACGGAGAATTTACGGTTCATGCTCACCATTTACAACGCGAACTTTTACAAGCCAATTTTAAAGATTATCAAACTTGTGTGTCCATTTAACGGGAAAAAATGGCGGTCGAACAACATGGACCTCATTTCGTTTGTTTACCTGTTTTACAAAGTGGGACTACGCGATCAATGGCTGAACAACCTGTTCATCTTCAACCTGAACGAACGACTCAAGAGATCTTGGGAAAACGAATACGCATTGCGCAGTCTTTTGAAATTTTACAACTCCTCAACATACCCTGACCAGATGATCAAGTTCGGATACGACGATATCCCGAAACTAGACAAAGACATGCTTTCCTACGACGAATGGGCAGATATCTAACACCACCCGATTGCATCACGATGTACTCCTCACACCTAGCATATTAGTATAATGATTTGAGACTTGTTTTTTTATTTACACTTTAGTTTATTATGGAGTCGGAACAAATAGTGCTGAACTACCTGTTTCGACTACTTCGGGGCGTATTCCCCGCCGACTTTGACGCCGATTTTGTTCATAGACTGACCAACGACGTGTTTGCTGTGCTTTTGCGCACGTACTCGTCCGCTATGAGTGCATCTCAGTGTCTGGCATATTTGGGAGAGTATCGCTCGATCTTGACAGAAAAGAGCCCCAACGCGTATATTTGGGACAAGCTACAGCAAACAGTGGAAGATCTTTCTCTACTGAAAAACACAGATGAGTTGGCCAGATATTTAATCAAATTAGATTCCTACGAGAACCATCAACAAAGACAAAAACCAAACAGACTCGCGCATTACGACTCTTCGGGAATCGCTAATCCTCTTGCAGCCAACACCAGCTTCGCCAATCCTCGAAATGTTGTTTCCTCGCCCGGATTGCCCTCTAGCAACGCGTTTCTTCCCTCGTCTACTTTCGCTCTTCCTTCAAGTCGACCGCCAAGCCAGAGCCTTGGAGTGGGTGAGCCACTAAGCAACCATTTGATACCCTTCTACTATCAAAACGCAGAGTATGGACTCATTCCAGAACAGGAAATAGTGAAAAATCTCGTTTTTACGTTAATTGGATCGACATCCGAAATGTTCCCTTTTGATGACAAAATCAAGATTCCAACTAATATAAGTCTTGGAACGTCGGGACTGCTACATCAGATTTTTGAGCCTGCACTAATCTATAAGCATCTGAAAACTTTGAACCCAAAACTGCTGGCCAACTCCCAAATCAAGGTTGCATTTTCGAGTTTTTTGCAACAAGAGCTATTTAATTACACAAGCCAGGTTAATCAGATCCTCAGTCCTGCTAACCTTGAGCATCTAACATTGAGATACGTGCGCTTACAACTCAGTGATTGGATTGTCAAGTTGCGAATGCTATACAATTTGAGCTCGCAGATCCAAACTCTTCCCGTTAACGGGTTTCTATCTTATCTTCACGAACTGAAAAGTCTGGGAGACCCTGTTTTACAAGAACTTGCCACATCTGTCTACCGAGTCTGTGTTTGGCCGTACTTTGAAATATTGAAGGGCTGGATCTTGGATGGCAACCTAAACAGAGAAGATACCATAAAAGAGAACTTCTTCATCACGCAATCAGACACCGGACACAAGCTCCATACTGAAAGAGTTCCCGTTTTTGTGCGATCTGCACAATCAATCTACCAGATAGGAAAGTCGCTGTTGTATCTAAAGAATCATTGTGACGAGATGAAATGGTGTGTTGGATTTGCTTCGAAGTATCAACAGCTGTACGCGCAAAATGGCGATTTTCTAGATATGGCGCCAAACAAACTCGACAAGCTTCTCCAGCAGCAATACGATGAGATAATCAACCACTTGTGCTATGTTCTTTACGACAAGTTTGGATTGGTGAAGGAAATCGGATATCTGCACCAATTACTACTCATGAACAAGGGAGACTTTATCAACTCGCTAATCGTGAAGGGGCTTCCTGTTTTAAATGAGTCGTCATCTTCATTGTCGTCACACCACTTAATGAAGATCTTACAAGAGTCGATCGAGAACTCAAGCATTCGACACCTCCCCGATGACGTTCTGAGACGGTTGGATGCTAGGATTTTGGAGATGGGTCATGGCAACATCGGATGGGATGTGTTTACTCTTGACTTCCAGATCAAATACCCACTGGACTCTATTCTTGATGGAGAGACGCACAACACAAGAGAGTACTTGCGAATGTTCAATTTTCTGCTGCGGTTGCAAAAAGTAAATTATTTGCTGAATGTGGAGTGGCTACAGTCCAACAGTATTCGCCGCGGTTCGTTAAACGACATCGAGAAACGTAGCAAGCTTGTTCGCCGCCATCTGAAGCTGGACCCTAACTATCATCCATCCGTACTGGATTCGCGGTGTCTGTGGCTGTCCAAGACGTTCAAGCGGCTCAATATTCTGAGAAACGAGTTTATCAAGTTTGTGAACATCATCACGAGTTTCTTTGATCTTGAGATCATTGAGAAAAAGTATCGCAAATTGCTCAATGCGCTCGCAAAGACCGGCGAGCACGACCTGAAGATCCATCGTAACGGCAGGGGACTCCGCACGTTGGAAACCGGCAAGATCAAGGTGGACAAAGATTACCTGCCAGAACCGGTCACCACGCTACGCGATTTGGACTACAATGCCTACAACCTGGACGAATTGGTGCGTCTGCACCACGATTACATTGTTTCGATCACACGGTCGCGGCTTTTCGATGTTCACAGTCCGTCTGCTAGAGGTAAAAATTCCGGGCTTTTTTATGTGGAGCAAATCGACTCGTTCATCACCACCATTAACCAATTCATCAATTTGAACGAGGAATTCAACACTTTGTTGGTGGATATGCTTTCTGTGACAGAATTACTTCGGGATGACGGTCATTTGGACCTGGAAAACAAAGACCGGTACGACGATTACCTGAACTCGATAGACGTCAAGTTGAACAAGCTAATGGAGAAACTGACTGTGGAGATCATCGAGGCGTTTGAAGACAACCTTGTGAAGTTCACCGATGACCTGACGCTCGATCAGGACCAAACATTGCGGTGCTTGGGCATCATGTTGAGTAATTAGAATGACCTTAATAAAGTTTAACGTCATTTTCCAGATTTCCTGTAAGCCGTTTTTATTTCCACATGTCAGGGTGCATTTAACGTGGGGTAAAAAAAAAAATTTATAAAGTCTTGCAAGATCGCTAACAAAACTTAATGGAAGACAGTATAGCCGAAAGTGTTCTTTTGGACAACTTCAAGTCGTTTGGGGCCGGTGGGTTTGGAGGAGTCTGTGCTGTGATCACAGGACAGCCCTTTGATTACACCAAGGTCCTGTTGCAGACTAACCAGTACAAAACGTCTATGGACTGTATAAGGGGCACTTTATCCAAAGGTGGTCCGCTGGGTTTTTACAAAGGAGTCACGTCGCCACTTTTGGGAGTGACACCAATGTTTGCAGTGTCTTTTTGGGGATACGACGTGGGAAAAAAGCTGGTTTGCGCCGTTTCTGGTTTGGATCCCCTAAACTCACCCCTCACTATATCGCAAATCAGTGCGGCCGGGTTTTTCAGCGCAATTCCCACGACGCTGATCGCGGCGCCATTTGAACGCGTCAAGATCGTGATGCAGACCTCTGCCGCCAAGGTCTCGTTCGCCCAGACCGTTTCCAGCCTGTACAAACAGGGCGGAATCAGAACCATCTTCAAAGGTTCTGCTGCCACCTTAGCCAGAGACGGTCCGGGTTCTGCGCTCTATTTCGCAACATACGAGTATCTCAAGAAGGAATTGAGTCCTTCGAGCGGTGAGACCTCGATCGCAGCAATCATGACCGCCGGAGGATTCGCAGGAGTGGCCATGTGGACAGCCATCTTCCCCGTGGATACCATCAAGAGTGTGCAGCAATCGTCTGAAGTGAGTCGCTCAATGGCTGCCACCGTGTCGTCTATTTATTCAAAGGGAGGAATCAAGGCGTTTTTCCCCGGCCTGGGCCCTGCTTTGGCCAGAAGTTTCCCTGCTAACGCTGCCACCTTTTTGGGAGTCGAGGTAGCCCGGAAATTTTTCGATCGAATTATATAAGCGAAAAATCAGCTCAATTTTGTTTTGTTGTATTATTTGTTCATAGATCATGGGTTTCTTTCTTCCTCATGAGTCGTTGGCTCATCTTAAGGAGTATAAGTAAGTAATTCGCACAAATCACAAAAACTAACGCCAGATACCAATCGGAGGACCGCTCGTTGATGACAAAGTACGTGCTGAAACGGTTCTGGGTCCAGTTCGAAAAGATCTTCCCCTTGTGGATGGCTCCCAACGTGGTCACTTTGTCGGGGCTGATGTTCATCGTGGTATCTCTGCTGGTCATGTTGTATGTGGACCCGACGCTCGACCAGGAATCGCCTCGCTGGTGCTACGTGCTGTACGCCGTGTCCATCTTCATGTACCAGACGTTTGATGCCTGCGACGGGATCCACGCTAGAAGAACCGGTCAGTCCGGCCCATTGGGCGAGCTATTCGACCACTGTGTCGACGCCGTCAATACCTCCATGTCTGTGCTGATCTTCGCGTCGGTCGCAGGCCTGGGCAGAGGCTGGATGGTGTACCTTTCTCAGTTCGCAACCCTCATGAATTTCTATCTCTCCACGTGGGAAGAGTTCTACACGCACACACTGTTTTTGAGTGAGTGTTCCGGCCCCGTGGAGGGCATTCTGTTGCTCGTGGTGTTGTTCTTCATCACGGCGTTCGTGGGCCCCCAGTTCTGGAAAGTTGAGGTCTTCACGCTCGACCTCTCCTCGATCAACCTGTCTTCCAACTACCCAATTGCGGCCCTCAAACTCGCGCTCACCTTTGCTGGGTTCTTCCTCTACTTCAACATCTACTCTGCCAGGCGTAACGTGATCCAGCATGTGAAATCTAAAAAGGAACAGAGCCAAGCAATGCAAGGCCTTGTGCCTTTCTTTGCGTACTACGCCAGTGTGTTTGTGCTGCTTTTTGTCCACGACCAGATCAGAACCGTCTATACAATCCCAATGATGCTCACCATCGGCTCGACTCTGGCATTCACCGTCGGCCGTATCATCATCGGCCATCTCACCAAACAGCAATTTCCTATCTTGAACTTGCCAATGCTGCTCCCTACCGTGCAGCTGTTGATCATCCCGCTGCTCACCAAGGTGTACAGCTGCGATTACGACCAAACAGTGGCTGCCGTCGTTTACCTCGGCTTTGGTGTTGCTCTAGGAGTCCACGCCATGTTCATCTTGGAGGTGATCTACCAAATCACCACCTACCTGGACATCTACACCCTCAGCATCAAACATCACAAGGTCAACTAAAGACCATCTTTATAGACCCCGTCCCGAGAACATATTCTACTAAATTCATAAACAAAGTGCTTATATATACATATTGTTCAACGACCTATATCGGCAAGCATGGAGCCGGAACTAGTCATCATTCCACTAAAACTCCATCGGTTGGCCAAATCATCACGTCTAGCTTATTGAGCCTTGTTGGTGGCGTCACCAGTTCCTGCAGCAAGCAAGTCGTTGCTTCCTTGTTGCAGCTGCATCTCCTTCTCCATCTCGTGCAATTGAGTCTCTCCAAAGATACCCAGGGCCAAAGGAACACCAAGGATCAAGGCAGAAGAGGTGGCAATCCACAGTCCGTTACCAAGCTTGTTGGCAAGAGTGGCGGCAGAAGAGTAGACAGAGTTGTAGGTGGAGACAATGTATTGTCTTTGCTCTGGCAGAATCATGTCTTTGAGAGCCTCGAATCTCTGCAAGAAGGTTTCGTTTTCGTCGAATTCGTCTTCAGAGTCGATTTCAGACTCGGAGCCGGTATCTTCTTCGGCGGCGCCAAAGACCTTTTGCTCTGGCTTTTGCTGGCTTTCGTCTTCGATTCTTGTGAGGGTGACCATTGCGAATGAAATTTTTTTTGGTCGACTTTGATTACGTTTAATAGTAGGCCGTGTACGGGTGTTACTACGAGGAAGCGTCGGAGCAGGTCATTAAAAGCGGTACTTACTTGCACGTTGCCAGCATGTGGCTGATCACCTTGAGCAGCTGTTCGTTCTCGCACGCGGCGCTCACACGTTCCTTGTCGTTGAGCTGCTTGTTCACCTGGTTCTCGCTCTGGTGGCTTCCTTCCTTCAGCAGCACCAGGATGCGGAATCTCGGAGGCAGGCATCTTTCCAGACGCACGCGAATCCCCAGTCCGATCAACGTGGCAAGCGAGCAGTGTGTGATGGTCGGCGTGATTTTCACAATCACCTCTGCGATCTGGCTCTTATCCTGGTGGTCGATCACCTTGATATCTGCCAGGTTCACCACGGCCAACTGTCCCAGCGTGAGCGGGTGCTCTGGATCCGAGATCGTCGAGATGAGGTCGTAGATCTCCTGCGAGTCGAACCCTTCCTCCTCGTCCTCGGCCTCGCTGTCGGTGTAGGTGAGTCCGTCCAAACTCAGTTCGGTGAGTTCCTGGTACACGAGCGAGTCCTCATTTTTCTCCAGCACAACACCGTCTCTCTTTGGCAGCAGACTGGCGTCCAAAACCGTCGGATTAGCGTTGATCACGTCCGACATGGTGAATAAGGCAAAAAATGCAATGATTAATTTTTTTTCGCCTCTATATGTCTTTTTTGATAGGAGTCAGCGGAGCGTCCAGTTCGGGCAAAACAACCGTTGCAATCACGTTGCGCGACCTTTTTCCCGGCTCTGTGCTTATTCATCAGGACGATTTTTATTTCCCGGACGAAGATATTCCTTTCGATGAGGATCTGAAAGAATACGACTGGGACTGTCCGGAAGCCGTGAACTTTGACAAACTGATAAGTGTTTTGCACAAATTTAAAGAGAGCGAGTCTTATCAGTTCACCGAATCGTCCAAAGAAGACCCGAACTCCAGCTTGAAGGTGGACAGTGTTTGTGAAGCTGAGCTGAAACAGCTTGTTGGCAACACCAAACTGCCCCGGATCGTCTTCGTGGACGGTTTTCTTCTCTACCATAACCAAAAGATCCTTGATTTATTAGACATTTGTCTGTTCTACAAAACAGACTACAAAACACTTAAACATAGACGAGAAGTTAGAAAATACACCATAGATGCCGGCATTTGGACAGATCCACCAGGATACTTTGACAAAATAGTGTGGCCCCAGTACTACAAGAACCACGCCCAATTATTTGAGAACGCTCCCGAAAACGAGCAACAGCTCAAGGACAACACGGCTAAGCTGGTCAACCCGAAAATCAAGACGTTCGATAACAACGACTCCACGGACTTTAATCAATTGATGCTAAATACCGTCACATTCATCTGCAACAACCTATCTCTTTGATTTTTGAGGCTTGTGGGCCTTCTGCTTCTTGATCTCCTGCTCATAGATCTCGCCAGCACTCTCGCCCGTCTTCCGTTTCTTGTCGGACTTCACGCTCACCACACCCTTGTTTTTGGCCGCCTTGTTGAGCTGCTTCTTGTCCCAGCCGTGTTCGCTGATGGCGTATCTGTCCAAATCCAGAGAGTTGATCAGCTCCTTCTGTTTCTCTCTCAAAGCACTCACAGCCTTGGCTCCAGACTCGTTCATCTCGTCCACCAGCTCGCGCTCGATGTCCTCGATGTCGGCCTCGTCCGATCCCTCGCCGTTCATCTCGCGCACTTGCTCGTCTTCGAGCTCAGGCATCTCGTCGGCGATCTTCTGCTGAACAAGCGACCGGAAATACGTCGACACCTTACGGATCACCTTGGCAAACATGGCCATCGCCTGGTTCGACTCGATTCCGAGCTCCTTGGAGATCTTGTCCATATCCTTGTGTTGCAATCCGATTGCAACCAAAATGGCAGCCTGCACGTTCGAAAGACTCACCTCAGAGCTGATGCGGCCCTGGAAGTACAAGTACGACAGAATTGGCAACATGTCCACCACAACATGGTAGTCGATCAGGTTGTTGGCGTACGACTCGAGTCTCTTGAGGTCGAACGGCGAAAAGTTCTTGTCGAGCTCTTCCTTGGTCAACTGCTCTGGAGTTGGTTTGTCGCACGATTCAAGAATACTTAATGCCTGGACAGACGGAACAAAACCAAAGTTGTACGACAAAAGATTCACAAATCTCTTGTGGAAATCCTTCGAGTACTCGTGGAGCCACTTGCTTTCACGGTTCTCCAAAACCTTGAGCATCACACAGGTGTGTTCTCCGGTCAGATCATTAGCGGTTTGCCGCAGATAAACAGGCAAGTATCCGGATCTTTTCCAGAACTTGAACAATTGCGGTGTCAATCCGTAAGAGACACCCATGTAATGCAAATAGTAAGGTGGTTTATGAGCCAAATTGATAAACAGAGGTTGCAACTTGTTTTCCTTGCGTGGCTTGATTTCTTCATGTAGAACAGAAGACTCTAGCTCGCTATCTGTGAGCCTCTTCAAAGAGTACTTGTCGTCCTCGAAAGATCTTGTCTCATTCACGTCTGCAAACTTACCTTCGAAGTAGTCTGTCAAAAGCTCCAAAGCTCTTGATCCGTAACCCATGTTTGTGTATTCTGGGTGAGTGGCCACTCTGACAACACGGGCACCAGAAAGAGAAGCAAACTCGTCGTCTTGGAACTGCTGACTGATCAGCCATGGAATAAGATCACCGCCAGCACGGATTCCTCTATTCAAACTGCTCCGAATACTCTCTTTGGAGATCTCTCCTTCCAACGCAAGTTGGATGACACACAAAGGTGTTGGGATAGCGCCGTCTTTTCCAACATCTGGACCGAATAGAGCATACAGTTGGTGAGCTGGAGCATCGGACATTAGTTGCAAGTCGTTTGGAGAGTTCTTGTAATGCGAAGAAACGAATAAAGCCATCATTTTCTGAAGGAAAGCTTCCGAGACGGGGTCGTACGAGAACAGCGTATCTCTGTTGATGTAGAACAGGTTGCACTCGCTTGGATGCGGACATCCTCTGGTCTCGTACTTGGTGTTCTTTGTCAATTTTGCGTCCAAGCAGAGCAATTTGTTGAGCCATGCTTCCACAGGGTCGCCCGGGGCGTATCTAATTGGCTCGTCCAGCACAACCTCAACAAGGTTACGGCCACGAATGCTCAGGTCGTCGCCAGTTTTCTTGGAGTCTCTGGAAACCACCTGGGTTTGTGAGTTGTCGTTGATGATGGAGTTCGAGTTTTCCCGCAATTGCTGTATCAGCTTCAAACTCAAAGACCGGCCCGTTCCTTCGTATCCGTTGATGGTCGAGGCCATGAACACCAAGTAAGGGCCAAGCAGCTTCTTCACCACTGGTAACGGAATTGCAGCAGCTTCGTCAATGATCACCAGCTCTGCCTGTCCAAGAACCTGGTGGTCTGTTGGAGAAATGTACTGGATGGTTTGTCTGTGTCCAGACCGTTTGATATCCACTCTCACAATGGCCTTACCGAAGGCTGGGTTGGTCGACTGGATGATGTCGTAATCTTGGTGCTCAACGTATCCCATAGCGTCGAATCCCTTGAAGATGAACTCAAACAGCGTCTTCAAGTTCTCTGGGGACGGAGAAGTGACAAAGATGTTGGAGTAGTCCTGTGCCACGGCCGCAGAAATGGCAATACCCAGAGCAGCAGACTTACCACGTCCTCTTCCGGCAGTCAAAGTGACCGTTGTGTTCAGAGTCTTTTCCGCAATGGAATCAATAAACCGCAGAATGGCCTCGGCTTGGTTCAGCGTCTTGGCCAAACTCACTAGCGAACCAGCAGGCTGGGTATCCTCAAGGCTCGACTTCAACTCCACCAGCTCCTGTTCTTTTTCGGAAAGCTCCTCGTCGTCTTTTGGAGGCAGTCTCTTCACGTGTCTTCCACCAGAGACCGGCAGGACGTTCAGTTCGTCGTCCAGAACCAAACAGTTCTTACAGTCGGAAAGAGACAGCAAGAATCTCTCGTTGAATCTGGCAACAACGTCGTTATGTGCTTCGGTTCTGTATCTAGAGTGGATATCCATGGTCACAGTGTACAATTGTTTCAAAGAAGACATCGATTTCAAGAGCATCACAACAAGTCCTCCACCCTCGACGGTTTCGATCGTTCTTGCCATCAAGTTAGGAGTAAGTCCTTCGAAATCCTGCAAAATGCACATTCCATAGGTGTTACCCAAAATTTTATCTGTCTCTTTGTAATAAACGTATCTGATCTGCTGATTTGTGATAAACACTTCAAACGGATCAAGGTCGTTGGCTTCTCTTTTTCCGCGCTTAATATCTTTTTTCAGCTTGTCTTCTCTCTTCTTTCTGTGGGACGTGAAACCAAGCAGTTTCTTCTTATAGGCCCAAAGAATGGATTTATTCATTTTGAGATTAGCGTTCATCATCAGGTAATGAAGGTTGGGAATCTGATCTCTCGAGCGGTCACCAACCATAATGATAAAACTTCTTTCGCGGGTATCTACGCCGTTACGAATCAGCGCGGCAATCCGTGCGTCCAAGGCCTTCTTCTTGCTCATGGTTCTAGTGAAAAATTATTAAAAAAAATTAAAATTTATTTAAATTTTTTGGTACAACAATCTGCATGTCGCGGCCGGAGAAGGATAAGAGAAACTGGCGACGGGGGATAATTTAATGGACTGGTGGCAAAGAAATAGGTGAGAGTAGTGCTGGAGAGATGAACCATTGACGTTCTGGGCATCATGTTGGTAATTTCCGGAAAACTACAACATGTCATTTGATGCGTTGCAATTATTAAAAATGAGACGTTATTAAACTAGTGTTATGACTACGGTTACTAGTTTCATGTAATAACTCAATTTTTCTCTTAAATCAACTGCACTTGCAGGACAGCAATTACACTCTCACTGGTGCCAAAACAAGCCACATCCCGTTAGACTGGCTACCTGCTACTTATCAAATTTGAGCCGCATAAAATTTTTCAAAAAAATTTCTAACATAGAAAAGAACACTGAGGAGATGGAAACGCAGGAAATCCCCGTGGAAATCGACCGGGCTGTCTCTGAGGCAGCGAGAGAAGAAGAAGAAGCTCAGGTAGAAGATCAGCTGGCCAAGCCAGACTCTCCAGCTGTGGAACAGCAACCTCCGCAGCAAGAACAGGAGAATCAGGAAGATCGTATATTTAATGAAGATCAAGAGATTGCAGAGTCAGATAGAGACAACGACTCTGATTCGAGCTCTGAAGATGAATCCAGCTCTGAATCCCAGTCTGACTCGTCGTCAGACTCATCATCGGAAGAAGAATCAGAGGATGTTGGAGTTTCTGATAATGAGAGTGATATATCTGCAGAGCCAATTAGATCCAAAAACGAGATGGACGAGGAAGGTGTTGAGCTACCAGAGGACTTTGTGATCCCTGAAGATGCGCCAATTGAATATATTGGAGAGATCAGTGCGGTGGTGGAGAAGAGCGTGGTTGTGAAGGCCAGAGTCTCTGGAGAGATCCGTGTGCTTAAGGACGGGTCTATTCTGTGTTTTGAGGATCGTTCGATACTCGGACCGCTTTTTGAGACCTTTGGCCAGGTCCAGTCACCGTTCTATCGGGTTAAGTTCAAAACAGACGAAAAGTGCCAGCAGTTTAAGGATAGAAAGGGAGCCAAGATATTCTATGTCGTTCCCGAGTCAATGTTCGTCCTGACGTCGCAGATCAAAGCCATCAAGGGAAGTGATGCCAGTAACTGGAACGACGAGGAGATTCCAGAAGAGGAGCAGGAATTCTCAGACGATGAAAAAGAAGCAGCTATGAAAGCGTCTCGCAAGAGAAAGAAGACACAGAAAAAGGAAGACCCAAAGCGCAAACCTCTACCAAACCACATGAAATCACAGTTCACCTCTCTTCCACAGCGCTCGTCGCCCCAGGTTGCTCCTGCACAGCCGGTGCAACCAGTTCAGCCAGTTCAGCCAGTTCAGCCAGTTCAGCCAGTGCAACAGTTGACTCCCCAGCAGTTCCAACAGGTTCCACAAGTCCCACAAGTTCCACAAGTTCCACAAGTTCCACAGGTGTATCCCCAGCAGTACTATCCTCCACAGCAGGCATACTACCCCCAGTATCAGCAATACCAGCAATACCAGCAGTATCCTCAGTACCAGCAGTATCCGGGATACTACCCTTACCAACAAGTGCAACCAGTGCAGCAGCAGCTCAATCCGCAAATGGTCCAGCAGGTCAGCCAGTTCATCCAGCTTGCTCATGCCCAAGCCCAGAACCAGCCTCAGGCTCAGGTCCAGAACCAGGTGCCTGTCCAGCCCCAGAATCCAAGCCAGCCACCGGCTGCTCATTCCGACGATGAATACGACCCTGAAAATGTGTAATTATTGAACATGTAATATATAATCATCATTCGTTATATGCAATTTTATGGTATGCATCCCGTGCCACCTTCAAAGCGTCGGCAGGAAAACCTGCCAGCTGTGCCACCTCAAACGCGTGCGAGTGGTAGCTGATACCAGGCATCAGCTTGTGGTCGTACACCAGCTTCTCGTCAACAGGCAAATTTCCTTCCTGGACCTCGCTCAGACTCGTTTGATAGAAAGAAACGTTATCGTCTAGCTGCTTGTCCTCCTTGATGAAGCCGCAGATCTCTGGACCGTAATGCGTTGCAAACAGAACTTTGCACTTCTTTTTCTTCATCAGATGCGACAACGATGCAAATGCAATGGATATTCCTTCTGTTGACGAAGTTCCACGTCCCAGCTCATCAACAATGGCCATTGAGCGTTCAGTAGAGTCTCTGAGGATAATGGCAGTCTCATTCATTTCCACCATAAATGACGACTGGTTCCGGTAAATATTATCGGAAGCTCCAACCCTGGTGAAGACCTTATCTATGACTCCGATGTGTGCACTTTTAGCAGGGACAAAGGACCCAATCTGGGCCAGAATGGCGATAAGTGCGTTCTGACGCAAAAAAGTGCTCTTTCCACCCATGTTGGGGCCTGTGATCACCCACCCTTCTCCCGACCGAAGGCTGCAGTCGTTTGCTGTGAAGTTCTCCACCCCTGCAACCCGTCCTTTCAAACCTTCTTCAACAACCAGATGTCTTCCACCCTCTATTGCGAACGTGGTGCTCTTGTCAACCACAGGACGAACCAGTCCTTTCTCGGTAGCCAATCTGTAGAACGACACGCAAACATCGAGAAACTCAATGATTGGAGCCACCAATCGGATCTCTTTGGAGAACGAGAGAATCTGGTCCCTGATCATCGTCGTAACTCTCTCTTCCTCTCTCAAGATCTCTGCTTCCGCAGCTACCAGCTGTATCCCCAACTCCTGCCATTCCGAGGACCACAGCTTGGCACTCGACTTGTTGCGATCCCGCAACGTCAACGGCATATTCTCGATAACGTCATTAAATGTTTTCCTGGACGTTCGAACGTCAATAATGAACTCGTCCATCTGCAAATCTCTTACCAAAGAGAAAGAACCAGGGAACCCGTTCTTCTCGAATTCTGCCGACAGCTCGCTACAGAGTGTGTGGAATTGCTGTTCCAAAAGATCGTAATGTGCACGTAGCTTGACCATTTTAGCAGAGGCTGTCGGGTTCATGGACCAAATCTTTCTAAGCACTTCTGTTTCACTCTTGATGGTATCCATTTTGATTGTGAGCGTTTGCGGATTGATGGCGTCAGTAATCTCATTGGCGAGCGTCACCAGATGCTGAGACGCTTCAAATTCTTTAAACAGAGGAAGCAGACTCTTGACCAGTTTTTTATCGGGCGACTCTTTCACCATCTGTAAAATCTCGTTGATGATGAGAATCGTGTGACCAAGCTCGAGGTACTCGCCCATTTCTGCTCGACGATTATCGGTACGACGAACGATACGACTCAGGTCTGTGGTTTTGCGCAGAAGCTGAGTCAATTCCTCTACAAAGCCACGGTTTCCAATGAACCTCTCAACGTACCGTTGACGGCGTCTGATTTCGTCCACGTCGGTGGATGGAGCAAGCAGCCAGGTGTTGAGCAAACGCGAGCCTTGGACCGTGCACGTTTTATCGACAATAGAGGCCAATGCCCCGGTTCTGAACCCACCAACAATGGTCTCTGTGAGTTCGAGGTCCTGGGCTGCACGGGGGTCGATGTGCATAAGGGTGTTTGGAAGCGAGCGGGTTGGCAGCCCAAAATTCAGCTTGTAGTACGGCAGACATTTGTGCAAATAGTTGAGCACAAGTTTGGCAGCACTTGCTTCCTTTTGGCTCAGATTGTCCAACAAACTAACCACGAGTCGTCTGTTGTCGGAAAACCTGTCAATGAAATCATGCAACGAGAGATTATTTGTCGGAAGAGAGTATCTGCTGAGATAAAAGTGTTTCATCTCTGCAAGTTCCGGAAACCATTTACCAGAAACCAGTAAGTCCAGGTCAATATCGTCGTTGACAAGAATCTCCTTCGGGTTGATTCGGGTAATGTTGGCCATCAGATCCGACAGGGTTGTCTCCAGAACGTTGAACTCGCTCAAACCAACGTCGACCCAGCAAAGACCGATTTTCTGGCTGGTAGGGTCGACTTTGAACGGGTCAGACGGAAATTGCACCGAAAGCAAATAGTTTGTTCTGTGGTAATCTCTTAGTTCTTCGTCGACGATGGTTCCTGGTGTCAGAAGACGGGTGACTGGTCGCGTGATGATGTTATGTGCTGTGGGCTGCTGGTCGCACACGACAGCTTTGAGGCCATTTTTGAACACCATTTGAAGATACTTGTCGAGCTTGATATCAGGGAATCCGGCAAATGGGACGTTCTTCTGTTTCAGAGCCTTTTTGGTGAGCGTGAGTCCAAGACGTGTCGCATGGGTCTCTGCTTGCTGGAAATACAGCTCGTAAAACGATCCGACCTGGATCAACACCACATACTCATCCACAGGGAACTGGTCAACCGTGTCCTTCAGACCTTTGTAAAAAGAGGTGAACTCACCCTCTTCAGGTTTGGCTCCACGGTCACTAAAAACGGGAACCGGTTTTGTTTTCTTTGACTTCTTGCCTTTGGAATTTGACGCGTTTTCAGAATCTTGATCCAGACTCGGCAACTTGATGGCTTCCAATGGACCTCGCAAGTTGATCGGAATACGCACGAGCTGCTGCGTCGAGTGAACACTCGAAAAGCGTCTGCTCACTAATCGTCTTCCTAATTGTAACATGACACTTTTCGCAACATGTGCCTCAAGTCCCCTTAAATACTTTGCTACAAGTTACGAGTAATAATTTTTCAGATCTCATGCGTGCGGCAAAGCCAGGAAAATCCAGCTTGTTTTTTTCTAAAAATTAAAGACAGTGGTGTGCGATCATCAACCGAGTCTGACTAATAAACCAGGTGCCCAACAAAGGCTAGGAATCCAGAATTGGCTTACATTATCCACACACAGTGTCTGGGGTGTCTCTGATGCCGGAAGTCGAAACCACACAGGCGGCGGTAACGTCCCTGACTACAGAGACTCTAATTGAAAATGGGCACTTGAGGACGACCAAAAATGAGATTGGCTCATTGGAGGGTCTTCCCACGCTGACCAACGGCGAGGTACAGATAAAAAAGTACGAAATGTCCCAACAACAGCAGCAATCTCCTACTGCTAAACAGCGAAGCGTTGATGAGCTGATATCTCCAACAAAATTAGACCTTCATTCAAAGTCTTCCCGGGAAACGCTAAAAGCTCCACAGCGCGCAGATACAAATCAGACCATGGATCGTCATTCCCAAATTACCCAAACAACGGCCCCTTCCAGTGGCATGGATAGACAGGGATATACCCCTTCTCATACTATTGCAATTCCCCAAGCGTATGCCCAGAGCGAAGCCACAGGCGCAGATAGATACAACCAGCAGACTTTGACCAACCGCCATCGGTTCAACAGAGGAAATTCGCTGTCTTTGGGGACCCAGAGACGCAAGACTAAGACTAGAACGGATGACAGATACGTCATTCCCGGTCAGCGTGTCGTTGAGGGTCATCACAACTATGTGATGGCCTACAACATGATCACAGGGATCCGAGTCGCCGTTTCGAGATGTTCCAAATTGCCTGGCCCGCTTAAAGACGAGGATTTTACCCGTGTCTCGAAGCTAATTTTTGACATGGAAGGAAACACAATGACACCGTCTACCAAGTACGAGTTTAAGTTCAAAGACTACGCCCCGGAGATTTTCAGACATCTTCGAAACAAGTTCAACATCGACCAAGCAGACTACTTGCTTTCGCTGACAGAGAGGGTCAGTTTGACGGAGCTTGGCTCGCCGGGAAAAAGTGGCTCATTTTTCTACTATTCCAGAGATTACCGGTTTATCATCAAGACCATCCATCATTCCGAACACAAACATCTTCGAAGGTGCCTGAAGCGCTACTATGAGTATGTGGATAAGAATCCGCAGACGTTCATATGTCAATTTTACGGATTGCATCGGCTCAAGATGCATTCGGCAACAGGTATTCATAAGATCCATTTTCTGGTGATGAACAACATCTTTCCTCCGCACCGTGATTTGCACGAGAAGTATGACCTTAAGGGCTCTACATACGGACGGATCACGAATGTGGCGGCCGCAAAAGCTCAAGGGAAGACGTCGATTGTCCAAAAAGACCTGAACTGGTTGCAGAACAAGGACAGACTCAAGTTCGGGCCTACCAAGAGAAAACAGATCTTGCAGCAGCTCCGAGGCGATGTGGAGCTTCTACAGGAACTCAACATCATGGATTACTCGTTCCTTATTGGTATTCACGATCTTTCTCAAGCGGCACTAGAAGACCCGTACAACCAACTGTCAAATTTCGATCCGCCAGAGATCCAACACCAATCCGCATCCACGTACTCAGAAGGCCTGCTGGACAACGATGGTGGCATTCGCGGAACCGACGAAGAAGACAACGAGATAGAAGTTGTATACTACATGGGGGTGATCGACTGTCTGACCAACTACTCCACACTGAAGCGACTCGAGACATTTTTCCGGTCTCTAAACCACAAACGCGAGACTATCAGTGCAGTTCCTCCGGTCGAGTATGGTCAGCGGTTCTTAAAATTTATAGAAACAGCTATGACACCTACGAAAAACTCCGCTGTCTAGCAGAATACATCGCAAATCGCAATATTAGTACACAGTCTATAGAAGCTATCCAAGACAAGGATTACTCCTCGATGTGGTCTTCCTCCATGTCTTGTTCTGGAACAGGTTCAGGCTCGGCAACAGGCTCGAGGGGCTCTGACGATTCGGCTGGCTCGATAGGAGCAGCAGACTCGACCGGCTCTGGAGCTGGCTGCTCCTGCTCCCCCTGTTCAAACTGTGGCTCGCTTGGAGCAGGTGTTTCTCTGTGAGCAAACGAGACATGTAGACGTCTTCTACCGTATTCGTAGTTGTTCAGCTGGTTGACTGCTGCAGTGGCTCCGTCCACATCCTGGAATTGCACCACGGCACTTCCTGCTGGTCTTCCGATCTTGTCGAACTGGAGCTCGGCACGGGAAACCTGCGCAATGCTTCCAAACAGATCGTAAAGGTCTGTCTCGGACGTTTCCCACGGCAGGTTGTCTGCAAAAATGGTGCCGTTAGGCTCGCCTTGGCCAACCACGCCGGCCACAAACTCGGAGTTCTTGGAAGCTGCTGGAGCGTCCTGGTCTTTGTTAAACTGCTTTCCTGCTCTGACCTCGATGCGTCTTCCGTCAAAGTCGTAGCCGTTGAAGTCGGCAATGGCACGGTCTGCGTCCTCGGAGTTGGCAAAGATCACCGTTCCGAATCCCTTGGACCGGCCACGGTGGTCCTCCTTAACGTCGGCACGGATAATAGGACCAACGTTTTTGAAGAAGTCCTTCAGGTCCTGCCATCTGGCACTAAATGGAAGGTTTCCAACGAAAATCTCAAAACCTTCCTCAATGGCCGGCACTCCTCTCTCTCTTCTTCTCTCGTTACGAGGAGCGGCCTCTTTTTCAGGAGGTGGAAGATCTTCTCTAACGAAGATTTCCCGGCCGTCGTACATTGTGCGGTCAAACTTGGCAATTGCGTCTTGAACAAGGTCCTTGGTAGCAAACTCGACGGTTCCCATTCCCCGGGACCGGCCGCGTGAAGTCACCACGTCCGCACGCACAACTTCACCAACCTCCCGGAAAACGTCCTTCAGGTCCTGCCAAGTGGTGTGGAAAGGAAGGTTTCCAACGAAAACCGAATGCTCGTACACCCTGGTGACTCTAGGCTCAAAATCGCGACCGCCACGGCCACGGAAATCGGGTCTGCTGCCAATTCTCGACTGCAAAGAGCCTCCTCTGCCACCCCGTCTCGAGGAAAATCCGCGTGCATTATCTCTGCGGTCAAAGCGACGGCCTGGAGACCGCGAACGGTCGCGCCATTGCTCTCTCACGGGAGATCTGGACCGATCCTAATTGGTTAGCAACTCCGCTTATTCTTCTTCACTTACTCTCCGGTATTCATCTAGTTCCATGTTGTCAGACATTGTACGACAATAAAGCTAGTTTGGAAAATTTTACATATTTGGAAATTGATTAATGCACATTTCAATTCAGATAGCCTTTACACCCGGGAGCACCACATAGACATGGGATCCGCTCGTCGTCGTTGGTTTCCCGCTCAAACTTGTAATCGTAAGTCAGCTCCTCGTTTGCGCCAATGTCGCGTAGAGCATAAATAACAATCCTCTTCTTTCCTTCCACTTTAATGATCTTGGCTGTGCAGGACGGCACACAGCAATGGTTGATAAAACGTGCAATGCCGCCTTTCTTGGACGCGTCAATCACAGTGTTCTCGTCGATACGGAACAAGTACGACGACCCAATTCCCGACCGCAAGTATTTCTTTTCCCTCACCTCTGCAACCTGCTGTCGGATCCGCTCTCCAACATACTCTATAATCATCTCCTTGGCTGCTATCGGCTCCAACGCGTACAGTCCCCAGTTGTGGATCGCACTTCGTGCAAACTGCACCGGTTTCTTCCGCTTGGTCAGCTGGTTCAAGTCAAGGATGTCTGTTTCGGAGCCCAGCATCTGTTTTTGGGCACTGATGTCTGCAGCAAATCGTCTGTTATTGGCTCTGTTCACTCTGGAGCTGTGGACCGCCTGCGCTTCGCCCTCATCCTCGTTCTGCACCGTGTTCAGCGGCTTGTTGGCTTTCCGACGGTGCAAAAGGTAGTCGCTCTTCATCTTGTCTGGGATCTTGTAGTATGGCTGCGTGCGGAAACATCCCGTCGAGTTCTGCAGCTTGCTGTTGGCAAGAATCTCCTGCGAGAACTCGATCGCCTCGCTGTCTTCATGGCTCACCTCGGCCAGACTGTCTAGTTGTTTCAGCCGTTTCGCCTGCTCCTTATGTCTCCATGCCCAAAGTTGAACATTCTTCACTTTAGGGTCTTTTGGAAGATCTGCGAACGCTTTCTTGGCAAACTCCAAGTCCTCATCGTCATGGATCAGCTCCTGCAAACTGCTAAGGTCGTAGTCCATGTGCTGGTAATTATCGTCGTAAACCATCCGGTCAACGTAGTGCGACGGCTTGTACAACTCGCTGACAAAGTCGCTCTTCTTGACCTCCCCTTCTTGCTCCACCTGGCGGCCCAAGCTCTCAGGAGAAGTAAGCTCAGATGTGGTTTTAGACTCGGGAAGGTCCTGGATATCTTCCTCCTCAGAAGACGAAGTGGACACCATTGCAAGCATTCTCTGTTTCTTGGAGACGTCTGGTGCTTCTTCGTCTTGCGACTCGTCGTCAGAATAGTTCAGGGCATGTGCCATGGAAACGTTGTTGTATTTCCGCTTATACTTGCCCTCAACAGGCGTCCGCCTAAAGGAAGAAAGATTCGAAATGGCAATACTTTGATGTTGCACCGTGAATTTGGACACTCCAACCGAGCCAGTCGATTGGACCTCTTTCTCCTCTTGCTTCTCCGCTTTTTCTTTCAGATGTTTTTCAAGAACAGTCTTGTACTTGTCGTCGTCAAGGAAAGACAATAATCTCGGTCCCACGACCTTCTCTCTCAGATCTTTCAACAAGTATTCATGGAACTCTTTGACCAGAACCGTTTTGGCTTGGCCAACGTCGCCAATCTTCTGTCCAATCTTGGTCTGGCCCATCAGCTCGTCAGGAACAACAAAATCCATGTACAGTTTGTATTTGGAGAAATGTTTCCCGTCCTCCATGTCGTAGCATTTCTCGGCCTCCTGGACGGTATTGAAGACGACGAAAAATCCAGTTCTGTGAGTAAGAATGCGATCGAAGTTATGGTTGGAAAGAAGCTTTCTGATATCGGCAGAGTTCACGTTGCGGGTGTTGACAAACTTGTCGGGAATTAGCAGGTACGGCCTATTAGCAATGTGTCTTTCAAAGTTTGGTGGCAGCGAGACCGACGACAACGTTTTCACGTGACGATCATGGGCCGTCAGCTTCACGGCCGCTTTAAGTTCAGCTGGTTTCTTTTCCTTTCTTCGTTCAACTTGTTCTCTTTTCTGTTCTTGACGTTCTCTTTTCTCCTCCTCTCTTCTTTGAATCATTTCGAGTTCACGCTCACGCCGTCTTCTTTCCTTCTCCTTCAGCATCTGTTGTTTTCTCTCGTCGAGTATCTGGTTGTAAATTGTGTTGAACATCTGGTCCTCAACATTGAGTCTGCAGCGCACAAACTGGCCTCCGATCTGCAGCTTTTTATGGGCAGCAGCCACGGCTTTGGTGGCACAGTGGTGTGCGGACGTGGCGTCGCCATCATATTTCAACAGACACAACCCCAATGGAACCGCTGTCAACGGGTCGTCAATACCTTTGATCTCGGAAATCTTGCCAAACTGTGCAAAATGGTTCTTTATTATCACCAATTGGGTGGTGGTGGGGAAACCCCAAACCACGAGCTGTGAAGACGGTTCGGGACCCACAGAGTGTTTATCGTATTTGTAATTAGGTATTGGCACCGAGGTGCGAACGGTCCGGAGTAGTTTGGGAATTCGTTGTAATGCCTTGGGCCGTGGGTCTATTGACGGTGAACGCGACGAGTCGGTGAACACGTAGATAGGCTTCGAGCCTTTAGCAGGATCTTTCTTAAGCTCCGGGTCATATGTGATTTTGAAGCTGCGTTGCTGCTTTTCCTGTTGGTGTTGGTGTATTTTGTCAGAGAAGTGGTTTTGGATGGGCACTGACGAGTAGTCATAACGGCGAACCAACGGCGAAGTCCCCGACCTTATAGTATCTGGTGGGGTAGGGTATCTTTCCTGGGACCGATGGTACCCGTTGGAGTGCAACTCTGACCGGAACGGCGCTCGGTTCGCGTTTCTATGGTAAGCCATAAAGATAAATAAATGTTTCCAGCAATTTAATTATTTTCCAGCTCCAAAATTTAGTGTAAGGCACACCGGTTTATGTCGCGGTTTGTAGCAGCAGATGAGGTGCGCGATGAGGACCTCGCGGCGCAGGAGGTCAAGGAGGACGAGATTCTGAGCAGGTTTGCCGAGGAGGACACACAGAGGGAGCGCAAGACGCTTGCCCAGCAGTTGAAGGAGAACAGACAGCAGAAGTACAAGGAGTACAAAGACACGCTCGAGGAGGAAAACTCGCTGTACAAGTGGACACAGAGGGACATGGAGTACTACGATCGGATCCAGAACACGCTGCACGAGAAACGGGCCGGAGACAAGAAGCAGATCGAACGGGAGCTGGAGACATACAAGCAGGCTAAACGAGCAAGGGGGCGGCCAGAGGAGGGTGAGTTGATCGAGGAGGTGCAGACGGATGTTGGAAAGCGCTCAAAGGGTCTGAAGGTGAAGAAGAGGAGGGTGGACGGTCCCAACAGCGCGAAGAGAGATAGCCAAGAGGAAGATACGAAGGAACAAGATACAAAGGAGGAAGATACAAAAAAGGAAGATACGCAATCCGAACCGCAGGATTCTGATGACCCACCCGCTGACATCGCCCCGGGCTTTGGCTACTCGTCAGACAGCGACTAGTGCTCGCTCGACCCGCTGACATAAGCACACCGATAAAAATATTTCACCGCTGATAATATTGTCCAATTTTCATGTTTTCGATCGTCCGTCCGTTTGTGCAGTTTGCGCTTCCAAACATGACCCGTGGGCTTGTCAAGACCCACCGTGCCACGTACAAGAGATGGCGCAAGACCGGGACCGGGTACAAGCGCGGGCTGCAGGGCCGCAAGCACGGCAACGCTGGCCATCCAAACAGCATTTTAAAGAGAAGAACAGGAATCACGCCTGCCAATACAATCCAGCAGAAACAGCTCAAACGGCTGCTTCCGTTCCTGTGAATTTTCCACTTTGTACATATCCGATAATTTAAACAAGTTAGATTGCATGACTATTAAGTTTATAAAGACGATGAGTCTAGCTGGCCGTATTCGCGCCATTCTCCTTCGTTTTTCATCTCCATGGTTTCAAAGTAGTGGTAGTTGACTTTGAACGTTTGTGCAAACGGAACGTTATCGAATGAGACGATTCTCAGCTTGCAATATGTATTATCTTTGATGCTTTTCACCACCTTGACAAACTCTTCCAACGTTGGAGTTGGTTGCTCGTTAACGTGGGTGATAAAGTTTGTGACGCCGATCGTGTACAGTCTGGCTGGCGATCCCGATGCCATGGCTGTGCAGTAGACTTTCGACGGCAGTTGTTTGATCACCTGTCTGACTCCGTGATGAGGCTCTTGCAGCAGAGCACCGGACCAATAGACCAGGTGTTTGGTCACAAACGAGCTGCCGTTCGACAGCGACACGTCAATGTCCAATAGCTGTTTGTTTCTGACGATTTTGAAAGAAAGAGTGTTGTTGCTGTGATCTTTGCGGTTTCTGATGGCTTTTTCAATATCACGGTACTGCGTCACAGTGTAGGACACAGACTCGTCGCCCACTTTGAGAATGATGTCTCCGTGTTTCAGGCCGCATGACTGTGTGTTCTCGAGAGCCACGCTGACTTTCGAAACGCTCAAAAACCGCGGCTGGTCGAAGGACGCTACTCCCAGCTCCTTGATTGCCTGCTCTGTCACGCCGCTGATGCGCGCGTTGACGATCGAGATGTTGCCAAACTCCGCGTCCACGATCTTCACGTCCGGAACGTTGTTGGTCTTGAGCTTCTCCAGCTCCCAGAGCACGTCTGTAACGTCCAGACCCATAGAGTATGTTTTATCCTCGTCGGCCTCGAATGCCAGCCAGAACGCGCGCACGGCTCCGTCCTGGCCGCAAAGCACACCCGAGCTGTACTGCTGCCCCAAGTTGGAGTCGATCAGTACGGCCTCGAAGTTGGATGCCTTGAAACGCGGGCACGTGACGTTATTTGGCAGGTGGATCAGTCCAATGTCGCTAATTTTGGTCTCTTCGACCAGCACGCGGGACGCTCTGTTGTAGCCGACAAAAGTGACCTTCTCGCCTCGTCTGAGAGGCTGCGACGAAAACTGCGGAGTCAGCAGTCTCTCGCAGATCAGCTTTGGGTCGTATTTCAAAATAGCATAGCCTTTGGTTGGGTGCAGAAACACAACCTTTGTTGGCAGAAAGACCGACTCGGCCACAGTGACAGTCACGTCAAGTAGATCATGCGGCACACAGTACCGGGAAGTAAGCAGGTACCCGTTGGTGGCATCGATGACCACGCCGTAGGCTTTGCGCGACTGGACGTTGGAAGAGTCCAGTGGAAGAGGAATGGTGCTCTTGCACAGAACCAGCGATCTGTCCAGCGATTGACATCCAGAAAACTCGGTGGGGATGCCCACGAAGTTGACATCGGTGGGGTTGAGCGGTTGTGGAGGCAGAGCGTCTTCTTGCAAAGTTTTGAAGTCCCAAAGACCAGACTCGTCGTTTCTCACTGCCTGTCTAAAACTCGAGTGCCAATGGCGGTCGATCTGGACAAACTTGATAAGTGGAACGTGGAGATCTGTGAGATGGCGGCATTTCAGCGTGACAAACGCCTTGTCGGGAATTTTCTTCATCACCTCGACAAACTCGTCCAGATTCGACACCTCTGTTCCGTCCACCTCGTCCAGAAGCCAGCCGTTCGGAACGTTTTGGCCCAGCACAAAGGAGCCCGAAGCGTTGCTGACATGGACCCCCTTCACGGCAATTGCATATATTCTGGCCATTTGGTAGCTCAAATCGTTGAACGTGGCTCCACAAACATTGACGTACCGACTTGGCGTGATTGCATGAAGATCGCCAACTTTGCACTTCACAGTGATGTCCTTACCTCCTCTCTGAATCACGATCTCGATCTCGTTGCCAACGTTGGAGTCTTGGATCTCGTCCACGGTGATAAACGTGGATATGAGCTGTCCGTTCACCGATATCAAACAGTCACCTTCTTTGATGAGCCCGTCAGCAGGCCCTTGTGGAAGCGTAACGGCCGAAACAAGAAGCCCGTTCAGTTCAGGAAACGTCTCTCTCATGAGCTTCTCCGAGTCTGGACGCAGACCCAGACGACGACACTTGTCAAACGGCTCCAAAAGCCACTGGACCTGGATAGTTCCGCGCGTGACGGGCTGGCCGCTCTGGATGCAGCGCAGGGCACGTAGGACACGGTAGACAGGAAGGAAGAAGTCGGTCGAGGTCTCTGTGTTTCCACCGGCCTGCAGAGCAACAGCGTGTCCGTCAATGTTCACCACGGGAGATCCCGAAGATCCGCCCGAGGCTGAGGCAGCAGCCTGCAAATACTCGGTGTTGAAGTCGTTGTAGGAGTTGATTCCGTAGTCTGGAGCGTTTCTGTCGAGTCTGGAGATAAATCCAGACAAAATCGACAGCTTTTCACCAGAGTCGTTACCGATAACCATGATCTCGGCTCCAATCTTGGCCAGATCCGGTCTCAACTGGAGCTCGCGCACCTCCATGTACTTGATATCCTTTGGGTTATATTTGAGGAACCCGAAATCGTGAACCGGGTCTCTGTAGATGGGTTTGACCTCGCATTCCTCGTGGTTATCGAACACGGCGTAACCGATAAAGGGCCCTGGTCCAACAACGTGGCGGTTTGTGAGGATGATTCCGCGCTCCGCGTCCACCACAAACCCGGTGGCCTCGCTACACAGCGCGCTTTCGGTGTCGAAACTGACCACCTGTGCAAAATGGATAGAAACCACCGTCTTGACCACTGTCTCGACAATATGCTGCCATTTGGGGTGATCTCCAGCCTCGATCTCGGCCACAAACTCCTCATCTCCATCGTCCATGCTGACGTCCTCGTACTTCAGCTTCTTGGCCCCGTCGGCACGGCCGTTGGTCTCGTGATCCCCGCCCCGTTTATGGGGAATCTGCTCGACATCGTACATGGAAAATAAAATAATTTTTCACTAGAGAAAAAATATCTATCTATACATGTAAAACTTCTAGACGCCAGTCGACTGTTTGATGCGGTTGATCCAGGTGACGTATTCTGCTTCCATGCGGTCGGAAAAGTAGCACACGCGCGGAGTGACAAACGAGTTCAGCGTCGGCAGGCCAAACGGTAGCTTCGTCTCGGACTCCAGCATTTCGCGGCCACCAAGGTCCTTGATCCACTTCTCGTTATCGCACAATTTCTCCACAAGAGCCACCCAGTCGACCAACTCGTTGTACTTGAGCCCGCCGTTCTGGTGGATCTGCAGGTTCTTGAAAAACTTGGTCTTGAAACCCATGTTCTGGACCACCTTGTCCTGGTTCAGATGGAGATATGCTATCGAGACCAGCCCGCAAAGCAGCCCCCACGGACTCTTTGTGCGATAGTAGTAGTGTTTGTACGTTTCGAGAATACACCGCGTGATTTCCTCCGGCAAATAGAACTTGTTACAGAACGCAACAAGATGCGGTGTCGTGATGATGGTGTCGTCGTTGAGCGACCGGTCCGCCATGGAAAGCAGCTTGAATCCCTTCTTGCGACCTCTTTTGGCAGGACCCTTCACGTCGTCGGCGGCAGCAAGCAGCCGTTTCTGCAGCGACTTGGCTGCAGTGCCGGCGTCGACCTTGTCCGGTTCCTCGTTGCGGAGCGTCTTTGGCGTGCTCTCCGGCGTGTTCAGGACGTTTCTGCGCTTGGACGGCGTGGTTTGCTCGGTCAAATCAACCACACGTTTCCTTCCCGGCGTTGTCTCGGGCGTGGCCAGCTGAACAACCCGTCGTTTCGTGGGGGTCCGCAACAGATCGGCCCCTTGCTTGCTTCCTGCTCCAGACAACTTGTGTCTGAAATCGGCCAGCACAGTCACAGCCTTCCGTTTTGGGATCGGGATCCGGTTCACACTCGGATCAGGAAGATCAAACTTGTTCTTAAACTTGTCCACAGTCAAAAAACAGCACAGATGACACCGTCCGATCTCCAGCTGCGCAGCCAGCGGACAGCTCGACTTGGACGACAGATACAGGTAATTGGCATAGTCAATCACCTCCTTCGGAATAGGCCCCGTATGCGTGGGCACCACGTCCTGGAGCGCGCTCAGAATGAATTGCGACATTGACAAGGACCCAGAGACCGAAACTTTTTTAAATCAAGTGCAACCAGCCATTTTTTTTCAATTTTACCCTTTCCAGATAAATTGGGTACTATTACATAAACATTTATGTCAGCAGATATTTGAACGGATCAAACACTTGCTCGTACTGTCGTAATATATACATTTACAAACCTCTCTCTAGACCAGCACGCTCCATGATCTCGTGGACCTTTTTGCTCAGAACAGGGTCCTGTTTGATCTTGAGCTGAATCTTGGAGGCCTCCATCAGAGAAATGGCCTGGACTCTGTCGTCGTTGGATCTGGACAAACGGCACGCATCTTTGAACAGAGCAATGGCATCCTGGACCTTCTGTTGTTGCAAGTAGATCTGTCCAAGGTTGATTCTGGCCACCTCCGACTTTGGATCAAGCTCACATGCCTTCTTGAGGATCTCTTCGCATCCAACAATGTCCTTGTTGACCTGGCAGATGGCAGACTTGTTTATGAGTGGCAGAGCACCAATGTTGAAAGTTGGCAGGCTCTCTTGCAATCTGGCCGAGATCTCGAACTGTTTGGCGGCTCCGCCGTAGTCTTGTCTGTCGAACAGAATCTCTCCGTAGTAGTTTGGCACCTCGGACGAGGTTGGGAACCGTTTCTTGGCATCCTTGAACTGCTCGTCGCACGAGTTGGTGTCACCGTTTTTGTACGCGATACAGGCCAATTGGATGTATCCAAACACGTTGTCCGGGTTGTACAGCTTGGACTTCTCGAAGTTCTCTTTGGCCTTCTCCAAATCGCCCATCAGGTAGTACAGCTGACCGTAGTGGTAGTAAATGTCAGGGTCTTCTGGGTTGAGCTTGATGGCCTGGGCAAACGCCTGGTCAGCAGAAAGGAAATCACCTTTGTCGGCGTTGACAAGTCCCAAAAGAACGTGAGTTCTACCTCTTGGGTTCAATTGCAAAGCCTTGTTCAAGTTGGAAACAGCAGACTCGCTCTCACCCTTGAGGAAATCAAAGGTACCTTGGTACTCGTAAGCAAGACCAGCGTGTTTGGAGTCGGCCTTGGGTGGGTCCTTCTCGTAGCTGGCAATGGCCTGGTGGATCAAAACGTCTGCCTTGACGTAGTCCTCGTAGGTGTCCTTGGCGATCTCGGTCAAGGCCTTGGCCAGGAATTGAGAGCAAGATTGGTCCTCGTACTTGGATTCGTCGGTGTCAACGTTCTCCTTGGCGAAAGCACCAAAGAACGACGAAATAGAAGAGGAAGAAGGAAGCTCCTTTGGAAGAGTGGAATATTGCTCCTCGTTGATCTTGTTGGCCAGTTTCTTCAAATTACGCTCCAAGATGGACTCTGGAGATTGATCATTAAGACCTCCGTAGATGGTCAATGCTGTGAGGTCGTAGATGGCCTCCTCGTACTTCTCGATGTTCTCATAAGCATGGGCTCTTCTCAACAGACACTTTGGATAACTTGGGTTCAACTTCAATGCCTCGGTACAGTCATCAATACACTTTTGGTGCTCGCCCTGTGCGGCATAAGCAGCTGCTCTGTTAGCGTAAAAGACAGGATCAGCTTTGCACAAAAGAGCCAGGGTGTAGCACTGGATGGCTGGCTTGAAGTCCTCTGCCTTATAGTACTGGTTTCCGGTCTCTTTCAAAGCCAATGCCCATTCGGATTGTTGTTGTTTGGTCATCTTGGTGACCAACTCTTCAGTAACGTTCGGCAGTCCAGTGGTGGAGTCGATAGGAATGTCCGACGAAGGCCAGTTGGCGTGAACAACCGTGCCGCTCTTCTCGGACTTCTTCTTCTTCTTGGTGGCCTTGGACTTCTTCTTCGGCTTAAGCGACTCAGAGTCGTCCAGACCGGCGTTCTGCTGGCTCATGTAGTAGAGCAATCCGGCCACCGATCCGGCTCCAACAACAGCCGTGACGGCCACAGCGACTTTATGAGCCTGAATGAATCTTGAAAAAGATGACTCCGACATTTTAATATGCGACGTGAATCAGCTTGTCAATTCCAAAACTACTAAAACGACTTGGTCTCACTTGTTTTTCGTCTTTAAATCACTTCCACTAAATTTTTCTTCAATCGGGAAAGCACAACCGCGCACGCCAGTGAGCCGTGACGGTTATGCCCGGGCTGTGTAGTATTTTTCTCGAGAAATAAATAGAACATAATTTCCTTGTTTCCACGTCAAACACGTGAAAGTGTCATGATTTGAAGCTTTCACCGTCTACTGTCGTTAATTCCCGCCATAAACATGAAAAGATTCAACAACAGAGTGGTCCAGAATGTGGCCCAGGCCTACCAGACGATATCAAGTGCCAGAAAACCAGTGGCTTCCACCGACATGGGCTCCATGAATACGTCCAGCTCGGCAAGCTCCCACTATAAGACCCCCACCTCGCCGTCTGGAGTCCCACTGTCCAAGATCCTCAGCAACACGTTTCCCCTGGCTGTTTCCGACTCGTTCAGACACTATCTCAGACGAAACAAGCTGGATCAGATCCAACATGAATTATTATCGATATTGCCGTTCTACCCCAACCCAACAAATTCTCATAAGGCCCAGGTAGTCAAAACAATGATAGACGACAAAAATAACTACATCAACGAGCTCCACATTGCCCCAGCAAACATCCAGTCCAACAAGCACGTGGTATTCATCCATGGTTACGGAGCAGGGCTTGGCTTTTTCGTCAAGAACTTGCAAGACCTGGCAGTAAGGAAACCAGACTGGCATATCCACGCCATAGACCTTCTTGGATATGGTTGCTCCTCCAGACCCAAGTTTCCGTACCACGAGCCCAACGCCTCTTACCCGAAGATCGAGTCCTGGTTTGTTGAGTCGCTGAAGACCTGGTTTGACAGAAGAGGTCTCAACCACGACAATACTATGGTTGTTGCGCATTCGATGGGCGCTTATTTGTCCGCGTTGACCAACTTCAAATACCCCGAGCTGTTCAACAAGCTGCTGCTTGTGTCTCCTGCAGGAGTGTTTAGCAGTCGGCAGCCACAGGTTCCACCCTGGTTCGACAAGCTGTGGAACAAGAACGTGTCTCCATTTGCGCTTGTGAGAAACGCAGGACCGTTTGGGTCGTACTTAACCTCCGGCTGGACCTCCAGACGGTTCTCCAAGAGCTTCAGCGTGTTGAACGCCGAGGAACAGAAGTTGATGCATCTATACACATACGCCATCTTCAACGCCAGAGGCTCGGGAGAGTACATGCTCAACTACATGCTTGCTCCTGGGGGAATCCCCAGAAACCCGTTACTTTACAGAATCGACCAGCTGAACTGCGATAGTTACTGGTACTACGGTAGCTACGACTGGATGGACAAGACAGGAGGTTTAGCAGCCTGCAAGAAACTCAGAGCCAAGGGTCTTCGGGCAGATATGACAATTGTCGAAGACAGCGGCCACCATCTCTACTTTGACAACCTGGACAAGTTTAACAGTCTGGTTGCCGATGAAATGAAATAATGATAAAATTAAATAAACCTATAAAATTACTCGAACTTATAAGATTCTTCGTGCTACATGACTTAACAACATTAACTGGAGGCGTAAGCTTCATCAACTCTGGACTTCACACTCTCAAGAATAGCCTTTCTTTTCAACTTCTGAGCACTAGTGACAAATCCACTTTCTGGGGTCCATTCTTCGTCGACAAGAACAGCAGCTTGGATAAGCTCGATTCCAGCCAGGTTCTGAGCCTTACCGGTCTCGACCAAGCTTTTGGCAACTTCCCTGGCGAGTTTAGTGTTGGTGATAATGTCCGAGAGATGGATCTCCTCGCCGGCTTTGCTGATTCCGAGCTTCACGCTCAGGTCCTTCAATGGCTTCTCGTTTGGATTGACAATTGCAATAGGCTTGACCTTGTTCTCGTCAGCGTAACAGCAAATGTTGTTCACCAAAGCGTTGGACCTGTAAACGGCCTCGAGCTTTTCAAGAGCAATGTACTCTCCGTTCTGGGTCTTGACAAGGTTCTTCTTTCTGTCGATCAGCTTCAACTGTCCAGAAGAAGTCCACTCACCAATGTCACCAGTGGAGAACCAGCCCTTCTCGTAAGCAAACGCTTCCTGGGTCTCCTTGTCGTTCTTGAAGTATCCTGAAGTAACAGGGGCTCCAGAAATGAGAACCTCACCTTGGTTGTTCTTGGCGTAATAACCAGCTTCGGGAACGTCAATCAGCTTGACTGTGATCGATCCAACTAGAGCAGCGCCTCCGAACTCAAAGTGCTCCGGATCAGTGATGGTGGTATTGGCAACAGTCTCAGTCAATCCATATCCAAGAAGCATAGTTGCAATAGTTGTGTGGATGAAAATTTGAGTAGGCAAAGAAAGCTGCGAGCCACCGTTCAGGAGAAGTCTTAATCTGCCTCCAGTTGCCTCCTTGATCTTCTTGAACACCAAAGTGTCAAGAAGAGCAGGAACACCAGGAATGGAGTACTTCTTGCATGCGAGCTTTGCGTGGTAAGCTCCCCAGAAAACTTTTTGCATTGCCGATGGCTGCTTTTGGATCTGAGCATAAATACCCTTCTTGACGGTCTCCCAGATGGCAGTGACACCGACCATGATGGTTGGCTTTAAGGTCTTGATGTCACCGTCACAGTTTCTGGTCGAGGCGTTTGTAAGAGTCTTGACATTGGCATATCCGGATGTGGAACCCCAGTAGAACGAAACCAGCTCGAAAGCGAGTTCGAAAATATGGGCAAGAGGCAAAAAGGTGATCAAGACATCGTCAGAACGAACAGTCTTGTCGTCAATCGAAACAGAAACACCACCAAGACCAGCAACCACGTTGGCGTGGGACAAAACAACACCCTTTGGATTACCTGTAGAACCGGAGGTGTACATGATGCAACATAGATCGTCTTGTTTTGGAGGGTGGTGTGGAATGTCCTGAGCCTCCTTTCCAAGCTTCAGCACCTCATCGTAAGAGTAAATTTTGATGTCGGGTCTGACTTCCAAAATCTTGGCAACGGCGTTCTTTGCATTTTGATAAAGTCTTCCGTTACCACGCTTGTCCTTGGGATCAATTGGCTCAGTATGGATGATGTACCTGATACTAGTGGCCTTCTTGAGAGGGTTGACCAGCTTGATTAAAAGGTCATTGTCGGTGTAAATGGCATTACTTTCAGTTTCCAAGATGGAATGGGTCAATCCGTCTTCACCCAAGGTGTCGTAGGCAGTGACCACAGGAATAGCCTGAGTCTGGGCAGCAAGGAATCCTCTCATCCACTTAGCACTTGTGGCGGCAAATAGATGCAGTTTGTCGGTTTTTGCTGGCTCCAGTCCGATTTTCACCAGACCTTTACCAAGGTCCGAAACGATCTCGCTAAGTTCTCCCTGGGTAATGTATTTGTAATCGGACAGCTCGTAGTAAGTCCACTCCTTGTCAACCAAAGTTTCCTCTCCATTGACAACCTTTTTGAGCTGTTTGGTCTCGTAATGAACGTCAACAAGATCTCTCCATGCCTGAATTCTGTTGTTTGCTCCGTGTTTTTTGAGAGCTTCATTAAAAAACTCATAAACAGTCGTACATTCGTAGCCTTTAGGACGCGAAACTGCACCGTCCTTAACTTTGTAGTTTCGTCTTGGAGCTGTTTCTCCTTCCTTGGCTTCTCCAACAGGAACGTTGACTTGGAAAACCATAACAATCTGTGCTTTAAGCTGCGGTTAGAAAAAAGGGAGGGGGAGGCAAAAAAATATAATCTGTTTCGGTAAAGAAAAAAACTTTTGGGTGTGCATATTTTTGAATATGTCCGAGTGTGTACCACTGTCAATTGCCTTGAACGTGTCAATTGTCCATATTGAAATGGATCTTCACAACATGAAGTAATATCTGCCTGTAAAACCTCTTGCCGGCGTCTATATCGCCGAATCTCAGATCTTTGCGGTCCCGCTACCATTTTTTGTTGGGCCGGCTAGAGACCAACAGCTGGTGCACGGGTGCGGTTACATCAGATTCGAGAAATCGCCGTTTTCCCTGGTGCGAAAAATTGGCTATTTATCTGAGTGAGAGATTTCAATGCCTTTTTTTCTCACACTAATCAACCCGTTAAATTGGGAGCGGCTCTACTCATCTGAGTTCCTGATCTACTTTTTCCAGATGGCCATGCAGATGATGCACAGTGCCAAACTGTAATATCTGCCCCTTCTTGGATTTCTTCTCCACTTCCACCACCGTGACGCTCGTGTTGAACGGCACTTTCAAGTCGTCTGCGCTCAATCCGGCTCCCAGCTCGTATTTGTGGTGTTGGTGTAAATGGCTGCTAAAATTCGTGATCACTCCGCCATGTGTGCACACCAGCACGTTCAAGTGTTTGTTTGTGTCTGCATCGTTGATGATCTGGTCCCATTCGGCGTCGAGCCGGTCCAGCAGCTCTGCCCTGGTTTCGCCCAGCTCCTTAAATTTGGCTCCGTATTTTTCCTTCGCCTCTGCCAACGGCATTCCTTCCACTGGCCCCATTGATCTCTCGCGCAAGTTCGGGGTGGTGCGCAATTTGAAAGCCCGTTTGTGTTCATGTGGCGCCGTAATCTGTTTCGTCGTCTGCACACACCGTGTAAGGTCAGAACTGACAAACTCGTCAAAGTCCAGGTGTTTAAGTCGCTCTCCCACCAGCCGGGCCTGTTCCTGACCGATCTCGTTCAAGGGAACGTCCTTGTGGCCCTGTAAAATCTTGAGCTTATTCCAAGGAGTCTGACCGTGACGCACAATGTACACGCGAACCTTGTCGTGATCCACGTTCCCCTGATGGTCGACTGTCATCTATAAAGCTTTATTATTCAAATTTCAATCTTTGTATTTTTACCCGGCCCATATGTTTCTCTAATTTTTAACGATTTTTTTCAGTATACGGAAGTTGACTTTTACCTTGTCTCGAACATGATCCGAACCAGAACGCTTAATGTTGCCGCTCGGCAGTTTCACAGCTCGGCGTCACGCGCATCCATATTGGACTATTTCAAGTTCTACAAGAAAAAGGAAACCGAGCCACAGGTTCCCGTCAAAGACACCAAGCAGGTCATAAAGGAAATAGAAACAAGAACACAGGCCCCTGTCGCAGCCAACACAGTGGTGATGCTGGGCAAACACAACTCCGAATACAGCGATAAGAAGCTCCGCCAGCAGGCAATGGAAGGGTTTGTTTTGAGCTCGTGGATCCCAGCCAAGTCTGAGTTTTCTAAGAAAAACGTTCAGCCAGAACTCTACAAAGACCAGATTACCGAGATTCTGACCAGCGTGTTCCAAAGACATGTTCCGGCCACCCCCGCATCCGAACTCAAGCTCGATAACCTTGCTCTGAGATTCAAACTCCTCAAAGACGTGCAGATCAAGTTCGGTCTCTCGATACCAGACTTCAAGCTGTCGCAACTCGATTCCTTCTCCACGATCAGAGACTACCTGTACCAACGGCTGGATCCTGAAGGTTTCGTGATCGACGAAAAAGTCCCAGACGCTGTCCACTTCCGTCCTGGCGAGTTCGACGGTACAAACATCACTGTTGGAAAATACGTCTTTGAGTCCCAGAAAAAGAAAGAGGTCAAGAAACTGTACAGAAAGGCAAGACATGCCGAGAGAAAGTCGATCAACGAGGCCCTGGCCAGCGAAAAGAAGCAATTTTCCGATTAAACTGTATATATTAGGTATCAATAAATTGTGCACATTCATCTCCGGGAGAAGGTAAAAGCAACCACCACCGATGCAGCAAGCGCAAACAGCACGCCAGGGAGAATCAACTCTTGCAAAGTGTCGTTTGGCGCAGCGGCACTGCTGTTGCCAAGCTTTGCAGAGTTCAGCGCAGAGTCCACGTTGACTTGTTGGTCTGGATGGTGGATCAACAGGTTGATCTTGTCGAGGTTCAGGTTGCTCACCACAAAAACACAGTCTTTCAAGTCCTGGTCCGTAGTGATGGCCACCAGGTCTCCCTCGTCGTCCACATACGAAATAGCAAATTGCTCGGCAGGCTCGAGGCTTTCACCGGTCTCTGAGTCCTTTGCTGGTGAAAGCAGCGTTCTCATTTCCTGTCTAGACAGCTTGGAACCAATGAGTTCACGCAATGGCTCGATACCGTCGCTCGGCTTGCAACTGACTCTGTGTGTTCTTCCTTGAGGCGACTTGAACTTGAAGAACACCGGCTCGTTGAAGTCAACTTCCACGGTAGCAGGCTTCAATGCCGACGAGTTAGTCTCTGGAGCTCCTGTGAAGGAAACAGAGTCGGAAGGCCTAACAATGTCGTTTGTGGAAACGTTGAATTGAGCCAACTCAGACTGCGTCACATCCGCAAGCGAAGCCGAATGTAGCGAGTTTGTGTCGCTCTCTAACGAGGTCCAGAACTTGTTCCATGCAGGGCCTTCCTTCTCCTCGTTCGAACCAGCGTCAGAGTCGCCGTTGTTGATCATCTGGATCGACTGGATCTGGTTCAAAGTATGGTACGTGAGCTTCAGCACATCAACAACACCCACAATCTCGCTGTTCTCGTCGTCCACCACAGGCAAATTCAAATACCGTCCCTCGAACATCTGTCTAAGGGCTTGATGGATGGAGCTGCTAGCCAGGGCGTACGATGGCTTTGGAGTCATGACACGGATCACAGAGCAGGTGCGTGGATCGATACCTGCGGCAATCACTCTCAGAACGATGTCTTTGGAGGTGAAAATACCCGTAACCTCATCGTTGTTCTTGGAGTCTTTCACCAGAACAGCCGTGGTCTTGTTGTCCTTCATCAAAATGGCAGCATCGTGCACAGACGTCTTGATGTCGCAGCAGACTGGAACAGTTCTGTCGGACAGAACAGAATTGAGTCTTGGCCCATTGATGATATTCTTAAGACTCTCAAAGTACTTGATCACGTGCAGAGGCTGACCGCCGCCAAGCTCTTCGGTGACACCTTCCATTGCATCGTAGAGCTTCTTGGAGCTCTCGTACATTCTTTCGAGTTTGGTCATGGCTTCATTGTAGCACTTGGTGATGTCCAACGTTCCGACAATCTGGTGGTTGTCGTTGACCACCGGCAGATGTCTAAAACCTTTGGTGACCATCAAGGAGAGAGCATCGGAAGCCAAAGTGGTGATCTTTGCACACATTGGGTTTGGGGTCATGATATGCTCGATAGAGGTCTGGTTGGCATTGAGATTGGATCCAACAATACGGAATGCAAGGTCCTTGGCCGTGAAAATACCTGCCAGTTGTCCGGCATCGTCCACCACCAGAACACAATTTTCCTTAGTCACAGACATGAGCTGGGCCGCTTCGTAGACGGTGTTGGAAGGCTTCATGATGACCGGATCGGAGGGCTTCAAGGACATGACGGTCCCACTGGCGCCGGATCCCGCCTTGGACTTTTTCTGGGGCGAGCCAAACGTGGACACCATAGTGACGTTGTTCTTCTTCTTGAGGTCGTTTTCGATCTTCTTTCTGATCTGATCGTCTTTCTTGGTTTGTCTCTTGCGGGTAGACTCCAACGGATCCGAAGGCGGGTTCGACAGTGCCGACTGGGCCCGTCTGGGAGTTCTCACAGTGCTGTCTGAGGCAAGCATAACGAAGAAAAGAATGTAGGCGACTTTTTTTTTTCCTCATGGATAAACATAAACATGTTGCCCGATTTGGGAATCATGGCGGTGCTGCCCTCATCTCTGATTTTTTGGGGATCTGTCTGCCAGATTACTAAAACTAAATGATGTGTTAATTAAACTTAATTCGGTTGCAATAGAATGAAGATCAGCATCAGCTCACCAATATTAATTTTGGCCGCGTGGTGCCAGCTGGGAAGTGCAGAGACCACGCACTCGTACCAGTTTGCAGCCTCCAAAGTGGACGCTGCCTCGTCGCTGATCGCAGAGATGGGTAGATCACTAACTCTGGACGATACGGGCCATTCCACGGTGCAGGCGATCATCGACGTTTTCAGCTACGACGTGAGTGCAAATGAGAAGAAGTACAAGTCGTTTCTAAGGGCCACAAACAACCCGAGCGCATCGACGTTTGTGAACAAACTGGAGTCTGTACTCAGCTACCAGGAGACCGCAGCTTCCACGGGCTCCGATGTGACCAAACTGGTTCAGCTGGAGCTGGGACTCATGACTGCGGTTCCGTGGGTTGACACGGTTTACCAGGAACTAGCATACCAGCTGGACGCAGTGAGTTATGCGTCCAACAGTTCTGTGGCTGTGGATACTAAATTGGAACATTTCCACTATGTGACCACCACGAGCGGGTGGGGCAGCTCGATCAGCCCACACTCGTCAAATACGCCTTCCCACTCCGCATTCAGCGTCGCCGCGGCCAGCTCGCTCGCTAACAACACCTCAGCCCCCGTTTCCACTGCCTTTTAATTACGTACGCTCTTTATATACTGTATGGATATTTCAGGACGATCGACCTTTGTGAAAAAAATCACCTGGTCGGAACTAAACCCCCTATATTTTATTTTCGATCCGAGTTCTCTACAGAGCAAGCCAGTGGCAAACCGTTTTTTCCTCATTGAGACGCCAAACCAGATCGTTTTACTCGGATGGACTCAACCAACAAGCTGCAGAAACGCACCACGAAGGCGTGCGATTACTGCCGAGCGAAGAAAATCAAGTGTGACGGAGAGTTGCCTTGCAAGAACTGTCGATCACACGCCAAAGAATGCACTTATATGTATGTCGCCAAGCAGCGCACGTCACGGAGCAAGAGAACTGCCAAAAAACCAATTCCGGACAAGATCGGGTCGCCGCTCGCGGCTCCAAAGCTCGTCACAGCCAGCGTCACCAAAGGCTCTTCCGAGATGGAAGCAAGACTCGATAAGCTCGAGTCCATGATGCATCTACTGTTCGAGAAGTTGACTCCAGCGGTGGTTTCCGGCCAAGTTTCAGACGAGGGAAGCAATAGTGAACTTAGCTCGTACAAGACGGAGTTGGAGCCCGAGTCTGACTCAGCCCCAAGCCAACCTGAATTCGACGACATGTATTTTGGCCCACTCACCACGTTCTCCTTGTTTTCGTCCAAGGGCCTCAAGTGGCTCACGAGCCAGCTGCCCGATGCCACCCCGATGACTGTTCTACGGCAGTATCTTCATGAATTGCAAATTTCTCACACCAAAACAAAGCCTCCTTGGAGACACCCTCCAGGGACGCTGGAATGGGACCTTTTTCCGCCACAGGAGGTGATCACTGTCATGTTACACGATATTCGGCCCTTTTTCGGCGATTCCTCACCTCTAGAGATGAACCTCGTCCACCGTTTGTTCCAAAAATACTTTAACTACAAAAAGGGCCTGATCCCGGAATCGGCACTTAGTCAGCCAGAGATCTTCCTTTTGAGCTGTGTCATGTTGGTGGCTGCTTCTTTGGTTTCGGAATTAGTGAGAACCATTAACATTAAGTGCTCGTTGTCGCTGTCAGAGCTCCAGGACTTGGGCCAGAAGCTCAATGACAGCTGTTTGCACCAAACTCTGGCCGTCAGCATGCTGCCTCCGAATCTGTTGATTCTGCAAGGTGTTTGTTTGATGGTGATTATGTTTGATATGAACATGATCTCCCATGCCACTGGAAATCTCACCTCTATTCTAGTGAGATGTGCTCAGGAGATGGGACTTCACCGCGAAGAGACATACACCCGACTAAGTGAGAGTGCCAGACAACAGCGCATCGCTCTGTGGTGGAGCTGTTACATTCTCGACCGCGAACAGTGCATGAAGTGTGGCAATCCGCCTGCTATTAACGACATGGACGTCACTACCCCTCCATTACCTGGGTTCGAGGACGTTTGGGCCCTTCCAAACGAAAGAATGCCCGATGGCTCGCACAAGAGAGAACATTACACCGACAAAATCCGGACCCGTTTAACAAATCTGCTGGAGAAAGACTGCGCCGACGCCAATTTCGACGTTTATTTGGCTTACGATCTTTCGTGTATCATTTCAAGAACATACAAGGAGCTTTTCTCGGCTACTGCGTTGACAGGAAAAACCAGGGGTCAGGTGGAGGCTACGATTAGATCACTGCTCCACGATCTGGAGTGCTGGAGAATGTGTTTCCCGGTGCAGATCCGTCCTGGCCAAGAGCGGAACTACATCCAGGAGTTCCAGAACTTCAGAGAGGTGAAAAGCCCGACTGAAGGACTGTGTTTGCCGTTCGTGGCCCTGAACTACAACTTGAAATACTACCTGCTACAGATTGTGATTTCCAAAACCATGTTGAGACTTAACTGGTTCTCTGACAGCAAGCATACACATCTATCTTCCAACAGAGACAATCAGCATGTTAATTTGGAACGGATCGGACTCAATGCTATCAGACAAAGTTTGAGGTCGGCCTATCAACTGGACAGAAGCGTCCATACGTACGTTCAGTTTGCCACGTTCTATTTCCTGTGCGCATACGTTGCTCTTGTTGCCGAGATCTTACAGAACCCTAGCTCGCCCGAAGTGGTTGAAGACGTCAAGTTATTGTTCCGGGTGTCGAAAGATTACTTCCACGAGCATGAAGAGTCGCATCACCCGATGCCGACGCCCGAAAAATGGGAGTTTATGGATAAAATAACCAGGTGCCTGTTCTATATCGTGTGGTCGTCTGTGCCCAACATCGACGTCAAGTGCAATTTGGATATTGGCGACCATATCGAGGAGTTCACGCAGATGGAGATGGAAATCCGCAGAAAGAAGGGAACCACCTCCAACACCAATTCGATCAGCTCGTTGTACGGGCCGCCAACTCCTTCCAGCCGGCTGCCTTTTGATAAACCTTCCGTGACCCAAAGCACTTCTTTCCAGTCACCAAATAAAGAGGTTTACGGAGAGCTGCTCAACTCGGTGGTGAACACGCCGTACACCTCGGACGACCAAATCTTTGACGGGTTCCAGAGCGATGCGACCATGTTGCAAAACATGTTCAGCTTGCCAAACTATCTGTTTGATGTGAGTCAGAACAATTACTTCTCCAACAGCCCGATCAACCAGCCCGAGATCTGATCATAGCTTGTGTGGTTGCACAAGGCCAACTCCGCGACGAGCCGCGCCGTATCCGGCCTGGTAGCCGTAACCAGACAGCCCCGAGACATGCACCAGCGTGCCGGCCCCACGCGTCTCTTTCTCCACACGCACGCCGCCCTCCCGGCTCGGTCTCAGCCCGCACGCCACGCGCACAATTTCCCGGTCCTCTGCGGTCTCGGGGAACAAATCCCCTGTTCTTTTTAGTATATCGTCGGTTTCAGACTTCCAGGTGTCTGCACACCAGTTGTGCTTCTGCAAATAGCCTCCCAGAACGACCTGGGAACCAGAGTCTGGCCGCGGAATAATATATGTCACGTTTTTATGCCCCCATCGCATCCTGTTCTCGTTAATATGAGGTGCTCTGATCACCACCACCTGACCCCGGGCAGGGTAGACGTTGTCGTCCTGGGCCCCGCCGAGCGTCTTAGCGCCGATCCCCGTGCAATTGAACACTATCGACGCCAATTGGAACAGATCGTCGATCTGTTTGATGGTTTGCCGAATGAAAACCACTCCGGTAGCTTCCAGGTAGTTTTTCAGGTTCTCGAGGAAAAACGGACAATTAAAGTTCCAACTTGTGTATTTGATACCAAAGACTACTCCTTCAGGCAGATCTGTCTGCGGAACAACACGGAAATCTTCAAGATACGTTTTTAACGAGTCGATCTTGCGAGAGTCCGGCTGGTACTCCCAATATTCTGTACTTGGACGTTTGTCAAGACCACAGCCAGGGCCCAATAAGCTTCTAATAGCCGCCAAATGAGTATAAGTGGTCTTGTCGAAATGCAGCGTCTCAGCGTCGTCCGGAGAAATGCAGCTAAAGTTACCTCCTGCCCATGGAGAAGTGTACTCAATGGACTGGTCTCCAGGAAGATGCTTAGCCACAACGACGATCTCCGAACCCTTGACACCAGCCTCGAGAAGATTTAGTGCAGTGTACAGGCCCACGATTCCAGAACCGGCAATTGCGTAGGTCATGTGTGAGGGAATAAATAGGTGGTCTCGAGTAATTCTGGGCTTTAAATAAAATGTTGCGGCTCGGAACTGGTCAGCAGAGATGTGGCACAGTGCATGTGGCGGTGTCAAATTGCGAGGGAAAAAATTTGGGTGCACAATTTTCGGGTTAATAGTGTAATACCAATTCGCGCTGCATTTGTGGCGTTTGTGAGTGACTTTCGAAACGTGTTGTTTGAGTCATTTTCTCAGTTTCAGTAGATGGTATATACAGTTGTGCAAGTGTTGGAGGTTGGTTTGTAACGTTTTCAACCCACCTGACCAGCTCGTTTTGCTCCTGCTTCGCGAACCGGGGTCATTGCCTCACAAATTTTTTCCAATTGCTTCCCCCACTATATTTCTAAAAACACCACAGAGCCGCACGCCAACTATATATAACCCCGATTCCCCCAGCATGTTGCCCTTATTCCTAAACATGGACTTTCCGGACAACATCTGTCGGTCCATAGTGGCCCAATTGGACACAAACAGCCTTATAAGTCTTGCTGCCACCTGTCGCGGGTTCTACTGGCCCGCAATGCAGCAGCTCTACCGCAGTCTGCTCCTGGTTGACACCCGGCTCAACAGGGTGGGAGACTCGGACTTTACTATTCTCTCCACCAACAAGTTTGAACAATTCACCGAGACCCTCATCAACAACACCAACCTGGTGGGTCTGATCCAGCGGTTTGTGGTGTGCTCCCACAGCAACAACGTCGAGGGATTGGATTTCCTCGTGGGTCTTTTGGTTGAATACAAGCTGCGTAACAACAGTGTGCCGTTGCTCGGACTCAAAGAGTTCAAGATCCTCAACGAGACCACTCCGTACAAGTTCCTGTTTCTGAACAAGGAGTATGTTCGGTCAAAGAAACTGAAAAAGGGGTCCGTTCTGCTGTACGAGAACGACGAGGACGAGTTCACCGAATACTCCAACTTTAAAACGTCTAATACAGTGGTTTCTCTTGAGAGCTACCAGCTGGTGAATCTGGTGGAATTCAACGACATTTCCTCGGACACCAGAGAGATCTGCATCAATACCTCCAACCGGTACCAGGACGAAGGGTTTGTTAAAACGGATAGAATGTGTCGGATTTTTAACGGTCTTGAATCGCTAGAGATTCTAAATCCAGATGCTACCAACACTTTGTTCACCCAGTTAAAAGATCAAAAGGTCCATCTGCACTCGTTGACCCGGCTGTCGCTCAATATGACCGACCTCAAACCACTGACAGCAGTCATGAGCTGTGTACGGCTCGAAAACTTGGAAAGCTTTGAGCTCAAGTTCAAACAGACTTCCATCAGCCACGAATCGGACGCAGCCAACCAAAAACTGCTCGAGTGCATCCGTGGCAGCTTCCAGAACCTCAAACGGCTGTCACTGATCCACTTGAACTCCAACAACCTGCTCAAAAACCAGTCGCTCGGATCGCAGCTGCTGCTCAGCGACGCCAGCCTCTCATACTGCATCATGGAGAACCTGGCCCTGTTCAACTCGACCATCTCCTACCTCAACATCAGCATGAACAACTTTGCATATCTGCCGCCCGTCAGCACAGACTATAGAAACATGATGACCCATTTTGTTGTGGACGAAACGTACTTGGAGACCCGTGCACGCCAGTTCAGCAACCTGCTGCGCTTCCAGCACCTCCAGACCCTCGTTATCCCCGATTATTTCTACAACTGGAAACCGTTCATCCGGCTCGAGGAAACCGTCAAGCAAAGATCCGGCGGCATCAGCTCCAAAACACTCTACTCCGGCTGCACTTGTCAGAAATGCTCCCAAACCCAGCAGTTATTGGGCAGGTACTCAGAGAAACTCAATTTCAACGACAACTCTGCGTATTCCATCTACAATTTCCTAGTGGGACTCCTGCACAGCCGTATGACCAGTTTCGAGACAAGCTCTGGACTCGACATCCTCAAGTACCCGTTCTTGGACCCAGTCGAGATCTCGCACTACGGCTACCTGGACCTGGATATCTGCGGGTTCACCCAGCTGATCCTCGACAATCTCCAAAGCGACCTGTGTTTCTTTGCCAGCCACTTCCCACACCTGCACACGCTCTGTCTGGGCGGCATCCGACTGTCCATCGACAGATCAGACACCGACTTCCGGTTTGCTGCCATCGACGACAACTGGACGTCGCTGGTGCGTCGATCGACCGCATAATAATTTTTTTTCATAGCATATTTACATATTTCTTTTTTCGGTATACTATTAACGCTATCTTTGGCAATTTATGATAAATCCCAACAGGGTGATCTTGAAGAGTTGCGAACCCGAATTCATTTTGGTCTGAAAATGTCCGATTACGACGTCCCTGGCGGATTCCCGTCGCTGCAGTCCCGGGAGTTCACGTTGAAGACTCCTCCGCGGATCAGGAGCGAGATGAAAACGTCCACTCCGTCCTCTGGTGCGTTCAAATTCACACCCACCCACGGGAAAAAGCTGTACCCGACCATTGTGCTCTCTCCAACAGACGGTTCCGACAGCAACACCAGCTACCAGGAGAAAGACAATGCCTCGTTCACTAAGGAGATGGACTATCTGCAAACCAAGCTGTTTTCGTCCAAACTCACCTCGTCCGTGCTGACCGAGCTGAACGACCGGTACCAAAAAGTCCGCAACGACAACATTCTTAATATCCAGAAGCTGAACGCCACGAGCCCGAAACCGCTCAATCGACGGCCGTCTTCCCGGTATGCCAGCGATCATCGTGGCAGGTTTAACCGGCTGGAGTCCATTTCGTCACATTACGCAGCCCGGCGAGCCAGACAGCCACCAACAGAGAACAAGCAGCCGGCAAGAAAGGTGTTTGAAGGGCCAGAGCACCAAACCCGGAAAACTCCAAACGACAAACGGCTCGGGCTTCAGGACCTGGGCAGTGCTTCCAAACGGCTGCGTGTACTCGACGGCTACAAAGAGGTCGTCGAATCGGTCGAGAGCCCTACAAGACCACAGGAGGAGAAACAGAAGATCATGGAGCAGCAGCTGAACAGACAGCGGGGCGAGCAGCCGGTCCTGGGCTCGTTACCACGGCTCCAGTTTTCGCGGCCGTCTAGTGGCTCTGTGGCTTCCAAACCGGCTTCCAAACCGGCTTCCAAGCTCCCTTCGTACCTGCAGCCGACCAAGTCGTCCATCCAGCGGTCCGAAAGTAAACCGCGTCTTAATACCAGCGAGTCTACCTCGCATCTACCGCGACTCAGCAATATTGTCCGTTCCAAAACGATGCAGGAGATCTCTCCGTCCAGAATGAACAAGATCTCCACAAATACACAAGCTCCACTGGGGCTGGCCCAGAAACCTCAGTCACGGGTGCCGTCGCTCTCGAAATCGGCATCGTCCATGAGTCTGGCCCGGAAATCCAGTATCCCGCAGCTTGCGAGACCAACCGTGAAAAAAGACGTTTCCAGACCGTGGAGAAATTAAATTTATTTCAGATTGCGAATTTTTCTGCCAACCATGGCTCATCACGCTGATTACTCCGATTTCAGCGCAAACACCACCAAACAGGAGCTCCTGCAACAGGTGATCGACTCGTACCAGGCGTTGAGCGAGGGCCAAACCAATTGGGTGTGCAATCTTGCCAACTGCAGCTCGTTGGTGTGGCACTGTTACAACGAAGGACTCGCCAAGAAGGTCAACTGGGCCGGGTTCTATGTGGTGGACCCTGCAGACAACAAACAGCTGATTCTCGGACCTTTTATGGGGAAGGTTGCGTGCCAGACAATCAAAATCGGACAAGGAGTGTGTGGTGCTGCGGCGGCCTCGAAACAGACACAGCTTGTTCCTGACGTGGAGAAATTCCCAGGCCATATTGCCTGCGACGGCGAAACAAAAAGCGAGATCGTGGTGCCCATTGTGCATGACGACAAGCTCGTTGGTGTTCTGGACATTGACTGTTTGGAACTCAATGGGTTCGACACGGCCGACCAACAAAACCTCGAGGCCCTGTGCAAGCTGATTAGCGAATCGTCCAAATGGTGATCCAGATGGCTTATTCATGCGGACTTGCCGGTTGATAGATCTTATCGAAACTTTTCAACGGGATGTTTGGTTCTGTGTCTTCAGTATCGCTTTCTTCAAAATGCATGCCTATTCGGCTTTCCAAATTCCAATTAATTGTTCGTAGTCTTCGTTGTTTCTTTCGTCTTTTCAGCCAGTAGCTGTGGAAAATATTTGATATGCCGATAGCAATGACCGAGCCGGCCATATTAGCAAGGATATCCAGCGGGTCGAACGTCCTAGACGGTGCGAGCAGGTGTTGGAGGAACTCGCTGCCAATGGCTCCAAATAGCGTGCAAACTACCAAACTCAGGTTTCGAACGAATCTCAGTGACTTGATGTTCCAGATCCAGTAAAACAAAAGACTCATCACGAAGAACATGGAAAAATGCAGCCACTTGTCGTAAGGCAGCGAGATATCCGCCAGTCCCAAATACAACGACCCGCAAGCAACAACAACAAGCGCCGAAAACGGTATTTTCCTGATCTTCATGCCAATTTCACCAAGAGGGCATTTATCAAGAAAATAAATCTAGTTAAGCGAATTTAGTTAGAATTATTTTATTATTTGTTCCCCTATTGTTTTCGCCATATTATGATCGCAAATGAATAGGGTATGTGGCGTTTGCGGAACGCACAGCACAAGTCCGCAGTACTATTGCGGGTCCTGTATGAACTTCAAGGTGCTGAAACTCAAGCTGAACATCACCAATTTGGGGTATCTTGATGAGACGTACGGGTTCGAGATTGATAAGGTTTTACAAGACTGTATCAATGGACACAGCGCCAGAGTACTCGAGAACTATCTGGCTGGGAAGCTGGACGTGGCAGAACAGCCGAAGGACAGTTTGAGTCCGTCCGTGGAGGCAATTTCCCGGCTGGCGTACATGTTGTTGGCTGTCGAGTTAGCGCAGTTGCGCAAGAACCTGAAACAGGTGGACGGGACGCTCAAGCAGCAGGAACTGGTGAACGCGCGACTGAAGGCCAGGATCCAGGATTTGCGCGAGAGTCAGGCTCAACAGTTGCAATTAGCACAGAAAAAGACACAAGATTTGAAACAACGCCATCAGGAACGACTGAACAGAATACGTTTGGCAACACAAGAAGTGCAGAACGAGAAACTGGCCAAGATCCTGCGTTTGATAGATCAATCCAAGGCAAAGCACTTTGAACAGCTGGTTCATGTTGCCGGGTACGAGACGGTCAATTGGACACAGAAAAGCGACGCTTCCAAGTCCAAGCTCGGAAGCCTGGAACGACTCAATTACAATCTAATGCACATGTTGGTCAAGCAGCAAGAAAAGGCCGAGTTCAAGAACATTCTATTTTTCTCGCCCGTGCTGCCCTTGACCAGATACCTCCACTACAAATTTGACACCGTGATGGACTCAGTTTTGAAAGTGGCTCTGTTTACGACGCTGGCGTCCAAGTATCTGGACGTTGTTCTCCCGTACACGGTGTCGCGCACAGAAGCGTTTGAGCACACGATCGGAAATGCACTCGACAGGTCGCCTCTTTGGATCCCAAAACCGGACGAGAAGTCCGAGCCCGTTTCGAGCCTCGTGGAAGTTAGCAGTCAAGATCTGACCTCGTTTTGCGGAGGTTTAGCAAAACTCATAGTGAACCTTGTGGTGATCATTAACCATACTAGAGCTTCCCGGCTCACGTTCCAGAATCTGCTTGCCATAGACGAGCTCGTAAAGATCATTGTTGGCGAAATTGCAACCACTAAAGAATCTGCCCCCATTTCGATGGTGGCAGAAACGGCTCCCAAACGAAAGTCGTACTTTTCGATGTTCAATTTCTGGACCAGACGCAAAACCAGACCGCCTACAATAGACGAGCACTACGAGAAGCCTGCTGCCGAACACGACTCAAACGCTGTCCTGGAGGTGTCGTTGTTCAACAGCCAGAATCTGGTTGAACATGTGCACGACCAGAAAATCGATATCCATTCAAAGATCGCCAACAGCACGCTTGGGGTCTCGCCGTCAGCATCATCGTCTACAGTTGGGGCGTCTATTTTCGGCAGCAGCTCCAGCATGAACCCGTCCAACGCGCAAGAATGGACGTCTGACGAAGGGTCCATACCGGACGTTGAGTGGCTTTCCGGCAAATTGTACTCGTATTTTGGGTCTGAAATAGCGAAATCGCTCGACAAGGAGACAAGAACGAGCGTTCCGGCCAGCAGCGAGCTGTCGGTGTCCACTCCGTCAACTTATCGGCAGATCAACTACAACACTCAGAACACGGAATCCTTGGGGTCCAAGTTCAAAACGGCGCCATTGTTCTCCACAAACACAATGCCGATCTACCAGTCAAACATACCGTCCACATCCAGAAGTCGGTTCCGTCACTACCAGCCGTCGCGCCCTGCGAAAACCACAGATAACTGGGAAGTTATATAGCTACGCACTGAGAATTTAAATTTAATTTAAATCCACTTACCCGGCCGTCGGTCGTGCAAGTTGATTAAAATGTGCTGCTTCGAAAGAGCCAGCCAGACACATTTCAAGTGATTGCGCTATAAGCAAGTCGTTAGGCCAATTGCAAATAATATAACAACACCATGCTTTCGGACCAAGAACTTTTTGAGCTGAACAAGAAGGCTGTTTCGCAAGGTTTCAACATCAACCCACGGATTAGTTATAATACCGTGGGGGGCGTGAATGGTCCTCTTGTCATTTTGGACAAAGTCAAGTTCCCAAGATATAACGAGATTGTCAACCTTACTTTGCCGGACGGAACTACCAGAGCAGGTCAAGTTTTGGAAGTGAAGGGTGAAAGAGCCGTTGTGCAAGTTTTTGAAGGTACTTCTGGAATTGATGTCAAGAAGACCAGAGTTGAGTTTACAGGAGAGAACTTGAAGATTCCTATATCCGAGGACATGTTGGGTAGAGTTTTTGATGGTTCTGGAAGACCTATTGATAACGGACCACGGGTTTTCGCTGAAGACTACTTGGATATTAACGGTTCTCCAATTAACCCATTTGCTCGTATTTATCCAGAAGAGATGATTTCCACGGGTATTTCTGCCATTGACACCATGAACTCGATTGCCAGAGGTCAAAAGATTCCTATTTTCTCTGCCTCTGGTCTTCCCCACAACGAGATTGCTGCCCAGATCTGTAGACAAGCCGGTTTGGTCAGACCAACCAAAGATGTCCAAGACGGTCACGAGGAGAACTTCTGTATTGTTTTCGCTGCTATGGGTGTCAATTTGGAGACCTCTCGTTTCTTCAAGCAGGATTTCGAGGAAAACGGATCTTTGGACAGAACCTCGTTGTTCTTGAATTTGGCCAACGACCCAACCATTGAAAGAATCATCACTCCAAGATTGGCCCTGACCACCGCCGAGTACCTTGCTTACCAAACCGAGAAGCACGTTTTGACCATCTTGACCGACATGTCTTCGTACGCCGACGCCTTGAGAGAGGTTTCTGCTGCCAGAGAAGAAGTTCCAGGTAGAAGAGGTTACCCAGGTTACATGTACACGGATTTGTCCACCATTTACGAGAGAGCCGGTCGTGTTGAAGGTAGAAACGGATCGATCACCCAGATTCCTATTTTGACCATGCCGAACGACGATATCACTCACCCTATTCCCGACTTGACCGGTTATATTACCGAGGGCCAGATCTTTGTGGACAGACAATTGTCCAACAGAGGAATATATCCACCTATCAACGTGCTGCCATCCTTGTCGAGATTGATGAAGAGTGCCATTGGAGATGGTATGACCAGAAAAGACCACGGTGACGTGAGTAACCAGCTCTACGCCAAGTACGCCATTGGTAGAGACGCAGCTGCCATGAAGTCGGTTGTGGGAGAAGAAGCCCTTTCCACCGAGGACAAGTTGTCTTTGGAGTTCCTGGAGAAGTTTGAAAAGACATTTATTTCGCAAGGTGCTTACGAGAACAGATCCATTTTCGAGTCGTTGGACCAGGCCTGGTCTCTTTTGAGAATCTATCCAAAGGAGATGCTCAACAGAATCTCTCCAAAGATTCTAGCAGAGTTCTACGATAGAGAGAGACAAGCAGAGACAGCCAAGGAGACACCAAAGGAGTCCGAGGCCCCATTGATCGATGCATAAATAGACTATTAAAAGAAAGGATGGTAATTGTCTTGTGATATATCGATTGGCTCCCGCGTATCTGGTGCGAGGAGCAAATGATGTAATATATTTTTTACCCCAAAATCTTTGTCCAAATTGCTTTCTTCCCATGCAATTCCTGATCCGCCAGCCGTCTTTCCCACGATATGGCCTGAAACCCGTGAATGCGTTTCTTGATCTGCCTGCGGAGATTCTTTATCATGTGTTTAAGCTTGTTCCGAACGAGCTGAAGGCGGTTTGTCGCTCGTTCTATGTCATGTATAACGAGTATTATTGCGAGAAACTGGTGACCGAGTTGGGCGAGGATATCATTTTTAACATCGCCATGTACAACATAGACGAGTTGGTTGATTACATCCGGTCGTTTGACTATTGGCGCAAAACTTTGAGGGAAATAGCCTCCAACCATTATAATTTGAAGGACCCCGAACACGACGTGGAAGTCCGCAAATCCATGACCCCAAACGAAATCGTCAGTTGCAAGTACATCAAGGATTCCTGGAAATTGGTGTACGGGATCTACAAGAATCGGCGGTTGTTTGTGGAGTACGACGACTATCAGATCGACGAGCCACAAAGTCACCTCACCCGATCTCTTTTGCATGTCAACAAGACGTATCTTGTCAAATACCGTAAGACGGTGCAACTTTCTGCCGACATCTACAATTTGTCGTGTGGACTAATCATTCAGAATGCTCTGGGGTTGGGCAGCATGAATTTTAAAGTGATCAGAACAGATACAAACCAGGAGTTGCTCAGTTTCTTCCCGGCCACCAATATTAACGACCTGGTTCCGCACGGCAAGTTTGTGCTGCTGGACCTGGGAGATTTCACCTTGCGGATGACCGACGAGGAGAAACGCACATTGACCGAAAACAAACAGCTGGAGGTGGACATTGTGATGGAAGAGACTGGACTTTATCTCAAGTCTGGGTTTGTGGTTTGTTTTATCGACGTGAACGCTTATCCTTCGTCGAGCAAGGGAATTGACCCGTACACGAACAAGGTCGTTGTCACGGAGAAACGTCCGTGGATGGCGTGGTCGATCGACAACCAGGAACCCATTCCGGAGGTTGTTGTGAACCGGTTACTAAAACGGCTATACAAGTCGATCAACGGGCTGGTTTCGATGAAGCCACAGGAGTCGCCGTTCCAGCGGATCGGCAGTTTTGCAGAGCTGAACGGCCGGCAGCCAATCCAACAGACCAAGACAGAACGGCGGCGCAGAAACTCCGAGTTCGAGCCCATCATCGACGTGGATACCTACAACAGAGATTTCTACTCAAACGTCAACGAGAACGGCGAGCCAATCACACGCACCTTCCGATACCTGACCCAGTACGATAGACGGCTTCAAGAGACTCGTGTGGCGGTGGGTGAGGAGCACGTTGCTGTCAACGAGCCGCTAAAATGGAAATTATCCACCATCTTAGAGGTGTAAATTAATGAGATAAAAAAACTACAGCTACTAACCTTTTTTTTTACATGAAGAATTTTTTTGCCTCCTAATCTAAGCAGAAGCAACATCATAAATTCCCAATTCCTTCCACCTTTTCCCATTCCGCCATCCACATGACCGCTTCCGAATCTCTCTTTGAAACGAATTTCGCCCAGGACCCGAGCCCGTTGGTGGCCGGCGACACTTTGTTGAAAGACGTGGATCTGGGCAAGAGCCTGATCACCTACCGGGTGCTTGTGTCGAGAAGAGAGGCCGGCGCTATAATCGGCAAGAACGGCGACTGTATCACCCATATTCGCGAACACACAAACATCAAGGCAGGCGTTTCCAAAGTCATTGAAGGCTGTATCGACAGAATCCTTACCGTCACGGGTATAGTGGATAACGTGCCCGAGGCTTTGGTGCAAGCTGCACAGGCAGTGACCCAGTCCAACGTTCAGACGATCGCAAACTCAGTCGCCAACGGAACAGACCCAACTTCCCTCATCACATACAACTTCTTTCCCCTGAAGGCCCTGTGCCCTACTCCGGCCGCCTCTGACCCATTGTATGCCGAGACCTTGAGTCTGAGACTTTTGATTCCACACTCGCAAATGGGCACCCTGATCGGAAAGGCCGGCGCCCGCATCAAGTCGATCCAGGAAACCTACAACGTCAAGATGGTGGCTTCCAAGGACTACCTGCGAAACTCCACCGAGCGCATAGTCGAGGTCCAGGGAACAGCCGCGGACCTGCGACAGGCACTGGACGTGATTTCACGGTGTCTACTGAGAGATTACCACGGCGTCGTGGCCACCGTTTACTATACCCCATCTCCTCGCCAACCGCCTTACAGAGGAGGATCCAGACTCGACCCTTCTTTGGGAAGCGGACCCGACAGAGAGGTTTCTGAGAAAACCAGTTTCCCTGGCGAGTTCGTGGGAGCTCTTATCGGGAAAAAGGGCGCCCGGATCCAGGAAGTCCGCAGAACTTCTGGCTGTACGATCAACATCGAGACCGAAGATAACGAACAGGGCCAGCGAGAGTTTACTCTCACCGGAACAGCACTCAGCGTCGACCGCGCTCTTTCGTCTCTGTATTCCTACTTTGAGAGAGAGAAGCAGCGTAGAGACGAACAGGTGCAACAAGAGTAGGCCATGGATATTTACAAAAGCTTTTTTTATGTCATTTTAACGTTGTATGATTTTTCGGAAAAACCTAATTATTAGCCGACTTACAGTTCCGTGAATTAGTTGCGTGCGGCTTTAAAAAAATAGCAGGACAATACACCTGGATCACCTTTTTTCACGCTAACAGGATAAACTCCGAAATCTCACGGCGCGGTTATAAAACAGCGCCCGCTCTGACACTTGTCCATCAATTCTCACCATGTCTTCTGTATCGGACCTTGAAAAAATGAGACACTCAGACTCCAGCTCCATGGACCAGTCTTTTACTGAGGAGCTTGAGCCCTATGTTCTGGAGAGGGATGAATGCGCTGCTCTTAGCCGAACCGCTAGCCACCACAGTCTTTATCCTGACCAGGAGGTGGTCAACATCCTGTCGCACCCAGAAAGCGGCAAACAATCGTCTCCGTGCTACGAGGTTACTTTGGAAGCCACCGAAACAACCCATCCGCTGATGCTCCCTGTGTGGCGCAAGTGGCTGATTGTGCTCACCCTTGCGCTTGTTGGTCTAGACATCTGTTTGTTGTCCAGCTGCTGGTCGCTGGTGTCGCCGTTGCAGCAGAAATACGGTGTTTCTCACGAACTGTTTGTACTGGGGGTGTCTTTTTACATTTTCGGCATGGCATGGGGTCCGCTTTTCCTGTCACCCATCAGCGAGTTTTACGGCCGCAAACTGACCTACATCATTGGCCTGCTACTCAGCATTGTGTTCCAGATCCTCATGTGCTTTGTGCCCAACTACGGGTTCCTCATTTTTTGTCGGTTCATGTCCGGTCTTTTTGGCTCTGTTTTCTTATCGGTTGCACCAGGTACGATTTCCGACATATTTACCAAACAGACCATCGGCACCCCGCTGTCCATCTACTCGTTGTGTCCGTTCCTGGGCCCCAGTCTCGGCCCACTGCTTGCGGGAATAGTTGTCCAGTTCGGCAAGCAAAAATACATGTGGACGTTTTACAGTCTCCTGATTTTTAGTGCTTTCCTGTTCGTTCTTATGGTGATTGTTATTCCCGAGACCTATGTTCCAATCTTGACCAAACGCAAGGCAAAAGCTCTCAGACTCGAGACAGGCATCGACGACTACTACGCTCCATTGGAACACTCTGCCAACAGTCTAATTCACACCATCTTGAAAGCTCCCCAAAGACCGCTGTCTGTGCTGCTATTCGACCCAATGATGTCTGTGCTCTGCTTCTACTCCGGGCTAGTTTTGGGAATCGTTTACCTGTTCTTTTTCTCTGTTCCCTACACGTTCCACAAGGTGTGGGGTTTCAACGTCGCGGAGCAGGGACTTGCGTTCCTGGGCATGACAGTCGGCATGGTCGCATCGTCCGCGGTGTCGCCGTACTTTGGAACAATCTACCACAAACTCAGCGAGAAACACGGCAGACCAGAACCAGAGTACCGGTTCCCGCCGCTTATTGTTGGCGGAATGCTGGCTCCTGCGTCTCTGATCACCATGGCATTCACAACGTACAAGCAATGCCACTGGATCGGGGCGCTTATCGCGTCCGGTTTCTATGGAATGTCCACGGGACTGATCATCTCCGGAATCTTCACTTACACAACAGATGCGTACCGGTTGTTTGCTGCGTCGGCTGCTGCTGCCAACACGTTCACCCGGTGCTCCATGGCTGGGATTTTCCCGCTATTTGGGCTCCAGATGTACGAAAAGCTCGGAGTCAACTATGCGTGTCTGCTGCTGGCAATGCTGGCACTGCTGTTGGCGCCTGCACCGCTGTTTTTCTACAAATTTGGCTCGAAACTCAGACAACGGTCGAAGTTTGCCTGGAGCAGCGAAAAATAACACAGATCTTTATAGAGTTGTGTAACGAAATACATTATGCGCTATAGACTTAAGCCTGGACAGCCTCGGCCTGAGCATCCTCAACAGGCTTGAAGTCGTTAACGTAAGGCTCAGCAACAGGCTGGTCCTCCTTTGGCTCGTAGATAACAACGGAGTCAGGAAGAGCCTTTGGTCCCTTTCTGTTGGTAGCTGGGTCCTTCATAATCTTGACCTTGATACCCAAAATACCTTGTCTAAGCAAAACGTGTCTGGTAGCAACATCAATGAAGTCAATGACTGGTTGACCAGAGTGGATCATGAAACCGTCACCGAACTTCATAGACTTAGCTCTAGCACCCTTGGACTTACCAGAGATGACGACCTCGACACCCTTAGCACCGGACTCCATCACGTATCTGATAACACCGTAAGCGGCTCTTCTAACAGCAAGACCGTTCAACAACTTGTACCGGAGCGACTCACATTGAGTAACGGCGGAAAGACCTCTGTCCTGGACTCTCTCGGCGAACAAGACGATGGTACCTGGAGCAAACTTGAATCTCTTCTGGACAAGAGAAGTAAGCTCGTTGATTCTTCTACCCTTCTCACCAAGGACTCTTTGGGTGTTGGTGGCAGAGATGATGACCTCGGTCTTGGTTGGGGTGATTCTAACCTCGACACCGGCGTATCCCTCTTCTGGGAGTTCTCTGCTGAAGAATTCGTTCAACTCGGCGTAGAAGACACCGTCAGCAACAAGCTTTCTTTTCTTGGAGAAGTTGGCAACCATTTTGATGATAGGATTGTTTGTGAGGTGAAAAATTTGGCTGAAATAAAATTTTAGGAGGGCATGGGTTGGGTCTTCAACATCACGTGACGCCCCGAACATTTGGAAAAGGTAATTTTTCCCCCTGTCGCGCCTTGCTGCCTCTTGGCTAGAACTTGCATTTTGCAAAAGCCGGCTGTGCACGATCGCATAGAGTTGTGAAACATGTACGCGATTACGTTATAAGCTTAAGTAGGCTGGATGAAGTTGGAATGCAAAATATGAGCCAAACCCAGATCACATTCAATGTCAGTGATTACTACGAAATCAAGGATATAGTTGGTGAGGGGGCTTATGGCATCGTCTGTTCGGCCATTTACAAGCCTTCGCAGCAGAAAGTGGCCATCAAGAAGATCCAGCCGTTCGAGCGGACAATGTTCTGTTTAAGGACGTTGCGCGAGTTGAAGCTACTCAAACACTTCAACCATGAGAATATCATCGGAATATTGGATATCCAGATTCCGTATGACTTTGACAGCTTCAACGAGGTGTACTTAATCCAAGAACTCATGGAGACAGATTTGCATCGGGTCATCAGGACTCAAACTTTGAGCGACAACCACTGTCAGTACTTTATCTATCAGACACTTCGTGCATTGAAGGCATTGCATTCCGCCAACGTGCTCCATAGAGACCTTAAGCCTTCGAACTTGCTGCTGAATTCCAACTGCGACCTCAAGATCTGCGATTTTGGACTCGCGCGTTCGGTGGCCTCCCAGGAGGACAACTTTGGGTTCATGACCGAGTACGTGGCTACGAGATGGTACCGTGCGCCGGAGATCATGCTCACATTCCAGGAATACACCACCGCGATCGACGTGTGGTCGGTTGGCTGCATTCTCGCAGAAATGCTTTCGGGCAGACCGTTGTTCCCAGGAACCGACTACCACAACCAGTTGTGGCTGATCATCGACGCTCTGGGCACTCCGCTGATGGAGGACTACAGCTCCATCAAGTCGAAGCGGGCCAAGGAGTACATAAGGACACTTCCGTTTAGAAAGAAGAAGAGTTTCCACGAGCTTTTCCCCAACGCCAATCCTGATGCCATAGATCTGTTGGAGAAACTGCTCACCTTCAACCCGAAAAAGAGAATCACTGTCGAGGAGGCACTGGACCATCCTTACGTTTCGTTCTACCACGAGCCAAACGACGAGCCTGTTGCAGAAAAGATCCCCGACGACTTTTTCGACTTTGACAAGCGCAAGGACGATTTGTCTCTTCTGGAGTTGAAGAAGATGCTCTATGACGAAATCATGGAGCCACTGAATATGAGCGAAGCATAAATAAATAATATCGCATAAATTGTATCTGGAGTACATTTGTAAGCATTTTTTATGACTATATGCTAAAAGGTATCTACTTTCCGGTTGAGGTGTGGTACCTGATCGCCGAGAATTTGCACGCAGAAGATTGGATCAACTTGCGCGCCACCAATTCTCAGCTTTATCTGATTTTCTCCGCCAACGAGCTCTGGAAACCGCTCGTGATTGAAACTTGGTACAAATATACACACCACCAGGATACCGTCAAAGACCAGTATTGGCTCGGTCTTTACTACAAACACGTCAATGCCGACCGTGTTCTGCGCAACAAACTTCATTCTCTAGAGAACTTACAACACCAGCCCGGGTCGCAGGTCTGGAACGTGCTGAGTCCGGTTTTCGAGGACCCTGATTTGTACGTTCCGGAGCTCGTTCGGCTGTCGCAACATCTGAACACAAGCTACTTGAAAAACGGAGCATACCACAAGGCAGATTTCGATAACCTGCTCACGTCGCGACTAAACAATCTGCGCTGCATCTATCTGGCGAGCTCCGTGCTCCGAGCAATCAGACTGTGCAAGATGTTCCAGTACGAGTTTGACTACTTCCGCAGAGAAACGGACAACGAGAACTTTGAGACCTTGGAGGATATGCTGATGCATTTCTCGTACATTGATCCGTTCTTCTACGAGTTCTACGAATACAGAGAACGCACACTCAAGTCGGTGGAGAAGGCGTACCGGGAATTAGAGCTCGACAACACTGTCTCCAACACCGCCAAGGTCAAGCAATTGGCGTCTCTGTTGCAAGAACAACTCTACCGCAATTCCATGGCCAAAACGCCGTTTCAAACAGAGCAGACCAGGTACAGGTTCTGTGAAGACTTCTGTCTGCTACGAGTGTATGCCGGAGACGTTATCGGTGCTCCCGAGTGTATCCACGCCATCATGCACAAACTATGCGACACAGTGGACATTCCAGTGAGAGTCAACAAGGCCAACTTTATTGTCGAAGACCCAACAGTGCGAGGAGGTACTTCTCACTTTATTATTTATTCTTACAAGACGGTCCAGATCAACATCGATGAGATCCTCAACACCAGTTCGCCGTCCATCGTCAACATCTACCGCTCGTACATCACGTGCAAGGAACTGAAGCTTCATGTGGCCTCGCTATTCTTCGAAGCGTTCAGCCTCAACCCGAGAATACCATCCACCATCCACCCCCAAGCTTTAAATGACGATGAACTGCATGTATCTGCGCTGGGCGACCGAATCCAGGGCCAAATTCTCGGATTCTACTGTGCAGACGACTTTAGTGTCCGTATCTTCACCCGTTTCTGGAGTATCCGAATGCGTAACTGGAACACGAGACCTCGAATCTTCGACACAGGACTGGTCTCTGTGTTTTTTCTATCGAACCAGATCGCTTTCTTGAGCATTGGACTGATAACCGTCTCGAGCAAGTATCAAGAGCTTGCCATGCTCTACGAAGATCTTAAAGACATGATTTCCAAACAGTCAGGCAGATGTATATCCATGGACATGGCACATGGCGACGCAAACAAGTTCACCGAGAACAGATACGAGTCGTTCGAGGCAGGACAGCTAGTTTTGCACCGGGGGATTCAGCCTCTGCTGGTGCTTGGTTTTGATTCGAGCGAAAAACCAGAGTCCTGTCGTTGCATGAAGCTAACTGGTGGCATCTTTATTTCGTTGCCCCGGAATCTTGTTCCGTTCTGCTATGATTCGTCGGAATTCGACGCAGCAGTCAAACAGTTCGCCATCTACGACGAGCTTGGAGCATACTTCACCAAGTTTGACGAAAAAACCAAACGGTTCATACTAATTAATAACGAATCATGATTACTATGTACAAAATTATATCTCCACCAGGAGTTTACCAGCTCGCTTCTTGGGCGACGACGACGACCGCGCGTACGGAGTGTATCTGAGCGGAATCAGTTTGTTCAACAAAACATTCTGGATAAAGGAGAACACGTTCGAACTGATCCAGTATAACGATAAGGCAGCAGGAGCATAGGTGGAGAGAACAACCAGGAAACAGATACTCATTCTGGATAATGTAATGACACTATCAAACGCGGTGGGTCTCAAGGTGTTCTTCACGCCTCTCGTGGTGAGCTTCATCAGGTCTGCAGTACGGAAATTCCACTCTGCATTGGTCAAGGCTGTAATTCCCAAAGTAATTGGTAGCACAAAGTACGGATCAGAAAAAGTCAGGTTCACCAAGTACCCGAGTCCTTCTGTTGACAGTGTAGGGTCCAGTGGCATGGCCCCGACGTCGGTCCAGCCAGTGAGTACCCGGAACGATTGGGACAACGTGATCCATAACGGGATCTGCAGAGCAGGCAGAAACAGGAACTTCCACGACTGACACCCGTTGTCTTTAAAAATCTGCCGCTGACGTCTCATTCTCTCCTTTGAAGCTAGAACGATGATCTTGTCAGCAGATAGTTTCTCTGCCTCTGTCTTGATGATGCTTGAGGGATTGGCCCGTGCGTTCTGCTGCGCAGCCTGTGCGCTGGCTGCCAGTCGAATCTTGGACACGGGAAAAGTAGCCCCGATCATCGGTCGCAGCTCGTTTTGTCTTTGTAAGCCTTTTCTTTGGTACACTGCGAGCGGCAGCGTGGTCACCGTACGAACAGCAAACGTTGCCAGCGGAATAAAGGCCCACCACGGGAGCCCCACCGCAGCATGGGCTGCCGAAATTAGCTGAGCGCCTTCCTCAAATACGGAAAAAAGCTCTGTTCCAAACCGACGGCGTCCCAGACTTTTCGCGCTGGCTCTGGCCCGGCTCGCTGTTGTGAACATTTCGTCTGGTGAATTATTTTTTTCTACTTATTTTTCATACCATGTCGCAAAAAAGAGGTAGACCGGCTCCAAAGCTCAACAGAGCCTGCATGTTGTGCGGGCTGGTGCAATCGATGAACGTAAGTACCGGAACAAGATACGACATCCGCCAAGATGACTAACAGTCCAGCAATTCCGGAACGACGGGTGTCCAAACTGCGAGTCTGTTCTCCATTTCGCAGATAACGACGATCTCGTGAGAGAATGCACATCGCCAACGTTTGAAGGACTCGTTGCTTTGCACGGCGACCAGGCCTCGTGGGTGGCCAGATGGCTCAGAGTCGAGCACTTTGTGCCGGGACTGTATGCAGTGAGAGTGATAGGAAAGCTGCCCGACGACGTTCGTGGAGACCTGCAGGCCCAGGGCATCGAGTACCGGCCACGTGACGGGTCCGTTCAAGACTGAGCGCGAAAACTACAAGCACAAGATTACCTGTATTTCTAAAAAGTACGACGTATACGACACGCGGCTCAAGCGATCAAGTTGTGGAAACACAAATAGACACAATCTCAACTCCAAAAGAGCACCATGGAACACCCCGCTAGTCACCTGACCGGGTGTCAAGCCATGTTGCACCATCGTGTCTCCGAAAAAACGTTCGCTGTGCCGCACCTGGCTGCCGTGTGGTTTACATAATCAAAAATATCCACATGCTGTGAAAATTTTCAACAAAAGTAACCTGCAGTCGTATAAAAAGATCTCTAAGTCTGAAGTTTTTTTCCCATAACCTTTTTAAACGTTATTGATCCATACATAATGAGCAATTACAAAGTCGCTGACATTTCCCTTGCCGCTTTCGGTAGAAAAGACATTGAGTTGTCTGAGAACGAGATGCCTGGTTTGATGTACATCAGAGAGAAGTACGGTCCTTCTCAGCCTCTTAAGGGTGCCAGAATCGCTGGATGTTTACACATGACTGTCCAGACTGCTGTTCTGATCGAGACCCTGGTCGCTCTTGGTGCTGAGGTTACCTGGTCTTCTTGTAACATCTACTCCACCCAGGACCACGCTGCTGCTGCCATTGCTGCTGCTGGTGTTCCAGTTTTCGCCTGGAAGGGTGAGACCGAGGAGGAGTACTTGTGGTGTATTGAGCAACAGTTGTTTGCTTTCAAGGACAACAAGAAGCTCAACTTGATCTTGGACGATGGTGGAGACTTGACCTCCCTTGTCCACGAGAAGCACCCAGATATGTTGAAGGACTGTTTCGGACTTTCTGAGGAGACCACCACTGGTGTCCACCACTTGTACAAGATGTTGAAGGAGGGCAACCTCAAGGTTCCAGCCATCAACGTCAACGACTCCGTCACCAAGTCCAAGTTCGACAACTTGTACGGTTGCAGAGAGTCTTTGGTCGATGGTATCAAGAGAGCCACCGATGTCATGATCGCTGGTAAAGTTGCCGTTGTTGCTGGTTTCGGTGACGTTGGTAAAGGTTGTGCCATGGCTCTGAGAGGTATGGGTGCTAGAGTCATCGTTACTGAGGTCGACCCTATCAACGCTTTGCAGGCTGCTGTTTCCGGCTACCAGGTCACCACCATGGAGGAGGCTGCCCCACAAGGTCAAATCTTCGTTACCACCACCGGTTGCAGAGACATCATCACTGGTGAGCACTTCGCCGTCATGCCAGAGGACGCCATTGTGTGTAACATTGGTCACTTCGACGTTGAGATCGACGTTGCTTGGCTTAAGGCCAATGCCGTTGACGCAGTCAACATCAAGCCACAGGTTGACAGATACTTGCTCAAGTCCGGTAAGCACGTGATTTTGCTTGCTGACGGTAGATTGGTCAACTTGGGATGTGCCACCGGACACGCTTCGTTTGTCATGTCCTGTTCTTTCTCCAACCAGGTTCTTGCTCAAATTGCTCTGTTCAAGGCTGACGATGCTGACTTCAGAAAGAAGTTTGCAGAGTTCGAGAAGACTGGTCCTTTCGACATTGGTGTCCACACCTTGCCAAAGATCTTGGACGAGACCGTTGCTGCCTGCCACTTGAACCACTTGGGCGTCAAACTCACCAAGTTGACCAAGGTCCAGAGCGAGTACTTGGACATTCCTCTTCAGGGTCCATACAAGGCTGATCACTACAGATATTAAGCGATACACTAGACGATTAGCGATTTTGCATCAACTGCATTTGTATTTCGGATTCCCGTTGTACCTTTCTTAGAAGGTTCGCCACTTTTATGTTATAATGCCATGCTCAACATCATGTATAATAATTTGATTTAAAAAGCTGTTTTCTGCTTATTTAATTGTAGTATGGGGAATTATTTTATAATATTTAGATATGTCTAGTTTTCCTTCTTATCTATTAAAGCTCACTTATGGCTACGAATTGCAACGACGGGGCGATCGACTAAAGTCGTACGAACAGCCAAAGTCGAAACAGGACATTCGTGATACCATGGTGACCAGGCTATCGACCAATGGGATCCTTGGATCGAGTCCTGCCTTGTTTAACCAGAATGAGGAGTATATTGATAAGTTGGTGGACATTCTAAAATCCAAAGGTTTGGAGAAAGCAAGCGCCATGGCTTCTAATGAGCTTGACAATGACGAGTCTGAAGCTGAAGAATTCGGCGGCAATGTTGACGACTCAATGACTCAAACTTCTGAAGGGCTTAATTTTAATTCCGAAGACTCTAGCAACGTCTTTTCTGCATCAACACATTTACCTTCGCGCTGGATAACACCCAAAGACTGCCAATTTGAACTGTCATTGGATGGGCTGGAGATCTCGACCAAAAACCCGGCCAAGCCAGTCACATCCAGCTCGTCTTCGATAACAGTCAATTTACCCAACCATTCGCAAACAGGGGTGTTTTCCACAAAGGCAAACCACATCGTTCCGGAGAGCATTGGGATCTACTACTACGAGGTGGAGATCGTGTTTGGGCTGAGCTCGGGTGCCGATGTGACCGTTGGGTTCATGGACGGCGACCATCCTGAAGAGATTATCAGTTCGTTGCGGGGACATGACGAAAACACTTGGGGATACAAGGGCAAAGATGCCAAGTTGATCCATTTTGAGGATGGACGCACCAATTTCAAGAGCTCTTGCAAGTTTGGCAACAAGGACGTTGTTGGGTGTGGTGTCAATTTTATCAATGACTCGATCTTTATCACCAAAAACGGCGCCTTTCTGGGAGAAGCATTCCAATTACCTTCGCACATCAACAAAGTGATTCCAGCAATTAGTCTGGGTGCCTGGAATTCTGTGTCGACGAATTTTGGGTTGTCCAAACCGTTTAGATTCAACATCGACAATTACGTGGAATCTTTCAAGCTTGACTTTAAGAAGAAAGTTCTTGAATCTGGGTCCCCGTGGTTTGCGTTAAACGAACATTCTTCTGACCCAGACAACACCACCGATACAAAGACGTTCATTGATAGAATGATCAAGAAGTATTTTGATCACAATGGGTACGGAAACGCACTAAAAGCTTTCAACAGGGAGCTCAAGGAGGAAGGTTCCACCGAGCCAGAAGGTTCGGTTCGCCACGAAAATGGAATCAAGAAACATATCAGGACACTAATTAAGGCGAATCGGGTGGACGATGCCATAGATACGATCAACTCGAACTTTCCGTCGCTTTTGCAAGACAACCAATCTGTGTTATTCAAGTTGGAATGTCTCAAGCTGATCAGCGTGATAGGCGACAAGAACGAGTCGGACTTCTTAAAGTACGCTCAGAATATGAGATCGCGGTATCCATCTGAGCCTTACCACAAGACTCTAGACGAGATATCTGCGTTGTTAGCGTACAACGACCCGAAACAGACCGCATTATACAAAACGTTCACTGATTTCGAGAGAGACAGAGTGATATTTAATCTATCTGAGCTGATAAGTGCCGAAAGCGGGCTTCCAACAAAGTCGAATTTCGCAGCGATGATCGAGAAAGCGCAGAGTCTCGAGTCGGAGTGTTCCAACAAGGAGATGAGACTGGTGAACATTCTTAGCGATTTTGTTGACATATAACACCAAATCAGGACTATTTGTCAAGGTTTTTCAGTACTTCGTTGGCGAACTGCTCTGCAAAGGACTCTCGTTCGTCTTGGGGCAGTTTTGAGGCATCCAGCCGGGCTGCTTGGAGTTTCTTCAGTACATCCGCAAAATCAAGCTCTTTTTCCGAATGATTCAGTAGGGGCGTGGTGAGATCAGCATTGGACTCGACTGGTTTAGCTGGCGTTTGTTTCTGGTGCGTTCTCCATGGATGGCTTTCTATAGTTTGTCGTATGAGATCTGGGTCGAACGGTATGTACTCAGCTCCAGACGTGATGAATATATCTTCGTATGGAACGTTGGACAGCTCGCCATTGAGTCCAACCACGATCTTGAACCCGTCCCATTGGAGTTCTTCGTTGTGTTCGGTGTACTCGTCGTCCAATTGAAGAGCCAGACTCTCCAGCAATTCAGACAACGATTGCAGCTCTTTTTCTGTAGTTTGTTGACAGTCGATACAGACCACGATCCCCTGGAGCTCGTCTCGTAATTCACGGGCCTCTGTACTTTTCAGCTCGTCAAACCATTCCTTGCTAGATTGGTACTCGTCCACAAAGATCGACACCTTCGACTTGTAGTACTTTGTCTCTATAGCAACGTTTTCCACAATGATTCCGCTCTGAGTACCATCCTCCAGACTATTTACATCGCCTATTAGCGAGACGTCCTCCAACAATTGCAATTTATCAAGCCCAACCTGGCTAGTCACCAGTATTCTGTTCACCATAATGATCTGGCTGTGCAAGAATATCAGGTTTATAAACAAAAAAACTACTTGTACTTTGTTTGTATTCTATGGCACCGAAAATAGACATCAACGCGCGTGTGACCGAAGGAGACTCTCTCATACAGTATGCTCTTACATCCGACGACTACCTGGATCAGTTCGTGCCGATCATCAAGGCGGAGCTTGCCAACAAGAATTCCCTTGAGGATCTGATCGTGAAACTCGATTCCGCGTACAAGGAGAGAGAACAAACACTCGAGGGAGTTTCGTTCGAGTCCATTGACAAATTGACCAGCTCCATCGAGAGCATTTCGGACGTGGCGCAGTCCTCTGGAGCAATCAGTCAAGAAGTCAGCATGGTCAACAGCCAGCTCCGTAAAACTGGCTTGGAGTACCTGGACAAAAAGATGTCGGCACTCAATTACAAAAGATTACACAACAAAATCTCAGAAACCATCTTGACCATAAATCTGTGTTTGGATATGCTTGACAAGACCAATAAGGTGTTTGAATTGTATCATCATAAAAATTACTACAAAGCCCTCATAAACCTGGACCTTTTAATGAAGAGCCGATCCGAGGATATCGAAATGTTTGAATTCACACAGAAAATACACAAATCTCTCCCTGCAATCAAGGAACTGATCATCGACGAAACGTTCAACCAACTGGTGAGATGGTTCAACGTCAGTTTTGAGAAAAATCTCACCCTTATCGGAGAGCAATTGTTTGAGCATTTCGAGGTTCTGAACCATGCTTGGAACGAACAGCAGGCAGAGGACCCGAACTTGCTCTCGTTTAAGGTCAACACTCCGTTGGAAAAGGCTTTCAGAAACGACGAGCTAAAGTCTTTCAACCCACTCTCAAACGACAAGGTCCATGTTGATTTGGGACCTGTGTACCATTCGGTCATGGTTTTCGAGCTGATCGACGAGTTTGAGAAGCTGAAGGACGATTTTTCCAATGAGCTTCTTCGTAAGCGTGACCGGTTGATCTACCCGATTAGAGAGGCATTGGCTACACAGAAGCTGGACATGTTCTCCAACAACGAGTCGTTGAAGATCGTCATCTATTCGCTTGCTGCCCTGTTGGTGGCAGACAGATTCATTGGAGCCAAACAAGAATACAAACTACGAAGCAAAAAACAAACAGACGACCTGTACAGTTCGATCATGAGCAAGTTTGTTCCGATTCTGAAGGCCCATATCAACAAGTATGTTGGAGACTTCCAACACTTGAAAGAACTTAACGATATTCTTGGAGTGTTTGTTCAAATCCTGGAGAATTACGACTTTAACGTGGATTCACTCTACCAAGTGCTAGTCACCCTGCTCCAGCAGTACATCAACACACTTACAAAGGAGTTCGAACTTAATTACGAAAGCTTGTCCGAGGAGGAGAACCCGCAACCGATTACCATAGAGAACCAGACCCAGCTCGACAATGTGCAATTAAACTGTTTCCACAAATTCAAAGAAGCACCAAAGGAGTTCCCTGTGGTGCTACCATTTTCGATTATCTACGCTGCCACTTGCCTAAAGCTCAGGTCGTTTATTCACGATATCTACGAGTTCTTGGGCAAATACTACATTCATAAAAATTCTGAGATTCTGAAACTCATTGGCGAGTCTATTGATTCGGTTTTGATCAAGGTTGTGCTCAAGGACCTGAAGACCAAGATCAACTCCTCGTACAAGGAGGAGGTGTCGCAGAACCTCATCAACATGGAATTTTTCTCGAGATCTGTGAAGGAAATCGAAAACTACCTGAACTACTCCACCGATCCTATAATTGCGAGATTCCGGTCTTCTTCGTTGCTGATCAGACTGCAGTCACAAAAGGAGTTCCAGAATACCCAGACTAAGGCGGAAGAAGGAATGTTCGACATGGTGGACTCCAAGATTGACATGTTGTTCGACATGATTGATTTCGACTGGGAGTCGAAGGAGATCAACGAGGAGCCAAGCATTGGTATCAAGGACATGGGACTATTTTTGGAGAACATTTTCATGTTGGACTTTTCTCATTTGCCTTACAGCATCAAGTCTCTGTTGTTGATCAGAACCTTTGACAAGATTGTCAACTTCTTCAAGCAAGCAGTTTACCAGACGGATTTCATCACCAACGAGAGCATATCGAACTTCGAGCTAGACATCAAGTACATTGAGTCGATCATTCCAGACTTGAAGTTGCAGAACGGCAATGCGAACCAGCTTTCTGCCGACCCAGACAACGCCAGCTCCACTTTCCAAACGATCTTTGTTGGGCTGAAACAGATTATCGACTTGCTGAAAGACGGCAACCTGGAGACCTACAAGGACGAGACTACGCGCATGCGCAAGTTTGACACTATATTACCAGAGCAGGCTATAGATCTGATCCAGAAGCTGGAGGACTTCCAGATGTTGAAGCGCGAGATGGACGAGAGCTCGCAGTACGGCCAGGCGAGCGACTCGGAGGACGCGAACGGCGAGCCGTCGCGCAACATGTTTGGGTTCAAGCGGACCAAGACGTCAACCTCTTTGAGCTCGCCGTCCAAGATGTCTGTTTTCAAGCGGCAGGTTTCGTGAGCTAGATCTGGACCTGTTCCCAGCTGAGCCAGTCGCTGCTTCTGTTTGGGATCAAGCCCAGCTTGTTCAATTTCCAGACGCCCACCAGCATGTTACCCAGACAGCATGCCACATATAGAATCTGTAGCATAGTTTTATCCGGATCGTTTTTCAGCTCCAACACCTCAAACTTCTCCTTGACCTGGAAGATTTCCTTGGCCGAGTTGACAAACAGCATCAGAACCATCATGATTGGGATCAATTGCAGCGAGTTCGGCGACATGTACATCATGATGAGGTTCATGGGGATATTTTTCGCTGGCGAGATGGCCACGTCCCAGGCCCTTTGCTTCTTGAGCTTTTCAAGGTCGTAGGACTTTTCGCTGGATTTTTCGGTCGTTTTCACCTTGCCGTCCTTCCATTGCTTGAAGAACTGGTCGTTGAAGCCCGGTGGGTTTTTCGCAGTCTTTTTTGGCGCCTTGACCGTCTTTGTCGTTGGCGTTCTGTATTGGTCAATCCAGTCCATATAAAAATAAAGATAGAAAAATTAATTTTATTATGGAGGACTATAAGTTAGTGAAACACGCTGCTCCACGCAAATATTCGTACAACGACTCAAAAACAGTGATCCATGTCAAGTCGTCCACGCCGTTTATGTCTGCGGTGAAACGGATCGACAAGACTTTTGGCTACTATGACTCAAAGTACACCAAGAAGGGAAAACCCATCCCCAACGAGAACAAAAACGTGGGCTACATTACGGTGCGCGGAATGGGAAAGACCATTCTCAAGGTGATGAACCTGGCGTTGTACTTTGAGCATGAACAGAACCGCAAAGTGGAGGTGTTTACAAAAACCCTGACGGTTCTGGACGAGTTGAAAAGCACAAACAAAGACAAGGACGATGTTTTCCAAAAAAGACAAGTGAGCTGTGTGGAGTTGCGCATCCATTTTACCAAATCATAGAGCGCGTGTTCGTCGTTACTTATTATCGTTAACAGTCAACCCTCTGGCCAACCTCTCTATACATTTTTCCTGGAACCCGGTGAGATACTTGAGGAGCTTGTTATATTTCTTGGATTCCTGCTTCCCTTCGCAGGTTGGTTCCAACTTGTCCAGAAGCCGCGTGGTTTCGTCCAGACACTCTTGGAAACTGCCCAGAAAGTACCGTCGCTCGAGACGGTGCGTGATCTGGCTCTGGGTGACGTTATCGATCGCACATAAGTTCACGTCCTGGAACTGTGCGTTGGTGAAGGTGTCAAACTCGCTGATAACCGGGCCCTCTTTGCGGAAACGGTCGCTCTCCGCGGCAAACTCCTCGTCCGTTTGACCCTTCCGCACACGCACCTGCCCGCTGCTCGTTCGCACAGACACCTCGCCGGTGTTGTACTGTGTCGGGTCTGCAGCCTGCATTGAAAATTTGAAATTATTTTTTCACTACACTGCTTCACAGCCAAAATACTCACTGTTGTTCAAATCAGATAAATACTACTCCTTGAGCCCATTGATGGTGGCCACGCAGTGGCGCGTGTGCCGATAGTCTCTGAACTCCAGCAGCCAGATGCCCTGCCACGTGCCGGTCGCCAGGCGTCCGTTGCTGATCGGGATGTTCAGCGAGGCACCAACAAGCGTCGACTTCACGTGGCCAGACATGTCGTCTGGACCTTCGTCCGTGTGCAGAAACCGGCCCTTCGTACCGCCGTTGTCAGGACAGATAAAGTTCAAAGCTGTGGTCATGTCGGTGCGAACGTCAGGGTCCCAGTTCTCATTCAAACTCAAGGCACACGACGTGTGCGGGACGAACAGATTGAGCATTCCAACTTTGTAGTTCTTGATCTGCGGAACCTGCTTGAGCACCTCTTCGGTCACCAGGTAGCATCCGCGCGACCGTGCGCTGAAAGAGAATTTGGCTTGTTCCCAGGACATTATAATTGCTGAAAAAAAGATTGTTATCTTTTTACATAATCAGTCGGAGTCGGAGACTGGCTCCGGCTCGTAGTCGCTATCGTCGTCCTCGTCCTCAGCGAACGCAGACTTCACCAGAAGCATCGTCTCAGGCGAAACAACGTTGTCTGTGGAAGGATCAAGCTGCGGCAGGTCCTCTTCCTCGTTGTACTGCCACACTTTGCGGAGATCTTTGCGGTACACAGCCGTGGCTAGCGTGAACAGCAGCAGCGACGGACACAGGTACAACAGAGCCGGCTGGCCGTGCTGGAAGCGGTGCAGCACGGCAATGGTGGTGCTGAGCCCAAAGATGTAGCCAGAAAGCGCACTCCAGAAGTACGGCTTGGGGTATTTCTGCAGATGGTGGAACTCGGTGTCCGGATGCGTTTGGTGGTAGCTGTACAGGTCAAAGCGCAGACACAGCGACACAAACAGTGCAGGGATGATGATGTCTCCCAGTCCGAGGATGGACATCTCGATGTTGTTCTTTTCGACAGAGATTCCTCGCGGGATGAGCAGTTTCACCGGGATGTCAATTTTGGTGGCCACGCTCAGCATAACATCTGACCCAAACACAAAGTAGATGTCGTAGATGAAGAATAGAACGAGCATGATGGCTGCAGGTTTGAAGCTCGGGAGTCTGGAGATCGAGATGGTCAGCAGAGTGAACGAGGCCCCGAGGGTGTTGCTGAGAATCCAGTTGTTTTTGCCGTCACATGCAATATAGATTGCTGTGGTGAGCGAGCCCAGGATCCAGCCGTACACGTCGGCGTACGAGAAGTAGTAGTTGAACAGCTGAGATTCCTTCTTGATATCCGAGCGGGTCTCGAGCAACAGCTCGCTCTTGACAATTTTCTCCGCCTCGGTCGAGTCTGGGAGCAAGAAATTTTCCTCCACCCCAGACGAGTGGATCTCTTGATCTTCCGAGATCGTGAATGCAAACCTTGTGGATAGGTGTTTGGGGCGACGGCCCAGCGAATGTGCGATCTTTCTATTGATTGTCTTGATGGTGTATGTGACTGCGAAGGCGTTGGACTTGATGCTCATCAGCACAAGGTAGCCGTTCAGCAGGGTGCTAATTTTTTCGATCCCATAGTTATTAATGGCAAAGTACAGGCCCACCAACACGATGCCGGCAAGAATGGGCATTGCGGTAGCGTTTTTCTCGTCGATCGCGGCGTCTGGGATCGACGTCTCGTCGCGGTCTGTGGGATCAAACAGCGGGTGGTTGATGTTGGCCCGTTTAGCGTTTGCAGGCCGCTCAATCGTGGTGTAGCTGCCTACAACAACCAGAAACACGGCCAAAGACATCATCGTTCCGTACGACAGAAGCTGACTATCGACGACCGACTGGCTGTGCAGGAAAACGGCTAAATCTTCTGCCAATTGCTTGGCATAAAAGCGACCCGACTCAATGTATTCGGCCATTGAATAACAAGAGAAAAATATTAAACAGGGTAAATATTTTCTTACGCGCATCGATCGTACGTGTCCGAAAAAGTTGGCCAGCCAGGAATTCTTGACCCTTTACAATTTAATGTCTTCTTCTTTAAAAGAACTAGAACAATTTAACTGTGGCTACAGAACCACAAACGTAAGTGAATCGTCAATGTCTCGCTGACCTGATAGTACCCGGCCATCAAGAATGGACCGTTACCAGCAGATGGTGCAGGATCTAAGAACTTCAATAACTATATCCTCATTTCGATCTTGCTGGGAGTGCCATATCTGTTGACCAAGAAACTTGGTCTTGGATTGTACTCGTTTGTGTTTCTGTTTCTGTTGCTTGGATTGCCATTGTTGATGGCTTGGTGGACCGTTTTGTCTTCATACTCCCCAAGACTCAACGAGAAGGTCAAGCTTCCAAACAAGGGTGTTCAGTTCTACCTCGACTTCCACGACGAGGAGCTCAAGAACAAGTACAAGGACAACAACAAGATCCCAATGGAAACTTTCCACGAGCTCTATTTCGCTGGCAAGGTCTCTTTCAAGGGTGACGCTCTTGACGTGATGGAGTACAGACACGACTGGGCAGCTTTCAGATTCACAGCCAGTTTGTACAAATTCTTCCTGCTCGGCTTCATTCCTGAAGTTTTGTTGCACACAAAGTCCCAGGACGAGGAACAGGTCAGAGACCACTACGACAGAGGTGACGACTTCTACGAATGGTTCCTGGGTCCAAGAATGATCTACACCTCTGGTGTGATCACCAAGATTAACGAGGCCGAGACTCTCGAGGAGTTGCAGGACAACAAGCTCAAGATTGTCTGTGAAAAGATCGGTTTGAAGAAGGGCGACAAGATGCTCGACCTTGGTTGCGGCTGGGGTACTCTGGCCTCCTTTGCATCCTCCCAGTACGGTGCGGAGGTCACCGGTATCACCCTTGGAAAGAACCAGACCAAGTTCGGTAACAACAGATTGGCCTCCTACGGTGTCTCTCCAGAGCAGTCCAGAATTGTGTGCTGCGACTACAGAGACGCTCCATTGCCTGCTGTTGAAGGAAAGAAGTATGACAAGATCACGTGTTTGGAAATGGCCGAGCACGTTGGTGTTAGACATTTTTCAACGTTCTTGAGACAAGTCTACGACATGTTGGAGGACGACGGAGTTTTCTTCTTGCAGTACGCTGGCCTGAGAAAGTCCTGGCAGTACGAGGACCTGATCTGGGGTCTGTTCATGAACAAGTACATTTTCCCTGGTGCTGATGCTTCCACTCCATTGGACTTTGTCACTTCTAATTTGGAAGGAACTGGTTTTGAGGTTGTTAGCATTGATAACATTGGTATTCACTACTCCGCCACCCTGTACAAGTGGTACAAGAACTGGCTCTCCAACAAGGACAAGATTGTCTCCAAGTACGGCATCAAATGGTACAGAATCTGGAAATACTTCCTTTCTTACAGTACCATCATTGCCAGACAAGGTTCGGCCACTTGTTACCAGATTGTCTTGAGAAAGAACATTAATGCTTACCACAGAGTCGAGTACATTCCTCACCAGGAGGGACTGCTTGCTCCAGCATCCAGACTCAAGAAGTGGGCCAAATAGTTTTTACGGCTTAAAAATATCATCTAACTTATCTTTTATTGACTAATCCCAAGACCAGGTGATCTGGATCTCTCCGAGATCAGGGTCGGCCAGCTTCTGGAACGCGGTTGGAGAAAAGTCCAGGTCGTTGTCGCCACATGACTCGCACGAGTCGACAACACGCACAGTCACAGAGTTACCGTTGTAGTGAGCAGTGATGCTTCTTCCACAGTAAGACGAGATATCGTCGCTGCCGATTTCAGTCTCGTACAACGAGTGAGCAATAGCACACACAAGGTCAGAGTCGGTGCTCGACGTGCCACAGTTGTCTGCTCCCACCTCGTAGAAAGTACCTCTTCCGGTGTTGGTGCCGGTTGCAGAGGAAGTGCTACTGGTGGTGGAGCTGCTGGTAGTCTCCTCGGTAGACGTGGTAGAGCTGGCAGTCGAGGTGGCTGCTGGAGCAGAAGTGGTGGTCACCTCTGCGACGCTGCTGGTAGCATCAGAGCTGGTGTTAGACGTGGTGCTGGTAGCCTCCTTCTCGCCGGTAGTGGTTGGGTAAGACTCGACGTCATCGTCCGAAGAACAGTCGTCAGCAGTGTTAGTTGGGTAGTAGTCATCGGCCGTGGTGGTTGGGTAGTACTCGTCGTCAGCAGCAGTGGTGGCAACATCTGGCGAACCGTTGTTGGCAGACGTGATCCAGTCAACATCACTGATGTCGACAGCAGTGTGGAACTTGTCTCCAATGTACTCCAGGACCTGAGAAGCCCGTCCGTCAAGGTTTCTGAGATGGAAAGGAGCGGCTGCGGCGTGAGAGCAGAATGTGGCAAGCAAAAGAGTGGAATATTTCATTTTGAATGATGGACAACTGTACCGATACCAAGGATATTTGTCCACCTTTTTATAGGGCTACCGGCTCGCGGCTTTCACAGCTCTTTAGCATCATCCCTGTAATTAGCTGTTCTCGACAAATTAGATTCTTTGTCCCCTGCATATGCACCGGCCCTCTTCCTTGGTCCAGCCAACACAGTCCCATCGTAGTCAGGGGAACAAACAATCGCGCTCGGTTAGCGCGCATTCAACTCCTGTCCGATAGCTGCACAAAACGCGAAATCTACCGACTTTTCTGCAGGTGTGAATTAAATCTGTTCTCGAATCAAGTAAATTTAATGCATCTCATATCGGGTAATAACAATAGATTTTTTTTGCTCGCAGAGATTTAGCGAGTAAAATCTCATCGCTGTCGCATCTCGACTTTCTGGGTCACTTAACTGTGGAGTTTAACTTCTGATCCGCATCACTTTGCTGTAGCAATACAAATCAAGCGCAAACCGTTTTAGAAGCAGCCTGTTTTGCGGGAACATCTTAGCAACGTTGTTCATCTTTAACGAGTTGATTTTCTGATCATACAGCCAATGTTTCAAATCCGGTAGCGTCGACAACGTAGGAATATCTTGGTAGGGGAAATATAAATTTTCCGGATCTATGCTCAGGAGTTTCTTTTTGTTCGTTGAGACTAACTGGGAAGTGAGATAGAGATTTTTCAATGCAAGGATCAGCGGAGATGCCTCATTTTCTAGAGGCGTACCGCCTAAAACAACAACCAGATGGATCAGGAAAGCTAGAAACTGCTTATTCTCAGTTGCATCATACAAAAAGAAAGTGTTGAGCCGAACAATAAGCAGTTGGTAAAAAACCGAGTTCTCGTTAAGACACTTTTCCCGTTTAGTCGGCTGCGAATGCACCACATCATCAAAGCATTGTTTCATTTTGGTAGCTATCAGCTGGGTATCTTTCTCGATCGAGTATAATTGGCTGACGTTGACTAAGTACCATTGAGTTTCTTTTGATCCGAAATCTGGTGCCTTGGTATGAACCAGCCCATCCAAAGCCGATGTGTTGCTGGTGTATATGAATTTAATGAAATCCAGCGTATACTTGTGAGTGATCCGGGATGCTGCTCTTTCAATACTTGCGGTTAGCTCTGTCTCTTTGAAGCAAAGCAACCCAGACCATAACAAGGACGTAAAAAGTGGATTTTCTGCAAAACTTTTGATCAAGGTATAGTTCAGTTCGGAATGTGCTGCGACCGTTTTGAACCCTTCAAAAAAGATCGACACAATAGTGCTGTTCTTATTGATGTTGAAATAGACCAGAAGATTTTCGAAAAAGTCGCTCAGCACCATCAGAAATTGGTTGACTGTGTCTTCGTGTCTACTCAAGTCCATGATATCGATATAGTACACCAAGCACGCAGTGTATATCTGGAACTCAACTGTTTGATTAAACTGCTCCGTAGTGATTTTGTTCTTAACAGGGTCTCTTTTCAGTCTATTCTCGTTCTCCTGCTCCCGGAGAGATAATGGGTATTTCAACAATGTCTCACAAAGTTTGGACTCCAAGAAGTACTCCCTGACGGGCTGTATGCCATCGATGATCTTCATCAAGGAGCTGAGAAGTATATCTCTATACTGCAAGGTGAATGCGTCGTTTGATGGGGGAGAAACTGTGGAGTTGACGTATTTGTGCACAAAGTCGAATGTTGGGAATCTTTTTCTGTACAAGGCACTTATTTCTCTTAGTGATTTGTCTCCTCTGATTTTAAACCATTCTTCTGCCAATTGTGGGAAGTTGATGTAGGTTTGCAGAACGCTCACAACCAGTTGAATTGAGCATTTCAAAAGTTTGGATTCGGGTGCTCCGTGCAAGCCAGAAACAAACACTTCGAGAGACTTGGTGATTTGTTGGCAGTACTGTTCGGAAGTATCCTGATACAGCTCGTAACTTTTCAGTACGGAGAAGAATAAAGTGCAAAATTCTGTTGTGACGGAGTTGTCGCCGTATCTTAAAGTGACTGCAGCCACGTTTTTTTCAAGGATCCCGCTTTCTATCAGCGCCTCGTAGCGTCCTTTAGAACCTGCTGAAAAGTTCTGGTTCAACCGTTTCAGAGACGCCAGAAGTTCATTCACGTTAGTGTCATTGCACTTTTTTAGTTAGTACTCATTCTAACTAACCTACCTTTTTAAGGACTCCGTTTGTTGACGTCTTGACATTGTCTAGCAGATACTGGAAGCTGGAATCTGTCTTTTTCTGGCTGTTCACGATGAACCGCGTTTTTTCCGCTACCGAGCGCTGTCTTGTTGGTTCGGCATAACTTGTTTTAGTGGGCGACATGCTGAACGCTCTCATAATAAATAATTGGCTAGAAATTAAATAAAGGGTTGCCCTTTTTAGGGATACAAAGGCGGTGCACCACAAAATAAATCAGATTAGGGCAGTGTTTCGTGTTAAAAATCTAATCAAGCAAAAAATGTACACTATATAAGATCTGAAACATGTCCGTCGAGTCAATCAAGACAGGTGGTTCCAAAATAGGAATTAGATCAATCTTGAAACGAGTATTTTCAATCAAAATAAACAACACAGGATCCAATTCGCCTCGCTGAATTTCCAAAACAAGTGTGCAACAGATTAGTAGTTGCCTATTTAATTATAAAAAGGTTTGCTGATCAGGGGCACAAGATTAAAACTCATTCCGGCAGGTCTTGACACGTCTTTCGCTTGAATATGAACAATACCTCTTATGTCAAACCGATTCCCAGCCAGGCTGGATATTCGTATCTGTCCAGTCTCCAGAACTGGCAGAACTCGAACCATTATTCGCATCAGTCTCAATCGCGCCAGCCGGGAGACGGACACAAACTCGTGGCAGCTAGAGCTTCCACTAAGGACTCGTACACCAAACCATCCAAGTCTAGCGCTCCACTTGCTCCATTGAACGCGTTGCAAACCGCAAACAGAACCGCAAAGCACAATCACAACGGAAAGCAGAACAACGACCACAAGTCCACGGTCGCGTGCTACAAAAACGATTACTCCAATCACTACATCCACTCGGGTGTTCTTCCGGTCAAGTACGTCAGAAACGCCTCTCAGCCGGTTGAAGGCTATCCCAAGCTCCAGAAACTTGTCAAGCTGAAAGAGCAGCAGGTTTCAAATTTTGCAACCAAGGCGTACGGCTCACGAGTCAAGCCCGAGAAAATGGTGGACACTTTGAACAAATGGATTTACGAGGACAATCTGCAGTTCGACGTGATCATGATTGGGGCTCTGTCCGAGAACCAACTGCTGTACCCCTTGGTTTCGCAGCTGCCAATTGACAAGCTGTGTGCCAAACCGGGGTTTTTGTTCATCTGGGCCTCCACCCAGAAGATTTCCGAGTTATCCAAGCTGCTGTCCAATACCAACACATGGACAAAGAAGTTCAGAAGATCGGAGGAGCTGGTGTTTGTTCCTGTTGACAAGAACTCTCCGTATTATCCAACCGACTCTTTGATCCCTGAAGAGCAGCTTTTAGAGCAAATGCAATGGCACTGCTGGATGTGCATCACGGGTACTGTCCGCAGATCGTCCGACAAGAACCTGATCCATTGCAACATCAACACAGATCTATCAATTGAAAACGAAACTACCAGGAATTCTGCTGTTCCGTCACAAATCTACCAGGTGGCTGAGAACTTCTCAACCTCCACCAAAAGATTGCACATAATTCCATCAAAGACAGGCCTTGACCATCCTGTCAAACTGAGACCAGGCTGGGTTATCCTGAGTCCTGACGTGCTGCTTGATAATTTTGATCCCAACAAGTACAAACAGGAAATCTCTGTTCTAGGTCCAAACATCCCGCTTGACAACGAGATTGAGCAACTGAGACCAAAGACTCCTGTTTAGCACGTCCTTGCACGGCTGGTCCCCATTACAATGATTAGCATGTTTAGTTATAATATATGTCTGCATTTCAAGATAGTATACAGATAGTCTTAACTATATATGAACAGACCAAACTAGGTATAACTGGCAGTCGCCAAATTGAAAGAATTGAAGTAGTGGCAAGCAATATAGTTTGAAATGCTGCCTAAAAAAATAAAAGTCACCAACTTGTAATAACACCTCACCCAACCGCTAATAAATAAATATAATCAAGCCCATAGTGTACAATGTATAAAACCTTGTCATCGCTGTTGTTTTCATGTTCCTGTGAATTTAGGCACCAATGGAGGCAAAGTAACGACCAGATTCGAGCTCCTCGATAGTAGATTCGATAACCTCGTCGTCGTCGTCGTCTTCAACCAACTCAATGGTGGCATATTTGATTAAATCCCACTTCTTCCAAAACAGCAGACACTCGTTTATGTTGTCGGAATCGACAAAGTCCTGAAGATAGTATTTGGTTTTGATCAATCTATCTTTCAATTGCTGCAACCGAACGTTGGCTGGGACCTCGGAAACACGACGAGTGGCTTGCTTTGGAGCCTCTGCAGGATAATCACTTTCGTACTCTGTAATATTAGTATGTGTGGAAATCTCCGACTTGTATCCTTCCTCTTCATCAGAAGTGAGAGCAATGGAATTGGGGGTCTGTGGAATGGCGCTGCCTCCATCATACCCGTAAACTTCGTCCTCGTCAACTGCCGTTGCATCACAGTATCTGGCCCAAGCCTCGTCGATAGCACCGACAAGATACTCGAAACAGCGACTTCTAGCTGCAAAGTCCGAGTTTGGAAGACTGTGTCTTGATTTTGGACTCATTTCAAGAGAAACCGTTTGTGAAACGTTGGCTGGAGAAGTCACCACTGAGCTTCTTCTGCTGAACATACCATTATTTGAGGTGGCTTCAGTAGAGCCTCTGGAATCACAAGGCTTAGAGTCGTGACTATCTTCATCGTCACTGTATTGACTCACAGCTTTGGAGATTTTGAGATCCAGTAACGGAGAAGAAAGCGAGTTCTTCAGAAGCTCTCTGTGATTTCTTCTCTTGTTTCTGAGCCGATTTCTGTCCTTGAGAGTGGTGGGTCTTCTTGAACTTTCGTCTTCAGAAGACTCATCCTCGCTAGACGAGTTCTTGCAACTACGTGTGTAGAGCAAGCCCCCCTTATTTGATGCCAGATGACAAGGCTTTTTGCGTGCTGGATACGACAGAGACTCGGAAAAAGTGTTTTCTTTATCCTGCTCCGCGTTCACAGATGATCCTCTTTTCAATGAGAGCACCATTGTTTCTTGGTCGTGTACCTGGGCAAAACAATCAGAAAATGTAAAAGTCTCCTTTTTTTTTTGCACGTTAATGACACGTATTTTTCTGCCAACCTACCTGCGGAACTGACCAATCAGCGTCGAGTATTGGAAGGCGAAGGAAACTGAACGTAACAACTAAGTAGTCCAGAAAACAAAGAGTGTATCCTTGTAGTAGTCCCAAAAACCTATTTATTTGCGAAGAAATATGAGGCTTGAGTACTGGTACCAGCTAAAATATAACTTGGTATAACTTGGTGAACAAGTTGTATAAAACCAGAGTGGCAAATTTGCTGGAAAAAAAATGTGGGAATAAGGAAATGTAGCGCAATAAAATACAAGGTGGCAAAAATATAATTGCTTGAGCGCAGAACATTTCTGTGCGGTGCACGCCGCACAGACGTGTCTAGAAGGAGTCAATTTTGTTTTTTTAAATTTTTTTCAGCTGGGAGGGATACGGTGCACGGGTTTATTGGTAGGGGTGATGCGACGTGATGTACTCTGCCACTTTGGGCATTGTGTTGCTCGTCCAGCTGGTTTCATTCGCTTGGATCAGTTTTCGGATGTCGGAGGAGCTCACGTTGAGGTTTTTATCGTCTCCGGACACGACGTGGATCTTATCGGCCCAGGTAGCAGGAACGTCTGCCAACTGGCCGTCTTTGATCATGCCGACAAAGCTCAATTGGTCCTCCAAGGAGAGAGATGTGTTCTTGCGAGTGAGAACAAAACAGTCGTTTGTAGAGAAAAAAGAGCCCAATGCGTCGCCGAGTTTCTGCGGCACATAATATTTCGGGTCCAAAAGCCTTATCAGTGTATCGTAGCCAAGCAAGAATGTGAGCTTCAAGTTGTTTGATTGTGTCTCGGCAAGGTAATTCTGTATTTCTTTTGCCTTGTCGACGAACAATGAACAATTGGTGATTCCGACTCCGCAAGCGACTCCGAGTTGTTCGCTGATGTGGTCGGCCATTTTGTACATCATTGCGAGCCGATCTTCAAATTTCGCCGGTTGCACGCCTTTGTCGGCGTTTTTCACCGACAGCAGCAGAAGCACAGACTTTGAATTGATACTTGTGTGCGACATGGAATGGTCGTCGAGCCTGCTATGGTTCATCGATTTGGCAATCAACGAGAAATGGCCATTGTGCGGCGGATTGAACGACGAATCAAGCACCAGAATCTGTTTGGTCAATGGGAGAATGAACTGGTTGGCTGGTGCTGTGTACACCAACTTGAAAGAGTTGTGTCCCGCAGACAGAATCGACTGCAACTGGGAAGTTAAAGAAGACATGATAATTTAATACGATTTTTTTTTCCGAATCCGGGGATATATAGATTTGTCTAAAAATCGGTCTATGTGCTTTACCAGTTAACAACTCTAGACCATTCACTCTCAACAACACCGTACTGGATCTCGGCAATCCAGTCGGCAACCTGCTTGGTCAAAGGACCGAACTGCTCACCTGGAAGCAATGGAACATCGATAGTAGAATCTCTGTAGCCAATCTCCTTAATAGGCGAAACAACGGCAGCAGTACCAGCACCAAATGCCTCCACCAACTCACCAGATTTGGACTTGGACGAGATCTCGTTGATGGTGCAGTATCTCTCGCTAATGGTCCATTCGGCAGGGTCGAGCCTCTCTCTGGCCAATTGCAAAATAGAGTCTCTGGTCACACCTTCCAAAATAGTACCGTCTAAAGGAGCAGTCACCAACTCCTTTTTACCAGAAGCATCCTTGAAAACAGCAAAGAAGTTCATGGTTCCCACCTCGGTCACGTTCTTCTCAGGACCAAACAACCACAGGTTTTGTTGGTAGCCTCTCGAGGCGGCCTCGAGTTGCGGCTTGATGCATGGAGCATAGTTGGCACCCAACTTATTGTCACCAACACCACCAGGCCAAGCTCTGGTTGCGTAGTCGGTAGCCTCAAGCTTCACTGCTTTGAATCCAGTCTTGTAGTAAGGTCCGACCGGCGATGCAATGACGAACAACAGAGCTCTGTCGGGAGAGCTAACACCAAGGCCAGCAGTGGTTCCGATCAAGGTAGGTCTAAGATAAAGAGAGTAACCTCTGGTGTCTGGGATGAAGCCCTGGTCAACCTTTAAAAGCTCACCAATCAGCTTGATAAGCTCCTCAGACTCAAAAGTAGGAAGACAGATTCTGGCAGCAGACTTGTTCATTCTCTCCATGTTCTTGTCTGGTCTGAACATTCTTATCTCACCCTTCTTGTCCTTGTAAGCCTTGAGGCCCTCAAACAACTCGAAAGCGTAGTGGAACACACACGAGGATGGGTCCAGTGAAAAGTTTCCGTAAGGCTTGATCTCTGGAGTGCCCCATCCAGACTCAGCAGTCCACTCAATAGTGAGCATATGATCGGTGAAAGACTTTCCAAAAACCAACTGCTCGTTAGGCAACTTGGCCTTCGGACTGGTAGTCTTGGTGATCTTGAGCTTGGAGGAATCTAGAGCAGTTGACATCGATCTCGCAAATTCAGTGCTTCTGAACCGGTTCTTTAGTAAAAACATAATAAGCAGAACTTTGTTTTCTTATAAGTGACTAATTTTTCCGCGATCTGGTCTCCTAGAAATATGGTGTTTGATGAAAAATTAAGGAATCTCGGCTTGTGAAGGGTAAAAAAAAATTCGCATCTTTCTTTTTGGGCAGGGAATTTTATCTAGCCGATAAGTTATGCTTTTCTGGATTTGTTAAGCTTTTTATCGAGATTTGTCAATCTCAGATTCCGTTGTTTTTCCTCTTCTGGTGTTAGCTGTAGTGATCTGTTTGGCAACGGTTGGTCTTTGAACGCAGACTTGAAAACACTTAGTCTGTCTGCTTCCGATAAAACACCATCGTCTTTCTTGACCTGTTTATCCTTCTTTTTCTTTTCCTCCTTTGGCTTAATCTTTGTTCTATTCCGCTCGATCGCAGACCGTTTCTCCAAAACTTCGATCAACTCCTTGGTTTTGTCAAACAAGGTGGCCTGGAGTTGTTCGTCTTTCAGCTCGGACCTGGTTTCGTTCGAAACAATAGAACACTCTTTAATATAGTTCCCGCCCTTTCTTTTCACCAGCTCCGGAGTATTCATCGCAAACAAAAACGACTGCATTCCGTGTTCGCCAGACTTGAGCAAAAACCACCAAATTGGGTACATCAAAACGTAAAGGAACAGTCCCCAAACAGTTCCCAGCGACAAAACACGACGCGTAGACGGAGTTCTCACTATTCCCGGATTCACAACGTTCAACCGCGTGTTGTTTGGCTCTCCGTCTTTTCTCTGGAACATGTCCAGTCTTCTTTGGTACTCCTTGGCAAACATCGAAAGCATCAGCTTTGAGCTTCCGTACACTTTCCATGGTTGTTTCGATGGATATTTCCGTTCTTCCCATAATAAATCGTCAAGATTGATCTCTCCCAAGCTTTGACTCATGCAACTGGCCAGCAACACGCGAACGTCTCTGTCTGCTGGCTGGACTTTCAATGCTGGCTCTAATAAAGTGAGCAGATGGTAATGGCCAAGGTAGTTGACGGCCATTTGGATCTCCACTCCATCCACGCTCGACTCTCTGGCCTTGCCCGAAGGCTCGGAGTCTGCTGCCAGACATAAGATACCGTCGAGTCTCCGAGGCGGAGTTTGATCCAGCCACTTGGTGGCAAACTTTCTGACCGAGTAAAGCGAGGACAAGTCGCAACTTTCCGCGTAAATCAATTGGTTTCCTGTGTCATCTCTGAGATCTTGAATATAGTCGGCGATCCATGCTGTTCCCACGCCTTCCAAGTCGAGCTGAGACGTTAAAAGCACCAACTGGGCACCTCTCTTGGCAAGATCGTAGACCAAAGATGCCCCGATTCCCGACGTTCCTCCCGTCACCATGTAGACCTTGCCGTGTAGGTCTCTTTCCCAGGTATTGGTAGATCCGTTCAAATAGTACTTCAAGGATCCAGCAAGAACCACCAGCGGCCCATACATCTTCACATAGTCCCATCCAGGAACCTTGTCGGTTCCTTCTAGCAAAATAGTCCCGAGGATATTCAATGGCATACTAAACACGAAACAAGGGGATCAAGAGAAATTTGGCGATTATTCAGAAAAAGACAGACACAGCCGTGAAAAAAAATTGATTGAAAAATCTCTAATCTTTGTATTCAACATGGACGAGGTGCTTTTCTATAATTCGGTTGGCGATCCAGCCAAGAAGCACTCCACATCGTTTGGATTTGTTTCTAGCACGCGTTCGACGCAACAAGTTGGTCAGTACAGACAGTGTTACTCTGCAAATAACGGTACTGTTCTCACTGGAATAAATGGAGAAAATAAAATCATTTCTGCCTGTCACAGCAAGGCGTTGGTTCACGTCTATATACTTGGAAAAGAGTCACCGGAACAGACCATTCCTGTTCCAGAGGAGCTCATTTGTCTGGAACTTTGTCCGCATCCAAATTCCACAGATGCATGGCTCTTGGTTGCAGGAGCTGTTAGCGGAAGAATCTACGTTTGGGAGCTGGATTCCGGTTTATTGCTTGCTGTTAAAGAGTCGCACTACCAGTCTGTCAGTGTGATAAAGTATGTCAAGGGATATTTGGTCAGCGGCGGAGCTGATTCGCGGGTGGTGGTCTGGAAAGTGTTGGACATGATGTCAGACTCTCACAAGCCTTACGCCATTTACACCGACCACACGCTTCCAGTCACAGATTTACTGGTGACAACTGGGCTGGTGAACGATCTGAAAGTCTGGTCTGTTTCTAGAGACCAAACTATTAGATGTCACGACCTGACCTCCCAGACTCTGGTGACAACATTCATCGCTCAGCAACCTGTCTCCTCGATCACCGCAGACCCTGCATACAGAAGCTTGTATGTTGGCTACGAGGATGGAACGATCCGGATGGTGAACTTGTTTGATGCTCCATCCAAGACCCAAATCTGGGAGCATGTTGGTGGCTATGGTAAGGTGATCACATTGAAAGACGATCCTGAGCTGCGCGAGACTTTTGTCAGCCACCAAGCCGAGGGCAACTCAATCACCAAGCTGGAGATCTCATTTGATGGCTCGCAGCTAATTTCGGGAGACAGTAAGGGTAAAGTGCTTGTCTCGGACGTTGCTACCAAACAGATTGTGCGAACATTGAAGCCGCTTGCGGGGGCAGTTTCCACGCTTAAACTTTTCAGAATCAAATCTGACAGTCTGAAGTATGCTCCAACCAAAAGTTCTGTGCGTGGAATTCCCGTTTTGAAGAGAAGTCTGGTTGACGAGCCGGAATTGCAAAGACACGTTGTGTTCAAGAAATTTGAAAAAGCCGACAAAGCACCAGAATTCAACCTTGAACGGTTCTTGGACATCACAAAGTCTGAAGCCAAGTGGTTTACAAACTTTACCAACGTGGATTCTACGGTCAAGAAGGAAAAGGAGGTGGACACCGCAGAAATCGATAGACTGAGAGAGGCCAATGCTGCTCTGAGACAGAAATACGACGAGCTGTACGAAACGCATTCAAAGCTATTAATGAACAATAAATAGAATACATAATATCATTCCCGTTTCTTGCGAGAAGGCGACAGCGGACGATTGAATCCCTTTTCTCGGTTCATATACTGACGGTACTCTGTCTTTCTCTTTTTGTTGGCTCCGTACGAATTGGTACCAGCGACTTTTTTGTTTTTAGTCGACCCAAACCCATCAAACCCAAACATTGCGGCAAGGTCAGGTTCCTCTTCTGTTAGCACAATTGGCTCTTCTGCAATAGACCGTCGCCGTCCGCGGTTATCTTTGTTATCTTTTGGTTCTTCAGATGTGTCTATCTTTTCCTTTTTCTCTGGCAGCTCCTCTTTGGTTTCGGTGGAATTGTCTTTACTGGATTCTTCAAGCTCCTCACGCTTGCTGTCTTTTGGACCCGGCTCATTTTTCGGCGAGTCTCTGTCCTTCAGCTTTATCTTTATTTTTGACATTAATTTTTTTTCAGATCTAAGAAAAAATTTATTTAATCATCATGTCTGAAAAGCTCACCAAGAAACAGCTGAAGGCTCTTCAGTTCAAGTCGAAGAGCTCCAAAAAAGCAGCAGAGACGCTCGAAAAGGTCGAACAGACCAAACAGGAACAGCCACAGCCGCCAAAGAAAAAGACCCGCAGAAGAAAGGCCTCTACCGAGGATAAAAAGGATAAAAAAATCTTATTTATCGGTAACCTACCCTACAACGTGACGAGCGACGACCTGCAGACCCACTTTAAAAGCGCCAAACCCGACAAGGTGCGAGTTCGCCAGGATAAGGGAATAGCGTTCTTGGAGTTTGGTACGGAGGCAGAAGACTCGCTCAGCAGAGTGGAAACTGCTTTAAAGATGCACCATTCGCTAATGAACAATCGAAAGATAAATGTGGAATTAACAGTTGGCGGAGGCGGAAACTCGAAAGAACGGCTCTCCAAAATCAAAGATAAAAACGAGAAACTGGACAAGAGACGGAAACAGCTCGACTTGAAGCGTCGCATGCACGAAATGGAAAAACGCAATGCGTCCAGCACAAACAACGACACCAGCAGCAACGACCAAGCTTCAGCCACCGGCTCCACGGGCTTGTCCGTGCACCCGTCCCGGTTGAAGCTTCTTGAGAAATGAAAATGCAGCAAGCATCTATATCGGTGTGTATGTATAATTTGATCACAAGATCTGGCACTTTTTGTGTTTCTTCACCTTTTTCTGTATTGTAGAGGAAGTTTGGTTTGGTGAAGGAGACGTTTGTTTCACTTTAGTAGGTTTCGACTGTTCTGGTTCTTCGGAAGGAGGATGTAACACCGATCTGATTGCAAACTCGAAAATCTCGCGGACTCCCTGTTGTGTAGCGGCGGAACATTCCATGTATTTTAGGCAGCCAACTTCATGAGCCAACTTATTTCCCTCTTCCAAGGTGATTGGGTTCTGGCTGTTTTCTTCCAGCTGGTCTAGAACGTGCGGATCGTCTCTAAGATCCAGTTTGGTTCCCACCAGCAAAACAAGCACATTTTTAGGAGAGTGGTGTCTAATTTCAGGGATCCATTTGTTCTTGACGTTGGCAAAAGAGGTCCGTTCCACGAGCGAGAAACAGATAAGAAAGATCTCCGTTTGCTGGTACGAAAGTGGGCGCAACCGGTCGTATTCTTCCTGGCCAGCAGTATCCCACAAGTTGAGGGTCACTTTTTCGTCGTCCACCATCACATTGGCCGAATAATTGTCGAACACCGTTGGCACATAGTCCTCAGGCATCTGGTTGGTGGTGTACGAGATCAACAGACACGTTTTTCCCACGGCACCGTCTCCAACAACAACACACTTAATACTTCTCATGGTGAATAGAAATGTTTTTGACAAGAAATGGAAAAAACCAAGATCGTTTGATTAATTGAACAAGAAAAATTCGCCTAATGGGGTAATCAAATTTAGGGGAGCCAAACAAAATAAAAACGCGACAGATTTCGCACTTGGACAGTGGTGACATGGTGTGTTCTCCTGAATCTTGATAAAAATAGTAACTTATCTCATGACTGTTGGTTTGGGAAAGTGTTGTTGCCTGCTCTAGCCACCGAATTCCTGATGCATTGTTCTCCTATCCTGATGGGTATTTAGTACAAGCTTGACGTCGCAACATCATACACCACTTTCCTAAAAACTCCGGATGTCATCCGGATCAGGCAACCGATGGTCGGATTACACGGTGCAACTGGACTGAAAAAATACATTTCGCTAATGCAGGCCCTTGGAAGGTGCATCACAATTTCCTAAACAGCTAAATTACGTTTGTTTTCTCCTGCTACTGTTGCAGTTCACCTGCAGGTTCCGAAATATTTGTATTGGAGAATTAAAGCCTGGCAACCACCGCAATGGGCGTTTACTCTAATCGGGAGCAAGCATTCGGCGGCTTGTATTTACTTGACTTTCCATTGCAAACCGGCGCTATGTGGAACCGAATGCATTTTTTTTACGCCGTCCACTCCCGTGTAGAACTATAAATTGACACCGGCCCCCCTGTTTACCTTTTCTTCTTCTCTTCTTTCATCTTTACAAACTTTCAAGTTTCAAAGTTTAATACCGCTCGCTGAAGGCACTTACCCATTCATCAACCAACCCCCCAAAAGTTACAATGCAATTCGTCTCCGTTCTCCTTATGGCTGCCTCGGCTCTCGCTGCTTCCACCGGCGTTACTGAGTCCACAACCGAAACTTCCGTTGTCGCCGTGACAGTCACCTCTTGTGACGCTTCTGTGTCCGACTGCCCAGCTAAGAATGGCACTTCCTCGGTCTCCACCTACGAGGCTGCCGCTGCAAACCAGGCTTCCTTCTTTGCTGCTGGTGCTGCTGCTCTTGCCGCTGGTGCTCTCCTCCTCTGATTTTAACGGCTATTTTCTTTCAATATTGGTTTCCATCATCTATGATTGCGTTTCATTGTATCCGCTGATTACGTGCGGTTAATGTTGATGTATTTAGCACGTTAGATTTGATTTATTTTGTATCTTTTTTTCTTTAATGGTAATTTGCAGTATAAAGGATGTAAGTCTACTGGTAGCTGCCAACATACTCTCACACGAGCTGCTCTTTTCACCACTTGCAAGCTCGATACAGCTCTCCCGCCCACTTCCACTGTACCTTCTTTTCCATCCGGCTTCCCTATTTTGCGTCGATCGTCGCCTCTGGCGTCCCGACAAAATAAATTTGAACCGGTAACTCTCAAACCCAATCATTATTTAATTGTTTATAAACCACTGGTTGTTCGCTCTTCGCTAACATGGATGTTTTTGAAACTTTACTGTTGAGCGATGTTCAGGTGAACCGCGGGTCGTCTCAACTGACCAAAATCTCGTTTAAATCCAAATCGTCAGAGTCAATAGTTATCGATCTTGTTGCCAAGAAAATATCCCAAACAACTCCTATGGAATTTATTCAGGACCGCTCGAAACTTCTTCTCAAGGTGCCGTCAAGCTTCAATGGTGTGGAAGTCGAGTTTGCAAGATCTCCTGGACTCTACTTATTGGTATCGGGCGGGGCAGATGATAAAGTGTCCAAATATCTGATAGACCCTAATGCAACGTCAAGGACGTTCGATATCGAGCCCAATTCCATTGGAAAGCTCACAATCCAACTCACAGAGAATAAGTTAGCGCTTTCAAGGCTATCGGTGCACATTTTTGCGGATAATTCGTTTTCTCCGCCGTCTAAAATAGAAGAGAAACCAGTTCCTGCAGTGTTCCCAACTCCGTCCACGTCTCCGTTCCCGGTGTCGATGGAAGACGGACCCGTTTTCAGAGAAACATTGAGCGACTACGAAACAAAGATCACCGCTTTGAAGCAAGCAACGAAATCCACTATTGATTATCTGTCTAATTATGAATCTTTGTCAAACCAACTGTTGAGCTCTAGAACTACTCTGATAAGCTCGTTCAGCACTATCCAGAGCAATTTTCCAACGTTCTACTCTTGTGAGTTTGACAAGGAAATGGTCAAGCTGTTCCAGAACCTTACAGATGAAAACAAGTCGGCGATTAAACGTTTAAGATCCAAGCTCCCATTCACCGATAATTTGTCCGGCTTGGAAACCAGCGTGGCCTCCAAAAAACGCATCTTTGAAGAAGAAAGTAAGAGGTACTACGACTGGCTCTCGAAACTTCTTAGTTCTGGAAAATCCAAAGACGAGAAGTTCTTAATGAAACGGAAAGCTTTTGAACTTGCCAAGATCGATTTCTTTGCATATTTACTTGACACGTTAGTTGGGCTTACGCTTAATTTTTGCAATCGTGACAATTCTTTCATAAGCAGTTACAACACGTCAAAGACTCAACGGAAAAAGAGCAGACAGGCGATCGAAAAGGCCTCGTCAATGGCCGAATTGAACAGCGAGTTGTCCAAGCTTAACGGTCTTCCTGGACCAAACAAATCGGGTATTCTATTCACCCAGGGAGGACAAGGTAAGTCTGGTTGGCACAAGCAATGGATTGTGTTGAACAATGGAAGACTTTCTGAGTTCATGGACTGGAGAAAGGGAACATCCAGGAGAAACGACCCGATTGACATTTCATTGTGCAGTATCAAGCCTTTGGACTTGGAAAAGCGCAAAAATTGTTTCCGGATTATAACTAACACCGGAATTGAGCACTACTTCCAGGCTACAACTGAAGAAGACCGCGAGTCGTGGATCCAGGCGTTATATGATGCAGGTCAACAGATCAACTTCCACAAAGCCAAGACGGATTCTGCTAAAAATAGCCCCGTGCTCAACGTTCACAAGCTAAGAAACACATTGACCCCGGGACGTAGCTCCAAGGAAGCCGTCATCGCCGACGAAGGAAGACAGCGCAGAGTGTCTTCTGTTTCTTTAGAAAATCTACGAATTGTGCAGAAAGTGGACTCGAGCAACTTTATGTGCAGCGAATGTGGCTCGAGTGATTCGGTGGAATGGGTTTCCATGAACCTGTTGGTTGTCTTTTGCGTGAAATGTTCTTCGTGCCATCGGTCTTTGGGAACGTCTATCTCAAAGGTGAGATCGCTGAAACTGGATGTTTTCACTGTCGAGGCGCGTGCACTGCTGCATTCCATTAACAATCGCTCTACTAATGCTGTTTATGAAGAACTTTTGCCCAAGTCTGGGCGAATCAACCCAGATTCGTCCGATAAAGACCGGCTGAAATTCATCACCGAGAAGTACGTTGCAAAACAGTATGTGAATCGCAAAGATGCAGCCAAGGCATCTGATTTCCTCATCCACGGTGTGAGGACACATAATTTGCAGGAGGTGATAAAGAGTCTTGCTCTTGGTGTGGACCGGGACCTTCGACTCTACAAACCAACAGACCAGCTTTCAGATCTCGAACCTGTGTCGTTTTCTGTTCTGGAATACGTTCTTCTCTATCCATTGCTTGAAGGCAAGGACAAGACCATCAAGGTGTTTGACCTTGCTGAGTTTTTAATATTGAACGGCACCAAATGTGGTGATAGCACCCAGAACGTTCTTGGGCTTTCTGACGAAGCTCTGGCGTACTGGCAAGCCAAAATTGACAGGCTCAAGGGATCGGCCTCCAAGTCATCTCCTGTGAGTGTCTCTGTGCCTACAGCATCCTCTTTGACGACTGGCACTACAAAGCCCGCTGTAAAAGAACACAAGTTCAATCTGCTGAAAAAGATGAAGAGCTAATTTGAAAGAAGGAGCCAAAAATTTTAGGGCAGGCGTTAATTATTTTTATAGAAAGTTGTCCCTAATTAATTCCCAATGACCGATACTAGTACGAACATGCCAGACTCGGAGCTCCACGACCCGATGAACTTGGTCCGTCTGGGCGAGTGTATCGGACGGGGCAACTTCGGAGACGTGTACAAGGGAGAATTGGTCAAGACATCCCAAGTGGTTGCGGTTAAGATCATTGATTTGGAGAAATCCGAGGACGACATACCTGTTTTGATCCAGGAGATCAAGTTTCTCAAAGGATTGAGGTCTCCGTATATCACCAACTGCCATGAGACATACATCAAGGACGTTACCATGTGGATTGTGATGGAATATTGTGGCGCTGGCTCGTGTGCTGATTTCCTAAAGTGCTTCAAGCGATTGGACGAGAGAGTGGTTGCATTCATTCTACGCGACACTGTACGTGGACTAGAGTATTTGCATTCGATGAATAAAATCCACAGAGACGTGAAGGCCGCTAATATATTAGTGACGGATCAGGGTCAGATCAAGCTGGCGGATTTTGGAGTGAGTGGACAGCTTACAGAGACGATGAATAAAAAGGAGACCTTTGTTGGCACGCCGTTCTGGATGGCTCCCGAGATCATCCTGAGACGTGATGGATACAACGAGAAAGTGGACATTTGGTCATTGGGAATTACCGCGATCGAATTGGTGACTGGGTTTCCGCCGTATTCTAACGAGGAGCCAATGAGAGCCATATTTGAGATTCCCGATAGACCAGCTCCGATCCTGACAGGAGACCAATACAGCGTTTATTTGAAACAGTTCATCAAGGACTGCCTGAACAAAGAGCCGAGCAGAAGACCGTCAGCTAGAAGTCTGCTGAAAACCAAATACCTCTACAAAGTGAAAAACAGATACAGTCCGATGTTGCCGCTGATCACCGAGAAGAAGAACAAGATGCAGCGGTTTAAGAAGAAACCCAAGTTTGCGCTCAACTTCGAGGAAAGCCGGTGTGGCCAGGAAATCCAATGGGATTTCGAGGCTACCACGAAATTTGCAAATAGCAACCAATCTATGTCTTCATTCGACTCCTCGGGAGGAATTGACGAGAACGAGATGCACAGTGCCCAGGCGAATAGCATACTCAAACCAGATACCACGGTGACGCCAACAACCTCCCCGCTATACAACAATCGGTCTGAGAATCCTCGTGCACGGCGGTCGTCTATATCCCCGTACCGGTCTGGCGAGGTGAGTTCCAGCGTTTTGGCAGAGTCCGGGGGTCCTCTATCGATCAAGGAAAACGTTGATCCTCGAGGCTGCTATTTCTACAACAACCTGATCCGCGAGTCGTTTGACAGCATCAGCCAGCAGTCTGGGTCTCAGCGGTTCAAGAAGAACCTAGAGCAGCTGAAGACGGTGATTTACGAAATGGAGATGCGCGGTCCTGGGTTCTGCGAGCTTTTATGCCAAAAAATATTTAACGGGATGCTTCAAGGCTGATCAGATAAGGAAGTACGGTTCGCCGAAATGTCAAAAAAAATATATCTGCCGGCAATCAATCAAATTGCCTAGTAGCAATCTACAAATGAAAAGCATATACTGGAACTTTTTTAATTAATTTAAAAAAAACCTTTTAATAATGCACGCTAGAGATTGGCTGCTTGCTTTCGTCGGAGTGTTTCTTCCGTTTGTTCCTGTTGCCATTAAGAGAGGCATTTGTTCTGCCGACTTCTGGATCAACATTGCTTTGTGTTTCCTTGGGTTCCTTCCGGCTTTAATCCATTGCTGGTACATCATCTCCTGCTATCCACACGACTCCAGATCTTCCTATACCGGTGTTACGTTGCCAGGCCGTGAGCAGCAGAATTACGGAAGTGTTTAGGAACGTTGGTGGGGGAATACGAACCGAGCAGATCCCCAATTATGTGTGGGGGAAATACTTTTTTTGTTTATAATAATAACGTTGTTAAGCTAGTTATAATGGACTCTCGTGAAGTAGGAAGTCAGCCCATCAGCGTTGAGTTCAAATACGGATATTTGAAAACTTCGTACCGGGCCTTTTCCACATCTTGTTCGAGCGCCGGTTCAGATCTCAAATCCGACATGGTAGATCTGTTTCTCCCTAGTCTGTCCAGTCTGAAGGTATGTTATGGTCTCGTTTCACTAACAGTAGCTTTGTTTCGAGGTGTTTTTGAATGAACAACGGCTGAGTTTCCAAAACCACCCCTCCGCTTGCGAAATGATGGGCCATTGCCTGCTCCAAGGACAGCTTTGGAGCAGTCTGGGCTATCTCACCTCCGTGAAACAAGATAGTCACGACCAGCAACACAGTTTTGCCATGGTCTTGAAAGATAACATCATAAACACACAAATGGACCAGGATCTCCGAAATGGGGCCCATCAGATCGCCACTCTGAGCAACACCCGTGTGCATACTCTCGACATCGTCGTATTCCAGCTGCATATATTCGATTCTCGACTAACTGCGGACAACGATGATTTCGTGCGAGATCTGCTTGAAGATCTTAACTACCTAATGGCCAGCAACTATTTGCAACTCGAAACCAGTTTTCCTCTGGTATTTTCTTTCTATTCCAGGTCAATTATCCACCAATCGTATGAGTTGATGTCTTCAGTGCAAGAATCTCTCCATAAAAGCATGGAAACAAAACAACTGGTACGCCAGGACCTCACAATCGGGTTTCTGAAACAAGTCTCAGCAAACAATCTCCAACAGTTTCTTGCAAAAAACAAGTCTCCACGACGGATAAAGTCAATCAAGGTGTTTGTACTCGAGTTTTTCAACCATCAAGCCTCCTTATAGTTGAACTTTAGCTGCTCCAATTCCAGAATGTCTAGACTCAACGACTTGATATCCTGAAGGAGCGAAAACAGACTCAGTCCGGTCACGAACGGAACGAAAAATAGAGCATCCATGATTCCCGAGTACGTTCTTAATTTCACCACAAACACAATTCCTGACAAAACCAGGTTGGCCACAAGTAATTGCTTATTTGAAATGGTGTCACATAACTCTCGGGGTTTTACAAACTCAACATGAATCAAAATAGCAAGACCCAGTATCAGCACACACGACACACAACTCAACAGCGGGTTTTCGCGACGGTAATATGAATTGGTTATCAGAATAAGATTCACCACTAAAAAGGCTCCCTGGATCATCTGCATTACTCTGATCAGCTGATTATCAAGCTTGTTTCTGGGCCGTGTTTTATTGAACGGCACTTTTTCTTTGAACCCACTGATCAGAGCATCTTGATCCTGTGTATCCAGTGGAATGTCCTCATCTTCGACGCTGTATTTTGAGTTTACCACTCTCCGCAGCCGAGGCATGAAAAATCAATAGCTAATTTAATTGGAGTAATTTCCGGCCATCGACTTTTTCTGGTAGCAGGGATATAATTCGAGATAGAATTTATCTAACTAGTGAAATGTATAAAAGAGTTCAAGCATCGTAAGGAGGTGGAGTGGCTTTCTCCTGGTCGACCACTCTGTGAGTCGTTGACAGCACTGGTTTCAGCTCTCCCGAGGCGATCTCTCTCAGCAGATTCTTCTCGTCAGCGTGAGACCGGACGCTTTCGAGGGGATGAACCACATAAACCTCTTCGTCGTCGTTGACCTTGTCCCCTTCGTGTATAATGCTTGGCTCAGACAAGTTACTCTTCGGACCTTGGTATTTTCCCTTGGCGTAGAAAATGTAGTATAGCACAGCAATTATCATGGTTCCTGGTGTGATCACAACGGTGTAGTTCATGGTGACCGAGTCCACCCCGTGGTTGGCAGGGAACATCACGAGCGCAATAATGAATGTGATGAACGCGCAGTTGGTCCATCCTATTATTGGTGACATTATGTCTCCGGTGTAGAACTTTCCAGGAACAAACTTGTGCTTACCAGTGGTGAGTCTGAGGAAGATTGGAGTACCCCAAGAGAAGTAGTTTCCGGCAATATACAGGGAAAAAAGAGCGTTGGCGGCGGTCGTGCCGATCAGACAGAGACATCCAAGCAAAAGAGCGAGGATTCCTCCGTACACGACAGCTCTGATTGGAGTGGAGAGCTTTCTGTTGACCACCTTGACAATTGGGGCGAATGGCAGTCCATCGTCTCGGGCAAAAGCCCAGATCTGTCTGGAGATGGCAGTCAGAATGGAGGCGCCCATCAACCATTGGCAGAAGGCGATAAGAGACATGAACGCAATGGCCCAGTTCTTTCCCAGTCCGTTGTAGATGATCTGGGCGATTGGGCTACCGAACTCGGAGGAAAGAATAGCATTGACATCTGGGCCCATGCATGCGGCAATGACGATACAGATGAAGAATCCAAGTCCGAAACAAGCGGACACAGAACCAATGATACCAATTGGAACACCGTGTGAGGCATCTTTGGCTTCCTCGGACATGTGGACACACGAGTCGAAAGCACCGATGGTCCAGACGGCCGGCATGAACCCGTTCATGACGAAGTTGAACCCTGGCGACCAGTTGCTGAACCTTTCGTTGTCTGCAAAAATAAAGGAACCCTTGTTGAAGTCAACTCCGTTGGTTTTGCAACCAATAGGCAGAGCAATGAAGAAGAGCACAATCAGACCCAAATTACAGACGATCGAGAACGTCTGGAGTCTGGACACAAAGCCCGACGCAAAACAGGTGATGGCGATGTGCGACACCACACATGCAGCGTACACGCCGTATGTTTTTCCAGAGGTGATGTCAAAGTCTCCGTCTTTGGAGATCGAGACAGCAGCAAGAACTTCACCTGCAAAACCGTAGTCGACAGAACACAAGGCACCAACCAGGGCGACCGAGTTGGTGTTTCCAACCAAGTACGAGAGGAACACTCTGATTCTCTCTGGAGCATAGAAATATGTCCAGTAGAACAGACCACCCGAGGTTGGCAAACTGCTACCAAGCTCTGCCATGCTGATTGCAATAAACAAAACAAACGTGGACGCAATTGCCCATCCCCAAACCAGCGTGATGGTTCCTCCGGTAAGACCCTGAGCCAGCACACTGGCAATCGATGGGAGCAGTCCCATAATACTGAAAGCCACACCAAAAACCTGGAGCGTGGAAAATTTACGCTTCAGTTCCTGTTTGTAGCCGATTTGTGCGAGCAACTCGTTGTCCGATTGCGCCAGCTTGGCGTCAATAACCTCGGGCCGCTCCATATCGCGGTACCTGCTGTAGGTGATGGTAACATCGTGGGATTCGTGGGTGTCCATTTTGGTGCACAAAAACCTGGCTGGCTGTTTGAAATTGTCTGATCTGCTGGCCTGTAATTTTTATACTCACCATCGTTATCTCTGAAAAATTCTGCGCTTAATCGTGAGTGCTATCGTGCAGAGATTGTCCACTTACCGAGTAACTGTACGTTAGCGGTCATTCCAAAAACAGAAAGGAGAATCCGTTGCTTGGGAACTTTAAAGTTGAGGCGCTCACGTCAAGCTTACTTGATTGGGACTATCAGAACGGCATTATGCAGTGAGACATAATCGCGGTCAGATGCCAACAATAAAAAATCCCGTTGATAGGACGCACAAATCAGGTAAAATAAGATAAGCGGAAAATGGCTCGGCATATGTGGCGCATCTATACATGTGGGATAGCTTCTAGGTCAGAAATAGCTTCTATAGTGTAGTGGTATCACCTCAGATTCTGATTCTGATAACCCCGGTTCGAACCCGGGTAGGAGCTAATTTTCTAATTTTTTTAATTTTTTCTCTAAAGAAAAAATTGTCTACGCATGGTCAAGTTCGAGGAATAGTCATTTAATTTTTTTTTCACCAACAATGTCGTACAGATCAACCCGTTCTTCAGAACCCCAAAGTGTCTCTTTTGAGGAGGCAGTCATCACTGGTCTGGCTACCGACGGTGGACTTTTCATTCCTGCTGAGGTCCCAAAACTCCCAGAGTCTTTCTTGAAAGAATGGTCTGGTCTTTCATTTGAGGCTTTGGCCTTCAACATCATGAGATTCTACATCAAGCAGTCCGAGATCTCCGATGACGAGCTCAAGACCTTGATCGCCAAGTCCTACTCCACCTTCAGAGCTAAGGAGGTCACTCCACTGGTCGCGATCGACTCGCAGAAGAACCTGTACTTGCTGGAGCTGTTCCACGGCCCAACTTACGCTTTCAAAGACGTTGCTCTGCAGTTTGTCGGTAATCTGTTTGAGTTCTTCTTGACCAGAAAAAATGCTGCCAAGAAGGCAGGTGAGTCTAGAGACATCATCACCGTTGTTGGAGCCACTTCCGGTGACACTGGATCCGCTGCTATTTACGGCCTCAGAAACAAAAAGGACGTTTCTGTGTTCATCCTCTACCCAACAGGCAGAATCTCTCCTTTGCAGGAACAACAAATGGCCTCTGTTTTGGACGATAACATCCACACTCTTTCTGTGAAAGGTACCTTTGACGACTGTCAGGACGTTGTGAAGAAAGTGTTTGGAGATGCCGAGTTCAACCAGAAATACCACGTCGGAGCAGTCAACTCGATCAACTGGGCTAGAATCCTCGCACAAATGACTTACTACTTCCACGCCTACTTCCAGCTGCTGAACAAGATCCCAGAAGCTGAAAAGGCCGACTTCAAGGTCAAGTTTGTGGTGCCAAGCGGAAACTTTGGTGACATCCTTGCTGGTTTCTACGCTAAAGAGATGGGACTTCCTATCGAGGAGTTGGTGGTTGCAACCAACGAAAACGACATCCTCGACAGATTCTTGCACTCCGGAAAATACGATAAGGTCGAGGTTAAGGAGACCTACTCTCCAGCTATGGACATCTGTGTTTCCTCCAACTTTGAGAGATTCCTGTGGTACATGATCAAGAGAACCAACGGTGGTAACGACGATCTGAAAACTGGTGCTATTTTGGCCGAATACATGAAGGACCTGTCCTCCAAGGGCATCTTCGAGGTCACTCCAGAGACTTTGAAGCTTTCGCAAAGCGTTTTGGACTCTGCCAGAGTGAGCAACGAAGAGACCGTGAAGACCATCAAGGAAACTTACGCTAATACATCCAACAATTACATTCTTGATCCTCACACTGCTGTTGGTGTCACCACTTCGCTCAGAAAGATCGCCAGCGACAAGGACTCCAACACTAAGTACATTTCCTTGTCCACTGCGCACCCAGCTAAGTTCTCGTCTGTTGTGAACCAAGCTCTGTCTGGATTTTCCGAATACTCTTTTGAAAAGAGCGTGCTACCAGAAGAGCTCAAGAAGCTGGCCTCTCTCCCATTGAAAATCAAGCTTGTTGACAACGCAGAGTTAAAGACCATCGAATCGATCATCGTGGAAGAGCTCGCAAAGGAGGGTAAGAACTAGATATCTGTTTAATCTACATAGCAGTCTAACTATGGAGTGGAACCTATGGGTTATGTAGCCCCGGGTTAAGGTTTTTTCCATACACGAAATTAAAAAAAAGTCAGAGTAGGGTATTTTGTTTTTCAGATGTCTGCCGCGAGAATGCACAGAGACAAGCACAGAAAACTAGCCAAACAGGCTGCCATTGCTCATGGACAAGGTCACGTGCAGCATAGTATACTGGGTAATCAGGGACAGAAGTCGCAAGGTTCTGTTTCGCAAGGCCATGCGCTGTCTGCGAACATGAAGCCTACAGACGTTGTCATATCGAAATCGATCGCTTCTGTGTTTCCAGAGAAAACCGAGTTGTACCACAAATTAAGAGCCAAGGAACGCGAGTTGGATTTGATGATCAATAAGAAGGTGATTGATTTGCAGGAGTATCAACAATCGGTGGCTAACGGACTGGTTGAAGATCCGAACGACACTCAAATCCTGCGAATTTTCATCTTCAACACATCCGAGAACCAGCCATGGCAAGTGAAAGACCAACAGGTGGACAATCTTCCGCCTCCATCGTGGACCTTGAGAATTGAGGGTCGTTTGCTAAACGATACTGAGCCTGCTGATTCACCAAAGAGAAAAAAATTCAGTTCGTTCTTGTCAGGAATATCTGTTGAGCTCAAGGCCAAGGACGGGAACGACGAAGAGCTGCAAATAGGCTCTGTCAATGACGGTCCAAGCTCGAGAGTTATCGAGTGGCACGACAGTTTTGGATCCAACGAGCCGGAAAGAATGAAACATCAATTTGACGGTCTGGACATTAAAAGAGCTGGTTCTTCGATTCCCCAGTCCGAGCTGCCAGAAAACGAGTCTGCTGACCCTTCAGAGAAGGAAATCGTGTGCAATATTGTCATCCAGCCAAAGACATATCCAATCAAGTTGCAAGTGGTCAACGACGCATTGGTTGAACTTTTGGGATCTAGCGAGATTTCCCAGCCGGACTGCATCCACAAGATCTTTAACTACATCAAGATGAACAACTTGTTTGAAGTGCAAACGGTTCAAGATAAACAGGGAGGCAATCAACAGCCACAGCAAGTTGTCACCGTGAAGAGCGACGATTTACTCTACCGTATATTTGCTGTCAGCTCGTTGACGTTTGCGCAGATCATGGAGATCGTGTCCACCAAGCTTCTCAAGCCGGTCGAACCTATCAAACTTCAATACAGCATCAACACATTGAAGGAAACTACGCTAGGAGATCTGGTGATCGATTTGAAGGTGAATTCAAGACTGGTGAACCCAAGTTTCAAGCCAGGTGCCCAACAGTTGGCTGAGATTAGCGAGATGATCAACCAAAGCATTTTGAACAAGCAGACAGCAAAGGATCTTGAAAAAGTGAACGAGAGCCTGAGACTAAATTTCCAATTACTTAATTACTCCAAGTTCAAGTACGATTTCTATAAGAAGTTGAGCGAGAAGCCTGTGGAATTCCTCAAGGAGGTTCTCGATAAGAACACAGAGCTCTTGAAGATCCTGTCGAGCGATTCGTTCACGTTTGGCAACGACGGCCTTTTGGACGAGGAGCTGGTGAGAAGGTCAGAGTTTTACACGGACGAGTTTTTGAGCGAGCATATCAACATTCTGTTCAATTCTGGAAGAATCTGAATATGTGTATAATATGATGTAATATGATTAGAGAGTTTGGAGTTTTTCACTTAGTTTCAAGAGCCATTTGCGTTGGAACTTGGGGCTGATCTCGTTAGCAAGACTTTCGAATGTTGGAAAGAACTGGTCTGACGCGAGTAGATGCCACCCATCGACTGAGACTTGGATCCTGTACGATTTGTCTTCAAGGGTTGTTATCCAAAGTTCAGACAATTCGTTGTTTAGAGCCAATTTCTTGAAAAATCCTCCAGAACCGTACTCTTGCGCGATCTGTGTGAGCTCATACTGTTGATCCATGAAAATTAAACTCTGATAATTTTTTCTCTCGTGTATATTATGACCTCGAAGCAAGTTAGTTTTGGCGACTTGCCAATTGACTCGTCGGATGACGAACAGCAATCCCAGGACGAGGAAAAGAGCGAAGAACTGACCATCTTGGAAGAGTACAAGTTATGGAGGAAAAATTGTCGGTACATGTACGATTTCATTAGCGAGACCGCGTTGACATGGCCGTCGTTGTCTATCCAATGGGTTCTAGGCGACACTTTTGAAAACAAAACCAAAGACACAAAGATTTCCAAGACCAGAAATCTGTTGCTGACCACGCACACGTCGGGAGAAGATGTGAACTACTTGAAGATCGCGTCTACTCAGATTCCTGCCTCTATTTGGGACAATGGTCCAGAAATCACGCCGGAGGAGTTGCAACAAATCAACTCGAGACTCAGAATCTCCAAGAAACTGGATCAAGAAATGGAAATCAATAGAGTCCGTGCAATGCCCCAGAATAATAAAGTCATTTCCACCATCAACGGAAACGGAGAGGTGTTTGTGTATTGTTTGGATTCCCAGATGAACGAGCAAAGTAAGACAAAACTGGTGCACCACACTGACAACGGATACGGATTGAGTTGGAACCCTGTGGTGGCAGAACAATTGGTCACTGGCTCGGACGACCAGACGGTGGCTATTTGGGACTGTTCGCAAACGGGCGCGGAGCTGACTCCAACACAGGTGTTCAAACACCACACAGGTATCGTTAACGATGTTAAATGGCACAACTTCTCGGGAAACACGCTCGGATCCGTGTCTGAGGACAAAAACTTCATATACCAGGACACGAGAGCACAGGACCCAGCCATCAAGACGGTGTTAAGCTCCAAAACCAGCTTTAACACGCTCTGTTTCTCGCGGTTCTCCAAAAACATCTTTGCCGCTGGAGGCGAAGACGGAAACGTTTACCTATACGACTTGAGAGACGTTTCAAAGCCGCTCCATACCATGATGGGCCATACGAAATCCATCACCAACCTCGAATGGGATCCGTTCCACGAAAACATAGTTGGCTCATCGTCTCTGGACCGGCGCATCATTCTTTGGGACATCAACAAGATCGGTCAGGAGCAATTGCAGGACGAAATGGAAGATGGTGTCTCGGAGCTTCTCATGATGCACGGGGGACATACTGGAGGAATCAACGACTTCCAGTTCAGCGAGGAAATCCCTTGGACAGTTGCCAGCTGTGCAGATGACAACATCGTCCATCTCTGGAAGGTCAACAAGAAGGTGGTCGACGAGGATCCTGTCGAGGTTGATCTGGCAGAGCTTGAGTAGTGTATAGTCTATATTGGTTACCCGGTCGATTTATTTTCCACAAATTTTCCAACCGTGATTTTTGTAGCGTAGCGATACTCGGTTCAACATGTTCAGATCGACGATTTTGAAGGCCGTTCAAGGCGTTCCGAGAAGTTTCGGCTCGAGACTGTTTTCCACGACACCAAGTAAGTAATACGATGCATTAATTGACGACTTGCTAACCTCCAGAAATTGCAAGAGAACAAATGGTCGTTTACGAGCCACTGCCAAAGCTCAGAGACGGGAAACCACTCATGGCCTACATCAGACAGGCCCAATACAAGAAGCTTGATCCAACAGGCGAGAAACTCAAGATGATCGAGCGTTCGAACCCAGAAAGACTCAGAGCGGGAGACGTGGTTAGTGTTTTCTACAAGAATCAAAAGCCCGTGATTGGAGCTATCCTCATGGTGAAGAGAAGCGGCGTTGCATCTGCCATTCTGCTGAGAAACAAGGTGGCTGGTTTGGGTGTCGAGGTGAACGTGCCGATCTTCAACCCGAACGTGATGAGAATCGACATCTTGCGTAGACCAGACACCTACCGTTCGAGAAATAGACACTACTACATCCGTAACAGCAGGCTGGATGTCAAGGAGGTCAAGTTGTAAGGTACATGTATATAAATATAAGCGCATTCAGAATCAGCCATGGTACAACGTAAAAATTTGTCGCGGGGGCCTCCTCAATCGCGGGCGGCGACCAAATGTGAAAAATTGGACATCGATAACATTATCGTCTGTTTTTCCTCGATGCTTTCGTTGGCAATTTTCACGCTTTTCGGAACTTGTTTGGCCCAGGAGGCCACCAAGAAGTACTCCCAGTACACCCCGGCCGAGTTGTCGGAGCTGGGTCTCGTTGAGAGACTCAAGCTTTATCCATGGACGTTGGAGATGATATCTGTTGGATTCATCTCTGTTTACTTCGTCAGTTACTATGTTGGATCTAGATACAACGACAAGCTAGTCAACAAGTTCATCAACACCAACCTGGAGTTGTTAAAGGAACAATTCTACCAGGTTGGTGTCACCAGATCCCAGTTGCTTGCTAAAGACGATGCAGAGAACTATTCGTTTTACGCTACAGGTAGACTCAACATCGAGTCGTTGACTGCCAAAATCAAGTTGCAGCCAAGACAGAACATTTTCGTGTGGATCATGGAATCTCTTCTCAGCTTCTTCATCGACTCGGCGTCTTCTACCAAGGACGTTGTTGATTTGGTTTTCCAAATTGATAAGGAAGCAAGCACCAAGTACGACGACTTCATCTGGGCCATTGTTTCCAAGGATAACATGAACAGTATCAGAAACGAGAACTACTTCCTTTCGTTGACCAGAACCGCCGAGTCGGCCAAGCTGCCATTGGAGTTCGTTTTCATGAACGAGGTTCCAGAGATGAACGAGGTTCTGTACCACAAGAAGTTCAACTCCATTCTCGAGAAATGCAAAGGTTTCCTGTCTTTCATTGCCATCACCGACCAGCCTGCTGAGAAGCCGGAACTTGTCGCTGATTTGGTCAAGAGCAAGAGAATCGTTGTCCAGATGAAGATTCCTCAATCTTCTGCAGACCTCGAGGCTTCCAACGAGCTTCTGAAGTTCCTGCTCAATGATTTCATTGAGTACGTCATCAGCAAGGGCTTTTTCATTGGTGAACTCAACCGTAGGCCAAAGAAGACCAGAGAGAACGAGCTTGCCAAGTTGAAGAAAGTTGAAGAGACTCTCAAGAAAGAAGAACTTGCAAACAAAAAACTTGAGGAACAGAAGAAGCAGAAAGCTTCGATGAGCGCTGAGAAGCAACGTAAGCTTGAAAAGAAACAGCTGGAAAGAAAGCAAAGAAGAAATACTCAGAAAGTCAGACAGTGAGTGATAGACGATAGTTTTAAAAAGTTGTGTATTTTAAATTGGACAATTTAATATTCTTTCAAGTGTTTGCCTGTAAGTTTGAAGACTCTTCCTGTTGGCGAGTTGAAACACTCGACGATCCCCATTCCGGTCATTAAACTCAAACTCCAAATCATGTTGATGCCGTTGTACTTGACGAAGTTGCTTTGATTCACCTCGTACTTCAACCGTAGATCGTCTTCTAATATCTGTTCAAACTTGGTTGCTTTGATTGCTTTGTAGATGGCGACGTTCGAGCTACGCACCAGTCGCCAAAAGGGCCCCAAGTTGGGCAAAGTCAGAGTGAACCACTCGCTCTTGGATGAAAATGTCAGAAATCCGGAGTCAATAAGGATTCTGGCATTGAGTCCATTTTCTGCAAGCAATGAGGCTGGGATCGCCTCCACGTTGGGAATGTCCCGCAAAAGATCCACAAATCGGGAACTGATGGTGTCTGAATTGGTGTGATGTTTGATAAGACTCTTCAAGTCTTGAGTGCGAATAATGTACCGGACGTTTGCCTGTGGATGCGTGATAAGCTTTAAACGGCCCTGTAGCGCAAGTTTCTCGACCCGAGAATCAACAAACGTCTCCATATTGGGCAGGATCGCATACATCTGGTTTATGGTAACCACGTTGGGATACGAAGCCCGCAGAGCAGAGAGCTTGGCCTTGGTCTTGGAGGACAATCTAGCTTTCGATAAGAAGTCGAACTTGGTGTTTAGCAAGAACTCAACGCACTGCTCCAAAATCTCCAGGTTCTGCTCGTCCTCGTCGTCTTCAAAGTTGGATTCCAAATATATATCATCAAGATTCAAAGTCTGGAAACCAGGGGTATTGCTAAAGATATTGACTGAGTAATCAAGGATCTTGTACTGCTCGCCGGCAGACTTGGCCTGTGACGCTTTCTTCGGAGATCCAGATGGCTTGGGTGTTTTTTTAGGAGACTCTAGTCTGGATAACAAGGAATCATTAGGCATAAAAAATGATTATAAAATATATATGGAGTTTAAATAATCATCTATATTTACATGACGCTCAGTTTGCATTCACTCCAATTTTGAATCTATGCAACTCCTCGTTATTATTGCGCAAGTCAAGCAGTTGTCCCGAGTAGATTCCATCCTGTTGAATGCTGTCGAGAACATTTTCTGCCTGGTCCAAAATCTGAAGCTCCACGTTGGCTTCCGAGAAGAATCTGTTAACCGACTCTGCGTTTTCAAACTCTTTCAAATCTTGTGTAACCATTCTGTTCATTGTAGTGAGGATTCTGGATCCAGAAATAGGGTTGCGTAGTTTGTTGCCTGCCTTTTCGGCTCTGAACATGACTTTTCCTGGCAGTTTTGCAATGATTGAGTCTTTTTCGCTTCCAACCAATTGATTAAGGTCGAACGCTATCAGGTCGTCCAATGTTAGCAATTCAGGCTCTTTCTTTTGTTCAGGCTCGACCTTGGTCTTCACCTCGATATCCTTGGCTTCCACAACGGGAATCACCGGTTTGGAGTCCGGCAGGTTCATATACACCGCTCCGTTTCTTGGATGAAGTTTATTGATCATGACGCTTGGCTTCACTTGCACTATCTGGCCACGAACGCCATATTCGGGGAAATCTTTCAACAGTTGAACAGAAATACGCTGTCTCTTGGTGATAGCAGTGTACCTGACGCCAAAATGACGTGGCGCGCGCTGGAAAGTCCGATTAGCCAACATCGTCAAACTGGAAATTGGAAAATTTTTAAATTTACTTTATTTATATTCAATCGCGACAGGGTTTTTTGTTGTAATATACACACTAATCTAGAAACGAGGCTTCCGTCTTCTTCCCGTGAATTTGGAGTCCTGGGCAACCGTCTTGCCTCGTTTCTTCATCAGCTCTTTCTTTCTTTGGATGTAGTCCTTCTTTGTCTCAAGAGCTCTCATCATTTTCTTGCTCATCTTCTTTTCTTTCTTTGGAACGGCAGATTCAATGTCCATGCTACCAAGGTTCAGTGGTCGTTCGTTGTATCCTGCTTGTAGCACGAGGTAATGCTTCTTCTTTTTCTTGGACTCTGGGTCATCCACGACGACACCGCATTGGAATCCGGCCACTTTGGCTGCTCCTGTAATTTGTATGATTTGGTTCTCGTTTGCAGGATAGAACTGTCCCACAAACTTGCCGCCTCTTTTCAGGGCAGCATAGAGCGTGTTGAAGAATCTTGCCAGACGAGCTTTTGGTTCGTTGAGAGTGCTGTCGGCGTTACACAGCCACTGGATTGCAGAAATAGAAATAGCTGCGTCAAAAGTTCCTGCTCTAAACGGCACTCCCGTACCCATATCGCTCAAAAACAGGTCTCCGTCGACCTCTCTATCCAGTGCAGTGGCCAACATACTTGGAGCAATATCCATTCCAACCCATATTTGGTTTTCCTCGGTCAAGATTTCTCCCGATAAGCCAGATCCGCATCCAACGTCTAGCAAGAAGTGAGTTTTATTTGGCTCCAAATTAAGCAGCTCCAGAGCCCTGAAGGTCATCTGAGCCTGAATATGCTGCACTCTGGTGGAGGTTGTGTACTTCTGGGACTCGTCATCGTTGTAAAAAATCTCCGGAGGAGCGATCTGTTCTGGACGAGACATTGCAAAGGTTGGTGCTAACAGATATAATTTTCAAATGATTGGCAAATTTTTTGAAGATCATCCAGCCCCTGAGCCGCAAAAGTGTTTCGATTTGATTGATTTCCCAAGTTGCAACAAATTTCAATTTATTAACATTGAGACACACTTGTTACAGGATATCAGCCCAACTGGTTGGCGTTTAAGGAGAAGATTGATTTATTCTTACAGCGCTAATATTAAAGACCCATTAATCACTTTCTCTGTTCGGACACAATGAGTTCAGATGAAGTTCGTTCGGTAAAGCTGACAAGGCCCCAAACCTCCAAATCCGACTCAACCGCAAAACTCCAGGTTATTGAGAAGAACTCGGGAGAAAAAAGACGCTCAATTCTGGAAGACGATGAATATGAGAAAGAAATCGTCACCGATTCCCAACGTTCCGAGCCAGTCCCACAACCGAAAGCAACTGAGATGGCGCATTCCTTGCCGAGAGATAAAAACAGGTTCAAGAAAGATGGGTCTTTCAGATCAAAATGGGGGGACCTCACCTTCCAGCCGCGGCCTTCGATCTTCGACGCTGAAGTCAAGTTTGGCGCCAAATTCTACGGTTTGTTTGTTGCCTTCTGGTTCTGTGTCTTTTTTGGTGGGTTGAACGTTGTTTTGAACCACCACCTAAGTTATGGCAGTCTGATCGAGTCCAAAGTTATTGCAATCATGGCAGATAACATTGTTGGTGTTGCGTTCACAGACTTGTTGATGTACTTCATGATGTACATTCCTGTCCTGATTCAACTGGCTGTTAAAAATGGCAAGCTGAGCTGGCAAAAGTCTGCCTGGATCATTGAGTCAGTGTTTGAAGTTTTCTTCCTGGTATTTTTCCTCGTCTGGGCAGAGTACTTTCAGTATTCGTGGATTGGCAAGATCTTCTTGCTGCTCCACTCGCTGGTCCAATTGATGAAGATTCACTCGTACGCTTTTTACAACGGATACCTGTGGTCAATCCAAAACGAGCTCAAGTTTTCTCGCGCCTACTTGAAGAAACACGAGGATACAGAGCTGACAGACAAAGTTCGTATCCCATTGGAAAAATCTGTGGAGTTTTGCGAGTTTGAGCTGAGAGCACAGTCTGCAGAACAACCATTCCCAGAAAACATCACATTCAAAAACTTCTTTGTCTACTCCATGTATCCAACGCTGGTTTACCAGATAGACTATCCAACCACAACTAAAATACGCAAGCGCTATGTCCTGACCAAGATTGCTGGAATCTTTGGTGTCATCTTCCTCATGATTGCAATCTCGGACACTTATCTGTACCCTATGGTTATCAACTGCTTGGAGCTGCGGGAAACCACCTCCATTGCCTACAGAATACAGATCTATCCGAAGATCATAATTGGGTTCATCCCGCCTTTCTTGGGTGTCTATTTATTGGTGTTTTACTTGATTTGGGAGCTGATCCTAAATGCAATTGGAGAGCTCTCTTATTTCGCCGACAGAGAGTTCTACGGTTACTGGTGGAACTCTGTGGACTGGAACGCCTATGCTAGAGACTGGAACATTGTGGTCCACAAGTTCCTGTTAAGACATGTCTACCACAGCTCTATCAGTGCTTTGCAACTGAACAAAACAGGAGCCACCATCTTCACGTTTGTGTTGAGCTCCGTGATTCACGAACTTGCTATGTTTGTCATTTTCAAACGGTTGAGAGGCTATCTGCTGATGCTGCAGATGAGTCAACTTCCGTTGGTGCAACTGAGTCGGTCCAAACTGATGAAAGACCGGGAGATCTTGGGCAACTGTATCTTCTGGTTCGGAATCGTGTTTGGTCCAAGCTTGATGTGCACCATGTACTTGGTCTTCTAAAACGTCGGTTTTGCTATATACATCTTATCTATAGATTGTCTCGAACGGTCTTGTGTCGTTAAAACAGCTTCTGAACACCTCCTCGACAACCTCGTCGGCGTGCTCCTTGTCCTTGCAGGCCGGATGGTTAATCACACTGAGCGATGCCTTCCTCTTCACGCATTCCTGGTGGCCCTTTGCGTATCTTAGGAACCCGAGTCTCCGTTTAAACTCAGTAACCAGCGCACACTCGCCGCTCAATGAGGCAGCACGGATCTCCGAGCACGCATGGTGTCTGATATCGCCCCAGTCGACCTTGAACCGCGTATTGTCGTACCAGTGAACCAGCTCGTGCGAGAGCGTGTCGTTCAACACCCATTTGTTGTCGATGTAATTAGCACACAGCTGCACACCCATTCCCGGGTTATAGCCTCCATATCTTGGGATCGTGCAAATCTCGCACTTGAGCTTGTCGGGATCAACATAGCCACCAACCTGGTTGATCTGGTCGATCATGAAAGTCACTGTTGGCGAGTACTGCAGCATGAAGTTCTTGTACTCGTTACATTTCGCACATTGGTCCAGCTCGGTCTTGACCTTGTTTTCCTGCTCATATGCCAGTTTCTCCTGATCTGTCAAACTGATCCCCGTCTTATACTTCAAGGTTCGTATCCACCAATTAAATCCCTGCGAAGCGTCCGAAGCAGACAGCGGCTTGGAGGCCTCTTCTTTACTCATGGTAATTAATTGATAAAAAAAATTCACACAAAATTTCCATAACCATGTCTAACATCTGGATTGCCGCCTCAGACAACAACGTCGATCTTGTGAAGCAGTTTCTTGCGTCGGGCGATTTCTCTGCAAATTCCAAAGACCCCAACGGATACACGCCGATCCACGCCGCCGTTAGCTACGGTAATCTTGACCTGCTAAGATATTTGATTTCCCAAGGAGGTGACATCAACGTCCAGGATTCGGACGGAGACACTCCTTTGCACCACGCGGAGTCTGTGGAGGTTGCCAAGGTGCTGGTTGAAGAACTGAATGCAGATTATAAGCTGAAAAATAACGATGGTTTAACGCCTGCAAAATACCAAGAAGAAGAGCAGGAGTTCCCTGAACTGATTGAATATCTCTCGTCGTTGGAGAAACTCGGTCCCGTTTCGTCGATGAAAACAGGATCATCGATGTTTGACGAGAATTTGCAGCTTCCAAATGGCGAGAAAGTCAAGATGTTTTTGGCAAAGGACTCCGACGAAGCACTCAACCAGGACCTGATCCAAAGAAGACAGGAGATCGAACAAATCATGAACCAGGACATCACAGAAGAACAGAAAGACGAACAGCTTAAAAACCTCATTTTGAACGTGGTATCTGATAACTTTCAGCAGCTCAAAGAACCGGAGGCTCCAGACTCCAAAAGACAGAAATAATCGGTTTATAATTATGTACTACTATCATTCATTCGTCACACTCGTCGTCCGAGTCCTCAAGTCTTTCAATCAATAACGAACCGTTAGGCCACAGTTCCTTAACGTCCTTGAGTAGCCTCGTCTTATCAGCATGGAACTTGCTTCTTGGCATTGGAGAAATGAGCTCGAATTTGAAGTCATGCTCGTACCCGTCAAGATCAACATCTTCCGCCTCTTCTTCCTCGTCGTCTCCATGTAGGGCTTTGTAGTTCTTGCACTCGACAAACAGGAACAAGTCGTATAACGTCTCATCCTTGAAAAACTTGCGGACGGTCCGTTTTCCCTCGTGATTGCGGAACTGAATCGTAGTATAGTCACCTTTCACCCAGTCTTTGTCGTCTCGATCAAAAACCAACGGAATGTGTTTTTGGAAGAAGGCCTGCTCCTGTTTCTGTCTCAAAATGACCGCCTCTTCCTTGAGTCTCAATTTTTCTAGTTTAGCCTTTTCGTCTAGCTCCTTGTGTTTCTTCTCCTCCTGCTTGATCTTATCGTTCAGAAGAGACTGCTCGTACGCTTCATCTTGCTGTTTTCTGATCAGCCGCGAAAACTCGGCCTCCTGCTTATCGTATCTCTGCGTAACCAGCTGCGGCTCGTACTTATCAACAATCTTCTGCAACCGTTTTGTCACCTTCTTGGCCGAATCTATAGAACAGTTATCAAAATTATGGTATCTGGTCACAATAGACATCAATGGGAACGTCGTTCCGGTTGCAGAAACATTGGATATCAAATCAAGATGTGGCACGCTGTACACCTTGTACGTTTGTCCCACCTCGAACGGTTCAGGATAACTGACGTCTCCGATGTACAGAATGATGTTATTTTCTTTGATAAATTTGATGAAATGCTCGTGATTTAGATATGTTTTGACGAATTTCGTGGTTGTGTCTCTTTCCGAGTTGATAATGATACACATGAGCCATCTGAGCTCAGACTTTGCGGTCTCGAAAGCTTCGTTGAAACCGCCTTCAAAGATTGGTAGATCCGAAGTTTCACCCAATACCTCGTTGATGTAATTCTTGATGTTGTAGCTGGCAATAGCTTCCTTGGAAGTATAAATAGGTTTGCAAGGGAAATCATTAGGACTTTCTCGAAGTCCCAAGATCCTGAATAAACCGGGGAATAATGGTCCCAGGATTTTGCTGAGACCATATCCAACAAGCCAAAGGAGACGTGGGAACAACATTAGGATGAAAATGACCGGTGGAAGTAATGCATAGGTTGATTTTCGTCTTTCGGAGGAGGATTTGAGTCCGACTTGAAATTTCCAACGGTTCTGGATAGGAATTGCCTTTGGCAGTTTAGGTATCAGATCCAAAAACGGATCGTCGAATGCAATAGCTCGTGGAGCCGGGGCTTCTCTCGAAGGAGGAGCAGACGTGCCAAACGGGTCTGTTCCGGCATATGATCTGACGTACGGCGAGAACGACTCTGCCGGAGTTGCAATTGAAGAAGTATCATCAACCAGGGTAGGGAAGTCGTTGTCGAAGTACCTGGCAACAGCAATTTCCAGATTCCAGTTGCACACGGTCAAAAGTCGCAGGACCTTGTCCTGTTCTTCATCTTCATTATACGAAGTGAACTCCTTGAAATTCTGCAACACCGACTCCTGCTCGGGACGTAATTGATCCATTGTGGTAGAATGAGACTCGAATCACTCAATGCGGTAAATGCAAATCCTCTCCAAACCAGATCTTAGATAAAGCTGATTTTGCCACTAAAAAAATATTGGAGATAATTGGAATTGGTCGCGTCGATCGTCTTTTTAGTATTATTGTTTACAAACACAAGGTGAAGCTCAGTAATGCTTAAAGTAAATAAACGGCGAGCACTGTCGCCTGTGAAGGCGAACACGGTCCCGAAACAGGCCTCCAAGATATCTCAAGTTCAAGAAGACCAATCAATCAAGGTTGTTGTCCGGGTGAGACCGTTATTGGAGAGAGAGCTGGAAGGCTCACCTAAATGTTTGGTTGAGGTCGATAAGGAGCAATTGATCACATTGACGCCAGATCAGAGTTCTGCACAGGCCAGAAAGTACAGAGACGCACAGAACTTCAAGTTTAGCAAGTGTTTGTGGTCTTATGACAGAAGAGCCAGTACTCCCTTTGCGGATCAAGACACTGTTTTCACAGAGGTTGGGTTGGACATGCTTGACAACACCATCAACGGGTTCAACAGCTGTGTGATGGCATACGGACAAACTGGCTCGGGTAAGACGTTTACTATGATGGGGTCTAAGAACGAGAGAGGATTGATCCCGCTGGTCTGTGAGAGTCTGTTTACCAAGCTGAAGCAGCAGATAGATACCAAATTCGAGGTCAAGGTCTCGTTTATCGAGATTTATCAGGAGAACGTGGTTGACCTGCTGGGGACTGGAGAGAAGTTGCGGGTGAGAGAAAACAGCAACAGGGTCCCATTTGTTGAAAACTTGAGTGAGTACACTGTTGGTAGCTCACAGGAAATTATGGAATTGCTAGCCAAGGGATTCGATAAAAGAACCACCGCAGAAACACATCTGAACAAACAATCGTCGAGATCGCACTCCATTCTCACCGTGACTGTTGTGCAGGAACAGTTCGACCCGGACACAAACTCGTTTGTCAAGCTCAAGTCGAACTTGAAGCTGGTGGATTTGGCTGGATCGGAGAAGTTTGTTGCCAGCGACGGTCTTGAGAAGATCAGACAACAGGAGGGAAGCAAGATCAACAAGTCGCTTGTGACTTTGGGCCGGATCCTGACTCTTTTGGCCGAGTCGCCAAAACAGAGAACGGTGATACCGTACAGAGAATCCATCTTGACTTGGCTGTTGAAGGACAGCATTGGAGGCAACTCGAAAACAACCATGATTGCATGCATCTCGCCCACCGACTTCGACGAAACCTTAAGCACACTTCGGTTTGCAACCATCACGTCCAAGATTGAGAATAAAGTGAAAGTCAACAAAGAGCTACAATTTGACATGGACCAGATGGTGGGCCAATTTGAGCTCGAGAAGAAGAAACTTCTGCAATGCATCACGGACCTGAAGGAATCAAGTACAGAGAAAGATGAAGTGAAGAAGCTAGAAAATTACGTCAATTGGCAAAATAACTACATAGACACATTGGCATTCACCAACAAAGTGACGCTAAAGAAACTCGACGCCAACTTGAAGGCCAGCCAGGAAAGAAACAGACTGTTGATGTCATCGCTAATTTCTGCTGTCAAACCAGCCGAACCAGAAGACTACGAATTCGATGAATTTGAAGAAATTATCAAACAGGCACAGTACCTGGATATCGAGACACCGCTAGAAAATTTGAAGAACGATCTTCACAGCGATTTGGTGAAGAAGTATACATTAGAACTTGTCGAAAATGCTATCTAACAGCATCGTTATTATACAGAATTTTATGATACAATGGAATGTTATCTATAACGTGTCTTTGCATGATTCTGACCAGCAGAAGAGTATCGTTGAAGTTGTGAATTTGACCGGTTGTATCCAGATTGATTTACAAAGAGATAATACAGGATGTTACAGTTGGAATTTTCTGTCTCTTGCTAGTCCGCTGAGTCCATGGGAGGATAAGAAATAACATATGGACCAAAATGAAAAAAACTAATCACACTATTCCGATGATGGCGGGTTCAGTATCTTGCTGGAGATCTGTCTCTTGCATATTCTCTTTCACCTTGCTCTGGGTACGATCCACCTTCTTCTCTTGATCTGTACTCGCCTCTTGGTGGAGGAGGACCGTCTCTGTATCCTCTGTCGTAATCACGGTATCCTCCACGAGGCTCTCTGTAACCTCCACGTGGTGGGTAGCCTCCTCTACCTCCTCTGTAGCCGCCTGGACCACCTGGGGCACCATAATCCCTATAGCTTGGGCCACGGGATGGGCCACCATATCCACCCATTGGACCATCTGGAGGAGGACCGAAGCCACCTCTTGAAGGGTATCCACCAAAGTCTCCTCTTGGAGGTCCTCTGTATGGAGGGTAGTCTCTTGGTCCACCGTATCCACCTCTGCCTCTTGGAGGGTATCCACCTCTACCACCTCTGTAGAAGCCACCTCTACCTCTGTATCCACCTCTTCTTGGTCCAAGGGATCTAGAAGCAGATGCGATGTAAGGACTGGTGTCTTCCTCGGCAACAAGCTGTGCATCTCTGTAACTCACACCATTCAGCTGGCTGATGGCAGACTCGAGATCTTCTCTAGAGGCGAACTCCAAGTGGCAGATAGTTGGATCATCTGGTGGAATTCTAACAAAAGTAGGCGTCAACCGCACTTCTTCTCTGATGAAATCTTTGAAATCTTGCCATGCAGTGGCCGGAAGATTCGAAACCTTGACTCTATTTTCACCCTTCTTGGCGTAATCCGGCTTCTTTTTTGCGTACTCGATCTGAAGAGTCTCTCCGGCGAAAGTTTTTTCCACAAACTCGCTGAAGGCCTTCTCTGCGGTCTCGGAATTCTCGTACTCAACAAAGGCATAGCCAGGCATGAGTCTCAGCTCTTTCAAAGGGCCCACCTGCGAGAAGAACTCCTCCACTTCCTCATGTGTCACCTGTGGACCAATAGGTCTGACAAACAACTGAACGTCAGAGTATTCGGTTGTCATTGTGTAGATATTTGTATCAACAAACGCGAACCTTTCGATAGTTTGGTAGAGAAAATAAGTTGCCTTCCGAGAAAAAAAAAGCCATTCTTTTCAAGCAGGGTAACTTTTACTGTTGAGGTCAATGGTGGTTGAAAGCACAAAGGTTTACCGGTACGGCACTCAGTCTGTTCGTCAGATGGTGAAACACTATGTGCTGAGTGTTCCGAAATCCAAGGTCAAGTGGACAGAGCCAATAGTGTACATTCACGGTGGTGCTTGGGTCGGAGAGACACATACCTATGACGAGTTCAGCCCATTGATCAACAGATTGGACCGACAATTGAACAACGGCGAGTACAGTCTATCACAGGAGACGACACAGATCGAATTTTTTGCCATTGATTATAGACTTTCGCCGGAAATTGTCCATCCGCACCATATCTTGGATGTTCTGGAAGCACTGCACTTTATCCACCAATTGGGCACGAAACAGGTTTCTGTGGTTGGCCATTCTGCCGGGTCCACGATGATCACACAGATCATGGAGCACGACAAGTTCTTAACCGCGTACGACATCAATTTCACCAGCCCTATTCCTTCCCTAACTTCTGTGGTGTTTCTGGATGGAATCTACAGTATCAAGACGATGCTGGAAGAATACCCGTCCTACGAACAAGAATTCGTGTCAACTGCATTTAAAACAGAGACAGATTGGCTCGATAATTGCAATATGGTCAAAGATGACCTGACCACAGAGGAAAAAGCCACCATCAAGGCCAAGTTTGAACGTCTCCGTTCAGTCGTTGTAACTCATAGCACCAAGGACGAACTACTAAGCACTAAACAGCCAGAAACGTTCTGTTCATGGCTCGAGTCGCTGCCGTTCACAAACTACAAATACATCGTGCAAGACATGGGACTTCATAATCAAACTTACGAAAGCGACGTGCTACTGTCAATCATCGTTGAGCATGTTTTAAATTAATACGGATATATCAATTCTTCTTTGGCTTGGACCAGTCCACCTTCATAATGAGGTTCATGAAACCTCTGCCATTAAGACCTTCCAAAGCTCTTTGTGCGTCCAGAACGTTGTCGAATTCCACAAACGCAATACCCTTGGATCTTCTCGTTTCTCTGTCTCTCAGCACGGTGGCTCTCTTTATAATACCATATCTGTTGAACACCTCGCGCAACATAATGTCATCGACTTGCTCGTTCAAACTGGTGACTCTCAAAGTTGTAGAATCATCACGCTCCTTGCGCTCGGATTCTCCAGGAGCTGGAGCGCCTCCTCTCCTTCTCAGGTGCGGAGGCACGTACCTCACGCCGCCTGGCCCTGGAGCGGTACTGCTCAACGGATCAGGAGTGGCTGTGGCGGGCTGTTCCGTGGTGGCGGATGTAGCATCGGTGGCACCAAGAGTGTCCTTGTAAGGACACTTGGATGTGAAATGGTCTCCTTGACAAGTTCTGCAGATGATGGTTTGAGGCTTCTTCTGGGCCATCTCCTTCTTTCTTGCCTCTGCCTCCTTCTGTGCGTCTTCTTTCCAAGAGGTACCCAAGATCAGCTGGACTTCTTCACCGAACTGGGTGGTTTTATTGTCAGGCCCCACGGTTCTGTTCTCTTTCTCTTCTCCGAATCTGCTCCATTTTCTTCTAGCGGCGATTGCTGGGTCCACGGTTTCCTTCACTGTCACGAGTCTAACTTTCTGTGTCACCTTGACTTTTTTGCCCTGGTCGTTGATTTTGTACGAGACGATAGTCTTTGTTCCGTCTGGATTTTCTGTCACTTGTGTGGCTGGGAGATCGTTCTCGGCGTCGGCCCACGACGAGGAGGTGTCTAAGGCTGCTTGAGACATGGTTTCCTGATGAGTTTTGCAATAATTTTATTGATGAAAAAAAATTCTCCAAATTGGTAGTGTAATCAAATTTACTAAAGATCGCCATCCGCATCCTGAATTTTTTTTAGACAAGACGATCCCCAGTTAAAAATACGGGCTTGAATCCATTGATTAACATTTTTTACTGCCACGTTCCTCTATCATAAGCGTCTTTGCGCCAAACTTGAGCTATTATTATTCTAATTGGGCTCTAAACAACTTGATTTGGTAAACGACCTACTACTATTCATAGAAGGTGCGGGTTTTTAAAGGGCAACAGAGCAAACATTGGGCCTTGTTTTTTTTAGAAAAGGTAATGGCCATAAACTGAAGGTATCGAGATGAGTTCCAAAGTCCTTCATGAATTGCCATTGGCACACAGTGAAGACTCCAGCGCCACGCTTCAGTTTCATGGCGGAATAGATACTAGTTCTCGGCCCGAAAAAGCGTTTGCTACCGAAACTAGCACTCCACTCCGAAAAACCACTCTTTCACCAAACGCTAGCACACGAGTTGTTTTTGACGCAGACATGTCGAACCTAGCAAGAGAGCTCAAGTATCGCGAGTTTTTCAAGCGCAGTCCCAAAGGTCCCGCCAAAGGATTCTCTAGGTTTTTCCTATCCCAGGAATTGAATCCTGCAGACGTCGAGATCGACGACTCTGTCGGTGGCGAGGACGGCTTTTCTGAACACGATGGTGAGCGCTACTTCAGAGACAAGCCCAAGAAGCCATGTGTCAGTTCTGGTCATGTCAAGAACTCCACACACGAGCATGCAAACTTCATTCTCGCATTTAGTAAAGACGGAAAATATATGGCATCTGGTGGAGACGATGGAGTTCTACGGATCTGGGAAGTCATCACGTCGCCTCTTGACAGAGAGGCACCCGATCTCCACCATAGCAAGAGTTTTAGCAGCCGTAACCAAACGCTACTCAACGATGAATTCGACCACCTTTCATTTGATCGCACCTCTTTTATGAATGAATCGATTGCTTCCACAGAAAACACAGAAAACATTCCCAAGGGATCAAACACAGGATGCCCAACCAAAAAACTGAAGAAAGACAAGCATTCGAGCGTTCCGTTCGCTCCTTTATTTAAGCAATCTCCTATCAAGGAATTTATTCACGACGATACCATTCTTAGTATAGATTGGTCTAAAAATGGGTTTATCATTTCTTGCTCACAAGATTCTACAATAAAGCTTTGGCATGTTGACAGAAATGATTGTCTGGCCACATTCAAGCTGACCAACTTCGCTACCCAGGTCATGTTCCACCAGCAGGATGATAGATTTTTTGTCAGCTGTCAGTGGGACGGCACTGTCAAGCTATGGTCGATCTTGGAAAAGGAGGTCTTATTGAAAGCATCTGTTAAGAAAAGAATCACGTGTATGGCATTTTCTCCAAATTCTCAAGAACTATTTTTGGGCGGAGAAGCTGGAGCATTCCTGATTTTGTCGCTGAAAGATCTGGGAGTGATAGCCAAGTTTGAAATTAAAAAGAACAATGTCACCCCTCGGGTGACAGGAATTGACGTGTTCGAGTCAAATGATGATATCAAGCTTCTTGTAACGGCTAATGACTCGCGTATACGATTATTCAGCTACAAAGACGAGGTGTTGAACGTGCGGTACAAAGGACACGATAACGAGCATTCTACGATCCGTGCATCTGTCAACGAAGATCATTCGTTTATCATATCCGGTTCTGAAGATGGATGGGCGTATATTTGGCCTTTGGATCTCTTTGCATTGAAAGCCCCAGAAAATGCTAAAAATACTCACAAGCTCACTTGGGGCATTGCATCGTTGTTCAAAGATGAGAACTGTCGTCACAAGAACAAGAATTACGGCGCGTTCCATGTGCACCATTCTCGGTGCAATGTGGCCATTTTTGCTCCGAGAGCCACGTCAAAGCTGCTGGAGTTGTCCAACGACCCGATTTTCGAGCTGAAGGCTCGGATGCAGAACACTCAGGTTCCAAAGAAGTACGATGATGACTTTGACGACCCTTCCACGGCTATCATGGTGACAACCGATGATGATGGAATCATCAGAGTTTTCCGGAGAGATTTTGCGTACGCGGAACGCAAATACTACAGACAAACGAGCAAGAAGTTTGGCAGCAAGGCAGATCGGAGATCTTCGAAGGTTAGAGATCGGTCGCGGTCATCGAGCATTATGAACAAGTCATCGTCGATCCACCGGGGAAGTGCAATAGCGTTGGGAGACGAGAACGATCGAGGCAGAGAGGAATTTAGCAGAGGAGAGAACCTGGCAACCAAGGCGGCTCTGGCCTCGTTTGGTAGCGACTCGCCGCTCTCCAAGACCTTGAACGACAGTCAAGGAGATGTCAGCACGTCTGATTCGAAGATGCGACAACTGGATGTGCGACTGCACGATATTTTGGAGTCTACGAGAATCAGAAACGAGGACACCCCTATTATATCTACTGCTGACGAGAACGTGAACTCGTTGCGTCAGGACATCAAGTCGAGCAGCGAGGACGGGCTTGCACCGCGGAAAATGATCCCTACGATTTCTGTGTCTGACCAGGACGAATCGAGCATTGTTGACTCTGTGATAACTGGGGGGTCTGAGGAGACCAAGATCCAGTGTGCTCGGTGCGGATCGGACAAGTTTACAGCGCGGCCCGGCGGCGAAAATCCCCAAAACCAGATCCAATTCTTCTGTGACGACTGCGGAAAGAAAATTGATCTTTAATGAAGTGCAACGACTGGGTAAGTAGCAAAACGAAACGTGCTATGCTACCAGGAATATGGTAAAATTGTGTTATAGATTAATTATGAAAAAGGTTTGAAGCCCTGGCACACGAACAACAGACGGTTTCTATATTAGTTGTTAATATCTGAATAAAATTAGTATCGAACGAGATGGAAGTGTATGCGCCCAACGTTCAAGACCGGACGATTGAGTTTCTGCAGTGCGTCTCAACGTTCAACAAACAGAATCAGCACAAGCCGGCGGTTTCTGCGGCGGCCAACGGGCCGACCAAGTCGCAGCGAAGCGAGTTTACACAGAAGGCTGGTTTTATTGCCAAGGACATTGCTCGGGTGACGAGTTCGCTAGGCAAGCTGGCAGTGCTTGCGAAGCAGAAACAGCTCTTCAACGACAAGCCCACAGATATGATCGAGCTCACGTACGTGATCAAGCAGGATATATTCAAGATCGAGCGATCGTTAAAGGACCTGCAACAGTCGAGCGCCAGCAAGTCGTCTGGAGACTCGCAAATTAATACATATACCAAGAACGTTGTTCAGCTGCTAAATACCAAGGTGAAGAATGTGAGCGAGACTTTCAAAGAGGTGCTTCAGACGAGACAACGGAACGAGCTGGCGCAAAAGTCTCGACAGGAGCAACTGCTTGCCACCGTGAACGGGTCTTCCCACGATCCATCGAAAAACAACGCCGCCAACGACCTGGTGCCATACGCATTGCGAAACAAAGGTGCGCAGGTCTCGGATAACCCATTTTTATCGGCAATGGACCAGGACCCTGACGTTTCTGTGCCGAACCAGGACTACCTATCGATTCCCGACCAATCGCAACAGCTCATGCTGCTAGAGGAGCAGAGCAACCAGTACTTACAGGAAAGAAACCGGGCCGTCGAAGCGATCGAGTCCACGATCAACGAGGTCGGAGGACTATTCCAGCAACTGGCTACTATGGTCCAGGAACAGGGAGAGGTGATACAGAGAATAGACAACAACGTGGAAGATATCAGCTTGAACATCAGCGGAGCACAAAGAGAGCTACTGAAATACTATAACACAGTGACCAGCAATCGGTGGTTAATGGTGCGGATCTTTGGAATCCTGATTCTGTTCTTCCTTATGTGGGTCCTGGTGAGCTGAGATGTATAGCATATTTATTCCACGCAATGAATCCGTGTATTATTCGTCTATCGACTCTTTATTCATAACAGTCTTCTAGTTTCTTCTGTCCAGTGACAATGCCCTTCACGTCGTCCAGAATGTCGTTGAAGGAGTCGAACTGGGTGAACTTGATGTGCTGCTTGATGCAGAACTTGACCAGATCCTTGCCCCGTCTGGCAAACAGCAGGTCGCACGACTTGGCCGCAGACAAGTCCGACACACCGTCTCCGCAGTAGAACAGGTACGGTTTTTTGCTCAAGTCGTACTTCTCGAGACACTGTTTGATCGATTCGGCCTTGTCGTGCCCGAACGGAGTGTCGTCGCGGTAGACAATGTGCCAGTCATCGCCGTTGGTCTCGACGCTATTCGAGATTATGGTCACATGGTCCATAACCTGTTGTCCGAGCAGCTTCTTCAACAGAGCTTCAATAATTGGCGACATACCACTGCTGATAACGTAGATCGGGATCCCGTTGGCGTGGCACCAATGGTAGAACTCGGTGAATCCCGGGTCCAGCTTGATGTGTTCGAGCAAATAAGCCACACACTTTTCAAAAGAGTACCCGTTTGCTGGGATCGACTTGAGCATCTCGTCAAAACCTTCTCTGAACGAGAGCTTTTCCTCAAGCATGAGATCGTTTAAAACCTTTCTCTTCTCGTAGCCGAACCCGAGATGGTCGGTGATGTAGTCGTTCGAGTCTTGGAGGGTGACGGTTCCGTCCCAATCGGTGAACACAATTGCTGGGGGAGACATTTTGGACAAGAAAATAAATAAACGCAACACGGATTTACGTGTGCACGGAGTACGGTGCAGAGGTGTCGACGCAGACCACAAGAAAGGAACTACTCGGAGGGACGTCCTGTGTGGGGAAAGACACCCACCCAGTATAAACGCCAAAAGACCACCTGCTGGCGGGACAACGGTGGGGGAGCAGAGTACAGCACAAAAACATGGGGCCCCGAATTTTGCTTGTGTGAAAAACAAAGTCTCTTATTATTTGTTTGCTTGTCATGGTGGACATCGCTATTATTTCGGGCGGTACCGCTACCAATTCGATTCTGGACGTCATACAGGAACTTTCGGGGTCAGAGTCGCACATCGGGTCGGTCTCGCACATCCTTCCCGTGTCGGATAATGGAGGATCCACTTCTGAAATTATTAGAGTTCTAGGTGGCTGTTCCGTGGGGGACCTTCGCTCGAGAATCGTACGACTGATTCCTGACAAGAGCAGCAGCTTGCGCGAGCTGTTGTCGCATAGGCTTTCTGCGAATTCAAAGGAGGCCAAGTCCGAGTGGGAGCTGATTGTGGACGGGTCGCACGAGCTGTGGGACCAGGTAGAGCCAGCGTGCAAAGAAATTATCCGCAGTTTTCTGATTCACGTACATATGGAGATCCTCAAACGGTCACGAAACAGTGCCAAGAACTTCCGTTTTGAGCTGGCGAGCGTCGGGAACCTGTTTCTCACCGGGGCACGGCTGTTTTGCGGATCGTTGGACTCGGCCGTGGAGCTGATCTTACGAGTGGCCCGTGCTCCCTCAAGTATCAACGTCATCCCGTGCTTGAACACAAACTTCACCTACCATATCAGTGCGCTGTTGAAAGACGGCACCATCATCACCGGCCAGTCACAGATCTCGCATCCGTCAAGACTGGAAACCTCAAAGCATCCAATCGAGGAGTCCAGCCTGCCGTACCCGCTCGTGCGCTCAGACTCACTCATCCATCCGCCCCCTATTACTCCCTCTGGAAGAACATCCCCTGTCCATAAACATCCCCTGTTCTCTGGGTCCACCGACCAGCTTGACAGCCAGGCCATCATCTATGGCCAGTCCGAGCCCAGAAACTATCCCAAGCTGCCAGAGTCCGACAGCGAGGGCGAAAGCGAGTTTGCAGTTCCCAGCTACATCCATCCAGATCTGAAAAAGTCGCAACTGCACGTCGATAAAGACGACACGGCTCCTCTGCCTGCCCCAATCGATCGGATCTTCTACATCTCGCCTTACGGCGAGGAAATATATCCAACAGCACAGTCCCGCGTGATAAACTGTCTTTCCAACAGCAACGTGATCGTTTACTCGATCGGATCGCTGATGACATCGATCATCCCCGTGCTAATTCTCCAGGGAGTCGGTGAAGCGATTCTCGAGAACCAAAAAAAGAAAGTTCTGCTTCTCAATGGGTGTCTCGACAGAGAGACCCAGAGTTTAGACGCGTTGGGGTTCATACAGGCTATCCACAACGCGCTTGCGTACTCCATGCGCCTGAATAATAAAAGACGGTACGGCACGTCCCAGGGCCAGGAGCTACCGTACTCGTCGTTCGTCACCCATCTGATCCATCTGAACCCATCCAAAGAGGTAGTTGTCGACACAAACAAGATCGAGGGTCTCCAAATCAGATGTGTGGGGGTTCTTCCGCAAAAGAACAATCCGCAGAACTACGATCAGGACGACTTGCGCCGCAAACTACAGTCCATAGCCAACGAGTAAAGTCGACGCGTCGGACGAAAAATATTAAGGACGAAAAATAAATAGTAATCAATGAAGTTAATCGGTGTTCTTCTGTTTGGATGCGTGGCTTTTGCTCATCAACAGGACACATCTCATCAGGAACTGGGTGAGAAAATCCCAGCCGAGTTTGAGGGATCCTGGCAAAGATGGCATATGAAAGAAGAACATAACCTGGATCACGCTGATCCAAGCTCAGTGTTTCTTCTCCATGACTATAGAAACGTGAAGAGACTGAACGACAAGGACATCCTCAGAATGTATGGACTGATGAGAGAGGAGATTGTTGGAAAGGGTGACGGCACGGGATCTCACGACAACACAGAAATTATCACCAAGGAAATGAAGAACGATCTTGTCAGAAAAGTCATGGCGTTGATTGACAAGAACGGCGACGGTGAGATCTCTTTCGAGGAGTGGCTTGAGTACTCGAAAAACGGTGGAGAATTCCCAGACTTTGGTTTCGGACCGGGTCACGAGTACGACTTTGAAGAGGAGTATGAAAAGCACCACTGGTTGCAATACCACGCCGAAAGCGACCCGGACGTCAATATCCAGCACGCTGAAGACATTGAGCACGAATTGCTGCATCATCTCCATGAAATTGAGCACGAGGCTCCAGAGTCGGAGTCGGGATACAACAAACGAGTGCCAATCAGAGAGTTCAAGATCCCAAAGAAATTCCAGTCTTGAGCAACCTACTGCTTTCAGTTGTAGCAGTACTGTCTAAAACACTGCTCACACGTCTCAGGAATGTCCTGTCCAGTGGTGTCGAGTCTCCGTTTGATGATTGCACATCCAACACATTTTGAATAGTTTGCATCATATGAACTGTTGCCATACGTTCCAACATTATACCCGTTTTGAATCATCGAGTCCACTTCACCGTTAGAGTAGCTCAACTTGAACGTTGACTTGTTCGAGCTCGTTGTGTACCCCGTATTAGGAATATACACTATCAATGGTGGCAACCAACCTGTATTTGTATCATTGGAGAATTTCGAAGCCTCTCCAACGTAATTGTAAGAAGAGTCAATGTTACAGCCAAAGAATACGGGTCGCCGGCATAGTCCGCTCTCCACAAAAACTTCGGGAGATGGAACTTTGGGGAACATGGAATATTTGCTGTTATCGTGCACAAAATAGTCTGTGGATCTTTTATATCGGTTCGAAGTGATGAATATGTTTGTGCCATTCGGATAATTCCCCAAATCAGAACTTGAATCAACAGCGAAAACAACGTCTATGTGTCTGCTCTTTTGATGAAACGGCTGGAAAGGGATGTTCTCGTCTTCACCTCCATCAACAAGATACAGATCTGTGGAGTTTTTGACCGAGGTAGCAGACGTTCTATTTGAGTATCCAAGGAACGGATTCGGGTAAATCAACGCAAAATCAGAAACGTATTTGCTGCCGTTGATATCTCCACACGAAGTGAGTCCAAACATGTTGAGGATCGTTTTTAGCGAGTTGTATGTCTGTTTCTTTGATTTCGCCATATAGTTCCAGAAATGACCGAAAACAGTGTTGAACAGACTCGACGACGCCCCAGCAATAAAACTCACGTCATCGAATCCTGTCGTGCAGGTGCCCTTGATTGGTCTTCCATTCACAAGGTGCGTTCCTAAGTAATCTAGTTTCACAAAAGAATTGAGGTATCTCTCCCAAGAGCCAAACTCGTATATATTGAACTCGAAGATTCTTGTCTGACCGTCTTTGGTTTTGGGAACGTTTCTGGAGTTAGAAAGAACGATTGGAAACGGCAGTTGGTGTTGTTTAAAAGATTGGAGCTTTCTGGCTTCAGACATTGTCATGTTGGATCCCTTGCTGTTGGGGAAAATGGTGTCTGCTATTGCTTTGCCCCAATAGTCAGTCAAGGAGGTTTTATGACCGTGCTGTTTCCGCTGAGACGCTCCTTTGTGCAGGGTTTCGTAGAATTGTAAAGCCTCGTTCCAAATATTGTCTGGAATCGAGGATGCATTTTTGGATAGGTTGGTCTTGAAGAGTCCTTTGAAGTAGGACATCAAAGAGGACGAAGAATTTGACGTTTTGATCATAACAGTTGGATGATACTCCTCTTGCACCTCTCCGATATATCTTCTTGCGTCTTTGTAGTTAATGTCCAATTCAGGCAGACCCTTCACCAAAGATGAATTGAGTTTCCAGTACTGGTTTGATTTCAGCTCAACCACTGGTTTGAAATCGTGTTGCATCAAAGACAGGATCAGCCACGAACCCCCCGAAACTCCGGCCATATATGAGGTTGATTGTAATAGACCACCCAGATGTCCTGGCTCCAAAGATCCTGGAGTGCGTTCGTCAAAGGCTTCCAAAATTCCAGCGGCTGTGAGAAACGACCTGAAAGAGCCCCCTGACAGACTGATGGCGATGTTGGGAACGTACGTGTCGAAGAAATGGGGAGACATATCGTCTATATCCAAACGCTCAAAGAGCTCCAGCAGATGTTGTTTGGCCTCGCATTTGCGGCCTTCGATGTAAGTCTGCTCTTCCGGGTTGATATGGTCCCCATTTCGTATTAACGGATAAGAAGGACATTTGACTTGGAATTGTGACGGAGAAGAAGAGTTGGAGGAGTTGGATCCAATTGTGGTGTTCCAGGAACTGCTCAAATAGTCAGTGGATAGTCTCCCAGTGTATACCGCCAGCGTTAAGGAAAGGAAACAGGAACCGATCAGTAGGCGGTTAAAGTACATCATACATTCTGGATCTAATGAGAAGCGGTTAAAAAGAAGGATATAATGAAATTGGGCAAAAAAAAAGCTAGCTCTGGGCAGTGGAAAAAACAGGTCAGGTGAAGCGAGACCAGCTAAGTTGGATAATATAAAGTTGTATTGATTGATCAATATAAGCCTTTCTAACAAAAAGAACAATTATAAAAGAGAAGGCAAACAAGAATAAATGATAAAAGCTAAGGAGACACTTAGAATTCATCCTCAGAGGAAACGTAAGCATCACCAAGTTCCTTCTTCTTCTTCATTCTCTCCTTCTTCTTCTTTCTCAACTCAGCAGAGGAAAGCTTAGTCTTCTTCTTGGCAGCAGCAATCTTGTTACCCATAGCATCGAACTTGTCTTCCTCGTCGTCGTTCTTCTTCTCGAGTCTTGGACCAGCACCTTGACCTTGGACCCAGTTGTGTCCAGATGGAGTCATCTTACCGTCAACAACAGCCCACACTTCCTCAGTCAAGTCCTTGGTGAACTCGGCAGAGTGAGTAATGATGATAACACCACCCTCGAAAGACTTCAGGGCCTTAGACAAAGCTCCAAGAGAGTCTCTGTCCAAGTAGTTGGTTGGCTCGTCCAAAACGATCAAGTGAGGTCTTTGCCAGGTACAAGCAGCCAAGACCAACTTAACCTTTTGACCACCAGACAAACCTCTAATTCTGGAGTGGGACACCAATTCAGCATCCAATCCCAACATGGCGCAGTGGGCCTCGATCTCCTTTCTGGTCAATGGTCTGAATTGACCGGAAGCCAAAGCCTCCTTCATATCAACCTCAGCAACCATCTTGGAGTGAGACTCAATGATTTCACCTCTTGGCAACCAAGCGTTGTCAACAGACATCATTGGAACCCATCTCTCAGACTTCATACCGATGTTCTCACCCAACAAGAACGAACACTCGTACTCGTAAGTGTTCTTGAACTTCCGTCTAGCGTGGATTCCTTGAATTCTTCTTGGTGTACCCTCGATCTTGAAGATCTTGTTCATGGCTTGCTCATCGTTCTCGTTGATTTGTCTGGAAGCTCTGTCCATGGTCTCTCTGTCCTCACCAGTCTGGAATCTCCATTGGATGTACTCGGATGGAGTCTTGTCCAAGTGAGAGTCGATGTGGGCGAAAGCGTGCTGCTTGATGTAAGCAATACGACAGTTCTCGTGCACGTAAACTTCACCAGTAGTTGGGAGCAACTCACCAGTCAAAACGTTAATCAAAGTGGACTTACCAGCACCGTTTGGACCAATGACAGCAATTCTGGAAGACAAGGAACATTGGAAAGTGATGTCAGAGATTTGTGGCTTAACAGTACCTGGGTATTGGAAAGACATGTTAGAAACCTTGACAATAGCCTTCTGTTTGGTCTTGACACCCTCCAAGAAACCTGGTTCTGGGAACTTGAACTCAACCTCGGAAGCAGACAGCTCCTTGTAAGACTTAGCAGATGGAACTCTCTTGATCAGCTCAGTAAGGTTACCCTTGTACTTTCTGAGCTTGAAACCTTCGTAGTGGATGATGTATTGAACAACGTTGTCCAAGAAACCAGAGTCGTGGGAAACAATGATGGAGGTAATGTTACAGGTGGTCAAGTAGTTGACCAACCAAGCGACATTGACGGTATCCAAGTGGTTAGTTGGCTCATCCAAAAGCAAGATGTCAGCGTTTTGCAACACAGCTCTGGCAAGGGCCAACTTCATCTTCCAACCACCAGAAAGAGCAGCAATTGGCATGTCAATCATTTGTTCACTGAAACCAAACTCCAACAGCTTGGCTCTAACAGAGTCTCTGTCGAGATTAGTACCACCTTGCTCCAAAACGTAGTCAACGACTGGGGTCTCGGCGTGAGAACCGTCAATGTCGTGCTCGACGTAGACAGTTCTACATTCGTCTTGAGTTGGGAAGCCCTCAACTTGACCGTTGGCAATAGCCTTCATCAAGGTAGACTTACCGGCACCGTTAGGACCACACAGACCGTATCTTCTAGCTCTCTTCAATCTCAATTGAGTCTTGTTCAAAAGGATCTTAGCACCGTAAGCCAAAGAGAACTCACAGTTACAAAGGTCTTCACCTTCGTCATCCTCGTCCTCGAAGACAGGAGGTTGTGGAATGTTATCGACGGATCTCTTTCTGAACTCCTCAATAAGCTCTTTGGACTCCTTCTCGTGCAAGAAGATGGTCAAGAATGGAGTCAAAGAAGAAGACCAAGATTCAGGGTCGATCTTTCTTTCGTCGATCAAGTCACCAGCAATGGCAGCGACGTAGGTTTGCACAATGTCGAATCTAGCTGGCTTACCCTTGACCAAGTCCTTCAGAATAGAAAGGTTGACCTCGACGTCACCGGCAGTGGAAACCTCTGGGATAGTGTCGTCAGCTGGGACAGCACCGACTCTTCTAAGAGTGTTCAGAGCTCTCTCGGTAACAGATCTAGCTTCTGGGTCGGCGATGGTAGACATGTTAGCCTTCAAAGCAGGGAAAAGCTTCTCCATGAAAGGAGCAACGACCTGAGGGTCATCGACCAACTTACACATGTTATCGATGATGACAGCGGCTTTTCTCTTGATGGCGGTGTCTCTCTCGGCCAAACCTCTGGAAAGCAAAGGAACCATGATGGACAAAGCAGCGGTGGTGACCTCAGAAACGAAAGTAGTAGCACCCAAAACGTGGACGGTTTCTGGGACCTGGGTTGGGTCAGAGATAGAGCTAATAAGCTTTGGAATGAAAGGCTCAATATCCTTGTTTTGAATAGTAGCAGTAGCCTTGGTCATAGTCTCAGTAGCAGCCTTCTTGACGTCAACCTTGGTATCCCACATGGCCTCGGACAAGACTGGGATAAGCTCAGGCATTCTGAGGGCGAGTTGAGTCTTGGAGGTCTCAACCAACACAGCAATAGCACTCAAGAGAGCGATCTTCTCTTGCCATTTAGCAGTCTCGTGCAAGTTCTTCAGCAACTTCTTCAAGATGTCCTTGATAGCGACTGGAGTAACGGCCTTGGCAATAGCAACCAAAGCCTCGCCAGCAGCATCTCTGACCTCTTGTTGCTTGTCACCAGCCTTGGAGGAGATCACATCAACAAGTCCAACAATGTATGGCTCAACAGAAGGAGACAAGTCGGAAGCACTAGCAATGTGCGTCACAGCGGCAAGGGCGTTGACAGCCTGTTTCTTGTCCTTGATGGACTTTTCCAGAGTTTGGAAAAATTCGTAAGGAACATCATGTTCGATGATTTCACCATTGAGGAAAGAGGCCACATTAGTAGCAGCGGTATCTCTCTCTTCAGGCGAAGCAACAGCAAGCTTGCCAAACAATTCGGCCAACACTTCTGTGCTCTGTTTCGATTCAGCAGCAGCGGACATCTTGACTACAGTGAAAAAGGGCGAACTGTTTTATACAAAAAAAAAAATTTTTGACCTTTCCACCCACGCACATTGTCTACAATTAGATTTACGTAAAAGAAAAGTGAAAAATTTTTTCAGGCTTCTGCATTCACATTGAGCGGGATGCACCAGGGATCTAGTTTGGTGATGTAAGGATGTAGAGGGCAAAAGGATGGTTTTGGGTAAACGTAACAACTTGTAGCTGAAGTTTGACGTTGCTTTCTGATACAGTAACTAAAGCTCTTGTTCCGTCCAACCGAATGCTTATAACCCTGCTCGTTGTAATTGGCTCTTGCTTGCCCGCGTTTCTAGATGGCAGCAGAATTTCTTCCAGGTCTCGTTTAAACAGTAAATATATGCGAAAAAAATAAAAATTAAACAAAAAAGGGCTGATTACGTTCCGCAATGAGCAAAGTGTCAAAGTACCAAGAACTCGTCAAGTCTCTTGATCGCAAGGCCATATTCGAAGAGTTTCCAGACGTGATCCCGCTGGACGCGACTACCGGCGAGTCGTCGACCTCCTCGACCGCCGACTCATCTGTCGATACTTCTGTGTTCAAGGGCCACGACGAAGAGCAAATCAAGCTGATGGATGAGAACTGCATTGTTTTGGATTATGACGACAATGCGATCGGTGCCGGAACAAAAAAACTGTGTCATTTAATGACGAACATCAACAAGGGTCTTCTCCACAGAGCATTTTCTGTTTTCCTTTTCAACTCGAAGAACGAGCTTCTTCTGCAGCAAAGAGCCGACGAGAAAATCACGTTCCCATCCATGTGGACCAATACCTGTTGCTCCCACCCTCTTTGTGTGCGGTCTGAACTGGGGTCAGACCTCGAGTCGTCTGTTAAGGGAGCCAAAAACGCTGCCCAAAGAAAACTCGACCACGAACTGGGAATCAACCCAAAAGATGTTCCTGTCTCTAATTTCCAGTTTCTCACCAGAATCCATTACATGTCTCCAAGCGATGGTGCATGGGGAGAACATGAAATTGATTACATTCTAATAATAAAAGCAGACCCAACTTTCGAGGCCAATCCTAACGAAGTGAAAGACACCAAATATGTTTCTGCACAGCAACTGAAAGAAATGTTCAAAGACCCTAGTCTTGTGTTCACCCCGTGGTTCAAGTTGATCTGTGAATCATACCTCTTCAAATGGTGGGACCATCTTGACGAGCTGGATCAGTATACTAGCTCAGAGATCGACCGTATGTTGTGAGTCGACGTATGTAATGATCAATAGCATGTATAAATAGAGATTCGGATAGACCAGTCTTCCTCCTGAGCCCATTTCCGGTGTAAGGATGTAAACACGATCAAGATAAGTCGCCTTTTCGAGACATTCGAAGCGGAACAGCAATCAGTTGGTACCTTAGATAACAACCATCAGACCACAGTTTGTGGTGCCACAACCATGATTTAACAATAGATTAAATTGATATACCGATCAAACCGGCTGAAATTGTGCTACCAAGTAAAAGAGGCTAGTTTATGCGACAACCCGTAATTTTGGTTCCATGAGCACCATACTGAGCGGACTTCGCAACCCGGCCCACTTTCTAGACTAACAAACCATTTATACCGAGCCTTGCGCTCCGCGATAATTAGTGCAACTTTTTCCGCCCAGATTTGATACCGTTTTTGCAATTGCCGCTTACACTAAAAATATAAAAGCCGAGAAACTGCTTATCGTAATATTATAAACTGATAAGTAGTTGTTTTCCTTGGATGATGGAAATTGTTCTTTCAAAGCTACCAGAGGCATTTGACGCCTACAGCAGGCCAATGGCTGTTGTTGGCTTTTCGCTGATGGTTTCCGTTTTGCTGATCCAGCTACGCACCTTGCTACCAGACTCTATCAAGAAAATGCTGGGAATGCCTGTTAAGCCAGTGAAGATTGCCGCTGCTCCTACTAAATTCCAGGAACCTTTGCCTGAACCTACAATTACTCCTGTTTCGTCCGATTTCAACTGGGAAAAGACTGAACCTGTCCCATACAGACCGTTCAAGAACGGAACCTACCACATGACCATGGCTATTCAAAGAGCTGATCCCAACGACTGGATCGTTCTTGAGGAAACCTATTTAAAAGCAACCAACCTGAAGATCCATCTCATGAAAGAAAGATCCAACGTGGTCATGGGATGCCACCCTAGTGCCGAAGAGAGTCTGAAAGAGTTCTACAGCTTCACCTTTGATTTCCTGATGAAAAGATATCCAATGTATTTCTACAAGACCGAAGATGGAGCCAAAGTTTACAGCAAGATCAGAGACGAATCGTACCCGGCCGATCCTACACCTCTGGAGCGTACCGAAGTGTTGAAGATTCTGGGTAGAAATATCGAGGAGGATTTCCTTATCTTGATGAAAAATTGTGAGGAGGAGGAATACAAAGACGAGTACGTTCTGAGAGGTTTCATTTCCAGTTTCCCCGCCGGGTTCAATCCTGGACCAAAGTTCAACAAACCGTTGACCATTGTTCACACTCCTGTTCCAGATTACAAGACCAGACTGCAGTCTTCGATGAACAAGTTTTTCCTCAGATTGCGCGTCAATGAGTTCATTGTCAGAAGAAACTGGAGTATCCAGATCCATCCAAATTTGTATGCTCCATCCGGGTCCCACGGTACCAAGAAAGTCCATGTGGAGCCACCAGCTGCCGAGACTGTTGATTTCAATAAGGCGTTCTTGCGGGTCGAGAAACAGAGCTTTACTCGTTTACCAAAGACCAAGGCCAACGTCATGTTAATCCGTACCTACACCACTCCTTTGACCACGATCAGAGCCGAGGGCCGTGGAGAAGATCTTTGTGGAGCTATTGATGGATTGGGCGACGATTTGGCCGTCTACAAGAACAGAATCTTTTGGGGAGAGGCTGTCAAGGCTTATATGAGAGGAGAAACCAACGGAGCCACCGACGAGGTGTACAAGTACGACATTTATGGGGAGCAGATGAAGAGAGATTTGCTATAGATAAGTTAAATAGTCGCGTCGATTTAATTTTTTCACGCGTGGGGGAGACTAAAAAGAAAACCAAACGCGTAAAATAACTTCTACAAATATTTATCAATACAATAAAACCATGGGAAGACTTGTTGGTTTAGAGTTGAACAATTTCAAGTCTTATCGAGGTACAGCTTCGATCGGATTTGGAAGTTCGTTCTTTACCTCAATCATCGGGCCAAATGGCTCGGGAAAGTCCAACATGATGGACGCGATCTCGTTTGTTTTGGGTATCAGATCCAGCCACTTGCGGTCCACGAATCTGAAGGATTTGATATACAGAGGCCGCATTTTGAACGATGAGGCGGGTGGTGATGAGGACAAGGAGAACGATCCTACAACCGCGTACGTGATGGCTATATATGAGAAGTCGAATGGCGATATCCTAAAGCTCAAGAGAAGTATCAACGAGACCGGAGCAAGTGAGTACAAAATCAACAACAAAACCGTTTCTGCTACACAGTATGCCGAGGTGTTGAAGAAGGAGAATATCCTGATCAAGGCACGTAACTTTTTGGTTTTCCAAGGAGACGTTGAGAAGATAGCCTCTCAATCACCAGATGAGCTGACAAAGCTACTTGAGACCATCAGCGGATCGATCGACTACAAGAAGGAATACGATATGTTAATGGAAGAGAAGGACAAGGCTCACGACACTAGTGCGTTGTTGAACTCGAGAAAGAAGACTCTACGTGAAGAGTTTAATCAGTACAAAAACCAAACTCTTGAGATTGAGCAGTTTGATCTAAAGTCGCAACAATTGTCTGACCTCATTCAAACTAAGTATCTCACCGAACTGTACCACAATGACCAAGAGCTGAAACAAAGCCTGGACGCTTTGAAGGCCGCGAACGCCGAGTCGAAAGAGCTGAATAAACAACTTAAGGATAGCGAAGGCTCAATGAAAGACGTTATTAAAGAGCGTACCAAAAAGGATAACGTTTACCAAAAGACAGAGAAGTCGATTTCCAAGAAGGCAGCACTGGTCAAGGAAAAACACCTCGCCCTGATTCCTCTTCAGTCGGAAGTTGCTCAGGTGAGCAAGAAAATCAGAGACTACAAAAGGAGAGTGGGGACTCTGTCTGAAGATAGATCCAGACAACAGGAAATTGTCGAGACTATTGGCCACCAACTTTCAACGATCCAAAAGGCGTATGATAACTATATCAAGGAGTACGAGGCAAACACCATGGACAGTATCAGTCCTGAGGCCTTGGAAGAATACAAGAAGCTAAGAGAAACTTTCCTCATGAAGGGAGGCCACATTGAGTCCAAGCTTATTGATCTTGAAGATGATGTGAGCACTCTGAATTTGCAGATTGAAAACGCTGCGCATCAAAAAGAGATAGTCGGGAGCCGGATCAGTGAGCTGGAAGCAGGCAAATCCCAGCTAAACAGCAAGATCCAGGACAACCGTGTTCAATTGAAGGATGCAAACAGTGCAGTCAAGTATAAGAAAGCAGAACTCCGGCACGTTCGCTCTGTTCAGAATACTTTGTTGCAAAAGGAGTTTGATCTCAACACTGTTTTGAAAGAGCTGCTTGTCCAATTGAACGAGTTACAGGCCGACCAAAGAGAGTCTGCTAGAGAGAAAAGACTTCGGGAGAATTGTTCCTCTCTGAAAAGACTATTCCCAGGAGTGCGCGGACTGGTCTGCGACCTGTGCAAGCCGACTCAGAAGAAATACGAGCTTGCTGTGTCTACCGTTCTTGGTAAGAATTTTGATGCAATTGTTGTGGACAACTTGAGTGTTGCTAACAAGTGTGTTGAGTACCTTAAAGAGCAGAGATCTGGTGTTGCGTCTTTTGTTCCATTGGACACAGTCGATTCTAAACCTCCTCAGGCGTACTTGCGGACCATCGACGAGCGTGTTAGACCAACTTTGGATGTGGTTTCTTTCGAGCCAGAGATTGAAAAGGCTGTCCAATACGTTTGTGGAAACTCGATCGTTTGCGACAACATGGATATTGCCAAATACGTGAAATGGGAGAGAAACGTCAATGTGAAGGTGGTGACACTTGAAGGGTCGTTGATCCACAAATCCGGACTGATGACTGGTGGTCTGACACAGACTGGCAACAGAAGATGGGACAAATCCGAGATTCAGGCTCTGAACACCAAGAAGGAGGAGATCAAGGCCAGTTTGGAAGAGATTGCTAAACGAAAGATCAGCGGTCTGTTGGAGAAGAAACTGATGGACGAGGTGGAAGTTTTGGAGGCCCAAGTACCTCCATTGAGCGACTCTGGTGCAGAGCTTCAGAGATTGGTTAGGGATGCAGATTCGGAAATCAAGAACCAGAAACGCGTGTTTTCAGATCTGGAAACAGAACTCAAGGGATTGAACAAGAAGCTTAAGGATGCGCAGTCCAAGGTCGATGTTACTGCAAATGAACTCAGTGCAGTTCAGCAGTCAGTGTACGCTTCGTTCTGTAAGAAGAACGGCTTCTCCAACATTGGAGAATACGAAGATTCTTACGGATCCAGATCGAGGGACTATTCCAAGGAGAAGGCAAGATATGTGAAGCAGATCCAGTACCTAGAGAACAAGCTTAGTTTCGAGAAGGACCGTTTGGAAGAACAAGAGTCTCGGTTAGACCGTTTGGAGAGAGATCTGTCCAAGTTCGGGAAGACCCAAGCCAAATTGGCTTCCCGCAAGGAGACCTTGGAGACTGAGGCTGATACTCTAGAGAGTGAACATGAGGTGTTGAAGGAAGAGTTGTATGTCCTCAACGATAACAGAAAAGCACAGTTGATTGATTACAACCAGCTGGAGGACGGACTTTCTGAGCTGAGATCCAGCATCAACGATATCAGCAAGAAGATTGCCAACCTTGAAGACGTTGTTGAGAAGAAGGAGATGGAAAAGATCAACATTCTGAGGAACTGCAAGCTGGAGAACGTGAAGCTTCCGCTGACTCTTGGATCCATGGACGACATTCCGTTGGAGGATGCAGAACAGAGCGAGGAGGTTCTTGCGGACGGAATCGAGATCGATTTCGAAGGGCTCAAGGATGAGTACAAGACCGGCGAGTTGGAGGAGTTGCAGCTACAGTTGAAACAGAGCATCGACCAAACAACTGCCGAGCTGGGAGCTATAAATCCAAATATGAAAGCCAGAGAGAGGCTTGAGAACGTCAAGGTGAGACTTGCCGACTTGGATGCCGACTTCTCGGACGCCAAACAAGACGAGAAGAAGATCGTTACAGACTTCCAGCTGGTCAAGTCCAAACGGTACAAGCAGTTCATGGACACCTTCAACCACATTTCTGCCAAGATCGACGGGGTGTATAAGGAGCTCACCAAGTCGAAGGTGTCTCCTCTTGGAGGGTCTGCGTATCTCACTCTGGAGGACGAGGATGAGCCGTACTTGCACGGGGTGAAATACCATGCCATGCCGCCAATGAAACGGTTCAGGGACATGGAGCTGCTTTCTGGTGGAGAAAAGACCATTGCTGCGCTGGCTCTTCTGTTCACGATCCACTCACACCATCCGTCTCCGTTCTTCGTGCTGGACGAGGTGGATGCTGCTCTGGACAACGCCAACGTCAACAAGATCGCCAACTACATCGCCAACAACTCAGGCCCCGACTTCCAGTTTATTGTGATCAGTCTGAAAAATGGGCTGTTCGAGCGAAGCGACGCGCTCGTGGGAATTTATCGCGAGCAGAACCTCAACACCTCCAAAACGCTCACGCTCGATTTGCGGACGTATCCGGATCAAGAAGCTGCTTAGATTAATGACCTGTATGCGCTATACATATATAATATTTCAACATTGCAATTGTTCAAGCAAGGACGCCGCCCAGAGGTGCAATTTGATGAAAAGCTCTTCGTCCTGCAACAGCTCGATCAGACTGCGGTTCTTTGGCATTCTGGAGCTTCGTCGAAGATACGACTCGTTGTTGTTATCGCTGCGTCGCCGGTCTTCTATGATAGCTGCTGATCTGGCCGTCACGTACTCCACCATAGCGTTCAACTGGTCCAGGATCGCCGAATGCCGCGAAAACAGAGCCTGCTCGCTCTCGCTCGTAAATATCAGCGAATATCTGCGCTCGGACCCGCGCGCAGTGTCGTCTCGCAATTTGAAGCTCAATCCGACCGAGTATCCGTGTTTTGAGTTACCAAAGCTCAACGGCTTGCTCATATCGTAGTTGGTCTCTATTGTGAAGATCTTCATGATGATCTGTCGCATGGCTGCGTATCTCGCCTGTAACGACGGGTGTTGCGTCGAAACGTACACCTTGTTGTCGGAATGAGTGCGCAGTGTAACACTCCCGTCTGGAACTTTGAAAGCACAGGACTCGCACACCGACGACGCCGGCACGTCTGTGCCATGGAACCGTTCAACACAGTCGCTTGTGTCCACGTCCTGCGTGCACATCACCATCGACGGCCCGTGCACTTCGCAGAAATGTGCAAGGGTGATCACAAAGCCCATTGAATAAAATCTAACCTATTTCTGCCGGCTGTGCAACACTATAATAAATAAATAAAAAGTACTAAACTTATTGATATGACCTCAGTTCCCCATCTGGACCGGAAGCGGTCCATAGAGTGGGAATTGGCACAGAGAACTGGCAACAGCGCGGGATACTACCGCAAATTGCGCCATGTGCGCACTGTGGTGGTGAAAAACGTGAGGGTCTTGTCCGAACCTTCGAAGAGGGAGTCGAGATTGTTCAAGATGAAGACCAAGTCGTCGGTCAACATTGGCGGCGCTGGCGCGTCGCAATCGAACGAGATCCGCACAATGACCCAGGTGGGCGATCTGATCGAACCGTCGCGAAATACAGACCACGCAAAGAACACCAGACTGCTAAGAACAATTGATCCAGTCGAACGTCAGCTCCAGCTCCAGAACTTCAACCGGTGCACGTTTCTAGACTGTTTCTTCACCATGAATCACTTTCTCGATACAACGAGTCCGTTCTACATCAGTCGAGTATTCGACAATTCAGTCGACATGTGCGAAGATCTCCACCTTTCAGGACTCAACCTCAAATCTTTCACCATCAACGTCTACGTTAAAGTCGACGGCCAATGGAAGTTTCTAGTGCAACACAACGTCAAACTGTCGTTTCTTGTCAACCTCGGCAACGACCTGGACGTGATCGAGTCCAATCTCAAACACCACCCAAACCTGTTACTTCTGCGTATGAACGACGATAACTACTACATCCAATCGAGTTCGGACATTCCCACCGACACAATCGCCAAACTAAAGGCCATCGCGGCGCGCAAACTGGAAATGTCACATCTTCACGAACAACCCACCTGCTCTTTTGACCAGATCATGAAACTCAACAACCTCACCATCTGCATCGTGGATTTGCTTTCCTCGAAAAAAGCCCTGATGGAAAAAATCGAGGCCGCTATTGACGAATCGCTTGTTGTTCAGCCCAGCACCATGGTTTCGGACTGTCTCTCCATGCTCCTTGACTCTCAGAACCTCACCACTAAGATGCTCGGACAGCAGATCTCTCGTTTGAAGGAAATCAAATCAATCAAACAGCAACACATCAACCAATTTTCCGCTAATAAACACCAAAGAGAAGACTTTGTGCACTATACAGTCCAGCTGGAATCGACGTCGGTCGAAACAGCCAAGGAAAAATCGCGAATCGCAAATACTCTTCTGCGCATCTTCCCCATCGATTCCAATTCCAAGCTCGAGTTCTCCCTTCTGGGCTATCATATGCCGCACAGTTTTAATTTCCTCAAAATGATGAGGTCGGATATCGAGAGATTCAACGCGCTGCTCGGGATCGTGGTGCTGCTGGTCTCCAAGCTGTCGCAGTACCTCAAAGTTCCGTTACGGTATCCTCTGAAATTCTTTGGGTCCAACTCGTACATCACGGATCCGGTCTCCAAGATGCAAACCAAGTTGCGCATCTACCCGCTATTTATTGTACAGAACAGCAACCTGGCCATTCGGTTCGAGTTTGGCCTGTCGTTGCTGCTAAAGAACCTGCAACAGCTGTTTGAATCCGAAAACCTCACCAAACTGGACGACCACGATCTGCTGGCCAATCTGAAAGTCCTGCTCACCTGCATCTCCTCAGACGAGGAGACGCGCATTAACTCCGGCGTGGTGTCCAAAGACCGTCTCAACGCGATCAAGCAGAACTTACTGAAAAAACCAAATGGAGAACAATTAAATTGATCAATGTACACTCTAGATAGACTCAACAAAGTTGACGATTTTTTGCAACCAGAACTTGAGAACCGGGTGCAGGGCATTGACCTCCTCGTTGGAGGTGGTCAGCACACCTTCTGCAGAAACCAGCGCGTGTTTCTCGTTATATTTCTTGACACCGGCATAGTACTCCAACCCGAGACTGATGATCAGCACCACTGCCAAAACCAGCGGACCAAAGACTCCGTCCAGGTGTCTTCCAGACCGCAGCTTGATGAGCTCCAGTCTCTTCATGTAGATACCGTATGCCCAGACTCCAGAGAACAGAGTCAATGCAAAGTAGATGTAGGCAATGTTGGTGGCCACCACAGGGATGTGCGACGATTGCACAGATGCGTACACGGTGAAAGTTAGCGCAGACAACAGCGTTGTCACGTGCAGCCATCTCACAAAAGTACGCTCGTTGGCCAGCCAGACCTTGGCTTCGACTTTGACGGGACCAGATTGACGGATCAACACCTTTGGCTTAATCACTCCCGGTGGAAGCACAATTTCTTCGTCCTCGGACTCGTAGCCTTCAAGCTTGGAGGCCTTGGAGAACACCGGCATCAAATACGAAGCCACGTTGAGTTTCTTCTTCTTTGGAATGTCGTAGACGTTCTTGGACTCGTGGGTAGCTGCCGAGGTTGCTAGAGTATTCTCTGCTGTGGGTGTAGGCAGTTTGGATGCTGGAGCAGACCGAGCCAGCGTTGAGGTGGATTCCTCGTCAGAAGACTCGTTATCGTCAAGATCCTCGTGCTCCTCAACGATCTGGTCCAGATGAACGGTTCCCGATGTGGTTGCTGGGTTTGGAGCCTCAGACACCTTTTTCTTAAAGTTCTTGAGAATTTCGTCCTGCTCTTTCTGTTTGATCTGCTTTTCGCGCGAGTCGTTATACGCCTGTTCTGGGTTTTTTCTGATATCTGTTTCCAGCTCAGGCAACCAGAACGGAAGAATGTCCAGGTTGTCGTCTTCCAAGAACAGCGAAGAGATACCTTGGATGAACTTGGAGAAGTTAGGGACTTCTTTCACCAGATGCCCGTTGGTCAGGTCGTTGATCCACGACAATGTTCTTGAGGACGGGTTGTTGAAGATAGAGTTGGCCAGCTTAATTTCCATCACAGAGTACGGGAACTTTGTGTACTCTCCTTTTCTCAAGAGACTGTAAGGGTCCTCAATGGACGAGTCGATGTCGATTCTGTGCCACTCGTGCGGGTTTCTGATTGGTCTTTCGTGGTCAAACGAGTCCTCTCTGATGAACAGGATGTCGGAGTCGATGGTGATTCTGACTCTGTCGTCACCAGGCATTTGGAAAGCCGTTCTGGTGTGCACTGTTCTCAGAGTTGGTTGCAAATCGTTTTTCTTGATAAACTCCTGCAACTCCTTGTAGTTGGACGAGAGTTTGTCGATGGTTTCCTTTGGAAGACCTCTCTTTTCCAGTCGTTTCACGTACTTGTCGTAAGTGAGCTTGTTGGTGGAATTGCTGGAGTGACGCACAGGGAAGTCCATCTCGTCGTGGTCGTCCTTTTCGTCAGAGAAGATGAAATCGTTCAGGTATTTTTCTTTCAAAGAGAGACGAACATCGTTGGAGTTTCCGGTATCGTAGTCAAACGTCTTTTTCTCAAGAATCAACTCTGGGTTGTCTTTCAGTTTACCGGTCCATCTCACTCTCATTGACGGAGTCTTGTTGAGGTTCTTCAACAGCTTGTTGTTGTAGAGCTCGAAGTGGTTGTTGTCGAAATAAAGAGCAGTGATAATTGGGTCCGAGTTGTAGTCGTCGTCATCGTCGTCGTTCTGGTTGGTGTAGATGAGAACAGGAAGATGTCTCAGGATAGTGGTCTTGATCTCCATCAGATTGTCTGGATGGATCCAGAACTTGAGCACCTTGTAGCCGTACTCTTTCTGACTGATGTTGTTAATCGATGCACTAGGGGTTGTCGAAATCTTTCCAGAGGAAGAAAGTTTTTGGATGGAGTTTTGCAACGAGGTCGACAGCGAGCTGGATCCGAGCTGGTCTCTCACGAACGAGTACAAGGTCGAGATTCTGAACAGGTAGGGCGAAGTGTCTTCGCTGATGTTGTTCAAAGGCAACGACTTCATTCTCACGTTCAAAAGAGCCTTAACAGAGTATCCCTTGTGCAATCTGTCATGTTTCTTGACGATCTTGATGAAACCGGTGAAATTGAGTCTGGCAAAATGATCCAGCTCCTTGGCCAACGAAAGAAGCTCCTCTAGCTTCTTTTGGAAACTTCTAGTGTCGAATTCCTTGGCCTTCTTGTCGGCCAGGTTCTTCAAGTACTCTTCGCTCTGGAGCTCGAGCTTTGATATCTCCTCGTCCAGCTCCTTATACTTGGAGATCTGGAACGAGTACACCTTTTCCAGCTCTGAGTCAAGCTCGGTCGCAAACGTGGACTCGTCCTTTTCTGACCAACCACTGACCTCTGAAGACAAGCCAAGATGACGAGAGTCCTCTGTAGAAACAATCACATTCTCCTTCAACAGCCGCTTGAGGTAATCGTACTTGATGTAGTGATCTTTCCACGGAGGAAATATCTCGTTTTGAAGCTTCACTCCAAACAACATGGCAACAGGTCCAAGTGGAAGTTAATTCAAGATGTCTATCTTAAATTTGAGCAGCAGAAATTAAATAATCCTGCGGCTTTTAGCACGTGTGCGTGAGAGAAGCTTAAAAAAAAAGTCAAGACACATCCAAACACCAGCGTCTAAAGCCCGAGCTCGTTAAAAGTTGACAAAAATTCTATCAAGAGAAAAAAAACCCACTAAAGCCCATCTGTACACCAGTAAGCACAACTGGAAAAGATTGAAGGAGAATTTGTATACATCTTGTTCGTCATGTCTTTCGATCCAGTCCACGATAGCATCACCAACGACCCACAAAAGGTATCCATACCGTCTACAGACGCTGTGGAAAGCCCAGATCAAAAGCCCAAAGTTTCTGATCCGTCGCTCACAGACTCGGAAGAAGACACGAAAAAACGGAAAAAGCCTGCCGATGACGCTGGCAAAGACAAACCGCATCTGTCCGCACTGACCAATTCGAGAACTAGACATTTGAAAAAGACCGACGGCGAGCCGTACTGGCGCACAGACATCAAGTTCATGTTTCTGATGAAACTGTTCTTCAACAACAAGAGAGTGTTTAAGAACCCCTTTAAGAGCCCGAACGACAAGTTTGATTGGCCAGAACACTTCAAGCACTACATCGGACCGTCCGGTGAACAGATCTTCAACGACGGCTCGCAATTGACGTTTTTCGAGCTGTATCTGGTCACCTTGATGAAAAGCTCCAAAGTGTCTAAGGTGTTGAAAGACAGGCTGTCGCACGATCTGAGCTATGCATTGAACTTCTCCATCATCAGCATTCTCGTCAACATTGGCCGTCTCAACACAACGGTGAATTTCGACTACGAGATGAAATCGCAGTTCAGAACGTACCATTCGGTCCCGTCGTTGCACGTTGGTGACCATACCGCCATTTTCGAGAAATTCTACGCTCTCCGCCCCGTCGAGGCAAAACTCAAAACAGAGGACACAAAAAGCTACTTCCCTCTGTCAACCGTGAAGCCACTTCAGGATACACCCCGGATCAAGTCGATTCTCAAATCTATCAACGACTTGAACCAGGAGGTGCCCAAAAACTTCAAGGAGTTCATCATAGGCATGACGGAAAATAACAAGTTTAACCTCAACGTCGTCAGTCTGCTGTTTCTGCTTTGTGTCCACGAGTACGAGATCGGCAAGACGTTCTTCGCGATCCCAGAAAACGATCAGACCGAGTCCTTATCGACGGGCTCGCTATTTAACGATATCTGGCTGAAAAATGATATCAAGTCTTCCGACGAGGTCGACAGATTTTTGTGGCTAATCTATCTGTTTTTGGAGACAGATTTCGACGCAGAGAAGGTTCTGGCCAACCCATTCAATGTGGAGTCTGGTTCGGGCTCGGGCTTTGAGTCGTCGCTCAACATTGCAGAGGAGATTGCTAATGGTAACGACGCTGTTCTGGAGAAACTGCGGTCTCTAGTGCCGCCGGCACGCCCTGTTGACGAGACTGAGAATGCTGGATTAATCAATGATGTGGACTCAGAAAGAGAAACAGCTTTTGCAACGTACATGAAAGATCTCCGACTCAAGTTTTTGGAGGAAGCCATGAGCGATGACGACGGAAAGAAGAACAAACGGCCAAAGAAGGCCAAGAAGAGCGCTGATGGCGATGAAACCGATGGCGACCAGACCATAAACGGGGTGGACGAGACGAACGGCAAGAAGTTGAAGCGTAGCCACGGCGACGACGATATTCTGCCGTCCGAGACTGGAGACGAGTTTTCGAGCGAGAGAAAGAGAAAGAGAAAGAAGCTGGGCGAGGGGCCGCTGAAGCTGAGTTTGGGCGACATCGAAGCGTTCTTGAGTGCAGACATCCGTGCGGGAGCCACCTCGAAAACGATGATCAACAAACGGAACAAAAATCACTATCTTGCTGCGTTCCTAAAAGACCTGATACTGAAAAGAGCAGACGACCTGAAACGCAAGCGACTAAAAATGGGACATTTGAATTGCATGGACAAGCTGGAGAAGCTCTTACTGATCCAAACGGACGGAAAGAAAAACGGTGGCTCGAAAGACAAACTGGACGAGTTGCAAATTAATTATTACAAAGATTTGAAACGTATACTCAGTTTTGTTGGCGATGTGAACAGCGAGAAACCAGCGGCAGATTCGTTTTTGGACAACGCTTTTGCCAATATATAGAAGATGCGATAATGAAATGTATGATTATTCGATTGGCTCGATACTGATGACCGAGTTACCTCTTATGACACAGCTTCCTATGTGTTTTCCCGAGGCCAGTTCCGATGCGTCGGCAAGGTTGAGGTTCAGGAACATATCGTAGCCCGCGAGTTTTCCTGTGATCACACGCGACGAGTTGAGCGTCACTTTGAGCGACTTGTCGACGAATTTCTTGAGCTCTGGAGTGGAGACCATGATAAATGTGAAAAAACAATAATTTTTCGTACTCTTTACAGGGTCGTGCAGAGAAAATAAATAATTGTTTATAGTTGAAGGTCCATGTCGACAGACGAGATATCGCGGCTGGAACAGGAGATTCTGAACTTGGAGTTCGAGAAAGATGAGCTGGCGCGCCAAATTGAGCGGCTCAACACGCGTAAAACCGAGATCGACGGGTCGGATCAGTTCAAACTACACGACTATCTACAAACGTGCGAGATCCTCCAACAGCACTCGAACTTGCCGTCGTTGGACATGGAAAAGAGACTCGGACTAGTCAAGATGTTTTACCCAGAGATGACGATTTCAGGAATACGAAAAGATCAAGAGAATTTGGAGTTCACCATCACGTTCAAATATTACCTTGAATTTAAACTCACTATCGGCTTTTCACAACACCAGGTGGAAAAACTAGACATTGAGAAATCGAAACAGTCGATGGTGGCAGAAATGGGCGAGATCAACAAACTGATTGAACTCTGTACAATAAGAAAAGACGTCTCGTTATTCATATATGCTACAAACTCATATATCGGACTCGTGAAAAAACGTATAGAGGTCTGGACCCAAACCGTTGACAAGTTCGGTTCAACCTTTCGTATGAATGATATGGACGCCAACATGCTCAATAACAGACTAGCTGTATTCGCGCGGCTGAAAAACTGCCAGTTCATCACAATTGCAAAAGACAAGTTCCAGCTCATAATCAGCTGGAAACTGGCGTTAGACTCTCAAGACCCAGAATTCACCGGAGACTTCAAGTCGAAGATGGAATGTCTTTATACCAAAGACGGGCAAACAACAAACCTCAACGACACTCTAAATGTGCTGGTCAAAGCGGACGGAATGGTGAGTGCCATCACACAATTACTCCAAACTGTCAATGATTAGAATCGAATTTCCATCTCGAGTCCAGCTCTATGCATTCCGCATTTTTCATAGAAAACTTCGTTTCTCGGATCGCAATCCAATATCACTTTGTAGCAGTCCTCCTCTTTGGCCAGTTTCACGAGCTCCCGCACAAGATACAATCCGAGCTTCTTACCCTGTTGATCGGGCCGGACAGCAATGTCTTCGATATGTCCCACTTTCGAGCAGCCGTGAATCATCTTGGTCTCCACGATCAGCGATCCCACGGCAACAACCTCGCTCTCTGAGTTGGTTATCACCAGATTCTTGTACGTTTTAGGCTGGGACTTCCAGTAGTCCACCACTTCGTTGAACTGAAACTGGCTAATGTCGCCAACCGACGTGAGAGTTTGAAGCGTATGCAAATACCCTTTGACATAGTCTTCTTTCTCTAATGGCCTCAGATTGTACCCCTGAGGAAGATGATGATCCTTCATTGTGTAATGTATGATGCTTGTATTACGCGACAAGTCTAAAATTATACTCACTTTTTATCCCAAAACTATACACAAATTTGTGGTGTAGAGGTGTTTTGTTGCTGAAGCGCTACTGCGGTCCAACGTTGTAGTGCATGCGAATTCCCATGGCCGAGAGCTCGGAGTCGAGGTACTTGAGCACAAAAGGAATGGCCACGGTGGTTGTCTCGCCACCGCCAATAAACTTGGTTCCTTGGCCGTCCTCCCAAATATCCAGTTCGTCCATATTTGGAAGCACGCGTTCGATTTTCTTGGCGCAGCGACGGCATCTGGTCGAGGCTTGGGAGCCGATGCGAGGCACAGACATCTGCGTAGACAGCAACGAGCCACACGAGCGGCAAATCGACGTTTGCGTGTAGTCCGAGCAGTTCAACAACCGATCTTGCAACAAGAACGAGGTTCCGTGTCCAATCAAAGCGTCTCTCTCCATCTCTCCCACTCTGATACCTCCGTGTCTCTTTCTTCCCTTAACCGGTTGCATGGTGAGCGAGTTCACCGGACCAGTCGATCTGACCTGGAATTTATCGTTCACCATGTGTCTCAGCCTCTGGTAGTAGACAACCCCGATGTAAATGTCTGCACGGAGCTCCTCACCGGTTGCTCCCGAATAAAGCGGCTCATTACCGTGGAAATTGTATCCGGACTTGAGCAGCTGTTCTCCAAAGTAGTCCGCAGGAGTGTCAGACTCACTGAACTTCCATGGAGTGGCATCCTGGGCAATTCCATGCAAAGCTCCTGCCTTTCCGGCCAACGACTCCACAAACATACCGATGGTCATTCTCGATGGGAAAGCGTGCGGGTTGATGATGACGTCTGGCTGAATACCCGTTTCACTGAACGGCATGTCGATTTGAGGCCATTTTCTTGAGCAAACACCTTTCTGTCCATGTCTCGAGGAGAACTTGTCTCCGATCAACGGCTGTCTGGTGATTCTGTACTTGATCGAAAGAGTCTGGAATTCGCTTGTTCCATTATCGTCTCCCAAAAGCTTCACTTCCTCGATGAATGCTGGCTCTGAGCTGTGGTACGTCTTGACCTTGGTCTTTCCAAGAATATCGTCGTAGTATGCGCAGATAGGATCTCCCTCCTCGACGTGGACACCAATGAACGGCAGTCCGTCGTTGTCGAGCTTGTCCTGCCAACTCTGAGGCCACTCGTCGTCACCAAAACCGAAATGCTGGGTGATAGGGTCGCCTCTCTTTCTGTTCAAAGAAAGATCAACTTTTTCAACCTTGTAAACCACACCGTATCCGAATCCTCTCTCGTCCGCAGACTTGTTGATGATCATCGCATCATCCATATCGTATCCGGTATACGAGATGACGGCCACAACAGCGTTGGTTCCGTTAGGGAAGTTGTCCATTCCGTACTCATCGTACAAGTTGGCCTTCACGATCGGAGTTTGACCGGCCTGTAAACGGTACAGCTTGTTGTCGCTTCTGTGAACCAACGCAACACCAGGAGTTCCCATGGTCTGCTTACCCATCTGGCATTGGTACATGTTTCTAGGCGACTGGTTGAAGTCGGAGAACGGCGTGAGGTTGGCCAAAATGGACAGGATGTTGGTTGGAGCAAACTCGACATGCGAATGGATGTTGTTCTCAATCTCTGCTGGAGTGACTGCAATGTTCATAAACACCTGTTCAAATGGACCAATAATGTCCTCTTGGTCTAGAGGAAGGTATCTGACAGGCCTGACCATTCTGGAGGCTCCGGCAAACAGATAGAGACCCGGGTACTGTCCTCCAGCAGATGGAGGAACATAGCCAATCTCCATGTCAAGAGGAATGCCGTGCTTCTTTTCAACCTTCCAGAATCTCAAGGTGTCTGCCACCACTCTTCCCTGTTTGTGAGAGCACCATCCAATGATTCTTCCGTCCAGCTGCACACAACAAACGTTTGGTCCAGAAATGTTCATAGCAGAAGCCGTTGGAGAAACACCCAACTTATACACAAGTTTTGGAACTTCGGAAACATCAGAAGGACTGGTGGTGATCTGACACTTGTGAGCCAAGTGGTTCAACAAACCACATGGAGATCCATCGGGAGTATGGACAGGACACAAAAATCCCCACGATTCAGGAAGCAGCTTACGAACCGCAGTGGTTTTCAGCTGTGCAAAGAAAGAACCTCTATGAACCATTCGGAAATGCGAGATGAACCGGTGGAAATTAATCTTTTCGGCAACAACCGTGTAACCACTCACTTGCTGCAAATCCAATCCAGATTGCGACACAAGGTTACCTGTAGAGAGGAAATACTGTAGTTTCTGTCCGATGTTCTCGTTGATTCTCAAAAACACCCTAGACATGTACTTTCTGTCTGAAAAGTTGACTGCCACTCCTCTGTTGATGTCAGATTGGACTTGGAGCCTGATATTTTGCAGATACTCTTCGATCTTCTCCTTCAAGATCATTCCGTAAAGGAAACCACCAAGCAGAATCTCTTGATGTTGAGTGGCATCTGGATTATCAGGAGAACAGTCACCTGCAACCAGAGAGTATAATTTTCTAATCATGAACAACAACATGCGGAACTTATCCTGGTTGTTTGACAAATGAACCAAAACAATGCGCTTAATCACTTCTTCTCCGACGCTGATGTCAGACATATCTGGAGTAGCGCCGAAAACAACTCTGAACTTGTCTCCAAGATAGGCTAGAGTCTCCTTTTGCGAGTACAAGTTGTAGTTCTTGTATGTTCTCAGCAACAATTCCAAACGATCGGTCAAGAAAGAATTGCCGGTGTCTGCACCAACAACTCCGTCGAATATCTCTCTGTCACTGGTCTCAACCAATGCTTTCAAAATCATCACAACAGGAATTAAATACTCGTTCTTTCTCCACGAAAACCGGAAAGTGACATTACCGTCATTCAAATAGTGCAACACGTTGGTTTGCGATGTCTGGTCAGGCCGCACAGACCGGATCTGGACACCGAAATGCGAATATGAAGTACCTCTGTTAGCGAAAGAGGGTCTGATGATGGCCATAGGATGGTTTCTTCTCTGAACAATCAACATTCTGATCAGCTTCTCGATACCGTTCACAATGAAATATCCTCCCAATTCGTCAGTTTCCTCACGCAGGTTGACCAGCTGGTCCGGAGACAGGTTTTCCAGATGACATCTGTTGGATTGCAACATGATGGGTATTTGACCGGCTTCTCTAACCTCACTGATCTCCTCTCCGTCGTTGACCGACCAGCAAACTTTGAGCAAGAGTCTGGCTCTATACGAGGTCATTCTTTCTCTGCACTCTGCAGGATATGTATTTCTAACCACAGAGAGCTTGTCAGTAGAAGGCACTTGAGGCTTGGCCACCTGGACAGAGTCCACTCTGATCTTGAGTTTGTTTCCCAATCTGGTCACATCGTTCGAGTCAAAGATCGTTTTCGTGCCGATATCTTTAACAGCCTGGTTCAGTAGGCCTCCGTCGGGTCCTTCCGTCAGCGCATTAAACGAGCCAACATGGGGTCTAACAGCATCGTACAACAATTGAAAGTCCGACTTGTCCTTAGGAGGGTTTTTGAACCGGTGCTCTCTTTCCAGAGTTCTGAACTGAGCGGTTGTCATGGGATGTGCCTGATTTAAAAAAATTTCAATTTTTTTTTGATTTTTTTGGAGATAAAATTTTTCAGATCCCACGACAAACTTTTTGTTGTAGTTAATGGGGCCCCCACTGAGAGTCTGTACGACTGAATTGGCTGGGAAAACTTCATGGAATTAAATCGGAGAAGAAAAAGAGCTTGATAAGCTGCTTTTGGTGAGTTTCTGTTTTACACCAATGTTTAAGCACCACGAAATTTAATAATGCAAGTAATCAAAATCGGGAGTCTAATCTCTTTCAAAAAGGTATAACGCACACAATGTCCTTCTAAGCTTTCTAAAGAGCCTGGTACATCTCTGCTCAACGTCCCAATATGCCCAGTCCCCCTTCTTCTAGATGGTGCTACCGTAAAAGAAGTGCACAGCCGTAAAAAAAATTATTATGGCTAAATCACGCTACGAATACGTCAAGAAGTTCGAGCAGGAATCGATTCTGCTCCCGGAAACCTACATTGTTGTTCGGGTTGATGGAAGAGGGTTCCACAAACTTTCGGAGCGGTACGAATTCGAAAAACCAAATGACAGTCGCGCGCTTGAGGTGATGAATTCAGCAGCACTTCAGCTTATGAAAGCCATGCCAGACATTCTACTGGCTTACGGAGACTCTGATGAGTACTCGTTTCTGCTACGAAAGGGATGTGAACTATTTGAAAGACGCGAGTTCAAGCTGGTGTCCACTTTTGCATCCACTATAACATCATACTATCAATTCTATTGGTCTCAAATAATACCCGACAAGCCATTGGGGGTGGATCGATTGCCCACGTTTGATGCCCGAGCAGTTTGCTATCCGAATGCAGAGCTCATAAAAGACTACTTCCGTTGGAGACAGGTAGACTGCCACATCAATAATTTGTACAACACCACGTTTTGGTCGCTGGTTAAAAGTGGCTTAACTACTCAGGAAGCAGAAAACAAACTTCTAGGGACGCTCAGTTCGGACAAACAGGAGATCTTATTCAAAGAGTTTGGCATCAACTACAACAACGAGCCCGAAATTTACAAGAAAGGAACCGTTTTTGTGAGAGAGGTGGATTTCGAAGCAGAAACCACCGATCTATCTAAACGACAGGCCCAAAGACTACAAAAGAAATTAACTAAATCAGAAATTCATAAACTGCATTGCGATATAATCAAGGACGAGTTCTGGGAGACCAGACCGTGGCTGTTTAGCTAGACTTTGATCTTGGCCCCAAATATCTCTGCCATCTTATTCCGCTGAATCTTGCCGGTTGTTGTTTTTGGTAGCTGTTTGACCAGAAACAGTTTCTGGGGTATCTTGAAAGCAGATATCTTGTCGTTCAGCCACGAAATCAACTCGTTAGCCGAAGCGGACGCCCCCTCCTTCAAAACCACGGCGCAGTTAATAGTCTGTCCGTACTTTTCGTCAGGAACGGCGTACGCAACAGACTCCTCGACGCATTCGTGGTTGCTCAACGCAGTCTCGATATCCAAAGGTGAAATCTTCTCTCCACCTTTATTGATGACCTCCTTCAATCTTCCCTTGAGACACAATCTTCCGTTGTCATCCAACATGCCTAAGTCTCCTGTTTTGAAGTACGTTCTGCCGTCGTGGTTGAAGTACGAGTTTTTGTTTGCGGACTCGTCGTTAAGGTAGCCAGCAGTGACATTTGGACCGCTAATTGCAACCTGTCCCGTTTGGTACTGGCCCAAAGTCTGGTTGGCGTCATTTATGATCAGCAATTTCACAGACCCTTGTGGAATACCAACGGTTCCTGCTTGACGACGAATTTTTCCGTGAAACGGCAAGTTGTTGGACGTGACCTGGTGCGACGCCTCAGTCATCCCGTAGGCCTCGACGACGGGACAACCAAATTTGCTCTCCAGCTGCTCAAAGATCGACAGAGACAAAGACGAGGAGCTTGACCGAATGAATCTCAATTTTCCTTTGATCTCTTCTGGAATCGGACCTCTGAGCAAGATATAATGAATGGTTGGAACTGCAGAGTACCAGTTGAACTTCCATTTGGTAAAATGAGGATAGAACTTGGAGGCGTGGAACCTGTCTGGGATAATGGCAGTTCCCTCAGATGCGAGCGTTGACATGAGAATTTGCAACCCATGAATGTGGTACAGCGGCATGATCACGTAATTACGGTCTCTGCTGCGCAATCTGTACGATTCAATGATATTCATCATGGAGCTCGTAAGATTGGATTGAGTCAGCGGCACGCTCTTGGCCTTGCCCGTGGTTCCGCTGGTGAAAAGAACGAGAGCCAACTTGTCTTTGGAAGCTGTTCCAATCATGCTACCTTTGAAATTTGGGGGCAGCAGAGCAGGCTTGTCAATGACCGAGTTGTAAATCGATTTGAGGCTATGAGGATCGAAGATCTCGAACTGAAGCAGTTGCCGCGCAAGGTCATACCAAACCTCCACCACCAAACACTCGTTAATGTTTCTGGCAGCAGAAACAGGACTGGAGTTTCTGTCCAGATGCGCGTATCTGGGGACGATGACAGCGTCTATTTCGAGATCCGAGAAATAGGCGGTAAGCTCAGCTTGGGCGGAGTGGGGGTCGAAAGGAGCAGCAACATTTCCCGTGGTGGTGATTGCCAGAAACGAAACGACAAAGTCCAATCCGTTGGGTAAACAAATTGCAACTTTGAGCTGGCTATTCGAACCTTTATTATATAAAGGAGAAACAGAATTAGTAAATAAAGAGTGTAGGTGATGAACCAAGCCGTTCAGATGCTCGTAAGAGACGCAGAGATCGTCATCGGGAAGAATCAGAGCCGTCTTGTCGGATATCTTGAGAGAGCTCTGGATAGACATGGTAGCAGACCGTTTCTAAAGTGCAAAAATCGCATAATTTATATCAAACCTATAGACCGATGATTCATCCCATGGGAAAATGGAGCTTTCGCTCGTCAAAACAAGGTCTCCATCCAAAGTTTTCATCATCTGTTGAAAAAATAGCCTAAGAATAACCGGCCCGGTCCATAAATTCCTATTGGACAAACTTTGATGTCATACATATGCATTGAGGGGTCCAGCTGTATTTACATGTTAAGAGGTTGTGTTTAGGCAAATTTCTTGTCATCGATTGGGATCTCTTCCCGAGCAACAAGCTTGCCGATCTTGGATGGAGAAGGCCATTCGGGATACAAGATTCCTGCTTTTTTCAAAAGGTTTTCAACAGGCTTGGTTGGTTGCGCACCAACAGATATCCAATACTTCGATCTCTGGAAGTCCAGCTTCACGTCTTTCACCGGTATCACTCCCTCTGCTTTCTGTGCTGGTGTAAGTGGAGTTGGTCTTGGATCGTACGTTCCAATCACCTCGATCGGCGCACCGTCGCGACGGGTTCTTTTGTGAGTCACAACAATATTGTACAGCGGCTGGTGTTTTCTTCCCATCCGGGAAAGTCTCAGTCTCACTAGCCCTTTCATCTTTCAAGCTTCGAACGTAGAAAATCTTTTTCATTTGATATTTTCAGACTTTACAAACGGATTACGTAATGCTCAAAAACTCCGGCAGCTCACCACAACGTCAGCCCCTTCTGGGCTGCGTTGCATCCATCGAGGAGAATGACATTTGCGCGCCATGACCCCCCATCATCCATTATAATAAGAGAACTATCAGCTTCGTGGTTAAACACACTTGTCCACAGGTCTTGGAGCGACTTGGCAAGATCATTAACCGTAGAGACGGAATAGCAGCTGCAACCAGTAGTCCATGGTATTCCTGCAACGATCCAGTAGTCTGCTGGTTTATGATCATCTTTGATTGCGTACACAAAACCCTGACACAAGTTCTTTTTCGATGCGTTTTTGAGCCACCCCGCGATCACAGTCGGAACATCCACCGGGCTGTCGACCTTTTGGAGCGTTTCCCAGGAAAGCTTTTCGTAGGCCGCATTTCCGGCCATTCTGGCGTAGTCAAGCAAGGGCTGGAATCTGAGCCTACACTTGTCGGATGTGGATTGCGGCTCGTGTATGGTAATATCGAAAACTGGTGCCGTGGTGGCTCCGGCTGCTCCCAGGCCCATTTGTGCCAATTGGAAAAGCAGACCAGGGTCAAATTTTAGGCCCAGCAAATGCGACACGATCTCGACGTCTGTGTGGTCGACCTGGCGTTCTTCACGGGCCTCCTTGCTAGCCACCATCAGAGAAGTCAAGTTCACGAGCCCATACGGATTGATTGTTGTTCTGTCATCTAAAAACACCGGGTCTGGGACCTGTTTGTACACCTCTTGCGGCAATTGACCCTGTAGCAGAAGCACGGCGGATAGATTATTGCCAAGACTGACCCAGTCGTTATTCGTGTAGCGAGTCAGTGCTGCCGAGAAAGGAACAACCGAAAGGGCAGTCAGAAGACGAAAAAGCAGCATTGCAGGATTAAAATTTTCCGAGTGGATCGGAAAAGGGAATTACTGGGGTTTTTAAAGGCCGTTCAAATCTGGGCTCGTTTCGGTATTTTTACATGCCCGTCGTATCTGGCAAACACGGCTATTGTCAGCTCCAATTCCAAAAGAGGCACATACTCGGGTGACGGCTAATGCTTGATTGCAGCATTTGCTGCAGCACAGAACCCTGTGCAGAGGTAGAGGTAATGAACAATCACTTCAAACTACAAACCGGAACACGGCCAAAAAAAAGAGCCCGTTTTGGCAATTGCGTGAATTATCACGCCTTTTTCAGATCTCAGATTTTGGTATAGCATGCACTAGAAAATCTTGACTTCGTATCAGTGCTGTTGTACACACGGCAACAGGGAAGTGCTGCGTAGCAAAAATGGGAATGTACTTGGCACTTCCCAACAACAGACAAGTCCACTAAATTTTGTCAGACCAGTCCTGCTACCACTAAAACAGTGTCTTTTTAATTGACATAGTTGTCACACTGGTAGTTCCATAAGTTTAAACCACAATCGGCTGCTGTCTCGGCGGTCAGGACACGAACGTCCGTGTACCATGTACCACCATTGTGAAGTCTGGCACAGTTCCCAACCATTTTGCGGTTGATGACGTCTTTCCACGACTCTTCAAGAGCTTCAGTGATGGTGTTCAACGAAGCAGTGGTGTCACAGTTATTTCCAGTGGTCCATGGAGCTCCTCCGACAATCCAATAATCGTTCGGATAGTTGTTGTCTTTCAAAACGTATGTAAACCCTTTGCATTCGCTTTTGGTGGATGAGCCTTTGACCCAACTTGCAATTGTACTTGCCGAAGCCAGAATGTACGATTGTTGCTCGTTGATTCGTTCAAAACCTCCCCAAGCCCATTCCATGTTTTGCCAGGTGAACTTCTTGTAAGTGTTGCGTCCTGCAGTCTTCACGTAATCCCAGACGATCTGAATACCAGAACTGCAGTACTGGGTGTCCCGCTTGGAAAGCTGGGTCGAGTTCGAAAAAACAGTCGCAGTGGTGGACCCTGAAGCTCCCACGCCCATGGTTGCAAGCTGTGTGACCAGACCCGCATTGATATCTAGTCCCAGAAGCTGAAAAACTTTATCCATACCGCTGCTACCAGTATCACGTTTAGTCAAGTTGGTGGCAGAGCCATTGACACTATTGATCATGATAGACGCCAGATCCACAAGCCCGTAGGAGTTGATTGTTGTTGTGTTGCTGAAAAAAGAGGTATCTGCGGTAGACTCGTAGATGTATTGTGGTAGCTCTCCTTGCAAGAGGAGAAGAGCCGACAAATTGTTGCCAAGAGACATCCACCCACTATTATTATACAAAGTGAGCCCTTGTACCATCTTTGCAACCAGATTCAAGTATAACAAAGCACAACAAAACTTCATGCCTGGATGTCTTCGTGTAGAAGAACATCAAGGGAAAGTCTCACTATATATAATGCCTACGAATCACCAAAAGATGTAGACCACTCCAGCTATCCGATGGCTAGTTATACTTACAGAACAAAGATACAGCTACAATGCTAAATTATTCAGATTGACTGCAACAGATACGCAGCTTTCTACTGCGGAAGTCCAATAGGGACTAGCTGAATTGAGGAAACGCGCTCTGTCACGTCCCATTTCATCTTCGACAAACAAAGGTCCACATGGTACATGCTGTCTGGCTGCAGTAATATGACATTCACGCTACTTCAAAAAACCCATTCACTGCCGATGCTGCAGCTATTTTCAGGAAACGAGCTTCGAAAGCAATATACGAACGATGCCTTACCCGATTTGGCTGCTGCGAGAAATATTATAAGTTTTCATTCGTCAGTACTCAAAACTTATCTGAACATTTTGAGTCTAGTACCATGCCAGATATCTGTTGCATTACGCGGTCTCGGATTGGCTACCAAGTGGTAGCTTCCAAACTGTTAGAAAAAGATAACTACGTGCACGATGAGGTAAGCGGGTCTTCCACTCTGGGCGAGGAGTGAAAAAAATTCCACATCCTTACACGCATGAAAAAAAAAATATTTTTCTCTTAATTTTCAGCTCTACAACATGGCTACCTTTGGTGACGATCCACTCTTGTTGGACATGGAGCTGGATTCCAGACTTGCTAAGATAAGGGCGCAGGTCACTTCCAAGCTGGAAAACCAGAAACAGCTGGCTCTTGTGCTGCAGGCAATCGACGAAAACCTTGCAGATCAGAAACAGAAGCAGAGTCCAGTCACATACTTTGTGTCGTTCATCTCTCTGTTGGATCAATGTTGCGATGGCGAGGATATCAGAGACTCTAATTTGGCCGGTGTTGCCCTTTATTTCCTAGATATTGTTTGCCCTTACACTCCAAAACAGCTGCTGAGGTCTAAATTCAGTGAGATTCTTGCTCGTTTGGCCCCATCACTCTCCAGCAACGAGTCAGAGGCACCGCTTTTGAGATCGGGAATTGGGGTTTTGGAAAGCTTGCTTGTTTCCCAAGAGACCGGCGCATGGATCAACTCAGACAACTATAAGATTAGTCCTAAGAGAGGACTTTCAGGACTATTGCAACTTTCGCTGGACCCAAGACCAAAGGTTAGAAAGAGAGCGCAAGAAGCGGTCCACAAGACTCTCTCCACCGTTCCTGCTGGTCCTTCTCTCGAGCACCCTGCCTCGACCATGTGTGGGGAGTTCTCGCTGAACTCAGTGATCAAGCTTTTAGAAAGACAACAGCAGGAAAAGAAGAATAAAGACCTGAACACAGAAATCATCCACAACCTTCAGCTGATTGCCTCGATCACCAAGGCTAACTCGTGGCCTTTGAAACAAATCATTCCTCTTTGCGATGTGTTGTTAGCAGTGGCCAAGACCAGCGACCAATACCTGGTTTCTTCTGCTTTTGACGCTTTCGAAGGATTGTTTCAGTCAATGAATGACGAGGTCGATGAGGACAGGTTCGTTCAAGTTTTGAACGTGCTTTTTGATTTGAAACCTGCAGTCAACGACCAACACCTTGCTCCATCTTGGCTTGCGGTCATCGCTAAAGCTCTCACTTCATACTCCAAGACTTTGGACGCATACAAATGCATTTTAAAACTTCCTGACGTCTTCAACATTGTGAGCGACTTTTTCCTGAGTGAGAACACAAACGTCCGTATCAGCGCATCGCAATGTCTGATTGCCGTGATCGAAGACTCTGTCGACAAACAGTACTTGCTGCTCCCTCCAAAGACTACTCCTGAGGTCTACGAGAACGTTGAGGAAGTGATTGAAAAGCTTTCTGAGATCACAGCAAACTTGCTCTCGGTCAAGTTCAGACAGGCTGCTTCTGTGATCTGCGAGTTGATTGCCAGTATTTTTAACAAGTTTGGCTCCCGTGCAGGACCTTACTTCACAAGCCATTTACAGGTGATTGGAGATTGGCGTTCCAACGAACAGGAAGGATTCGAGTTAAACCAGGTCAGTGAAACCGTCATTTCTGTGGCCATCAGCTCTATCGGGCCGGAACAGGTGTTGAATGTTCTTCCTCTCAACCTGACAAACTCAAAGGCTACCGGAAGAGCTTGGTTGCTTCCAATCTTGAGAGACAACGTGAGCCATTCGAAGCTGGGATACTACATTTCGGAAATTTTGCCATTGACCACTTTCTTCGAGGAGAAAATCGCCAACGGAAACCCAGAATCGATGAACACCAAGGTCTTTGCCACGATCGTTGACCAGATTTGGTCGTTGCTCCCACATTTCTGCGATCTTCCTTCTGATTTGATTGAAAGCTTCACAGATGATTTTGCATCCAAGCTTGCCGGTTTGTTGTACGAAAAAGCAGATCTTAGAAACATCATTTGTCACGCCCTTAAGCTTCTTGTCGAAAGCAACGTCACCTACTCTTTGGGAGTTATTGACGATGCAGTTTTGAACCAGGAGTTCCCTGTCGAACTTGCCCAGAAAAACGTTGAATATTTGTCTGCTACCAAAGCTTTCAAAATGCTCTCAGTGCTATTTAACGTTTTCTCGCAAACTCCGGTAGCTCAAAGAGGCTACGTTTTGGAAACCATTGACGTCTATCTCCAGATTTCTAAACCTGAAGATCTGGAAAATACGTTCAACAAGGTTTGTGCTATTTTGAAACAAGCATTGGACGACGAAAAGGAAACTGATCTCATCAAGAGCGACGAACCTGTGGCCAAGTCGAGCATCCCTAAACTGTCCATCACAATGATGGATCTGATTGCACAGATGGCCAAGTATGTGCCAGAGTCGTGCCACAACGCGCTTTTTTCGATATTCAACCAAACAGTCAAGATTCCAGACGTCCAACTCCAAAAACGGTCTTACAGAATCATCACCAAAATGCTGGAAACCGAGGCCGGAGAACAAGCTGCCTTGGGATTCATCTCGAACATCCTTTCTCTTTTGCTGGAAACCACAGACTCCACCATGACCGCTGCTAAATCTGCCAGATTCGCTTTAATGTTGGCTATCATTAAACTCCTGCCTGCCGATCAGTTGCATTTCGTGCCAGCAGTGGTCTCTGAGGTCATTATTAGCACTAAGAGTCTGAACGAGAAGACCAGAGAGTCTGCTTACCAAACCTTAATTGTTATGGCTACCAAAATGCTGGAGAACGAGGGAGCTCCAGTGAGAAACAGTCTGAATGACCCAGAAATGCCAGATTCTGTTGCATCGTTGCAAGAATTCTTCACCATTTGTTCTGCCGGTCTTGCTGGTGCCACCTCCAACATGATTAGTGCTGCCATCACTTCTCTCTCTTGTCTGGTTTACGAATTCCACACCAAGATGGATATCCAACTGTTGACCGATCTTTACCAGACTGTGGAATTGTTTCTTACCTCCAGAAACAGAGAGATCATCAAATCCACGTTGGGTTTCGTCAAGGTTGCAATTTTGAGTCTGCCTGAAGAAATGGTCACCCAGAACATGAAGGGTCTGCTTACCAACTTGATGACCGCCTCGCACGAACACAAGAACCACTTCAAATCGAAGGTCAAGCACATCATCGAGCGTTTGATCCGTAAGTTTGGCGTCGAACTTGTGGAGGAGTGTATTCCCGAGGAGGACAAGAAACTGGTTGCAAATATCAAGAAATCCAAAGCCAGAGCCAAGAGAAAGAAGACTGAAGGAACGGGAGCCAATGCCACCGACACAGGCGTCATGTCTGGATACGAAGCTGCTCTGTACAGCGAGTCTGAGTCCGAAGATGAGGAGGAAGATTCTACCGGAAAGCCTCAGCAATATATTTCTGAACCTAGAGACACTCCATTGGATCTCCTTGATAAGGATACCTTGACCCACATTTCGTCATCCAAACCTAAGAAGTTCACCAAGAAGTCGTTGCAAAATGAGTTCAAGACCAAGAACGGTAAGCTGGTAGTTGACGAAGAGGACGATGGCGAGATTTTGGCGAAAGATTCCATTGACGCATACGTTGAGGCTGTGAAACAGGGTCCTGTGAGAGGCCAGAAGAATAAACTGAGATACAAGCACAAGAAGGGCGATGATATCGATTGGGACGACGGCTCGGATACCGAGTCCAAGCCAAAAACCTCGAATAAGGTACAAAAACCTCAACGCAAGCCAAAGAATAAGTTCAAGTCCAAAAGACGCTTTTAGAGTATGGAGTTTTATATATCATCTAATTCCTCCTTCGTGGAGTCCTGTGCGTACGGTAGATACTCTGCGAGATTGTCTGGTGTCGGTCCCGACACGACATGGTCGTTAAACGGCGATTGTGATGGCTGTTGTAGGTCTGACGGCACGTATTGGTCCAGAACCGAGCCTTTGAATTTTGAGTCTGGTTTGTCGGTCAGCTGTCCACGTAGTACAAAACGGATCCAGTCCGGGTCGAGACGGGCCCCGTCTTGATCCAATCCTGGGTCTGCTGCTGCAGGCTCTCCGTTTGCAGACTCGCCGGCCTGACGACCCAGTCCCGGCGCAGACTGGCCCAAAGCGGCCGTCAAACTGTTCATCTTTGTATGTATGTCCTTCGAGTTTCGAAGCTCCTCCAGTTCTTGCAGAAACTCGCGGTTAGGACGAGCTGCCTGGCGCATTCTTGTGTTTGTGTCGCTGTGGACCCAGTACAGGAAATTATCAAGTCCCTGGTTGACCAATCTGTCCGAATCGCGCGCATCCAGACGTCGTGCGGGAGATATTAGCCGCAACTCCAGAAATGCGTTCGAAATGTCCTGGACATTGGGTTCTATGTCGTTTCTTGCTTCTGTGTATTTCGTGACTGTTTGAAGGAGGAGTTGGAAATACCTCACGTAAAGGTCAGTGAGAAGATCAAGAGCCCGGTTGTTGCATCTGTCAAAGCCGTGTGCCTTGAGAAGTTGCGCAATGGACACACGCAGCAGATGGAACTGAAAGCTGCTGGTCATGTTGAGAATAAAAAAATACACGAGTCGATCGACGTTTAAGCTCCGACGGAAAAAATACCAACAGGCGTCGTTTGGCGGAGCCGCCGATAAAAAGTATCACATGCGGGTGATTCAACAATCGGTGCGGACAAGATTGCCCAGACAGAACGATTTCTGGGCGGCGATCAACCCGATTGGACATGGCTGCCATACCACATTGTGACACAGTCAAGTTCCCCCACTCATATCTCAGATAACCGCCAGATACCCTCGATTCCCCCCACGTTGCAGCTACCATCTCGAGTGTGCGGCTTTTTGTTGAAAAATTTTTCGTATATATATATATTCGTCTATAATCAGTGGTGATTAGGGGAAGATGAAAATCACCAACAAGCTCCAGGATGCGCATAAAGACGGGAGCAGTCCGGCCACTTTTTCGTTCGAGTTCTTCACTCCGAAAACCAGTCAGGGGCTCCAGAACTTGTACGACAGAATGGATAGAATGTACGAGCTTAACCCTCTGTTTATCGATATCACATGGAATGCCGGTGGAAGATTAGGTACCCTCACTACGGAAATGGTCAACACGACTTCCACAGTGCTTGGGTTGGAGACCTGTATGCATTTGACATGTACTAACATGCAAACGAGTCTGATCGACCAGGCTTTGAAGTCTGCCTACGATAGTGGTTGTCAAAACATTCTGGCTCTTAGAGGCGATCCACCTATTGACGGGTCGGAGTCGACCGGCGACTTTGTGTATGCTAAGGATCTGATCAGCCATATCAAGAAGAACTATGGCGACCACTTCAGCATTGGTGTTGCAGGCTATCCTGAAGGACACCCAGAAGAACCAGATCGTTCCAAGACTCTTGAGCATTTGAAGCAAAAACAGGATGCCGGAGCAGACTTCATTATCACACAAATGTTCTACGATGTCGAGAACTTCATCAACTGGTGTAAAGATTGCCGGGATCTGGGAATCACCATTCCTATCATTCCTGGAATCATGCCGATTAGTACCTACGCTGCGTTCATGAGAAGAGCCGGCTGGTCTGAGATTGCCATCCCAAAGCATTTCAGCGATGCTCTGGACCCTATCAAGGACGACGACGCCAAGGTCAGAGACGTTGGTGCTAAATTGGTGATCGAGATGTGCCAGCAATTGTTGGACTCCAAGCAGGTGAACCATCTCCATTTCTACACCATGAACTTGGAGAAATCGACCCTGATGATTCTTCAAGGCTTGAACCTGGTCACCAATCAGCAACTTACCGACATGAAACAGCCATGGAGAAAGTCTTTGAATCCAAACAGATCCAACGAGAACGTCAGACCAATCTTCTGGAAAAACAGAAAGTTCTCCTACATTACAAGAACAGCCAACTGGGACGAGTTTCCTAACGGAAGATGGGGCGACTCTCGGTCACCTGCTTTTGGGTCTATCGAGTCCTGTAAGACCGACCTGATCAGACATTCTCCGCAAAAAGTTCTGGAACTCTGGGGAAAACCTGACAGTTTGAAAGATCTGGCTACATTGACCTCGAGATACATCAACGGCGAGATCTCGTGTCTTCCATGGTCTGATGGTAAGATTACAGCCGAGATCGAGCCTACAAAGGCCCAAATTTTGGACATCAACCAGCACGGAATCCTAACTATTAATTCACAGCCGTGCATTAACGGGTTGCAGTCTGTTGACAAGGTCTTTGGATGGGGTCCAAAGCACGGATACGTGTACCAAAAACAGTATCTTGAGTTTTTGATTCCAACCACTATGGTTGAGTCTTTGATTAAACGGATCAACAGCCTGAACCAGGACCTAGAATCGAATGTTCTGTCCTTTTATGCCACCAACAATGCTGGCGAATTGCTCACCAACACCCAGGATTCCGACATTAACGCGGTTACCTGGGGCTGTTTCCCTGGAAGCGAGATTGTTCAGCCAACCATCGTGGAACGCATCTCGTTCCTGGCCTGGAAAGACGAACTGTTCTCGATCCTGCACAAGTGGCTCACCATCATGAAACACGAGCAGGAGACCAAGGCAGCAGAATTCCTCGCGACCTTGTACGAGTCGTTCACTCTGGTGACTGTTGTGGACAATGACTACGTCAGCAACCCGAACACGCGAATCTTTGATCTTTTCAAAGGCATAAACTTGCTGGCTTAAGCTAGCAGAGCCTGGACTAACATATACACAGGCTTTTCCCAACATTATAGATGGTAGCTCACCTCAACTGCTGAGCTACACCAAACAACAACAAACGAACCATAATGCATTTTCATGATCCAATCTGATGATTTACTTGATGCCCCTGTGTATGTGTATTTTAAATAGCTAATTGCATCCTCAACGGATTTATTCCACAGCCCGGAAACTATCTGATTTTTTTCTCTCTTATATTGATTAAGTGTCTTTTATCAAGAAATTCTGGTTGACAATGTCTCAGGACATAAATCTTGATAAATTGCTTGACGAAGTGGAAGGCCGCGCGGGTGATGACTCTCATCAGACCAACACTGTCTCTCAATCTTCCCCAGACGACTCGATCGTCACCCCTCTGTCCCCTGAAACGGGCAGCCTTAATGTCCCTCGAAAAAGACTGGCCAAGTTCGAGCTCGATTTCCCCGGAGACGAGGACGATTCCAGCGACGACGACGACTACGAGACGAACCCGGCTAGATCTTTACTGGGAGGCCTTGTCTGGATCGTCTATGCTGTGCTTCCAGTGCTGTTCATCGTCACCTTTTTGATTACGTATTACTCTCCAACGACGCTGTCTTTGTTCAAGTTCAACACCCACCATGACCGAAACTACTACCCGGACCTTCCGTCAGGCTACCATAGCGAGTCAGGTGCCTACGACGACTACAATATCGAGTTTTACGACCTCAAGGAGTCTGCTTCCTCGTCGCCTGACGGATGGAACCATCGTGAACGGGTTTTGCTTTGTGTTCCATTAAGAGACGCCGCCCCCCACCTACCGATGTTTTTCGAGCACATGCGCAACATGACGTACCCGCACAACCTGATAGATCTAGCGTTTCTGATCTCGGACACAACAGACTCGACCATCAAGGTTTTGAAACGAGAGCTCAAGAAAATTCAAACCGACAAGGACTCGTCTCTCCATTTCGGAAGAATCAACATCTACGAGAAGGATTTTGGTCAGATCATTGGTCAATCGTTCTCTGACCGTCACGGATTCCAGGCACAGGGCCCTAGACGGAAATTGATGGCCATTGCCAGAAACTGGCTACTTGCTACCGCTCTCCGCCCAGACCATTCTTGGGTGTACTGGAGAGATGCAGACGTTGAAACTGTTCCTCCTACGATCATTGAGGACCTAATGCACCACGACAGAGACGTGATTGTTCCTAATATCTGGCGTCCACTGCCAGACTGGCTTGGCTACGAACAACCGTACGATTTGAACTCGTGGCAGGAAAGTGAGGGTGGAATCGAACTAGCAGACAAGCTGGATGAAGACGCCGTCATTGTGGAAGGGTATCCGGAATATGCTACCTGGAGAACCCATCTGGCTTACTTGAGAGATCCATTTGGAGATCCCGAAGTCGAGATGGAGCTGGATGGGATTGGAGGTGTTTCGATTTTGAGCAAAGGGTACGTTTTTCGCAGCGGAGCCATGTTCCCTGCATTTTCGTTCAAGAAGCACGCCGAGACGGAGGGTTTCGGCAAGCTTTGTCGGACGATGAACTTCTCGGTGATTGGACTTCCTCATTACACGATTTGGCACATTTACGAACCTTCCTCGGACGATATCAAGCACATGAAGTGGATGGCTGAGGAGGAGACCAACAGGCTCGAAAGGGCTCGGATCCAGAAGCTGTATGATAAAATTTGGATGAAAGCGTTCGAAGAGGTGGATTCCGAGTGGCAGGGACTCAAGTTCAACGTTTTCAAAAACACCGACCTGAAGCGAGACATCAACATCGACTGGAGTGAAGTCGACGAGTACCTTCAGGATATGGACGAGGATGTTCTTGATGAGGACGATAATGAGAACGAGCACTTTGCCGTGGAGGATATGAGTCGGAACCTGGAATCTGCTCTGTTGGAGAAGCTTAAGAGCGAGAAACAGAGAATGGAGGATGAGAGCTATCAAGAAGAGCTTTTTGGCCATTTCCCGCTGAATCCATACGTTAGTGGAAAGAACGGCAAGAATTACCGGTTTGTCAAGTTCAAGAAGACCAACGATCATGATATCATTAACTCTAATGTTAACGACGAGCTCAAGCAGAAGCAGGAGAAGGAGTTGGAGGAAGATATCATGCAAGAATTGAAGAAGGAGCAGAAGGAACAAGAACAAACCGAGACAGAGTCGGAGAAGAAGGTCGAGGAACAGCAGGAGCAACAGGACAACGACGAGCTGGAGAAGCTTTATAGAGACAAGATTGCCGAGAGAGACAAGGAGCTTCAGATGTTGGAGAAGTTGCACAAGAATAAGCTGAGCGAGAAAGAGAACAAGAAAAAGAACCAGGACGCCGAGATGGACCGACTGCGTGCTCTGGCGGAGGCCAAAAAGGCCCGGAAGCTGGAGAAGTTGAAGCAGCAGGAGAGCAAGAGAAACAAAGTGAACCAAGTGGCCATCGAGAAAGAGAAAGAGAGACGGCGCAAGATGGGACTAATTCAGGAATAAATAGAATAATCATTCAAGTACGCTAATAATTGTAAATACGAAACTGGGTCAACGGTCTTCCACCATTTCGAGGTAGATGAACTTTCTCCAAAGCTCGCCGGCCTCGAGGATGATGTTTTCGATGTCTCTATTGGACTTTTTCACTTGGAAATTATGGGACGAAAGACAGCTGGACGTGCTATTTGCGCTTCCGGTGCAGACAGAGCACTGACACTTGTCTGCGAGCACCGTGGCGGATGTTGTTTGGCCGTCACCGCCCACAAGTGAGCGGATCTCGGACGTTTTCAATGACGAGAGGTTGTTGAGCAACTGCTTTATTTCAGATTGGTCCAATTCCATGATGGTGAACTCTTTGGCTTTGAGGAAAGCCAACGAGATGAAGATGAGCTGTACGTGCGCGTCTATCTGCGAAAACGGCAACGTCGACTCCGACAACGGCATGTCTTCCACGTCGTCGTCACGGAGCGACAGAGAAGCCAAAGTCGGGGTCTTGTCGAACGACAGCGACACCTGGTTGATCAAGGTCTTTATGCTGCTAGAACGGTGTTTTTTGGAATTTACCTCTGGTTCCGACAGCGGGTTCCAGAACAGGTCGGGTCCCAGTAGCCGTTTTTGCTCCTCGGTGAGCTGTTCGAGTTGCGGCATGTCCTTTTCGTTGTAGGTGCTTCTGAAACCCAGAAGCAAGTCCCAGACTCTTCCTCTATCGTAACGGGACCATACCTTCGACGAACAGTACTTGAGCCACCACAGAATCCAATCTCCCTTGAGCAAGTCCTCTTCGGAAAGAAACCGGTGAAGTTCCGGCAACAGCTGTCGCAGACAGTACAGGAAGAACGAGATTCTGTCCTCAATACACCCGCCCATTTTTGGCAGGTCGTCGGACGACTCGTCGTGCTGGTCATCACTGGACTTGGATTCCGGTCTGCTCAGCGGGTCGGGTGTGTGCAGAATTACCAAAACCATTCGTTCGTAGATCTCGGCAAAAGTCATTGCCTTGAACGGATAGCTCATGCCAGAAAGCTGAGCGTTTGTGCTTTCCAAACTGGAGACTGACCGTGGTGAAGAAGACACAACTGGTGTCGAGCTCAGAGTGGACGAGACACTCACGGAGCCGCTCTCGTGCTCCATTTTCTCGAAATATGTCTCGTTGACGTTTCTGAGCTTTGTGCCATTTTTCGCAACGTCGTCTTTACCGCAAAGCACGATCTGCGAGTCTGCCAACGGAGGAATCCATTCGGCCAGCCCGAGAGCGATCCACGCCAGTCCCGAGTTGTAATGAACGATGGACCCCCACTTCTTAAGGAACTTGACAATCGAATGCTCCAGAGTCTCAAAGATCTTATCCTGGATTTCAAACAGATCTGTCAGCTCAGGACTCATGGTCTTGGGCTTGTACCGCTCGGCATTCTTCAGATACTTGTGGAGATCCGCCTTGATCTGGGCAACAGGGATTTTCAGCTCGTCGTCCTCTCCATCATCGTCCGGCTGAACATACGGATCTAACACGTACGGATGGTACTTTAGCAGAACAGGCCAGATTTTGTGTCTAAGAGACGGCGGAAGACCTCTTTGACGGGCAATCATTGACAACCCGGTGACATTCTTGGTGAGCAGAAACTCCTCGCATAGCTCCATCAGCTCCCCCACCTCTGTGATGGGAGGTCGTCCTTTATACTTGATTCCTCTAAATTTGGCGGGCGAAGACGACGTGGACGAGAATGAGCGGAGATCTGTGGTCTGCACAGACTTGGATTTGGGAGAAGAGCGCGACGATGAATTGGACGGGTCCGTAGGAAAACCTGTAGACCCATTGACGTTTTGAATACTTGTTCTTGTATCATGATCGGCCACCGGCCTATTTTCGGAAGATACCAACATTTGGAATCCGGACGCGTTTGAAACTAAATACGCGCACCAAATTCACCCCAATGAATCAACAAGCACCCAGTCCAAAGTCTATGGTGGTGAACAGCCTTCTTGTGGCTTTGAGTAGAAGTTGCCAAAGCGAGGTCCAATGGACAGCTTGAGACTGTACGAACCAGTGTTTTGTGCTTGTACAAGCGTGTCCCTTTAATCAGACAAAACCCTGGCGGCAACCGCTTATGTTAATGCCCGAAAGTACGCTTTGGAAGAAGAACTTTGGTAAAGTTAAAGAATCCGCTACAAAAATTGTCTTTTTTCGTCATTCGGTCGTTTGACCTACAATTTTTCTTTTTGTGGCGAGACGATGCGTCGTTTGCTCAGGCTGTTAGCCGCCTAATGGGTGGGGGGCAGGATAGGAAAAATTGTAGAATCTCTTTGTGGGGGGAGACAAGGTTCTTGTACTAGGCCTATGCTGGGCTGGGTTTAGTCAACCCTCCCCCACTGACAAACAGTACACGCCACCAAAAACGATGAACCCTTTGGCTCCGTTACACTAGCCACACTGACGGTAGAAAAAAAAAATAACCCAGACTGTTAAGACGTGGCGTAGCCTTACACTTTGAAAATTTTACTAGACAAACAATCCACTTGATGATCTGTTCCATCTCCAACACGCCGGCAGAAGAGCCCGTGGTGTCGCCCAAGTCCGGCCACGTTTTTGAAAAACGCGTCGTGGAGAAGTACATCCAACAGCAGGGCAAGGATCCGATCTCGGGCGAGTCGCTGTCTGTAGACGAACTTATTCCTGTCCAAGTTTCGGCACTCGAAAAGCCGTTGGTGGTGCGCGAGGCATCTTCCACGTCGATCCCTTCGTTGCTCACAATTTTCCAGCGCGAATGGGACGCCTTGGCGCTTGAATCGTTCGAATTACGCAAACAATTGACAAATTATAAAAAAGAGCTCAGTCTCGCGCTGTACAAGCAGGATGCCGCCGTGCGAGTCGCTGCGGCAGCCATTAAGGAACGCGACGAGGCAAAGAAGGCATTGGAGGATATCACAATCAAGCTGGGTACTGGCCAGCCAATAGATATCGACGAACCTGTTCAGGACGAACGTGTTCACGGATCGCTTCCTCTCGCAGAGGAATACTCTTCCCAGCTCACAGACGCCCATGTCCAACTCTACCAGCAGCATAAATCCCATAAATATAAGTCGCCAATCGGAGACGACCAGGACATCAAGCTCGTGTCGATTTCCGAGTCCAAGATCTGGGAAAACCAGAAGAAATCATCGACAGCCACAAGCACGGTGTTCAACAATTTGAAGACAAAAGTGTTGGTTGGCTACTCAGACAATACGGTGGTCGTGTACGATGTTTTGGAAAGTACTTTAGTCCAAGAGCACTCGCTTCCAAAAAGAGCCAAGATCAACGGTTTGGGCTGGCTCAACAACGAGACATATGCCTACGCAGGTACAGACGGCACTTTAACTGTGACAGGACCCGAAACAACGTACCAGCTTACTGTGGCAAAGAAACCGGCTGTGAAAATTCTGGGACATCCGCTGCTACCATTTTTATTCCTGGCTCAAAAAGATACTTTGTCGGTCTTCGAAGGGGAGACCAAACTGTACGAATCGCAGGCATTTGAGTCCGACATTAAGGACGTTGCATTCCACCAGGACGGTCTATTTTTGGGACTACTTTTTGCAGACAACCAGGTGAAAATATTCAACACCGCAAAAACCTCGTTTGAGCTGACCGTGTCGACGGAAAAAGTGGGCCAGATCGTCTCAATTGACAGTTTGCTGTTTGCTCCGAACGGGTACTCGCTGGCTCTGCACGTTGTTACTGAAGACGGCCCCAAAGTCGGGGTCTATGATCTGCGTAAGGACACTTTCCAGTCCGTTTTGGACTCTCCGGACTCGAGCGCCATTCTATCCATCGACCCTGCCTCCACGTTTCTGTTCAACGACAGGTTCTTGTTCAGATATCACAAGAAATCTAAACAATGGGGCTCCGAGACTAAACAGCTACCAGACATCGACCAGGCCGTTGTTGATGTTGCTGTGCGTGGAAAAGACGACGGGTACGAGATCTACGCGGTACTGAAAAACGGAACGCTGTCCAAGTTCGAGTTGCTTGCCGATGTATAATACAGATGTAATATAATCATAGACTACGACACCAGCATTTTCCTTCGGTAATACACCGTTGAACCATTTAGCTCCGAAATGTTGCCGAAAGTAAACTAGTGTAAAAAAAAAAAAATAATCATTGCACTTGATACAACATCAGTTCTTCTTGTCTTGGAATGAAGAAACTCGGCCTGGCGCTCCTGAGAAAGACGCCACAGAGCGAGGCATTGATTAAGGAAGCCACCTCCAACACCCGGTGGGGTCCCACGACGTCCGAGCTCAATAGCCTGTCTCGGCTATCAAATCAACCTCGCGATCTTGGCATTATCTGCAAAGAGCTTGCTCGAAACCTGAGATCGAAAAACGCGATCCAGATCCAAAAGGCGCTAACAATCGTGCTATATATGCTTCAAACGTCATCTTCCGGGTTTGTTTCGTGGCTAAAGACCAACCAATTCACCATAAGAGCCCTCAAAGAGTACCAAATAGACTCAAATAGCCACCCGGACCAGCGCCAGATCGCGTCCAACATCAGAAACAAGGCATCAGAGACATTCCGGTTGCTGGAAGACCAGGACTTGTTGCTTCAGAAGCGACAGGAGTTCATCACATTCAGAGAGGACATGAAACTGCCCACGCCGCGGTCGTCGCTGGACCTTCCGAGCCGGCCCTCGTTCACGAGCGACCGCAATTGCAAGTCGCTGGAGATCAACCGTGCCGACCTGTTCAGAGATCTGGACCTGTATCCGTCGTCGTCGGACGAGGAGAAAGAGCGGCGCGGAAGCAAGCTGAGCAACATTTTGGAGTTGGAGGAGGATTCCAACTACACAGACACGCGGTCCTTGAGAGTCCGCTGACCTAATAATTGCTAATGACTACGCTATCTACCTTCTTAATAACCTGTTATGACGCGTAAAACATGGAGGGTCTATCCCCCTTATTTAACAAGAGACCATCTCAGCCGCACCCCGCCGGAAAGTTCTGGCATCAATAGGGGGCAGCCCCCTGCGCCACAAAAAAGAGGGCGGTTACCGCCACATACCATTCCTTCAAACCGAGCCGCACGGCAGCCGGCTTCCACAATATTGGGACAGATACCGCCATACATGGCACTGCAAACAAGTCATCCATGACGTATGTGCACTGAATAGACACACTCGAGGCCATACAAGTAAAATTACCGGTTTCCACTTCTTACGAAATATGGTTATAACCTGGTTATACCGATCAATCTGTTTGGCAGCTCTGTTATCTGTCGTGGCTGGTGAAGAGATATTTATTGTTTCTTTTTTTGGAGTAGTGGTCTTTGCCACCGAAATTGCCTGTTTCTGAGCAACATAAATACCTCGCGCATTCCGTAAACCCCACTAACTAATTATTATACTCTTTAACGCTTAAAATGCAGATCTTCGTTAAGACCCTCACTGGAAAGACCATCACGCTCGAGGTCGAGTCCTCAGACACTATTGACAACGTCAAATCCAAAATCCAAGATAAGGAAGGAATCCCTCCTGACCAGCAAAGACTCATTTTCGCAGGTAAACAATTGGAGGACGGAAGAACCCTTTCTGACTACAACATTCAGAAGGAGTCCACTTTGCACTTGGTTCTCAGATTGAGAGGTGGTATGCAAATTTTCGTCAAGACCTTAACTGGTAAGACTATTACCTTGGAGGTTGAGTCATCGGACACCATTGACAATGTTAAGTCTAAAATTCAGGACAAGGAGGGTATCCCACCTGACCAACAAAGACTTATTTTCGCTGGTAAGCAGTTAGAGGATGGCAGAACGTTGTCTGACTACAACATTCAAAAGGAGTCGACTCTCCACTTGGTGTTGAGATTGAGAGGAGGTATGCAAATCTTTGTCAAGACTTTGACCGGAAAGACCATTACTCTTGAGGTTGAGTCTTCGGACACGATTGACAACGTCAAGAGCAAGATCCAGGACAAGGAGGGCATTCCACCAGACCAGCAGAGATTGATTTTCGCCGGTAAGCAGCTGGAAGACGGCAGAACCCTTTCCGATTACAACATCCAGAAGGAGTCGACTCTCCACTTGGTGCTTAGACTGAGAGGTGGTATGCAGATCTTTGTGAAGACCTTGACCGGTAAGACCATCACTTTGGAAGTGGAGTCCTCGGACACAATCGATAACGTCAAGTCGAAGATTCAAGATAAGGAGGGTATCCCACCAGACCAGCAAAGACTTATCTTTGCAGGTAAACAATTGGAAGACGGCAGAACTTTGTCTGACTACAACATCCAAAAGGAATCCACTTTGCACTTGGTGTTGAGACTGAGAGGAGGTATGCAGATTTTCGTCAAGACTCTCACCGGTAAGACTATTACCTTGGAGGTTGAGTCATCGGACACCATTGACAATGTTAAGTCTAAAATTCAGGACAAGGAAGGAATTCCTCCTGACCAGCAGAGACTCATTTTTGCCGGAAAGCAATTGGAGGACGGCAGAACTCTCTCAGACTACAACATCCAGAAGGAGTCCACTCTCCACTTGGTTCTGAGACTGAGAGGTGGATGTTAACTCTTGTGTACTGATTGAAATATACGCGCTTCCGCCAAGCTGTGTTCTAACTATGTAATGCGTTTTCTATCTCTTTGTTGATCACCGAGTTGATGTTCAATCCGGCAAGGGCCTCCAGTTTCTGGGAGCAGGCCGACCGGAACTCAGAACAGCTTTTCTGGAACTCCTGGGTCGTTCTAATAAAGGCCACCAGGACGTTTTGTAGATTCTCTCTGTTTGCACAGTTGTCTGAGATCACTTTCCAGATCTCAAATAATTCTTGTTTGGACACTTGGTCCAGAACTCCTGGAACCAACAGGTCTTTGAACGCCTTGATGATAGCCAGTTGTGTTTTATAAGTCTGCTGGTATCTGTTGTCTTGGAAATAGTCAACTAAGTTGGACATGATGAAGGAGACAAGTTTTGGTTCTGGCTGGGATGTATTCAGAGCGTCCACCAGGTTCTCAAGGAACAGAATCTTTGTGTCTTCGAGCCGGGCATCCTTGGCCTTCTTGTTGGCCTTGGAAGGCTCCTCTTCCTCAGAGTCGGTGTCCATATCGGATCCGTCTTGAGTCTTTGGCACAATGAAAGGAGTCACCAGTTCCAAATACTCTTGATAGACATCTTCGTCCGGGAATGCTCCCAAGAACACTCCCAGGGAACGGACACTATGCACAGAGTACTCTTTGTTTTTCCGTCTGGCCTCCACAAGAACAGTGTGCTTCACATTGTTGAAGATAGCCTCGTTATCGTTGAAATAGTTTGGGGTCTTGATAGCCAGAAGAATCAGGGACTTTAATAGATTTTCCTTTCCCTTGTACGAACGCCCTTTCAAAGAAACAAGAAGGATATCATACAAGTCGCCAAGATACTGGCCGAGCGAGTTGAGCTCGTTGCCAAGCCGGTCCACGATCTCAATGATGGACAGCGCAATGCTCTGCCGAATCTGGAAGTTGGTGGAGTCGATATGGGTTCTGATCAGACCAATGATCTCTTTCAGATACAGTTTCACCGGACCGCTTCCGCCAGAAGTGGAATCTTCCCATTCCTTGCTGAACGCAGAGCCAACCTCTTTGACCGGGTCGTGTTTTCCAATGAAGGCCAGTGGCAGGAAATTCACCGCAACAGATTGGAACTTGTCGGTGGAGTATCTTGAGATGGACTCGGACGTGTTGGCCGCAAGAATACGCAATCTCTCGTTGTCTCCAGCCTCGAAGTAGTAACCGGTCAGCTTCTTGGAAAGACTCTCAATTCTCTTCAGAGAAGCAACACGGACACAGTAGCCAGCGGAAATGGCATAAGATCTAGAAACCGTCTCGTTCCTGTCCTTGAGCTGGCCCATACAGATCTTCAACAGCTCATCGCCATATTTCTGTGCAACAAAGTAATGCCGGGTGATTAGCGTGATAATGATCTTAGACCCAGTAACTTTAGAAGGCAGACCAACAGACTTCTTAACGCCATTGGAAAGGTGTGTGACGAAATCAGGCATCAGATTATCATCCAGAAGATTCATCAACTGCTCAATGGCTTCCATCAAGGGCGAGCTTCCAATAGAGTGCAGTCTGTGGGAGTCGATATCGTCCGACTTCATGTTGTATTTGTCTGCATTCAAAGCCAGATAATTGACAATTTGCGGCTCAATCGAAGACATCATGATCACCAGCTGCTCAACCATATCACAAATGAACGGCTTCAACAACAACGAAGATGACTTTGAAAGTTTAATGACAATCTCAAGTGCAAAATTCTTCAAATCGTCAGAATCGTTCAGCAAACCGTTCGGTCCCAGAAGGAATGGCACCAGTTGCGAAAGAATCTTGGAGTCTTCTGTTCCTGGTGTAGTAGCACTCGAGATCTTGTTCACCATAGTGGTTGCAAGATATCTTGTCAGCGAGTTTCCTTCCAAACGAACGCTCTCCTTGATATCATCCATAACTCTGAATGACATAGTCCAGATCTTCTCCAATTGCGACTCATAGCGGTCAAAGGAAACCAGACGCAACAAGTCTTGCGCTGCTGAAGCAGAGGCTTGTCTAACTCTCCATTCTCTGTTTCCCATGTTGAGCAACAAATCTTTCAATATAGCATCAAAATTATCAGTGACAACATTGGAGTTTGGAAGAAGCGACGTCCAGATATCGTTCATCGTTCTGGCAACGGACGGACTAGGATCAAATCTGTATCTGAAAAGCTTTGGAATCAATCGAGACGACAGCTTATCGTCGTTGGCAATCAAGTTCTCCAGCTTGGTCTTATCTAGAATTGCACCCAATCCAAACGCTATTCCCTTCTTGGAAGACCAAAGAGCAGAGTTTTTGGCCAGAGACATGAATTTATAAACCAGACTTGGATCTCCAACCTCACTGGCCAAGCTCAAGACGTCTTTATAAGTAGAAACTGAACTGTCTCCAGTGTTCATGACACCCGGATCGAATAACTCTGTATCTTCGTGAACAAATCCAGTGCTGATGGATTTTCCGGAGTCGGTAAAAGAACTCAACAAGTTGTGCGTCAAAGTATCCTTCAGGTCGGCGTCTCCCATTTCGTAAACAATACTCAATCCTCTGGATGCAGATTCTTGGATTATCTCATCTTTATCAGCTAGAAAGCGGGAGAATGACTTCTGGAGAATATCCAGCTTGGTCTTCACGTATTCAAGATGCCCACAGTGCTGCACAAATGAAAGTAGCCAGATACAACCGGCTCTTCTCAAAGATGGCTTAGTGTTTGCACATGCCTGGATGATGGTGTCCAAAATCAATGGCAGCCGAGTGAGGTTCTTGACAAGCTGAGGCTCAAAGCTGTGGTCACGAATGTCCAGCTTGCTATCAACAACTTTCGATTGGGAGCCTGCAGCAATGATTGTAAATGCCTCTCCCGAAGTGAAGTGGAAATCAGTTTGTTTGGAGACGTGTGTCTCGTAGAGCACCGACTCGATCGGAGAAAGACTGTCAGCTTCAGGAACTTCCAAGGACAACGTCAAACAAGAAAGAGCTGTGGTTGCACGCTCATTGAACTTCTTCACCAAAGGTAAAAGGTTTTCAACAAATTTCGTCTTGAAACTTTCGGTCGAAGCAGACAATGAAACAACAGGCCCAAGGCACCCAAATAGCGAAAGTTGGCTGAGACCTTCCAATGCGCCTCTTTGTGCTCTTGTAGAGCTTGAAAGCATATCATCGTTGATCTTGGAAAGAACAGAAGTGAATAGCTCGTCAGAGATCACATCTAGTCTCTTCTGTAGAACCAGTTGGGATATCAAGAAGCATAACGCACTGATGTGTTCTTTCTTCAAAACATCTTGAAGTAAAGAAACGAGCTCTGAGTTTGGCAGGACACTATGCGAGCCAATGATTGCCAATGATTTCGATGCGTACAAAAGAACCTCATCGGAAACAGAAACGTTAAGCATGGATTTGAGTTTGTCAATGTAGCCGGAAAGCTTCGAGACCGCATTAGCGGGACTGGAAACCAATGCTTGGTACAAAACCTTTCCTGTTTCAAGAGACGAGTAGGTCACGAAAACGTCCAACTGCTTTTCGAGGAAACTCAATAAAGCCGATTCGCCATTAAGATCCACCGAGTCCAATCGTTTCATTTCATCAACAACAAGCTGTTTCACTTTCTCGTCGTAATCCAGTGCGTTCTCTAATCTGGTGTCCCATTGTTGGTCAGCAACAATCACTGTTGTTTGACCCTTGATAGCCTGCATCACCAAACATTTCCAAGCAAAATTCAGCTCTTTATCAAAATTGACATGCTCTGACTTCTGTGCTTCATCGAGAATGGAGACGAATGAAGGGAATTCGATTTTAGCAGAATCGATACCGGAGTTTCCAAACGACTGCAATAAGGAAAAATAGTAAGGATGCAAACCTTTTCCAGCCTCCTCGATCGTTTCTGGTCTATCAAATTGGGTCTGTGCAAAAATATCCAGGATTCTAGCTTGGGGATCGTTGAACGCAAAACAACTATTCACGTACTTCACAGCCATATAACGACAGCTGGTAAACCCTTCAGTCGGTTTAGATGCAGGTGTCACAGAAATATAGGAAGCCAGAATCTGTTTCAACGTCTGTTGCTCTGGTGGAGGTAGTGTATGCAAAGATGGAGCCAGAGACGATAAGGAGTCCTGAATGCTTGAACGTAGCTCCACAGGCTCCCTTTCAAGCATTCTGAACAGGAAGTCAATAAACTCGCAGTTTTCAAGTTTAGTAATCCTCCTGAGAACCACACTCAAGGCCTCATACTGGAATCTCTGTTGAATTGTGTTGGAAGTGGTAACGTCCTCTTGAGAAAGATTATCTTTCAATTGCAAAGCAATTGACTTGCATAGATTTTCGTCGGTCGCATCATCTTGATCCACAAGAACCGTTGAAATCCATTTGATGAATCTGATTGTGGCCTGTTTCAATTTAGGGTACTCCGATTCCAGCCCCATAGAACACAGTTTATCTGAGTCTGGCGACTTGACTGCCTTGCGTGATTGACAGCAGAAGTTCATGATTTTTTCCTGTAGATAAACGCCCGCTGGCTCGACAGTTTCGTCGCCGATGAAGAGAGATATAAGTTTGTCCACAATTGCCTGGTCTTCGTGGTCGATTTTGTTTCTTTTCAGGAACGAAAGAGCGTCGTTAGCCAGCGAGTTAGACGTATCAGCGGATGCCACAATGGCAATGAGGGCATTGGACTCGGGAAACACGGTTTCTGCAAACTTGAAAATGGCCTTTTTGTAACTGATCAAAGTACCCAGATCGAAGGTCGCACCAGCCTGGTAAGTGAAAAACGCCACCTTCTGGGCAGACAGGCCGGGGAAACTGACTGTTTGAGGAATACTGTGCGATTCGTCGGGTAGAACTGTTCCCAACAGCATGAACTCATAGAACTTCTCCAGCAAAAACTGCTTGTCTGTCTCGTTGATATTTAGAGACGCCCTGTACGACTCCTTCTCAGTGTCCTTCACGTCGAGGTCGAGCAACGCTTTGCAAAGAATATTAAACAGCCGTGCTGCAATCAGCGGCTTCACTGTCGAAATCCCATCAATGATGATTGGAATGAGGTCTGTCTTCTCTTTCTGGGACAGTCGAGGCAAACCTTTGGAAATGAACACCAGAGTATACGACTGAACCACAGTGGGGTCAACATTTGGGGACAATGACGGGTTCTTCACCTGCTGCAAAAGTTTTAGAACAGGGAGCTTGACATTGGACGAGTTGATCCTCGTAAGAAGATACTTGACCATCTTGTTGATTTGTGCCCGAACATCGGAATTGGGGGAGGCAAATTTGAGAAGAATCGGAGCAAGGTACGAATCGAGAGACGTCTCAAACTTCTGGTCTGTGTCTGCGAGAGCCAGCCTCAGCTCGACCTTCTCCACAAGCGCCAATTCATCACTCATGGTAAACTGACTTTGTGATGGAAATATTCAAGGGCAAATTCGGCCAAACACTACTTCGAGGAGTTTGAGATCAGGGCGGTGCAGATAAGAAAGCTAGTGATTAGAGATCTAGAAAATGTCGGGAAAGGTAGTGTTGAGGCCGTCTGCACTTACCCAAAATAAGTAGTGCAGTCGACTCGATATAGGCGAGATGTGCACCTTCCACAGGGTATGGACGTTGTTTAGGGTAATATTATTCAATAAAACAAACAAATCACATGAGGGATTCACCGGACATAAATATGAAACGTTGAGTTTATTCTTTGAAAAGGTTGATAAGTCATTTGTAAAGGGGACATCGTCAAACCTTAAATAGGTCACATTATTTCTTTCACTAACCTTAATCCCACACAAGCACACAATATTGGTACAGTGCCAGATGTTTCTTTGTCCGCACTTTTTTTTTAGTAACTGCAACCTGCATGACACAGAGCACACACCCTCGTATTTCTATTGTGAGCGGAGATTTAAACAAACAAATCATGACAGACTATTACGTCTAATTAGTGCAAGAATACTGGTCAGAGTGTGAGATTACTTGTCATGTGTATGGAGATGTTTCCCACGCATTTCACTGCAGAGGGGTTTTGTGAAGACAAATCTCAAAATTCGCCTTACAAGCATATACATGTGCCGACGGCTTTATGGCACAGAAGATCGTGGCCATCACAAGAAATTGAGCTTCTCCACGAACCTGTCAAGACAAGAACTAATTTAAACACGAAAATCCTCCGCGATCTAACGATCTGCTCTATCGGCTACCCTTTTGCATAAATAATAAATTTACTATACTAAAGCAGATACAGGGGTGGTTTCAGATCTCTGTGTCAGATCCACTTTCAGACAAGATCAACACTGGAATTCGGGCTTGTCAAAATAAAAATCTTAGCAGTGCACGATCCACAGTATTAAACACACAACTCACACAAATTGCATAATTTCGAAAAGACAAAGGACAAGAAATAACTCTTCGCGTTGTGTCATTTGCTCCCTGATAACCAACCCCCTTGTTATATTGGTTTAGTCTGTCGAATATTTGTGGCCCCCTTTTGTTTAACTTTTCTCCAGATTATTGAGCTCATCCCAAGCCTATCAGGCCTGAATTAGTCGATCCGCGATAATCACATCAAGCTTCCATTGCATTAAAGTGAATCAAGTTGCACAATAACAACAAAATATCGAGCTTTCGTATTTCAAGCGCCAGAATTCTCCTTTTCTCCTAAACTTCTCAACCTTGCAATTGGCTACCATGGAAAGCATTGAAGAAGGAGGTATCCAATTCTTCAAAGGATCCGAGATCGAAAAAGACTCAGAACTCCAACCGATGGCTGAAAACAATCTATTGAGAACAGAAAATCTACACTTCCACAGCGAAAGTGGCAGTGATCAGTCATCTGACTATTCAGAAGCAGCGTCCTCTTGTGGTGAGGGCGATGACTCCGATCACGAATGCAAGGACCCCAACCTGGAGGCGAAGGGCGAAATCCCAACTGATCTATCAGCCAGTAAACACGCGAATAGCAGTGTTTCCTACGAAGATGACAGCTTTAGCAAGGAAACAGAGAGCCCTTCTGCCGAACGGGGCAGACCTTCTGCATGTGTCTTCGTTGCTAGTTTGTCATCTAACCTGTCGGATGACATCCTTTGCCAATCAGTTAACACTCACTTCAAGCAGTGGGGTGTTATTTCGCTGGTCAAAGTCCTGAGGGACCCTGCAAATAGACCTTACGCATTTGTTCAGTACACCAAAGAAGAAGACGCCAAACGAGCAATTGCCGAAGGCCAACACTCTTTGCTCAATGGTAGAACCATCAGATGCGAAAAGGCCAGAGTCAACCGTACTCTGTATGTTGAAACCACAAACAAAGCCCTTGTTGAATCTTCCATCAGATCATTTTTGGAAAAATACGGGGAAATTGAAAAGTTGGTTTCCGTGGATGAAAAATCCAATCTTGTTGATATCCACTCGGGAGCACATTCGTACTGGTTTTGCAAATTTGTCTACCGTCAAGATGCAATAAGCGCATACGCGAACCTGAAAGTCAAGCCATTTTGGAATGTTGAATGGGCACAGAACTTGGAAGACGAGGGCAATGATACCCCTGAAGTGACCATTGATAAATATTCCATTTTTGTGGGTCAATTAGACCCCCGCATCAACCGTGAAGAGCTGATCGAGAGATTTGAGCAACACGGAAAGATCAAGGAGGCAATCTTGGTCAACAGGCCATTGAACAATTTTGCCTTTGTCAAGTTTGAAACCAGAAAGGCTGCAGCATCTGCTGTGGAGAGAGAGAACCACTCCATGTTCAAGTTCAAAACGATTCACGTCCAATACAGAGAGATGTACAACAACTATAAGAACAAGTTCTCCACCGAAAACGGTCCGAAGCTGAACCTTGCTCCACCTCCAGTGAGTTTCAGAAGAAGACACTCTTATAGCAGCAACAGTGGATCTAATGGCGGATCTGGGAATAAGATGAAGAAAACCCCTAATTTTTTCCGCACCAGACTTGGTAGCTTCAACGGCTTCACAGAGCAGCATGAGATGCAGCAACCATTTTCCAACTTTAAAAAGGCAAATGTTTCTAATCCTCCTCCAATGAGGCGTTTCTCATTTGGGGGTCAAGTTTCTCCTACCGGATCTTCAAGTAAACCATTCAAGAGTAACTTTGAATTTGCCAATCCGGGGGCTCCAGCGAAGGTTTCTGTTGAAAGCGTCAAGGGTGGGGCTAAGCTATCAGTGTCGCGGGTCGACGAGCCGGAAATGATGGCTAGCGACGAGGAAGCCTTATCCCATGACGGAGCCGGAAGAATGGACGAGAACGACGATGCTACTTTTGGTCGCAACACAAATACTGCATACTCTTCTACGACCAATGGGGCACCGAAGACAACTTACTCCTACACATCTGTCGATGTTGATGAGTACTCTCCAAAATTCTCTGCTGGCCACCCGTTAGCTGACACGAGAATGGCACCACCTATGGGCGGTGCTGGTGCTCCGAACTACTACCAATCGCCTGGTCCCTACTATTACCTTGTTCCAACCAAAGAGATGGGTAGCTACATGGGCAACCCTATGTCTCCTGCGGTCCATAATCCTGCTATGGTTGGAGTTTCTGGTAACAATGGAGGGGTCCAAGGAGTTGGAGCACCGCCTGCAACCGGATACTACTACACCTATGCGCCTTACGATCCCAACTCGAACCCATCGCTGTATCCGTGTTACATGTATTATAATCCGAACCCAATCCCCGGCACTCCCACCGAGCAAAATAGTGGGTACGCAGGCGACTCTTACGAGCAGAACTTCTAAGAATTGTGGAGGTGTTTTGTTTGAATTATTCCGTCATTTTGCAAGATTGGTTTTTGGTTCACTGGTTTTTATTGTTATTTCATTATTGCTATTCGTGTGCGAGTCGTGTGCATGTACTTCGTTCGTTATATACGTTAAGGAAAACGAGATATAAAATTATGGGAGGTGGGTGGTGGGTAGTAGGTCTAGCAAAACTCCAAGGCTGTGCTACTTTTTGGATGAAATATTCAAGAGAGCTTTTTCTATTAAATATTTTTGTGAGGGCCATGTCGATGCATTACCATTTTGGGTTTGATCGATTACCCGCTTTGAAAGGTTCTGGGGTGTTGGAGAATGTTCAGAAACCTGGCAAGAAGGTGTTGGAGTCTGAGTTTCCTGAATTGAAAAGTTTACGGTTCCCCAACTTCATCAGTTTACAAGACATTGTTCCTGTTAGTGGGTTTGATACGGTGAATTTGCATGGAACCGAGGCGGAGGAGAACACAAATGGGTACACGCACCATTCTGGAGCCCATTTTGGGCTTGAGGACGAGGAGAACTACGAATTCAAGCATTTTATCTCGATGAATCTGTTTCATGACGAGACGGATCCCACCAAAAACGCACTGACTGTGGTATTGGAAGGTCTTTCTAGTGACATTACGCGATCGGACTCTTTGATCGACCAGTTGCTGTCTTACACGATGAACGATATCGTTGGGAAGGTGTCTGTGAAGGTTGAAGGGATTGACGTAAAGATCAACACCAAGTTCAGCTGGACGGCACTTGTTCACGAGCTTGTTGAGCCCAAGATGGTTTTCATAGAGTTTTCAGATCTGTTGGCCCTGGATCTGTTTCAGCGACTACTTGAGGAAGGGTCTTTGAAGTTGCGTATGAAGTCGGTCACCAAACAGGCTTGTCAGAAGCTCGAGGAGAAGGTGGAGATCGGGTCGATTTCGAAAGAGTTGTTTTTGGAGAAATTGCGCCAAGTTGAGCACACCGGTGCGAATTTGCGTTCGGGCAAGTCGCACAAAAACGGGTCGTCAGAGGAGTATGTGGTTGACTCGAAGGAAATGGAGGATATTCCTAGCGACATGTTGAATCTGGTGAAACAGAACGTCGTTGATTTCCGCATGCGGGTTTTGCGGCTAGAAACACAGAAGAAAGAGCAGCAGATTCTCCGAGGCAAGCAGAACAGCAAGACGAAGTTGCGGCGGATGTATTTCCCTGGCCAGGGCGACCGGATGGACGAGGACGGCGACGAGGACGAGGAAGACTTGGAAGGTGACGGGGTGGACGATTTGGAGTTTAAAAAACAGCAGGAAGCGCAGGCACACGCGCGTGCCGAAAAGACGTATCTGATGCGTGTGCAGCAGACGCGTGCGCGGGACGACGCTCGTCACAAGCGCGTTGACCAGTTCAACAAGACCATCGAGCACCACGCGTACGAAACAGAGTACGTTGCCGCCGCACGAAAACGGTTCTTGGACAGCTTTGTGACCGGTATCAAGGACAACTCGAACAAGATCGACCTCAACTTCAGCTACTATATCAACCACAGCAACTATCTGGCGTTCCGGAGCAAGAAGAAATCGGACGAGGAACGGCTGGACGCCCAGGACAGAGAGGAGGACGCTGCGGAGCGGGACCTGAATGCCGAACAGAACGAGTTCATGGCCTCGTTTGGCGACAAGCCCGTCAAGATCACGCTCAAGAAAGACGAAGACGCTGCGCTGTCGCCAGAGCTTGTGGGGAAGCTGCGCGAAGCTGCCGAAGAGGTGCTGGAGGAGTTTTTGGGAGTCAAGGAGGAGTCTTTGGTGGAGTTCATGGTGAGCTTTGTTTCCAAGAACCGCATTGCCGACAAGACCAATGCCGAGTACTCTGCGTTTGTGTCTGAGCTCGCAGAAACCTTGGACGAGGACGCGCAGGCTGCTGTTGACCGGCTCTATGCTGCGCTTACGTAATCGCACACTGTAATAAAATTAAATCAAGCACACGAAAAGAAATCCCAGAGGGAGTAAGTTAGCTAGATGGGCCCGTTTTATGTTGAACGGACCATTGCGCCGTCGGAGATGGTCCGATGGTATTTTCCCGAGTTCCGTGTTTGTCTGATGTCTTGTGACCGGCGGTACGAGTCGTTAAAGGCCGCGAATGTTCGATCCAAACGGGTGCTGACCAGTGCAACATGGCAGGAGCTTTTGGAGCCTTCTGATTCGATGGACATGTTCAGCAGCGAGCTGGACGATATGGACGATGTTTGGAAGCCCAAGAAGCCACGGATCATGGATTCTGCGAACGAGTCGGCTGGGACCAGTCGCACGTTGTATGTGAACATAGCTGTGAGAAACACCTCGATCTGCGTGAACAACAAGGACAAGATGATGTTTGGGGACGCAGTTTGGAGCTGTGCGATGGTTCCTGGGTGTGAGGAGTCGAAATACGAGGATTCGCTGGTTGTTGGGCTCGAATCAGGGGTAATTCTTATAGTACGGATCCGAGTTGTTGATGGACATTTTGAGCCGGTGATTGTGCAGAAACTGCACACGTTTCAATATTCTGGCGAGGAGCGCGTTCACATGCTGGGGTATCGGTTGAATGTGTTTCGAACGGGCAAAATGGTTGCTGTTGGGGCATTTTCCAAGGTGATCCGACTAATACGTCTGGAATACGATAATCTTGGGGTTCCGTCGTTCGGGCTTTCGCAGAACCTTGTGGTGAAGGGCACGATCATCAACAGCGTGTTTCTAGAGCCTTTGGACTCGGCAGAGAAAAATTACATGGTGCTGGTGAATTTAGTGAGCACCACGCATAATATTCTCGAAATGGAGTATAACGAGATCTACGACCACGAGCAGTCTTTGACCGACATCAAGACACACACAATCATGATGCGAAACACGGAGGAGATCCCCTTGTTTATGATTCCAGCAAAAAATACCCAGTGTTTGGTGTTGCTCCAGGAGACGACATGTACGGTTCACGGAGTCCATTACATGATATCGCGCGACGAGAGCGACACTTCCAGGAACCCAATGCCGATGGTCAGCGGGAAGTACATCCAGCCTGTTTCGTTCTATGTTCCGCAGTACCCCATCACGTGCTACGAAGACGACGAGTACGAGGACGGCACGCGCGACCAGATTCTGCTGGCCACCGACGAGTCGCTTTGGTTGCTGGAGGTGCACAAGGCAGCAAAACGCAGCGAGTGGAAAATCAGGTTCAGAGAGCTATTTGTGCTGCCAACGGTGTTCACGCAGTTTTGCATGGAGGAAATCGCCGAGCGACAGTACTCGCTAACATATTTTAGCGAGCGCGGCGCGTCTGAGTACAGGATCATTCGGCTGGTTCCGAAATCCAACGGCCGGTGTTTCAAGCTCAAGGTTCTGGAGGACAAAGGCAGTATTATCAACTGGTATCCGACGTTTGACTATGCGATTGTGCCGTCGCAACGGTCCAAATTTGTCAACCCGACTTCCACGCAGGAGCTCTGGGCAGTCGGACGATGCGACTCGCGCGGTTCCCTATTTAACATGCATTGGGGCCACAGGGCCGAGAAGTCTGTTCCCGAACTAAAGTACAAAGACATGACACAGATTTTCCGGTTTGAGTTGGACGACAGACAGCACTTTGTGCTGACCAATTGGTACGAGTCCAGGCACATTGCGTTTTCCAAAGAGGACGAGACGGGAGATATCCAGGAATTGGCCGACTTCTATTTAGAAAAGCGTACCGTTCACTTTTCCCAGCTTTCGGACGGCAGATACATCCAGGTGCACCAGGACGGCTGGCGGATTGGGACGTACAGGTCTGACGAGTTTGAGTCTGTGTGGCTACCAAATATTATTTTGGCAGACGTTTTATGCGACATAATTATTGTTGCGTACGAATACGAAGATGTTACGAAGAAGGTGAACTTGCAGGCTTTTACTGTCTTTGGAGACGATGTGCTGATCAACACGCGAATCGACAATTTCCAGCCCACAATGGTAAAACTGGTCCAATTGAACGACGAGCTTCTGCTGTTTGTTGGAACGTTTGACAATGTTCTCTATCAGTACCGGTTCAACTCTGGCCAGATGCGGTTGGAATGCCAGACTTGTATCCGCGATAAAAGCCCTGACTTTGTGAGTCCGCACGACATGGAGATCACCCCAAAATACCAGATTCTCACCTCCAAAAACGGCATTCTGAACATATACCAGAACGACAAGCTTCTGGTGACACTGAAGCTCGGCGAGGTCCCGATTTCAATTATTAGACAGTCCGAACATGTTTTCTTCCTTGTCACTAAGACCCTTTGGCGACTTGACCTGCTAAAGTCGATGTATCCAGAGAGAATATGGGTTTCAGAAACAACAGACAGAGGATGTCGCACGGCCGCTTTGATCAATTTCGCCAACGATGACGTTTTGTCCGACTATCAGGAAGACCAGCTGCTTGCGGTGCGCGACGACGGACTGTGCAGTCTGTTTGTTTCCAGGATCCCCGACTGGATCACCAAGAAAATCAAGCTCGATGCCACTCCGCTGCACGTGATGTACTACGAGCATTACGGTCTGTTTGTTGTGAGTGTTGCTGGACCGGAAAAACTAGTTTTTGTGGACCACAAGACCAAACGAGTCCTGACGATCCACCAAGGCGAGTCGATCCTCTCCTCTTACGAACAGCCACTGTGTTTTTCCGAATGGCAGGTTAAATCGCGTCGTGTTGACGACTACACACACAACCATCTTCTCATTGGATGCAAGGATACGAGAGACGGAACAGGTCTGGTCAAGATCGTCGAGATCAAACGGGCCAAAGACGTTCTGAACCTGAAAGTGCTATACTCGTGGACACAGCAGTCGTCAGTGAATGCAATTGTACAACTTCCTGACTCCACGATCGTTTACGCGGTTCGAAGCAACGTTCGACTACGCAAGTACGAGCCATCGGAGAGCCGACTGAGCGACGTTTTTGTGCAAAAATCGTTTGCGTCTGAGGTGCGCTCTTTGCGGTGCAACAGCGACAAAACGGTTACGGTGGTTACAGCAAACGATTCGGTATTCACATTCGAGTATTCAGGGGAGGATGACGGACAGCTCGCCGAGACGTACCATGACACAGTGAACCGCAATCTCATGGGCAACAGCGTGATTTTGGGAGACAAACTGATAGTTGCTGATCGCCAACAGCAAACTCTCACAGTTTTGGACACCAAACGGGACTCTCGTCTCCAATACGGCGAGCCGCCCGTTGCGTGGAAAGTGCCATTTATTCCAAGGTTGAATGCGTGCGAGTTCAAACCGCTGTGGAATCTCAACCGCGAGCCAAACGGCAGGTTTCTGGCCATGGGACTGAACGGCGAGTTCAGACTATATGTGGACATCCCGCGGCACCTGTTTGAGCGGTTGGCGGTCCAATGCAAGGCCAATGGAAACGAAGAGTGTCTGAGACCAAACGTGATCAACATCGACTGTCTGGTGAATAAATTCGACAAAATCCACGACACAGAGCTCGACGAGCTCTTTCATAGCGTCATAATATAGATACGAACGATTATTTGGACACCTCGCTCTTGATCTTGTCGAGCAGGTTGTTGATCCGCGGAGCCATGAGCGGCTGGCCCGTTCTGGTCTTGGCTTTCTGTAGCTTTTTCGACTGCACTTCTCTGGTTTTTTCCGACTCTTTTAGTTTCTGGTACGTTTTTCTAGTTTTCTCAATCTGACTTTGTCTCTTGCGCTCTTTGCGTTCGTGTTTCAACTTCAAACGGTCCTGGAAAGACAATCCCTTGGATTCTCGAGGCTGTGCAGACTCCTGTTTCTCCTGGTCAACGAGCTTGAAGTAGCTCCTTCTCAGGTTGGCTCTGTGTGCAAGGGCCTTTTTGATATCACGTGCTGACGGGGTTAGTATTCAACGGCAAGAAAACTACTCACTCTTGGTGTCTCTGTCGTACTTCTTGGACATGAATAAGAATTGATTATAAAATAAAGATTTTTTTTCCACTGCGGCTCAGTGTATAATAAATTTCTTTCTTTCGACAAATTAGGACCCAAACCACCTTCGGGCTTTGATGAGCAACTTCAAGTTAGCGTTCGTGCGATATACGGAGCTCCAGGCGGTTCAGAACAGAGAGCTTGCTCTGCGCTGGTGTTTGGATCTGGGGAAAACCTTGATTCACGAGGACTACCGATGGAGTAGTTTTTTGCCCAAGATCTCCCATCAGAAATGGCGGTTCGTTTCCCAACAGTTGCGCGAGTTCCGTCGTAACATTTCCATGACACAGACCAAATTCTTTGAAAACAACTTCAAGATCATGACGGACAAGCCTTCAGACGATGGGTTTCTCAAAGAAGCCCATCTTAAACTCGAGGAATATTTACAGAACAAAGACATAATAGACCAGAAGGCCGAATTGTTCGACTATTTATACCGCAACCGGTTTGAGAGCTTGTGTTATCGCCTGTTGAAAGAGTCGCCGTCCAACTTTGCCGGGTTTTCCGAAAACCAAATGCACAAACTGACCCTTATTATTGACAAATACGGAACCTTGAAAGATTTCGATAATCTGCTGATCCACTTTGCAGACAAGAAAACGAGCCATTTGCTTCGACGACTGAATAATCTGAACGATACTCTACAGATTCAGAGCATTTTGAAGTTCCAAGAGTCTTCAAACGTGGATCTGTTGGAAAGCGTTGTTGAATATAAAGGATTATGTTTGGCCGTCACCAAGCAGTTTAAACATACATTATTAGTCTCTGAGAAAGAATGGAGCAAACAAAAGGCACAGGCATTGTTGAGTCTTTTTACTCCGCTCAAATGCGACCCCCAGTTTCTCGCCCAAGTGTATCATTTATGTCGGACCGACGACCTCAAATCCAACTTCGAATTGGCCTCGAAGTTGATAGACCCGCTTCGCAAACCAAACATCGTTTTTGCCCTGCTCAAGGATTTGGATCCCTTGGAAAGTTGTTACTTGTGGATCCATTCGTTCCCAGACGTTGAATTCTCCAAAAGGATCCCCAATCAACTGTTAATTTTAAAACATCGTTACTTGTTCGCCAAAAAGTTGCCCCAAGGTTTCCACACACAGCTTGACCTAGACCCGCCAGTCCTTTCGAACTTTTTGAGTTTGTTGGCACATGGATATAGTCGCTGGGGCGACCCGAATTATGCTCTGGAGCTCACCGACCTAAAAGCAAAGCTTTCACTAGAAATGAACGCTCGTGATCAAACACAGGAGTTCAAAGCATTATCCAAGACATCGCCAGAAAGGGCATACGAGTTTTTCCAAAACATGCCTCACGACCAGTATCCATACATTGTGAAAGAAGCTCTCTCCATGTTTGGAAGAACCAACCGTTGGGAAGAACTCAACAAGTTTTTCTACAGTCTTTCAGAGTTTGACTACACTCCAACCACTTACGATTACTCCTACATGTTTGATTCATTGGCTGCTCGTGGAGCTGTGGACCAGGCTCTAGAGTTATGGGAAGTGTTCATCAGAAGAAAATTCACCCCAAATGACCGGATCTTACGAGCCATCATCACCGCCCATATCAAGAAACAGGCATATTCTGACTCATTGCACTGGTTTGCTGCATACTCGCATTATAAGGTTCCATTGTCTGCAAAGTCGTACGGTCTCATGCTCGAGTGTCTTTCTGGAACCAACGACTTGAGCTCCTGTTTCCGTTTAGTGGACGAGCTTGCACAAATAAAGCCAAACAAACTGGACTCTGCGTCGTTTAGTGGTTTCATGCGCAATTGTGCAATTGCTGGTGATCACAAAAGTATAGAAACACTGCTCAATGTCCATTTCCCTAAATTTGGACTGCGACCAAAACCAGAAGACTTTGCCTGGATTCTCAAGGCGCATTTGATTGCACAGCGTTATCAGACCGTTGTTGAGGTGTTTGACAAGCTCAGCAGCTCGCATCTTGATTGCTATGCCAGCCACGAGGTTGCTCTACAAGCATCGTCGAGACTGCCGTGGCCACAGGATTTCAATCGACTCTGGCTCAAGTTTACCCAAAAATATCAAGACTCTATCAAAGTGGAGTCTTATGAGCACTACTTGGTGCACTACTGCCGTCGTTACGGATTCAAGAAGGTGGTTAGACTTATCGATGGTTTGAAAGACACGTACGGAAAGCTTCCTTCCAGACTGATCAACCAAGTGTTTTACCAGTACATGCGAATGGGCCGCCTAAAGCAGGCTTTTGAATTGATTGGAGTGGCCCAAACCAGAGGCGTGGAAATAACAAGCAAGACCTACTCGCTGGTGTTGCAGGCTGGAACCAAGCTGGTGAACAACATGAACATACGACTAATGACCGAATTGCTCACCAACAGAACCAAGGGTGAGCTTGGGTTCAAGGAGAAGGAGCTCAGTCCATATGCCTTCAAGGTTGCTCTCAAGAGTATATTGGATAAAGGACAAACTGCCAAAGCTCGTCATTTCTTTGAGACTTACATTGAGACGTCGGAGTCGTACCTTTTGGACAACGTACACATTCTTGCTCTAGAGTTGATGATTCTCGGCAAGGAGAAACGGTGGCAGGAGTTCGAGAGCTGTTTTGGTCGGTACCAGTCGATTTTGAAACAGCGGTTCACCCATGCTCGGTTGCGTAACTCGCACGTTTACGACTCGATGGACGATTCTCTTTTCAGAAGATTTACTGGAGCGACGTTTGAGAGCCTGGACGAGACTGCTTTGAAAAACAAGTCGTCCTACTCGGACCCTCTCTCGTCGTACTTGAAGGAGAGCATGAATGAAGTTTGGCCCTACCGCTTGAGACAGTTGTTTGCTTCTGACCAACTTGGGTCTGCTCCGGACTTTGTGCGACAAATGTTGGAGGACGGAATGATTTTAAGCAGCGACAATTTCAACGAGACCGCCCTGATGATGAGTCGCAGTCCGGCTCTTGTTCCAGAGACTATCCAGTTCATTGAGACGTATTTGTTGCCGGACCTGGTCAGACAGGGTCGCAAACGCTATCTGAAAATATCGTTTAAGTCGAACGAGGTTATCAAGAAGTCGCCAATTACGGTGAACCCGGGCCATTTCCATTTGATCATGGTTCACCTGACGCAGCATATGGCCGGTCTGCCGCGGCTTGAGGTGAGTCGGCTGATGAGATCGCGGGTGATGGACCGTCAAGAGACTATTTTACGATACCGTCCATTAATGAAACACAATTATCTTGCATTGAGACGGAACGCCAAGATGAAGAGCAGGTTCCGGCTTGAGAAACGGGGAGCCTATGCATCTCGTGGCGTGCGCTGGAGAAAGCATAGGTTCCGCGAGTCACAGCATCAATTCCTCGACGATTACATTGACATGTTGCAGCGAGTCATTTCTCTAGGAGAGGCTCGTCTTCCGGCCTCGGAGCAGGGCGTGCTTGATCTATACAGAAAGAAGGTTTTGCAGCTGCGCTTGCAAAAGGTGCAGGTGGGAAAGCTAGCGCATGCGACGGTGTTTGACGCACGAACCGAGCCCGGTAAAAGACACATCTACAACAAGATGATACGGACACATAGACATGAAAAGTGATTTGTACATAGAACAATCGCATTATATTTCAGGGAACTGTAGCTGTGTAGAGGCGTCTGCCGTGCCCCAGATCAAGGGCCCCACATACGGCTGGATATTATATTCCAGCTTGAAAGTGGCGGTTTTATTATGCAAGGTGGGGGAGTAATCCCACACAGAGTATTTCGACCGGATATCCGTCAGGTCAAGCACCGCATCCTGCTTGGTCTCGACAATCTTGTCCCAGAACACCACTTTGGACTCCTGACTGTCCTTGCCCTCATAATCAGCCACAAGGTACACAAACACCTGCTTGGTATTCCAATTGAACAGCGACGACAAGTCTGCGTTCAGATCGAATGCCACTCTCACGTTCTCCTTGCCCGCGTTCGGACGGCCTCCAAAGTTCCTCGAATACTTCATCGTGTTGACGGCCTTGTTGATTGCAATTGTGGCGGGGATTTCTCCGTGCGCCGAGAAATGCAGCTGTAGTAGCCAGGACAGCGAAATGACCGCCGCCATCGTCGTCACCAGCGTCAGAACATAGTTTGAAACCGTTTGGGCTCGCTGGAACAGAGAGAACATGTTGAAATTATTTAATCGTGCCGGGTAAATTCTATATGCTCATCCCGTTGTTACTTGTCGGCGTTGCAGTCGTGACGCTGCTGTTGTTTGGCGACCTGCCCGTGTTCCGAAACACGTTCGTGTACCGGCTCCATGGTCTGCTGATGCAAACATCCCGCGTGCTCGCTCGCCAGCTGCACATTCTCGACTCTCGCTACTTAAACGGGTCCATCCAAAAGCTCGAGTCCTACGCGGGCTGGATCATCCCGCTGTTCTACATCATCGTGTTCTCCTCCGCTCTTGTACTGTTTTCCCAGTCCACCCTTCCACGAATCCCCAACTACCACCTGCTCCTAATCGTCCCCTCTGTCCTGTTCACATACTACACATTTTCCATGGCTGTGCTGATCAACCCTGGCACCTCCCCCACGCCCGTGTTTGCGTACGACAACCTGCTCTTCTTCCCGGCAGACTGTCGCACGTGTCTCGTGGCCAAGCCCGCCCGCAGCAAACACTGTTCCCTGTGCGGCCGGTGTGTCCAGCTGTTCGACCACCATTGCATCTGGCTTAACAACGACGTTGGCTACTACACCTACAGATACTTCATAGGGTTTCTCGTTGCCAAGATATGGACATTCACCTACGGCGCTTATTTGTGCTGGACGGCGCTTGGAGTATCCCCCACGATGTTCTGGACAACGTTACGTGCAACCTCAACGGAGAATAAGATTACAGGCACCTTATTTCTCCTATGTGTGCTCCTGCTACCATTGGTTGCACTCTTCCTTGGAGAACACTTGCGGTACATCTACCTGGGTGTCACCACTAACGAAACCGCCAAATGGGACTACATTCATTACCTGATGCAAAATAAGCTGCTTTATAAAGATGGCTCCCAATTTTTGGTGGTCGATGAAATGGGCTACACCACGCTTACTGGTGCGCCGATCAACGCTACACGCCCAGCCCCGGTGACCTCATGGGACCAGCTCACCAACATCTACGATCACGGATTCGTTTCAAACTTAAAACAACGTTTGTTTCCAAAACCTCTATAATTGTACATAGATCTTATCTCGCATGCTCGTTCGAAAGACGGCCAATCAATGACTCAGCAGTAGTCACGCCAGCTATCTCCATACTGGTACGCACGCGATTCGGAGATTGTTCACGGCCCTCTGCCGCCTCAAGGTCGCGTCTGGCCTGATCCAACGATCTCTGTCTTGAGATGTCCAGTGAGTTCCTGTTGATCTGGTTCCGCAGACGGGCCATTCTGTCTGCGTCGGTCAGAATACGAGGATCCCGTTTCACTGTAAGCGAAGGACGAGGCAATGGGCTATTTGGATTGCTTCCGGTGAACTCCATTTCGATCTCCTCGGTAGCCAGAGTATCTGTGGATGCGGTGACGGGGATGGAAGGCACAGTGAGACGTTTTTCCTTGCCAAACATCCGTTGCAACATTGATCCACGTTTTCCACCAGTTCCATTGATAGAGTCTCTGTAGTCGGTCAAAGGAGTTTCTGGCAGTTGAACAGGAGTTTCTGCCAGCTGATCCTTGGTGTATTGAGACACTTTGGCTCTATCTGGGTCGGTAGGATCGTAGTCCTCGTGATATTGGTCAAAGTCACCTTTATCGACGGTTTCTCTGATGATGTCAATGTCTCTTGGAGCAAATGCTTTCTCAACAATGTCGTAAACAAAACGTGGAAGAATACACGTCAAGACACCAGGGAAATAACAAGCCCAGAACGCTGGAGTGCCGTACATGTGGGCGGCCGATTTGTAGAACTCACCAGAGTAGGTTGACGAAGACCAGATACCAGTCCAACCGAAAACAACAATGATCGAGAGAGAGATGATCAAAACAGTGAGCCAATCCCATCTGTAAATATGGAACAGCACATAAATATCACAGGAAGTGGTGGCAATGGTGGCAACCAGGGCACCAACAAGGAATCTGTGATCCAAAGCCAAACCGTTGAAGGTAACGATACCGTTCTTGTAGTAGAGGAAGTATGGATAGAAGAACGAGATAAGAGACTGGTAGAATCCGTCAGTCAAGTACCACCAGAACTTCTCCATGGTCCATTCCTTTCTCAGGATACCAGTACGGTAGAGTTGCGGAACCAATAGCGAGATATGAGCGGGAACGTCTTGATCAAAAATACCCATGAAAATAACAGGCAACGAGGTGTATGCCAAAGTGTAGAACATCAAATAGGTGTACTCGAACAAGTAAGTTCCGTCAAAGTCGTCGTAGATTCCATACCAGAACAAGGACAAGGTGAACACCACATTCTTGTAGAAGAAACTTGGAATCATCTCAGCAATACGTTTGTAAGACCATCTTCCGTGAACCAGAACCAATCTTGCCAAATATCTGAATTGACCAAGAGCATAATCGGCAGACATGACGGCTTGAGTACCTTCTTCACCAGCAATACCAACACCCACGTCGGCAGCTTGGATCATGGCAACATCGTTCGAACCGTCTCCAATAGCCAATGTCATGACATCAAGAGTATCCTTGACGAGTTTGACAACGGCAGCCTTTTGAGCAGGAGAAACACGGCAACACAAAACGGCCTTGCACTGCTTACACAGCAGCAAGAACTTGTATTTGACTTTATCACTGAGAGCAATTTTCAAAGCTTCACCATCAATGACCACACCAAAGTTTCCAGATGGAGGAGAGTGGATCTTCTTTGCCTTATCAAGTTCGGACATCGAGCCATCCATGTCGAAGTGGTTGTGCAAATACTTTTCAATCAGTGCAAGCACCAGTTCGCTCTGGTCACCATCGATGTTTTTGATCTCCTCCTCGGTGAACAGTGACTCAACGTCCTCACCAGAAGTCTTGATAACAAGCAAGTCCATACCGTTTTCAAGCAAATTACAGGAGAAACCAATATTGATGGCAGTCTCCACCTTATCTCCGGTCAAAACCCAAAGCTTGATACCAGCCTTGGCTAACAGCTGAATCGAGTCCGGAACACCGTCCTGCAACCGATCCTCAATGGCTGTACCTCCCAAAAGAGTAAGTTCTTGCTCAATAGAAGTGGCAACCTCTTCCATCTTCTCTTCTCTTTGATCAAGCGAAGCAGATGCAATATTGTGTCTAGTCTGCCATTCTTCGTACTCGGACCAGGTCAGCTCTCTTTGTGCAATACACAAAGTTCTCAAACCCTCAGTAGCGTACTCCTCAAGATGGATAGCTGTCTTGTCAAGAAGCTGTTGATCGTTGCTGTTGCTGAGTCTGGAATAGATAATTGAGTCTGCTCCCTTACAGATCAACAAAACTGTAGGCTCGCCATCTCTGGTTGCAGCTGGGATCTTGATCATGACACTCATTCTCTTTCTGGTGGAATTGAACTCCAAAATGTTCAAAATCTGGTACTCTTTCTCAACACCTTGAACGTTCAAAACCAGACCCTTCTTGGTACGTCTGATAAACTCGAAACCAACGTCCTTAGCAGTGGCAACCAAAGCTGCCTCATCAGGACTTTGTGCTTTGAGCTCCATCTTTCCTGGCTTGGTTTCAGAAGGTTCGGTCAAAACACTGTGACATAAAGCCAACGCAAGCATGAAATGCTCCAGAGCTTGTTTTTGAGGAACACCCGACTCCCCATTCAAATCTGTAGCAAAAGGCTTGGAGACAAAAGTCAGTTCACTGTGAATATCAGGCGAGATATCTCCCTTATTAACAGAACGCAAAACGTTGATCATCTCCACTTTGTCGCGAGCAATTTCTTCTTTTTCTCTGGCACCTTCTTCTTCAACGTCTATTCCTTGACGTCTTCTGATACCCGCGTAGGCCTCTGTGTATGCTCTACCATAGGAAACACCATTAATGGTACACTTTTTGAATTCCATAACATTCTGTGTCAAGGTACCTGTCTTATCACTGAATATGTATTCGATTTGACCCAAATCATCAGAAATGTTCCACGACTTTGGTGTGCAAGGATAATCCAGTTTTTTGTAGTACATGTTGACATCAGAGTAGATGAAAAATGCCTGAGCTGTTTTGATAATCTCAACCGAAATGTAAAGAGAAATAGGAACCAGCGATTGATATAAAATCAATGCAACGAAAAACTCTAAAATACCATTGGAGACAGCAGAGCCTGCAATAGTTCCGAATTCAAAGTAGTCGCGCATGGTATGCTTCCGATGATAATAAATACCGTTAGCAATACCGCTGACCAAACATAAGATGAACAGCAACACGAAGTTTAATAAAACACAGAGATTCAACTCTCTAGAGATTCTAGATCTCTTAGTAGGAGTCACACCTGCATTCATCATGATTTTGGTGTCATCACCAGTGAAAACAACCAATCCAACCACCCACTTAGTGTTTCTTAAAGTGCATCCTCTCAGAAGCATATTGTTGATGGTGACTGGCTCATTTGCGGTTTTGGCTGATTCGTCTCCGTTCACGTAATACTTCAGGTTACCTTGGTAACTGTACAAGTTGGCCTTTGGACCTTCACTTTCTAGCCAGAACTTACATCTGGACAAGTCGTTAACGGACTTGATGGAAGCAGAGGAGCATTTCAGGGCTTGCTTAACCTTCAAATTAGTTTCACCATCCAGGTTTTTCGTTTCAGTGTAACAAGCTCCGTCGGAATCTGAAGTCGAAAGAATTAAAATATCAACAGGAACAACCTCATTGGCCTTGATTTTGACAATGTCACCAACATGAACACTCTTCCAGTAATCCTTCTTGAAAGTAGGGTTTAAATTATTTTTCGCCAAAACCGATGACGGAGCAGCAGTGAATGGCTCGACCTTTGGAGTGTACATGTCAGATGCATACTCGTTTTTATCCGAAAATGGATCAGCCGCTTCACTGGTTAGCGAAGTGGAGCTTGCTGCAAAATCTTCTTGGAAACTCTTTCGATAATCGAAACTATCAATAGACTTTCTGTTTTCAGCAGGATCTTCCTTGAGAGGATCGATGCTAGGTTTTCCCTTGAGTCTTCTAATAATGGCGAACATATGGCGCGAAGTTGTTTTCTTGATTCTTCTCCATAAACTGATATGTTCCCCATTGAAGTTTGGATTATCCATTCCTTTCAGAATGTGCGTAATTTGGTTGTTCACTTCAAGGTCCAAACTAGTTCTTCTGGAGTCCTCGAGGGCATCTTTGAAAGCAGTAATTGCCACAATGACAATCAACGGAACAGCAGAAAGTGCAGGGCTAGGAACACCAAAGATCTGGAAAGCTCCCATGATGATCATGATTAAAAAGTAAATGTTGGCGACATTTTCAAACTGGTAATACAAGTTTTTGGGAATGAATGAAAGCGGAGTGTATTTGGTTGTTCTGATTTTGTTTCTCTTGTATTCGGGTGGATTTCCTTCGCTGTCCTTTTCGCTGTCGGGAAGCGAAAGATTCCAATAGACATTTCGTTTTTCTGAAGACCTATCTTCACTTCCATCTCCTGCATCTTCGGGGTCATTTTCTCCTGCATTAAACAGTCTTCGACCAGGAATCCGCTTAGAAATGGATCTTTGAAATGTTTTGTTTCTTTTCAACGGATTACCGTTCTTGTGTCTTTGGGTACCCCATCTGTGTCTTCTAATGGCCGTAGAATTAGATCGAGGTAAATCACCTATAAAATCATCTTCCTCTTCCTCTTCGGTGTCCTCGCCCTGAAAAGTGACATGTGCGTCTTGTAAATTGACAGTGTCGGCTCTTTTTTGGCCGAACGGTCTAGGAGCAAACACATCATCTTCCTCATCATCTCCTGCGTTGAATGAGGTGTCTTGGAGGTTGGAATGTTGCGATTTCTTAGAGACCGACCGCCCCGTAAGAGGAGCCGATGATTTTGGAGAGTCTGTAGCTGGAGTGCCAGGAGTGAATCTAAAGTCCGAATCGTCGGCAGTAAACTCGTAACTGTCGTCGAACGGACTCGTGACACTAGTATTCTGGTCTCTGGACATGTTTCTTGACTAGAACTGCTCAACCACTAAGCCTGATCTGTCCTTAACAAAGTCTTGAAATATTATCCAATCGGACGGAATTCTAATACGATTGTTCGAAAGCTGTTCAATCCCAACCTTCAAACTGTAAAGCACAGTTTTAGAACTAATATGTTGGGCAGAACCACAGTTATTAATCTTCCGAATCAAGGCTTACTAAAAACCAAGTGGCCCTTAAAAAAAAAACTGCACCTTCCCAGCAGCCGGCCTGCAGATCAAAAATCATCCGGATTTGATTGTACATAATTTTAATTTCGTAAAATATTACGAGTGTCCACTATTGTGGGGGAAACGATATAGCGCCCACTTTTTGGTAGCAACAACCGCCGGATCCATTGGGTGGAGGAAAAGATTTCTCCGAAACCATTTGGACCCATTTATCATCCAACAGTAAATACTACGGCCATCTTTTTTTTCTGTACTGGAGAATCCACGTAAACAAACATGTCTTGGTACCAAGCCAACATTCCCAGATACTATTCATCACGCTGAGATCCCATTGATGTTCAACGGTCTATCAAAAAGTCTAAATTTATAATGACGAGGCGAAGTCTGACTGAGCCCCTTATCCGACGTGCCCCCAAATCTTAATGGGCGGAGTCGATCGACCTAATTTAGTTTTTTTCTTGTTGTCTATTGCTTTTGTTATTCGATTGTCCCCTTTTTGTGCTGATTTCGTCTTTGAGGCGCGGATACAAGCCATCTTGCTGTAAACAGTGGCGTTTATGGATCTCAGTGCACACACACATCGGGTGCCAATTATAGACATCCCTGCGAACTCGTTCACTGCTTTCAAAATCCGCTATGACACAGCCACGGGGTTGAATAGACGCACCACTATCGAATCCCTCGGCCCAATACCAAAACAATGGGTCGTCCATAAGCAATCGACAGTTTTGTCAGCCATACACAATATCTCCAACAAGGGAAATGCTTCTCAACGACGATACAGCGAGATGTTCGACCATGTGGCTAGAAATTTTGGGTTCAGATCTACGGAGACACAGTCGAGCCCAACAAGCAGCACTTCTGAGGAAACCAGATCTGTAGATGCTACTCAGTCGTTGCACTCGGACGAGTCCACGGTCAACAACTCTTCTTCGACTGAGTATCAAAACGAGCCGGTCTCGTCTTTACCAATCAGAAATCATGCGGGTACAGAAGATCACCCATCGACCCCTTCACTGTACCGATTTTACAACCGCAAATCAAGCACTTACAGAGAACCTTCAAGGACTCTTGGGTGGTCCAATGATGAATTCCTTGCATTTCAGAAGAAATTGACATCAAGAGTGGGATCTGGCTCTTTTAGACAAACGGCACCAAGAGAGTCTTCCTATTCTTACAATCGACTATCAAACGATATCGACAGAGCCAGAATTCTGGGCCATGAGGCTCGCAATATAGGCTGGGGTTCCACTTCTTCTTCAACGGGTGCGTCGTTTGTCACTGCCAATGAGTATATCCCAGATCAATCCAACGGGTTTGATCCCAACCTGTCAGAAAGCGAACAAGCACAAACTTCAAACGAAACAACACTGGCTTCCGCAGACACGGTTATAGAGCTACCGAAGCAAAACAAGGTGTCTTTGCCTGCTGCTCATGTTGTGAAATCTGTCACTTTCTCGCCTTCAATCAAGAAAAAGAGTGCTAAAAACAAACCTAATCCATTCAAAGTTCAGATGTTGGAACCTAAAGAACACATTTCTGAGAACCAGAGATCAAGCTCAATACAACATCATTCTGTTTTTGGAGATATCTATGAACAAGTCAACGAGGAAATGGTGTCTATCTTTCACAGGCTGCAGCACCGGACTGTCGGGGCACGCCATCGGATCAATAGTGAATACTCCAAAATAGATCAACGGCGTCGTTTGAAAAGAATGTTCCAAGAGTTTTCGGCTGGAAACATAGTGAAGATGGAGAAGATGTTGGTCACTGTAATCATGAACGAGACCAATAGTGGATCGGAAAGCTCTACAAGAGTGTTCGAGAAATGGAAGGAGTATATCGTGGTGGCTCGATCTACGGGCAATCATGAGTACCCTATTATTCTTCAATTTTTCAAGAAGCGGAACATCCTATCTGTTGACTACAATGGAATTGAGCAATTGGATTCGGACGATTCCTCAAGTGAAGACGATGATATGAAGAATGAAAGTATATCGACTTCAAACCATCTGCAGTTTGACGTTCTATTATCCACCAAGGATACATGTGTCCGATTCCGGAATGTTTTGGATAAAACAATTTCCATATCCAAGCTTACGAAAAAACGGAGAAGCTTGGAGTATATTCTCTTACCCCAAACGCAGTCGTCTGCTATTCGTTGGTTGAGCTTTTTTTCAACTATACTGAAAGACCATCCGAAAAAGAAGCACAAAACAATGCTGTTGAATATACCGGATATTGACATTTCGTTAACAGTTAAGAATTTAGCACATTACCTTACACCAGAGGACTTCCAGCTTCACGATGGAGAGTTCAAGGTTGAATATTTAAACATCGGGTACGGTGTCCCACGAATCAACGCATTTAACAAGCTTGTTGATATGATTATTTCTCAACTGTCAGCTGTGGATAACAAAGCTGGACTTTCGGACAAAACTGCACATTTTATCCAAAAGGTTGCAAATCAGAGGCATCTTCTTGCTTTTGCTGCTAAGAAATATGATCGTTTAGAATGGATTTTGGGAGAGAACGAAAAGCTTCTTCAGGCTGCATGGATGATACTCAACGACACACATGACATTGAGTTACGTGAAATCAAGCACGAGCCCCATATGCTTTCAAATGAGCCTTTGCTTGAGCCAACTCCAATTGAAGGATTTCTTGCCCAATTATCAAATAGAAAGGGCAAGACGCAGTCCACTTTTGGACGAAACTACTACAAAATTAGATATTTCAGCACCTTCGACAACGTGCTAATGTTTCAAGACTTCTATAATGCTGTTCCTGCATTTCCTCAGCCAATGAGAGAAGTCATCAATCCACTAGGCCAGGTTTTAGATAATGATGTTTTGAAAGATAGGATTCACGAAAGACCCATCAGATTCAAGAAAAGTGCTTTTCCATTGGAACCCGAGGATCACACTCATATCTCATGGCTGAAACCTGGTGTAACGCTTGAGGAATTTCGAAATCACGACATGGATGCTCTATACGATGCAGAACGTCGCGCAACAACCATCATGAATTGCAAAAGCATTGTCGATCTGTGTAATGTTTCAGAGATTCGCAATGTTACCATCGATGATATTCCTCATATGGTTCGACTTGCGGGCTCGGTTACTTGGGGCTGGGAACAAGGCCATCTGGATGACGAGCAATTTGTTGATTCGTGTTTTGAGCTTATTTTGAAAACAGGTTCTCGAATCCGTGTGCAGGCCTCTACTCAGAAGATGCGAGACGAATGGGTGTTTCGCCTGCAGCAGCTTGTTGAATATTGGACCAAACGAAAAGCTGAAGATTTGGATCGCGTGATGGGTCTTCGAGAGAAAAACATGCAGCTTGCAAATCTACCTGATGACAAGTACGAATCGATACTGACCGCTGAGGAAGAACCAAGCAAATGGGAATTATCAAAGGCCACGTCGGACCCACTTATATATAACATTTCGTCGTGGTCTATTGATAAGCCACTGATTATGAGTGGACTACTATACCAAAAACGGAAAAAGCACAAGAGCTTCAAGAAATACTTTGTTCTGCTATGCCCTGGTTTTTTGAAGCTATTTGAGCTGTTTGAGAGAAGCGTGAAGTCGGGGACGGTGAAACCCACTGCATATTACAAGCATTATACGTCTATCAGTCTTGCAAACTGCTATGTGTTTTGTGACTCGACCAACGATCTGAACATTTCGGGTCATGATGCCACTTTGAGCAGAGTCATTCCTGGAAGCCATCTGGTTCCGCGTATATATGCTGATGGCTGGATGAGCAGCGAGGATGAGAACTCGCGTCATTTTACTTTGTGGTTTGGATCCAAGCGGGTGATGCTGAAACAGATGAACTTGCATAACACGGTTATCAGCGATCTGGATCACGAGATGTATCCGAAAGATGGCCCAATTCAGGAACCTGTCGACAAGAAGGTGACTATGGAGGATCGAGGCAAGATGTTGAAAACTGTGTCACGACTGGGAGTTACGGGACGGAGCATGGTTTTCCTTGCCAGATCGCGTGTCGAGCGGGACCTTTGGGTCACCAAGATGCTGAACGAGATCGAGCGGTTCAATTTTGGCGATGAAGAAGAGATCCAATTGTCATGATATACGTTGCTAACTAATTAATGATTATGAGCCGAATGAGTCAGACGGCTTTCCAGACGTAGCACATTTCGTCCCAGCCGACGCTTGCAGCAAAGCCAGATCCCCAGAGTGACCAGTCGCAGCCGATTGCGAACTCCTTGTGCATACCAAAGGTCTTGAGTAGCGAGTGGCCGTGCCAAAGCCTGTTATTGGTGAACTTTGCGTTTTCGTCGGTCTGGTCTTTCCAGACGCGGCAGGTCATGTCGTATGAACAACTTAGAAGAGTGTCTGATGAGTGAGGCGACCAGCACACTCGGCGGACGGCAAAGTCGTGTCCCAGAAGCTTGTTCACTGGGGATGGTGAAGGTCCAGGGGAGTTTGGAGGCGGAATCATACGAAGGTCCCATATTTTGATGCTCTTATCGACAGAAGCGGTTGCAATGACGGTTGGACGGTATTTATTGTAATCGCACGAGAGAATCTCCATTCCGTTGTGAGCAACAAAGTCAAGCTGGAGCGGCTGGGGAGCCCGGATGTCCCAGATCTGACAATGGGACGACGAGCTAACAGAAACGAGCTGAAACGGGTCTCTTGGAGAAAACGAGGCTTGATAAATACAGTTGGAGTTTGGGTGTTTTCGCGACGGAGCAGCGGAAGGTTCTGCCGAGTGCGACATGTCCTGCTGCGACACCAGCGTCAGCATCGATTGGTTTCTATTGGGCGACCATATCTTGACTGTTCCGTCCCACGATGACGAACAAAAGATGCTCTTATCGACCATGTTCCAGTACACTGAAAACACCTCTCTGGTGTGTTCTTGGTACTTCTGGATGGGGAATTGTTGGAGAGTGATGTCAAACAGCGATATCGACCCGTCGCCTGCACATGTGAGCACCTGATTCTCGTGGAGCTCGGACCATGCCACGTCAAATAGTCCGTCCTGGGTCTCGAACTCTGTGTCTTGGGTGATCATGCCGTTGTCCTGGATGGAAAGAATGGCGAGCTTCCCGTTGCCTACCAGTCCGTAATTGGCCGCCGTCGCAACAGCAAGCTTGTTATCGTAGAATGGCGAGTATTTGCAAGCATATCCATTATATCCAGGCGTTCTATATTTGAACATGAATACTGTTTAAGGTAAAAAAAAGTATTGCGGATGCGGCTAATTATTTTGCTACTTATTTTTCATTAGATATCACAGATGTGGCTGGAGACGAGCCCTGGTTCCAGGACGAGTTGGTCTTGTCTGTGCGGGCCGTGTCGTCATGATGCAAAGAGAAAAACGGTGAGCTGGGCATCATGATTCCCTGTCTGTGATCTGTCAGCTGTGCAATTGGTGGCTTGGGCTTGGTTGTGTCCTGATCTGTCTGATCTGCCTGCTCCGTGAGCATCTGGTTGAATAATCCAGTGAAGTTGTCCGGCCCATCGATGCACTGCGTCTGTACGGTGTCTGCGTCCTTTGGCGTGGCGTCGATCTTCTCCTTGGCCTTGTCGAACTTGAAGTTAAGCGGAGAGCTGGTCTTGGAGCCCTTGAGAATGTTGTACACTTCCGGGTCATCTTCGAACTGGCCGTCCACGGGCTCGTCCTCCTCGTCATGCGTGAACAGGTTGTTGATCCATTGGTCGTTCGGCGACGTCTTGCTAGGAGACCCCGGCTGCTCCACGTTGCTGAACGACTCGATCAGACGGTGCAACCCCGGCGAGATATCGTGGACCATCAGCGACTGCGGCTGGTTCTCGCTCTGCGGCGGCGAGACGTTCTCCTTGTCGTCCTCATCCAGCGGGATCAGCGTCGTGTTCAGCTTCGTGGCGTTGATAGGAGAATCTTCGTCGCTCGACTCGTGAACAGACTTCTTCGGTTCGTACAAAGGATCCAGGTCTGTTAGCGGGTTTTGCGGCGACGACTTGTCGGAGTCGATCTTGCGCTGCCGTTTCGCAGACGTTGCCAACGGCGACGAACTGTTTTCCTCGGCCCGGGCTTTATAAAGTCTCTGTCGTTTGCGCGCTGCGACAGTTAAACTATCCGGAACAGGAGACGTTTTCGCGTACGGACTGTCCACCAGGCCCTTCAAGCCAAGCTCTCCACGGTCTCTGAGGCTCTTTGTGTCGTTCTTGGCCTGCAACGACGAGCAGATCTGGCACAGCAGGCCGGAGTTGCCAAACTCAAATAATCCGTCTCTATGGAATTTGTATGGTGGATTTGACGTGGACGTGCAGTTGATACAGCGCTGCACCGACGACTGTTTGGCCATCTTAGCGCGGTTGTTGGTGCTGACGTCGCCGATCTTGACCACGCTCGCAATGAAGCTCTTGTTCTTCTTGGCCTTTGTTGGCGGATCCGTGGCCTTCATGAGCTTCTCGTAATTGGAAAATCGCGACGCGATCTGGTCTTCACGCGACTCGAGCGAATTATTGGCCTGGTCGGACATCATGATGCGGTGCGCTAGCGAGTTCTGACTGATGAAAGGAAGCGATTGTGTTCTGGTAGCTAGTTGCGGGCCGTTGGCACCGTTGGCAGGAGAATTGAAGCCGCGTTTTCGCGTGTCGGGAGCAGGAGCAGGCTCGGACGGCTCGCTCGCCAAGAACGTCGGACTGCTGCTGTCAGAGTTGCTGCTGTTGCCAACATCCGGCTTGGAAAAGGCGTACATCACTGGGTTTTTGGAAACAGCATTGAATCGGAGCTTCACTTCCAAAGTATCAACCCCAACTCCAGAACCGTTAATAATGTTGACAAAGTTTTTGCAAACACGTCCAGTGATGATCACAGGCGTCCTGCGGTCCATCAACTTGGAGTAAAGCCCAAACCCAACAAAAGGCTCATCGGGTTCGACAACGTCTTTGGAATATATCGAATAGTCCAGCCGATCTCGGAAACACTCTGGAGACATGGTCTGAATAAGCTCCAGACATTTGCGGATGTCGATACACCCAATAACAGCGCCATTGTGAGGAGGCATCTGAGGCAGCTGGATGATTTTGGACGAAAGCGGACGCTTCGACCGCACCAGGAACTGCGTGGTGTTGTCAAACGTGTACAACACCTTAAGTGTCACGCTTTGCGTGTATGTCTGTACCTGGTTGTTACTCATGACGAGCAGTACAGTGTTAAAAAACTTGTAAACAATTCTTAATTCCACCCAACTAGAGACCTACCTGAACGAATCTGACATAAGCACAGGTTTCACAGAACATGTCTACTAAATCCCAAACGCTTATATATTGCACCGTGTATTTCCGTTTACAGAACGCGTAGTGCATTTTTTTTTAAGTCGCGTGTCTCACCCCCGTTTTTGTTCGCAGGGGAGGGCCTGCTGATGTAAGCAAAGATAGAAAAAGTGTACCCCTTTTTTCAAGTAACCTTGGTGACCGAGGCGAACGGTGGGTGCGACAAACTCAGGATCGGCTCCTTGTATCTCTCGTTGATCTCCTTGTCGGTGATCCGCTTGATCTGCATTGTTTCTGCGTCCTCCAAAATCAGTGTTTTGTAGTAGCTCCATTTGAAGATCGTCCACCAGGTGTGGTAAAACTTGAAGTTCGGCCACAAGGTGTTGGAGTACGAGATCACGCTGTCCTGGTGGCACTGCCACAACATGTAGTCACTTAGACGAGTGTGGCCAGAAGTTCTCACCAGAATGTCCACTTTCGAGGCCTCTCCGCGGTAGTAAAAGTTATTTTCGATTGTTTCAGCCGTGATCTCAGACACTTTCAGCTCGTCACTTTTAACTTTGTGAGTGATCTCGGTCACGGAATGAACAATATCGTCTCTTGATGTATAAGGAAAGGCAATGAAGAGGTTGTGGGCGGTGTTTCCTGCTGTTGATTCCTCGATCTGTTCCAGATCGGCAAGGACATCACTTGGTATCAGGGTCCTGTTTCCCACAATCTTGATAGAAAGATGAAACTGTTTAACCGGCGAATCTTCGTAAGCAATATATGCCAGTCTGCTCTTCAATAACTGGAAAATTGTGTCGATCTCACTCTGGGGTCTATTGAAGTTCTCAATCGAGAATGCATAAACTGTAACGTCCTTGACACCCAGCTTGTAGCAGCAGGTGAGCACTTTTGCCAGTGACTCTGCGCCTGCTCTGTGGCCCTCCTTCAATGGAAGTCCGGCATTTTTCGCGTACCTACGGTTTCCATCCATGACGAAGGAAAGATGGTTTGGGATAGGACCTGTATGATTAGTTTGGTGAGGGAGCATCATGATACATACCTGTTTTCAGAATATCAACCAAGAAATCCTGGATGAATCCGTTAATGTAGTCAATTCCTGGAATACTAGAAATGGCAGAAGTTATCAAAGAAGCCATGATGAAAGTTGATGGTCGCTAAGTGTAAATATGAAGATACTGTAGGCAAAAATAAATTGATTGATCCCCTTTTTCCCTCCAGACCCACAAAACAGCTCTACAACGTGCACAGCCCGAAACAGACTAAAATGTGAGGTGACATAATTTATTGCATAAAAGACATACAAAACTGAAAGACTCAAATCACTTTTAGAGCAGAACCACAAGAGCAGAAGCCCCGATAAGACCTGCAGAGAGGAGGAATGGGTGAGACTCGAGCTTTCCTGCACCCGATCCAGATCCTCCGCTAGAGCTCGATCCCGAGGAGGAGGCCCCTTCAGACTGGGAGCCAGATGCTCCACCGTCCGAGGCTGTGCTAACTCCTCCGGCTCCATTGGAGCCTGCACCGCCCGAGGCGCCACCTGCACCACCGGAGGCACTACCAGCACCCGAGGCGCCTCCTGCACCGGAAGCTCCTGAGACGCCGCCAGCAGCTCCTGAAGCACCGGCTGCGCCCGACGAAGCCACTCCGCTGGCTCCACCAACTGCTCCACTGGCAGCTCCGCCAGCAGCAGAGGTGACTTGGGAGGCACCTCCGGCAGCTCCAGAGGCAGCAGCACTCTCACCGGCAGCGGCAGCGGTTTGTGACAAAGCAGCAAGAACTAAAACTGGTGTCACTGTTGAAAATTTCATAATAAAGATGCTATTTGTAAAGATGAAAGCTACGAAATCAAGGTTGTTATATATCCCAAGCAGGATTTTGTGGCTCAAGTTACGTTTGCTAATTATGGAACGGAAGGCACACCCAATGCAGGACAAACTCTTCTTAGTTTGGTGGCACACTGCAATTTCACTTAAACAAGAGCACTGATTTGCGCGCACATTCTATAAAGAAAGGTTCACTACCCTTCGTGCGATTCTAAAATTTCCTTTTCCATAGCTATTGAGGAGCAAAAGCAAAGATTGCTATTAATTAATTTAACGCACGTCTGGATTTCAACGTCCTCGGGCAATCCATTTTTTACCCCGACTTCCACGTTACTCGCATATTGGGGATCTCGAAATTGGAACGTTAACCAAATCTGCAATAATTGTTCTCTACTCCTTGGCCAGTACCTTTTTAATTCTTATATGTGGTGCCAGGTGTGTCTTTTTCAAATTGAACATAATTTTGCCATCCAAATATTGTTGTAGCATGTTTTTAACTAGAAGCGAGTACGATAGGGGTGTGTCGACCTTTTCTCCCGAAGGTCGGCTTTTCCAAGTGGAGTATTCCCTGGAGGCCATCAAATTGGGATCCACAGCCATTGGAATCTGTACCAGCGAGGGAGTTATACTCGGTGTTGAGAAGAGGGTCACCTCGTCCTTGTTAGAGAGCGATAGCATTGAAAAGATCATGGAGATCGACACTCACGTCGGTTGTGCAATGTCTGGTCTTACGGCCGATGCTCGCTCGATGATCGACCATGCGCGCGTGGCTTCAGTGCAACACGACCTATATTATCACGAAAAGATCGGTATTGAATCGCTCACGCAGTCCGTGTGCGATTTGGCGCTGCGTTTTGGCGAGGGTGCCTCTGGTGAGAAAAGATTAATGTCCAGACCCTTCGGTGTGGCGTTGCTCATTGCTGGTTACGATGACGACAAGGGACCCCAGCTATACCACGCCGAGCCTTCGGGAACCTTTTACAGATACGACGCCAAGGCCATTGGATCTGGATCTGAGGGTGCTCAGACTGAACTCCAGAACGAGTACCATAAATCGCTCACTTTGGCCGACGCCGAGGTGTTGGCTCTCAAGACTTTGAAACAGGTGATGGAGGAGAAGTTGGACTCCACAAACGCGCAATTGGCAAGTGTCACAAAGGAACACGGATTCAGAATCTACGAAGACAAGGAGATCGCAAAGATTATTGATGTTCTCAAGGAGCAGGAACAAGCCGAGGAGGAGTCTTGAAATAGAATAATGGTTTGATATTATACATTAATATTTTTCTAGCCTTGTAACATGTCGATATGTTGCGAATATTCAGGGAAGTCTTTCAATTTGGCGATGATGGCTTTTTCCAGCTTGTTGGCGTTCTTGTAGAAAGTGGTGTTTTCGCCATTATACTGTCTGCAATTGTTGAAGATCAGTTTGCAGTCGTAGATAAAATCATCAAAAGTCTCGTACGCGTCATTCTCCAGCTTCACTTCCATCGTACTGAGATCCATCGGTTCCTTGATCACCTCGTAGTAATCTGGAACTTCCTCTCTATTAACAGGCTGCAGAAACGGCCAGTTGGACGGATGGTTTTGCATCTCTGTGAGTAACGTGAGCATCACCACGTGATGTGGGCCTCGCTTTGGTTTCTGTGCCAATTCATCCATTTCGACGGTCCATCCGGCTTCCTTGACTCCTGGAATTGTTAGTGGATCCAGAGGTTTCGCGTTGGGCTTGGAGAAATGTTTCAGACCCGGTCTAACCACGTGAGATTGACTGATCGTCCGGATCTTGGAAAGAATCGCAGCTTTTTGTAACATCAGGATCTTTGCACTATCCAAATATCGTATCCGCGGAAGCAGTGAGCATTGCATCAATGTACCTCCCTCGTAGTCCTTGATGTATCCCATCCACACTTTCTTCGGTAGCGTGATCTCTTTGGTGAATCCCTGTTTCTTGAAGTATCCTATAGCATAGTTATCGGCGTATGTTAGAAAATACCGAATCTTAGTGGTTGATGTGACATAATCCTTTAAGTGGTTCATCATGTGGGCACCATAGCCTCGAACCTGTTCGGTAGACGAGATGGCACAGAAGACAATCTCTGCAAACTCGTGGTTCTCAAAAGGACGGTATGTAACCCCTCCGACAACATGTAACGGTTTCCGTATCACGGCAATCGAAACGTGGGATCGGTCGTAAACAAGTCTCGCAATGTACGCCTTGGGCATCTCTGGAAGCTGTTTCTGGAACACGTTCTTCAGTCCAGTGAGTATAATCATGTTGTCTCTGGAGTTGTCATTATTAACGACTCGGAGTTCGATTTTCCCCTCCCTTTCCTCAATCACACCGGCCTTCTCTTTGTAAGTGTACGTATGGCCGTCGAATTCGAATGGAACCAGCCGTTTTTTGTCGTCATCGTCTGCCGTTTCCTGTTCACTCTCCTGGTTGGCGGCGGTTTTTGTTTCGGGATCTTCTTTAGGAATACCGTTCTCCTCTGAGTCCTCAACTTTCAGTTTCTTGGAATCAGACTCGAGGTCCTCCTCTGCCTTCCGTTTAGGGTCCTCCGTCATGAAGAAAGTACAATTACCAATGTATTGGAAAATAGCGAAAAACAGGCGACGATTGACGCGGACCGACGTTTTTCGTTCAAGTCAAAAAAAAATAATTAGACAATTATCTGGTTGGAAAAAAAAAATTAATTAAGCACGCTACCCACAATGTCCAATCCCAATATGGTCATCCTGCCAGGCCCTCGGGCTCTGTCTAACTTTAGAGTGGCCACTTTGGTGAATGATATTAATACTTTGGTCAACTCTTCCGTTGTGATGAGTGTCAAATCGTGTCAGATTCACTATCTCCATTGCAAACAAGAGTTGGATCCAACTACTTTGCAAAAGTTGAAGACTTTGCTTGAATATGACAGTGAACTCGATTTGGCCGATCCTTTGGAAGAGAAACTCAGTGAGCTGGTGCAAGTTTCCGCCCAGGGAGAGCAGTTCAACTCGCTGTTATCGCAGGACTTGAACTCTGATTTGTACATTATCAGAATTCTCCCAAGATCCGGTACCATCTCTTCTTGGTCGTCCAAGGCAACCAACATCGTTGAGGTGTGTGGATTAGGAGATAAGGTCGACAGAGTCGAAAGAGGAATGGCCATCTTGTTGCAAATGAGACCTGGCTTCCCTATCTTGCAATACTTCGCTGGCGACAAATACAGCTGTTTGAGTTCTGTTTACGACAGAATGACTCAGTCGTTGTACATTAATGATCATGTTCCGGTCTACGATGACCTTTTCAAAGACCATGAGCCAAAACCATTGGCATATGTTGATCTGATTTCTTCCAAAGACAATCTTCTCGCAGCCAACAAGGAACTGGGATTGGCCCTGGATGAGGGAGAAATTTCTTACCTGATGGAGGCTTTCAAGAAACAGCTTGGAAGAAACCCAACTGATGTGGAATTGTTCATGTTCGCTCAGGTCAACTCCGAACACTGCAGACACAAGATTTTCAACGCTGACTGGGAAATTGACGGAAAGAAGAAAGATTTGTCTCTTTTCCAAATGATCAGGAATACTCACAAACTCCATCCAGAGTATACTATCAGTGCCTACAGTGATAACGCGGCCATTTTCCACGGATCCGAGGCTTACTTTTTCGCTCCAGACGCTAAAAATGGACTCAAATGGAGCTCCAAAAATGAGACCGTGCACACTTTGATCAAGGTGGAAACTCACAACCATCCAACCGCAGTGTCTCCGTTCCCTGGTGCTGCCACTGGTTCTGGTGGAGAAATTAGAGACGAGGCTGCTGTGGGCCGTGGTTCCAAGTCCAAGTGTGGATTGTCTGGATTCTCTGTCTCCGACCTGCTTATTCCAACCCTCTCCCAGCCTTGGGAGCTCAATGTTGGAAAGCCTTCCCACATTGCCTCTCCATTGGACATCATGATCGAGGCCCCACTGGGTTCTGCTGCGTTCAACAACGAGTTTGGAAGACCGTGTATTACCGGTTACTTCAGAACCTTGACTACCAAGGTCACCAACGCAGACAACAAGGAAGAGCTCCGTGGATTCCACAAGCCAATTATGATTGCTGGTGGTATGGGTGCTGTCAGACCTCAGTTGGCTCTCAAGTCCGACCACAAGATTACTCCAGGCTCTGCTATCATTGTCTTGGGAGGACAGTCTATGCTGATTGGTCTTGGAGGAGGTGCTGCCTCCTCGGTTGCTTCTGGTGAAGGATCTGCAGACCTTGACTTTGCCTCTGTTCAGAGAGGTAACCCAGAGATGCAAAGAAGAGCACAACAAGTGATTGATGCTTGTAATGCTTACGGATCCAACTCTCCAATTCAGTGTATCCACGATGTTGGAGCTGGTGGATTGTCCAACGCTTTGCCAGAACTTGTCCATGATAACGATTTGGGAGCCAAGTTCGAGCTCCGTGAGATCTTGTCTCTTGAGCCAGGAATGTCTCCATTGGAGATCTGGTGTAACGAATCGCAGGAAAGATTTGTTCTTGGTGTTGGACAACAGGATCTTGACTTGTTTAAAGAGATCTGTGCTAGAGAAAGATGTCCTTACGCTGTTGTTGGTGTTGCTACCAACGAGAAGAAGCTTGTTTTGACCGATAGATTGCTAGGAACAACTCCTATTGATTTGGATATGAGCTTGCTGTTTGGTAAGCCTCCAAAGATGTCTAGACAGGATGTTACCAAGCACGCCAAACTTTCTCCTGTTGAGATCGCTCCAGAAACCACTGTTGATGACGCATTGAGCAGAGTTCTCCAACTCCCATCTGTTGGTTCTAAATCCTTCTTGATCACCATCGGTGACAGAAGTGTTACCGGATTGATCGACAGAGACCAGTTTGTTGGACCATGGCAAGTTCCCGTTGCCGATGTTGGTGTTACTGCTACGTCGCTCGGAAAGGAAGTGATATCCACCGGTGAAGCTCTTGCCATGGGTGAGAAACCAACTTTGGCTCTGATCTCTGCCGCTGCCTCGGCCAAGATGTGTGTTGCTGAATCGTTGCTGAACCTTTTGGCCGCAGACGTCAAGAGCACCGACTTCATCAAGCTTTCTGCTAACTGGATGGCTCCAGCCAGCCACCCTGGTGAGGGAACTGCTTTGTACGAGGCCGTGCAAGCTATCGGCTTGGAACTGTGTCCAGAACTGGGTATTTCCATCCCTGTTGGTAAGGACTCTATGTCCATGAAGATGTCCTGGGACCAAAAGGAGGTCATTGCTCCAATGTCTTTGATCATCACTGCCTTTGGTGGTGTTGACAACACTTCTAAGACCTGGACCCCAGTTTTGCAAAGAGTGGACAACACGGTTCTTGTTCTTGTTGACCTGGCAACTCTGGTGACCAAGTCTCTTGGTGGATCTGCTTTGGCACAAGTGTACAACCAGGTTGGTGACAGCTGTCCAACTGTTCATGATGCCAAAGTGCTCAAGAGCTTTGTCAGTGCTCTTTTGACTCTGCACAAAGAGTTTGATGTCCTGGCTTACCACGACAGATCTGACGGTGGTCTTATTGTCACTCTTTTGGAGATGGCTTTTGCTGCCAGAAGCGGTTTGGAGGTTGACCTTGCAAACGTCAAGGACGATCTGTACACCACTCTGTTCAATGAGGAGCTTGGAGCTGTGTTCCAAATCAAGGCTGATGAGTACGCCAATTTTGTGCAAATTTTGGCAGCTGCCGGCGTGCCTGAGTCGTTTGTTTCTATTGTCGGAAAGCCTGTGTTTGATGCTGAGCAACAAATTACTGTTTCTTATAACGGCAATACCGTTCTGTCCAAGTCGAGAGGTAAATTGCAGCAAGTTTGGTCTCTCACTTCCTACCACATGCAAAAGCTCAGAGACAACCCTCAAAGCGCTGACCAGGAGTTCCAGGCCATTCTGGACAACCAAGACCCTGGTTTGACTTACAAGCTCACATACGATCCAAAGGACGATCTCCAGCTCTCCACGTTGACCAACCGTCCGAAGGTTGCCATTTTGAGAGAGCAAGGTGTTAACAGTCAGCAGGAGATGGCATGGTGTTTCCAACAGGCCGGCTTTGACTCCATTGATGTGCACATGACAGACATCATTTCCGGAAGAGTCACTTTAGACGAGTTTGTGGGACTGGCTGCTTGTGGTGGTTTCTCTTACGGTGATGTTCTGGGTGCAGGTAACGGATGGGCTACCTCTGTCTTGTACAACGAGAAGGCCAGATCCGAGTTCTACAAGTTCTTCCAAGAGAGAGATGACACGTTCGCGTTTGGATCGTGTAATGGATGTCAATTCCTGTCCAAGATCAAGGAGCTGATTCCAGGAACCGAGAACTGGCCATCTTTCGAGAGAAACAAGTCGGAACAGTACGAGGCCAGAGTGTGCACTGTGGAAATTATGGAGGACAACACGGAGGTGCCGTTGATCTTCTTCGACGGCATGCGTGGCTCCCGGATTCCTATCGCGGTTGCACACGGAGAAGGAAGAGCGCATTTCGGTGCCAAGGAGGCCAAGCTCGCCGAGTTCGTCAACCAAGGACTCACTGCCGCAAGATACGTGGACAACTACGGTCTGCCGACCGAGAAGTACCCGTTCAACCCTAACGGCTCGCCAAACGGTATCACCGGTATCCGGACCCCTAACGGTAGGGTTTTGGCCATGATGCCTCACCCAGAGAGAGTTTGTCGATTGGAGTCGAACTCCTATTACCCAGTCGAAGAGGCTGCCGATTGGGAAGGCTACGGCCCATGGATCAGAATCTTCAGAAACGCCAGAAGATGGGTTGCTAATAAGGAGTAATTAATATATAGACAATGCACTTTATATTTGGTATGTCAGAGTTTCGACAGGGCTATGAGCACGCCGTCTTCCACTCTTGTTCCCAAGGGGATTGGAAGAGTGCTATCCATCATCTGTTGAGGGTTTGTGACACCGTCGATGGTGTCCTGGGCAAACGAGCGTTCAATATCTTTCCATTTGGAAACGACAAGAAGCAGCCTTTGGTCTTCGGCATTTTTTTCGTAGTTGGCCAATTCTAATGGCGGGAGTGTCTTTGAAAAGTAGTCTCCACTGCTCACATAGACACACTTGTCATATCCCTGTGGGTATCCCGGCTCGGTGAAAAGAGACGTAAATTTGGTAGCCACTCTGACATGGTAGCCAAACGAGTTCAGGGCCCCGATTTCGCCATATGCTTCTTTGGAGGATACCACTTTTTTCGATTGTGTGTCGACTGTGACTCTCACGTTGACGGCCACCTCTTTGTCGAGTTCAAACATCTCCTTGGAACCTATATTAACGTATTTGGTGGTTGTTGGCTTTTTCTTCTTTACGACCTTTCCAGCGGCGTTTTTCTTGACAGAGGACTTCTTTGGGACAGTGAGTCCCTCTTTGAAATGCGAGGCGGTTTCGGATTGCATGTACGGGAGCGTTGAAATCTTTGGTAGCTTTTTGGCGAACTTGAAGTTATTTGTGACCGAGGCCTTGAAGACCGACTGCACCAGGTACGATGGGGTGACAAAAAATTGAAGCAAACTCACCAGCAGCAGGGTAGACTCGCTCGTGGCGCGCAGGGTGTCTTTAAACACAGTCTTATTCGACTCGGTCTCAGCTTGATCCTCAGGAACATCTAGCACCACGATCTCCCCAACATTGTAAGTACAGGCAGCGCGAGCAATCTGGTACGCTGTAAATGTTACCTGCTCAAGGTTCCTGCAGTTGGCGCGGGAAACGCACGTCGATGGTATGCACAGCGTGACAGACGAAGAACTCATGCTGGTTTTTTTTCAAGGTGAATATTTTTTTTTCTTTTAATTTCACGGCTGTGCACATAATTAGACACCAGATAAGAAAATGGTTCTTGTTGCTGCTGGACAACTGTGTGCGTCGAATGTGCTGAAAGACAACGCTGTGGCTGCGATCAATCTGATTGCCAAGGCGTCAGCGTTGAAGTGCAAAGTTCTGTTCTTGCCGGAGGCGTCCGACTACATTGCGCGGAACGCTCAGCAGAGTAAAGAGATTGTCAAGAGTGTGGCTGACTCGCCGTTCATCCAGGCAATTCAGGGCAAATTGAAGGAATTGAACACTTCTGGCGAGTCACTTTCTGTTTCTGTGGGGATCCACGAGCCGTCCGAGACCTCAGACCGGGTCAAGAACACGCTGATTTGGCTGAATGAGGCCGGCGAGATCGTGCACCGGTACCAGAAGATCCATTTGTTCGACGTGGACATCAAGAACGGACCTATTCTGAAGGAGTCGCAGTCCGTGGAGCCCGGAAACGAGGTTCTTAAGCCATTTGCCAGCGCAATCGGCACAGTGGGGCTGGGTATCTGCTACGATCTGAGGTTCCCGGAATTGGCTCTGCGGTTACGGAGCGAAGGAGCACAGGTGCTAACGTATCCGTCAGCATGGACGATGAAGACGGGCCCGCACTTCCAGTTGCTGGCGCAGTCGACGGCCATTTTCACGCAGTCGTACGTGGTGATGCCGGCCCAGAAGGGCAAACACAAGCTCGAGGACGGAACGGTCTCCAATAGAGAGTCGTTTGGCCACACCTGTATCATTGACCCGGCAGGAACGATTCTGGCACAGTGTTCCGACATCGACGACACCGAGGAGATCTGTGTGGCTGACATCGATCTTGACAAGCTCGAGGTGATCCGGAAAAACATGCCGTTGTGGTCCCAAAGACGGCCTGATGTGTTTGGCTACAGAGTTTAACCTGGATTATGTAATGACGGTATTTTTTCTCCCGTCTAAATACTTTCTTCTTATCATGTCCATGCTCAAGAGTTTGCAAAATCTGCAAGGAACCATCACCATCTTGTAAGTTGATCTGTCTGTACGGCCTAACATTTAGCCATTCGCCAAAAATCGCGGCGTCTACGAAGCTTTTGCGCATTCTGGAACAAAACGCAACCAACAAGTCGTCTCTTAGCAAGACGGAGAAACCTCCGTCCAAAATCACCCAGCTGCTTTTCGGATCAAAGGGATTGGAATACAGGTACAATGTGGATGTGTGCGAGCGGTTCCCCACGGGCGACCAGTTCAAATTCATCAAGCAGACGCTGTCCATGAACCCGCAGTGCAAGAAGGCATTCAAAGACGCATTTCCTACCCTCGGCTCGGCGAATGACCATGTGATCGACTTGCAGTCCGCAGATAGCACCACGCTGAAACAGTACGAGTCCAAGACCTTGGACGAGCTGGCCAAGGAGAACGTGTTCCAGCCGCCGTTGGTGGTGGACTGGGACCACAAACTGATAGCCTCTGACGAGCCTGATCTGCTGAAAATATTAAACAACTACCACAAGAACGAAGAAGGTATTTAGTATCCCATCCGCTTGATGATATAGGTCTGGGCAAGCACGCCAAACATCATGTCGAGTCCCTTGTTGACCCACTCGACCACCCACTCGCTAGGGTCGACCTCCTCGTTGGCTTCTCCGTCTGCAAACTTGCCGTCGAGCCAGTTGGCCCATTTCAAAGGGAACGGCTGCGACCGGTTCACAATGGTCAAGTTGTGTGTCTTGTCAATCAGTATGGCCGTGAACGAGAATGACGAAGGTTGGTATTCGTCAATGGTCAGTATGTCTGTCTCTTCTGCCGGCTCGTCCTCCTTATTTAGCGAGATGGCCAGCAATCCAATATATATCTGCGACTTTCTTATTTCCGGGTTCTCTTCTTGCTCTTTCGCCGAATCGCTCTTGATCACGCTTTCGATGTTGGCGTGTATCAGCTTCTCACCGTCAGAAAGCTTCCCCGCAAAAAGCCCCAGGCTCTTGGTGTGGTCCTGGGCCTCTGCCGACGACGACAGTATCCCGCTCTCGCTGATGGTCACCTGGATATCGCCGTCCACCTGCGACCGCATCACGCCTTCGAAGTTGTTCTTCACAAACCGCGTCAGCTTCTTGTAGTTCTTGAGGTCGTGCACCAGCTTCACGTCCAGGATCTCGTCTCTGTTGGCGTCGATGTCGTGCTGGATCTTCTCCAGCGCCGTGTTCAGCTGTGTCGATAAAAGACTGAACCCTTTGTTCAACGAGTCCAGCGCCTGCTTTGTGTCTGGCAGCTTGAGTAGTTTCTGTTTCTCGTCGTCAGTAAGCTCTCTGTCACCTTCCAGCACCCCGGTAATGCCAATTTCGTGGAACGCCTTTTTGAGGTTGTTCTCCAAATTCTGTTCCTTGGCGTAGTTCAAGGCGGACTCGGCTGTCCCCCACAGCGACGAGAACTGCGACGACACTTTGGAGCTCCCTTCTTTAGACCACCACGAGGAAAATGAGGTGATTGGGTCGTTCACCAGGGATTCCTGTGGTTTTGGTTCTTCTTGCTGTGTCTGTTCTGTAACCGGCTCTGGCTCTGGCTCCTGGACCGGCTTTGTCTCGACTTTCTTGGCCGCCGGCTCGCTGCTCTGCTTGGCCGGTGCCTGTTTCTTGTTCACGGTCTTTGTTTTCCCATCTTTCTCTTTGGCCTCCAATTCGTCCAAAAAATCCAGAATGTCCTCGTCTGGCTTGCCTGCATCTTTGACCGGCTGGCCATTGTTTTCCGGAAGCGAGTTGAGGAACTCGAAAACTTCCTCCTCTGTTTGTTGGTTAGACATGCCTTAAAATTAAAAATACTGCCAGATTTCTCTTGCAAATTTATTCATCACCTTAAAATGCATCCCGTGCTGGATAGACAATACTTTATGAGTAGGTAAAGCTTATCAGATGAGCGAAACGGCGGAATACTAACATTCCAGAATGCGAAGACCTTATTGACGCCTTGGAAGCATGTCATAGATCGGGGTTTGTCGAAAAGGCCTTTGGCAAGTGTAATGTTGCCAAACAGGAGCTCACCAACTGTCTGCACGAAAGCAGACTCGCAAAGGAACGCGACCAGATTTTGATGAAGCGCAAGAAGACTAAAGAATTTGAGCTCAAGAGAAAGAAGCTCGAGGAGGAAGAGTACGGCAAAAACGCCTATCTTAAGAAAGTTGTTGAGCTCGAGTACGAGAAAAGCAAGGCCGCCCACTAGATTTATCCCCACTGTACATAGAAACAAATACCATCGAATCATCTTTATTAATCCTGTCTCGATTTAAGATATCTTTTTATCACCTTATCCTTCGTGATCACATACACAGCAGCACCCCATCCGGAAAGAGTGTCTCTGTCAGCAGCGTTCAACAGCGCCTGCGAGATGGTCTCGAACAAGTCTTCAGGCTCCAGGTTAGGCTCGTAAAGTGACTCGCACATTCCATACAACTGGTCTGAAGCCGTTCCGGAAACTGCAAAATCTTTGGCAAAGTCCGGACATCCAATGAAATCAAAACTGCAGATAAAAGGCTTGCCTGTCTTGGAGTTGATACCTGCAACTATTGGCCCCACGAACCATGGACCAAACCGACGCTCGTACAATGTAGAAGAAACAAGGTTGGCAAAACTCTCAGGCTCAATCTCGCGCTCTTCTCTCATCTTGTAAAGGTTCGCCTTCATTCTAAAATTCTCGTGCACAGTCAGCACATCCGATGCAAGTCCCGTCAAACCAAGAAACACATGGCCCAATTGAAAAACCTTCTCAAAGTTGTTGGCAACTCCCAACGACTGGTTACCGAGCCTCAAATCGCAGGCAATGGCAACACAGTCCTTTCCCACCATAGCCACGGCAGTACCACCTTAATTGGTTAGTCTCAAACCACATAAACTCATTGTAAACTTACCGTTGATAGTAGATGGATCAGACATGTCCCTTGTGTTTAAACTTTGATATTTTACGTTTTATTTCGCCACCAAGAAATTTAATAGTCGCGTCGGTAGTAATTTATTAATGGGGTCGTTATTTAATTAGCACTTTTCAAGCCATCTGACCCTTGAGCTTCTCATTGCGCAGCCGAATAGCCTTCTCCAGTATCTGAGAGTATCTCTTGAACCGGAGAAGCTCGTTGTCCAAGTAGTTCAACTTGTTCACGTAGTTGACTCTTATAGTTTGTATGTTCTTGACCACCTTCTCCTTATTCTGGACGTTTGACCTGTTCAACATCTTACTCAGCAATCCGGTCTCGTTCACGCTGCGGTCGTAAATCGTGTTGAGTCTCGCAAAGTCGCTATCTAGCGCCTTGTGGTCCTTCACACTTTGGTGCAACAGGCGGTAGTGTTTCTTCAAGTTGAACAACTGCTCCGCCATATTCAAATGTGTCGGCACAAGACCATTCATAAGCGGGATCCAGCCCGCAAACTTGGTGGTGGTCAAGTAGTTTTCGATCTCAATCGACTTAAGATTTCTGAAGCAATTAAGACTCTTGTCTGACCATCCATAATCCAAAGAAGACATGGTCTCTGACAATGGAATAGCAGAAGAACGTGCGGCCCAAAAGTTGCACGTCTCAACAAACTCCTGCGCAGTCTCAGGGGTACCTGCGCAGAAATGAACGTTATAGTAGTTGTGGCCTTTTGAAATCTCTGGGCTTGGGATGTTCAAAGTCCAGTACGTTTCAAGTCCAGTTCGCGTGGACGATTCCCCAAACTCACGCACAACAGATCTGCAAAGTTTGGACCGTCTCTCGACGATCTGTGCAAAGCAAGAGCACAGATTGATGGTGGTGACGCATTTAGCGTACTCCCACCAGTGTCCGTCTCCATGGTGCTTGACAGTGGAGGCATTTGCATCAAAACTGAAAAACTTCAGCTCTCCTTGAAAAACCACCACAAAAAGACTTTGCCATTTAGGCTTCAGGTTCTTCTTGCCGGTCTTGTTCTCAAAGCTTTGGAGAATGTGTTTTGACAAAACCACGTTTTGCAAACCTTCTTTGATCCAAGGAGGTCCATCGAGCTCCAATTGCAGGTCCCCTTCTTCTTCGATGATGAAGTCGTTGTTAGGACCGATATCGAAATCTTTGCCGTCATCATTCAATTCAAACTTGTCGGCCATTTTAACCGACGTGGAGCTGAAAGAGAGGTCGCTTCTGTTTGTGTGCATTGCACGGAGCATGTTTCTCTCCATCAATATAGCTTTAGCAAATCCAAAAGAGCTTCCCGATGTTGTGGAAGAGAACGAGGTGTCTCTGCCTTCTGTGAAGATTGATATGTTATCATCGGTAATAGCTTTGCTGCGAGAGACTGTTCTTGAGTGTTGGTACGAAAGTCTTGGATTTGGTGTCGCAGTAGAGAGACTCAACTTGCGTTCCAAGATTCCTGCGTAAAACCTCTTTAGTTCGCTAGAAAGCAAACTGTAGTCGGAGACAGGAACGATGTTTTGCTGCAAAGCAACGATTGTGTTTTTGACAAAAGTTGAGCGAGTTATTTTGTTGTTTTTGGCAATCTCCTCCGAATGCAAGTCAGTGTTGAGGAGAATGAACGAGTAAGCAACAAGGTAGACACCGTTGGAGTTACCATAAAGGTGTCTTGTGGTGGCAGATTGCGGGGACTGGAACCAGCTGTCTGCGAACGAGTCCAAAACTGTGTCGATAAACTGTGACTCTCCTTTGAAGAACAGTTTTCTGCACAGAGATCTTAGAGATCTGAGGAGATCCGGGTTCCATTTGAACAATTCCATGTATTTGCGACGAATTGTGTCGATTTCTGTGCTCGTATACTCATCAAGATGAATTCCACCGCCCAGAAACGCGAGATAATCCTCTTTACTGATTTGGCCAAAGGTGGAGTCGTAGATTTGGTGGGCGGCCGCGTGGAGTTCGGCCGTCTTGGAGTCTGGCACTGTTTCGAGAAGCCCCCTGTTTCTAGTAATGTTGCTCAAAAAAGAGCTCTGGTCGGATTGGTGAGCCACATTCGGTGAGCCGTTTTCGTCTTCCGACGGAACAAGAGTCGTGGGACTGCAATTGTGAACACTTTCTTGTTCGAATTGTTTAGGACGATCGATTGTGATTGGAGGCAGCAGTTCTCTTTTCTGGACGAGCATGGGAAAAGAGTGTTTCTAGAAACCAAAACAAAATAGGATGGTGGAAGTAAAAGGGAAAACCCTACGAGTTATCTATATTCCTACTAATTTTCAATTTAGTCTTGTTTCCAAATCCGGACAATAATACTATGCATAAAATGCCGAAACAAGAAGGTATGATTTTAGTCGGCAGCGAAGTAAAGGGGGGATTACAGAATTAGAGCCGGTGTATGCAAGAAATCTGCTGGGTAATAATTTGACAGGGGCTGGGACGAATAATTGGGCGATATATACGAGACGCGATAATTGTCCTTGACATATGATTCAAGTTTGTAGACACAACTACTTTATTTATGCGTGGCCCGTGTGACCACCGTTGATCTGTACCGACAAGCTATCCAACAGTTGGTGGAATCAATCCCCTGAGGGTTTTCTGCAAGCAATCTAAAAAATGCGAGATTGTACAGCAAACGTTCAGTCGCAAATCGTATCTCAGGTATACAATGTCTGTGTGTCGGTGATGCATTCTTCGTAGCCACGATAAACCCAAAACGGATAATAGAGCAGATTCGGGCGTCGCCGTCGTGGGGTATTTGTTCACACTGAAACGGCCAACGTGCAACAGGGTGACTCTGATCCATTACATTGAATCACCCAACAGACTACAAAAATGCCTCTATTCCTTTGGCCAACTTCGACCTTCTTCTAAATCCAATGCTGCACATGCTGCACCGTTGACTTGGGGATACCTTCGCTCGTTATTATGCCGGGGACCATAGAGTATCGTAGTGTGGTGTGGGTGTCTGGGGACATATTAATCCGCACCAATCTGGCTGCTTTGGAACTTTTCCAAGTTTCTGTGCGTCGATCGTCGTGCCACCTTTTTTTGTGCACTTTACGCGTTGTTTATTTTTCGGTAGGGCAAAAAAAAACTAAATCACTCCCTAATGACCCAAGTTGCTGAACCGGGCCATTTAATGTCCAACGACCAACAGATGAGCATGAGCGAACAGGAGTCTGCTGCTGAATACCACGACGGAATGGTGGCGGAGGACGACGATGACTACTCCGCGGGCCCTGTCCCGATCCAGCAGCTGGTAGGAAACGGGATCTCTCCCCAGGATATCAAGAAGCTGAAGGAGGCCGGCTTCCACACGGTGGAGTCGATCGCGTACACCCCAAAACGCCATATTGTCACGGTGAAGGGTATTTCCGAGTTGAAGGCAGATAAGTTATTAATGGAGGCATCCAAGCTGGTTCCCCTTGGGTTCACGACTGCTACCGAGTTCCACCAGAGAAGATCCGAACTGATCTGTCTCACGACCGGGTCCAAGCAGCTGGACACGCTTCTGGGAGGCGGTGTCGAGACCGGGGCCATCACGGAGGTGTTTGGAGAGTTCAGAACAGGAAAGTCGCAGCTTTGCCACACTCTGGCAGTCACTTGCCAGCTCCCAATCGACAGCGGGGGAGGCGAGGGAAAATGTTTGTACATCGACACAGAGGGAACATTCAGACCGATCAGATTGGTGGCTATAGCCAGGCGGTTTGGGCTGGACGAGAATGAGACTTTGGATAACGTGGCGTACGCTAGAGCATATAACGCGGACCACCAGCTGCAGTTGCTGCACCAGGCCGCCAGCATGATGACTGAGTCGCGGTTCTCTCTGCTGATTGTCGACTCCATCATGGCGCTGTACAGAACCGACTACAGTGGTAGAGGAGAGTTGAGTGCCAGACAGATGCATGTTGCCAAGTTCATGCGGATGCTGCAGAGACTGGCGGACGAGTTTGGAATCGCCGTGGTTATAACCAACCAAGTCGTCGCGCAGGTGGACGGAGGAGCGATCTTCAATCCGGACCCAAAGAAACCGATCGGAGGTAACATCGTGGCACACTCGTCCACCACGAGACTCTACTTCAAAAAGGCCAAAGGTGCCAACAGAATTTGCAAGATTTACGATAGTCCGTGCCTGGCGGAGAGCGAGACTGTGTTTGCTTTAGGCCAAGGAGGAATCATCGACCCGTCTGACGAGACCGAGGCTGCTGAAGACGAATAATAAAGTTTCTTTTTTATAATTATACCACCATCCGTTTATTACTTACGTATCTATCAGAACTCTGGGGCCATATTGATGTCGAACCATCCAAGGAAGTCGTCGCTGCTGTCCATCCAGTTGGCGCCGCCTTGCTGCTGGAAGATGGAGTCGATGAACACGTTGTTGTTGAGCGAATCTGAGTTTGCTGGCGAATGCTCGTTCGAGTTACTCCGCGAGTTGCCTGTGGACGGCGATTGCGAAAGCACCTGCTGCTGCACCTGCGGGAACATGGCCTGGTCGACCGGTGGGGCAGAGAACAGCGACTGTTCCAGTGGCAGCTGAGGACCGTTCCCGTTCACGGCTCTTGGTGGAGCAGGAGCTATTGGACGGGTACCGGTTGCCGTCTTGGATCTCTTGCGGCCTCTAGTTGCTTTCTTGGTGTCTGCGGTGATCTTTGGCGGCTCCATGGACTCGCCCGTGGACTTGCGGCCCTTCTCAGGCAAAGAGCCCGTGGCATCGAGCATCGCCAAAGGAATACCGTTGATCTCCGTCAGGTTCTGGTGACCAGCGGCAGACGCGTTAGCACGGGCGTTCGAAATGGCCTGGTTCGTCGGCACAAGAGTCGTCACTGTGGTTCCGTTCGGCGTGGTGGTGGTTATTGCTCTGAAGTCGTCTTTGGTGATCTGGTTGTAGAATGGAAGTGGTAGAACTTTGCGTTTCGGTTTCGGTTTTGTTTCTTTGACAGGCGAGTTCTGCTCCGCAATGAGCCTTCTTCTGGCCTCGTGGATACACCACACAAGGTCGTAGAACAACGAGCCCGTCAGGTGCGACCTCATTCGCGCAATGATGCCGTCTGTCTCGGTGAATAGCTCTGAATGTGTTATGATGACAAAGTTCAACTTCTCCAGCACTGTGGCCGTTCTGCTAATATCGTTTTCGACCTCCTTCCATGCCGCAAGCATGTTTCTGAACAGTCTGTGCACTGTCACGATAGATTGTCTGGCCGAATCAATGTACTTTGGTAATAAATATGGCGTCAGATGGAGTCTGAACAAAACAAATGCGGCCATCGACACAGACTGGCGAACGTAGATCGGATACTCGGTCAGCTGTCGCGACTCGGTCAGCTTGGACACAATGGTGACAATTCTTGTGGCAGAAAGATACGCCTGTGTGACATACTTTGTCTGGTCCTCGCTTGGTGTTTCTGGTAAGAACGCAAAGCAGCACACCATCAGCTGCACGTAGAGGTAGTAGCTTTCGACCACGATGTCGTCGATCTGGAGCTTGAACGCCAGTCTCTCGAGTTCTCTTTCCAAGATGGCCAAAGCGCCTGCTCTGTTGCGAGGATCCATCAATCCGTCGGGACTCGTCACGCTCGAGCCCATCACGTTGACTAGTTTGGCTTGGAAGATAGCCAAAGAGATCAGACATCTAAAGTTCTTGGGCAACGTCTGGTCAATTCTGGCCTGCTCCAACAGGAAGTCGGTCTGCATGGATGGGGGAAGACCCAAGTTCGAGGCCCAGAATTGGTCGGCAAAGAACACGGCAAGCCAGGTCCTTGTTCTCCATTTCTCGGCATCGGGAAGAGCCACCTGCGTTCTGGAAAACTCGCTGATGAATTTTCCCCTGTGGAGACCTAACTGGAAAGACAAGTTCTTTGCCAGTCCAACAAATCTGTACGAGCAATCGTCCAGCACTTTCTGGTTGGGCAGTGGCCACGTCCCCAGAATCAGGAGCGCCTGAACGATGTGTGTGCTTCTTGGAGTTCTGATCCACGAGACCTCAATAGCCAGTTGTTTGATCAAGGCGGCCAGCGACGAGTAGAGATCGGGTTCCGGGTCCGAGAGACAGGCTGTGAGCATGACTGTCCAGAAAAGCAGCTGCGATTGCTGATAGAGTTCGATGCAGTCGTTGGAAATCATGATGGGGAGATACGGCAGATAGTTATCCACGAACCGCCTGTGCAACTCTGTGGCCTTCTCAAACGAGATCTTCACGTCACCCAGAGCGAACTCAGACACGGACCCCTTACTCTGGACTGAGTTGGTGTTTGAGATCGGGATAGGCGTGAGCGTGGTGACGGCTGGTTTGGGAGGGCCCTGATTGAGCACAGGGGCCGGCTGTGGGTTTGGAGCATGGGGTGCGGGAAAAGCTTTTTTATCCTTGAGTTGTTGCAACAGGTCGGGGTTAGAGGACTGCAGCACGTTGGAGATAAGCGACTCGTTCTTGGTAAGAAACTCGATTTTTTTGCGCAGCTCGTCCACGTCGTTGCGCAACGACTGCAGCTGGGAGCCTTTCTTTGGTCTGAATTGAGGGTCGATCTCGCACTTTAGATCCATACGCTCGCACCTGGAGCACGGCACGGGAAAGCGCTCAGAAGCGTTGCACTTAATCTTATGCTGTCTGCAATGGGTACACGATGTCACTGGACGGTGACCAGCGGCGTGCCCGGATGAGGTTGGAGAGTTTTCCTCATCTCTTGCCCTTTTCAGGCCGTTCGAGTAGTCTCCAGGCGAACCGTTTCTCTTGCCACCGGAAACGTATGGGGAATCTGCTAGCATCGACTCGTCGTCGGTCTCGACTTTTGGTGCGATCATGGGCACCTCTGGTCGATCGATCGATCCGGATACTGATATTTTTGACATGTTGACTAAATAAGGGTTTGACGCATTGATTTCACACTTTAAAACGACTGCTGAAAATGCCTAACAAGTCAAACAATCTATCACAAGGACGTTGAGAGAATAAATATTGAAATAAAACAAATTTGAGTGTAAAAGATGGTTTTGTTCAGCAATTGTTTTTTACTAACTTTATTTCTCAACACTTCTCTGCACCATTTTACGTCGAAGATACATACTTTTTAAGAATTCTCCCCCACAATTCTACAACACGTAGGACTCCTAAAATAGTGTTTAGGCCACATAATTGTTTAAATTTAATTGGCAGGATCTACCGGATGTAAAAAAACGACCAGACCCAATGAGGTTACTGCGTCTAGGAATCGATGATAGTCTTCGGAGCGGAGTTACAAACCAAAAAAAAAAACGCTGAGCTGGTGTATAGATGTCCTTTTTTTTCTAATTAACCTTCCCCAGAGTTTACTTAAACCTTGGTGAATCTCAAGTATGGCTTGACCTCCTTGAAGTCACCAAACTTCTCCTTGGCAGCCTCGTTAGAGACAGATGGAGGAATGATGACGTCCTGGCCAACGGTCCAGTCGATAGGAGTCACAACACCCTTTTTGTCGGCAGTCTGCAACGAGTCGATGACTCTCAACACCTCGGCACTGTTTCTACCGCACGAAGCTGGGTAGGTGAGGGTGAGTCTGATCTTTTTGGCAGGGTCGATCACAAACACAGATCTGATGGTCTGGACAATGCCTCCGTTCAGGTTCTTGAAACCTTCCTCGTCAACCATGTCGAAGAGGTAGGAAACTTCTCTGGACTCGTCACCAATGATAGGGTAGGTGAAAGGCTTGTTGTCCAGAGCAACCTCCTCGATGTCCTTGATCCAGGAGTTGTGCTTGTCAACACCCTCGGCAGACAAACCAATCAACTTGACGTTTCTAGCGTCGAACTCTGGCTTCAACTTGGCGAAAGCACCCAACTCGGTGGTGCAAACTGGAGTGAAGTCGGCTGGGTGGGAGAAAAGAACAACCCACGAGTCGCCAATGAACTTGTGGAAGTCGATTTCACCAGCGGTGGATGGAGCCTTGAAGTTTGGCACGGTGGAACCAATTCTCAGTCTTGGCTGAGAGGCGGCGTCGAAAGTGATGAATCTCTGGAAAGAGAGGGTCGATCTAGTGGAGAGTCTGGCAAATTGTCTGGAGAACATGATATCTACTAAGATTCCAAGAATTTTCAGGCTTCTTGCGCTTCTAGTGCAATCGAAGCTAATGAACTAATATCACGTGACCGGCACCAGCCAGGCCAACTAAACCGTTTCCAGATATTCCCTAGCAGGTGCAAAGGTGTCGGAGGATTGCCGAAAAAAGTTTCGGGTCTGTAGGTTGGCCAAACAGAAGCTTCTCCGACTCGCGAATAGAGCCGTGTGTACTTGTCCGTGCGTACTTATTCTCACAACAACATAAACACAAGGGGAATCTCAAACAAGTCTCCGTTGCTTACCGAAATTTCTGTTTCTGCAAGAGTCACCGTTGCACACAAATACCCCAAACTCCCCGGTTTTGGTCCCCCACACAGCACAGCCTGTCTTTGTTAGTAAAACGTACATTTGCGGATCTATTTTTTTTCCAAGCGTTCTCATCCCAAAGTCCAAGTCGCGACAATTCCAGCCATGTTGATGCCCATCAGTTGTGTGGAGTGTCGGCGACGCAAGGTGAAGTGCAACAAGCGCGTTCCGTGCAACCAGTGTCTCGTTCGGAATCGCGAATGCTCGTATCCGGACAAGTTTCGTTCCATACGTGTTGATCAGTTTATAGTGGACGGAGAAGGGGAGGCCGAGGCATTACAGGCATCCAAGTCGGCCTCGGGGTCTCCGAACGTGGATGGTGTCCGGTCGGACTCGGAAGGCAACTCATTGAAGCGGTCAGCAGAGGATGCTTTGGCCCACCCTGTTACTCCGGCCAAGGATAAGGACGAGGTCACTCAGAACCTGCGCAAGGAGAACGAGGCGTTGAAACTGAAAATCAAGGAACTCAAGCTCAAGTACAAACGTGAACGGCTCAAGGAGTACGACGACGGCGACAACCTTGCCGAAGATACTGCAGATGCCAAGTCCGCCGGCCCAATGTATTACGGTCCCAACTCCACACGGTTTATGATTTCCAGCGCGCTTTCCAGGGCCGACGTGGGCGAATTCGACGACTTCATCAACGTCAAGAGACTTCTGAAACAGAAAAGACAGCTTCCGATGCTGTACGAGCCCAGTCCCGAGCTGGCCAAGACTATGAACGCTAGGCAAAAGTCGCAGGAGAACCTTAACCTGATACGCAGTTTGGTGTGTAAGTTTTTCCATTTAAGGTTCCATTACTTGAACTATCTGGACCTCGAGCCGTTGCTGGCGTTTCTCGACACATACAAGAGCACCAAGACCTGGAAAGACGAGGACGACACTCTATTATTAATTATCATGATACTGATCGTTGCGTTGAGATCTATCCCCGAGAACGACGAGCTCATGATAAAATACAACCTCAGCTACACGGCAGCCCGTCCTCTGCTCTATAAGCAGTACAAGAACCTCAAGGCTGGTATCCAGCTCGAGACAACAACAAGTTTGCGGGCGTATGTGCTCGAATGCGAAGATCTCTTCTTCAATATTCAAATTGAAAAGTCTTGGAACCTGTTGTTCAAAACGGTGAGTGCTGCGTATTCTCTTGGATTGCACGTTTACGATGAGAGCATTGCCAACACGCTGAAGAACGAAAACAACGAAGCTGCCTTGAGCCTCGTGCGGAAAAACTCCAAAGCGTCGCTCTGGTTTGTAATCAATTTTGTCTCTGCTACGTTGTGTTCCGTGTTGGGACGGCCCAACCCGGTAACGTTCACGTTCCAGCCGCTGCTACGCAACTACGAGATCAGACTCAACTTCAAAATTGGGCTTGCAGAACTCGTGAAGAGATCCACAAACATTCTTATCGAGTCGTACAAGATCGATATCAATTTCGACACCATCATGGAAATTGATGAGGCGTTTGTGGGCGAGATCCTCATTTACGAGAAGATTTTGGCAGACACGGTGCAAGTACGCAATATGAAGGGCCGCGACCATTCGAAACCCAGCCACATCACCCTACCGGTGATTGACAAAAACGCACGCAAAAAGAACTCGTTCCGAAGCCTGAGCCAGCTTAATCTCAACTCGCTGCTCAACAGCTGTCCGTTGGATATCAGGTTCACGATTCTGCGTCCGTGCGAAATCAAGCCCGAGGAGAAGTTTTGCTTGCTAGACACAGACTGCGACACCATCACCGACCTGATCATGTTGTACGGTAATCGAGCCAAGTTCCACCAGCATTTCATGTCCACGTACCAGAAGTCGCTTGAGAGCTGTCTGGACAGCGTGCTGAAGGTGCTGGAGCACGCCAATCTGCTTGTGGAGATCCAGAGCCACGTCTTTGGCAAACCGTGTTTCCACGAAGTGTACCCGTACTTTTACACGTTCTTCTACCAAACGCTGGTGGTAATGTACACCTTGTTGCACCTTGGCTACAACAAGCTGTCGTATTTCGCCGAAAACATTGCAACAGTTCGCCAGAAACTGGTCACACTTTTTGAAGCCGTGGGAGCAAAGTACTGGAGACCCAACGTGGTGCGGATCATGCAGTACATCAATGACATGTGTGACAACTTCTTCAAGATCCATGTGGAATCCAGACAGACGCCAGCAACGCCGCGTGAGTCTGCCGAGCCTAAATTGGAATCTCCGGGTCCAAGTCGGGCCTCAACCATGTTCCAGATGTCCATGACGCCGATCCACGAAAACGAAATAGCAATGTCCACCAATTCTAAAATCCAGCTGCACAACGTTCCGGAGCACCTATCCCAGCCTCAGGCACAGCCCGCTTCTCTGAACATGCTCTTGCAAGAAAGTACACCTAGACAACCGCTATTCTACATGCAGAACAACGTCAACTCGCTATCGCAGATCAATCTCAACAACTACAATCTGGATTACTACGACCCGAAACAGCAAATGTTCCCGCTACCACCCCAATCGAAGGGAGCCGACTTCGCAAACCCGGGTAGAGATCAGTCGGATGCGCCAATAACCGTTGATCCCCTTCTCGGGTTTGATTTGAGTGACCCATTCTTTATCCAAAATCCGTCCAATTTTAATTACACCAACCCCGTGCTGCAGGATAAGGCTACCGAATTGGACCCGGATGACGAATTTGATGTCCGTCCAGCCAACACAAGGTTCAACTCGAACGAATCAAATGACTTTACCAGCTATCTCGCCGGCAATACCAACAGCCGAGGCGAAAGCGTTGAGTAATCTTGGTCACCCTCTATTGTTCTCCATGACGTCATTATGCGGCGCTCGCTCTTGTGCCCAAAAAAAAAAAAGAATCATGCACAGCCGAGCCTTATACCAGCAGATACGCTATATGCAAACACTATAAATACGAGCGTAATTCCGTATCTAGTTTATCAATGACTACCCCTTACGAAAATAATAACCTCAACAACATCCCTACGGATGACAGCTTCCAGGCTGACCAAGATTTTGTGAAGCCCAAGAGCTCTGGCAGAACAGGCCCCGTGATCACAAAACAGCCAAGGGCCAGAGAAGACTTCCAGGCCTCGTATGCATTCGAGTGGGATACCCCAACCAATGGCTGGTACGGGTCCTTGGTCGACACTGTTGGTTCGTGTTTTGGAACCCTCGGTGCCATTCCGTGCTGCTTCTGCTTCCCTAACCCGTACAGAAACGTTGATCAAGGTAATGTCGGTCTTATTACCAAGTTTGGTCAGCTGTACAAGTCTGTTGACCCGGGATTGACCAAAGTCAACCCATTGAGCGAGAAGTTGCACCATGCGAACATCACCTTGAAAACCATGCAGATCCCAACTTTGACCTGCTACACCAAGGACAACGTCTCCATCACCTTGTCGAGTGTGTTGTACTACCAGGTGATCGAGCCCCACAAGGCATTCTTCACGGTTTACGACATCGAAGACTCGCTCAGAGAAAGAACTCAAACCACTCTCAGACAGGTGCTCGGAGCACGGAATTTGCAAGACGCAATTGAGAGAAGAGAGGAGATTGCCCAGTCCATTGAGGAGATCATTGCAGAGCCGGCAGCCAATTGGGGTGTCAAGGTCGAAAGTTTGCTGATCAAGGACTTCAGTCTGCCGCCAGGTGTTTCTAACTCGCTGTCGATGGCAGCTGAAGCCAAGAGAATCGGAGAGTCCAAGATTATCCAGGCCAGAGCCGAGGTCGAGAGCGCCAAGCTCATGAGAAAGGCCGCCGATGTTCTGGCCTCCAAGGCAGCCATGCAGATCCGGTATTTAGACGCCATGCAAAAGATGGCAGAAAACTCAAATGCAAAGGTGATCTTCATGCCCAGCCAGAACGCGATAGAGCGCACAGCCCAGGCTTCCAGCGGCGGCGGCGACGCTCCGGCAACAGACACCTATCCCGACGATGCCGACAATCTCCCGCGTGTCCTGAGTCTCCAAGAGGCCCTCTAAGCTTTGCTTCCGTTCATGAGTTTCCGATATCTTAATGCGTTTATATGTACCTTTGTACCTTAAAATATTCAGGCTGTGCAGCCTCATCAGACTTTTTTTTCGTAGTCGCTTTATATTTGAAACACCTAATTATTCACAGTTTCACGAAGTAGAATATTTGACCTTAGATCGCTTCCAGCCTTCTCTCTAACAGCATGAGTAAGGTGGGGGATTCTACTAAGAAGTTCCACGTGAATGCGAGTGGGCTTTTGGGCGCCGAGTCGCTGGACAATCTGACGTCTTCGTTGGAGAAATCATTTGCGTCCTCGCCCCGCTCATCGCCATCGAAACCGCGCAAAAACCGCAAAGAAACCCTCATGTCGCCCGCCAAGATCCAGAACCCGCCCCCACCAGTGGCCCCGATGTTCTCTCCCTCGCACGCCGAGTTCTCGAAGAAGCTCGGGAAGCTCACAGAGAAGCTGAGTTTTGGATCTCCACGCACCGCGGCACCCGTCGTGGACCCTACCACGTCCCCCAAACCCAAGTACAAAGGAACAACAAAGCCGGCGAACCCTCTGCCTCCGCCGCGGCTCCAGGAATCAAACAGATCGCCCAGATCGCGCGACACACCGAACTCGTCCATCCAGGGATCGCCCGAGTCTAAGCGGAAAGGATCGCTCCATGATAGATGTGTGTTCTGCGACTTGCCGCTCTTGTCGATGCTTCTGTATAACCCAGAGGCCACAGACCCTGAGGGCGTTATCGAACTGGTGTGTGCCCATAGCAGCCACGAAAAATGCCTGCTTCTCGAGATGGAGTTTGTTAACACAGCCAAGATTCCTCCCTCGGAGCCGTCAGTTGCAAACTACTTTCCCAGCTGTCCCAAATGTTCGAGCAGCGTGAAAGCAGTGCCGGCGTCCCAGACAATAGCCGACCAACTGATCACCAATATCCTCACCGTCCCAATGAAGAAACCAGAACCTATACATAGCATACCACTTTTCCGACAACCCGGATCGCAAAACAGCTCGGCGAACTCGTCGCCGCGCGTGCTTCAGCGAGCCAAAGGCGATCCCTGGACTCCCAGAGGAGAGATACTTCCGCACAGACACGCAAAGAAACCGTCGCGAGGATCGTCGATCTCGGCCGTTTCTTCAATCATCTCCTCGGTGTCTGTGGGGGTGCCGTTTGACCCGGAAACGCTCTCGAGCTCTGCTTTCGATGGGTCCAAGATCCAGAGCGCTTGGACCAGCGAGTTCCCGATCTACTTGCTGCGGTCCAAGTTTCTGAGCGAACTGGTTCTGGTGCAAAAACAGAAAATGAAGTCTATCAAGTTCGACAAGCCGATGATCGATTCTTTCGGCGACCTGAGGCTCTTGGACAAGCTTCGGCTCAGTCAGGACGGCATCTCGTGGAACGAGTGTTATTGCTATTTGTTTGAACGGATGTTCCTGACACTCGATCTCGACGCCAGCCGGATCGGAAAACTAACAATAGATCAGTCCTTGACCTCCGAGATCCCTTCGCCAACGGTAGTCAAGTTCCAGACCGCGAACGCAACCATACACCTTACCTGCAGTGACTCTGAGGTGGTGGAGAAATGGGGCGTTGCGCTTGCAAATCTCAACACAGAGTTCCCTAGCGGTTTGATCACATCCACAGTGAAGGAAGACGAATTCTACCCAGTGCTTCAGTTCGAAGATTCCAAGGAAACACGGCCTCCACGGAAGGGAGTGAACCCGCGGTTCTATGAAAGCACCATCAATTCGCTGGACTTTGGCCACAAGCCGTCCAAAATGGTGATTGTGGTGAACCAGCTGACTCCGTCGCCGCACTCGCTCGTGTCGATCAAAAACATTGTTCGCAGCTTGTCCATGGTGAAGATCGATATATCCATGGTTTTCACGTCCTCGCTCCATTTGAACTTGGGATCTAAGGTGCTGGACACCCTAGAGATGTTGGCGAGCGACGACGGCGACGATAAGGAGCTGTTGCTCAATAAGGTGGACGAGTACCAGAATTTACTGCAGGTCATCACCCCGACTGCAGACGAAACAAAGGCCCATTGGGAAGAAGACTCCATGCTGGGCTCTACTCTGAATAACATCCTCGAAACAGACGAGCGTCACAAAGACCAGGATATCACAACGGTGGTTCTATCAGCATCCTCTTTAAGCGGACTTGCAGATCTTCCTACCGCGAGAAATATATTCATCGAAATCAGTACGTCTCCAGAAATGGCGAACGGGGGCAAGCGGGCAAGCATCTTCAATGTCACTGGTTGGGAAGACGCCATGGAAGCAATATGTGCCTACATTGGGCTCGAGTTCGATGACAGTGACTTCGACAACAGCTCGGATGACTCTGACGACGAAGAAGCTAAAGAACCGCTCACTCTTGGGGATACCGAATTTTTACCCGAAAAGATTGGCGATAACACCAGGTGGAGCACTTTGCTTAAAAGCTTAGATAAAGCTTTGGAAGAAACAAAGGGTCACAAATAATTAATTTAATGTATAAACTTTTTTATTTACCCGGGAAATCACAGTTGGGCAAAGAAGGGAAAAAAAAGAAGGATCACTTCCAAATTTCCTTTGTTTTCTTGTCCTTTGTTTGATTAACCCTCAGGCATTTGATTTCTGATGAGATTGTCTACATATACCGTTGTCCTTGTGGCAAGCCAGTTGGCTTCTGCTTATACCACCAGAGTAAGTTCCCGCGCCCCCCGTCTCCCCTTCTGACCTCAAGTATAACCCTGATTTCTCTTGTGACGGATGTGTGCTGATCACCACTGCTTCTTCCCTACAAGGAACCATCAACACCGACACCTCAGAGGCATCCACCACTGAGTCGTCTTCGACTTCTACGTCAACCTCCCCAACCTCAACCTCAACCTCCACATCCAGTACCCCAACCACCACGTCAACCACTCCGGGCACCACATCCACTACCCCAACTTCAACCTCCACTTCTTCAACCACATCCACTACTCCGACAACTACCTCAACAACTACCCCAACAACTACCTCAACCACTTCTACCCCAACTACTACCTCAACCACCTCCACCTCAACTCCTACCCTTGCCACCTCCACTTCCACAACTGCTACTCCGGAAACTTCTACCTTCACCACCCCTACAACTTCAGTCTCACCTACAACAGAAGAAACTTCCACGGAGGAGCTTCCTACTACCACTTCGGAGTATGTCGTGACAACAGTGGTCGGTGAGACCTCCACAAACACTTACTATATCTCCACCACCACTGCAGTCGCCCTTGTCGTCACCTACACTAATACTGTCACTTTGGTCGACACAGAAGTCTCCACCTCTATTGATGCCAGTACTGGATCGACTCTCATTGTGGGACCGACCGTCACCTCCTTCTACACAGTCCCCGTGACTGCGACGCCGACAGGGTATTTCAACGAGACTTCGTTGGATGTTTCGTACGAGACGTTGGAGTCGACGTTCGTGGAGTCTTCGTACTCGTACTTTACGAGTTACAACACTCATTACTTGACTGAGTTTGAGACTTCGTACTCGAAGGAAGTTGTCACCGCAACATATATCGCTTGGGATACAGAGGTTGTTTCTTCTCTCAGCCTAACTACCGGCTACCAAACTTTGGTGTCGACCCACTATCCAAGTACCGTGGTGTCGACAGTCACTCCAGAGACTAGTAGCACAACCTGGTCGATTCCTGCAACCCCAACTCCAACGACAAGCCCGACCTCGTCCGGCGAAGCCACTTCAACGGCTGCAACCACCTCCACGGAATCGACCTCTACCAGCGAGACCAGTGAAGCAACACTACCAACTGTGACAGTCACCTCTGTTGTCACCGAAAGCACTTGTTTGGTTTGGGCAAACAGCGCTACTACCTGGACCAGCTCTGCTTCGAGCGAGACCAGTGGTTCATTGTTCACTGCCCAAGCCCTTGAAAACGAAGCTAGGGGACAAAACGAAAAATCAGGAATTGCAAAGTGGGTTGCAATAATGTCATGGATCATCATTGTGGTCATGATCTGATCGATCTATGTTTCTTTGCTCATCCTGGCTCTTTTTGTGTCTCTTCATGATTAGCTCATTTGCTCGAATATGCCATTTAAGAAATATTGGATTTGTATATTTAATAATCATACAAATAAAAAAATGAACTAAACGATTTGAAGCAGCATCGAGCAAAAACGAAAATAACCTAGGCAAAGTAAGAAGCCAGTTCTTCTTCTAAAGCGACATCAGGGAACAACCAGTCCGAGTGATAAACAAAGTGAACCAGGTCCTCTTTTTCATCTTCTTTCTTTGGTGTCTCCTGCTCATTTTCTTGTGAACCTTCCGGAGCAGGTTGGTTTTTCTTGGCTTCCTTCTCTTGTGTCTTTTGAGCGACCTGGGATTTTTGTTTCTTGTACTTGTTGGAGAAAGAAACAGCACTGGCGGACAAAAAGGCACTCGAGGCAACATAGGCAACAATAACCAAAATGGAGAGAGCCATAGAGGCTTTCTTCAGCTTGCAATTGTTTGCCAACTTGAGGAGCAGAGTGGATTGCAACTCCGAGGTAGTGATGTTGTTGCTGGCGTAGGAGTCGAGCAACTCGGAGATAGTCTCATTAGCAAGGGTGGAGTTGGCACCTGATAACAATTCCTGGATCTCTTCCTCTAATTCACTATCGAGGGAGGTGGAGTTGCTGCTGTCAGGGAGGTTGTAGTAGTTGGACAAGATCGAGTCAGCAAGATCGGAGGTCAAGTTGTAAGCAGTGAGCAAACCTTCGACATTGGAGCAGGACTGAGATCCGTACTCACTGATTTGCATAATGACGTTGACGATCCACAAAGCATGGGAAGTCACCTCGCTACCAAGAAGCGAAGTCAAGTACGATGTCTGAGACTTGGAAACGGTAACAGCAGATTTTCCAACAAAGTCAGAGGCCGACTTGGACAAAGTGCGGAAGGCTGAAGACTTCCAGAGCACAGCCTGGGTATTTTGGTTGGTGTTTCTTGACGTGAAGAGCTTTGGGAAAGCATAGTTGGCAGTGTTGGAGCCGACCGAGGTGCAGGCCGAAGCAAGAACAATAGCAGACTTCTTCCAAGTGGTGTCAATATTCAGCGAAGGCTCGCTGTAATCCCTTTTGGAGATTGAAGAGCTGGAGTCGGTGCTATTGTACAGCTCCTGCAGATCGTTGACAAGAGAGGTCAGAGAGCTTCTATCGTTGATAATCTTGCCAGATAGACCAAGGAGAATGATTCCAAAGAGTAATTGGATGTATCTGGTAGTGGTAGAGGAGCTGGAAAGAGTAACCATCGTGTCAAATTAAGATAAGATCTTGAACAAGAGAAAAGGGGGAAAAAAATAAGGCTCTGAATGTGTCAAGTGGAAAACAAAGAACAAAAAGGGGAACGGAAAATCCTACAACACATATCGCAGTCGTGGTGCAGAGGTTTTGGCTTGTTTAGATACATTGGCACAATTTTGTATTACATAAGAATATCTAGGTTTGAATCTAAAATTTTTATTGTCCGGGGACCAGAAAAGAAAGTCACGTGCTATGACCAAAAGTCGAATCATGTTTGAGTAATACGCCGCCTGAATTGCCCCACCTTTCGATGAAAAGAAGCCGAAAACCATCACATGGCTGCGCATTTAGCGGCCACCGAGCCTGAGGCACCCGTGGTATAAATAAGGACAAAATCCGCTTCGCTTAGAGAGTATTTAAAAATGTCTCAATGTAAGTAAAACTAAACAGCAACGGCTAACACCCAGCCCTTTCTTTCGATAGCAAGTGTGTTCATTCTGGCCAGGAGGAGCCAGAATCAGCTGCTCGTGCCAGAGCAGTCCCAATTTACTCTACTTCGTCGTATGTTTTCCGTGACTCAAAGCACGGAGCAGATCTTTTTGGGCTCAGAGAGCCAGGGTACATTTACTCCAGATTGATGAACCCTACCACAGACGTGTTTGAGAAGAGAATCGCAGCTTTGGAAAACGGTTCTGCTGCCGTTGCCACAGCTTCTGGCCAGGCTGCCCAGTTCTTGGCTATTGGAGCTTTGGCTCATGCTGGAGACAATATTGTCTCCACCTCCTTCCTCTACGGAGGAACCTACAACCAATTCAAGGTCACTTTCAAGAGACTGGGAATTGAGGCCAGATTCGCCGAGGGTGACTCTGTTGAAGGTTTCAGACACTTGGTGGACGACAAAACCAAGGCCATCTACTTGGAGTCCATTGGTAACCCAAAGTACAATGTGCCCGACTTTAGAGAGATCATCGACTTTGCACACTCCAAGGGTATTCCTGTGGTGGTTGACAACACTTTCGGAGCGGGAGGTTACTTCTGTAAGCCGCTCGATCTCGGAGCCGACGTTGTTGTCCACTCTGCTACCAAATGGATTGGTGGCCACGGAAACACAATTGGAGGAGTCGTCGTTTACAAAGACGTGACCAAAGATAACGGTTTCAACTTCAAAGACTGGCCAGAGAAGTATCCGCAGTTCTCCAAGCCTGCCGAGGGATACCACGGAATCATTCTGAACGACGTCCTCGGCGACCTTGCCTACATCCTGCACGTGAGAATTGAGCTGCTTAGAGACTTTGGTCCAACTCTGAATCCATTTGGCTCGTTCCTGCTTTTGCAAGGACTCGAGACTTTGGCACTCAGAGGAGAAAGACACGCATCCAACACCTTGAAGCTGGCCAAGTACCTTGAGAAGTCTCCACACGTTTCGTGGGTCTCTTATCCGGGATTGGAGTCTCACGAATACCACGAGAACGCAAAGAAATATCTCATCAACGGATTCGGAGCTGTGCTCTCCTTTGGTGTGAAGCCAGTCGACAACCCTTCGAACGACCAATTCAAGGAGAGCGGTCCTCGGTTTGTCGACAACCTCAAACTGTTCTCTAACTTGGCCAATGTTGGAGACTCCAAGTCTTTGATCATCAACCCATGGACCACTACTCACGAACAGCTTTCTGATGAGGAGAAGAAGGCCTCGGGAGTCACTCCGGATCTTCTCAGAGTCAGTGTTGGTATCGAGAACATCGACGACCTTATTGCTGACTTTGAACAATCTTTCGCCTTGTTGTATGGCAAATAGGTTTTTGCTGGCTACCGTCCAGGGCGGTGCATACATAATATTAGACGATAATTTAAATTTCTTAGATTTAATGTGTTTGGTGAAGGAGGATATAATTCTTCCGCGCCGTGACGTTCGTTTGCAAACTCCCGCGAAGATCAACGAGCTTCGAGATGCTATTAGCTCTACGCATCTGATGAATTCGGCCAACAACTTGCACGAGTTAATTGATGCTTTATTTACCATTGTCAACGATACTCATTCAGAGAAGAGCGCCAAAACGGTCAAAGAACTGCTCCAATTGGCCAAGGGACTACAGATCTACGAGGGAGTTCCTTGGAAACAGTATAAAGGGCCCAAATCAGTTACTTGGACCGCCTATGACGAGATTATCGTCGCATCGATAAGTCTCTCGCAGGTGTACCATATACTTACATTGGAGGCCCTTGAAGAGAGCTACAACAAGGAAACTATCACCGATGATGCCTGGAAACGGTCTTCGAATTTGCTCAAGAGCGCGTTCGGATTGGCCAATGAGTTGCGCGACGAGGTCTCCGAAATGCATTCTTCGAGTTTTGACAATATTTACCACTTGAACCTGGTGCTGGTGCAATTGCTCGTGGTTTTTAAAAACATCTACACAACAGACAAGGAGATCGAGGCACGGTTCGGCGATTTCGATAAGCTTCCGGATAAACTGAACCTGTATGTTCGGATTCTGATCTTCATCTATAACGAATGCGCAATCTTGAGCAAAACGTCGCCTCAGATCAAGACATGGATACAGTTCATCGAGGTTCTGTTCTGCTACTATACCAGTTTGACGTACTACAACAAGAATGAGCTTGGAATCTCTTTGGGACTTGTCAAGTACGCACTTGCAAACAGCATCGAACAGTCTGTGATACGATCCAAGCTGCATATCAAGGTGACTAGTTCCAACCTCAAGGAGAGAAAACTATGGAAAAAGGACCTCAATTTATTGAAACAGTATTCCCAGCCAACATTCCCGCCCGCTTTCCACAAAAACTTGGTCATGGTAGTGGGCTTCTTGCGGGTTCTCCATGCAAAGTTTGACAAACTGAACAACAGCATCAACTTCCAGACACTGGAAACGCCAGACTCAATCGCGCAAAACTATCTCTTCACATCCAACAATATCCCATCTGGACTACAGGTGCCTCTGGCTGACACTCGACCTTTTGTTCCGTCATGTATCGAAGCTATGGTACATAAACCAAGTGCTTACTTTTAATGGACCTAGCCGTATAAAAAGCCCACGCTAATACACCAACTTTCCATTTTGCCATAAAGTCCCTGCAGCTTGCGTCCTTGCGGGATCAAGAACTGCCGCACTCCACCCCCGCCGCCGCCAAGCATCGGACTGGTCTTTCTGTTGGTAAGTATCTGAATTCCATCGACCCAGGCTCCGCATCGGACGTTGAAGCCAGTGACAACTTCGTCTTTTTGTAGCCAGAAATCGGTATGGTGATGCTTGAAGTTACCGAAATCAACGTAGCTGTTGTCCTCAAAACAGACACGGATCCCATCCAGGGCTAAGCCGTGCGTGACTTGGAATCCCTTGATGTTCTTGTCGGGGAAGCTGACCATGACGTCGCGGCCATTAGACCCACCATATGGCTCGCTCTTGGTCAACGCCAACGAGCCACCTTGGACCATCACCGGAGTGCTCAGTTCAGCCAGCAACTTGCGGATGTCGCTGATATCCTTTTGAATGAATCCGCGAGCCAGGATCCGAAGATTGATTGGCTTTTTGGTCTTGAGCTGAGCTTCAACACTCGAAATGGATATGCGCACACCGCCCTGACAGCCCTGGCCTTGTAAAAACACCGGCAGGAACTCGTAATGCAGATCCGGGAACTCTCCCGTGATGAATTCGACCAGATAAAGTCCCGAAGGAGCAACCAGGTCAAAAGTGTCTTTATCAATGGTCACGACAGATATTTCACTAATCATGTCTTGTGGAAGTTTCATGCCCTGGTTGACCTGGAACGCACGTGGCTTGAACGAGTCCACATAAAAGTCAGATGGAACGGCAAACGCAGGATGGTACAAGAACCGGATTTTGTCGAGCCTGTGCCAACCCGGTTCTTGCGAAGTTGGGACCGGACCCCATTCTGACCGGTTAGTTCTTTGACAATATGCTTCCTTGGGTAAGAACTTTCTGTTCATGGTCAGGTAGTCTCGGAGCATCACTCCGTTTCTCTGGTGCGGACACCCAAGCAAGTGTCCAATTTCGTGCATGAATGCTCCCAATGTCAACGTGAAGCATTCCCAAGCTGTTCCACACTGGTTGCAATCATTGGCAACCTCATTGGTGCTGATGGGAGTTGTATCGGTAAATGCTCTGTGTAAAGATTCTAGATTCATTGGCCACGAATGAAGGCCATGTGAGCCGAAAATGGCTAACTTGATTCTGTCAGACCCTCCCCCTAATGCAGCATGTCCCAGAATTAGATTTTGGGACTTATCCCAGTGTGCATCCAAAATCATCACGGCAGCCATTGCAGGAATTGAGTTGGTGGACTGGTCGCTGAAGGGACCGCCATATTTGACAAGACTGTCCATTGCGATACTGAACAACTCCCCGGCTTTTTTGGCCTTGCTATTCTGCTGTGCATAGTCTGCGTTTCGTATTTCCGCAACGGTTCTGTTGCACGGGATGACATGGATCTTAATTTCGTCCCTTTTCACTCCGCGTTGTTCCTCAAAGTAGCTGATGGTGGTGCGTGTGTGTTCTTCGATAAAACGGAAGCTTCTTGATCCGAAATGCTCAAGGTACATGTCATCCTGGGTAAAAGCCTGCATGATTCTGCCCCCCATGCGGAGTTTTTTGATTGCGACGTCGAGTCCGTTCCCTTCAAACATCTTCGCTTGAGGGCAGTCAAACAAATGAGGCGAATCCCGAGCCACCAATACGCACAGATGGATTTTAGGGACGAGTCGGTCATCCTGAATCGGGCTGTAATTGATCTTGACTTTGGACTCTGCATAAACGGATGGTGCGTCTTTGGGAAACGCAGGTTGACCGTTCATCCAAATCCCGTCCACATGCTGGAGAACCAAAGAGTTGACACCCGGTCCCAAGTGGATCATTGCTTTGAAATGGCCATTGTACACTTCATAATACTGTACGTTAAACTTGTCGTTAAAAATGGCAAGCAGCCCATTTCGAGGCACAGAAGTCTGTCCCTTGAGAATGTAAACAGGGACTTGCAGTTGAAGCTGTTCAGGTGGAAGGTTCTCAAATTGGAACGACATTATTTATAGAACAGAGATAAAAAAGTATTTCCGATCAGGGACAAACGACGCGTCGGAGCGGAGGGGTATTGCTCCGAAACGAGTTGGATCTTCAGGGACCTTTAACCAACATCGAAAATCACGGCAGTTACGCCTAAAGTGGCCTTCTTGTGCATTTGGATCTATTGAGCGGGTGATAAGGGGGATGCAGCAAAGAGAAAGAACTTGCATCTACCGACACCAGGCTCGGATTTTATTGTTTCCGGTAGGCACTTTGCACAATATGATGTGATGTAATAGCGAAAACTTTTAACCAGATCAATACATCTCACCTGATTAAACATCCCAGAACAATTAATAGCGCCGTTAGAGCTATTGACTGTCGAATCGGACATTTCTGATTTTTATTTTTAGCAACCACGTACCAGGACTCTGTGGAGATGCTAGGGATGGTGACCCTCATCCAAATGTGTCGTCATAAAGTTTGTTATTTATAGCTGGCTCTGTATCCTATATATTAATCCATTCTGTCTTGCTACACCCTCATCGCCTGATCCAGGAAAATCTTGGTGAATTCCTATTGTTATAATCGGTGTAATTATTATAAGCAGTCTCCGCAAAGCTTAGCTCACTTTTTTTCGTTCGCGGGTCGACTGGTACAGTAGGTGTGAAATTTGCACCGGCCATAAAAAAAAGCTTTTATCAAGCTAGGAAAAAAAGTCGCAACATTACGAATTCTTAAGAAAATCGCCGCTGTCCAACCCGGTGAAAGAGGTTTCTGAAACTACAAGATTGAGGACTTTAGAGCTTTAGAGCTACTCCTTCACATCTGTTCCGATTGTTGAACTTTCAATTCAAGTCCGCGCCGAAGGGCAAAAAGACTGCTGTCTCATTCGCCACTCCTGCAAAGTTGTCACGAACATCTTTTTACGCGCGACCTAGCAACGCTAGCCAAACGATTTCCGAAAACCCCTACGTTCCTTATACAATCCCCGTTCCTTGCAACATGGCTGATAGCAACGATATATCTTCCAAATTGCAGGATCTAAGCATCCATAACAGGGGCATGAATCCTAATGCCCAAGCAAAATTATTAGCGTTCCAAGCCAAGAGACAGCAACAACAAAGTAATGATGAAATTTTTAGTCCCATAGGCGTCAGCTCTCCAATCTTAAGCACGCCTTCTACTCCGCGCAACGAAGACCTCACTGCGAATGGTGGGTCATTTTTGGATTCAGACGACCAAAAAGCTGCCCCTTCCTCTGAAGGTCTTATGAGACGGACTTCTTTCCGGTTGCCGAAAAAGAAGTCGGAATCTGAAGAGAGAAGTCCCGTGGAGTCTAGAAGCCGCGCACATAGCTTCAAAGTCTCAAACGATGCCGTCGACCGCCCTTTCGGTGGACATGCAACAAAGTCGGCCGATTCCATCACAGCAAAGGAAAAACCGCTTCCTAAAACACCGGATTCGGTGCTGGCCGACGAGTTGGATACTATTCTCCGTGCGGAGTCTCAAACTGCAAAACAGGCTAATGGAGCAACTGCCATTCACAGAAAAACATCCCTTTCCCAAAGAAGGGGCATGAAGCTTGATTTCGGCTCACTTGGTGAACCAACTAATCCGGCTGCAGGCAATAATTCCTTGAACAAACTCAAACAGAACATGCTGCCTCAGAGAGGCGCCCCTAGTATTCCTTCCGCCAGCAAGTCGGCCGCATCTGGTGCCAGGGCAAAGCCAAACTTGAACCTGCCACAAGCCCAACCAAAGCCATCTGGTATGTTTGCCAACTATGCCAAATACGTCGACATCAAGTCGGGGTCTTTGAACTTTGCAGGCAAGGCTTCAGTGCATTCCAAGGGAATTGATTTCTCTAATGGATCATCATTCAGAATTTCCTACGACGACATCGAGTTCTTGGAGGAGCTTGGTCGCGGAAACTACGGTATTGTCTCCAAAGTGTTGCACAAGCCTACGGGTATAATCATGGCAATGAAAGAGGTGCGTTTGGAGCTTGATGATTCGAAGTTTAGGCAAATTCTTATGGAGCTCGAGGTGTTGCATAGTTGTGCCAGCGACTGTATTGTCGATTTTTATGGCGCATTCTTCGTGGAGGGAGCCGTTTACATGTGCATAGAGTACATGCAAGGTGGTTCTCTAGACAAGATCTATGGCAGCGGACTGAACGAGCCGGAATTAGCCTACGCCACAAAATGCGTGGTGAAGGGTCTTAAGCAACTGAAGGATGAACACAACATAATTCATAGGGATGTCAAACCAACAAACATTTTGGTCGGTGAGAACGGAAAGGTCAAATTGTGTGACTTTGGAGTCAGCGGGAACCTTGTGGCTTCTCTCGCTAGAACAAATATCGGTTGCCAGTCCTACATGGCACCGGAGAGAATCAAGTCGCTGACGCCAGACGACGCAACCTACTCCGTCCAATCCGACATCTGGTCTCTAGGACTGTCAATTCTAGAGATCGCAAAGGGAAGTTACCCTTATCCACAGGAAACATACGACAACATTTTTTCGCAACTCAGTGCTATAGTTGACGGAGAGCCGCCAACTTTGCCAGACGATCGCTTTTCTAAAGAGGCCCGGGATTTTGTGAGCTTGTGTCTCAACAAGAATCCCAACAAACGGCCTGGTTATGCTGAGCTTTTGCCCCATCCCTGGCTGAACAAGTACGACGACGCGGAGTGCCAGAAACTTATGGCCCAAGTCGTTGCTCTTGCGCAAGAGAAGAAGCAAAATGGATCGGATCCTTCTTCTGAGAAGACGCAGTCTCAACAGGTTCCTCCTTTGCATAAGATACAGCTACAGAGGTAGACAGTTATATTAATATCAATTAAATCAGCATGCTACCGAAACCGTAGTGCAAGTAAAAAAATCTCGGAGTCGAGCCATCCTTTGCCCAATAAAACTCTGATTATATAAGCAAGGTTGAAGTCAATTGTAAAATATTTAGATATTGGCACCTCTTTTAACTTTGTATCAGAAACCGAATGGTGTTGTGCAAGAATTTGGTTCAAGCGGGCTTGAGGCCTGGATTGGCGGGTGCTCGGTTTCTTGCGTCGGTTCCTAGCGCTGCGGAGACAGGAAAGACGCGTGATGACGAGTCCATTATTTCTCCTCCTAAAAAGAGACGGAGACGGGTGACAGTGTTCACTGACAAACTGAACAAGGGCCCATCGTTTGATGATTTTGTTAGCGGAAAGGCCAAAGATATGTTTGTTGATCCGCTGGAAGTTGCCAGGAAAGACCCGGACGCACGGTTGCCATCGTGGCTCAAGGTTCCGATCCCCAAGGGTAAGAGTTTCCACGCTTTAAAGAACGATGTGAGGGAGCTGAAACTTGCTACTGTTTGTGAGGAGGCCAAATGTCCGAATATTGGCGAGTGCTGGGGAGGAAAGAAGTCCGAGGCCACGGCTACTATCATGTTAATGGGAGATACGTGCACGAGAGGATGTCGATTCTGTTCTGTGAAGACAAACAGGAACCCGGGACCTTTGGATCCAAACGAGCCAGAAAACACAGCAGAGGCCATCAGCAGATGGGGACTTGGGTATGTGGTTCTAACGACTGTTGACAGAGATGACTTGCCAGACGGAGGATCACACCACTTGCGGTCGACCGTGGAGAAAATTAAGCAAAAGGCACCCCAAATCCTGGTCGAGTGTCTGTCTGGAGATTTCCGTGGAGACCTGGAGATGACCAAGGTGCTTGCTGGGTCGCCGTTAGACGTTTTTGCCCATAACATGGAAACTGTGGAGGCGTTGACTCCACATATCAGAGATAGACGTGCCACTTATAGACAGTCGCTTGCTGTGTTGCGGACTGCCAAGGAGACGAACCCAGAGCTAGTGACCAAGACCTCTTTGATGCTTGGGTTTGGTGAGTCCGAGGAGCAGTTGTTACAGACTTTGAAAGATCTTAGGGAGAATCACGTGGATGTTGTCACATTTGGCCAGTACATGAGACCAACAAAGAGACACATGAAGGTGGTTGAGTATGTTACTCCAGAGAAGTTCGAGCACTGGAAAAACGTTGCCTTGGATATGGGATTTTTATACTGCGCGTCAGGACCGCTGGTGAGGTCCTCCTACAAAGCCGGTGAGGCGTTCATCGAGAACGTGATTCGGAAAAGAAGACGGAACGTTGGAGTCGCTAGGGAGATCGAGGTCGGAGACGACGTGTTTACGTCCAAGGAGGTTGTCAGTAATATATAAGTCACGCATTGGATAAATTAGTTAAAAAGTACATGTATTATACGGGATCATTCGCGGCCGAACCAGGTGAAGCACTACGAAAGAAAGTACGCTTCTCTATTAACCAATAACTCGGTCAAGATTGGGACATGCTGACCTGTTGGGTCGTTGGTAACGTTTGCACTGAACAACATTGCCAAACTCTCGATTGAATTTTTATTTTGTTCACGGTACTGAAGCACCTTGTCCAGGTAGATGAACAAGCACTTGAGTATCTGGTAGTTTTCGGATGGTAGAGCTTTAAGAACGGAATTAAACTCTCTGATTTTGATGGGCACGTCTGATAATTTTATAAGGCTTGAAAGCTGTTTGCAATCTTCATCGTTCAAAATTCTTTCTCCCGACCGGAGCCATCTTTTAAAAAGCGTAGTGACGGCATGCAGACTGGGTTTGGGATCCAAATGTATAAGATCGACGTCGCCCTGTATGTTGAACATTTCCTCGAGCTTGTTAATTTCAGACTTGACCGAAGACAGTCTGAAGATGCCAACTTTATCGTATCCTGTTTCCTGGTCCAGGAAAGTGAAACATCTGTACATTATGATGGGCACTTTGAGGTCCTTGTAGAAAAACGGAGACATTTGCGAGGACTGTTTAATTGTTAAACCAAAGCATTTGGACTGTCCTTCTGGATAGCCAAGCGTGGATCTATCCGATTGAGGTTGCGTGGGGGTGTTGGTGGATATGGATTTTGGGAATGCGGACCCACTGGCGAAAGCTGGCTGTGTTTGTCGGGGGAGTTCTGGCGGATTTTCATTTGAAACGATATCTCGAGTGAGATTACACATTTCAAGTTTGAGATTAGGATGTCGAGTGTCAGGCACGGTTGTCCAATCTGTCTCGAGACGGGATGAACCCAATAACCCTAGAGTTGACACTGATTTGGGAATATCTGCAACGGCCAATGTTGGAGTGATTGACGCTTTGAGAGCGTTTCAATAAGTACAAGAATGGAATTTGAACGGTAAAAAAACCACAGATAGTCTTGGATTTTGTATAATACAGCAGTTCCGACTAATCACTCTTGTAAGTTCAATCAAGTTGAAAGTTTTTCACTCGTAAGGTCAAGCTTATCTCTTTCTTTTTTTTTTCTTTTTTCCTTGATGGGTATTCTACGTTTAGTTTATATTGCCTTACCGACACAGCCCGAATCCCAGTTTTCTTTCGTTCTTTTTTTTTGTCGGTGAGGCAGATGAAATTTCAAGATTTCAAGTCTGCCTGAAATTCTAAGTCAAGTTGCTTTGATCTAATCTTTATACATAGAAAATGCCTACTGATTACTGACCATGCTCCAAGTTTAATTAGTTTCAGCCTCAGCCTTGACCACCTTGGTTCTAGCCTCCTCCTCGATCTCGGCATCAATCTTGGCAATTTCTGCCTCCAACTTAGCTGCCTTCTCCTCGGCCTTGGCCACGTTTTCTTTGGTCTTGTCGTCCTGCTTGGACTTGAAGCCCTCCAGCTTGGCCTTCAGACTCTCAATAGTCGTTGGGACCTCCTCAGCTTTCGTTGGCAGAGCAACAGAAAGCTCAGACAGCTGGACAATGACATCAGGGTCGATCACAAATTTGGACGATTGCTTCTTACCCTGGCTCTTCTTGCCCTTCTTGGCATTGGTTCCGCTGAAGAAGTTCTCCTGCTCCTTCTTGATGATGACAGCATTCTCTGGCATCTCAATCTTACGGGTCGTTCCGCTGTTGGTTGCAACCTTCGACTCCTCCAGTGGCTCCTTCTCGGCTCTCACGTAACTAGGGTCGAAATGGGCCAGCAAAGTCTCCACCAACGAGATCTCGTGGGTGTAGGCCGGTCTTTTGGAGGTCTCCTTCAAGGTCTCGATCTCAGTCTCAAGGCTCTTCTTCTTCAAAGTCAAGTTGTAGATTTTCTCCTCCTCCTCTCTTCTCTTCCGCTCGGCCTCCAAGTCAGCGACAAACTTCTTGTGCTGAGCATCAAAGTCGGATCTGACCTTGTTGATCTCCGCATAAATACCGTCTTTCTTGGTGTACAAGGCCTTTCTCTTGTCAAAGAGCACCTTTCTCTTGTCTTGAACACCCTTGTTCTTCAGGCTCAAAGTGTCCAACTGCTTGGTGATAGTCTCGAACTGAGCTTGAACCTCCTTGTTAGAGATAGCAGCCTGTTTCTTCTTCAAGTCCTGGATCTTGAGCTTGTCGTTGTCAACAGACTTTTGCAGCTGCTCCGTAGAACCAAAGTCTTTCTTGAGCTTTCTCAAAGAAGAAATCTCCTTGACGTATCTTCTCTCGTCAACCAGCTTCAAAGATCCAGAGCCAATCAAATCCTCAAGTTGGTTGATTTTCTTGTCAATCTCCTCGACGTTCTTGAAGCTGTTCTTGGAGGTCTGGGCCTGCAAATCACTAATCTTCTTTTTCAATTGGCTATCAATAGCTCTAATCTGCTCACCCAACAAGTTTCTCTTGTTCTTGATCTCAGACTGTTGCTTAATGACCGCACTCAGCTCGGTGTTCAACTTCTTTCTCTCGTCCTGAACATCTTGTGGCGTCACGGTAATTTCAATCTGCTTGTTCAGAGCTTCGATCTCCTTGTTGAACTTGTCGAGGTCCTTGTTGAGCTCGGAAATCTTCGCGTTCTTAGCCTTAGCATCAGGCTGCTTGATAAAACGTCTGGCTCTTGGAACTTTGACTTCTGGAACTTCGTCAGACATTTTCTACCATGTTAGCTCCTCAAAACCGCAGGAAACAGCCGGCCAAACAAAGCCCGCAAGTCGCCGTACTTACCTTCAAATGACACAAGATACAGTCGCGAGATGGTTCACAAACAAATCGTGATAACTACCAACGGAGCTTTAATTTTTCACGACACACAATTTATCGACAACTTTGTTCGATCTCGAAAAAGGTTTTGGCGTCGGTGCACGACCAAGTTTTTATTTCGCAATGGTGGCCCCGATTGGTAGCACCGGTTGTAAGGTAGAGTGGGACAAGGTTAATCGTTTACAGGGCATTGGATCATCGTCGTTCATGTTGTCGCTCTATAAATCGCCGAAGAAACACAGTTTAACAGCCAGCGAGAAGCCCAAGTGGGCCAAAACCAATAAACCCAGAACCACGGTGGATTGCTTTTTCTCCTCTTGTCCAAAGATTGTACCAAAGTACTGCGACAGCTTCACAGCAATGCTCAAACCGCTGAGCAAGCAGCCGATTCCGATGCATGTCCATTTCAAAGCTGTGTCCAGCACATGGTGGTTGATCAACAAGCCGCGGAATATACTCAAAAAGGCAGCCGGAATCCACATGATGTTCGAGTACGAGTAAATGGACACCAGTTTTGTGAGCGGGATCAGCATCACAACTTTGAAGTAGAATCTCAAAATCACATACAGCAATGCGGGAATCACAACGATGTATCCGTACAGCAAATTGATGGAGGTGATAATCATCTTGAAATAGTTGATACCGAGGTTGTTGTTTCCGAGGAACCATTCGCTGATCAGTTCTGCAAAGGAGTTACAGAAAAACAGCAGGTAAACCAACGTAGCTGTGATCCAAACGGATCCATAAAGATCACCAACTTCTCTAAACTCCTCCTCCGGAACAGACATTAATGGATTCAGGCTTCTCAAGCAGTTTTTGAAAAAGTCTTTCGTTTCGAGATCAAAGTACTTTCTGTAGTAATTGAGGGAGAACAGGCCTCCCGAGTAAGTCTTTTTTGACTTGGCTGAGTTGTCGGAACTTGTCCCCGCTGTCGTTCCTGGAAGAGGTTCTGGCTTGGCAGGGGCGGATGGAGCAGCAGCAGGAGTGGGGCTAGCCGCATCCGGCTGAATGAACACGTCCTCGTCCTCAAATGGCTCCGGAATTGGTGGCTGGGCCTTCAAAGAAGTGTAATCCGACATGCTAAAGAATTACGTTTAGATTAATTCCAAAAAATGTTGCGTCGCGTCGGTCTGTGGAATCGACGCTGGAACAACCCCGGTGCACCGCCCAGGAAAAATAACATGAATAACCCCATCGTACAAGCAAAAATTCTATCAAAAAGGAATGTTTGCTGACGCGTCTCAAAAGGGGAAGGAGCGTACGGCATTAAATTCCCTGGGGCGGAAATTCCCGTTGTTGCCAGCAACAGGTGCCAATGGCCATGCTGAGAAGCACTCCCACTTATCCACACTACCAAAGCGCTGTACCGTCTTGTCTCGCTTTTGGCATTATTCCATACCCCTCTCGGGTTTTGTTTCAGCCCGTAGCATCTCCCTTTCGGATATCTTGCCAATGCTAGATCTGAAACCCTTATTGTTATGTCTGTCGTGTAAAACCCAGAGTCGTGATTTTAAGATTTTCAAAGCGCGGAATCTAGACCGTAGCAATTTGGGGCTGGGAGTGTGTGTGTACCTTTGGTGGGAAAACAAGAATCAAAGCTACAACTATCTAGTAGTTAACTGGTACATATTAAACCGAGCAAAACTCAAACCGTAGCATGTCGCATTTGATCTGCACAAACTCGCGCAACCTATTTTTGGTAGTCATCAATTGAGAATTTAGTTGAAACTTTTTACCATAACAAAAGCGCATCCGTGCCTCGCACGACTTTTTTGTATCCACGAATGGCCTGAAAGGGGAGGACAAATTGTAAAAGCTTCAAAGATTTGTTTAGAGATTTCTTGTGTTGTGAATTTATAGTTGTTTCCCTCAACGAAACAACCAAGTATTGTCCATCGAATTGGTGTATATGGATACTACTCTACAACAGACACGCTTAGTCAAACCAACACAGTTTTCGTTCCTCGCTTGAAAACACCGTTCCACTTTAAATTACTCAAATTAGTCAGTCCTTTATTCATTTACCACTTCAAAGAAAGTTGATACCCTTCCATTCGTTTCTATTCCCTCACTTGCATCGATTATAATCTGAAAATATGGTCAAGTTACCAAACATTGTTCTTCTTTTGGTGATATCCACCATGGTGGACGCACTTTACTTGCCATCCGTCTTCTCAAACAAGGAAATAGGGAAACTACTCAAGAGAGCAGACACAGAGAACAAGAAAGAGATTCGAGATTCGTTATATTCGAATTACAGCTCGCCCGTGCCGGAGAGCTCTTCTAGCTCTTCGCCCGATATTTATGAAAATGCTTTCCAATCGACGGATTTCGCATCTCTACCCACGGCGTGGGACAGCTCAAGCTCGTCCAGCTCATCTAGCTCTCAGTCCTCTCTTTCCGAGACGGCTACGCCTTCAGAGTCATCATCAATTGCCGCAGCATCCCAAACATACTCTGATACCAGCTCGTCAACCACTGATGATATATCAAGCTCAAGTTCGCAAACGACCGATTCCGAGACCAATTCCGCAAGCAGCAGCTCAACCGCAGACTCAAGCTCGTCCAGTCCGGAGCCATCTTCCTCTAGCAGCATAACTTCCACAGCAGAGAGCTCGTCAACAGATTCTAGCTCAACAGCCCCTTATGTTGCCGCAATAGAAGAAGCTTCATCAGACTCCAGCTCGTCGAGCATAAGCAGCACCGACGCTTCATCGAGCACGACAGAATCATCAACAGAGACTAGCTCGAGCATCACAGCTTCTTCCTCTGAAGCAGATTCCAGTTCCAGTAACACAGACTCTTCGACGGAGACAAGTTCAAGCTCGAGCACAACAGACTCCACGACAGATTCAAGCTCGAGTACGACCCCAGCAGATGCAACATCTTCAAGTAGTTCTACGACTTCGTCGAGCTCAACAACCGGATATGCATCGGGTGCTTTCGTCAACACGGGCAAAACCACTGCATTAGATTCAACGTCGTCCACATCTGCTAGCGTAGCTGCGGAAAAGATAGCTCCAACATCTACAACCACGGGAGAGGATTCAACTTCTCCAGACAGCTCCTCTACTTCTACAGGGGAGAATACTACTTCCTCATCAGAAGAATCGTCGACTACCAGCTCTGAAAATTCGGAGGCGACCGACAGTTCAGATACAACTACGTCTTCGCCGGAGCAGGACAGCGTGTCTCCTACATCTTCGTCCGAATCGTCTACACCAACCCAAACTGCTTCAAGGTATGGTGGCGCTACGAAATTCAAGGAGACAACAGCTGATGCAAGCAGCTCGTCGACAACACCAACATGGACAGCATCAGGACTTGGTAAGATTACAACTTCTAGCGAAAGTGCTTCTTCCATTACTCCTACTCCTGAGCCACATGTGGTGGAAGACAGTTCAACGAGTGAAGACTCGGGCACTGCTGCTCTCACCGAAGCTTCAACGGACTCTGATATTACCGAGTCACCTACTCCGACCGGTTCGTATTTCGTTCCTTCATCTTCTTCAGTCACTCCAACGCCAACAGAGAATTCGATTTCCTCAACGTTCACGCCTTTACCAAATGAAGACTCTACGACCGAAGGATCAACAAGCTCAGAGGGCATTGAAACTCTTTCAACAGCGGCAGACATCGCCTCAAGTTCGACTAGCCCTGTTGTCAGTTCGTTGACAACATCTAGTTCTGCTACTCAATCTACATCGAGCTCGTCTACTACTCCTGTGAATGCAGCCACCACTATTGAAGACCAATCTGTGTCAAGTTCCTCTGCAAGTTCGACGTCATCCACAGGATCCCTCGCAAACTATTTGCTGCCTACTTCGTCGTCTTTGGCTTCCACCGTGGAGCCAAGTTCAACATCGACGTCTGCAGCAGCTTTGGAGAGCACTGCTTCCTCAAGTAGTTCTGAGACCGTCGCATCGTTAGAATCGTCTTCCACTGCAAGCAGCATCACAGCAGCCGAAAGTTCCACAACCTCTTCGTTGTCGAGCGAGGTTGGAACTGCTGAGAGCTCTACAGAAAGCGAGACTTCCAGCACAAGTGTTTCGTCTACGCTGTTGGGAAGTACATTCGCTGCCACCAATCCAGAAAGCTCCACGACCTCACCCTCATCCACTACAGGAACAGCGGCCGACACCCTGACCTCTTCTGCCGGTTCATCAACAAGTACCGCAGATGCTTCGACCGAGCCCTCCAATTTGTCTGGAACAACTACGGAGGAAAGCTCGTCTGCAACATCTGCAGGTGTTATTGGAACCTACCCAAGTGACACTGTCTCTACATCCGCAACATCTGCACAAACTGCCGAGACTGGCCAAGCGCAAACATGGTCGTCAGAGAGTTCGACAGGTACCACCACTACTGCACCAGCGTGGTTACCTACAAGCATAGTCTACCAACAGCCAACGTCTGCTTCGGACTCTACGCAGAGTACAACCAGCTCTTCCCCAAGCAGTGCGTTGTCATCGTTGCCAAAGGCAATCGCACCGGTTGATGTTGAGGATGTTGCTCCAGATTACGAACTGATCACTATTGGTTTTAAGGAAGAACTCAACTATCCATTTGTTTGTGAGAGTTCTTACTCTTCAGCTCAGATCTTTGAGTACTTGCCATCAATTTTGACTTATCCAAATCCTGGAGTCAACGAGTCATCAGTGTTTGTGAAACAACTGGTTCCATACTCCTCTGCTGACGTTGACTACATCATCACCGTTGCTGAAGTTTACTTCGCCCAAGACCACATCAACGTGTTGCAAAACCAGATCAGTAACACTACTTCCAAGATCTATCACAACCCTAACGATGCCGAGAGCTCCCTTGCAGCATTGATTGACAGCAAGGTTCCTTTGAGTGGATTGTTGGGAGTTATTGGAACTGGAACTGCCTCTACTGGTGAGAGTGGTACCGGAGGCGCTAATTCTGACCAAGGTAACGACAACGGAAGTGACAGTGGACTGGGATCCATGGACTCGTACAGCGGAAAATCAACGCAGTCTGGATCCGTCACTGTCAAAGGCGGCAAGATTGCAGGAATTGTTGCTGGATCTGCCGTTGGAGCTGTTGCGTATGGAGCCATCATGTTTTACGTCTACAGACTGCGTACCAAGGGTGCAAAGGAGCAGTTAGAGCAAGAGAAGGGAATGGGATACAACAATTCCAACTCTTCAAATGAGTCGTTTGTGATGAATTACAGTGAGGGACCATTATTCAGTGATGGTTACCACAGTGATTACTCGAACGGCGGAGCAATAGGCCTGCATTCGAATTCTGCTGCTACAAATTCGAGGCCCTCTTTGAGATACTCCGGCAGTGGTGGAGAGTCAGGATCCAGCCGCTTCATGCCTGCGATCTCCAGTCCAAGGAATGTGAAAAACTCTCTTGGATGGTGAACGAAGGTCGACTCGCTTTCAATTTTGTTAAAAGAAAACTGGATTTTCAGTTTTATTTGTAACATAGTTGGGGATATATACATTCTTCATATTATGACATCGATTTAGTGATTCTTAAAGGATTAATCTAGCTGTTTCGTTTAAGTATTCTTTATTTTTTTCGTAGCGCAGAACAGAAAGCATGACCTGTGGAATCAGGGCTCGCTTAGTTGAGGACACTTTGCCCGGTGCTCTCATAAACGTCTGTGAGGTTTTTAGGAATTGCAGCCAGTCTGGTGGTAGTTGAGGGGTTTGGCCTAATGCTTGGTACATTAATTTATGTTCAGAAAAGTCTCTAACGGAGAGAATATTGGCAGGATAGTCAATTTTGGCTTTGATTTTCGACGACTCGTGAAGAATAATTCCTCTGAGTATTCGGAACTCCATGTTGTCTTCGCCCAACGGTTCGGCACAGGCGTTTGATACAAAGTTGACGGAGTTGGCCATTCTTCTGAGGATTTCTTTATTCTTAAGCCGGGGCAAACTGGGGTTCAGGATGGCGCGTTTCTCGTGATAGTCTTCTCTGAATCTTGCCTGAATATACAGACCGTACACTTCTTTGAAATGGCTCATCATGGTCAGGTACCGGCGCAGTCTGATTAGGTTTCTGTATACGATCTTGCACTGTTCGTCGGGCTTGAACTTTGCCAAATACTTCGCAGTGAGTCCTCTGGGCCCATATATTCGAGTGATTAGAGACGAGTTGTAGGCGAGATGTGTTTTGAATATTTGCACATTCGCCTGTGAATGAAACATTATATAGGGTTGATTGTTGAAATATTTTTTTTTGGTAGCAGATTTATCTATTCATTATTTAACATTAGGCATTGATCAACATATGCTCAAAACATTCGTCAAGTTTTGGACCAGCTATTCGGCCATTTTCTATATCGTATATCTTGTCTTTTAATCTCAGGTATTTTAGAGATTTGTTAGTGAAGATATCGTGGAGATTCTCATACAACGATTGCCCAACTAGACACGAAGGAGACCGGATATCGAGGTATTCAATGTTTAGGTCTGCGATAATATCTGCGAGCTCGACCATATCGTTGAGGGAAATGCATAGCTGTAGACTTTTCAGCTGATTTAATCCGACAAGATGGGTTCTCACCGACTCTAGTTTGACCGGTTGCTTAGTATTAATGCAGAGATGCTGGAGACCCTTATGGAGGCCAATACTCTCGAAGTATTTCTCGGTCATCTTGTCAAGTGTCTGTGCAGAGCAATGTGTAGGTGATATCTTGACTCTAAGGGTTTGCAGATATGAAATCGTGGAAATCAACTCTGCTCCGTAGTCATATATGCAGTTAGAGACGTCCAAGTCCAAGGATTGAAGGTTGACCAAGTCGGGAGCGATCTGCATCAAAAACGACTTCTCAGGAACACACTCGGTCGATTGAGCCATATGGGAAATCCACCGGTTCAGATCAAACTCGCAAAGGTCTTGCAGAGCAAGTCCTTGGCTCGAACACGGATACTCCACTATATCCGCCAGACGGAGGACTCTGAGCTGGGAGAAGTCAAAGTTGGTTTTTAGGGACATCACCTCTTCAGGATGGATAATGGCCGACTCAAGACCAAATTCTTTCAGTTGGATTCTTGTCCCGTTCGAGTGGAAAATCGAGGAGAGCGAGGCACGGATTGGTTTCAGACTCGAGCTTATCATGCCTGAAACACAGAGCTTTTCCAAAGCAGGCATTTGTGCAAGGTCAATCGGCGAGTATTTCGTGAGCCGGAGCTCTTTTGTTGTTCTGTTGAACTTCTTGAGTCTGTTTGTGGTCAGAGACCTCAGATCAAGGTTACTGAGAAACCCCGCGTTGGGGATATCTGCACACTTCAAGTTGATCATTTTGAAAAGACATCTTGCCATGGGTAGCTCAACTTCCTGTTTGATCTCGATGCGTTCAACAAGCAAACAATGCTCTGTCTCGGAAAGAGTTCGCACCAGCTGTTTTGTGCCGTAAGACGTTCTCACTCTGGTGGAACGAACCTTGCTACCACAAAGGTCTCTGGTGCCATAGTAATCCTCAAAACACTGCTCCAGACAAATATCGGAGCTATCCACAATTATCGATCGGTACAGTCTCCGCAAGCCACACTTGTACAGGGACCTGCTACATAGCATCAAGTGGAAACAGTCGGCCTGGCTCAAGCCGTCGCAGATTTCCAATACCAGCTCGTTAGGAAGAGAAGCAAGCATTATGAACAAAAGTTTCGAAAATCGCTACTCTGATATCCCCATGGTGTTTTCGGACTCAGGGTCATGAAAAATACCTGCTTGACATAATGGCCAGCCGTTATTGTTCCGAGGAGCGTGTCTCGAGGAAATGTGTACATCACAATTTTTTAGATTCTCGTTAATATCGGTCGAATTTATAGCTATTTAGTAGACTAGGAGGAGTTTATAATTTTGATCAACCAGATGGTCCACCAGGGGGTCAGATGACTTCTCGTTGGTGATGATAACCAGGTTGTTCATAGAAGGCGCGCTCCGGTCGTAAAGTTTCTCTATTTCGTTGGGTCCCATAGCCGAGACACTAATGTTGGGGTTTTGCGCTAATAACGGGTCGTTCAGGATGATTGCCCTGATCTCGTTCGACTCCTCGACAAGAATTTGGGCCGTGGATATCCTTCGATGGAGAATAAGGACGCTGAACAGTTTCAGTGCAACCATATCTCGTTGGCTCATCTTGGAACTAGTAAAAACTAGCAGTAGTGTGCTGATCTCAAACGAATTTGGGTTAAGGAACGTGTCTGTTGAGATCAGCGATTTATCGTCGACGGACTCGTTGTAGGCCTTGGAAGCCAGTTCCTGATTGTTGTTCACAAACAAACACCGGTGAACGTCAATGATATCTGCCTTTCTTAGTTCGGCCATCACCTGACGGTTTTTCTCAAAGTCCTTGATGCTCATGGTCAGAACCAGCAGATCGTGCTTGAAGTAGGTCACTCCAGATAGAAGCGTCTTGAATTGGTCTTGCGGAAGACTGTATAGAATCTCAGAGGTGAACTGTATGGAATTCAAGTCGCTGAATATCTTGAGAATGCTCAGTATAGCGTTTAAGTGCGTGTTTTCGGTTCGCTCTTCGTCTTTTAGCATCGATGCGTAAAGCAGATCTGCCGTTCTAGGAGTAAGAGATTTGATGTGCACTCCATGTATGGGTAGTTTGGCTGGGATTGCCAAATGGTCAAGCAGAATAAGATCGGTGGTTATGTTTTCGAGGTTGTTGGCGTTCAGAATGAGCCGCTTGAACTCGATCTGCTGGTACTCATCAGGCTGCAACGAGGAGTCAGAAGCAGGCACAGACACAGACTCCTCCTTTTCGGCAAGTCGTCTCTGCACAGAGTCTCTGTAAGATTGTGGGTAGCAGCACAATGTGAGCGGAGTGGTGAGAAAGGTAGCAATGAGTGCCATGACAATAAACATTGAAAAAGTCTTCTGCGAAATGATGCCAGCGTTCAGACCGGTGTTCAACACCACGATCTCCACAATTCCTTTACAGGACATTAGAACACCAACCGAGAGCGACTCTCGTTTGTACAGCCCGCAAAACTTGGCTGCCACGAATCCACCAAAGATCTTCCCGACCATGGCCACCACAACAATGCAGACAATGTAGGCCCAGTCGATACCTCTATTAAGAAGGCCCAGGTTGACACTGAGACCGGCCAGCGCGAAATATAGCGGCACGAAAACGATATTGACTAGGTCCTCGATTTTTTCTGTGAGGATGATGACATAGTTGTTTTCACGCGGAACAATAGTGCCCACAATGAATGCGCCAAAGATGGGGTGGACTCCAATTATGTCTGTGAAAAATGCAGACGCAAACATAAGCATCAGAATGATGGTTGTTCCGAGTTGCGAAGGGCCGGTGTGGATCTCGTCCAGCTTGAACAGCACTTTGCGGAGAAGAAACCGCAACGGATACACCACAAACAAACACCAGCCAATAACGACCAGACATATGTAAGCTGTGATTTCGGACTTCGAAGAGTTGGCCAGCGTGATGCTGAGAGCAAGAAGGATCCACCCGATCAAGTCGTTGGTGATTCCGGCAGCAAGAACCACGACACCGACTCGATCTTTTACCAGACCCAGCTCTGTGATGATTCTGGCAAGCACGGGAAACGCAGTGATGCACATGGCGACGGCAATAAACACCATAAACGTGGTGAACTTAATTGGTTGCAAGTCGTCGTCATTGACTCTATATTCGTTCCACAGACCAACTGCGATCGCACAGCCCAGTCCAAAGGGGACCGCCATGTTAAATATGCCGACAGAAAATGCAATTTTAAGGTTCTTTTTGATGAACTCGACGTCCACCTCGCAGCCAACCATGAACAGTAACAGACACACTCCGACATTCGCAACCAGAGTAAGTCCGGGAATTGAGCTTGTTGGAAAAACGAGACTTGTGAATCTAGGAATGTGGCCCATGACACTTGGTCCAAGGAGAATACCGGTGATCACCTCTGCGATGACCTTGGGCTGTTTGAGGATCGACAAAGGTTTATGGACAAGTTGAGCTAACACCACAACAAATATGGTTTGAAATATGAACAGCGTGTAAGGTTGGGACGAGGAATATTCCAATGGATTCATCCCGGCAATGATTCCGGCCGCTGACGATGTGGAAACCGCCATGATCGAAAAGACAGGGGAACAGTGCTCAATCGAAGATCAGCAAAGTAGCCAGTAAATACGAACCGGATATATAAAGATAATTTTAAGCCAAAACGGTTTTCAGACTTTTTTCCGGTTTCCGGATTTCCACTGAAAAATTCAAGAAAATTTAAAGAGTCAACTCCGTAAAGGCTGTCTTTGCTTGGACTTGTCTTACGAAACTTACTCGATACCTATGCTTCCACAACCCATTGACATCCACAAATGGATTGCTGAGAACCAGCATCTTCTCCAGCCTCCGGTGAACAACTACTGTCTTCACAGAGGTGGATTTACCGTGATGATAGTTGGAGGCCCAAATGAGCGCACAGACTACCACATAAACCAGACGCCCGAGTGGTTTTACATGTACAAAGGCGATATGCTTTTGAAAGTGGTTGACGATGGAGAATTCAAGGACATACCCATCAAGGAAGGCGAATCGTTTCTGTTGCCTCCAAACACCCCGCATAATCCGGTGCGATTTGCAAAGACCATCGGATTGGTTCTCGAGCAAGATCGACCAAAAGGAGTGAATGACAAGATGAGATGGTACTGCTCCAATTGCAGGGAAATCTGCCACGAGGTCGAGTTCTACTGCGTCGATCTCGGAACTCAAGTGAAGGAAGCTATTCTGGCCTTTGATAAGGACATCGACTCCAGAACATGTAAGAGCTGTGGTACTCTTAATTACTCTAAACCTCAATGATTTACGAAATGTATTGCGATGACTGCGGTCCTATTTATGTTTTATTCCGTGTGACTGTAGAAATCTATAGGCTGGTGAACTTGCGGTCAAAAGCTGCCTTTAACCAGCTGTAGAGCTTATCATACACTATGGTGTTGGCGTTGTTGTGGGCGATGTTGTGGTTGGAGTCTGGGAACACATGCATGTCGTAGTTTTCAACGCCGTTCTTGTCGAATTCGTCCAATAGGTGCAGCGTGTTTTGGAAATGCACATTGTCGTCTGCCGTCCCGTGCATCACCAAAAATCGGGTGACTTGTTTGAATCCGTTCACGTCGACAATCTTCGAAACACTCTCATAGTTTCCGTTCTCTGGAGGCTTTCCCATATACCTCTCCGTGTAGATCGAGTCGTACAGCTCCCAATTGGTAACTGGAGCAACCGCCATTCCGTACTTGAAAGTTGTGCCTGCGTCGTACTCCAACGTTTTCAAAGTGGTAAAGCCTCCATACGACCATCCCCAGATAGCTGTCAGATCCATGTCGATATAGTCGGTCTGCTCAATAAGACGTTGTGCAGTCTCCACAATATCCCGTGGTTCCCAATACCCGATCTTGTCCTTGGCAAAAGACTTGTACTTCCATCCTCTGCCACCAGTGCCTCTTGGATCGATGTACCAAACAACAATCTCCAAACCAGACACAGACACCTCTTCAAAACCATACCCAAACGACGCGCTCAGTTTCTGAGCTCCGGGTCCACCGTAAACACTCACCAACACAGGATACTTGTTTTCCGGATTGAAATTGTATGGTTTGACTTCGATCACGTCGATGGTGGTTCCATCTTCCAATGTAACCGTCTTGTACTCCTTCAGTGGAACCTGATAGTGTTGCAAGTCGTCCGCAACCAGCTTTGCGGTGTTTAAATTCTTCGAGTTGACGTACTCCTCGTTTGTCTCGGAGAAAGTGCTCATGGTGACAATCTTGTCGGTTGGCAGATTTGGACCCTTGTACTGAACAAAGCCGTATTTTCCCGCACTTGAAACACTGAGACTGTACGAACTGATGTCCTCCACATTAGTGAGATTGCGCAAGTCGCTGCCGTCAAGTTTCACCTGATAAATCTGGTGTTCCAGAGCGTTTCCAGCAGTTCCAATGAAGTAGACAGTTTTGTCAGCCTTGCCATACCCTGCAACACCATCAACAACGTCCCAATCGCCAGTCGTAATAATTTTTGGTTCTGCTGATGTCGCAGACTCAAAGTATGCCAAATGGTCTCGGTAGTTGTCAACTACTGTATCAATGTATCCACCTGTTGGGACCACAAATATGTCGCCGTTATTGACATACCATCCCTCATAGTCATTAGTGTTGTACGAGCGAACCACGGTAGACGAACCATCCTCGGTCTTGAACACTCTGACATCAACATTTCTACTGGTCCTGTCAGTTTCTTTGACTAGCAGCTCATTTGCATTGATCCATGCCACTTGATAAACGACAAAATCAAAGCCCAGCTTGGTTCCTTCATGTTTGACTTCCACTGACGACTTGGATTCAGGCGAATACACAAAAACGCTTGCAATTGGATTGTCGTAACCGGGTTTTGGATACTTGAGCTTCTCTGTGACTGGGTACTTTCCATCTTTGAAGAACTCCAAGTCGTATTCAGGAACCTTAGAGTCATCGAATTTTATGAACGCAAAATGAGACTCGTCAGGACACCAGTAAATAGCACGATCGCTGCCCAGAACCTCCTCCTCATACACCCAGTCTGGCTTTCCGTTGAAAATTGAAGAGCTGCCGTCTTTTGTCACCTGGATTATTTCGCTAGTCTTTAAATTCAAAAGGTAGATGTTGTTTTCGTAAACGAATGTGATATAGTTTCCGAGCGGAGAAAACTGCGCAAAACTGAGCTGGACCAGCTTGTCGTCCTTTTTATACAAAGGAGTGATTTCGCCTGATTCGATATCCAAAATCCAGTAAACACCGTAGCTCGAATGTCTCCATTCTGCAGTCTGCTCGGAGACTAACAGGACTTTCTTAAGCTGGGAGCTGACTTCCACGAATGAGAGATGATGCGAACGTCCATCCTGTTGAACCTCGTTCATTTCGTATAATTTAGCATTGTACTCGGGATCGGATGCTTTTCTTAGAAAATGAATGGACCCTGCAGTATGTAAATATAGACCTTCGTCTTGGTCGAAGTCCAAGCCAGGGATATCAAGGAAATCTAGACTGTATCTAAACACGTAGAAAGAACCCATTCTTTCGGCTTCGAGGGTCATGGGTTTGATATCGTCCGAGTCTTGGATAGCAGATTCCTCTGTCGAGTCTTGTGGTGGCTTATTCGAGTCGGTATCGGCATTTCCAGTGGTTCCATTTGCTACAGGAACAGGCTTGTTCCCGTTGGAAAATGCCCCTTGGTTGGCAAAGGAAATCAACAAAACGAGCCAGATCACGAAAATCACGATACTGAAGATGGTGAGTCTCCGTCTGTTATGGGGAAGACTCAACGAATGGCGTATTCTTTGTTTAAGCGAAAGCCCCGAGACGTCACCGGAATGGCTAGATAGCCGTTTATTCCGTAGCCGTGGATGGTAGATCAAATCGCTGTCATCTTCCTCGTCAATTGCAAACTGGTTCACCTGTTCAAGTTCATAAGAGTTTCTCCTTGAATTTTGGTCCTGGAGCTCGATATCGGAATCGAGCCGAGAGGAATCCTGATTGGCCACCATAAAATAGCAATGTCGTCAAAGATCACAAACCAATGGTCGGAAATTCAATATTATTCGCAATTCAAGATGTTGGTGTCCGTGTCAGAACAGAATCTAATAAGGAGGGATGATTTGGATTTTAGTTTTTTTACCCGGACCGTGAAATATAATAGCCAAAATTTTTCCAATAGAGTTGATTCTATACGCATTTACATATCATGTCAAGCACTCTATTTGACGACATTTTTGGAGTCCAGTCGGTGGATACCGGAAGATACGACAAGGTCTCTAGAATCATTGCAAACTCCACCAGCTCTTCAGACACAAAGCTCACCCTGGACATAAATACAGAGCTGTTTCCTGTGTCGATAGGAGACTCTTTGTCAATTGCCTTGGCCAAAAACCTCAATCTGGACGACTCTGAGGATGACAACAACATGTTCTCCACCAACGGATCCTGGAGACCTCCGAAACCAGGCCAGAAATCTCTCGCAGACGAGTACGATTACGTTATGCACGGTACGGTTTACAAGTTCGAGGAAGGAAAAGACGACAACATTTCTGTTTTTGTGTCCTTTGGAGGACTCTTATTGTGTCTGGAAGGAAACTACAGATCTCTCTCGTCTCTCAAACAGGAAAACTTATACATTCTAATCAGACATTAGAGATCGCAATTGTATAATACGCCTTAAATAGATGAATCAATTAATGTCTATCATAATCCTTCCCGAAGGTCAATCTCGCTCAGTCCAACGCCTCCGCCTAACTTATAGTAGTTCTCCATCAATGTTTTACGTTTCTGGTTTCTGAGTTCGACCATTGCAGGCCAAAAGTCGTCATGCACATACTCAAAGTTCACGTCTCCTCCGTAATTGAGAGCGAGCTGTTCAGGTGGAATGAAGAGACGGAATGGCTCGTCAAATTTACATTTTTGCTTGGTGAAGCTATCCACAAACGGCCAGCAGATCTTGAGGAATCCCCAAACAATGAATGGGATATTGATGAACAGAGCACGACCCAGCCGTTCTGGGTAGTGATATTGCAGAATACGGAGCACCTCTTTTCCAACGGTAACAGATGGCACCTTTGGCTCCACGAGCGAGGCTTCTGGGTATTTCTTGAAGTCCACACATAAAGCCAGTTTGTCCTGACCTTGAGGCATGAAATCAATGCTGGTTTCCAACATATATATCAAATGCTGGATCTGTCTATTAGAAGTTTTCGTGTTTTGACGGCCGTTCAACAGAATCAAACACGGTCTTCCGCCGGTATCGAATCCAAACACCTGTTGTTTACCGGTCTCGTTCTCAACCTTGACGAGGTCGCTGGTGACTTTCTCAAAATCTCCTCCGGCAATTCCAAATTCGCGTCGCCAGGCAATGGACGTGGTAAGACGTTTGATAGTCTCGTCAACAGCCCAATCACAAGCCCTGAGATATCTCAGGAAACACTCTTTGGTCAGCCATGCCTTCTCAAAGTCGTTCAATGCAACATATTCTTCTGGATCACCGTGTTTCTCGGTGATGGGATACTTTTCTGTGGCCTCGAAATGCTTCAGAACGGTGTTATATTTAGTCTGTTGTTCCTCCGTTTCAATGTCCTGGAAAGCGGGTTTTTCTATGGAATCGGATGGAGTCCCAAACGGCTTGGTAACGAGCGGCTTGTCATCGTCGACAATCCACTCCTTAACGGGCTCTTTCTTGCGACCAAACCCAAACATTAGAGCGATCGGCAAAATACGTAAATTTTCAAAAACGGGAGCGTACCCTTTGGTGTAAAGATTATATACAGTTATTTAGAATTTAGGGCCTTGTAGGCCTGCTCGAAAATATACTCGGTAGCATGCTCCACAGGCTCGTCGAACAGGTATGGCAACAAAGGAACCACAGCAAGACCTAGTCCAACAGGGCCAAAAGTCTTGATACTCTTGTTGGAGCTGTTCTTGAACAAAACAGACGAGTATCTCACAGTAGAGTGAATGGTGAAAGCAGGCAATCCCATCGATGCGATCGACTGGAAAACACCTCTCTGTAATCCGACCCACTTCCAGTCCATCCCGTTGTAGGCAGCCGCGGCAACCGGATCAGCATCTGGCTGGGTGTGCCATGGAAGCAACCCTGGGGTGTATCTTCCCTCCTGTCTCATCCTGGCTCTCCACGCCTCCAAAGAAACATCACCGAGAACATAAGACCACGAGATTCCGTAGCAAAGTTTCACAAAGGCGGGATTCACAACAGGACGAAAGGATTCTCCAATGTCAGACGTGTACGCAACGTATCTATGCGAAGCGAGAACAATTGTCCGCAATCTATTGGCATAAGCAGCGTATCTAAGAGAACTGTCGGTGGAGGTGTCATCCTGGTCAGGATGAACGGATTCGGACACTTTATCTATGGAGGAGGACATTTGATAGAAATAAATAAAATGAAACAAAATTTGCCGCTTTCGGTGCTATCTCGGTGATGATGCGCGAACTTATTTCCGTCTAGGTACTTACTATGATTACGACCAGGCTTTGACAAACCCAAAACTCAAGTTGACAAACACTCCAGCAATCACTGCCATCCTGGTCCGTTTGTTGAAAACACCCCCGATCTCCAGCTTAATCAGAAACAATGCAAAAATGCCCAAAAAATACCCTATTGCTACCCCGATCAGTAGATCCTTATGTGCGTCGCCATCGCGCGAAGCAGGCCCTCCTCCTCCGTTCCCGCCTGCGTTCAGTGTTCCTATATTTGCCGGGAACTCGTCGATTTCGTGGTTCACAGTGCTATCGATCCATCTGTCCTCCAATTCTCTTAGTGCTTCCTGAGATTGATTGTCAAGACTTGCTCCGTGTATCTGTTGGAATTGGTGCCGTAGCTCTTGTATATCCAGCGCCGAAAATCCTTGCGAAAGCAGTCGGTCAAATCCTTTGGGAGCCTCAGATGTGCTTTTTTCCGGTTGGTGCTCCAATTCCTCCTCCTGTGCCAACTCCTCGCGCGACAGTTCGTCTCCAACTATACAATGAATATAGATCCGTATTGGATCCGATCCAGTGGACTCATCGCGCAACAGATACCGTAACTCTTTCTTGAAATCTGTGTGATTAAGCAGCACTTTTCCGTTGTGGATCAATTTCAACCGTTTCGTCGCAAGCGACTTGTCCTTGATCCTAATCTGTTGTCGTATGAACTTTGTAGAAACATTGTCTAGATTAGCCACCGACCCAACGGGTATCACCACGTCGGATGCCCCATTCGCAAACCGCACCACAAATTGGACGGTTTTGGGCGTCTTCAAATCAGAACTATCCAAAGGTAGAACTCTAGACATGACGTATGGTAGAATTATATTCTTATTACCCATAATATAAATCTGCCAGCATGGGTTACCCGGCCCAGAGCCAGGAATATTTAATAGAGCTCACCGAGTGATAAATTTTCTTTAGTGCGGACAACCAGTACTATTTAACCGTGTTGCTTACATATCTCATCCCAGGGATGCGTAGGCGTCAAGTACTTGGTGAGATCAAATTACTACGGATCATCTTAATGCTCTTTCGGTCGACGGTGTTTTTGGCCTGTCGTTCGGGGCTGGTAGATCCTACAACTGTAAAATAGTGAAAATCAGTATAACATTTATATGGTTTTCTTGGTAGGAACGGTTGCAGCAACCAACACGCCTGGGAGTTCTTCGTTTCCGCAGCTGACAAGGAGTTTAATACCTGCCACAAAGACGAAGAACAAGGCCACGGTGGTCCATAAGAACAGATTTGCTTCTGCACTCACGTCTTTCTTTTGACAAGCACCACCAGTCCATTTGGTAGTACTTCCAGTAGTTTCATCTTTTGTAGGCGAGCACAAGCATTTCCAACACTTGCCCACCTTGGAGCATATTCCGTGGCCCGAGCATGTCGATGTGGAAATCAAACAGTCTTCCTGAGACGAGAAACAGCCAGTGGATCTGGTGAAGACGTTGGAAGTATCTCTCTTGGCCAGGGAGATGCCTTCTCTTGCATCTTCTTTCAGCTTGAACGTAACAGTCTGCTGTTGGAGAGGCATAACAACCACGGTTGGGTCGTAGTTAGGAGCATTTTGCAACTGAGAGGAAATCAGCTTGCTCAAAAGGTTCTTGCATGCTTTGTAAGTTTGAGAGTCTGGGCCTGTTTTCTTGTAAATGCTCGTTAGCGATTGGAGGTTAATGACAATAGTATCTTCTGAAGATTGGATCTGGTTTTTGAGCAAGTAGTCTAGTTGAGTCAATTCACTAATAAATTGTTCGTCGTTGATCACGTCAAGTGACCGCCTGGACGCATGCGATGTACCATAAATACCAACGATGTTTCTCCAGAACTCGGCAATGGAGTTGTACTCCTTGTCGTGGAACACTCTTGACCACGTTTCGGAAAGGACGTTGTGGATGTTTTGGCCAAGAATAGAGATCTGGTTGGACAGCTTGCTCAACTTGAGGTCCGAGTCCAACTTCATCAACTGGGATGGGAACTCAGACAGGAAATTTCTGAACTCGAACGAAGACCGGTCGTCTTTGGTCTCGATTTCAAAAGTTGGTTGTATTTGGTCAAAGAAGCTCTTCGGGCTGTCAACTCCATTTATTATGACAACCAATTGACTTTTGTCTTGGTCGTCCAATTGCGTGGATTTGCCCAATCCCAGTGATTTTGGATCATCCAGGCTGCCGAGCTTGAAAAAGTCTGACACGCCGAACTCGTCAGCAAGGTTGTAAATGGAGTCTTTCTGAGATAACAAGGCAATGTCGTCATTGGATTCTGGAACAGAGAAGCGGTACACTGCGGCATTTTCGGCCGTAGCCGTGTACGCAAAAGCCAAAGACGCTAGCACAGCAGAATTAAGAAGCTGCACCATTGCAATTATTAGATAATCGAAATGTCTATTCCACTTTCACAGAAGTTGAATTATCTGCTGTAAAAAACCAGGTTGGATTCACGGGCTGCACATAAATTATTTGGCAGACAATTTGATCGAAATGGAGGCAGACACACCAAGTCGTGTTTTGGGACCAGAGCAGCTGAAAGCTTTGTCTGCTGAGTACTTGGATCAATCCACGATGTGTATGATAGCTCTAACTTGTGGCAAAGTGTATCAACTAAATCAGACCAACTACATACCCTAAGTCGGGATAAGGGTGGAATATACAAATCATGTATTATTATTTGCGAGCTTTCTTACTAGACAAGTCTTCTTGATCATCCCTCAAAAACTTGTAAACGGGAGACATCGGAACCGTCTCGTTAGTGACCGACCAGCTGTAGGTCAGCTTGTCTTTACTCTGTTGCCGGTCTGGACTTTGCGACTTGGATGCGGACTGGTGCGACATTATTTCTTCTTCTTCTCGACCTCTTTTCTGGATCCCTTGATCAGTTCAAGATGACCCACTCTGGATGCAATCAGCTTCTCTGTGCTGGCAACCAAGGTGGCTGAATGTTTCTTGGAAAGTCTGACCAGCTGTTTCTCGTCGGAATTAGCCTTTCTTGGTTTCAAAATCTTTGGCGCAGCAGCCCTAGGGTTTTTCTGATGCTTCGTGACTCTGGCTGACTTCTTTTTGGCCAACTTTAGGTTTCCTTGAGCCATGCTTTTCAAAGCTAATAAATTTAAATTTTTTTGTACGCTTATGTCATCTCAAATAATTTGATTTCCGGAGGCAGAGAATACTCCGATTCTTTTATAGCTGAGATGGTGAAAGTTTACTCTTACGCAGATTCCCAGGACGTTGCCAATTCTGTGGCACAGTATGTCATTGAGCATCAGAATGCCGCTCTTTCCAAGGGTGACAAGTTTAAGATCGCAATCAGCGGTGGATCCCTGGGCAAAGTTTTGAACAAGGGCCTCATTGCTAATTCCGAGAACTACGCCAAGATTCAGTGGTCCAAATGGGAGGTCTATTTCAGTGATGAGAGGTTAGTTCCATTGGACCACGAGGATTCCAACTATGGACTTTTCAACGAGATGGTGTTGAAAAGTCTGAGTGAAAAGAAACAGCAACTGCCAAAGGTGTTCACCATTAAGGAATCTCTTCTTTCTGACGACGGATCGACTGATTCCGAGATAGCCAAGGATTACGAGTCGATCCTACCAGAATCTTTGGATGTGATTCTGCTCGGATGTGGTCCAGATGGTCACACCTGCTCTCTTTTCCCCGGACACAAGCTATTGTCGGAGAGATCTGTCAGAATCGCACATCTCAACGATTCGCCAAAACCTCCACCAAGACGTATCACCTTCACATTCCCAGTTTTGTTCAACAGCGGTAACATTGCGTTTGTGGCAGAAGGTGCCGGAAAAGCTGCCATTCTCTCCAAGATTTTTGACACCAAGAAATCGGGCCTGCCTTGCGAGTTGGTTAACGAAGGCAGTGTCCCTGTTGCATGGTTTGTCAACGATGCAGCAATTGAGGGTGTCCCTGTCACGGCCTCGAAATACTAGCTGTGTATGCAATGCAATATATTTACGATTGTAAAATATTTACGAACTAGACTCTGACCCTTCGTCTTCCAGCTCAACACTCACAGCATCATCCAAATCCAGGTTCTGGACCTCCCAGCTGTTGATATTCTCTGAGCTCTCGTCTATTGGCCGTCCAGTCAATGTTCTGATGATCTTCAATCTAGTCTCTTCAGGCTCTTTCTCCAAGTCAGTATGCTCACGCTTGAATTCGGCAACTTGAGGAACATGACCAATCGACATCCCCACCCTGATCAGAGTCTCTATCGAATTTTTGGAATTGGAAACCAGATCAGAGTCTAACACAATCCGGTCTTTCTCAAACAATAAGAGAACAGTAGATCCACCAAACTTGAAATATCCAACTTCGTCTCCTCGTCTAATAGAGTCACCAACTTTGCAAGTGAGAATAATCGATCCGACCATCATCGCACCCACACAGCTCATGATCACTTTGCCAAACTCTGGAGAGCTGATTTCGACATTAACACGGGTGTTCTCGCCGTACACATCAAGTCTGGATCTAATAGCCATAGGATTGACAGTGTAGTATTCTCCTGAAATCTGTTCAATCTTGGTTATTGTTCCGGAAATGGAGCTGTGGAACCTGTGATAATCTTGTGGAGCTAGTCTGAAAATCACAATTGATCCATTAGCATACGGCTCAGCAGAGAATTTGGGTCCCAAAAGCTTCTCCACTGTGAAGTCTTTACCCTTGATCCATATTTTCCGGGAATCCTCAATTGATGGGAATACGCAGCATCTGCAGTCCGCTCCGCTGACGGCATATTTGTCGCTGGATCCTTCCAAAGGACGAGCATCTGGCTTCAGCTTTCTGTAGAAGAAATCATTAAAGCTGGAATACTGTGTGACATCCTGAATCAGACAGTCAGTGAGGTCCAAGCTGTGAAACTTGATAAAGGACTCGATCTTGGATTTCGAAGCAGGATTATCAAACTTGCTCCCTTGCTTCACACTCAAGTTCTTCAAAATTCTTTTGATTCTCTCACTGTTTCTCTTTCCCTTGAAAGATCTATAAAGCAACCTAATGCCCAATCTCACGTAGAAGTTCATCTTTTCTTCAATTATCAGACCAGAATCTCTGTCTTGAACCAGAATGTTGGCATTATTCTTCCCCAGCTCAATCTTTCCGTATGCTATCTTGATGAGTGCCTTGGTGTACCATCTTCGTGAGGCCGAAGATGGAGTCGTGAACGATGGTTTTAAAATTCGCGTCACAGATGACCAGTCTTGAGAACAACAAATTGCCAGGTGTTTGATTATGTCCACATCATCATGAGCACGTGCTCTCTTTAGACATGATGGACACCTAGCAATCTGTATTATGTGTGTGCCCTGAGAGGAAGGAGACTGTTGCTTGCGCTCGAATATTCTTTCGAATTCATCCGAAATTTCGTCAAAAGTTAGTTTCTGGCCATGCCATGCCTTCTTTCCATTTCTATCGAAGAATTCAACAAGATCTTCTTCGCTCAAATTGGACCCAAGAGAATCCAAAAATGACTCCAACTCGATTATATCCAGCTCTGATGATCCATCAACTTGGAACTCTTTCAGTAGAAAAATGAATAACTGACGTCTCAACTGAGCATAGGACTCAAACCTGACTCTAATCTTCAACTTTGGATCAACCTTTTCAATCTTGGTATATCTATCTGTTTTACGAGGATCCAAATTCATTTTCACCTCCAATGTTTTAAGGCTTCCATCGTAAGTGCTACTGACGTTTTTCTTTGGATTTCTTCCGAAGAGTTTCCGTCTGTAAATCAAATTCTCCTCTTCTTCTCTCTCAACCACCTTCATATCAGTTGAAGAGCTGGGAGAGCTTATCAATCTTCGAATAGGAATCGAAACTTCACAAACAGGATCGTTTAACGACCAATAATCTTTGTCCAGGATGTTGAAATTGATGTTGAATGTTTTTTCGTTCTCGAGCACTTCAAAAGCCAATCGCTCGTTGAAAATAGGGTTCAGGGTATGTTTTCTCCATGAGGTTCGATAGACTTTGGTTCCAAATGATATAACCACAAATGGATCCATGTCATAGCCTGTGCGGGTAGTGTTGTGCATTGGAGGAAGCCCGCTGGCTGATATGATCTCAATAAATAGCATCCCCACAAAGTTTTTCTGCGTGGAGAATTCGTAATGCGCTTCTGGTAGCTTTCTTCGTATCTTGCCAAAGCGACGCCTTCTTTGTGATGTCAATGACGATGATGTTGGCGGGGTCAATGGCATGTCCGAAAGCGATGCTGATGTATAATTGGTCATTTCATCTGTGGAAGAGACTAATGAGCCAATGGACTCGGTAGAAATATTCGCCGTTTTGTAGAACGATGGCTCCTTGTTCTCTTCATCACTCGATTCCTCCTCAACCACCTCCTCACCAAACGGACTTGCTCCCTGGCTGTCGGCCAAAGCAGGTATATCTGAGTAGAAGTTCTGTTCGTTAATCGTGATTAAGCTCGATGGATTTTTGCCATATGCAATCAACAAGTCACGAAATTGTCGCAATTGCTCAATGTAAGTGTCTAGGTCTTCGTTCTCAACTGGAATTAATCCGGATTTCGAGCTAAGATCCTGGTCTTGGTTAATTTCATCATCGGATTCATCGTATTCCTCCTCGCTATAGACCTCAGTTGGTCCGCTTTCGGGTTGGACCACAATTTCTGGACCAACACGTTGAGTTCTGGACTTTCTTCTGCGAGAAGTCAAGCTAAACTTACACTTGATGGACCCAGTAACAAAAGTATGCTCGTGCTCTGATGAATACAGTTTGTACCATTTGGGTCCTATCTCAGCATTGGCTCTAAGCTGGGTCAATAGATCCAACACCGCGATTCTCAATTCGCCAAGATATGTTCGATTTGATCCTTTATTGTTCACAATTTGTATTGTTAATATCAAAAATGCGGCTGGAGGTAGCCTTTGAAGTTCTTTGTCAGTCACCTTCAATGGAGGTGATTTCAAACGTAACCGACAAGTGGTGTTCCAATGGGGGCTCATTGGGTCTTTAGCCTTGCGAGTTTTAGATGAGGCTGAAGGAGGCAGTGTTAGATGGCACTTTGGACTCATGTTCAAAATGTCTTTGGAAAACAAAGACTGTTCCACCAAATTTGCAGCCTCGCAAATAGTCACATTCAAGCATAACCTGTTTCGTTTGTTCCGCTTGAAAGAAACCATGGTTTAACATTCAACAGAGATTTGTGCCTAGCAAAAAACCTTAAAAAGATCCTTTTGACAGAAAACCGTCCCAATCGACGCGACGCAGTGGGAAATAAATTTTTTCGTTTAGGTTGAAAGGATAACTCAATTGTTGGGTAACAAAAGTAGTGGAAGGGTCCTTTACTGCCAAGTTCAACCAAAATAGGATTGCAACACCAACAGAAATTGGGAATCCAATCGGGGCTTCTGCTATATAAGCTGAATTTTGCATTTCACTCTGGGAAATCAAGCCAGCATACCAAATGATTCAGGTCAGCAGTATACGAAAAGAGAGATCACAATCGCCTACTGATAGCGTATACGTACACAATCACTGCAAAAACCCAAAGCCATTAAATGTCACCGGTGCATACATAGTCCACGATGAAAACGATTACAGAGACAGTCTTCTTCCAGATACAAAGGATATAGCTTTACCAAATCACACCGAGTCCGTCAACGAGATATCGATCGATATCGGGGGATCGTTGTCCAAAGTTGTTCATTTCGCTAAGAACAAAGAAGGTGGGGGTAGACTCAATTTCTACAAGATCGAAACGTCGAACATCGAGAAGTTCATCGCGTATTTGAAAGAGATCATGAAAGTCCATTATCATCACGACGGGGTGAACGAAATAAACGAGAATTTAACATTGATAGCAACTGGAGGAGGATCATACAAGTACTATGAGGACCTACAAAAACAACTCAATTGTCGAATTCAGAAAGAAGACGAGATGGAGTGTCTTATCATCGGACTTGACTTCTTCATCAGCCAGATTCCAAACGAGATCTTTTATTTTGACGAAAACAACCATACCTACGTGGAAACAGAGATTCCAGAATCGGAAAGCGAAACAATCTATCCTTATTTACTGGTTAACATAGGGTCTGGTGTGTCGATGGTCAAAGTCACTGGTTCCGGTCCAGATAACTTCATCAGAGTTGGTGGATCGTCCCTTGGTGGAGGAACATTATGGGGACTTCTTTCCGTTTTGACGACATGCAATGACTTTGACGAGATGCTGGAGATGGCCTCCAAAGGTAACAACGAAGACGTGGATCTTCTTGTGGGGGATATCTATGGGAAAGGATACAACAAAATAGGACTGAAATCAAACCACATTGCTTCTTCCATGGGTAAAGTGTTCAAGAAAGTTTTCCGGAAGACAGGTCAATCAGAGAGTGCTTCTTCCGACAACAGACTCGAGAGATTGCAGAATTTCAACCAGCAAGACATCGCAAGGTCGTTGCTGTATGCAGTCTCGAATAACATCGGACAGATCTCTTATCTGCAAGCTCAGAGATATGGCTTGGACAAGATATATTTTGCGGGCTCTTACATCCGAAACCATTACCAAACAATCCGCACTTTAAGTTATGCCATCAATTTCTGGTCCGAAGGTTCGAAAAAGGCATATTTTTTGAAGCACGAAGGATATTTGGGAAGTATGGGCGCTTTTTTGAAAAAAGAACTAGATAATGATAACGCTTGACGGTGATAATTAACGTTGCTCAATGATTTGCTAAAGACTTCCAAATGTCGATCAGTTGTATCATATACTTGTAATTCATATCCAGCTTTGGGTCGATATGTGAAGATTCTCTTTTCTGTGCGTATTCTTTGAGAAGTTCCTGGTTATGTGCGACAGACACTTTCGTGTCTTCCAGGTCATTTGCGAGCTGTTGCAAATGACCGGCTCTGTTTTCCTTGAAGCTTTCAAGCTGTTCTAATTCGGCTTCTAGTTGCTCATTCTCAGCAGTAGCTTGGGCAACCATTTCTTCGAGTTGTTCAAGGGAGCTGAACTGGTGTGATCCAAAACTCATCATATCGTGTTGGCCCAAATCGTCAATCTCTTTCTGTAGATTTTCGTTCGTGTTATTCAGTTCGTTGATCGATTTATTGAGCTTACTGACCTCAGCCAGAGCCTTGAGTACCTTTCTGCTTCCAAGATGTATTTCGTTTCTCAACTTAGCGGTATTGGTTTCCACCTCCTGGTATTTTTCTCTTGACTCAGAAATCATCTGGTTTGTGGTTTCCATTTCGGATGCGGTCAATTTGTGTCCTTCGTTCAGAAACCCAAGAAAAATCTGTTTTGCCTCCGTCTCGAGAAACTGGTATGTGAGCTTGTTAAGGAAGTTCTCGTTATTTTTGGTCAAGTTTGCAAGAGCCTCAGGGTTCTCTTTCAGCATTTCAGGATCCAATTTAAATCCTTTCACAGACGCAGATTCGTCTACATACTGCTTGAAGATATCATCTGAGCGTAGAATAGGAATCTTATCGGCAAGGTCCTGGATGGAAGACGCGTTGGTCACAGAAGACGTCATGATCCAAAGATAACCAAATATTGTAAACAAACAAAAAATATATGCACAGCCCGGGATAAAATATTAGTCTTCGACCGTTTTTTTTTGGGATGGTTGCAATGACGTTATGTGTATCGCGATGTCGAATTTTGAGGCCAGATATGACCATCGTATTTAATGTTCCTCGGGCTGGGAAATGTATTATCCCAGATACGAACACAAGATTATTATTCGTCCCTTTCAAGACAATGTAATGTCGCATCGCCGATTGAAGTAGATAATTTGGGTTTTAGTTTCTCAACCGTTTCACCTGCGCACAAACAAAAGCAACAATTCAATAAAAGCGATTTAAAAAACGGACATTTCGTGACCCTTTAAAAATATTCAAGAAGTCCAGCTAAGCTCGGATACCAAAAGCCAGATGTCGTTTCTAAGAAGACCACATAAAAAGACAAAGACAGGTTGTGTCACCTGTAAAAAAAGACGTTTGAAGGTAAGTTTGATCGTTTGCCCCAGCTAACAAACCCTAGTGCGATGAGGAGAAACCCATTTGTTTGCGTTGTAAAAAACGTGGGCTGGAGTGCATTTACATGGGACCCCCCGACCTCAAACCGCCCACCCCTCAGCATGGATCTATTCCCGGTATCGATATGACATCCATCAATGGTTTATTACCGGACCCCTCATTTGGAACCGAGAACAGAAGCCCAAACAATGTCTCCAGTAGTGTGGGGTCCACCCCTGTTGAAGAAACCAATCCTTTGCATATCACAAGCATATCACATGACGATGGCATCACATCGTTGAATTCGGACTTGATGAGCTCGCATCACAACAGAAGCTCCCATATAAGTCCGGTTTCATCGGTGTCATCAGCGAACTTCAACGACTCCTTACTGAAACCTGAATACTCAGATCTTACGCGACTCTCTACATCACGACTTCGACAAGATAGCAACAAATGGTATTTTGTGCCTCCCGATTTCCTTTCCAACAAGACTCATTTTCCATACTTATCAGATATCCAAATTCCTCGAGAAATCTCCAACTATACCTTTTATACAGAATGTTCGCTCAAACTTCAATTCTACATGATGAACACCATGCCCTTCCGCATATGCGAGGATGCTACCAACAGAGAGTTGTTAATAAGTGTGTTCAAGACAGCCCCGTTGTATGATTTCTGTTGGCATTCGTTCATGGCGATCGCATGCATCGATCTCTACCATCAGCAGGAGATGTACAATCACGACGATGTTTTGAATCTTGACAAAAACACCTATTTGAAGATGGGCGATTTCCATTTCTCGAAATCGGTTTATTCAATGAGTAAAGAAGTCAAGGTTCAAGAAGATTGTAACAAGGCTATCGCACTTATTGAAACCGCCATGCTTCATATTTTCTACGCAACTGCTACACCTTCTCAGTCGATCGCCACAAGAAGCTACCTCGGTTTGGGTCGCAACTTGGGACTTTTGTTCACAGAGTATGTGTTGCAATATCGGAGTCACAAGATGTTCAACGATGCTTGCGCTCGTTACTGTATCAACTCATGGTCCCAAGATGCTTCATACTATTTCCCTGAATTCCTATACGACTTGGCAGATGTCTCGTACCCGTCAACCGGTGAGCCAAATAAGATGCGTGTTCTCTCGCTGGACGAAGAGGACAAATTACTCATCTGCAAAATGGTTGATCGGCTGAAAAAGGAGTACCGCTCCTTTGCCAATGTTTCACTTTGTGAGGCACCAGCAGTGAGTACTCGCCATGTTCCTATCGAGTCGATACTCAACTACGAGCCCACGCAGGTCGGAAGCACATGTTTCGAAGGCAAGCCAGCTAGAAGTCTGCCACCTTCACAGAAATTGGAGTATGACATGTTTGGTACACTTTCACGGTACATCGTGGAAGTTCCAGAACGGATAATAGATATGGTCGATGCAGGAGACCCTCGTGCTTTGATCCTTACTGCATACAATTTACTGGGTCTGGCTACCAGACAGTACAAGTATTGGCCAAGCTCTGTTTATACTCAAGAGATCAAGACCATCGAGCGTCTCCTGGATAGATCTGAAAACTCCCAGTTGTGGAAGAGTTGGCTGGATGTTCCAAAGCAAGTTTTTAACGAGTTACACAAATCTGTCTAATCTGCCTGATCAGACTATAGGTTTGGATTCTCAGTGTATTATATGTATAAAAAAAAGTGGCGGTGCAGGTGTTGTTAATCGAATTTTCAGAGATGGTCATGTGTTGCCATGTGATGCCAACTTTTGCACTACACATCACGTCCACTAGCCACATACCAGCCACATTTGCCACACCTTACACCACTCATTTCAGTTTCCTCTTTGGTCTAATTTAAAATCTCATCAATAGTTCTTGTCTTCACAAATGGACAAAAAGTCGAATTTATCACAGAATCAGCCAAGCCAGCGGGACATGTCTGCCGAACATAGCCCTGTTCCTTCCACTCAGAGTTCTTTACTAGGCGGATCATTCAGTTTTAACGGTAATGTTTTCCACGCGCCATTAATGGATGCTCATAATAGGGTATCCCTTAATGTTTCCCCCTCTAGCTCAGATCATGATGATCCTGTTTCATTTGGTGGTTCCACTTCTGGAAGCAGAATCCCTGAGGATGATGAACAGAGCCACCACGATAATCTTCAGTCTGTACCCAATCGCA